TGTGATTTGAGATTTTTCACTTCAATGACATTGTTTTCAGCCGTTGCAATTACATCATTGCTATTACCGTCGAAGAAATAGATGAAACCCAGCTGAAATAACGCACTATTTCCATACTCTAAATAATTGAGATTTAAAAACTTAAAGCCATCTTGACCTTCTGGGAGTAAGATATAGTTCAAAACAACTGAAGCATCAAATACTGGGCCTTCACCGAGGTCAATTGTGATTGGTGAAACGACTGAATACCCTTGATAACCAATTGCATGAATTAATACATTTTCTGTTCCTTTGAAAATATCCGCATAAACGCCAATATAAGCTTGACAGTGTATATTACCTGATAAATCATTCTGAATAGTGAATACACCATTTTCATCAATGTGGTCAGGACCAAGATCTACTCTCCATAACCTGTCATCAAAATAGCCATCTACTTTCGATTCACTTTTCAGCACCTCGAGCTTACCCAATATGGCTAATGGTGAGTTATTAGGAGCCTTGTACGTGCCACCGATATGAATTGAGGGGTTAAAATTGATAGAGGTACCTAAACCAGTACCGGTTGTCTTTGGTAATTTAATTCTCATAAGACTGTTTTTTGATATAAAGACCCCATCAGCACCGGTGTTGATATCGAATGTAAAAGCATTAAAGTCTTGCACATCAGCTTTATATGACAATGAGCTACCATCAAAGATAAACTGTGATTCATCATCTATACTTACCTTGCCATTGATAACTATTGAATATGGAGTGCCATCACCTGAAGGCGCAGTTATCGTAAGTACAGAATTGCCAGACAGTGAAATACCTTCTGGTAATTTGATAGTTGTGAAATCATTAAGTGTCACCTTAGCATTTTTCAGAACCATCAGTTCGTCATCTTCGTAGGTTGTCAATCCAAGCGTAACACTGTCAAGGACAATTTCTTGATTTTCATAAGTTTTAGCAAGTACCGATGTACAGTAAAATACTGTATTGGCAGCTAATAATAATATATTTCTAAATCTCATAAAAATTTAATCAGTAGAACACCTGTACAAACTATTATTACTAGTATTATTTCTTAGTATAACTTTTTTGAAGTTTCTTTTGTCACTATAGACAATATATGGTCACATGTATTATATACTATAGTACGATTTGTAGCATACACTAGGACTTCGATATTACCTTATAGAGATGGTATTTATATAAAATGTATATCAGAAATATTTTGCAGAATGTGCAAGTTTTCTCGGGTTACTATACACTGAGGATTTACCGATAATTTGGTAACTTGAGTTCTTTACTGAGAATATTGAGCATTAGGGGGGTCAGTTTGGCTTAGTGCAAATCTTCCTACATTAATTCTAATTCTGAGAAGAAGTGAAAAGTGGGCATTGCGATTGAATAGAGGAAACTAGTTCGAATCAGCACAGATTATTTTGAACAATGAGGTTTCCTTATTATACTGATATCTTCGGAGGTGTTTAATACCGGCATTGGTTATTTAGGTATTCACGGCATGCAGATAAAGGAAGCTATTGCCCCTTCTTATTTACTAAGGGATGAAAGTCTTGGCCAATTACGGGGCTAAACATATACAACCTGTGTTGTGAGGAACGTTTAAGGGCTAAAGTGCGAGCATTACTGTTGGATGATTCGATTTCTTGGACATTTCTAAGTTTACTAGGGTGATCGGAAACAAAATTTAATGTTGCCAGTCTTTCTGGTTGGAACATATTATTAGTACTATGAAGTGGCACTGGGATTGTCTGCAACTAGAGGTTGAGTTTGTGTAAGCTGCTTCATTTGTGTGTACAGAAAATGGCGTTATAGGCTAACCAATGAGAGGGGAGCATGAGAAGATTATTGAAACAGTACTACGTGCGAGAGTTTCTATCGAGAGAGAAAAAGTGGGATGAAACGGGTAATTCAACAGGCTTAATAAGAAATGTACTTCCGCAACCGATGGAGGCCATTTGTTGCGAAGAGAAAAGCAGTGGAAATGCTCGGCTTACAAATGTAAGGATTACAAATGTAAGGATTTTCCCGGTCGTGATTTTCCCGGTCGTGATTTTCCCGGTCGTGATTTTCATGCGCGAGATTTAAAGGGGCAGCACAGTTCGTTAGCTTGCAGCAGCATGTTCTGTGGGTTGTGCAAAAGATCGTGGGATATTTTGCTTCCACGGCATCGGACAAAAGGTTCGTTTCTTCCACAAATTGCAAAAGAGTTCCTTCCGCTTTACCAAGAGATATAGTACGGTCCGGGTTTGTCTGTGCAGAATTGCTTCCAAAAAAAGAAAGAAGTGGAAGAAGTCATTTTTTCAGGGATGGAAGTCCTGACCAAATTACCGGTGGTGTATGGGTGTATTCCTGACTTCTTTTCTGTGGTTGTCTTGGTATCGCGGGAGTTGAGTGGAACGAGTAAGTAAGCTGAGTAAGAATTGCGTGAGCGGTGGGGTGTTGGTTCTTAGAATGCCAGAACAATCCCTAGCATACCGGCATTTTGCAATTTTGCTTTGTTGTTTGCTCAGAGTAAGTCTTCAACTGGGTATATGGATCCTTATTTGTGAATACTACTAATATTGTCTTATTGCACAAGTTCCATTGAAAATTTCTCACAACTTTCTATCATACTACTTAAAGTATGCATTGCCTTGTATCAAATAATGCCCATTTGTTTCTGCACACTGAGATTGTGTATTATATCAATAGTAGTTTTCACTGTTGGATCGTGTGTATCTTTATTGTTGATTTCAAAACAAATAGCGTCAGAAAATATGAGTATCTTGTGAACTGTGTTGTTTTAAGTCATTGATCAAGAAAAACCAATAATGTTGTCTATACAAATTTACACCACAAGATTATCCTCAAACATAAAAGCAACAAACTCTTTTATAAACCATCTTTGTGGGAATATAGAGAATTATGGTGGAACCTATTCCTATTGCTGACATTTCGAATGGTAATTGAAGGTAACAGATTTGGAGTAGAGGATCGCGATAACAAGCATTATATTGTTACCTGAAAAGTTTATGTTTAAGCACAGGTAGCTGCTTAAAGAGGATAATAAGTTATTATATCATACATTACTTTGATTTTCATTTCACTAGTATATTTTTGAATGCTCTTTCAATATCTAAAGTTATAGGTTATGTTCTTGTATGCTTTGATTGTTTCCTACACGGGCTTGCTTCAAACATATTTCTTTCATTCTACCATCTAACGACAATGGCAATGTTCATCATGTGAAATGCGATCGTCTCAAAAAACGCTCCGGCATGACAATGCATGTGCATATGCTCATCATATACGTACATTCCCTGGCCGTCTGCATTTTCTCATGTAAACAAAGAACATCTAAATAGCTAACTGATGGCAGATCAGTACGGATCAGTAAATACAGTTACAACACGTTTGGATAAAATGGCAAGACTTGAATTATACCCTAGTTTATCATACTATCCATAGTTGATATGTGAGGTTTTTGAAGTTTCATTTTGCTCGGTTCATTTGGTGTTTTAAGATATTTGAAGATACAATCCTCAGCCAATGACCCAAATGATATATTCAGAATGTGGAATAGAAGGACTATTGATTGATGAATCCTCATGTGTAACAGAAATCAGCTGATTTTAGAACAGGCTACAACAATAATGGATTTGATTTGGCCTGTTGCATAATAGCACAAAGAGACTTAGATTGAACACCTTTATGATCGGATTGAATGAAACATTAGTTTTTGAAAAAGAGTCATTAATGATGCTAAGCACCTAATTGAGGAAAAAATATTGTTTTTATGGATCTGTTTAGAGTCTTTGCTTGCTGCTTCAAGAACTGGTATTCGTAAGAGTAACTCTGGTATTCACCCCTATCATGACAAGTGAGTGGTTGAAGAATACACGGCTGAATTACCAGTTAACATTTTGTCGTCGATATTGTTGCTACTAGAGATAGACATGCCAAATATGTATTTTTGAAAAGCAACTAATCATGAGAGTTCTGAGTAATGGTTGTATGAAAGCTTGCTCACTACCGGAACCTTATTTGTAAAAGTTTCTTCCCTATCGTTGCTGTCCCTCAAATAATTCGACTCTACAATATCCATCGTCATGCTATAGTGTAATCTGTTTTCAGGAAAGCTTTGATTGAATAAGCCCAATGTGGTATACTTTTGTACAGCTGTATGGTTTTGAATAAAAATTGAATGGGGTAATTTATATCCAAATGATGATAATGAGGGGATGTCGGATATGTTTCTGATAAACTAGTTAGAAGTTAAAATGTGAAACTCATAATATGATATTCATACAATCGAGTATTGGAATTCCAGAGTCCAGTGTTACAAGTGTGATGTATGATCAGATGACTTTGTCGAATTTTGAGCTTCCTAACAATTAATGTATCCCATTGCATTTTTATTCAACTTTGTATATCAATTAATGGGATTACCATGAATAACAACAACGTCCTAAAGTTACACCTTCTTCAAAAAGGCTCAGATTAGATCAATAGTTGGCTGGAAAAACCAGCATAATAATTGTGGGCTAATTCTTTTGCAAACAGCACAAGTAATCTTATACAGCTTGTGATGATAGTATTTAAGATCCTATATATATGGATAGTAAAGGATACTAAATTGAATGTTTTTGGTTTCTAGGATTATGAATATTTTGGCGGCCATTAAGTGTTGCTCACAGAAGTTTGATTGGTCTGACTTTCCAGCCAGGTTCCAGAATTTGTTTTTCAATCTACTATATTGAAAGGGTTTTATATGGGACTGGTGGTGGTGCGATTCTAATGTCTTCCTGAAAGGAATCTGATTTCACACTAAGCAGATACAACAACTGAATTGACGCAGTTTGATATCCCAAATTTAGGAACCAAGGAAGTCTTGTGCGAATGTAATAAAGATTTAGGAGTACAAAGAGGAATATCATTTATTACTTAGTGTTACTAAAGAAATATAATTGGCTATTTGGTGCTGTTAAAGACACATAATGGTAATAATGTTATATCAGGCATATTGCTGTCATTATTATCGTTAATATTATCAGGTAGGTACTGCTCACTGGTAGAAGGGTGATTGATGAAGCTTGTAGTTGGTACTCTATTGGTTCACTTGATATGGCTGATGAAAATGAAATGGATTTAACAGTTGTGTACATTTCTCCTGATTCTTCTGTTTTTCTGGCGTTTTGGGGGGAAGTATCAAAACTTGAACAGGGTGTAATGTCTGTATTTTTGGTGGCAAAATTGCGGTAATTTGAATGAGAATGCGAAGTCAGTACATCAGAATAGAAAGACGTATCTAAATGGATAATAACTGTTTCAGGTCTAGAATGTTCCGTTTGTAGTGTGACGATATTACTGGAAGTTGTATCAGTTTGTGGAACTAGGGTTCTTGTAGTTCTGGTTCTTGTAGTTCTACTATTTAATGTCCTATATTCCGAGAATTTAGGTGTTTCAACTACAAACACTGTTTCTGGTGTCTCACGATTGTCAGGTCCCGTAATACAGGTGGTGTAGGTAGAAATGGTGGTGATAGTTGACACAGATCCTGGGACATAAGTTGTTGAGGCAGTAGGAGTGATTATGGTAGATGTGAAGAAAGAACTGGACGATTCTGGGTCCTGAGGTGTTTCAACTACAAACACTGTTTCTGGTGTCTCACGATTGTCAGGTCCCGTAATATAGGTGGTGTAGGTAGAAATGGTGGTGATAGTTGACACAGATCCTGGGACATAAGTTGTTGAGGCAGTAGGAGTGATTATGGTAGATGTGAAGAAAGAACTGGACGATTCTGGGTCCTGAGGTGTTTCAACTACAAACACTGTTTCTGGTGTCTCACGATTGTCAGGTCCCGTAATATAGGTGGTGTAGGTAGAAATGGTGGTGATAGTTGACACAGATCCTGGGACATAAGTTGTTGAGGCAGTAGGAGTGATTATGGTAGATGTGAAGAAAGAACTGGACGATTCTGGGTCCTGAGGTGTTTCAACTACAAACACTGTTTCTGGTGTCTCACGATTGTCAGGTCCCGTAATATAGGTGGTGTAGGTAGAAATGGTGGTGATAGTTGACACAGATCCTGGGACATAAGTTGTTGAGGCAGTAGGAATAATTGTGTTAAATGTTGATACTGAACTTGCAGTAGATGACGGATTTGTTAGCGGTATATCTGTTGAGGAACTGTTAGAATAGAAACTGGACGATGATGAAATGGATGAATCTCCTGGTGAAATGTATGATTGTGAAGGTGATGGTACTATATTAGACGAAGCAAAAGTTGATGGGCTAGTTGATAGAGTTTGTGAATATGTGATGTTTGATGTCTCAATTGTTGAAACACTACTAGATGGGATTTCTGTTACTGAGATGCTTGAAGGCCAAACAGAAGATGAACTTACTGAGGAGGAGGGTATATGTGAATTAGAGGGTGATTGTGGGTCTTCAGGGGTCTCGACAACAAACACCGTTTCTGGTGTGTCACGATTATCAGAACCTGTAATATGAGTGACATAAGTCGAAATTGTTGTTGTATCAGTTACGGGCCCTGGGGTATATGTAGTTGAAGCGGTAGCGACAATTATCTCCGAAGATTCTGTCTTTACGCAGGAGTTTGCTATTGGGTCATAAAATCCATCACTACAGTAAATAGAAGTGGAAGAGCTTGGGCAAGGTACCTGGATATGGAATATTGTCGAAGTCACTGGTATGTTAGGTGATTCTATGGATTCTGTGATGTATTCCGTTGAATAAGTAATTGCTCCTGATACATTACCACATTCGGTTTCATAAGAAATGTGGGCAGGGCATCCCTCAGATGAATCTGGTATATTAAAGAGATAACCGGAGAAGTCGTTTATTTTTGTATTGGATTCATCGGTAGTAAAATACATATTCAGCGCACCTTTAAAGTCCCTATTATTGTAAAACATTCTTATTGGGTAGTATATATTAGCATCCAAATTGACTGTAAGTGTATTTTGTTGTGTATCTGAGCCCCATAGGGCATAAGCCTGGTAATTTCCAAAATCATCTATTGTATCTTGTTGCTGGCAGCAATCAAATGCATTTCCTGCTCCAAAGTTGAGGAATAATAAATCATCCGCAAATATTGTAAATGTATGTTTCGCTGTAACTTTCGGTTTGAAATATCCATAGAGAAGCATTGTAAAGTTTGATAATGTGAATTGCAATGGGTAATTATAATTCTGTGGAAGTTGTCCTTTTGATGGTACACATGATCTGGTAGGGTTGAATTCAAAATCTAAGATACCGTCTATCCCATTCACTTTAGCAAATCGATTGTGTGTTTTATAGCCTGTACGGGGATAATTTACATCTAGATATGATGGGTCCCAGCATTGGCCTTTTTCCATTTTCTTTAGTGTACTGGTGTTGAAATAGCTTTGAATACTTTGCGGGTGAATATAACTATAGTTATATAGTTCCATAGTCAAGCCTCTATTATAAAGTCCATGATTTGGTGAGCATCCAGAGGGAAAATTATTGATTGTGCCCTCGAATGGGTTCGGAATACCAACCTTAGCATGAACAAAATATGCAAATAGAAAAACAGTCAGAATATTAATACTGTTCATGATTTTTAATTCAATATCTTAGTTTTATTCTAATTAGTTTAAAAAAGAACTATTGACAAAGTTGGAAGATTTCTAATCAAAAATGAACTAAAATATTCTGAAAGATAATGCATCCTATATATAAGTTTGTGATATGAAAAAATAGTATAAATATTGAGTGTGAGTTTGAAATGGGGCAAAGTGAATTGCTTTCAAGTCTCCTAATTGAATACTGAGATCAATTTTTGATTTATTATAATTTTATCGGTATTTGTTGCTTATTAAAAAGTAGCTATATTTTTAGATATGATTTTTTCATAAACTGAATTAAAATGACAAAAGCTGCTTAGATATTTGGGGCGCTTTTTTCTTGTCGGTTTGGCATGTCATATTAATGCTATCTAATTGGCATGTTGGATGGTACATTTTACAGAAAAACTAAGAAAAAAGCAAGGCATACCATCTCATTAAAACCTTAAAGGAACTGCCGCACAGTAATATAGTCGAAAAAATCAGATATTTTTGCTAAATATGTGCAGAGGTAAATATTGCTCGCACTCATTAGAAGTTCATGGAAGGTTGATATCAGAACGAATTCAAAAATAGATTAATTTTTTGAATTCATGCACCAGAGCTATGGGCTGCAGAATATCATGGTTGTACATGACAATACCTTTAAATTTGGAATTACTTTTCAACATCTAGTAAAATTAGTTTGGATTCTGTCTTGGTTATTTAGGGACTACAATGGAGATCAGGAGGCAGTGAGCACTCCTTTGTGGAGCCAAGAAAAGGTCTGGAGTAAATTAGAGATATGATGAAGTATTCTTAGTTGGCCAAAAAATAGCCAAAATTTTGACTACCGCCCTAATCTAGGTTGTTAAGTTAAATATGCGCATAGTTCTTAGAGTAGTAGTATAGGTAAGATTGCAAAACTATTAAATAATGTGTGTTGGGTTGTGCTACATACGGAAATAAATGGTTGTGAAAAACTTTCTTTCACTACAAACGTGTGGGTCCGTCTTGGGTTCTGATTCTCGAGCATTACATTTTTAGATTAGTAAATGTATCAATAGATATGTTGATCTTCACTCATAAAATTGCCTTCTTTTCACTGATATATGCAGGTATGTCTAGAAATACGACTTTCAATTATTGGTACAAGGATTTTCTGGTCTTATTTAGTTATGGTTCTCTTGGTGTAGTAAGTAAGCTTTTTTTGTTACTACTACGCAACAGCGAGTCGTTGATTTTATTTCTTTTTTTTCCTTGACAGAATGGAAAAGAAAAGCTGTTAGATATTTTTAGCATGATATTTTAAAATAGGTGTACTATATCTTTTTTTGTCTATTTTTAGGCTTTTTGACTTCCATTCATGAGTGTATTTGTCAGGTTAAGAAACTTAACATAGTGACTAAAACTTCCTCATAATGCCTTGTCTAAATTTAATGCCTGCGCCAGATTTCCATTGCAAAACTGCAAATGTTGCGCATATCCTTTACATTACTGTGTTACCGTGGTTTTCAGTATTAGCAAATGCGAATGCAAAGCATATATATACATTTTTAATAGAGGCATCTTGAGTTTCAAGAAAGTTGGAGTGTTAAAACTATTATTAATAGACATGATAGTGATTCAGAACGGTAAACAGTGAAAAATGTCATCAATGCTGGTACGGTAAAGCAGGGATATTGTATAGTGTAAATTTGTTATTATAATAGCCTGCCTTTATTTAATACTGCAAATAAGCAGATGAAGTAGTCTCATCTCTTACTCAAGCCTTTGTTAATATGACTGATAATGGATGAATGGTGAAGGCATTATGGAAGTCTATTGTTCACAGTTCAATGTCATATAGATTATATGAAATCGGAAATATCAAAGCTTCGGTTATTGAACAATATTCGCACCACTGATCCTAAATTACTTTTTAATGTTATGTTTACGGTTGAATCCGCAATATTTGCAGTTTAGATGACTATTATCTCATTACTAATAGATATTTTGCAATTGGATCGTTTTTTTTTCACTTATGATTTGTGGCGGCTTCATTCTATTTTAAACCAGTGTCTTGAGAAGTTGTCATTTAAGCGTCGTTCTTATCAGTTGGAATTTTAATCGTTACTTGGAAGTTTGCTACAAGCATTAATTTATATTTGCTTTTATTTCTGAGGGAAATAGTATGAGGCATTTGTACCAAATAGCATGCGGGTATACTTTGATCATCTATAGCAGTTATTAGAATGAATATTCTGACTTAACTGCTGAAGTTCACGTACTTATTCTATAGGCAAACATTATATGTTGATGAATCAGACCCCGCGTTTTAAAATCTTCTACTTACCGATCAATGGGACTTTGATGGCATCGATGTATAGCAAATTTTATATAAAAAAGAAATTAAAAGATTTGCTACTTAATTACATAAATGACAACGTATGAGAAAGAATAAAAATGAATCCATGACAAAAACAGTTTTGTTGTACATTAGTAAAGTTTAAAAAAAGAATATACATGATTGAGATTTCATTCAAAAGAGAACATATTATCTTTAATTTTGCTTCTACACTCAAAAAAGTATGGGTATACCTACTTCTCATAGACTATCCTATGCTGATTAACATCGTAAATGCAATGAATAAGAGGGTACTAAATTGATAAGATAATATTTCTAAAACTCTCTTAGTAATACTAATCTATTGAGCTTGAAATTCCACACTGTAGAGAGTTATTTTCGGCTCCTAAATTAATAGGCTTTCATATCTTTTACTTATCGTCGAGTAATTGATCTATAGTGCGTTGTAGAGATTTAGGGGAGGTTAAACTAGAGTATCGATGGCGTACTCTGCCATGTTTATCAACCAAAAATTTTTCAAAATTCCATCTTATTACCTTCAGGCCTATTTGTGATGGCATCTCATTCTTCAAATACGTGTAGACAGGATCAGCATTAGGTCCATTCACCTTGATTTTCTTTAGGATTTTGAATGAAACACCATAATTGGACAAGCAAAATTTTTGAATTACTTCATCGTTTTCAGGCTCTTGTTGGCCAAACTGATTGCATGGGAATCCTATGATTTTCAGTCCTCTGTAACTGTATTTTTCATGCAGGTACTGTAGATCATTGTACTGTGGTGTGAAGTTACACTTAGAAGCAACATTTACTATTAGTACAACTTGGCCTTTTAGGTTACTGAACGGAAACTCATTATTATCCTTATCATGTGGACTTAGATCATAAAAACTGCTTTGGCTATCCATATCTGTATCTAGGTATTTATATCTAGCACAAACAATACAATTCTTTGGACTTCATATGTATAAACTAGCTCAACAGTTGGTATTAATAATTTGTATAGTGTACTGAGGTATAACTTAATTTGATGGCAGCAGTTATGGCATAACTGTATTTACATTTAATGTGGATTTGATCAAGTAATCCTGTTTTAAATGAAATGATCTACAAAGTCTAAATCTCTTCAGAAGTGCCGGTGGGGTTTTTTTTTTTTTTTCTTTTTTCCTCTTTTTTTGCAGGTTGTTACAACAGCTGTTAGATATAACGAACAATTTAAATAGTACATGTTGAATTGTAAGCAGAATATTGTACTTTATATCAAAATACTTGAATTGAGATGGTTAGTAATTTTCATGGTGAAAGGATCTCAATAGCCACCAACACTCTCAGGGAATTGTTATAGTAGAATGTATCAACTGGTATTTCTTTTATGAATAATAAAAAAAGCTGTGTAGCATATGTTTAAGCGTAGTAGGTCCATAGTATTGCGATTATATTGACATATGCAATAACCAGCTATCACATTACTCATATACTGAATTGTATTTTTATATAGTGCAAAGGATTCTCGAGTGTTTTCTATACGTTGCTCTAAATTAACTTGATGCAAGATGTTCTTAATTGATGAGGAAGCAAGAGTTCAGTTCTTTAAAAGCTTTTCTATTGTTTCATTCAAAGTTGATGGCTTAGTTAATGATGAAGCTCTTAAAACAACATTACCTTGTCGATCTATTAGAAACTTCTCAAAATTCCACTTTATACCCTTCAGACCTAGCATTCCTGGCTTTTGTTCTTTGATATACTTGAAGACAGGGTCTTCATATGGACCATTGACGTCAATCTTCTTCATTATTGGGAAAGTAACCTTGTACTTAGAGGAACAAAATTTCTGAATTTCGGCATCGCTGCCCGGCTCTTGATGACCAAATTGATTACAGGGGAAACCTAATATTTCGAAACCCTCGTTCTTATATTTCTGATACATGTTTTCTAATTCGATATATTGAGGTGTAAAACCACAGTTTGAGGCTGTGTTTACAATGAGGACAACCTTACCTTTTAACATCTCAAAAGGATAGATATTCCCTTGGCCATCAACTGGGCGCAATTGGTGAAATGGTGACATTGACATGGCCCTATTTGCTTGTACAGTTTGTCTGCTATTCTTCAAAGGGTTGATGATCGTTTTAATCATAAGTGATCGCCAAATAAAGACACTTGGTGATATTGACTTTCAGTTTCTTTCAGTTCTGTACTAGTTGATTTTGGTACAACTAACGTGCTAGTGTATCTAGATATTTTGAGTTCACCTACGAAGTCCCGATTTCATTTAAATTTTTTGTATGTCATGGGCTATGCTATTTATTTCAAGTTATTTATTAAGTCAGCAAGTTTGGCTAATGGCATTCGGTAATTCAGATGCTCTATATATTTGGGGTGTACTATATTATTTATCGTTAACTGTTACAAATCTGCAGCACACACATTTAATCGTGGAGGATCAGCATACGGTACATATATGCCAAGAGTGATACAGAAGTTCTCTTTTTGATTACCGTTAAAAATGTAAATTACGTCAAACTAATCTTTCTCCCTCGTTATAACCAGTTAATGTCATGTCCCTAGATTTTGGTGCATATTCCTTGAAACTACCGTTGTTTTTGCATTTACAATCGTACAGGTACTTCCATCCATTGTTTAATGAAACAAGCATGTTTAGAATATAATTATTTCCATAGCCAACGGATGTAAATTGCCAGCTCTAATTTTTTATAGTTTTATGAGGTATAGAATGGTCTAATGATTTCAAGTTTTAGAAACTAGTTTATTGTTCCTCAAGTAATAGCAGACAACCATCGATGTTTTCCTATAGCATGAAAATCAGCGCAGTCCGCCGGCATATAAGAAATACGCAATATTAGAATTTTTCTTGTTAGCGTTTGTTTTGTTAGTGTTTTTCTGGCATTGATAAATGTTCAATAGGGACATTGTTAAGTGATCTCTCATCTGGCACATGCCTATTCTCTAGGTTTGAAAATTCATTTTCTATATAATGAATGGAGTCCTCTGTAATTTCACGGAATACCTCCAATATCCAATATAGCGTTCAATATACAAAGAGCCCACAATCGTAATTAAATGATCGTTAAAAGTTTTATTAAAAGACAAAAGCATATATATAAAATTAAAATGCTAATATGAAAGGAAAATAGAAAGATGTCGTAAATGGTTCTATCAGAATAGTATCAAAGTTAAAATATGGAACATCGTTTCGAAGTAGTAGACAATGAAGTGTTAATCGTTAAAATTATAATAGCAAAAGCATCCGAGTTTATGTTATTACAAGAATCTCTTGTACCATGGCTTGTCATCGTGCATCATAGCGTCGATATCGTAAGAAGCATCTCTTCTAGATGGTGGAACCCAGTTTGGAGACTTCCATGGTAAGACACCTTCTTCATACATATCATTAACTTCTTCTAATGTTAATCCCTTAGTTTCACAGACAAAGAAGAAAACATAGAAGTAAGAGAATACCAAACAACCCATGAATACATAACCATAAGAGAAGTTAATCGCACTGGTAATGAATGGAGTGAAGAAACCAATCAAGAAACCCCAAATCCAGTTAGAGCCAACAGCAATAGCCATGGCACGGTTCTTAACACGCAATGGATAAGTTTCAGAGACAATAACGTAGGCAATTGGAGCCCAAGTAGTAGCAAAACAGAAAATGAAGAAACATGTGAAAACAATCATACAGTTACCGGCACCCTTAGAGGATGCATGGTCTCTACCGTGAGGATACAGACTCTTTACACCGACTGAAGCAAAGATGACAAAACAAGCAGCCATAGTTGCAGAACCCCACAACAAACATCTACGACGGCCAAATCTCTCGACAGTCCATAAACCCACAAATGTAGAAGCGAAGTTAACAATACCTAGGACAATGGATGTCTGGAATGAATCTTCCAAACCGACAGCCTTGAAAATTGTGGTACCATAGTAGAAAAAGTAGTTATTACCTGTCAGTTGTTGCAAAGATTGAATCATTACACCCATAATAACACGAGGTAGAATCTTACCCTTATTAGAAAATAATTCACCCCAAGAGGCACTACCAGCAAGTCTTTCAGCTTCAACACCTGCGCTTATAGTATCTAATTCGAAGGTTACACCAGGGTCATCCATGGAAAGCTTGTTGGAAATAGCAATAGAACGTCTGGCTTCTTCTAATCTGCCTTTTTCAACCAAAAATCTTGGAGATTCTGGAACCATGGACATACCACCAATCATGAACAAAGCCCAGGCAAAACATAGACCCAATGGGACTCTCCATTGGACGGAGTTAGAATAATTCTTGGTACCATAGTTTGTACAGTAACCCAAGAAAATACCTAGAGTAATCATTAATTGGTAGAATGAAACACAAGTACCTCTTAGATGTTTAGGAGCTGTTTCAGAAATTAAGGTTGGAGAAAGAACGGCAATACCACCAACACCTAGACCAGAAATAATTCTACCAATAAAATACTGGTACCATTTGTCTACCGAAGCGATTTGAATAATAATACCAACAACATAGACAGAAACAACAATGACTAGACCTTTCTTACGGCCATACAAATCACCAGTACGGCCTAAAGTTAGACCACCGAAGGCACATCCAATATTAAATATAGCGACAATTAGACCAGTTCTAACATTTGACAAGTAGTAAGTACCATCTGAGTGTCTTTGACCGAATCTTCTTTTGAAATCAGTTTGAGCAACAAAACCAGAGATAGTACCTGTATCCCAACCAAAGACAAAACCACCAAAGGCAATCATTAAACATAGACACATAACGGTCCAGTAAGCGCCTAAGGGCTTTCTTGGAATCTCAGCGCCTTGAATACTGGCTTCATCGGCCTTCAGTTGGAAATCTTCGCCTTCCAGCTTAGTTTCTGGGGTCTGTCTCTCAGGATCAGTAGCGGATGTGGATGAAATGGCACTTTGTGACATTTTTACCAATTGATATTATAGTTTGATTTATAGTTTGAATAGTTAGCTGTATGATCTTTTTATATTAATTTAAGAGTAAAAAAATGAAAAACTGCAATTCAAATTGGTATAAATTGAAAATAACATCAGTCCTTTTATACTTTTTTTTATGTTAAAAATGTTTTCATGAGCTCAATAAGATGATATCCATATTGTCTCCAGGGTGAAATCATTAGTTTTCTTTTTCATTGTAAAAGAAGTAAAATCAAAAAGAAATTGAAGTGGGGTACGGTAGTATGATAGCCATTTTTCACAAAGGCATAAAAAGTCACCTCTCCACCAAATATGTGTAAAAAGCATGTATAAAATTAACCTAAAACAGGTCTATCTTTCAATTAATAGGAATTGTCTTGTTAGTGATTCCATTTTGACCTAGATAAAAATCAGAAAGAAAATAAAAAGAAAATAAATGCGGAGGTTTTTCCGCGTTTTTCCCTAGGGAGTAACACGGAACAACTATATTGTGTAATAGGAGGGGCCAAAATAGATGTGGGGATTATGTGATTCTTAGAAACACATCTAGTTGTACATAATTTTCCTTGCCCCTCACTGACTGTTCCAGAAGTTATGAAATAAGAAAATCCACTGTAAACGATCCTAGTTCAAAAAAAAACACTATATGGTCATGGTAGCTATTCTTTGCATCGCATGCCTTTTAACAAAGGGCATTATTTTCACATTGATTTCCCTGTTTAAGCCAATATCTTGGAAGAGCAGGAAAAGGAACGACGATATCTGCTAGTATCCACACAAGTTCCGGGGAACCCCGGAAAAATTGATTATTCGTCATTGGGATTTCACAGTAAAAGGTTTGTAGGCTTAAACGGAAGAGAGGGGTGCATCAGATCTTTTAAGCCTGTAAATGCTATTTGGATTAGAAAGTTTTTCCGTAATAGAGGGGTAGTAAAATGTCGTGTGACTGGCAGATACAAGAGGAGAAAAACTTCGTTCTCTGTAGAAACAGTTCGGAGAAACACGGAAACGGACAAGAAAGGGAAAAATGCCCTTTAGATCTAAGTGGCATCAACAAATTTGTTCGTACCGATCCGGAGGACAAACAAAGTATACCAATTTCTTGTGTTAATTGCAGACCGCTACTTTTCTGGTGTTAGTTCATCTACGATTTTAAGCTTATAACTCCCGAAGTACACGAAATTGTAATAAAAATTTGCCTAAAAACAATTCTAAACCCGGTTATTTTATTCGGTGGATGTACTGCGACTCTGCAGAATTGATCGAAAGCAGAGAAAAAAAAGGAATGCAAGAGGTGATCCATGGTGGCTGATGCGCGAAGTAGTTCGTATTAACCAGATACGCTATTTCTGACATTTGATTTCACTTGTATGTTGCTTGCGAAGGGGTTGATTATACCAATTTAGTAGCAGTTTGTCTACTACGTTTCCGTCGGTTAACCGTTTAGCCATTAGTTTCTCTTATCAGACATTTTACTAACAGGAAACTCAAACCTTCAGAGATCCGTTTCTTTTTTGCAAATTAGGTGGTCGCACGATTATATTTCATTTGATTTCACTTTCACAAGTAAACATTTGATACAACATACAATAGGTACTTGCTAGAACGATATTGAAACCCGTAAAGCCGTTTAACTATCAGTCGCCAAATGTTGCAGTAATTACTTAACGGTGTGTAACTGTTTTCCTATGTACATAAGAGGTCTTTTGATATCTAGAATTGTTTACCAACCAACCGACATACTGGATTGTTATGTTGTTACGCTGAACTTACAGAGCACGTGAATTTTTAACCAACCTATTTTATAGTCATGAAACCTGAACAGTTTCAGAATCATAAAAGGATGTTAACATTAAACTAGCAATAGTGTTGCTATCTATGCATGATACTTTTTAAATTTTGTCATTAAGCTTCGTGTTATAAACTAGACATTATTTTATTAAATAAACTAGTCATTAAGGCTCCTCAGTTGGCCCATCTCTCTACCATCTCATTCATCCATTGATTTCCCTGTAATTGTATAACCTTTGGAAGATCTTCCAGTCCATCAAGCAAACCATCTTCATTTACTGTAGCTTTTTCCATAAAGCCGTTCAGAAGTTTTAGAATGAATAAAGCGTTAGGGTATACTATACATTGTGCATAAGGTGGTTCACACCAATATTCTAGATACTTCAGATAGTTTTTGAACTTCGGATCCTTCCACAATAGTTGCTGCTGAGTAAGAAGATATGTGACATATGGTATATTCGCTAATGATTGTACAAATTCCAGTTCAACTTCAAACCTAGTCGGAAGTGGTACTTCTTCTGTAGAATTACTGTTATCCACTGTACTGTCTTCCTTGTTGTCACTCATTATGTTCCGAAAGTGAAATGACCACTATATGTCTGTCCAATTGCAATGATGGTTCTCAGCAAATGCTTTTGTAGTCGACTATTTATGTCATCCGCCCACTTGTCACAGATATTTCTATAGCTTTCTTTTTCGTTGATTTTACACCTAATCTACTCCCAAATTTGTAGAAATGTGAATCGTAGCTTCGAATATCGTCTAACACTATCTTATTAAACTAATCAACATATGTTAAATTGAAAATAATTAAGGCTTGCATCTAAATGATACCATGATTGACATGATTTTAGAATTATTGTTTTATAACAGAAGTATAACAGTTAAATTATAGAACGATACCAAGGATTAAAATTGTTGTTTATTATTTACTAGAAACTCTGAATAATATCAGCAAAGCATATTTTCTCAAAAAATGCAAACGGAATCTGTATACAGATGGGTGTTGTTAGGAATATGTCCCACAATCCTTATACTGGGTAATATTATATACATGGCTTACCTTGATGGACCCATTGCAGTTAACAAAGATGGATTTGTAAACAGAATACTGGTAAAACGAGGTTGGTTTTGGACTACTGTTATTGGGTGGCTGTGTATATTGAGGTATGATGCAAAGAGGCAATGGAAGTCTAGTTTAAAAAGATATTTAATATTGACGCTTTGGTGGTATGTGTTCACTCAGGGTATTTTATGGTTTGATATTCCGCCCATCATGGATTTGATTTTTAAATACAGTGGCGGATCTTGTAATTTTGACATCTATGATAGTGATGGTAATGTAAATTTAAAGTTTCAGGATTCTTGGAGGAGAAGGATTAAATCATGGAGGATGATATATGACAAGGTCAAAGATTATCAAAAGAATGGAAAGAATCCGCTGGCGGTTGATTCAAAATTGATGGATTTTGTAACAGGGAGTATTGAGAAGGCAATTGAACACTATTCGTACCACATCAAGAGCAATATCATGATAAAGGAAATTAGTCGACTTTTGTCTGACCTTAACATCACCTACAGTACAGAGCAGATAAATGACTTTATTAAGAACTTTATTTCAAATACTACAGTTGGTAACAGTTCTGGAGCAAATTCAACATTGGACAATTCTTTTGCCTGTCGACTTAATGGTGGATATTGGCAGGGTGGACATGACCCATCTGGGCATATTTTCTTATTGACGTTAATGATCCTATTTTTGGTAGGAGAATCAAAACAATTTATCGTTGGTGCAGTCATGCGGGTTGTCGATACCAGAAAATATGTTATGGATAAAATAAAAAAAATTTGTAATGAACCTATGGCTAATGCTTCTGTTTATGAGAGAAGAGTACGCAAATTGATGCGATGTCTCAGTTTTAGTGCGAGCTACATATTATGGGAAAATCCTGTTATATTATTGCTTCTGCTACTGGCTATTTGGGTATGGAACTTTGTCATTACCGTTATTGTCTTTCATACTTTGACTGAGCAGCTCAGTGGTTTATTCTTTGCATATGTTGTTGGAGCACTTCTATACTACGATTATTAATGGGATCATGTGAGTAAATTGTGGTTTATTCTTGTATGCATGCAACGTGGCAAATTCCAATTAGCAATTAGAAAGACTTGGTAATGATAGGTTAATGACTTCATATCACATGTAGAAATTATATGTGTTTAATATTACTATACATTTATTTACCATTTCAATGAAGATCACATGTTTCTATTCTAATTTGGTTAGTATATCACCAACAACGTTATTCCTTTCAAAAGCTTGTGCCTGATTTTTGGGATTTTGCCACTTCCTGCTTATTATGGAGATGAACTGAACACTAACTCTGTCTAATCAGCACCTTAGATATTCATGATTTGCATTACTCTTAATTATACTTAACAAGTGTGGTCCTAAATTTTGTGGGTACTGAACAATATTTTGAAGATTTAATAAAATCATTAAGCACTTAGGACAAGTTCAGAAATACTAACAACAACTTGGAAAGCTCAGAAAGAGTTTGTTTACTTTTCAGACATAATTACACAAAGTTTGGTGAACTATTGTATCTACAAGAAGTATTGCTAGTGCTGGAAGTAGTTGTACATTATAGTATTTGCATTGGTTACTTTATTTTTATAATATAGTCGTCTCAGGAAAAAAATTCTGTGAATAGCCCTACATTCCACTTTCCGGTTCAGAGAATTTATTTAAGACTAATCTCGGAATAGGTTGTCTTAGGTTTTTTCACCTTATATAAGACCTTTTTGAATTTTTCACTATTATCACCTGAAAGTTTCGCTTGGTTCAATTGGTCCCATTACATCTACGATATAATTTGTGAGGAATAATACAACACTATCGATAATAATGTCTACTCCAGCTAGAAGACGGTTAATGAGAGATTTTAAAAGGATGAAGGAAGACTCACCTCCAGGAGTGTCGGCTTCACCTCTTCCGGACAATGTCATGGTGTGGAACGCTATGATTATTGGGCCTGCTGATACCCCATATGAGGATGGTACTTTTAGGTTACTGCTCGAATTTGATGAAGATTATCCAAATAAGCCACCTCATGTTAAATTCTTGAGTGAAATGTTCCATCCTAACGTATATGCCAATGGTGAAATCTGCCTTGATATCCTACAGAACAGGTGGACACCGACATATGATGTTGCATCGATTCTCACGTCTATTCAAAGTTTATTTAACGATCCTAATCCGGCATCTCCGGCAAACGTAGAGGCCGCCACCTTATTCAAAGATCACAAATCGCAATACATAAAGCGTGTCAAGGAAACTGTAGAGAAATCCTGGGAGGATAATATGGATGACATGGATGATTCTGATGAGGACGATGAGGACGATGAATAATAGCCGTATAGAGACGTTGGCTATTAAGTATGTTTGCGGTATACATAATATACATACGTTGACACAAATAACTATTCATAGAAACACATATAAAGAAAGCATTGTTTTTTTATCCTTTAATAAATACGATTTTAGTCACATCAACCGATTCTCAAAAATATGTACAGGACGGTGGTCAATTGTGTTGAAATAGTCACATGGATAAGGCCCATATAGCAATCAGCGATGAGTAAATAAAGATCGAAGATGTCAATGGGTTAACCCATTTAGTTTTATACCTCGGGTTTTCGTTTAGGACCAAAGACCTTGAGTTTCTAGGTCCGTAGTCTCCATAGGCATGGTAGTAGATTAATTGTTTCATTGTTGTCGGTATATGTTTCCAGTCTGAGTTATTATGTAAGATGGTTGCATATTCAAGTGTTGCCCATTCATGTTTTTTTGACCCCAGTCTGTTGTTGTATAATGTTGAGAAAGCTATCTTAAAATTAGATACATCCCTCAGATTGGTTGAGTCAACGAAATGATCGAATTGGGACGATTGTTCAAGTATCTGTCTCTTTGAGAAAAGTGAGAACTTATCTGGTTGAGACAATGGATCAACATCTGATCTCGCAATGGGATTTATGGGTTGAAACACATCGGAAAGTGAGGATAGCAGTATATTTTTATTACTCTTACCTTGTGTATCGGTTATAACACGTTGCAACCGTTTCCTTTGTTTCAACAATAATGATCTAGGAACGGGGCGCATTCTTAGAGCAAACGAAGTTTTTCTGAGCAGTGACTATTTTCTATCTTCACTTGGATGGCACTGAACAGCGTAAAAAATTGCCGGTCATAAAACCCAAATGAGACAATGGGAAGTGGATCGCTAAGTGTGCTTGTTTTTATCTCAGAAAGAAAATCCAGCTTAAGGAACAACAAGCATCGCGTACCACAGGTGACTAGTCCTGAACATAGTCATATCACAGATCAACCACTACAGTAGAGACTATTCCAGCTGTCAAATTGAAGAGTGGACTGTGTAGAGGTTCGATCTCTCTTTGTCGACTAGATGATTCTAATTGTCAGTACGTATAGTGATGGTGTACTAAGATCAAAGAGAAGCAAAACAAAAACTCAACCAACTCACAGACCACGATGGCAATAGCACAGTTAACACCGATAAGTCTAGAACCCTACAGCCTGACTGTGTTATGCCAGTTCCATAAACTGTAAAATCACGGTAATAAGTGCTTTTCTCTGCGAAGGTATCCTTGTTTCTTGGATTGTGTTGGAAACTTATCTTTTGGGCCCAGCGATTCGGAGTTTGCATTCCAAAATGACAGATGTCCCAGTATTATCTGCGACATCTGTGTAGCTGTGTAGCTGTGTAGCTGTAGCTATGTGTGTCCCCAGTCTGCAAGCAGCCCTATTCAACATTATCTTGGACGATTTCTCAACAAAAAACCAGTCGATACTTTATCAGCTAAGAGCTTCGAGTAAAAAGGATAGAATAGCCCTCCCTGCCCAGTCAGCGAGTTGACAAGACTTCGAGTGTTAGAGGCTTTCTGCGCAGATTATCTTTATTGAACATATACGTTTTCTTTTTACTGTGCTTTTTTTTTTACTTGACGCAAGGTTCGTTGTACGCCTTCCCACAGTGTGAGTGCTTTTGTGTGGTTTTTTTTTATACCGCAATTCTAAACTCAAAGAGGGCAGAAAGAGATAGATAAGAGATGAAAGCAAGCCAGAACTACTATAACTGCATACATACATACTCTGCACAACGTCAGAGATAATCCCGTCCTAACACTTTCTCAAGATCTTTCTCAAGACACAGTAAAAGGAAGTATGAAACGCTAGGAACCTTTTGGTCTCATTTCTGGGGGCGGGTGGCACACTAAAGCAAGCAAACTCAACAAGCTAAGAGTTTCTCGAACGTACAGAGAATGTTTGTGACTATGCTCTAAAAAAAGAAAGCGCATTGCCTCAGAGAAGTGCCCGAGAGAGTTTTGTAGTGCGCTTCGTCTCTGCCATCTATTATATTTGTTCACTTTCCTTGGTTCGCTGCTCCTGTTTGTTGAAATTGATGTACGCAAGAGAAGATAGATAGTGGCTCTCTCAACCCTTTTTTTTTTTAAAGTTCTGTGTGAGTCGTAACCTGGTACCACTTGATCTGGCCGTAATAGTCCGCTTCTCAAAATCATCTCTTGATTGTGTTGGTCCTGTCTCTCTATATTGTTTTGAGAAGTTCTGAAATTTTCTTTTCTCTATAACAGGTAACAAGTAAAAAGAGCCCAATTACGTATATTTGTTGAACAAGCCATAGCTCTATCGTTGGATCCATCGGTGATTACAACTCCATATCTTTTTAAGTTGAGCTTTACAGGGAAAACAAAATTTTAAATGAGCATCAATTCCTTATTTCTCATCTTTTTAGTCCTTTTCGCAAATATAAGTTTCTGGCTTGTTGAGTTTATATCAACAAATTTTAACACTGGATTAAAATAGATGAGAGTCTAGCTATAGGACTCGAAAACATATATATGTATATATATGTGTGTGTAAGACTACCATCATTTGAAAGATTCTTGTTCTGTTCTTTGTATCTATATATTCTTTTCTCAGTAGCAATAGAACCACATAAAAAGAACTATAACGCTTCGATAGATATGTCTAGGGTTGAAACCAGAAACGTTACTACAGAGTTCCAAAAGGATGGCCTCGATGAGGTCGACCTAGTGCAGGCCAACATCTTAGCGGCAGGCTTAGATAAGAAGACTGTGCGTGTGGTCAATGGTCTAGGTAAGTTAATGGGTTCCAAAGAAATGGTCCAAGTTGAATTCAACAAGGACAAGCCAACTTCCAAGATCTCTGCTAGTACACCACATATCTCCGAGCAACCATGGACGCTTAACAACTGGCACGAACATTTAAACTGGTTGAACCTTGTGCTAGTGTGCGGTCTCCCAATGATTGGTTGGTACTTCGTAGTATCGGGTAAGGCAAAATTGACATGGCAAATGGCTTTGTTCGCTACTTTCTATTATGCTCTAGGTGGTATTTCCATCACCGCTGGTTACCATAGATTGTGGTCCCATAGGGCTTACAGTGCACGCCTACCACTAAAGATTTTCTTCGCTTTCTTTGGTGCTGCCTCTGTTCAAGGTTCTATCAAATGGTGGGGTCATTCTCACAGAATTCATCATAGATACACAGACACTTTAAGAGATCCATATGATGCTAGACAAGGTCTATGGTACAGTCACATGGGATGGATGTTGTTGAAACCAAACCCAAAGTACAAGGCTCGTGCTGATATTTCTGATTTGACTGACGACTGGGTCGTCAGATTCCAGCACAAACACTACATCCCAATGATGCTTTTGTCCGGTTTCGTGCTACCTTGTTTACTCGGTGGTTACTTGCTAAACGACTACCTAGGTGGTTTAATCTATGGTGGTTTCATCCGTATCTTCGTTATTCAACAAGCCACCTTCTGTATCAACTCAATGGCTCACTACTTGGGTACTCAGCCATTCGATGACAGAAGAACTCCTAGAGATAACTGGATTACCGCTATTGTCACTTTCGGTGAAGGATACCACAATTTCCACCACGAATTCCCATCTGACTACAGAAATGCTATCAAGTGGTACCAATATGATCCAACCAAAGTTTTTATTTACTTGACTTCTTTGTTTGGTTTGTCTTATGACTTGAAAACTTTCTCACAAAACATTATTCAACAAGCCTTGATTCAGCAAAGACAAAAGAAGATTGACCGTGATAGTAAGAGTGTCAATTGGGGTCCAAAACTGGCTGACTTGCCAGCCTGGACCAAGGAGGAATTCCTAGAGAAGAACAGAGAAAACGATGGTTTGGTCATTGTTGGTGGTATTGTCCATGATGTCTCGGGATACATTACTGAGCACCCAGGTGGTGAAAAGCTTCTAAAGAATGCTTTAGGTAAGGATGCCACAAAAGCTTTCAGTGGTGGTGTATACCGTCACTCTAATGCTGCTCACAACACATTAGCTACTATGAGAGTAGCAGTGATGAAGGACAATAAAGAGACTGCAATGCGTTTTGCCCAAAAGAGAGGTGAACGTGCTGAGCGTGTCGAGAGAGCACACATGAACTGATAGGAGATTATTTCTCCATCCAATTATAGAATTTTTTTCTCTACAACTTTGGGATCCAAGATGCACAACTGCAAAAGCTCTAATTGAAGATATAGCAAAGGTCTGGTAATTATACTTCAGGTCAAAGGTAAGTCTCACTGCAAATGTTCAGAGATTAATTACCTAGAGCCGACCTTTTGCCTTTGGTTGTTGTGCGCCCTAAGATTTCATCGATATTTTATGACTCCACTACGGCTTTTTGATTTTTATTTTCCTTATATTGAATGTTCAGAATGGAATGTTCACCTTCGTTTCAATTCTCACATTTGTATATTTTTGTGTTTTATTTATACTAGTACTTTCTATAGTTTTTTCAATCATTTATCATTTATGGGTTATATCATTCAATTTTACACTAGCAACAAGTTGTATTACTACAATTGTTCTAGCTCTAATCCTTTTCATTATTTGAAGTTTGATAGTCATCATAGAATAATGCTACATCTCACATTTTATGTTTTGTTTGTTTTTTTGCAGAGGATTAAGAGTTAGTTAGGTATGAGTGATCATCTCAGTTTCAATGATAAAACATTGAAATAAAAATAAACTATAGTAGGAAAATACAGACTCATAACATTCCTAGTAAACTTGGTAGAACGTTATTTTGTGAATAAGAGTTTTAAAGTTTTTAGATATTTCTTTGTTTTTTGCTTTTACATAGTATTGATTATAGAATAGTTGATAAAGAGCAGATAAATTTAAAAGGGAAGAGTATAATGCCTCTTTTGGCAGGTAAACACGAGAGTGAATGATAAAACCTAAATTTTAAGCTTTACTTACACAACATGAAATATGGTCATGTTATGTATCAATGGTGGTTCTGTGTTCTATGATAGTGATAATACAGGATTAGTGAAAAATTTTAATGCTCTTGAATAAGTTTGTTTGGTAATATATTGTTTTTCTTTCTATATTTTTTTTTAATTTTAGTTTCCTATTGTTTAATCTTCGCTGTCTGCAATCAAAGCCATGATCATTCTGTATAGGTAGAAGAAGAACATCAACAAGTAAAAACCTAGCTTCAAGAAACTCTCCCTCTTGTGCTTACCCAAAGTTCTGAAAATCTCGGTGGCATCTAACAATTGGATCTTGTTGTAGAACTTATTGGCATTGTAAGCTAGGACAGGCAAGTTCAGTAGAAATACAAACCAGTAACCGTTCAGTAACATCAGAAGAGAAACAACAGCATGTAAAGCAGCTTCAGGAACAATCAACTTGTTGACCTTAGAACATAGTTCAATTGGGTTGATATAATCAGCTTCCAGATCAGCGTACAGAATGGTGAAATGAACTTGACCAAACAAGTTGATACAGTTAACAACAACAGCTAAAATGAATAAATAGGAACCCATCTTTTTGTATTTTCTATATGAATGCTATTACAGCTTCTGATTCTTTGCGTGTTTTGATATTCTGTGTTTTCTAATAATAATAGCAATTAAAACAAAACAAATAAGTAATAAAATGAAATAAACTGCAAACAATGACTACCTTAATAAATTCCACTCACCTTTCAACATAAACGTATAGTGTACATGTAAAATATAATTAGTATTAATGCTCCTGACTTGCTATTAGTTATGGTACTACTTTTCCCTTTACTGGATGGAAATTTGGAAAAGAAAAAAATTCTGAAAATTATCACCACATCGTACACAGTGATTAACATTTTTGAATCAGTATAACTTAATGGCTTTAAGTCATTGCGCCAAGTTTAATAATTCATTGCCGTTATCCAGATGCAGAACATCATTAATAGACAATAATTAGTTACAAAAATTTTAACTGTGGAGAATTTATATAAAGAAACACAAAATGGAAAAATCATACACCAAAAATCTCTATATCTTTCGAATTGGTTCATGAGTACATAATATTTATAAAACTGTATTACGTACATCAGATACGATATCAATCCTTAAAATTTCATTTTAGTTTTCAATCACTTCCCATTTTAGACCATCTATAGTCAATAGAGATCCCTCCTTGACATTAGAAAAGTCGGTAGGGAACTTAGATAATTGAGAACCGTATTCGAAAAGACCAGATGATAATTTTTCATTGGAAACATGGTATCTAACAAAGCTTAAACCGTCAACACTTGACTTGTTCTTATCAGCAAGATAACCTTGTGCCCATTCACCAACAATTATCATCAAACCTTCGAAATCTTGGCCATCAACTACTTTCAAAACAGTAGATCTAACTGGTCCATCAATTTTCCTGCCATCACCAGCATCTAAAATAACAAGATCCTTCGAATTAGGATCAATCGGTTGCCATAGCTCCATGAATGGGATGCCTTCTTTATCATTCCCAAATGGGAAAACCTTACCAGTCTCCTCAACACAACCAGATTCCCAATTTTGCCAGAAAGTATTGATAACACCACGATGTGTATTTTCAACATTCAAATACACATTTGTATCAAAACCCATGTCAAAATCTTGTTGCAGAACTGGCTTACCATCGGCATTGGTTGTAGGAGTTACTTTGACTCTATCATTGGTACCTGCAAACACCCATTCTAGTGGAAACTTCTTTTCATCTTCAGTTGGTTTGGTGAATGGTCTTAACGAAATAAAATGCCCATTCTTAGAAACAGAGGATAATGTGAAGGTTCTTTCATTAGCACTGTCGCCAACTTGGAAAACTAGTCTCTTGAATAGTACTGCACTCATATTTTGATCAATACTGTTGCTTTCAAGCAAATTGCCCTGATTGTGCACCTAAAAAATGCGCAAAACTCTATTAAAATTATTTGCATTGGAAACTGGTTAAAACAACGTTATTTATATGAAATTAAACTACTATTTGAATCGTCCCACTCTTTCCGTTACGTAAGACCGGAGACGGGAAGTTGAAAGAGTTCCGACAAACTCCATTCCGATAGCCATGCATAATGAAGAAACAGTAAATGCGATAATTTTTGTTGTCGAGAATGGATAAAAGATAAAAGAAATATTTCAGATTTTGTTTCTTTTGAGATATATTATAATTTTAAAGTTTGTGTATGTATAATTCTATAATTAGCCTACTTGTGTTTGACCCACACCAAATGTGGATGCAGAATCAGGGACACATATAAAAAGCATTCTGGGTATCATGCGGTTGATAAAAAATAATGGGAAAATAAAACTATGAAAACAGCGAGGAAAATGATCTAATGTAAGTTGTCTAAGGACGATACTAACAAGACTTACTTTTCCTTTTTTTTTTGTGAATAACGAACTAAATGCTTGTGATTGAAAAGATGATGTTAACTACATTGGCACTGGCATAGAAATTGTAGTGATGTAATTAATGCTATAATTGAAAGATTCTACTGTTTGAGAATTCTTAAGCACATTGACCTGGGTATCTTCTGTCAGTCAATGGCTGTGGGAACATGCCATATTCAATCAATCTAGAAGCATCCCATTCAATATTTGTTTCAGTCTTATAACACCAGAAGATCCAGCCACCTCTCTTTTCAAAAGCATCTAGTTGAGCTTCAATGTATTTTCTAGTGTTTTCCTTTCTTTCCTCACTCCAGGAGTAAATGTCCTCGTTGTTAGCACATGATCCGATGAAAGAGGAAGAAACACCGTTCTTCCAGAAAGATCCATCGTATCTAGCACCAATACCAACACCGTTCAACCATTTGGTACAGTCAGTTAGGGCAGCAGACCACTCACCTGCAACAGTCCAGTGAGATTCAGTCAAGATACCGGAACCCCATTCACAAGCGACTTGGATGTGTTGGCCCATGTCACGTTGTAGTTCACCGGTGGAGAAAACTTGGTAGTGATGGTGGTCAATCACTACACCCCAGTATCCAGTGTCGACAGTCATGAAGTCATCCCAGTAGTGGAATGGTTGGAATGCATCATGAACAATAATGTCTTGAATGGATTGCAATTCATTTCTCAAATATTCGTAAGCTGGCTTGATGTATTGTTCCTTCATCTTGTCCATATCGATAACTGGACCCAAAGGTTCATTGATCAACTCAACACCGATCACTGTGTTCAAGTATTGTTGTTGAGAGTATTTTTGCAAGACGTACTTTAGAATTTCCTTAGTGTTTTGTAGATTTTCATCAGCCAAGAAGTCAATAGAGTCTCTTAGACCAGAGTTATCGAAACCGTTTTGGGAACCGACAGCACCATGCAAGTCAACCCAGACCTTTAGACCGTTGTTTTCAGCCCATTGAATAGCTTGATCCAAGTAGTACTCTTGAGAACCCTTGACGTAAGGGTCATTTGGCATGTCCTTGAAAGCCCAGTAACCAATTGGAATTCTGACCAAGTTGAAGCCCTTGGACTTGATATCAGCGAAGTCCTGTTCAGTGTAGAAAGTGGACCAGTGGTATTCCAAGCGGTTTCTAGCTTCTTGTTCACCCAATTGTTCACAATAGTGGTACTCATCAACTGGGATACCATCGTCATTATATGGGTTTGTACGGAATGCCTCGAATAGAGATGGAGTGATATATGGCTCTAGAACAAACCAACCACCGATGTTAACACCTCTAATTGGTTCACCGATGGCCTTGGAGTCATAGTCGTAGTATCTCTTCTCGTTGACGAAGTGTAGAGAAGTGTCTTTGTTCTTTGGAGCAATTACTGGCTTAGCCAACGCACTTACAGAAAGCGCTGCTACAATAGTAGCAAAAGAGAAAGAAACCATTATTTTAGATAAAGATTTTAATTTTATTTTTTTCTTTCTTGCAATAGTTTTCTTTTTCCTTTAAAACTAAACTAATCTACACAGAAAAAAAAATAAAATCTGAACTGTAAACTACCGTTATTGAATTCAATAGAAAAGATATTATAAAGAGAATTGTAAAACTGAAAGCTTATATATACTCGAAATTTTTTCTTCTTTATTTTATTTCTTTTCCTCTGATAAATCATTGTATTGCCTTTTCAACATCTCCCAATCATTTCACTGGCAAAGCTTGTTATAATTTTTTTTTTAGTAGTCTTGCCTTTCTTGCTACTCGTCATCCCAACTCTCGTTTGCTTCGCTATAGCACTAGCATCGCACTAGCATCGCACTAGCATCGCACGTAATCGACTCGAACAATTCTAATAATACGAGACACGTTAAACTTCTATATTAGTATGCAGTCCTGATCTGAATGTCAACAAGAACACAATTGATCAAGAGGAGCTACCATTTTTATCTTTCCTCTTCCTCCCACGGCTTACTCTGTGTGCATCTAGCGTTCGAGGAATTATCACCGAGCTAAAATAGAGTACACGTATTCTCGATTATTTTAGGCAGGTGAAATGATCCACAGCGATGGCGCAGTACACCTGCATATATTTCTTTCTTTCTTTCTTTTTTTCTTCATGGGATTTTTTCACTGGACCTCTGTAGTGGTTTACTCATTGTTGTGAGTGGAAGTGCCGCACAATGGTGCGGTACCAATGTTCACTGCATTTGTACTTCTATATTGTGCGTGTGAGTGAGTGAGTGAGTGAGTGTTCTCGGGAGCTATGCACTCAGATCTGAACAACACTCACAAAGTTTCGCAGAAGTAATTTTTCATATAGATGTTTAGTGAAGTATCCGCAGAGGGAAGGTTTTTCCCTTCCCATCCCTCTCCATCAGCTACGCTGCTTTCAGTGGATAAGGAGAGGACCGGTGTTACCAAATTTTTACATTTTATTTCATCCCCCCATCCATTTCTGAATGACGTCTTTTGCAATGTTTCACTGGTAATGCACAGAGATGCGTGCACGAACACTAATGTCCAGTGGTAACCAATCACTCAGAGATTGGCGGAGGGAAGCAAAAATGGTAGATCATTGAACTTTAGCTAGGGAGCGTTACACCGTGCAGGGTTTTCCGTGTGCAGACGTTGAAGAGTGAAACACTCGCAGAGAAGAATGCATCGAATGCGTCGCGAAAATCAAAATGAAACCAAAACTGCAAAGATACGTTCCACAAGCAGGGTTTACGCAGGAGATACAGTTCCAGTTTGCTGCCACAAAGGAAAAAAATTCAACAATACAGGCCCTCCTCTTCCTACGCATTTCTCTGTGTTACACACTCATCTACGCAAAAAAATTAAACTTTCTTTGTTTACTAAATAAACAGAATAACGAGAAATAAAATACTCCCGACGCGTCTCCTTTTCAGGTGTGCCTATGCGGAAAGGGTCTACAAAGTTAAGCAATCATAAGGTGGTGCCTTTTCATCAGTCATGACAATAACTAGCACTGGTTGTTTATAATATATTTGTCATTAAAAGGTATGTAGAGATATAGGGGAAGAGGGGGAACGGGATGGGTGTGATGGGTGTGGCTATGTCGTTCAAGTTCTGATAAAAGCGTTGCCTTATCACGACTGTAATCTCTAATGATAGAAAAGATACTTGCCATTTGGGACAAAACTTGCTAACAAGAGAAACAAATACATGGCTGCAGCCTAACCTTCACAGTTATGTTTGAAAACAAATAAAAAAATATAAATGATTCAACCAATTTCAAAAAAACAAACAAACATCTTTGTCTTTTCGCGTAGTTCATAGTCCTTAACAGAGGAACCTCAACATGATAAACTTTGTTTCAAGTATTAATAAACTGCAGAAATGCCTCTTTTTCTCCAATAGTCACTGACAGCATGCCATTCGCCAGCGATACGTTGTATGGCATTCACTACACTTTTGGGTTCCACCTGTAACACATTGTGGCCCATGCTTTTCAAAGCCTGGATGGTCTCAGATCCTATCATAGCCTCACTTTCCACTTCCAGCTGATAGGGAAGCAGCTGGTGGTGTACTCTAGGGTACGCAATAGATTCCAGGAGAGGCATCTGGTACCAATAAACTCTGATAATGGTCTGTAGTATACTTGTAGTGATACGTGAGCCACCAGATGCACCGACAACAAGGTCAGGATATCCCAATTCATTCATAATGATAGATGGTGCTGTAGACGATAACGGTCTCTTACCAGGCTCAATGAGATTATAAATGGAGGCTGCTAAGTCAAAACTGTTTGAGCGATTTGGTTGAGCGAAATCGTCCATTTCATTGTTGAATATAACACCCGTGTTTGGGTCATGTACCAAAGACCCATACAAAAGATTTACTGTTGTGGTCAAAGATATGGCATTACCAAACTTGTCAGTGATACTGAAATGCGCAGTCCCATGAGGTTCATTGATGTCGTACATTGGATCGTAGCAAGTATAGTTATTAAGTGTTCTCAAAGGTGATTGTCTGCACTGATGCTTGATGGCGTGAATAATCTTAGACACCCATTTAGGATTTAGAACTTCTTGTATATTGTCTGGAAAACGCTTGCCAACATAGTCACCTAGTCTGCTTCTGGCGCTTCCCATCCATTTCATGGTTTCAACTAGCTGAAATATCTCTTCATCACCATAATCACCACCCATTGAGTCACCAAAGGTTTCCATAACAGCTAGGGATGCTAACAATGCAGGTCCAGAACTGGAGCCACCACTAGTCAAGACAGTCAAGTCATTGTTTGGTGCAAAAGAGAAACCTTGTCTAATCTTCCTCTCTAAAGGCTTATCCTTTCTCACCGTATAGTCATCGAAATCTTGTGATGTGATTATTCCTTGGTTTTCTTTGATCTTGTCTACCATTGATTTTACGATCCAGCCATCTTTATCATAAAATGGATCAGCGGAGCCATTGTTTGCTAATTCTCGCAATAATTTTGATAGAACAGGTCTTGAAATCTTATCACCAGTTTTTTTAACACCATTCTTTGTGGAGTTGAGCACAAACTCCCAATCGTATTTTCTTTCCAAAATAAATTGCTCATATAAGGTTAACGTTGCACCCAAGGCCTCTTCAACAACCCAACCATCTTCACCGAGTTTAATGATAGGTTCTAATAGCTGTTTCCATGTCACTTTCCCACTTCCTCTTGATTTATATAGCTCATAGAGACCCTTAAGTTCACCAGGAACAGCTACTGCTAGCCCACCTACTTTTGAGCACAAAGAACAGTTTTCAAACATCGATTTATGTGCAGCGGCTGGCGCCTTTTCCCTAAAGTCAATGAATAAATGATTACCAGTGGTATCTGGGGCTCTGGGTCCCTTGGCAAATACTACATACCCACCGCCACCAATACCACTATTGAAGAAATTCACCATGCCGATACAAAGAGCCTGTGTCACAGCAGCATCAGCAGCATTAGCTTGAGGATATTTGAGAAAAATCTCATTAATAGTTAAATTATTACAAAGCTCTAAATCGGAGCTAATAGCACCATTTCTACCTACCTTCAGCAATTTCTGGTCAGGGTTCAAACTCGGCCACCTCGGCAGAGGACTTATATCAATGTTATGATCATCTCCATCCGATGTAAAGAATCCCTTAGTATTCTGATCAACAACAGCCAGACATGATACTTGAAGATATATTAAAAAAGAGAATATTAATTTTCGGATGCCCATCATATCAGTTTTTATATCTTACAACTCGAATTATTGTACATGGGGTAATTAATCACAACAAGTAATAAGTTTTAACACTTTTATTGAGAAGTTGGATATGGCTGTCGCAATATTAAATATCAGCACAAATAATGTTAAGCCAACTTGTCATACAACCATGCTAGATAAGTAGCCATGATTATCAGTTGCCACTGCGATTACAAATATTTGATAGTGATGATCCTCGATGAGTTAGGGTCTCACAATCACTTTTCTCGCCTCTAACTGATGACGTTTTGAAAGTTTTCGCAAATAATTCCAGACACATAAGTGATAGAAATTAAGAAACATACAAATTGAATGAAAGACATATTTCTTGCGCAATACATCGAAAACAAGACACCTCTGTATTGAACAATGGCACGATATTACTGTGAATACTGTCACTCCTATCTGACCCATGATACACTAAGTGTGAGGAAGTTCCACTTGATGGGTAAGAACCATCTTAGAGTGCGAGCTGATTATTACCGGAGTCAAGCAATCAAAGAACAAGAGTTGGATAGAAGACGATGTCTCCATGGTAAAAGGGCTAAAGTTTACAAAACAAAAAAAAGTGAACAAGGCAGTATAAACCATAACGAGAAACTCAGTATTAAGTTGCTATCGAGGAAAGAGAAGAAGAAAAAACTGCGAGTTGATAGGGTTTACAAGAAGGAGCTGAACAATTCAAAAATTAATGATCTGAGCAAAGTATATTTAGGTTCTCCAGGATACAATAGAGTCTTCATTGACCCTAACAGATATGACATTGGCGACACTGTGAAGGCGAGCAGGCTACCACAACGTGCGAACAAGCTTCAGGAACAGAATAAATATAAGGACAGAAATGAACTGTACCAGGGCTATGACAAACAATTGCCACACCTTGAAGTACCAAAAATGCTCAATATTTGGAACACTAGCCAGAAATTGACTAATATCTATTACGACCCATCTACATTCCCCAAATCTTCTGATGAAATCAGAAGGATGCCTAAAAGCAGGAACGCTACACACTATAAATCTCGTCAACTCCAAGCGAGCTAATTTCTAACCTAGTACATTGATGATTAGGAACAATACAGCAGACTTATTTTCTATAAGATCAAAATTATTATTGCATTACTATATAGTATTAGTTATTAAAAATTAGTTATTAAGAATTAGTTGGTATTGTATCAAGGAATGAAAATATTAATGAACGAAGCAAATTGAACTTGACATCCTCTTTTTTGTATATTTATGACAGTCATTAGATGTAGTTCATTTTAAAAGAAATGCTTTGCAGTAGAGCGGAAATTGAAATTGAAGTGAATTTGAAATAATGCAATAGTGAAATGAAAGTGTTGAAAAAAGATCAAAATAAGATATCGTAAGTATAGATTAGAAAGAGATAGCAATTGCGTCGAGATTTTGAGTTGTTATGAATTAACTGTCTTTCCATCATCTATAAGGAATTGGACTGAAATGCAGCAGTCCAACTGTGCTGGTTGGTGTAAAGGATGGTATTCAAATGGCTTAAAAGAAACCTGCTTCCAAGTCATTTTCGGTTGATTTGTTGTTAATTGTCAGTAGCATCATCATGATTACCACACAACTCATAATCATAATCATGACTATCGAGCATATAACAAAAAGAGCAATCACATTCTCAATTGGTTCTTCATGGAAGCTTTGTCCCGATGAGAATAAAGAGTTTTTGATAACGTTGTACATGGCATCGAAGGCACTTGTGTCATATCCTAGTAGTTCCATTGTAGCATATCAAGTTTTTGTTTTCTGGAGTTTTCAGTGTAAGAGTTGTTACTTACTTAGTATGTTTCTGTTAGAGTGTAAGGATACATTTCAATAAAGAGCAGTTTATCGAAATTTATACTTTATATATAAAGAAAATGTTCATGTTTTTATTTTTATCAATCCTTAGTGACTATCAAAAAAATTTACGTGAGGTCCCTTTACGAACTGTGTATAATAATACATATCTAATCTCCTTACAAATAATCTTATAATGTCAACTAAAAGATGGTGGAATTTCCGAGGTGTTTAAAATTCAATAACACTTCTGAATCGGGAAATGTTATAACAAGAGAGGCCTAAGAGAACTAAAATGATCTGTGATATACGGTCCTTCCAGTATGAAATTTCTATGTTTTAATCGAGAAGAGCAGCACTATAGAAAGGAAAACCATCTAAAAACCATTTGACAAAGTTGCGGAGCTTCCATGCAAAAAAAAGGCTAGTGGAATCCAATTACTGTTGATACTCAGACATTGAAATAGGAATTTTCTCCTCTAAAACCCTCAAAAATACACACTGTTGAAGTGAAGGATAACTATTTCCTAGTTATCCCGTATAGGTGTCCACTTGCAAGACTGCAGTAGTGGGTAGCACTAATAAGCACTAACATAATAAGGACAAGGGAATAGACAATTATCTTTTTCCTTTTGTTATTTTGCCTAGAAAGCAGGTACATCACAATACCTGAACGGAGTGTCAGAAACACATAACATACAAAATAATATAGTAAGAAACACCAGAGAGACGAGAGAGATAGATAGAGGGGACTTCGAGGAGATATCAATGTAGTTAAGTTGTTTCCGTTACTTTTTTCTAGATTTTTGTAGTCTTCACCTCTGATATTCAAGAGCAAAATCCACTCACTTTACCAAAACAGGTAAACACCCAAACAAATTGAATTGTCCGAAAGGTCGTTCAAGTGACAAACTATCGATAAAATTGCCTTACAATCGAAAGAGGTACCATTTCAAATGAGTTATCCTACGTGGGGGGGGGGGGGGAGTAGGAGTAGTTTAACTGACATTGTAGGAGAACGGTAGAAAGAAAGTCAACCCTGGCAATACCGGCTGATACAACAGAAGAGGGTGACAACCCGGAACACAATTGGACCTGTTCATACGCGGGACATTAAAGCCAGTTTACTATGTCCTTAATATATATAACTATGATAAGATTACTGTCGTTTGGGTGCTTCTATCAGAGCATTATGGTTAGGGAGTGACACCTTTTATTCAATCGAGATTGCAAGAAATACACACATATGCCCACATATACGCAATTATATATATGCAATTATATATATGCATTGTAGTCGTCGTAATATAGTTTGGAGAGCTGAAACTAGCTGGAAACATTGGCAGATACTACATCATATGCCAAGTTATAGAGCTATGTAAATTGTAGCTTGTCGCAACTACTGTAAAACTGCTATTTGGGCCTAACCAGTTGGGTTCTCAACCTTCGTGAGGCTTACAGGAGCTACTCGTAGAACGATACTCACCTGACCATACAGCCAATAGAATCAGAGGATCGCAAGGAAATCTCAACTTCACACAGAAATACCTGCACCGCACGCCAATTCTAAGTTGTACTGTTTACCCGGCTAATCACCATTTTCTACGTTTTCGTTATATGTGACAGCATCCTGTGTGCTCGGTGTGCAGTCTGTACTGTGAAGTTCTCGCAAAGGTGAGGCCCTTGCCAATTCTCAGGCTTCCCCTTCACTGGAGGAGGAATAACGAGTGCAAAATCCAAATGAGTGTGTGTATGTGAGTGCTTAAACCATTTCCCCCAGATGTTTTAGCTATTTCAAGTGATTGGAATAACATATTATTTGTTAACACATTAACATACAATTAACGTTTATCAGTTACAGAGATCTACTAGGCTCAATATAACTTCAGTTAACGAGGTGAAAAGACAACCGTTTCAGATAAATATAAAGGAAAACAAAAAGCAAAGATGTTCAGAACAAGTCTACGTCAGTTCAGCAGTTGCAGGGTCTCTAGAAACATTATCTCTGATCTATACTTGAAGGAATTGAAGAGTGTGAAGGTTACTCCATTCTCCATGAAGGATGCTGAAGGCAATGTGAAGCCATGGAGTCCTCCAGCCAAGCCACAAGCTCCTCAGAGCGAGCTTACTTCCGGCAACGACCTGTTGAAGAGTTACAAAGAGGAACCAGTCGAGACTTTGCACACACAACCAGCAGAGACAGAAGGCGCTACACAGATCGAAGAACACTGGCTAGTACTATCTGAAGAAGAACCAGCTCACTAAGAATATCCCCCCCCCAACTTGTAATCTTTTTCAAAAGCTTTCCCTATCTTCCATAAGACAAAGTAAAAGGGCTAGTTACTGATAACATTCATTAATTTGGGAACAGAATAAACCATAAGCACCACCACAGGAATTAAAAATGGACTAGAACTGGGTTGAAAATCAAAACTAGCAAACTACAAAGAAAAAGCATTTCATCTTCAAACACTATCCTGACTTCCCTCCACAGAAAGAAAAATATCACATCAACATACACACAAGTAAATATATATATATACTTTTTTTCAAATATTCCTTATAACCATTGAAAACTCACTCAAAAAGTATAAACTGACTGTAATTGCCCATTACATTCCCATTTAAACATGAAATGAGAGAGAGAGAGAGAAAGAAAGTCATATGACTTCTTCGTGAAACGAAATAGAAAAATCCAATACAACAGTTGACGAACAAAACGTGACTAACGTACATATTTACATAAAAGCGATGACGCGTATATAACGATCTGTATTTCAAAATTTTTTTTTTTTTTTTTTGAGAATTTCGTCTTTTCAGCCCAACGGGAAGCAAAACAAATTTTCTTTTGCGATGGGAAGGGATAGTGAACTGAAAAAAAAAATTAGTATATAACAATTAGCAAGACTTGATCTACTTGTTGGATCTTGGAGTGTATTTGCGTTAAGTATATTTTACAGACAAGGATAACGAACACACAAAAAAATAACAGTATAAAAACAATGAGTGCTGAAGTTCCTACATTTAAGCTAGTTTTGGTTGGTGACGGTGGTACCGGTAAGACCACTTTTGTCAAGAGACATTTGACTGGTGAGTTTGAGAAGAAGTACATTGCCACCATTGGTGTTGAAGTGCACCCATTGGCCTTCCACACTAACTTCGGTGAGATCAAGTTTGATGTCTGGGATACCGCTGGTCAAGAGAAGTTCGGTGGTCTAAGAGACGGTTACTACATCAACGCCCAATGTGGTATCATTATGTTCGATGTTACTTCCAGAATCACTTACAAGAACGTTCCAAACTGGCACAGAGACTTGGTCCGTGTCTGTGAGAACATCCCAATTGTCCTATGTGGTAACAAGGTCGATGTTAAGGAGAGAAAGGTGAAGGCTAAGACCATCACTTTCCACAGAAAGAAGAACTTGCAATACTACGATATTTCCGCCAAGTCTAACTACAACTTCGAAAAGCCATTCTTGTGGTTGGCTAGAAAGTTGGCTGGTAACCCTCAATTGGAATTCGTCGCCTCCCCAGCTTTGGCTCCACCAGAAGTCCAAGTCGATGAGCAATTGATGCAACAATACCAACAAGAAATGGAACAAGCTACCGCTTTGCCATTGCCAGATGAAGACGATGCTGATTTGTAAGTTTAGATAATATAATATACCATCATGTAGCACACCCCCTCATCCCCCCTCAAGAATAGAAAAGGAAATAATTTACACAAACTCCCACAAAATAAATACAACTACATTAAATATAACAGTCACCGATCGTATACGTCTTCATGTATACTATTAAATTAGGAAGAGACAATATTCGGTTAGACTTTATAAATAAGCAAACGTATGTGCTCGAGAACGCTTATGATCAATTGAGATCGATATCCGACCGGTACATACTCGTTGAGGCTATCAAATATTGATCTGTCCTTTCCCCTTTACAAACCAAAGTATAACTTACGATTGATCTTCACCGATGAACAACTACTCAGATTTGAGATATACCTCCGAAATAGTTTTACCATAAATATAGTTTCCTTATACATAACTATATATATTATTAGAATCGAATGCCTATTATGGTGTTTATATGAAGTCATTAACTACGACTAATTAAAAGGCTACACGAAGCTCGAAGTGAAGCGATCTCTCAAATACTACCATATAATAGAAACTTAAATGCAACTTGTTGCGAAAAGGTCCACATCAATTTCTCGATCATATAGTATTGTATTCAATAACTAGACAATTATACTTGGTTACAACTTCCAAAGGGTACATAAGAACGATTAAAAATGGCTTTGGTATATGATGAAAACAGCAAGAAGATATCGGTAGACACTGAAGAAGAATCAGTTTTAATAAATGTCGAGCAAATTAACAAATTGACACAAGCACTTATTGGTACAAACAAACCAAATCTGACACCGGAACCTAGCAATGAATCTACGAAGATGATTCAAAACTTGTTTGAAAATGGTGCACAACACGCTAAGATGAAGAAATTTCCTGAAGCCTTGAAGAGTGTGACACTAGCCATCGAGATGGCTCAGAGAAAAAGAACTCCATGGGAAGCATTTGCAGTTCAACTAAATGAGTTACATTATCTAATGCGTAATAAGGTTGACCTGTCTCTGACACAGCAGAGATACTTGGAAGCTCTACAAGATTTGGAGTTTCTTCTCAACACTGCTTTGATTCACCCAGAAACTTTCATTAGAAAATGTGATGCTTTAGTCAATCTAGGTCAACTCGAAGAAGCCCGTATTACATGTGAAAGAGGTCTAAGTTTAGCACCAGAAGATACAAAATTAAAGGCCATGATGTTTGAAATAACTAGAAGATTGGCAGATTACAACGGCGAGATCTAAGAAATGATCACCACCTACCACCTCTTATTCTAACATCACCTATAACTTAACAAAGACAATTACTTATTGGTGCAATTTACTTCCATCTGTACATTACTTCAAAAATATCTTGGGGGGAATTAGCATTGGTCATTTTCATATAGAGTATGATATATATAGATCTATTAGATAAATATAACTAATAAATTTCGGCATAAGTTTGACAATTAGCTATGCTATATGCTATAATACCAAGAATCGTAATTCTAAAATTTCTACTGTGCTAGATGTCATTAAAATCAAATAAAGTTGATTACCTTAAAATTGGAAACATTAAAACTTAGGGAAAATTTAAACTATAGTAGGAGGCTTCTAAGTTTATCTTATACAGGCTGATATTTGGTGGACAAAACCTCAGAAATATTTGATTAAAATATGCAATCGTTGTTGGTCTTTGGAGGCAATGGGTTTCTAGGCAAGAGGATATGTCAAGAGGCGATTAGACAAGGATTGAAGGTAACATCAATAAGTCGATCAGGACAACCACCGAGTAGCTCCAATGCTGGTGATTTAAAATGGATAGAGAAGGTCAATTGGAAATCAGCCGACATTTTTGAACCCGAAAGTTATGCCAGTAGTTTGCGTGAAGCTGACCATGTTGTTCACTCTATGGGTATCCTGTTAGAGAACGAAAACTATAAGAAACTATTGAACGGCGGAAGCTTTGAGCTAAAATTTGGAGCTAACCCGCTTGAGAAGACCGACTCAGGAAATTTTACATATGAGAGAATGAATAAAGAGAGTGTTCTTATACTTGCAAAGGCTTTTGATACAGTAAAGAAAGCCAACCCAAGGACGTCGTTAAGTTATATATCTGCAGATAATTGGAATCCTATAATAACAGATGGATATATAAATTCTAAACGTGAGGCAGAGAGAGAATTACTAAAATTCAAGTCATTTAGGACAATTGTTGCTAGACCTGGATTCATGTATGATGAAAATAGGAATGCAAGTGATAAGCGACATCTAGTTCAATCCACGCTAGATTTCTTCAATTGGACAAATAAAACTTTATTAGGCAACTCAATAAGATGTGTGAATAATATGATAAGACCAACAATATCAGCTCAACAGGTGAGTAGGGCTTTGGTTGCCAAGATAAATGATCCATCATTTAGCGGCATATTATACTTGGAAGACCTTTTAAAGAATTAGGAAGAATACATGAAAAATAACTAATGTATTATGCTGATTCCGTTAATAACGAATATGATTTATATATATGTACATGTTTTTCTATTTAATGGCAATTGTTATTATCAACGTTTCAAAAAGGCTTGATATGCCTCTTGGTTTATTTGTACTCTACCAACCGATCTCATTTGTTTTTTACCTTCCTTTTGCTTTTCAAGCAACTTCTTTCTTCTGGATACATCTGAAGCATGCAACCTTGCAAGAACATCCTTTCTTCTAGCCTTTATTGTTTGTCTAGCTACAATCTTGGTGCCTGCCCTAGCCTGGATTACAACTTCAAATAATTGAGACTTAACATACTCCTTGAACTTTTGCACCCATTCTCTACCCACTTTTTCAACTTCAGTTCGATGAAGCACCCTTGCTAAAGCATCAATACTTTGACCATTAACCAAAAGCTCTAGTTTGACTACATCAGATTCTCTGTAGCCAATATCTTCATAATCTAAAGAGGCATATCCCTTAGACGCCGCTTTCAATTTTCCAAAGAAGTCATCTACTAGATGAGCCAATGGCAAATGGTATTTCAAGACAACTTGGCCTCTTGTATTCAAATAAGTTATTTCCTTCTGTTGACCTCTATTGGCATCACAGAGTTTAATGACATTTCCCAGAAATTCTTGAGGCAATGTTATGGTGGCTTCTACAAAGGGTTCCAGAAGTTCTTCAACCTTCATTCGCCTTGTAGCGCTATCTGGAAAGTCATCAGGATTTGTAATAATAGACTCTGTACCATCTGTCATTCTTACCATATATGGGACCGTGGGTTGTGTGATAATTAGCTTTGAGCCGTATTCCTTTTCTAGTCTTTCTCTAAATACAGATGCATGCAAGGAGCCCAAAAACCCTAATCTCCATCCTTGCCCTAAAGCATTAGATGTTTCTCTTTCCAGTGTTACCGACCTATCATTCAGAACCAACCGGTTAATATCATCGTCCATTGCCTTAAATTCAGTTCCAGTAGAGGGGAAAGCTCCAACATAGACCATTGGTTTTTGTTCCTCGAATCCAGGTAGAATATCTGTCACACTCTCTTTTCCTACATGCATTAATGTATCACCTACATGGGCATCTGAAGAGTCTTTCATTCCCAAAACGACATACCCTACTTGACCCACAACCAATGAACCGGTTGGAACTCTATCAGGATACATAATGCCAAGTTCTTTCACCTCATACTTTTTGTTAGTATGTGCACATAGTACCTTTTCACCCTTTTTTAATTTTCCGTCAACAATATTTACTAGAAGTATTACTCCTAAGTATGAATCATACCAAGAATCCACCAATAGTGCGCGGAATGGTTTCTTCTTATTACCAGTAGGAGGAGGGATTCTATCAACGATGGTAGGCAGAAGCATCTCTTTGACATTAAGACCTGTTTTAGCACTCACACCAATTATTTCATCTCTCGGTAGCTCAAAATTGTCCTCGATTTCAGCTTTAGCTCTTTCGACATCTGCAACATTTAAATCAATTTTGTTGACCACAGGTATAAGTTTTAAGCCCATACTATAAGCAAGATAAAAATTAGCAACTGTTTGAGCTTGAACTCCTTGAGATGCATCAACAAGCAATAGAGCTCCACCACAAGAAGCATAAGACCTCGAGACTTCTCCTCGAAAATCAACATGACCTGGCGTATCGACTAAATGTAGCAAATAATCTTCTCCATTACGCTTGTCATGGTAGAACATTGTACAAGTCTGAGCTTTGATTGTAATACCTCTTTCTCTTTCTACTTCTAATTTATCAAGCACTTGTTTGTTTGAAGAGTTCTTGTCTATGACTCCCGTTATCTCTAACAATCGATCACTCAAAGTCGATTTCCCATGATCAACATGGGCGACAATCGAAAAGTTTCTATAGTTCTCCTGTGGTATGTTCTCAATTCGTGCCTGTATCTCAGCATTACTTAAATGGTGATTCCATCGTACTCTGACCAACGACAATGTGTATTTATTAATATTGGGATGCCTTCGAAAGCCTCGACCACCAAGTGAAGGGCACAAACTTCTTAAACCTAAGGTCTTCAGCATCTCATTATTTGCTATTTCAAAGTCACTGTACCTGCCCTTATAAATGGTTTACTGATTGTAAAAGGTTAGCCATCAAATTTCACTATTCTTTTCAGTCATTCTGATTGAAATTTTAAGGTAAACTGAAATTTTCACAAGTAAAGGTCGAAAAACCGAAGATATAAGCAATTTAGCATTGATTTACAGTCATAATTTACTTGAGCAAGACAACAAAGATCTAGTATAATTGACTCAAAAGTTTCTAACTCTTAGGGTGAAACAAAAATAAGTTGTTAATATATTCTAATATTTCAAACACTGGTACAAAAGAAGAGTTTGAGACCCAGAGCGTCCCTGAGCAATTTTCCGAATTTATTTGACAATAAGGATATAGATATGCTACGAATAATAAGGCCAGGTACCTATGTGATACAGTCGCTCTGCTTTTTACATGTATTCCACACATATTTCTATGAATTTACCGAAACTAGAGGTGAATCGATGCTGCCCACACTTAGCGCTACCAAAGACTTTGTCCATGTAGATAAGAGATACAGAAACGGCAAGAATGTACGGCTAGGAGATTGCATAGTGGCTGTAAAGCCAACAGATCCTACACATCGTGTATGCAAGCGTATTAGCGGCATGCCTGGTGACCTAATACTGGTTGATCCCGGCGTCAAGAAGGACCTTGTCAACTATTCTCGGAGTGAAGAAGCGATGGATGATAATGAGGAGTTTCGAACATACATCCGTGTACCGAAGGGGCATGTGTGGGTCACAGGAGACAATCTATCACACTCTTTAGATTCAAGAACATATAACGCATTACCAATGGGTCTCATAAAAGGTAAGATAGTAGCGGCAAATGATTTCAACGAACCATTTTGGAACCCAAAAACTAAAAAGATATGGGGTTTCCGTAAGATACCCAACACATATGAGGATTTTTTGTCTGTTGATTAATGGTATTTATAGCTATTAAATATTGATTGGATCATATTCTAGCGAACTTAGAACGTGTAGTAGTTTTACAGGCTATTTATTCCAAAAAATCAGAGAATGGATTCTATCAAAAATAGTAGATGTATCAAAGTAGGCTACTTACATATTTGTTATTGCATTATTTCATTTATTCTGTATTTATTGAACTAATTTACTCTTTGAAAAAAAATCTTACAATGGTTTCTCGACTGATCTTAAGAACTTAGCACTAATCCAGATACCTGGGACACCCAAGCAAATAGCCCTGTTGATAGTTTCAAAGATACCAGTGCCCAATTGATATTGAGTAAAGATATATTCAAATCCGACGATTGTAACAACAAAACCAATAAAATAGATGAAGTTGCCCTTTGGCATGTTACCGAAGTTAACTGCACCAGCTGCAAACCAGGTGATGACTAAGGCGGCAAAGGTAGCTAGGATGATGAGAGCGAATAATTGTGCGAAGAGCTTAGGAGCATGGGTTGGAGGCTTGTTGAAGGTATGGGCCAACTCTTTCTTAATGGCTAGTTCTCGTTGAGGAAGCTCTTCGGTAAGCATAGATTCCTGCAACTGCATGTAGAATAGAGTCTTTAGAACGCCTTCACTATCATCTTTGCTCGCAGCGACAACAGTAACGGCCAATGGTTTGTTACCAAGTTCCTTTTGAACCGCCAACAAGTTCTTGTCTAATTTGTCCATATTAATCTCGAACAAGTAGATATCACCAGCCCTTTCTTTGATTGGATAAACAACCTCTAGACTCTTGTCTGGATGACCTAGGTAGACATTAGCCTGATCTAGTGGGGTCTCGGATTTGAAAGTGACGAGGTAAATGGCGTCAGGGATTGTGACTTCGATAACCTTCAATTGCTGATCGGTGACTATATCTGCGCTTACTTCTTTGAACGTTAACAGTTTCTTTTCATCGTCTGTGTAGTTAATAACATTGACGTCGGTCAATCTCAATGCCAGTGTGATGTAACTGAAGATAGAGAACAGTGCCAATTGACTCCAGCGCATTCTTGTATCTATATATGGTTATTCGATTTGCTTCTGGTCGGGCAGATGGGGGAACAAAACAGGTATGTCTGAGAATCCTAGCTTTTCAATCAATCCTGAATCTGTATGATCACACAAATGGGAACCTTCAATGGCAAGTGGAAGCGTTTACCCTTTGCTAATACACAAAAGATGGTAAAACGAAGGCGGAAAGCGTTACTGCTTTGCAAATCCAATCCTTGGCTACGTTATTGACAGGTTTCCAGCACACCACTTTGGACACTTTCGCAGGAAGAAGGAAGACAGCCAAAAACTTTCCCCTTCGGTGCGTACAAAATGGCTTCAGAGTGGGCCCGAAGAGGAAGAGGATTAAAGCGACACCTGAAACAGCAACCGTATGAAGGTAAACCAGAATTGAGTGCTGAGCACACGCTAGACGAAAAATCACATGACTAACAGTAGAGATGTGGGGGGGGGGGTGCAATGGTAAGTACCATAAAACCTAGTAGTTGCGCCTAGAAATGGGTAAATAAGAGAGTATACGTGTGGAATGAATGAGTATAAAGCAGTGAATCCAGGTAAATTTTTTATTTTCTTCATATCCCTGTCTCCAGTGACCTTGCGATGTTGTAAGTGTGTGAGTTTGTGTCTGTCTTTGAGTGCATCGAGTGCATCGAATGTATCGAGGACAGAACAGGCGAGACCTGCGGACTTGAGGCTGGTTGCAACACCCTGAGGTCAAACTTCTTGTTACGTGCTCTTGGCGAGGGCTTGGCTACAGCGAGTGCATGAGCCTGAGGATCGTCAGTTGTGTACTTGTTATCCATGAACGTGTCCGACTTCAGGTACAAATACGAGGCTGCCCTGTACAGCGCGTCCGAAACCGCCCCGCACACCACGACGCACAGCGCAAACCACGTAGCACCCACCAGCAGCGGTACTACCACCAGACTAGCCACGAGCGGCACGATAAGTCTCCCTTGCATTTGTTCTCCTTCCTGGCCTTTTTTTTGTCACTTTCTTTTATATTTAATCAAGTTCTATACACTTTTGTCATGGAGCCAAAAAGGGCTATACTAGAATAACCGCCCAGCTGTCCTGATTACCACCCCCGGCCAGAAGAGAGAAAAGTAGTTACCCGGATTAGTGTAGTGTGACACCACGTGAGAGATCTCAGAAACAAGGAAAAAGCACGTGCCCTCCCCACAAGGCCAAACAGAGCCAAACAGGGCCAAACAGGGCCATCAGGAAGTGTTGTTCTAGAACCCGCGCTGGTGTTTCCGTAAGAGAGTAATCCGATCTCGGCGAACAGCTGGGAAAGCCTGGTCCCTAGAGAGTCCCTAGAGAGTCCCTAGAGAAGTACCTAGAGAGTACCTAGAGAAGTAGTCCCTGCCGTGGTCGATTGCCACGCCCTGCAGGGTCCACTGAGGAATTCCGATAATTTTCCCGGTTTTTTCTCTCAAAATCGCTGTATTTGCGGGTGTTTCTCTACGTTGGGGGAATCCAATTTTTCCGCACTCCCCTGCGTTGTGCTTAGTGCTGTGTGCAAGAGTGGCCCCCCCACCCCCCCGATCCTACCTGTACTGCACTTTCACTCGATCTTCAGTTTGATGCGTAGCACCTAGGCAATACACTAGCTCCCTACTCAAAACCCCGCATTCCACTGTAACACTCGCACTAGCCCTAGGGTTCAAAGGGTTATTCCCGATAGACTGCCTCATCTCTCTCCACTCCCCCCCCCCCGAATACTGACTGCGGTAATAATTTGACAAAAAAAAATTTTTTCTTCAGACTATATAAGAATAGTTGTAATCTTAGCCCAGCGGTAACATATAACATACACTCCAACAACAACACAACACCCCAAACAATGTTTGCTAGAATCGTCTCTAGGAGGTTGATGTCCTCCACGGCGGCACGTCTGAATAGCGTGCCTAAGGTCGCCGCCAAGCCCAAGAGCTCTTTTTTCAGGACCATGGGTAAGTGGTCTCTGCGTGCCACTCTATACGGTGCCCTGGCGGGCACCGGCTACATCAGTTACTCTCTGTACCGGGAGTCTAACCCTTCGAAGCAGAAGCCGCAGTCGGACACATTCCCCAATGGTTCTAAGCGGAAGACGCTGGTCATCCTGGGCTCTGGCTGGGGCTCTATCTCTTTGCTGAAGAACCTGGACACCAACATCTACAATGTGATCGTGGTGTCGCCCAGAAACTACTTCCTGTTCACGCCATTGCTGCCATCCACCCCAGTGGGCCGTGTCGAGCTGAAGTCCATCATCGAGCCCGTCAGGTACATCGCCAGGAGGACTACCGGCGAAGTGCTGTACTATGAGGCCGAGGCCACGGACATCGACCCGCACGCCAAGACCGTGAAGATCAAGTCCAACTCCCAGAACAACGACTACGAGCTCGACATCAACTACGACTACCTGGTCGTCGGTGTCGGCGCCCAGCCTACGACATTCGGCATCCCAGGTGTCTACGAGAACTCCTCCTTCCTGAAGGAAATCTCCGACGCACAGGAGATCAGAATCAAGATCATGCGTAACATCGAGAAGGCCGCCTCCTTGGCGCCAAACGACACCGAGCGTGAGAGATTGCTGAGCTTCGTGGTGGTCGGTGGTGGCCCAACCGGTGTCGAGTTCGCCGCCGAGTTGAGAGACTACGTCGACCAGGACCTGAGAAAGTGGATGCCCGAGCTAAGCAAAGAGATCAAGATTACCCTGGTTGAAGCATTGCCTAACATCCTGAACATGTTCGACAAGAAACTGGTTACCTACGCACAAGACTTGTTCAGACAAGAGAAGATCGACCTAAGACTGAAGACTATGGTGAAAAAAGTGGACTCCACTAAGATCACCGCCAAATGTGAAGATAAAACCGAATCAATCCCATACGGTGTCCTGGTGTGGGCCACCGGTAACGCACCAAGAGACGTGTGTAAAGGCCTGATGCAAAAGATACCAGAAACTCAGAACTCAAGACGTGGTTTACTGATCAACTCCAAGATGCAACTCTTGGGTGCTGAGGATTCAATTTATGCAATTGGTGATTGTACTTTCTACCCAGGCCTGTTCCCAACTGCCCAAGTGGCCCACCAAGAAGGTGAATACTTGGCCAGAGTCTTCAAAAAGTTACACAAAGTGGATCAATTTGAATATATGGCTAGTAAGAACAACCAAACAAAGGAAAACATCAAGGACTTGACTTCTAAGATCAACAACTTGAAAGCACAAATCGAAGATTTCCAATATAATCACCATGGTGCTTTGGCCTACATTGGCTCTGAACAAGCTATCGCTGACTTGGCTGTAGGTGAGGCCAAATACAGATTGGCAGGTTCATTCACTTTCTTGTTCTGGAAGTACGCTTACTTAGCAATGTGTATGTCATTCAAGAATAGAATTTTGGTGGCCATGGATTGGACCAAAGCTTACTTCTTGGGAAGAGATACTTCCGCTTGAGCATCCAATCTACACCTAATAATTTTTGACATTATTCATTTTTTTTTTCCTTTGAGTTTCTCTAATTTAACATTCCTTTCTTATTCATTACACATTTTAATTTTGATAGATATTATTCAATGAGGTCAGATTTTATCCAAGGTCCGATTTGAAGAGGAGCTATGTTATGAAAAGGAAGTTTCTCAAAACAATTAATTGTGTAATTTTAAATGGTCAGCTTTGATTTTGTTGAAACAATCTCTTCAGATCATGGAACATCCAAGATCCAAACAAAAAAGTTTGCATTGTAGTTTGGTTGTACTAACTTGACCGTTTAATTTGTGGTATGATATTGATAATATTAATTTATAACGACGTAGTCGACATTTTATATTCAAGTAATTCTAAAATAAAACATATCATTTACGTTCAACTTGTATTACAGGAATCTTGTTCAGCACATTTTTAAAGGCAAAGTAATTAATATTTAGATTTCAGAACTTAATTGCCGTCACGGACAGGAATTCAGTCGAAAACATAAAAATATCCGGTTAATAGAATTTTGGTGCTATTTACCAGCAAATATGAATTGAATGCTATAAAATACGTACATATATTAACATCATTATGAAATATCTTTCACAGAACCATCTAATGTATTAAATCTTTTCATTACCGGAAGTTTAACATCTAGTTTCATCTCTGGTCTGGGAATATTTGGAAGAACTACTCTTAAACTATGCAATTCCTCTTTTTTGTTTAGTGGTAGTATCGGTGCTAAACTTCTAGCAAATGTCGGACTTCTATCCATTATTTCTTGATTAGAGGATTTGACTTCACTCTGTAAAATAGTTCTATTTACAGAGTCGTCTTCCTCTATTCTAGTTTCATCACCATTTCCGGAAGTATCATCGGCCTTGTTTTCATCTTTTAGAACATGAGAGGCCAGCATACCTAAGGCATTTAACATATGTGTTTCAGTTTTAACTGGTTTGGCCTTTCGCCCGGAATCTGTTATTGGTATGGTGGTATCAGCTTCTTCAGTATCTTCTCTTGCATTTGAAATCATCGAACTTTCTGATTGGGATGAATCCAATAGCTGGGGTGTTTGATTCAGTAACCTCATCAGTTGATTAATGTGTTTGTTCTTGGCAATGATTTTCTTCTTGTATTTTGTAACTTTGTTCTCTTTAATATGGAGCTGCTCATTCAGGTGAACATTTTCAACATACAACTGACTCTTGAGTTTCTCAAATTGCTGTGTTTTCAAGTTTTCCTCTACTTCATGTCTCATCTGATTTTCATTAGATGTCTTATTCGACAACAATAGATTCTTATACTTGAGTTGTTGCACCTGCTTTGTAGATTCATTCAGCCTATCCGCCAAAGTTCTGAGTATATCAAGAACATCTTTCTTCACAAATCCATGGTCTACAGTGTCCATGCTCTCCAATTGAGTTACTATCTCATTGGCACGCTTCAATGTAGTTTGCATCGATCTTTCGCTGTAAGCTTCATCTTGCTTTGTTCTGCTGGTAGAGCTATCCTCCATAGGATTTATGACAGACTGAATATTGCTCATATTTGTTTAAGGATGGTATTCTATGTCTGCTGAAAGAAATATACCAATACCTAAACACCTTTTATATGGTCTAACTATGCAATGTCCTGAAGATGAGCGCAACTGTTGATCCAACGACTGATATTACTATTTTATACTCCACAAAAGGGTGTTTATGTTAATGCTTCTTTGTTTGATCAAGTATATTAACGTGAACTATAGTTTAGCAATAAGAAACTGTACTACAATTTACCCATTTCTAGCAGGCTAGGCTATAACGTTCGAAATGCATGCATTTGTCTATACTTACTTCTACTCCAGTTCCGAGTAATAATTCGAATTATAGTGGGAAACCATAATACCGAGTCAAAACTCGTAGAACCAATTTATTTACTGATTTCCTAAACAAGTTTGTGCACCATGACACGTAGATGGCCTAAACTAATTCTCGAGAATTCGTGAATATCATTTCATCAAATAAAGCACTGGTTTTGGTGATGCCTGTTGCTTGCGAAGTTACCTACACGAAAACATTGTAATTTGGAGCCAGTTGTAGTTAAAGGTTCGGAGACAATATATGTCAGTAATTGCATACTAATGACCATCTGACCAACCAATTATTATAGATGACATCAGTTGTGTATTGTCCACTGATGACTCTACATAAAATGAAATATATTGGATAATATTCTCTGACCACCGCTACTGACTTGGCAAGGCTTATTTTTTTTTTAAATTTGTAAGCGGATACTATTGTTCGAAGTTTTATTGTTGCCTATATAACAATCTAACTGCTTCTATAACAAGTACAAATACGGCGAATTAACATGACACACTGCCATTCTATCTTGATTAATGAAATGGTTATATTTTGAAATATATATTAGTTTTTTTATATTTTCATAGAAATTATGCCATTGAGAAAAATTTCAAAGATATAGATAAACAGTGGTTTTTTTTGAAAAGTATAATATACGATAAAAGAAAAATTGGATGGATAATGTGAATGGGATGGGATATCTTAACGGTAAGACTTTTGGAATCTAGCACGGGCACCCTTACCACCGAATTTCTTTGGTTCTGGTCTTCTGGCATCAGCGATCAACAAGGTTCTGTCGTAAGAGGTGAAAGCCTTCTTCAATTCGTTCTTGGATTGTTCATCGACGAACTTTTGGTGGTAGGCAACCAAACCCTTAGCGATAGCTTGTCTGATGGCGTAGACTTGGGAAACGTGACCACCACCGGTGACTCTAACTCTGATGTCAATGTTGGCGAACTTGTCCAAACCAACCAACAACAATGGTTCGTAAACCTTGAATCTCAAGATTTCTGGTTCGACCAAAGTGATTGGAGAACCGTTAACCTTAATCAAACCCTTACCGGCCTTAACGTGGGCAACGGCAGTAGCAGACTTCTTCTTACCAAAAGTCTATTATTATATTAAAAACTCATATCCATAGAAAACTAGTAATACAGTTCGCAATGCCAAATATAGCTTCGTCAAAAAAAGTCAAACACAAAAGAGTAACAGAATGACTGTCCTCATTCGGAATAATATTCAAATAAACTAAGCCAATTTTCAGCAATCGACTGCAAAAATATCAAACGGATAGGAAATTTAGAAAGATTGTTAGTAACAGGATCTAATCGATAACAATAATCTTAGAATAGATGGATAATGGGAAATTTACTTTCATTCACTTTTAATAAGCTGTTCGCTTTCAATTCTTTTGTTTTAAGTGTTCTTTGTGATAAAGTGAATACTAAATCAAAGAGCTCGCACTGTCATTGAAGTTCCTAATCAAGTACTTTTATTCATAATTCTCTGTAAATTATTCATTAGGTGAAAACCTCATAAGATTGTGGAATATGGAAAAACTTTTCGTTCATATAATAACCTCTGTTCTCATATTATAGATAACTTAAACCTTCAAATGCTGCTCGTTTCAAATTGACATAATTATCGCATCGCCTTCGGATTGTTAATTAACAGGACCACTTAATTGCGAGCTACTGGTAGAAATATTCTTGTTTTCTAATCTCGGTTATTCCAGTACAATCTTTACTTCCTGAATATGCAAATTTCTCATATAACCACTATTAATTCATTAAAACTGGGATCATTAGGACATACTTGGACACTTGGGACGGTGGACATCTTGCGTTTGGTTCTATTGTATATGCGGTTTGTTATTGAAAGCGGTTAAAAGTTCAAATAGGCGTTTACTATGTACTGAATTTAAACCTATTTTCTATATAGCTCTGCCCATATCATCCTACAATTTTGACAAAATTGTTACAAAATTCCACCTGGGTAGCTTGGTTTCAAGATGCCACCACCACGCTTGGTACGGTTTGTTCTCCCTGCACTAACGACATGGGCAGTATCCTACACTAAGCAGTGTCAACAGACTTTCCACTCAGTATCAGGACTGTCTGCCTAATTGGAGATCAGCCTCGGTGGCTGTCTGCCTAGCTCCCATAGCTAACGGGCTAGCAGTTCGGCTGAGCGGTGCCAACTAGGCTGGTCTATTCCCCCCAGGTATTTGCAAGGCCGGTCCTAGACGCACGAAAGTCTCAACCGTGTTCCTGTGGCCACAAAGTCGAATGAGCTCACAACGATCTGGTTGAGCCCAGCTCCCTCGAGGTGAACCCACTGACAATACCTACTCAGAGGACTGGTTAGGCTTCATCCCGTTGTGTTTCCTTTCAGTTTAGGCTCGAGACCTAGACTTAGAGAGTTTTTCGGCCCAAACGGATTCGCATTGAGTAAATGTTAGACAAGAAAAACTGAAAAAGTCAGAAAGTGTATGGGTGTTGTAGAACAAGAAAGTCACAAAACTACTCTTTGACTGTATCAAGTGATGTCTACTTGTAAACTCATATGTCTTTCAATCATTGCGAACCTAGTTAAGTACACTTATGTATCGTAATACTTGAACAATAATGTTGAGGCTACGTTAACCGCCTGATAATTATAAGTCTAACTAAAGGTTAATATTTCAAAGAAAAAAAATATCTAAATGAAGTAAGTAAATTTCAATATCCTTTTAAAAATAATACTATTATTATGTATATAGAAATTATTACTATGCAAAGTTATGGCAAAAAAGTGAAGGTTTATAATAGGAGAGAAAAGTCATCTTAAAATAGAAAATGTAGATAAAAATATGTTATTAATTAACAATTTGTAAATGCGAGATCTTTTTAAGATGCTTAGTCGAACAAACCGAAACCCATGTCGTCATCGGATTCTTCCTTGGCTTCTTCTTCCTTTTCTTCAGCAGCGGCAGCATCACCACCGGCAGCGGCACCAGCGGAGGCAGCACCACCGACAGCAGCAGCTGGACCAGCGCTGAAGTTGACCAACAAGCTCTTCAAATCTTGACCGTCCAAAGCCTTAGCGAAAATGTCAGCCCAGATACCTTCAACTGGAATGTGAGCGGCACCAGTCAAGGTGACTAACTTCTCAGAGGTGATTTCGACCTCAGCGTCAGCCAAGATCAAAGCAGCGTAAGCCAAAGCGGATTCAGTAGACATTTCTTTAATTATGGTTTATTGGTCTTTGCAGAGATAATCAATTTAAGCTCCTGTGGTTCTTTGTTTAAAAACACGATCAAAGCAGACTATTTCCTTGGCGACTTAAAACTTCAATTACTGAAACAAAACACACGTTGAAACAACACTTAAAAAGACAAGTCAATAATTTAAAACTTCATCTATCTTTTTTGTACAAAATGGTTTGAAGCCAAGATTGAAAAAAAATTTTTTTTTTCCATAACCAATGAACCAAAACTTCCCACGAAAAAGTGAAAAAATCTCATTTTCCTTCAAGGATTCCCTCCCTCATTGTTGCATAATACGAGATGGTCATATTTAATTATCGTATAAAAGTAGTATTAATAGCTGACTATTCTATTGCATGTATATGTGAAAGGTAATATCAATTAGGCGCAGCCTGTAGTTGTACCAAAGCTTTTTCCAATGCATAGTCTAGTAGATTGGTTAGAATTGCTTTTTAATTAAAATTGCATCGATTCCAATGGGTCATAGTCACTATGTTACAGGCATGATATTATTTAATATTGTAGCCTCAAATAATGCTTTTAAGTATTATTGGGCAAATATTTATAAAATATAGTCATATTTCTTTTTACACACAGGCGTAAACTCTATTATCGATAGTTCCTAGGTAACTAACGAAAAAAATACATTCCCTTCAAAAAAAAAGTATGGAAGTAAAGGAAACAGTTACCTTTTCGCCTTTCTCTTTTCGTCTTGGAGACTTAATCGTATAGCTTCATCAATCATTTGTTTTTCTAACTCTTCTAGTGTAGAGTTTGCGACTCCAGCAGACCTACTATCTGTCGAACCTGCTACTCCTGGTGAGTCTTCATTAGCGAAACTGCCCGTTCTTTGAGGACCAATCAATCTATTACTTACATGAATAGCGGTAGCATTAGCGGACCTCCTAGCTAACCTTACCCTCTCTTTATTTAGCTTCGTTTCCCAGTCAGGTCTAATATCATCAGAACTTACAGTATACGTTGGTGGGGCGTTTCCAGCAGTGCCTAATGGTTTGTAAAGATTTGGAGCTTGCCCCCCTATGCCAACTTTTCTACCAGTAGGCGGTGTATACGTTATACTAAAATTAGGCGTAGCACAATATGGACAATTAGCTGGCTCAGAAATCAATAAGTTTGGATCTTTCTCGTTCTCATCCTTCTGAGGTTGTGATGGATCCACTTCGTCATGTGGAAAGTGAGGCTCACTCCTTTTAATTTGAACAAAGCACTCAGAACATATTGGCTGTTGACAACATTTAGAATAATTTAGTGGCATTGGAAGATATAGAAAACAGATTGGACATTCTGAGCCCTGTGCATATAAGTCATATTTCAGATCGTCATTTGGTAGAAAACTGTTTTTCGGAATATCATTGTCTCTATTTTGTAACTTCTCTTCCAAATATGCATTATTTTCTGATTCTTGCCATCTTAAACGCTTCCTATACAAACGAGCCTTGAAGATTAAGGCATGCATTTTCTTTTGCTCTTTCTTAGAAAGTTTCTTGTCAATCAGATAATCAAAATGAGGTTCATTTAAATCACCTACTGGAACGTCTTCATACTCCTCAACATGTTCATTAAATGGTGCATGAAGAGGAAGTGCATCCACAATTTTTTTGACTTCATCTTTAGTCCAGCTATCGTCAAAGTCTTGTAACGGAATATAGAAAGGTGCAAGCTTTCTCTCAATTATTAACTTGCGTACTATGTCACTGTCGTAATCCATTTTATCTAGCGAATAACATCCATGAGGCGCCAGATAACCACCATCAACTGTTTCATTATATTTTATAACTAATTTTTTGGCGTTTTCTTCCTTTAAAAGTTCTCGTTCCTTAGTACCCCTTTTCTTGGCGGCTGATAATTGTTTCTTGCTTACCTCCCCGGTTGGGTCATTTCTCGAGGAAGTAGGGCCATTCAGTATATTACCAACAAGGGAAGATGTACGCCTTCCCCTTGCCCTCGTCTCATCCATTGTTCCTCCTGCTCCTCTAAAGGCTCCAACTCCACTTGCTGATGAACTATCAGTATAGGTCGATCGACCAGTATAACTAGAAGCATCCTGATCGAGCTTTGCTGGAACGTTACCCATCTTTTAAACCTTATGAAATTATTAGAGGTAATATATCTGTTCTTTAGGAAAATAAAAGGTCGTTAAATTAAGATATCTTTGTATGCCGCCAAAGCGATCTCCTGAGATAGCTATCACTAATAAACTTGTATAAGTTGAGCAATCAGGCAAAAACCAGACAACAGTAAACTATTGTTGCAATGAGAAAAAAAAATCGATCCAAATTAGTATTCGCCACAGAGATTTCAAATTACAGTATCCCAATCAAATTAAAGGATGGAAAAGCACTGTTTCTTCTTCAGCTGATCTTCAGGTTCCTTTCTGTTATGAAAAATACTAAAAATCTGTAGACCCTTCAAATAGCACAAACTATATTATAACCTCGAATCTTATACTCTCAGTCCAGACTATCAACACTAAATTACTACTGAAGGCTAGCCTTACCTGAGCCTACTTTGCACTATAGAAACCTTCAAATCTGACAGGTTTCCCCTTTGCCTTAGCTGACTTCCCCGGCATTAACGACTCATACTCGTCATTTGTGATGATAATAGCTTATGTGTAGGAATCTAGTGTATTTGGGACAATATTACGATCTATTTAACTTCTTATATGTGAGGTACTGTTTGAAATGACATTATACAAACCAAAGAACAAATCATTACTGTGTTCTATCTTTTCAGAAGAGCTCCGTGCTCTTGATGCGTATTTTTTTTCTGGGATATACCTCTTCAGGTATACATTAGATACTTTCTTGCAAGTTTCATTCACAACTTCTACTCTCTGTCAACAATCATTTGTGCTAAATTTTCAATGCCTGCGCCAGTCTTCCCGCTACATAGAACATAGTGGCCTATAGAGCTCTCACCAACAGACTGTCCATGATGCAGAATATGTTCAATTTTTTGTTCTATATCATGCGCATAGTGTTCTAAATCTGCTTGTTCTACCAAGTCAATCTTATTGATAGCCACGACCAACTTGCATTGATAACCAATTCTATCCCTATCTTGCATTACCAGCTCTCGCAACTCATTGAATGATTCGTCAAATCGCAGTGAAGAGGCTATATCAACACACCAAAGTAATACGTCTGTTTTGTCAAAATAGTTATCCCAAAAGGGTCTTAATGTACGCTGTCCTCCGATATCCCATAGATTCACTTTGTATGTCTTACCGTCCTGAGCACTCTCTACTACAATGCTGTGTATCTGAAACCCCACAGTGGGTGTGATGCTATTGCATTTCTCCGACTCAGGTAATAATCCATTGACAATCGTAGACTTACCAGAATTATCTAGCCCTAAAATCAGGCACCTTATCTCCCTGTCTTTCAGTTTCTGTTTCTTAATGATGGTCAGTAAACCCATTTATATCATTTCTCATAAACTAGTTTCCTTATTGCTTATAGCATTCGATTTCAATCACCTAAGACCTCGGTTCAATGAATTAATCTATCTGTTCAATTATTTACCAATATACTCGATTTCTAGTGTCCATTATTTGTACTAACTACCTCAAATACCCATCCATATCTTGTTATTTATTACCAATAAAATATCAAAAATATGAATCAGCAAGCTTGTGAAAAATATCAAAATCGATGCGATGGGAAAACAAAAAGAGGACCTCAAAAGTTGCAATAGAAAGTGTTGGAAACACTGATACTTAGGATTCAGAGACTGGTACTCAATATAACATCTGCTTTTATTATAAAAGTATACTTATTTTGGGAGGAATAACTGGTAGTAACACAGGTAAACCTACACATAGAGAGGGATTAAAAGAAGTAGAATAATGACTATACGTTGATGTCAAAGAGACGATCTTTACTAGAAGTCAATCAACGAGAATTACTTCAGAGGACACGAGGTGTTGAAAATGGTAGAATAAGATATAGATCATCCAAAAGGATACATGTCCAGGAGCAAGCAAAAAAGCAGAGAACACTTACGGAGTTTAACATTCCTACCACATCGGTCCTGACTGTGAAGAATAAGAGACCAATTTCTGAAAGGGTAACTGAGTCTATTGAACTTCTCAGTGATGAAGAATCGCTTAATGGTACCGATAAGAATATACAAGCATTCTATACACAGGAAACTAATACCATTGTCATTGATGTAGAAGATGGAGATAGTAGTTTTTCCACTGAATGTAATGTGGTAGATAAGTCGGAAGTGTATGACGGATGCAGTAAATCACTAAATCTATCAAATACAAAACCATCTCAAAGGGAATGCTATAATGATGATCATCTCAAAATAAAATCATCAACTGGGAGCATAAACCGGGGACATAACTTGAAGACTAGCAACAGTAATTCAGAGAAGGGTGAAACAAAAACACCTAATACTAGCCTCATGAAAACAGATCATAGTGATCGTGATATAAAAAACATTCCCCAGCGAAACATAACTACTAAACCAATACTGGAATGCCCTATTTGCTCTAAGAATCTGACTGGTATGAAACTTTTTCAACGTGAAGCTCATTGTGATAACTGCTTTGAACAAAAGCCATTATCAAATTTCATTGAAGGCAGATCTGCCATGGTATGTCAATCTAAAAAGATTCAAACTCATTTGGAATCTACAGTAGAGAAGGAAGTGGGTGATAAACCAAATCCTATAAGTAAATCAAAGAATCCTCGAAGAAATAGGATCCCAGAGAGTTTTAAAATTTTGACTTTTACATCAGGTTACCAGATTATCGTGGATGGTTTCACCTATCCTTTAAAGGAGGATAATAAGATAAAGGATTTCTTTCTATCACACTTTCACTCAGATCATTACATTGGGTTAAAAAAATCATGGACCTCAGGCAATTTGTACTCATCTCCAGTTACTTATGAGCTTTTAAAATATAGGTATACACCTAAGAGAAAAACTAATGAAGATAATGAAAATATCACAAATTGCTTAAAAGCATTAAAACCATACAACCGGGTATGGCTAACTGACACCATTAGTGTAACAACCTTGGATGCAAATCACTGTCCAGGTGCATCTCTCTTTTTGTTCGAAGAATGGGACTCTATGAAAACTGGAATTTTGAAAACAATACTTCATACTGGTGATTTTAGAAGTGATGACAAACTAATTGAGGAAGTCCTTAAATATACAAATCATAGAGAAATAGACGAAATTTATCTTGATACCACGTATCTTCTCTCAACGTTTACCTTTCCTGCACAAGAGGAGTTACTCAATATGGTTGCCAGGTTTATTGAAACAATCAATAACCCAAATTTCCGACAATCTTTCTTTGGAGATAAACAAAAGTCCATATTCCATTTTATGAGTTTACCATCATCTATAGATAAAAAATCAGAGATACCTATGCTTTACTTAGTTGGTACATATTCTATTGGGAAGGAAAAACTGGCAATCAAGATAGCGGAAACCCTGAATACTAAAATTTATGTACAATCTAATTCAATCAAGAGAAAAATGGTAAGCATATATTGGGACCAATGCTTTGACAACTCTCTACTGACTGACGATCCATCTGAATCACAAATTCATCTTGTTTCTTTGAAGGTACTACGTGATTTCAATGCTATTGATAACTATTTGAAGACAATCAAAGAACTTACTGGTAATAAAATAAAATACGATAATGTATTTGGTTTTATCCCAACTGGCTGGACGTTTGGAAATAGGTACAAAAAAGACTTTCAATATGATGGAGAACTGTCTTATGATGATAACTTCAAACTCAGGGTAAAGTATTGCATGGATTTGTTAAAACAAGATGAAGCTAGGCCAACCCAGAATTTTGCAGACGTAAGTAGCCTTGAATGGTTGCGAATGCAATACAAACCCAGGGAGAGGTACCAAATTTTTCGGGTACCCTATTCGGAACATAGCAGCTTTAGGGAGCTCCTAAAGTTTTGTATTTCAGTACCTAGTAAAAATATCATTTCAACAGTCAATGTTGACAATGGTGTCAATAGTGCTGAAACCAGTGAGTGGTTTAAGGCGTTCAAATATATTCGTAATAAACTTAGCAACAATTAAATCCTTTCGAACTATAGACAATAGCTTATGAGAGAAATGGGTATTAGTTTATAGCAACAATGAACTCATATTAATAGTTGCTTGAATTTAATAAATTAAAACATAATATTACATAATCTTGACAAAAGGGAATATAAACATAAACATGCTCCGCATCTTAATTTCAACTTATTATTTTAGTTCTTATTACAATCGCTTGATATATGCACTTCCATAAATAATCCAAAGAATGCAATTTTTAAAACTGAATAAAGGACAAAAGAAAATAATAATAATAAAAAAGACAGTTTAACTTCAGTGCAGAACATATATGAAAAGTTCTAATAAATAGCCTTCCCTGGGCAAATCTGAGATGCTATGTGAAGATATCGTTTAGGAATATTTGTTTTAGAGAGATATATCTTCAGCGTCCATTAGCTATGGTACTCACAATGCCCAAAGTACGTGCATGTGTATGCGGAAGCTATGACTTTTCTGTTACAAGTAAGATAGAAAATAATCAAAGAGATAAGAAAAAAATTACCAGCTTTCAGCAGTTTGAATATTCATAAAAATAAAAAAGAAAGTTTGCTTGACCTCGAATACGATCAATTAAAGATAGTAGTGATCAAAACAAACTCTCATAACAAAAAATTAGGGCTATTTTCATAATAGCATATTAAAAATTGATTAAAATAATAAAATCTCAAAGGCATTAGAATTTAGAACCAGAACTAATATAAGCTGACATTATTGAGTTTGATAACCACCTATAGAACAATAATTTAAGAAGTTGTTTACTCTTCTTTCCTTATGGTGTTGTAGTTACTATCAAGATAAGGATCTGCATCAAACTCTTCAATTATTCCGATAGGGATCTTCAACATCTTGGGTACCCTTCTATTAGCAGTATTGCTTATACGCTTTCTGTATCTTAATAATAAGTTAGCATTTTTTACCCCAAATTTGGATATCGCTTTTCTGTAAAACAAACCGCAGGCATTACAAAGTGTTCTATTTCCGTATGGCCCTCTTCTCCATTCAGGAGTGTGATTCTCACCACAATGTAAACATGAAGTCATTACTACAGTGCCCGCACTGTTGTTAATGTTTTTTGATAGAGAGTTTATGTGTTGTGGTTTGAGAGTTTCTGCATTTGCTAACGCCAAGGAATGGGGAATTGGTAAACCTGAGCTGAAAGATGATGATACTATACCTTCTTTAATTTTCTTTTTCCTTCCCCTCTTCTTGGGTCCAGGATTAGTTACAGAATAGGAATCAAGCACATTGCTCAAGCTAGGTGATTTATCGTTTATGATTCCACTTCCTGGAACTGCACTCATTGCATCAGTCGTAGCGGACTTATATCCTGTCATTGTTGGAGATCCTGCAGAAAACTGGTATGAACTGTGGAACAAGTTCCCACCTATCGGAGAGTGTACAGCATAGGACGTTGGCTGTAAGTTTCCGTAGGCTGGGAAGGGCAAGCTACCTCGGCGGCTATCCATTAATATACTGGCGACGTTCAATGATTTGCTTCTGTTCTCATTTCCTACTTGGAAAATCTGGCCTTCTGAGTTTCTTGTGTTTTGATATGCATTTACGAATTGTTTTTGGTATCCATATGAAGGGTATTCTCCTTGAGTGTATTGTATGTATGAATGTTGTTGTTGAGCTGGGTTGGCCAGTTCGTTGGGCCCGAGTATCTTTGTCTGGTTAGGGGATTTCAGTTGCAGAGTTCTGTTCGATGTCGGCACTAGCGGACTTGATACTGGGTTTGATAAAGAATGTATTGAGGGTATCGAATGAGACACTGGTTGTCTTTGGTACGCTGAAGTCTGTGGTACTGTTGTTGGTGACGATATCTGATTTGGTGACGATGATGTAGTGTTCTGTTGTTGCTGTTGTTGATGCTGTTGCTGTTGTGGTTGTGAGGCCAGATTTTTGAAAGAAGGCAGGAATTTCTGTTCTGGTGATACGTACGAGCTTCTGGAAGAGCCAGAAGGGTACTGGCATGCGAGGATTCTGATTTTCTCCTGTTGTGTTGCTATTTCGTAGTCATGCTGCAACTTGGTTATTTCGTCTATCGATTTCTGAATCGATATCAATCTGTCGCTGAACTCCTTGATGAAATCTGATGACACCAGTGAGTCCTTTGTCACTGCTTTATAGCTGTCCAGCTGTTTGCTAATCTCGTTTTTCTCTATTATCAGTTTCTCTAAATTGGTAGAGCATCTACTGTAAAACTCCGCTTCTGTTATTGTTGTGTAATTGCTGGACACGCCGCTGGAACTACTGCTCTGGGTCAAGTCATGGGAAGTGATGCTTGTTCTTGGGGAAGTCTCTAAGGAATCAGAACCATGCGACGACAGCATCGACAGCTGTTTGCCCTTTGTGTACCTGGGCGACGTGACATCCTCGTCATCTCTTCCCTTCAGTATGGACCATATCGGTGGTATCGAGACCTTTGACATCATTTGCATATTTGTATCTGAGTTCATTATGTATATGCTGTTGCTAGTGTTAGGGCTTTCAAAGTATATGAAATCCTAAAACAAGTCTTGGTAGTCAAGGTACGTTATAAGCAGAGAAGGTGGGGGGTGGGAACAGTGGGCCGGTAAAAGAGTGGGCACAAGTGGAGGGGTAAGATTCGAAGAGATAGAGATCTCGCTTTAATTTATATAAAGATTGTCAATCCTTTTTCCTTCGCTGTCGAATTATTTTTGGACTTTCGACTGACGTTGGGATTGTCCTTTGGGCTTTTTTTCCCTTTAGAATGTGCGTATGTGTGAGTGTTATTTGTGTGTCTTTGTGTGTGACCGTAATGAGCCGGTTGTTTCTTGGGATAGGCAGGGGCCTGGGCCTTAATTGGTGTAGATTTGTCTTGTAGGAGAAAAGCAAGAGAAAAGATAAGCACGCAGACTGCAGGAATTGTGAGTATCGCAGTTGAAAAAAGACAATCTATATTTGGGTTGCCCGGTCTGTTCTTCAGTTCTTGATCTCTTCTGCGTTGTCTGTGTCCACTAATGCCAGATGAGTCGTAGTGGATACACCGAGATGCTGTAGATTGTTTTTCTTTGGGAGGGAGAACTGCTCTTCTTTTCGGTGCTTGTGCAGGGATCTCTTAGAGGGATGTGCGTTTGTGTATCTTCAGTTTCTATCCTTCCTGTTCTGTATCTGTATCTGTATCTCAGGTCACTGCTTCCTGTATGTGTGACTTTTTTAGGGCTGTACGGTGCTGAGAGACTGGTGTAGTGTAGTCGTTCTTTTTTAACTGTAAATTACAAGCTTCTTGCTTGGTGGAACTTTGCGGGATGTCTGCGGGTGTTTGTGTGAGATACAAAAAAAAATTAAATACCGACCGATAGTGGGACGAGGCTGTCTTCTGATCTTTTTGTTTTCTGGTCCTTCTCTATTTTTATTGGGATTCTTAGAGATTCGTGTGCTTTTTTTGTCTGGGGGAGAACTGTGGGACTGTTGGGGGAAAGAGCTCTCTGCAAGGATGTCAGTACTGGAATTAGAAAAAATGGCCTAATCTGTGCTTCTGTGAAACAGCCGTGGACGGGTTGAGGGATTAGTCAAGTTCAAGCGATGCAATTTAGATGATTTCTGATTTGTACTTCTTTCAAGAAGGGCTCTGTTTGCTTAGAAACCAGGGGAGAGAGAAGTTTCAAAATGGGATCGAAAATGAAGAATTGAAAAATAAAAAATGAAAAATAAAAAAAAGGGGATTAAGGAGATGGTTGAGTTACGCTTTGCTATGCGCTTTTCTCTGGGAGCTAGTGGTGTGTGCTGATATAATACAATAAGCGTGAAAGCTTTTGTACTTGCAGTTCTGAGAGATTTGGGGGCTCGGAAACCTGGGAGTTCTTTGTCTTTCAGAAAAATATGATAAGAGAATTGCACGCTACTTGAACTGGAAGTGCACTCAGTTCTACAGCCCTTTCAGTGAATCTGTGGAGGAAATTCCTCTCTCTGTATTGTGTGTTTAATGGACTGTATTCGGGTTTATAGCCTGTGCTTGTGCCGTTCTTCTCGTTTGCCTTTGTGCGGATGCTTCTTTGGCTTTGGCTTTGGCTTTGTGCTACGATCTTGCTTTTCTTTCTCCTTCACCCTCGGGGTTCGCTCTCCTCTAAGAGCAGTTGTCAGCAGGTAATACCTAGAAAAGTACGCTTGCAGGTTGTGAAAGTGACTGAGACTGAGGAATAGAAAATGCTTTTTTGAAGGGGGATGACTATCCTCAGAATGTAGCGTGGGATTGGGGGGGATCGGAGGGACGCGAGACAACAATTTTCGGGATAGAGACTCCTGAGATCGAGATCTGTATGCTACCCACAGAAGTGTTTGTTTTCTTTCAATGAACTTCGTACTAGTGTTTCAGTACTTCAATTTGATGTGGAAAGAGATAAAACCCGTTGGCAGAAAGAAAAAGTGGAAATTGTACGGGGATTAGTATGAATGGGAGTGTGTGTGATGTGTGTGTTTTTCTTGTTTATTCCCGAACGTCTTCTTTCCGTTGGTACGCTGTTTTCTGTTCCAAGATAGCTTATTCAAGTGAACAAAACACAGAAGATTAGCAGTCTTTTAGCTATCTAAGGGGATCCCCTTATTCTAATGTAAGTAGTAACTGTGCTGCTTCAGAAGTGATTAGCTGAAACGGACTTAAACACGATAATGGAGAAGCAACGGCTTAAGTCAACTCCAACTTTTTTTATCTTAAATCAAGACTAACAACTGTTGGCAAAAAGAAATTGATAAAAACTTGTGGGTGTGAATAGATTACTGGCAGCACGTATATTATTTTTTTTTTTTGGCAACGAGCTTCTTCAGTAACTAGTGAGAGATCTTCAAGGGCAGAATTCTAATGAGTGGGAAAAGCGACCGCGGATGGTTTGATAGTGTACTTCCGATGCTCTTCCAAGAGAACCCTCGGTACAACGGTACAACGGTACAACGGTATAACTCTTGCTTTGTTCTTGTCTTGCTTTAGATTGCAACAGAACTAAACTTTTTTTTTAGAATGCACCAATATCCAGAGTTAAAAAAAACCCCTTTGATACACAGATGAACAGGTACAAAGTGTGAAATCCAGATACCAAAATAAGACCAAAAAAAAATGAAATAGTGCCTTGCCACACACACAGTAGCTTATTTCTAAACCCTCTCTGAAAGAAACCTGAGGAACTAAAGGGATAAAAAAATAACTCAACAGTTTTAGAGTTATCTTACTGTAACAGGGTACAGAACAGAGATCACAGAGATCGCAGGGAGAGAGAGAGAGAGGACTAAAAAATTGCCTTCTTAGTAATACTCGTAGTTGTAGCGGCCACAGGGCTGATTATTCCGCAAATGACTCCCTTTGAAATTTCTGAATCACTGAAAGTGGTCAGAGAACAAAGGACAAAGGGGAAAGAATTGTAAATCAAACAGAAAACAATCCCGACACAATCAAAAAGTACGAGAATATATGAAAGTTGCTTAGAAACAGCAGTGGACGCAAAAATTAGAAGAAATACCAAAGAAAAGAAAAAAGAAAATGGAAGCTTATCGAAACAGAGGGTTACGTGGTGACCCAATACTCCAGGAAGTGTAGAGCAACTAAGTTTAAGAGAGCCGATTAGAAGATCGTAGTGCCGAGGAACTTTATATTCGGACAAACGGAGATTTTCCTCTGGTGTTCCAAAGTACTAATAACGAGGAACGGAAAGACTAAAAAGAAAAGCGATATCAAGCTGCGGATCTTTCTTGGACGTCTGAGAAACTAGATCCTAATTAAGAATCGCACGATTAAATAAAGAGAAAAAAAGTGAGACAAAAGCAACTCAGTACAAAGTAGCCTGTATTGGTGAGCACAATCTACTAATGTTTCTGTGTAAGTGTTTTCCGAATGTGTATTCAGAGAAAACAAAATTTACACTAATCTTGCTAATCTGAACAATTTCGATTTTCACCCACTTTTCTCGCCCCTCCGTAACCTCAAAAAGACTAAAGGGATGTATTTAAACAAAGGTGCGTGCGAGGCTTTCTTCGAGAGGGTTTAAAGATGTACTGACAAAAAGGGCAGCTTATTTAGATCCAGCACGTGAAGCAAGTATGTTTCACACGCTTTGCGATAAAAAATGATGCGTATCCCCTTCTCTTATGGCAACTTCTAAGCTTTGTCCCTTCTGATTACCACTAGTTGCAGGGACCAGAGTTTAGGCAAAGGTGATGGATACGAGTACAATACAATCCCAAATACTATGTATATCGAGGGAAATTTAACCTTTCTTATGTAAGATGTGAATAATGCTCTTATCGCAATTACAGCTTGCTATGTTCTGGCACTAGTCAATTTGTATTGATATTCGGGTGCTGTAGATGGGTATCCTGGCTTACCGATTTTTTAGTAATTTTATTTTTTGGCCAGTGGGGAACTACCAACTATACGCTTCGAGAGAACAAAACTGGTATCAGGGGGGGGGGTGAGTTGGTGTTTCTTAGAGCACAAAACACAGTTGTTAGTACTATGGATAGCAATGACAAAATAAAACGAAAAACAAAAATAAGCACTGATTTGCAAGGAGGGGGTTGATTTCTAGTGGAATGATACTTGCCCACCTACTTTCAATGATATCTCCGCGGCCTTCTCAGTTGTATTGAAGGTGGAAACAGATAGTAGTCGCCTCGAAGCAGCTTGCGACCTTAGCCCTGCTTCTTTATAGAGAATGGTTGTTTGTACGACAGAATCTCTGCGGGCAAAAAATAGCAGGTCCTTACTGTGCACAACAATGGTTTGTGTACCCTAATTTTTTTCTTTGTTCAATAGAAATTCGGGTAAAAACTCAATTAGAAATTGTCCTGGTTTGTCCTTTAGAATGATTCCCTAGAGATAAACTTTCTGTCTATGCGGTGGCTTCTTGCGTTTCACACGTTTGGGTTGTGCAGCGCAGGAACAGCTGGTGTTTTGATGTTCTCTTCTGGGTTAGAGGACAACTAATGTCTCGTATTCAGTTAGGGTGCAATGCTTTCAATGCAGGTAGGGTGGGTAGGGTCACTGAGTTAAGTAGGACTGCCCTGCGAAATTTTATAGAGTTAAATGGGGGGTGGTTAGCTTTATAAGTCCGTCTTAGTAAGGGGGGAAGTCACGATATGTTCCTTTTGTATGCAAAATGTCAAGAAATACACAAGAGAATTACAGAAAGACAACTTAGACGCCGAAAACTCTACCACTACATCAAGCATCTAGCTACCTATTCCCAGCTTTTTATACTTTGCAAAACTAGCCAACTGCAATTATAAACAAAACAAAAATCTAATATAGGTAGAACTGTATATTTAATAAAAACATGTATATAACTTTTGAGGTGCTTTTTTGGGGGCAGGAACGACTTATGCATGTAGCGCGCATATTACTGGTCCCAACAGGTTAATTTATTTCCAATTAGCTGTAATTTACTTATTCTCTATGTCTAAGTATAACACCGACTCGCGATTTTTGCTGCCTGCTGTGATAACCAATATTTGAAGTATTTGAAGTAGTTGCAAGCGTTGCAAGCGTTGCAATCGTTGCTTCTAAACCTATTAATATCTTTCTATTTGACAACCTTTGAACTCGCAAAGTGTTGTGTACCTTTTTCATATCTGGTTTTTGAGGTTTTAGGTCATGACCCAAATCTTGCAACAGGCCCCCGGTTTAAATTAGTCACAACCAGAGGAAAGAGATACCTGCCAGTGTTTTTTTTTTTACCTTACATATTCGAATCTGGCTTGTACTCTCTACAAGCTGATTTATTGGTGTGGGGTATCGGGAAAAGTAGTAGCCAAAATAATACCAGCCGCATAACTTTGTGCTTTCTTTACAGTGCCCAATACAACTTTAAATCCTGTTGTCACGATGAAACTAAGAAGCTGAACCCTCTCGGATAACTCCGTGCGGTCGTGGTACAGATAACAAGAACCTTAATCTTGTCTTGCTAACACTATATAATTAATTGATGTTTTAGATTGCATTTTTCAAGATAAATAATGCTAAAGATAAAAGATTAGGATCCGAAGGAAAAGAGTATTGTGGGGTGCCTGTCACATTTCTTTTTGCTCGACAGTATAGAACCACTGCATCTGATTGTATTCCAGGCCAAATACACTCGCCGTCAAGAGGTTTTAACAAAAGTAACCATACAAATACAAATCTAGAAAATAAGACTAAACTATATACAGTCAACAACCTCCAAGAACCAACTCGATCAAGCCCAAATCCTTTCAACTCGATCAAGCAGATGTGTCTATCGTTTTGATAAGTATCTCACAAAACCGTAAACCCTAATTATGAGATCGAACGATGCGCCAAACACGAGTGTAAGTGTCACTACATTGGCTGTGGCATGTGATTCTTCTATTTTTCTCTCTTCGAAAGCGAAGAAAAAAAAATTCTGAAAAAAAAAAAATGTATATAAATACAGTGCTGATGGTAGAAAAGTTCAAATCTTCTAAAAAGACTTCTCTTGTTCAAAGCTCAGATCCCTGGAATCTTTAAAATTATTCTCCGACCTTATAGAAAAGGAACTTCCTAAGCTCTTACAATGGCACTGGGGGTGTGGACAGCGGAGATATACTGATTGCAGGGGTCTGTCTTATAAAAGATGGCACTCTTGTGGAGATGATCTATGAAACACTTCTTCTTCTTCGTTTCATTTGTTATTTTCCCTTTTATCGGAAAATGACGCAAATAGATTTCTCAAACATTTACTACAAAAGTATTGAATTTCTTGTTACGTTATATTGATAAATATGTGTGTGTCTGTTATAAATATTTTGCTGTGGTGTCTTATTACATGGCATTCTTCATCTTTCTCAGCTTGTCCATGACAGCAGCAGATGTCCATTGGTTCTCTGAATCACCTACAGCAGCTCTAACTATAGGATCGTCTAGTTTCATGAAAGGATTGAATAGCAATTCATCGGCCAATGTGAATTTACCAGTAGTAACTTCATGCTCGTTGCAAAATCTTTCCAATTCATCAAACCTGCTGTTTACGTTAGTAGTTGGATAAATCTTACTACGAACAAACTTGACATTGCTCTTTGTGTATTCATGGCCCGGGTACACAAGAGTACTAGACCAATTGTTCTTGCCGACACCTTCTAATATATACTTGTTCAGAGCGGCATCCATCTCTTCGCCGGTACCTTCAAAGAATCTACCACAACCAGCAGTAAACAGGGTGTCACCAGTAAAGATACATCTTTCGTCAGTTTCCGGGTCTCTTATGTAGTAGCATACAGAGTCCTGTGTATGGCATGGAGTCCTAATGCATGTAACATCCAAATTACCAATCTTTAGCTTCTGTGAATGTGTTGGAATCAATGTAACATTGTCACACTCCTCAGAGCCACCAATTACTTGCAATGGCTTGCCAACAGTCTCCTTAAATTGCTTTAGCAAACTAGTGTTACCACCAGCATGGTCATAGTGGTGATGAGTATTGACTAACGCCACTACACTTTCCCTTTCGCTCTCTGACAACTCTGGCCAGACTTCATGCGGCTCAGCTGGATCAATTAACCAAGATGTGGTTTGGTCCTGGTTGCTGACCAGATAACTGTAGTTGACACCACCTGTGTGCCATCTCATCTTAATTGGCTTAACATGCATCTTCCTAATTAATTGTAGGTTCCTCAGTCTGTTCATAAAATTATTTATGGCCAGCTTCTAAAACCTGTTACAGAATCGGTTACTGGATCTAGTCACTACTCAAATAGATATAATTGCAAGGATAAGTCTCAAAGTTTAGAAACTTTGAGTGCTACACAATGTCCCCATTAGGGAGCAGGTCGTCTTAGCAATTTAGGGCTGCTCTAGCTCGCTTTTTTTCTCGATAGCTAGTCGGGCTTTCTTTCTTTCGCACGGACATAACTTTAATAGATAAAGCTCAACTTCATGTGATAATATTATTAGGCATTCAATTTAATGATATTATAGAGCATTCTATACTCGTTACAAACAACATTTAAACATCGGTATGATACAAAAGTCTTCAATTATATCATTTAAATAGTTTTATCCCCGGTAAAATGCAACAAAGTTAAATGGCAACTGAAGTTACTCTCATCCAGAATGGCCATTGGTGCCATTACTGCACAAGAGGTAATATAAAAACCAGTTGACCACAACGTACTTTGGTGTCTCTGTGTGGGTTTTCATCCATTTTTGAACAGCAGGGCAGGATGAAGTATATTACTAAAATTGAAGTATGCAATTGACAGTTGAATATGAAATAGAAAATAAATCATTCATATAAATTTTGATAATCAAATGACTGAAAAAGACATGGTGCTAAAGGAAGAGAAATCGTTACACTTCGTGATATTAGGTTATGTCGGCAAATATTATTAACGGAGATTTTCAATCACGGAAGCCACCACTTTTTGATAAGTCAACCTCTTTAGCTTGAAGTCTCTTAACCAACTTGAGCCTTTGCAACTCTTGCCAACGTGTTAGTTGTGCTTGTTTATGTAATTCGAACCCAAATATCTTTGGAACATATCTAGCAGTTGGGTGTTTAGGTACCATGTCTGGGAATGCCTGTAAGAACATTCCTGGGAAACTAGTTCCGAAGTATGCACCATCAATGGAACTGTGTCTAGATGACTTAGGGTTGTAAAGGTCTTCACATGATGGACAGTATAGTTTGACACTATCTATACCAGGAACATCATGTAAACCCACCGGCAGCAAAGGTTGAAAGTTACAATATACTCTTGAACATCTACCAAAATCTGCGTCTTTGTACTTGCTCAACATCTTCTGTAATCCTTTCACCGTGATAATATATCTCGCATGGATCAACCCATAAAATTTTCTGGCGTCATTCTCCAATTGCTCAAGACGTGCTTTGGACATGTTCTCCACAATGCTGTCATCTAACTCATCCACTATATATTGTACAACTTGGCTGAACTTCGACACTGTCTTTTGTAAGTTAATCAGATTGAAACGGTCTGTTATGTATTCTGGATCGACGTCACAGAAGTATTCATGCCCTTTTCTTCCTAAAAACAAATCTATCCACATCTGAGCATACTCTGAAGAATCAGTGGCGTCGTCCATTACTTCATCATCCAACTCAACCCTGCTAGTGTTTGTACTCATACGATCCGCCATCTGTATATCTCTCTCAGTCATGGTATCACTTAATATCTATTATTATATTGTAGTTTCTGCGTTACTTAGGTTTCCTTTCTCCTCCAAATACTGTATTTGCTTCTATCAATGGAGCTCTATCACGGATACAATCTCCTGCTGCTCTAACTATTCTGTGTAGTGGTATTCCCAAAGCAGCTATGCCCCCTTTTCAATTGGTATCAATGTAATGTGCTACTACCAGCAGATAAGACAAAATTGCACTCTCTCAAATGCTGCTGCCAAGAGTATATACTCAAACGTCAAGACAGTGTCAGTCCAAAGATCGTCAATCAATCTCACAGTCCAAGGATTGTCCATCAACTAACAACGTTTCCCAAGCGTATTTTTCCAAATTGCTTCAGAATATTTTTTTTTTTTCAGAGAAATCATCAAAATCCGTGTCGTGTGCGTATTTGGCAGAAGATAGGCTAGTTTAACAATACAACAATAGTAAAATTGATTCAAGCAGTAGTCTTGGATGGTGTCTCTTATACCAACCACTCTTGTCATTAGAATATTCCTTACAAAGGTATACTAATTAGTAACGGATTCAACGCTTCGCATCTCCTTCCAATTATTTCGAGTGTTTATAAGATATAAAAAAGCAGACACGAATTCTAGATGAGGTTGTTGAAGTATCCCTTAGAAGGTATTAGCGGTAATGTTACGAGTCTTGTTACAATTGACGCCGAGTATGTTGTTGTGTGTGGGAGTCGCGGAGATATACAGGTATGGCACCAGCAACAGTTACTGGATACCGCGTTTGACAGGTGTACCCTTGAAACTTTGAAGCCGAAATATAGTTTCACGTTTGAACTTAAAGATGACGAGGACGAGTTAGTTTTTGCCATGGGTGATCGCGATTGTCTGTACTTGGGAACTGAGCACAGCGTTTACAGCTATTCCGGATGGCTAAAAGCGTTGGAATCTGGTCACACTACATTGGAAAACAAGCTGATATATACGACAGTGAGCCAATCTATCATTACAGATGTGAAATGGGATTCTCTTTTGGATATACTCTTTGTTTTGACTGATAGGCCTTGTAAGATACATTTGTTTGATACTAGATCAGCCAACAAAAAGGAAATTACATCAATAGCCCTCGATAAAAATAGCAAGCCCCTTACCGGTGTAGTAGATCCATCTGGTGCAGGTACATTCACTGTCTTAACATCCGATAGATCAATTGTAGTATATCATATCAATAGAACTGGTGATTATAAAGAAGTGAAAAAACTATCGCAACACGTATTAGTCTACCCGTTGCATTACAAGATCACTATGCCCCCACAAGCAGATTTCCTACCAATAATAAACAGTTTAAAAGGTAGCTCAGGAGCAGCAGGTTCAACAGCTACGGTTCTACTTAATAGAAATGAAAATTATAAAGTGATGTCTACTTTGGTACCTTCAGCATCGAGTAATACTAAGGTTCTAGTGCATTCCCCAAAAATGTATGAGAAGGCCAACTTGAAGAGAGGGACAATTTCAAGGTACAATTTAGTAGCTACATCAACAAATACAGATGGCTCGATTATGATATGGAACACAAAGAGGGGTAAACCATTATTTGCCCCACTAAATATTTCTGATTCAGCCATAAATGATATGATATGGTCAAGTAATGGGTTGACACTTTTTGCAGTGTCGAACGACAATGTACTTTATACTTTTGCATTTTTGCAAGATGACTTAGGTAAAACTGTGCCTATGGAGGAAATTGAGAATATACGCCAATCCAACATCATTAAAGAGCCTCTCCCTATTGCATATGTCATTACTGCTTCCGATGGTTTGGGGGACATATCCACCTCAAAAAATCAAGGTTTGGGCGTGGCAGCTGATAATAGTAGTAATATACTTTCTACTGACACTAATACGAACGAAAAAAATCTGTCTACAGTAAATACAACGGAACCTCAGACAAACTCTCAAAGTTCTAGTTATAACAACAAGCCAGAAAGTAAGCTTGACTCCTCTAAGAGTGAAATAACTTCCGCAGATAGTTCTGATGAGAAGGCTAAAAACTTAGAAGCCAGACCAATTGAAGCCAAGAGTAAGAAAATATTAAATGGTAAAAATCTAGAAAGTAAAAGTTCTTCTGTAACAACTAGCGATAATATTCAAAAGAAAGTAGAGGATTCTAAATCTAATGTTAGCGTTACTGCTACAGAAAAGAAAACCAAACCTGATAAGAAATCAATCAAGTCTGAAAATGGTGAATCTAAAGTAAATAAAGCTCAAAATACTATCAGTCCAAAAGAAAGTAATACGACGGACAATAAATCAACCACACCGGACTTTAAGAATCCTTCGTATCAGGTTCCTAAGGATCTTAAAAGAAAGCCTAAGGAGGATGCATTAGGAAATGCAGTTACTAAAAGAGCCAAAAAAGACTTAGAGCCTGTTGATTTTCTAGATACGGGTCTACTTCTGCCAAATGTAGCCTTTTCTCGTGTCAGGTTGTCAACTCCATTGATTCGAATGAATATTGATTGTACATCATCCAATGACAGTAAAATATTACTAAATATTAGAAACGGTAGCGGAAATGAGCAAAAGCCCACAATTGTGAAATTACTTGATAAAACAGTTACACCAGAAAGAACCTTGTTCCAGGATTTTATTCCAAAATTTGTTAGCCTTGCTACATCCGGTGATGATTTTTGGGCTTGTTCGAGTGAAGATGGAACTCTATATATATTCAATGATGTAGGGAGGAAAATTATTCCACCTCTTACGATTGGGGTTCCTATAAGTTTTTTAGAAGCTTGCGGGAAATATTTATTGTGTGTCTCCAGTATTGGAGAGCTATATTGCTGGAATATTGCTTCCAGTAAATTGGAATTTCCTGTTACAACCATTTTCCCCTTATTAAGTCCAAGTATAAGGTACTCAGATGATATTTTGACTAGAGCTGAAAATATTACAATGTGCTCTGTCACAAATAATGGCTTCCCTATTGCTACTTTGAGTAATGGGGATGGTTACATGTACGATAAAAATATGGAAACGTGGCTTCTTGTCTCTGACGGTTGGTGGGCTTATGGTTCTCAATATTGGGATTCTACTAATAACTCTAATTTGATTCCAGATTCTTCTACAAAGCCAACTGAAGGACAGTCTTCTACCGAAATATCAAAAGCAAGTATTGTCACTCTACTGGAGAAGAAGACTAATAATGAATTAACTAGAAAGGGTAGAATAAAGAATTTACGAAGATTTGCTAGGACAATTCTGATGAAAGAGGGATTTGAGAATATTGAGGAGATTGTAACTTTATCGCACTTGGAAAACAAACTGCTTGTAACATTGAGGCTTGAAGAGCAGCATGAGTTTAAGAAACTAATTAAGCTTTATGCCGTAAAATTAGGTGAACTTGGTTATGTAGATAGACTTCGTGATCTTTTTGCATGGATTATTTCTGACAGCAATGACAATGGTGACTTAATTCCTGGTATTAATAGAAAAGAATTAGTTAAAACTCTATTGACAGCATGTGCGGATTTAAGATCAGTACAACGAGTGACCATTGATTATGCAGATATGTTGGGTTACTTACCGAACGATATTTTTTTCGATTGTGAATCACAAAATGATACTGGTAAGTAGTATTAATAGGTAAATACATAAGGTACATTTATTTACAAGGTCAAATGAGTCCAAGTGCTAGTTTTTCTCTAATCCATCTTATATACGTTTGAGTTATCCCAACCTTTTTCTCCAAGTAGTCCTTCTATCGGGCCTTGTGAAGTATCGTATTTTGCGCCAGCCACAGTTGTTATGTACCCTTCTGGGCCGCAAACTATGGATGTATCTAGATTTCCAGCGTTGGAAGTATTAGGTCCAGGAATCAATTGTTTAAAATCAATAATGTTATCGCCTTTAGATGTCTCGAATAAGTGGTAAGTTATTTTATTTTGTTGCGCTAGTCCATTAACAAGATGATAGAGGCATCCTAATTCCTGGATGGACTTGCAAGAATGAAATAGTGTCATATTGTAGTTGAACTGTCCATAAGGATTTAATATCGGTTGTAGTGCTGTAACAATACCTGTACCACCGGCAAAAAAAGGAACGTTTGATAATTGAGTTTTATTTATAAGGGTACTTCCGTTAGCATCTCTATGATGCTTGGATAAGTCGTTTCGGAACTTGTAATCGATAAATGGCCCTCTTAATTCAAGAGTGCTCCCCACAGGCAATGACTTTATCCAGCGAGCTACTTCACCGTTATTGTAACTCTTAATGTAGAACAATAGCTTTTTAGATTCTACTGGATCATTTAAGTCTAGAGGAACAATATTTCCATTGCTCTTGAGTTGTAACGGCAATGGTGTGTAATTTCTGACTACCATTATTTCTGGCTGCTTAACTTCAATCGACCAGAGTATATTTCTTTCCAGTTCTTTCCACAAGTTCACGTTCTGCCTTTTGAGTGGAGTTAGTTCGATTAAATAATGGCAATTATCAATATCATGTCTGCGTGTTATTTTATATTCTGTGAAGTCATTCGGACTCAACTCTTTAGTTTTAGTAAATGTCTCAACGTATTTCTGCTTGATGAGATCCTTATAAGTCCAGGTGACAAAGGCTGAGGCTGATAATATAATAGAATATCCTATTATAGACCTCTTAGAAAAACTTCTCTTAATTGGACTAACGCTCGAGATGGTCCTCCTACCACAGAGAGCTTGATACCCTTTCAACATAGTCTTGGATCGGGAAGAAATCTATTTTGATTATGATTCCTTTTAATTGTCATATTATTTCTATGTGAGCTTATTATCGATTAATTCAGGATTTGATGATCATTTGCATTCAAATTTGAAGTCATCGGGTATCGGGTTCTGTGTGGGAATGATGCAATCGAGATAAAATATGACTTGATAGATTTAGCAGTAAATATATGTATGAGAAAGTTTGAATATACTATTTAATAATACTTGATGTTAGACACTTAAAAATTACAAGCAAGCTAAAGAGTGCAATGAAAATAAAAAGTTCACCTTTGGAAAACCAGTTCCAAGGTAGTTGCGTTTTTTACAATCTTATCGAATTCTTGGTAATGCCAACTCTAGATTACTATTAAAATCATCAGTATTAGCATCACGACAAGTATCATCAGAAAATACAAGCAGTACCTGCTGCTACGTTTTTGCATTCTATTTGCTTTGTTGAGTTCTTGGGATGCACCTGCAGTATTTTCAACTGCGGAATATATGTTGGCTTCTATGTTATCGACCATCATACCTTGGTGAGTTATTACAGCCCCCAGATCCTTGAATATACCGTTAAGCTCTGTGATACCTCTCTCGATATTTGTGATCTCTTCATCTCTTTCTTGAATGAGCCTCTGCTGATAAGCAAACTCTTCATTGTTGATAGGTTCTCTCTCGATAACGAAGTTCACTTGACGTTGAGCTGTATTATCATTATTTGTCTGATGTGATTCTTCATCTTCTTGTAACAGTGCTGTCCAGTTTTGTTCTTCATTCAATTTGCCTCTTGCTTCCGCATTTATGGACTTGATAATCTTCGAGAACTGCTGTTGTGCTGTTTGAGATTCTTGTATTGAGAATCTTGAGTCTCTAATTAGCTTGTCTCTGGCTATAATTTGTGGCTTATCGAGCTCAGAGTCCTCGATGTTGTCAATCTCTTTCACATCTTCGTTTACATTCTTTAAAAGCTCATTAACCACCTCTATATTAGTTAAAGCCTTCTTATTGATGTTTTGAACAACGTTGGCATTGACATCTATGTCAGAATTATCCAAGAACCGAGACAAGGACTCGGTGAACTGCCTCAGTGTCGAGACCCGGCCGTTAACCTCAAATAACTCGCTGGAAATCTTGTCTTTTAGCTCTTCAAACCGGGGACAGTCTCTGAACATGGGAGAAGACTCCCTCTCCTCATATGAATCCATTTCCGTAATCTGTCTGTCAAACCGCTAGTTTTAACACTTTCCCCTATTAATAAAGCTCGTAAAATACTAATAGCTTTTAAAACTTCCTTCTCTCAAAGTTAAATTCCAGTAGTGTTAGCCTTCAAATTTGTTTTATGACTGAATGTACTCCTCTGCTGTACATAAAACAGCCAATATATAACTTTTAAACAGTATTAACGTTGAAGAGTGGCTTTTTTGACACTTTAATATGCGATGATCCGATTTTCTGCCAAAGTTGCCCGACGATGAGCATGAAGGGGATCGCATCCCTACAAAATATATACAATATAGGAAATGAGTAGTCAAATTTTGGGCAAGTTACATCAATTGTAACTGTCAATATTACTAGTGACAGTGACCTAAGGTTTGCTTTATTAATTGCTGGTTAAGAGTGGAGGGAAGAGGCCAAAAAAAGCTGGTACTGCAGAGTTACATTTGAAAGCGGAACCGCAGTAATGTCTGTAAGTAAAGATGCTATAGAAACACTCTGTGAGGAGCTGGACAAATCTGCTACTATTTCAATTGATGAAAAGAGCTATCAGGAGGCTTTAGATGAGATTAAAGATATAATTGTACGTAAGAAGAGGGTAGCGAGTGCGCAATTACCTGAGATCGAGAAGGTTTTGATTAGATCGTACCAGGATCATACTGAGAGCAAGAAATTCCTGCGAGAAATTATTAAAAGTAATGTGGGTAAAGCATTAGATCTTTTTGAGATGTTAAGTTTACCGTCTATACATGTTCTAGTTGGTATTTTCTTTGACAGTGAAGAGACCATGGTTTTATTAGATGAGCTGAGAACTAGGATTCATTATGGAGAGGACCCCAATATAAAATACCTTTTGTCGATTGTGCTGCAATTGCTCTCGAAGTTCACCTATGTGTTTAACGATTTCTCATTTTTAGTCAGAGATTTGTGTCTGCGATGCAGAGAACCGGATGTCTCGCCAATGATGCTGTTAATCTTTACGCAGTTAAATTATAGATACCCTGATGAATTCAAAGTAAAATTTCTAGAAACTATGGATGTACTGATAATGGAAGCTGAGGAGGATATAGGCGACGAACCTCTATGCCTAATTGTGGAGATACTGACGGAATTGTATCCCTCTCTAACAGGACTATGTTCCGAGGTCCTGTTAACTAGGGGTGCAGGCAAAATGCTCAAAGAAAGGGCTACAAGCGAGGACAGCGATAAAAACTTTAGAAGTAAGTTATTGAAGCTGCTATCGATCGCATGTATAGATGAAACTGTACGAGTTCATATTAGTGAAAAATATATCGAAACTCTGGAAACCTCAATGCAGTTTTCTGAATATAAGGTTTTGGCTGCACTTGTTTTGATCAAGACATGGTCTTTCTTGAAACTTAAGCACATTGATATTAACAAACTGGCATCGATATTAGTGGATAATTTTTTGGATAGTGCAGTCTTAGAATCGGAAGATACGGAAACAAGGGATAGTAATCAGACCCTAGTCTACACTATTGAAGGTTTAGCTTATTTAACCCTGAAAGTTCCCATTAAAAGAATGCTAAGAATTCATGAAGTTTTTAGAAATGAAATCATCAAGCTAGCAAAAAAGGAATCAGGTACTAACCCCAACTATTTTGGGATATTGATAATAATTGCAAATTTGACAGCTTTGCCCAATGATAAGACTAATCCGACAAATCAAACTCATTCTGGATCGATGGCTCAGTTGAGCATGTATGCTAATATGGGAGCTGATACGAATAAATTGAAAGATAACGTTCCTGATTCAGAAGAAGAAGTAAAAGAATTTCAAGAGAAATTTATACTAAAAAAGGATCTTCTTGCTGATATGAAAACAAAGTTCAACGATATGTCTCCAGGATCCAAACAACAATACATGAGGATAGTGTATAATATGACAAGGGTAAAGGAGAATATATCGTCATGTGTCCAACAAGGGGTGACTACAAATATTCTTGAGTATTTGGTTAGTAAACAAGATAAGGGTGTAGCAGTTAGGCTACTAGCATACCGATCACTGACTAGAATTTTAATCTCTACAGATCCAGCTTTAATTTTCAATAAGTACTCACCACTAAATGCCATTCCATTTTTATTTGATTTAATTGGTACTACGGAATCTGGCGAGGAAACTCAAGAAAAGATAGAACTAAACCCTTTACTAGAAAATGATGACAATATTGAAGTATTAGATCGCTATGAAGCTCTATTGGCATTAACAAACTTGGCAGCTACTCCAACTTCTAATGGGGAGGAGATTTGTAAATCGATTTCTAATACACCAAAATATTGGAATTCAATAGTAAATTTGATGCTAAATGAGAATCTATTGATTCAAAGATCGACTCTGGAACTGATCAGCAATCTCATGAGTCATCCACTTCCAGTGGCTGCCAAGTTTTTCAATTTTTCTAACCCTCAGAGTTTGCGTAATTTCAACACACTAGTACAATTGATTGAGCTGGACGATATAGCTTCTCAAAGAGCAATCGCTGCTTTGTTCGCAAATATTGTTATTTCTGTGCCATTCATATCTGAGGAGTTGTACGAGAAAGATGTTCTTATTAGCAGAGCTATTCGAATATTGAATGATCAAAATGATGATATTGAATTAACCCAAAGATTAATAATATTTTTCTATGGATTATTTGAATATGCTCCTGAAAAGCCTGAGAGTCAGAAAGCCAAGGAAAAGAATTTGTTTAAAAATGCAAACCTCAGAAAAGCATTGGAAAAGTCTCTGGTAAACCAAAATGTTGGGGGAGAATACAAGGATGCTATTCCTACAATGTTGGCTTTGATGTCATAAATTCGTCAATATCTATGTTATCAATTATATATTACTTGTAAGATATAATTACAAACTTTTAAGTGAACTTGTATAAATGCAACTTTATTACAACTTTACGAGCAATGGTATCATTAGCTATTAGGAAATGGCTCCCTTATCGAGTTTATACAGCGTTATCATAAGCTGCAGGACTGCCAACCAAGCAGGTAGCTGGTTGTGAATCAGTTGAAGAGGCACGATCATCGATATGGGTTTCAAAACTATTATAATTCATGACTTTGTTTTTGCTAAGTTGTCCCTTTTTACCATTATTTATTTTATCTCCGTCGAAATCGTTAACATTATCGGCACTTATTTTCCTTTTTTTACCGTTAGGTAGTAATTTACTATGTTCCTTATATTGTTCACGAAGTTGTTTGACAAACGTGATGTAAAGTAATTTATCCAAAACCTCTGGGTATTTATCATTAATATGTTTGTTTAACATAGTAAAATTACTGCTGGGAATAGAACCAGACCTCCGGTGTAGTTCTGTAGCGTTTATGTTGTAGGCATTATCAGAGTAGTTAAACAGTTCCGAATCATCCTTAAAAACATGGCACTCTGATGCAATGATTCTAAAAAAATCTTGAAGAGCCGAATTGGCTAGATTATCTTCAAGCAGATGTTCCTCCATCAGTTTCATAATAGGGGAATACAGCTCGTTACTAATCATATGTCTGTGGTAATATTTGTCATCCAGACAGATGATATTTTTTATGCATCTCAGTGCAGTTAATCGTAATTGTAGCCTGTAACCAGGGTTTATTAGGTTACTAATTGAATCTAATATCCCATTTTCTAAAACAAACTTTCGTGAGATTAACCTTTCATGTTCACTGCAAATAAAAGATACCAACTTCACAAGGTGTATCATTAATACATCATCATTAACATATTTCTGCCTTTCTTCATCTGACATACAATTGTTCTCTATTAATGGGCCAAAGAGTTTGGGAGCTATCTGAATATAGAATTGTTTGAAATACTCCGCTATTTGGTTTTCTAATTGTTGAGAACTATTCAAGGTAAATGGAGGTATTTTTGACATGCCGGTTTGTTCTTGAAAATCATCATCCAAGTTATTGGAATCTTTTCTGAGTAAGATATTATCATCAAAATCTAGCCCGTTATCCAGTTGGTTATCAAATCCATCTCCTATGCAACCTTCAGGATGTAGTAAGGTATTCAGTGCCTGAACCACCTGTTCTCGAAGTCCAGGATTGTTGTCTGTAAGTAAAATTGTAGATAAAATTTCTAATAGCGTTAGATCAACCGTTGCGTTTGCTTCAGAACTTTTGGCTTCATTTTGATTACCATTCAAACAAAGTGATTGTCGGTCGTTATGCTGTGAGATTTCTTTTTGAACGTTATGAATGAGTAATATATCGTGTTCAACAATGGCTATTATTGTGTCAGTGGCTAATATTCTAAGGTTATTATCTTTCTCGAAGTTGAACGCATAATCAAGTAGATTAAACAACCCCTTCTTGACAAGCACTTTGTAAAATTTACTTTTGTCCATGTGCTCTAAATTTCTTGACATTTGGATACATTGATGAAGTAATTTGATACCCTCTTTTCTTTTTTGAATAAGGTCGGTTGACTCATCTGTGAGCTCGGAGTTGTATATTTTATCCTTCGAGTAGAGTTGTAGTAGATTATCTAGAAATGGGTCTGTCTGAAGTGAATCTATTATGCATGTCTCAAGGTCTAGTATTATATCAGTTATCAGACCGAGGTTGTTATCATCAAGGAATTGGACAAGTACTACATCTTTTAGAAATTGTAGTCTGAAGCATTTTTTAATTACAGTTTTCAGTTCTTCATTTTCTAATGGTATTATTTCTTTGAAACTTGGAGCTTCGGATTCCAAACATTTCCTATGGTTAGCTTTAGACGTTGGGAACTCGGTGTCGTATTCTAATATACCTACCACGCCCATTATTCTCTTATCTTCCACTAGGGACTCTATAATATCTCTCTGGTTATAAAGTATCATGGTCTTCAGTATGTTGCTAATGAGAAACAAGTCTCGCGGTATCTTTTCAGTTTCAGCTTTATGGAAGTGAGCTATCAGCAGGTCGATGTAGTTGTTCTTTAGGACATACTCTACTGTTTCTGTTTTCAAGTATTCAAACGCAGTATTGTCGTTTAGAATTTTCAATGCATCCAGTAGTGTTGTAGTGTTCTGTTTTGTTTCTATTGATGGCAGCGCCACAGGGCCGGTGATTATTTCATGTATGGACCCCATGCCGTTATCAACCGACTTCACTGCCACGAGAGATATGTTTGGTTCTATTGACCGCTGCACATTTACGACAAATTCGCATAGTGTGTCGCAACCGAGACTCTCCTCAAAGCTCAGGGCGATATCCTTGCCTTCGACATCCTTCCAAACAATCAGCGTCTCCTCCTGTCGCTGGTACTCTATGTTGCCTTCTAGTTTCGACCGCAGGAGCACTTGGTGTGGCTCATTCTCGTTAGTCACCAGCAGGAAAGCCTCCTCCCGCTTATTATCCACCAGCTCCGTGGACACCACTTCACCGTGGCAGTATCCAGTACCTGTGTCCTTCCACTCGTTGTTCTCCAGCAGGTACACTTTCACACGCTTAGAGTCCGTCCTTGTGACGTTAGTCGAGTGCAACGTCATTATAGCCGTTTATAATTCAGTGGTCTTCTGAGGGTCTAAGTGCAGGTTAGTCGGGTAGAAAGAGTAGTGAAAGCTTCAAAAGCAACCTATTTGCCAATAAAATAATCTACGCTTCAAAAAAAAAAAAATAAAATAACATAACACCACGTCAAAAGGACTAGATGAGCTGGCGATTCCCGATATGTAATGATTACAATCGCCAAATTTTTGCAAAATCTAGTCTCGCCCGCAACAACGTAGATGCAGGAACCCGAAGTTCAAGGTGATCTTTCTCAACTTTCGTAATCTGTCAAGAACAAAGGCTTCGAAAATCCGTGCGGGACCACACCGATACAAGGTTCTTTTGTTCAGGTGTTGTTGTGTATACTATCGTGTACCAAAGCACAACTTACAATACTGTGTCCTATCCCCTTTCAGTAGTCTATCTTAGACTACTTTGTATGATAATAGAAACTTGTTGAATAGTCAGGACATTTAGCGGGTAATTGAACTGGTAGCTTCCGCACTGCCTGGGTTGTGAAGGTCCGGGTAAATACGTTTAGGTCCGGGTAAACCACTTATCAGGTCCGGGTAAACACGTATAACATGATTATAGCAGTTTCTGTTGATATAGTCTAAAACGATCTTGTGGATCAGTTAGTTCTTGTGTCCAGTTATACTTAGAAGACATGATGATAAGATATTAATTCAAAACTCTAAGGGTATATTATACAAATTATACTGGTTATCCTTTTTCATTATACAGAATAAGATGCTAGAACTTAGGTTTAACTTCATAGACTAATGGAGATGAGGGCTCCTTTTATACCTTTTATCTTTGGCAGATAAACTGGTTCTAAGAAGCCCTTATTCGGTTTCTTTTCTGATTAGTAATATTTTAGGTGAACAGAATTTTCACCTGTAAGATGACCATAGTCCGTTACCGGCCTAGTTATATCTTATCTTATCTTCTCCTTCGTTTATATACTTCTGTGCCTGTATGAGCGGTAATATAATGCCTGGTGTCATTGTCGTTTAAGACGCTCATATTCATGGCACGGTATAATCATATGATCATCTTCGTTTAGAATAATAAGTAGTTTCGAGTTTATCTCAACAAAGAGAGAAGGAAAAGGGCAAAAGCCATTAACTGCACTATGTACGATTTTCTCATTAGGAGCAAGGGTAGAGTTACCCTCTCAAGAGGTTACCCTCTCAAGAGGTTCGCTTCTTAGAGGTTCGCTTCTTCCTTTCTGGCCTTCACTCCCCCCCACCGAGGCAGTTGGCTAAACTTGCAAATCGAGAATCGAGATTGTAAAGTATATAAAAGAAGTGATTCTAAGTTTTACATTTGTATAAACCTTCTTTCCTGATATCACCACATCAATTCCTATATTTCCACATGTCTTGGCAAGGTATGTTTTTTACTACTGTGCTTTCCCTCCCCCCATTCTGAAACATTGGAATTACGCGGGTGGTTTAATCTTGAGTGTTAATCTTTTGACCTTATGAATTTAAGAACTCTCACTAAGGATTCTCTCTCTCTTCTTACCAATTTGTGGTTTATGTGGTCTCAAGCATCGACTGATACTCATTATTAACTAAAAATTATTAGCATGAATTACTAACAATCTTTACTCAATTTTGATCTTTAAACAATTGAAAGAAGATTTATGAAGTGGAAAGGGGGGTTTCTGATTTTCAACTTTGCCCAATTGCAATATGAACCTTCAATCAATTAAGCGGTCTTATGCTTTTGCTATAATCCCTGTGATTCCACCCCCTTTTTTTATTCCTTCTTCCATTTTGTATCAGATTTGAAACGCTCTTACTCAGCTTACACTGATAACCTACTAGCTACTGGTAAGGTCGACAAGGCCGTTATTTACTCTAAGGCCGGTGACGCCGTATGGGCCACTTCCGGTGGCTTGTCTCTACAGGCAAACGAAATCAGTGAGATCGTTCAAGGTTTCGACAACCCAACCGGTTTGCAAAGCAACGGTCTACACATCCAAGGTCAGAAGTTTATGCTCCTTAGAGCCGACGACAGAAGTATCTACGGTAGACACGACGCAGAAGGTGTGGTTTGTGTCAGAACTAAGCAAACTGTTCTGATCGCACATTACCCTCCAACTGTTCAAGCAGGTGAAGCCACCAAGATCGTTGAACAATTAGCGGATTACTTGATCAGCGTCCAATACTAAGCTGAATGATACCACAGATTAATTATTTTGATATTTCCTTGGAGTCACAGAAAAGCTGCACAACAAACTAAAAGCAATTGCTTTTATTCCCGTTTTTGTTGTAAAAGTATTTGCAAATTGAGTGCCATGCTTTTGTGATGCTTACACCTGGTGCAACTAATAAAGAATAATTTATAAATATATATATATTTACTAACTAAAAAAAAAAAATATTAAACGAAACAAGATAAACTTCCCATATCGATTATTAATTTTTTATAAGCTCTTGCTAACATTGTTTAATAATATATTAAACCTAATTTGTGTATATACGCGTTTGTAGCTTTTACACAAATGGCTTAAATGGCCCCCAGTTTGGACTGACCACTCTTCTCTCACCATGCTTCTTTGCATAGTTGCTTAAGGTAGCGAAGTCCTCATCAGAAAGCTTGAAAGTTTCTTGGTTACCGTGAATCCTCTCAGGTTTAACGGATTTTGGTAGAACCACGTATCCCCTTTGTGCGTGCCAGCTGATAACCAATTGGCCAGCGTTGACGCCATTTTTCTTGGCTATTTCTGTGATCTCTTCCTCTTTCAAGATTGGGGCGTCTGTACTACCCAATGGTGAGTACGCTTCAAGAACGATTCCCTTTTCTTTACAGAAATTGATCAATTCATCTTGAGGTAGGAGAGGATGGATCTCAATTTGGTTAGCTGCAGGTACTACTTTGTTTCCCTTAGAGTTCAAAAGCTCCTTCAAGTTATTAATAGAAAAGTTTGAAACACCAATAGCTCTGGCCTTTTCCTTTGGAAGCTCTTGCATCAGCTCCCATGTCTTGACAAAATTCCAGTCCTCGAGGTCAACATCTCTGGAGCCATCTTCTCTCTCGGGGATCTGAAGCAAGTTTCCGTCTTTGATCAAATCAGTCTTCAAGGCAACGGGCCAGTGCATTAAATACAAATCAACGTAGTCCAGGCCCAACCTTTTCAAAGATTGGTCCAGGGCCTCAGTTGGGTTGCGATGTTGCGTACCCCACAATTTGGTGGTGACAAACAACTCATTTCTGGGGATGTTCGAGTCCCTGATGGCTCTGCCAATCTCCTCCTCGTTCTTATAGATAGCAGCAGTGTCAATGTGTCTGTAGCCGGCCTTCAAGGCCTCCAAAGTCGCATTGTAACCCTCGTTTTCACTGGATTGCCAGGTTCCCAAACCAATTACAGGAATGTGGGCACCGGTGTTCAATTTCAAAGTAGAAGTGTTCTTATGTAGAGCAGCCATTGCGTTAGTATAGATTGATCTATTTATGAGTGTGGTGTTTCTAAGCATTTAGTGTATGGATAGAAGTATTCTGCTACTGGGATGGGAAAGCTAGGGACTTCTCCTTCGTTTATATACGTTTTCCCAGTCTCCCCTACTCAGAATTCAACAAATTCTCTCAATTTGAAGCTCATCTGTGTTTTTAGCCCTTATTTGCTAAGTGCATGTCTCAATTACAACATTATTCGTTGCTTGTAATACCTTTCGGGATGCAAAAGATCCCGAACATTTCTTCCGGTTGGCGGGGGTGTCACACTACGCAAGGTTGGGTTCCTTAGAAATTACCAAATGTCGGAATACGTGAATTTGTTAGAGGTTGCAGAACAAAGCTACAATCCATCTGGCATCTACACACTTTTTTTTCATTCTTTTGGCACTGCACAGCAGAGCATAGCACTGTATAGCAGGGCAGAGCATGGCAGAGCAACATGTTCTGGTTCTAATACTACTCAACGTACCCATAGCCCACCCTCCAAGTGCCCTCGATCATCTTCCCTCATTACACACTTCACAAAGGAATCTATTATCCTCCCCATAATCACAGAAACAGAGACGTAACGTGGTTTGTAAGGACCCTGAAAGCCCCCGCGTTCTATGCAGCTGCACAAGCGTTTCTATGCAAATCCCTTTCCTGTGAAAAATGGCACTACGTCATTTTGTGACGTTCCCTGGTTTTGACACTTTTCAGCGCTGAGACTTGTAAGGCCCAGTAGTTACGTATAGACAAGCGTGTTGTATAGCAATAGTGTACTTGTAGGTTCAAGAGTAAGTATTCACTGGTACTTTTCTATTGCATTTCCTTTCCCCAATTTGCTTGTGGTAATCTAGTGATTGTGTCTTTCAGGAGATAAGCAAAGTGGAGATAAGAGGTTGTGATCGCAAACCAGGAAGCCCATGCTGGGATTCTCGAAGCCGGAGATAAGATTGTCTGGAGTTTTAGAGTAGTTGTGGGGGGGGGAGCAGGGATCCCACCGTGGAAGTTTGTTTGTAATAAGCTATAAGCAACGTTCAGTGGGGACTAAAGGTATCGTGGTCACAGAGGCAGATTTCTACTTTGCAATGTAGAGAGCGTATTTGTAGATATCAGGTTACTCTTTGAGGCCCCACCACGCATTACCCGAAAATACAACCCTTTCTGTCATTTATAATTTTCTATGTAATTTTTCATTATATAAGGGGCGAAAGGGAGCAAAAAGAATGTTTCCACAATTGTCCCAACACATACCGACTGCAATTGAAAAAGCCTAAGCATTCTATATCAAGTAGAAGATGTCTAGTGTTGTTACTTTGAACAATGGTTTGAAAATGCCCCTAGTTGGGTTGGGTTGCTGGAAGATCCCAAACGATGTCTGTGCACAGCAGGTCTACGATGCCATCAAGATTGGTTACCGTTTGTTTGACGGTGCTGAAGATTATGGTAATGAGAAGGAAGTAGGTCAAGGTATCAGAAAGGCTATTGACGAAGGTGTGGTCAAGAGGGAGGACGTCTTTGTCGTCTCCAAGTTGTGGAACAGCTTCCACCACCCAGACCATGTTAAGATGGCATTGAAGAGAACTTTGTCTGACATGGGTCTGGACTACTTGGACTTGTTCTACATCCACTTCCCAATTGCCTTCAAGTACGTGCCATTCGAAGAGAAGTACCCTCCAGGATTCTACACCGGTAAGGAAGACGAAAAGAACGGCCACATCACTGAGGCACACGTTCCTATTATCGATACTTACCGTGCTTTGGAACAGTGTGTTGAAGAAGGTTTGATCAAATCTATCGGTATCTCCAACTTTTCCGGTTCTCTAGTGCAGGATTTGCTACGCCAATGCAAGATCAAGCCAGTTGCTTTGCAAGTTGAACACCATCCATACTTGACCCAAGAGCACCTGGTTGAGTATTGCAAGGACAATGGTATCCAAGTTGTCGCATACTCCTCATTTGGTCCACAATCTTACATCGAGTTGAACCACCCATTGGCCAAGAACACACCAAACTTGTTCCACCATGACACCATCAAGCAGATCGCTAACAACCACAATGTTGCAACATCACAAGTCTTGCTAAGATGGGCCACACAAAGAGGCATCGCCATCATTCCAAAGTCATCCAAGAAGGAGAGACTGCAGGACAACTTGATGATTGATGAGAAGTTGACTTTGACCCACAAGGAACTGGAAGCTATCAGCAAGTTGAACAAGAACTTGAGATTGAACGACCCATGGGACTGGTTGGATGGTAAGTTCCCAATCTTTGCTTAAGGTTGTATAGACTAACTTGATATAATGCAATTTATAAAAGGATATAGCAAATTATCATCACATTGACTGTGCAAAAACCATACTATCATTAAGGCATTGCAGGTATATGGTACTAGCTCACATCCGACTGCATAGCTTTGTACGCCCACATGACTACTTCAGAGGATCTAGGGTAAAAGTGAAAAATTAGGTTCCTCATCGAATATAAGCATAAAAAGTGCTACAATCAATGCCTAAATGCTCCAGAGTACAAGATACCATTGGCAATTTATATTTGTGTTCACCATATCTCGATAAGCTTTACAGATAATAAGTTGTTATTTAAAGGTGGGCACTTTACAAAAAATTTTCAGTTATACTTGAGCAGGTTTCAAGGGTACACAAGGAGTTGAAGTTATCTTTAGAAGTTACCTACATGGTGGAATACTCCTCAAGTGGAAGTAGTGTATAAGGGAAAGTAGAATTTACTATTCGTTGATATTAGATACTATTTTGATGGCTGATAAGGTTGCCGTTCTAGATCCAGAGCCCATAACGCTTTTAGACACCGAGGATGAGCCTGGGATCTCGCAAAGCAGGCGAAGTAGTATAGCGAACTCTAATTTCTATATAGAACGTGCGTTTGTCACAAACTGCACCATCATATCAGGGGAGCGAAGCACGCCGAAGTTTGCGGTATGGAAGGTGACTGCTGTTTTACACCCGCTAAATCCCAACAGCAGCGGGTCTTACCGAATCCACACGTATAAACGGTACTCAGATTTCGTTGAATTTCGCAACGCCTTGCTGGACAGGGTACGCACCAAGAGGCCTGCATCGGTGAGCGAGATACCCGAGCTGCCACCACCTGTCAAATGGTATTACAGCTGGAAGTACAACGAGATCAATCTCAACAAGGAATGGCTCGCCAACAGAAGAAAAGGATTGGAATTATTCATCAACCAGGTCCTGCTCAATGGCAACATCGTGGACATAGCAAAAGATTTGGTAATCCAGTTCCTACGACCCAGAAAGTAGATCTACATTGTCTAGAAATACCCGATATTCCATTTTTTTTTTGTCTTTATCTTCAACAAAAGGAGATTGCAGGAAACTGTGAGACCCCAAGTACACAGTCGCACAAACCAGAGGGATTTGAAGTCACCACCTCTCGAACCACAAACCTTAATCACTATTCGTAAATACCCTCACTACATAGAAACTCACGAGACATTAGGCATTACTATATACAATGTAACTTTGCACTTTGCACCCTACACTACGCTACCTCCCCATATCCATATCCCTCCATATCCTTCCATATCCTTCCCATCAGCACTTGTACAAGCATTCCACCAGCGAAGAGAACTTCAATCTTTCGATTACAGCCTTGGGCTGGCCAAGGGTCCACCTTTGGTAAGAGAGCGATGAGCATTAGAAATCGCTTCGTGCGGGATATCTCTTGCAGGCTGAAATTCTCAAAAATTAATAATTTGCAATTCCTTTTTCTTGCAAAAGCTTTTTACGTCTTTTCTTTTGAAAGAATAATGCGATGAGCTTTTGATAATTTACTGGTAACTTCGACTATCATTGTGGATTATCCGGGCTGGCTGGAAGTGTGTTTAGGTAATTTGTTGGATCAAGCACTCAATTCGAGTTTTATGGGTGCTTATTAGTAACAGCAATCTTAATAACGCAATTGTGTCTCGAAGTCTGATCTTTTTCATATATAAATGGGGGCTCTATTGTTCACTTTTGATGTATGGCCTGTAATCTCTTATTACATATATAATAATAAAAGAACATCTTATAAAGTACAAGAAAATACAACTATAGGAAACTCATATCCACACACACACACACATATACAAACACATACAAAAATGACTAACATGAATCACAAGAAGGTTGTTATTATTGGTTCCGGTCCAGCTGCTCACACCGCTGCCATCTACTTGGCCAGAGCTGAGATTAAGCCTACCATGTACGAGGGTATGTTGGCTAACGGTATTGCCGCTGGTGGTCAATTGACTACCACTACTGAAATCGAGAACTTCCCAGGTTTCCCAGACGGTATGACCGGTTCTGAGTTGATGGACAGAATGAGAGCTCAGTCCACCAAGTTCGGTACCGAGATCATCACCGAGACCATTGCCAAGGTTGACTTGTCTTCTAGACCATTCAAGTTGTGGACCGAGTTCAACGAAGACGGTGAGCCAATCACTACTGATGCCATTGTCATCGCTACTGGTGCCTCCGCCAAGAGATTGCACATCCCAGGTGAGGAAACTTACTGGCAACAAGGTATCTCCGCTTGTGCTGTCTGTGACGGTGCCGTCCCAATCTTCAGAAACAAGCCACTAGCCGTCATCGGTGGTGGTGACTCCGCTTGTGAAGAAGCTCAGTTCTTGACCAAGTATGGTTCCAAGGTCTACTTGATTGTTAGAAAGGACCACTTGAGAGCCTCCACTATCATGCAAAGACGTGCCGAGCAAAACGACAAGATTGAAATTCTATACAACACTGTCACCCTAGAAGCTCAAGGTGACGGTAAGTTGCTAAACAACTTGAGAATCAAGAACGTTAAGACCAACGAGGAAACCGACTTGCCAGTCAATGGTTTGTTCTACGCTATCGGTCACACCCCAGCTACTAAGATCGTAGAAGGCCAAGTTGAAACTGATGAAACTGGTTACATCAAGACCATCCCAGGTTCTTCTTTGACTAGTGTCCCAGGTGTCTTCGCCGCCGGTGACGTTCAAGATTCCAAGTACAGACAAGCTATTACTTCAGCTGGATCCGGTTGTATGGCCGGTTTGGATGCTGAAAAGTACTTGACTGAATTGGAATAAACTGATGTTTATTAATGATCTTTTACTTTTACTTTACACCTTATGTTTTCTATCCATTTCATGTCGTTCTATTGTTTCATTTGAACTTGCAGTACTGTGTCTTTAAAATTTGAATAATTTTTAATCGATCTTCAAGAAGGTACCAACTGCCCAAAAAATTTTTTATACATTCACTACTCTGTCAGATCTGTTTTTTACCGATTAGAATCTTAAATATTTGAATTATATAATTATAGACTATGTCAATATTAAGTTTTTTCATTCATAATTATCTTTTGGTTGGATTCGCCTATAGTAACCTATATGTATTCATTGAATATTATGTAAACTGCCGTGGATTCTCAGCATTCTGTTTTGAATAAGAGTAGAAAATAAACATAAATAGATATAATGTGGAGTAAGTACATTCATTGTTATCGCTTATTTTTTTACAACTGAAATAAAACAAACTAACGCATCTTCAACTGCAAGTTTTTAACTTGATCCTCCATCTTCTTAACTTTTTGTTGGATTTCTTCAAGATCCGAGTTTAACTTAGACCTCTCAGTTACAATATTTTGCTCCCATTGTCTGAATCTTTGTTCTTCAGCCTTGACTTGGTCAGTGAAGTACTTCTTCAATGCATTTTCCTCTTGTTTGTATGCCGGATTATGTGATAACTTCCTTGCTGGAGCTCTGGCAGGAATGAATGGGTCATCATCGCGCTGGTCCTCGCCTTCCTTCAAACCAACTTCTAGTCTTAATCTTCTGTATGTCTCGTAGTGGATTTCATTGGTAGTTTCTATTAAATCAGCTAAGTAGGTTCTCAATAGTAATGTTCTCAGCAGAACGAAGTTGCAATGAGCCTCATTTTCAACCTCAACTAAACCCCATGGGTATTTACGAGCCGTAACCATTTGTCCCGCGGCATTTTGGTATTGTTTATCTGATCCAACGATATGGAATGGCATAGCCTCGATGATCGACCTGGCATGTTCAAATGAGATCATGTCTTGCTTGTTTGACTGGTCGGCAGCTTCCTCCAGAGGTGGAGTAAAGATACGGATCTGGTGGTATTCCAAAACCTGTCTTATTCTATTTTTAAACTCGGTGATCTCATTCTGCGTTAGGGTATCTGATTTAGAGATAATTGGGATTAGGTTGGCTCTGCTAGAGAGACGTTTCATCGTTTCAATATCAATTGGCTTCAAGCCGTGGCCAGTTGGTCTAATGAAGTATAGGACAGCATGTATCCTCAGATCAAATTTGGTATCTCTGAATGGTTGTTGTTCTTGGCGCATGTATGAGTCGTGCTGGTCATCGATGAAGTCCACCACTGTCTGCCATGCTTTGTCATTATTGATATTGTCACCGAATCCAGGAGTATCAATAACATTTACACGTAAAGAAAAATCGGATTCCTCAAGTATAGCCCTGGAAATGTTGATACGAACAGTCTTCCTGATGGCGTTATCCCTTGGATGATCCTCGGTTGACTTCAAAGTTGTCGAGAATAATGTGTTGACAAAAGTGGTCTTACCCAGGCCAGACTCACCACAAACCATCATGTTAAACACACCGCCATCCTGCGTGACAATGCGAGCCCTTTGAGTAGGTAGGTTGCTCAAACCGATAACTTCAGCCATGTTGATCTCTTATCAGTAAACTATATTCAGTAAATTAGGTGCCTGTGATTCAGATGTAGCTCTAACAATGAAGTATTAATATAGGCTGGCAGCTGGTATACAGTTAGTTCTCCTTTTTGGTTTGGAAAGTATTCGGATAAAAATAGAAATTGGTCAAAAATTGGTGTATTTGATCCGTTCGAAGACGCAATTTGTAAAACGCAATAAGCAGCTATCAATTCAAGTGATCTTGAATGTGAATGAGAAACTGTATACTACAAGTCAGCATTGGATAAAATCAATTGTCTTCAATAGCAATGAGACTATGCTATCGAGAAATGTCCACGTTACCCAAAGGAATCGAAAACTGCTTCGATCCCGAGCCCTGGAAACGCGTAACTACGTAGATGAGTATATGGATTTGTGAGTATAATAAGCAATAAAGAAGCCGGGCAAATAATGGTAACATACGTCAATTGGTTGTGGGGCCGGTAAGCAATAAGTAGCCATTTTGTTGTAATATTGGCTAACTAGTTGGTTTGTCTCGTTTTCTGGTTGACTAGCTTGAAACTCTGATGGAGTTGGCTAATATTTGTAACGCTACCATAGCGAAGGGGATTGCTGTTCAGAAGGACAGCTATGGCGGTTACGGTGTGTATATTGTTGATCCCGGAGCTTTAGTTGGTTGTAATGATCCCAAGTTGGGTGGTGATAAAATTGAGCTCCTCAGAGTGTCCAGTGTGTTCAATGTGAAGAACCTTATGGAAGCTATGAATGCTCTGGAAGGGGAGTATGCCGAGGATGGCCAAAGAGCGGCAGATATGTTCAAGTCAATAATTGGGTCTTCTATAGAAGAATTGAGTGCTGTGTCCGAGACGTGTCTACTGGTCTATTTTATGATGGTTATTTACCTAATGGGAGAACAAGGGTACGCCGTTCCGATGAAGATATCAAGATATATTGATACAGTGTTGTTGGGGACCACTGTGAACAATGCATCGAATTGTATTGAATCAATGCTGATTCACTATGAGCATGTTGCTTTGTTTCACGAACTGGACAACAACTTGCAAAAACTGCATAAGACGCTCATAAGCAAGATGCCTTCGAAAAAGAATTACTCCATAGAACTGCTGAGACAAATATATAGTGCAACAGTGTCGAGAGTTCTTGAAATTCCCCAAGAACTACATGAAGAGAACTATATGGATAATTACGTGGTAACTCCTTCGTTGGTACCCATTTTAGATTACGTAAACCATGGTGATAAGACTTCTAGAAATGCATATTATGATGTTGATAGACGTAAAGGAGATATAATATTATATTTGGATCTGACTGTGGTGAATCCTGGGAAACTGAAGCCGAACACTGAAGTATTAATAACGTATAAAGACATTGAAGATTCATTGGCAATGATAACGAAGTATGGTTTCGATCCGGCAAATTATACAACTACAGGGACTAAGATATTCTCTTGTACATTCGATAAAATGTATCTATCTACCAACAAGTTTGATAATGAGATAGACATCCGAAACTTTTATCAATGGTTTAGCATTAATCCTTCCTTGCAATTTGTATTGAACTCAGAGAATGAATGGCTAATAAACGATTCATTAGCTGAATTTGAAAGGTTACTGGTACCATTTGCAACTAGCTCACAGCGCAATGAGCATTATTGGATATACTCTGATGGTGACGATGCTAGGAAGAGATTCATGGAGTATTTTGACATTGATGAGGTTGAAGATGAAGATGAGGCATGGGCACAACTTGAGACACAATTCAAATGGTTTGAGAGCAGCGAAAATGATCTTATGCCTTTCCCACCTTGTGTTTGGACTGTTAAAAGTAAATTCTTGAAAGAAAAGGAAGCTACAGGCTATGAGCTGGAAAAAGTAATCCAAAATAAGCTTGAAAATAGCCGGGCACTCTATAATGAAACTACGAATCAATTCCAAGCTTACCTCGAAAACTACTTAGACTATCGCATTGATGTTCTACAAGAATACAGTCCCGAAGATACTGAGAATGAGAACGCCGTCTCGCAGCTGATTGCCAGGGAATTATCTGTCCTACTTAAGATCAGAGATAGAATCAACAATAATAAATCAATATTTTTAAATTCTGAAGACAAAAAGTATGCAAAGCTACCTTTATTGCCTACAAAAAACGTCGAAAGACCGCCATGGTTATCAGAAGGTGATGACGATTTCGACCAAGACTAGCCATAGCTAATTTGGCACCAGAGCAATAATATTCATCCATGTCATGAACATAAATTATTGTAAATATAAATATAAGTGTTCTATATACTTGCTATCATAAATACCTGGCTATGGTATAATCGTATCACAATTGCAAAATAGAATATAGTCTGAGTTCATGTGATATCGTTCCGTTTACGCGTTTTCGCGTCGGCTCTCTCCTCTCTTAGAAGAACAAATGGAAAAACGTTGAAACTATTGAAATCAGTGATAACAGTGTACTAATCAGGTTGAATTATTTTTAAAGTAGTGTAAATGGTGTGTACTTGTATTCTGGATAGCGCTGAGTGAGAGTATATAACAGTGCTGCACGCAAAGGACACTCTTTTTTTTTGGGAGAACACAGAAGGTAGCTTGGCGGAATACTGCAAATAACGATCGAGTGTGCTAAGAATGAGACTACAATACATTATCTTCCTCTTGGGATGTCTCCTACAGACATCGAATGCGTTGCACACTTATGTGAAATCGGGAGAGATGAAATGTTTTTACAAGAACCTGAAGAAAGGTGATGTGTTAATTGGTGACCTTGATACAGCAGTCAAGAACAATGGTATATACGAAGAAGATCCAGCGGTTAAAGTGTCTGTTAGCATTGCTGAGACTTTTGATGATGACCACATAGTCTTGAACCAAAAGAATCCATACACTGGTGACTTTACATTCACTGCTTTGGACAATGGTGAACATAGAATTTGTGTATCTCCAACGTATCCTGATTCTAATGAGCCAATCCGTGTCTACCTTGATTTGGAGATCAGTAACATCGAGGCCTTGGACACTAAGGGAAAGCAAAACGAAGCACAATTGAGAAAAAGAGTTGATCAGTTGAACCAGAGACTAAACAACATCAGAATGGAGCAAGATGTCATTAGAGAAAATGAGGCTTCCTTCAGAAACCAGAGTGAAGCTGCCAACAGTAAGATCACTTTCTGGACTTTAGTACAAATCTTTATCCTAGCTGGTATGTGTACCTTCCAAGTCAGCTATTTGAAGAACTTCTTTGTTAAGCAAAAGGTTATATAATTAAACAAGAACACTGATTCGAAAGCCCCCATACTTGCTACATTTATACAAATAAAAGCATTAGATTTATATATTGTAACGTCACTACTATAATAGAAACATTAGTCTATTTATGAAGTTTATGCTACGATTATGTGGAAATCATAATTTTTCACCTTCGATGAGTGAAAAAAAAAAATGAATTTCAACTGTAAAGCGATGCCCAAGCTCATCGCCAGTTATATCATTACTAATGGATTAGCTTACCACTTTATAAGTGGCTGTTGTATGATCTATAGGCTTACGATAAAAACTAAAATAAGGTGAAAAAGCAACTAGTATGACAGACCAGGATCTGCTAGCTCAAATAGAGCTTTTGAAGAAGGAAAATGCACAACTAAAGGAGAAGCTGAAGAGTCAAGATGATGAGCAGTTGTCTCTGGAGGAATACAGTAGATATGGTAGACAAATGATTGTTGAAGGTACAGGAGGTGTAGTGGGTCAACTGCGGTTGAAGAAGGCTAAAGTGCTAGTGGTCGGTGCTGGTGGTCTCGGTTCTCCTTCATTGCCATATCTAGTCGGTGCCGGTGTTGGGACTATTGGTATTGTTGACAACGATATTGTTGACACTTCTAATCTGCACAGACAAACTATCCATAATACTGCTAAAGTTGGCATGTTGAAATGTGAATCTGCCAAGCAAGTTTTGAAGGATTTAAACCCACATGTGAACATCAATACATATCCTGTTAGATTGGGCCCTGAAAATGCTTTCTCGATATTTGCAGATTATGATATAGTGATGGACTGTACTGATACTCCTTTAACCAGATACTTGATCTCGGATGTTGCTGTGAATCTGGGCAAAACTGTGGTTTCAGCGTCAGGTTTGGGTACTGAAGGTCAACTTACAATTTTAAACTTCAATAATATTGGACCATGTTATAGGTGTTTCTATCCTGTGTCTCCAAACCCATATGCAGTGTCTTCTTGTCAGGAAGGTGGGGTTATTGGACCATGCATTGGTCTAGTTGGTACCATGATGGCAGTGGAGACTTTGAAAATAATAATGGGTGTCTATAATAATGAAAACTTTGAACCATTTCTATTATCTTATTCAGGCTTTCCGATTCAGAGCCTGAGAAGATTTAAAATGAGAGGTAGGCAATCAAAATGCCAGACATGTGGAGATGCACCTGTCATCACCAAAGAAGCTATTGAATCGGGAATTATTGATTATAACATCTTCTGCGGCTCAAGAAACTATAATGTTTGTGCTGAGGGAGAGAGGCTCACAGCTAAAGAATTTGACGAAAATTATGGGCCTGAATTCAGTGGAAACAACAAGGTTTTGTTAGATGTTAGGCCATCGCATCACTTTGATATATCACATTTCAATAACGCCGTTAATATTCCCTTGAAGGAATTGCGTGATATGGATGGTGATATTAGTACGCTACAGAGCAGAATACCAAACATTAATAAAAATAGTGAAGTTGTAGTTCTCTGTAGGTACGGTAACGACTCACAATTAGCCACGAGAATGCTAAAAGATGAATTTGGCATAACAAATGTCAAAGATGTGGCAGGTGGTTTTTTCAAATATATAGATGATGTTGATCAAAGCATTCCAAAATACTAATTGTATTACATAGCGTTATATTCATTCAAAGTCTATCATATATTTACGGGGAAATCTATCAATTCCATCTTAATGGCTTGCATAACATTAATGAAGGTAGTGAGCCCACTTTATTTCACATTCTCTATTGTAGCTTTTCAAGTTCAATAAAAGCTGCATCAAGATCAGCAATCAGGTCATCGGCTGATTCACAGCCTATAGAAAATCTAATCAGTGTTTGGTCAATATATGGATCTGTCATGGCTCTCCATTCAATGAGGGACTCTACACCACCCAAAGAGGTAGCATGGTGGAAATATTTCAACTTTAGAGGCAATTGCTTACATTGTTCCTTATTCATCAGTGTGATCGAGAATACTGGTGTATAACCACCTATTAATTGTTTCTTTACGAATGATTCATCTTGTAATGATGAATGAAATACTTGTCTCAAGACCTTTGAGTATTTATCTCTGTTTGAGACTAAATGTTCGACAATTTTAGTTACATTTTGTGATTGCTTCAAAATTCTCATTTCAAAAGTTCTTAATGACCTTAGTAGCAAATGGCTTTCCAGGTTTGCAACATTGGTTCCCAGGTATATTCTGTCATCCTTCAGGCGTTTGCTCACTTCTTCATCTTTGGTCACCAAGACACCACTCAACAAGTCCGAATGACCACCAAAGAATTTAGTCGCAGAGTGCATAATTATATCAGCACCAAAGTTCCAAGCATATTGTAGTGGAGGTGGAGCAAATGTTGAATCGACCATTAGTAGAGCTCCCCTGGAATGAGCCTTGTCGGCAAACGATTGTAAGTCATAAGAGGTGCCGAATGGGTTAACAGGCGTCTCGATGTGAACTATGTCACCTTTTTGGGCATACTCTTCGATATCATCCAGAGACCTTTGTATGAGGCCGTAGTTTCTGGACAATATGTCTGCAATACCGTGGACACCGTGGTAACTTTGACCTATGAATAACTGCTTAGGGTTAAAATGAGTCATGGCTGCATGGAAAGCCGCCAGGCCTGACGAATATATGACAGCATGGCCTTCCAAAATCTCAGAGAATATACTCTCGAGCCTAGTGGCATTAGGGTGGCCTAACCGGGAGTAAATGGGTGTTCTATCCATGAATTCTAGGTCTTCCCTTTCATTCCAAGGTACCAGGTCGTTCTCATCGTACCTGAATGTGGTAGCAACGTTAATAGGTGGTGCCACATCGGGCACCCTATTTTTAATGTCATCACCGTGGATCAATGTAGTGGCCAAGTCCTGTCTAGTCATTTTGTAGTTGTTGTAACTCAGTTATACAAGAGATAATAAGATGTCAAGAAAAATGTGTCTTCCCAAGCAAATGTCAATGGGTAATTCGCTTAGACAAGGTAAACTGCTTTACATTCTTGCTTATATATGCAGCAACTTGATGACCCTGACCACAGACGTCTCATGCAATTGCAAACAATCAGTCATTAACTCAATTGAGACATCTAGGCAACCACAGTTTTTAAAATGAGGTCTCGAGCATTGAGATGATTACTCATGTGAATGCTGTGATTACTTGCATTTTAGAAAGTGACAGGCTGCCAGCTTCATAGTCTCATCGCTTTGAAGGGACTATGGGCACGGTGAGTGTAAGACCAACACATTGGAACTCAATCGAGTATAGTAAAAGACGTTGCTAGTAAATGCTACACTAAGAATAATGTTGCTTTCACTCTCACTAATATCTACTACTCATCGCAAACTACTCACAATTGCATATGATCAGCATTGGGTCAGCACGAACGGGCTCCTTTTCTTTGACACAATTCTTAGATGCGCAGCCTAGCGATGAGCCAGCCAGTATAAGAGGACTCAATTGAAACCTAGGTTCAACTAATACAAAACTCTAGAGGACTCCAGCTAAAGCTATGAGAACACCCTTCTTCAAGTCTAAGGAAATGTCAAAAAGCCACGCTTCTGAGTTCATCAAGTTTTTGGACGCTTCGCCTACGCCTTACCATGCAGTTGCTTCTATAAGGCAGCATCTTGTCTCCCATGGGTTCAAGGAATTGAGTGAGAAGACTGCTTGGCATGGCAAAGTTGAGCATAATGGTAAATATTATGTTACTAGGAACAACTCTTCTATTATCGCGTTTTCCGTTGGTGGCAAGTGGAAGCCAGGTAATCCAATTGCTGTTACAGGTGCTCATACCGATTCACCTGCGTTGAGAATTAAGCCAATCTCCAAGAGGGTGAGTGAGAAGTATGCACAAGTTGGTGTAGAGACTTATGGTGGTGGTATATGGCATTCCTGGTTTGATTCTGATCTTGCCTTGGCTGGTAGAGTGTTTGTCAACGATAAATCTTCTGGCAAGATTGTCTCTAAGTTAGTTGATTTAAAGAGACCTCTCTTGAAGATCCCAACTTTGGCTATTCACTTGGACAGAGAAGTTAACCAAAAATTTGAATTCAACAAAGAGACTCAACTTCTACCAATTGCAGGTTTGGTCAAGGATGAGAAAAATGATAAGTCTAAGAACGATAATAATTCTGGAGCTATCAAATCTATTGTGGAGCGCCACCACAAAGAACTTTTGGACCTTGTTGCCAAAGAGCTGGAATTGAAATCTGTGGAAGATATCGAAGATTTTGAATTGATCCTATACGATTACCAAGGTCCAACCCTTGGTGGTATCAATGACGAGTTTGTCTTCTCCGGAAGGCTAGATAACTTGACCTCTTGTTTTACTTCTATGCACGGTCTAACATTGGCTGCTGATACTGATTTGAGTAATGAGAGTGGTATTAGAATGATGGCTTGTTTCGATCATGAAGAAATTGGCTCCTCATCTGCACAAGGTGCTGACTCAACATTTTTGCCAAGTGTGATTGAACGTTTGTCTTACTTAAAGGCAGATGGTACAGATGCTGAAAACCCAGTTACTGTACCTTCCTATCATGAAACTTACTCTAGATCATTCTTCTTGTCATCTGATGTTGCTCATGCAGTTCATCCTAATTACGCTTCAAAGTATGAATCGCAACACAAGCCTCTAATTGGTGAAGGTCCAGTCATCAAAATTAATGCCAATCAGCGCTACATGACTAACTCACCTGGTTTGGTTCTGGTTAAAAAGGTTGCTGAGATTTCAAAGGTACCACTACAACTATTTGTAGTTGCAAATAACTCTCCATGTGGTTCCACAATCGGTCCAATTTTGGCATCAAAAACAGGTATTAGAACGTTAGATCTAGGTAATCCAATCTTGAGTATGCATTCCATTAGAGAAACTGGTGGTTCTCGGGACATTGACTATCAAATTCAGTTGTTCCAGAAATTCTTTGAGCAATATACCAAACTTGAAGATCAAATTGAAGTTTGAGATAAATGAAGCATTGTTTTCCATAATCGGTACTACATTCTCATGATGTAGAATTTAGCATCAATTTGGGAAGTGCCAAAATTAACAGAATAAATAATAAAATTAATGAAAACAACTATATTTATAATAATTATTTATAAAATAACGATATGATTATTTATATGAAGATGCGATTGACTCGGCAGCTGTTCTACCATAAACAACACATTCCAATAAACTGGAACCACCTAGTCTATTGGCACCATGAACACCACCGGAAACTTCACCAGCTGCATATAAGCCCTTAGCTAATGGTTTTCCTGAAGTACCGACTACTTGAGAGCGTTCGTCGATCTCGGCACCGCCCATAGTAAAATGTACGACCGGAGTGATTTCTCCATAATAAACAGATGTATCTTTTGACACATCCTTTCCAAAAGTGTTAATAACCAACTTCCGGTTAAAATCATCTGTTGACGCGGTAGAATAGTGTTGCAAGTGCTTTACAATATCTTCTACATTACTAGTAATTTTCAAGTTTTTTACCATATCAATGACACTCGCTTTCTTAATCAAGCCCTTTGACATGTAAAAGTCGATGTTAGCCTTATAATTGGTATAAACAGCTTCACTCATCAACAAAATCGCTCTGTTGTCATCCTTGGGACAGTATCTTTGGATAGCCGCAGTGACGTTGTCTCTAGTCTCCAGTTCATTGACAAATCTTTTACCTGATTCTGGATGAAGTAAGATACCACCTAATCCTCTTAGTGCCTCTGCCGCTAAGAACTTCCAGTTGTTTCCTCTATCTTTACTGTCTATGAACCCTGTAGGATGTACTTGGATTTCTTTCATATCTACCATCTTGGCACCTAGTCTCTCAAGAATATTTTGACCGTCACCAGTAGTTTGCTTACCGTTCGTGGTAGGAAGTTTGACTAGTTCTGGGTTAAATTTATGTAAGAATTCTTTGGAGTAACCGAATCCACCGGAGCAAACTACAACATTCGAAGTTTCCAGCACGTGAGAATTGCCATCTGCGTCTGTATATGTTACACTGTGAACCTCACCTTTGGAATCGATGCCTATATCAGTAACCTTATTATTTAATAGTATTTTCACTAATTCAGGGTTCTCTTCGGATGTCTTCTTGAGGGCCTTGGACAAAGTAGATACTATTTCAAATCCTGGTGGGATATTAGTAGAGGATCTATGTGTCCTAGCAGTAGAGTGTCCACCAAGTTGGGCAAGTTTATCTAGTTTTAGGTTGAAAGTACTCTGTAACCAATTGATAGCTGAGCTAGAGTCTCTAGATAATTTTTCCATCAAGGGTCTTGAACCTTTGCCCTTAGCTGAGCTTATAGTATCTTCCAGGAATAACTCGGGGCTGTCCTTAACGTTCAAGTTCGCTTGTGTAGTAGTACCAGCACCATTTATACCACTCGAAGCTTTAATTGAGTTGCCACCAATGGAGGATGCCTTGTCGATCAATACAACGGGGATTTTGTATGTGTGTGCGAGCTGATTACTGGTTGTTAGGCCAGCAAGCCCTGTGCCGATGACCACAACGGGACTCTTTGGGACAGCTTTGTACATTGAATTGCTATTAATCTTTCTATAAAGCAGTACCAGTGCAATGATAGTAATGTATACCAGGACCTTTCTTGATCCACGCATTGCTGAGAGTTGTGTTGCAGGTAGTCTTCAGAACAGTATTGGTAAACTTAAGAAACTTTATATATCAGAGTATTTTACAAAGGTTACCATGCGTAAACACTAAAAGCACCTAGGTATTTAGTGAAGTTCGGATCCCCACTGGGTTTTTTTTATTGGTCCAAGAGAAGCCCATTCAAATCACTCTTGCAATTGTTGCTTACTAAAAAGCTACGATTGTCCTAAAATCGGGTGTGTGACAGAGTGTGTAGGGATGAGTGTCTGTAGCAAAAGGTGTGAGCACCGATAGGACGAAATTCCTTGGCAGCCCGATGTTGATCGGTACTATAATTAAGACAAGCTACTGATCTTCTCTTCAAAGACTAATACATTTGTTACCTTTTTTTATTTTAGTAATTTGAAAGAAAAAAAGGCGTCAAAAGTCTATGAAAGCAGGATTGAATAATATTAATATTATTATAAATATACAAAAAATAAAAGTATAATGAAATTGAATGTAAATTGTTCAAGACATGTGTAGTGTCAGAAAAAAAATAATCATTAAAAGAAATTGTTAATGTAAATTTTTGGAATTGTAATTATTTTTTATTGTAGTTTGATAAAAAAAATAATTGAAAAAAAAATGTTGCTCTATCGTTAAGTTAAAGTTAAAGTAATAAGATCATGTTATTTTGGATATTTTAGGGAAATAAAGATAAAAAGAAAGCAAAAATATCGTTGGCTTCACCCTTTGATTGTATTGTTGTGAATGAAAAGGCAATGAAAAAAAAAATTTAGTCAACTCTTGTGTTTGGGGGAGGAGTCGCTGTTCATCATACACACAGAGTGCTTCTTGAGTATGCGTTTACAAGATTAGTACTTGTAAGTCTTGATCTCTTGGATAGCGTTACCTTCGATGTCGACTTCGGTGGAGGCACTACGGTAGATCTTAGTAGCTCCGTTTTCATCGAATGGGTGTTCCTTAGAGTATTCGAAGGCTTCGAGCAAAGCCAGTTTTACCTTTTCCAAGGATTCTTCTGAGACTTGGTAGTGGAAGGAGATTCTACCACCCATCAGCTTTACACCGTATTTCAGACCTTTCTTAACCAGGACGTCAGGGTTCATCTTTGCTGCTCTCAAGTCGACGAAGACGAAGTTAGTGTCGGCTGGGGACTCGAGAGGGATACCCTTTTCTTTACAGAAGTCTGCCAAGTTGTGGGCTAGTCTGTGGGAGTACAGTAGGTTTGACTTCCAGTCGGCGTCGATGTTGCAGAGGGCCATTCTGGATAGCATACCTGATTGTCTTACACCACCACCTTGCTGCTTTCTGAAGTGGTTACACTTCTTGATGAACTTGGTGTTACCGACCAGGATGGAGCCCATTGGGGCACCCATGGACTTTGACAGGCAGATGGAGATGGAGTCGAAGAGTTCACCGAACTGTTTCAGTGGGACACCGGACTCAGCGGCTGCGTTCCAGATACGGGCACCGTCACAGTGCAGCTTGAGGCCGTTCTCCATACACCAGGCCTTGATGCGGACCAGTTCTTCTAGCGGGTAGATGATACCATGCAAGGTGTTCTCCAGGGAGATGACCTTGGTTGGGGCACCGTGGATGTCACCATCGTCTGGGACATAGTGGCTCTTGATGTCCTCGAGGGTCATGTAGTTGCCATTGGATGGGATCACTGGGACGACCATGGCTTGGGACAGGATGGCCAGACCAGCTGCCTCGTGTGTGTAGACGTGCGCTCTGTAGTCGCACAGGATGGAGTAAGGTGGCTGGTACAAGTGCGCTCTCAGAGCGATTTGGTTGGACAGCGTACCGGAGACACAGAACAGACCGGCCTCCATACCGGCCAGCTTTGCGACGTGCTGCTCGAGACGGATGGTGTCGACGTCCTCGTTGTAGACAGCGTCACCAATAGAAGCCTCCAGAGCAGCCTCCTTCATCTTCCTGGTAGGAGTGGTGAAAGTGTCGGAACGCAGGTCATTGGAAGCACTGGTATATTGTGGTGGTAGTTCAGTAGTCATTTTATTTTATGGGGGGGATGTTTCTGTTTTGGTTCAAGATTGAATTAGTGTTTGTTATTTCCCTACCAGTATTATATATATAAACATTTTTAAAAGTACAGATCAGCAAGAAAAATTTTCCAACAAATTACTCATTTGCCAATCCAAAAAGAAACGATGCTAGTTGTAGTCTAGCTAGTAGCTTGTAGTTGTAATTGTAGTTGTAGTTGTAGTTGTAGTAGTAGTTATAGTTGTAGCTTGTAGCTTCTTGTTAGCTAATGGCTTTTTCAAGTTCTTTTTTCAGCTCTGTGCTTGTGCAATGCTTGTGCCACTTGTGCAATGCTTGTGCTAGTCAATGAGCTGAGTGCATCTTGTGCTGTTCTCTTGTATCTTTCTTTTTTTTGCTGCCCTGCCCCGTTTCTCTGGGCACGAAAGAATTGCTTTTTTCCTCTCTGTGGACAGGGTGTCTGTTGTGTTGTGCTGTGGTCTCTGTGTCTCTGTGTGTCTCTGTGTGAGCAATATACCGCACGGCCACGTACTTGTCCAGCGATCCCTGCAGAGCCGTGCGGTGTCCACATCTGGGATTGGAGGGGCACAGTGGGCCCGTACACCCCCTTCGAGGGATTAACTGGAATTTCAGATCTCTTCTGGACCCTTCTCTATTGCATCATTACAGAGTGTATTGTATGTTGTATAGTGTATGGAGTGTAGAGTATAGTGTATGGAGTGTATTGTATAGTGTATGGAGTGTATTGTATAGTGTATAGACAGTATTGTATGTTGTATATGCTGGCGTTACAGGTTTAGCTGGTGCAGCAGTTGGCGCTTGCGTCGCTCTACCAGGTACTCCTCCATCTGCTGCTGGGTGGGTGGCTCCACCAGCACGCTCTCCTGCTGCGCGATGCCATGTGCCTTCCGCAATCGCTCGCTCGTGCCGCGGTAGTCGCCATTGTCACTAAAGTCGCCATTGTCGCTAAAGTCAACGTACTTAGCGCGCTTGACGGTGAACTGCCGCGCAGCGGTGGGCCGCTTGCGCGCCTCGGGCAGCTCGCGTGCTCGCCCTATGTACCGCACACCGTTCACCACCACGCCGCCATACACTGGCGGCCGCTGGCGCTGCTTGAACCGTCGCAGGTGCCGCGACCACCGCTGGCTCTCCTGTATCAGCTGGTTCACACGCGCGTTGCACTCCCGCACTTGCTCCTCGCTCAGCAGCGGGTCGTACAGCCGGTTCGTGCACTCGCCCACCTCCCGCAGCGTCTGCTTGTACCACTCCCTCGCCTCCGCAGGGTCGCGCACGGACTCAACCCGCGGCCGCTTGTACCGATTGTAGTCCCGCCGGGACTCAGCCTTGTGCTCCTGGTACAGCGCCAGCACCGTCTGGCTCTTATCAACGTTGCGACTCATCTTGCTGTCACTGCCACTGCCACTGCCACTACTATCACTACTATCACTGTCCCTGCCTCTTCAAATTTTTTTCAGCCAACGGGTTGAAAAAATGATTCAAAGGGGGGGGATGCGCAGATGCTGAAATTACCATTTGAGACATTGAATAAAGCGTACTTGATACTTGCTACTTGATTGCTACTTCCCACTTGGTACTTGACATAACTGACAATCTATAAAGGATGGAGGAAATGAAACGCACAGACAGCTGCACCAAGGAGAAGGCGCTGCAGAAGTGGCTCGCCGATGCCGAGGAGTCCAGCTCCAGTGCCAGCGAGTACAAGATCGCCAACCAGGACACCTCGAGACACGACTCGGACGTGGCGCTCGATATCAGCAACGCCAAGGACATGCTGCGGAGGATCTCGAGCGAGCGGTCGCCCTCCATGTCGATGTCCGCGCACAACACTTCCAAGAGCAGCAACACGCACTTCCAGTACGCCTCGACCGCGTACGGCGTGCGGTTGCTGAGCAGGGACATCTCCAACACGAAGGTGGAGCTCGACGTACAGAACCTGATGATCGTCACCAAGCTGAACGACATCTCGCTGTACTTCCTGACTCGTGAGCTGGTGGAATGGCTGCTGGTGCACTTCCCACAGGTCACTGTCTATGTGGACAAGGAGCTAGAGCACAACGACAAGTTTGCCGCACAGGAGCTCGCAAAGGACAGCAAGTGCAGACAGTCGCGTATCAAGTACTGGACTAAGGAGTTCATCGACGAGAACGACGTCTTCTTCGACCTGGTGATTACGTTGGGCGGTGACGGTACAGTGCTGTTCGTCTCATCCTTGTTCCAGAGACATGTGCCACCTGTGATGTCTTTCTCCCTGGGGTCCCTCGGTTTCCTAACCAACTTCAAATTCGAAGACTTCAGGACAGACTTGACAAAGATTCTGAACTCTAAAGTAAAGACTAACTTAAGAATGAGGTTGGAATGTAAAGTCTACCGCAGACACGAACCAGAGGTTGATCCCGAAACCGGTAAGAAGATCTGCGTGGTCGAACACATCGATACCCACCACATATTGAACGAGGTCACCATAGATCGTGGCCCTTCGCCATTTATCTCCATGTTGGAGCTTTATGGGGACGGCAACCTGATGACTGTGGCCCAGGCTGATGGTCTGATCATCGCCACCCCTACTGGTTCTACAGCTTATTCATTGAGTGCCGGTGGGTCCCTGATTTACCCAACAGTGAACGCCATTGCAGTCACGCCTATCTGCCCACATACATTGAGCTTCAGGCCTATCATATTACCTGACAGTATGACACTGAAGGTTAAAGTATCCCTGAAGGCCAGGGGTACTGCCTGGGCTGGTTTCGACGGTAAGGACCGTTGCGAGTTGAAGCAAGGTGATTTCATCACCATTTCTGCCAGTCCTTACGTGTTCCCAACTGTTGAGTCCTCTCCAATTGAGTTCATTAACTCCATCAGCAGAACCATGAACTGGAACGTCAGAGAGCAACAGAAATCTTTCACTCACATCTTATCTCAAAAGAACAAGGAGAAGTACAACACTGAGAAAGTACGTGAATCTAAGGCTAAGAGTGAAGAGGAAGAAATTGAGGAAAGGAAGTTGTCCAGTAGTGCATTTGATATGTCATCGTTGAAAGAGGCAGTGAAAGAAGAGGCAAAGGAGGACGAGGGCGACGACGAGGACGAGACCGCAGACCGCTGTCTGTTGAAGAAGACAAGCGGGTCTAAATAGGTGCTACGACTTTTTTTAATGAGTTTTTTTATATCAAACGTTGATTCACATACATTCTGAAGAAAATACCTTTTATGAAATCTGTGCATACGTACCTTACCTTAAAGTACATACTATTACATAACTATGAATTTTTTTATGACACCATTTCGGAGTTCAATTAGAGGAGAAAAGTATCCTTAGGAGTTTTGTAGTATATGTACATGTAGTTTTGTATTCACACCTAGGGTGTGTATTAGATATATATACTTAATAGATATAACAGATTGAAAATTTCTAAATCATCATGAAGAATTGAAGTCAAAAAAATAAATATGGGTGGGGGATAGTTTTTAGTAGTCCGATGGAATATTGAGATAAATTTTGTGATAAGAGGTTATAGTCTCTTATTCCTTTAGAAGAGAAAAAAATAAATAGCCCTTACTGAGGGATGTTATGACTAAAAATGCGTGATTTTTCCTTTTGTTTTCATAGGAGCTCAATCGGAAGTGGCCTTCTTCAAGTAGGCGATCAAGTCCTTTCTGTCCTTCTCTTTCTTTAGACCACCGAAAGCCATCTTGGTACCTGGGATGTACTTCTTAGGGTTAGTCAAGTAATCGGACATGTTGTCCTCATCCCAAGTGACGTTCTTCTTGATGTTGGCGTCGGTGTAGGAGTAGCCAGCGGCTTGGCCTGACTTTCTACCGAAGATACCGTGTAGGTTTGGACCAACCTTGTTTGGACCGCCCTTTTCAACGGTGTGGCATTGTAGACATCTGGTCTTGAATAAAGTAGCACCTTTCTTTTCACTCATTATGGATATGTATTTGTCAGTTGTATTGTTTGTTTATGATTCTGGCTGAACAAGATTGCAAGACAAGAATTCGAAGTCCAAGAGGTGGGTATGAATGTGTCGAGAGTTGAGTGGATATTTATATACAAATAGAGAAGTCTCAATCCTCGAGACTTACCTCCGGTATTGCCAGTAAAAATTTTTTGCGGGATGAGTTCTTTTGATCCCCTTAGAGCATTACAAGTCTATTAACTACTGATAGGTCCAGTAACGGGATGGTCCCTTACAGTGATATTTGATCCTATTGGGCAAGCCGGTATCCCGATAACTCCCTCGTACTCCTTGTTCAATACACTATTTGAAAGCCACCGGGAGATGTACTGGGAGAGGTACTGGAAAAGATACCGGGAGATGTACTGGGAAGGTCACTCAGAGACCCACTGCCAGACCCACTGAGAGGACCTCCTTGTAGAGAGCTAAGAATATCACTTCCAGGGCTCAAGTGTAGGGGGCTTCCCATACAAACTGCTGTTTCGGGAATAGTATCGTGAGTTGTGTGCCCTTTCTATACTATCCAACGTATCGGGTTTCAAGAACAGGAGGGTTTAGTTCGACGACGAAAGCCGTTATGGTGTTCACAGTGGTTTTCACAGTGGTACTCACAGTAGTGTTCACAGTAGTGTTCACAGTAGTGCTCACGGTGATGCTTACAGTGATAATAATTATTCATTGTAGATTGTTGATGTAATTCCAGTTTAATGCGCTGCGTTTTCTGTGTGTTGGAATGAAGCTGAAAAAAAAATTTTTTTTTTTTTCAATCGACGATGTCGATGAGAGTTGAAAAAAATTTTCACGTGGTTCTTGGGAAAAGTATATAAAAGTGGGTCATTCGTTGGGATTCTTTGGCATTACTTTTGATTGCAGTCCCAGAAACTCCCACAAACACACTACATACACATACACATATATACACAATGGCTGAAGAAGAACACACCTTTGAAACCGCTGATGCTGGTTCCTCCACCACTTACCCAATGCAATGTTCTGCTTTGAGAAAGAACGGTTTCGTCGTTATCAAGGGTAGACCATGTAAGATTGTCGACATGTCTACTTCCAAGACCGGTAAGCACGGTCACGCCAAGGTCCACTTGGTCGCCATTGATATCTTCACTGGTAAGAAGTTGGAAGATTTGTCTCCATCCACCCACAACATGGAAGTCCCAGTTGTCAAGAGAACTGAATTCCAATTGTTGGACATCGATGACGGTTTCTTGTCCTTGATGAACATGGACGGTGACACCAAGGATGACGTTAGACACCCAGAAGGTGAATTGGGTGACCAAATGCAAGCTGCTTTCGACGAAGGTAAGGACTTGATGGTCACTATCATCGCCGCCATGGGTGAAGAAGCTGCTATCTCCTTCAAGGAAGCCCCAAGATCTGATTAAGCATCCTAGCACATAAGCTTTGCTCCAGATTTTTTTGAATTCCTACAAATTTACAAAACCATAATGATTTCTCTTTTTTCCTCTTACATTTTTATTTTATTTTAAGATTCCACACATGCACAAATTAACTAAGTCAAGATGATTCAGAGAAGGTAAAGGGAATTTTTCTTTAAAATAATTTGAAGATCTAAGATGGAAAAGGTTAAAAGAAAAATACTCACATTCATTAATTATATTTTTCTAACACTCGGAAGGGCAAATCAGTTATATTGTTAATCTCCGTTTTTTTCAATACACATTATAAGAAGGAATGAGAATAAATGAGAATAAAAGACATTTAATTGTCAAAAGAATAGTTGGTTGTTTTTTTTTAAAAAAAAAGAATGCTTTTTATTCGTTTTGCATTTTTCTGTTTATTTCATTTTCTTCGAAAGATACTTGATTAATTTACAATTGACTGCCCAAAATCCTTTTACCTTTTATGAATCAAGATAATTTCCTTTTGTTCAAATCATACATGCTGTCATAGATTACCTATGATGCATATAGAAACTGTTCAAAGGATCATATATACAACATTATAACATTATTTTTATTTATTTTTTCTGTATCCTTTTTAATATTAAATTAACTCGTTTTATTTAGTAGCAAATTCAGAATTAATTCAAATACTAAACATAAGATGATTTGCATACCTATATGTGATGCTCTTAGTCTCGGGAAAGCTCCATCCACTCATGCACACTCAAAAGCTTCAAGTTTTCTTCATGACAAGGAGCATTGGTGCCCTGGTATCCTTTTTCAATATTACAGCACCAGCTCAATGTCTCGTTGCTCTCATTAGAAGCAAAATGAGCAAATTAATAATGCTGCAGTAGTAGATTTAGAAGAAGAAAAGTGCCGGATTTGTAGAGTGCTTATAGTATCACTTTGCAGGTTAATATAACAGAGAACATAATGGCAACTTGGCCGAGTGGTTAAGGCGAAAGATTAGAAATCTTTTGGGCTCTGCCCGCGCAGGTTCGAATCCTGCAGTTGTCGTTAACTTTTTTTTATATGACTTCTATCTTTTTATTTATGTTTTGGATACCATTCATGCATGTTTAACACCCGAATTCAATGATTTAGACCACTATGTTAGCAGTCCATATGCAAACATTGTAAGAACAAATATTTGTTTTGTTACATTTTTAATGTTAATTACTAAGGTCTTATTTTATTTATATGTATTTAATTTAATATCATAAATTCGTTACTATTACATATTCGTAGTATTATGTTTCTTGTATTTGTCAAGAAGTTCCATAAACTGGTCTCTGTCGAGCAGTTCCCATCTGTATACTTTGAGACCACCATCAACTGTATGAACAATCAATATATCCCCCAAAAGACGTTCAAGTCTGTCAAGGATATCTGTTGCTTCTTCATATCCAACGGGATTATTACTATTTTGCAAGCTATCCACGGTTAAGGTAGCCAAATACGTTGCAGTGTAAGGTTCATTCGGTCTCAATGAGTACATGATCTCAAACACCTGTTTCATCTTTACAGTTAAGAATTGTTCGTAGTTGTGTTTTCTCTGTGATAGAAGGGCGGCAGATCTTCTCTCTCTTTCTCTTAATCTCTCTAGTAAATTCTCCTGCGAGTCGTGAGGACGTTCTAAGTTTTGGAATTTTTCTTTTGGATTACTTATGTATTTGGCTGGTGAGGCAATAGGTCTTGTATTAGCTAACTTGATGTTCGTATTCGCTATGGAAATGGAACCCTGCCCATCACTGCCACGTCTTTTACCAATCTTATAAACAGGAATATCGTCTGGGATCTCTTGTGATTTCGTTACGTTTTCATACCATTCTTCCAACTTTTTAACAAAATCAAGTTTTCTGGAGTTGTTAGTTAGCATCGCCAAGGGGTCCTTTTTTGGTAGATTCACCATGAGTTCACCATTAGAGTTGTAATCCACCTTATACGCTTGTGGCCATACAGTCACTATTTTTAAGAAGTCATTGCTAGACACTTTCCTATTCATCATATTGGATATTTGTGGAAGTAGATCATGTAGCAATGGATCTCTATTACTAGCTCTAGACATCTGGTGTAATGAAACAACTGTTTCAGCAACATTGAACAATGCTTTCACGAAACTTATCTTCTCTTTCAATTGCAGTATAGAAAATTCGCGAGGATAGTAGACTTGTGACACTTTTTTAAACTCCAGTATCTGTTCTTCAAGGAAATCTTGAGCCAACGTGGTGTTAGCATCTGGTGATTTGTAACCCAAAGCAGGAAGCAAAGTCAATTGGACGACGTTCTTCTTCATATTAATCTGTAGTGGCGATGTGGAGTGCATGTGGCGAGACTCCTTTGCCAATAGCTCGCCGGTATGCAACAGAAGACAATCGGGTTCATCTATAGTGATCCATACGTTTTCATCGTTGCTCATAGTGGATGGTTTCACTCGTACATTTCTAGCCACGGGTATGACAGACAAGATCCCTGGTGTTCTCACAGTGTTGAACTCTGATGCTTCGTACTCAAACTCCAAGTCAGACCCGTCAGGTAACACTGCTTTCTCAACTTCAGTTGGGTGGTAGTAACGAACCAGCTTTGTCGAGTGATGGGAATCATCCAATGTAACTCCGTTGATATCAAGACTCCTTAGACACAGCTGTGAGAAGTACATCAACACTTTCAGCAGCCTAGAGCTCACTTTCCTCAACATCGGGTCCTTCGCCTCCCTCGCAAACTTGAACGCAGCGTCCGTGGTAGCGATGTACTGTTCCAGGACCACGTCGTCTTCCAACTGCAGCGCACCGGTGAAGTTCGAGTCAAACCCTTGCGAGACATCAATCGGCGAGAGCTGGCTAAGCTCCAAGTCGAGCTTCTCCCGGTTCGCATAGTTCTTCAGCAAGAACGTATCGTGGCCCAACAGTATGCTCCTCAGCACTTTTTGCAACGCCACGTCGTCAGACACTTCATCCAGATCAATCACAGGCACTCTATCCATGGTTAAACCCCCACCAACCCTGAGAGAGACCATATATACACCAATAAGACTAGTCAGTGGAATATAGCCCAAATCACAGATGAGCAACTTCACTTAGCTTATGTTTGGTATATGAAGTGAAAAAACATGTGATATATACGTGCATAGGTATATGGAGACCCTCCCCGCCCCCACCCCCCACCAAACTACAAGCCCTAAACCCTAAAAAGTTGCACACTTCACAGTTCATGCTCACAAACTCACTCCAGCGTTATTAAGCCAGGCAGCTAACAGAGAACAGAGAACCCTAGAGATTTAGGGTTTCTTGTCGCGGTATCGCCGAAGTTTCGACCGAATTCTCGAAAAAAGAGCCAGTGATCTTGAATAGGCGAGGGGGGTGTGCGAGGGTTTCTGTGTTTTCAGGTCTTTTACCTCTTGATTCCTGGAAGATCGAGCGAACTCACACTAACCCCTTCTTCAGAACTGCCAAGAAAAAAAAGTATAAAAGGGAAGGGTGTAGCGGGGGGGCCCTTCCGTTGCTTTCGGCGGTTGGAACGGCGGCTATAACTGTAGATAGAGTACTTTGGCGTAAAGCAAAGCGGGATACACTTATAATACACAAAAAGTAACGATGTTGGGCGCTAGGAGAATTGTGCAGAATGCTCGTGTGTGCAAGAGATTGCAGTCTACCAAGGTGCAAGGGCAAGTTATTGGTATTGATTTGGGTACCACTAACTCTGCTGTTGCGGTTATGGAAGGTAAAGTTCCAAAGATCATTGAGAATGCCGAGGGTGCCAGAACCACGCCGTCTGTTGTGGCTTTCACCAAGGAAGGCGAGAGATTGGTTGGTATTCCAGCCAAGCGTCAGGCCGTTGTGAACCCGGAGAACACCTTGTTTGCCACTAAGCGTTTGATCGGTCGTCGTTTCGAGGACGCCGAAGTACAAAGAGACATCAAGCAAGTTCCATACAAGATCGTCAAGCACACTAACGGTGACGCTTGGGTGGAGGCTAGAGGCCAGCGTTACTCGCCAGCTCAAGTTGGTGGTTTCGTTCTGAACAAGATGAAGGAGACCGCTGAAGCTTACCTAGGTAAGCCAGCTAAGAACGCTGTCGTCACTGTCCCAGCCTACTTCAACGACTCTCAAAGACAAGCCACCAAAGATGCCGGTCAAATTGTCGGTTTGAATGTTTTGCGTGTTGTTAACGAGCCAACTGCTGCCGCTTTGGCTTACGGTCTAGAAAAGGCTGACGCTAAGGTCGTCGCCGTCTTCGACTTGGGTGGTGGTACTTTCGATATCTCTATCCTAGATATCGACAACGGTGTCTTCGAAGTTAAGTCCACTAACGGTGACACTCACTTGGGTGGTGAAGATTTCGATATCGTTCTATTGAGAGAAATCGTCTCTCGTTTCAAAGCCGAATCCGGTATCGACCTGGAAAACGACCGTATGGCTATTCAGAGAATCAGAGAAGCCGCAGAGAAGGCCAAGATCGAACTGTCCTCTACCGTTTCTACTGAAATCAACTTGCCATTTATCACAGCCGATGCATCTGGTCCAAAACATATCAACATGAAGTTCAGCAGAGCCCAATTTGAGACTTTGACCGAACCTTTGATCAAGAAGACCATTGACCCAGTTAAGAAGGCTTTGAAAGATGCCAACTTATCTACCTCTGACATCTCAGATGTCCTATTGGTTGGTGGTATGTCTAGAATGCCAAAGGTTGTTGAAACCGTTAAGCAACTGTTCGGTAAGGAACCATCCAAGGCCGTCAACCCAGACGAAGCTGTGGCCATTGGTGCTGCTATTCAAGGTGCTGTCTTATCCGGTGAAGTCACTGATGTCTTGTTGTTGGATGTCACCCCATTGTCTCTAGGTATTGAAACTTTGGGCGGTGTCTTCACTAGATTGATTCCAAGAAACACAACCATCCCAACCAAAAAGTCTCAAATTTTCTCCACTGCTGCTGCTGGTCAGACTTCCGTCGAGATTAGAGTCTTCCAAGGTGAGAGAGAATTGGTCAGAGACAACAAGTTGATCGGCAACTTCAACTTATCTGGTATTCCACCAGCTCCAAAGGGTGTTCCACAAATCGAAGTTACTTTCGACATTGATGCTGATGGTATCATCAATGTGTCTGCCAGAGACAAAGCTACTAACAAGGACGCATCCATTACTGTTGCTGGTTCTTCCGGTTTGTCTGATGCCGAAATTGAACAAATGGTCAATGATGCCGAGAAGTTCAAGTCCCAGGATGAAGCTAGAAGACAAGCCATTGAGACCGCTAACAAGGCTGACCAATTGGCCAACGATACTGAAAACTCTTTGAAGGAATTTGAAGGAAAGCTAGATAAGGCTGAATCTCAAAAGGTTAAGGACGAAGTCGCCGCTCTAAAGGAGCTTGTTGCAAGAGTTCAAGCCGGCGAAGAAGTCGATGCTGAACAGCTGAAGACAAAGACTGACGAACTGCAAACCTCTTCCATGAAGTTGTTCGAACAAATGTACAAGAACCAAGGTAACGATGGAAACTCTAACAGTGGTTCCTCTGAAAATCCAGAAAACAAGCAATAGACTTAATCTTCAAGATTCCAGTTGAACTAATAATAGACCATGGATGGGTTCCTATTGGAGGATAGTCATCATATTTCAAGTCATGTAAATAACATTAATCCACTCTTGATGGATACTCCCCCAGTCATACCCAAGTGCTCAAATTTTACATTTATTCATAAGACAGACACATTTGTTTGTGCACTTGCGAATTTTCTCTGTTGCAATTTGTTTTACAACTGTCGTTTTAAGCATTTCATAAGGTTGAACTAAAAACACCTAATTTAGAGACGATAGGTCTTCCACATAGTAAAACAATTCAAGACACAAGTATTTGTTATTATAACCTTAAAGGGATATTACTTGCCATGTCTCGTTTTCATTATATTTATGAATTTTTGTTAATAAAATAAGCTAACAGATTGTTTTAGTTTAAAGATAACTTTGTATATACCTACCTTAAAATAAAACTGTAATTACATACCTGCTATTATAACAGACACGATGTTCTTCTATAACAACTTGACCTCATTTCGTATTATCTTGCCTGTTCACTTCTTTTGGCAGTAGAATTATCATCTCACAGTGACTTTTTCTAAGCTTCGCCGAATCCTGGAGTCCTTCCCCTTGCAGCGAGAAAAGGGTCCGAATGTATCAAGAAGACAGTAAAGCCACCTAACAGCTCGAACCACATAATACCGTTATAAGGTAACGCAACCACCAGAGTCTGATAAAACTTTAATTAATCGGATAACCCTGAGATCATCTATATCTGTCGGGATACCCAGTGACTTTTTTTTAAGCAAAGAGATAAGCACCTTTATAAAAGATTATACCCACACAATATTATAAGAATAACAATGGAATTGAGGATTTCGCCACTTACTAGAATTATATCCCTATCAGGATTTTTAGCTTCTGGTTTCCTGTTTGTTATATTAAGCTGTGCCTTATATCACAATTACTACCCTCTATTTGGCACACTTATATTTTTACTGGCACCGATCCCAAACTCACTGTTTGGAAGGAAAGGCTATGATACCTCTGATTTCATGTCTGATACTACCAACAATGCCCGTGATTTTGGCCATTTCCTGACAAGTATGATGGTAACGAGTGGTATTGTGTTGCCCTTTGTATTCTACCACTGCCAGTTAATTGGCTCTGTGAGCTGTATTATGAGTATGGTCGGTGGTCTGATAATATACTTGAGTATCATTATCTTCTCCTGGTTTTTCAGCACTTCTTGGGACAGCGAGGACGATAACCTGTTCGGCTAGTATTTCTTTTCTGTTCAGCAGTGGTATAATTTTTTTTAGTTAATCAAGAGGGTGATACCGTCAATAAAATATTTGCTCTATATTCACTGGGCTAGTCTGTTTCTTATCCATATTGCTGATTAGGTATGAATTAATAAGGCCCATTTTTAAATGTACACCTAGGCAACTTTCGTAATCAGCACTTTCAAGGAACAACAAATTTGAAGCCGACGATAGTACAGGGGGTATGAATAATGGACCAACTTTATATATAATTGAATAATGAGCTTTTTGTACAACTATTGCATAAATTCCTAAAATTAATTGTATCATTGGACAACTCACACATAGTGTATATTCTGAATATGATAAGAAGGAGGACTTAACCAGCTATTACACTAGGACCTTTTGATGATTAAAATAATTCAAATCATCTAGTCCTATGTAAGAAAACAATTGTCAAGGAATATAAGTAAATAATACTATTGAAATTTTACTACAAACTATCTTAACCAGAAAATAGTTTCACGGTTCTCATTCATTTTGTATAGCGCCGTGGCGCAGTGGAAGCGCGCAGGGCTCATAACCCTGATGTCCCTAGATCGAAACTAGGCGGCGCTAATGATTTTTTTTTGTACTCGTAAAGTCTTAGAGGTGAAGCACCTTATAAGGATGTAACAACTAACTTTGTTGTGTATAAGCTGCAATGGTGATAATATAGGCGTGTTGGAGCGAATACCAGTTTAGTTATGTGCTATGTCCCAAAATAATTTTTATTAAGAAAGCATCAAATAAACCAGAGAAGATATTCACTGAAATTTTGCTAATATAATTTAATATGATAATCGCTAAACAAGTGTACTAGAGAACAAGTTAGTATCGAAGGTCAATATTTTTACAGTTCTGAAACTCATTTTCATATTCCTTATAAATATTAAGATATATGATCAAAAATTCGAAATTAAGCAAGAACAAAGGTTTCTAACATAATGAGCATATTAAATAAATTATTTTAGCAGCTATATTTCATGCGTGTCTAATTGTTTTTGCAAATTGCTAAAATGGTGTTTGTACTATCACGTCAGCCTTCCTGTTATAACAATGATTACTCAACATACCTATAGACGATATAGTAAATACGATTCCTGAAATTAAAGGAACTTTTGCCAAAATTCACCTTTGGAAGGAGGAAAACACAGTGAAATATTGGCAAAAAACTTATCAAACTTTTGAAGAGCTCAGTACTTGGAAAAAGTATTTAAGGAGTTCTTTTCTTTACAAAAAATCTCATAGTCTTACAACTACTAAAGAAATAACACCTGATAAGTCTCTTACTTCAGAACTCACACCCCCCCTCGGTTGATTTGAATATAAGGACTACGCTAAGAATTAGAAAAAATAAAAAAAGGATTCTCGACAAGACCCCTCTGTTTCAAGATTCTTTTATTAATTTGATAACTCCATAATGTCTGAATTGTGTCCAGTTTATGCGCCATTCTTCGGTGCCATTGGTTGTGCAGCTGCCATCATTTTCACTTCTTTGGGTGCTGCTTACGGTACCGCAAAGTCTGGTGTTGGTGTATGTGTAACCTGTGTTCTAAGACCAGATCTTTTGATTAAGAGTATTGTTCCAATTGTTATGGCCGGTATTATTGCCATTTACGGTCTAGTTGTTTCCGTGTTGATCAGTTCGTCTCTGACCCAAAAACAAGCTCTATACACCGGTTTCGTCCAATTGGGTGCAGGTCTTTCAGTTGGTTTGAGTGGTCTAGCTGCTGGTTTCGCCATTGGTATTGTTGGTGATGCCGGTGTCAGAGGTACTGCTCAACAACCAAGATTATTTGTAGGTATGATTTTGATTTTAATTTTCTCAGAAGTTTTAGGTTTGTACGGTTTGATTGTCGCTCTATTGATGAATTCCAGAGCTACTCAAGACGTTATCTGTTAAAGATCCAAAATGAGAATTTTACTGGTATTTTCTTTTTGAATGTGCCAAATACTCTCAAAAACAATTTTATAAAGTACACTTTGAAACATCAAGAAGGGGTTTTTTTTACCTTCTTTCAAAATGCAATCCACTAATATGTGGATAACAAAATTAATCAAATAAATGTATAGTTTTTTTATTCAAGATCTTCTATTCATACATATATATCACTCAATTTCAAATCGATAAGACTATTATTCTTTTATTGGGATCATCTATTACTTCTTACATTTAGAGTAAAAAAAAGAAATATAATATAAGTCTAGAATTATTATATCAAAGATATTACATTCATAAATTTTCTATATCATCAAATTCAAGCAGAGTTTCCCATTCAACTTTTTCCTTATTAGCTTCTCCATTGATTTCAACTCTTTCGGTAGATCCGCAATTTCCTCAGACAGTTTCTCATAAGCGATGACTGAATCGGTATCATCACAATCCCAATTCTTTTCAATAGCAGCCAATAAAGATACTAAAGTCTCCTCATCAATCATTCTCTGGTCATCATTCAAGAACAAAGGATACATGTATTTGACAATTAGCAGGACTGTGTATTTCTTAGGCAAGTACTCAAATTCAATCAGTGACATTAATTGTTGAAGGGCCTTAGACCACCTCTCGTTCTCCACATTGCTGAAAAACTGAGAAAGGACAGCGTATGGTGAAAGCGACTGCCTCATTGCGTTAGTAACAACTTTGTTCAGCACTTCGTCTGGTATTAGTTCTGAAGTATTGAAATCTCCATCAACAATGGCACTCAACACTTCATCCTCCATTGGCTTTCCTTGAAACGCTGCGTTCTCAAACAAAAGCCAAGAATAATGCTTTACTAACTCATATTGACCGGCTTTGCTAAAGTTTGCTATGGCCTCTACAGTGTTACCATTGTCTAGCATTTGATTACCTAAAGTTGTATATATCTCCTTGGCAATATCTGGTAGTCTCCATTTGGCACACACGCTTAGTGCCCATTCAATGTCATCATTAGTTTCAAATGGATAATGAGGTATTAATTCGGCAATTGTAGATTTCTTAGAACTTGGTGTGTTGTAGGGAGATAGGGAAATCAGACCAATAGCAACTGGCCATAATGTCTTCATTTTCATGGAACATAATTCTAATGCAAAATTATTTAAGAGAAAACTTGCCATACCATTTCTTTGTGAAAAAATATCATCTATTTCGATATCGTCTGATCCGCTATTTTCCTCGAGGATTGTATACCTGTCAATGAGTAGCCCTTTTGATTCGCATAATGCTGCACTAAAGCTTGCCGTACAATTATCTAGCGATTCAAGTATTGGAAGAACTGGGAATATATCATTTTGTAGTATTTTTAAACAAGCAGTTTCCCATGGGTTAGTTACATCAATTGGAGTCTTGCTAACTGCCAGACCTACATATTCCTGTATGAGTTCCTCAGATGGAATGTAGTACAAAAGGAAACCAGTAAGTGACTCATACCAAAATGACGAGTGCTGTAAAATCTTGTCACGATTACCAGCTGTAATGGATATCGCATCTAGTAAATTCTTGCGAAGTGGTACAGGAATTTTAGTATCTGCATCTTCAAAGTTTTGCTGTAATTCTAGAGCAAAAGACTTCCATTCCCTGAAATGTTCCTCTGATTCAAGTGGGTAATTCTTGACTAATTGTATAAAATCTTCAAAGATGGTGCTAGTTGTCTCACAGTTTTCTTTCAAATATTTTGCGAGTTCCGATTTTTCAAGTGTGTTTATAGCTTGTTCAGTAAGCCCTCTCAATAGCAGTTGGTAAACTAATTTCCAAAATGGTTCAGTAAAAAATACCTGACTGCTGTCAGATTGTCCGAATATGCTTTGAATGTATTCTACCTTGGGTTCACCGTCAGTCCTGTTAGTCCATTTCAACAGGCTATCAAAGAAAGTAGCCCTATCATTAATAGAATCTATAAATTGGAAAGTTCTAAGGCATTGCAGGATTACCAAACACTGCTCTAACTCTAATATTCTTGCTATGTTAGCATTTTCTAATTTGTCATATGAAGCAATTAAAATTTCCAACTCTATAATCATTGAATCCAAAGCCATATTGACTACTCTGGTGTGCTCAAGTTCATAATCTGAACTAATAACACCAATGGTAGGCCTTGAAAAGATGCGATGGCTTCCCAAGTCCTGGTAGATATCGAAGAGGTTACATATATAGTTGATGAAATTCTCACTGAAGTCGGATGTTGACAAAGGTACTGGATAAAGATTCACATCTTTTTGCGATTTGACATGCATTATATTCTCATTAGCACCGTTTCCTAATTTGAATACCAAAGGAGAATTATGGCTTTCTTTAGGAAATTTATCTGCATCAATAGGAATGACCACTGAGCCTGATATGGGATCTCTTATTATTTCATTAGCTTTCTTGGTCCTCATAGGACTTTGACCATCTGCAAAGTCCAGGTCGACATCCATCACCAGATCATTCAGCATCTTCTTATTTGTTCAATTGTGAAAGGTAAGGGCTCCGTTTAAGTTGCAGAAAACTAACAAATTATGCAGAAAAGAGAGTTTATGCTATACTAAAGTTATCACCCAAGAATCCAAGACGATCGAGTATATTATGAAGACGTCATACAATCACTTTAAAGTTCATCTCTAAATTAGATTTGTTTGTTCAAATTTCTTGAAGTCGGGTCTTCTGCAGCGTGAAAAAAAAAAATAAAATATTCAGCTCGACGTAGTTTGGGGGGTAAAATGTATATTAATTATACCTCAAACAAGTGAAAGAAGTGTATTCTAGTTTTAAGATACAATTGAATATTTATATATGCACTAAATGATGTAGAAATTTTCAAAATGCAAACTATTTTATTTTGATCAAGGCCAAGTTGAAACCAAAACAAACTATAGCAAAAAAGTGGAGACAATAGTAAATTTTCTTTTTGAATATATTACTAAAATATTTAATACAGTGAATCATTTCGATAATTGCTCTTCTAAATAAAATGCTTGTGTAATATAAGTGTTTAGAATAATTTATACTTATTTCACCGTTACTCATATGATCACAAGTTACGTCTGAAATTTTTCAATTGCGATGCGATGAGCATCGCATCGCAAATAGTAACTTCAAGCGTTACAGTCCTATTCATCACAGAAATGTTTATCATTGAGCTTTATCTAGAATCAGTTTGTGAATTCTGCTTAAACAATTAAGTAGAAGACATCAGTCGAAGAAAAAAAGACTAGCTCAAAATTGAGGGATCAGTAAGAACATGCAGTTTGAATCTGCTGAGACACTGACCAAGACTCTTCGTTCTAAGATCATAACCAGCGATGAAGTTGTTGATATAGTAAGGAGTCTAGACGGAGTACATCCATATTTTCCTAAACGTGAAGTTTTTGTCATAGATTTGATTTTGGATAGATGGAATAATTTTAAAAATACCGACTTTAGAGAGAACCCTCGTGTATGGAAACTGTTTAATGATACTTGGGTTAAAATAGGCGATGAGAACTTGCAAAAGAGTCTCTTCAAAAAACTAAAATTTCCCGGTTTATTACAATCTAGTTTAGAGACTTTCAATGGTATCGAAGACACCGCAAAAGTACAGGAATATGTTGAAAGTGTTAATACCACATGTGACCTTCTTATAAAAAGTGTCACATCACTACAGTTACCTTATGAAGCTAACCTGTCTATTTTAGCTGCTGCAACCCAGATTTGCTCAAGGATATCCTACGCCAATAGAGTAGAATTTCTAATGAACCTAATCAATCTGACAAACTTCGATAGTCAGCTATCAAAACTAACCAACAAGCTATCCTCTATTTTTAGTGACATTTTACTACTCCCAATACTTGATTATATCTCTAACTTTGAGAGTAATATTATTGACAAGGACATTATATTAACGTTCAAAGGTTACATAATGTCAGCGCTTTTCAATGCTGATATTATAGGTTTAGATACGACCAACATATTGCATGAATTTTTTGATGCTAAAAAATCAACTATATCGCACAATTCGGCAGTTATCATTTTCGAGATCGCAATGAATTCGTTATCTAAAAACAACTTTATCCAGTTGGAATCGATATACACAATGATAGTGGATGTACATGATGCTTTGAAACCGGATTTGCTACAAAAACTTTCATCCACGAAGAAAACAATGTCACATGAATTTCTATTTAAACTGATAAAAGACTCATTTCAATCATTAGACAAAGTAACAAACCCTCAGGAGAAAATACGTGATTGGAGCCTTATTAGGTCCATACTTAAGTTGGATATCGAAATAGCTATTGAACTCTCAAATGAAATACTGGCTTTACTCCTGAAGAACTACCATTTCTTTGAAAAAGAATGCCAACAAATATGGGCCGAATTTATCGAATGTCACATTTCGGCCAGAGAGTTCTTTGGCTTTTTTGGGAGGTTAAGGACTTATTATGACCATGACCATAATGTCTCCAAATTCTTATGTGCTCGTGAATATCGCTTAGATATTAATAAACGTATTGGGTTATTGTCAGGTCTTCATTTAAAGGAACTGATTTCTGAGTATGTTGCAGATATGGTGTCAACCAGCAGGAGTAAGATTTCGGCCATCTTATTAAGTATCATCACAGAAGGACTTGTTCATCTTAACCCCTCACAATTATCAGAGTATCGTCCATATTTTCAAGAGGTATATATGATTGATGACATCAACTATGCAGAACAATGGGCAGTAAAATACTTCCTGATGGATGTTTTCGACAACATTATACCGTTAGATATGCTTGAGAGATATAAAAATAAAGATATTCAGAAAGTTATTTTGGAAAGTCCGAGAATTAACCTGCAAACCTTCATGTTCTTCCTGAAAATAAGAGAATATATTTCCATGGATATTAAAGAGATAGAAAATGCTTTGATGAAATACCTATCAATTAATAAGTCCTCAACTTTTGCATTTTTGATCTTAAAAAATTGGTACACCATAATTAGTGAAGAGTTCGACAGCCAAAACATTAGAAACCTACTTGAAATGTTATGTCTCAACTCTAACTTTTCATTACTACTGGAGTTTATGAAAGATGATGATATTTTTGAAGAGCCAAATCTCATTCATAAGTTAATTGGGTATTTATCAGACAATTTGACTGAATCCGCTGCTTTGGATGTCCTAAAGATTATACCAATACAGTGTTATGAGAAGTCTTCTAGAGTCTCCTTGATTGATCGACTAGCATCTCTGAAGATTAATGAAAGTGTTATAGATGCTTTAAGCCATCTACTGATATTTCCAACCTTCAAGACGAGACTTGAAACTGATGTGGGTACCTTCTTTGAACTATTTAAGAATTCGATTGATCTAAACCATCATTCTGAAAAGTTGTTAACTACTATTTGGTATCATCATGCACATAGTAATGACTCATCAAGTAAAGATTTTACTTACAATTTAGTAAATTTAGTTGTTGCTAATCTCTCTAAATTAATTGACGTTAAGGTTTCCTTTTGGCTAGCTTATTATATCCAAATCTATGATGAGAAAAGAGTACACAGCAATTTAAGAAAAGAGTACTTCAAAGCTATTTCCGCGTACTCTGATAAACAATCTAATCTAATGCCATGGCTATTGAAAACACTCTATCAGCTTTTAATAAGGGAGGCAGATCTTTCAATGTATCAAGATGTCATAAAAGACTGCATACAGAAATATAAGTTGGATGGTAGCAATTCTAATGAACTAAAAATTTCTGTTTTTATGATTTATACACTAAAAGATGATAGTGATTTCTCCTTCATACTTGCCCATTACTTGGCACTAAGAAGTCAAGGATGTCACGCAATGGAGCTGCTGACTGGTGTTTCAGAATATTTGAAGCTTACAGCTCACTACTCGTCAGAAAAGTACAATGCAGCATTACATTTAGTGTGTTGTGCATTAAACGATAATACTAAGACATTTCACAACTATTTGCTAGAAATTGTGCCATCTCTAATGCTCAACCTTTCAAAACAAAATCACATTGGACAGAAATTGACGGTCAGATTATTGAGTGCGACCTACACTAGTATCACACAAGGCATGATGGATATTAATTCTTTGACAAAGTTTATTTCCACCCTGAAAGAAATACTTATATCCAAACCATGGATGTTTGATCAGTACACTGTTGAATTGTTACTGCCTTTATCACTTGAAATTTGTAATTCCATCATACCTACAACTGACTTTTCAAATGTGCAACTTCAAAATAATAGAATTTTCATTTCATTGTGCCGATTACTTTCCACACTGTTTACTGTTCATAGATTCAAGTTGAACCAAAGGTATCATGTTATTGATTCTTTATTATGTGGTATGATGAAATATGTTATAAACTCACAATTTTACGGACTAACAGAAGAATGCGCTAAAGCATTTGCAAGGTGTGTCATAACGTTTTGTGAACCCACGACAAATACATCCACCAAAAACAAGAACCAAACGACATCGAAGGTAAATGAAATCAAAAAGATACTTAGAAAACATGTCCCCATTCTTTTGGTGAACTATACAGAATTAGTTATAGGCAACAGCATCGATAATGAGATAAGAAGAGAAATCGATCCAGCATTGTACTCAATGTTAAATGTGATATCGAGTTCTGAATTACAATGGATAAGTACACTTTTAGGAAGCACAGGCAGACAATACTTTAAGAGTATTTACGCCGAATATAAGAGAATTGGCAAATGGACAGAGCAGTAGTGTCTTTACATTATATTATCAATTACGTTTGAATATTTATAAATTCTATATACATTGTGCTGTTGCAAGTGTAAGTCAGCACATTAATGTCATATTTTTGCACCAAAAAGGGAACTTACTTTTTGGATAAATGCAAAGTAGCGTTCATTGAGATGTTCATCATAAGCGTATTTTGGACCTTCCAGTTCTCTTGAGAGACCCCTTGAGAATCTCAAAATATCTTTTCTAGTAATTACACCTTGGAGAATACCGCATTCTTCAACCATTATTATCTTACACTTCATCTGTCTAAAAGTATCGAATAGTTGCTCAACTGGTATTGTTCCTTTTACGATTGGAGGATATTTATCAACAATGTCACCAAATTGATAAGCTGCTCTACTGAAATCGCTACCTGGGAATTCCATCAAGTTTATTTCTCTCTGATCATTAGCCGTCTCTTCTGTATCAATTACCTCTAGTTTTTTTAGTATATGTCTTCTCAATATATAACCTATGCAAACTTTATCATTTTCATGTAGATCAGCACTTCTTACAATTGGATAGCCACTATAGAGCTTATCATTTTCAAAAACAGTATGATGCAGTTCAGATACAGTTAGTTTCTCTGGTAAGACTGCCAAGTCTTTTGACATTATTTGGTTTGCATTAAATTCATACATGAATGACTCTTTGTCACTTTCCTCAAGGAATGGGAAACCATTCACCTCTACCATTTGATCCGCAATCCCACCATGAAAGCCAAAAGACGCCAAAACAATTCTAGCCATAGCCACAACAATCATGGTAGGGATAATATAGATAAATGCACCTGTTAACTCGAACATTATAACAACAACAGTCAATGTCAAGTTAGTAATACCACAGAGAGTAGCCGCTGCACCCAGAAAGGCATATGCACCTGGAGTTATGCTATTTGGTGCAAAGAAAAATCTCTCGGCAATCAAACTAACAGCTCTGCCAAAGGTGGCACCAATTGCCATAGAAGGTACAAAAATGCCGGCCGGAACTTTGGCTCCGTAAGATACAATGGTAAAGTGAATTCTAATGATCGTTGCTATAATCAACGAAAGTAGCTGTTTTATGAAGTCCATCACATGCGTATTTTCATCGATCTGACAAAGTCTGTGCGCAAATGGGGATGAGTTGTCATTCTTTTGGCATTCGTGAAATAAAATTCCCATACCTTCTGTCATGTCAAGTTTCAGGAATTCGTTAAAATATGAGATAACTGATGTAAAAAGTACAAGTATAACTACCTCTTGAATGGGCCACTTTGAGAGAAATTTCTTCCTGAAATGAACATATCTTATGTTCATTGTACTCACATATATTCCATATAGCCCTCCAAAAATACCAAGCAAAACAAAAATTGGAACCTCTTGAGTGCTCCAGTCACGGTCATATGTAACATGAAATAACACAACTTTACCATTTCTAAAAGGATTTATTAGCTTCAAAGTAGTAATAGCCACTAAGGCAATATAGTATGATTTCCAAAGTGTTGATGAGTTGAAACTAGCACCAGATGCAATTTCTTCCAACCCGAATAAAACACCACCAATAGGAGCACCAAATGCTACAGCGACACCTGCTCCACTTGCTGCCGTTAGATACTGTGATAAGGAAGTAAATCCTATCTTATCTTTAAGAAAATAATTTGCAACCACAAAACCACAGCATGCTGCATAATGTACGGATGGTCCTTCTTTACCTATGCTTAGGCCCGATGATATTGTTAGCGGTAGTGCCACGCTTTTAACGATAAGTGTTAATACATTTAGAAATTCCTGTTGATATTCGAATCCAGAAACCCATACTTTAATTTCTGATATACCAGAACCTGTAGCAATTGGTGCAACGTAGCGTATTAAACAAGCACTTATTGTTCCAAAGAGTAAAGAGAGTGAGACGAAAAGTATAAATGATGAATACTTACCTGACCAATTAGTCCACACTCCTTGGGCAACACAGGCACCTTCATCTCTCCTCACTAATCTAAGTCCTCTAGTTGCCATTTCTTCATCTACAACATCACTACAACAGAATGACTTGTTTAAGAGCCAATTACTTGTACAATACCCTGTTTTCCAATTTACCAAAGTTTCAGTAAATACTTGTATAAAACCTGCGAGACAACCAATAGTTATAGCAATGGCAGTTAAGGTAATAAAAATCTTTCCTCTGTTCCATAACCAATTGATATATCCGTTATATTTTTTGTTGAAGAATTCACGCTCTGCATTCGGTAGTAATATCACATTTCTATTATCTGCAACTCGATCTATTGTAATAAACTTATCAAAGCTTTGGGTCTCATCTATATTATTAAACTTGGATATGTCAATGTACTTAGCTGCAGTTTCAGGATCATCAGTGGAATGTCTATCAATGTCGAAAGAATCAGATGCCATTATTGTGCCCTTCTTGTTATATGATGCTTTTTGTATCTTCAAATGGCTTAATTTATATGATGTTGTAAGGTAACTTTTTCAAAGAGATACCATCTGATCTTGTCTTATTCCTGTATCCGAATGGGTTACTCTGGGACACTCTAAGATGCAGAGAGTAACGAACAATGATAGCATAATTTGTTCCTTATCAGAGTCTCGAGGTCGAAGGTGCAAACAGACCTTATTTCTTTGCGGGAAGTCGGTCAATCGTATTTCGTGCTGTTTACACGATGCGATAATAGAAGGCTTATCCCACAGTAATTGGCAAGAATATTATTTATTACTTTAGATATATTGTGTATCATGGTCTATAACATATTTGTTAAAATTCTAGTGTCAATGAAGGGGAAGATAGAGGCATCATTTCTACCGTCAGAATATTCAAGTTCATTTAAATGAGACTCTTGTTCTTCCAGTGCCGATTCAGAAACTTGAAAGTCTTTTGTCAGCACTATATTAAACCGTGTTCCCTGTGTAGTTATTAAGTAAAAAAGTGGTGTTTCCATAGATTCTTGTATTTGACCTACCTTTTTGGGTGATGAGATGGTTTCCACAGTTGCTGGTAAATTGAATGTATGGTAACCAAGGAGTTCTTCAGTATCCTGGAAAAAAATGATTAGTTTACGGTTATTATAGACAACAGCAAAAAAGGAATAATCCCCAATAACAGCAACCTCGAATTTGTCAATGACATCACCTTCATGGATAATACTAGAAATTGGTATTACGTCCTTGCTGGTCATAGGTATGATCCGCAACCTCAAATCATCTGGTTGACTATTTGGTTTCTTCTTGTCATCTAATAAAATGCTGTATTCCAGGATACCTCTAAATTTGTCAAGAAGTGTAATTCTGCTAATTGACGCCTTCCTGTTTCTTTCTTTGTACCCGTTGTTAGATATACCATGGTAAATATTTACGGCACCTAAAACCAAGCTACCGCCTACTTCATTTGATACTTTTTGGACAGTAAATCTGTTTTCTTTTACAAGATAATCTAGTTCATAGAGAGCCACGGTATCACCTGCTACCATAAAAGTTCTGTAGTAAAAATTTTCGACTATACTAGCGTTTGAATTTGTCGGGACCATAGTCTCCAGCTTTATCTTTTTCAGATCTTCATCAACCGAAAAAATAAGAAGATTATCGGTATTGTTATTTTGAAGATTATCTTCTAGATTAGTTGGAGAAAGTAGAACTGCAAAGCAGTGCGAAACAGCGTATTTTTTTGCATAGCTAGTTTCACCTTTTAGTTCAGGAAGAAGAATATTATCTTCCTTATAAAATAAGGGCGACATTGATGAAATATTACGGTTTTCACGATTAATTGTGGTGGTATATTCATCAACTATTGTCCCATTGATTATGTCGATCAACGCTACAATATTATCAGGATCCTTCTCGTCATTCCCAAGTTTTTCAACATGACCAACAACATATCTATATGAAAATGGTAAGAATGATATAGCAACCAGCTTATAATCGAGTCGAACACGATTTTTAATCTGTTTAGGAGATAAGTCTAACAAATCTCTATCCATTTTAATAAATAAGCCGCTTTCACTTACAGCATAAATATTGTCATCACCAAACCCAACCAGGGTCGCTAATGTTACAGGTAGGAACAGGCTTTTCAAAGTATACGATTTTAACTTTATGTCATAATTCAAAATGGCAATATATTCCGAAGAGTAGATTAGCCATTCATTTACTTTGCTTGACTTCGCGAATCTTAAATTTGGTAAACAAAAATGGTATTTGCTAATTAATGTATCGCTATCTGCTCTGACGATATGTAGAACTCCCTCTGGATCCAATAATAAAAGATCAGTAGACTCCGAACAAGTATTAAAATCGAAATGAGTCACTCTCGAAACATCGATCTGCAGTTTGGTATGCGACTTTAACTCTGTATTCAAAAAACACAGGACATGCTTATCTATAATGGCATAGGTGAGAACAACATTGTTTCCTATGACTGTTGTGTTTATTTTGACATTTTTTAATGTGGGGTTGGTGATTTTATCACGCAAATTAAACTGACTATCTGAGAAGGACCAATTCAAATATCCATCAAATGAAACAAAGCAATACTCGGTTGAATTTTTTAGTCGAAAGAATGTAATATCGTTGATGTTATTTTTAATCTCAATTTTAGCACCATTTACAATAAAATCAAAAGGAGCATCTTCTTTTTGTAAAGTTTGGTCACTGTAGATATTGTCACAATTATCTTTCCAAATAAGAGCTTCACCATCGAAATATGACAACCTTGGTGTACCGGGGAGTTTATTGATTAAATGCCAGCACTTTTCGATATTCTTTTCCTTTCCATTTGAGGGAGGTTGTGGAACAGGAAGTCCGTTATATTCTACTTCTAGGTAGTAACTATTACTTTGGTAATCACACCCTGTCAAAATCTCTATGGGGACTTGCGATAGTTTATAATCGTAAATCATATTTGGACCTTCATTATTTCTCTTTCTTTGTGTTGGCAATTTCTGGTCATTAATTGATATTGAATATTGCCGCCCTAACACTCTTTGCCATTGCCATATTTTTTTTAGTGATATTTGGTCTCTAGATATGTCACTGTTGGTTGGTTGGTCAATGCCTACTACTTCAAACTGAAACCGATTCATGTGAGTTACCGAATCCAGGGCATCGGTTTGAATTATATTAATCTTTACAACTATTAGCTCATCCTTGTCAGTCAAAAACCAGAAATTTAATCGAGATGTATCTTCAGATGCTACCAAATCTGTGGTTATACTAGTTGTTGTTTCAGTTATATCGATTTGACGTCTTAAACCTTCAAAATAAGTTAAGTCTTGTACTAATACACCACCAATATCACATAAAAATCCGTTCACAAAGGGGATTACAAAAATGTCATCTAGAGATAAGATATAATATCCAAAACTTGGTATGTAAGCAAACACGTATTCGTTATTCGGTGAGCTAAAAGGTAATAAATGCAATGTTTGTGGTAGCTGCAAGCAACGCGTACATGACCATCTACTATCAAGTTTGTTGCTTTGCCTTGAACAAGTTTCAAAAATCCATCTCCCTCTTTTGTAAGTGATCAGAGAAAGTTCCATTCTCGATACGTCTCGTTCCTCTTCATAAAATCTACAGAGTTTCAGCGTTTTTATCTTCCCAAATGAGGAATAGATAGGACTTCTTGTACTATCACCATCAGTAGTTATTCCCTCGTGTATTTCAATACCTTGTTTCTTGTCATAAAATTTCAATAAGTAAACATCTAGGTCTGTTGCGTTGAAATATATGTGACAGAGCTCGTTATCAATCCGCAAGTTACAAAATGTAGCAGTGATTGGTATATCAATGCTGTACTGTAGTGTATACCCATCTTGTAATTGACCACTATCTGGGTCTTGCGATAGCTCTCTGACGAACAATGTACCTGCTGAATTCAATAACAAGAGATACCTCCCACCGCTTTTGCCGCTTTTATATTCACAGAATGCAACTATGTATCCAGAACACCTCACCCGCGACCTCAGCACCACTGATTCGCTGATTCCATAGTGATCGATCCACTCGCACCTGACTACTACAACCGACCCGTCTTCCAATTCAACATACCCTAAGGCATCGGGACTCTGGCAGAGTCGCTCTCTCAGAACAATGGCAGTCACAGTTTCCTGCTCCATCCTTATAAAATAAGGTGGCCTTAATTGAACAATTAAGAACTTGGTTTATTCCCAGGGACTGCTTATTAGATGCAACCATGGGGTAGCTCTCCCATTGATTGTGGAAACACAAAAAAATGGGCTTTTTTAGGGAAGGTGGCCTCTTCCCGGAGAAAAGTATATAAATGTTAGAGTTTCTGTGATGGCTCAACCTTGGAATTGGAACTTTGGTACATAAAGAACAAACGCATATTTTTAACCAAAATATCGTGACAATTTGCTAGAAACTAGTTAGAGGAGAATACCTGGAAAGAGTAGACTCAATTTGGATTAGCATTACCTTAGCCGAGCAAGGACAGTAGTGAACGATACGTTGTGGATATTTGTCAATTGAATAGGCAGATTGGCAAAACACTAGTTAGTTGGTTGAAGTTTGATTGGTAAGTGTGTAATGAACTGATGAATTAAGAATTTGTATACTATGTTTAGGCGATCGAAGAGTATTAAGAAAACGAGCAAACAAATTGAGGTCATCTCTCATAGTAAAACTCCGGGCGATGAAGGAGAACAGTTAAAGGTTAGAGTTGAGGACAAAAGGAAGTCAATAACTGTCACTGTTGAAACTGAAAGATTAAATTGTTTGTGTTGTGGGATGGTTTTGGATATACCGAAAACCGCAGAGAAATTCAAATGCTGTGTATGTCATGTTACTACCTACAGAGGAGGCCAAACGAAAAGCGAAACTTATAAATATAAAACATCAATAGATGTGGATGATCTAGCTGTTATAGTTAAGAATTGTTTTAATGATATAGTAGAAAGGAAAAATGAAATGACTCAAGAAGAAAAATACAATGTCTTCAACCCTGTGAATGATTACATTGATGCGAAATTCAGACACCACCAAATACTGGAGAATTCATTCCCAGGAAGCAGCCCTTTGGTTGACTCTGATGTCAATACTGAACAAGTACTCAGGTTTTACAAGATATTGTTCAGTCTACCAACCAGAAGACCATATTTCAGAATGCTGTGTAGAATGAATGATCTGTTAAGGAAGGCCAATCACAATTGTACACACTTTAGATGGCTAATTATAATTTTAATGAACCCTGGTCTACGGTGTTGTCTGATCGGAAAAGCGCAAGGTGGGTTCGACTCACAAGAGATACGCACTATATCATACGAACTACTAAAAAGAAGTATTGGTTATTTGTCTAATTTGGATAGGCAAAAACATTCCAAAAAACTAATAAAATATCTTATGAGAATGCCCCTCTCTTGCTTTAAAGAACAACTGGAAGTACTGAACTTATATCTTACATTTCAATTCTCTAAAATAATGTACAAGGACAACCAGAGTGTAAGAACTCGAATACAACCAAGACGAATGCCCAGCGATGGTATGGAGTTGGTTAACAATTCTACATACTGGAATTATCATTTGTCTGGAAGTGATGAGTCACCAAACATCAATGGCATACTGGAAAGCAAGAGCTCAGAACATGGTCAAAAGGGTAAATCAGTTCCTTCCGGAGATTTCAAATTTAGTCCATATCAGTACGAAAATGATTGGCATATTCTATCTGTTACCAAACTCATTTCATTTTTCTTTACAGCTAATCAAAAGAGAAATATTTCTTGCCTTCAGTCCGAAAATAATGGTTTGTTGGACACCTCCACGTTTTACAACACTATTTTAGACTTTATTGACTATAGGAAAGATTTTGATAATTGGCGGGGGAAGCCCAATCGACTTCATTTCGTTCAATCGAAAGAATACGATGGAAATGGAAAGCAGTTCACTTTTTGCAAATATCCCTTCTTAATTTCTCTAGGCTTGAAGATATCCATAATGGAATATGAAATCAGAAGAATTATGGAATATGAAGCTGAACAAGCATTTTTATTATCGCTTGATAAAGGGAAAGTAATCGACGTTTATTTGAAAGTGAGGGTAAGACGATCAAATATAAGTTCTGATTCATTACAATCCATAAAAGAGCATCAAGGTGACTTATTCAAATCATTAAAAGTCGAATTTGTAGGAGAACCTGGAATCGACGCTGGCGGGTTACGTAAGGAGTGGTTTATGCTGTTGACCAAAACTTTATTTGATCCAAGAACTTCGTTATTTGTATATGTACCTGAAAGTAGACTGATATGGTTCTCCAATTCAGCTCAAAATGAAGCTAGCATTCCTGATAAAGAAACTATGGAATTGTATTATCTTTTTGGAGTGGTAATGGCACTTGCTATATTCAATAGCACCATACTGAATCTTCATTTTCCCAAGGCTTTGTATAAAAAAATATGTGGAGAGCCCTTAAAATTTGATGACTATGCAGAGATTTATCCTGAAACAGCGCAAAACCTTCAAAAACTTCTAGAATATGATGGAGATGATTTTTCAGAAGTATTTGCTCTAAATTTCGAGACTACATTTATCAATGATATGTGGGAAATTAACCCAAAAAATATCAAAAAATATAATACTGTGGAGTTATGTGCCAATGGTAAGAACATGTCTGTTACATCAAGCAACAAAGAAGAATATGTTAAATTGTGGATAGATTTTTACCTCAATAAAAATATCAGTACTACATTTGAGAAATTTCTTTTAGGATTTAAAAGGGTTTTTTCTGTTTCCAAATCAATTAAGTTGTTTAATTTTGAGGAATTGCAGAGACTAGTTTGTGGAGACCAGGATACTAATAAGTATGACTTTGGCATGCTAAAATCTGTAACCAAATATATTGGTGGTATGAACGAAAATATGCCCGTAGCAAAATGGTTCTGGGAAATTGCCCAAGAATGGGATATCACAAAACAAAAAAAATTGATGCGATTTGTGACTGGTTCTGATGGTGTTCCAGCAACGGGTATGTCTACCCTGCCTTTCAAATTGAGTCTTTTGGGTTCATCTGACTCTGACAAACTACCTATAGCTCATACCTGTTTTAATGAACTCTGTTTATGGCAATATCGATCGAAAGAAAAATTAGAATCGAAGTTGAAATGGGCAGTTACAGAATCTGAAGGCTTTGGTTTTAAATAGAAATTAGATTTACGAGTAATTTTATAGAAATGTATTATATGATAATATTCCTTACATTGTAACCTTTGTTCTATAGGCATCAACTATCAAATTATTGACTATGGTTGAAATTCACTTTTCAAGACCCAGACCTTCTTGTTATTGCTAAAGTTACCTATGCTTTTTAGTAGAGCTCTAGTTTTGATTAGATCTTCCTCATCATTAATGTGGACGCCAAGGTTATTTAATATATCCCGAGAAGAGGCTTCAAAGTTCTCCTGTTTTTTTAGAAAGTTAATAATGGAGAGCAGTTTCTCTTTGTTTGTATTCGTATCTGCATTTGTAGTATCAGAGTCGGTCGGACTTTTCTTTACTTGAGTGTTCGCTTTCCTGATATTTGATAAAATACTGGCAGATCCGGTACCTTTCTTAATATTTTTTTTCAAATTGGGCTTGTTTACTTTACCTGCTGTACCAAACTTTCCTGTCCAAGTTGGAGTACCAATATCATACTTCTTGGTCTCTTTTCTTGAAATTCTTAAAGCTTCCAACGCTTGATTTGCTATTCTCTCAGCTTCTCTTTTAACAATTTTTGATGAACCTACCGAATGGGATTTTATCATTTGCTCATGCGTAGCAATATTTTCAAGACTCTTTTCACCTAGCAGACCCTCCATAAGCCTCTCGTCATCTTCTTTATTGGATTCTGAGACTTCTTTACCATCATAAAAACTTTCTAACTTAGATACACCATCCAAGTTGGTGACTTGATCTAAATCATCACTATCTTTAGTACTTTCGTCTTTTAATTTTTTAGTATGTTTTTCAACCTCCTCATTTAACGTTTCAGTTGAATAACCTTGTTCACCTCCCAAGCTAAATAGATCTTGAAGTTCTTTAGTTTTGAAGAATCTTTTCTGCTTTGGATCCGATAAAACTTTATTCATTAGAAATTGTTTAAAAATTTGCCGATGATAAATTTTTTCTTCTATGGTTCCGGAAATCATTAATCTATATATTGATACTTCTCGTTTCTGTCCTATTCTCCAGGCTCTTTCTCTTGCCTGTAAATCAGTCGAAGGATTCCAATCAGGATCATATATGATAATTCTATTGGCCCCCGTTAAATTAACACCCAAACCACCTACCCGAGTAGTTAGCAGGAAAACATCATACGACTCATTATTAAACCTATCTACTAGAGTTTGTCTTACCTGAATACTAGTTGTACCATCCATTCTTAAATATCGTATGTCAGACAGCTCTGGTTCTTTGAACTTTATGAACTCTTCCAAGATATCTAGCATTTGCCTAGATTGCGTAAATAACAGCGTTTTATGGCCCTCGCTCTTCCATAACTTAAGCAATTGTTTGACAACCTGCATTTTGCCTGACCGCTTAGGGTCACCATATCCCGAAGTATTCTTTATATAATCACGGTCCAAGAGATCTGGGTGATTACAGATTTTTCTTAGAATATCGATACCATAAAGCACATGTCTTTTACCTCCTTTGATTTGACTTAATTCGTCAGAACTTAAAAATTCTAGGTACTTTCGTCTTTGAAATTCTGTCAGTTTGCAAAATAAAACCATTTCCTTCTTTTTAGGTAAATCTTTAGCCACATCAGCTTTGACTCTTCTTAAAAGATATGGTGATATAAGATCTCTTAGAGCAACAGCACAACGGTATCCAGTTTGAACCTGTGTATTTGTTGCATTAGCATAACCACCCATATTAATAGGTTGTACAAATTGCTGCTGAAAGACGGGTAAAGTACCTAACCTTCCTGGATAGATAAAATCAAATAATGACCATAATTCAACAAGATTGTTTTGAATGGGTGTACCAGAAAGAATAATTCTGTTTTTACACTTCAGTTTTTTACAAGTCAGAGATATTTCAGAATCCGGATTTCTGATTTTGTGACCTTCATCAAGAACGCAATATGACCAGTTCACATTTAATAATTTGTCAGAATGTATACGGAGTCCAACATAAGTTGTAATAATGATATGTCCATCTGCAACAACTTTTGATATAAGATTCTGCATATGCATGCCAGTTTCTACCTTACTTTTCAATTTTGAGGCATTTTCATAATCATGAAAGTCTGTGTTTTCAAGTTCTGATTTAATTATCATGTTTTCGATTTCATCTTCTGTCAAGTTACTTTTATCATTCATACCCGCCCCAATAGAATGTAATATAACTGCTCTAAATGGGGGCCACCATTGGTGAATTTCGTTACACCATTGTTTCATCACAGTTGCCGGGCAAACAATCAAAACAGGTCCCGAAAGGAGATTAGAATGATGTAATGCTGCTAAGAATGCTGTTACTTGAATAGTTTTTCCTAGCCCCATTTCATCACCAATTATACCACCCCTTCTCTGTTGAAAAAGCTCATAAAGCCACTGTACACCTGTTTTTTGGTAATTGAAAAGGAGAGAGAATATTTCACCAGGAATCTTGAACTCATTGTTAAGCTTTGCATCAGGGATTTCGGGATGTGGTTTTTGCCATTCTGGAAGATGTTCGTGTTTGTCAAGTGTCCTTTTGGATGATCTATGTTTAATCCATTTACGTAGTCTTTTTTGATATATCAGTTCGTCTCCATCATCCAGCGTTTGTCCGTGAGCGAATCTGGTATCAGGGACTGAGATCTCATCATCCTTACTAGTATCATCAGTATTAACATATTCATCATCATCAACATACGTGTCATCAAAATTATCATTATTATCAAAGCTATTTGAGATATGCTCTTCATCGTCAAGATTCTCCGTCATTTGAACAGCTGCCAAAGCTTCAAGATCTTCCTCCTTTTTGATTTTTGTAGCTGGATAGGAATCATTGGCGTAGTCCTCATTATCAATAATAAACTTATTGGAAGAGCCAAAAGCAGTTATCTTACCTATCCTAACTAAATAATCTTTCTCTGATTCATCAGGTCGTCGATCAGTTTCTGTCTTTTGACTATCACTATTAAGAGAATTGAGATTGGATTTTAGCCGTTGTTTGACATCTTGTATGTCTTGTCTTAGTGTATACTCCTCATTCTCTTCAAGATAAGCAATTTCTTCTCGAAGTTTGGCTTTGACAGATATTCTAGTAGTTAGCTTAAGTCTTCGTTCAAGTAATTTCTTTTTCTTTAAGCACTTGTTAAGTGCATTTTTGGCTCTCTCAAGACGCTTCTCTTCTTGCTCTATCTGTTGTTGGATCGTATAGTTTTGAACATCATTTTCAATCTGTTTCTCTAATGAACTTTGGGACTGGACGTTAACACCAAGGTTGTCTAACCCTTCATTGATCCTACTTTCCTCATTTCCCATCTCCTAACTTATAAGTGGTTCCTAGTTTGTACTGAGAAAACCCGTCAACTATTTAGGACTGAAAATTATGCTGATTATCAACCTATCGTCCACACCAACAGATAAAATAATATTCGACAACAAATTTGTTTAATTAATTTATGCTCATCTCATCGCTCAATTTAAAATGATTATAGTTACATAGATTTTCAAGGGTATTAAAAAGAAAAAAAAAGATGTGGCAAAAAAATTGGGGCGAGCTGGGAATTGAACCCAGGGCCTCTCGCATGCTTGTGATTGTTCACACGGATTTTATCCATGTTCGCCCAAAGCGAGAATCATACCACTAGACCACACGCCCTAACTATTTGATGGAAGCATGTAAAATAAGTTGTGACTTTGTTCAGGTATTATTTTTCAAAGCTATAGAATGCTAGGCGTGTACATTCAACAATTAGGGTAAGTAACTTTAATGTCTACATTCCATGAAATTGATTGAGATATTATCCAATTGCCTATCTAATTTTTTATCTGGTAAATACTCCATTTTAAGTAATTATATTTATTTATAATGATTGTACAAAAAGGGTTTACTAAACATTATTATGGCATGTAAAAGAAACACTTGGAAGAAGTAAGTAAATAAATAAATAATTAAATAAATAATTAATTAAATAAATAAATATGTATTACATGAAAACATGGCATGAACCGATTTTGCCATTTAATTCATCCATTAAATAAGCTACGATTTATGTGATACATTTCACACTCATAAACTGGCAATACAAACACTCCCAAAACTGTAAGAAACGCACAAGATACTTGATACAAAATGTTAGTTGTATAGACTACAGACCAATTAGCCTCATACCTCTAAATACTTCATGATAGCTTTCTATTATCTCAACCAAGGTTTAATTCAAATATTGGAAGCGATATTGATTTAAACAGAGGGGCATAGCAGATCATGTGAAATATTCGTCAAGAGTAATAATATGCTATCATAAACCAAATTTGCCACTGTGTAAATCAGTAACAGGTTGGCAACTTGGCCGAGTGGTTAAGGCGAAAGATTAGAAATCTTTTGGGCTCTGCCCGCGCAGGTTCGAATCCTGCAGTTGTCGTTATTTTTTTACTCTTGCAGAGTTCAAGTCTGGTAATACACAATATATGTTTGTAGAGTTAAGCTTCTACTGCTTTCCTATGATTATATTTGCAGCATCTATCAAATAGTAGTATTTTACACCCTGTCTACCTTGTTCTCACAGATTAGGCATTGGTGTTACTGAAGGATTACGTAAGGTTACTACAACTCCCTATTGTCACTTTCAAGTCATAACTTTGAACCTTGGAACAGTACAGTTACAACTTCCTAGTCGAAACCATTTTGCCCACTCGTATCGAAGTGCTGTTCATAGTGCGAATGCATATGTGCTACTATGTGATAGTATAGATTTACGAACTTCGTGATAGGGGTAGTCGGAGCATAATGCGCACAGGAGATAGTTTAAGCTTTTACTCACTTAATTTATTTGAGTTCAGAACACTAGCACTCTCCCACTATTATCTTACTTTTTCAGGGTGATCAGCTGTCATACTGACATCTGAGTATTATTTAATTTGTTATTTAGCGATTTGATATTAAACGGCATGCCGAATACAACACTGTGGTATACATAAACATTACCCTTTTTCATTAACAATGACCAAAGTTAGTGTGAGGACGACAATTAAGTTGTATTAAGCCCAAAATAACTAGCTTAATTTGCGGCACCTACTATTGAACAGTGCTTTTTCTAAACATTTTTCATCCTAGTTATTTATAAGAGGAGCATTACTAGTTATAATTTGAATCACTCGAATGAATCTCATTATTGGGTCTGACAATACTATTGATGTGGAGAAATATGACAAGATAGTCCAAACATTTTACACTAGCAATAGCCAAGGTTGGGCTCAGGCGCAGCAGGTCTTGGACGAGTTTCAAAGAAATGAGGACTCGTGGTTATATGTCGATAAAATCCTGCAGTTTTCCTCTAATGTGCAAGGCAAGTACATTGCGCTATCGGTGTTAGATAACATGGTAACAGGAGGCTGGTATGAACTGCCCCAAGAGCAAAAACTGGGAGTACGAAACTTCTTAGTTGGCTTTATTTTGTACGTTTGTGAGAAGAACAAACCCAATGAGAGCTTTATGCTTAGGAAGGCGGATTTAGTGCTTATTGAAATCTTGAAGAGAGAGTGGCCAGATAATTGGCCCTCTTTTTTGGATGAATTAATTTCGAGTTCCCAAAGCTCACCGCAAGTATGTTACAACAACTTGAAAATACTAAGTTTGTTAGCGGAAGAGGTTTTTAAACCACTAAAAAAGAACCAAACTAAAGCAAAAGCATTACAACTGATATACAACCTTAATGCAAATGCGGAGAAAATTTGTAATTTTTGTACAGAATTATTAAAGATGGACTATTCGAGCGAAATGACTGTCGCTTCTCTGAATACAATTAAACTCTTTCTTCTCTGGCTTCCAAAGGATTGCTTCAACAGCTTGGAATTATGGGGGGTACTGACATTACTGAGCAGAAGCGAACCAAGTATAAGATACCATGTAATTCAATGCCTAATTCAAGTGCTTGATCTAGATTTCGCTTTAGTAGAGACAATAAGATCAAATGAACGTTTTTCTTCATCTCTCATAAGCTGTTTTATAAGTATTATAAACCAAACTGCTTGTGAAATAAAAACAACAGACACTAAATGGTACAAGTTTTACCTAGAATTGCCTATAGATGGCGAGGAGTACTTGAAGGAATTGGCGAAATTTCTTACCAAATTTCTCATAAACCATTCCACAGCAATGGATAACACTCCAAATGTAAGGGGAATTATTTACGAAGCACACAGATGTATCCTAAGATTAATGGAGCTACCCAATATAGAGATTTTGGAGTATACTTGTGAATATTGGCATCAACTTGTATTTAAATCACTCACCAAACAACAAGATATTGGCTATAATCTAACACATACTCATCCATTACCACAGAGAAGGAATTCTATTGATCGCGATAACTTCGAATTTTTTGAAGAGGTAAGGGAATACCTCATTTGGAATTTAACAAAACCAGATGACATTCATAACTTATTTGCATCTACAACTGGTTTAATTGATGAATCCGAACAATCAAACTTATATAACATACAGCGTGAAACTTTAATATACCTCACTAATTTGGAGTATACAAAAACCTTAGGAATGATTCAGAATGAGATAAATCAGTGGCTAAATCAACCAATAACTGAGATAGGTCATTTCAATTCTGTTTGTTGGTCAATAGCAACTTTAGCAGGCCAACTACCAAGTAAAATAGAAGATGAGTTTATAATAACTATTATGAAGATCATGATGCAGATAGAAGAATATAACCAATCCCAGGAAATGAAAACGCATATTCAGTACAATATGATCTATATCATCACAAAATATACTCGATTTTTGAAGAGTAACTGGATCTCTTTAAAAGCAATCACTGGTCGCCTAATTATAATAATTCAGAGCGCAGATACACCACTAAGAGATCAGGCCGCTATAGCTCTTGGACGATTGCTCGCACAATGTGCCTCATCATATATTTATCCGCAAGAAGAAAATGAACCCCCTTATATTGACATTATCATAAGGCAATCTTCTATTATATTGGGTTACTTATCTCCAGAGCAACAAACTCAGCTCATCAAATCCCTCCAAATTGCTGTTTATATGGACCCCAGATCTGTTGAAAAGCAAAAAAATATCCATCTCATCATTCATGATACCATGAATGAGTGGAATGCAGTTTTAATGAAGTTTAGGGATGGAATAAACAACTTCAATGATATGGCCAGACTTCAAAAGTTAAACCATTTAATACACGTCTTGGATGTCACCTGCAAAGAACTTAAAGAATATTTTAATTCACATTTAGAAAGAATAATTCCTGATATCTCATTTCTGCTACAGAATCTATCTCATTTTGTTATCACCTATATGGATGACAAACAATGGAAGGGAAATAACAACGGAAGCAAAAATCTTGCAGTAGAGATTTACTCAGGTATTTTAAGTTTATTGAACACCTCCATCGATCATGGAACAAATGAAAATTCACAATCACTTACAATTAGAGCCTCAAAAATTGTAGATGCATTCTTATCAACTTATTCGAACGGAATGGGACAAATCCTCAATGGGGAGGACATAAACTTATCTTTAGCACTTCTGAAGAAGTTGGGGCGGAACTTTGATAAGTATAATAAACAACTTCTAACCATATTAATTGATTCAGCCTTAGCATATGGCGATAGAGCAAGTCCAGATCAATCTATCACATTAGTCAAATCTATGTCTTATATAATAGGATCTTGCTTCGAAACAATACTTGCATTGAAAGCGTCATACTGTGGCGATATTTGTCAATACACAATGCTTTCTGCGATAAATTCTGACTCTGATGTGAAGCTCATCTCCTGGAGATCTCTAATATCGATACTAAACAAATTTAAAAATTATAAGGATGATCAGATACAAAATGAGTTCCTTGCAAGTTTTTATTTCCCCTTACTTCAACTAATATTTTCAACAATCACTGATAAGTCCTTTGATGTTGTATTTGAAGAACAGTGCCAATTATTATCAGATTTACTCATCATTGCATCCGAAAATGATATAGTACTCTATGCATTTATCACCTCCAAAAATGATACAAACTTCAATGTTGTGCAAGAGTTTTTATTAAACGAGATACTGAATAATAGTAAACTCAAAGCAGATCAAGCTCATGAAATAGTTTTATCTTTGATTTCACTAGCTGGCGATAGGAACGCCATAAAAAATAAGTTAGAAGATTTCAAGGCCATGTCAAAAGAGGCCTGTGCTTCATCCGCAGATGTGTTTGAAGAAGAAAATTATCACCAATACGAAGTACTAATCAAATCTCAGGCTATCAAAAGACACAACGATTATACCGTTACTGACTAGTCATGGCTACCCTTTTTGATTGGATGATAAGTTATAGATGTTACAACTCATTTATTTACATACATAAAAACATATAGTTAGCATAAAATTTAATGATAAAGAGGTAATTATTCTTTTTTACCTAGATGAATGATATTTACTATTTACATTTTGTTTTTTAATGAATAATAATTTCTCGAGGAAAGTTGAATTGTATCTTGTTAGCAACAGAGATGATCAAATTAAACTTAACAAAAAAGTACAAAGTGGGGTACGGTAGCATATACTCTTGATGATAGATATCATTTTATTTTCTTTGCCTTCAACTTGATCGTTTCGCCATTCACATATATTCCTTTACCCTTATAAGGCTCAGGTGGATGGAAGTCTCTTAGTTTGGCTGCAAAGAGTAGTACCTGTTGCTTGTCACTACCTTCGATAATTAATGAAGTTAGTGATGGAGATTTCACTGTGATACCCTCGGGTACATCTAAACCTTGCTTTATCGAGGCCCCCACTTTAATATTCACAAACTTACCGTCATTTTCCAAACGTGCACCGTAACCAGTACCGACAAACTTCAGTATCGCCATATGGCCCTCAGTAACACCTACAATATGATTATTTACAAGCGATCTTACTGTCCCCCACATACTTTTCTGCAACTTGCTTTCATTATCCTTTACAGAGATCGTCACTTTCCCAGAATCCTTGTCCTTTTCCATCGAGATGAAATCTGGGACTTCAAGTTTAAGAGTCCCCTTAGGACCTTCCACAGATATAACCTGGGCAAGCGAAAGAAGCCCTCTACCTTTCCTGATAGTCTTGGCCACGCTCATAGGCCCAATGGAAACGTTCACCTCCGGCGCAACATAAATAGGCATAGACCCCACATGAGACTGCACCGCTCGGCTCACTGAGAACGCTCTCCTACCAAATATAGTTCTAATCATCTTCTAATGAGTTCTGCTGTTAATTAATCTATTGGTCTGTATTAAATAGTTCAAGAGAGTACTCTAATCACTTGACTTTGATATAAGAGTCCTTCAAGCTTGCAAACTTCGGGATTGGCCTCGAAGACGTTAGTAGGTGATGATACCTCAAGGAGACGTAGAAAGAGGTGTTGCTGAATACACGAGTAGGAGCAGTCAAGTAGCGCCTTACTCAGCTCTTCATATACCAATAAGTATGCTAGGCTGTGTTTTAGAAGTGCAATTCTAATAACTAGTAGTATTACTAGAGGATGGGCACCAATGCGTTATACTTCATGTAGGTACTATGGAATTAGGCTTCCTGCAAGTGTTTCTTCGTCTGATCGTACGGGACCGGTGAAAAATTTCGAGAAACTTGCGATGAGCTAAATCTGCGATGAGCTTCATTTAATACATACATGAAATGGACAACTTATATATGCATATTTAGTCTATATAAACAGGGATAAGCACAATAATACAATAGGACAACAAGGATGGTTAGGAAGTTGAAGCATCATGAGCAGAAGCTGCTGAAAAAGGTGGATTTCCTGGACTGGAAGCAGGACCAAGGACACCGTGATACTCAGGTAATGAGGACATACCACATACAGAACCGTGAGGATTACCACAAATACAACAGGATATGTGGTGACATAAGGAAGATTGCGCACAGATTGTCTCTATTGCCGCCTAGTGATCCGTTCCGTAGGAAACAGGAGCAAATGTTGCTGGATAAGCTGTACAACATGGGCATCTTAGCCACAAAGTCTAAAATTTCAGACCTAGAAAACAAAGTAACAGTGAGTGCTATTTGTAGAAGAAGGCTGCCCGTTGTAATGCACAGATTGAGAATGGCGGAAACGATAAAGGATGGTGTCAAATTTATTGAACAAGGTCATGTACGGGTTGGTCCAAACCTAATAACAGACCCTGCATACTTGGTTACCCGTAACATGGAAGATTATGTCACTTGGACTGACAACTCCAAGATCAAGAAGAATGTCTTGAAGTACAGAAACCAAATTGACGATTTCGAGCTTTCATAGATGCTGAAATGAATGAGCAAGATTGCCCAGCTGTGCATACTATACGGAGTTTCATCAACTTATATATCATCGATTATACAGGATAGATAATTCAATACTACAAGCCATAATAAGTTATCAGTAAGCCATTCTACTATTTTTCAAGCATGCTAATTATTTATCGAGTAAGAAACATAAATTTAAGATCATAAAAGTATAGACTACGGCTAAGAATAAATACGTAATACATAGAACTTGTTTAATAGAATATAAAAAAACTGTAAATAACATAAGAAAAGTCTTGTAGATCAGAAAATAGAAGGTCTAAAACAACACAGAGCAAGCAGATGACAATTAATATTATCGGTAGTTCCTGTCACCTTCTATGAAAAATTGTAATTGTTCGAAGACCCTAGCTGTTTCCTTAAATCACTGCTACTACCGTTGTGAGGTAAAATATTACCCACACCAGGCGGTTGTATAGTGTCTATGTGATCAAGAATACCACTAACTCTGCTTTGGTTTGGTTGATTGTAAGGATTTCCCTGGGTAGTCAAGCTATTGTTCCTGGAGTTAGAGTTGATGTAGTTCCTCAATGAGCCTGCTGGTTTATGAAGTGTATTCAACGACAGTTCTGAGGGGTTTGTCATCACCACACTTTGACGCAGTTGATATGGAAGTGGAGCACCATTGACCTGTCCTCTATAAGTGTTTGCAGAGTATACACTTCCATTGCTTGGTTGCATGCCACCGTTGTTTAGATAAGTGTCTGTGCTTGGAGAATAGAACATCTCAGGATGATCCATTGGGTTTAATGCGGTACCGTTTATTCTTGCGGTTTGAATTTGATGCAGTTGTTGTTTTTGATTTTTCTTAAATGCTGTGAGGGAATTAGTGGACTCGGATGAGGCCAAGTATGCAGGGGTAGGTAGTTCACCAATTGTTTCCAGGGTTTGTGGATGGTGGAACTCTTGAGATGCGTTGTTGTTGTTATAACTCATCATGTTTTGTTGTAAACTGACATTATAAGTAGGTTGATACATTTGCTGTGGGTATTGAATATATTGTGACTGTGGGTAGTTACCTTCTTCTGGAATCTGTTGACCATATAATCCATTCTGTGATGATTGCTGGTAATATGCCTCTTGAGGAAACTGATTGTAGCCTTCTTGTGACTGGTATGGATAGGCCTGTGTAGCACCATCCATAGCCGTATTATATGGCTGGCCGTATTGTTGACCACCAGTGATATCTTGAGAAGTCTGTGGAGGTACCACATTTCTGTCATTCATCTGCATTTGATTAGATACTTCAGAAACTTTTTTCTCGTGCTGTGATAGAACTGGTAACTCAGAATATATCGACGACGCAGCTCTCCCGTGATTAGAACCCTCTTGTACAGCAAGTTGGTTGTTACTTGTCGTGAGCGCATTCAATGTGTCTTCATTCTCTTCTCTGTTTAAGGCCAGTGATTCCTGCTCATCATCGGACGGTAACGGGTTATCTTCCCGTTCTTTTATCGTTTTACTCCTATCGAGGTAAACTTTGTATATACTCTTCATCCGTTGAATATTTTCTTCCTCATCGGGGCTCAGTTCTGTAACGAACTCAGATGCGTTATCATCCTCCATGTCATATTTGTCTGTATCTCTGTGATAGTTGTTACGCTCGTTTGTGCGCCCTTTGTTATACTCATCATCATCATCATCATCGTCGTCGTCGTCGTCGAGATCGTTGGATTCAATAACCATGGTCTCAAATTCGAAAGAAGGTTTTGGCTTCTCAGATAAGTTGCTGTGCAGATTATGGGACAGTTTTTCGTCTGTTGATAATGCTGTTGGCGATCTATCTGTGGAAGTTCCTGTGGAGTCGTCTGTGCTGTGGCCATTGGTAGCGTTTCTCAGCGAGCTAGAAGAGTAAGCCATGTGTGTCATGGGCGGCCTCATGTTTTTCATCAGCATACGAGGGCCCGCGCTTCCCCGCGACTGGTCCAGGTGTGTCAGCGACACCTGCGACGCGTTGTTCGATGCACTCATAGAGGCCAATTGGTACCCGCCGAACCCATCACTCTGCACACGCTTGGCGAAGTCGCGCAGGTCAGCATCGCTGCCCGTAGACCCCGGCAGCTGGAACGGGTCCGTCGCCATCATCATGTTCTCCCTGTGCTTCTGCAGAGCACCATGCCGGGCCACTGGTATATACTCGTTATCGCCCTCGAACTCAGGGTCGTGGTCCTCTTTCTCCTCCCGCTTGCTCCTCCTGTACACAACGATAAGTATCCCCACCAGCACTATAATAATCACACCCACAGGAATAGCCACTGCCACACCAACACGCACACCTAGGTTGTGATCAGTGGGCAGCTCACACTGCTGCTTGCTCCCTTCACACTTCCCACTGTTTCCACTACCAGCACCATCACCATCACTATCACTATCACTATCCCGCCTAAAAATCATCGCTGGTTTGCGACCATCGGCACAAATCATGGGCGGCTCAGTCCCCGATGCCCTTCCTTTATATACTCGAGGTCCCCCCCCCCAGCACAGCTCAGCTCACGCGCGCTCTGCACTCGCCAGGCCCCCGATACGGATGTGAGGATCGCGTCCATTTTCGAATTGCACTGCACCGCTCCCTCTCTCTCTCGGGGTACTGCGCGTGTTTCTTAACGCTACCCAACCCCGTATTACCGAATCAGGAAGTTCCTATTCTTTTTTTGCTGTGGTTTGTATATGTGCGGTATTTTCTGAGGCAGCTATATTGGATGTTTATCATATCCCAATTAGGTAAACAGGCCAAAAATTCAAGGTTGGGGTCGCAGCGAGATTCGAACCTGGGACCTTTTCAAGGGGGGGGGGGTACTGCTGGTCGGTGTTAGTGCGGTGAAGGGTTTTAACTCCGTTGTGGTTCCTTTCTTATATAAATGGGTTGCGATGAGCAATCATAATATCTGTACTTTCTGCGTTGCCAGTCTGTGAGTTGACATTGACGCCAACGATGTCTGAGTCTGCAGTGCGTGGGTATATCAACAGGAAGTACGGGAAGGTGCTGGAGACGCTTGTGATGGCCGAGGAGGCCATCGCTGCGCGGAGCAACAGAGATGAGCTGACGCAGCGGGAGTTGGTGCAGCAGGTGATGGGGGTGCTGGTGTCTACGTCGCTGGAGCGGTTGAAGCCCGGTGCGGATGTAGTGGGTGCGGGAGACAAGAGCACGTACTCTGCTGCCGCGGAGGAGAAAGAGCTGGACGAGCTGAACGAGTACAGGCGGTCGCTCTCGCAGGACCGCCTGTCCAAGGAGGATACATACTTTTTGGATATGTTTCTGGACAAGCTGATAGCGCGGCTGATTCCGGACAACCTGCCGGAGCGTGAGCACTTCAGTCTGGTGGACGAAGGCGACGAAGCACTGCACGGCCCGCCTTTCAGTGCCTCCGTGCTGGCCTCCAACATGAAGAAGCTCTCCGGAAAGATGGACAGTATATTCGAGTTCCAGGACAACATGATCAGGGTGCTCACGTGGAAGACGCCCACTGTGACGCTTACTGCACTGACAATTTTCACACTGATATGCTTCGATTTGATGAACGTCATATTGTTCCCCATGGCCTACATCGTGCTGGTACAGATGACTCAGGGGTACATACGGAGACACCCAATTCGCAGAACAATATACATCAAGAGAAGGGCCATAGGAAGATCGCTGATTCATGACCTATTCCATGGCGGCAAAAAGACGAATAACGTACTGCTACCGTCCAATGAGAATGACTGTAATGGAGAGCAAGAAAATGAGGCCGATTTGGGTACCTCCGATGATTGTAACGGTACCTCTGATGAAAACGTTGTGATCTCGCCGGCTGCTGCAAAAATCGATAAGAACATTAGCACATACAACTTAAACCACGGCACGAAGGTCGTGTTAACTCTGAGGGATATGCAGAACATGACCACAGGAACAGTGCATTTAATGGATGCGATCGACAAGTTCAAATACGGAACGGCAGCATTTGTCGATGAGTACAAATCTACATCAGTATTTTTCACACTGCTGGGCTCTGTGATCTTGCTGGTATTACTATCTCGCTTTATAACATGGAGCTTAACAATTTCGCTTTCTGCATGGATCGGCCTTCTATCGATTCATCCAAAAGTTCATCCATACGTCAAATCTGCCAAGAATATCATGAAGAAGCCAAAAATGAAACCTGAGAACTCACCACAGGACGTTGCTGTTGTTATGGAGGACAACATTAGCGGGGAAGATTATAACAGAAATATAATTCTTGATGAACCCCCTGACGTCAAGTATGTTGAGGTTTACGAAATCTACAAAAGAGGATTACTCCCTACCGATTGGGAGTTCTTTAAGTTTTCTAGTACCATCTTTGACCCAACAGACACATATAGAAAAGCATTACAGCTTCCACCTGGTGTGGATAAGATTGAAGAGATTAAACCGCCTGCTGGATGGGCGTTTGATGAAAACTCATCATGGATAATCGATAAAAATCCGGAAATATGGGCCATCGAAAGAGGCTTACAATTGCCTGTTGAAGAGGGCTTCCTTGTTGATCCAATGTTCAAGCGTAGGAGATTAGTAAGGAAGGTAATTAGGTATAAAAAACCCATGAAGATCAAGATGCATTAAAATACCATCTCCTGCTAAATAAGTATGGCTAAATAAATCCGTAATCCAAATAAGTTCCTAAGTTCATTCTATATTAAGTACTATAAATGCATAATTATTAAGGTTAGACTCCGTGATTGTCTAACAATTCAAGACGGAACACCATCAACTTCCGTTTTAGAATAGTTATTCACAACTCTTCTCCAATTGTAACGATTATCATAAATTGGAATCCTGAAAAGACTGAAATATAATGCCATCATCAAAAGGACGAACGAGCACACAGTAACAGGAACCATCATAGCCACAAAATTTCTGGTCGAAACTGCCCGCTGGTATGGACAACTAGCGTATGAACCGCCCGATACCCAACAGTTAGAGACGGATATTGAATTCAAATCAATCCATAATGTATCGTCATTAAATTGAGAAGCCTCAAATTGTAAAAGTATAGAGCGCTGTTCTAGAGGAGTTCTTGGGATTGAGAAAGAGTAGGTATTAGGACATTTTGTCTCTCCTCTATAACCATCCATCTCAAAATAAGAATCCTTAACATTGGTTGCTGTCCAATTAAAGATCTGCTTATCTGACCGACATAAAGCTCTTTTTTTAGAATAGCAATTTTCCACAAACCAATTGGCTGAAAAATTGTTATATGCAAAGTTAAATGCTGCACAGTTTTCTGCTACTAAATCGCTCGTCTTTCGAGGAACTGATACTGTCAATATAGGTTGACCAACTGCCCACGACCATACTACGGCAGGTGCCAGTAGATCTATCAAGGCTGTAATATTAGCAGAGTCAAATCTGTTAGCTATCATAGGTGAGTATCCACATCCTGAGTACATCTCAACCTCAGATTTTGTATATCTTGCTTCTAAGAACTTAAAAGTTGTTTCAGAAGCCGATATGAATTGGTCTCTATTATACGGACAGCTAATCGAGACATTTCCTACATCATATGTTAAATTATGGTTAGTGAAAATGTAGTTACTTTCCAATGCATCAAACGAGTTAGTGATTTCCATTGCCAGTAGTCGTTTCCGTCTACCATACATTAAGGCACCCAATGTGGGCCAAAAGTTAGTGGAGTTATCTATACTGTAAGGCGGATCATATGTTCCTAAAAAGTCTGAAGGCGTGTAAATAAAAGATCTTCCAATAGTATTGTCAAGTATTCCTGTGATATTCAGGTTCGGAAACTTATTGAACAAATCATCCGTAAAATTCAACCGCGAATTGTAAATCGTCTTATTTCGAGCACTCGCTAGCTTTATGGTCGGATCTACTCTAAGTAATAACATCAGCACATTACCATATAAATTGTTATTCGTAGCAGATATGAAGTTTCTCATTTGTATAAGTAAATCCGATAGGAGCACATCTGTTTCCTTTAATACCCAGCTGTAGTTCATCCCCACTTCTATATCAACGACAAAACTTTGAGCTCCATAGACCATTATATTTTGAAAGTATTCGAATGCAATAGACTCATTGAAAGGAAGGTGAGACCCATTGTTGTTCACAATGAAGGCTTTATGAAACAACACAGAATTCAGGTTAATACCCGGAAATGGGACCTGGTCTATAGTAATATTTGACATAATATCTCTTTGTGATCGAACTGCTAATTCATGGGAAAGAGAATTGCTTTGCCATGTCGCATTCATATAAGTGCTGTTGGTAATATTAATACCTGCGGGGTTCATGGTACCACTCCCATTGCTTCTAGTACTTGTATCACATAAACCATGTCGCAGGAAGTGGACAAAAAAGAGGAAAAGCAGCCAGTACATATAGCAATAGTATGAAACTCAATACAAACACCAGAAACAAAAAGTAGGTCTGTTTAAATTAAACTTGTACTGATAAGCATATACTGTTTATTTTTCCTTTGTGAGTTTTTCACTAATAGTAGTAAGACGCAATCCTTGTATTACATATAATGAACCAAGAATATTTGTTGCGGGAAGCAAAACTGCATTTGACTATAACGCTCCTGATTTGCAGTAAATTTCTATTGATGATTACTACTATTGTTTCGAGCTTATTATTCTTTGGTCATCATCACAGTGAGAACTGCCTAACTCTTGCAATAATACAGAAAATTTCAAACTCCACTGTAGAATCACGCAGATGGAGATGTAGAGTAAACTGATATCCATCCAATTTTCTTCAGACAGTCTTTTCACTGATAATCACATGATCATCTGATCACATGATCACATGATCAAATAACGGACGGCATCAGGAGGAAGTCACATGACAAAATGCCGATACTGACAATATTACATATATCGGCACTTTGATCTAACTTAGACGCAAGGACTATTTTGGCAAAGTTATTTATGTTTTTTTTTTGTTTTTTTTATTTTTTACGTTTTATTTTTTTACTTTGTTGTAAGCTATGTTTATAGCAACCCTACCATTGTTCTGTTTTTGGTTGCCCCAATATATCGCTGGCACACCTCTCATTGATATACAACTCTTTCAAGTTTTTAATATATATTAAAAACTTCCAAGCACCACAATTCCCACTATTGATCCGGGATTTTGGGGTAATTCTCCTTGCGATATAATTGGCTTTTATCCATTGTATGATAAACAATTGGATGGCAGGAACCTTATGAAGGCCCCTACAACGAACCAAAGAATTGAAGTCATATGATTACTATATTAGGAAATAGGTAAACAAAATCATAACTAGGTGTTCATATTGCCTAAGTTAACCATTTCCTTTATACTCAAAGAGGATAAATAAGTACTTTTCTTTTGATCATCGAGATGTAAAATTCTCAATAAATTGTTGTAGTACCCGAGGTGGTTGTTATCTGCTATCCACCTTTCTGCAGTAGTTTTCCTGGGTGCTTTCTTTCTTAAGATCAAGAAAGTCTTCTAAAAATTCTATAACAGGATCATTTAGTTTTACCCGATTTGATTACAAAACTGAAACCCTAGGCTTCAACCATCCTCCAGATCCCAAGATTTCATTGCCCCACATCTACGGATGAGTGGACTAAAATAGCAAAAGAAAATATTGTTGCATTAAAAAATATTTCGGATTCGTAATCTAATAACTTTTCTTCTTTGAGTAATAAGGTCTTTAGAAGGAATGCTATTTTTTTATGGACGACGTAATGTAATATTTATATACTTTTAACCCGAATTGGAAAATGTGTTCCGGGATTATAATAGAATATGAATATAGTAGCAGCACCACACATCATAGAAGCCTTGAGCAAGATTGTAAATCATCCTTTACTTTTCAATTTTTTGTTTTTTCATATACAATCTTAGTATATAACAAATAATTTATATAGCCAGTCTTGATCCAATCTTTAGCTAATTTTTTTTTAAAACTATTAAAATGTATTAGTTCTCTTTTATAAAATAGAATACAGTGTGGTGGTTAATATTTAACTATAAAGAGAAGTAGTTGGTGGAAATTAAGGTATACTTCTTTTGGGATAGGGGTCGCTTAATTTTGGTTTTTACCTAGTTTTTGTTTTTCGGTTAGGTACAAGACAACTTTGAGTCAATTGTGAAAAATATATATTATGGTGACTTATGAAACTAAGCCAGTTATGGAATGTAATGAGAAGCTATTGAACGTCAGCAATAGTAAAACTAATACTGACGTAGTGACTGATATCCAAGGACTAGATGGATCAGATGCTAGGTATACAGACACTAGTTCACTAGATCAGTCCCAAGCCAATATATTCAATATTTCAAGTAACAAGACTAATCAAAAATCAAATACAAACTTCTGTGTAGGAAAGAAGACTAAAATTGGTGGTGCTGGTAACCAAACTAATTGCATGAGAGGAAAGAACACTGATCTAAGTCTTAGAAAGAAATTTGCGTCTCCTACTGACCATTTACTGTCACCATGTTCTAAGAAATTGAGAGATCATAAGAATAGTTTATTTGGAACAAAGGGTAAACCGTTAAAGCTCAAATTTACCGACTTACAGTCAGAACAGTAATGGAAAAGATAAAGCATAAAAACAATGTGCTTTGTTTATAAGGACAAAATTCATCACAGTGATACCTGTTATAAAATATTCATGTTTTATAATATTTTTTTTACTTTTCTTAGGTTCGAATTTTTATAATTAAAAGACAATAAAACAAAACAATAGCAAACAAATAATCTTCAGAGCTAATAGTTGGAAAATCAACAATGTGATTGAGGTAAACATAAGATTTATACTTTAAGTAATAATAGTACAAAATGAACTGTATTTTGCTTGGCTGTTGGCTAAAATTGTAATGGTAATTTCAGATTGAAGTACTTCATACTCATGAATTAGATGGGACCCTTCCCAGTTCCTGGAAAACTTCTTCCAAATTGTTACATTTTGCCAACAGGTCTTCAAGCTGATCTTCTGTTAATTTATGGCTTACATACAGTTCTGATAGTATCTTTTTGACCATAAAATCCTTAACATCATCATCGTATTCGAATGGTCTTGCATTTTTAAGGTTGTGCTTGAAAGAAGTATAGATTGGATTATTTTCAATAAATTTTCTCATTGTCAAAGATTTAGTAGTTTCACTCTTTGAGCATATAAATATTTCTCTATGACACCACAAAGTTGATTTCTCCTTGAGCTCTTCAACAATGACTTCCCAACCTTCGATTGTTATATCTGTAGAATCAAAACATATAATGAGCAACGTATCATCCTTTTGAAGTAAGGATAAATCTTGCATGCGAATCTTGTCAAGTAACTTTTTCAACTCTTTCTTTGCCATCATTTTTAGCTCCTCATCTGGGTAACCTTTCGGGAACTCTTGGCATGTACATTCTACTATCAAGATATTGCCATCATCTGGGATATGATTGACGAAGCTAACTTCCATGTTCTAATGTTTCCTCGGTAACAGCTTTATGACCTCCAATGCTTAAAGTACAGTATATCAAACAAACTGACCGTTTATCAGTTGTTGTTTTTTTGAATGAGGAGATTGCCACATTTTTAATATTATATTAATTTTTTTCAATTGAAGGCGGCAAAAAAAGATTTTTTTTTTTTCAGATAATCAAAAAAGTATCGAAAGCCACATTATTGATAATATAAATCACATTATAGTCTTTAGTGAACTTATCGCAAGCAAGCAATCTACTATTGAAGTACATTGGATAGATGTTCATCATAATGTATACTTAATTTTTCAAGGATACTTTTGTATGCCATTCGTTGCGAAATTTCAAATGTCAAGTTTTCTATTTGAGATGTGAAGAGCTAAATGTTAGTCAAATTGAGTACTAGAGGTGATCTATGATTACAATGCTACGCTGAGTATATTGTATATAACACTCTGATATGTGAAATTCAACAAACGAATCTATGGCGCAAATTTATCGGTCGATCAAACACAATCGATCAGTGTTTTAGGAGAAAGGTTTACTACTGGAGAACCGAAATGCTGATTGCGAAGAGTGTTATATGACTCTTATGCGAAAGTCTCCTATCGACTCTCAACTAACAAATTGATCATCCTAGGTTGGATGACCTACGTTGAAGTTGAATTAACAATAATAAGAAAAGACTACGATGCGATGCGGGTGAATGAGTTTTGTAACTCGAAGGCAAACCACTTCGATTGTTGATCTCTTTAACCCCGGACTCTTTCCCTTTGATAATTGACGTGTCTTGTGTCGCGTGAACTTCATTTTTCAATGTTTTTGTTTTTGATTTGCCGATGCCCTCAGACAAAAGTATGCACAGATTGTTACTTGCTGATTGTACTGGATAAGTTCAACATATAGTGAAGGTTAAATAGTTAACCCTGACAATTCTTTTGACCTCATAAAGACCCTTACTCTTTACCAAGACTACTATTGATTTATAAAACTGTTTACGAATATTGCTTTGGGTCTTTTTACTTAAAACGGCGGACAATAGGCTATCGATTAAGTATCTCATTAAACTGAGGTGGATCTACCAATTATTAGTACAAAGGATAAAACTGAAGCTAGCATATATTGAATTATCAAACTGGTAGTAAATGAATAATGTCTATTGATACATCGATTAAGAAAACGCAGATATTTAAACATCTCAATTTCTTAATAGTGGCGACAAATTCAGATGAATCAAAGGAAGCAGAAGAACTACGAAAACAACTATATGAGAATGATTGCTTACATTGTGAAATTTACCACGCATACAAACTGGAATATAAGATTCCACAGCATATAAATGTTAAAAAATGGCTTATAAGGCAGGACTTTAACAAGCATGAGGTTCATATTGTCGTTTCCAAGACATCTAACTTTGAGTTATATCCCTTATTTGAATACGAGTTACTCATTCCCGTAGTTACACCCGACTGGATCCAACTGTGTATACAGTCCAACAGACATTTGAGAACGTCAAATTTTTCTCCTAATCCTAGGCTGGTATTCAAAAACTTTCAAATGCTTGTGTCAAAAAATGTTTTCAATCATTCAGAATACTTCCTATTTTCAGAGATTATCCATTGTTTAGGTGGAACAACTGTTGATTATATTACGAAAGCTACTACGCATATTATCACGACTAGCCCTAAAGATCCTGCTATAATAGCGATGGAGAAATATAAAAGCTCAAGGGCTGAGCCATCACAAGAAGCAAATATCCAATACGTATTGCCCACTTGGTTATGCCAAGTATATATGGAAAGGCACTTGGTATCAATCAAGGAGCATTTAATTGACCACAGACGGTCTGAAATGGAGACTAGAGAGCAATTGAATGAATTATGGGATGACATACATAATTTTGAGGAGCTATTTGATGGTAAACGAGATAAGATTTTTATGGGGAAATCATTTGAAATAGGAGATGATATCGATCTAAATAGAAAGTCTTATAGATATTTCTGTGATATGATCAAAAGTCTGGGAGGTCAAATAATTCTCAGCGAAGAAGAGAAGAATGCAGAAGCTGAAGATAGTGGCACTGGGCAAAGTCGCACATCAGCTGATTTCATAATAAGAAACACTATTAGCGATAGCGATGCTGGTGCCAATAAAAGAACTTTATTTGGAAATATTTTCTGGATTGTAAATATTTGGAACAGGGAGAAGTTTTTTTTACCAGACACCAATGCTATATGCTTGCCTAGAAGAAGAAGAAAGCTATTTAGAAAACAAGATCTAGCCGTGACATATACCAACTATTTTGGAGAACAGAGGACATACCTCCAACAATTAATTGAGCTACTTGGAGGCTCTGCAACAATGGAACTGTCGAAGCAAAATACACATTTGATTTGTAATTTACCATTCGGTAAAAAATATGAAGTTGCTATGAAATGGAAAGAAAGTGGATCAAAAATAGTAATATGTTCTCACAGATGGTTAGAAGAGTGTTATATATCAGGTAAGAAGGTACCAGTTGATGAAGCTTATACACGGTTGGAAAGAGACGATAACACCTACTCGTTGACACTTGGACAACAATTATCTCCTAAGCTTGATTCTGAAAATTCTTCAGATGAAGAGACTGATATAGAAGAAAGTCAAGTATTTGCTTTGGAGTACCTTAAAACTTCACAATCTAGGGCCCATGACCTCACAGGCCTTGATGACATTAGTCATCTGGAATCATCAATAAGGAAAAAAAAATATGGCAAATCAAATGCTAATGAGAACGCTTCCATTTCTAGGACGCCTTCTGCCTCCATCTCTAACGACTCTTCTAGAGATGATGAAGCGTACGAAACGGCACCAACCAATTTTCTCACCTCTACGGAGTTAAATAAAAGCGCTAAGTTAGATAAGCAACTTTTGATAACTAGTACTGTGGATCCTTCTAATCTAAGGTTAAAAGATACAGATTATGCTGGTTCAGCGCTTTGTTTGGATGAGGACAAACATGAATCTAATAAAACGGATGCTAAGCTCAATATTGAAGGCCATGTAGCGCTGAAAAACGGAGCAAAACGAACATCAGATGTTAGTTCGACAAATAAAGTCTCTGCAGGGAATTCCGACAAGAATGAAAAGTTAAGCTATAATAAAACTGATGAATATAGTAGTATCAGGGAAAGCGAAAGCTCATATAAACAACTAGAGAACATGCATAATAAATCTAGTAATGGTATGGTATCGACTAACCAGTCATCGCCAAACAATACCCAATTGAACACTGATGAAAATTTGACGACTAATAACTCAGATAATCATAAGGGAAACATAATTGTGCAAAAGAATACAGAAGATAATGGAGGTATGCAAGAAGACTCCACTAGCACTACCATGACAGATAAATCAGCATTACAAGATGAGATGATGGATAATGAGCACGATGTGCACAAAGAAACCATGGATTTGATACAAGAATTATCTGGTGGTAGGAAGGCCAAAACAAAAGCAGCTAGGCGGTTACATGAGGATATTGAGTCCCTGAATGAGCATGAAAAGAATAGTGGTAAAAGAAGAAAGGTTCGAGATAAAAATGGATCATTGCTATTACCAGAAGAGATAAAGCAACTTCAAGAGCAAGAAATATTGATACAGCAAGCCAAAAAGACTCTGTTTGCAAACCCATATACATGTAACAGTAGCAATCAGACAATATCATTGAATATAGGGCTAAATGCAATTTGTACAGGATTTTCTTTAGAAGATCTTACTGACATCGAAAAAGAGATCTTAAGATTAGTAGGAATCAAATTGCAACACGATAATGTCGATCAGCATATATTTGAGGAGCAGAGAGGTCAAAGAGGGCACAATAGAATTAATACAATTTTTGCACCAAAACGGTTAAGGACAGTTAAATTTTTAAAGTCTTTGAGTCTTTCAAGCATTAGATATTTTCTAACGCCTGATTATATTACTGCACTATTACTCGATATAAAGAGTGGGAAAGACGTTTCAAAATATCGTTCTCCTAGTAATAGTTTTCGAATTGACTCAATCGATGATGAGTTGATCGAAAAAATGCAAAAGGTATCCGGTAAATTATTTTTCAAGTCCAAGATCAAGAATGTAAACATTATGCATGACTTGAAAGCAAGTCCCAAGGTTGTAGGTGAGATATTGAAATGTCACGGTGTAGATTCATTTACAATACTAAAGAAGCAATATGTATTGACAGATATAGCGAGGAACACCAGAGTGAGTACTGATAATACTGTTGATTACATCTTGATAGCTTCGAGCAAAAACCAGGTGACAAAGTTCAAAAAGCTGATTCAACAAGAAACCAATTCCGAAAATGTATCAGTTTTGGTAGTGAATTGGGATTGGTGTGTAGACTGTATATTCAATGCTGAAGTGAATTTGGAAGATAAAGCCAACATCTTTTTCAATAAAAGGATTTAGTACATTTGTTGGAGTAATTCTACTATGAAAAGTTCTTACTGAGTAAGGATCCGGCATGCAAGGCATGTTATAGTAACCCAAATGAAAATGAAACGTGAATAAAATCGGCTCTGTCTCATTATATTGGGATCACAAAGCACAATAATTTCAAAAGCATGATTTTGAATTTTTTTACCTTAGAGAGGATATCAATTAGGATCTGTATTAATCTCGAAACTAAACCCTTTGAGGGTATCGGATATATATTTTATAGTATTAAAGGACGACGCAGAACAGGTAATTTCACTTTTATTTTTTTCTTTTTATTCAGTCGCTACACGGATGAAAAACATGGACCGAGAAGATAGATGCAGCTCATATATAAGAAAAATCAGTAGAGCTTGGGCAACAAATGCAATAGTCTAATATCGGAAACCGGATGGATAATGCAACTGAAAAACGGGTTAAGAAAGATAAGACTCATATATGAAGGAGAGGGAGGTAGCTATCTTGCTTTAATTAACCACGCGATTTGATAGCAATCTGGTTCGCTACAGCTTGGGGTAGAAAGTAATGCACTGGCATAGCTTTTCTCATATCATGTTATGGAGTCAATGCTAGCAATGATGCATTGTAACTGTTAGTCTAATGAACCACTCCCCGTATGTACTGATAGACAACCCTGCGACATATCCGTTAATTGGTCCATCTCACAGCTATTTCGCGATCTTTGTACAATTAAAGGGGTGGTAGGATAAGTGATGACAAAAATATGATCGGCCTACACTGGGTTTTCACTTTCCTTGTAGGAGGACTTGCAAGTCCCAATTTGAGTTAAAGCTAGATGAGAGGAGAGATGGGCATAGGGCCCTCCCAAGAAGGAAATATAGGGGATTTTTAAGTAATATCTACTATCTTTTGTGTGGATATTCACGGTGTGAGATGTTCTTGTACTTGTAAATAGAGCATCGAGGAATATACAATTGTATATGGCAATGCAATCCCATGTTGAACTACCCCCTACCATTCCCTTTCCAGCTTAGTATTCTTTGGAGGTTTGTATTGTAAAAGAAATAAAATATTGGGCACCACTTCAGCAATTAAACAAATGTTGAGATATTAAAACGTAAGTTTTGATTGATAATTCATCCGTTATTAGTTTCGATTAAGACCATTTCATTTCAGTTTATATTTCTGTTAGAAGTTCAATATTTCAGGCGTATATTATCGTATTGACTTTGAATAATATTGTCTTTCCAATAGTGAGTGAGAGTTGTATAGCAATTTGAATTCATCGAGCTTGAACAATTTATGGAACAACCTTGCAAGTGATTCAAACTTTGTTGCTTTTTGCGTGTTGTTAGTTTTTGTTTCTATTCTTAAGGTATGAGTGAAGCAGTTGATAAAGCGCAGTCCAAAGATGGTGCCAACGGTACATCTCAGAACGGTAACAATGTAACAAAGCTTCAAATGAATACGCTACTGTTGTCTGAAGCAGCCTTAGATACCCCATCATTCAGAGCAACAGTTAACTTTTTTGATGGGAGGGTGAAATATTTAAGTGACTGGTCATCTGAAACTGCTTTGACCTTACAAAATAAATATAGACCAGCATTGTCAGAGTTTATGAAAGTTCAAAATGGGCTATTACACCAACTACTACCAGACCCGAATATGGTAGCCAATGGTATGCTTATCAACCAAGCTTTTACACCTACTCTTATTGACTCATTTAATAAGGATTTTAACAAATTAGCGGTCGGTTTGCTTTCCATAATCTTAGGAAATGATACCTCTTGTTCTAAAGTTTTGAATTTACTGAATGGCTTGAAAAAGAAAGCTATCGCTCCATATGTGGACAAGAAGAATACATTTGACTATTTCCAACAAAAGTACGACTCTGCCCATGCGAGATATTCGGCAATCGAACCTACAAAAGTCGTAGCCAATAGTACTAATATTGATGCTACATCTGTTAACAGCAGTCCTATCCCAAATGGTACTAGCACTGTATTAGAAGTGGATCCTTCCTTTTTAAGAGATGAACACAATCAGCTATTCGAAAGCAGAAAGGAGTATTTAAAGAGCTCTTTGGATTTAGTGGCAGCCATGTCACAGTTAAAATTTAAGTTGGACAAAATGCTAGTGGATCTCATAGATGAACTAATTTCAGAAAGTACAATTACCGTTAATGATGAATCGTTGAATGTTGACGGTATGGAATTAGGTAGGAAAACAATTGAGCTTTCACCTAATATTTCTAACTACTTGAAGGACTATAAATCATGGGTTGAGGATGTTATTGAATCATCTTCCTTTCTTGAGACTAACATGGATAAAACGATAGTTTCGACTTATACCAGAACGGTAAAGTCAATTGCACCGCCAAAAGATCTTCAAAATTATAATAAAGCACTGGCGGAAAAAACGATAGCACATATAGTAAGTCCAAAGTTAGGTACTCCCCAAAAACGACCCGTATCTGTACCAGTTACTATGCCCTCGAAATCTGGTTGGCTTTATATGAAAACATATAGTAGTAGTAATCCAAGAAAGGAAATCTGGGTTAAAAGATGGTGCTTTCTTCAAGGTACCGTGTTTGGCATGTTTTCCTTATCTCAAAGTAAAACATTTGTTGAGGAAAGTGACAAGTTCGGTATATTTTTAACTAGTGTTCGCTTCTTGCCCAACTATACCAGAAATTTTTGTTTTGAACTTAAAATAATCGGTAGGGACAAACCTGAATCGGATTTGATTGAAAGATCGAAAGATATAAATATCATCTATCAGGCTGATGATTTGGCAGAATTAAAGTCTTGGATTGTCGCCTTTCATGACTCTAAGAAATATATAATGGCGCAAGACCAGAAGGGTTTACAATACGAGGTTGCTTTCAAAAGGTTCTCACCACAATATTATGAATTTGCATCTAATGCTGGCACAGTGGTAGATACATTATTAACCACCAGCCATAATGATACCTTGGGTTCTAGAGATGGAACTATTAACTTGAAAGACTCCATAAAGGCTCTATTGTCCAGTGAAGAACTCAAATTGGTTCAAGATAATAAAACCTTTTTATTCGAATTTATTGGGACACCAATTGCAACCGAGAATACTGGGTTAGCAATGTTATCTAATTTGATGTCGGATAACCACAGCTTCCCGGATGCTATTACCGCCAATATTTGGGGTACTTCATCTTGGAACGATGTATCCCATATGATAGATGAACAAAAAGAAAAACCTGATATTCTTAAATCACTACCTCCTTTACACCAAACCCTTGCCGACATCAAATACCCAAACTATTATTCTAGAAGTTTGAAGGTTGCTGATGTTCAATTTAGAACCATATTCTATTCAAATAATAAACACTCTTATTCTCTTCCAAAACGATTTCTACTGTTAAGGTTTGGTTCCATATGGAAGCCTAACAAGAAGCAAAAGTTTGCTGCCATATGTTATGCATCCAAGGACTATTTTCATGTATATATGAACTGTTCTGGGTTTACATATCTAGCAAGGCAAGACTTGAATGAGATTTGTGACGTCGAATATAGCAAATCTGAAGAGACGATTCATTTGATAAGACACGATGGTATCAAGTATGATCTTAATGCCTATTTTACTGATCCCAAGTCAATAACTGCTAAGTTAAAATTCCTAATTGAGAACCGAATCAGTGATAACCCGAAGAATGAAGGTGACATTTTAGTTAAGTTTAAACAGATCGACCAGGCATTTGCTCAGAAATCCACTAATGCAAAATTAAAGTCATACATGGGGCTGAACTCAGTGCAAGATTCATTGGAACAACAATCATTATCAAAATTAAACTCTTCTCTCTGGACAATTAAAGGTACCACTGCAGATCTCTTAAAAAGGAAGTTTCAACTACAGAAAGAGTATTCTGCATCCTATAAGCATATTTATCCAGTTCCATGTAAGGGGTTGGTACATTTACTTTTTGGTCAAAGATCAGATGCCTTTCCAAGGGCATTCTTTCTAGCACGTAAAGGGAGCGATTATAACATCACCCAGTATTGGGCTCAGAGACAACTTCCTGATGGGACTACTCAATTAGTAAGAAAATTACAATTTCAGGTTAATCGTACCTCCAGTTTTGTACCTGAATCACCTCATGACAAAGAGGAATATTTAGCACAACAAGTTACTGTTGAACAAGTGATGGTTAAGATGATTGATAATTGTTATTACGAAATTGATCAAGACCCAATAATAATTCAATTCCCTTTTGCAAAGCCTATTAAACTAAGTCTGAAATACATAATTAGTGAAAGGAGCGACCATGATGCCGATATGGCATCTCGCTTAATGCTTTCAAGCAATTATGCTGATTTTATTACCTATTATAAGGTTGAATTTATTAAAGATATTAATCATGAGAGTGAAATTGCGTATGATCAGAGTATTTGGGAACAATTTATTTATTGTTGGGTACTGCAGTCCACTAAGTATGAATTTAATACTATCAAGAGTGTCATTGATGGTTACCTAGGCAAAATTGGTAGTCATGGGAAATTAACAAAGGCCATAAAGATGGGTGGCAGACTTGGTATATCTGATACAATTGAAACTCAACCTTCTGTATCAGAAAAGAATAATAAAAATGTTGAAACTCCACATAGGATTCAGATTCAGTATACTTTTACTCTATTACTAAAAGTGATTATCAAAATGATTGTCTTTAGGGCTACTAATTTCTGTTTCTTAATTTTCCGATTATTTTTGATATTAATTCACTTCGGTGCTACTACTATGAAAAAAATCAACAAAATACTTTTAGCGGTTTTAGTGATATCCGCTTTATCGAATGTATTTTTGCTTGGAAGATCTACTGTTAACTACTGGTCCGTTAGAAGAGCTGAACATTCTTTTAAACAACATATGGCTTCGACAGATGGATCCACAATGCAAAGAGCCTTGTATGTTAAAGATTTGGATCTTCTAACTAATCATTTAGTGACAGGGTTCGATAATGTTGCATTCAAGAAATTCAACGAAGAAAATTACAACAACCAATTAAATAATTTCAAGTACAAGGACACTAGACGCGAGATTGCGATAAGAAGAAACGAACTGCTAGTTGAGTTGAAGATCATGCAAAATATGGAGAAAGAACTGGTAAAAGGGGATTATAGACTATTCCTCATTGAAGAACTAAACAAATGTGAATCTGTTTCAGTGGAAATGCCAGATATTTGGAACACTGACAAAAAATTGCAAGAATATTGTTCCGTATGTAAATCGGAATTCACGAACATGAATATACTTTGAACAGTATTAGTGAATGACGAATTATTGTCATTAGTTTCTATATTGAAATTTTATCATTTAAACAGTAATTACAATTATAGCAAATAAATATTAGTGTAAATATCATCTCAGTGTAACTATTTCAAATATATATGAATTAGAACACTAAGATTCCAAAAAGAAAAGGAAATTACAGAGTATCAAATATACTATTGGAGATATGGACCCAATAATTATCTGATTCTGAATAAGAATTCAATCGAACTAGCACCCTGTTCTGAAAATAATTTTCTTTCCAATATTGCATTTCATAGCATGTATAAAATCCATAAACCTTATCTTTTCCGAGCCATTTATATTGCCATATTCTATCTTTTATGGGATCATAAGGACCATCCTTCGAAGTGGGCTCTTCTTTGATAGCATTTACTAAATCTTGTCTTTTCATCTGATAGACATTAGAAAACTCCTTTCTCTCTAAGGTTTCTACGGAGTCGGTAAGAATATTAATTGCATTGACTACAGCCTCAACACATTGACTGTTCTGTATTTTGGAGAACCGCTTTTTGTCCTTATTCAGTTGAGCAAGAGTTTCTATTATGTTTTTATCCTGGTCAGGCATAAGGAATAGTATCTGATACAGAGCCTCGACTGCAGTTATCATAGGTCTATCGCTGACCAGTTTTGACATGGGTATATTATTTTTGCTATAATCACCTTTGGTAACACTCTCTTGCAGCCAAAACTCATCTTCTTCGTCATCCGAATTGCCTCTACTTTTGGATCTAATAAAATTGCCACTTTCATCAAATTTGCCTTCTTTCAAATCTTCCTTGATATCGAAGGATTCTAATGTAAAGGCACTATCACTTTCCCTAATAGCATCATCTATCTCGGAGTTGGTGTCAATATTTTCTTTACGAAATTGATCTATATTCAATGTCCTTGATTCCAGTTCATCATTATCATCATTATCATCATCTATAAAAGCATCATCGGTATTGTTCTCAAAGTCTGACTCCCCTTCAGCCAGATTGTTCTGGGGTTGTATATTTTGGTAAACTTTTAGTCGTTTTCTCCCTGAAGTTTGGTCCTCATCACTAGCTCTTTTCGATTGCATCAATTCCTTGAAAACATCTAATATTAAATGGTGTATTTTGATCTAATCGCTCATTTGATTTGATGAGGTTTTGCCTAACTGCTGATTTCAACATTCATGAAACAATCATGACTCTGGCAAATTTGTTGCATGCCGTTTAACGTAGGAGTGTCAGAATAATAAGGTTCACTAAATGCGTACTGATCAGTGATTAATTATTTAGTGGTCTATAATTCAATTGGATTTTTTTGTAGTCTATGTAAATTATTGAAGTAAATTCATGATATATACTTTAATATCAGATCACCTATTGCTTGTCCCAGCCCATCTTAATTGCTTCTTCGTAAGTTGGATAATCAATGTAGCCCTCAGCAGACATAGCGTAGAAAGTTGATCTATCATATTTGTTCAATGGCAACCCTTTTTCTAGACGATCGACTAAATCAGGGTTAGCAATAAAGTATCTGCCGTAACCGACAATAGTTCTATCATCCTTTAGGACTTCCATGGCAACTTCGGGATGGATAGCGTAGTTCCCCGCTCTCATGATTGGACCCTTCCATATGGAATAAGCAAAGTCTGTTGTACCTTCATTATAAACATCTTCACCTTCTGGAGCAAATGGATCTAGAACTCTTGGCTCAACAAGATGCAAGTATGCTAATCTTTTCCCTTCTTTTGCTCTTCTTTCAAGCTCACCAATAATGTAAGCATATTGTGCAACAATCAATGGTTCTGCACCACCAGACATGTCACCATATGTACCGTATGGTGATAATCTAATGGCAGTCCTTTCAGGTCCAATGGCGTCTACAATAGCGTCTACAACTTCTAATGTGAATCTGGCTCTGTTTTCAATGGAACCACCGTATTCATCAGTTCTCTTGTTGGATTTTGGATCAATAAATTGGTTTAACAGGTAACTGTTGGCACTGTGAATTTCAATACCATCAGCACCAGCGGCAATGGCATTTTTAGCACCTTGGACGTAGTCCTTGATATATTGCTTAATTTCATCCTTAGTGATTCCATGCTGTGGGTTGTTGGATTTCTTAGCAAGTTCTTCTTGTTCAGCACTCATATAAATACCATCACTTGCAGAATCGTATCTTAGACCGTCTCTGGCCAATGAATCTGGGAATCCTTGTCTACCTAAAACCCACAATTGAACCCAAGCAAAAGACTTATTGTCGTGAACGGCATTGAAAATCTTTCTCCATTCAACCATTTGTTCTTCTGACCAGATACCTGGTGCGTTATCATAACCACCGGATTGAGCAGATGGGAAGACACCTTCGGTAACTAGCATTGTACCCGGTCTTTGGGATCTTTGCTTGTAGTACTCAACAGCCCATTCCCTATTTGGAATATGGCCTGGATGATGCGCCCTCATTCTGGTCAATGGAGGCAAAGCAGCACGATGTAGAATAGTAGTGTTACCAACCTTCATGGGTTTAAACATGTTGGTGTCCTTGAAAGCGACAGGTTCAAAATCTTTGCTGAAAGGCATTTTTAATTAAAAGTGGTGATTATTGTGACTGGTGATGCAATATTAAATACAAGAGGAAACTTGTTTGCTGTTCTTTTTATCTATTAATATGAAACAGAGAATAGAATTATTGAATGTTTTCATGATTGATACCATTTATGGTTTCCTTATATACGTTTTTTTTTGAGTTGGGACAGGCTTTCTTTCTTTCCAACATTGTTTGCTATTAGTTTAAAGAAACTTAGTAATTATCAGTGCCCGTACTCAACTCGATCCCTGGTGTACTACTTCCAAAACCGTAATTACTAAATCATATAACTCTGTGAGATGTAGCTTTATTAATATTTTCGGGATCTTTTTATCCATTCTCGGGATCTTTTGTTACACAGAAAAAGCCGAAGGTTGGTTGTTTCAGACGGAATATCTTGCTCCCGGATCAGAAATAATTTGAATTCATAATAGAAAATCATCTGGTAATGATTTTATCTCTGTAAGGTACAACTGCATTCAAAATGTGATAAGAGGGAGAGGGGTTCATTGGCATAAACCATGTGAAAAATCAACCCTCTAATGCTGCATCAATTGGAAAATATCAGCATTACAATCAAAAATGTATTTGGTGATACTACTGGAAATACAGCAGAAACGCACAGAGGGAACGATTTCTTGAGTAAGAAGCAAATGTAGTGGGGCAAGCGAACCTCAGCATTGAAAAAGAAACAATGGAGGCATTCAATACTCAGAAACTCATGTAGACCTAGTGATGTACTGTTATTTTCTTTCTTTTTTTATGCAGCAAACCACGAAAAATGAAAATCATTTGTAATAATGAGAAGTAAGCAATGCCTACTGTCGGGTTTGATTTGTGTATTTGGAAGTGGGAGCAAATTTCAGAAAGAGGATTTCCCCACAAGTAATAATCTGACTAGCAGCTAAATCATTTTATTAGGTGATTCTCTCTTCCGAAGCCGGGCCGATAGGCCGAGGGAGGCTTAATCCAGGTGTGTAAAACTACTGAGCAATGGAGTTAATGTTTAGTAATTGGCCTCCATGGTGCCATAGCGAAGTAACCATTTTTCATATAAACCACTTGTGAAATTGTGATTACAAGTAGAATTTCTAAATAAACATCAAGGACTTCTAGAAAGTTCTATCTTGTTTATCTGTGTGTCGCCAAGACAAAATATAGATTTTGACGGTACTTTTGTTTTGACAAAAATTGGTTTAAGAGTTTGCTTTCAATACTCTAGCAAATTGATTGACTTTTAGCTTGAATCTACACTGTTGATTTTTCCCTGTCCTATGAAAGAATGATTGGTCAGCAATGCCTGGCTTCATTTTTATTTGATCCGTCACAAGACATAGTATTTCCACAATTTGTATATGGTTGCAAACCAGTGTCTTATATCTTATCTCTTTCAATGCTCCTATTGAGAGAAACTGTAGGAATATTATTCATAACATAAACGCCAACTTACATTTTTATTTAGGCATAAACTCTTGCAAACATAAAACCAATGGTATTTCCTTATGAATAAATATCAAAGGTAGCTAGTTCTAGTTGTTATCAATTGTAACACCCTAGTGGCTAGAAATCAAAAAATCTTAATTATAAACATATTCTTAAATAAATTCGTAGCTACCTCCGATAGGGGAAAAAGAGTTGACATATTCATTAATCTTTTCAAATTCGGTGTCTGAAAGTTGGGTTTTACTTTCTTCAAAGTTTTCACTAACTCTGGTAGCACTTGATCCTGATGGGATTGGTATGAATTTTGACTTTGGATATTCAGAACTGTAACTCCACTTTCTGACCCATGCTAAAGCTACTTGAGCCAAAGTAACTCTCTTTTCATCAGGACGTTTTTCAACAATCTCTGATTTTATGAAATTGACAATTTCTTGGTTATGAGCTAGAGCTTCATCGGAAAAATACTTTAATTTCTTTCTGAAGTCTCCATCTGGTATATCAGAGTTCTTTGTGATTTGTCCAGTTAAGATACCTCTCCCTAGTGGTGAATAGCAAATAATAGGTAAAGCGTTGTCGCTACAAGCCTTGGCAGTTCCATTTTTCAAAATAGTGTCACGGAACATTGATAGTTCAATCTCTACACAGACCAGGTAGTCTCCGAAATCTTTACTAATTGCGTTTATCTGTTCGCCGTTCACTTCCGATAAAGAGATGGCACCAAATTTACCTGCATCAACAAAATCAGCTACAGCCTGAAGAGTTTCTTTTGGATACACATCATGTTCTTTACATAAATTAAAATCCAGCCTTGCAGGCTCAAAAATATCAATAAAAACACCAATTTCTTTAATACAGGTTTCCATACTAGCGACAACTTCTTCGTATTTACCCTTTGGCGTCAATTTTTTATTATCAATTGCACCTTTACATGAGATTAATACATATTCCCTCAAATTAGGGTACTCTTTGAAGAAATCTCTAACGAGATGTAGATTTGCATAATTAGGACCGTAAAACTCTCCAACGTTGAAGAAAGCTTTATGTCCTTGTGCTCTAGCGATCTCGATTACTTTGTTTATTGCGCCAAAAGCTTGAGTCCGCTCAGTTGGAACAGCAAGATTGGTTAATGTCATCATCCCATAGCCTGTTCCAATTTTCTCTATTTCCTTCCTGATTGTGGCAATTTTGTCCTTTGTAGTCATAATTTGAATATTTCAGTCGTATCTTAATTGAGTAGCAGTTTCAATTGCACTAATTCAAGTTAAGAAATTGCTTTATGTATTTAAAAACAGTAGTATTAACTTTGGATGATAACTAAGTGATGGCAAAAGTTCAATTAAAGTATTTAATCTCATTTTAAGGGTTCCATTGTTAGTAAATTGTAGCACAACAACAATGCACAGGGTAGCGAGGTCTAGTATTTTAGACGATTGTTTATTGGTAATTTGGTGCTTTTGCCTGTCTCCCGTTCCTGTTGTTCAAAACTTATTCACCCACAAAAAAAAGCTACAAATCAATTAACATTAACCAAAACGTTAATATTCACCTAGTCATTGAAACATATACATAAAAATTGAGACAACGCACTTGACGTCAAAACTATATTACTTCAAACTCTATTTAATCATTCTAGTTACATCGACACTTGCCCCAAGTATTAGTCAATCGGGCTAGCCTCATACAATACGATGTGATGGACATAACCACTTAGCGGCAACTCTCTTTCGTCTTCATACTGAAGTTAGTGAATCCACCTAATTAACAAGTCTTAGAGTTTAGAGTATATAGCTTGTGTAATATATATATATTGGTATTCTAAACTTTTAGGATACCAAGACTTACCGACCTAAATTGGAAGAATGTCAACGACTATAATTTCTATTTCTGATTTTTGTAGAAAGTATTGTATATCCAAATCCGCCAAGAAAGCCTTTCAAGTGGAACATTCAGTGGCAGTTGAGAATATTGAGCAGAAAACATTTGAGCTTCTTATGAAAAAGATAAATGAATCTTATGAAGTGTGCACTGAAACAAACACGGAGTTCCCACATCCTGAAACATGCTTGTATTCAGACCATCATGAAGGCCCACTAAAAAACGATGAAGAAACACTTACAATGGCCATACTAGAATCTATGAGAAGTGATTCACCAGAAACAAAACGTGCCTTTTATCTAATCGATTCAGAAGATACACATTACCTGATTCACAGTAGCAGTCCACCCTACAAAATGATCCGAAATGAATGGGTAGATCTCGATACCAATAGTCCGACTGATTAGTCCATAGTAAATTTTTATTGAAGTACTATATAATTTATAGCCAAAAATATTAAAAACAAGTTTCCCCTTAATTTTATGTATTATCGATAAAGTGCAAATAATTTGTACATATACAATTCCATTGTTGGACCTAAAAACCTCTGGCTTTATAGAAGCTGTTATAATATAGCGAGATTATCCGAAGATGATTGAATTTTCATTTTCAATCCTTGCATTTGTCTATTCAACTCCTCCTTTTCCGCGGTTATTTTTTCAATTTCCTCTCTTAGCTTCTCCTCCGATTGCTTATCTAGTGAAATTTCACCATCAGTGTGATTTACCTTTCCTTTTAAACCATCGATTTCATTTTGTAGTTTTTCCGTGTGTGCTTTGTAGTCTTCAATCTTTCTTTTGGATTCATTCATAGCGTTGGCTATGTCGGAAGCTGTTTCTTTCACACTGATACTTGAATGTCTGGCCTGGCTTTGAATTGATTCATTTTTTATTTCAAGTTGTTCATACTCAGAATCAATCTGTTCCTCTGATTCGGTCAGTTCTTTACTTTTGACTAATAAGTCGTCAAGACGATTGTTCATCTTAGAGATAATATTTCTGTTCTTTGTGCTTTGAGATTGGGTAGCAGCTACAGGTGAAGCACTTGAAGTATCTTTCTTGGACGTCATTCTCCAATTTTTCAAGAGTTCATCTACAGTTCCTGAGAACATCACAATAGATTTATCCAGGTTGTTGTCTTTCTCCTTTAATTTGTCCTTCAAATCTTGATTTTCTTTTTCCAGTACTTCGTTTTGAATCTTCAGCTTTTCGAATTCTTCAGAATTAACAACATGTAGCTTCAACTCATCGATTTTATCCGATTGAACCTTGATTATGCCATTGAACTTCTCTGCATCTAATACCTTAGCAGCCAAAATATCCTCATATTGTTGTAATGTATCCTCCATCTCCTTGTAGTCTGCATCAAGCAAATCATAACGTTTCCTGAATTGCGATATCTCATCCTCCATCTTCTTATTATCCTCTTTTTGTTTCTGTTGCTCAGCTCTTAACTTGTTTAATTCCGATTCAAGTTCTCTAATGTGATTGTCTGCAGCATTGGCCTTTTCAAGTGCAGCCTGTTTTATCTTAGAAAGTTCATCTCTCAGATTTTCAAAATGTTCTCTAGACATGTTATTTTCTTTTTTCATTCCTAAAACACTATTTGATGCCATACCAGTAGACTGATTTGGAACCAAATTAGGCACTACTGCACCCACTTGCCTGGCAACTACCTCTGGAAATTTTTCTACCTGTGCCCTTTCCAAGTTGGCTGAGGTATCTTCCAAAGTTGGACTGTCAATCTTCATATCAACAGCCTCTTTTAATTGAGGCGGACTTTGCCTGTCTTCTACAACATTATGTCTTGAGGAAATCATTGTAGTTTGATCATCCATATCACTACTGTGTGTAACAGTCTTTGCTTCCGTTCCTTCACTCATGTGCTTTTTAATCTCAGGAAGAAGTACATCTGGAGAAGAGCTCTCCATGGCAGCGGTAATTGTATTCTCTGTAGATGTCATCTTGAAACCGTTTTTGGCAGGTGAAGTAGCAATGTGGGCAACACCGACTTCATCGTCTATGGAATCGTCTTGATCAAGTTCAGAAAATTTGCTTGATGATTCATCAGAAATCATCCTTTTTTCAGGTGTTTTTTGTTGAGGCGGACCGCTACTCAATTGTTTTGCACTAGCAATTGTAGGCGTTCTTTTGACACCATCCTCGGAGGATTCAATCAACTGGGGAACTGGAGAAGAAGGTTTTCTGTTTTCAGATATAACTGTACCAATAGTACCCTTACCAAAAGCTTGTCCTTCAACATGTGCAGCTTCGGGTTCCTTTTCGACATAATCCTTAGGAGTTTTATCCATATCCATCACAATTTGTTGCTTTGGTGTTTGCATTTGCTCTTGAGCTGGCGTCAATATTTGAGGTTCTTGATGTAAACCAGGTGGTTTCCCAACCATAATATTGGGACTTGTAGCATCCTCACCTTTATTAGAGAATTTTGGAGTTGTTGGAGATCTTGTGACTGGACGAGTGTTGTCAAAAATTCCTGGACAAACAGTACCAACATCCGCTAAATTCAAAGTGTACAATATAGTACCTTTACCCATGTCAACATCGGAAATATGCATGTTTTCAGTACTTGAAGAATAATCATATTTATCACCACCCATGATCAGAATTTGATCATTTTTTAGTAACGTCACCGAATGTCCCGAACGACCTTGAGGAATATTATTCTTGTAGAATGGTAGCTTAAACCATTTCAATGATTGTAAGTTCAAAAAGTACAGTGTATTAAGATAGTTGTCTTCCGCATCCTTTCCTCCAACTACACACATCAAGTCCTTATACACAATGGCTGCGTGTTCTTGCATTGGAGGTGGTATATCTCCTGTCGTTTCCACAATTTCCCATGAGTTATTTGTTGGCGAATACAAATACACCCTATTTATTAGTCCTTCTTCCAAAGTATCACCACCAAATACCCAAATCTTGTCTTGATATGTCACCATAGTGTGATTTGTTAAAGGTGGCGGATTGAACCCACTTGGTTTCAGAAATACCCAGTGCGAATCAGGTCTTCTGAAGCTAGAAAGATCAAATACTGCTAGATCGCCGAAATAAGTGTCGTCAAATTGTCCACCAAACAAATACAGCTTCGTTTGCTCTGCAGATATTGTTACAATCTTGTGGCCATATCTTCCCAGTGGTCTTTGACCTACAGGCTTTGGTATTGTCCATTTATAAGAGTTGATGTTTAAAAGGTAAAGATCGTCATCCATAAGACCATCACTGTTAACCTTGTGCGTGTCACCACCAAAAACAACAAAAGCGTTACCGCATAAAGTGGAAGCATGACCGACTCTAGGAGGAGGTGTGCTCTCTGTAATCTCTATCGTTGTACTCTTAAAGGAGTTAATTGCTCCCGTCTTATCGATATCCGATGCAGTCAATATCCATGTATCACCATAGACAGACTGGTCATGTAGACCACCAATAACGTATATCTTTCCTTGGTCAGTGATGTGTGAGGAGCTCACATGTCTATATCTTGGGAATGGGGAGTTAGACAACCTAATTCTACCCCAAGGGGTGTAATCAGGTTCACTTGGCAGTATCCTCCGCGTGTGCGGATTGCTCTGTTGCAAATTCGAGACATTGCGCTGTTTCATTTCATGAGGATTGGAAGTACTCGAGGCAGAAAAACCAGTGATATGCATAGAGTTCCCTATGTTCTGCCTAGCGGCTTGCTGAACGCCAGCACCAACATTGTCCATGTGCGAGCCACTAACGTTCCGAGCAAAACTCTGCTGGTTTGGAACTGAGTGCCCACTACCCATACTGTTACCAGAAACACTTCTGAAAGGCCCTGGCACGGGACCTACATCTCGCTGAGAATTCACACCCGCATCATTGTTGTAACTACTATTGAAACCACCAGGATTCGGAACGGACTCCGGAGCGGAGTTCTTGTTCTTCTTGCCATGGTGGCCCAGCTGTTTCATAGAAAACTTAAACCCAGCCATCGCTTGATCTCCTGTGGCCTATTGAGTACAATGTCAATTACCACTCTTGCTTGACTCTTCTCTTTATAAATTTGGAATCAAAACAAGAAGTCCTCGTCTGGATCAAGCCTTTCAGATTTTTACTTCTAAAAATGACGTTTTTTGACACTTTTCGCCATAGCAAACTACACTAGCAAAAAATGTTATATAAATAGCCAGTACCAACGGTACAGGAGTGCGGTCTTATCACAATTGTAGCTATCTATATTGCGGTAGAGAATTGCTAAGCTAGGGTGTTCAATGTAGGTTCCTCTAGTGTTTGTGCTACCGGCTTCCGATAACAATTCGCACTTAAAGCAGGGTGAAGACGGGCTTTTGTCGAGGTTTTGAAGCACTGTCCCGCTAAGGCAAGTAATACCAAGGATGTACTGTGTTGCACAATGCCACTTGATGATGCTATGCTCTTGTAAACGTAGAATACCTGACTTGCAAATATATGCATATATTATTGCCCAGACTGTACCGTAGGAAAGTTCATTCATTCACCTGCACAGAAGCGTTTCGTCTTCTCGCACTCCAGCCTGAAGCCAGAAGAGTTATAGAGGCACTACAACCTGGGGTTATATAGATACTTGCTCTGGGATACTCAAAATTGTAGTCTGAATTGAACCAGTTAAGTACAGCAGACATATGGACCAGAAGTTCGACGAGTTTATAGCGCAGACAGAGTCAGAGGCGGAGATTGACACGAGCTCGAGGTATACCACTGGATCAATCTCACCCCAGTTTGCGTCTCCTACAAAGTTTAAAAACGTTTTACCGCATGAAACAGATACACAGACAGGTCAGAGAAATCGAGTAGCAGAGCACCAACATGTACCGAAGTCGTTACTTAATGCGAGCGTCGAAGAGAGCCACAACCACCCTTTGAAAGAGGACAAATCTGAATCACGCCAAAGGCAAGTGTCGGTTTCCAATTCGAATCCCAGCTCCAAAGGTATGGTTAACAAAAGGAGGTCATTGATACAACCAATGATGGTGCCTACTACACCTGAGACTGATCGCACACGTCCGCAGTCTCAAAGCAACGTGGCTTCCGGAAACTCAGCTAATAAGAACAATCTACATCCAGATACAAATCACGGTATTGATATAAACGCTACCACACAGACACCTTCATCTATGTCCATGGGTAATCCTAAATTCAGTGAAAACTTTGCGTCATTGGCGCCATCTAGTAAGAGGAATTCCATGCATTCTAGAACAAGCAGCTCACAATCCATGGCCATTGACTCCAGTCTAGGAGGAAGTATGGATGTCAATGCACTGCTGCAAAGCCTAGCTAATAAGGAGCTGGAGTTACTGGAATGCAAGAGGAAGATCGACGACCTAAAAAAACAGTTGCATATGGAGGAGAATATTTACCAGAACAAGGCAAATGAGTTACAAGAGTTGAAGAACAAGGTAAGCAAGAATATTAACGTCTCTGGCAGCAATCAACCAGTATTCAATAAAACTTCTACTACAGGCCGGAAGAACAGCAGAGAATCTTCTCGAAGGAATACTCATGTAACACCAGTTAAGACTACAAGAAATGATATTAGACAAGATACATCTCTGAACCAAGATATGGAGAACACTGATGATAACAAGCAATCTATGTGGAGCAAACCGTTAGCATTATTTAACCAGGTTGATCAAATAATACAACAAGAACTTGAAAGGACATTAAATTGGGATGAGCCTCCGACACCAGTAGAAGAAACAGAAGAGAACCAAGAAGGCGATAAAAGTGTATCGAAATCATTATGGAGTTTTGTGTCCGATTTGAAAACTGGTTTACTTGGCATTGAAGAAGAAGAAGATGGGCATCATACACAACAAAGTAATTCAAATGTTAATAGGCCGAAAAATACTCATGGGCAAGTGATGGACAATAGAAAACACGCAAATGAAGACATAAACTTATCCATAAAAGAATTTAAGACCACGAAGAAACATCTTGACGATAATTCTGATACTCACTTGAAGCAAAGAAGTGGAAGAACCGCTGTCAGAAAGACGAAATCTGGTAATAAACTAAATTTTGTTGATGATTCGGACGATGGTGACAGCACTTTGGAGGCAGATATGGTGGAGATGGGATCATTTTCTAGGTAGTTACGGATAGGTTAGATAAAAATGTATTGCATTGCAGATAATTTCTAATTAGAGGAGGACCAAAAAAAGGATTATGTCATTTATAAGGTTGAAGAAGAATATATATATCATATACAAATATGAGTTGTAATATTATATAAAAAAAAAACAATGAAAAAGACAAACCAATAGCCGGTAACAGAAGGCTATCAGTAGTTGTGTTTTAGCTCACTCCAGAATGTAATCTGGAATATCAGCGTACTTGTTGCCTAATGTCGTGTTGTCATTGCTATTCTTGAGTTCCTTGGGTCCCTGTCTGTTGTCCTGCAAAGACACATCGCCAATATCAATACTTTTCAGCAAGTTTACGAAAGTTGAGCCAGATAATTTCTCATTTAGCTCAGACGAGTACTCGTGAGTTGAGTTAGACATGTTATTGAGGATATCCCTTGCAGACTGTTGAAAGTGAGATTGGTCGTTGAACGCAAACTCGTTGTAGTACTCGTAGGTCTTGTTCTCCAAGTCTTGAAACTGGTCACCGTCCTGCACGTCGTCATCGTTCTCAAGCTCTTTCTCCAACTGCTCGAATTCGTTGTTGTAATAGTCCTCACGAGCCTCGGGCGATAATCTGTCTATAATGGGGTGCTCTTGGAACTTGAACAGCGAGTCCTTTCTGACATCATTGTTAATGATCCTAAACGTACTTGTGGGCGCGGGCCTCGTGAAGGATGGCTTCACGCTGGGCACGTCGCTTATGGAAAGTTGCTGGAACTCAGACAGCCACTGTGTATTCTTTTTAGTATCGCGCGGTACCTGGCGCGGCTGTTGTATTGGTATAGCAACGGGTGTTGCTGTATCGTATATACTATCTTGATGTAGAAACTCCCGCTCTAAAGGATTACTGATGCGATCATGATTATGTTCGTAATTGTGGGCACGGGTTCTGGTTGTAAAAGTGTGAGTCTTGCTCGAAAGCGACTGCAACGGGTTACTATGGCACGCACTCATACTCTTATCTATATATGGCTATGTATTTTTAACGTTCCAAGAGGTGATGCCTGGTGGTACCAACCTCATCTAGTATATATACTATTCTTGGCGAGTACGTAATACTGCATACCCCACAGTTATTCCAAGATCATAAAAGATAAGGGTTGGGGATCCCCCTCCCCATTGTTCTTCAATACCAGAGATAAGATTCATCTAAATCCTTATCTAGTCGTTATATTGTGAACTGACACTATTACTGATCATCCCAAGGGATGAGAGCATCACAGGTCACACATAGTAGTCTATCATAATAGCAGCTATGATGGTATGATTACGAGCCGGGAGTCACTTCCCGGTGAAGTCTGGGATGGGCTTCCCTTCAAAGAGCATCGGGGATAAGTACAGCCGGGCTGGGTGTGTGTATGTGGGGGGGAGTAGGGGAGGTCGATTGCTTGTGGAGTCTCAACTTACTTGATCAGCGTTACTGCAGCTGTGTAGTGTGTGTGGCTGGATGCTGTAGGTCCAAAGTTGAGTGTGGGATTGTGCGGTGATTTCTTACTGGGGGAGGACGGACCAGTAGAGGACTTGCATCACCGAACAGCGAAGATCACCAGTCTCTACGCAGATCCTCTACTACTGGTGGAGTTACACAGAGACTTACGCAGAGTAGGACGCACCGAGCCAACTGATAGAGAGGGTGAGGCTGGAGGCTAGACTCCACCGTACTATACTACTTGCCCAGTGTCTCGGTGGGGGTTCACTGGAGGAGAGGGACCTAAGGGTAGTGGGCCAAGGGTAGTGTGGGGCGACCCTTAAAAACTACCTTTGGTCACATGATTATCGGGAATACTCGGGAGCCGCTAGCATAACTAATATAGGTTGTGGTAACTGTTTTCGTGAACACTGTACAATATTGTGACGTATTTCACATACGCGTTGTATTAATTCTATATGTACAAAGTTAATAATTATGCAAAACTAGGTAGGGAAAAGATATTACAATGTGAAGATAAATGAGAAAAAACAAACTGGGGCCTAAATATCGATTAGGTTTGGACCCTCTTGGCCTGGGTACTGCTGTGCCGGCCATTGTGCTTGTGGCTGCTGGAATTGCTGGAACTGCTGCTGTGGTACTTGCTGTACTTGCTGTGGTACTTGCTGTACCTGTTGTGGTACTTGCTGTACCTGTTGTGGTACTTGCTGTACTTGTTGCACCGGTTGCACCTGTTGAGGCAATTGCTGGTATTGTGAAGACACACCTGGACCTTGCATAAATGATTGAGATTGTTGTAATGGCTGCATTACATTTGGCTGAGACATACCAGTGGCCTGTGTGCCGGTGAAATTCACATTTTGCTGTTGGAATGGGTTGTGTACCAGTTCCGAAGTTGCTGTACTGGCGTATGTAGTTGGGACTACTGGGTTGTTAGTAGCAAATGGATTGTTGTTTATAGCACTCGATGTAGCTGGCTGTTGCTTTAATTGCATCGATTGATCATTCATGTCTTGCTTTCTCTGCTGAATTTGGCTCTCTGTCTTCGAAGCATTATGCAACGCAAATGGATTATTCGATCCAGTAGCCGTCTCAGTTAGAGGTTGCTGCTGCGGCATTTGCTGCTGAGATATTTGCTGCTGTTGTGATGGAGGCATAAATTGGTTAGTCATTCCAGAAGTTGCACTTGCAGTACCAAAACCGAAATCTTGCTGGTATGCCTGTTGTGTTACTACTGGAATTTGTCCAACAGAAACCTGAGGTTGTTGTGGATTGAACATATCTGTGTGTGCCACCTGCAATTGTGGTTGCTGTGGTTGCTGTGGTTGCTGTGGTTGCTGTGGTTGCTGGAATCCAGTCGGGTTTGTATATTGAGAGGTTTGCGGCTGAACCTGACCTGTAAATTGCTGTTGTGCAGGGTCCTGTGGTTGATAAACCTGTTGGAAAGCTTGTTGGTTATTAGGCGGTATGCTTTGCATTGTGTTTTGCATTGCGTTTTGTTGAAATGCTTGTGCTTGTGCACCACCGGTGAAGATGTTGTTCATTGGAGACTCAGAACTAGCAAATGGGTTATTCATAAAGGTTGCACTAGTAGATCTCGAGTTAAGTTGTTGAGGAGTTTGACTTGGTGTAACTCCAAATGGATTATAGGCGTTCTGTTGGTCAGTCATCGCCATAGTCCCAGTAGCCATTGTGTTCATATTTGGTGTGAATTGAGAACCATCATTTGGATTTGAAAATACCACATTCTGGGTTTTCAATTTTTCTTCCAGAATTCTCTTCTGCTCACGTACTTGTTCTAGTCTTTGTTGTGCAATTGTACCCTGTCTCTTAATATTGCTCGAGCTTCCGAGATCTGGATCCTGCTTAAAGTTTTGCTGTGTTCTATCGTCTTCCAGCAAGTGCTCTTCCAAAGAGCTAACCAATTTTGTGGTAATGTGTTTAATAACCGGGATCTTCAATCCAACAGATTTACCTGATTTCAAGTATTTGACTACAGTTTCAGTAAGTTCCACGAACCTCTTGTACAAATTCAACGTCCGTTCGGCGTTGGAATGAGACAGCTCAAAAAATATTTCCAGTAGTGATATAATGCCTTCATTAAGAGCATTGTATAGCATCAAAAGATCCTGTACCAATAACTTGAAGGCATATAGATATAAGTCATTCTCTAAGTCATAGTGAGAGTATCTATTTTTAACTAGTGCTGTGATCTGAGTTTCAATTGACTCAACATGGTCCAACGCTGTATTCACTCTGCCCAAGTTATTCTCATTAATCTTTATATTTGCCTTTGTATCCCTCACGTAGTCCAACCGGATCCTATCAAACTCTTTACACCTTGTTTTCAAGTACTGGGCATACTTCTGCACTTGGCGTATCTCGGTGCTGCCAACATTTGGCAAATTTCTGTCCACGTTAAACACGCTGGTTCTGTGACTGAAATAGTCCAGAGCCACATTACCGTCACCGTCCCTAAACAGCAAGTGCACCACAATCAGCGACTTGTAAACCACAGTCCATGCGGTGTCCTGCAACCGGGCCTCGAGCGCGTGCGTAATTTCATCGAAGTCATGGCTGTTCATACTCCCCATCAGAATTGGATCCACATACTTGGCCTTTGGTGGGGCCATCTTGATCTTGGTGGCCCCTTTCACCAGTTTGACATAAGTGGTCATAGTTCGCAAATAAGATAGAAGCAAAAAAAAATTAAGAGAAGGGAAAAAGGAGCCGCTACTATATATGGCCCTACTTGTGCCGATCCTTGTAACTAGAATCGAGTGCCCCAATTGCTGTCTTAACTCGAAGATCAACTTCTTATTATACACTCTGTTGATTGCAATGGGCTGACAACGAACAAAAAAGCTGCTACGTCTGAAAGTACATCATGTGGCCACCGTGCATAATACCAAACTCTATACTTTGCTACATAAGCTAGGTGTTGGAGGTAAAGTTATCTTTTACTCGTAGGTACTCATACATACCCATGCCAGACCACAAGCATATATACATACACAAATAGTATGCGGACCCTTGGCCCAGCTCCCTGCAGTCCTTTATTTAGGGCTCCCCCCCCTACTACTGGCGACCCATGCAGTATCACCATGCAGTATCACCATCACTAGCAGTTATCACCATCACTAACACTGCCAGTCACAGCGGTACCGGCTACTGCCCACACATATCACGTCGATTGAATTCGTAAATCCAGATCTATTCAACGCTTCTTATCTGTACGAACTTCTCTAAGTATTTGCTTTTCCTTTCTTTTTCCCTCCCTCTTTTGGGCCCTTCCACATACTCTTCTGTGCTTCCCTTTCGTACACTTTCCACACGCACTTTTCTGTGCCCCACCTTCGCGATCGGAAAAACCAAACAAATTAACGATAGCTCTTCTCTTGCTTTACTACCACCCGACCCCACCTAACAGTAAAACTGCTGCACAGACTGGGGGGTCCAACAAAGAAGCAGAAGCCTCGAGCCATTGTCTTCCCCCCATGCGAGTCTGCATCTCTGCTTCATCTCTGCTTTTCTCTTCATAGTTGGTATTGTCCAGTTCTTATGTTTTGTAATGACCCAGAAGTACGGGTCCAACCGGCCAAGTGTGATTTCAAGGCTTGAGTGCTCAGTACAGGTAGTGCTGATGCGTGATGGTACGTGTAGTCTCTGATTAACCGGAGCACTGAGTCATTTGTTTGGAATGACCTGTGCGATTGCTTTGGAAAAATTTTCTTTGATAATCAGAGAAGTTATATATAAGGAGCAAGGTGCTCGGGTGAACGGGGAGATGGTGGATAAGTACGTGTTTGCATCACATGTCTTGGGAGTAATAACGATCCTACAAAGTTGAAAAAACGAGTATTCTACGAGTTGTTACTACAGAGAAGAGTATAACTTTCAGTAGAGTGAATTATAGCCCAGATTTTTTCAAATTATTTACCACCTGATACAGAATGTCTACGATAAATATTGCTTTCAGACGATTTTGGCAGAGCGAGACTGGTCCCAAGACGGTACATTTCTGGGCACCCACTTTGAAATGGGGCCTTGTGATCGCTGGGTTGACGGACATCAACAGACCAGTGGATAAAGTGAGCGGTGCGCAAAACTTGTCATTGCTATCCACTGCGGTGATATGGACGAGGTGGTCCTTCGTGATCAAACCAAAAAACATGCTATTGGCCTCGGTGAACTCGTTCCTGACTTTGACCGCCGGCTACCAATTGGCCAGGATCGTGAACTATAGACTGCGGAACGGTGACACAATTCAACAAACTTTCTCTTACATCCTGAATGGTGCAGGCAACCGCAATAACGAGAAATTGATACAGGAGTGAGAAGATTGTAAAACCGGCAACTAGGAGAACAACATTTCAATAATCTCTATTTATTATATTAACATGAACTTATATATTATTTTATGCATATCTAACCTCATTTACAGAATAAAACACATCCCCATACCACTTTTAATCCCTTGCCTCCCAATTGAACACCTAAAATAGCCTTGTTTACTTATAAGTCCATCTATAACACCGATCCACTGGAAGGTACCATGAAGGCTTTATGTAAAGCTATCTCTTTGAAAGGATAAGTGGAAGAAGACCCCAAACACCCGGACACCACAGCCTTTGCACCCCTTTTAAGCAATGGAAGTGCCAATCCAGGCCCTTTTCCCCTGCAGGAGCGAGCTCATCAGGCTCACAAGTCCAGTTGACAGCTTCTATTTAAGAAGGAGAGCCAAGATGTTCTTGCGTTTACCTAATGTTGGCTTGAGTTTTGCGATCGAGTTACTAGAAGATCACGGATTTCAAATAAGTGATGGTGTCTGTAAACAAGTTTAGCGAGAAGAAGGACCTGGCTCATAGACTGGGGGAAGTTGTTGTGAACGCCCAGGATGAGGCCTTGAAGCACTCCGATGTTTTCAACTTGGCCATCAGTGGTGGATCCTTGGTCAATGTGCTGCACTCTACTCTGATTGAGGACAAGGACTTTGCCCCCAAGGTGAAATGGGACAAATGGAGGGTATACTTTTGTGACGAAAGAATTGTGCCATTGGACCACGCAGATAGCAACTACGGTGCATTCAAAACCGCCGTGCTGGACAAACTGGAACAGAAAGTTCAAGTATTCCCAATTGATGAATCGCTAGTTAACGGTGGTGAAAAGGAGTTTCAAGAAATTGCGGAGAAGTACGCAGCCATTATACCAAAGAGCTTCGATTTGATTCTGCTGGGTTGTGGTCCAGATGGCCACACTTGCTCTTTGTTCCCAGGTGAGAAGCACGCCTACTTACTACAAGAAAGAGAGAAAAGGGTTTGCTGGTGTCACGACTCCCCTAAACCACCTCCAAACAGAGTTACTTTCACTATCCCTGTCTTGGAAGATGCAAAGCAATTGGTCTTTGTCGCGGAAGGTGCCTCTAAGCAAGACATTATGCACCAAATTTTTGATCTCAAGAATAATGAATTGCCAACTGCGTTGATTAATAGCTTATTCACCACAAAGGTGACTTGGATTGTCAACGACGAGGCGTTTGCTAAAGTCCAAACAGCTTAATCAATCCTGTATTTCTCAGCTCTAATTCACTTCTTCTAAGTATATATGCAATCCAATATTTAACTAATAATTCTCTACTTATATAAATTTAGTTCTTTTATGGAATTTATACTTTATTATCATTCAGTTCCATATATATTCTGAATTATTTTGAATTCAAATGCAATGCCTTTATATATATATATATCTGGTCACTAATACAAACTATTCACCAAGAACTTGGCGTATAATAGGCTTGTCGCGTAATACCCTTGAATTTTCGTCAATCGGCTTAGAGCCTCCTAATTTCTTAACGTTGGTTGCAACTCTAGTAGATTCCTTAGTGACACTGGCATACTTAGGAAATCTATACGCATCCAAACAGTCACTATTCAAGTCATACATCCATCCCTCCCTCTCTAATAGCTGGAAAAATGACTTCATCTCATTTACCGACCCAATTGTGTTTCTAGATCCAATAATTATGAGCTTAGATTTTGCTCTGGTCATTGCTACATTTACTCTTCTCAACTCTTTTAATAACGAACCACCATTGAACTGCGCGTTACTTCTTACCATCGATATTATTATACACTCCTTATCACGCCCTTGAAATTGATCAGCTGTCAAAATCTCTAGACCATCATATCGCTGGTTCTCAAATTCTTTTTTCAAGGCACGTAGCTGTGCTCGATATAAGGTCATAACACCTATTGATTTAAGGGCGACACCTGACTCTATCATGCCTTCGATGCATTGCCTAGTTAGTTCTATTTCACCAGCGTTTGTAATATTGTCCTTCTCAGCTGATTCAGTAATTGATTTGGACGCATCATAATTTAAGAATAGCACCTTATTTTTTGGAGATAAAACACTCTCTAGCCAGCAACTATCTGCTGACAAGTTTGGGTTTATATATGCTGCTAAATTATCCGTATTTATTCCCAATTGCTGAACAGCAACTTCTTCATTACCACATCTCAGCTTTCCATCATATATCAAGTGATTAGATAACTTGACAATTTCATCACACATTCTGTACTGGAAAGTCAACTCACAAAGAGCTTCCGGAAACCGTTCACACAATATCTTAAACATAGAATCCTCTAAGCCACCTACTCTGGCAGATTCACTTTTGACCAATGGAGGTAACTGAAGGTGATCACCCACCATAATAAACTTATCCGCAAATCTTAACGGACCTAAAGCAATAGGCAAAGCAATTTGGCTTGCCTCATCAATTATAACATAATCAAAATCTTTTGTTCTCATACTTAACATCGTATCTCTAATCCCTAAACATGTTGTAGCAACAACAGGTATATTATCAATAAATTCAACATAGTCGTCTAAAGTCTTTATAGTCGAATAGTCTGGAATATATGGAATAATCTCACTATGGATTTTGCTTCTTGATCCTAGTCTACACATTTTTGTGTTATAATTTTTCAATTTGAGCATAATATTATCAACCGCAGAATGGGTATAAGAGGTTAATAGGACACTTTTATTATTTTTCACTAGTATGTGGATAATCTCAGCAATTACAGTTGTTTTACCTGTACCTGGCATACCAAGAATCAAACAATAGTCTTCAGCTCTCATGACTTTATCAATAGCTGCCTTTTGATCAACATTAAACTTGGTTAGAGTGCCTGGATTATATGGTACCATAGGTGATTTAGAAGAGGCACGAAATTTTGGAGGGATTCCATCAACGAGAAGTAATCTTGTCTTAATATCACCACCTTCAGAGGATTTGAGAGCACGATCTTTTTGAGTTAAAGGATCCTTGATAATAATTGGTTCCTGGATTGGGGTATTAAATAAATTCAGTAAGTTGTACCTCGCCATTGATAATCCTTGTTGTATGTCATTCTTATCAATCCTATACGTAATCTGATTTTGAGTACTCAAAAGTGCATTCGTGTCCAAGCTGGTATGCAAAGCACTTATTACCCTTTTTGTACCAGTATCGCCTTCCGAGATGTTATTGTTCAAGAGTTTTCTATTAACAGCAACTGTAATCTCCATGTCTTCAACTGATATAACAATTCCTTGACTCAATCCAAAATGACCTCCTTCATCACTGATCAAGACATGATCATCTCTAGTAAGTTGCGAAGATAGAAAGAATGGGCCAATTGGTGACGAATATGATCTTTTAAAAGTAATCACAAATGGATATCTCCCTGTAAGCGAGTTTTCATACGATTTTACAACTAGATTACTCAAACATTTTCCGCTATCTTTCTCGCGATCAATACTATCCATCAAAAATAGCTCGTGGCTGAGACATTTATAACTTGATTCTTCTTTTGTAATCAAGTCATTATACTTTATGAAAAACTTTTTTTGTGATTCAGAAAATTGTCTTGTTAAGCTTGATTCATTGCCAGCACTACATTTCTTCGAATCGAAACTAATATCACTTGTTAATTGCTCTACCACATCACAAATATCTTTCAAATAACAATTATCGCAGAATGAATTCCCCAAAACTGGTGGTAGTTTCAAATTCTGTATTTCTTTCACAGAAATTTCACTTAAATAATGCTTTAAGTAGGTAGTTAACTGATTTCGAGCCATTAATACATGCTTAATGGAACTTATGTTTTGAGGGAATTTATTCATCGTCTTATCTCGAGTATAATATAGCAGATAAAAATCAACCTCCATCTCATATCTATCTTTCAGCAATAGAGTATATATTAGACCTTGAGCTTCATGTGCTATGCTTCTAGATTTACCAGTTTTAATTTCCAGAGGCACAATAAAACGGTTTCTCTCTACTAATGCTTCTACAGAAGCATCCAAAAATCCTTTAAAACCGTACATTGGTGAGACTATATTCTCTTCAATATCTATCACGTCCGAAATTGAAATTGGTTCGGTTCTCCTTGTTCCTGAGACAGGTACATAACATCCATAGCTACTCTTAGAGACATATTTTTTCACAAATTCAAAAATGTTTGAAAAGTGGTCTTCCATTATTTTTGTTTTTACACTATCTTTATTTTCTCCACATAATACTATTGAAAAATGAAAACCATCTAAAAGATCATTCAGTTTCGATTGCATATACTCGAGTGTAATACTGTTATCAGTCACCTTTTTTCGGAAAGCTTCTTGTAACAACTCATGGACAATATTACCTATAAGGATTGGAAGACTTGGCTCTTCTCTACAATCTTGAAAAAACTCATTCAGTAACGCTTTTCGAGGACAATCAATCGATGTACCAACCATGGTGGCAGATAACAGGATATCAGGATTCAAGATTAGTAAATTGTCATTAACTTTTTGAGTTACAGGATCTACATCTGAAGACAACAAACGCTTATTGGCACAGTTTTTACCTTCTATAATATGAATAATATCTCCTTCTTTAAAGTCAAGGTACACCCACGGATGTCGTACAATAACTGAGCAAGTAGAGCTACTTGATTCTTTACAGATCAATATCTTTTGTCTACCAATCTTGTCTAAGTTCATTTCACTAATACTAATAATAAGTAGTCGTTGGAAGCCTTTCTTATGTATCACCCAGCTCGGCATGTGCAAAATTGTTGAGTCAATTCTAGAGTTATATCCACTTTTATCTTTAGATTTGTAAGAAATTGCTTCATTTTTAGGGAAGGGCGTCTTGTTAGATGGTAATACTTGTGTTTGTTCTAAATAGTCCACTAAAGAGTCATCAGAATTTTCAGAGTTATCAGAATCTTGGCATTTTTCAGAATTGTGTTCCTTTTCTAGTAAATCGCTTGATGCTAACTTAGAATTTAGTTTTGGTATTGGCTTTCGTTTGCTATCTTGCGATAACAACTCGTCTAACAAATCATCGTCATCTTCTTCTGTATCTCCTATATGAAAATTGCTTGTATTTGATGTTGCCTGTAAAAGCTCTTCATCACTATCAAATCCTTGATCTATATCATGAATACGTTTATCACCTGCATTATCAGTTGAAGTGCTTTTATCTTGAGAGCTGTAGTTAGTTCGCATGGGTCGACAATTACTATTTTGGCATTCAAGACCCTTATCCGGTGATGAAGGAAGGTCCAAAGGTATCCCAGACATTTGCTGGTCCTCAGATGCCACTTGGTATATATCTCTTGAATTTTGCTCCTCATTATTATATCTATGAGCGGTTTCTGATCTACGATTAAGAACAGAATCACTATCGTTCATATTGTTAAGATTGATAATTGTCTTCCATCTATTAGGTACTATTGGAGTAGATGATGGACCGTTGGTAATATAGTTGAGTTCAGAGGAATCAGGATCATGGTTAGTTTTATCCGATTTATCACTATGCAGTGGAGTATATCGCCATATTACCTCTTCTTCCGGATACATTTTTTGAGTCGTTAAAGGTTCAGGCACTGATAGCTGTTTTTGTATGTGTCCTCTAATATTACTCATATTACCATGCTGCTTTGAATTCACAATCATCGATTTGGACCGTGGAATGCTGGTATCATGTGAGCCTGACTCTTGCAATTCTTCGGAAAGCTCATTGACAATTTTATCTGTTTTCTTGGACCTCCTTAATTGAGTAACAGATATTGAATGCACAGTATTTGTTTTATTTTTGGAACTTAAAGTATCAATTGGTGCAAATTTGTAGCGTTCATTTCGTAACCTAAGTGGCTTTTGCTTCTTTTTATTCAGCTCTTCATCATTTTTTTTAGTTGTAGTAGGTTTAGTCGGGGACTGAGTAAGATCGACTGTCCTTTTCTTATTGTCTCCTGAATTTACCATGTCGTCATCTTCTCTAACAGTTTATGGTTTTGATCTGATCGCCGCTATATTTATCACAATGAACAATCGCCCTGCTTCTTCTAATTCACAGTCTATGAATTGAGATAACCAATTATCTAGGATTATTAATACACCTTATATAGTACAAATATAGTGGAAAGTAATCTAACTTCTATAAAACTTCGCATTTGAATATTGCGTATTTACACTCACTACTTGTTACGCATTTTTTGATCCGATTTTCTAAGCTCATCGCGATTTTTCCAATTTACAAGCAGTTGACATGTCAAGTGATGGTATCATACCGGACCAAGTAAGTCGCAATATGCTCGATTTATAAGCTACACACAATTTAATCTCGGCTATTATATATTTAGTGAATAATTTTCATGCTAGTCTGTAAAGTGAACTTCTTTGATATCAAAAGTTAAAGTTTATAATAATGATCATTTTGAAAGCACTGTAGAAAAGCATCGATATTGTCTCCATATACTACCATTGGGTAATATATTCGAACATTAATCCACACCGGAAAGTTTCCAGTATATTGCATTTGCTAAAGACACTTCAGCACATTGTTCAATAAGAAAAGCTTTCTATGATATTGTCTAGTCTACTATTGATAAAGGAGCGTAAATCAAGTAGCTTTTTCTTAGTCTGCTCATCCACAGCAGCTGCTAGGTAATTTCTCTCAAGTTCTTCTATATCATGCTGAATTGAACGTACCAACTTGTCAGTTAAGTTTGAATTAGGTAACTTTGCTTGGTCTTGTTCATCATCTTTCATTAATCCATGTACATTGGTCAACGAGCTCTCATTACACTCTGTTATCTTGTTGTATTCTTCTTCTGTCGGAACTTGTAGCCCAAGTTCTGCAAAGACTTGTAATAAAAACGACTTCTTGACATAACATTTTTCAACTATCGATGCAAATGAATAGCCTAATCTCACCAACAGCAGTACTGCATTATGTAGCTCAGATCGTAATGCTACTTCACTGTCCACAGTTTCAGTTAACTCGTCATTTTCATATGCTTCTTGATGACATTCTAGGGAATGAAGTGGTTCGCCGCCTGCGTCATCAATCATGACCTTTTTACATTCATTATATATCGACAACTTTTCTATATTGCTCCAGAATTAAACTCTTATTAGTCTAAAGAGAACGATTAACTAGCTATACTCATTTATTATATATGTTACTTGATGTCTCGCTACAACTTTTTTTTGTTACTTTAGCAATTACCTTTCCACATCAAAAATCAAACAAAAATGCGACTTAAATGTGGACAGTCAATATACTAAACAATGAAATAAGAAGGCGCCTGATTTAAATACATACAAAGAGGTTGGTGTTAGCATTCTGTTAAATTCACAAACAGTGTTAACGAGGGCATTAGAAACTATGTCAGAGCTCTAAACAATATTTATTTAGGTTTATATTCTATGCAAACAGATCCTCTTGACCGGCTTCCAAATCACCATCATCATCCATAAGGTCTGCAAACTGTAGAAAATGATTTGGCCTGTGTATATCGTTATAGAATTCAACAGGAATTCTGATTGACATATCATCTAGTGTATCCGGAAGATTTGTAGGCATGAAGTAGTAATTCCACACTCCAGTGCTAGGTACGAAGAAGTTCCCAGAAATTCTATCTGAAAGCATCAATTGTGCGTTTTCACTGTAGTTTGGTTCAAATCCCTCAGGGATTTCACTAACAGTATCCTTATTTTGCATTGCCCAAGCTAGACCTTTAATTGAGGCCGTGAAACCTGAAATACTAATTGACCCAGGAACCGAACAGATTGAGATCATGATAGGATCGTGTTTGCTGTTAGAAAAATGCGAAGCGTGATTCATCAAAGCAGAAGGTCCCATAAACTTAAAGTCTTCATGTTGTATATTAACCCAACCCAGAAGCTTCAACCCTTCCAGCTCCTCATAGTCGTCATGATTTGGGTGGCCAATAAATTTTACTGTTCTATCGGTACTAATCTGAGGCACCAAAACGACTGTTTGGATTTCATTCACATTAGGATGATCCTTCGGAGAACTACCATAAATATATGCAGCAACTTGTAACTTGACATCTGATATTTGAACTAGCTTCTCAAGTATGTTCTTTGGAAAAATGTATACAGGTTTCTCTTCAATGAACTCACCAGCATTTACATAAATGTTTTTCAAACGAATATGTAATAAACTGTTAGCAAGCGCAGATTTTTTCCATTCACTTTTAGAATTGAAACTTTCGGTTTCATAATTTGAGGATGTTACAACAACAATTTCTTCACCTTGAGCATTAATGGCCTTTGTTTTAGTGACTGTCGTAGATTGGCCACCTTCAAGTAGTTTTTCCTTATCCAGCTTGGCCTCTTCCAATTCTGCCATTTTTTGCCGTTTTACCGATGGAGCTTTGATATTTTGGCCTAATATCAAATCTTTGATTTCAGTCTGTGTAAGCGCGGAAATTTTTACATTGTACTTTTTCCCGTACTCTGCTAAAATCAGATCCCTCATTTGACTTTCAATTTCAATCCATTGCGAGTCCGAAAAAGATGGCCAGAGGTGATGCTCTTTAATAACTATAGTAGGATCACGAAGCAAGATTGATTTAGCCTGCTCTTCATTTGTTTTTAAAGCCCTAAGGAGTAATATTAACCGCGAAAATGCTGTGTAGGATGAGATGGTATCTAGCCAATCATCGTAAATGTTGTAAAGGACCATTTTTGGTTCAGAGGCACGCATAACAATATCCGATAGCTTATCAATAGACATCGCAGCAGAGAAAGGTAATTTCAGTTCGGTAGGCCTGATTGCTACGTTAGGAAAATCGAGCATGTGAACTTCCAACGGATCAAGCATAGCCTTTCTAGTCACAATAACTTGCTTTGGTTGTTCTTCCTTAGGAAGAGATCTAACCAACGCACTTACTTCTTCAGCTGTCTTCCATTTTGCCAATTGGCTCAATCGCTTTTGTCCTGACCACACTGATGTATGAATAATCTTTAAAAATAAATGTCCTGATTTCGGATTCAACATAAATACGCAACCGTTAACTGCTTTGGTTGCAACGTTCCCCTCAAATGTTTTATGCACCGACACTCGATAGACATTCGTATCATCCACGAAAAGTTTAATGTCATCGTTAAATAACTCAGCATAATTGGAAGAGTTTAAGAAAGGTTCTTGAACAGTGGATTGATAAATTTGCAAACCTTTCCTTATTCTCTCTCTCAAAACATACAGTGCTGGATTTGCCTTCATAATTGTTTTCATACCATTTTGTATCAATGGTTTGAGCCCATCAAACCAATTGCCATAGGCATCATACATATTATACGCCAAATCTATGCATATCATAATACCTGTTGGAGATGGATACATACTGACATTGTCGGTAGTATAGTCTAGAAACTTTGCTCTTGCATATCTTGAAATATCATGTGAATCATAGTCACCGTAACGCAACTGTACATCGATCCACATTTTGTTACTACTAATACTTGAAGTGTCATCATTACTATTGTGCAACAGGGTGGGCTTTGAAACCTTCCATTGATCTATACTTGTCAGGGTAATATCTGCAGCAGATGAATTCATTTTGTATGATTTCCTTGGATGTACTGACTCTTTTATCACATTCTCTATTGCCAAGGATGATAGTTCGCCATCGAGAATCTGACATATATCAAATACAACGCTTTCATGAATTTTTTGCCATAAATGAGCTCTGAATATTTGTATCAACGATATTTTTAACGTGGGTATTTTACCATGTAAAAAAATACCCGTTAAATCTAACTGTACAAGAAAACCAACATACACATTTGCTCTATTAATAGTAGGTGACCACCACAAAGTGAACCTACGGTTAGGTATTTGACTCAAACCTGTTCTTTGAGCATGCGTTAATCTCTTGAACTGCATCGAATCTTCAAAACCTGACGCTTTCTCCCAAAATAACCCTTCCCATGAATGGAAGCCAGTACCTTTGAAGAGGGTATGTTCTAGAATAGTTTCTATACCACCTAAAGCTTGGATTACATCTGTTCTATAATTGTTCAAATTCCACAGCTTACCGTCATGATGAGCATTGGTCCACCAAAACGCTAATGGTCTATCGAGTGAGAATTGTTTAAATTCCCTTCTCACCCTGTGGCCTCTATCATATGCCAAAGTTTGCCTGTCTCTTTGAAACAATGTGCTTATTCTGGGGATACCTCTATCCCATGAACCCTCAAGTTCCTCAAAAGACAACCTCCTATTTTGACTCATCGCTTCTAATCTTTTATTGGCATACTCTGCCCATACACGTTGTGAATCTAAAAACTCATTTTCCCAAGTTGGAATGTATCGAAAAATAGTTGGTATCGATTGGCTGTCTTCATGAGACATACCCGCTCTGAAGTGAGTAATACCTGTATCTGTTTGCTTTGAATATGCTAAATCAGAAGAAGGGATAAGAATGTGAGAAGCACTCAACATGCCTAAACCTCCTAGCTCTTTAGGTGTATAAAACACAGCAGGTGGAAAACGAGTAGGCATTTTAGAATTTAATCCAAGTTTTACTCTGTTCTGAATACGTGTTTCAGACTTAACCAATATGTCTAACAGTGGTTCGGTTGTTATTATTGCCTCTCTGAAATAAGTAAATAATGCGATTAGAGCCGTATTCCATTTCGCAGCAATCTTTGAAAAGGTAGCAGAGCCTGCCGTCATTAGTATACCGCGAATAACTCCTTCAAATATATCAATTGACTCCTGAGAGACTTTTAAATATGCAATTGCTGTTCTTTGTTGAGTAGATTTCTCGACCAAATCCCATACACTTTCCGAGACTGTAGTTAGTTCATCAGTTCTGAGCTTAGGAATTATCCGCACTTCAAAACCACACAATGTAAATAACAAATTTGGGTTATTCTTACTGTATACTGAAGCAAAAGAAGAATCCCATTTTATTTCCGCAATTGAACCAGGTATACGACCTTGCACTTCCCAAAAAACTGCTCTTCCAAGGTGTACATCTTGTCTAATCAGTCGCATACGCTGATCCTTTGCCCAGCACTTTTTGTTGGGATAGTTTATAATATCTTCGAAGTTTGGATCAGGATTTTCTGACAAGTACTGGAATGTCAGGTCGTCGGCCTCTTTCTCAGAGAAATGAAACACCATATATATTTTATCCAAATATCTCATGTACAATTTTAAGGGGTGTTTATCAGCAACCTCTGAAGAGCTGTACTCCATAAATTCATTAGGAGCACTAACAGGACCGGCAATTTCATTAGCCCTATCAATTCCAAGAATCAATATATCCATAACCAAGCCATAAAATTGATATAGGAATGAAGCGAATTGTAGACCACGAATAATACCATACTTATTAACATAGCTCATATCTTTGAAATTGACAATTACATTATTTTTTGCAACCATATAGTCAGCTAGGTTAGGATCCATAACTAGTCTGAGCAATCTATTCAGCAGAGTAAAATCAACTTTTTCGACAAAAGCTTCAAGTTTCGATTCCAGCAACACTGTGGATTTATTTCCATGAACATCCCATATTCCATTGACGTTATTAATACCTTGAGCCCATTTATATACAAGTAATGGTGATATTTCAGAATCACTAGGTTTTATCCAATTTGGAAACAGATTCTTTTGCTCAGCTTCATACCAAATGTATTGATCTAAATAGGCATCAGTAATCTTCTCCAATGGATCGACTGCATACACAGGAGAAATATGGTGATAGTGCTCTACCATATTGATATCAACTGGTTTAAATACTCTTTGTGTTAAGAGGTATTTTTTAACTCTATTCAAAGTTTCATGAGGATTGTCGTACGCATCTTCGATTAGCGCCAATTCTTCTCTTTCAGCTGCATTTAGTCGAGTTTTGGCACCATAGGAATCCTTCAAATTTTCCAAGGCTAGTACCAAGATCTTTGTATCATTTTTATATGTCAAGGATGGAAAAGCAATAGGTTTGAAACTTCTTGTTCTTAGCCAATCAACCATTACTCTAAAGATTGTAGATGCTTCAACTGGAGTTAATTCAGGTCCATTCTTTTCTATCTGAGCTTGACGGTCTTGTTCATTCTTTATCCATAATCTTGTTAGTCTTCCTAAATTTCTCTTGGCAGCGTTTTTTTCGATATGAACACCTTTTTTCATTTTCTCCCTATTTGAATGTGCAGAAGAAATCCATCCATCCGCCTTGGCTCTTACATATCTTTCTATTATAGTTTTTATTGGAAGTGGCATTCCTGGTACATCCCAAGGAATGTTAGCTTTCCAGCATCGCCATGCTTCACTCAAATGCTGTAGAATAGTTCTAGCCTTTTGTTGTCTCAATCCCTCCGGTATCATGTCAAGTATATCATTCATTACTGATGCTCTCAATTCAAGGTCATAATAGGCATCAGTTCTCTGTTTGGTAGTCGTTTTCACAATATCATTATTTCTTCCTTCAAATTGTCTTATTAACAAATTAGATAACCATCTTTCTAAAATAGGGATAATACCTCTTAAAAAGAATATCCAAATACGCCATGCAGGATGCCAAAAACCACATCCAGGCCCTTTACCAATAATTTTATTGAACTTAGAGTATACCACATGTTTCAAATCCTTACAAGCTCTTATCTGATGCATAACCTTGTACTTGTATCTGTAGATACCTGTCAACTGACCTAAATGGTTAAGAATATAATATAATCCATCAGCCAGTTGAAACGGATCAATATTTCCTAGTCTGAACTGTAAGTGTGCATCGACTATGAGTTTTATCATTTTTAAGATTTCTCTCATTAAGTGAAATGCATTCCCGAATCTTGATTTTTTTCTTTCCTTAGTAGTTAATGTCTTTGTTGGCTTCAGGTTGAAATTGTAGTCCAAATGTAGATAGTTTAGTCCTCTCTTGTGAATAAGTAAGTTTAACATATTATGACCCTGTCTACATAATTGTATACCTGCCTCTAACCAGTCGATATGTGTTTCCTGAAAAAATTTAGTACTCTTTAAATCCTTCAGAAGGTTGTAATTTTTATGATTTTTTCTATTCCGCTTTAAGGCATTAAAAACATCTTTCTTTAGTAACTTTTGATGCGAGACTTTTACTTTGGTAGGTTCACCAGATCCTGGACGTTCATTGTAGGCTCTTTTAACTAAGGAAATATCTTCTGCTCTCTTCATATGACCCTGTCTCCTGTTGAAAGGGTAAGGAGAATGGTACATTTCGAATGCATCACCAGTGGTATCATCAAATAAGTCAACTTCTGACATTAGTGGTTTCAGTTCACATCCAAGGTCGAATAAATCTTCAGTATTACCAAAATTTTTGTCAGAGAGACCTGACACATGTTCCAAACCCACATCAAACACATCACTAGAGGTTTTTGTAATTTTCAAGCAAAATATTGGGTGAGAATGCCAATTTAGGGTAACTGATCTAGGTCTGGAATAATACAGGTTTGGATAGGCTAGAATGTGTTCATTTCGTAATATGTTTCGAAAAATAATTCTGTCTATCGCATTAAAATCGTTATAATCCTCATTTTGAGTATCATCAGATGGATATAGAGGCTCGAATCTGGGCCCACCAGGAATAAAAGTATTAAGAGCCTTTGAATTCATAAATGTTTTTTTATCAAACAGATAATAGTAGTTCCCATCATGAGTTCCATTCAATAAGGGCTTTGATAAATTATGTAAGGAACGGACGTCTTTAACATTGAGTTTCCATTTTTTATATGATGTTCCGTTTGTCTTGGTACGATCATCTTCCAATGGCCTAGAGTCATACAGCCAATCCGAAACTTGTGCATAATCTGGGTCATTCGATTGGAGTTGTATCCCCTTTTGGCTATCTGAGTCGTTTATATGATCTGAGTATGATAATGGAGGTTCATCATCGTCAAATGGTGGTAATCTTATTCTTTTAAAATGTGTACGATCCCGTTTCTCTTTTCGCATAGCAACCCACATTGTTGACCATTGAGCAATATAGACCGGTTCTATAACTCTAGGGATTTCATTAACAAATGTTATTGCTCCAGCTGTATGGTATAGCACCTTGACCTCCTTGTTACTTTCCCAAGGCTGCGGCATATTTTCTAGAAGCTTCAGAATTGCATGAGGTAAATACTTTAGCGCACCTAAGAAAGATTTTTTATCGTGGTCAAATCTTCTTGAAGAAATATCAGCATGATTATCAATTATCTTCCTCAAGTGTTCTGGTGGCATTTCAATTTTTGAATAAGATATCTTACCCTGTTTTAGTTTTTTTAAACGCTTTTCTTGCTTTTTTATTATCTTTCTAGACCTCTTCTTTTTAAAGGTTTTTGGTTTATCGTTAGAACTTGTTCGTATCTTTTTGGTATTGATATGCTCTTCGTGTAAGTTATGTTCTATAGGTGTCTCATTCAAAAATGCAGCATCTAATCCCGGTGGTGGTAGAGGCGGTGGGGGTGGAGGCGGAAGTTCACCATTTTCATCTATTAGGCTATTTGAGTCCTCAAAATCGTCTTCAATATCTGGAGGTGGAGGCGGAGGAGGTGGCAGTGGAGAAGACGGCAGTGCAAATTCGTCAACAGAGTTCCCTTGTATATCTTCATCACTCTCAATCTCAAATCCAGCTAGAGCAGGTGGCGGTGGTGGAGGTAAAGGTGATCCCATAATGATTTGATACCCTATATCTAATGGATTGTATACTTTAAAAATTCCAGTTGTTAATATTACTAGTGAGCGTCTAAATATAAGGGTTTGTGATTATGATTTTTATTATTATGGAGATGAGCTTCGCTTAAATTTTTGTTCGATTTCGGGTACGTGATTAAATAGATACATACGTACGATATGATAAAGATCATTATTTACCTATGGGCTATTTTAAATTGAAATATAGTTCTTCAATTTTTAGTACAATCTAATAGATATAATACTAGTGCATATTGCTACATTTTCCTCCTACACTCTCTTGCAATGGATCGAGCTTCTTCCATCTCTTGTGAAGTACCATTCGAAACACCTACTGCAAGGTCATACGCTTTCACATAGTTATTTGTCTTCAATTCAAATTTAGCAAGCCATAGTCTAGCTTTGACGCTCTCATCGGTCACCAAACCCTCTGTTATCCTTTCTATCTCAACACATTTCTCCATTAATAACTTGCATTTGTCTATTCCATTTGTTTGCTCAAACAGCAAGGCCAACTTGTATAGAAGGGCGGTATCTTGCTCAGATTGCGTAGTCAATTGTAACGCCCTTTCATAACACTTGATTGCCTCCGCATGATTTCCCACCTTTGCATAGCAAGAACCGAGAGCTTGCCACATTCGTTTGTCTAGAGGCTTCAGAATACACGCTCTCTGGAAGTAGTAAAGAGAATATAGATGCATGTCCAAAACCTCATATGCTTGGCCCAGACCATACCAGGCTCTAAAATCTCTTGGATCTATGTCTACAGCTCTTCTATATGATTCTATTGCTGCATTCGAGTTTTTGAGTTCTACAAATTCATGACCCATCAAAGTCCATGCACTTGTTGTTTTCTTGTCTAGTGTTAGAGCACGGCGAAAATACATTATTGATTTTTCATGTTCTTGCCTTGCGCTATAATAATTAGCAATCACACAACAAGTTTCGGGTCTAAATCTATCGATTTGTGATACAAATTGTGCTAGATACGCCAACTTTGCGTTCTTCTGCATCACATATAAGATATTAGAGAATGTATCCATATCATCGAGACGATAAGGATCATCTTCCATTATTTTTTCAAATATTTGCTCGGAGTTAACATAATCCATATATTGATAACTTGTCAATGCTTTTTGGGCCTGCAGAAAGGTAAAATTGGGGAATAGTGTGAGTAAGTCTTCGAATGTCGTTAAATATTCATCAACATTGCCTTGAAACTCTTTGAATAATAGCAATTGGAAGATTTTAAATGGAATGTTGGACTCCAATTTCGATTGGCTGTTTATATTCTCTAGATTTTCGAACTGAAAGTTGGACATAAAATGACTTAATAGCATCTGCGACTCCTCAACAGTTGTAATACATTCCAATAGATCTGACCAGCAGGAGTAATTGAATGAATAGATACGTAAGGATCGCAAGTATGCCCTAATAGCCATAGATTTTGAGTTAGACTCTTTTAATAATATGCCTCTCAAATAAAATAATAAGGCATACCCTAGAGAGTTTTTAGGGACTTTGTGAGATTGAACATCTTCAAGGTATTGATCTAATTCGTTTAAAATTTCAGTAACCCCACTTTGATCATTCTTGTTGTGAGGATCATCTATAGACTTTTTCTTTAAACCTCCAAAACTGGAAAAATCATCGGCGGCATCAATGTTCAGGTTCCGGTTACCTGCATTATCATACTTAACACTGTTTTTTTCGATAGTTAGGACGTTCTCTAAGGATTCCTGCGTCTTCTTATCCCATGATAGATACATGCTGTACAACTTCAGAAACTTCAAGCTTGGATTAGTAGCATCTTCCAGATAAAACGCACATCTATCAAACTCTTTGTTATCAAACATTGTGGAAACATACAGGTACTTGTCGTACTCTTTTTCATTAAAATAAAAATTAGATTTGTTATCATGGAAACTGAGGAAATTTTTGTTGGGAATATCTCCTGAGATCTTGCTATTTCCTGGTTCTTTGATCTCAATATGTTTGCCCAATTTGTCCATCGGTGACTCCAATCCCAACTGATCTACCGTCACCTCCTCGCATATACCATTCAGGGCCTCAGCAGCCCATTTGGAAGACCCATTGAGCTTCATCATACTCATTTCCAACGCTGCTTTGCGTAAATTCCATCGCACATCGCGGATCAACTCATTACTTAGTTCCATTATGAAGTAAAACTCCACTTAGAGCGCACAGACAGTATATAATGCGAGTTGACTCAAAAAGAAAAAGGACAATGCCGATACCAATTGGTCAATAATATAGCTAAAGTGGCTACAAAGTCCATATCATGATACATATTAAGTTAGGCACACTCAACTTGGTGTGACATTTGTAGCGAGATTCCTTGAACTTTTCATTGTGAGATGAAAAATGCCCGAGTTCTTCGCAGCAACACAAAATGAAATTTTAGCAAAATGGTTTGCAATAGACTCGATGGCTTCAGCATTGGAGGCGACTGCGATCTGTTGGGTGTTTCATTGTGATATCTTAGGACTAAATAAGATACTATTAACGCTAGTAGGAAGCTCACCACAGAAGGAGGGTAGAGGCAATTAGGCAGAAACAAGAAAAGAAGTCGTTCCATTATTGATAGAGTGGTAATTAGCTTATTAGACAGTACAGGTACTTTGACAGGCTATATCAACAGAAATTATCAGTATACATTCTAATTGATGAGTGAACAGAATTCGGAGCAATATTTCGAGGCTCTTTGCGAGCAAGAGCAAGCTCTACAGGATAACCATGAGCATTTGAAGTCTGTCTTAAACATCCTAGGAAATGTTGTTGATGAAGAGGCTAGTGATGAGGACATTGTTACTTCTTTAGGGAAACTATCGAAGACAGTGAAAGTCTTGGTTGATAGTTCGGTGGACTTGAGATACAAGAAGTTTCGGGTTACGGATGTACGATTTGCACCTCAGGCAGCGGAGCAATCACGATTCGGAGGCAACTCTAATGATCATTTAAGGCAGATCCAAAAAAGTGGACGTCTACGGGAGTATGTTTCTGTGCTTGAAGCGATCTATAATGACTCACTGACGTACATCAATCTTTTGACAAAATTGTCGGTGAACCTTGCAAAGCAAATAGAATTCGCTGACCATTCAGTAAGTGAATTCCTACTAGAAGATTGGAAGCCACCTCATGAGCTTCAATCTATTTTAGAGAAATTTGTTGATATGGAAGAGGACCCAGAGGTATTAAATGATCAACTGAACAAGTACATGGACAACATTAAGATGGAAAGAGCAAAGTATAGTTTAGAGAATAAATACTCCTTGCAGGAACAATTGAAGACGTTAGAGAGCGAATTAAGCAGGTGGAGAGATGCATGGGTAAATATTGAGAGCCTGATGTTTGGAGATTCACCTAACTCTATGAAGGGGATGTTACAAAATATTGAATCGATGAAGAAAGAACTTTCACCAACAGCAGAAAATTAGTAGAACATGTTTCTCATCATTTTGTTGTAAAACTTTTATGAATTTCTGACAAGAATCTGTTTTGCTGAGATCGCCAGCAGCTATACATTGCATTTAACTAAATTTGTTTTTTCTGTTTTATCGTTTACCATTTATTATCCATCATTATTACTATTACTATATTTTTTCCCATTTGTGGATTACCAAGCATTAAAGCATACCTGCATGAACTGGTATGAAATAGGTCTGTTTATAAATATTAATTAGCATAATTTAAGCCTTCGTACATATATCTTTCAAAACCATATTTTATGAATTTTATCTAGACACACATTATTGCGTAGATACAAATGTTGTAGATATCGTTGTTGCTAAACATAAAAATAGTTCCGATGACTTGACAAAAGGCACTGTTGAAATAAATGCAAGCACCTATTGCAAAGGAAACGTGCTGAAGATTATAGAAGATCGCCATTAAGAGCCCTAAGGTCATTGTTTAGTATACATATGTCAATTATAGTAAGGCCTCGAAACTTGATCAAAAACAAGAGTGTGGCTAGCAGGCTTTCAAAATTTTATAGTGACTTACCTGATAATGCACCAACTTTAGGTGAAAACGAACAATGGTTGAATAGCTTATCCAGTAATAATAGAATTGGTAATCTGAAGAGAGATTATGATAATTTTGCTAGGTTTCCATCTAATGAGAGCTTTCCATGGACATTTGAAAGAGACTCTACGAATCCGAAGAAATGTATTGTTAATACGCCATTATCATGGCTCACTGATACTAAATATCTGAGGCAATTCAATAAGAATAAGCATCTGCAAAGTAATTTTGTAGATGTTAGAATAGTTAAATGTACAAGTGGGAAAGGAGGTGACGGTTGCGTCTCCTTCTTCAGAGATGCCGGAAGAAGTATAGGGCCACCAGATGGTGGTGACGGCGGGCATGGTGGAAGTATATATGTCCAAGCAGAGAGTGGTCTCGATTCTTTAGCCAAGATGAGGGCAACTTATGTGGCGAGTGATGGTGGTTCTGGACAGTCCGGACAGCTGGACGGTGCTAGAGGTAAAGATATTCTAATTACAGTTCCTACAGGAACTGTAATAAAGTGGTGTTTACAACCCAAATTGATCAAAGAACTTATGGAAGAGAGGGTAAATAATGGACATTATACTGACAAAATTAAGAACCTTTTGGAGAATGAGTATTACGATTTAGAATGCTTCAATGATAATAGATATATGGGCGAACTGCCTTCACATATTCAAATGAAGCGCTCATCAAACACAAGTTCATCATGGTTATTTAAAGAAAAGGATGAGCAATACCATAGAGATAAAGAATGGTTTGTTCAATTAGATAAGAAGATGAGACTTTATGACTATGGGGTATTGAAGAGTGAGTTAGAAGCAGATAAGTTTCCACTTTTTGGAATAGATTTGAGTACACCTACCAAAAAGCCAATATGCCTTCTGAAAGGTGGGAAAGGCGGGCTTGGGAATATGCATTTTTTAACTAATCTGATTAGGAATCCGAGATTTGCTAAACATGGTCGCCCAGGTCTTGACCAATATTTCTTGTTTGAGTTGAAGATGATCGCTGACCTTGGTTTGGTTGGGTTACCAAATGCCGGTAAATCAACATTATTAACCAAGATATCTAATGCGAAACCTAGGATAGGGCATTGGGAGTTCACGACTCTAGAACCTTCCGTAGGAACTATTTCTCTTGGCATTCAAGGCCCACAATTTACAGTAGCTGATATACCAGGTATCATCAAGGGAGCATCTCAAGACAAAGGTATGGGTATCGAATTTCTAAGACATATCGAAAGATCAAATGGATGGGTGTTTGTTATTAGCTTAGAGAACCCGGATCCTTTAAATGACCTTAATATACTTATTAATGAGTTGGGTGGTCAAGAAATCATTAAGCAAAAGAGAGTGCTAGTGGTTGCTAATAAAGCAGATATCAATCATACTAGCACTGAGTCAAGAGATAAGTATATGAGACTGAAAGAATTCTGTGACTCCAAAGGGTGGGATAGTATTCCAATAAGTGCATTGCATTCTCATAATATTGATAAGCTACTTGTTAAGATGGCCAAATGCAGTGGGAGGCTTTCCAGCTGAGCCTAACTTCACGACCATATACTGATATATATTCTTTGGACAAACTGCATAATGTAGTGTGACCTGTAAATAGTACACATATTAATGGCAATAAACAGCGTAGCTTCCCCCATTCTAGTCATGAGATGAGCATCGTCATTTACCGATATTCTTCAAGAAAATTTTTGAAAAATAGAAACGTGAAATAAAAAAGCGATGAGCATGCGATGAGCATCTATATTTATGTAATTTAAGTTTGGACATGGCCCTTGTGTAACACAAGTTTTTGCAGCAGATATAACCAAGAAACTACTTGTTCAAATAGTGTCTTAATACACCTAGAAAGGGAACTCATTGAGGTAGAAATAACACAATTATGACTGAGGAAGTATCGAGAAAACAGAATTTCAGACAGTTGGGTCTTTCCAAGTGGTTAGTTGAATCCCTGGATGCTATGAGGATACGGACACCTACAGCTATTCAAAGCGGATGTATTCCAGAAATTTTAAAGGGTAGAGATTGTATCGGTGGTGCTAAGACTGGTTCTGGTAAGACTATAGCTTTTGCTGGTCCGATGCTGACACAATGGTCAGAAGATCCAACTGGTATGTTTGGTATTGTTTTAACACCTACTAGAGAGTTAGCCATGCAAATAGCTGAGCAATTCACAGCTTTGGGTAGTTATATGAACATCAGAGTTGCATTAGTTGTTGGTGGTGAAAGTATCGTTGACCAAGCTCTACAACTTCAACGTAAACCTCACTTCATAATAGCAACCCCAGGTAGACTGGCTCATCATATATTGAATAGTGGTGATGACACTGTTGGTGGCTTAAAGAGAGTAAAGTATTTAGTTCTGGATGAAGCTGATATCCTTCTAACCGAAACATTTTCAAATGACTTGAAGACATGTGTCGGTGCATTACCACCAAAGGAGAAGAGACAGACTTTGTTATTCACAGCTACTATCACTGACCAAGTCAGAGCGCTCCAGGATGCTCCAGTACAGAAGGGTAAGCAACCGTTGTTTTGTTATGAGGTTGAGAACGTTGATAACGTGGCTATTCCATCGACTTTGAATACGGAATATGTGCTTGTACCTGAACATGTTAAAGAAGCATATTTGTATCAATTGTTGACATGTGAATCTTATGCAAATTCTACAGCAATAATATTCGTGAACAGAACCACAGCCGCAGAAGTCTTAAGAAGAACTTTGAAAGCATTGGATGTAAGGGTAGCTTCTTTGCATTCGCAGATGCCGCAACAGGAAAGAACTAATTCCATGCATAGATTCAGAGCCAATGCTGCCAGAGTTCTAATTGCTACAGATGTGGCTTCCAGGGGTCTTGATATTCCAACAGTTGAACTTGTAATAAACTATGATATACCATCTGACCCTGATACCTTTATTCACAGATCGGGTCGTACTGCTCGTGCTGGTAGAAAGGGTGATGCTATTTCATTTATTACACAGAGGGATGTTTCGCGTATAGAGGCGATTGAAGCTAGGATAAATATGAAAATGACAGAGTGTGATAAAGTTCACGATACAGCAGTGATCAGGAAAGCATTAACTAAAGTGTCAAAGGCAAAGAGGGAAGCACTGATGGCAATGGAAAAAGAAAACTTTGGCGAAAGAAGGAAACTTCAAAAGAGGAAGACGCAAAAGGATGGTAAGCGTGTCTAACTACGTATTAATGATATATAACTAAGGACCATATAATTAGCTTTGATAGAAATACTGCATTTGTTCTGACCTTATATTTTACTGATCAAGAAAATGATATATATGGTTATGAATATTATTTCTTGAAGTTTTAAGTCAAGACTCTTGATGCGACGGATGCGAAAAATGAATTTTGCGAAAAAGTTTTGATTGAAGGTGAAGCTCATCGCATTCTAGATATGCGGTGTACTGGTTGCGGAGGGACAATTATATAACAATACTATGAATAGACACATATTGAACATATATTTTTGAAAAATAAGTAATTGAGGAATAACATTGCAATGAGTAGAGCGCAGGAGATCAAGGAGAAACTGGCGTTGCAAGCCGCCATTCAGAAAAGCTTTCAACAGGACTCTACAAAAGTGCTGAGTTGGCTTACCCCTGAGGGTAATAAAGAGTCGGGGAGTGGTCTTGGTGAAACGGAACTTAATGAGAGCAAGAAAGACTTCTTCCAATTACCTGTTGTCCAAGTCGGTTCTGGGCTTTCTTTTCAAATGGAGAGCAACAATGCAACTACTGATAGCACAGACATACACACTATCGGAGAGTTTATCAAGAGTGATAAGAAAGTCTCTTCTTTGGCAAAGAAGAAGAAGAAGAGAGAAGAGGCAGTTCATGAAGCTAGAGATAGCATACACAGAATATCGAAGGATGATACAAAGGCTATGATTGCATTGAAAAACAAGATGAGGAAGACAAACAGAGAAAATATAAGAAAGAAAATTAGCACGGACTCCAGACAAAATGATAGCGATTCTGATGATGAACCAAAAGTAGAAATAACCAAGAAAAAAACCATTGGTTTGTTATTCACTGGTAAGAAGAAGAAATGAATGTTTCTGAGCTTGTGGAGTATGGCCTCCCGACACAGTACAGGCACGGGTATACAATTGGGTGTCTTAGGGCTATAAGGAAAACATCTTATGCGCCAGGAAATAGTGTTAATTGACTGGCAATGACGGTCAATTATATTGGACTCACACTTGACACTTGATGAAAGGTTATATGTGAGATGAGATGGGATGCTCATCGCTGACGTAATTGGGCCCTTGTGATTTTAGAAAATTTCGACCAGAGAATATCCTTTGCTCTCCGCTTTCTCTGCAATGATCTCTGTGCACTTTTACTGGAAAATTTTTCAAAAATTGAAAAATTGTGAAAAAAATATGAAATTTTGATGGAAAATCTTTTGCGATGAGCTTCCCAGTATAGGCTTTTGCTATGCCAAAAATATTGATAGGTATTGTGTTTCCTTACTTAAGAATTACGAGTCTTGGTGGCAAGTTTATATATAAATAATTCTAGTTTTTGAGCGGTAGTTGTCTTTGGGTAAGAGAGTCATAGACGTTTTTCTGAAATAAATCATACTAGCAGTATCTTTCGTTTGTACTAATAAGACTGGAAGGTATATTTGCAGAAAAGGTTCCTAATATCTGGATATAGTGGATTTTCAAGAGCATATTAACATCTATCGGCGTAATACTATTTATCAAGAGCAATATGAATTATACTCCTATGGATGGACAGATGCAACAGCATCAACACAACCAGCAAGTTGCCACTGTGCTGTGTTGTAACTGTGGTACTCCTATTGATGGTTCCAGTGGTTTGGTAATGTGTTATGATTGTATTAAATTGACAGTGGACATTACACAAGGGATTCCAAGAGAGGCTAATATTTCGTTTTGCAGAAACTGTGAAAGATTTTTACAACCTCCGGGACAATGGATCAGAGCTGAGTTGGAATCCAGAGAGCTATTGGCTATTTGTCTGCGTCGTTTGAAAGGTCTGAATAAAGTTAGATTGGTAGATGCTTCTTTTATCTGGACAGAACCCCATTCTAGACGTATTAGAATCAAGTTGACAGTGCAAGGTGAAGCCATGGCCAACACCATCATTCAACAGACTTTCGAAGTTGAGTACGTTGTTATTGCTATGCAATGTGCTGACTGTGCCAGATCTTACACCACCAATACATGGAGAGCCACTGTTCAAATTAGACAAAAAGTGCCTCACAAGAGAACTTTCTTGTACTTAGAACAATTGATCCTGAAACACAATGCCCATGTTGATACCATCAACATTCAAGAAGCCAAAGATGGTTTAGATTTCTTCTATGGTCAAAAAAACCATGCCGTTAAGATGCTTGATTTCTTAAATTCCGTCGTTCCAATCAAGTTCAAGAAATCTGAGGAGCTAATTTCGCAAGATACTCACACTGGTGCCTCGACTTACAAATTTTCATACTCTGTTGAAATTGTGCCGATCTGTAAGGATGACCTGGTTGTTCTACCAAAAAAGCTAGCAAAGTCCATGGGTGATATCTCCCAATTTGTTCTTTGTACCAAGGTTTCTAACACTCTACAATTCATGGACCCTATGACTTTACAAACTGCTGACTTGTCCCCACAAGTTTACTGGAGAACTCCATTTAACGCTTTAGCAGATGTTTCCCAACTAGTTGAGTTTATAGTCCTAGATGTCGAACCAACCGGAATGAGCAAGGGTAACCGTGTCTTGGCTGATATTACTGTGGCCAGATCATCTGATTTAGGTATGAACGATCAAGTATATTATGTTAGAACACACCTGGGTGCCATTTGTCATGCAGGTGACAGTGTTATGGGTTACTTTGTTGGAAACTCGAATTACAACTCTGATCTATTTGACGGTCTAAATATCGATCACGTTCCTGATGTTGTCTTGGTTAAGAAGCTATACCAAAGAAAGACCAAGAAGAGCAGAAACTGGAAGCTTAAGAGAATGGCCAAGGAGCACAAGGATATTGATGCTTCTCAAGACTACAATAACAGATCTCAAAGACAAGAAATGGAGCGTGCCGAAAGAGACTATGAGTTATTCTTGCAAGAATTGGAAGAAGATTCTGAGTTGAGACAAACTATTAACTTGTATAAGAACCAGAACGCTGCTGTACCACAAGAAGCTCACGAGGAAGAGGAAGATGAGGATGCCCCACAAATCGATATTGATGAATTATTAGACGAGTTGGATGAAATGACATTAGATGAGCCAGAGGAGCAAGGAGAGGTTGCTATGTGAATGTGCCTCACAGAATCAATATCACATAATATAATTTTTAGATCTGAAGGACTGCATTACGGCTCAAATTTCGCACAATAGAAAGAAATTCAGAGAGAGTAAAACAACATATTCGTTAACATCTGTGTATATTATTTAAGAGAGCATCATTAATAAAAACTATAATACATTTTGCTAGTTAAAACTTCAAAAGACCTCTATTAAAAATTAAATATGATATTTTGATTTCAAGTGTTCCTACGATTTCGGCCTTCAGTTTTTTCACAAAATGTAGAGGGCATCGCACTCGAATGCAAAACCCTTAAAAATAAGCCCAAGTGAGTAACTTCTAGTAATAGTTAAGTATGGTGTAAAACCCATGAAATGCAAAATTGTACTGAAAATACTGAATAACTACGAGTTAGAATGACACAGAAGTTACTCTATGTTTCTCCAGTGGAGTCCTTTGTTGATACATCCTTTTTTCAGGAGCTTTCACGACTAAAACTTGATATACATGGCTTGAGCACAAGTCAAATTACTATACACTCATATTTGGATCTTAAAAATATACCATCAGTAAGTTCTGCATGTCATCTATTCCTTGATCAGCAGAGTTTTAATAGTGAAGATATTTGTGCATCTTCGGAGCGTGTGAGATTGGAAGGAAAGCTCTATAATTGCAATTCACTTGAAGAATTTAAAAGTTTGGACAAGCAGCAATATTTAGCTGAACAAGGTCAGAAGATTTACACAAAGGCACTTGAAGATATAAATTCTGCTATCGGATTTTCCATAATTAGTTTTGCGGACCTGAAGAAATATGTCTTTTATTACTGGGTTTGTACACCTTTATTTCAGCATGAAAACCAGCAAATAAGTATATTGGATGGTCCTGAAGATATTGACGCAAGCTTTAATGATAAGGCAAAGGTATGGTTTACAAATCATTATAGTAACTGGGTGGCTATCGTGTTAGAAAATGGCGATATTAATGAGTATACCAAGGGTTTGAATACTTCATCTATTAGAGGGTTATTAATAAGAGATACAAGTAACAAACAAGACATGCCATCTGCATTTTTAAGGAATTTTATTACGATATTTAGTTTAGATTACCCTGAGGCTAAGGAACTCGATGTCTTTCTTATGAGAAGCAGCACTATCAAATCCATTAAATTAAGAATACGACTTTCAGAAACGGAACATACGAAGCTGAAATTTAGCGGCTGGGAAAGAAATAGTTTATCAAAGTTAATGCCTAGAGCTGTTGATCTGAGTGCATTGATAGATCCACTTAAAGTAGCTGAACAATCTGTTGATCTGAACCTGAAGTTGATGAAATGGAGAATAGCACCAGAACTTGACCTTGATTGCATTAGAAACAACAAAGTTTTAATCCTTGGATCAGGTACACTTGGTTGCTATACAGCACGATCTTTGATGGCATGGGGTTGCAGGAATATTACTTTAGTAGATAATGGTAGAGTATCGTATTCTAATCCTGTTCGGCAGCCACTTTTTGAATTTAGCGATGTTGGGAAAGAAAAAGCAGTAGCTGCAGCCGCTTCACTAAAAAGAGTCTTTCCACTTATTAATGCTAAAGGTGTTCAACTAGATATTCCTATGATTGGTCATCCAGTGAAAGACGAAAATAATGAGAGGAAACATTTTGACGCCCTAGTAGATTTGATAAAGTCACATGATACAATGTTTCTCTTGCTGGATTCAAGGGAAACGAGGTGGCTGCCAACGCTGTTAGGCAAATTCTATGATAAAATTGTTATGAATGCAGCTTTAGGTTTTGATAGTTACCTGATTATGAAACATGGGAATATTGACGATAATTTTGGCTGTTATTTCTGTAATGATGTCGTGGTCCCTACGGATAGTTTAACAGGTAGAACATTGGACCAAATGTGTACTGTTACGAGGCCAGGTGTTGCAATGTTAGCCGCCTCTCAGGCTGTAGAATTATTTGTTTCTAACTTGCAATCCCGTGGACAAGAGAATGTCTTGGGGGAGTGTCCTCACCAGATAAGAGGTTTTGTAAACAATTTTACCACACTCAAGTTGCAATCCCCAGCATACGATAATTGTTCAGCATGCTCTAGACATATTTTAAATGAATATAATAAACGAGGTTGGGATTTTGTGAAACAGGCATTAAATGATAATAATTATATAGAGGAGCTCAGTGGCTTGAGGAGAATCAAAGAAGAAGTTGAAAATATGGAGTTAGAAGGAGGAGAAATAAAAATTATTGACAGTGAGGATGATGGATTTGAAATCATATAACTTCGATATATAATGCATAATATGGATAACTTGGGAATATGATTTCCTGTATTTATTGCACAATGTGGGAAAGTTTTCCACATTGGACTTATTAAAATTCAATACGGTGATGTTTTTCATATACATATATATATGTAAGTTAGATTATTTACGACATATCCACGTCATGCTGTTCAGGGTTTTCTTGTGCTTCAGTTTCCTTGAACTCTTTGATTATTTCAGCAGTCTTAGAATCTGAATATATTTGGAAACCGTCATCTTTAGTTATACTGCTTAATTGTGCGTTATTTTCATCCAGTTTTTCTTCCATAACTTGCTTTAGAATCTTTAGAACCAACTGTTCTGCTTCTTTCAAGGTCAAGGATGAGTGCCATTCATTTTGTAACTCAGATTGTGCACCTTCAGAACCAGACCCTATGGCCTTAGCGTTATAACGGTAGAAAGTTCCGGATGGCTCGGCGTGGAACAACTGGTATCCGTCGTCTTTGTCATAGCCTGCAATCAGTAAAGCCACACCAAATGGTCTGGACATTAGTCTTTCTTCACCGGAAGCACCTTCACCAAACCTTAGAGCCAAGTCACATACCGACTGTGTCAAGGATTCTATCTTAATATCTTCGTCGTAGTATAGGTTGTGTGTTACTGCGCTTACTCTCGCATGCTCTAGCATAGATCTGGCGTCTGCAGTCAAACCACTCATGGCACAACCGACATGTCTGTCTATCTCAACAATCTTCTCGATGGAGTCCGATTCAAGCAATGGTGAAGTGGCACGCTTCTCAACACCCAGCACCACACCTTCGCTCGTAACAACACCAATGGCAGTGGAACCTAGCTTAATGGCCTCCAGCGAGTACTCCACTTGGAATAGTCTACCTTCTGGAGAAAACGTACTCACACCACGGTCGTATTCACTTCTAGTCAAAAACATGTTCTATTATATTATATTTTGTCAACCAAATACCAAGGGGGGGGGGTACTTTTTGCCTATAACAAGTGCTCAAAAAGAATGAAATGCTATCTGCTATCCTATTCTCTTCAATTGACACTTCACCTGCAATCTTGACAACTAACTAGACCTTAAAAACTCATTTCCCAGCTCTCTATATGATTCAACTATTATAGCTCTGGCTCCCGTTTGCTCAGAAGTGGTCGCCACCAGCGAAGAATAGCGACGTGTATAGGTATATCGTCAAGTGAACGCTATAGAGTTCATGAAGATGAACCAGCTATTTAACTGTTCATATCCTAGTGCAGACTGCCTTTCTTGTAAGTTAAATGTGTGTGTATGTGTGTGTGTCGATAACTTTGAATGTCTTCTATATACCAAGTATGTGTCACTACAGTTGATGTTTAGGCTGCTTGCGGTGGCTTTCTGACAGTCCGTCATCCGTCACCAAAACGTAAAATCCTGTGACACCAAAATAATATCTGAGACCGCTGAGAAAACAGTTAACACACAGATAGTTTGGCTTCTACATCAATACTAGTAGTTACATGCTTGTCAATGTTAAGAAGTGCTAATATGTGGTTCATCATTTACGCGACTTTCTATCTCTGTGACTACCCACTACCCATTGTTTAGTAGGCAAAATCACAAAAATCGAATTCTAGCGTTTTGTAAACAAAAGGAAAAATCGATGAGCATAAATAAATTGTTTGATCCAACAAGCAATTGCATACCACATAAGGAACCAGAAATAAAATAGCACTGATATAGAAGGAATGGAGGTGCGTGCAGTAGAAGATACGGCTGAGCTTGTGCCCAAGCCTAGCGCGTACGGCGACGCGGAGGAGTTCAATGAGCCGATTATGAGACGTATGGTGAACTATGAGCCGTTTTGCAACAAGGCACCGAAGTTCAGGGCTTACCCGTTGAGCCAATTGGGTACACCCGAGGGGAGGAGAGTGCAAGAGGCGCTGGTTGTGAAGGATTTATTGGATACGATGATGGGGCTGGAAGGGAAGTACATACGGTATAACAACAGCTATGATCCGCACGTCGATATGATGCCGGCGTTCAGGATCTCGAAGAACATGGATAAGTCATTGAAGCAGTGCTGTATTAAGATACTCAAACTGAGTAAGTCGTATATTTTTATTAACAACTGTATACAGGAATGGTCGCGGCCCTCTTACGGTTGCATATTGCACAGGCTAACCTATGAGATAAGGAAGTTTTTGAAAGACGGGTATCTCAGGTTCATAGTGGAAAGGTTGGAGAAGGAGTACAGCTCTAATGTGTCTTTCTCTATTAGAGACATGGAGCATATGATTAATGACTACGAATTGAGCAAGAAGATGGAGATTTTGTACAACCTGTGTCTCCGATTGAATGAGGAGATGAACAGGAGGTTAAACATGAATCTGGACCAAGAAGATTTCAACAATTTCAAGAGAGAGCTGGAGGATGTAGGCCAAGCCATTTTGCTGCCGACGGATTCGAGCCTGTCGTTGACACCCAAGGGTGGTAATATTATTAAAGTTGTGCAGGAGATGATCGCGGAGACGCTAGGTGACCGCAACGGAGTCCAGTTCCTCAAAGATATATTGAACAAGATTGGTGAGGGTTATTTAAAGATGTTCGATGACTGGTTAATCAATGGAGATATCAACGATCCTCACGAGGAGTTCATGATCCGAGACATGATGAAAGACGTGAATGTCACTGATACGAATGCTATGATGACTACTGATAGACTATGGGAAACGCGGTACTTGATCAGAAAAGATGGGCTGTTGGAGAGTTTCCATGAGGAGCTATTGTCGAAGATCCTCGTCACTGGGAAGCTGTTGAACATCGTCAAAGTGACCATGGAACTAACCAGCATACCTGTTGATGGCAAATATGCGCTGAGGAGGGCCGGTGAGTTTGATTTTGTGCATCTGTTAGAAGGCACGAACCTGGAGCTGTACGTATCGCGCTGGTACTCGCGAGCCAACGAGCTGTGTATCAGGTTGTTCTTTGAAGGGTACAACTTTGGCAGATTTCTGCGCGATATATTCTGCAACTATCTCTATGTGAACAATGGGAACAAGTTCAACAAGTTTCTGTTGCGCAACCATTTTGATCTGGGGAAAGAGTACAGCGAGTCACGCTCTGTGCTGAGGCGACTAGAGCAGTCCTGGGACGTCGAAGTCGACGACCGCAGCCTTGTGCAACGGTTAGTGTCCCTCCGGTACAGCACTGTAAGTTTCCGTGAGTCGCTGTTACAAGTGCAACGGGACGAGATAGCCAGAGAAGACGTCACAATGCGTGACGAGAGTAGCGATGACAACGATGCGCTGTTAAGGGCCAGCAATTTTGAGAATGTGAAGCGGATACTGTTTGAGGATAGACACCATACGGATGAGTACGATGACCACGGACAGCAAGGACACGAGCAAGGGCGGGAGCAAAGGCGGGAGCCAGCGCTGAGCAACATCCACTACCTGGAGTTCGACCTGGTGGTGCCGTACCCGCTGAACATCCTTATCAACCACTCGTGCATGATCCAGCTGCGGATACTCCAGCGGTACATGAACATCCTGGCACACACGCAGCTGTCCGTGGACAAGCGGTTCCTGGATATCACGAAGGACACTGTGTGGCGGTACCGGCACTTCCAGGAACCGATCCGCACCAAGATTGTCAAGCGGTCTACTGTGCTGCTGAACAAGATGGGCGACACCCTCCGCGCGGTCCAGACGTACTACACGCACACCGTATCGCGGGAGTTGCACAGCGCCACGAACATCATCAGCAGCGAAAGCCGCAGCGGCACCATCAGCGGCAGTAGCAGCGGTAGCGACGGGATGGAAGTCACGCGTATCCAGGACGTACTGCAAGACACGCTCACAAACATCATCTCGAACACATGTCTCACGTCGCGCACGATCACTATAATTCTCGATCTTGTTCAGCTCGTTGAGAGCTATATGAAATTTCTCAGAGGGCTGCGCAGGCGTCTGGTGCAGCTGGATGCGCAGCTGTGCCACAGGGCGCAAGTGGAGTACGACGAGGACCGTGCGCTAGAGTCTGTGCCGCGGCTGGTGCGGTACACCGAGGACGTCTTTGTGACGACGCGGTCGCTGGTCTCTGCGCTGACAGAGTCCATGACAGAGTCCATCGGGGGCAGCGGTGGGGTGGGCCCACACGAGCACGTACTGGTGACACACCTGCACGGTATATTCTAAGTATTGTACCCTTTTTAAGTAGATTTTGATTGTTTTTGAACTTTTCTTTTCTTTTTTGTCTTCTATAAGTTTCGAAACAAAGCAGAGTGTACACCCATACATCCCGACATCCACTACCTTAATAGTACTGTTCAATTTTCACTACACAGGTTACGCCAGTCGCACAAGTTGCACTGTACAATCCTGCGGGCCCTCTGACAGTGGCATTCCAGTTAGATCGGAAGGGAGAGGAACAATGGGGGGGGGGGAGGACAATGGGATTCCACTAGCAACTGCGAAAACTGCAAGAGCTAGTGGAATCCCCGCGACCGGTAACTGGAACGCAGAGGGGCCCAATATATGGTGTTAAAGTGTGGCGAGAGTCTCTCTGCCATAACATGCACCCGTCCACCACACACATAATTCCATCTAACCCAGTTCCCTTTTAGCCCTTCCAGCGATTCCCACATAAAGCACGCGCAACACAAAGGGAAGGTTGCGACCCAACGTGTGATGTCAGTGTGGAAGCGATGGCCTTATGATGGCCTTTAGGCCCACAAGAAAGAAAAAAAATTGAAATTCGAGGAAATTTTTTTGCTATATAAGGAGAGCAATTGGGAAATTGAATCACTTGTTTTGATCGTCTGGTTTTTCCTTGTTAGGAGTTGAAGAAAAAGGGTAAGGTAGAAATATTATATATTTATACTCTCAACAACAAAACACATATTATAAATCATAATGGCTGTCTCTAAGGTTTACGCTAGATCCGTCTACGACTCCCGTGGTAACCCAACTGTCGAAGTTGAATTGACCACCGAAAAGGGTGTCTTCAGATCCATTGTCCCATCTGGTGCTTCTACTGGTATCCACGAAGCTTTGGAAATGAGAGATGGTGACAAGTCCAAGTGGTTGGGTAAGGGTGTCGAAAACGCTGTCAAGAACGTTAACGACGTCATTGCTCCAGCTTTCGTCAAGGCTAACGTTGACATCAAGGACCAAAAGGCCGTCGATGACTTGTTGTTGTCTCTAGATGGTACTGCTAACAAGTCCAAGCTAGGTGCTAACGCTATCTTGGGTGTCTCCATGGCCGCTGCCAGAGCCGCTGCTGCTGAAAAGAACGTCCCATTGTACCAACACTTGGCTGACTTGTCTGACTCCAAGACCTCTCCATTCGTCTTGCCAGTTCCATTCTTGAACGTCTTGAACGGTGGTTCCCACGCTGGTGGTGCTTTGGCTTTGCAAGAATTCATGATCGCCCCAACCGGTGCTAAGTCTTTCCGTGAAGCTATGAGAATTGGTTCCGAAGTCTACCACAACTTGAAGTCTTTGACCAAGAAGAGATACGGTTCCTCCGCCGGTAACGTCGGTGACGAAGGTGGTGTCGCTCCAGACATTCAAACCGCTGAAGAAGCTTTGGACTTGATCGTTGACGCTATCAAGGCCGCTGGTCACGAAGGTAAGGTCAAGATCGGTTTGGACTGTGCCTCCTCCGAATTCTTCAAGGACGGTAAGTACGACTTGGACTTCAAGAACCCTAACTCTGACGCTTCCAAGTGGTTGTCCGGTCCACAATTGGCTGACTTGTACCACTCCTTGGTCAAGAAGTACCCAATTGTCTCCATCGAAGATCCATTCGCTGAAGATGACTGGGAAGCTTGGTCCCACTTCTTCAAGACCGCTGGTGTTCAAATTGTTGCTGATGACTTGACTGTCACCAACCCAAAGAGAATTGCCACCGCTATTGAAAAGAAGGCCGCTGACGCTTTGTTGTTGAAGGTTAACCAAATCGGTTCTCTATCCGAATCCATCAAGGCTGCTCAAGACTCTTTCGCTGCCGGCTGGGGTGTCATGGTTTCCCACAGATCTGGTGAAACTGAAGACACTTTCATTGCTGACTTGGTCGTCGGTTTGAGAACTGGTCAAATCAAGACCGGTGCTCCAGCTAGATCCGAAAGATTGGCTAAGTTGAACCAATTGTTGAGAATTGAAGAAGAATTGGGTGACAAGGCTGTCTACGCTGGTGACAACTTCCACCACGGTTTCAAGTTGTAAGTGGACTGACAAAAAGATATCACTTAAAGTCTTTTTCTAAATGAAAATAACGATTATATTTTTCACTTTTAATGCCTTTTTAAGAACTTTTTATACATATACATACAACTTACTTTGATACAGATAAACTATTTTTTATCACGTTTTTATTCTCGTTGCCTTGTCAAGCCGTATATTGCTTTCTCTGTAGATGAAAGCATCTCGCAATCATATCCTTGAGCCTGCAGGATACATAGATAACAACATGTTGAATCATTGAACAACTATGGGGTGCAATTACACTCATCCTGCCGTCTGCATATAGCAAAGCTACAATCAATTGTATAAGTATATATTGCCAATGAATCACCACGAAGCATCTTTTTTTAACAAAGTTCGTAGAGAGTACCTGAAAAAAGAACAAAGCAACACCGAAAGTTTCAACGAGTCGCACGAAGCATCGGATAGCATAACACTATCTATACTGCATAAGCTACACGCAGACACCCTAAAACATTTGTGTGCATCGCAGCAAATTCAACTTCTGCCCGATCGAGTCACAAACACTTGTAAACTCGCTCAAAAGCCCATCACATATATTCTCACCCTACTATGAAGATGGATCACTCAGGCATGAATCGCATGGGAATGGACCACTCCGGCATGGACCACTCTGGAATGAACCACCCTGGAATGAACCACGGGGGCGACGACGATATGTGCGCCATGAGCATGGTATTCACATGGAACTACAAGAACACCTGCGTCGTCTTCAATTGGTGGAAGATCAAGACATTGCACGGCCTGCTGCTCAGCTGCATAGCCATCGCCTTGATCACAGGCTTTTACGAGTACTTGAAGTTCTACCTGTACAGAAAGAACCGCGACTCAGAGGCCGTTGTGACATCCACCAGCGCAACAAACGGGAGCCTCAACTCCCCTAGCCCGCTAACGAAACGCTACGCCGTGTCCAGAAGTCTCTGGTACGGAGTACAAGTTGGCTACTCATTTCTGCTCATGCTGGTGTTCATGACCTACAACGGCTGGCTGATGCTCGCCGTTGTAGTAGGTGCCATCTGGGGCCACTACCACTGGGGTATCAGATGCACACCTGAGGCAGGAACACTAGCATGCCACTGAACACTACTGCTTCTGCCCTCAGAACCTAAGCAAATAGCCTATGTACATACATTAATCACAATTCATAAGGAAAATGCAAATTACGTCATTTGTGGTGTTGTGTATCGGTGAAAAAAAAAAGTGTCAGAACAGCCCAACGCAGCCATTGTCAAGTAGTTAAATAGAGATGCACCATATAAGTAAATTGTAGTAATCTTCAACACAATGCATAATGTCGAGAGACTTGTAATGTAATGGGTTTAGTGTGGCTCTTTCAAGGCATCCAGAGCTTGGGCTTATCACTTGGGTTATCGAGACCACACATATGCAGCCATCCGTAGTAAAATATATACATGTATATAAATTACACACAACCCTTACCAAATGATTCATTTCCTTGTAATGTTGAAATATTGAAGTTGATATTCTCGTAAACATCCGTGTGTCTTAACGGGCTTTTCCTTCTAAGAGAACGAATTGTAATTATTTGTATCCTTTTGGTAGAATTCCGAGAATTGTAACAATGACCAAGAATCAGAAGACTGTGTGTATAATTGGCGGTGGACCTGGTGGGTTGGCTGCTGCAAGAGTGTTATCTAAGGACTTCCCTGAAGCTAAGATTACGTTGATCGAGAAAGAAGAGGATGTTGGTGGTGTATGGTATTATCCCGAGAATAATAAAGAAGGTAGAGTCATGTATGATTACCTTGAGACCAATTTATCTAAGGACCTGATGAAATTCAGTGGCTTTCCCTTCAAGGATGATGTCCCTTTTTACCCTAGAAAGAATCAAGTGTTCGATTACTTAAAGGAATATTATCAAACGTACATCAAAAACCACTCTAATGTTGACATTGAGCTTGAGACCGAGGTGATTAACGTTGATAAGAAGTCTGATAAGTGGATTGTTACCACGAAACACGCCAATTCAGAGACAGTAAGGGAATTAGATTTTGTCATTGTCTCAAATGGTCACTTTAAAGAACCAAAATACCCTAAGGATGTCTTTGGGTTAGATTCATGGCTATCCAATGGTAAAGCCTTCCACTCAAAGGATTTCTACAATTGTGAATTTGCCAAGGACAAAAAAATTATTGTTGTAGGTAATGGAAGTTCAGGTTCAGATATTGCCAACCAGATTAGTACAGTGGCTGCCAAAGTATATGTGAGTGTCACAAATGTGGAAGATTTCAAGGATAAGAATAATGACCCCGAGTTTATAGTAGAATACATTCCAAAGATCAAGAGTGTTGGTGGTGACGATTCCTCTGTTAAATTGGAGGATGGCAGAGTCATAGAGAACATCGACTATATCATATATGCAACCGGATACTTGTATTCCCTTCCATTTTTTGCTAGCCACATCTCTGAGAAGCTTCTGAAGCAAGATCAATCTGGTATCACTAACTTGTGGGAACAATGTGTATACAAGGAGGACCCTACACTAGGATTCCTGCTGCTTTCGATAATGGTTGTCCCTTTCCCACTCGCCGAATCACAATCCACCATCCTTTCTCAGGTATTCCAAGGCAACATTGATATCGCTACTGTAACTCCTAGTAGAGACGAAGTTGAACACGAGAAAAACTACGGCCATAATTTCCCAAAGTTGTCGGATATTGATTTCTACCGTGAACTACAAGATATACTGGACAAGCATGGTTCAAACACATTCAAACCAGTAGTATGGGATGAAGTCTACGAAAAGAAAAGAAAGGAATCCGCAGAGGTCAAGCAACAAAGAAATGAATACTTGGCAAAGCACGCTCAAAAGCTACACAAGGAGAACCGTCCATACTATTTACCTGATAATTTCTAGCTTTGTCAAATAGACCTAACCGTAAAAATACACTACAAATTAGAAGTCCCTCGATAAATTGCTAATCTAATAGTAATTGTATAGAGAAAAATATAGAGATCAAAAAAATTTGCTTTTCTTTCTATTCAATATTTACAAAGATTTGTATTTTTATTTAGAATCACACATGAACTCACCAAGTACACGCTCAAGTATATTGAATACACCCACAAATACTTGTTTCTAAAATGAGCTTCGCTAGTGTTGAATTCTCTGTCCCCCCACAGATGTACGCCTGATCCCAAGATTTCCAATTCTTAGGTGAGGTAAGAAATTGCCAGATGAGAGTCAGTATTACACAGAGACCAATTGTGCTGTTCATGTTACTTATGATAACACACCATGGCAGAACGCATTTTCACATGCCAGCAGATGCAAAAACTACAGAAAAAAAATCTGCCATTGCCGGATTCCTATTTTACATTCTACTGAAGACAATCAGGGTCGCACACTAGCTATATCCACCGAGATGTATCTCTCTAACTGGGACTATAAACAGTTCGATGCGGGCAAAAAAGCAATATAAGTTTAAGAAAAAAAAAAGAAAGAAGTAAAACACTGGTTCCCCATTGTTGCAAATAAATCTTTTCAAGAAACTGAAAATCAGTAAGCCTCGAAGCAGAGGTGGGCAGAGCAGTTAGAACCAGATGCAACCATATGTTTTTATGTGCAATCTTGCGAATTTGCACGCAGGTTGTAAGATGGAAGCTGTCCAATGGAGTGTGAGCAATTGATTGATATTTCAGAAGTATGGGTCATGTACACAAATCTCACATATCATGATGCAGGGGCAGGCAAGATCCACTCTTCGTAGTCAAAGTTGAGCAACATGCTAGCGTTGCTCAATTCTTGATGGAAACAGTTCTGTAGAAACCCTTCCAGAGCTTGAAAGGAAGATGCTCAAAAGCCATAATAGAAGTGGCAGTGTAGCACTAGTACACAGTTTTTGCATTCTACTTTATTGGTACATACTAGAAACAAGGAGGCGTTCCATGTTTTCTTTGGGTAATGCAGATTTTCTTCGATATCTGGACACTGTATTGTATCTATATTTGATGTGTGATATACGTTTACTTCTGAGCAGAGAATACCATGAGTATCCGATGTATAGACATTGTCAGTAAGTATTGATAGCGCAACTTTTTGCGGGAGCTTGAGTTTTTATTTGGAAATCGACACATTTTGCAGGTCCCTATTACTGCGCATGCACTACAATAGATGATTTTTCTAATTGCTAGCCCCAGTATTTCTACAATAGTACGTTGCTTCGAAAGGACAGTTGTTTGTATATATGGAAATATAACTACGTCCCAGTTGTACGCCCAATAAGTGAACTGCTTAATAGAGAAATTGACCAACAACTATTCTTTTTTGTGCTAGAGTATGGAGAAGGGGAAACAAGGGGACTGTGGAAAATCTCTACCGACATAATAGTTACACTATATTTCTATGATGGAAGCAATAGTGAGTATTATTGTAGACACATTCAGTTTTTCTTTTTTTCTGTTCGATAACTTCAATTGAGAAGTAAGTCCTTTCCTTGACAAGAATATTCGCACAGAAGAAGAGGATAACAAAACAACACACTCTCGAATAAAAGAAAAAATATAGCGGTATAACTCCTGACAGTAAAGCTAGATCTCACAGAAGAGGGAGAGAAAAAAACTCGATATCCCATTTCGTATTTATTATATATGTGTAATGTATACTAGCTTGATCTTGTACCACTCTAAATGGCTTGAAATTCTTTATTCTACCGATCATCGCGCATCGCAAAAAAAAAAAATTAAGAAGCTGATAAGCTAGTATTGAGGGAAATACGGTGAAATTCCCATCTAATCATCTAAGCCAGCAGCAGATAGAAGCGAAAACTTCAACAAGATATAGCGATAAGTCTTTAGACGGTATACTAGTATTTGCCCTGAGTTTTTATAGCCACTAACTATCGAAACCGATCTAACAAGGAACAAGCTAGTGATCAGATAAAACTGGGGAGTTTAATCAACAAGAGTTTTTAGCCCTTTCTTAGTCCCAATCCAACTGAATCATATGTCATCATAGCCTACTTGACTAGGAGTTATAACAGATATATTAATAGAGTAGGATTTACAAGGATTTCACTATGAGTGGCCCAGATAAGGGTTCTGACAGTGGTCAAACTGCAAATGATCCAAAACAGAAGAAGGCCAGAAATGGTCAAATGGAAACTTATTCATGTGCTAGATGTAGGAAGTTGAAGAAAAAATGCCCGAGACAACTCCCTGAATGCTCTAATTGCCTGAAAGCAAGAGAGCCTTGTAATTACCCTGGAAGAGCTCCCAGAAGAACTAAGAAAGAGTTAAGAGACGCCATTATGAAAGGCGAAGTACTACCTTCTATGAGGAGAAAGCACAGGAAGATCGAAAAAGAATTGAAGACTGCTGATCTCCGACATTTAGAAAGCGTAGACGACAGGCCAGTTAACCAAGTTATGGGCGGAAGTATGCCTCCCCTAGGCGCATATCGAGGTGGAGAACAACAATACAATAATGGACCACCCATAAGTGGGATAGACGGAAACGACTCTATAAATAGAGGTAAGGCTCAATCCGTGGGATCTTATCAGATATTGCCCCCTCAAAGGAAATCGAAACTGGTACTAGACCAAAATCCAAAGTTTGTACATTCCCAAAGTTCAGCATTGAAAACTAATGAATACCCGGTACCGATAATGTCACCGCATATCGCAAATCAGGTCTATCCTGAAGGTGTATCGTCTTTAATTAGTGCTTTAAATACAATGAATGATAATGTAAGTGCTAACACGCCCATTGCTTTAAGTTATCTTCAGCTACAGAAATTACACCAAGAACAGCAACAAATTCAACAACAACAAATTCAGCAGCAACAACAGCATCAACATTTGGTTCAGCAACATTTACAGCATGTACGAGCAGATGCCACTAGCATTTTACCTCCAGTTACATCTCAGACGGTATATACCCCAATTCCTGGGCCGCGAACATCACAGATACCTTTTGGATTCACACACGGTTATACTGCCAGTGCTCCTCCCCCATTAATGCAACCATATTCCATGCCTACTAGCCCATTTGAATCCAGGGAGAAACAACAACAGTTTGATAATATCCAATATCATCCCGTCTATAAAATTCCGCCAATTGCGGCAAGACAATCACCAATTGATGAGATTATTGGAATAGAGAATGGAAGTATTTCTATTGATGCCGGTAGTATTACTCGTGAGGTCGTAAATTCAAGGATGAAAGGCCCTCATTCCACTAGTTGGGTTAACGAAGATGGATCACCAAAGCCTATCAAAAAAAGTCTGTTAGAGAAATTCGTTTCTGCATATTTTGAGCATAACCACAGATTATTTCCTATGGTCGATAAAGTTACATTTCTTAAAAAATTGGCAACCATTAATAGTTTTGAATCTATTGAAATGCTAGCGGTAAACAACCCCGAATTACCTAAGACTTTCATATTTGAAATATACATGATAATGGCGATTGGCTGTACAACATTACAAAGAGCTGGTAAATTAACTACTGACGAGGGTCACCTATATGAACATCTTGCTTATCTAGCAATGAGGAACTTTAGGGATATTCTACACCAGCAAGATATAACAACATTACGTTGCTTGATACTTCTAGGTATATATTCATTTTTTGAACCTAAGGGGGTATCTTCATGGACTATAAGCGGAATAGCTATGAGATTGGCCATAGAGCTAGGATTGAATCGCCCATTAACTGCAAAAGAAATGGGTGATATGTCTGCCGTAGAAGTTGAGTCTCGGTATAGAGTATTTTGGAGTGCCTATTGCTTTGAGAGAGTGGTCGCAACCTCCTTAGGGAGAGTGTCAGCGATAGATGATGAAGATATTGGAATACCACTTCCTAGAGCGCTTTACGATAGTGAAAAAGAGGATATTGAAGTAACAAATTTGATTATCTCTTTACGTAAAATGGGTGGAAAGATATATAAGGAAGTGCATTCTCTAAGCGCTGGACGGAAAGATATAACAATGGAACAGAAGCAACTCATCATACAGAAATTGAGAAAAGAGCTTGATGATATTTACGAGGAAGAGTGCGAGAAGAGAAGACTAAAGGGAAAATCAAGATCATCGAAACGGTTTGAGAAGAGTAAGGAAAGTGACTCTGATAGAGGTGTTACCGAGGAAGACGTAAAATCAGGTAATGAAAACTTAATAGGATTGCTGGCATCAGATGACGTTTCAATGACTGAACATGGCCAATCTATTGACAATACACTGGAATCTACCCCATTACCGACTACAATCCCAACTACTATAGTTAATGATAGTGTAGATCAGCATTCTACCTTAGAGAATATTCCAACCTCGGCAACATCGAAGGATCAAATTGAAACTATAATAACTAAACCAACAGCAAATATTATGAACGACCAAACTGATAGTGATCCGTTACCCAAAGTTGATAACAAACCAATATCAAATAATGAAGAGGGGCCAAAATCATTGAAAGAGGGCAACAGTGAACAGAATCCAAGTGAAAATATTAGTCCAGAAGATGTAACTTTAACCAAAACTGACAATTCTGAGAATAAGGAATCATCATTAAGATCCAATAGCAACATATCTTTTCACATTAGTAATGTGTGGTTAGAAATGAGATACACTCAACTACAGATTTTACTTTACAGACCATCTGCATTGATCCCTAAGCCACCAATTGAGTCACTAACAGTACTCGGAGAGTTTTGTTTGGCTGCTTGGAGACACACCTATACCTTGTACAAAGAAAAATTACTACCTCTCAATTGGATTACCCTATTCAGAACTCTGACTATATGTAACACTATACTTTATTGCCTTTGCCAATGGAGCATTGATCTTGTTGCCAGCACAATTGAAATTCAGCAATGTGTTGAAATTTTGCAACATTTCGGTGAGAAGTGGGTTTTTGCTATGAAATGTGCTGATGTTTTCCAAAACATCAGTAACACAATAGTAGAAATTAGCTTATCGCAGGGACAAGATCCTAATATCGACAAATTAACAAGGGAGCTTTTTGGCGCTAGCAATGCCTATTTGGAGATTCTTAATGAGAATAACGTTGATGTGTCTTGGGAGGATCGCTTTAGATAAGATAAGAAGTAAGCCCCAGGATGATATCAATGAAGATGCAGACGGATTATGAAACTGAAACTTGTCAATAATTGTGCTATTCAGTTCCCTTTATTCCGATTAGTGCTAATAGTTTATCTTAATCTATTTATGTTTCTGCCGTATAGCACAAGATCTTGAATTTAATGGTGACATACTATGAAAACGATTTAATTGATAGAATTTTGTTCTTAATCTCAAATCTTTATCAATGACATATATCTGCCCCTTAATTTGGCTCCTTGTATCTATTATCTAATGACAAACGCAAATATTTATGCTTTTTCAATATTTATTTTTTGTTTTTCACCATAATAGTAACATGATCAGTGAATTATGATGTGATTTTACTCGATTTTCCTCAAATATTTTTTTTTTTTCACTTGTAGATCTAGTTCTTACATTACAAATAACAGGCAATTCTATCTCTCCTTTTTAAGGGTTTAAATGCATTAAATGCATTAAGTCCTTTATCTCCTTTTTATTTTTTTTTTTTAAATCATTACAAATATCCTCGGACCCTCTCATCCGATGAGGATGATTAAAATAAAGATACCTGCTCTCTGTTGTTTTGATGGCCACATTTCAACCGATGGCCAAGAATTAAGCTTCAGACTACAATATGCAAGACGAAGACCGATTTCTTTTTTTTTATTTATGTCGATTGCCAATGTTTGCCTGTATTTTGACCACGCATAACGCCGTCATCATAGGCCAGGTTACAAGTGAAGGAAATCACAACTTTCCCGAAACGAACATGCCCTGTAGTCATGCATAACAATATTACCTCCTGTTTTCATTTGATATTTGTTAATGTTTATTACATGAGAGATACTTGATATTGTAATATAAAGAGGAATCATAGCCCCGATTTGCCATTCTGACTGTTCACACTACTCCATTTTACTGGAAGTATAGAAACACTATACGGGCAACCACGGAATCCAATCATTTCCCGTCGGTCCGAGACAGTTGCCGACACGTTCCCGGTGGAGAGAGCACACCAATTTTACAGAATATTACGTAGGAGACTGAATGATCATCCCGTCGGATCTTAGTAAGATCCCGCTGCCCATTAGTAACGCCCCCCACTGTATCACTCTCTAATTCGTTAGGCGAAGTATCTGCTACCCTTCCCACGTTTCTCATTATAAATGCGTACAGGCTTCCAATAATTACCTGGTATTAGCAAAGATTGTGAAAAAAAGAAACTTCTTACCGCATTGTCCCAGTTTTACACAGAAACTATCGAACAAACCTACACCTGAAGAAATCGTTCCACACTCTCTGGCATTTCGATCCTGTAATATGCGGTAGTGTCCTCCCGGTCCCCCCCCCCACGTCTTTTTACTAGAGCTTGATAAATTTGTACTTACATAATTCTTCAGGAAACCGAAATTTCTTTTTTTGTGAGTCCCCTGCGCCACTTTCAGTATAAGAACAGCATAGAATATTCGATGGGAAAAAGTAAAAAATTGCTTTTTATTCTATCGGTGCGCCTCTTCTCTGAGAGCCAAAGAAATTCGGAAAATCGGATCCCGTACAATTGATCCGGTGCCGGTGCAGGATACTCTAAGCCGAGAGTGTAACAGAAACAGAAGAAGAATTCTCATTTTGCCAAAAAAAATTTAATTTTCCATTTCGAAGTCCTCGAGGAAAGTCCTTTCAACAAGCAAATTTTGATTTCCGTTTGCACTCAGCAATGCTTTTTTCTAATGGTAATATGCGATTACTATTGGGAATTAGCATCTTCGGAAAGTGGGCAGATAGAGAGATAAGCTATAGTATTTCCTGCGTGAATTGTTGGCTAAAACTCTATTAGGTAAGGTACTTCTTGCTAATATCTTCTTAAAGGTAAAAACATCACAATGGGTGAAAAAAAAAAAAAAATTAAAAATAAAAAAATAAAAAACTATGAGCCATCGACAATATATAAAGCAAGTAGTAATTCGGATATGATTCTCAGTCACTCTGTTTTAATTTGTATTACAATTAAAAAAAGAGAACATCAAACAAACAATTTGTAATTAGAATAACCAGTTCTTTTATAAATTATTTGAATAATTTGAATAAACTACAACTACAAGTATACAACACAAAATGCCATTCGTCAAGGATTTCAAGCCAATTGCTTTGAAGGACACTAACATGTTCAAGCCAATCAAGATTGGTAACACTGAGGTTGCTCACCGTGTCGTTATGCCACCTTTGACCAGAATGAGAGCTCACCACCCAGGTAATGTTCCAAACAAGGAATGGGCTGTTGAGTACTACAAGCAAAGATCTCAAAGACCTGGTACTATGATCATCACTGAAGGTGCTTTCCCATGTGCCCAAGCTGGTGGTTACGACAACGCTCCAGGTATCTGGTCTGAAGAACAAGTTGCTGAATGGACTAAGATTTTCAAGGCTATTCACGACAACAAGTCTTTCGTCTGGGTCCAACTTTGGGTTTTGGGTAGACAAGCTTTCCCAGACACTTTGGCTAGAGATGGTCTAAGATATGACTCTGCCTCTGACGAAGTCTACATGGACAAAGAATCTGAAGAAAAGGCCAAGAAGTCTAACAACCCACAACACGGTATCACCAAGGATGAAATCAAGCAATACATCAAGGACTACGTCCAAGCTGCCAAGAACTCCATTGCTGCTGGTGCCGATGGTGTTGAAATTCACAGTGCCAACGGTTACTTGTTGAACCAATTCTTGGACCCAATCTCCAACAAGAGAACCGATGAATACGGTGGGTCCATCGAAAACAGAGCTAGATTCACTTTGGAAGTCGTCGACGCTATTGTCGATGCCATCGGCCCAGAGAAGACTGGTATCAGATTCTCCCCATACGGTACTTTCGGTACCATGTCTGGTGGTGCTGAACCATTGATCGTTGCTCAATACGCCTACGTCTTGGGTGAATTGGAAAAGAGAGCTAAGGCCGGTAAGAAGCTTGCTTTCGTCCACTTGGTTGAACCAAGAGTCACTAACCCATTCTTCACTGAAGGTCAAGGTGAATACAAGGACGGTACCAACGACTTCGCTTACTCTATCTGGACTGGTCCAATCATCAGAGCCGGTAACTACGCTTTGCACCCAGAGATCGCCAAGGAACATGTCAACAACGATGACAGAACTTTGATCGGTTACGGTAGATTCTTCATTGCTAACCCAGATATCGTTGACCGTATCGAGAAGGGTTTGCCATTGAACAAGTACGACAGAGACACTTTCTACGCTATGACCACTGAAGGTTACTTGGATTACCCAACTTACGATGAAGCTATTAAGATGGGCTGGGACAAGCAATAAATTAATTGAATAGAAATTATAGATTTAACCCACAAGTCACATTAGGTTGGGATTTCAAACGCGTCTATTCATACTTTTGTTTATGAAATTTATGAGAAACAACACTTGAAGACTAAATAGACGGATACTAGAGATGAATATTTCCTTGTAAAAATTATCCAACCATGTATCTCTTCGTTTTAGTTCATCAGTATATAAGATTTATTTAAGAGAATAAATATAGAATCATCTTATTAGTCATTTTTATTATTTTCCTCTTATTCTTCAGCCTGTATCATAATAGTCAAGTAGGTTGATTAATGCAACTTTCTGAAATTAGCCCAGAAGACAGAATAATTACAAAATTCATTGTCTCCCATTACTTCAAAACAGCAATGGAAAAACGCCACCAAATCTAGTTAAACTTGCCGTTATCTCACTCATTTACAAAGCCAGAAGACTTTTCGCTCTAGTATATTACAAATGTCTACATAATAGTATGATATTTCTTATTTACAATTCTTTAGACTATATTAGCTGTACGAAGGAACAAATACAGTTGTAGTTCAAAATATACAGCAGAGCATAATTGCTAGTAAGAATTCTTGTAACGCATCTGTGATGTGAATTTGGTTAATATATACAAATGAAATTCTATCTACAATGCACTGGTTTTTCTTACGTTATACAATCAGATACGGTCACAATACTTCGACGTCTGTCTTTTTGTTAGCTTACTGATGCTTTTATTTACCAAAAAAATGCCAGGGAAACATGGTAAAATAAGATTATATATTATATAATAAGTGGGATATACGATGTTTCCTTCATTAGTCTATGACAATATTTTTTTTCAGCGGCTCAATGTTCTATTTTTGTTGAATACTTTATGTAGCATAATTTTTAGAATAGTCCACTTTTCTGTTTTATTGTGCTTTGGGCACAGAAAAAAAAATTAAAGTTCATATAATAATCAGTTTAGTATCAATGTGCATTTTGAATATTGTACGGCTTTGGCAAGCAATAAATCAAGAACCAAGCTAGCGATTACAATTGGACGAACAGGAGAGCTACTTGTATTTTTGACGGTTACTATGTTTACTTCTCTTAGTCCTTTTAGCATTAGAGTTAAAACTTTGTACAATTTGGCACTCTTCTCTAATCCTGATTTCTTTAATTTCTTTATCTAGTTCGGATAATATCCATTCGAGGTCTGGTGTTTCAGCATTACCAAGTATATTCTTGATATTATAAGGCAAAAAAAGGTAAAACCCAAGAAGAGCAAACTCTAGTGAGTATAGATAGGCCATATCTTCTAAAACATGACGAATACTTTCCAGTTCCATAGAGTTGAGAGGCCCAACATGTGGTGCATCCTTTAAATACTGAAAAACTTCCATTTTTGACTCAACGAATTTTTGAACAATATAATCAAGGAAATTTTCTAGACTTGAGGTTGATATTCCTTCTGTAGTATATGAAATGGATTTCCATCTATCTGGAATAAGACCCAACAGTTGCTTAATCTTTAGGGAATCTTCCAATGACGGGTACCAACTTGCAATTTCCTTCACATCCTCAGTCCAAAGCACTAAGTCATCTGAACTTGCTATACCTGCAATGTTCAATGTGGAAACACAGTAAGTAAAATCATATGCAAGATTTTTTCTCATATTTTTCAAGTGAATATTACTTACAGAGTTCTCAATTGAAACAAATCTATCCCTGATGGACTTGTGGTTAAATTATTGGTGTTTGCCTCTCGAACATTCCCAGTTCTAGTAGGGAATACCATTTTCAATCAGCCAGATAAAATGATAGGACACAAATATCTATTCTATAAGTAATGAACCTTCTAATTAGTGTATTTGGAGGTGTGTAGGGCCGTATTAACAGAAGACAATTAGCGGCTAGATTTATTTTCAGATATAGCAAATAAAATGTATCAAAAAAAATCAAAAAAATCTGTGTCAGTAGCAAAGGATAAATCCTCTTGTTCAACACACAATATCAGACTTATTTTCCAGTTTAGAACTAGCTCTGAACCCCAAGTTGTGTATGTATTGTAATTATTACAGATCCACACTTTTTCATAAATGTTTGTGCTTGAGTGAGGGAGATTTATATATTCAACTTACAATTCATTAAAAAATGCAACATAAAAAATTTGCACCATTTTTATGACCTTATCATATGCGATTGGAAACTTTCGAATAACTACTCTTCTTAGATTTGTTCTATTACCATCCATGAGTATCGCAAATGCACCTATAGAGCCCAAAATTGAAATAAAGTTATCTCTCGTAGGGTTAATTGGGCTTGCCTGTGTTAAAAAATAATTCTCATATCTCCAGTCTTTTTTATCTTAAAGTACAAATGAGCAAATTACAGAACATCTCAAGAAATATATGGTTCATCCTTAAATTTTCTTATCATATCACAAATTACCAGGCACTTCAGTACTAAACAAGTCTATTTACCAGGTTACATTTATAGATTCAGTTCAAAATCAAAATACAATACAAATGGTAGTAACAAAGCCATGAGCATTATGAACAATTTCATGTCTATTTACACAACTGCATTACTGTGTTTAATCAATGACAGAGACCACAAGATTGAAATGAAATAGTTATGTACAGTAAGTTAGTTATCAACACTCATGACTCTATAATTTGAAACGCGTAAGTAAAGTTTTTGGTTGATAGGAAGAGCTGCCATTAACAATCCGATAAGCACAATTCACCCCACAGCCACTATGGTTCAAGCCAAGAAATTGAGCACTAGCGAGGTACGAAGATATAGAACGCTTATCGTGGGATAAGGCAGAACTGGACGGATAAGAAACTGTCCAGCCTTACCCATTTATACCGCCTAAAAATGTAATCATCTCACAATATCTTATGTAAGGTGCACAAGTTGAATATGGAAACGGTTACATAACAAAATAGAGTCAACAACTAATTGATAAGTCGACCTAGAATATACAAACAGGTTATCATCTTGGTACCATACGAGCATGTTTTGCTCGGGAATTGATATTACACTTAGAGAAATATATATAGTATACCGATATCCTCAATTGATGTACTTTCTAATAGTGGTCATCTATCCTTTTTCATTAGCTTCTTATGAAAGATTAGAACAAGTAATAACAACAACTAGTCTACAGCTTACATTTTAACTGGATCCCAAGCACTGGGCCTAAATTATTACGTCTTTATCAATTTTACATTGAGACTGATTAAATATAGGTGAGAAAGGACTTATATGATTACCCTTCTGCAGTCATCGCGGCAAAGGTATTATAAGACAAGGTCAAGCGGTCAAGTTCTACATCCAACGAATTTAATTACTCTCGGTAGCCAAGTTGGTTTAAGGCGCAAGACTGTAATTTCAACACTGAAATCTTGAGATCGGGCGTTCGAATCGCCCCCGGGAGATATTTTTTCAGCTTCTTTTATTTTTTTTAATTTTTAAGGCTATTTCCATCTGGAAATTATATATTTTGACTAGAACAATGGGAGCTGGCACCCATTTATGAGAGTATTTGAATGATAATCAAGGGAAGATTAATTCTATGCATAAATAGCTGAGCACCATTCCAATAGAGGTAACCCAATTTATACTTTTTCTTTACAAATAAATTTTATCCTGGTTGAAACAAGAATTGCGGAATTGAAGAAATTTTATTGAGTGTACATGTCTTCAGACTCATTACTTTATTATTGGAAAGATTTGTAATTGTTACCTTTTCTTAAATAAGATATCCAGTTTTGGTTTAAGTTATAAACTCTGTGAATAGAAAAATAGCGAATATGTCAGAGTTGGATTTCCCTGATATTGATAGTAACATCTTCGATGAGGACAGTGGTAAAGAGGACGGAGAGGTGAATAAACAGGCCAGCTTCAAGAGATTTGAGATCCACGAAGGGATTATGTTCTGTATTGAACTTTCGGAACATATGTTCGAGGTACAAGATGAGCTTGATGGAAAGAGTCAGATCGAAGTCATATTGACATCCTTAAGTGAGCTTATGGAGTTACTTATTGTCACAAGGCCAAGCACTGCCATTGGGTGCTATTTTTATAATTGTGAAAGAGAAGATAGCAAAGAATCCATTTTTGAGTTTATTCCACTAGTCGATCTCAATGTGCAATGGATGAAGAAGGTCAATGATCTTTTAGAAGACGTTTCCAATCAACGTATAACATTCAAAGAATATCTCAACTACAATATTGATCAGAATAAGAAACTAAACATTCCAATTCTACTAGAGAAACTGTTCTCACTGATATTGGAAACATTTAATAGGAACATAGAAGGACAGAAAGAGTTTAATTCCAAAAAGGTTTTCTTATTTACAGATAACGATTTACCTAATGTAGAATCCCAGCAACGCAGCATAGATGTACTAAAGGGAATTCTGAAAGATATTGATGATAACATGATAAACTTTACAAACTTTTTCATTAGCAAGAAGGACAAACCTTTTAATCCAGCATTTTATTCCAAGGTTCTAAGAAATGACAGAGATTACAATTCACTGGGCTCACAAGCATATTTCGGACCAAGCACAAAACCGATAGGTGTGAATGATATCAAAGAAAGAATTTTTCAAAGGAAAGAGATAAGAAGGGTTGTCTTTCAATGTCCATTAGTGTTAGACGAAGGAACAAACTTTGTTATATCTATAAAAGGTTATTCAATTTTCAACCATGAAAAAGGATCAGTCAGATACAAACTAGTATATGAAAACCAGGAAATAAGGAAAGAAGCATTTTCAAAAAGAAAATTTATAAATCCAAAAACCGGCGAAGACGTTTCCAAGCAAACTGTAAAAATTATTCCATATGGAGAAAAAGAAATCGAAATGGAGGACAAAAACATTGCAAACGCTCTAAATGTTTATGGTAATACCTCAGCCAGTTTAACCGTAATCGGCTTTCTCAATGAGGACAATAGTCTTGTATTTTACAATAATATTGATAAAACTTTGTTTATTACACCAGATGAAAACGTTATTGAAGGTTCTTTTACTGCATTTGCGTCTCTATTTAGAACACTAAAGAAACTGAAAAAAGTTGGGGTAGTATGGGGCAGTACAAAAAGTAATTCTAGTCCTTCCTTATATCTTTTATGGCCATCTAAAGATGATGATAATAATCAAGGGTTTTATCTAACAAAAGTTCCTTTTATTGATGAGATTAGGAAATACCCAACATTATCAAATATCAATATAAATGAAGAATGGGAGGAATACAAGAACGTCAAAGAACTAACACAAGGTATAATAAGTCACTTCAACCTTAAATCAGGATATCATGCAGAAGAGTTTAGAAATCCTGCGTTAAATAGGCACTATAAACTCTTGCATGACTACTTATTACAAGTAGAAATTCCACAGGACGATAACGACATCAGAGATAGATATTTGAGAGAAGACGATACCTTACTTAAAATAACCAAAATAAGAGAACGTATCATGAAAGACACTACGATAGATGATGTCGAAAAGAGAAGGCTTTCGAAATATTTGGAAGTTTGGAACATATACTATCGCAAATTCAAAGAGGATACTAACCAGACCTCTTCAAGTCTGCTGAAGTCTGAAAAAAAGCCTAAACTAAACTTATGACCCACTTTCTTTTTTTGATAATTCATTTATGTTGTTGAAAAGTTAAAGACCCTTTCTATCGAAATTTATAAATGCATTATTTACTATATATATTCTTAATCATCTAAGTTCGACCTCGGACAGAAGACACAAATGATCACTTGGATATTCACCTACATGTGGCTGGCCATGAGTGCTCATTTCAGATCCCGGAGGCATTCTTAGAAGACCTCTAATTTTGATATTATTAGAATTTTCAAAGTCTTCCAACGTATCTATCTCTGTCCTATCATCAAATTCCCAGTTTCTAATCATGAACATATAATCCAGTAAGCCACGCCATGTATGTGCCCAGTTTGAAATTTCAGGTTCGCCTCTTTCATTATCTAAACCCGAGTTTTCTGGATGAACCTTATGATACGCAACAGAATACAATGATACAGCTCTCATATCCAAGGAATTATGCAGTTCTTCCATTTGAGAAACTAGCTTTGTTTGTTCATCATTTGCGACAAATTTCTCTGGTACAGGTGTTTGTGGTTGATCCTTACCAAATTTTTCGATATTTCCACCTTCTTCATCTTCAGCGTCTTCTCCACTCTCTCTTTTTTTAGAGAACTTGAAAGAAGTGCTACACTCAATAACAGTTTTAGCTCTTGAATCATACTTTATTGGCTTGCAAGTCATCGACAAGTAAGGTGAATCAAATGGTTGTGAGTTGAAATCACCGCAGAAAAACGGATACCAATGGGACATGTCACCATCATTATTATTCTGAAGGACGTTTACCCTGTGCATGAATTCTTTCATCTTATTCAGTACCACATAACACTGTCTGGTTCTTTCATAGGTACCAAACGGATGCCAAAATAAATGTGTTGTACCAACCAAGATACCTGACTTATCATCTAGCAATTTCTTGCCCATCATCTTCACTTTTTGTGTAAATTTCAATGCCAAAATCAAAGCTGCATTGTTAGTTGTAGTACGGGGTTCAATATCACCAGACTTCTCAGAGTCAAAGTCTATCAACATTCGGTCAGACATCTCAAATTTTTCGTGCTTCCATATTATGCAAACACCATGATTCTTACTAGGTTTCCTGTGGAATTGAGATGAATAACCCAATTTTTGAAATTCCTCTTTCCAAAATGACTGATATTGTATGTAATCAATTTCTTGCAAGCAGAGAACATCGGGGTCATAATGCTTGAATTCATTGAGTAACACCCTAGATCTACGATACCATTTCAACGCTTCACCACTATCTGGGAACAATTTCCGACGTATTAAGGCTTGGGCAAGACAGTTATAGCTCATAATTTTGATTTTCAAGCCTTCAACTGGTTCTTCTTCATGCAACTTCAGCATATTTCTTCTTATGAACTGCAACTCAGGTGGACAGTCCGGGTCGACACCACGCTCCAACATTTCCTGACGTTTAGCTTCACGCATGGCTTCTCTTTCTGCCCTAATCCTTGCTATCTCCTCAGGAGAAGGCTTACCCTTACCCTTCTTCTTACCTTTTGATTTCTTGACCTCCTTTACTGCATTTACAGCGGCTGGGTTCTCAGCAACATGTACTACCTCTTCTTGAGTCATAGTGTCTGGTCTTTTTTTCTCAGTACTATGTATAAAAGTAAACTTTCAAATATATAGCACAAAATTCAACACTATATTCTTCCTAAATATGTATCTTTGCGACTCAAATCGATGGATGGAGTACTTATAAGTTATATAATGTGGTTACTACATGGCTGCATTTTGAACTATTGTCGCATTTGCCATTATTTTTTTTCCAGATCCAAAATTGCTCAGAAACATTAGTAGGAGCATGCGATGAGCTAGTTGCAAAAAATACGTCATATTACTTTCTGACATTAAGATGTTTGCTTGTGAAAGAATTTGATGAATTAGTAGGTATTAAACATTTCGAAACTGCGATGTTGAGCACATAAACAGGTACTTCAATGACTAGAGCTTGTCAATTGCTTCCAATGTAGATTATTTTGGAACAGTGCAATATGTTGATCATCGACAACTTACATGCAAGTATATAACTCCGGTTCTCGAGGAAAGTGAACAGTTTTTTTCCTCAGCACTACCAATCTAGCCACTAAAATTGCATCTGAATAATTTGTTGCAATGTTATGACCTTGAAACACATTGCAATGGCGTCTTTGTCCACATACAATTAGAAATCAAGTATTATATGCTTAATTCTATATATACCTTTATACGATATAATGGACCTCGCAGAAATTGAAGGGCAATCCCAGAGCAACTTGAAAGCTCAAATAGTAATAGCAATAAGATGGTATCAAAACTATTAGTCACTGCATTGGCGATCTACTATTAAGGTATAGCTACATTCGAATTTAGCTAACGAAGCATCAGGGATATCTCTGTCGGTCAATATGGCATATTACAAAGTTACACTAGTCAGGTCACTAATAGGTACACCAGAGGCTACTAGAAATATAGTCAAAGCCATAGGCTTGGGCAAGCGTGGCTCAGTAGTTTACAGAAAAGTAAGTCCCTCTATGGCAGGTTCGCTTGCTAAGATCAAAGAACTGATATCTGTTGATGTGACCAAGAGTAGATTGACCAAGCAGCAGCAAAGGGAATTAAGAAAGACGAACCCTGGCTTTACAGTCGAGAAACAAGAAGACGGTCTACTTGAATAATGCCAGTAATATTCCAAAATCATATTGGCAAATGCATTTTAACTTTAATCGATAACTAACTGTAAATAGATAATGTAGTCTCAAATCCGATTCATTACGAAATGAGACGAAATTAACATGTTTTATACTCATATCATATTCAATATCATAAACAATCATTAAAATTGGGTTTTCATTCTTCACAATGTTATCTGTATTTATATCGATATCTTTGCAAAACTGTATATATTTACATGTGAGTTGAAGATCAAATAGCATCCTATAATTTGGTTTGGGGATAAGAATAAATAAATCATTTTTGGAAATTTATACGCATAAATCCTAAATCATTTCACAAGTCAACTCCAATTTGTTCTGTCCTTTCTACGTGCTTCTAGCCACTGCTTCTTACATTCACGGTAAGCATCAAAGTATTCTTTGCATTGGTCCCTATCATAGTCGTTTAGCTCAAGGCACTTAAAACTCATCTTGGCAGACTCCTGACAAGGATCATAGTATTGACTGTGATCTTTCATTGCAAATCTGTACTTATTCAGTGTAGACTCTGGATTATCAGGATAATACCTATATTCTGTTGTATCAACGCCTTTTGGTGCATAATCAACCTTGTCTTTGTCGGTTTGCACATGTGGGTCATAGTTCCCATCCTTAATAATGTCTTCATCAGCAGCCATGTTGATTCCAATTCAATCCTAGCCGATAGATTAGGTGTAATAACCTGAATATTAACAAGGGATATATTTCTACTGGCATTACTATTGAAGCTTTTTAACATTTTTCAAAATGCTAGTCATCGAATTTTCAGGTAATGTTGCCCGACTAGCAGTAAAGTAGCGGTGTATAAAGTAGTGGTGTAACTAAATGGGCTGGCATTTTTTAAGTAATTATCTGATCTTCAGCTAATATAATGGTCATTGTCTTTACTTAATGATACTATGTTCTACAATTATATACAATACATAGTTAACACCAAGATGTTACTCTTTGTCATCAATCTTAAGTACAGTAACTTGTCGGTACAAGTCCCTTGTGTCCATTTAACTCACCGTACGTCCAACCACTTCCATCGTCACCTTTTAATACTGTTACAACATCCCCAACTGCCAAACTTAGTTCATCATCTCCTTGTGAAGTGTATTCGTATTGTGCAGTTATTGTTCTTACAGGAAGAGTGGTTCTTCTTGAAGGAGGAGCCGCTGGTGGAGGGCCTCTCGAGGAGTGAGAAGCTTCCTCACGTATTTCGATATAGCTAGATGGTACTAAACCAGATTTACCAGTAGTAGTGTTGGTAATTTTAGTCCACCCAGATCCATCATCTGCTGTGATAACAGTAAAGGAATCACCAACACTGACGGACACTTCATCTGTGTCCTGTTCGGCATACGCATATAAGACTCTGTTTTTATTAGATTGCTCTCTTGTAGGCGATGCTACGCTCTGCATACCATCAGTCCGAGATGACGTTGCAGACATTGTCGAAGCGGTAGTCCCACTACGGTTTCTATTGTTCCCAAGAATGTTAATTCTGGGAGAATGTGAGCTTACAGTAGAACTTTGGCCATGAGAAGATGGCCTTGCTTCAGGGTTTAGTAAGTTTTCTTTCAGTTTACTGAATATACCTTTCTTTTTCTTGGATGTATCGATATGTGTAGTAGTTAGATCGTACTCTTCAGGAACATTATTTTGTATACTTTCGATCTGGACTTCTGCTTGTAATTTCAATGTTTCATGTGAAGTGAATGGTGAAATTAGAGCTAAGTAGCTTTTTAGAATTTCAAAGAACTCGTTCCCTTTTATATTATCTTCATTGGAAGCCATTTCTTGTTTTTTCTTATTCAATGCTGATAATTGCGATAGCTCTCCTTGTGCCAGATCATTGTATTTTAGATATTCACTTTCGGACTGTGCTAGTTTAACTACCAAAGCATTCGCCTCTAATTGTGATGGTACACAGAATTTCTCGTCATCATGCCACACTGGGGAGGGTTTAAATTGGAAATCAGGAGGTTCGCGCCATTGCTTAACATTATGCTTTATAAACATTGCTGTATTCAAGGAAGGTTTATTTTGAACTACCACACTATCTGATGCATCCAATCTTTTGTTAACTCTTTCAGTAAATGATTTCTCCAAAGAACTAGCCCTCTTCCAAATATCATTCAAAAATAATACCTTAGACTCGTTTAAACCTTGCAGCAGATCAAGACATTCAGGAACATCTTGGAAATAATATTTATCCTTAGTTCTATTCGCCTGATTAACTTTTATCAAGTACTCATTCTTGGCATTATTCATTGCTGTCTCCTTCTCTTGTACTTTTCTCTTATTTTTCTCACTTGGGTTTTTGGTATGCTTGTTCCTTGTGGCCTCCATGCTACTACATGCATCATCATAGTTCTTCTTAGCTTTCTCCATCTCGTTAAAGATACCGTCCTTCTTTTCTACCATTTCAGTGTTGAACCCTTGAATCTTATTCAATGTAATGTCCAGTTTGGAGTTTAAACCAGACAATTGACCACCAATTTCACCGTCCAACTCGTGGGCCAGTTGCATATGATCCTTGGCGATATTTTCTGTCTGCGATAGAATCTCATTCCATGCCACTACACTTGCAGCCTCCAGGGACCCTGGTGTCGTCGCTGGCTTCTCACCAACAGATAAGGTAACACTGATGTTACTCTTGCGGTTCAAAAATTCCCCACAAAGCTTTGATAGCTTCTCACTGTACTCCCTCTCCAGCTTTGCTCTCTCACGATAGAACTGCTCGGTGTCCTTCAACCACTTGATATTCTGATGCACCCAATCATAGGTCTCTTTGAACCCATCTTTGATCTCGTTACCAATCGACAGACTCATCCTGTAACGGTTTTCTTCGTAGAACTTCCCAGATTCAAAGCAGCCACCTTATCAAACTCAACAGCGACCTTCCAATTGATCTTTTTACTGATCTTATACTCTTTTAATACCGTCCCGATTCCAAGTTAAAAGCAGTAAACTTTATTCAACTTTGCTCGAAGTCCCCTTTTCAGCTGAATTTTAAGTTTTTTCCAATTTAGCCAGTTTTAGTCAATTTTGATCAAAATTCACAAGAATAAGCAAGAAGTCCAATAAGAAATTGGCAAGAAATAGAAGGAATATCTTTTGATTGCAAGATTTAATACAACTATCTAACAGGGTGTCAAGTATATAACGGCAGATATCCCTTTTCAGACTGACCGTCAACCTGTGAAACAAATAACTAATTGAGAAATGGAGAGACGTGAGCCTACTGAACACCAAAGTGCCCAGCAGCAGGCGCAACTGTTTGAGAAGTCCCTACCAAAAGTGAACCAATTGGCTTTCAATATGCTGCTGAATGAGCTCGTTCCTTTATCGATGGCAGTTGAGAACGATATACATGATATGGCTGTGAAGGATAGCAATGCGGAGGATGTTACAGTTGAAGTGCTTGCTGGAGATGTTGATAAGAAGGTAGTTTTAAAGGATGATGATACAGAAGAGGAAAAAGAACAGGCTCCAAAGTATAAGATTGGTGAGCAAAGCCATAAACTCATACAGCAGATATATAACTTGGATGATGAGTATCGGAGCAATAGTGTAGCGGAGAGGATACAGAACGTCGGATTTCAAATAGGCTCGAAGCTATGCGAGTTGTTAGTATTTAGCAACAACCCCACTATATCATTCAGGGACATGGATCTTCTGGCAGTAATGAAATTTGTGTGTCGAGATGTATGGAAGCAAGTATACGGTAAGCAGATAGATAATTTAAAAACCAACCATAGAGGCACTTTTTACCTATTGGATTACGACTATAAACCTATACAGACATTTGCTCTCGATCTTGATCCAGAACAGCAGGAAAAAGAATTAAAATTAGTAGAGCCTTTCTTAGAGATCCCTGTTGGTATAATAAAAGGTGTTCTGTCTTCGTTGGGATTTCCAAAGGATGAAGTTATATGTGTGACATCTTTTGTGGATAGACCGGATGATCGTCCCAGAAGTTTATTTCCAAAAGGTGTCAGTTTTCATGTACAAGTTAATAGACGTTAAAATGTATATTTAATCGACAGCATTTCATGAATATATGTTGGCCATGTATACAATACATAATATGAATCTGAGAGTTTCAATAGAAAAAAGTTATACTTAACGTTAATGCGACATAATGAATATTAATTTACTGTATCAGCTATCAAATATAATCCGAATAATCCTATGAATATTAACTTATGTAAATATGCTTTATAATAGAAATAGATTCGAACTCAACCATTAGATGTCTTCATCATCAACAATGTCATAGCATTGCCATGGTCAGAGACAGCTTGTGAATTGCCTACCCTCTTGGCATTTGCTAGTTTCTCAAGGTTTAGTTTTATTACCTCAATTTCGATGTCTAGTGTGTTTTTAAACTCTTGCTGAGCATTCAGCCAATGTTCATGAATAGTTTTCTTCTCCTCTTCTCCAACTTTGGTATTCCATATCCGTCTACACTCTTTACACATTTCTTTAAAGCGCAATATGTAGTCTCTGTTGGGGTCAATATGTTGTATTGACCTTTTAGCTCTGCATGAGCTGAATTCATGGTAATTATTTGCTATACTCCCACTTTGGAATATAAGCTTCATATTAACTTCTGAGTTTTGTCGCCACAATCTATCAAATTTAGACTTGAATCTATTCCTGAACATTAGGTATTCACTAGCAGCAGGTTTTTCAATCTCCAAACATCTGGCAAGCTCATATGAGGTGAGCTCAGATGGTGATAGATTGTGCTGCTCAAAGAACATAGCATAATACAATCTCTTCTTCGTTGCAGACAAGTTGTCCCATTCAGACCTAATATACCTCTTGAAGCTGTTATTGAACCGCATCAAAGTTGTGTTCCCAAATTTCTTGACCTGCATGTTGTAATAGTAGTTGAAGACTGTACCAATATCCTTCTGTGCACTCTTCTTGAAGGCCTTCTTGCAACTCACTAAAATCGAGGATGGCCTTGCATAAAGGTGTAGCGTAAACCTCATAGTGGAGTCTTATTGTTGGTGCACCCGAAGCCAATATTACCAGAATTAAGTAGTAGATAGCGACCGGACCAGGTAGATGACCGGTGATCAGAACTCTATGTTGGTATTAAGTCAATTAAGCTAATTAATTTACCATAGAGTGGTGAGGATGTTCCGATGGACCTGGGTTATATATTAAAATAAAATAATGATTTCAAGTTCAATAAAAAACGTATGATCCTCGCTACGGAGTTGCATTAATTATAAGTGTCTATTAAGAAACTGCGATGAACAAACCATAGATGTTAGAAAGCTCATCACGGATTGAAAGTACATCCCCTACAAGAAGCTATTCTCGTTGTGGGTGCCTGTTTCGTGTTATTTACATTTTACTTCAATAAGACTCAATAATAAGGACCTTTCGCGTGTTACGAAGCCCACAAAAATATGTAAATATTTACAAGCTAGCGAGAGCATTCCACGCTTATGATTCTCTATGGTGCTAAAGGGATCTAGATATATCTTAGTCGAACACATGTGTAAATGAATACATCATTACTAAGGATAAATAATAATAATTTAAATTACGTTGCAGTCCATTAATTAATATTTAAACGTAGCATAGAATATGTAGTGAAGCGAAATAGCTTGCTTATGGAGCGAAACAGTTAATCACAATAATTCTGTCCCGTTTCATAAGGCTAAATTACGCAAATACTTCATTTCAAGTTTTCTCTTTCAGACATAGTGCATTCAATTTATTCAAAAAAATGAAAAAAAAAATAGTAGTGAAAGAGAATTCAATGTGTCATTTGAATGAGATAAGCTTCATGTATTGTTCTTGCGGCATAAGATGAAAAGCATTCGCGAATGTTAATTGACTGGTGGGTATATCTATATATCACCCATATTATAATTGTAGGTTGGCCTAACTCTTATAACTGATGTTTTTGAACTTGATAGGCTCTTGAGAGTTAACCGGAGACTGACTAATATTTGATAGCTGTGACCGTTGCTCATTCGATTGGGGAGCATTCACAGGTTCATTGCTGTTATCGAATGAAAACGAAAAACCAGAAACATTGGTCAATGGCATCATGAGATTATTCGATGAATTTTGCTTGCTGTTTGTCTCAGAGTTTTCGTCCTTGTTCAAGTTGTTTGAAGATTCCGCCCCATTTACGTAACCAGATGCTCCAGGATAGTCATCCAATGACCCGCCAGCTTGTGGTGGGAATTGCGAATAGCTGTAATTTGGATTTGGTGATTTATCTGAATGCGCAATTCCATTTTGAACGGATTGCATGTTTTCATTTGTCATCAAAGAATCAATAGTGCTTGGAATATTAGCCATCACGTTATCACCATTATTTGTCCGGCTTGATTTCCTTCTAGAGGTTCTTCTTTTTTCAACCGGCGATGATGATGCTCTTGATATGGCTTCAGGAGATAAACTAACCTTTGTGCTACCCTTTCCTCTACCTTTGATACCCTTGTTGGAGTTTTTATATATCGAGGCAAAATATTCCAGCAATTCTCTTTCCTCTTGAGGTATTGGTGTATCAGGGTCCATTGTTGCTAGCTTCTGGGTTAACACTTTTAAAGTATCAAGATGAAATTTGTTTTGGTGTGATTTCATGTTACCTAATTGAGAGAACGATTTGTTACAGTTATCCAGTTTGCAAATAAATGGTCTAATCTTACCATGTGTCATTTTATGGGCAGCCAAATTACCCTTTCTAGAAAACCGTTTCTTACAAATATCACACTCGTATGGCTTTTCACCAGTAATGTAATCTTTCATGTGTTTTTAAATTACCACCCTGGGTGAAGCGGCTTGCCACAGTATTCACACTGGTATGGCTTCTTACCCAAATGGGATCTAATGTGAACATCAAGATGGGTAACTTGTGCAAAACATCTATGGCAATATTGACATTCAAATTGCTTAGATACTGTTGCAGATTTGGGCTTTTCAACTCCACCAAATAGATCCACACTAGAAGGAATGATCTCAGAGTCATTGCTGATTACTAATTTTCCATCCTCGGTGGTTGGAACCTTCTCTGTGACACCCTTCTTTCTAGCCTGGATCATAAGAACAAGCTGGTCAACATTAGTAGTCCCCAATTTTTCCTTTTGGTTTGTCTCTGGGGGTAATTCATCTGGAATATTTTCGTTTACAGGTTCTTGATTAATTGCTTGTCCACTATTCCCCTTCGTTGTAGTATTCTTTTTTGTTGAAGATGCTTTATTAGTGGTCCGCTTCTTTCTTGGCTTACCTTTTGTCTTCTTTTTAGGATTCTCTTCCCAGTTATTGTAACCTTCTTCGCCTTCCATTAATGGTCTCTTCGAGCCTAAGTTGGGATCCTGTCCGATAGGTTCTCCATTCGGAGCAATACCTTGATTAATGCTGGTGCCAACATTCCTGTACATATTCTGCGGTATTTCACCAAAGGCTGATAGTCGGCCCATGTTAGCGCCGTTATTGATATTTTGCATGCTGTTGTCTACCGCAGTTTGGAACTGCATAGGTCCATATAGCAGCGATCTTACAGAAGAGTTTCTCCTTTTGTATTGGTAATCAAGATCTTCTGGATTGTACTTAATCGAATTTTGTCTTGAGCCCTGTGGTGGAAGTGGTTGACCTTCACCACTAATACTGTAAGGATTTCTGTAAGAGTGATTGTTCAAAAACATTTCGTATTCGTTAGAGCTTGCCTTCCTAAAGCCCGGTTCCTTAAAGTTCGCGTTTCTAGCACCAGGAGGGATATTTCCCTGTGGCATATTGTCCATAAAGTTGTCGTTGGTCTTGTCGTTACCTGTCATGATTTCATTCTGAGGAATTGGGGCACCGTTGTTACCAAACGGCACCATAGAAGGTGGTTTCATAGATTGTAATATAGAGTCCCTTCTTCCATATCCGCCCACTTGAAATTGAAACTGCTGATTTGGCATGTCAGGGTTATTGACGTGGACTGAATTCAATAGGTCCTGGTCAGAAGTCACATCGTTTGGGAAATATATTGAGTTTCTCTTAGAGCCTGGTGCATTGTAACCGGACAACCCTGGTGTTCCCGCGTTATTAGCTCCTGCTTGAGGGTAGCTCTGTGCATTCTCTGATGCAAACGACGGGATCTTAAACCTTGGCTGAGAACCGTTTCTCGCTACTTGTCCCTGCGCATTTGTTATTGGTGGTACTGGGGATTGCTCTGCACTGCCGTCTGGTTGCGTGTGATCCACACTTCGCCTGACGCCAGCGTTCACTGCACCTCCAGCATTCGGTACAGATCCCTGCTGGGGAGGCCATAGACTGTTCACTATAGAAAACCCACGCCCAATCTGGTTCAGATCAGGCTGCTGAGATAACCGTTGTGCATTGCCCGCAATACTACCTTTGTTCATAGACACTGGCCCTTGTCCCGGTCCTTGCGCGCTCTGGGCACCTTGAGCACTTTGAGCGCCCGGAGCACCTTGAGCACCTTGAGTTCCTTGAGCACCTTGAGCACCTTGAGTACTTTGACCACTTTGAGTACCCGGAGCACCCGGAGCACCCGATCCTTGCTCCATCATATTCAGAAACGGATTCAGCACGGAGTCCGTGGAGAACCGCGGCTGATTAAAGGTGAAATAGGACATGGAGTCGTTCCTGCCTTGACTTCTCCCAGCCTGCACACTCGCGTCCCTGATCTGATCCGGAGCCCCTTGCACCTTCGTCTCCGCCTGCTCCTCAGGCTTCACAGTCTCATCGCCCCCAACCTTGGGATCACTCTCTTCCACCATCGCGATCGGTTTGTTTTTCGTGTTTCCTCTCCTAGTTTTTTTATTTATGGCACTTGCAAATTCCTGCTCCTACCCTTGGCGTCTCTCGATCCTCCTGTTCAAGGATTTCCAGTCCAAAAGATCCTTATTACCCTCGTTGGCGTCTAAATTTCTTTTTAGAAAAGAAACAAAAGAAATTAAAGGAATCCTTCTTGCTCTTTATTTTTTTTCTTCACTTTTTTTTTTGTTTGGGGGGAGGCCAGATGCCCAACTCCCTGCGGGGGGGAAACGGAGATTGCTTCTGCGGAGTTTTCTCCGCCTCGTCTAATGTGATATGTAGCTTGCGACGTTATACAAACCTGTCCTATTGGGTATATAATATGATATGTAGCTTGTGCATTACCAGTCGTCGCCCCAGCCTTCGTCTTCTACGTCCGGGTCGTCCCAGAGCTCTACTTTCTTTGCCTGCTTCCTTGCGGTTGGCTTTGGCTGCGGTTTCGGTTTCGCGCTGAGTATGGACTTGCGCTGGACGGGGCGTCTCTTCTCTTCCCATGCGTCGTCTCCCGTACTTGTACTGGTCGGGACTGGGGTCGCTGGTGTTGCTGGTGTTGCTGGGGTCGCTGGTGCTGCTGGTGTGCTGCCGAGGCTGATGTTGGAGTTGTTGTTGCTGCGTGCCTTCATCAAGTTCACGGAGGACGTTGACCCCAGCTTCAGGTTGTCCAGGAACTGGGCCAGCATCTCGGCGTCCTGGTCACGCGTGGACTCGTACTCAGCAAAGTCTATGCGCGTGCCCGTGGAGTCTGCGCCCTCGCCCGAGCCGTCCAGCTCCTTCGCGGCCTCCTCGAGCCTCGCCATGTACAGCTTGAACAGCTCGCGCGCTTTGCGTCTCACTAGCTTGTCCTTGTCCATGAACGACGGCGCGATCACGGAAAGCACTTTTGTGGCTATGGTGCCTGCATCGAACAGAGTGATCGTCTCAGTGAGCCCGTGCAACGCAGCGAGCCTGGGCTTGATCTCGGGGTCCTTCAGCGACTTCGTGAACGCAGTGGCAAGGATGCTGGCCCTGTTGCCCATGGAACTGGACAGCTCGCTGGCTATCTTCGTGATGATGAACACGGTCCAGGTCCTGATCTCGATATCGGAGTCCACCTGGGTCTTCGCCAGGTACCGCAGCAGCTCGTTGTTCAACTGCCGCTCGTTCAAGCTGGGAACAATGTATGGAATCTTCTTCAACGTCTCCAGTCTCAGCTTCGGCTCGGTGTCGGATAGACCCTGGACAAATTGCGGGTATATCCTGTTGCATACTTCCGCAGGACCGAAAGGTTCCACAAGCGTAGGCAAGTACATCAGCAATAGGAACCTGACTTGTCTGTCCGGTAGCTTGAAACAAAGCCCAACTATGTTTCTAAAGGGCTCGTCATAGCTCTTGCTGTCAGTGGCTAGTTCAAGCAGAATCGCCAAAAAGGAAACTATTTTGTTGTGGCTTGTAGACGGTACCGCTCCGCCATTATTGTTCACTAGATTTTGTATCATGTCGATCAGTTCCGGAAGGATCAAATTCTCAATGAATCCCGGGGCTAAGTTCTTGAACATTGCCGGGTCTTCGAAATATAACGCTTCCAAGTTGTTTAGCACTATCATCTTGTCTTGTAAGTTCTTAATATGCCATTCTTTCAGCTCCGAGTATAATTCGATCATAGGATTGCCGTACCATGACTCTGTGGTTTGAATTTGGTCCGCAAAACGGGCTATACTGCTCTTACCATTGCTAATGGACGAAACTAGCTTGACCCAGTCCTTTGGCATCCCTGTATACTTCATCAGATCATTTTTCAGCAGAGAGCCCAGTAGAACTGCGTCTACTATCTTTGGATCCTCAGTAGCGGGCGGCTGTAGGCCGCAAATCGAGTAGTACAGTTTCATTTGGGAGCCGAAATGGAAGCTGTCCTCTATATTCGAGCATAGTTCTAGACCAAAAAACACCAACTGACCCTTGGAGTTGAAAAATAACGATTGCCTGTTCAGTGTTCCCAATACAAACGTCTTCATATATTGTAAAGTCTCAACTAATTGAGATACCCACAGATAGACAGAGTCCTTGTTGCTGGAGTAATCCTTCAATTTGTCCCAATTGAATGGTGTCACTCTTTCTGTAATAATAAAAGTGGATTGTGGATCGGAATCAGAAATCTCTAGCACTGAGCACAGGCCAGGGATCTTTAAGATCTTGGCCTTGTGTAATGCGTTTGCAATCAATTGCTCAGTGTCAGCGCGTCTCTGCGCTTTGAATAAAGTCACTGGTAATGAATCAGACTTCCTTGTACCATTGTACACTTGCCACAATGGTGTCTCTAGTAGCACAGTCTCCTCATCTATGGTGTAGGGGAACTGGAAATTTGAGATTGACTTGAAGAAACTGGTGAAATTCATCTTCTTATAGGTAGGTATTCTCTTCCACTTATCTGTCCTTTCTGTCAACACGATATAATCTCAACAGTACACTAAATGGTAACTTTCAGCCTTTATAAACTGTTCTACTGCGGTGTCCTGAGAACTGCTGACAGTTTTAAGCCAGATGAGCTTCAAAGGTTGTGGTTATTATTTGGGAAGTTGCCTTTGGCCATTGTTGACAGGCACTTTTGACGTGTTACGTTGATCTTTACTGTGCTGGCCTTAATGGTGAGCATATTGCCCTTATGTAGTGATTGTATATGTGCTATTTAAGTCGCATTAAGCTGAAATGCCACATTCTATAGTAGCCTATTGAGCTCGATCACCAGTTTGTTCAATGGCAGTCCCATGATGTTGTAGTAGTCGCCGTCTATGCGGTTCACCATGGCCCCGCATGACGTTTGGATCATAATACCACCTGCAGCGTTCAAGGCAGCGTCGTTCCTCGAATACTCTTCGATAAAGCTGCTTGGTATGTTAGAATCGAAGTACATGTCAGTTTGGTCATGGAATTCCGTCACTCTATATTCCGTCGGAGACTTGTAGACAATTACACTCACCGCTGTGACTACACGAACAGGCTCCTTAGTCTCATAACAGAACCAATGCAGATTCTTTATCAAATCGTTTCGGCTGGAAGGCTTCTCATATATTTTGTTGTTGGCATCTAGGACAATTGTATCCGCACAGATGACTACTTGCGGTTTGTCAAAGGACTTTTGGTGACTCTTCAAGTCATCGCAGATGCCATCGGCTTTACCTTTACAAGTATCTATAACATATTGGATAGGATTGTTTGTGTACTTGCTTTTATCGAGGTCTTCCTCGAAGGAAGGTTTCATAGTGTCAAGCTTATCGATGCCCAGGATATCATGTATAATCTCATACCTTCTTGGGGATGAACTGGCAAGTATAAAGTCGTAACTTTCGAGTAACTCGCTTAACATGCTATTTATTGATGTAATTTCGCAATCAATATGTGATCGATAATAAAGTTAGCAAGACTCTTCCCAAAACCTGTATATTAATTTGTTTTGTAATGGTTTATGCACTTTTGCCATTTTTTTAGGCTCATCGCCTTGATTTTTCACAATCTATGGAATACACAGAATTTGATGATTGCTTTATTTTAAAAATACATTATATGAGAAGTGAAAAAGAAACTATGTGATAATGTTTAGGCTTACGAATCCCAATTAAAAGAATATTCTCTTTTCATTAATACTAAAACTAAATGCAAATGTAAAAAATTAGTCTCTACCCAAAAGGGTCTACAAACGATTCATACTTTTCAGGTATGAAGTTGATCCTTTAAAAAATTATATTATTTCCACCTCTTCTAATACCAGTCTGTCTTTAATTCTATAAATTTTCTCGGTAACTTTATTCTCTAATTCATTTCTTTCTTCGGGTATTTTTTGTTTCTCAATGGAGGAATCGTCGCTATCTTCTGCAAGTTTGTCATCTTCTTCTTTCTTAATATTATCGAATTCATCAGCAATTATATCTTCATCTAATATATGATTCAAGCCCTTACTCGAACTCTCATCATCTTCTCCACCTCGAAGATTTTTTTTATTCACTGTCGCAGTTGATGGGAAAGCTAATTCAGTACCTACCAGCTTTTCCCACTTACCCACGTAAAGTTTGTTATTTATGAGAACTAGAGGTTCGTGTTCTTCTAGACCAGAATACTGAAGTGTAGCTTTTTTATCGAGAACGTTCTTACCTTTGTAGTTGCCGCTAGGTATATCAACACTGACATAGACGGATTCCTTACCGGCAGTTTCCGTTGTTATACGGCTTTTGACATCAGCATCTGACCCAGCCTCTACGTTTAGATGAAACCCCCAATTCATTTCTTCGCCTCGAGATAAGAACTCTGTGTGACCATTCAATGTACACATCCAATTTCTCTTCAGAGGCTCGGTTTCCTCCAAAACGTCAATATCTTCTTCTGGATTCGAGGTTTCTTTAGCATTGCTCGGTAGTTCAAACTTATCTAGAGAGCAACTTCCACATCTCAGATATTCATGTGTATCATCAATTGTGCACCTGCAGTCTGGTTTTTGTAACAGATTTAGACCTAATGCAATCTTTGTAGCACCATGTGTAACAATCATAATTGTTTCCACACTAGGGAATTTCTTTTCCACCTGTTTTATGAAATTGTTAAGAGCGTCATGGCACCTTTTGTATAGCTCTTCCTCTGTTTCACCTTTCTCACTAGGGGCAGGCTGTGAGTGCCATTCTAGTCTTACTGTGTCATGGAAATACTTCGACAGGAGTTCATTATCAGCGGGCACAGGGATCACGGGCCTGTCTGGTCTGTACCATTCACTAAACCCCCTTTCAATGTAGACGGGAACTTCCAATAGCTCTGCAATGGGAGTCGAAGTTTCCAAACACCTGTAAAATGGGGATGAGAATATCATCTCTGGTTGATCATCCAAAGTTAAAAGAAATCTGCCCAATTCATGGGCTTGCTTGATACCATGCTGAGCCAGCTGAACATCGCCAGCTATACCGGTTGGAGGTGGGGGAACCTCAGCACCTATTATCCAGTTCGCCCTGTAGCCATGTCTCGCGATATAAACTGTACGCACAACCATAGTTTGTAATTTGTCGCGACTTTATTCTTGCTATTAAAACTTCCTCAATTCTGCTCTTAATACAGATTCATATACAAAGGACACCTTCTGAGTCACCGCAATCAACTTTTACAGTCATAGCCTTTTATACCAATTGCCAATTGAACTTCACATGTTTGATCTGATTTTTGTTCCTGGCTCGATTGCTTTGACAGGTTTTTTTGTGTTCCAGCCGGGGCGATAACGATTACAACAGCAACCATAGCATCAAGGATAATGTTGAAAAGAGATTGAGTAAGATATTTTATATAATGCCAATATAAATTGCTAGTAATGCATAACTCTATTATTTTGTTAATATTGATAATGTACAATTTTGTTTGTATAGAATTTGGGAGAAAAAAGAAAAAACAAGTAGTTTACTATTGCAGAGAAAATGGGAATTAAAATTGGTAGTCCTTTTATTATAAACAGTTCTTCTGCCTACTTAGTGTGATGATGCGATCCGTAATATGTTGTTTTTAAGGTTATTTATTTCAATAGTTTCAATAGCAATTGAGCACCCTTGTTTGATTCGTCAGTGGTATCAATTTCCTTCTTGATGCTCTTAAGGTCCTTCATGAATTGTTTGCCTTGTTGTGACTTTTGTAAGCTTTCATGTAATGCAACTATTGTGAAAGAACTGTCAGCATTGTTAATCCATTCTAGTAGATTTGTAGAGTCGACAATTGTTTCATAGAAATCCTTGGCGAACTCTTCACCTAGACCCTGTACCTTGGTGAAAGGTTCTAGTTTCTTTTCTTTGTTGTTCCATCTACCACCTTGGATCATTGCTTTTAGTAATCTAGTAGAGAATGGTCTGTGAATTGGGTGGTCTTCTTCGCTTATGTCACCCTTGAATTGGACCTTGATCTCATCAATAACTTGTTGGAAGACTTCTTGTTCTTTCTCTGATAGTTGCTCATAAAGGTCATCACTAGTGATCACTTCAGAGATGAATTGGCAACCCAAGTTTTCATCTAAAATCTCAGAACAGTTTTTAGCTATACAACTGATGTACATTGGGCCGAATTTGTTCAAAAGTTCCATTCTCCTCTGTTCCTTTGGCTTTTTGGATGTTTGAGAAGACATTTCCTCGTATCTTAACAATTCATTCTTAACAATAGGAGAGAAGTATTTACCGTCAAGACCCTTCAACACATACAGCCATGGTCTTCTACCATACTTGTCAATAATGAAATCCTTCAAATTGTCCTTAACGGCAGGGCTGAAGGTCTTGAACATCAGAACAGTATCATCCACGGATTGCATGGCAGTTATTAGAACAATGTTACCGTGCTCGTTTGTGACTAGTTTCTCAGCATGTGGTTTCAAGGCTTTCAAGATCTGCTTTCTTTCCTTTGGGCTAGCCTTCGATATCAAAGTGCAGGCAACGAAAGAACCTTCTGGAGTATGGACCAATTCAGCAAATTGTTCATGCAGTAACTCTATCATTTCACTGATCTCTTTGTCGTTAGCGATCTTGACGTATTCCTTCATAGCGGCATGCAAAATTTGGAAACCGGTAGAACCTTTGTCAACGGAAGCTGTGATGGTACCGATTAGATTTCTTGCAATAATGTTTCTCTTTTCGACACTGGAGTTGCAGACCTCCTCGATGGTCAAGTCCTTGTGACTTTCTCTGAACACAGCGTACTCTGAGCCCCAGAACTCTTTTATCATCTGGTTTCTTTGCTCAGAAGTGGCGTATAGAACAAACAAATCTTCGACAACGTAAGCACCTTCTCTGTGTCTCATCAATTTCCTCAAGTTACCATGAAGTTCATCTATAATTGCTTGTCTTGATCTCTTGGAACCGTAATGCAGAAGCTTAACCAGCAGGTATTTACCGTAAGCAGAAGTGGCCAGAACGTAGAACTTACCCTTCAGTTGGTCGACAATCTGTTCACGACGTTCTTTCGAGGAGTACTTGACCAGTGTCTGCACAATACGAGATGCGTCATGCTTTAGGACCAGATCGGAGATACATTCCTTGGATAATTCCCATATTTCGTTGGACAACTTGTCACGTACTTGCTTAGGTGGAGGTGGGTTCTTGATACGCAATTTCTCCCACAGAGACTTAATATGCACAATCTCGGAGCCTGCCTTTCTCTTAAGCTTTCTTTCCTTCAACAATTGCTTCTGTTCAGCATGGTGGTTACCACCTTCGTTCTCCTCGCCATTCTTTTCGTTATCTTCATCACCATCAGCTTCAGCTTCAGAATCGGAATCAGCTTCAGAATCGGAATCAGAAGCAGCGGCAGCGGCAGCGCTCGCCTTCTTGTCATCCTTCTCCTCATCGCTAGAGAAATCCAATTCATCCTCCTCATCCTCATCCGCACTAGAAGACGAAGAGGCAGATTCAGAGCCAGATTCAGAGCCAGAGCCAGAGGCAGAATCACTCATATCCTCATCAGAAGAAACTGATATTCTCGCCTTCTTGTAGCTCTTCACAGCTTCATTCGTATGACTTCTCTTCTTCGTTGGCGCCATCGTTATCAGTACCGTGTTAGCGAGTCTATATCCAGTATATTATAAATAGTATACGCTGTTAAGTACTGCTACTACTTGCCCTTCAAGTAAAATTTTCACTGAAATTTTTTCCTTTGCGATGAGCTTGAAAATTTTCATTTGAAGCTTCTGGGGTCACCAAATCCGTAAAAATAAGGATCAGCCCACAGAAAACGCAGTAGGGGGGAAGGGAGGTCCCATACTGCGATACCCATGCGATGCCCATGCGATGCCCCATGCGATGCCCATCGGTTTGGATGTATAGAACGCTGCTCGTGTTTGGCCCTAGTGGCTCTATATCAGAGTTCGTCGTCTAGGCCGCTGGCTATGCCGCTGGCTAGTCTGTCTACGGCCTCGCTCACTGCCATGCTGGCTGCGGATTCCAAGGTAGTAGAGTTGGTGCTGGGTGAGCTAGGCATGTGTTTTGATACTAGGCCTATGGTGGTCAAGATGGTCTTGAAGAACCTGAATAGAATCCACAGCGCTAGCTTGAATGGCAACTTCAGGATACGTCTCCACACGACCCAACTTATGCAGAGGCAGAGGAACCCGAGGGCCATGTAGACGTCTCTTTTCTCCTGGTGTGATGCTTTCTCCAGGGTCTTCACCAGCTGGTTTGTTCTTGTGAATATGCTCTCGAACTGCTGGTACTTGTCGTCCACTTTCTGTAGTGAGCTGGTCTGTTGCTTGAGTTCGTCGAGGTTCAGATCGCTCTGTAGTATCCCTGACTGCAACAGCTGTGTGCCGCGCGACAGACTGTTGGTCAGTTGCTTCGTCTTGTGCAGTAGTTTATCCTTTGGCGCGAGGTTCTCCTCCCGGCCTGTCTTGGCATCGCGAGCATCGTGGCCGTGGCCATCGTGGGTACCAACGGCGGGCTCCCCGGTATGTTCCTCAATGGCCTGGTCCCGCAATTGCTCTTCCAGCAGCGCACGGCTTCTGTGTTTCTCCAGCAACAGATCAATGCACGACCTCCGCAGTTCAAACAGCCAGTCACTCCACTCGATGAAATCGCTCAGCAGCTCGACGTCTATCTTGCCTTGCACCTCAATGCTGTCGTGTTTCCTGGCATCCTGCGACGGCCTCCAAATCAGAGACCCCTCCGCACTCCGGTTATTGATCATCACCACATACTGCGCCAGCAACTCCTTGTACCGGCCTACACCACCGCTCAGTACTTCCTCGTAATCCTCTTCGTTCACCTTGGCCAGCAACCTCTGTTGCAACTGCTGTACTTCACCCTTCATTATCTGCCCTCGCTGAATAATAGCAACGTATTACCACTTCCGCCTGTCCCCTCTATCAGCTCCGTGGAACCCTCAGCTCCTTTGAACCCACCTTTATCCATTAAGCAACTTGCACTTCTCATTTCGAAATTTTTGGATTCCCATCCTTTGACGATTTGATCGTATAGCTCGCATAAGTGCCCTTTCGATGACAATAATTCAAAAAGTATAAATAGTCGGGAGTGTTGTAGAACTGCCCCGGTAGTTCCAACTCATGGTTAGGCACAAGGAAGGCAATTCGAACAAGATGTTGAATCCCAAGACTAAGCATTTCGAGTTTAACGGTGTGGTCGGTGCCGTGGCCATCTCCGTGGGGCTGCCTATATTCACAGTGTTCCTGAACCAGATGGTCAGACCCGAGTACTACATCGAGGGCTGGTTCAGCAATTTCAATCTGGATAAGGTGTTCAGCGGGCTGCACTCGCTGGACTACTACTTCGTTGACCGCTGGGACCTGTGGGTGTACTACTTGACATGGTACTTCGTGCTGGCGTTCCTGGACGTGGTCTTGCCCGGCAGAGTCATGGAAGGTGTCGAGCTAAGAGACGGCACTAAGTTGAAGTACAAGATCAACGGTGTCGCTCTGTCCACTTTCATGGTCGTGGTGGTAGCTATGCGTTGGCAATTGACCCAGGGTAGAGTGCCCGAGTTGCAATTCCTGTATAAGAATCACGTGGACATCTGTGTTATAGCCATCTTATTCTCCGCGCTGCTGGCTACTTACTGCTACATTGCCAGCTTCGTTCCTCTACTGATCAACTCACCAAATGGCGTCGGCACTAATGAGAAGATCCTGGCTCTAGGTGGTAACTCCGGCAACCCAATTTACGATTGGTTTATCGGCCGTGAGTTGAACCCTCGCATCGGTCCGCTGGATTTGAAGATGTTCAGTGAGTTGAGACCAGGTATGCTGCTGTGGTTATTGATCAACTTGTCCTGTCTGCATCATCACTACTTGAGAACTGGCACTTTCAATGATGCTTTGGTGCTAGTGAACTTGTTGCAAGGCTTCTACATCTTCGATGGTGTGTTAAACGAAGAAGGTGTGCTAACAATGATGGATATCACAACTGATGGTTTCGGGTTCATGCTTGCCTTCGGTGATCTGGCATTGGTCCCATTCACTTATTCTCTGCAAGCCAGATATTTGTCTGTCTCGCCTATTGAATTGGGTCTTCCAAGAGTTATCTTCATTGTTGGCGTGATGGCCCTAGGTTTCTACATCTTCCGTAGCGCCAACAAGCAGAAGTCTGACTTCAGACAAGGTAACCTACCACACTTGAAGAGTATTCAGACTAAGAGAGGCACAAAGCTTCTTGCGGACGGCTGGTGGGCAAAATCTCAGCACATCAACTACTTCGGGGACTGGTTGATCTCCTTGAGTTGGTGTCTAACCACCTGGTTCCAAACTCCTTTGACGTACTACTACTCCCTATACTTCGCTACTTTGCTGCTGCATAGACAACAAAGAGATGAGCATAAATGTAGAGAGAAGTACGGTGAGAACTGGGCAGAGTACGAAAAGCAAGTGCCATACAAGATAATCCCATATGTGTATTAAGCTCTCTTTAATCTTAGAAGTTTTCTCTAAGCCTAGATAATTCACATTAGGGATATTACTGAATCCATAATATATATATCGCAGTTACCAAATATTTATCTACTCCTACCTCATTTCATATTTTTATTGATGATTATAAATACATGGGATATAATTATATACTCGAAGGGACAGCTCTAAGTATTTCATCCATCACAGAATGTATGCTATTATCCGTTGAAGCAGTACTTCATACGCACAATTCTGTCTATACGAAGACCTTAGATGAAAGGGATGTATCCAAGTACTGTTTTATGCTGATTTTTTAATTACTGATTAATGGCCTCATGGTTCGAAAAGTTAGTCATTGAAAAATGCATCAATCTAGTATGCTGTTATTGATTGTTTTATGTTCGTTCTCTATAGTGTTTGTGTATCGTTACTTCTTGCGCTTCTTAGTTCGACATTTGCAAATCCCTTGAGTGTTCTTCTAGCAGATCTTTCTGGTATTGACCCATTAGCTCCATCAACTTTGGGATGAACACCTTATTCAATTGGTCCCTGATTTCAGCATCAGAGCAGTTCATCTTGATCTCAAAGTCCATGTCGTCATGCATGAACTCTGGAATCTCCACTGAGCCGACGTTGTCCTCATCCAGGAGGACATCCATGGTCAAATGCAGGTCGTAGTAGCAAATTGGCTTACCCTTACGTTGACTAACGTTAGAGTCACCTTTAACCACAACGGAGCTCACTTTGACAACCTTTTCTTCGGGAACAGCCACACAGAGCTCATCAAACTTCTGGTTGAAGTACTCCTTAGACCAAGGCAAAGTGTTCTTGTCTATCCAGTGCCAGTTGTTAGGATTCAACACAGCCATTGTTCACTAGTTCAAATATGTTAACTTTTTCCCTATAAAAAGCCCACAAAAAAGGAAAAAGGAGAGGCAGCAAATCACACCCAAGAGTTCAAATACTCAGCCAGCGTACAGGTTTCGAGCCAGGGTCTGTAAGTCTTTTCTAAATATGAAGAGATTCCAAACTCACTTGTCTTATGTTGCCTTCTCTCTCTTTATATTTTTTCACTTTCTGATTTGAAAAAAAAAGCTGAAAAATTTCCAGAAAATAATAGAAACTGTTCAATTGCCTGGGTTCCACCATGCGAGGATGGCATATATATTCATGAGATAGTAGTCGGATGATATCTCACGGGCTCCAGGAAGGGTGTCGGCGGTTGTTCGATCGAGTCCAGCAAGTTTGCCAGGCTCTGATCCAGCGATGCTGTCTTCTTCAGGAGCAGCACGTCGGCGTATGAATCCCCGACGTGTTCCAGTAGCTTGTTGTTGATCTTCTTGTTGATCGGGATTAGAGGTACGTTTTTCACAGCCACGAGCAGTCTCAATTGGCGCATCAGCATCGAGTCGTTCCACAGCGCTAGGACGTACACATCCGCGCTCTCGGACTGTAGCACTCGCAGGATCTCCGCGATATCAAACACGACGCCCGTCTCTTCGCCAGGCTTGCTGTTCTTCAGCGCACGTAGTACAGATTTGTCCATGTATGTGTCCAGCAGTTCCAGTTGTTCTGGCGTGCAGTAAGGCCACTTCTCATTCGAGTACGGGTCTTCCAACACCGGGATAACACGCCCTCCACGTTTCATCATCGTTAACCTACTGATATACTAGCTAATTCCCGTTGAAATATTCGTATCTACACTGCAAGTCTACTTTGTTAAAATGTGAACTTGAAACTTCCTCATCGCAATCTCAATCTCTTCAACTTCAACTTAATTTTTCTAAAAATTCTGAGAAAACTGGGCAATCTGAACTCAAGAGCAATATAGAAAAGAGCAAAGCTGGTAATAGAGTATTCTGGTATAGCAACCTATATAGCCGGTACAAAGCAGCGACAGTATAGGACAGGATGATGCTCAGGTTTTTGGGTTCCCTCAGGAATGGATTTGTTACCTCGAGGAGGTATGTCAGCATCATGGGCCAGTTGCATCCTGCCGAAGGTGCCAAGCAGAGCTATAAGAGGCTGGGACGTGGTCCCTCGAGTGGTAAAGGTAAGACTTCTGGGAGGGGTCAGAAGGGTCAGAAGGCTAGAGGTAAAGTGAAGTCGTGGTTTGAAGGTGGTCAGACCCCCATCTACAAGCTGTTTCCGAAGATTGGTTTCACCAATGTCAATGCACGTCCTCTGAAGGTATTAAACTTGCAAAGAATACAAGAGTTTTATGATGCTGGCAGACTGAAACTGGGCGAAGGTGAAGTACTAGACATGAAGAAGATGAAGGATGTTGGTTTGGTTACTGGTCCAATTAGAGATGGAATAAAGATTCTAGCCAAGGGGCAGTTTGTGTATAACTTGCCATACAAAGTTGAAGCCAGTAGAGCCTCGAGCAAAGCAGTTAAAGCTATAGAATCGGCGGGAGGGTCGTTTGTTGCCAGATACTTCAGCAGAATGGGCCTTCGTGCACATTTGGTTCCAAATTGGTTCTTAGAGAAGAGAGGAAGATTGCCTCTGCCAGCAAGACCAGTTAAAAGAAAGGATATTGACTACTACAGTAAAGAAGAAAACCGTGGTTACTTGGTTGTTGAAAACGATCCATACTTGAAGATGATCCAGGAATCCAAGGCTCAAGGTAGAAATAAGATCAGATCTGCCAAGACTAAAAAGAGTGCCTTGGATATTCAATTAGAAGCGTTGCAAGAGAATTTCATACCACCTTCTTCAAAATCAAAGACTGTGGGGTTGAAATGAAGACAGAACTAGCTATAATTTCTGTTTATGATTTTATTCTTAAATTTATTTCTGCAGTTACTGTTTGAAATAACAACAAATATTCTGTCTATCAGAGGTGAATGACCCTGAAATTAGTAAATATTCAGCTTAAGAGTAAGCAAACTAGCGCAATAAAGGATGCAAAACAACATGTAAATATGTGAAAGTTAATAAAAAAACACCTCCATAATATAAATTATCAGATCGATATGTTTATACCTTCAATTAACAAAGAATCAAAAATAAAAAGAGAAGAACACTTGGAATATAAAGTTGACTCTCGCTACCCACAGTAGCTAGATATGAAAAAGAATAAAAAGAAAAGCACTCACGATGGGGGTCGAACCCATAATCTTCTGATTAGAAGTCAGACGCGTTGCCATTACGCCACGCGAGCTTAGTTATTTCTTAAGAAAAGTTAATGACCATGATGACCATATCAACTAGAATCTAATTTTGAATTTAAATCATAATTATGAATATATTTATACTAGGAGTTGTACTTTACGTTAGTCTTGCCATTATATTAGTTTTAGAATATTTATTGAATGATGAATTTACTAGATATTACATGCATAACGTAAAGTACAAAACTATATTTTCTGAGAATGTACAATTCGGTTGTAAGATGATGTTGCTAGGTATGATCTAGCTTCCTATTGGATATGTCTTGAATCAGTTTCCTATTCTTTTCAAGTAAGCATCCCAGCCGGCTTTTCTGTAACGTTCACCTTCAGTCTTTGGATCTCTGCCCTTGGCGAATAGGCCTCTGCCAACGATGATAATATCTGTACCGGTTGAAAAGACCTCATCAACAGTTCTGTACTGTTGACCAAGTGCATCGCCTTTATCATCTAGACCGACACCAGGAGTCATTATTAGCCAGTCAAAGCCCTCGTCTCTACCACCCATATCCTTTTGAGCAATGAATCCAATGACAAAGTCCTTATCAGATTTAGCAATATCTACAGTGCCTTTAGTGTACTCACCATGAGCTAAAGAGCCCTTAGATGACAACTCTGCAAGCATTAAAAGCCCTCTAGGTTCATTGGTGGTTTCCTCAGCACCTTGCTTTAAACCAGTGACGATACCTTGGCCGGTAACACCATGAGCGTTGGTGATATCAGCCCATTCTGCAATTTTGTAAACACCTGATGTGTATTGCAACTTAACAGTATTACCAATGTCTGCAAATTTTCTATCTTCAAAAATCAAGAAGTTGTGCTTGGCTGCCATTTCTTTCAATGGCTTAACAGTGTTCTCGAAGGAGAAGTCTGATAGAATATCAACATGAGTCTTAAGCAAGCAAATGTATGGACCCAAAGTGTCAACCAACTTCAACAATTCGCTGGTGGTGGTGACGTCTAGAGAAGCACAAAGATTGGTTTTCTTCTCATGCATAAGTTTCAGCAACTTGGAAGCAACTGGACTAGGGTGAGCCTCGGCTCTTTGTAAATATGAGGCACTGGACATTGTAAGTGTACTCTTGATGGTTTTTTTTTCAGTCTTGAGCTGGAGTATCCACTAATCTACTGGGATGATGCAATTGGTTCTCGAGAACTGGCAAGTTCTTGTAACTTGTAAGGAAATATGATCCCCTTTAAGGAATTGTATAGTAACCTTATATACATGTTAGTTAATATTGGCGATGAGATGACTATTCAGCTAATTCCGTTAAGAGAAGAGTCCTTCGATGATGAAGAAAATTGCAATTATCAGCAGTCATTTTCGGAACAATCCGATTTTACACAGAAACATACGTAGACCATTTACCTTGACCTTTCTTATGGGTATGGTTTGACTGATAACATGTATATAGAAAGTAGAAGCCATAGAATGCAAGCATATTAGTATTAATTGTAGTATATATCTTGTCTAAAAATTATATAGCCGAGAGTGCCTTGATATATAGTGACAAGATATGAAGTAGCCTACTCTTCTAAGTATAATGTTGAATTGTTGTAATTACAGGAAGATTAAAATTGTTTTAACTCGGGAATGGTCTAAGTTGATTCAGCTTCTATTTCTTTCTTCATAATAATAAATTGTTGTAGTTGGTTTTCTATCTCAGGGTCTTCAACACAGCTGTTAAACATGTTCAGTACTTTTAAGAATGTATCGTTAGTAGTCGATCCCTTTTTCAAGTAGTGAAAGTAAACCTTGGTTATCATTGGGAACACTTCCTTCATATGCTGAGAGTTAGCGTTTTGACCTTCTGGCAGCAAGATAGGTAATATCCCTTGCTCTAGGATTTGTTCTAATGATTGGACTTGGTCAGAAGGTATCTGTATTCTCTCTATTAGTGAATCCTGCAGAGAACTAACCGCATATGATCTCAGTTGCTCGCATGGGTTGGTACATTGGTGAGCTAAGGCTTGAACGATGGCAATAATAACCTCATTAGTGTAAAAGTCAGGGAAGTTACTTTGGTCCATTAAATGTGCTGTAAGGTTGATTGATCTTAACGACACTTCTACCAGCTCTTGGAATGGATTTTCCTTCTCCACTTTGTGGCCTGTCGCAACTAAAGTACTGTATTCTTTTTCCCATTTACTACCCACAGATCCAAATGATGAGATTTCATCAAGTAAGCCAAGGACCCACATAAAATTTTTCTCCGTTATAACATGTTTACTGCTTTTCAACAACTGGTCGGCATAGAGGTATATGTCACTGACATAGTCCTTATTAACTGAAAGTTTTCTTAGGAAAGTCCAGAAATTTTCCAGGTTAGTTATGTGCCTTCTATAATGTTCTATTTCTGAGACAGTTAAAAGGCTTTTAATGAGGACTTTTCCATGCTTGGAATGCAAATATTTCTCCCCAAATGCAACTTCATTCTTCAAGAAGTCTTCACTAAATATTTTATCCAAATACTTTGGATCTACCTCCAATATGGATAGCAGTAGCACTTTGTAAGTCATTAATCTTCTAACACATCTTTTGCTCAAATCCGCTAACTCGCTGAATTCAAATAATGTTTTAACAATATACTCACCAGTTTCTTTATCGTCCTTTGAGAATAAAAATAATCCGACAACCAATTCTGACATAAACAAAATCTGGGATTCAAAATAAGAGGAATTTTCGGAGTTCTTCTCTAAATCTACAGAACCAAGTAACTTGCGCATGAGTATTGGAGTTATATTTTTTTCGTTGCCAAATAGAGATGATGGAATACCACAGTTCTTGACACATTCTTGTGCTTTTACTGCAGCTTCGATATCTTCTTCTGTTGGTTCTTCATCACCTTTCAAATATGATGCAAAAGTAGATAAGAAGCCACGATTTTCAGTTGTACGGCTAATAGTGAGGTCGGGGTTTCTTCTTGGTAAATTACTCAATACTAACCTGTTTTGTAAGTCAGGGAATATATCAGGAGAAATTAGTAAATTTTGATATAGTGCAGTCAATATATCTGCAATATCACTCCAAATTCTATCTTGTAGTAAGGTGGGATCTTCGTTCATTTGAAACAATCTGAATAACGTCATGCACGCTAATTGAGCTTTAAATGACCGACCTATTCTCACACTTGCGTTACTAACCACGATGCTTTGTTGCTCCTCATCATCGATTTTTATCTCAACAAGTGGAATCAAATCCTCGTTCGCCTGCTCAGAAGTAGCCATCTCGTCAGAAGGATTTTTTAGCAGAGAGGTTCTTACAGCAATTTTGTGCATAATGTCATTGTAGAGGTCCTTCATTTCAAAAAAGTAAGATATGTAAGCAAATTTTTCTATGCTTCCCAGCATTTTGGTAGAGATATGGTCATCAGTTGCAATAATAAATATCTTGAAGAAAGTATTCACAAGTAGTTCACCCAATTCTACACATATAGCTTTGTTGAACTTCTCAAGCTCTAACAGAGTTAAGTTATCTGTGGTAGATGTTGAATTATGATCAACCTCAGTGACAACAGTTGTGGAGGATATCAAATTATTCCAGGCATCTTCAAACCATCTCTCGTTACCATGGTGTTCTTCTGGCATAACTATCTCCTTATCTCTTATCGAGCAGTAAATTCTATCTAAATACCAGAACGGGAAGTCTTTGGAATTATTGCAGCCCTTCAAATTTCCAGAATAATCCTCGAAAGACATATGCTCTTTAACTTGTGGATTATGTAGATCAGTGTTTAGCATGATAATAGAATAACTCAATACAAATACTGAGTCTGAATCTGGTTGTATTGATTCCATATCCTCTTCTTCTTCATCAACTGTTAATTTTTCTGGATTGTAATTTTGATCAGCCACATATTTTTTGGAGAACGCCTCGACTATTCTTTCAATTTGTTGGGATTCACCTGGCAGTCTAAACTTAGTTAATAAAACACGAATGGCCTCGTCAACTCTCAAACCTTTGAAATCAAAAAAATCTATAAATTCTTGTAAAAGTCCTGTCTTTTTAGGGTCACATAAGTACAAACCTAAAGTTTTTTTGTTCAGCCTAGAATTGTTCTCAAAAAGAAACTCAGCTATATCTCTGTCTTTATCCGAGCGTATAAAGTTCTTTTCGATTAACATTGGTACACCATTTTTAGGCTTTTTATTAAAAGCTTCTGCACATCTGATAAATTCGGTTTTTAATTCCCGTTGCTTTAATAAGTCGGGTATATCATTAGACACCTCCAAATATTTGTTTCTATCAAGTGAACGCAGTTGGTCATATAAATCATCCACAAATGATATAAGGCCTTCTAAGCATATAGGGGGTACAGAAGGAGTTGTGCTAATGGCACTCTCAGGAAGAGATAGCTTTGCTAACACTTTCAAGAACTTGATTGATAAATCAGTTCTATCCAAGTTACAATCGAAATCTATAAATGTGGAGGTAAAATATAGTGGTGACCTTGACCATAAGATTGCAATCTGTTCGACAAGAAGTTCCTTGACAGCTGGTGATTTGAACTTCGTTTTTTCTGTATTATTACCAGTCTTCTTCTGAGATTTCCCATCGTCATCCGATAATATTGCAAATATTCTTTTCAATGTGAGTTCGATTTGTGGTTGCAATCTTTGGCCCAGAATAACAACAAATGTCGTAAATAGTTGCAATGCCGCTTGTAGCAATGACAGCTTGTCTGTAGACTGAATAATAAATAACACTGACTTGAAAATTGGATCTGATACCAGGTTAAATAGTCTTGGATGCAATGGAAGTTTATCACCTGTTACTTCAGTTGCAACATTGATTAGCTTTAATGCAAAGATTCTCGTAGTAGTAGTGTGTTTAATTTTTTGGTCTGGAAGAATCAAAGATAGTAGCAAGCTTAAGTACTGTCTAGCAACAGGTAGTCCATAAGGCTCTTCTTCGCTTTCGTTTATAATTCTGTTGTTTTCATTTTGAACTTCGACATTAGTTTTACTCTCTATGCTATTAAATGACTCATTAGGATTTTCTTTTTCTTCATCTTGAGTTCCCAAATTATCCGCATTCTGGATAGATATTTCCTCAGTCTTTGTGAAAATCGAACTATCATTATCATTTGTTTCATTGTCTTTGGTTCCTTCCAGTTTTGAATCAATGTTCGCTGGAGCTGGTGAGTCTACGGTAGACAATACAGAGAGATCATCAGCAGATGGTGAGGTGATACCAAATGAATCTCCGTTCAAGGCATTGTTGGCATATGCTTCATCATTAACATAAATTCCTGAAATATCGGACTTCTTAAAGTTTTTGATTTTGGAGAACAGCTTATATGTGATTGAAATAATATTTTCTTCAGCTGCCTTCCGTAAAACATCGCTTCTCCTATTATTACAGGCCAAAGTTAGTATTGTTTGTAATACATCATACATTAAAGAGTCTGTTATTACATCGCCATAAGGAGAATTTATAACATTGCATGTCAGCAGCAGCACCTTGAATAATACGGCATCATCTGATATCTGAGAGGAACTTTCAAATCGGCAATGTGTTAAGGCCTCTATCAGTTCTCTGTATGCAACTTTATAATTCTTGGAGTTTTCATTGATAATATTCATAGTGAAAAATTTCTGTAAGGAGTCCAAAGCCAGAGATGTGATGTAACCCGAAACTGAGCTAGCTGTTAGTAAGATCAGGAATGGTTGAAGAACTGTGAGTGAGTCGACTTCATCGAGGCTATTCAGTTTATTCAGCATTAGTCTTAGTTGTATAAAGCCTGATAGGTATGGATCATTGGGCTTGTTGGCTTGCTTATGTTTTGAAAACTTGTGAATATTCTTATCATCGTTAAATATCTCACTATTTCCTGCTAACAGTGCAACGACACCTGACTGTGAAGTTAATTTAGAGAACTTCCTCATAGTCGTCGACAGGCTGATACACTCTTTAATGACGATGGTCACAGCATCCATGCCTGCTGCTTCATAACCTCCCATCATGCAAAAATCTTGCACAGTATAAATACCAAGGCTGGGAAACACGTCTATGAACTCGGTACGTGTAATGAATGCTTAGTGTTGTCTTTTTAATGACCCCGGCAGCGACAATTATTCCAATTGTTAGCCTTTGAACTCAACCAAAGAACAGGAATATATGTCTTATTGTATTGTAGCCAATAAAGATCACTGCTTGGTAAGGTATTTCAGTATATAATTCCAGTTTCCTTAAGTCCCTAGAATAACTGTTGAAGAGGCCGTTTGCCTCTTGTAGCCATCAATCTCACAGAGCCGTTTCTAGGAATTTCGTGAATTTCAATATTGCAAAATGATGTGCAAGCACATAATAATGAGCAGTACATAAATGGTAAATTCACAATTAAATATTGCAATTCATTGACAATAAACATTACGTATATGAACATGGTATAAGAATTCATGTTAGCATCGAGTTTGTATTACAAAAGATGGCTTATCAAAATTTATTTTCGATCTACAGGGAGTATTTCAAGCCCAACCAATTTTTAAATAGGATACTTATACTGTTCTAGTAAGTAGTATCCGTAAATCACTGATACAGTCATAACGATTCCACTTATTTAATTGGCAATATATGCTCCTCTGCTAGAGAAATCTATTTTATCTTGTTTAAAATACAGAATGTTTTCTTCCAAAGGTATAAAATCCGAACGCACTGGAATAACTATTATTGATCTCATTTGGTTTAGATGACATCATCAGATAAATGGGCGTGTGGTCTAGTGGTATGATTCTCGCTTTGGGCGAACATGGATAAAATCCGTGTGAACAATCACAAGCATGCGAGAGGCCCTGGGTTCAATTCCCAGCTCGCCCCAATTTGATTTTTTTTTTATTAGTTTTAGTTAAGGCAACTACATTATATCATGTGACATTTTCGTTCCGAAAATTAATTTTTTTTTTATTTGGATTTCATAGCGATTGTACATACGTGACTATGTGTGAGAGAGTGCCATGGTAGTCACAAAACATATAATTGTAACAAACAAATAATTATAGTTGTGTAATCATCAACATTATTATTGAGAATTGTTTTTTATGATTTATTATTAAAAACTATAGGTATTGAGGTAATTCCTGTCAGGTTTTTAATTAACTAATACTCTTTATTTTATTTCAATATTGTTAAAGACAATCTAGTTGAAAATATATTCATGTACTTTATCTAATTTACGGTATTTTCTGCTGTATACATTAAATATATATGTCAGCAGCTAACTACCATTTCCAGGACTCTATTTCACATGATATCAAAAAGGGGAAAAATATTATACTCTGCATAGATGGTACTTGTGAGAATTTTGGTCCCCATCCTTTCACAAACGTTCTCAAATTGTACAAGTTGCTGGAAAATAGTGATCCATCAAAACAGATATGCTATTACCAACCAGGCATTGGCATAGCCGCTGACTGTGATCCTGTTACTGACTTTCGGAGAAGATTCACATTGTCAAGTTTCAGAAACATGTTGGATTCGATGTTTGCGTTCAATATAGGTTCTCACGTTCAAGCAGCGTATTCATTTTTAATTAAATACTATGAAACTGGAGATAGGATTTATATGTTTGGCTTTTCTCGTGGTGCATTTATTGCAAGAGTCTTAGCAGGAATGATCGAAAAGGTGGGGCTTTTGAGTAAAGGTCAAGATAATCTTGTGCAAATGGCATGGAAAGTGTACATAAAATGGGAATATGAGAAACAGCCAATACAACCAAATTATACAACAACCTTGGTTCAGGAGTTCAAAAAAACGTTTTGTAGAAATGAAGTTATCAAAATCACATTTCAAGGTTTGTTCGATTCCGTGAATTCTGTTGGTATCTTCAGAGATAAACTATTTCCCTGCACACAAAAGTGTCAAATTGTTGAGCATGTACGCCATTGTCTGTCTCTGGATGAAAGAAGAGGTAAATTTAAACAGTTTTGCATTGAACCGACATTACTTTTGCCCAAGAAAACTATTCTAAGTTACAGACACTATATCTGTCCATCGCAGGAACATACGCCAGAATTCCACAACGCTAATCATTCAAAACTGAGCATAACTACAAAAGGCGTAAAGTTAAATCAAAATAAAATACAAAGTAACACATCATTTGTTAATATAGAGGGAACATTCAAGTATGAACCGATCGAAGCCCTGTGCGACAGCGCTTATACAAGTATACCTGATTTAATCGAGATGTGGTTTCCAGGGGACCACGCAGATGTAGGTGGTGGTTGGGCCCTAGACGGAGAAACAATGGAAAGTTCATCCAATATCTCACTACGATGGATGATTTCAGAAGCAATTAAATTTGGGGTTTCCTTCAACCCTACTGCGCTTAAAAACTATAGTGATCAAGCTACTTCTGTGGGATCATTGTTTGCAGATACTCATGATTACTTGAAATTACATGTTACAAGACATGATATAAAACTAGATTTTAAGAAAAACAGAGTTGATATTAATGGATTTGATTTGGCTCCACTTGCTAATATTAGAGCAATATTGAAAGCAGGCTACGAAAAAAAATTGTACAATGCCATTGCCAGGAATGATCTCATCATTAAAGCAAAATATGGAGCTAGATGTGGTAGATTGAAGCAATTTCTTGTTTTTGTTTGGTGGCTCTTAGAATTCATACCTGTTAGTTTGAAGCTTGATAAACCGGATGGGTCATCTAGAGAAATTTGCTTTCCCAATTTGGGTAGGTCGAGACATGTTCCAGAATATGCCCTGTTACATTGGTCAGTATTCTGGAAGTTAAGATTTAGTAAAAATTACCGACCTACAAACCTCCCAAAGTATGTTAAAAATTTGTTGAGCGAGATGGAAGGACTGGTTTTCAATAAATCAAATTATCGTGATAATAGCGCTGGTGATATTTCGAAAATGCCTTATATCTTCAATACCAACTGTAATAATGGTAGGGAGGCAATACTACGACAAAGCAGTAATTTATCTATATCATCTACACTCATTAACGAGACTTTGCATGACCGTGTTTCTCAGGAAACAAGGGAAATGCTACTGAAATGGGTAGAAGAGAAATGGCAACATGTACCTGATGACTTGGAGGGGTATCTTTAGTACACATCTGGTTTTTGTTCTATTTATGTAACAGTAACAATTGGATTGAATCATAATGATGCTTTTGTCGAAAATTCTAAAATATAATTGAAAAATAAATATAGAATAAATATGTAAACGGAGAATAATTAACTACAGGTCAAAAATCCGATAAAACGTTCTATGGTGTTTAGCATAACTTGTAATTCAATAATTGTATTTGAACATCTTTTCAATTTTATCATGGATAGCACCAATTATTGTTGAAATGCCCTTTAGAAACACCATTGCTGTTTTAAAGTTTTTTTTCGTTTTTATTTGTGAATATTTTTTAATTGTGAATATGGTTCAACATCATGCTTATGGGTGTTATATTGAGTGTTACTATTTTTCTCACAAAACAAGTAAAGCAAATAGTCCAAATAAAGCAGCAAGGATATGCTTTATTCTTTGAAGGTGTTCAAGTTTATAGTTGAAATAAATAATTTTTGCTATTACCTTCAATCGCAGAAAAATGAGTCTGGAAAGGGGAAGGGGATCCTTTAATGGATAAAAAAATGGAATATTAAGAAAAGAGTTGCTTTGTTTTCAAAAATAAAATAAAATATTGTTAAAGAATATGTGACATTGTATTCCTTTTAATTTCTTTTTTGCATGATTTGTGCTCTTGTTTTAACCGACGACCAACTTCTCGCCGTCAAACTCATAAGCTGGGACTTCCAAGTTCAAAGGAGCTGGGCCCTTTCTAATTCTACCAGAGATATCGTAGTGAGAACCGTGACAAGGGCAGAACCAACCACCGAAGTCACCGGCTTCACCGATTGGGACACAACCCAAGTGGGTACAGATACCCAACATGACTAACCACTTTGGATCCTTGACTCTGTCTGCATCTGTTTGTGGGTCCTTTAATACAGACATGTCGACAGCGTTGGCCTCATCGATTTCATGAGCTGTTCTGTGTCTGATAAAGACTGGCTTACCTTGCCATTTGACAACAACGTTCTTACCCTCAGGTATAGCAGCCAGGTTGACTTCGACCTTGGCCATGGCCAAGACATCGGCAGAGGCAGACATGGAGGAGACGAAAGTCTCAACGGTGGACTTGGCACCAACGGATGATAGTAAACCTAGAGAACCGACCATGAAGTAAGCATATGAACGGCTCTTGTCTGAGTTTTGGTCATCTCTGAGCACATCGTCGAAGTTTGGTGTTCTGTAAGTACTCTTGTTAGCCACTAGGGATGTAGAAAACATTCTAGCAGCATTCAATCTGCAACCATTCTTGATGGAGGATCTTAATAGCATAGACATCTTGTAAAATTTTACTTGTTATTTTTCTTCCAGAATATTATGTATGAGATATTGCAGATGGACTAATTACTGTTCTAGTGTATTAATCTTCCAGTAGTTTTCAGCTTTATTTGAACAGGTACTTATATGAAAGAAAAACCACTAATTAATATAAAGTACAATAGAAACAGGATTGAAAAGTCTAAGAACCCACAAATCAAGTATAAATAAGAAGTTATGAAGAAGAAACCGAAAAATGGATATGTATGTGCCAGGAAGACAAGGAACTTCCCAATCAAAAGAGAGAGATTTCAGTTCCAGCACTTACAGAAGGGAAGGAAACAGCATCGATTTCCTTATTAAAAGGGAACGCAATGAAAGTCAAAGTTGAACTTCCTAGAGTTCAGCCAGTAAAAGCATCTGGGGGAGGGAAAAGGGAAGAGAGAGTTGTGGATTGAAAGCGAAATATCCGAATCGTTATCCCCCCCATCCGGTGTACCTATTGTTTAGTGATTGATTGCTTACATCCAATAGCAATCCAAAGTTGAAGTAAAAAGCGAAAAAACGTCTTGACTGGAGGAACGGTGATGATTAGATGAGATGACGAGACTCGTGATAAGACAAAACTACATAAAATAGCGATATAGCATGACTCTTGCAAGACCAATTTCACTTTGTATTGTTCTAACTAAACTCAAACTTAGAGAAACTTCCAAATTATATGCTATAGAAATATCAATTAAACCAGGATGCAGACACTATACTTCTTCATCTTGGCGGTGTTTCCTGCAGGTATGATATATCACATAATACGCCATACATTAAGAAGTGAAGTGTCCCTTTATTCTCGAATCTGATTGGTCCAGAACGAAACTCAAAAGTTGCGGTTTTAGCTTTTCCCCCAAAACCCGATTATACTTGTATACGTTTGTATGTGTGACTTACGTATAAGTGTATATCTATTTGGACGTATGTATCACATGATACAAACCGTCTATACGTACAGACTTGGGTTTTCCTAACAATTACTTTTATAGTGAAGCTGATCTACTCTGATCTGATCTGATCTCATCTCATCGCATAACACAAGAAGCTAAGACGTATATCACAATACTAACTCTCAGGTTTCCCGGATATACGACACCTTTCTGAAAGCTTTGGAGTTTGTAGCTGTGAGTAGTCGTACCTGAAAAAAACTTTTGGTGCTTGCGTAGATATGTGTTGATGTCATACAAGATCAAATTCTATGCACTGCACGGTAATGTAGGCGTTGTTACGTGGAACAACAGCTTATATACGCTCGAAGATGGCTTTGATTTGCAAGAGAAGGTTTCTTCTGAGGTAATAAACGTGATAGCAATAAACCGTGAATCGGTGTATGCTTTTATCGACTACCACCATGCCTTTGAGATACATAACCCCGATCAAATGTATGTATCTGATATTCCTGTTAAAAATACTGTACACGCCAGTAATTTATGTTTTTTCTCTACTGCTGGTACTCTTGGGTTACTAAACTTTGACAATGGCCACATAATAACTGAACAATTGCATTCATTCAGCAATATGCTCATTGTTGACTTCATGGTCGAATACAAAAGAGAGTTCTACGAAATTACTCTATTGACTAAATCGTTCACATACAATTCATACTGTTTAGTAAGAGCCAAACTAATAAAAGAAAATGATAATTGGGGGTTTCTGGTGTCTGATATTACTGCTTTGTTCTCACTTCAATCAATGCTGACGTGCAATATCAATAGACGCTTACACTGCATGACAATAGTCAACGAAGAAAGTAGTATCTTTTTTTATCACAATGGTAAACTAAAACAATTCTCCACCAACTTCACTTTCTTTAAAAATGACTTTGATGGTTATAGAATCCATTGCTCTATGCTCAACAAAAATTTGTTTGAGTTATCTATCTATTCGTTAGTAAATTGCTCCACTTTGGAAACGAAGATCGATTTGCAGAAACCAGAATCCCAAACAATACTAAACTTCAAGCAAGTGAGCGCAACCACTGAGCCTGTAACTGACATGGCCTTCCTTAATACACGAGATATATTCCTCATATCCATAAATGATCAACTACTACTTATAAACACCAGAAATAAAAGTAAGAAAGTACTGTCATGCTCTAAGAAGATCGGTAATTCTGTTGTACTTGACATGATGGTGCAAAACGAAGATCAAGGCATCGCTCTGATCACAGTTGGTATTGATATGAGCACAAGGTCTGGATATTTCCAGAAACTGATGCATTCAACGTCACATTATCGAATTAAAGCATCAAAGACTATACACTTCGATAATGATAACGCAATAGAGGCGCTCTGGATTACACAAGCCTTTGGGTTGGTGACTTTCAGCAAAAAATACCTACAGTACTCTAATAGTGAAACGAGACTGAATAACCGCCCGTACATGATAACTCCTAACAACTATATTGTTGAAAACACAATTGACCTAATTAGTGCAAAAGTAATCCCTACAAGTGAAGGTAAAGAAATATGTTTAATTCATCGCTTTGGGAATAGAATTGACATTTTAGAAATTAATTCGGAGGGCTCTCTGATAAATATGAAATCCTTCAACGATCAAACAATTGAGGATAGAGCTTTAATTTTTGGATTGAAGGATGATTATATTTATTACTATTTAGACTTTGAAATCAAAGCACTTTCGATCTGCGATGACACATTAGATACGGAAATTCTATGTTTAACTAATGCCCCTATTGTTGATGGTATAATGTTGAAAATGGCTAATGCGGATGCAATAGTTGTGTCAGACGCTGTAGGGAACTTGAGTATTATTGACCTTGAAACCAAAAAATTGGAACATATTATTCAATCAAAAGATAATGGACCTCTTCAGTTTTTGCCTTTGAACATTAAAACAGGAAAGCTTATAGCGTATAATGAAGAATGCACCTTGATTATTGATCTAGGCACAAAAGTCTTTGAATGGATTGACTGCAGATTCAGAACTACTAAGTTAGTCGTCCAAGAACATAACAATGGTTACAAACTGTTCTATTTGAGAGATAAAAATACGGTGGATACATTTATATTAGAGCCCATGAAAAATCATTTGCTCGAGATATGCAACTTTACTGTTGATCAATCCCGATACTATCAATGCCAGTTTATTCCTCAATCAATTATTTCATTACCTACAACTGAGCCACAGCATTTTGCTATGAGTTATGTTGAAAATGAAGATGCTATAATTACAATCTTTGACTCAAAAATACGGAATCATATTGGAAGCTTGAGAATAAAAGTTTCTGACAGGGCTAATTTTGTCACTAAATTATTCTCGTTGAATTCTATGGATCCCGAAATTGAGAATTTTGAAAGGAAAAAATATAAGGATTTGATGCTGGTCCAAATAGTTGATATTGAATCAATAAAAATATACCTACTTGAACTTTTGAAGAAAAAAATAATAAAAAACCATGGGTTTATTATCTTGAATTCCCCAATAAATCAAATAAGCATAAGGCCAAACGAAATAGATCTTATACTTGATTCACATTGTATAAATGTGGTAAAGATTCTAAAAAATGAGAAAGGGGAATATACGTTAAAGCCTAAATCTACTCTTGACGTTGCCAAGAAACAAAAGAAACAGTTTACTGTAATAAAAGAGAATAATGACCTGCCTCTAATATCTCCTAAAGTATTCATTCTATCAGATAACATATTATATGAGAAGAATGGTAATAATTGCTTAGTTTTTGACGAGGTCTTCATTTCCCATGGGTGGTCGAAAGAACTCTACCATATTGACACAGATAAATGTATAAATAAGGAATATGCAAAGATAGAATTTGATGTTATTCTGGGGTTCAATAAGCAGTCAGAGACTGTAACATTACTTACAGGGTCAACAGACAAATATCAGTTGCTAGAGATATCGGCTGGTAGCAATGTTATTCAAGTTGCTCCTATTGACATAAAGGAATCGAGAGTAGTAGCAGCTGATTGCAGCCATTGCCTGTTTTTGGTAAACTGTGCCTGTAATAGGCTTTTTGTGTTAGACATATGGAAAGATTTCCATTCTCATGAATTTAAATATCAGTTAAAAAGAGTCAACAAAAACTAAGTGAGTGTAATGATGTAAGTCAATACGTCGATTATTATCTAATATACATTATTATCTATCTATTGAGTTCCTTATAGTTTATGTTATGCTAAAAATGTGCTAAGGTACCAGATAGTTGAGATTGAGGTAAGAATACACAAATTAATGTGTTCTTTCTCCCGAGTTCCCTTATGATGTAGAAAGAAGACAAACAAAGTGGTTCAACAAATGTCAGGAACCCGCTTAGATCAACAAAGTTTCGATCTTGTCCTTGACGGCGTAGATTTGGTTCTTGATAGCAGAAGCATCGTTTGTGGTAATAGAAGCAGCGATAACTGGTCTAGAAACACCACAAGCTCTACCTAGAGCAACTCTAGATGGGACAAAGACGTATGGAACGTTCTTATCTTCACACAACAATGGCAAGTGCAACAAAATTTCAATAGGTTCACAGTCAGCAGCCATGATGATGAATTCAGAGATACCACGGTTCAAAGTCTTGGTAGCCTCGTTAGCACCCTTCTTCAATTGTCTCAAGTTAGCAGCTTGTTGAACAACATCCAAGATCTGTTGGGACAACTTTTCGTCAGCCAATGGGAAAGCCTTTGGGTTTGGAGCAGACATTATTGATTAAATTGATGTGATAAAAGTTTTAAAATTCAAGTTCCTTGCAAATAAGTAAAATCTTCTAATTTAAAATTGAAATGGTTATCAACAACAAATTAGTAGCTCGCTCGAATACTGATTTCTGGAAGGAACAAAAAGAATACAACAAAGATGAAGTTAATATAGTTTACTAATTCATAGTTTGTAGTTCTCTTATAGATGAGATGCTCATCGATTTTTCATTTTGAAAAAAAAAAAAAAATTTTCTTTTGAAAGCCAAGTAATATAGTACGGAACAGTCATTTGATCACATAAAGCAGAAATCGTTGAATGCATCCACTATAGTGTCCAGGCGAGTTAATGCATGCATAACACTACTTATTGATTGTACTGCCACATCCATGACAATAAAGAAGCCGGTGACTAGTGCTTGTGTTGGACCAAGGTAGAGGACACATGTGTATTTCCTATGACTCCTACTTCCTTTTGAAGAAACTTTCTATGGTTCCTTGCTTCCTCTTGGGTTTTGGTGTAGGATCGGTCTTCGCCCTTACCGCTGGTGTAGTTTTCTTCACCGGTGGTGTAGCTTTCTTTTCCTTTGGATCTGCACGGCGGGTCACTATATAACCATCTTCATCAACATATGTCTCCGGTTCTTGTTCCTTTTTAACAGGCTCATCTGTTTGCTCCACTTGGGATGACATCTCGGGTGCACTGTCCTTTTGGTCCTTCTTTATCTCCAGTAGTGATTCTTCTGCAGTAGTGTCCAGAATATCTTCCATCTTACTTTCATTAATATGCGATGCGGTAGTCGGAGCTGTAGCTGGTCTATTATCCTGGTGTTCCTCCATCTTGATGGCATTGTTGTCGTTCTCATCATCATCTATATCCATCAGGTCATCGTCGTCATCATTATCAAACATTTTCGATAATTCGTCCATCTGTTTGGCCTTTTTAGGATCGCGGTCTAACTCACGCTTCGCATTTTCTTCTCTTCTTCTCTTCAACTCAGCTTGTCTCTCTTGCTCTTTGTCCTCCCGTTCTTTTCTCATCCTTGCCAGTAACGCCGTAGACCGCAGACCCATATCCTTCTTTGGCTTTTGTGGTGCAGCAGGAGGTGTTTGTTCTTTTTTGGCCTGACCGTTCTCCCTCTTGATGGGCTTATCAACAGGTGCTTTCGTCACTGAGCTACCATTAGTCTCTGTATGCACTAGCTCATAACTGTTCTTAATTGTCAGCGTCTGTTCAGATTGCTTATACACTTCATTATATGGGATCACTTCGCTTGTAGGACTAAAAGCGTAGATAAAACAGTCAATAACGTCCTCTTCTAATTGTCCAATCTTAGCAAGGTCCTGCACGATAAAGATCCTGTTGTCCTTGAGACAGCACACCACTACACAATGAAACTTAGCATTGTCGCTGACAGTCTTGTAATAATGGAACATGCTCCCCTTGGCAACGTCGGGTCCTATACCAAACTTGCTAATCAGATCTGTAAACAGCACTGGCTTCGCTTGATGGAATAACCGATCATTGATAAATTCCTTAACTTCTTCATCCATCTTGATCATTTATTCAAGATTCCACAGCTCTCTGTATACTTCCTACCAATTTTCTACCTAGAGATCGAGAAGCTTTGTAACAGACGGTGGCTATATGCCTTCAATTATACAACACCCACTACTTATCTTCAAGACTATTCCAGTTTTAACTTCAACTTTCATTTTTTAATTTTGGCGTTACGCGTTATGAATCCGATGGCCTCTAAGGATAAAATAATAGAAAATGGAACAAGTGACTGTTCAGATACAGGATAGGAAAACAATTTAATTACAACTAGATTACCATCAACTGACATAAGAGACTATTATGGAATAACGTTATATGAATTTTTGTAAAAAAAAAAAAAAAAAATTAGCGCCGCCTAGTTTCGATCTAGGGACATCAGGGTTATGAGCCCTGCGCGCTTCCACTGCGCCACGGCGCTATATTAAACCGTATACACTGGAGTTTTTGTTTGAGCACCTAACACTGTCAAGTTTTAACTGTGCGATAGAGTCACTCGAATATGCTGCAGAAGTCCATAACAACTAGGTACTACTACCGAATAAGACAGCACACACCTGGCTGCGATTGATAATACACTATTTACTGCAAAGCATAGCCTACCTTGGCTGAAGAAGGGTATCGGAGTCCGCACAGTAAATATTATGTAAAGAGGAACAAACGAAGGAAGTAATCATCATGTCAGGTTCCTTGATACAAGATTTGATAGTCTGCACATTGTCAGGCACCTTAATTGCTAAGAGAACCTTGCTATCTACTGGCGTAGAGGACTGTCAGACACCTGCTCAAGGGCACATTCAAGATGACTCTTTTCGGAGACTTCAGCAGACAGCCAAATGTCTTCTCATCGATGATAAAAAATTTCTGCAACTATATAATGCGGCATATAGGCTGATTAAACAACAAGCTGTCATTGAACTAGTAAACCAGGGTATTTCTTCCAGTTTCAATAAGAAGTAGACTGCTTTCAAGTATCAAATACGGATTTTAACTTTTGGAAGAGCTAAAAAAGATACGGAAATCCTGGAAGTAAATACGACAATGGATAAGGTTCGCAGTGTGCTGGCAACACAGTCACACGTTGTTCATGGATACGTTGGTAACAAAGCAGCAACTTTCCCTTTGCAATGTTTGGGATGGGATGTAGACTGCTGTAACAGCGTGCAGTTCTCAAACCACACCGGCTATGGTATGGATAAAGTTTTTGGATCAGCCACAAGTGAAAACGATCTTGATGAAATACTGAAGGGACTCATGAAGAATTTCCCAGCAGGCTATGACGCTCTACTATCCGGTTACTTACCTAATGCTATGTCTGTTCGTCGTGTTGGGGAGAACTATAGTAGATATAAGAAAGAGAATCCCGGTACAATTTGGCTGCTCGATCCAGTAATGGGAGATGAGGGCGAACTGTATGTAAATGAGGATGTGGTTCCAGAGTACAAGAAACTAGCACTAAGTGAGGATAACTTGGTTGATATTATCACTCCAAACCAGTTTGAAATGGAGATACTATATGGCCAGCCCATCAACTCACAAGAAGAGCTTCTCACTGCACTGCGAGAACTACATAAATACATCCCAGTTATTGTTGTAACATCCTGCAATTCTAAACTGTTCAACGATGATGATTCAATCTATTGTGTAGCATCAATGAGGGATTCATCCGCATACGCCTTCAGAATTCCACTAATAAAGTCATACTTTACAGGTGTTGGCGACCTTTTTTCGGCACTATTACTTGATAGAGTGTATAAACTACTTGACAACGAGGACTCCACAACAAACTTGACATTAAAGGACCAAATCAACAGCGTCCTTAACGTTATACAAAACGTTCTAAAGGTCACAAAACATATGGCCCCAAAGAACATAAACTCTAAGATGGGCTCATCCATAGATATGAAAGAAATGGAATTACGCATCATTGCCTCTAGAGACCTCTATGATGGCAATGCATACTTCGATGGTTCAATCCACTACGAAAAATCAGATATTGATTACTCATTTTTAACACTTAGACCCTAGTACTTTTTCAAATCATGAATACTATTAATGTTTTAAGCATCAAACGATCGAGCATAACTGCCTTTCACAAAATCGAACTGATACATTTATGATTACGAGAATTAAATTATCTAATTAATTAATAGAAAAATAGTATCTATTCTCATTTATAAACTAAATTAATTACGTGCATTGAATAATTACATGTTGGGACTAAATACAAGATATATTCAAGCGGAAGTGGGGGATTAACTAAAGGTCGTGGTAACGACAATTAAGAAAATGAGGTATGTGCAAAATAAAATTAACAAAACATAACATGAAAACGGAACATAATTAATCATACTGTTCAGATAGTTAAAACAAAATGTAAAAAACAGATCGGTGGAAATTAGTTACAATCAGATTTCAATAATGAACCTATTGCTTGTTTTCACCTTCACCTTGTTGAGCGTTGGTGTTACCGGAGTCGTTCTTGTACATTTGTTCAAATAGCTTCATGGAAGAGGTTTGCAATTCTTCAGTCTTGGTCTTCAAATCTTCAGCACTAACTTCTTCACCACTTTGAACCTTGGTGATAATTTCTCTCAAAGAGTTGATTTGATCTTGAACCTTTTGAGCTTCAGCCTTGTCCAATTTACCCTCGAATTCCTTCAAAGAGTTTTCGGTATCGTTGGCCAATTGGTCAGCCTTGTTAGCGGTTTCAATAGCTTGTCTTCTAGCTTCGTCTTGAGACTTGAACTTCTCAGCGTCGTTAACCATTTGCTCAATTTCAGCATCTGACAAACCAGAGGAACCAGCGACAGTGATAGCGGCATCCTTGTTGGTAGCCTTGTCTCTAGCAGAGACGTTGATGATACCATCAGCATCAATGTCGAAAGTAACCTCAATTTGAGGAACACCCTTTGGAGCTGGTGGAATACCAGACAAGTTGAAGTTACCGATCAACTTGTTGTCCTTGACCAATTCTCTTTCACCTTGGAAGACTCTAATTTCAACAGAGGTTTGACCGGCAGCAGCAGTAGAGAAAATTTGAGACTTCTTGGTTGGAATAGTTGTGTTTCTTGGAATCAATCTAGTGAAGACACCACCCAAAGTTTCAATACCTAGAGACAATGGGGTGACATCCAGCAACAAGACATCGGTGACTTCACCGGATAAGACAGCACCTTGAATAGCAGCACCAATAGCAACAGCTTCATCTGGGTTAACAGCCTTGGATGGTTCCTTACCGAACAATTGCTTAACGGTTTCAACGACCTTTGGCATTCTGGACATACCACCAACTAGCAGAACATCAGAGACATCAGAAGTAGACAAGTTAGCATCCTTCAAGGCCTTCTTGACTGGTTCGATAGTTCTCTTGATCAATGGTTCTGTTAGAGTTTCGAACTGAGCTCTGCTGAACTTCATGTTAATGTGCTTTGGACCAGAGGCATCAGCTGTGATAAATGGCAAGTTGATTTCGGTAGAAACGGTGGAAGACAATTCGATCTTGGCCTTTTCAGCGGCTTCTCTGATTCTTTGAACGGCCATACGGTCGTTTTCTAGGTCGATACCAGATTCGGCCTTGAAACGAGAGACGATTTCTCTCAATAGAACGATATCGAAATCTTCACCACCCAAGTGAGTGTCACCGTTGGTGGACTTGACTTCGAAGACACCGTTGTCGATATCTAGGATAGAGATATCGAAAGTACCACCACCCAAATCGAAGACGGCGACGACCTTAGCGTCAGCCTTTTCTAGACCGTAAGCCAAAGCGGCAGCAGTTGGCTCGTTAACAACACGCAAAACGTTCAAACCGACAATTTGACCGGCATCTTTGGTGGCTTGTCTTTGAGAGTCGTTGAAGTAGGCTGGGACAGTGACGACAGCGTTCTTAGCTGGCTTACCAAGGTAAGCTTCAGCGGTTTCCTTCATCTTGTTCAGAACGAAACCACCAACTTGTGCTGGAGAGTAGCTTTGGCCTCTAGCTTCGACCCAAGCGTCACCATTGCTGTGCTTGATGATTTTATATGGAACTTGCTTGATATCTCTTTGAACTTCGGCATCCTCGAAACGACGACCAATCAAACGCTTGGTAGCAAACAAGGTGTTCTCTGGGTTAACAACAGCTTGACGCTTGGCTGGAATACCAACCAATCTCTCACCTTCCTTGGTGAAAGCAACAACAGATGGAGTAGTTCTGGCACCTTCAGCATTCTCAATAATCTTTGGAACTTTACCTTCCATAACAGCAACGGCAGAGTTAGTGGTACCCAAATCAATACCGATAACTTGGCCTTGAACCTTCGTGGATTGCAAACGTGTGGCAACACGGTTCATGGACTTGCCCATGACATTCCTAGCTGACAACATGGCTTATTCTTCTTTAACTATAGTTTTGTGCTGGTTTCTCAAAAGTTAAGATCCCTTCCGCCGTGCTATGGTCCAGAAGACACCCAAGAAAGAACCAACTTATGAATAGTCGCTGAACTTTTGCTTCAAAAGACTTCCATCTTGTGCTTCGAGGGTTCCTCGAAGGAAATTTTTTTTCAATCAGTCATATTCGTATAGTGTTATATAATGTGATGAGTGTTATAGCAGCCTAAAATGGGGTTGGCATTACTATATGATTTGTTTTGTAGCTGTGCATGCTCTAGAGATTCTAATAAAATTATTATCCTATGTATAGTGATATGCTGTTCGTAATTATATGCTGGAAGTAGAATTTTATTTTCTCGAATTGGTAGGTTCGTTACAACTTTTTGTTTTTCTAGTTTTCTGATACAGATACCTCTTTTCTGTCAAGTTGGGCTAATGCGTTGATGGTCTGGTTCAATTGTTCTTGTTGCAATGTGTCACCGTCCTGGTTGTTCTTGTCTCTTGTTGTGGTCTTGGTCTTTGGCCCACCGCAGCGCAGACACACGATGTTTTTGGCGAAGTTGTGGTAGAAGCAGCCCGGGCATTTCCAGTCACCAGCCCTGAACGGTACGTTAGAGCCACCAATCATCCCACTGTTTGTGGACATTCCACCATGACCGTGGTTGTTCCCTTCGCTAATATAGCCGTTTGACGATGTGCTGTGCGTTAAGTTGTACGGTAGGTGTGCAGATGTCCCTTGATTAAACCTGTTGTAGTTATGCAGTGGCATGTTGTAGCTTGAGTTCCCCGATTGACCACCATTGTAATTGGACCGGTAACTGCTCTGTATTGGTGATTTGCCACCGTTGTTGCTAGCCCTGTTGGCTGCATACATCTGGTATGTCTGTTGCATCTGTTGTAATTGGCGTAGCTGTTGTTGTTGGTTGTACTGGTAACCGTCTTGGCCTATGTTATTCCAATTGGATTTATTATTAAGATTCCTAGTATTATAGTTAGTGTACCCGGAAACCATGTTGTTGGTGACACTGGTCATCGGCAGTTTACCAGCATTACCAGAAACACCGTTAGGCACAGGGAAGGCGCACCTGAAGCAAGCCGTCCTTCTCTGGAAATTCGAGAACCCACAGGATGGACAATTCCAATCACCTGGTCTAGGCTTATTCTTATTTTGCGGTAAAAGTATCAAGTTGTCCTGAACTTTTTCCAAGAGGCGCATAGATGACGGCTGTATGTCAAGCAATTGCTCTATATGCTTGTTACCCTTGGGGGCCACTATCTTCATTACTGTGCCGTGCAGGTTTAGTGCGTATTCGGCATCATTGTGGGATTGAAATATGGCAAAGCCAAACATTGAGTCTGGGATTGACAGCATTTTACCATGGTTTCTCTGACTGGCAAGAGTAGCATCATCCGAAATGTTCTTTAACGTCCAGAAGCCCACAGATGCAACCCCTTTCTGTTGAAACCACCCTTCTAAATCTGTTTGGTTTAGCTCGGACGGTATGTTACTGATATACAGAATCTTCGATTGCTCTTCTATGAAATTTTTGTAATCCATGCCTAGATCATATGGCACCGTCAGCACCGTTGTGTCATCAACTGGGGTAACGCATTTCTTGTGCAACGCTGTAAGTACCAAAGTGGCCAGTCTAACGTCGAATGTTGGATCGTCATTTTTCTGTTTTAGTTCATCATATTCAGTACTCACATCAAGTGTCCTTACTAATTCCTCGATCTTGCCAGCAAAACTGTCAATTGACTCACCATTGGCTTGCGTCTGTGGACTCTCAGAGGAATCGCTGTGATTCTTCTTCCATATACTGTACTCCTTCCAGATATCAAAAAAAACTGGGTACCGCAAGTACTCTGGCAACTCAACACCTAGATCATTGGCACTACTTACCAGTCCGACCTTCACGGACCAGCTGGGGTTCAGTGTGCAAAACACAAACTCTTTCTCTACATCTGATCCACTTTGGGATCCGTCCTGTGACTCCTGGTGATTGGCAACCGTGGCATGGCTTTTAAGATCCTCATCCAGCTTGGCGATAAATTCCTTGATACTTTCTCCGTCGACATCTACCACATACGGCTCATTGCGCGCTTCCAGACTAACCGGATCAATAACCTGATACCCCAGTCGTAACAGCACAGGCTTCACAGCGCTGCTATCTATCTGGACATCCAGCACAACGTAATGCATCGCTTTCTATAACTTCCTTCTATGGGGATCAACGCTAAAGTGTGTCTCAAACCAATCGTCGCACTCAATATCCTATTGTTTCACACTCCACTCATAACCAGTTAAATAACCAGCTACCACATATCACAAGATTGAGCAGCGGAGAAACATAGCACTTCTCAGGACCAACATATTAGACTACTCTCTATCCGATGCGATGAGCTTAGTTGCAATGCTCATCGCATCGCTGAAAATCTGGAAAATTTTTTGTTCAAGCGTCTGTTGTACGCATCTTTCTAAGGAAAACATTTGTATAATTCAGACTGATTATATGCTTATATAGTGGTATGTTGGTATTATTTGTGTGATATGGAGACAGTAGCCTAGTCAGAGGCAGAGGCTTCCTCGTCTTCACCGTCTGATGTTTCTTCTTCCTCCTCGGAGGAGTAGGATGCGTATTTCTTACCATCTTTCAGCTCGCTGGACACACCATCTTTGTGTTCTTCTACCCAGTTGTCGACCCAAGTGTTGATACGGTCGACGTTGTTCTCCATGTCCTCAGTGGTGTTGCTCTGCAGCTCGACCACGATCTCGGGCTCGTAGGACTCCTGGGCGTCCTGGAGCACCACTCCCATGATCTCTGCGTCCAGGTTCTCTTCTATCTTTGAGTCGTGGTACCCTCTGGCCTTCAGTCTATCGTACAGCTTACCGTTCTCGCTCCTCAGCACCACTACAAGGTCTATAAGTCTCTCGGGGAACACATCGTTGACGTGCCAGTCGATAATGCTCTTGCCTTCCAGCAACAGGGGTTCTAGCTCATCCAGCAGCTTGTCCTCGTCCACTATGTGTGACTTACGTCCTTCATCATACCCGTCGTAACACTTGTGCTCCTCTGCAAACTCAGATATATTGTAATACTTGTACCCGTCCAGCCTGCGTTGCAACAGCTCACATGTAGTACTCTTACCACACCCTGGTGTGCCCGTCACTATAATGTTCGGATGAAACCTTCTGCTGCCCATTCTTATCCTTGATCCTTGATATCGCAGAGCTACGCAACATGTAAACTCCGCAACAACCACCGAACTACATAACCGCATAACTACTTCGACAACTACCACTCCCACTAATACACATAATGGCAAGCTCATCGCAACATTTTTCAGTCACTCGGAACGGTGTACCTCCAGCCTAGGACTTCGAATGCGCAAGAAGTATAACGAGGGCCTATTAGTAGACTTTGGAGCCACATATACGCATTCACAAGTGCATAACCCATTGGGAGCTAATAGTACTTGAGAGCTGGCGGGAAAGAGCTGTACAGTGATATAAGGAAAACGAGAAGACAGGAAAAAAATGAGCAAGTTTGGGCTGCAAAAGCTGGTGCCTCTGATTAGAGCTGATGAAGAAAAGGACGGGAAGGTATACGACCATTCTATGACGATCGGTACGGATTTGTCGTCGATGCTGCATTCCCTCGGTATACCTAGGGACTCTAAGCACCATAGGGTGCTCGACACATTCCAGAGTCCATGGGCCGAGACGTCACGGAGCGAGGTCGAGCCAAAGTACTATATACCGGAGTCCTTCAAGAACATACCGGATGTGCTACAATCTAAGACCACCCCACCAACGTTTGATGATGTGCAGACTGACCAGCAGAGAGTGGCGCTTTTCCAAGATGAGACGCTGTTCTATTTATTCTATAAGCACCCAGGCACTGTGATTCAGGAATTGACATACTTGGAGTTGAGGAAACGCAACTGGAGATATCACAAGGGCCTGAAAGCATGGCTCACAAAGGACCCCATGATGGAACCCGTAGTGGCCGCCGACGGTCTAAGTGAAAGAGGTTCATATGTTTTCTTTGATCCACAAAGATGGGAGAAGTGCCAACGAGACTTCCCATTGTTCTATAGCGCAATCATGTAATATTACCCCAGTAATTTGAAGGCCATCCATCACTAATCTATATATATAGAAGATTGATCTTGGAATGGTATATATAAAGCATATAACGATTCGAATCATTGAACATTCTTACTCTAGTTTAACAACAGACAACGAGAATAATCTAAGAAGCTACTAATGCTTCAAAACCATATGAGAAAAACAATTTTGCTTTTCCAATAAAAACTAAAAATTATTAATGCTGTTATATAAATATTCGTGGAGTTATTAATTAGCTACATGACTTTGATTTTGGTACATTTCTATGATCTGTTCTGATGATGTAGCGTCCTCAACAGATTTATCATCTCTGATTCTTAGAAAACGCGGAAATCTCAAGGATATACCCTTATCATAAACAGAGCTACCTGCTTTGTAGATTGGTGATAGTGACAGATCAGCAGTCAATACTTCGAATAGCATTGTTGGTTCAAACCATACGTCCGGTTCTGCACTTGAGTCAAACACATACGTACCTTTTGGGCCATCAATAACAGTGGGCGATAGCTTTTCATATAGTGTTTGTAGCATTTCTTCCGAAAAACCTGTACCTATTTTACAACAAGTCTCAAAATCCTCACTGTCAGCATTATAACAACCAAGTAAAAAACCACCATAGGTACCCGTTCTTTTACCTCTACCAAAATAGGCCCCTAACACACATAAATCTAGAGAATCACCAACACCTTCAAGATAGTCCTTTTTCAATTTCAACCAATTTCTCGAACGTTTACTTGGTTCGTAATATGACTCAACACCATCCATCATCTTAACCATCAAACCTTCACAAGAATTTTTAACTGATTCGTCTAAGAATTTCTGTAATTCGTCAAGATTACTAGTGGTCATCTGTGTTGCATATTGGAATTCACCTTCAACTGGTTTTGTTACCTCATGCAATACCTCCCGCCTTTTACTCAGTGGCTCATTTATCAGGCGCATGTCATTATGCAATAAAATATCGAAAGCAAACAGACACACACGAACTTTCACCTCATTAATATTAACATCCTTCCTTTTTCTTGTGGTCAAGACTTGAAATGGTAGTATTTTATTTTGTTCTTTATCCCAAGCGACTGCTTCACAATCAAGAATTAATGATGTAGTTGATGCCGGATCTGCCAAAAAATCCTTGATTTGAATTTCTGGATATCTTTCAGTCATGTTTTCACCATTTCTGGAGTAAATTCTCATGGTACCATCTTTTAGCAAATGAACTTGAGCTCTTTCACCATCGTATTTATATTCCGATGTAAAAGTTTGTCCTTGAAATCTATCTAACACTTCATTAATTGCCTTTGTAGGCTTTGCAAGCATAGGTTTTAATGGGATACCAGGTTGTATAGTACAATGTTCATCAAGTTTCATAATGCCGTAATCTAAGCATGCATTAATAACCAATTCATAGTTTGGAACTTGACAAAATGCGTCTCGAATCTTTTGCTCAGCTTGTTCGACAACGTCCATCGAGGGCTCTTTATTGCTGTATTTCTCGTCATGTATCAGTAATGCCTTCGAAAGTGCAATTAAAACGGTTTTTTCAGCCAGACCAATTCTTAACTTCGATTCCAGAGATCTGATCAAGAATTTTGCCTCAGTACCTTGACACGCTGTCAACATTCTTTTAATCAGTTTCATCTTCTTTGTCTGAGAATCTTTACCTTGAGACTTTGCGATAGTCTTCAGGTTTTCGAATACCTCACCCACTACCAGTGGCTTAGGTTTGAACATTGTAGGTTGCACATTTCTGGCCTCGAGAGCAATTTGACCGAGATCACCAATTTCTCTGTACTGGTTTTTTATCTGTTGCATTGATTTACCGCATGATTCACTAATTGTCTTCATCAGCAGATTTTCACCTAAACCCAATTCCAACCCAGGCTCATAGTCGGGGCCCAGTTTGTTAATAAACAAGTACGTCACTGGGATAAGATTCTGTGGGTCCTCCTTCATTATCTTGATGAAGAAGTCAGAACATAGCTTGATAATTGCCAAACGGGAAGAAGTGCCCTCGATCTCCTCAAACAAGTTACACAAGTCAGAATAAGGCACCTTGCAAAAAAACTTAGAGTCAACTTGGCGAGGAGTGCTTGCAATCGGAGTACCTTCGTGCTCTTCCTTGCCCTGATTGCCGTTCTTCGTAGCTGTCAGAGAACCTGTGGACTCCAGCTTCATCTTCTTTAAGGGACTCTTGTTCGCGTCCACTTCATGACTGTTCAAATCGACCGCTGCGGTCTTCACATCAGCTTGCTCACCTTTCTTGTCCCCATCGGCGTCCTTCTTCACAGAACTGAAAAACCTGGCCAACGTAGCTTGTCTTTTCATCACAATCAATGGTCTCGTAGGCTCCTTTATAATTCTTGCACTGATAAAACGGATAGGTGGTGCCAACCTTGAAAACATCCAAAGCTTTACAGAACAGGGAAAGATTCGCGACTAAAACGGTGTATCCAATCTGTGATATCTGTCCCTTGAACACAGTTGTTGATCCTCTTTAAAGCATTCAATTCCATGGCAAATTCAAAATCAAAAGTCACAGGAGCATCTTGACACCAAAAAAAATCGTCTTTTCCAAGAAAAATTGAAGTCGCGTTGAAGGCATAAGGGACTTCCAACCACTCCGACGCAGGCTACTTGAAATGGTACCCGTTAGTTGCATATAGAGGCGTTTAGAGAACCGCATTGCTGAGTAACGCAGCGGGTTCAGTGAAGTAAGCTCGGATGCAGTTTTGGGTTTGAAGTAAAACAGGCTTCAGACGGGCTGATTCCTGTAATGCTAGGAGCTCACATATCCAACAGCAGTAGACCTGCGATATTCTCCAGATCCGTATGAGTGATCTCTTTGTCTTGCTCTTGTTCTAGTCCTTCTTGGCTCGCGTCATGGTGCTCTATAGATCTCAAAACCGCCTCGCGCGCAAACACATCAATGTACCGTTGCAATGCATCGACTACATCCGACTCGATCCTCGTCTTCTTGTCCTTGAAAGCAGCCACCTGCAACACCCTCGCAATTGTATCCTGCGGCACATCCATTATTGGTATCGTCCAGATCTCGCACTTCCAGATCTCGCACTTCCAGTGGTCACAGTTCCAGTAGTTACAGTTCCAGTGGTCGAATTTCCAGCCCGCCAAAAAGATCCACAGTAGGCTACACCAGCAAGCAAAACACACGCTACAGCCCACAAGTTTTATACTTCCTAACCATCGCTGTGATTCACTTGGGTCCCCTTCCATTGATCTTGTCAAAAGATCATCACTTGGCAAATTTCGCTTCAGGGTCGAAAAGGAGGAAAAGCTGGAAAAAAAAAATATGGAAAATTGGCTGGGAGAGTTGTAAAACCTGGCCAGTGCAGGTACCTATTAGAATAGCTGGATTTCTATACTGGCAAACAGAGTTGGTGGGCGAGATCAGAGATAGAAGATACGCTGGCTGACGAATTACGATATGGTGAAGATTGAGAATGCTCACGAAGGTGTTATTCACCATGCGGCGTTGAATTACTACGGTACTAGGCTGGCTACGTGTTCTAGCGACAAGACTGTGAAGATTTTCGAGATCAATGATGTTAATAACAGTTCCTCCTTGCTGGAGACCTTGGTTGGACACGAAGGTCCGGTGTGGTACGCGGACTGGTGCCACCCTAGCCTCGGCGAGAACTTGCTGGCTACATGTGGCTACGATGGGAAAGTCTTGATATGGAAGGAGAGCGGCCATGGTGGGAAGATGCAGATCATTGGCAAGCATGCGGTTCACTCTGCCTCGGTAAATTGCGTCAAGTGGGCTCCACACGAGTATGGGCTGATTCTACTGTGCGGCTCCGCTGACGGTAAGATATCTGTTGTGGAATTGAAAGACGGTCAAATAGCATCTACAAAAATCCTGGATAACGCCCACAAGTTTGGTGTGAACTCTATCAGTTGGGCTCCATTAATGAAGACAGACAGCAGCGACGATGGCGACGAGACCACAGCAGTAAAACAGTTCATAAGTGGTGGTAACGACAACTTGGTAAAGATTTGGAAATTTGATGACGACCAAGAGACTTACGTGGTGGCTGACACCTTAGAAGGCCACAAAGATGCAGTAACGGCAGTGGACTGGTCTCCTACTACATTACTTCAATCTTACGTTGCTTCTGTCTCTAACGATAAACAATGCCTGGTTTGGACTCAGGATCACTCAAGCAAGAAGAACGATTGGAAGAAAATATCCGTCAATGAGGGTAAATTTGAACAAAAACTGGGCTCTGTATCATGGTCTCTTTCTGGTAACCTATTAGCAGTCTCTGATGATGATAAGAATGTTACGATCTGGAAGGAAAGTGGTGATGGTAAATGGGAAGAAGTTGTTAACTGATCACAATTGTTCAGTGCTGTATCTTTTGTTTCAATTAAATAAACCATAACTAAATGGATAATCAACTTATTTTCTATACCTATAAACTTAAATGTATCATAATTCATAATACAATAATTCAAACCAACAAGTTCGCCATTATTATGTGGAAGCACCATAGGACAAGAGTCGACTATGATAGTGTTCCAAATGTGACATGATTGAGTCTCGGTTATCTTATCTGTGAAGATATTACCAGTTGAAAATTAAGGTTTAGCGACTATGAACCATTAAGCTACATGTACAGATCCCTCTAAGTTCGTCGTTTAGGTGTTCTAGTTCAGCACACATTGCCAGATGAACTATTCAAAATCATCAAATATCTACAAGTTATATGATGGAAAGAGATATAATGTTATCAATTCAGTAATATATAGATATAGGAACCAAATAAATTAGTCTCGAATATTTACAATAGGCTTCAATTTCTAAGCTTTTATCAAATTTGTAAGACTGCTTCCTAATAGTAATCTATGATGCTATGATATCGGTGTGTATGCCGAACTGATTTTCTGAGTATTTTAATGTACAAAATAATATATTTTCGGCCTCAATGTAGCAACACACTAAACTGATAGTTTATTTTCTCTCCAACAAAAAAAAAACTAAAAAAAAAAAAAAAAAAAGGATTTGTAGTACCTTCGATTCAAAAATTTTAACATCACAATCTTTCGATTCTGAAGAGAGTAACCTAGGATAACCAAGCTGGCTCTTGTGATGGATTCAACAGTATGGGGAAGGAGAAGATTAAAATTAAAAAAAAAACAAAAAAACCGCTAATTTTAATCCATAAAACCATATAGTTGGAATTGAACATGTAAAAATAAAAAAAATAGAAAATGTACAAGTGACATTATATGCATTCAATAGTGGAAATGAACTTGCAATAAAAAAAAGGCGATAAAAAGAGTTATTAGTAACAGTAATAATTGAGGTATATTGAAGCCTCAACGGGAACTTGTAAAATAAGAAATAGGTGAAATGAAAGGGAAAACAAAAAATAAAAATAAAAATGAATCAATCATGATTTTTAGTTTAACAAAAATAATACATTGTCATCACACCCATTTTCCAGCTAATATCTTTGTTGTGCAACATAGCCAGTTGGTAATTGTTGTGGAGGATAACCCATTGCTGGTGGCTGCTGTTGGTTTGGTGGCATGCCTTGTTGCTGATTCATCTGCATGTACTGTTGAGGAACAGGCATGAATTGTGGTTGACCTTGTTGAGGAGGGATAAACGCCTGTTGGCCAGGGTAACCTTGTTGTTGTCCTTGTTGTCCTTGCTGTTGTTGTTGCTGCTGCTGTTGTTCTTGCATTCTTCTTTGATGCACAATATGTGGGTCTTCAATTGGTACAGGAACAGGGACGGCAGTATCATCTTCTGCAACATACAGGGATTTGTCAATTGTGGCTGGAATGGCAGCTATTTCAGTACCCAGTTCTTGTTCAATCTTGTACAGATTGAAACGGTCATTCCAGTTGATTAAATTAATAGCTAGACCCAAGTGACCAAATCTACCGGATCTACCGATACGATGCAAGTACGTTTCTGCAGTTTTTGGGAAATCAAAGTTAATGACAACGTTAACGGCTTGAATATCAATACCACGAGTCAACAAATCGGAACAAACAAGGGTACGAACTTTACCTTGGCGGAAGTCGTGGAAGACTTTGTTTCTGTCTTGTTGCTTCATTCTAGCATGGGAATAGTAACAAGAGTAGCCAAGATCCGTAATCTTCTTAGCCAAAAGCTCCACACGGTTAGTTGAGTTACAGAAGATGATAGCTTGATTAATTTGAAGCTTAGAGAATAGGGTGTTCAGACAGTGAAGTTTTTGTCTTTCTTCTACAAAGGCGTAGTACTGCGTAATACCCTTTAGTGTCAATTCCTCCATCAGGTTAATTTCGTAAGGCTTGTGTAGGTGTTTCACCATGAACTCCTTGACTGTCAGAGGGAAAGTTGCACTGAATAGTAAAGATTGGTGGGCCTTTGGTAGGAATGTTAATACTTGCTCGATGATGGTCTTGAAATCGCGTGAAAGCATTTTGTCTGCTTCATCCATGACGAACAGGGAACACTCTGAAAGGTCTGCCACTTTTCTAGATGCCAGATCTAGTACTCTACCTGGTGTACCGACTAGTACGTGCACAGTTTCGTTTAATCTTAAGATGTCATCTCTCAGGTTAGTCCCACCCGTTGTGACCATACAGGAGACACCACAGTGTCTGCCCAGGGTTCTTATAACTTGCGATGTCTGTAGTGCCAGTTCTCTAGTGGGAACCATGATCAGGGCCTGGATTTTATTCAGCTTAGGCTTGATTTTCTCTAGTGTAGGAATGACAAATGCGGCGGTCTTACCCGTACCGTTCTTGGCTCTGGCCAAGATATCTCTACCGGTGATGGCAACCGGGATGGCCTCCTCCTGAATAGGAGATGGCTTCTCAAAACCAGCCTCAAAAATACCCATCAGAAGCTCTCTCTTCAAGTAGAAATCCTCAAAAGAATTACCCTTTGTATTAAGAACATCGTCTGTCTGAGGCCTGGTATCCTTCTTAGGAAGGTTAAGTTGCGTCTTCCAAGAATTATCTTCACTCATTTTGTCCTTCTTTCTCTCTCTTTCTTTCTTTGTATCTCTCTTTCTCTGTCCTTTCTCTCTGTTTAGGATGTATTCAGTTTAATTCGGGAGTCTGTCTTTTTTTGAATATTCAAAGTTCTAAATCAATCTCTTCTACAAAAGGTTTCTTTCTCGTCCTTTCCCCTCTTAATCCAAAACCAGAATTGAACCAGATTATTGTTTGTTGTTCCTGGGTAGCGGCAGTTTTTTCACCCCCCCAACTTCCCGTTGCCCCTTTTATACTTCTCTCCCCCAGTAAGAAAGAAAAAATTTTCTCCCCACGCGGAGGGGGTTAGTCGGGATCTTGAAGAAGTTCCCTGGGTCCCGTATAGAAGTATATATAAGTACAGTTGTACGAGCTTTTCCCGCCTCTACCACGATTTCCGTGTTCCCCGTATTTTGAGCTAACAATGGGCCGTACGTAGCGCTGGGGGGGAGAGGATATGTGTATGGTTTCCTAATGGGGAAGTTGCAACTTGTGCGTATGACTTACCCGGAGTTTGAAGTCAAATTTGGGAGTTACCCGGCCAATATGTGATTTCAATTCCATAACTGCCAGAAACTGCCAGGACTGCCAGGACTGCCAATATCACTGGAAATATCCTATCACAAGCTATATCATTACATCAACTACAACCATCGGGAACCCCGTCACTGCTCTTCGGTTCCATTACTCAGGATCACCTGTGTTCCAAGATCACTGGTGTTACAAGATCACTTGTGTTACAAGATCACTGGTGTTCCAACTACTCGATAAACTCAGCTTGGTAAAAAGTTTTAGTCCCTATGCACTTGGCACTTGGCAATTTGGCAACTTGGCATGGCCTGAGGGGGGGATAGGGATTTACTGTGTCGGAGTATATAATTGTGTAGCTTTGTATTATTCTACAGCTGTGGTTGCTGTTCTTACGGTTGCTGTTCTGACGGTTAAGAAAACCATATGTATTTTGTAGATGTTCAAAGTCAAGACTCTAGAGCGGAGAAATTTGAAACAGCTGTCGCTGGGCGGTGGCTGTTTGGGTGGGAGCGCACACGCGGGCAGCGAGGAGCTCCGACATGAGTGCAACGGCAACAAGCTGATAGTGGAGGACATGGCGCTGGCCGTGGGGTCCGACGAGCACATAGAGCCGCACAGCGGGAGCGGCAGTGCGAGCGCAAGCAGCATGTCGGGACTGTCGATACATGACCACGCGGGCGACGCGGCCAAGCCGGCGACTCTGGCGGTCGACGGCCACTCAGGTTGCAATTACGACCTGCGCGACCTGGTGCAACTCGGGAAGCTCGGGTCCGGTAACTCAGGAACAGTGATGAAGGTGCTGCACGTACCGAGCTCGCGGGTTATCGCCAAGAAGACCATAGTTATAGAACAGAACAACGCAATTGTGAAACAGCAGATATACCGGGAACTGACGATCATGCGCAGCGTCGCCGAGCATCGGAACATCGTGGAATTCTACGGCGCTCATAACTTGAGCTCCGACAGCATCAACGGCAGCAACGACGTGGTCATCCTGATGGAATATATGAACTGCGGCTCTCTGGACACAATTACAAGGACTTATAAATCGCTGCAGAGAAGAGGCATACTTGCTGCCAATAGGAGCTACCCAGTGCAGGAATGGTTCTCCAAACCTGTCATAATCTCCAGAATAGCATACTCGGTCCTGAATGGGTTGAGCTATCTATATGAAAACTATAAAATAATCCATAGGGACATCAAACCTTCAAATGTATTGATAAACAGTAAAGGTCGGATCAAACTTTGCGACTTTGGTGTATCTCGTAAGCTGAACAACTCAATCGCCGACACTTTTGTTGGGACATCGACTTACATGTCACCAGAACGTATCCAGGGCAATAAATACACAACCAAGGGAGATGTGTGGTCACTAGGGCTAATGCTGATTGAACTACTAACGGGAGAGTTCCCATTGGGCGGACATAACGATACTCCAGACGGTATTCTCGATCTATTACAAAGAATTGTTAACGAACCAGCTCCTAAACTACCATCTTCGGTTATCAAAGTATTACCACCAGATATGGTAAATTTTATCGATTTATGCTGTGTGAAAGTGGAAAAGGATAGAGGCTCCTTACAAGAACTACTGAAACACCCTTTTATCGTGAGGTTCCGCACTAAAGAATCGACTGATGCTTTCAAACTGTGGACCAAGGATATCAGGCGCTGGATGCAAGAAGAAAGAAACTATAAAAAGGAAACGAGTGAACATTCAATGTTGCTGAAAAAACAACATAACACTAACGATACCCGCCATTCAAGACACATGACGTCAAGTTTGAAATGATTAATCTTCTTTGATCTTATTTTACAAGCAATCTAAAATCCAATCCATATTGATCTTTTGAACTATTTGCTCGACATATTATTTATTCATACTCTATTGGACAATTTAACGCAAACAAATATATAGCCTATCATCAATTTATTTAACATCATTGGTAATTATAGACAGCAATAAAATATTCTACCACTGTGATTAACAACTTTTACAATTTGCCTGAATTCACTCAACTTCTGCTTTGTAGGATACACATGTTAGGAAAGGATATAAATAAATTTAGCGGCAACATTACCTTTACAAATGCCTAACAATCCTTCAAATATGGATTGTCTATTACTCGACTTGGCTTATTTACAAGTACAAATTGCTCTAAATAGCATTTTAGTAATCGAATGCCCTGCATTGCCAGGAGATTTATGCCACAAAAACTGTTTACAAATATAATTGATAAGATCAAATGCAACTTCAAAAGATTAAAATTTCTTATATTCTTTCTCTTTATTCCATAACCAACCTTCAGTACCTCTTGCTAGACCCATAATAATGAATATACTACCAAGTCCCTTCAGAGAGCGTCTCCACCACATAGGATTTCTTTTATTGAATTCTTCTAATGAAATACCTTTCTTCTTCTCAGCCTCACTATATTTAAATGCACGTCCTGAGACAAGATAACTACCAAACCCAATACCAAATACTGTGCTCATGACTTGACAAGGCACACAGTCCCTGGTCTCCTCTTCGTCTAACTCCCTTGAAGGTGGCGGATTGAATACTGACAATATATTACTCATGACTATTGCAAATTTTACAACACTGTCCACCACTTCGTATGCTAAATAACCAAATAAGCTATCTAATAGCTTCCTTTTAATGTTTACAATATCTCTTTTTATCGAGACTATTTTAGCCTGTAAATGAATTATTCTTTCAAGCTCTCGAGTTCCCCTGCTATCTCATCGCGTCGCCAAATGAAAAAGTGGAAAAAATGCTAATTTTTAATCAATTTGAATAGTATAGATTAAATACTGTCAAATCCCTGATCGGCATTATCGTTGCTGCTACATTAATAAAAGCTCTTTAAAACCAATACATACCTGGACTACTGAGGTTGGGGAAAGCCATTGACTCGTGTATTGTAATTCACAAAATAGGATCATTGCTTATCGCGCTTTACATACAACATGGTAGCTGAATTGACTGAGTTTCAAAAGAAAAGGCTTGAGAATATCAAAAGAAACAATGATTTGCTTAAGAAGCTACAATTACAAGGTACTGCAAATAAAATCAAAAGGGAAGCAGGAGTAGACACCGTTAGCAGGCACGAAGAGCGGTTAAAGAAGAAGAAGAAAATAGTTAATGCAAAAAAGCAGTCTGAAAAAGAAGCCTCCCCCAAGACAGCTATGCCCACTAGGCGATCTAGAAGGTTAATGGGCCAGCAAGTGAAAAACGAAGAAGGTATACCAAATGTTAGTGATACACAATTACTGAAGATGAATCGCAACAAAGAACTTGAGGATTTGAAGGACATCAAGGAGACTGCAGTGATTGGAGATGTGAAACTGAGTGATCTAATAAAGACTGAGGAAGGTTCCAATGAGGATGAACTGCTGGCAAAGTTTAAGCAATTTGCTAACAAGAATTTCTCTTCTGGTGACTTCTTTGATATAATAAAAAAACGTCAAAAGGAAACCGAGAATGACTCAGATTTGACTAAAATGCAGGAAGATTTTGATTTACATATGTATGACGTGTTCCAACCCAATGAGATTAAGATAACAAATGAAAGGATAACATCGATGTTCTTTCATCCATCGACAGATAAAAAATTGATTGTGGGTGGGGATACTTCAGGTACAGTTGGTCTTTGGAATGTTCGAGACGAACCCTTAGCTGAGAATGGTGAGGATGATCTTGTAGAACCAGATATCACAAAGGTGAAGTTTTTCACCAAAAATGTTGGCAAGATCGAATGCTTTCCCACAGATACGTCGACTTTGCTAATAACGTCTTATGACGGTTCTATTCGTACTCTTGGCCTGAAAGATCTAAAGAGTGCCGATATAATGACCTTAAGAAATAGTTATGAAGAACCACTTGGGATTAGTGACTGTCAATTTAGTTATGACAACTCTCAGGTTCTCTTTCTAACTACATTGGGCGGTGAATTTACTCAATTAGACCTGAGAGCCAAGCCTACGGAGACCAAATTTTGGAGACTCAGCGATAAGAAGATTGGCTCAATGGCGATAAATCCCCAGCGACCATATGAGATTGCCACTGGATCTCTGGACCGTACACTACGTATATGGGATGTTAGGAAAACTGTAGAGACACCAGAGTGGTCACAATACGAGGATTACCACAGCCATGAGATTGTATCCACGTTCGACTCTCGGCTGAGTGTATCTGCCGTCTCGTACTCTCCAACAGACGGGACACTTGTCTGCAATGGTTACGATGATACTATAAGACTCTTTGATGTCAATGGCGAGCTGCCGGAAGACCTCGACGAGAAGAACAAGACAGTGCTTAAGCACAACTGCCAGAGTGGCCGCTGGACGAGTATCTTGAAAGCAAGGTTTAAACCCGACCAGAACGTATTTGCCATTGCCAACATGGGCAGGGCCATCGACATATATAACAGTAGCGGCCAACAACTAGCACACTTGACCACAGCTACAGTACCAGCGGTGCTCGGCTGGCATCCGTTGAAGAACTGGATTGCCGGTGGTAACTCCAGTGGTAAAGTATTCTTATTCACAGACGAACTAAATACAAGTAAATAATAACAACAACAGATACAATTACAACCACAACTACAGGTACAACTCCAGGTACAACTCCAAGTACAACTCCAGGTACGAGTAACCTAATTGACAAATTCAAGAAAGCACCTATACGTCAGTAAACAAAACCATCTATATTCCCAGTTCCGGAGATTCTGTCAAAATTCACAAAATCGAAGTCGAATTGTGAGGATTCTACTCAGAAAATCCCGCACCGAAGCGAGAAGACCCTTCTTTCGAAGCTTCGAAAAAAAGAAAAAAATCGAAGTGAAAAAAAACAAAAACATCGGTGGGGGGGAGAGTTGAATCAAGGATACGGTGCTACGATAGTTTCTGTGCTAAATGGCATTGGCAATGCTAAACAACAAAAACAACAAAACCTAGCAATTGTTGGAAGTAAAGATTTTTTTTGATTTGATTGTAAACAATGGGTTATTGGATCACATATATACCCATCATTAGTAATTTTAGAGATTGGTCCTTATTAACTTATTACAGTTGAAAATAGGGAACGCTCATTTTTATTGGCTGTATTCCGAGAGTGCTACAAAGTAGGTTCGGGAAAACAATCACCACGGTATTGATACTTGATCAGCCCAAAAAAGTTTTTTGAAGATAATTTGAGAGAGGACACTAACTTTGAACTGGACAATGCAGACTGGAAATGAGGAGAATGCTGTTCCCTCATGGTATTCAGTGCCTGGTAAGGAGGTGCATAGCGATAAGGCTCATGAGCACCGGGTGGCTTTGAGCGATGTAACTGGGTTGGCCAACAGTAATTTCATGCATGAAAAGCTTCATTCTAACAGATGCAGTGGTGAACCGTCTAGCACGGCACGTAATAGTCTCGAGATAAATCTGAATCATGCGGTGGAGTCGGATCAGGAAAACATGGTGTCCATATATGCTTCGAACACTCTGGACACACCCAATAGCAACGATGTGAGCAGCCTTCTTGAAGATCAACAGCTGGAAAGTATACGAAGAGTCACCCAGCACATGTCAAATACATCAAATGGCGATGACTCGGACTCAACAACGGTGGCCAATAAGGACTCTCACCAGGGTGATAACAGTAACAATACAAGTGATGATGCTCTCAGGAATGAGTATTCAGAACCACCAGTGAATGATGATATACGAAGGACATTGATGAAAGCATACCAGACATATAAGTTGGCATACTTGGATGATTCTGACGAGGACAACTACGATCCTGTAATGGTGGTAGAATTAGCCTCTGGGATATTTGATTATATGAAACAACTGGAGATCAAATACCGTCCTGACCCTTATTACATGGATTTGCAATCCGAACTAAAACCATCATACAGAAGTACATTACTGGATTGGATCGTTCAAGTAGATGAGAGATTCCAGCTACTGCCAGAGACTTTATTCCTCACGATTAACATAATAGACAGATTTTTGTCCAAAGCCGCTATAAAACTCAACAAGTTTCAATTGGTCGGTGCTGTTTCAATGTTTATCGCTGCAAAATATGAAGAAATAAACTGTCCAACAATGAAGGACTTTCTTTACATGCTTGATAATGCATATACAAAAGAAGAAATGATAGATGCTGAACGATTTATACTAAACACATTGGATTTTTCAATAGGATGGCCTGGCCCAATGTCTTTCCTGCGTCGTATAAGCAAAGCTGATGATTATGATTATAACATTAGAACGTTGGCTAAATACCTATTAGAAACAACAATCATGGACGCTAGACTAATAGGAACTCCACCTAGCTGGCTGGCATCGGGTGCCTATTTCCTAAGTAAAACCATCTTGAGCTATGGAAATGAAGAAAGAGATGCTGAAGAAAGATCAGTTTATGAGACTGGCTGGACCCTAAAACATGTCTTTTATTCTGGCTATACCCAAGAGCAAGTTTTTCCTTTATCTAGTCTGATTCTCGAGAACTGTAGGCATGCACAAGAACGTCATAGTGCAATTTGGACAAAGTATTCCGACAGGCGCTATCACCGTTCCTCAGTGATGGTGGATAAGTGGATCGAGGTTGCAGAAAGCAAAATGAATAGTTAATGGAAGCAATTAATACCCCCAAATGTGCTAACAAATCACATAGAGCGTAATGACAATGCAGCAATTTGTTAGTACGACAGCCGCTTTTTAGAGCTTATCGTTTGCATTCTTTTATTATTAGCATTCTGTATCTTTTATATCTGGCATATAACAAGTCAATACAGATTTATCTATTATTTTTTGTACTATAATTCAACTTTTATGAAATTAGTAGAAGCAAAATTAGTCAGTGACGAAAATTTTGGAATGTTTGTCCTTGGCGGCTAACCGAGAAAAGATTAATATTATGATCTTTCTCTCATCTTGGCGACAAATATCAACTTAAGTCAACAAAACATTAGTGAGAGTATACTTGTAACGACAAAATATCAGTTTTGATAATTAACTACTGGAGATTTGGCATCTATGAGTTCTAGTACATCCTGGCTACAAACCCTACTTCCAAAGGAAGAAGAATCTAATAGCATATCTCAAATCGATTCAAGTGAAGAGATTTGGGCATTAGATAATGAGACAATCATATGCTTTGATATTCAAGGAAATAAAATAGGCTGTGTTGTTTTCAATTTTGAATATGCTCAGTTAAGTATTATGCCGTCTGATTTGGATATCCAGAATAATGAATATATGATTATTTTGGGTGAAAGAAATTCGAAAAAACACAGCCTTGAGCTACTTCTGAACAGAATATTGCGCCAATTTGATGTGACCCACGTATTAATTTCATCAAGATTCAACAACGAGATGTACCATACAATTTTAAGTTACTGCACCGATGTGGGTTTAAAATTCAAAACTGCAAGCACTAGGTATTTCAAATCCAATGAAGACATAATAGCTAAATTACAGGACTCTGGCGAGAGAAGTTTCAAAGCTTGGTTGTTGGAAGCAGATAAATATTCGAATATAACCGTTAGAGCTCTTATCGGACTATTCTGGTGGGACGCAGAAGTTAATCAAGGAAGAAAACAAATGAATACAGGCTTAGAAATCCCAAAATTTGAGAAACTCAGCTTTATCAATCTAGATGGTATGGTATATGTGGATTATTTAACTCTATCTGCACTTAGAATTTTACAACCTCTCGTAAAACCATACGCTAATATTGAAAACTGCAATGCCGCTTTCAGTTTAGTAGAGCTTTTCACAAATGTCAAATCGAAAATTGGGAAAAAGCTCCTAAAAAATTGGTTAAAATTACCTATTAATGAAATGGATGAGTTAGTAGAGAGGATTCAGACTACAGAGCTTATACTATATCCTGAAAATTATTCTTGTTTCATAGAGATTATTCATATCCTGAATAATCTACCTGATGTCAAAAACTCATTTACCAAGCTTGATGAAGATATATTTGCCAGTTCGGCTTGGTCAGGCATATTTAACTTCTTGAGGCATTCCGTAACTATCATAAGCAGGATCAGGAGAATTGATAAAAAGATTGAATCACAGCTGATTACCAAACTACAAAATACTGAAATCGCTTCCTTAGTGGATACAATTGATTACCTAAATTCAGTTATTAATTATAATAAACTATTTACTGATAAAGAAGTTGAAATAGTTGAAAACATTAATTTTGAGTATGATCAGTTCAAAAAAGTATATACCCGATTGGAAGCAATGCTGAAGACAATTGTTGATGATATAATTGAAGAACTGCTATCTGATTCAAAAAACAGACTCGACCATTTAAATTTAGCTGAAGGATTGAACGCTCTATATATACCACAATTAGGATTCTTGGTGACAATAGAAAATACAAGGGTTCATTATTGGGGTGAAGTATGGGGATCCCTTAATTGGCAACTTGTATTTAAAGACAACAGCCACCATTACTATAAGAATAGTATGGTAACATCTTTGGATGATGAGTTTGGTGATTTAATGACAAAAATATTTGAATTGAAGCTTGAAATTTTAGCTAATGTAAGAGAGAATCTGGTCAAACATAGAAGTCTGCTCATTGACATTTCAGAAATTTTTGGGCGGCTTGAGGTTTTAATATCATTTGCAATATTAGCAAATGAGAGGAACTATTGTAAGCCTATTCTTAAAAAAGACAAATCTGTGGTGAAAATTACTCAAGGAAGGCACCCACTATTAGAAACACTGTCCGACAATTTTATACCTAACGATATTATTCTTGATGGAGGGATGTTGAAGGATATTAATTGGTTCAGTTCTGGAAGACAACGAATTGCCGTAGTCACCGGAGCAAATGCCTCAGGTAAAACAATATTCCTGGAGCAAATTGCTTTGATAGTTTATATGGCCCATATTGGGTGTTATGTGCCAGCCGATACCGCCGAAATTGGCTTAGTAGATATGATACTAACCAAATTCAAGTCTTTTGATTCAATTTCAACTTCTATGAGTTCTTTTGAGAGAGATAGCAAACAACTATCAAAGATAATGTCTTTGGCTACAAAGAGAAGCATAATATTTATTGATGAATATGGAAAAGGCACAGATACCATATCTGGTCCTTCATTATTAGCGGCTATCATACAAAGGTATTCACAATTACCTGGTGCACCACGCCTTTTAATCTCAACACATTTTTATGAAATATTCCAAAAATCATCATTATTGAAGCATCGAGGAAGCATCAAGTTCTTGACCACCAAAATTGTATTAAATAATTGTGAGGTAGAGAACCTTGTTACCGAAAATGAAGGCATAGTATTTTTTTACCAAATAGTTGAAGGAATTTGTGATAGTTCGCTTGGTATATACTGCGCAAAGATTTGTGGTATAAAAAAGGAGATCATAAATATGGCAGAATTAGTTCATAAGCAGTTTAGCTTAGGGCAAAAACTTGATTTGTCTCAGTTTGAGGTAACGGATACAGAGATGGAAATTTTTTTGAAATGCCAGACCATTATAAAAAGATTTATCTCGTGGGATTTAAATACAGAATATATTACTGAAGATTTATTAAGATCCAAGCTGAACTCTATTTTAAGTTGTTCTACAAAAGAAGTCATGCAAATTAACTCAGAATAAGTACAATTATCGAGCAGTAATAACACTAGAAACGCCGTAAAGACAAAAAATGCGAAATAATATATAGAATATACTTAGTAGAACTTAAGTATGTATATGCAATTGAAGTACTTCTTTTCATATATACGCATTAGTTTTTGAATTTCACCGATTTTGTTAGATTCTTCTTGATACCTGTCTTTTCACCCTCATAAGCACCAGATTGACCACCAGAATAAACAGCACGAACAGATTTGAGTTTCTTTTGTGCAGCAGCATACTTCTTTCTCTTCTTAACACGAGAGTTTCTGTTGTCTTTCTTTCTTTTAGGTGTTAGACCCTTATTCTTCAGAATTTGGTAGTTTATAGCACGCTTACCATTTTCACCAACCTCTTCGGCAATTTCATTCAATTTACCGTCTCTTGCTGCTATACGAGCCTCTATATGAGCTTTCATCCTACCCTCTTTTCTATTCTTCTTACCCTTGAGTATCTGCTCGTAGTACTCAGCGGATGATTTATCATTAACCTGGTTAGAAATCGACTCTTCATTGGATTCGTAATCTTCATTGTCTAAATCAGCAGACTTTGGTGCTTCCAAACCACGTTTCCTAGCTTCTTCCAACAACCTCTGTTGTCTTTCAAACAATCTCTCTTTATATGGAACATCGTCATCACCTGTGTATCGTTCATTAGTTTTCTTTTCTTGTTGATCAATCTTGGAGGTGTAGAACCGCAATGTTTTCTTCCTTCTCTTTTTATCTTGAGCATCGATGTCCGCTATCTTGTCCTCAATGTAATCCATGTTCTCATCATCTTCAGAACTTGAGTCTGCTTCAGAGTTATTGGAAGATTCCTTTGATTTTTTGCTAGATTTTCTTGATATACGAGATTGTTGCACGTAAGCTTCAAAGTCATCGATATCGACCTCTGACTCTTCTTGATCTTCTTCAATTTCTTCCTCCGATCCTTCAGCTTCACTATCAAGATTATTAGTATCACTGTTATTTATATCTGTAATTCTATCATTTTGCTCTTCATCACTTATTTCTCCATCAGTGTTATCTTTACCATCTAATTCGGGCAATTCACTAGCTTGTCTCCAAACTTCTTTAGATGTTAGGATGGCCTCCATCACTGGATGGTCTTTCATTGTGCTGAAATCCTCATTACTATTCAGTTCATGCAGGAAAATTGCAAAATATGATGACAGTGTACTTAGATAACTTGAAAGAGCAATTGCCTGTAATTTTTTTACCTCTGACTCTTGATTTTTTGATATATCTTCGTATTGCGCAGTTAACTTCTTCAATTCCTTTGAAAGAGGAAGAAATTCGGGGAATAGTGTATTTAGATATTGCTTTTTCTCTGCGTCATCCATTTTTAAAATAGATTTAGCGGAAATTTCTGAAGCCGATTGCTTTGTAGAGGCTTTGAATTCTTTCATGTCAAAGTTCTTAGCGTCCTTGCTCCATTCTTCTTCGATAACATCATCAAAATAATCGTTCATATGAAGCTCAGACAAATGCTTCTTCTGTTGACGAAGCGCTTCCTTCTCGATCTCCTTCGCAGTTTCTTCATCATCTAGATCATCAGCCCCATAATATTCATTCTTAGAACCCCAAGCATTCTCATTGTTTAGCATGGTTTCGTCATCATCCTCAACTTCAGGCATGTCATGTTCCAGTTTCCTGCCAAATACCTTCTTGTACGCCTCCGCACCATCCATATCTTCATCACTCTCATCCCCATCTGTCATGGCCATCACTTCCTCTTCTTCATTATCTTCCAACAACCTCTCTTCATCTGAATCATCTCTATAATACTGGGAGTCACCAAGAAGGACCTTCTCTCTCTTCTCAGCAAAGTCGTCTACCTCATTTAACCCATAATCGTCATCCCTTGCTTCTCTTTGAGAAGCTCTACTCTTCTTAGCCATAATCGTGCAGCTTATAGTTATCGTACTTTGTAAACCTGACAATAAAAGACACCACCAGACTTAAATACAAACCAATATGTAATCTTTAAGCTCATCGCAGAGCTCATCGCCTGATTTTTTTTTTCGCAAAAAATTTTTTTTCTTCAGTTTTTCACAGATGAGCTCATCGCAAAAGTTTGAAAACAAGCTATAGTAGTCCTAAAATAGCTGGCACTTGTGGCATGATCCCCGGGGTTAACTTGATATTGTTGTGGTAAGCACCGTTGTTAACATCTGACATAAAGAGTGGTTCAACTGTAGCCAGAGCCTGACACATAACAATACTAGAAAAAAGCTACGTTAGAGCATGAGTGGAAGATTGCCTTCGCTTAAGGATTCTGGCGCTTCAAAGCCGTTGAAGTTTAAGCCTAAGGCCGTTGCGAGAAGGACAAAGGAGGAGCGAGAAGCTTCTGTTCCGAAATTGAAGCCGGATGAAGTTGAAGTGGATAAGAATAGGAGAAAGAGGGCGCCACCAACAGCCAACAAGAAGCGTGTGCCAAAATACCTGAACAACACTCATGTCATATCCAGTGGTCCGATGGCTGCAGGAACGTACTCTTCGAACTCGGGTTCAATGAATCGAGGGTTTGGTTCTCCAATTATTAAGACTGATGAGGAGACCTCATCACTGATTCAAAAGAGTCTGGAATCCTTGGAGAATGGAAACGGAGATGATGAAGATGAAGATATGGAAGGACAAAGGACAAGGGCAAGAAAACTGAATATGGGTAAAGAATTAAGCTACAAGCAGTATATACTACACGAAAAGGAAATCGAGGATGACGATAACGAAGACGATGTTGACTTAACCACTGCCGAAGGCGAAGCCACGGAGGAGTTGGAAACAAGAAGAATTGAGCAATTGTTCCCTGTACGTCCACTAAGAGTTAGACATGAAGACACAGAAACGCTACATAAGACTATTCAGGAAACATACTCAGAAATAGCGACGCGAGAAGCTACACCGGCTCCACAAAGTGTTACTCAAATCAAAGAGGATCCAGAACACGCAAATTCTTTGCAAGACGTATTAGTGAAAAAAGAGAATGAGCTCCAAAATAAGTTAGAAGAACTGTATATAGAAAACGGTGTTGATGGCCAATCTAGGGAGCTAAACCTAGAGAAAATCCAGATACAGAACGACTATATTAAGATCTTAAAGAACATCGAAAAGATAAACGACAAGCCAAATAAGTTCATGGTCTTCCAATTGCCACCTAAGCTACCAGAGTTCAAGGTCAAACCCAGCAAACGAGAGGCAAACAATGAACAAGCACCAACCAGTATAGATGACAAATCCAACACAGATGACAAGCCAGGTAAGAAAGCCAAGCAACAAGAACCTGAGCCAGAGTTAAACGGTAAGATAGGCTCTTTGAGAATTCATAAATCTGGTAAACTGACAATAAAAATTGGAGATGTTGTAATGGATATCAGCAGAGGTGCTGAGACAACATTCATTCAGGACATTGTCAAAATTAATGAGCACGAAGATACGAACCAAGATAAAGACCCTGAAGAGCAACTACCACCTTCCATAGAATGCTTAGGAACTGTAACAGGAAGAGCAGTGGTACAGCCAAGTATATAACATGATGAAACCATACTTTTTTGTGTTCCCATAGAGAACTCAAACCAACAATGATTCACACACGTAAAGAGACACAGGGCACAGGTGAATCCATCAAGGGACCATTTACAGCATATCTTAATTTATCTTTAATTTGATATTATATAGCATTATTTATCAACCATATCTTTAACTGTGAGCAAACTTCAAAGAGAGCTTCACGATGAACATATAAATTTGAAAGAATTTGATTGAAAAAAATGTCAAAAATAAGGGAAGACAACTAGAATCTTCAACACATTCTTTAACATCAAAAGTCTTGCAATGTTCAGTAAGTGAACAGATAAATAGGCATACAGAAACAGGGCAAGTCCTAGTAGAACTATATACTGTGAGTATTTAAAGGGTGTCTATTTTTGCATCTTTTCTACTGGCGGGAAAGGATATTGTTGTGGTTGAAAGATTACTTACGAAAGGTCAAAGATCAAATATAAACTAGAATTTTCAAAAGGATACTGATAGAGGTCATAATAGCGCCAGAATCTAGGTGTAACAGTACTTAGTTGAGTAGTTATGGAGCAAAGTGGTCATGAACCTGGTAAGAATACGTTTCTATCGCGAGTTTTTGGTTTACAATCGGATGACGTTTCTACATCGATCCACACACAAGAGTTAAGTACAATACCTCTGGATGAAGACGAGAGCAATCACGGAGCTTTAGTAGAGTCAGAGGATGATGAAGATCACAATGATGGTGTGCGATTGCTAGAGTCGGATCCCGGAACTTCGACGCAAGATAGTTTAGAGAGTGACACTAGTGAGGAGGATGAACGTATTAATGGGATAAATAGTGACTCTCAAGTGATTGACACATCTAGACCACTTCTGAGTAAAAAAGAAACTATGGAATTGCATCCCTTTGGCAGTCAGAATGGGAGAATAATGGAGTCTTCCATAAAACTGGGTCAGCCATCTAGTGATGAGGAAGACTTAATTAATGTTAATGAATCTCTACAGCCTGATTTAGAAAACAGGATAAATCCAATATATCATGAAGACAAGCTTGATAAGGCGCTGGGTAATAGCTCGAAAAACATAAGAACATCCACTTTTCTTGATAGAGTACTCAAGCCCAATGATGTTAAGAAGAATAGTACTAAAAAAAGGCAAAACAGCCATAACTACAATCCTACTTCTACTTATACCAACTCTAGCTCTAACACATTTTTGAATACAGTAAAAGGTGAAAAGTCCAGTAAAAAATATAAATTGAAAAGGCCAAATATTTTGAACGCCCTATCAGTCGTTAACAATATGCCTGAAAGAAGATTAAATACACTAAGCCCCAAGGAAAGAGCTCTATGGAAATGGGCAAATGTAGATAACCTCGATCTGTTCCTTCAAGATGCCTATAATTATTACCTTGGAAACGGTTTTCACTGTATTATTTTGCAAAAAGTTTTGAATATATTAACATTATTATTTGTTGTTTTTGTTTCAAGTTTTATGGGCTATTGTGTAGACTATTCGAAATTACCGACAAGTACACGGTTTTCAGAAATTAAGATTGATCACTGCTACAGTCAAAATATTACTGGATTCACTAAATTTTTACTATTCCTATTCTATGGATTTGTCATTTTGAAAGTAATTCAGTTATACTTTGATATTAATAACATTAGAGAAATGAAATTATTTTATCACTACCTTTTGAATATATCTGATGATGAATTGCAGACAATACCTTGGCAAAATATAATTCAGCAATTGATGTATCTCAAAGATCAAAATGCTTTAACTGCTAACGTAGTCGCAGTTAAAGCGAAAAATAAACTTAACGCTCATGGAATTGCCAATAGAATAATGAGAAAAGAAAATTATCTCATAGCATTATACAACAATGACATTTTAGATTTAAGATTTCCAATTCCATTCTTTGGCAGTCAGCCATTGACAAAAACATTGGAATGGAATATCAATTTATGTGTGATGGGTTATGTTTTTAATGAAGCAGGCTTCATTAAACAGGGATTTTTGAAAGCTACCCAGAAAGAATACTTTGCAAACGAATTACGAAAGAGGTTTATGCTAGCTGGATTTTTGAATATCATATTATCTCCATTTTTGGTTTCTTATTTTGTTCTCTTATACTTTTTCAGATACTTTAACGAATACAAAACATCGCCGGAAAATATTGGTGCTAGACAGTATACTCCGATGGCAGAATGGAAATTTAGAGAGTACAATGAACTGTATCATATCTTCAGGAAACGAATAGGTCTAAGTAATCCCTTAGCAAGTAAATACGTTGACCAGTTTCCAAAAGAGAAAACAAATATACTTTTGAAATTTGTGTCTTTTATATCCGGTTCCTTTGTTGCAATTTTAGCAATTTTAGCACTTTGGGATCCAGAGAACTTTTTAAATTTTGAAGTGACTCACGATAAAACTGTTTTGTTTTATATCACGGTTCTGGGAGCTATTTGGTCCATAAGTCAAGGATCAGTTTCCACAGAGTATCATGTATTTGATCCTGAGGAAACACTAAGAGAACTTGCCGAGTATACCCATTACCTGCCAGATAGTTGGAAGGATAGATACCATACCGAAGGTGTTAAACAGGAATTTTGTGAACTCTATAATTTGAGAATCACTGTATTGTTAAGAGAATTGGCAAGTTTGATCACCACACCTTTTATATTATGGTTTTCGCTACCAAATAGTGCTGGAAAAATGGTTGACTTTTTCCGTGAGTCTTCTGTTTATGTCGATGGTCTAGGGTATGTTTGTAAATATGCTGTATATGATGGTGACGCAGATGCTGTTAAGAAGCATTTTGGTACAGACGGCAATGAGACTACAGAACAAGATGCAGCTACAGAAGAACAAGATATCGACTCAGAACCAGATGAAGCAACAAAAAAGATGATGCAATCTTATATGTACTTCCTGGATGATTATGAGAATGACGATAATTTACTTGGTAAATATCAAATCCCAAAGAAGAGAAGAGAGAGTTTTGATAACACACAGTATGATGTTAGCAATAGCAATCAGAAAAATCAAGATGATGATAGTGATATGATCTTAGCCAATCGATACACATGGAGAAAGCAGTTCAAACCAGGGCAAAAACCTGAACTTTTTAGAATTGGAAATCATGTCTTGAATGATAAAACATTTACACAACAAGGTAGCAATCACCTTGGCATTGATGAGTCCTATGCGCGATCACAAATAAGTAATACTGCAGAGGAGAGTAATAGGTCAAGCCTGTATAATTCCAAGTACAAATCACCCACCAAAGGTGTATTAGGACTGGTAAAGGAATACTACAAAAAATCTGACGTAGGTAGATAATCCTTGCTATGCTTTTGCTTATAAGAATTTGTCTCAACAAGAGAAGATTGTTGAGTATAGCAGGGCGTGAATACTAACTATATAATTAATGACTGATAGCAAACTGCCTGAATTCCAATGTTTTCATCTATATATGAAAAACTAATTTATATTTCATCTCAGCTAATATTAATGAGGGTTATACACCCATCTATATACGTGCTCTTGTACGAGTCAACTGGTGGCGAAACCAAGGGAGCAATGAGGACAAAGTTCAGCAACGCCAGCTAGTAATGAAAGCTTAATATAAAAGTAAGTCGAAGAGGAATCAGTTACTGACACTAAGTAACATTTGTCTATTGCTCAACAATACTACATCCTGCTATCGAGAGTTAGGTTATTGTCATACATCTGTTTTCATAATCTTTTGATCACATTTGGCGTGTGCAAATAATCAAGAAACAGGATCTTCATTCATATATTAATATTATCCAATGTCTAGAGACGCACCAATTAAAGCCGAAAAGGACTATACCTCGGTTCTTAAGGAAGAGTTTCCCATAATTGACAAGCTAGCAAAATCTGATGCAAACGCTGCCTTGGACAAATTGCTAGTATTGGAAAAGAAGACGAGACAAGCGGCGGATTTGACATCTTCCAAGGATGTTTTAGCTAAGATTGTTGACGTACTTGTGGAGAAGGATAACTGGGATGAGCTTGACGAACAATTGACCCTGTTATCCAAGAAACATGGTCAACTAAAGTTATCGATCCAATACATGGTACAAAAGATAATGCAAGCACTAGATGAAAACAAGAAAATCCCACTTAAGACTAGAATCAAGACAATCGAGACCATTAGAACGGTCACTGAAAATAAAATTTTTGTTGAAGTAGAAAGGGCAAGAGTTACCAGAGAATTGACAAATATAAGAAAAGAAGAAGGTGACATAGCTAAGGCTGCTGATATATTATGTGAATTGCAAGTGGAAACATACGGGTCTATGGATATGTTCGAGAAAATTCAATTTATCCTAGAACAAATGGAATTGAGTATATTGAAAGGTGACTACTCTCAAGCTACAGTTTTCTCTAGAAAGATTCTGAAGAAAACATTCAAGAACGAAAAATATGAATCATTGAAGCTACAATACTACGAACTATTAATTAAAATTGGTCTTCATAAAAATGATTACTTAGAAGTAGCTCAATATTTCCAAGAAATATATGAGACAAAGTCTGTGAAAGAAGATGAAGAAAAATGGAAGCCGGCACTTTCTAGAATGGTATACTTCTTGATCTTGGCACCATATGGCAATCTACAAAATGATTTGATTCACAAGATTCAGCTCGATAACAATTTGAAAAAATTGGAGCAACAGGAATCTTTAGTAAGGTTGTTTACCACAAAGGAGTTTATGAAATGGCCAGTAGTTAAGAAGACATATGAACCTGTATTGATCCAGGACACGGTGGCATTTGGTGGTAAAGACAATAAGCACCACTGGGATGAATTAAAGGATCGAGTTGTGGAACATAACCTAAGAGTCATCTCAGAGTACTATACCAGAATCACACTAGCCAGATTGAACGAACTTCTTGATCTAACAGAATCAGAAACAGAAACATTTATTAGTAACTTGGTTAACCAAGGTGTCATATACGCCAAGGTAAATAGGCCGGCAAAGATTGTTAACTTTGAAAAGCCTCTAAATTCATGTGAATTATTAAACGAATGGTCAGACAACGTAAATCAACTACTAGAAAATATTGAAACTATTGGCCATCTGATTACAAAGGAAGAAATAATGCATGGACTAAAAGCCAAATAAGCAACACGTTCTTAGTAATAGCATTTCAATACACAATGGTATATAGTTTTCTTTTCCTATTTGTGATCGTTGTCAAAAGAACATAGACAAACCGTCATTTGAGGCTGTACTTGAATAAAGCTTCAAAATAGTATCAAGGATTAAGTATCAATCATCTATCTAGAAATAAAGCTTATATATTTACTCGACATTGTCAACAATATACTTTGTTGGACTAAAAAGGGTCCAGTTTTTGAGTCTTGATGACGTTTAAAAGGGAAAAAAAGGAAAAAAGCAATAATAAGAGAATATTACCACTGTTTCGATTATTGCCGTAAATCAGCCTAAGAACTGAATATATACAAATTTAAACGATAGTGTTTACAACTCATTTATCAGACAGTAACAGTACTGAGCGAGGTTAGCAATTCTAATAGCCAATTGTATAACCTTCCTCTTCAAACTTCACAGTGGAGGGTTTTAATCAAAATCGAAAAAAGCACGAGAAGTCATACTAGCCAGGGAGTACGACGCAACAAAAGGTATTCGAGAACACTTTACTTTGAGAAGAACAATATAGTTTATGAGGTTAGACAAATGGTACATATCGATGGTGAAGACACTAGCAAGCCTGTGAAATCGAGAGATGAGAAGATAAAGTTTTGGGCTGCTTTAGAAAGCACGGTTCATGATGAGGGGTCCTCATCTGACACTAATAGAGTTAATTCCAACCTTGTTAAGTTTTTGAAAATGGCAACTGATAACTACAATGAATTTATAGTAACAGAACAGGACTTATTTAGGATGTGCCTAACCATTGCAGAATCTGAATTATTTACTAAGAATACCAAATTCTGTATTAGCAAGCTACTTTCCCTCTTAAACATTGATTTATTGGAGATGAATATGAAGTTCATCATTGTTTACATATTACTGTATGAATGCAAAAGGAACGTTAACTCTTTGGTGACAATGCTTGAGTTTCAAGGTTTTAATGTTTTTTACAACACTCTTTACACTGCATTTGCGTACATTCAGAAATATGGAACTGATAGAGGTATAGCCGAGCATGAGATAACGAATTCACAACTTGAAGAATGGTCTGATGTTGATCATATAATTCTCGATGAGATGAAAAAAATATCCACTGTTTTAATGGAGATCCTATTCATTATATTTAAATATGGTAAATGCTCTGTTGCAAATGTTCAACTGGTTGATGATTTCTTCACCTACTTCCTTATCAATTCGATCAGATCTGATGTAACAGATGACCTGTTCAACAATGCACAGTTTAAGTTAGCTCTAGCGTTGAATGAACAATATATTGTCTTCTCAAAAAAATTTGAAATGGAAAATAAAATATTCAAATATTTATTAAACTCTTCTGTTTCTAAAAGGTTTGTGGAATTACTTCTATTGAAGTTTAATCGATTAATGGACTCATCCCTTCAGGTGATGATGTGCAAAGTCATATACTTGATTGTGACATCAACAGACAATGATGTTGCCATGAACTACTTTTACCTTAATGATCTAAATGTGTTGATAGACGTATTGATAAGAGAATTACAAAATATGAATGGCAGAGAAGAGTATTGGAGAGCTACTATACTACGTGTTCTTTTGCCCTTATTAAAAAACACCGAATTGTGCAGAACTCATTACCGAAAAGATGATTTAGTAGAACTACTCACATACCTGTCAAAGCCAGAAAACATATGCGATAATGGCGTAATTACACAGGAGCAAGAAGTAACTATCCGTCTTGCAAAAAAATGTCTAAATGGTGTGGAATGGTTGGAAAATGACACTTCCGATGATGATGCCATTAGTTCTAATAGTCTGGAGAGTTCTCAGTCAAGCGTTGAGTCGCTCTCAAATAGTTTGGCTAATCACAGCACCAACAATCGGCCACGTTTAACTAGAGGTAGCCTTGAATTATCAGCAGAGTCTTTGACAATGAGAAAAGAACGAGCTAAAGGTCCGCCTCCACCACCACCACCTCCAAGATCCCGAAAAAAGTGCTAATCTTTATAATTCTTTTACAAGGTGATACTTTAAACTGCGTTTGATGAGTGTCTACCTACAATGGAATTACATGTTCAGCACTTTCATACGGATGATATAGTACCATGAAAAATATTTGTTTATGTACGCTCCTCAACCTTCATTTGCATGAGTACAATTGAACCAAATACAAACTTTGTCATGAACATTTTAGAGACGCATTTTGTTACGCCGGCTTTAACAATTATGTGTCTCTTAATATAATCATTTTTAATAGATTTATTTTACAAACTGTTTATATGTTGTACTAAATAATTTGATGATCCTCTATCTACAGTCTTATTCTTAAGCCAGATGATGGTGCGCCAATCTTGGATATCTTAGCAATCGAATCGATATCACCCTTGTGGTTAGCATGGTATTTAGCACCAGTTAATGGGTCTTCGACTACAGCAGCATCCTTGTAAATTGGTGTATGAGTGGCAGCACAAATGTCAAACTCGGCGTAAGGATCAAAATTGATCTCAACAGCGTCATGTGCAAGTGAATCAGCTTTATCTTTGATCTTTCTTGCTTGATCAGCACGAGGACCAGACGACATAAGTTTTAAGAACTCTGAAGCAAAGTAAGACGCTTGCACATAATTCTTATTCTTAAAGTTTTGTGACATAGCAACTTGAAGAGCATTACAACGATGAGCAGGTACCAACTTGGATCTTGTGAAATAGGCCGCAAGTTCAAGGTTTCTTTTGACATCTTCTGGAGCCAAACTTCTACGCTCTAGTTCAATGGATAAACCTAGGATGTATTCTTTGGCAGTTTCTAATGCCTTGTGGGCTAGTTCCTCTTCATCGTCATCTTCCAGCGTCAAAAATAGAACACGATAAATGACCTCCCTAAAAGTTTCAATGGCCTCTTCCAGCTTATTAGCTTTGAACAGTTTGAAACCTTCATTAATTTTAGCGGAGACAATGTCCATTCCCGGAACTTTAGGAAGAGCCTCTTCAGGAATATCAGTGTCAGCATTTGACCTTATGTGACCAACTATTGGAGGTAACTCTTCTGGGGTACCAGTCATGTAGGTTCTAGAGCCTTCATATATATCGATAAAATAACTCCTTAGTGGTTCAAAATCAACTACACCAACCTGTTTATGCAAAGCTTGGGCAGCAGCTTCAAAAGCACCAGAGGCAACCAAAACAGAAGCCAATTTAGAGTTTTTGACCCATTGAGCAGTTTCCGTGTCTTCATCTTGAGAGGCATCAACATCATTAGCTTCTGCTTCGACTTCATCATTACCAATTTGTAAATCATCATCACCCAGATCCCAGGCATCCTCTTCATCACCAATAATTTCTTCGTCATCAAAGAATGCCTCTTCTTCATGCCCAGCAGCTGTAGTAGTTTCTTTATCACTACTTGGTTCATCAGCGTCGTATTCTTCAATTTGTCCAAGAACGGCCTTTTCGAAGTAAGATAGTTCAGCTTCCTTTAATGGCCAAGATGTTAGAGGTTCAGTAATAGCAGGGGTCTTCACACTATTAGAAGGAGTAATCCCATCGGGTAATACGACATCTTGTTCATCCAAACCAGCTTCTTCCAGATAATAAGCAGCAAGTTCATCATTTCCATTGGCCTTTGCCACAGCAAAAGCTAACGGTAAGGAACCAGCTGTTTGGAAAACCTTTGCTCTGCTGTCAATAGAGTTACTGTAGAACGAATTCATTAAAATGCTGGATGTTGCACCGTGATTTTGAGCAATGTTTTCCATTTTTGCTAGCTTATTTTGATCACCTGTAATAGTATATAGGAAAGAAAGCTTGTCAAAAGCATTTTGTGTTTGATATATCATTTCTGTCAAAGCAATGTTACCTTGAGCAAGTGCTTCCTTGCTCAAAATATTCCAAGTGGCATCGTTGTTTAACTTTTTAGCCTCTTCTGAAGCAACATCTAAGTTACCATATTCGATTGCTAGATCAAAACGAGCTTGTGGATCCTGAACAAACTGAAGAGCAATTTCTGGGTAGCCAGATTTTTGCAAGTAAGAGATAATATTTTGACCAACCAAGTTGGAGTTTCTGATAATACGAAGGACTTCTGGGAAGTTTTTGTTGACCAAGGCTTTCTTGAAACGATATTCAGTTGGGTCGATGTTCAAGACTTCCATTTCACCATCTCTGTTCAAAGCATAAACATATTTGCCTTGAACTTTGTGAATATAAAGTGTCTTCTCCAGGGTTTTAATAATACCATGGTCACCATTTAATAGGGAATAACGTATATGGTTTAAAGTAGTGTAAACCAAAACATTACTCTCATCCCAGGCAGCACTCTTAATTCTAATAGTTTCATGCATCGAGTTAATCAATTCAAGACGTTTGTTGACTATTGTAATAGTGTGCTTGCTCATCATTGCCAAGTACTGTCCGTCTTGAGACCAGGAGACATATTTCACGTTCTTAACGTGCATCTGTGCAACCTTTTTACCTTGTTGCACATCAAATAGTACTACTTCTTTGGGATGCAAGAGCAATACAGTTCCTGGTGCCGCATATAGCATGTCGTTGACTGGATCTTCTACATGAATTGTCTTAGTAATCTTATTGTCAAGTGTGCGAACCTCGATAGATTGAGAAGATTTATTGTAAACGGCAAACCTATTACGAGCAACAAAGGTCGCACAAGAACCAGAATCCTCAATAACACTGGTAGGCTCAACAGCACCGGTTGGTTGTTTTGGTAAAACTACCAGGCCAAATTTATCTGTCCCTTCATTTATCAAAACAGAATGTTGGGATGGATTGTAAGAAATGCTATGGAAGCTATTCCATGCCTGACCTAATTTGGTTAGCGTAACATAAGGTAGTGAGGTAACTTTCTTGCCGTAATCAAAGCTCTGTAATTGCTTCTCCTTGTTAACAAAAAAGAGTTGGTTTTGGTAAGTAGTTGCAGCAGGTCTTTCACGATCCAACTTGAAGATCATGATACCAGAATCGTGAGCTGCACCAAACAAACTCATATTTGGATGGGATCTGATCAACCAGAATCTGTCATTTTCCCTCTTGAATTGCTTGACTGGTGTTCTCTTGTCCAAGTCCCAAATACGTAAAGTTTTGTCTTCGGCGACAGACAAAATCAAGTTTTGATCTGGGTGGAAAACAACACAATCGACGTTGTTAGTATGTCCTCTGCATGTGTCAACCTCCCAAGCTTTATTTGAGCTCATTCTCCACAACTTGACTTGACGGTCATCACCACCTGTGACAATCAAAGGTAATGTTGGATGGAAAGAGGCCCAGTTAACACCCCTAGTGTGTCCTTCTAGGATAAATTTGACCTTACAATCACCAAAAGCACCATCTAGTAAATTTTGTTGGGAAGCGAGAGAATCTTCATAGCTAGTGACACCAGGTGCGGAGTGTTTCTTTCTCAAACCGGAAATATCCCAAACTCTAACAGTTTCATCCAGAGATGCAGAAACCACAAGGTCTTCTGTTTGATGGAATTGGGCGCACATAACAAAGTGGTTATGGCCTGTTAAGCAAGCCAATTCTTTACGGTTTTGCCAATTCCAGATTCTAACAGTTTGGTCATCAGAGGCAGAGATGACCCATGGTAGTTCACTGTGGAAGAACACGGTACGAACATAGTCCAAATGGCCGGTCAATGTATAAAGACATCTGTTTGTCTCCAACGACCAGACCTTAATGCTGGCATCGTCACCCGCTGAAACAAAAATCGGCTGGGTTGGATGGAAGTCAACAGCACGAACTGGTCCTTCATGTCCTTCAAATCTGTGTAGCAATGTACCCATTCTGTAGTCCCATAATTGGATTGTAGAAGAGAACAAAGCAACTAAAGCCCATGGTCTAGAAGGATGGAAAGCAATACCTTTAGCCCTAGTAGACTTCGATTCGAACTTCGTTAGCAACTTCATGTTTACTTCAATTTGTAATGACTATCTAACCTCTTCTTTTCAATATTGGAATATAACGTGTTATGCCTGATTATTCTTCTACCAATTCTTTTCAAAGAATTATTTGGTGTTCTTGTTTAATATTTGACAAGTCACGCGCAAAATGGCAGTACAATAAATCCTTCAGGTTAAATTCAACGCCTAGCCTGCTCTATACAATTGGACCTCGCGCAGATTATCAATATATTTGATCCTTCCAAATTCGTTGATATTTCACCGATTTCAAGAGCAAAAAAAAGAGACACTAACCTAGGACCCTGTTCTGTTGCAATTGAAAGCTGAAGTTGGTGGTGCTATCTAAAGACTAGCAGAGGAATACCTTGTGAAGTACTAAGGTCTCTTTAGTTCTCAAACTTATTTGTTTCTTTGCCATTTGCAAGAGGATTCAGGGTTTCTCGATTCTTCGTCGACGTGCTCTGTTCTCTTCGTAGCCTTTACGTGGCATGTGATGTGGATAGCACTTGCATACATCAGCATATTTGTATAGTCATGTAAACTTAGTGGATAAAGATACGTTATTACTTTAGATAGTATTATATAAGTGCCTTGTGTTCATGATGTTCATTTGTAATTTAGCCTTTTGGGAGATCCTGTCTTTACTTCTTGAACAGGGCACGTTATTGTTTGAGTTATAAGAGATACATTACTTCTTTATGGAGCAGGTTGTTTCATCGAATTCTACCAGTCCGTTTTGTTCCTTCAGTTTCCCCTGTATGATGGAAAGCAAGTTGTACAAAAATGTTAGCGTTGGTGCCTCTACACCGTTGGCCTCGGCGACTCGCAGTGGGTTACCTAGGATAACTTCCAGCTCCATCAATTGGCCCTTCTGTACATCGACGCACATCGAGGGCGTGAACATATGTTTTGCAGAGATGTTCAGGAAAAAGTCTATGAACTTCTCCTCGATGACTATACCTTCGGAGGCAGCGATGTTAACTATGTCTCTCATTGCCGGTAGGAACAACGCGTTTCTGGTGGAGTCGTCGTGACCGTAAGCCAGCGTTCTTGGCACGTCCAGCCCCACGATTGCCGTTGTAGTGTTGATGGCCGCGTTGTACAGCAGCTTCTTCCAGCGGGAATAGCGCACCCTCTCGTCGAACTCGACGAAGTTCTTGTCGCCTGCGTCGTATATCTTTGTGAACCGCTTTGCGCTCTCTACTGCAGCGGGGTTTGACGGGTCGAACGCACCCACGGACAGATGGTCCTGGCCAATGTGCTTAATCTGAGCTTTGCCCACTTTCGTAGTGCCAACGATCTCCACGCCTGACAACACCACATAGTTGTTGTAATCCTCCGGCTTCAGCGTCGAGACCAGGTGCTTCTCGATGTCGATACCGTTCTGGATCAGCAGCACAGAGGTGAGCCTCTCGGGGTCCACTTTCGCATTACCGAGCAAGAAGGGCTCCACAAGAACCGGCATGGTGCTGCTATTGGGCCCATCTGGGATGTTCTTGGTTGTTACAACCACGTAGTCGAAGAACGTCCCGCTCGCAGCGGCCTCATGCACGTCTTTGTACACATGGTGCGGTCTCCACCCGTCGAGCTGCCCGTAGTCACACGAGTCTATCCTGTACCCGCGCTCCACCACAGCAGAGTAATCAGACCGCACAACCAGTGACACTTCACTCTTGCCAGCGTGGAACAGCGACAGCGCACTCACCACACCAACACCACCGGCACCCACTACTACAACATTGACAGACATTGGTTCAATTGCAAGATGCAGTAATTATACTTGTGGACTACAAGTAACAAGTTATATGATATGTAAGCCCAGCCAATATGCACACACGCCCACACACACACTTATACATACACACACTTATCAGTAAACTCAGGTATGCAATGCCCTTTAAAAAGTATGTCAGTTTGTACGTCATCATCACATGATTCTATGCATTAGTACGTACTTATCACATGCTTTTATTCAATTGTACGTTGAATCACATGTTTTATACATATATACGTACAATCACATGATTCTAATACTATTGTACGTACACATCACATTATATGTACGTACATCAGCACTAGGGTTCTACCGTAGAGCAAAAAAAGTTTCTTCCCAAAAAAAAACTTTCAATTCTGGGCACATCGCTAGAGAGACTTTAATACTGATGAGAACGCCTTCGAAGAGAAGGGGTTCGAATATAATAGTGGAGTTGGTGTTTTGGTCCACTTAATCAATTGGAGCAACGATAAAACACAAATGGTTGCGCAGAAGAGTGTGTCTAACGCTACGTTCAAGAACAAGGAGAAACCGCAGGAGGTTCGCCGTGCGAATATCGTTGCTGCGCGTGCGGTTGCGGATGCGATCAGGACTTCGCTGGGTCCCAAAGGTATGGACAAGATGATCAAGACCTCTCGCGGTGAGATCATTATCTCGAATGATGGGCACACCATCTTGAAGCAGATGGCGATCCTGCACCCGGTGGCCAAGATGCTGGTGGATGTCTCTGCGGCGCAGGACTCTGAGGCCGGTGACGGTACCACCTCCGTAGTGATACTTACGGGTGCGCTGTTGGGTGCCGCGGATAGACTGCTGAATAAAGGTATACACCCTACGATCATCGCGGAGTCCTTCCAGAAGGCCGCCAGACGGTCTGTGGAGACTTTGCTGGAGATTTGTCACCCAGTGTCCCTCGATGACAGGGAGGACCTGATTCGTGCCGCTTCTACGTCTCTGAGCTCCAAGATCGTCTCGCAATACTCCTCTTTCTTGTCCCCATTGGCTGTGGACGCAGTGCTAAGCATCACCGAGAAGGACTCGAAGACCGTGGACTTGAACGATATCAGATTGGTTAAGAAAGTAGGTGGCACGATTGGCGACACCGAGATGGTCGATGGTGTTGTGCTGACCCAAACTGTAGTGAAGACCGCTGGTGGGCCAACTATGAAGGAGAAGGCCAAGATCGGTCTTATCCAATTCCAAATATCGCCACCTAAACCAGACACAGAAAACAACATTGTGGTCAGCGATTATAGACAAATGGACAAGATACTGAAAGAAGAAAGAGCATACCTGCTAAATATCTGCAAAAAAATTAAGAAGGCCAAGTGTAACGTCCTGTTGATCCAAAAATCTATCCTTAGAGACGCTGTCAACGATTTGGCTTTGCATTTCTTGGCTAAACTGGGTATCATGGTTATAAAAGACATTGAAAGAGAAGAAATAGAGTTCTTGTCAAAGAGTCTGGGATGCAAACCAATTTCAGATGTTGAGCTCTTCACAGAGGACAGATTGGGTTCTGCCGACCTAGTCGAAGAAATCGACAGCGACGGAACAAAGATTGTCAAGTTCTCCGGTGTCAAGGGTGTCAACGCTAAGCCTACAGTCTCTGTTATCATTCGTGGTGCCAACTCTATGATTCTAGATGAAACCGAACGTTCCCTACATGATGCTTTGTGTGTTATTCGTTGCTTGGTCAAAGAAAGAGGTTTAATTGCAGGTGGTGGTGCTCCAGAAATTGAAATATCACGTAGATTGGAGAGAGAAAGCAGATCGATGGAAGGTGTAGAGGCATATATCTGGCAAGAATTTGCGCAAGCGCTGGAAGTTATCCCTACAACACTAGCAGAAAATGCCGGTCTAAATAGTATTAAGGTCATCACTGAACTACGCTCGAGACATGAAAACGGTGATGTCAATGAAGGTATCTCTGTTAGAAGATCTGGTACAACCAACACATATGAGGAGCACATTCTACAACCAGTATTAGTCAGTACCAGTGCTATCACATTAGCATCAGAGTGTGTCAAGTCCATTCTTCGTATTGATGATATTACATTCAGTCGTTAGTGGACAGAAGTGGAAGATAGAACTATTTCACTATGTATCTATAATTATAAATTGGTCTATAGATCCTTATTGCATTTTTCTAAACTAATTTGAAAGAAATTCACGATCAAAGTCTTACTTTGTAGCTCTGATATTTTTGTACACTGCATATAATGGAGTTCAATTAGTGTTTTTAAAATATTCGAAATGAAATAACTATGGACAAGATAAGTTTATGAAAATGCAGAATGGTTAGATTACATACGGTTAATGATGGTTATATGGACACTAGATTTTTTTAATAAATGTGACGGCACTTTTGCTGAATACATAGGATGTACCGCTAATTACTGTTGTAGCACCAACAATATATCCCAACCAGCTAAACCCAGTTTTTAGGGTGTTTATATCCAGTGTAGTGTCTTTCTGTTCGTTGGCCTCCTGTACTTTTGTGTCATATTGATCCAATATCATTATGAACACGGCTAAGCCCAGGTATATCATTTGAAGAAATGTGTTCCATTTGGAAATAGTTAGTGGCTTCACTACAGCACTTGGATATTTGAAGAAATCCCAGAAGGACTTCCATGTAACGAAGTGGTATTTCTGTTTCAATGAAGCGTATCTAATGAAAATGGCACTAAAACCCATCAGAATATCCCGACCCAATATCAAGGACGCGATTCCTATGGGAATTACCTGCGGACCTGGCGGAAGTGCTAGTGCTGCCGTTGTGATGATCATGAGTAACTTGTCAGCCATGGGATCGAGTATTGTCCCTGCATCCGACTTCATATTATATCTCCTTGCAATATAACCATCCAGAAAGTCTGTGATACTGGAGTATGCAAATAAAGACAACGCTGGTACCAATTGGTTGTTGAGCAAGAAATACCCTATCATAGGTGTGGTTGCAATCCGAGTTATTGTTATGACATTCGGTATTGTTAGAAAGTCCTTCTTGTTCACCTTCAAATCACTATAAGGTCGCATTCCGATGCTGGCACCTAGTACTACTCGAAGGTATCCTCCTCGTACACATCTTATACTTCGTAGTCCCACATTTTTGGACAATATCGCTGGCAACATTGGTATACTCATTTTCCAGTTTCCTTTTTTTGAAGAAGCCAGGAAAGGCCTTAGTGGTGAGTCTCAGTCAATGTATTTCAGCTGCTTGAGAAGTAAGTATCTAGCACCAATTTGAAGCTGTCTAACTCAATATGACAAGGGCTTTAAATAGCGTAATATTATCCCTCCAATCTGAGGAATCCATTTAAATGTTGAGCTTTCAGGTTGTATAGGTTTAGTCATTGCAACTTGACTAAAAAATCCTTGAAAAAAAATCAACATTTGCGTAGCATAGCTCACTGTGGAGCGATGCGATGCGATGAGCTCAATGGAAGTTGATTCTCGATGGGGCAATTGATAATAAGTTGGGATGCTATGAGCCATGGCATGGTGACTAGTGTTATTTCCACATGTAGCGTCATCACGGTATTTTGGTTTCGGGGATTAAATTTCGATTGCTGTTATTGCCATAACTGGAAAGAACTCAAATTACATGAGTATATAAGTCGGGCATATTCAGAATCTCATTCAATTGTTTTGCTGGGTCTGCTCTCTCTATTAAGAATAACACAATTTCAGGATTTATACGGTATTTGTGAGAGGAAAGATGAATGTTTTAGTGTATGAGGGGCGTGGTACTACACCTGGTTCAGTCAGACATGTTGTTGACTCATTGAGGATGTTCTTAGAGCCTTATTATGCTGTAAGTACGGTTACCTCCAAGACTTTAGAGCAGGAGCCATGGATGGGTAAAGCCGCAGTGTTAGTGTTTCCAGGTGGTAGAGACTTGCCCTATGTGGCTGACTGTAAGCGAATCATCCCTAAGATAAGAAACTTTGTACAAAATTATGGTGGTACATACATAGGTTTCTGTGCTGGGGGCTATTTCGGTAGTAGTCGAGTTGAGTTTGCTAAAGGAGATCCAAATTTAGAGGTTGTCGGTAACAGAGACTTGAAGTTTTACCCTGGCATTACCCGTGGACCTGTTTTTGGTAGTTTTGAATATAACAGTGAGCAAGGCGCCAAGGCAGTTAAATTAGAGCTTGAAGATGGTTCTGAGTTTTACACATACTACAATGGTGGTAGCTGTTTTGTTGACGCTAACAAGTACGAAAATGTGAAAGTTTTAGCCCATTACGGGGATAAACCTTCGATTCCCTTTACCGACGACCCAGCTTCAACAGCGAAGAAAGCAGCAGCTGTGGTTCTCTGTAAAATAGGTAAGGGCCAAGCACTACTCACTGGACCTCATCCCGAATTTTCTCCAAAGATTTTGGAGAGAAGTGAGGATGAGAAACTACAGAAAGAGATCATTGGCATACTTAAGGAAAACGAAGAGGCTAGATTAAGATTCATGAAACACATTCTAGCCCAAGCGGGGTTGAAGGTCAATGACTTCCCTAATTCTGGAAGGCCTTCGCATCTCACACCTATGTTACTAGGTGTTAACTCGAACAGCAATAGCGGACTGGTTCAAGAATTCACAAGGAACATTGAGAACAATATCAATGATTTTATTGTAAGTGATGGACATACCCAAATTGAATGTGAAAGTGACACATTTATGATCTATAATGGGTATGATAACTTTTTTGATGCTGCTAAATTATTAACAGAATACGAAGACATCGAAAAATCTCCGAAAGCTATATTATTTCCAGATGATAATGGAACAATTCCGCCAAGAGAGTTTTCTGGTGATTTTGACTTTGATGTTTACTACAAGCATTTAAATCCTAATAACACCTTAGGTTCGTTATTATTGTATGGAGAAATTGTTACATCGACAAGCACAATTTTGAACAACAATAAAAAAATTCTTCAATGTATCCCAGATAACTCAATGTTACACGTTGGGTCAATACAGTTGTCCGGAAGGGGAAGAGGAAATAATGTTTGGGTGAATCCAAGAGGTGTTTGTGCCTCAACAGCTGTTCTCAATCTTCCAACAACCTCGCCACGTACTGGTAATCCTTTATCAGTGGTGTTTATTCAGTACTTAGCTATGTTGGCGTATTGCAAAGCTATCCGTTCATACGCCCCTGGATATGAAGACTTACCCGTTCGAATCAAGTGGCCTAATGATTTGTATGCTGTTGATCCAAAGTATTACTATAATAATAATTTAAAGTTTTTAAGTTCTGGTTTTTCTAATAGGCAAATTCCATTATCTGATATTGAACCGGCATATGTGAAGATTTCTGGGTTACTTGTAAACACCAATTTCATTAATGGACAGTATTCACTGCTTGTAGGTTGTGGTCTAAATGTCTATAGTGATGCTCCTACGACCTCTTTGAAGATGTGGATTGATATTTTGAACAAAGAGAGGGAAATTGCTAGGCTAGATCCGCTACCTCCTATTCAGGTCGAGAAATTGTTGGCTCTGTATATGAATAATTTACAGGTTATTCTCGCAAATTTTATTGATCACGGAGCCAAAGTCGTTTTGCCAGAATACTACAGACTATGGCTTCATACTGATCAAATTGTCACTTTATCAGACCATAATAATGTTCGCGCAATTGTGAAGGGTATTACACAAGACTACGGTATGTTAATTGCTCACGAACTTGTAAGTGGAAGTGATACTCAAACAACTGGAAATGTTTATCATTTACAACCTGATGGTAACTCTTTTGATATATTTAGAGGCTTGATAGCAAAGAAAGCTACTTGAGGAGACAATATATGTACCGTTTCTATAGTTTAATGGTATTATTGAATTTATTTTGAATAGTTTAATCTATTGATAGAAATGCATTAAAGCATGCTACATAGAAATATTGTACAGAATATGCTTTTTCTAAGCGTTAACATAAAAATTAACATTACTTGTAAATCTAGAGTGACAGAGACATCATCATTAGTTATCTTTTTTCTCGTCCTCGTCCTTTGGTGAATATGTTGGCGAGCCTGGGCTATAGCTTGGGGATGTTGGTGAGTATGATGGAGAAGTTGGAGAGTACGATGGAGAGGTTGGAGAATATGATGGAGAGGTTGGAGAGTACGATGGCGATGTTGGGCTGTAACTTGGAGAAGTTGGTGAATATGATGGGGATGTTGGGCTGTAACTTGGCGATGTTGGAGAGTATGATGGCGATGTTGGACTGTAACTTGGTGATGTTGGCGAGTATGATGGCGATGTTGGACTATAGCTTGGAGAGGTTGGAGAGTACGATGGCGATGTTGGGCTGTAACTTGGAGAAGTTGGAGAGTAAGATGGAGAGGTTGGAGAATATGATGGAGAGGTTGGAGAGTACGATGGCGATGTTGGGCTGTAACTTGGAGAAGTTGGTGAATATGATGGGGATGTTGGGCTATAACTTGGTGATGTAGGTGAGTAAGATGGAGAGGTTGGTGAGTATGCTGGTGATGTTGGAGAGAATCCTGGCGATGATACACCACCAAACCCTGGAGATGCAGGAGCGTCACCATAGGCGCCGAAAGGAGAGGTAGCTCCACCGTATTCTGCTCCACCATATGCCGTAAAACCACCTGACATAGCGTCTGATGAACCGGCATCGACTAATGGTGAGAACATTAGCTCGTCCTTTACATCGATATCAGTATTCACTAGACCAGCCTCATTGCTGTAAGGTGTAGCACCACCATCCTGGCCATCTTCCAATTCTGTAATCTTTTGTTCTGGCATGTATTTGACTAATGATTCTTCATCAATCATAACATCAAATGCACCTGTACCAATAGGTGCCATTTGACCTAAGATAACATTTTCAGACACACCACGGCAATCATCTAATTCTGCAGACGCACCAGCTTCAAACAATATTTCAACAGTTTCTTCAAAGGAGCATCTCATCAATGCACCGGTTGATGATCTATTGAAACCATGACGAGTAACAGATGTTAAGCCACCTTGAGTAGTCATAACATCGACTAGTAGAGCCATATGACGGTAGTTAACGTAGGAACCATCAGAAGCAATAACATTGTAGACTTCTTTGTATAGTGCAGCACGGCCAGCTTCAATACCCAAAACTTCCATGATATCAATAAAGGAGTTAGTGTAAATTCTAGTTGGGTCAACACCTGGGACAGTCATAACCTCAGATAAGTTAACACCATCTGTTTCGAGAACCCACTCAGGAACCTTTTGATATTCACCAGTTTCGTTAGGGACTTTACGATCATATTTCATCATAACGACACGCTCAATACCTTCAATACCACGCAAGGTGATATTTTCAAGCATAGTGTTCTCGATCTTCTTCAGCATATGATCTTCTTCAGCTTCAGTTTCAGCATCGAGAGCCTTAGGACGAACAACACGACAACGAATGATCAATTTTTCTGCATTATCTTCTGACCAAATAACGAACAAGTCATTCTTAAATGTATCTTTAATTCTCTCACCAACTTGACCCATAGTTAGATCTTTATCATTCATCGCAGCACGATCTAATTCCAATCTCAGTAACCATGGTGATTGTTGGTCTAGCAATTTTTCTGTTTCATCATCTAATAACGAGAAATGCAGCTGAATAATTTCGTCATCCTCTGGTATCACAGTTGATCTAGGATCAGGATCATAATAAATTTCTGAGGCTACTGTAACACTCTTCAATGTTGTATGCTCAATTGCTGATCTCACTAGTTTTGCTTTTTCTTGGTCAGCAGAGTATTCTGGTTCTAAATAAACAGTTAAAGATGGTGTCTTCATGTTTTTTGCAACATTTAAAATTTCCTTCAGACGAGGAACACCCGATGTAACCTTTTTAGATGCAACACCTGCAAAATGGAAAGTGTTCAATGTCATTTGAGTAGCTGGTTCACCAATAGATTGAGCAGCTAGAACACCAACCATTTCACCTGGGTGGACAATGGATCTCAAGAATTGAGCTTCTACGTTGTTAAGAACCCATTCAAATGCTTCTTTAGTTAGTCTGTACTCTTGTAAAACTCTACGTGTTGCTAAACGTGAACGTAGTAAACAACAGAACAGAGTGACTGCATCATCTTGAGCTTTCTTAATAATCTCACTCTTACTTCTCAAAACCAAAAGTCTATCTTGTAGATCCCTTACTGAGTTAATGATTTCTGGAATTGTCAAGTCTGATGGTTTGGTATGATCAATCCTGAATGTTTGTTGAGCATTTTGGATAATACGTCTAATATTGACAGGTAGAGGCCAGCTGGATTCACCATCACTGAAAATAGTTCTCAAGAAACGACGGTCTTTTACTAGTTGTTTGTATTCCTCATCCAAAGCCATCTGCACCTTTAAGTCTCCAATTATTTCAGAACCAGACTCTAGAAGAGATGGCTCCAAAGAATTAGATGTATTTAGCAAATCAATTCTATATCTTCTCTCAAAGGCTTGATCTGATCCACCCATAGTATCTAATGATTGTTTTTCGATATGACCTGCATCCATACCATCTTCACCATAAATGAATTGAATAACGTTACCAAGAGAGTTTCTAGTTGTACCATCATAGTGAACCATGATATCTTCTAAGGCTTTCACTAAACGACGTTGAATATAACCTGTTTCTGCAGTTTTAACAGCTGTATCAATTAAACCTTCACGACCACCCATAGCGTGGAAGAAAAACTCTTGTGGAGTTAGACCTCTTAAATATGAGTTCTCAACAAAACCCTTTGATTCAGGAGAGTAATCATCTTTAGAAAAGTGAGGAAGAGTACGATCAACAAAACCGAAGCCAATACGTTTACCTTCGACAGACTGTTGACCTACACACGCTGACATTTGAGCGATATTAATGAAAGAACCCTTAGAACCTGCACTAACCATTTGTTTGACATTATTCAAATCCTTCAAGTTCATTTCTGCCAAACGACCGGCTCTATCTCTAGCTTCGTTTAAGAAACGAACAACATTATCTTCAAAAGATTCACGAAGAGTCATACCATGCTTGGCTGTTAATAAGTTCGCTTGGGCTTCCTTGGTAACAGCTTCGACTTTCTGCTTTGCTTCTGCAATTGTTTCACTAATTTCTCTCATAGTTTGACCATCTGCAACAGTATCACCAATACCAGTTGAGAAACCGTTGTGCAATAGCCAAAAGTTGACAACCTTTTGAATATTACCAAATAGTCTGGCGCAAATCGTTGGACCTTTTTCTCTAGTAACAACGTGGATCAAACCACCACTGGAAGAACCCACGGTCTTTTTGTCTACGACACCAAAGATAATCTCACCATCAATGACTAGCATACCGTTATCTTTTGGAGAAAGAAGAGTTGTGCCTTCATCGAATCTCTGTAAATGAATACCCTTTGGAATTGCAACTGAAAGAATTTGTTTACCAGACCATAGTGGCTTAGGTTTTATAATAGCAGGCGTTGGAATCACACCATCCCAATCTGGAACCCAGTATAACATATTTAACACTTGGTCAAACTCCAAGAAAGTATCTCTCAAGGTTAGTTTTCTGATACCACACAGAGTATCTTGCACAATACCCATACAAGGCTTATTCGATTGTGGAGAGACAATTTGTAAAGGAACAGCACACAATTGAGATAGTTCTGCTCTGGTTTCTTCTGATTGCGGTACATGCAAATTCATTTCGTCACCATCAAAATCGGCGTTATATGGAGATGTAACGGAAAGGTTTAATCTAAATGTGGAATAAGGAACAACTTTCACTCTGTGTGCCATCATTGACATTTTATGCAAAGATGGTTGACGGTTGAATAACACAGGATCATCATCCATTATATGACGTTCAACCTTCCAACCATACTGAAGTTGTACATCACCAGATCTCTTACTGTATCTCAAGTCAATACGATCACCATTATCACGGATCACATACTTGGCACCTGGATGTTCGTTAGGACCATTACGTACCAGTTGACTCAGGCGATCAATATTGTAGGGTGTTACTACTTCTGGGTATGTTAAAGTTCTAGCAATGGATTTTGGAACACCAACTTGATCTAATTCTAGGTTGGGGTCACCAGAGATAACAGTTCTAGCTGAAAAGTCAACACGCTTACCCATCAGGTTACCTCTGATACGACCTTCTTTACCCTTTAAACGGGCTCTAATTGATTTCACAGGACGACCAGATTTCTGTAGAGCTTGGGGTTGACCTGCAATATCATTATCCATATAAGTAGCAACATGGAATTGCAACAAGCTTTCTGCTTCTTCCACAGCGTGATGAGGAGCACCGTTATGTTCTAGTGTTTCCAAACTTATATTTGCCTTCAAGATATCTGCCAATTTGAATGTTAAATCATCCTCACCTCTTTGGGATTCGTTGAAGGAAATTGAAGGACGAACAGGTGGTGGTGGGACTGGTAAAACAGTTAAAATCATCCACTCAGGACGAGCAAATTCTTCATTGAAACCTAGTCTGTAAGAATCCTCAGGAGATATATGCTTAAAGATGTTGAGGATTTCCTCTGTACTTAAAACTCTTTGTTCGGGTTCATCGGCATCACCAGTACTCTTGTCCTTCTTCCAGCTACCCACAAGTTTCAAACCATCCTTACGAATAGTGGGTTGAGTGTTACCACAACCACCTCTGGAAATTAATTTGGTTGGGTCGTCTTCTGAAGGAACATCAGTCTCACAGACCATTTTTGTTTTACAAAGACTCCAAACAGCATTGAATCTTTTCTTTGGATCCTTGATTTGAATTGCTTGTCTCATTTGTTCATTATGTTCATCTAGTAATAATTTACCACAATGCATACACAAACTTTCACAAACTTTCTTGATTTTAGTAATGAAACCAATATGAAATACTGGCTTGGCTAGATCTATGTGACCGAAATGGCCGGGACATTCGTTCATACCTTCTTGACAGGTTTGACATTTCAAGTTTCTGTCAATAGAACCTAATCTTGGATCGTTAAGACCACCAATTTTAGCTCTTGTTTGTGTTTCATCCATTGTCTCAGGTAATCTAATTTTTGCAACACTGATAGCTCTGATCTCTTCAGGTGAGAACAGACCAAACTGAACCTCCTTGACTGTCCTTAATGGGGCACTAGAATATTGTTGACCTACCATATTAGAATTTTGTTTTGGGGTAATGTATGACTTTTTTTTTTAATTTTAATTTTTGGAAAATAACGCTATGATTTCGAAAATAAAAGTACGAATTTAGTCAGTCAAATTCAAGCCAAGTTCTAGAAAATAAGGGTATCAATAGCCTTCTATTCTTTATAATTAGCTTTTTAGTTTAATTTCAATGAAATCAATAATATAATACAGGAGTTTATAGTTTTTCCAATTCCCTTACAGATGTTAAGCCTTTTGGTTTATTGATATTCAAATTAAAAAGTGCTAATACCTTGAAATAAATCAATCTGTTTTATTATTCAGAGTCTTTTTTTTTCAGTTGCTTCTTAACAATTAATAATTCCTAATCTATCTTCTGAAATAATAAGGAATGGAACGGGTATGGATATTTACTTTGTTTGTACTATCACACCACTAAGTTTAATCTCAATACTTTCTGTTCTTTTCAGAATGTCTCTTATCTTCTATGGAATGGAATAATAGAAAATTTTATCTCTCCACTTTAGAAAATTCAAATCCAAAAAAAGAAAACGAATAGAATCGAATTGAGCTCTTTTTTAGTATAATTTGTACTGAAGAACCAATATAACAGTCTAAGAGTTCTCTTTTGAGTTGCCCTCTTTCTTAAAATCCTCTTCAAAGAGTCTTGGGGGGTATCCGTGTCAAGAAAAAAAGGAAAACAAATACTCTTCAGTCCTTTACGATCCACCGCTGGAAATTCTCAATAATAGTGTTCCTTATGGAGGGATAAAGGTCCTTGGTTTCTTCCGACTCAAAAGACCAAATAGAACTTGACCTGCAATCAATATGATTACTACTTTCCTTCAACTTCTGACCATATTATCAGTTTTCTTTTCATTGTTTTGTCTTCCAACATTTTTTTCCTTCTTGCTGGCCGTCGTTGCTTTCGTACAAAAAATTTAGTGAAAAAAAAAATTTATGACAAATTAAGTATGGCGTATTTACCCGGTTTTTTTTGTGGGGGAAAGGAAGTCCAGACGCCACCGTAGTGTCGTAATACGGTATATGTATAGCGACCGTGTAGTACATAGAGCTCCACTACTCACCCATTGGCCCATCTTTTTACTTTAATTCTAGACAAGTCTTTAGTATTAATATTCTAAAAGTTGTTTGACACTTTTTTTGTATTAGTTAATGTTATGTTTAGATGCTTTTATGTAGAACTTTAGCAATAATTTTTTTTTGTAATTCATATAATATACATTAGCTTCTTTTAGCCAGAGTTTTATTCTGATTCTGAGGTTAAAGGTTCCTCTGGATCAGTAAATACAGCTTCTTCTTCTTCCGCATTGTTATCTTCCCATATGCTATACTCATCGTAGCTGTCATGGGCGGGGACGTTTTCATCGAGTAATATGTCTTTGACCACACTTGTATACCTTGTTTCTTTGCCCCGTGAGGAGGTAAACCCAGTATTGAGATTCCTTATGTGTCCATTATCTGTGATGATTTCCCCTGATTGGAGGTCGATGACATCGCCTTCATCGACTACATTGGAATACTTGTCAATGATATTCGACCATACGGTTTTCATCCTCTGATCTGCAAGTTTGTGCTTCTCCATAACTTCTTCATCGGTCAGTTTTGGTATCAGCTGATTCTCCTTGGAATAGATATACGCTCTCCCGTTCTTCTTCTTCACTTCCTTATATGGATCATCTTTACTTCCGCGTTCGCATGAGTTTTCCCTCTTGCTATGCTTTTTATCGATTGAAACATCTTTCTTCTGTGGTTTGTTGTCCTTCTGAAGCAGACCAGACAATGCCTTGTGCAATTGTTTCAAGCTCTTCCCATTTTTCTTGTTTTTCTTGATCTTTATCTTGGAATTGGACATTCCAATACGCTATCCATTTCAAATTAGCAATTACCGACAATTGGATATAGTGTAATCTCGAATGTTTAGTACTACAAAGAGTAAAGCTTTTATACTAAGGAACTACAACTTCATTGCTGATCATATAGTTTGTCAATAACAGACTCGAATACAGATACCTGTCAAGCAGTAAGATTATCTGGCATCGGCATCGTGATTCGTGTATGTGTACTTTGTTTTACGACTTCATAATGTTGAGAAGGCATGAATAGTTGTCAGCAAATCGATGTATGCAATGTTAAAAAGGGCAACTTGCTGAGAAATACATATCAGAATTGTTTTGCCTAATTATTTATAAGAGTTTAAACTGCATCACTACAATATGATCTTATCAAGAGTATTACTAAGATATGTAGAATCTCTTAAATAGGCTAACGCGTGCTGTGGCCTGGCACCAGTCACTGCTGATCATACAAAATTGTGATAATGAACAGGAGTTGATAGCATGATATAGAGTTCTCCAAAAGGCAAAGCGGGAATGGGCTTCCATATGTTATAGTGCTGTCCTAGTAACAAGAACAAAAGCTAAATAAGACTCTTTGATCTCTAGTAAAGATACATAATCATTGGAAAGTTCTACAATTGCTGGCGGGGGAAACTTTCTCTTCCACATTTTCTCTACTCAACATCAGTTTGCCAGGAGCTCTGTATCTCATACACGATAATTACCACAAGTATACTCCCCCGGTTTATCTGCCAACACCTAAGATGCGGCCAAACATCCTTCCTGAGTTGCCTTAGAATACTCTGGTCCTGTTCTCCCCATTGGAGGACAATAATTTCCGTTGTGCGCGTGCTTTAGCTTGGACTACAGTACCTTTTTTCTTTGTCTTGGTGATACAGCAGTACAGCGTACGCTTGTCACTTGAAGTCAGACTGCTTTGTACAACTAGTTCCAATTGGCCTGAATTTTACTCTGTAAAGCAAAGACAATGGCACACCAGTAAATGCAGCCCTGTGTACTCCTATAAGCTGGCCCCAAAGCCCTTGTTCGTTTTCTTTCTTTTTTATAATAGTGGGGTATTATAACGGCGCAGGAATCCTCGAGAAAAGTGAAAAAGTATAGTTGCCCTTGTATGATATTCACAAAACAAAAAAAGGGATCTTGCAGCTGATTGTGCGGTATTATCTCTGTTGTTGAGAATTGCTTTTTTTTCTAAAATTTGAAAACGATAACAGTAAGTGTATTATGATAGTACTCGAGCCTAGTCAAAGGTCTACACACAATATATTTGCTTCTTGTGGTAGTTGCGGGATTCTAGTTTTGATGCTGATTTCGGTGTCTGAATCTAACTTGTAGAACAACATTTTCTTTTTTCTTTGAAAGTTATTGTGAGATGGGCCACATGGCGGGTGAGACCAGTGTCAAAAATCAATCCTTTTGGATTATTTTAGCTGGGGAAAGCCTGATAGGAAAAGAAAGAAAAACCCAGGTGTCATTGTACAAGAGTTCATTCTTTGTACTATAGAATAGAGTTTTCCTTTTCGATTTTGCGAGAGGCAATAAAGAGTAGTACAGAATATACCGCTACGTTTATTTAACCATTTGATCTGGGGATCAAGGTGAATGTCCATAAAAAAACTGGATTATCACTGCATATATTCTTCATCCTCTTACTGAAATACTGCTTATTGGTAATAGTGCTGAAGTCAGATCGATTTGTTTCCTGTGCTATAACACAGAACTGAAATAAAGTCACTCAGTGCTTCATTGCTTGACTTGAGCGAAGAAAAGAGAACAAAAACAGTGGGGTTGGTTTAAACTTTAAAGCAATTAGGAATTTTTGTTGAACATTACCATAAAGCTTTGAAGACTGCGATTTAAATATAAAGATTTAATTCCTTTGTGTCCTTTACAGTTACAACAAGTTTGGAGGTTTTGAGTTAGGATTTAGAACAGCCTTCGATGTCGAAATAGTTTCCTATTTGAATCATAAGGATAACAGTCTTTACAATTATTTAGATTATTGAAAACAAAGAAACGACCATATATCAGTTGAACAATAGAAATGGATTCTAGCTTCGAAATACTCCCGTACCGTGGTGACGATCAAATACCGAGAGTTGATAGTGGCGGGTTGCGAAGACGAGCATCACAGACAATAAATACTAATCATGATGACACTTGTGTTGATATAGATGCCTACAATAGTGGTATAGATGTGTCAAGTAAGAATGAGTATCTTGGAATCAATACCGCAGACGATGATAATGAATATGGTAACGGTGGAATGCAAAATTATGAAGGACCTGTGAATGAGCAAGCTATCCATTGTCAAACCAACGATATATCAGAAAATGAAAATAATCTACAGTTGCTTGGACAGCCATTGCCACTTCGTTCAACTATGATGACCACGTTTGTGGGACTTTTCGTTGCCGTTGGTGGGTTTTTATATGGTTATGATACAGGTCTGATAAATAGTATAACTGATATGAAATACGTTAAAGAACACATTGCACCAAATCACTCATTCTTTACTACAACACAGATATCGATGCTGGTGTCATTTTTATCATTGGGCACATTTGTAGGCGCCCTCATTGCTCCATGGATTTCAGATATTTATGGAAGAAAGTCAACAATTATATTCAGTACTATGATCATCTTTTCGATAGGTAACTCTCTGCAAGTAGCAGCTGGCGGGCTGGCATTGTTAATTGTTGGGAGGGTAATATCTGGTATTGGAATAGGTATAATATCTGCTGTAGTTCCCCTTTATCAGGCTGAAGCTGCACAGAAGCACATGAGAGGAGCCATTATTACTACCTACCAGTTGGCTATTACTTTAGGATTACTCGTTTCAAGCGCAGTGTCACAAGGCACAGAGTCTATCAATGCTCCGAGTTCATACAGAGTTCCCATAGGATTACAGTATGTCTGGTCTGTTGTTTTAGGTGTTGGAATGGTTTTTTTACCAGAAAGTCCTCGGTATTATATAATGAAGGATGAGATAGAAGAAGCAGCGAGAAGTTTATCGTTCTTGAGAGGTATCTCTTTAGAAGATCCAAGGCTCTTAGAGGAACTAGTCGAAATTAAAGCTAACTACGATTATGAATCCTCATTTGGTCCTGTATCAATATGGGATTGTTTCAGATCCAGTGAGCAACGTCCAAAGCAGGTGCTGAGAATGTTTACTGGGATATCTATACAAGCTTTCCAACAATTTTCTGGTATTAATTTCATCTTTTACTATGGTGTTTATTTCTTCAACAAGACAGGTATTAAAAGTAGTTACCTGGTGTCGTTTGTCACTTATGCTGTGAATGTTGCATTCAACATACCAGGGATGTTTTTAATTGACTATTTAGGGAGAAGAAAAGTATTAATCTTCGGTGGCATTGCAATGACTGCTTGCAACTTTATTATTGCCATTGTGGGTGTTTCTGCCAAATCCATTGTTTCAAATAATGTAATGATTGCATTTATTTGTGTTTTCATAGCAGCCTTCTCGAGTACATGGGGTGGTGTTGTATGGGTAATCTCTGCAGAGCTATTTCCCTTGGGTGTGAGATCAAAGTGCACTGCTATATGTGCGGCAGCCAATTGGCTAGTTAACTTTGTCTGTGCATTGATGACTCCTTATATTGTCGATACAGGATCAAACTACACATCTTCGATGGGTACCAAGATATACTTCATTTGGGGAAGTCTGAATGCCCTTGGAACTATAGTTGCATATCTGACAGTGTATGAGACGAGAGGGTTGACGCTTGAAGAAATCAATGAGTTGTACGTTAACTCACCCACACCATTTGCGTCGAACGAATGGAATAGAAAGATTCGCACAGAATCCACGATCCCACCTATGGTACATGACCATGAACTAGATAACCACATTGTGCCAACAATGGACAACATTCTCCATAGCAGAAATCCAAACCAGCCATACTCTTCAGATGAGAACCAAGATGTTATAGTAGGGGAAGACAAGCTGGACTTGGAGCAAGGCTACAATAAGGAGATTCACAACCACAGGGATGATAACAACGTATCGCCAATACCATTCCTCCAGGAACAAAATGGGAAAGAATTCAGCAATGGTGCTGATTTCAGCCCATCGACACACTCAACTTTTGCCTTGACCGAGCACATACCAGCGAACTACGTGGAATTGGGGAACGGATTTGGATTAAACACATACAGGGGCGGGCCCCCATCCATCTCCGATTCTAGTGATGACGATCATTGCACACACTGGCAAAGCCCAGAGAATGGATCACCTATATACCATGAAATTCTGTCCTCTAACGACACGAATAGTGGCACTTACAACAAGAACTCTGAAAATTTATAGAAGCTGTATATACATATACAAAAATCGAAATACGAATTAATGACAAACATTTCCACCTTCGAATCAGCTATGCACAACGAATAAACATGAATGCAAGGACTGACAGCACATATAGAAGCTATTTATAACTGGCGTCATAATGTAGTCCGGGTAATTACTGTCCTCTCGCTGTCACGTTGCAATCGACTTTTGCAGCAATAGCACTTTCGAAGTGAAAAAAAAAATTGAAGTTTCCACAGAGAGCGTCACTTTTTGCATTTGGTGCAGAGAAGGATGCGCACAAAGAGTGATTCGCGTGGGATGGGCAAACTTAGTGAGAGATAATGAAGATGCACTTGGAATCATTTATAGTAGTTCTTACCTGATTTCTTGGTTCTTATAATGAAATGTAAATGCAAGTAGGTAGATAGCAGCATTGGGATATTAAGCGGAGGTGAAAATCAAGAGACACTGGTATATAGTATTTATCTTGTTTTCCGCAACATAGATTTTACACACTGCAGCATTGCATTAATACGGGAAAGAGCATCCAGGGCAGCATAGAATCTAGTCTAGCATATTGCATTCATTAGTCTTTTTTTGTTACAGGTACTGTACTCATCATATTGAAGTTTCGAGATAACCTAAGCCAACCATAATTTTTTATTCTAGGTAGAAACTTGGTATTATAGGAAAATAGAATAATGACCAAAGAGTCAACATTGGCACAGATCCAGGAGATATCTACTATGGTTTCAGAACACACAAATGATGGGAAGTTGAGGTTGAAGTCCTCTATACCGAAACCACTTGAAGCGTCAGAGGTGGAGTACATAGCCAAGAAGGCCTCTTGGGATCGTAAGATGGGCAAGCTCGAGTACATCTTCTATAAATCACTCCTGGTGATACTGTTTACCATATATGGAGTATTCAGGTTTTTCCAATACCGGTACAATAGACTGAGGTTGAGTATACTGACTATTGTTAACAATCCGGCTAATACGCCTCAATTAATAAAGCAGGATGTCAAGGGACTTAAAAAACTACCTAAACAACTCGGAGCAATCTTAGAGGACAAACCTAGCTACACTGTTGGAGGTGGGTTGAAGGGTCTACTAGAAGAAGGTAGTGAGATCGTTTGTTGGTCTGTCTGTGCGGATATCAAGCATGTCTCGCTGTATGACTATAATGGATTATTGGCAACAAATGTAGACGAGTTTAGAAAAGCCGTGCATCACAAATTGGCCAAGTACTACGGGCCCCAAAATATACCGAGTTTCACCGTCAAGGTACCTCATCTGCATAAGGTGTATGAAGATATATCGAAGGTGGGCGATGAGGAAAAGAAATCAGTGATTGAGATATCACTATTGAGTGCATTCGATGGTCGTAAAACTATAGTGGAACTATTCAAGACGGTTTCTGACTTGAAGGACAAGAAAGAAATCCAATCTTCCGATCTGACAATGGAACTTTTGAACACACAGCTAATTGAACTAGTGGGGCAAGAACCAGACTTAATACTCTGTTTTGGACCCCGTCTAGATCTAACCGGTTACCCACCATGGCATATCCGTCTTGCTGAGATGCACTGGGAGATGGATAATAACGAGGTACTGTATGCAGTATTTATTAGAGGGCTACGCAATTACTCTTCTGCTAAGATGAATGTTGGAAAGTAGCCCTAATAAGAAAATATAAGGCAAAAATAGATACATCATGATCAATATTTATATAGAAATCTACATCGATCCTTTGAGTCTAGTCTACGATACACTCTTGAGCAATATTAACATAAAATATGAGATTAACAATGATTTGTATGACACCATAATTATATGTCATCTATCACGAACTCAGATGGCTTTGTGCGGCGTGAGGAGATTCTTTTCTTAAATTTTCAGCCGGAAATAGGAAGAGCCAAGGACAAGGCAATCGAGAGGGCAAATCCAAACTGAGTTTCTGCCAGTGTCGTTGGCGTGTCATTACAATAAGAGACAGCATTGTAATATATATAAGTTTAAGTGTAGCATTTCCTTTGCGTCTCAGATAGAAAGTACTTGAGAGATTTGGTGCGAAAAAAGTATGTTGAAAGATAACTGGTAACGCCAAAATTTAGTTATCCGTGTTTTAATTTGATTTTGATCCCAATTAAACTAGGCAGCACACTTATGATAAGGTAAATAAATGGATTTCTGAGTAGAACACTCATTTTATGTTTAATATCATGGCTGTACAATGGCTATTGAAGAGTGAGGATGTTGAAAGATCAATTACTGAGACCAATTCTGTTATAGTGAACGGAGAGGGGTTGGGGGGGCAGAAATCGATCGTGTCCTTTTGATAACGATAGAGTGTTGTAACTGTGCTGTGTTAAAAATGGAACTGTCGGATTCAATTCTTTGAAGTAGTTGAATATATTACTAACTATTTGTAAACCGTTACTTTGTTAGGATTACTATTGACCTTTATTATTCTTCAAGATCGGTGCATTTTGTCAATTTTGCCAAGGAGTGATTTCTTTTATAACGCGTAACTTCTCTACAGCACTGTTAAACGTATTATTTTCCTTTGCATGGTGAAAACTGGATCCTACGATCTTGTTACTTGCTTATGGTATGGAAAGTGATGTGAGTAATTGTGTAGCAAATCTTTTGACAAAATACCTGATCAGAACAATACAATAGTCTTATAATAAAGTCTGGTTAAATTGAATTAATACAGCCTAGACAAATAATCAAATTTATCACATAACAAAAAAATGGGTCTTTTCGCTTCAAAGTTGTTCAGCAACTTGTTTGGTAACAAGGAGATGCGTATCCTGATGGTCGGTCTTGATGGTGCTGGTAAAACCACTGTTCTTTACAAGCTGAAGTTGGGTGAAGTCATCACTACCATTCCAACCATTGGTTTCAACGTTGAAACTGTGCAATATAAGAACATCTCCTTCACCGTCTGGGATGTTGGTGGACAAGACAGAATCAGATCTCTATGGAGACACTACTACAGAAACACTGAAGGTGTTATCTTTGTTGTTGACTCCAACGATAGATCTCGTATTGGTGAGGCTAGAGAAGTTATGCAAAGAATGTTGAATGAGGATGAATTGAGAAATGCAGTATGGTTAGTTTTCGCTAACAAGCAAGATTTGCCAGAAGCTATGTCTGCCGCTGAAATTACTGAAAAGTTGGGCTTGCACTCCATCAGGAACCGTCCATGGTTCATCCAAGCTACCTGTGCTACTACCGGTGAAGGTTTGTACGAGGGTCTAGAATGGTTAAGCAACAATTTGAACAACAAGGAATAAATTTAGAGTTTCTTATGGCGGGTATATTACCACTGTACTATGGGATTCAAATTATTACTTGATTCGTTTAATAATAGTCATACTACTTAGAAGTGTTTTGTTATATTTCTCCATTTCATAACTATATAATTTGTCTTTCCCAAAAAAAATAAAGAATGTTAAAAGTCTCGAATAAGTAATTTATTAAATTAATAATACGGCTTAAATAATGTACTGATGGAATTTCTAGTAAGAGTAAAGAAGGCTCAATCAAGTACTTGCCAATTATAAAAAACTATAGATATTGGAATAAAATTCTAACTTTATGCTAATATTGATGACTTAACCGTTATCATGTTCGTATTAAATATTATGACTCTAGTCCTTCAAAATTTTAACGTGACTGCCCTGGAGGGTATGCTAAAAGAAATTCCAAGACTTAATTTAACTAACAAAATGTAAAACACCCATAATAAAGAATTAGAATTATATAAAGGCTGCATAGGCACCCCCAAACGAAGCAAACTCAGAGACTGTGTAACAGGATTGCAGGCTCTTTATGATCCTATAGGCATTTTGGTAGAGAATTCAGGTGGCACCATTAATTTATTTGGAACGCATGCGTTATTATAACATTTCGATATCTAGTACTTAACTTTGCATAAAATGATGATTATTTTTTGGTTTTTGTAATTACAGTATGTAGAATATTACTCAGTTCTTAATTGGTTTTTCTTCCAAAGAGTTCAAGAAACGCTCTACAGAAAAATAATTAATAGCGATCATAAGAAGTAATCTGGGGTCTTTCTACTAACTGTAGGCTCACCTGGTCTGACAGATGGATCGTACTGCAAAAATTGTCTATTATGATTTTCGTCGACCTCCATTATTGCGGCTTGGTTACCACATCTATAACAGTAGTTTGGTGCACTGAATATGGTAACGACGTTTTGTTGATGGGACCAGGCGTAACCTTCCATGACCAGCTGGTGTGCTCTTGCAACTAAAGATAGATCATTTGTATGGTTGAATTGTTCACTAATGTCCTGGCCAAAGGTGAAACCAGCACCTCTAGGACTGATACCCCACCCGCCTCTATCATCTGGGTCTGACCACAGCAGATCACACATGGGACCCTCGTGTGGAACTTCTTGTATTCTGTTCAATTCTCTTACTTGGTCGACAGTTTCTATCATTGGAGACAAACCACCGTGAAGACAGAAGATCTTATTGTCGACTAGCGCTGTTATTGGGAAGTAGTCGAACAGGTCTGTGAACATCTTCCAGACGTTTGCACTACCGTACTTCCTGAGACATTCATCGTAAAACCCGTACACCTGTGTAATTTGTCTTGATTCGTGATTACCTCTTAGAATCGTAATTCTATGTGGATACCTTACCTTCATAGCAACTAGATATGACACGGTTTCCACAGAGTAGTAACCTCTATCTACGTAATCACCCATAAATAAGTAGTTTGTGTCCGGACAAGGACCACCGATCTTGAATAGTTCTATCAAATCGTGGAACTGCCCATGCACGTCACCACATATGGTAACTGGAACGTTGATAGGTTGAACGTTCTCTTCGAACTGCAGGACCTCCACAGCCATCTTACAAAGCTTGGAAACATCGTCCTCCGATAGTATTTCACACTTGCCCAGGTGTTCTATCCACTGGTCCAGCTGATTGATGTTGCTGGAGTTCAGCTCAAACCCTTTGTTACCACCTTTGCCAGAGTCCAACACAGCACCTTGCGAAGGATGCGCATCCTTGAAGGCCTCGTCAACCTCATCACCTATGCTGTCATTGGCAGCCTCCGCATTACCTTCAGTCGGCGTCAATTGATCAACCGCATCATGCATAGGAACATCCATATCCATATCCATCACTTATAGTCTCCTTTTGGTCCTAACTTCGCTTTTTGCCTTACCCGTAAAGTACCGTTCTCTTCCCTGTCTCTCAATAGGTAGGACTGAGTTATATATTTTCTGTAGACCCGTAATGTAGACCTATCCTGTATCCTTGCAACCGCTCCACAGCACGTATATTCAACAGCTTCTCTCCCATTATAGCTCCTTCCCTTTTCCCAAAACAAATTGTCATCCAACTTTTTTTTTCTTCTCTCCTTCTACTCTTTCCCTGAGCTGGCAGGGGAACTTACCCGGCTACTCGTTACCGGTGACGATAATACCAGGGGACCGGTGATGCCTTAAGCGAGCAAGTTGTTGGATGTTATTTATGATTTATCGTGTCTTCACTGTTGTAATGCTATGTTATCCAGTACTGTCAGTGCTGCGTCAGAGGCGCTATCGTGTGCATCCCGTTTTTTATGTGTCAATTGGGCGTGTGTTTCCACTTGGAGTTGGCCTTTCTTTTGGTTCTAGCCAAAGTGTGAAGAGATCAATGGATAACAACGGCTTCAAAGAAACTGTAGAGTAGCAAATCCGACTGGAGTGACTCCATGGTCTTTGTTCGATGCTAACACTGTCAAATGGTGGACTATGTGGATGTCCCTGCAATCACTTCTGACTAAACTTATCACCTTTGCAACGCTTCTCGTGTGGGAACTTTTGCCCAAATTCATCCCTCAATTGCTTTTATTTCAGGATAGTGTGTATTTATGTTGGAATTACACAATACAAAGAAGGGCAACACAGAGAGAACAGATCAAGAAACAGAAATCATACTAGTAGCAAATGGCTGGTGCTATGGAGAATGCTCGCAAAGAGCTGAAGAGATTGTCCCTTGACGACGAGGCCGGCGAGTCCCAATACGGTGCTATCTACAGTGTCTCTGGTCCCGTTATTGTTGCTGAGAACATGATCGGGTGTGCCATGTATGAGCTGGTGAAAGTCGGCCACGACAACCTGGTCGGTGAGGTCATTAGAATCGACGGCGACAAGGCCACTATCCAAGTCTATGAAGAGACCGCGGGTGTCACCGTGGGTGACCCTGTGCTAAGAACCGGTAAGCCATTGTCTGTTGAATTGGGTCCCGGTCTGATGGAAACGATCTACGACGGTATCCAAAGACCATTGAAGGCCATTAAGGAGTCCTCCCAATCCATCTATATTCCAAGGGGTATCGACACACCCGCTTTGAGCAGAGACATCAAATGGCAATTCACCCCAGGAACTTTCAAGACCGGTGACCACATCTCAGGAGGTGACATCTTCGGTACCGTGTTTGAAAACAGTCTAGTGGAGAGCCATAAGATCCTGTTGCCACCAAGAGCTAGAGGTACTATCACCTGGATTGCCCCAGCTGGCGAGTACACTGTCGATGAAAAGATCCTAGAAGTTGAGTTCGACGGTAACAAATACGACTACACAATGTTCCACACCTGGCCAGTCCGTGTGCCAAGACCGGTGGCAGAGAAACTATCAGCAGATTACCCATTGCTAACAGGTCAAAGAGTCCTGGACTCGTTGTTCCCTTGTGTCCAAGGTGGTACCACATGTATCCCAGGTGCGTTCGGTTGTGGTAAGACAGTTATTTCACAATCCCTATCTAAATATTCTAACTCCGATACAATTATCTACGTCGGTTGTTTCGCTAAAGGTACTCAAGTGCTCATGGCTGATGGTTCCAACCAATCCATTGAAAATATAAAGATCGGTGACAAGGTAATGGGCCAAGACGGTAAGCCTAGAAACGTTACAGCACTTCCAAGGGGTTATGATGATATGTACAACGTTGAATTGGATGGTGAAACTGACCTGTCTTACACATGTAACTCTAACCACACGTTGGTGTTGAAGACTGAACAAAACGTCCTATTGGCCGGCAACACTGTCTCTTACTTCGCATTGGGTGCACTAATAGACGAAACCAACGGCCGTGCTGTGGAGATCGTACAAGAAGTTCAAGAAACTTTCGAAAGTAACATTAGCGCATCAGATTTTGCCGCCAACATTAACAGAGAACCAATTAGCTGGACTTTGGAAATCAGAGACATTGATTACTTATCTGAACGTGTGCGCATGTTCACCAAGCAATCTGTCAACCCTGTTCTGTTAGAGACTCCAACATTGGCCAAACAGCTGGAATCTAACGAATCTACTGCTACCAACTTGGCTTACCTTTTGGGTACCTGGATTGCTTCAAAGGCTACCACAGCAGGCACAATTTCAGTACCTACAACTAAAGCAGATCTATTATCAAAGGTGAAATCTGCTTTGTCAAGTTTAAGCATTGACTACTCCTCCGAAAGCATCAACTCCGTCTCCACATATAGAAGAACACAATCAATTCCATTAATGGAAAATGGTAAACATGTTGGCAATGCTAACATAACTGCTGAACAAGAAATTGAAGAAACTATGGAAGTGCTTTCCCTAAATGTCACAAATCACTCATCTAAACTCTTCCACGATCTAGCATTATCTATGATCAACCAAGATGGTTCCAGAAGTATCCCATCCGCCTTCACACATGAACAATTATGTGTTCGTGAAAGTTTCGTTGCTGGTATTCTAGATATGCAAGGTTGCAATATTGAAAACGGTGTCGAAATTGACTCTTCTATTAATGGCTTGGCTAAACTATCCCGTTCATTAGGTTTACGTTGTAACAAATCATCCAATTTGTTGAAATTGTCTGGTAATATGTCCAACATTTCAGCCCAATCCACCAACAACTGGACTTCCACTGAAGATAACTCAAGCGCATACAAGGCCCAATTAATGGACTTCTCTGTACAAAAGCTACCAAAGGACAACTACTACGGTGTCACCCTGGATGATGACTCTGATCATCAATTCCTATTGTCTAACTTAGTTCTGGTCCACAACTGTGGTGAACGTGGTAACGAAATGGCTGAAGTTTTGATGGAATTCCCAGAATTATACACAGAAATGAGCGGTAGAAAGGAACCAATTATGAAGCGTACAACATTGGTTGCTAACACATCTAATATGCCTGTCGCTGCCAGAGAAGCTTCTATCTACACAGGTATTACACTAGCAGAATATTTCAGAGATCAAGGTAAGAATGTTTCCATGATTGCTGATTCATCCTCCAGATGGGCTGAGGCTCTAAGAGAAATTTCCGGTCGTTTAGGTGAAATGCCTGCAGATCAAGGTTTCCCTGCTTATTTGGGTGCCAAGTTGGCCTCTTTCTACGAAAGAGCTGGTAAGTCTGTCACTTTAGGTTCTCCAAACCGTGTAGGTTCTGTTTCTATTGTTGCCGCTGTTTCCCCAGCTGGTGGTGATTTCTCTGACCCAGTTACAACTGCCACTTTAGGTATCACCCAAGTTTTCTGGGGTCTTGATAAGAAATTGGCCCAAAGAAAGCATTTCCCATCGATCAACACATCAGTATCATATTCTAAGTACACCAATGTCTTGAACAAGTTCTACGATTCCAACTACCCAGAATTCCCAACCCTGAGGGACCGTATGAAGGAAATTCTGTCAAATGCTGAAGAACTAGAACAAGTCGTGCAATTGGTCGGTAAGTCTGCTTTGTCAGATAGTGACAAGATCACATTAGATGTTGCTGCTTTGATCAAGGAGGATTTCTTACAACAAAACGGTTACTCTACATACGATGCCTTCTGCCCAATTTGGAAGACCTTTGACATGATGAGGTCTTTCATTGCTTACCATGACGAGGCCCAAAAGGCTGTTTCCAATGGTGCTAACTGGACCAAGCTTTCAGAAGCCGTCAGTGATGTGAAGCACTCTGTGTCATCATCCAAGTTCTTTGAACCAAGCAGAGGTGAGCAGGAAGTCCACGAAGAGTTTGAAAAACTTTTGAGCAATATGCAAGAAAGATTTGCTGAGTCTACAGATTGAGAGAAACCATTATCTGTGCACATTTAAACTTATAAAACAACAAAACAACAATGATATAAAAAACTTCTATAACCATATCATACCAAGAAAGGCTATTTTAGCACAAAAAAATTTCCTCTGATTACTACTATGTTTTTATCTTTTCCATCATCAATTTTATATTATTATATTTTATATCTTACTGTTCCTATATAATTTAAAAGACAACAAAACATCATTAATCTTTAAGTCAAAGCATAGGCATAAGAAATTGCCCATCTGTAGTTCCAATTGGCGTGGAGGGGGTGAGGGTATACCATTTCGTATGAAACGAACAGTGACGATGACGTTACCTATACTATATACTATACTCACGTCTAATATAATAATGAGTGGGGAAAAAAATAAATATCGGCTAGTGTTTTCAAAACGATCCAAAAAGTAATATATTTTTAAAATTAAGTTTATATATAAATCTTAAAACAATTAACTCCTAGATACTATTTTATTAATAAATTTTTTTTTCATTTGATAATGCAAGTTAATGCAAATATATCAAATCAGGTCGGTTTAACGAGCCAGAAAAGATATAAGCGCCCCACATGGAGGGGCTATTACAGGAAAGAATTTGAAAATCACAACATTTTAGTAAAAAAATAAAGTTCTTAAATCAATTCAATCCGCTTATTTGGATCTAGCTCTCACCTTCCGTCTCTTTCTCTTAAGTCTTCTAACTCTCTTCTTTCTCCACTTAGCACGCATCGTGAAATGTATGTTAGTGTATTGGTGTTATTAGACAAGAAGAGAAGAATAGAACTAAGTTAAAAAAGAGGGAATTAGAAGAAAACTTTACAATTAGAAATAGTTAGTATCCTTATATACTCGATGATCGTCACTTTGTCAAAATTTTTTCTTTCATTGCTTGTGCTTGACCAATTTCCACAAAGTTTTTTTTGCATTTTTGCATTTTCCCACTTTGGCCGGCTTCTCACCATCCTTACCTCCCCTCCCACTACCTTTGCCCCCCCCCCCCTTCCTCCCAAGCACACAAATGAAATAATTTTCAGATTTACCCTGACAATTAATAGCTACTGCTGCTGTTTCTTACGCCCTCATCTCATCGTCTTGCTCCGAATACACTAAAATATACGTACAAAGCATAGTTCCCTCCCTACTGCCCTACTTGAAACCTTCGTCAGTTCGTCTTTGGATCCCTCCGCTATTTTCTTGCCAAGTTCTGTAGTTTTTGTCTTTCTACGTGGCTTTCTCTCTATGAGTGCTTTCTGTGTGTGCTTTCTGCAATGAACAGATAATAACGGGGAGGAGGGTTACCCAACAAAGCAATAGAAGTTACATTACCCGGCCCCTCTTTTATTTTGGGTAGTTGGCGTTGGGAGTTTACTATCTCCCTTGTGCGGGGTTTTCTATGTATTTCTATATGCTTTCACAAGACAAAGAATGCTGAGTACTAGGATTACCCGCTTTCTTTGGGCTATTTACCGCTTCATTGGTGCGCGCTTTTCTAGCTACCCTTTAGATCTATTGGGTCTGTGGTGTGCCGGTAAATTTGCATTTACCTGATGTGCCTAGACATGTACGTGGAAGATAATTTACTTATGGCCCTTTTCGTCTGCGGATTTAAATTTTCATTTTGAAGCTGTTGCGATAGCTCTCTATTGGCATCTGTACGGCTGTTTCACTCAATGAGAACCAAACTACCTTACGATCTTTATTATATGGTTCCCCCTCTCACCCTACATTGTTCTTTTACTTAGTATTTTGGTAGATAATGCACAGAAAGTCGTGCACAGGTCTTGCAATTGTATCCTCAATCCCCCCATGTACTGCTTTTCCTCTTACAGTAGTGTAGTGCCTAATCCGGTAAAAGTGCTGCCGGTAAAAAGAGAAATCACATCTGGAAAATTGTGCTCACGTCTGTTCTTTTTTTTCCATGAATTGAGGCTACTAGAGATTGATTTGAATGGGGGTATGGGTGTTAAAACATATTGTGACTGCTTTTTTTTTACAACTGCCATCGTGTCCCCAACTATCCACTTACGTGTTGCTGCACAAAACCAGTACATCACAATGCGGGATGTGAATGCAATGCCTTGAAACAGATAAATTAGGGCTTTCTGTCAAAATCTTGACTGTTATCTCAAATGTTGGCCCTTATATGTGCGAAAATGCTTAATTAGGGTTTGCGTTTGCTCTTACTACAATGATGCCGCTAAACTACCATATTGAATAACAGGGCAAGAGCACATTCATAGTACAGCAAGGAAATACATGTTATTATATTACATACTGCCGTTAAAGATCTTGTATTAGGTTTTTGCTATATCGAATATATACTAAGAGTTCGTCATATACCATCAGTCTTCTTTGACCGAGCCGTGGCTTTGGCGGATAGCTTTCTTCAGCTTGTTCTCTATCTCTTGGACTTCCAATTGGTCTAGCACTATTGGTAGTTTTTCCTCAGTGAGTCCGTTGTCCCCTTCAGACATAACCGTCGGCACGGAATAGAAGAAGATATCTGACGCTTCTTCGTTTACTATCTTCTGCAAGTGTCTCGCGCCTAGAAATGCCTTCAAGTTACAGTAGAGCCTGTACATCAGGTAGAAGCCCGGAACATTGGGGACCACCGGAAGAAGAACAAGGGGTATAGTGAGTGGCAACCCCAACGCACAATATATCATATGCTTCTTGTGATAAGCCAGGCCATTTTCACTCAGCTCTCTAAGTGATTTTATCAGTTGCGACGTTGGGATCGAGGGCCCGTCTATAGGGTAGTAGATATGCAATGGCAGCAAGTGGCTCTTAGTCAGCTCGCTACTCTGCTGATACTCCTTCAGCGTAATCCTATCCCCATCATCCTTCAGCCTTTTCAACAGAGAGCTCTCGTTCGGAACACTGATCAAACTATCCTCACTCCACGGCACTGTATCCAGCAACTTAGTAATATACAGCACAATCTTCTTGTTATAGCTCTTGCTTGAGTTCTCTAGCTTGCTCCACAACTTCAAGGACTTGTCTATGATCCACTTCTCAGAGCGTATTATCCTCGATTGCCGGTTCACGAGGTCATCACCATGCTTATAGTATACAAAAACATCCTTCTCCTTCACAGGCAACACCAGCAACTTGATGGGATCTTTCAGGTACTGCTGCAACGTCCTGGACTCGAAGTGTTGGTGGTACAACCGTATTTGAACCCTACTCCTAACACTCCTCAACATTGTCTACTCTATCTCTGGGTTACCCAGGCTCATAAAGAAAACCCTTCTCAAACATCAAAGTGTCAATGCCCTATATATACTTAATTACACCAGCTCATCGCCTGGCCCCCCCGCCCCCACACCCACGCCCACAAGTGGCTTCACGAGAAACCTCTAGGGAGGCATCGAGAAAGTATCGCGGCCCTAAGACTGTGAAGCCCTATCTCCCTTAACCCCTAAAATAAGCTTCAAGAAGAGCCCTAATCGCAGGAAACACAGAAGATATACGGCAAGAAGTGACAATCATTCAAACCATCAAAGCCGTGCGGCCCAATCAGTAGCGGGCAAATGCCTTATTCCTTATCCACCAACTGCTTCCCTACTACCACTATACTGTCTCTGACAGGGGAAGTGCTTCTTCAAAAGTCAGAGATCTTGCGCTTCAATTGTTCGGTCACCCAGACCCCACATTATATACAGGCTCTAACAAGGTTACACGGCTGTTTTTGTGCATAAACCTACTGGACCCAACCCCATCGGCTGAACAAGAATTAATTGCGGGGGGCCAGTAAGGGCCAGTAGGGGCCAGTAGGGGACAGGGAGCCGGCGAAGGCACCTTGTTGTGGAGTAGCCAATGACGGATACCATGTGAGAGTACGTATAAGATGTCTTATGTTTATATAGAATGTTATAAGAATGCCTGGATCATGCCTTTGAGTATGGTTATGTGATGTATTTGTATGAGGTGTGTGTTATTTACTGTATTTATGCTTGATATCACCTGAAAAAAGTGTCAGTAATGCTTATATTGCTGGTGACACCTTTATACCTCTCCTTTAAATAATTAGGGTTTCTTCTATTGAGTTCATTTTGGGAAACTCTCAACTTGATAATGAACATAATTGGATTTAAATAGGTGAAGAAGGGATTAGGATATCCACGAGATAGGAAGTTGTCTTTGTGATTGTAGGTTTTCATTCAATTCCTTAATACCCTAGCGATCTCAGCTAGAGTACCATATTTCTTGTTTCTGGTGTTCTTGTTGGTGACTGTGCCCCAGTCACTGGTCTCGGTAAGGTCGCCCAGCTGGGTCTCTTTCAGCACTTGCTTGTAAGTCTTGGCATTGCGGCTCTGCTCCTTGAATAAGCTCTGCATGTACTCCCGTACCTCGTCTCTATTGTATGGTCTCTGCTTCTTAGGTTGTCCTGAAACTGACGATGTTGGCGACGTGCTAGCACTGCTCTCGTTACCACTCCGCCTCTCTTGGTGGGATTTCTGTGTGGGAGTAGGGGCCTTGACAATCACAGTCTGCTGCTGATTTTTCAATAACGATTGCTTGGGTATAGCCCTGGAGGCAGCTTGGGCCCACCCTGTAAGCTTTGGCTTCTGAACTGGTGCTGGAGTAGACATAGGTATGTGGTTCTGTGTGCAGTTATATATAGTTATTTCAAGATTGGAAGGGGCCAAGCTCAATATCTGAATGCAAACTACTTTTGTAATCAACGGCTAACGCAGTCCTCGATCTATGTTTGCGTGCTCCCGATGGCCTACCCGTCACAATTGGTCCCACATAGGTCCAGTCCAGAAACAGGTACTTGCTTTTTTCCAAAGAACAAAGATCGAATATTATCACTATTGACAATATCATGTGATACACTCTTCAGATCATAATTTTTAATTGGTTTGAATCACATGACCAAGCAAAGAAATATCTTTCAACAATGCATCGATGCATAGCATACTGTGCCACTAAATGTATGATGTAAAATGACCATTAGACTAGCTAGTCTGGCACAAGGGTTTAGGAGTGCGACCATGCTAGCTTTTCTACCAACCAGTTTGATCATGTGAGTGAGAAAGAGTCACTCATTTGCACTCGTCTGGCACAAGAATCGTGGGGCTTTTTTTAGTCACTACCCCAGTTACAAATACTCATTGCAAATCCCATCACATCTGAAATGAGAATCTTCACACAACTATTTTCCAGAACCGATGTTCCATTACTGTGTACCTCAGGACAGGGGCCAGCTGTACGGGCTTCTCTTCTCTACCTCCTTTCAATAAGAGCAAATCCTGTCATTCCCACCTAGAGGGGCAGCTCGCATTGATCTTCATCTTTAACTGGTATTTGCAAAGAAATAGGGTCGATCCTCTTCTCTTATGAAGACACTCTAGCCCTCCCCACCGGATGAGCATCGCTAACCCCCTCACAGACACCCCTATTATAGCAAAGATCCTATAAAACTTAACTCTTATGCCTTTTCTGCTATGAGCATTGCGTAAGCCCACTTGATTGCTATAGCCCATGCTATTCTTGCCTATCCCATTGCCAATCTCGTTCCTTATTCAACAAGGAAATGCCCTTCTCAAGAACTCTACTTTAGATATCTTTGGGGACTATGATTACTATTCTATCAAATATTGGGAATAACTTCAGGGGGGAAAAGCCAAAACACCTGTATTACGTATAGTGAACTATACTCCTATCTTTTACAATAGGATCGTGATGGGTTGTAGCACTTAAACACATATATAAGGCTAATAGAAATTGGGACAAACAATTCTTGTCGTTGGTCTTCCCTGTATTTAAAGCAGTACTTTGGACAATTCGCAATCTTTGCTATAGTTCATAAAACAGCAAGACATCAATATATATAACAAGAAATAAAATTTACACAATGGGTTCTCATGAAGGCATCGACACTGACGTTATCTCTCTACCAAGATTTATTATAGAATACCAGAAACGTGTACATAATGCCACTGGTGAATTTACTCTGGTTCTGAATGCTCTACAGTTTGCATTCAAGTTTATTGCCCATGCAATCAGACGTGCTGAATTGATCCACCTGGGCGGTCTTTTTGGTACATCCAATGCCACTGGTGATGAACAGAAGAAACTGGATGTCATTGGTGATGAGATCTTTATCAACACAATGGAGTCCAGTAATTGTGTCAAGATCTTGGTCTCTGAAGAGCAAGAAGACATGATTGTCTTTGAACACAACACTGGCAATTATGCTGTCTGCTGTGACCCTATCGATGGTTCTTCCAACTTGGACGCCGGTGTCTCTGTCGGTACCATTGTGTCTCTTTTCAAGCTACAGCCAGGCTCTACTGGTAAGGTCGAGGATGTTCTAAGACCTGGTACCGAAATGGTTGCTGCCTGCTACGCCATGTACGGTGCATCCACTCACTTGGTCTTGACCATGGGTGACGGTGTCAATGGCTTCACCTTGGACACTAACTTAGGTGAATTCATCTTAACAGAACCAGATATGAGAGTTCCAATGTATAGACAAATATACTCCATCAACGAAGGTAACACTTACTACTGGAATGACAACATCAAGTCTTTTATCAACTTTTTGAAAGAACCACAAGATGACGGAAAGCCATTCAGCGCCCGTTATGTCGGTTCTATGGTCTCCGATATGCACAGAACATTCTTATACGGTGGTATTTACGCCTACCCAGAGGACAAGAAGAATCCAAAGGGTAAATTAAGACTACTATATGAAGCTTTCCCAATGGCTTTCTTGATGGAACAAGCGGGAGGTAAGGCCGTTACCGATAGAGGTGAACGTATCTTAGATTTGACTCCTACACATATCCACGACAAATCTTCCATCTGGGTTGGTTCTCCAGGTGAAATCGACAAGTTTTTGAAGCACATCGGTAAGGCTTAAGAAGACCCTAGAACCATTTACAAAATTTCTAAATGCTACAAAAGGAATTGATTCTATCAGTTTCCTTGAATTTAATGTATTCTTGTTTTATATATCCTATATACCAGATCATCTATTCTTTATCAACAATATATTACAACCTCAACGTACAATTTCCACTTGATAATATTTATTTTAAAAGTTTTGTTAAAGTCTTGTTGCTTTTCCTAAAAATACAGGATTGACTTTCAATATGCTAGCACGATGTATATCAACTCAATTGCTCCAAATGAGAATTACTACCAGAGGAAACCATTACAGTAGCTTCATCCTTCTTTATTGAGCCATACTCAGTAGTGCTTTCAACAGAGGATGGCTTCTTGTTATTCTTCTGCATGTATTCAATGGCTTCAGGTGGTAGGTTCGTATCATTAATAGCCTTCGAGTAACCTAGGTCCATAATTTCCTTTTCCATCATGTTTCTTACCTTTTCTGCCAATTCACCAACTTCTTCTTTTTTCAAATCTTTAGTTGGAATTGGGTCCAAGACCTTACACGTTATGCAACCTCTGTTAAACACATTATATTTCGAGCACATAATAGTGCTAGTATTAGAGATAACCACTGGAACAATTGGGATCTGGCCTTGTTGAGCTAAATGGAAGGCACCCTTCTTGAATGGTAATATCTTAGGTGTTGTGGAGTATGACCTTGTACCTTCTGGGAAAATCCACAGAGCTCTCTTCTTCTCTCTAATATTTTGCAAGCCTCTATTTAAAGTGGAAACACTCTTTTCCCTGTTTGATCTGTCTAGGAAGTAAGTTCCACTCAATGCCATGAACCATCCTAAAAATGGAACATATTTCAATGACTTCTTGGCCGTAACAGTACATCCTTGAGGAAAGATCCTACCTAAAAACAATATGTCCAAGGTAGATTGATGATTGGAGACTGCAATGAAGGGCTTGCCTTTCAAAACATCCTCATTGATGATCTTGACATCAATACCCATAAGCATTGACATTGCGTAGTAATAGAACCTTGCTGTGGCCCATTGAGCCAAATGCTGCTTACCTATCAATGTCAAAAACACAGATGCAACAGTACCATATGCGGCAGCAACCATCAAAATTAGAACCCATGAGACAGTTCTCAGGTAGTACAATGCAATGCTAAAGAAACCCATATTTTTGACCTGCGAATTCCTGAATAAATACTAAAGATGAAGGCTCGTGTCTAGGTTTCCTTCAAATATATGCTTTGGTGGTTCCAATCAATGTAGATATGAGTAATAACCACGATATACCCCATTTATATGCTGACTATTATATGTATTCAACAATTGCGTTGATCTTTGCCCATACGTTTCTGGCTTGGCTCTCGCCCTCTGTTGGCTCTCTCACTTTACGAGTTTACTGCAGAAATTAATATGTACCAACTGCCTTTGGAAATGGTATTCTATATGTGCCAAGTAGATATTATTGCTAGGTAATAACTCACAAGAATTCTACACGGTTCTTAAAATATAACAGTATATTTATTCATTCAGTAAATTAGCACAAAACTTACACTGTAATCTAAATATATACTTGAAATGTGCATTCATACAACAAATATAATTGACTAAAAGTACAATTAACAATGATAACAATCCTAAAATTCTAACATCAATATTACCTCAAGGGAAAGGGTTACCTAGTTATGCTACCCGTCAACGTATAACTTAAACTAATGCTTTGATATATATGCTGACAAGTCGCTGAGTGCTATGTTAAGAACAAGCAATATCACCAGCCACGTAGCGCATTGTTTACCCTCTTTTGCAACAGAAACCCGATGAACCCCTTCGATCTGCAAGGCATCCGTTCAAGTAAGAATATAAATAGAAACATCGCAACTGTAATTCAGATTTGGCATTCATGGCGGTCATCTTTGCTCAAGGTACCTGTTAAGATATATTAGATTTGATATTTTTCCACCTTGGAGCTTATCTCAAAGACCAACAAAGAGAGAAATGCGGTTTCTGACAAAATTTCTGTTGTTTTTGGCAACCGTCTACTTCGGATTGAAGTATGCGTGCGAGTCTCCATTAAGAGCGCAGTATCCACAACTGCAATTGGCTTGCCACTACTCTCAGCCTGCCCTGTGGAATGACTACCTCTTGAAGAACAGTCCCGCTTATAAGAACTCTGTGCATCCTCAACTCGTTGTTGCTAAGGGTAAATATGAAGAACTCGTGCAGCCTCACGTCAAAGACGTTTGCAAGCGCGTCCACACTCAATTGGACCGGATCGATAAGAAGAAATACTGCGATTTAGCTCATTCCTATGCTAACCTAGCTTATCAAAAGGCTCAGTTCTACTACTCTATCAGCGCGGGCAAATATGTCCACGATTTTTGCAAAAGTGATTTGTACAATAAGAACTTGAAAAGACATGTTGAGAGAGCAAAGGAAGACCTCTCAAAAGCATACCACTTGGCCGTTGTGAGAATCCCACAATTGTTCACAAGAGAAAATGTCGAAAAGTTCACTAGTAGTGCATCCGCTTACATCAATGAAAAGACTGAGTCTTTGAAAAAAGAAGCCAAACAAATAACCTCTGATGTGAAGAAGACTGTAGAATCGGAAATCAAGAAGAGAACAACTTCTAGTGAATCTGAAGAGGAACCAATTGTCTCAACTTCCACAATTGTAAAGACTATTACTAGAACTAGGCACAGTTCTAGCAGTACTACTTCTACAAAGTCCGCTGAAGAGACATCCGAAAAGAACTTGGAAACAAAGGAAGAAGAAGATATCACAGATATTGAAATCGACCACCAAGCTCAATTACAAAGAGATTTCGACAAATGGACTTCCAACATTGACAAGAAGGTTAAGATGGTTAACAAGATGCTAGTACGTGATGTAAAGAAACATCTAAAGCCAAAGATCGACGCAAATGATAAACTGTTTAAGGACAAGCTTAAGGTTTTACACAAGGAGGCAAACGACAACTTCCAGTTGATTAACAAGGCTATCCAGGACATCAACTGTACTCAAGGTATTGATCCTGAGACTGGTAAACAGATTTACTTCGACAGTGAGGGCAAGAGCCAGATCGAGAAGTATATTACCAGAGAAATGATTAGAACCATGCTGAATGATACACAGACAACTTTGAACAGCTTAGTTGCTGATATTGAAAACGATGTAAGCAAGATATTGGAAGATTTCAAGAAGATTGCTGAAAACTCTCGTGAGCAACATTTGACTACTTTTGAAGAATGGGGTGATATCATGATCAATGAATGGTCCAAGAAATTAGCTTACCTAGATGTTTTAGCTCCCCATGAAGATGCCGAACACGAAGGCAAATCTAAAACTGAGCTATCCGAAAAGAACTGGAAGAAATTTATGGCCATTAAAAAACAAATTTTGGACGCCAGAGACAAGATGGCTAAACGTCAAATTAAGATCAGCGAGTTCAAGCTTCTCTTAGACAACGTCCAAAACACACTTCAAGCTGTCACGAATGAGAACGGTGAGTACCTATACATTCTAAGAGCACAAGCCAACTTGGCTTTCCAAGAACGTGAAAGGTTAGAAAAGGAGGCAGAGGAAGCCAAACTACGCAAAGAAGCTGGCGAAGTTAACGAATCCTCTGAAGAAGAGCAAATTGTTGAAGAACCTATCTCCGCTTAAAAAAATCTACGAATCGACATAACCGACGTCAAATGGAGATAGCCACATTCACTCCTCAATTATCCAGAAACTGGAAAGGTAAACCAAATCAATTTATGTTTCTCTCTCAGAAATTAATCATTTTAGCAAATATGTATACTACCTGCTGTGAACAATACTTGATACCTTGTAATTTGGATTACCAAATCTTTTTAAATACCAATACAACTTAAGTAAAATTAATTATAAAATAAAGATCAACTGTAATTCTACAATTCCATTGGTACGTAATGTCGATGGTATTCTGTATTTAACACACCACTAGGCTTGGTGTATTTCATTCACGTTCCATGTATGATTACTAGACTCACTCCATGAATCAGCCTTAGTTCGATAACCTCGTATCAATGGATATACCACTGACTTCTCATTCAGCACCAAAAATCACACCCTATCAATTGGAAAAGGGAAATAAGGAACATAGTAATTTGTACATGTATACATTGCAATACCACTAGTACATGAAACATCTCTATAGAAGCCATCCATCTGTTATATTTGAATTTTTTTGCGGCTTTTCCAAATAAGGATTTAATCAAGTACCTGATTATTTTCACGCTACCTTTGGTAGACATTATACACCATCCGGAGGCCATTTTTTTGTTAGGAACTACCTTATAAGACACATAGTAAAGGGCTGTAATTATAAGAGCAAACTCCATAATGACAGGCCATTTAGATGAAGTTGATCGTGAATTCATCAAAAGTCTGTTTCCGGAATACTTGTTAGAGCAACCTGTGGCATATGATCTGTTGTGGATTTACCGGGAAAATAAAAAGATATTCTGCAAGACGCCGTATTTCCACCATTCAAAAGATGAAGATAGGAATGGACTATTAACGTCTTCGATACTTCCACCAAAACTGTCATACAGGACAAAGAAAGAAATTTGGCAAAAGCTCATGAATCTGGGTGTGCTAGGAACTCTATCTTTTGATGCGGCCAATGATGAATACCTAGTACAGGCTTATAAATATTTCTACTCTGATAATAATAATGAAAAGTCACATATGAAAGTGCCCGGCTCTGCAACAAAGAGTAAATTTAGCAAAGACATTAAGAAGACCATGAATGAAGCGGATGACTCCTTACAAAGAGTGCACGATGTATTAGATCAGTATTATCTGAACTCTGTTAGTGGGGAAAATATCAATGTGGATTCCAGTATAGATCCAGTCGAAAGACATTCGGTGAGATGGAGAGATCATGATGACATTCATAGCGAATCGGAACGAGCAAACGAAAGAGACGAAACTGAAGCAGAAGAAGAAGCAGATCAAATTGAGGATGAAGATGAAGATGTAGAAGAAAACTCAAACGATGAAGACGACGACGACGACGATGAAGATGAGGGTGAGGAAGAAGATGAAGATGCAGTTGATATAAGTGAAGAAGGTCAAGAGCGCGATCTACAAACTACTTCTGCCAGAGACTCAATCGGAAGCTCTGATAGATTATCTAGAAGGGCACATTCATATTCCGCAAAAGATAATGCCTCAAGATTATACCCAGCATTGAACACTCAGAAATATATGTCGAAGAAGAAAAATAATTCTACAACTCCCAATGTTTACAATCTTATGGGATACTTCTTGCCTACCCAATGGATGCACAAGGAGAATAACAGTATTTTAGTATCCAGCGATGGTATCACTGAGTTGAGAGCGAATCCAAACTGGCAACCATTTATCTCCAATGACAGAGGTGATATATTTGCTAGAAATAGGTTGAGAAATGCTCTTACCAGCTCTCAAAAAACAGAATTTGTTACCACTTATGCGGATGAAATAGTCTCGAATAAAAAAGTTGCCATATTTTATTATGAGGTGCGGGTCCTTGATGTAACAAGTTCTAAAAGTGCCCATAATAGTAATATTGTCGTCGGATACAAAATTGCGAATGACTCCGATGATGAAATAGATCTAGAAAAAATTGACGAGAAGGCATTGCTTGAGCTGGTAAAGAATTTTGGTGCAGGGGATAATAATGAACTTGGTGGATTGGCTGATATCGGTGGTACATTAATGGGTAGAGCTGACTCCACTGCAACTGATCCAGCTCCGGGACTGGCAAAGAAAAATACCTTAGATGAAACTTTCGTTGGATATTGTGGTTTATCGGGTAACATCAGCATTACATCAAAAGAAAAGCCATATTCAAAGCCTTATGGGAGGGATGATGTTATTGGCTGTGGTATAAACTACGTTAATGGCTCTGTATTTTTCACAAAGAATGGTGTCTTTTTAGGTGAGGCTGTCTCGTCATTAATGAATGTAAATGCCATACCATACATTGCTCTAAAGTCGGGAAATTCTGTTCGTACCAACTTTGGCTTATACGAAGAATTTGTTTTCGATATAAATCAATATCAAAAGAACTGGAAAAGGGTTGCTTATAAGAATATATTTAAAGCCTCCATTACATCGCATCAATTCCCCGACACTAAAAACACACTTATTGATGAAAGTCAAATGGAAATAGATGATGATGCAGATGAAAGCCAATTATCTTTGCTACAAAAAGGCCTCATTCTGGGGAAGGATAACAGGATTTCAGAAAATATGGTTCTGAAACCAGATGATCTCTTACTAAACACCCTCAATACACAAGATGGATCCATGATTTCTAATCTAAATGTAATGATAAATGATTATCTGATACACGAGGGACTCATTGATGTTGCCAAAGGATTCTTAAAGGATCTACAAAAATTTTCATTAACTAACCCATACGATAATCAAATTCAGATAGAAGAGCGTGAGATAATAAAACATAATGAATCTCAGATTATCAGGGAAGAAAATGTTTTGAGAATTAGACAGGAATTGAGAAAATTGATCAACCAGAGAGAAATAGAGAAATGTATAACGTTTCTGAATGACAAAATACCAGATTTGTTAGGGAATAACGTTGAACTTCATTTTGAATTGCGTGTGGTACAATACTTGATTCAACTATCAAATTCACCGAAAATTGATTCAAATATTCTAATCGAAGCAGGGCAAAATCTATCACGTGAGTTTGTTTTTAATAATACAATTCCACAAGAACTTAGAGATAAATTTCAAGACCAGCTAAGCAATGTTTCGTCACTACTTGTATATGAAGATCCTTTGACTGAAGCACCTGACGAGCTGTCATACTATTTTTCCCCCGAATATCTGCAGGACAGACTTTTCCAATTAACAAACTCCACAATCCTAAAGCATATGAAGAAAAGTAGTGAGTGTGCTCTTGACAATATAGTTAGCTACAGTAGAGCGATGTCATTAACTCTATTAAACCTGAATGCCAAGGGAAAGGCTACTGTGTATGAGGACGATGACGCCAAACTTGTTGATACGGCCAGATATTATAAACTAATTAATATTGACGGGGATCTCCTAAGTTTGTGACATCGTTATAACATGCATTGAGATTTCACCTGTCAATGTAACTACACAAAAATACTGCTCAGCTTTCATATAGATAGAAATATATTCCACAAATGAGACTAGATTATATACACAAATAGTTTTGTAACATAGCAGAAAACTCAGACATACACACCGAAGGAATTACTTAGGAAAACCGTACCGATACCAAAGAACAGACTACCAATGGCAGTTAGTATAGTATAGTAAATGAACTTCTGAACAAAACCTTTGCTTGAGCCAGCAGTGGCAAGAGCAAGAGAAATTGTGAGTAGTGCCAACAAAAGTGTTACGAAGGCCAGCTTTGGCTGTCTCGACAACTCTATGAATGGTGTGAAAGGAGTAGAGGTCTCATATTTTTCCTGCAGCTATCGATAAATGGCATTGTGGTATTTCAGAATTGGCTAATATCGTAACGCCAAAGTTGTACTTCAATTTTGCAAATCAAAAGTGAGTTCGCTTATCCTTTTAAGATTTACTATCATACCTTCCTGACCACCCTAATGTATACCATTAAATAATAGTAATGTTAGTAATACTGACACGGCTTGTGCACGAACACAAAATCACACTCAATTGGTCACGCAGAACACTTGGCTTGTTAGATTAATCAACTACCTTAGCACTATCAAACCAATAAAGGGACATCCTGCTCAATTGCTTCCTATGTTTGAGGAGATACATACAAATAAAGCGTTGTAACTCATAATTAACTAGTATCTTTTGTGAGATTATGGTATTCAATTTCAATAGTATTCAGATTGATACCTGTAAAGAAGAAATATTCTCTACAATTCAATTGCTGATATTGACAGTATGACTTGCTTCGCTGCTTTTTATTTTTTCACTTTCTGTTGTCAATCACTTTTTCTGAACAACACCGTCAAACCGTGAAGAACCGTCCCCATCGGGACTTTTGTGTGAAATTATAAAAACTAGAAAGCATACACACAATAAGCTATAAGTTGAATAATGGACAATGGCTATCATATCAATTAGGCAGACCATGGATAAAGTTCGATGATAAAGCATATTCTAAATAGGAGGTTGATAGGTGGGTTGAGCCCTCTAAAGGGTATGCCTTCAACATCAGCACGATTGGGAATAAATTACAGACTCAATTCTACACTATCGTGGGCTGATGAAGATGAAGTTTATGAGCCCCCCAACAGAGAGATAATGCAAGTACCTCAGAAATGGTCTACATATGATTATGATTTGAAGGAAGAAATAGTTGAGTATTTAGAATGGAAGCAGGAGGATCGTTGGCACGAAATGAGTATACCTGAACGCCGCGCGGCTTATTATATTTCCTTTGGTGAATGGGGCCCCCGTTACACAGGGCAGACGAAATATGATACCTCATATGTCATGTTAAGAGGACTATTCAATTTGATACTATTTTCCAGTGCAGGTATGGCGTTCTATAATTTAAAGAAAGATAAGGAGATGAAGAAGAAAATTGCTGACCTTGACACATGATGTTAGTCGCAAATTATAATATTTTTTTGATTAAAATGATAATCAAATATAATAGATCTTGAGATAGTCCAATACCAATCATCTTATGTTGATATACAATTTGTACTAGATCAAATTGAAAGGATGAGGACATTAACATTAAAAAGTTTCTTTTATTATAATCATTTCAGTTGTTAGATAGAAGATCTTAGAAAAAAAAATAGAACAAAATGCAATTGCCAGAGTTGGCATTCTGTTAGCAGCCATGATAGCAAGCTTAGTTATGAACCGAAACCGGCTAGTAGAAATTGTGCCAACACGATCGTGGAACTTCCACTACTCTGATAAGTTATTGAAAGCAAGGGCTAATTGTCTGTACATAGGAGTCATTTTTTAGGTTGCTCTACAGGCTACTAGCCGGTAATACTCTCAGTGGTAAGTTCTACGTTTGAATCTCAATAATATCAGTGGCTTAGGAATACATATCCATACCAATCAATATATTCAGCATGTAAATATTATCAAAATACGTTTAATTAATCACAGTACGTATGCAACCCTCAATCATCCCTCATCAAACAACTTATGAGACAACCCTGACAACTCATAGATGTTGTCTATCATCCCACTGGTTAGAACCCTCATAAAAGTGACAATAGATTTAGCGTGAATACGGCAATTATAGCTTTAAAACGGAAATTAACACCCTCTTTAAGATGCCGGCATCGGTTGTACTCTCACAAGCCCATACATATCTGTATTATGTGCAGCAACCTTTCGAGTTTGTTTAACATGCTACTACTAGCATTTTTAATCGGAATATGCAACAACAGTTGGTGGGGGGACCTGAGACGGAGTGGGGCTAAACTTATATTAGGACTAATTTAACAAAAAATTTTGCATATCTGCGGGTGTTTCTGTGAAAAAAGTGGGGGGTATTGATTACTAAATCAAAACAGCAAGCTGCCAAGCTTTTTTATGTGGTTTCCCTCCCAGTAGAACGCCGCAGTACGCGAGATGTTGCTAAGTGGGAGAGCGTTTTCGTTCTGCCCGCTTGTTCTTTCTTCAGTGGGCAGGCACATTATAAGCCGGTGCGAGTTGATCTTAGCTTTGACACATTCCGCTTCTTTGCTATACCTAAACACTATTACCCAATTCGGTCAGCAATAATACTGTAGCGCACAATTCTATGAGGGATTATCATGTTGTTTCAAAGCCTCGAACTGTCAAGTTTCAGACAAGAAAGATATAATGTATTATAGTTCTATCTGTTGTAACGCAATGAACTTTTGGTAGTAGGATGCCAGTACATGGTGAAAGGTTAATACGTAATCTAAAAAGCCTGCTTGAGGTACAGTGAATCAATAGAACAATTCTGTAATATCAAGTAAGTACTATGTATTCTATGATGAGAGCTAAATGTACTTCAACTAGCACTATGTGCTTTAATGTCTTAAAAACTAGGAATAAGTGCTGTTGCCTGATAAGGTGGTATCATTTTTCTATGTAAATCATCAAACAGTTCCGCGCAAGTGGTTTAGTGGTAAAATCCAACGTTGCCATCGTTGGGCCCCCGGTTCGATTCCGGGCTTGCGCATTTCTTTTTTTGTGTGTTAAGATGAAACTACTGTATAGTCTTCTGGTTACTGCTATTTCCGATTCATGTTAATGTATGAGTGGATTTTTGATACACATTCAAATAATTTCGTAGAATTTACCTTCAAATCCTAAGTTGACATTAATTAAACAGTGTAGAAAAGAAAATCAAATGAACGTAATACAAAAATCCCTCGTCCCCCCGCTTCACCCACTACATAGTAACCTACTAGGAGTAAGAAAGTTATCTACTGTGATTGCTAATAGCTATTGTAACAAGGTTTTCTAGGATTTTGTGGTTGTCCTATTTCCATTCCAGGCTTGGCTCACCAATTTCTCGAGGATGCAGAGATCTCATTAGTAAAAGTGGGGTGTTCATCAAGTGAGCCAATGCAAGTTTGCGTTTCTCTTACAGGAGCCCGATGAATTACTGGGGTAGTTGCTGTTGCACATCCCCTTTGCCACCATTCACGTCCTGGTTAGCTACTTGTATCCTGCATTATTTGCGGGCAAGTTTCCAATACTATTTGAATTATAGAATACGTCATTTTCTCAGTGGCACTCGGAGACTAACATTCTGAAAAAAAAAAAAAAATCATGATAAGCTAATTTGGCTGACTTAAAAGTAGTGGTGGGCGTGATGAGCCCAGTGTTTAGTCCATTTTATGGATAATATTGATCTTTAAAGGCAAGTAGTTGAATTACTATTTGGATAAAAGGTATAAATAGTAGTTGAGAATCCAGACAAAGCACCTTTATATTGAAGATAATAGCGTTACATTATATATAAGAAGCGATAACAACAAAAACAATAGGCATATATAAAGCAGAGAGCACAGCAGTACACACATTTGCAGTATGGTAGTAATCAACGGGGTGAAGTATGCCTGTGATTCATGCATCAAATCACATAAAGCAGCCCAGTGTGAGCATAACGATAGACCCTTAAAGATACTAAAGCCAAGGGGAAGGCCACCGACGACCTGCGACCATTGCAAAGATATGAGAAAGACTAAGAATGTGAACCCTTCAGGAAGTTGTAACTGTAGTAAACTCGAGAAAATAAGGCAAGAGAAAGGCATAACGATAGAAGAGGATATGTTGATGAGCGGAAACATGGACATGTGCTTGTGTGTTAGAGGTGAGCCTTGTAGGTGTCACGCTAGGAGGAAAAGGACACAGAAATCAAACAAAAAAGATAACTTAAGCATTAATTCGCCCACAAATAATTCTCCTTCACCAGCGCTCTCTGTGAATATTGGAGGGATGGTGGTGGCTAATGATGACATCCTGAAATCATTGGGACCAATTCAAAATGTCGATCTAACGGCTCCACTAGATTTTCCACCGAATGGGATAGATAATAAACCGATGGAAAGTTTCTATACACAAACTTCTAAATCCGATGCTGTTGATTCGCTTGAATTCGATCATCTAATGAATATGCAAATGAGGAATGATAACTCCCTTTCATTTCCTATGTCTGCAAACCAGAATGAAGTCGGTTATCAATTTAATAATGAAGGGAATAACTCAATGAATTCAACAATGAAAAATACTATTACTCAAATGGATCAAGGTAATTCACATAGCATGACCTTACACGATATAGACGAAATTCTCAATAACGGTATTGAACTTGGTAATGTAAATTGAAGATCTTACTGCATTTAATTAAATAATATAGTTTAATTTTATAATGAGTTTCAGTTGATTTCCATTATAGTTATACATCAAAATTTGATGACTAATTTTATGTTGATTCTGATTATGGTGTGATTGGACAAGATATATTCGAATCTAAAAATTGCCGCTTCTTCATCAAGAATCAGATAGTGTAACTCTTTCTAGTTTTTCGTCGATTTTATTAATGCTTGAGTTAGTTTCCCTTATGGCATTTGGATTCTCATCATTTAGATATACAGAAAGTCTCTCATCCTTAACTTCAAGAATTGACATATCGTCATTAAATTGCAATGACACTAGTCGCAAAATATACTCCAAGAGGCTGATTGAGCTCGATCGTTCGTTACTGGGAATAATATTACTATTCGAGCTATTTGCGTCCTCATAGTTTGCACTATTGTCCTCGTCTGATGAGTCTTCATCACTGGAGCTATCACTGTCGGTCGATTCATATGAACCCAATGCAAACCATTCAATATCTTCCGTTGAGGAGTTTGAATGAATACCTTTGCCCTTAATATTTTTATCTGTTTTTATAACTAATACCGGAGAATCTCTTTCCGGAAGTTTTAGTAGCTTACCTGAAACACTAAAGAATAATTTAACAATTTGACATATATTCATTTCTAAACTTCTTGGTTTTTCCTCGTCATTTTCAGTATTATGATATCTACCATCATCAAAACTTTGATCTATCCTTAAAACATAATTGAACTTATTCGTTTCATCTTTCCTTCTGATGATCCTTGTAATACCTCTTTTCATGTCTTCCTTCCACGTAACTCTAATATTATTATGCTTTTCAGATGGTAGATGGTAAAAAACAGAGAAATAAGTAGTTTCAAATGTGGGTCCTACTTGAACATCTTCACCGGCAAACATGTCATTATTCTTAACCACATAATTTGATGCTGAGAGTAATAATCCGGGGGAGACTGTATTAGTTAAATTTGAGGATAGATTTGCACCAGAAGTAGTCAATGATAAGTTAATAAATGGAGTAATTTCTTCTATCCTATCCAAAAGATCTTTAATATAGAGTTCAACCGCGTTGATTGAATCTTTTTGCGTTTTTGCAGTTCTTGAGCCTTCAACCTTTTCTGTAAGTTCATGTATTTTGTCATCAAACTGGTCAATTTCTACTCTTAAATCGCTTGTTAGTCTTAATGTACTCTCAAGGTTTGTGTTTCCTCGAGCTGCTACCAGTCTTATAAGATCGATTGCATATGACACGATTTCAATTCTGTTTTGTAGTTTAATTCTTAGTTTTTCAATTCTCTTCGCATCATCTTTTGGTATCTTCAATATAAATCCAGTTATGGTTTTAATTGCATACGTGGAAGCAATCGAAACACCAGATTTTATCGCAAATGTAACTGCTTGTGATCCAGCTTTAGCTAGTATTTCATCCATTATACTGCAAATGTTTCTAATATATGAAGGGCTTTATCTTTTGGTTTAAGAGATTTTCAGTCTGTAATAGAATGGGTTAAAGAACATGACGAATAATAGATCTATTACTCTTTATCATTTCTATAGTCTTCCTTATTCATAATTTTAGGGTGGGAACGGTCTCCATTAACATTTTGGTGCTGGATCTTGCAGTTAGTATTTACCAAATGTGAAAAAAATTACAAAATGGCCAAAAGAAAAGTCACGCCATCTATGTGCAAACGAATGCTAGTACATGCTATCTAATGCTAATAAATGATTGTCATGAAATTCAAATAAGAAATATAATTCTATAAATATGCTCTCCGACTCTACGAATACTAATGTGATATATATTGAAATGCATAACTGATATCATTGTGATAAAACTCATTCTTTAATAGATGATCATTTGTTTTCTCCAGTGCTTTATGATTCAAGTGATTCCATGTGGTGGCATCACCATATAACATAGCAGCTGCCCTCATAATTTGTTGCCCGTGCTTATTACAACGTTTACATTGAAAAGTTTCGTGAGTATCACATATAGTTTTATCATTGAACTGAAAAAGCTGTCTTAGATTATCAACACTGAACAATCTCTCAACATCTTCTTTAGCGTCAACCACACAAGAACTTAGACTCATTTTCATAGACTGTCTTTGGTATATCTTCTCTTCGATCGTACCGGTAGAAATGAATCTATAAATAAAACAATCTTTCTTCTGGCCATCTCTCCATACACGCGCCAAGGCCTGCTGATCGGCTGCAGGATTCCAATCTGGATCCATTAAAATCAATCTATTTGCACCAATTAAATTGATACCACATCCACCAGCTTTAGAACTTAGTAAAAATATAAATTCTTGCCCCTCAGGATCATTGAATCGATCAACTAATTTCTGACGTTTATTTATAGACATCGTTCCATCCAATCTTACAGATGCGTAGTGACGATTTCTACACATTCTCTCAATTAAATCCAAAGTCTGAGTATAATTAGAAATTAATACAATTTTATCATCAGATTCTGTCTTAATTTTATGAAGAAAGCGCTCTAAAATTGCAAATTTACCAGAAAACTGTGTTTGAACATCCCTACTTTTCCCAGTCGGGATGCTATAATCGTCAGGAATATCCAAGTCGTTATAATTGTCTAACTCTTCATCTAATTTTATAAGGTCAGGATGATTACACAGTTTTTTAAGAACACCAATCGCCTTTAGTGGCTGTGATCCACCATCCCCTTTAACAACCTTTTTAATATCCCTGGACTTAATCAACATATTATAAACTTGTTTCTGGAAAGGCGTTAGATTTACAAATATCACATGCTCATATTTACATGGTAGATATTTGGACAAAATATCATTTGTTCTCCTGATAATAAACTTTGAAACAATGTTCGATAGTAATTGAAGCTTCTGTTCACCACTCTTCACATCATTATCCGTAGCATCGGCATCACGACTTCTGAGAATCGGTATCTCGAAATTTCTTCTAAATTCATTTCTTGTGCCTAACAATCCCGGATTGGAAAAGTTTAAAAGAGCAAAATATTCTGATAAATCGTTCTGTATGGGTGTACCTGATAGAATGACTCTTCTAGGACAGTTTATACTATCAAGAGCTGTAAAGGTTAAAGAATCTCCATTCTTCAGACGATGACCTTCATCGGCTAGCAATAGACCAACTTCAGTATTTTGCAATTGTTTGACATTTCTCCTCAATGTATCATATGAAATTATAAGAACTGGTTTCACAATGTTTCTTCCTTGCGCCTGCGCCCAGTTTTTAATAGCCTCTGCCACACTAGTGGCACCAGAGGCTAAGGAAGATTTTTTTCCATCAACAGCCAAGGGTGAAAGTGTATTAGGACCTAGCCACTTTACTAATTCATTAGCCCAGTTATTGACTAGAGAAGAAGGACATACAATAATACACTTACTGATCAATCGCTTTCCTTGAGGTCCCTGACGCAAAAGTGTCCACATCAAAGCAATACATTGTAGAGTTTTCCCTAGACCCATTTCATCAGCCATGATACAACCATAAGCACCTCTATTATTTGATTGCGACTTTTTTAATGCTTCCAAAAAGTCATTCTCACTTTGTTGTTTCTTAGTAATGGTCTTTTTCTGCTTTTTTGATTTAACGTTCTTTTTAGCGTTCTGTATAGCGTTACCTGCCTCATCATTATTCGCTTCACTATTGTCATGGGCTCCACCGCCATCAATTGGTGATACTTCTTTGCTGCATACATCATCATCAGAGCATTCAAGAAAATTGATATTTGAACTTTGGCTAGCCAATTGCTGATCAAGAAAGTCTTTCATTACCAGCCCTGTCACACAACGATAAAGAAATTTGACACCTTCAACTTGATGTGGTCTTAAGATTTTTGCCAGCTTAGGGTCAATAACGACTGGAACATTAGCAAACTTCTTTTTCATAGATTCAGTTGGATTGAAAGGAGAGTTTCCTAAAAGCTCTTGCAATGTTTTATTTTTTACACCATTGGACAATATCTTAGGGTGCTTATATTTAGATTTTTCTGCCTCTGCTTCTTGGGCATTTTGATCTTCTGAGCTCTGTACATTCTGTACAGTCTCAGTATCATCCTGAATAATCATTTCCCCATCAACGGAGGGATCGTAAAGTACAATTGCAAATTCGTCTGTGGGATCATGCAACGGCCTAGGCTCAGGAATCACCTTCACTTTAGTGCCTAGCGTTAATGGCAGGCTGTGTCTCTGTACGTAGCCCTTAATCGGTACATGAAAGGACTTTTTTAATGTAACCTCGATTGTGTCAAGTCTTGTTGGATCCTCCATTAATCTACGAGCGCTCAGAGCATCAACTCTTCTTTTTTTGATAACACGTTCTCCTAACTCATCGTAAATATTTTCTTTACCATCAACCTCATCCTTACTATCAACATCCAGTCCTGCATAGGAAACGGTTTGAGATCTTTGTCTCAGTTGCCGCTGCCGACTAAGATCAGAATTAGCCGGAACTGTCTGACTCCTTTGTGACTTTACTGGGACTTTGAATGGCTTAGTTAGTTTTGATATTGACTCATCGACATTAATCGGCCTTGGCACAAGACGTGGTCTTTCTCCCGCACCAATACCATTAGGCGGTCTATCGGGTAACCTTCTTCTAGCCATCTGAAATTATGCCTTCTTTAATTCTATTACCTTTGTATCCAAAGTCTTTGCGAATTATTTTTGCGAAGAGTATATTTGTTAAAAGCCTTTGCAGTGGCAAAGCTTCAAAGACTGAAGTGTGTATTCTTTGATTAGTCGTCGTCCACTGCACTCAAGAAACGCAAGACTATTACTAAAGCAAATCTAGATTATAATCCTGTATGTAGGCTATACATTAATACTTTTTCAGTATGCCATGGCAAATCGAGAGAATTTTCATATGTTTATAATTTACCCGATATTGATGTTATTGAGACACGAAAAAGGAAAATTTGGTTTCGTGTCGCACATTAAAATAACATTCACATGATGAAAGGTTCTTGTCAAACACTTAGCAATTGGGATTATATAGCAACTAATAGGGCTTTATCTATTGTCTCGGTGAATCAGTTTTGCAGCACTACATACAAGACAGAAATATTATGTGAAGTTGTTCCCAATCTTGATTATTGAGTAAAGACAGTAGTAATACACAGCATATTAATCCATCAACTAACTGAAACCCACCATTATCACATTGACGTCCTAAAAGTTTCACACACAATACAAAGCGTTGCACTATGCTCTTATGAAACAGACTTTTTTTATACAAGAAATATTTATAGACTAAGAAATATAGAACTATTAGTAGACATGTTTTAATTACCCGTTTTACTACAAGGATGTTTTGACATGCTAGCTAATCTCAGAATTTACAATACAAAAAATATAAAGAACAAGCGGCTGCTAGGGTGTGCATTTATTCTAACCGGTGAAACATGAAGCGGTTCATAATCACATACCAGACTAAAGCAGCAACTCATACATCAGTATGCGATCTACCACGTCATATGTGCAGTAAACTACAATTTTAGCACATTATTATCACTCCAGTGAATACGGATAGGAATGCCTTTGTTGTCTTGTTTCCCATTTATTTGAAGTAATGTATATGCTTTAACTTGTTTACGGCTTTAACTTGAAACGTAGAAGAGAGAGATGCTGAATATTTCACACATACCATTATCTGGAAAAATATGGCCCCGCTATTGTTATATAGTCACTTCTTGGCTTAGTCCTGTGAGCAAATACATCTACGTGGTTAAAATGCAAGTAAGAAATGACTGAGTCAGTAGTACTATATGTGGCTACTTAACTATCTCAAATGATCAAAAAGAAGAAATGAAATGACATGATATAACCGTTGCTGATACGATAAGGGACAAATCTGTTTTATGTCCGCCTGTGTTCATCCGTTAGAGTGCAGCCATATTGCCGCTTTCTCTGTTTCAGAAAGAGGTGACAAGGGGGCGACTACAACATTATCTTCCGTGTGTACTCTCTGTTAGTCAAAGCAATCCGGCGTAGTTTTTATTTTTTTTTGGTAGTCTACTTCTAATCGTAGAAGTTAGACTCCTGCGTAATGCGGAATTCGGCAGTTAAACATCTCCGGAATTGTATGTACTTGCTTCTCTCTCACATGTAACATATTGCCATCCTCCCACTCCTATTTACCAGTTGCGTTATACCATTTGGTTTTCACCCAGTTGACGAACATTTGCCGGAGCCAAACTAGGAAAGTGTCACAAAGCATCAAACAGTACTTTAGATGCCTATCTTAGTCCATTCCCTACTTTGTCTAACAGCCTACGAAGTTTTTCCGAAGTTAGATATTTTCGCAGAAAAGGGATCCACTGGGGGGAAGAAGTACATGTGGTAACAATCAAGATCTCACAGAAAGCCTCTTACAAGGCACTTAATGGATCGCCCATACACGCACCCTTTTCTGCTTACCCTTCTGTGCAATTATCTCTCAGTGCTCGAAATTCCTTCGATAGATTTAGTGCACAGTAAACTAGTCCGGATAAATTCTTACCTCATCACATGCGACTTCCATCCTCCCTTCCCATTATGCAAGTATCAGTGAAGTTCTACCGTGGAACACCAGTACAGGGTGTGGTGTTGCGCTACGGTGGCCTCTAAGTGTGTTATGAGCGTTGCGGGTTTTTTTGTAAATTTTTTTCTATCGCTGATCCGTCTGTGTGTTCTCAGGGACGGATTCTCGATCGAAGGGTCCGCTGCAACTATTTTCTCACAAGCCATTCCCCGAATTTGAAACTTTTCTAAGCTCGGATTTATCTCCCTTACTCAATGAGTGGCTCCTGTGATTGAAATATGGTGGGGGAGAGATCAAGCTTAGAACTGAGCTATTTCAAACACCGAGTAAACAATAACGTCATTTGTGTAACGCTTGTTTCCATCGACCCATCCCGCAAAGGTAATCCCACCGTGACACGCTATTGTGTTGAAGATATATAGCTATACGTAATCTTAAAATACCGTAGTCTAATACCTATACAATGCTCAGTTATACTGCTCTTAAAAGTAGGGAGACCAAGGAGACGCTATACAAGATGTTCTTATTTCTTACATTTTATGCCTCAGATACATTGGGCTCCTCCGTTCCTTGCTGAACTCCTTTTCGGAAGCAATACCGAGACTAAGATACAGGTACTAGTCTTAAAGTCAACCGAAGAGACTGTATTCGTTGTAGTCCATCCGGAAAACTTACACATCATTGTAATCACCTACAAACTTCATTTCCTGTGTCCTAAAGAGGACAACTCTCCTTACTTTTGTTTATTTTTTGCCACCAATCCATTTGTAATACCGAGCCTCCACCCATTCCATTAACCAATTGTAAGCCGAGAAGAATAAATGTTCTTGAGTGACGTTAAACTGGTAAAACTTTTGGCAAGCTATTCTTTCCATGGGAGGGAATAGCTAACTTCCCCAGAATACTACTGGGTCGCTAGGGTCTGAATCTAGGGACCAAGCTTGTACATAGCTTTTAGAGCAATCACATACATCCGAGAGAAAATGGTCTACGGAGTTTTCTGGTTTTACGAGAAATAGGCAGTTAAAGAAACCTTCTCGTTATTGCGTCTACAATTTCTTTTTCAATAACAATTTCGGATTCAGTAGTGCAAAATCCGATGGCTATTTTAGTAGCCCCTGGTTCTCTGCGGCCGTGCCAGTGCGTCTCCTTTTTATTTTTAATTCTTATCATTCCTTCCCCTCCCCCATAACTCCATTGAGAAACGGACGCATGAAAGCCACACGACATGTAATGAGACATCAGCTGCACACGATTTGTGCAGGGTTCTCTTGTAATTGAAGTGTTGTGATTCTATAATCCCTCAATTTTCCGTTTCCATTTCCATAGCTGCTACGAGAGAAATCTCGGAGCACCAGTTATGAAAGACAATGAGGTGGACAGAATTCCTCAATCCTCCGCAGAGAAAAGGACCTTCGGATTTTTAACTGAGAGTAGCTCTACCTATTATTAATCAAACAATACGTTTTATTTTTTCCTTATGGTGGCACTCTTTGCCCTGCACAGAAAAAGGAATCTAAGAATATTCTCAGCATGGAGCTTCTCCGCTGTTTCCCCTGTGGTAGGTAAAGGTGAAGAAAAAAGGATTTACCACCCGGCTCTTGTTCTTCCTAGACAAAGCTGCATTGTCTAAACCCCCCCAGTCTAAGAGATCAAGATTAACTCCCGCACCGTTCAGAACAAGTCGTACAACTACTCCTGGATCTTGGTCCCACTCTAATTTGCAGCTGATAGACCCTACGTCCAGAAAAAAAAAGAAATTTTGTCTGGCGCCTTCTGCTCTTCGGACCCCTCCTTCCAACTGCAACCCTTTATCTCCTGTCTCCTTTTTCTGTTCCAGAGTTCCCGTGGACAGACTGGCGTACAGACGCGCGGAGAGACTGGTGGACATCCATTAGCAGACAAGGACAGATAAACAATCAGAGCCCAGCGGGAGACACATCCACACAGAAATCTGGCAGGCCACCATGATTATGGAACACTGCCTTGAAGTGAACAAAAAGGAAAGGAAAACCGTCAATTAGATCGATTGACCCGACTCAGAACCACACGTACATCACCGGAATTAGATGTCTTTCTTGCGGGACGGATAGAACAGTTTGGTATTTCTATTGTCTTAGAGCTTCTTTTCTCTGCGTTAATTTCACTTGTTTCGGAATAAGAGCAAATTATGTGTATTGTGCACTTTCTTTTATCTCTCAATACTGACAAAGGAATCGAAGGTTAGGGACCTTAGGGAAAGCCTCGAAAAATGAAATCCCAAGAAGAAAAACCATGGAAGCTTACATTCGGCCGTTGTTTCTTCGTGGGACCTTTATTTTTATCAAACAGAAAATAGAAAAAAACAAAAATCGAAGCTTACTATTTACTATACTATCCTGTCTCGAGGAATAAAGTTATTCCGTGAAGGCTATTCTCCAGGATTGCTATTATGAAATGAGGGACAAGACAGAAGACATCGAACTTGGAAAATGGAGCACAATGTGTGGAAATTTACTGAGAAAGAAATTGTAAAAACAAAATTCTGTAAAAGCACAATAAATTAATGTGGGATTTGATGGATCCATTAGGGATTATAGTTCCTTCCCCCACTATCCGGACAAGTGAGATATTTGGATAATCTCTCTTTCACATCTGTAAAAATTGTCATATATATACTAGTCTGCTTTTCATGAATTTTCCGTAAAATCTCAAAGCATAGGTAATATCCCTTTTTTTCCCGCTGACTTCTCAAACACACACTGTAAGATCAGCCTTCATTGAATAGTTTTATAACTCCTTTTGCCAAACTAAATATACTTACAGTTAATAACACAGCCAATCAAGGATATCTTCCCCGTGCTACATTTCATTATTCCTATTTGGCAATCACAAGTACGAACAGGCAAAATAATTTTGCTATTTCCACATTCAGAAAAACTGCTAGAAGTATTGTAATCAAGTTTGATTTATTTCAATACAGCAAAATGGCCTTATCAGCTAGCTTTACCATTATCAATCGCGATACATCGCTACCTCCGCTATTACTTCCAAATGTCAACAGCTCTAACAACTTTAATAACCCAAATTACCACGATGGAGGCTACGAGAGCCAGAAGTTGATGGCATTACATGGCAATAACCAATTCCTATCGCCTCCAATGCCACCTCAACTCATTAAAAACGTTAACATTCACTCATCATCCAACTCCTTTACTGGTTTAACTGATCCCATCTCAAACTCCTCATCAGTGACTTCATTGTCACCTTCTCCTTCAATTTCTCCAAGTGGTTCTATATCTTTGCCAACCCCATCGAATGGTTCGGCATCAATCAACTCAACATTAGATGACCTTGCATCTTTGGCCGCTAAGAATACAAGATCAGGACCTAAGTCCAAACGCTCCTCAAAGGGTAAGCTGACGAAGAACAACAGCCGCGGTAGAGGTAAGAATAACGCCGCCGCTCATCACATCGCCAAGAGACAAAGAGTTGGCCCAAGTTGTGACAAGTGTAGAGTAAAGAAGATAAAATGTAATGCTACCTCTAACATTCTAGTACAGGATTTAGACATTGTAAGCTTATTTTCTACTAAATTGCATTACGAATTTAGCCCCGAGGAGATTCTGAATGAAAACTCTGAGGTTAATCAGTACATGAGGAGAAAGCATATTATAGATGCTCCAAGCATTCAGAATCTGAAAGAGTGCATACGGAAGAATCAAAACCCACAAAATAAGACCTTAGTTAAACACATAGACAAACTGATAATCTTTCAACCATGCGACTCTTGCCAGAAGAAGAAGAACAATTTGCTCATAACAGCAAATTCTACACCTATAGAGATAAGACAGAATCCTAAATTTCAGAAAACTCACGAATTGCTTATCTCTCATTGCAACTGTACATTTTCTAAGGGGTTTACAAGAAGTGATATTAGCATATACACTAAAATAACATATCACCAGAAAAAGGGTAAGTCTATCGGTTTTATGCATGAGGATGCAGGATCTTCCATTTACAACATGACAACCGCGGACTACTTTGCTGCTTCTTTATAATATCACAAGGCAATGCAACCTACAAGTTCATCTTGTAGTAGGTCAATAACCTTGTCATATCACGTCTTTCATTTATTCATTTCCTAGTTCCTTTTTTTTTTATTTCAAATCTCTAGTCCAATCAGTTTAGCATTTTAGTGCATGCATTTAAAAGGGATTACTTCACAAGCAAGCATACACAAGCATAACTATATTTGCCTTGTTTGATTTTTTTCAATCTTTTGTTTCAAATCCAGACTTTTTTTGGACTACTGGTTTATTATGCTAAGGAACAATTACGACTTTTATTTATGCCTTCCTTTGATTTAGCAGATACTGCTTTGTCTTTGGTAACGCATTACATTCTTTTTTATTTTTAATTTTCAGTTTTGTATATATGTTATAGAATTTTAATGAAATCTTATCTACGACTAATTGTTCCATATCACAAATTAAAATCACCACTTGTTTCAATAAGTCTAGCTCTAGTGAAATAGCATGTTCAACAGTATTTACAAATTCTACACACTATATGAGTATTAAGATCCCATAAATCAACCAAAATACAATAAGTAGAAACAAAACAACCACAAATGGTACTTTGTAAATCTCTTTAAAAAGTTCTGAAGTTGGAACGACCTTATTTTGTATCCTATACATGCTCTCTCTTAAAATGTAGAAAAAGACTGGAATCAATCCCAAACCAAATATAATGAATTCCAACCATTTAGTAGATCTTGCAACTGGTTGACTGAACCCTTCTAAAACTCCTAATATGACACTAATAGAAACCCATATCAAATTCGAGTAACCATATATCGAGATGAGCTCATACCTCGACTTCATTTTCATACCATCGTAATGATTTTGAAACCCTCTGTAAATAAGCAAAGGAGAGATGAAAGTATGCGCATAGTACAACCAAATCGAGTGAATTAGGTTCACAAATTGTTTCTCCCAAAATGTGCTTGGAAGGTAGGATCCATCTTCGGCAGCTTGCCTGGGAACACCCAAGACCAAACCATCTTTAACTATTTCAACCAATGTAACCACCACAAATTTGGCCATGACCGCTGTCGCGGTAATCCACACGGGACCATATAAGTCACTTAAAACACTGGCTTCATCCTCGTCCTCGTCATCGATTTCGAAGTTCTGCTCTTCTGGGTCTCTGCTGTCCTGGTAAAAAGATCTCGGGTACATAATTCTCTTCTTCAAACCTTCATTACTTAATTGAAAGTAACGTGAATAGTAATTGAGTAATCCAGGTGGTAACTTCCCTTGTGGAATAGATCCATCTCTATCAGGTGCAACCCTTTGTGGTTCCAAAGCAATTGTGTTATCATATGCTGGGGGCAAGTCATTCACTGTTTTACCAGATTCATCGCCCATAATATTGTCTCCTGTCCCAGAACCATATTTATTATGGCTCGTATTTGCATGCTCTTCGAAAGGATTAGGCTCTGAAATGAAGTCATCTACACCGTCCATACCATCATCGATATCAAACAGTCGATCGCTATCACTCATCATTAACTGTATTGGATATTCCCTTCTCCGTCTCTTTCTTTTGTAGTTACTCTACTTCGCATTATATAAAGGGACAATTACTCTTAGAACTAGTAGTCCTTATAACAATTGTAGTTGTGAGGGTCGTGAATCCCCTTCTCACACAGAATGGCTTGCTACGCTTCCGTCCTCCAACAAATAACGTGCTAAGCTACAAGTACAGGTTAGATAGTTTACACTACATATTCCAACACTGCCATCATCAACATGTTCAGAGACAGTTGGTGACATCAGAGCATAACAAGACGCTGATACCCAAACCTTACACCACACAAATATATAAGTTGATTTGGAACCAAGCTGTAAGTTACTATTACTATCTGAAAGAACTACCACTTCATTTTTCACAAGCTTACTGGGATTATAATCGCCTTTGATTACAGAAGGCTACGTACATCAGGATCCGAATATTTTTTCAGAAATTTCTGCAAAAATCCAAATTGGCAAGCTCATCGCACAAAGATAATCGATGAGGTCTGGAATTCTAATAGTAAGTTCGTGAAGTTACAAAGCAAGCCTGGGGTGTCTCATTGCTTACACTTTGAAATGACACCTATTTAATAAGATTAGTATTTTCTTTTAATTAAAAAAAGAGGTGAAACTCGCTGGATCATAATCTTGCATCATTTTAGGTACAGGGATACATTCTCTTTTATGACACTATTGCACAAGCTCAGTACGTTTTGCAAGATGTCACAGCCGTTGAGAACTGAGGTGCTGAAGGTGGATGCTTTGTCAATAGTATTTCCTGAGAATGCGCATATCGACGGTAAATTGCCGGAGGTTAACGATGCGCCATCTAGAGATGCGCTGTTGAAAGCTGCACATATTATAAGAGACACTGAGGAGACTGTGGCGTTTCCTACTGAGACTGTCTACGGTTTAGGTGGTTCTTCGCTGAATGACAACTCTGTTAGAAATATATACAAAGCGAAGAACAGGCCCAGCGACAATCCTTTGATCACACATGTTTCATCCATTGATCAACTGAACAGGAAGATATATAACGACTATGAAGATGGAGATATCCTTCGGAATATACCCAAAATTTACCACCCATTGATCGAAAAGCTCTGGCCGGGCCCTCTGACAATCTTACTGCCTATACCACCAGAGAGAAATGTATCACTCTCCAAATTAACGACAGGGGACCAACCCACTTTTGCTGTTAGGATACCAGCAAACTCTATCGCTAGGGCTTTAATTGCCTTAGCCGATACTCCTATTGCAGCACCATCTGCAAATGCCTCTACTAGACCTTCTCCAACACTGGCATCACATGTCTATCATGATTTGAAAGGTCGGATACCGCTAATTATAGATGGCGGAGCCTGTAACGTTGGTGTCGAAAGCACAGTTGTAGATGGCTTGTGCTTGCCCCCAGCATTGCTGCGTCCTGGGGGTTTCACATACGAAGATATCCTGCATCTTGGAGGAGAAAGTTGGAGGAACTGTAAGGTCGAGAATAAGAAAACCTTAAGCGAAGGTGAGAAGGTGAGGACGCCAGGTATGAAGTACAAGCACTATGCCCCAAGTGCTAAAGTCATTGTTCTTCTACCGAATGACAGCGACACTCAAATGCAATTGATTGACAAAATGAAGGTGTTCTTGTCCAGTCATCAACCTGACATAATTGATAAAAAAGTCGCTATAATGACCACTTTGAAACTAACTCCTATCTTGAACGAGATCAGCTTATTTGCTTCTAGTAACTACAAAGGAACCAAAACCGAGTTCTTAGTATCTGAATTGGGTGCTTCTGGGGAAGCTATCCAAGCCAACCTCTTTGCTGCACTAAGGAAAGCAGATGAAACTGATAATGTAGATACTATTATTGTTGAAGGCATATCGGAAACCAGTGAAGGTCTAGCCGTCATGAATCGTTTACGTAAAGCATCAGGAGGGAATATTGTTACGATATAATTATCCCTTTTGCCATTTATATTCCCAACTTTGTAATTCTTATAGCATACCTCAATATATTTCATGTTTAATTGCCTCTCGTCGGAGAATAAAAAGTCTCATAGCTAAGTTAATAATGAGTTTTCTTAACTTCCTTAAATAAAGAAAAAATATAATGCTTATTATTGGTAATCCATACCAAAAAACTAAAATACAAATGTTTATAAGTATATATAAGGACCTTTTAATCGTAAAACATTCATTACACGATAGAGTAGCGTAAAGGATCCATATGTGAATTCTTCTTCACCCAGTATTTTCTAATCTCATCGATAATGAAGACGCTGCTACTGATCATTGCCAAGAAAATCAAATCACTAAATGCAAGACTTTCTGTCTTAAAGATTGCTTGGAAGAATGGAATATAAATGGCACACATTTGACCTAACAAAGAGAAACCCACCGCTAGGTTAAACATCTTATTTGTGAAAAAACCAATTTCAAAAATAGACTTCGTTGTGTGTCTGCAAGCTAAGGCATTAAACATGTCAAAGAAAACGAAGCAAGTGAATGTCATAGTTGTGTCTCTTGCAGTAACTTGCCCATCTTCTGCCATCTCTTTAACGAAAACGTAAACAGTACCTAAAATGATACATGATGCTGTCCCAATCAACCTCTTTAGCAACTCTGCGGTCAATATTTTATCAGTACGCTTTCTTGGTGGTTTTTTCATAACTTCATGATCAACTGGTTCTACACCTAATGACTGTGCAGGTGGTCCATCCATTAAAATGTTAATCCATAAAATCTGCATTGCATTTAATGGATTTGGTAACATGAATGCTGTAGAAAGGGCAACCAAAGACAAGGCTGCAATAGAGGTTGATAATTGGAACGACAAAAAGTTTTGAATGTTGTTAAAAATACCTTTCCCCTCTTCTATAGCAGTCAGGATGGTGCTAAAATCATCATCTGTCAAAATCATATCAGAGGCTTCTTTTGCCACATCAGTTCCCATTCTACCCATAGATACACCGATATCAGCTAATTTTAAGGCTGGTGCATCATTAACACCATCACCAGTCATAGCCACCACATCACCTCTTCTTCTTAGAGCACGAACAATGTTCAATTTATGTTCTGGTGTAGCACGGGCAAAAATATTAACATGATCAATCACATTGGCCAATTGGTCATCAGTCATTTCATTCAATTTATCACCACTTAGAACGGAAAGCTTTGGATCGATTACTGGAATACCTATCTGTCTTGCAATGTTAACAGCTGTATTTTCAGAGTCACCAGTTATCATAATGATATGAATACCACCTTGCAAAAATTGATCAATTGCAAATTTAACAGAAGATCTAGGAGGATCATTCATACCAATCAAACCAGTAAAAACCAAATCACTTATGTCATCTTCAACCAGTTTAGAACTTGAGTCCGTCATAGCTCTTTTTGCAAACGCCAAAACTCGTAGACCTTCAGAAGCCAATGTGTTGGCACAGTCAATAATGGTTTCCCTATGTCCTGCAGTCAGCTTCTCAATTTTTCCCTTTTCTGTAAGATAAGAAGAAGACTTGTCCAAAATTCTCTCGAAAGCACCTTTTATAAATAGAGTTGTCTTTTTCTCATTATCCTGGATTTTAGTTGCCATCATCTTTCTTTTTGAGTTGAAGGAAAGTTCTTTTACCTTGGTATATTCACTTCTTACATCAGCTAGTTCAAACTTTTGCAGCTGCTCTAATAAGGCCACGTCTGTTGGATTACCTAAATACTTTGCATGCTCTTGAGAATATGATGCATTGTTACACAAGTTACCACAAAGTAAAGTGGTCTTGACATCATCAGTTAAGTAATTCTTCAAATTACCGCCTTTATTTTTATCAAGAGATAGAACATTTAATTTGTTAGCCATACTACCCAAACACCATATCTTCGAAACAGTCATATGATTCGATGTTAAAGTACCCGTCTTATCAGAACAAATGACATTAACAGAGCCCAAGGTTTCAACACTAGGCAATCTCCTAACAATAGCTTTACGCTTAGCCATACGTAGTACACCTAGTGCTAAAGTGACAGTCACAATAATAGGTAAACCTTCAGGAATAGCGGCAACAGCAAGTGAGACTGAAATTTGGAACATTTCTAACCAAGATCTGCCTTGGATGATACCGACAACACAAATAATACCAATTACAACAAAACTTGCTAATGATAAATCTTTACCAAGCTTGTCCATGGTTAATTGTAGCGGGGTCTTAGGTTTTTCAATACTGCTCATCATTTCAAAAACGTTACCAAAAGATGTCTCTCTACCAGTACCAACAACAATACCTCTACCATTACCTTCTTTTACCAACGTTCCCATGTATGCAATATTAGTACGCTCAGCCACTGGAACAATAGAATTTGGTTGATCATTGTAACTGTCCCGGGAAAGAGCTTTATAACTTTTATGAACAGGATCAGTTTCACCGGTTAGGTTACTCTCATCAATAGTCAAATCATTACACTCTATAATTCTTATATCGGCTGGGATACGGTCACCAATTCTAAAACGAACTAGATCACCAGGAACCAAATTTGTCGCCAGGACGTTCGATTCTCTACCGCCTCTGATCAAATGGCATTCTTGTGGAACCAATTTATTTAGGGCTTCCAACGATTTCTCAGATCTGTATTCTTGCACAAAACCGACAGTGACAACAATAACAATGGCCATGGTGATACTGATAGCGTCATCAATGTTACCTAAGAAGACCGAAATAATAGCAGAACCCATTAACAACAATATTAGCCTGTCTTCAACAAAATTGGACAAGAACTTCTTTACCAAACTTTCATCGTCATCGACACTGATTTCATTTGGACCATAATATTGTCTTCTCTTGGTGGCTTCTTCTACAGAAGAAAGACCTAGCTTGGCATCGGTATCCAATTTATGTAAAGTCTCTTCCACACTCAATGTACAGTATTCCAGAGAGGGGTTTGGCTTAGTAAGAGCGGCATTTGTGGCCTCCAGAATCTCCTTTTCCTGCGAGTTCAGAGAAGCACTACTTCCACCGGCATCTTTATCCTTATCATAGTAGGTAAACGGGTTATCACTCATGTTTATCCGTTATATTATATGCGAACTGTAGCAATTTGAGCCAATATAATAAATTTGTAATTGGTGAAAAAAAAAATCAACTTAAAATTGATCTCTAAGCTATGAAATACAGCAAGTCAATAGGAATAACCTGGACAACTTCTTGGTTCGTATTTGCCTTCAATGAAACGAAATAGTATAAGTATTTCTCAAATCAATGCCAACAGTTTATTATTGCACAAAAATATCTATAGTATTTCTTTTCGTCTTAACCCAGTGTTTGAACTCGGTAAGAGAAAGTATTGCACCAGATAGAGATTAGGAATAAAAAAAAAATCTATTTTGATATTCACAATTCCGATGTCCTGGAATTATAGTTAATTACAACCACCAGTTATACACTCAATTGGCTATTAAGTATTGACCAGTGACACCAAAAAATCCACTCACGAACTTTTGTCGAGGCGAACTTTGTTGGTTTTTTTTAGCAAATTTGATGCCCAGATAACTCAGAATTACCCGGATTTATATTTTATTGATAATAGCATAGCAACGTGTTATGATGAATGCCTTATATATAGAGAGATATACTGAGCTAATTCTTGGATGCAAGACAATACAATTTGCAAATTATATTTATTGGAATGTAGAGGCATATAGATACAATTACTACGTGCTAAGAGTCTACAATTGTTAATTCTCATATATCTGAAGCTTTGGTGGTAACCCATAAATTGTTGTAGATATCTGATTGTCAAATGCCAATTCTGGGACCATCATAATAATGTAAAAGGTGATGTGCAATCAACGATTTGCACTTTATGTTAAAATTCCAAACTATTCTGCCTTAACGTTTTGAGCCTGATGTCTAGTGATAGTTACAAGTAGGGCTCGTGATCAAAATCACTAGCTTAGTTATAATTCGCAAAGACATTTGACAGCTTTTGGCAAAGACATATATCCTTAGAATCGTACTTTAATGCCCGTTCCCCAAGTGTGACCTTTACGTTTTGCTTTTCTTATCAGCTAACTGATTTTCTAATTTGACGTATCTTGTACTGATGAACAGTATATGAACCACCCCCACACCGGGTTTATTGCGGGCCATAAATTAGACGGATTGTTTTTTTTACCAAGAGCAATGTTACAGCAGGAATCATCTATTGCATTTCTATAACAATATTCAACCGTTTAGTTTCCGGATTATTCCGAGTGTTATATCTATTAACCCCCACTAACCTTTACTTTACTCTACTAAATTATATAATATCAAATTTACACAGTTTTTGATATTGGTGCACAGACTATTTCCATTTGTTCCTATGAGCACCCCACATCATCCCCCATCAGTAACTTGTTATTAAAACATATATAAAGAAGAGCTCAAGTTATATAATCTCGGGTCTGTTAATAATTGAATCATCTTACTATTCATAATCTTAAATAAAAGAACAAACTGCATCAGGCATTACCCATTTTAACAACACTTAAAGAATAATACTATCATAATGAACCAAACAAAGCTGACTCAAACCGCTGCCCGTATCTTGAAGAATAGCAGTATCTTCAGAAAATCTCCTGGCAACTCTTTTGCTACATTCAAAGAATACAGAGAAACTGCCAAGACATACGGTCCATTGAGTGCCTCTCTCGCTACAAAGAGAAACCTGACTAACAAATAGAGCAAATAATTAGTCTGTTATTTTTTCTTTGTGCTTTTATTTTTCTGGGTTATACATTTTATAGATTCATTCAAGGTACCTTTATATTTTTTACTTTCTGATCTTTCTAAATATTCAAATATGAAAAAAAAATAAACATTTTATCTTTCAACACAAACGTCTATTTCTAACAGTTAAACAAGCATGCAATGAATAAATCATATCAAATGTCTATAAATGTAATATGTAGAATTATGGAGACCATTTTAAAATTAACGGACTTACCAACATCACTGATATCGGTATCCCAGCATATATGATGAATCTTCCAATAATATCTATATGTGCCACTCCAACGTACCGTATACACTCTTCTCCTGAATTGGCAGTCAATTCTATCTTCAAATGCTGCTTTTCTTGTCTATCATCAGGCATTCTACATATTGTTTTCAAAAAAACGCTGTAGACTAACGGTTTACTCAAAATATATTTCCAAAGCACTACCAATAGCACCCCAAATCCTAACCGAGAGGCCAATTGACCATATGTATATTCATTAGTAAATGCATAAATCAATGATCTATCGTCAAAGAAATGCCTGATAACCCAATCACTTACTTCCAGCCCTGAAACGACACCCATAAATGCCACACTATCTTCAAAACAAGGACATTCATCTATAGGCTGAATATGCTTGAACAGTATAGTTAATCCCCAAACGACGCTTAAGACTGGGAACCACAACTCCTTCCCATAATCCCATTCAGATAGTAACCAACTCGTTGCAACTCTCACAATGCAGCAAAAAACACCAACAGCTGTACCGCTAACGAGATCAAGAACACCGTGCATCCCGCAATATATTCTTCCCAGAACTAAAGTGAGATAATAAAACATTACCATTGCAAACAGAAATGCCTTTGAAAAGCCAGAGTAGCGTGTGCTCTGCATTAATGCTATGAGAAATAACAAGCTGACTCCGGTTGCATTTGCTGTATGAGATGAAGGCGCTCCGTATTCCTTTGCTGTATAAGCGCTCAGTGTTATTCTATGTAGAGGCGGTGACCTTGGTCTTGGCAAACAACAGTAATCCTTCAGAAACCCGCTGAGGTAGATTGAGTAGCCCAATATATATACCATATCCCTTGTGAACTCGAAGTAACCAAAGTATACCGGCAGAGGCAAGAACAACACATAGAATGTGTGAGAGCCCATCAAGGACGTGTAACTGAAATATAAGTCCAAGAATTTACACCTCCATCGTGACTGCCAGTAGTATAACGTCTCTGATTGATTATCCACATATTTTCGCAGCCATGACCTGACTTTGAACCTGATAGGGGACATAGCCTTATAATGCTCATCGGGATGGTTGCCTGGGTCATTTAGTACATTGAGCTCCTGATAATCGTTAGGGTTGGATAACGCACGACTTCTTGCCCTGATCCTGCTCTTCACATTATGTGACACCAGCACATCTGTACTGTTACCATTCACATCATTCAAAGTAATCACTGGTTGGTGCTCCATTTCTAGCAAGCCTATGTGATGTAGCGATAATGCGATACGCAGATTGATAGAAGACAGACGATCGTATTCACTTGCAACACCTTCAAGCCCAAAACTATTGCGCTCTAGTAACCCAAAAAGTACGGTACCTGTTTTATATGCAACGTATAGCCTTCGATCAATGCAATTTACGTATACAAACTTGAATTGACGTAAACTGCGCTATATGCGGATACTGAACTCTTAAGCTGTTGAAGCACAGGAGTCACGTTCATTATACACAAACACGATTGTTAGATATTTGCATCACGTGTCTAATGTCATTGACTACGCGTCAACATCACATGATAAGAAAACGTACCAAAGTATATTTTATTTTATCGCCAGTCACAATGTATATGGGCAGTATATATTCGACTAACTAGCGCAGGGGTACATGTATGGCTACCATCCATATAGCCATATTTATGTGCATTTATGTTTTAAAATTCGGTAATTTGATATATTTAAGGAAATTCTCGAAGAACATAACAAATTCCCCATAACTATAGAAGAAGACAGTAGCATAGTAGTGATGATATACTCACTAACGGTGTCATATGCCAACATCACTCAATACATACCCTCATCGCACAAACTTTGAAAAAAAAAAAATAAAAATTTTTTTTGGCACAACGATGGCCAACAATTTTCTCTTCATTGGGATGTTGCACAGGGAAGTTTTTACTTTACTATATTGATATAATGGTTATATTAATAGTATTTCTTGTTCGAGTTGTAAATTTTAGTTATTTTATTTGTTACTACATATAGCCAAGCATTTTAGCGACGCGCGATAGATTAATAACCAAATACTATAGCCCAATATGTCTACTGATCAAATGACCCAACTGGATGAATCCCAGATCGAAACCAACTACGACAAGGTTGTCTACGAGTTCGATGACATGAACTTGAATGAGAAGCTTTTGAGAGGTGTTTTCGGTTACGGTTTCAACAAGCCATCTGCCATTCAACAACGTGCTATCATGCCAATTATTGAAGGTAACGATGTCTTGGCTCAAGCTCAATCCGGTACTGGTAAGACTGGTACTTTCTCCATTGCTGCTTTGCAAAGAATTGACCCAGCTATCAAGGCTCCACAAGCTTTGATGTTGGCCCCAACCAGAGAATTGGCTTTGCAAATCCAAAAGGTCGTCATGGCTTTGGGTTTCCACATGGACATCAAGGTTCACGCCTGTATCGGTGGTACTTCCTTTGTTGAAGACGCTGAAGGTTTGAGAGATGCCCAAATTGTTGTCGGTACCCCAGGTCGTGTCTTCGACAACATCCAAAGACGTAAGTTCAAGGTCGACAACATCAAGATGTTCATCTTGGATGAAGCCGATGAAATGTTGTCCACTGGTTTCAAGGAACAAATCTACCAAATTTTCACCATGTTGCCACCAACCACCCAAGTCGTTCTATTGTCCGCTACCATGCCAAGAGACGTTCTAGAAGTCACTGCCAAGTTCATGCAAAACCCAGTTAGAATCTTGGTTAAGAAGGATGAATTGACTTTGGAAGGTATCAAGCAATTCTACGTCAACGTCGAAGAAGAACAATTCAAGTACGATTGTTTGACCGATTTGTACGACTCCATCTCCGTTACTCAAGCTGTTATCTTCTGTAACACCAGACGTAAGGTCGAAGAATTGACTCAAAGATTGACCGCTGACAACTTCACCGTCTCCTCCATCTACTCCGACTTGCCACAACAAGAAAGAGACACCATTATGAAGGAATTCAGATCTGGTTCTTCCAGAATTTTGATTTCCACCGATTTGTTGGCCAGAGGTATCGATGTCCAACAAGTTTCCTTGGTTATCAACTACGATTTGCCAACTAACAAGGAAAACTACATTCACAGAATTGGTAGAGGTGGTCGTTTCGGTAGAAAGGGTGTTGCCATCAACTTCATTGTCAACGAGGACGTTCAAGCTTTGAGAGAATTGGAACAATTCTACTCCACTCAAATCGAAGAATTGCCAAGTGACATCGGTACTTTGTTCACTTAAGCGACATGCTTATAGAGAGACTATACCAAACTTTTTCTTACTTTTTAGGGTACTTTGAAGCCAACTCGAAAAGAAAAACCTCTTTCACTTTGCGAGGGAACCATTACTTCAATAAGCTTGGCAACCCCTTGAGGTTAACTTATCTTTAAAATGTTGGTCTTCAGACCTTGTGTCTTTTAATTTTCTAACAAAATTTTTTTTCAACTTAGGATTTTTAATTAATACTAGTTGCAATGCTCAGCAGGAAATATACATTATCGTTGCAAACCAAAAAAAGGATCAGAATTGACCCTTTTTTCTTTCTAACGTTTTTTATACATTTATATATAAAAAAAAAACTGGAAACTTTTCACTTTAATCTTACCGATTTGTTTAAGATTCAACTACTATTTGCTCAACTTATAGTTAAGTATATCTTGACCCAATAGAATAGTCTAGTAAATGCAAAAGAATATATTATTAGCAAAGGTGTTGGCACAGTTATATATTTGTGTTAGTCCTTCACAGGCATCATTGTGTGTTCAGATCAGTATGTCGCTATATATTTTCAAAGAAATTCACGTATAGAATCCCTGACAAATAATTCAAAAAAGAAAGAAAATGGGTTTCCCAGATTATTAAGCAAGATCCCTGGTATGCTTGATCTATGACTGAGGAGGTGCCCTGCCAGTGTTTGTCTGCCCCAGAGCCTCTTGATTTTCCAAGTGCAGAAACAATGAAAATCCTTCTAAATCTTAGCGAAATCCAAGGGTTGGATTAACTAGATTCATTTGACTTCTAAGTAGCATTGACATTCTCTTCCTTTCATCCTTGCCTATCTATCATGGACAGAGTCGATACACAATTCAGTGGTATATTGATACTGAATTTTGCACTTTTAAGTATTGACAAGGAAACTGACCGAGGTTCTCAATTGTGAATCACTATAATTATAGTCCTTTGAATCCTATAAATGCATATGGCTGCTGTAACTAAACTATTCTGTTAAACAATTTTTCAATATATTAGTTGTAATGCATGCGCATCAAGTCAATATTAAGGCCGTCATACTGCTCACTACATTAACCGTGCTGGTGTGGTTACCATCCTTTCGAGAATGGAATCGTATCTTAAGTTTAAGAAGCAAAGATCAGCACTATTTAGACAAGTCAGCACTGATACGATCTAAATATCTACAGAAAACCAGAGATACTATTTATAAACCTCTCAAAATGTCTTCACATACTGCTGCTGATAATAATAATCTCATAACTACATCTATGGATATTAATAACTTTGAGAAACAAAATGCAACATTTGTGATGCTGGCTCGGAATAGCGATGTGAATGATGCAGTTGAGGCTATCAAATCTCTAGAGTCACGCTTCAATCACAAATACCATTACGATTGGGCTTTTTTCAATGATGTACCCTTTGATGAAGATTTCATCAGGCGTACAACAGAAGTTGCCAGCGGCAAGACTCAATATGGACTGATACCGAAAGATAACTGGGATATACCGTCATGGATCAATAAAACAACGATGAACAATAATATGAATATCTTTAATGAAGAAAATATGCTGTATGGCTCATCTATATCATACAGAAATATGTGTCGGTACAATTCTGGATTTTTCTTTAGGCAGAAATTACTTGATGGCTATGATTATTATATGAGAGTGGACCCTGATGTACATTTTCTTTGCGATCTTCCTTACGACCCTTTTGAAATGATGGTGGTTAACCATAAGAAATACGGATTTGTAATAACCATGCATGAAATAGGCAGCACAATCCCTACACTTTGGGATACTGTTAAAAAATTTATAAGTCAACACAGTGACCTAATCAACAAAAATAATCTACTTGGCTTTTTAACAGATAAGAATGATCTTGGAAAGAACAAATTTAAAGCACACTTCCAAGACGATTACAATCTTTGCCATTTCTGGACTAATTTAGAAGTTGGTGATCTGAATTTTTTCAGGAGTGACAAATATTTGAAGTTTTTTGATTTCCTAGACGCCAACGGTGGGTTCTACTATGAAAGATGGGGTGACGCACCTATTCATTCCATTGCAGCAGCTTTGTTCTTAGATAAGGATGAAATTATTCATTTTGAAGAGATTGGGTATCACCATATGCCATATTACCATTGCCCTATGCCGAATGCATTTTGGGATTCTCACAAATGCGCCTGTTCTAGATCTGGTCAATTCAACGTTATAAATAATGAAATAAACTGCTTGCCTAGATATTGGAAACATAATGGTAAAACGTTTGTCAAAGAACCAGGGCATTTTTGATATGCTGTCTGTAAATATATTTACGTTTCACCACAGTTAATCTAAAGTAAAAAATTATATATTCATTTATTTTTTATCTTGTTCCACTAGATTATTGGTATAGTAGATATTTTTGGAGTCACAAACTCTAATTTACATTCGCATTTGATAATGGAGAAGTATTTTATAAGGGTAGCAGTTTTTTAGTATACAGGCAATGATATATATAAGTAACCCCGAGTAGATATATGATGCTCTAATACAAAGTTTCCAGATTTGAAAGCTCTTTTAGTATTCTTTCCAAATCATCATCTGATATCTTATTGGTTAAACTTGGAATTAATGTTTTAGCTTCGTCAGCGGTATCACATGCCAACGTTCCTAATTGAGCTACTTCAAATGGATGTAACCCTGTACTTTTCAGCAATTGCAACACAGCTGCAACCGTCTCCTGATCTCTAAATCTGGAAAAGTTAGTCAAGTACTCCATAGAGTTTTTTAGATCCTTGTTATTACCACCAGTGGTTTGCTCAAGCAATGCATCTATTGACTCCAACTCCTTTTCTCTTGTCTCAGTATGCATCAAAGCTTCATCATCATCATCATCTTCATCTTTGTCATCATCTTCAACTGCTGTACTGTCGTCATCGTTATTCCTTTGAGTCTTCTTCTTCTTGTTCATCTTTAAGTTCTTTCTATACGATTGTCTACGCCCTATCAGCGCTTCTTTAATAATTAGTCTAGCTTCACTCAAATTCAAAGCAATAAGATCTTCTTCCTCTCCATGGTGATTGATCTGAGTCAATTGGAATTCTCTACCCAGTTGTAACGTCGCAGCATTTTCATCTTCTTCAACTTTCTTCAACCGCCTGTGAGGCTGTATTGTGGACGCGGAAATATTCATAGTACAATGTTCGAATTGATTACAATCTTCTTACTACAAAAACGTTGTATTCTCTTGGAATCTAACTGAAACAAAGCACTGTATACTCATTACAAATAATAAGCTTGTTAAGTTTAGTATAGCTTTCTGGTTAGGCCACTTCGTGAAGAAACAAGAGTTTTTACAAGACCCATTATATCGTGAAATACGAAATAGCAATGTTAGTACCCATGAAACATCAGCTGATATACAATTTAGTTAACGGTAAGGTAGACATACAAAGCTAACAACATCATTGACCGGATTCAACTCTACAGAGACTTGAAATGGGACATCTATTGTATATATCTATTGTTACTCTCAATGTTGATAGCTCTGTTGCACAGGCCATTAGAATTCCATCATAGTGGATACGTGTACAGCGACCATTTATGATCTGAGTAATAGTGTAAACATCAAATCGAAGGAAGTCCGGCATAAGTAAACTGAGCCTGCATATACTGGAAAGCATATACTAAAACAATTCTGGGTATTAACTTTCTTGATTTGCGCAGATTAAAACAATTAGTCCCAAGGTTTCTTGATTGTAGGGAATGTACAAAAATCAGCCGCAACACTATGCCAGGTCAGATTACCAAGTGGTGAAAGAGATAGGGCGTGGGTCCTTTGGATCAGTTCACAAAGTCATCCATGTACCGACCCAGCAAGTCTTGGTTAGGAAGGACATAAAATATGGACACATGAATAGTAAGGAAAGACAGCAGCTAATCGCTGAGTGCACTATCCTGTCGCAACTGAAGCACGAGAATATTGTAGAGTTTTATAGTTGGGATTTCAATGAACAACAAGAGGTGCTATATTTATACATGGAATATTGTTCGAGGGGTGATCTATCAGGTATGATTAAACATTACAAGCAAGAACACAAGTACATTCCTGAAAAAGTAGTGTGGGGTATTCTAGCACAGATGCTGACCGCGCTATATAAATGCCATTACGGTGAGGAATTGCCTTCATTAACTACAATCTATGATAGAATGAAGCCGCCATCCAAAGGAAGAAATATTGTTATACATAGAGACTTAAAGCCCGGTAATATCTTCCTAAGCTACGACGACAACTCCAGTGACTCTACAGATAAAGCTGATATAGCACAGAGTAATTGGTATCGCAAACCTAACAATAGAGGTGGAGATGAATCCAAACTTACTACCGATTATAGTCAAGTAGTGGTAAAGGTGGGGGACTTTGGACTGGCCAAATCTCTTGCTACCAGTGTCGATTTTGCTACAACTTATGTGGGAACACCTTATTACATGTCTCCAGAAGTGTTAATGGATCAACCTTACTCTCCATTGAGTGACATATGGTCTCTTGGATGTGTAATTTATGAAATGTGCTCTTTACATCCACCATTTCTGGCTAAAAACTATCTTGAGCTACAAACTAAAATAAAGACAGGAAAATTTGATAATATCCCAGAGTACTACTCTAAAGGTTTAAATGCAATAATACATTCCATGATTGATGTCAACATGAAAACACGGCCTTCAACATTTGAACTTCTACAGGATATCCAAGTAAGAACTGCAAGAAAGTCGCTACAACTGGAGCGCTTTGAGAAAAACCTATTAGCATATGAGAATGAGCTTGTTAACATTGAAAAGATACTTGAGAAGCAGGCCATGGAATACGACAAAGAAGTATCACAGTTAAGAGAGCAATTTACGAAGGCTGTTGAAGAAAGGGCAAGAGAGATTATAAATGGTAAGAAAGGTCCAAGTATACCAGACTCTATAAATAATTATGCTGCTACAAGGATAGCTAAACCTGCATATCATTGGCAAACACGGTACAGGTAACAGTCATTACAACATATGGACATCTCCAACAACAAGTTCATAGTTACAATATCTGTTATTTAATTGTTATGATCTTTACATAATGTAGTCAATAATAAAAGTCATATTTTTTTTGCATTAACGTCCATACAGTACATTTAGTATTTCATTAGTTAGGAGGATCATTGCCATTTCTCGCCTGTAAGGGCCTCAAAGGCCTCAACGTATTTTGCTCTTGTTCTAGTTACAATATCTTCTGGCATCTTTACGCCTGGCTTACCATTCAAGTCATTAGAAGTCAGCCAGTCCCTTAGGAATTGTTTATCATATGAGTCTTGTGATTTTCCAATAGCGTAGTTTTCACCATTCCAGAAACGGGAGCTGTCTGGGGTCAACACTTCATCGACTAGGATAATCTCGTCTGTCTTGTCATCGTAGCCGAATTCGAACTTTGTATCGGCGATTATGATACCTTTGGTCTTGGCGTACTCTTTGCATTTGGAGTACAGTCTGATTGCCAGCTGCTCGATTCTGTTCTTCAGATCTTCCCCAACCAGTTCTGCGGCTTGATCTGGAGAGATATTCTCGTCGTGTTCACCTTGTTCAGCCTTGGTCGATGGGGTGAAGATAGGCTGTGGAAACTCCTGAGACTCCTGAAGCCCCGCAGGCTGTGGAAGTGTGTGCACTGTACCCTTGGCCTTGTATTCCTTCCAAGCGGAGCCAGTGATAAACCCTCTCACAATAACTTCCAAGGGGATCAGCTTGTGCTTTCTCACAAGCAGCGCTCTGCCCTCCAGTTGCGATCTGTACTTATCCTGGGACAGCGCCGCTGGCAACAAGTCGAAAACGGTCTTACCCTGAGGGATCGCAATCAAGTGGTTCCTGACCTCGTCCTTCAGAAATTCGAACCAGAACTCGGACAGCTTGGTCAACAACACACCTTTATCAGGGATAGTGTTCTCCATGATAACATCATAGGCAGATATCCTATCCGTGGCAACAAAAAGCAGCGTGTGCTCGTCTACTTCGTATATGTCACGGACTTTACCTCTAGCCACCAAGGGCAGCAACCCATCCAATTGTGTCTCACTTACCGTAACCATTGCGCACTCTGTAATCCTAATCCTACTCCCAGTCTTAGTCCTAGTCCAAGCTCTGGATCTAACAGCTCCAAAGCTCCAAGGTATAAGAAATCACCACATGTATATAAATATATATATATTAAATTAAATTGCATGCTAATAAATTTGCGATGAGCCATCGAGTATGAATCACTTCTGTTTCTCGATATCTCCACAGAAACACCCGCACGGACTACAAAGGACTTCAGGCAATGAAAGCAATTTCGGTGTGAATAAGATGAATTTCGAAACCTGACTTCTTTTAGGGCTTTAAGTGAAACCATAGAAAGTAGGGCTTTCCCATCCAAGAAGGGGTTACCCTCTCCCCCCCAAGCCAAAAGCCCTAAAAAGCCCTAAATATATCACCGAGCACGTACATGTATCACATGTATATGTACCAGACGACGAAGTACCTTTACATGAACTTCGCATTCTGCCAGCTGGGCTGATCGATGGGGCTGACGTGTCTGTACGGGGGTGTCTGTGGGGGGTGGGCCGAGTATCAACCATACTTTAATTTGAGCTTTTCTAATAGGAAAGTTTTTCGTGCTGGGAATTCCATTCATTGCTTGGCGATGAGTTTAAAATAAGACTTTGCAAATTATAGCTTGCCACCTGAGCAAAGGAGTAAAGGAGCCAACGTGATGGAGTACGCGAAGCCGAGGTCCTTTGCTGCGAGCAGCGGGAAGCAACTGCCCCTGTTGCATGATCCGGAGCTGGTGGATGATTACAAGGACATACTGAAGCTGAAGCCCTATGCGCGGGAAGAAGACAGCGGGAGTAACATGGGCAGTGTTGTGGTGACGCCTACGGAGAGGACAGCTGAAATGCCGGCTGCTGCGGAATCACCCGCTGTGGAAGCACCCGCTGTGGACGCACCCGCTGTGGAGGTGGAGGAGGTAGAAGAGCTAGAAGAGGTTAAGGATACGGATATTGCACAGGAAGGTTTGGACAGTATACGGGCGTCGATGATCAGTGGCACGTCCAGCCGATATTCTGTTGGTAGCGAGATGCCGGCACGACACCTGCGGCAGTCAAGCGAGGAGCCCCTAGACGGGCTCACTGATCCCGCTTCCTATAGCGACGACGACGATATTCACGGACATGGGCATGACTACGAGGGTGCACACGGAGGCACATACGATGATGAAAACGATAACACATACAACTACTCAGACTCTGATTTTGAAGACAACTTAGAACAACGGATGAAAGAAATAGATCATGAAGATGAGACTGATGCTGATGGTGCAGGTTCGCCAACAGCTCCTGCAACTAGCCGGTTCAGTCACAACAGCGACGATGACGAGGATGCTGAGAACAAGATAGATGGCTTGCATTTTGAATCTTCAGATGACTCTTCCTCAGACGATAACTTGCTATATGCAGAGGAAGATTTTGAAGAGGAAGAAGACTACACGCCATTGCCACCACCTAAGGAGCTAGACCCTGATAAACTATACGCCCTGTATCCTTTCCAAGGTCCTGATTCTTCGCATTGCCAATTAGAACAAGACGAACCTTGTATACTGTTGAATGACCAGGATGCATATTGGTGGCTAGTTAAGAGATGTTCAGACAAGAAGATTGGCTTTGCACCCGCAGAAATACTGGAAACTTTCCCGGAGAGACTAGCAAGGTTAAACTGCTGGAAGAATGAAAATATGTCCACCCATTCGTTTATTAACAGTGATGGAACAATTGAACGGAGATATGATGTTATTGATGATGAGACAGATGAAAATTTAGAGAATAGAGACTCCGGCTTGAAGAATTACGGCAAAGGTAATAAGTCAGTGAGTTTCAATAATGTTGTCGAATACGCAGAGAGAATTTTGGATGACGTATTCTCTGAATCTGATGAAGAATCTAATAGTGTAAAACATCATGATGAATTTTCTGAGGGGAAACTTGGTCACAACGCATTATACACTAACGATAATATAATAGATGATGATGATGTTAGTGAAGTTGTCAGTGATGTATCCTTTGGTCAGAACAATATGGCACCACTAAACATTAAAAAAGTTCGCAAGCATACCGAAGATCAAACATTAGAAAAAACGACTGATTCAGGTGATGCACACTTAGAAAATAGCAGCATATCTAATGCTATGATGCGCAAGGATGGGTTAGGTAAAGGTGATTCAGATAAGGATTTTGAAGAACATGTTTCAACTAAGAGCGACAATGTACCAAAACTGTCGGAAATGGACAGAGATGGAACTGGGGAAGATTTTAAAAATTCTAAATTTCAACTTCCTCATACTGAGATTTCTAATAACAACAAAAAGCATAAAGAGCTGGATAACAAATTAGATGCTAAATCACCATCAATTCGTGTAGATGATGTCTCAGAAGCCATTGAATCAATAGGGGAAGAAGACCATATTGATGATGATTCCGAAGAAGATGAGGTTATGAAAGTATTTGAAGCTCCAATGGCCCCATTTGCTGGCAATAGCTCTTCACAAATGCCCAACTCTAATTCTGACTATTCAATTTCAACTATAGGTGAATATTCACCTTCATCTGCTGAAAACGTGATTGACTCACCAAACCCACAATCCTTAGAAGATCAGACGCTAATTCCTTCATCTAAAGCCGTTAGAGATATAACTCATTTGATGAAAAAGGAAGATGACGAAGATGATGAGCACATTCATATAGACCATACTGAAGAAGACAACCGGGAACTGCTCTCAGTATCTTCGAGTGACGCAGAAAATGAATTTGCTACTGATGTAACTACTCATTGTCTCGGATCTTCAGCTAGTGTAAGCTCGGCATTCTCTAAGAACCTTCCCAGTAGAAGTGGAAGCAGTATCACCTCAGAAAGCGGTAAACACCATCCTATGGTTGAAAAACTGTATGGTTCAATGTTTGAAAGAATGGATAGTTTATTCCAAAAATTAGATGAAGTCGTGCAGTAAAAAAGTCAACTCTGAGTTTTTTATGGAATGGTATCAAAAATAAAATACATTACAATAGTCATACAATACTCTACTCATTTGCATTTATATAATTTTAGCATTATTTTGATCCACATATCATTTAAGTTATCCCTTTCAGTAAATTTAAACGTTATTATTTTGTTTGTTTATTTTTTTTTTTCATTTCAGCAACTATTTTTGGGGATTTTACAAGTACAGATAAGTAATTTAGACATATAAGCTTTTTATAGTGTACCTAAACTTCATTATATATCATCTGGTAGCAAGTAGCTTTTCCTTATTTAAAAAATTGCATAACATTAAATATCAGAAAATCATCGCATTATTCAAAACTTGTGAGCGAGCGAAAAAAAAATTGGATCTTTATCAAAATGTCAAGCAAAAAAAGATGAAATAACCTTTAAGTACATATAGTAAACCATTGACTCAACTGGTAAAAGACAATAAATAAGAACATCTCAAAACAAAAGTAGTCAGGATGTCTAGTGGATGGAGGCCTGATGATGTTGCTGTTGTGCAGCTGGCAACACTACTGAAAAGTTGTATGTCACCTAACCATGATGAAAGAACTGTTGCCATGGATTCCTTACAACAGTTTCAACATCAGCCTGAATTCTTTAATTACCTTTGCTACATACTGATTGAAGGTGAAGCAAGTGAAGTTTTAAAGAGCAACTTCAACGCTGCTGATTTACAGAATAACAGAGCTACCGCTGGTATGCTACTGAAGAATTCTATGCTTGAGAAAGGTGGTTTTGGTAAAGGTGATCATGATTTGGATTATGTTAAATCTAATATTGTACACGGTCTATATGACAACAATCTTCTGGTATCAAATGTGACAGGTATTGTCATAACTACTTTATTTTCAACTTATTACAGACAACACCGTGAAGATGAAACTGGTATAAATTTGCTATCCCAACTTCTAGAATTAGTTTCAAATAATAATGAAGCGAGTGTTAAGGCGCTGTCAAAGATTATGGAAGATAGTGCCCAATTTTTTCAACTTGAATGGGCTGGTAATGTTAAGCCAATACAGTCATTGATAACAAGTTTCCTCGGCTTTATATCAGATGTTAATATGAGCAATACTATTAAGGCAGAATCCATTAAATGTATTAATACAATAATTCCACTACAAACTCAAAGTTTTACTGTAAAAATAGACGAGTTTTTGTCTTCAGTATTTCATCTGGCTCAAACAAATGAAGACGATGAGGTTAGAACCCAGATTTGTATATCTTTCTCTAGTTTGTTAGAATTTAGACCTGACAAACTTGCTGATAATTTTAATGGAATTGTTCAATTCATGTTGCATATTATTGGGACTGTGCACGAAGAAAAAGTTGCCATTGAGGCATGTGAATTTTTGCATGCATTTGCTACAAATAACAATATTCCGGAACATCTTGTCCAACCTTTTGTTCCTGACATTGTACCTGTTCTTCTAGCTAAAATGGTATATAATGAGGACACTATCCTTTTACTTGAGAGTTCTAACGATGAAGATGCCAATGAAGATGACAAAGACGAAGACATAAAGCCAATTGCCCCAAGAATTGTGAAGAAAAATGACAAGACAGACTCACAAGGTAACAATGTTGCTGACGATGATGAGGAAGACGATGACGATGATGGTGACGATGATGTGGATACACAATGGACACTCAGAAAATGTTCTGCGTCTACCCTTGATGTTTTAACAAATATTCTTCCGCACGCAGTATTAGAAATTGCTTTTCCTTATCTGAAAGAGCACCTAACATCAGATAAATGGTATATCAGAGAGGCGACTGTATTGGCACTGGGGGCAATGGCTGATGGTGGTATGAATTACTTTAATAATGAGCTACCAATTTTAATTCCCTTTTTAGTAGAACAACTGAAAGACCATTGGGCTCCTGTAAGAAAAATTACATGTTGGACATTGAGCAGATTTTCTCCATGGATCATTAAGGATAATGTACAGTTTTTGGTTCCTGTGATGGAACCAATTATTGTAACATTGATGGATCGAAAGAAGGATGTACAAGAAGCTGCAATTAGTAGTATTGCAACTTTCATTGAAAATTGTGATCCAGAGTTAATTGAAACCATCTTGTATACGGAATTGCTTGAGAACTTTGATAAATGTTTTAGATTTTACAAAAAGAGGAACCTAATCATCCTATATGATGCTGTTGGAAGATTTGCTGATAAATGTGAATTGGATGATAGAGCGATGCAAATTATCTTACCACATTTAATTCAAAAATGGGAATCTCTTGGCGATAGTGATAAAGAATTATGGCCATTGCTAGAGTGTTTATCTTGTGTTGCATCTTCATTAGGGGAAAAATTTGCACCAATGGCACCTGAAGTATACTCTAGGGCTTATAGAATTTTATTCAACTGTATCGATATCGAGAAGAGATCACAAAACGATCCCTCAATTACAGTACCAGAAAAGGACTTCATCATCACATCTATAGATTTGATTGATGGTATAGTACAGGGTCTTGGTGAACATTCTCAAATGCTACTATTTCCAAACGATGGACAATATCAACTACTTGATATAATGTTGGAATGTCTACAAGACGTAACCCACGAAGTGCGGCAGAGTACTTATGCCTTGCTTGGTGATATTGTCTATTTTTACAAGCCAGATATTGTCATATCTAAGCTTTCAGAATTTCTGAAATTGATTAATATGGAACTTGTTCTAAACTCTAGTGAAGAAGATACAAGTGGAATTCCTGCGTTAATAAATGCTATTTGGGCCTTGGGTCTGATTAGCGAGAGAATAGATTTGTCAAGTTGTATTGTTGAGATGTCGAAAGCTTTGCTTGATTTATTCATTGGATCCAAAATTATTGATGAAGCTGTAATTGAAAATCTGGCAATTACAATTGGTAGGTTTGGTTTAACCCATCCTGAAGTGTTCTGTAATTCAATGTTTGCTACCGATGAGGCATTGCGTAAGTGGTGTGAAATTTCCATGAAGATTGAGAACGATGAAGAGAAAAACTATGCTTACATGGGATTCACCAAAATCGTGAATATTTTAGATAATGGAAACTTGATGAGCCCTGCAACTGTACACAAATATATTAAGGGCTTGATGGTAAACGTTGACTTTCAACCGTTTGTCAATGATTTATTTGACTTCTTCATTAGACACTCAAATCAAATTAATAATTTACACTTGAAGGATGATGAAATAGCGTTTTTGAAACAATTCAGTTAAAGAAAGTTTCTTTATTTAACCGTTTCATAATCCTCACTAATATCAATGGAAGGACTCTCCACATTGTTCCTACCTAATACAGCATATATTATATATAGATATAGATATATAATCTTCATGATACAAAACCCATCTATTAATAAAATTGCATCCAATACTAATGTGTCCTATTAAGTAGCTAAGATTGGAGATGGAATATCAATTCAGAAGTTCATATTCACAATAGAATACATAATATACATAGATATACCATGAGCGACTCATTGTCAGTGATAAAAAAGTATTGGTTTGTTGATTAATTATTAATACAGATTTTTTGTAGATAATATTGATACTAGTGGCTTCTTCTGACTTTCTTTCTTTTAGTTTTTTACTTTACCTTTGTCTTGTTTTTAGATAGAATGGGATTATTTTTGAGTACACCAACACTAATAGTGTTAATTCTTTATTAAACCACATAAAATATGCACCTCACTATGCCTGGTGCCTTGTAGGTATCTGAACTGATTGATTAGAATAACAAATCTAAAGTACAACAGATACATAGTGCAGCTAGACACGCTGTCATACAATCGTCATTACCTCTTTGAGGAGGTTGCTGCTGGACATAAATCGGTTGCTGACCGTGTTGACCTTGTTGTGGGTAACCCTGTTGCTGGTAGTATTGTTGCTGAGGTGGAGGACCTCCTTGATAATATTGCCCTTGTGGTGGTTGTTGTTGATATTGTGGAGCTTGAGGAGGAGCTTGGTAATAACCTCTTGAGCTATCTTTACCTTGCCCTTGCGATGGAGGAGGAGCTGTAGGACGTGAGTACTGTATGTTTTAGTTCTCAAAGTCATTGGCATTTGTCAAATAGGGTTATCATCAATAAATGAATGAATGCGTGATGAGGTAGAAGTTAGTAATACTATTATAAATCACAAAGAGGACAAAAAATATATTTTAATCGGAGTTACGTACCTGTTGCTTGCTATCACCAGCACCGTTGTAGTATTCCTGTGCCGACATTTTCTTCTAGTCTGCTTTAAGTTTCTTAAAGTTGAGTTCTTATTTTGAAACCACGCTAAAACAGTAGTCTTGTTATATATAAATCACTACTAGAACTAAGGCACTCCGGAAATAATAATTATTATGCTCATCAAATTAAAGCTCAGCCATTAATTTTTGCTCTTTGTTATGATTTTCCAGGGCTCATCTCATCCTTCAGGAGAGTGGCAGGACCCAAATGCCCCTTATTAGGTACAAGTGATATGAATCCCCGGACCCATAGTTCACTTGTCTATAGTGATGTTGCAAGTACTAAAGCAGTATACATGTAAAATTATGGATTACCACGGCATATATGCTAGCATGCCAATATAATAATCAGAGTCACTGTGTGCTACTCATCCAAGAATATAAACAGAGGAATACATATTTGTTAGATGTAATATAGGCACACACAAACACCCCAAATATATAGTTAGAAAGATAAAAAAAATGGTTTAAGAAATATGTTTGCTATTATACAAAGCCTAACTTATGATGGGTATTTGCAATCTTGTTATGTATAGTTATCAGTAGAGACTTAATGACTATTAACACTTTCCTTGTGTCCAGTATGACTTCTGACTTCGAGAGCCCGAACGCGAAATCGCTTGCAGCCAAGTTGGCAAGAAAACAGAAAATTTTGTGCAAACGAGTAACGTGGTAAAAATGCGTAAAATAGTCAATCTTAATAAGAACTAAGAACGCCCAATTCTTGTATTGCCATACACACATCGGAACAATTTGCAATATTTATAACGAGAAGTTTAAAGGTGGACTTAGATTGTCTTGGAATAGTTATTATTAGGACGCTAATCCGGGTTGTGGAGGACTTTAATTTAACGAGCTGCAGAATTAACGTGATAGGACGGGCATAAGCTTCTTGATCAAAATTATCCTACAGGATACACAGGACAAATGTTTAACAGAAGATTTGCCAAGCTAGTGAAGCTTGTTTTGATCACTGTCTCGATTGTTGGTGGACTATACTATTTATCTGGCTTCATCGATGGGGACACATCAACCGCTCTAGGGAACAGGTTGTCCCAAGAATACATGGATTCCTTTTGGAAAACTTATGATAGTTCCAAGTCAAGTTATGGGTCTTCTCTTTTGGGTGGAAGTGGAGAGAAAGGAGAGACAGATTTCAGAAGTCCCGAAGCAAAACTGAAGATCAAAGATTTTTATAAGACTGTATTCGAGCACATCCTTGATTATTCACCAGCAGGCAAGACAGCCAGAGAGTTTGACGATAGTTGTTTTGATAGTGGTGACATCAGCACTAGACCTGATTCTTACAAGAACTGGAAGAAGCTATCTTATCATCAATTGTCTCATTGTATGAAGATATCTCCAAGTGAAATTAATCATTTGAGAGGTAACCATAAGTCGTATGTTGACAAGATCAACGAACTCGTCCTTCCAAAGGGATCTTACAAAGGCGAAGGTATTGTTACTGTTGGTGGTGGTAAATTCACATTAATGGCTTTGACTATGATAAAGGCCCTGAGAACACTGGGTACCACATTACCTGTTGAAGTTTTTATCCCACCTGATGAAGGTGAAAGTACATTCTGTGAATCTGTACTACCACAATATAATGCTAAATGTATTTATATTTCCGATATTTTGCCAGATGATATGATACAGAAATTTACTTTCAAAGGCTACCAGTTTAAATCATTGGCTATGATCACTTCAAGCTTTGAGAACTTATTACTACTAGATGCTGATAACATCCCAGTTAAGAAGATTGATCACATTTTTGAATCTCAGATATTTAGGTCAGCTGGTTTGATTTTATGGCCAGATTTTTGGAGAAGAACTACAATGCCTGCATACTACGAGATTGCTAATCTACCTTATAACCAAAACAAGCGTGTACGTAATGCCTTTGATGACATTACTCCACCCGAAGTCTATACTAAACCCGATGGTGACCTATCTGAAGTTCCATTCCATGATATGGAAGGAACTTTGCCTGACCCATCTACTGAATCTGGACAGTTGTTGATCAGTAAGGCCAAGCATTTACCTACACTATTATTATCTCTTTATTATAACGTTAATGGTCCAAATTGGTATTACCCTATCTTTTCTCAACGTACTGCTGGTGAAGGTGATAAAGAAACATTTATCTCAGCAGCCAGCTTTTATTCTTTGTCATACTATCAAGTGAAGACGAGTGTTGGTGTTGATGGTTACTTCCGTCATGATGGATCTGGTTACCGTGGTGTAGGAATGTTGCAACATGATTTCATTCAGGACTCTAAGCAATATATGGAAGCTTTTGAATACAGCAATACAAAATACAATAATCTAAGGTCAGAAAAAGGTTCTATTTCTTATGACCCAAGCTATGATCCTAATGAATTCTTTGACAAATTTTTCTCCAGGAAGAAGCCTGATGGTGGTGATGAATCAAAAGCCGATGTTATGTTTGTCCATTGTAACCTACCTAAATTTGACCCATATGTTTCTTGGGATACTAATGATTTGGTTTATCAAACCAAACACTTCCGCTCATTTAATAATAAGAAGGTCATCGCCCAATTTGACATTGAGCTAGAGAACTTCAAATTTTTCAATGAAACTTTGTGTCCTTACGAGAATGGTAAAGGCAAATTCAAGTATCTGGACAATAAACTATCCGAGGAAAGATGGCCTCAGATGTGTGATTACATCAGTAAGCGTTTGCAATATCTGAAAGAATCTCATAACGAAGCCTTGGGCCTGGAAAAAGCTACAGAGGCTTGAAACACTACGACTTGCATTTGTAACATGAATTTAATAAACTGGACAATTAATTTGCAAAATATTGCGTCTGAAAGATAGATGTTGCTGTTCATATTTTTTTTATCATATTTTATATAATACTATAAATAAACTATCTAGAATGAAATCTCCAAGGGAACTCATGAAAAATATTATGCTTAGTTTAACGAATAGATAGAGATCGAGCTTCTACAATACAAGAAGACATTTGATTTGTTTATCTACAAGCATGTTTCCTCGCAAATCTAACTGGAATGTAATAATGAAAATCTAATAATATGGTCTTCTCGAGCATATTATATTTTAATGTGTCTATGATTCCGTTTAATTGGTTGATTGAAAGTGCTATATATAACAATTTTAGGACGTGTGTAGGAGCAGCAGTTTCTGTCATGCGTGCGTAATTGTTACCGCATTAATTTTTGGTGACACGACACATCCCTTAGCTATATGACTTTGTAAAGTTAGCATAAGTAAGAAGCACTGTATTGGAGAAGAGACCAAGAACAGCATAACGAGCATATTTTCTGTAAGTAATTAGAGAATTTGAATTGTGGCGTACTGTAACAAGTTTTTCTCCACATGAGCTAGTAAATCTAATCCTGAGCATATCAGTGCATGTGTGCCAGTCACAACGCTGGCAAGAGTCATAAAGTGAAACAGATACATTTATTTATCTTGCGTCGTGCTAGCAACACATTGGTAACACACATCTGCAATGAAATGCTTGTAGTTACAGTGGTATACAATTGATATATTATAAAAAAGCATATAACGAGGTTATTTAATTAACGAAATACTACTCACTGCTTACCTATTTGGTGCCATATCCCATGTGGATAAAGACTCTGAAATATGTTTGGCAGTGCGACCTTGGCCTTACAAAGCAGACAAATGGTGTAGAGCATCTTCTTTACAGTTTGTACACTTTGTGCATCCTACTGTTTATAATTGAGACGTCTCTACTGCCCCGTAGTCTCATTTACCAGTTTCATTCAAGGCTTGTAAGTCGTGCTCGCTGTGCCTTGATAGTTGTAACTCTAAAATCATTCACTGCAAATAAAAACAAAAACTACGTCATCTGTGTCCCAGTCGGAAGAACTAAATACAATGTTTTCGTAGGCCTAGTGTTTGGTGGACAATTGGCTGATATATAAGAAGCTGATCGTAGATCAATGGCATAGTTGTAAGTTAAATATACTACATCCAGGACGGCAGTTGAGTGGAAATTAGCAATGGCAATCATACTGAGTAAAAGGATTGGACGCCTGTTCATGCTGACGGGTGTCCTCTTCACAATTCTATATTTCCTATCGCATTTCAGCGGGCCCTCTAGTGCCGACTCAGCCTTTAGACAGGTTGGTCCTGGTAGTAGAAACTCTAAGGGTGGTGGTAACCTAGGGCCACCAATAATGGAGGCTGAGATGAATGGTAACACTAATAACATCGAAAAGGCTGAAGCTGGGAATAAAGCCATGGATACCACTAGTAACTCAGGTACTTCTAATGAAAATGCTCAGCTACCTGGCAGCAAGGACCAAACCGATTCAAATTCAAATTCTCTTTCAAATAAGGAAGGACAAGAAGATGCCGAGGAAGCTGCTGATGCGGAGTACAGTCCCGCTAAGGAGTTCCAAAAGCTGGTTAAATCCGCACCAATAGTTATTTTTAGTAAGTCATATTGCCCATTCAGTAAGAATCTAAAGAAGCTACTCGATAAGAACTATAGACTTGATCCAGCTTACGTGGCTGTCGAAGTTGACCAACACCCTAACGGAGATAAGTTGTATAGCTATATCAAGAAACTAACGGGGAGAAATACTGTACCAAATTTGATTGCCAATGGTGATTCTAAAGGTGGTTTCGATGACATGTTAGCCTTGCATAACAGTAACGAACTAGAGTCAAAGTTGATAGAATGGGGAGTCGGAGAATTACAAGTTAGTAAGGTATAGGAGGAAAGGCTCCCTCCTAGAGATATCGTTAATGAAAAGAGAATCTATTCTTGTGATAAAGACTGGTGGATGATTATAAATGATATATTTAAACGATAAGTAATGGCACTTGGTATGGTATCGAGCTATATTTATATACTGGTATTATTAGCTATGATAAACGGACCATACCACTTCTACATAAACATCAACAAGTATATAGACATACTCGTGGGCCTTTGTATTGATAATTAGCATTTGTATGCTTTCTTCTCTACTGTATTTGGATTTGAATCAAGCTGATTTGTAAAGCACATATAACAACACAAAACAGAAATAAGAAATATTTCATACTTTTGTAAATATTTAAATTAGAGTATCAAATATAACTGAGATTGCACGCTGGATAGTCATTAAGAACAATGAGGATTGAGCTCACTGAAGTTCATGGAGTATTTAACTGGGTTTGGGATATCCCAAAGAATGAAGATAGATTGGATGAGTCTATGGCTGATGAGGATGAGGATGTTTGTGGTATATGTAGGGCTAGCTATCATGCACCATGCCCGAACTGCAGGTATCCAGGTGAATCATGTGCGATAGTATTGGGAAGGTGTGGCCATAATTTCCATGTTCATTGCATAAGTCGATGGGTAGATACACCTACATCAAAGGGCTTGTGCCCGATGTGTCGGCAGAAATTCCAACTACTGCAACGCACCAAAATTAATGAACCACATATACCACTATTCAAGGAGATTGAGATCAAAAGGTACAGACAGTTACAAGAAGAGATCGAGGCGGGAAACTACGATGCCTTAGAAGAGGCTAATATACCACCAAGGGAAGATGTTGAAATGGCTTCCGCTTGATGATTTATATTATATTCACATGTATCCATCGTTTACTTCCAACGGTAAGGGTTCATTGGTATCTTACTATATGTTATTTTGCACCCGTGGACCTTATAATGGGAGTTCCTAAGAATAACTTATGTGGGTCATTTTATGAACTTCCCATATTCAATGGATTACCGGTTATACCCGGTTTTACTCTGAAGTTAAAGTCATACTAATTTGACTTATGTCAATATTCAGTGGCATTAAGTCATCTCTAACCATGCCATAGAATCATTACTTTACGTATTAAATCTATGAATAGGACTAATTTACTATCTGCTAATCTATTCATCCATTTCGATATTGCTTTCCATGTATATTTTTTTAGCTTTAATTTCACGATCATTATGATTCTCAGAGGACATAAACTTAATGAACCACATATAATTACAAAAAAAAAGATCTAAAGATTATAAGCTATATTATAAACTTTGTTAAAAAATAGGCTACTAGTACTGTCAACAGAAGCAGTTGATTCATTAGGAGATTGGCTATAATACAGCTTCAAGACACTGTAATGACGACAATTGTGAGAATACTACGACGTGGGTTGAAGACTATCCACACACCAGTTCATTCCCTCAATGATCAAAAAATTCGTCAGCAACTGATCTCTGGGATAGGCAGACTAAATCAGATTTTGGAGAGCAGTTATAACCATCGAAATATACTTCATAAGGGCAAATACAAGACATACCCACAATTTGTTTCATCAAAAGATAATGTTAGGTTTCAGAAGGTTATTAGGGATTATTTGGATTCATCTGCAGTCAATGAGATAAAAAGTGGTAATACTGGTAAAGATTTTGATTCTAAGTTAGCAACCATAGGGCTGAATCTTTTTATGGATGTAAATGGTGCCAATATAAATCCACTTGCAAGTTTGTTAACTTATGAAATGTTGAGTCATTATAACAAATATCCCGAGAAAGAAACCATTGAGGGGTTTGAGCTGGCTATCAATACAGTTAGACAATTCCTAAGAGAGAATAAGATACCTGTCACTTCTCCAGATGATATACTAACTTTAGTGGGAAGACTAGTGCACGATGTAAGAGAGTTTGAAACCTCCAAAGAAATATTAGAGGCGTTAAACTATAATCTAAATTCAGATGATATTGTTAGGGTAGTAAAAGGGAATAAAACTTTTGATGAGGTTGAATTCAGTAAAGGATGTAGATTGAGCTCTGGTGTTATCGATAAGAATGAACTCTATTTACGCTCTCTTGATCTTCCACAGAAAAAGTTAGTGTCCATTGATCAGCAAATGTGTGTTCTAGTATATGATGGAACATTAAGGGAAGCTAATAAAATTTTACCCACATTGCATTACTTACAAAAAATGGACAAGAAGCTTCTTCTTTTAGTGACTGGTGAATGTGTAGGTGATGCTTTAACAGCAATAACTATCCATAATAATAAATGCAAAAGGCAACAAAAGAATCACAGAACGATCATAATAAATTATTATTCAAAGGACTACGGCAACAAATCAATTCAAGAAAATACAGATTTGCAGGAATTTTTGAAGCTTCCTGAAGGCATTGACAGCATATATTCACCCCATTTCAGTAATGAAATTCCCAGTAAGATATGCGCTGATAAATATTACGGTTCGATAGAATCATTAAAAGCTACCACTGGTGAATCATATTTGTATAATGATGATTTGCCCGAGTCATTGAGAGATAAGGAATCACAATTTTTGAAGCAAACGGTGACATTGCATGTTGGTGGCTACAATGAGTTTGAAATTGAGCAAAGAAGAAATCAGATGGACAATTTATTCAACAATTTTCTTTGCCGCGCTATTGCGGATGGGTTTATTCCCAATAATGGCTCTGCCCTCTGTAAGTCCATTCCTCACTTGGCAGAACTAACCAAATCGTCAAGCAGTGAATCATTATTAACCAAATCTGCAGTTTCAGCCATAATGTCAATTATACGTCAATATTCGGAGAGATCAATTATAAACCAAGAAGGCTTGTCAAAGTTTGAGGCTGGGGATATTATCAGCGAGATAACGAATTTGACAGACTTTAAATTGGTCAAAACAAGCATTCAGGAAAAACCTAAAGATTGTAGCGCCATTGGACTTGTTGAACCTTGGATAACCACTGATTTGACTTTGAGAAATGCCTTAAACTACACCAGATTACTTGCCAGTTGTAACACAGCTATTTCTCTTATCTTGGAAAAGCCAAAAAAGAAATAGCATTGGTCATCATAAGCGTTGTATTTATCCCGCAATTTTATTTACTTGCATACTTGTTGATATTATAAACTTCTTGTGTATAAGACATAAAAACTATCAATATATTAATCTAATTGAAAGTAGTCATTATTCTGATAGAATATAATGGATTGCTAATTGTTTTCGATACGCACTACATCGTAAGACTATTATATAACTTCAACACTCATAATCGTCTTATATGACTGGTCTTTATTATATGATTAAGGGGAATAATATTCGAAGCATCGAAGATTTACAAAGGGCACTGTCTAGCAATAAATTTTGATACCAACCATAAAGTATAGAAAAAACTATAGAAATTTGGTATTTTATTAACAGCTTTCACAAAATATATTTTAAATTTTGCAACAATAGTAACCTAAATCTCATATATCTGATAGTTCTACAAAAACAAACACTGAATGAGGAAAGAACAAGGTCAAACTGGGTTCGCTAGGCGGACAATTGTGCCAGTGGTATCAGTGGTTTCGTTTCTCAGTTGTTGTGTAGTGTTGCTAGTAATACAAGTCACTGCGAAGTTGAGATTTAGTCAAAATAAGACCAGACTAACACATGTTTATAATTACACAAAGAAACAGTTTATTGTATTACTTACATCCATATTGAGGATTGTTGCACCCTGTGAGATACGTGTTACTACTGATAATGGCTCTATTCCCAAGGGTACATTCTACCAAGATAGTTCTTCTGGGCGATTAAGAGCCAATTTGTTGGAAAGATCCATAACTATTTCAAATCATCAAATATACACTGATTGGGTGTTCCTATGGTGGTTAGCCTATGCAGGTGACAAGGCTGGTAATGTCTTTATTATGCTTAAGAAGTCCTTGAGAAAGATCCCTGTCTTGGGATATGGTATGGAAAATTTCAACTTTATTTTCATGAATAGGAAATGGGCGTACGACAGAGTAAATATGAGTAATCATTTAAGCGCAATTGAGGCTGATTCATTGGGATGTGGACCTATATCGGGTAACAAACCTGTTAAGGTTAATTCTGATGGTGAGGAGGTTTGGGACATGAAATCTTCTGCCCAAAGAAATATTAAATGGCCTTATAATTTGATTTTATTCCCAGAAGGGACCAATTTGAGTGCACATACCAGAAAAGTGAATGAAGCTTATGCGGAAAAAATTGGAAGAGTCCCATATCGCCATGTATTGTTACCAAGGGCCACTGGTCTAAGATTTTGTTTGCAAAAATTAAGAAATAGTGTGGATGTAGTTTATGATACTACAATTGGTTACTCTGGTATATTATCTACTGAATATGGACAAGATGCTTACTCTTTGAAAAATATATTTTTTAGAGGAAAATACCCAAAGTTGGTTGATATCCATGTTAGATCATTCAAATTATCTGATATTCCAATTGATGATGAAATTGATTTTATTGAATGGTTGTTTAAAGTATGGGAGGAGAAGGACAAGATGATGGAATACTTCTATGAACATGGTACTTTTGAAAACATGACAGATAATCAAGAATCTGTATTGGTAGATTGTAGTATTAAGAATTATGAATTTTTCCCTGTATTTATAATTCCTTTCTGCTTTGTATTATTGACGTACTGGATAGTCAGATCTATTTTTTAGTTCGCACAAAATTTTAATTTAGCCTAATATATTTGATATTCATTACTGTATTGTCACTCCTGGATTACCAACGTATTATCATTTCCATAATTTAGTATGAAAGTTTGGAACTACATTAGTTTTGACTTGATGTGATGTTTTGATAGCATAATCATTTACAGAGGCATTCTATTTTTACTTCCGTAAATGTAATTGCATATGTATTATGTAAATTTAATATGAGTTCATAAAATAATCTCAAATATAAGAACAGAATATGGCTTCAGATGGTATAGATTTGAAACTAAAGTTTTGCAACATTATTCTCAATGTCTTTCCAATCCTCATTTGTTAGAAGTTTGTATTCATTATAATTTTTTAGCCAAAAAATTTCATCCTTTCCGTCTAAACCGTGTGGAAGTTTTTGATCCCTATAATCTTTCTTCGAGATTTTATGATTATCCGTCATTCTAATCTCTCTTACAAATTTAACAAACAATGGTAGTGCATACTTGGGTAAGGTCTTATTCAAGGTTGATAACCAGTTATTGAGTAGTTTTATTTTCTCACTGGAATCATAATCATGGTTCTTCAATTTTAGTACAGCAAAACCAGCCCGACCTTCATATTTTGGAACTTTAATACCAACAACAACAACTTGCGTTATCTCATTTTTGCTTGCAGTAGTTAGTTGATCTTCAACTTCCATAGTAGAGACATTTTCAGATTTCCACCTAAAAGTGTCACCCATTCTATCAAGGAAATACCATTGACCGTATTTGTCTGCCTTTAGGAGATCACCGCATCTATACCAAGCATCGCCTTTTCTGAAAACATCTCGTAAAACCTTGGATTTTGTAGCTTTTTCATTCCCTAGATAGCCTTGGAAAGAAGTCTCAGGTTTTCTTGGAAAAAAGATTCTCATAAGCATTTCACCTGGTTCTCCAACATCAGGCACTTCACACAGGCCTTTTGAATTTCTATAAATAATGGAGTCATCATTTGGATCCATCTTAACAAGGGTTTGCTGATATTGCAAGAACCAGTTGATAATTGTACCATAACTTCTGCACGCGCCAACCCCAAAATCTCCTCTTTGAAATGTGGTTGTTGCAAATGGGGCCTCGGTTGCCGCATAAAATTCACCAATAACTTCGAGATTAAATCTTTTCCTGAAATCTTGCCAAATATCGGGTCTTAAACCGTTACCATACGCAATCTTAGCAGTATGCATATGCTCATATTTACTCTCAGGGCTGTGTAATAAATATCTACAGATTTCACCAACATATTGGACATGAGTTGCTTGAGTTAGATAAACTTGTTTCCAGAAGTTTGTAGCAGAAAATTTGTTGGAAATTGCAAGACAGCCACCTTTGGATAAAATAGCACAAGCACCTAATAAAGCTGCTGTTGAGTGGAACAAAGGCATTGCAGTGAAAACTGTACTTGTGTTATCCATATGTAAAACATGGCCAAATAATTGACAGCCAACATGCGCTTTTCTCCAAGACATAATTGCAGATTTTGGTAAACCAGTAGTACCGGATGTGTAAATCAACATAGCAGGCTTGAAGTCTGTTAGACCTTCTGGAGATCTTATTATAGGATCTTGTAAGAATTGCGGAGAATTCACATCGTTCAAGATGGCCATTAGTTCTTGTTCCTGTAGATAATTTAACTGAATACCTGGGATTGCATTTAAAATTTCTTCTTCAGTTTGTTTGATAGGTTTACTAGCATCAGGATCTATGAAAACCTTACTTATATTCGAAATTTTTAATGAGTGAACCAAAGGACTACCAATGGTGTTATAGTTTAGGAATGCAGGAATAGCGCCCAGGTTCCAACTTGCCAACCATAGGAACATAAATAATGGTTTGTTGGTACAGTCAATGCCGATGTAGTCACCAGCGTTAACCTTATAACTGTTTTTCATGACATAAGAAAGTCTCAAAACAATATCGTAGGTTTCCTTGTAGCTATAAGTTTGTAATTCATATTCACCTTTCTCAGCCAGTGGTTTTGGGTATGAAATCAAAGGACGATGGCCATTAGTTCTGACTTGTTCTTCAAATTGATACCAGCACTGAAATCTATGCTTCCTGACCGACCAAATATATTGAAAGACAGCTTTGAAAAAATATGGGATGATGTAAATATCTTCCCTGATGTGATTTTCAGCATCAAGTCTATTAAACCAATCACCTAAGGACCATGACAGTAATTCCTTGATGGGATAGAGGATGATTTTAACAAGCTTAAACAGCACCCAAAATATTCTGCCAATTAGGAAGATAATAATTTTGAAAGGAGCAGGCATGTCTTATGTGCAAAAAAATAATGATGTTGACAATCGTCTTGCAAATTAACTATAAACAGAAAGATCTTGCAAAAAAATCCAATAAGCGTGTAATATAACAGGAAAACCAGAAAAAAAAGGTAAATCTATCAAACAAAAAAGTTATCGACCTGAACTCTCGTTAGGATGCTCCAAGTGGATGGTAGAAGATTCAAAAATTCAATCAATACTCGAAGCCAAGTCTAGCTGTTATAAATTTCTTTAGCTACTTCCCCAGTAAACAATATTCTATTCTCTTTATGAGAAATGTAATAGAGATAAAAAAAAATTTCAAAAACAGGTGTATGTTTATAGCACTTCAATTTATGTCAAACTTATGAATTTTGTCAGACCTGTTTATATAAAAGGCACATTTTTCAATAACAACTTTAGATTGAGAAGACTCGCGTTATTTTTTGTTTCTGTCCGAATTTCTCGAGTTTCCTACGCTCTTCCTTCCAGAATGGTTAACGACAATGGTTAAAAATCCTACTTACATTTGAAGAAAAATGTATACAATCAATTCAATTGCAACAGTATATCTAGAATAGGGGCCTTGTATATTTTACAAATGAAAGTTTAAGTCTTTTCTGTCATTGAACTATTAGTAGAAAAATTATAGTTCAAATCTAGGTCCAAATCACTGACCTCACTTTTGCGGTCTCTAATATATAGAAACCATAAAAGAATTGTATTGATCAATTGGAAGGAAAAGATAAGCCACGCCATAGATGCTGCTTTTCTTCCTCTATGTGATTTTATTATCCCAAGGCTTGCTGGAGGTATAAGCTTTGCAGTGGCTCTTGTTGCGACATGCTCCCACATAACACCAATAGTCCAAAGCAATAACAACAAACTAGCCAAAACAATATTATAGATGTTTATCCAGTTTTTAAATGGCAATAATGGGATCAAATAATATGTCATTCCGATAAACTCAAGCACAGTGAAGGCAACAGTAGCTATCAAAAGATGCGGATGTACAACTTTTGCTGCGGTAATCTGCGCTAATTCCAGCAGATTGAGTGTTACTGGTGTTGATGTTGTAGTATTTGAACTTTGTGACGATTTTGGAACATTGAACAATTGCAATGTAATATCACTATAAATGCTTTCATTCTCGATTGTTTTACCAGAATAGCATTTTGTAGCAATAGAGTTATTATCCATATTATAAACTCTTGGGACTTTGTCAATACAGGTACGTAAATATCCAACTTTAACCACGACATTCTCAAATCCAGTCGTCTTTGCGTTGTGAGTAAAAGATTGTTTAATCATAGGATACAATGTCGAATCAGAAGCAAATGTGAACCGACTAAGATATGTATTGATGTGGGAAGGGCTATAGCACCCGACCAATAAGAAAACCAATAGAAATATATTAATAAATGTTAGGAGGAGTACAATCATTCGAGGCATACGCTTTGCAATGAAAAATAATGCTGATAGAGTTATCATTGTTACTATTATGTTTGTTTGGTTTCTTACTCAATTTCTTTTATAGTGTTAATTGAACCACAGTTTGTAATATGATGAATACATAATAGCATAATGGTACTTGAGAACTAGTTTTGTGAATACCTTTCTTTTTATATGATATATTATCTATTTGACTTATTCAAAGACTGGTAAGTTTCAAGTATGTAACTTATGAATAACATGCCCTTACCCTATGTTATGAATCATGATAATAAAGAAATGGCGGTTACGGAAGTGTAACACTTCTGAAACCGGATATTTGCTTCAAAAGATTTGAATATTGATAAGATTACTTTTTATTCAATTTCTTCAGTATTTAGAATATACATGTAGTTTTAAGTATTGGGTGTATTTTTGTATTCTGGCTTATGAAACAAGTTCCTTTAAGAATATGTGTCATATATTGTTTCTATAACCTGACTTGCTTAAAAAAAACCCTCGAATGAGAAATGAAAGTATTTGCAGAATATATTTTCATAGTGTTGTTTTTCAACAAATTTTTTGATGACAATAGATTTGACTATAATAAATTTACAGCACTTACTCCAAAGATGAAGCACCAGTAATAATATCCACCAATTCGTTGGTAATAACAGCTTGTCTAGTTCTGTTGTATAGAATGGAGTACCTGTTGATCATATCACCAGCATTCTTAGAAGCGTTATCCATAGCATTTCTTCTGGCTGAAATCTCAGCAGCATAACCCTCGGCCATTGCGGTCATAATTTGGTTAGCCAAAGTGTATTCAAAAAGGTCACGGGATACCTTGTTGTCAGCATCAATTTCAAACTTGCTGTATGATGGGGATTGTTCAATTGTTTCTGGATTGAAAACTGGCTTGCTAGTAGGTTCAAATGACAAAGAACTTATTGGATCATTGTAGTAGATAGAGATCTTTGGATAAATACCAGCATTCAATTCGGTCAAGATTTTGTCAGCAATCAAACTAGATTCCTCAAAAGTTGGGGCTTCTTTACCAACACCATTGATTGAGAACTTCAAATTATCTGGATTGCTTCTCAATAGTTGGGTCTTTATTTTATCACCAATAGTAACGACATCAGCTTGTGGAGCTTCAGCTAAATGTCTTCTGACTGCTTTGGCCAATTGTGAGTGAATAGCACCACATAGACCCTTGTCCGAAGTGATGGCAATGACCAATTCTTTAGGAGTTTCACCCTCTGCTTCCAAAGGTTTTGTCTCGGCGTTGTTGTAAAATTGTTTGTCAGCAGCATCCATCTTCTTTGCAGCTAGTTTGGCTTTCTCAGCTTTACTCAATCTAGTAGAAGCGACAATTTTCATGGTCTTTGTAATCTTTTCGATGTTTTTAATGGACTTCAATCTAGTTTCAACTTCTTTCAAAGTGGCATAGTTTCTGGTCGATGCCCAGGCAATCGACCTACTACCATTGATAATATTTCTAGACAACATTCTGAATTCACAAATGATACAGCTTCCTCACTTTGTCTCAAAACTTCTTCCTTAGGCACCCTATACAGTTATATCAAGCAGTATATTGCAAGTTTCTATTCTAACTCTCTTTAATAAAGGGCAGATAAAACTTTCAATAAGAAACAAATTCAAAAGAGACACTTGATGGTCACCGATAATATAACCACTCTGAAGTCAACAAACTATGATGGCTAAATATTATTGAAGCTTAAGGTAGGATTATTTGTTTAAGAAACATTTACTAGTGTCACGGATGAGACTATTCATTCTATTTTGCCATTCCCCCAATTGCTATTGGAAGAAAACATGAGTTACAGAGTACACACTGCAGATAGCTTGACGTTGAGAATGATGTTCTTCGTTTTTCCGATCTTCGAAGAAGAAGGGACGTTCAGGTGTCTTTACTACGACCCTTTCACTCAGAAGTGCATGTACTTATATATGATTGGTTAAATGTCACGTGACTAAAGTTGTTTACAGCTATCTATTTCAGTTGCAGTACCGCGCATAATGTTTGCGGTACTATAATGAAATTGATAATCCCAAAACCACATTGTATTGCGCACACAAGAAATATCTCTAAGATAACAAGACGTAGACGGCCAACATTGTTTTCTCTAAATTTTGTAGATTATTGGTTCTGAAAGTCCTATAGTCATGGAATTATTTTACGTTTTTAAGAGTTTTTGTGTGTCTTTCAACTACTACCTTATATTTCGAGATTAAAGAGTAGTGCGAGAAATTGAATTTTCCAAAAATTGTAAGCAGAATTGATTTGAAAGTATAACAACAGGAAATGATGGCTTTAGTAGATGAATCCAAAAAGCGTTAACATTTACCTATGATTGTTTCTCATGCAAACTTCCAATATACCGCTAAATGGATATTACCGAATGTGAAGACACTGGTTAATTATCCAAAAAAAAAGTGTTTGTAGATTTTGTGAAACACAGTCAAATATCAAGTGAATGAGTTTTCTTGCCATTCCTGTATTCACATGTAAGAATACATTAACGGATCGTATCAAAACCCAATAAACACATACGATTGAGGGTCAGAAGGATATAACATTTTCAAAAATGAAAATAAATATTCTATCCTCCTGTAGTGATGCCAGTCACCAACTAACATAAAATACCTGAAGTTAATCATCATTATAAGTAGCGAACAGCCGAACACGAGTCAAATAGTAAACATTCGAAATTGTGTTCAGTTACCAAGAATAGATCTACTAGTTTTCTCATCACAGGATATTACAGCCAAAGTTATTGATCTATGCTGTGATATAATCAGAATAGCACAACATTAATTCCACTGGAAATAGTTAATTAGTCTCATTAGATCGACATTAGAGAAGGGGTATACCGGAAATATTATACATTGCAATTGGATGTTCCAAATAATTACAATCATCAAAATGAAAATTGTTAAATGTATATGCAAAAGCAATGTTCCTCACTCCTAACTCTGAGCGCGCGCTCTCTCATATGGCAGAGTTGTTGCTCCTTGTGCAAGTCGATTATTTCCAAAGACTGCTATTGATGATTTAGAGATGTTGATCTGACGAAAAAAGCTAATAGATATCCATTGGTATCAACCCTAAAATAGTATTAGAATCTCGAGTACACCTCGCTCATTAAAACACTACATAGTGTTTACAGCCCGCATACATTATAATGAATATTGATTATGTCATCACAATTAAAACTGCTATCTAAGAAACCTCGTGTGAGACCAAAAAAGATAAACAATCGCTGTTCCTACGCACCTGTAGTCAACAAAACCACAGACACTAAGAAACAGACGTACTGATATAGCGTTTTTGAGCTCGTTAAGATTATAGACCTATCATGAAAGAACTAGTCTTCTAAGAAAGCACCGCACGAGACAAAAAAATCGCATGCAGCATTTTATCAGTGAAAAACGAAAAAAGCAGGAATGCGAAAATCATTCTTCAATAGATATTGCTTCTCAGATGCTCTCCCATGAAAGTTGCGATGTCATTGTGATGGACCACTCCAGCGTATCTGGTCATACCAGAGTATTGTTGTAGAAAATAAGAGCCTTCATCATTCAAGCTATACAAAGGACTATGAAAAGAGTAGTTGACGCTAAACCCATAATCAGATCTATGCATTAACTAGTAAAAACCCATGGTAACCAAAGTACAGCGTTGGATAGTTATTAGTAGTTCCATTTATCAATCAACAATGCTCCGGAATATTGCAAATGTTTCTCATAATAAACTCAAAGTTATAGGACCTATGTTTTGAACTCATAAAAGAGGAACATAAGAAGACCTAATCTGATGGTGACATGGCATACAAAGCATGATCTATCTCTGATAGGTTTTCCTGAATTACTTTTTGTTTTGCATGCATTAGATCAAGAACAAACTCCACCAATGCTCACAGAAGATTCAGGTTAGCCAATAATCAGATATTACAGATCTATGGGTACTGTGGGGTCTGGGTGCTGACTGGTAAATCCCTCCCTCCTGGGAGTTTCCTTACAACATAGATGTTAAGCATAAAATTGAAGTCCTAGGTGCTTAAAAACCTCTTTGGAATTTTCAACTCTTTACTTGCGTCCTGTGCATAGCTCATCATCTTTTATATGAGTGCCTACACTCTGCAATGGAAGCCCAGGAGTGAAAGAATGTCAAACCATGGCTTGATATTGACTGTGTTTCCAAAGATACATGATATGGTATATTATGCCAGAAATGGGAGTGTGACGAAAGAAACCACGAGGACATGCGTATGCACCTGTGATCCGCATAAACACCAATCACTTTCTAACATTATACAACCACATGCAACTTACACACGTCTCTAAACGCGATAGCGGTTAATACAAAACCCTACTTAAAATTGGTAACCAATGGTACCTGTCGTTAAAAAGCTACGTTATGGTTCATGATGGTGAGATACTGTCAGTTCGATTGAACAAAACACGACAACCAACTCGAATTTGATATGTGTGAATTGAATGCCTTTTTGTCACGAGAAAAATTTTTCATGATGATGTTTTGCTAACTATATAAATTGCTGAAAAATACTGAATACATAAGATGAAATAATAATAATTCAGGTCAATGAAATAAGCAAATTTATTCAGTTCGATTTAAATTCTTACATAGCCTCTCGAGGAAAGCTATTTCCAACCAGAATTTTATTATAACATTGAGGTTTTAGTGGTAGATAGTTAGGCTAAAGTTGTTATTGAATGAAAAGGATTTCTGAAGAACTTCAGTCTGATTGATCTTACCGATTATGTCTATTCCTATCGTAAGCATATCGATTATCCAGTATCATTGGCTGTCTGCATTTAACCTACTTGCAAACGGTCTCTCTAAGCTGGAAGAATAAGTCCATGCATCATAAATTTTAGTGGTGTGTTGGCGAGAAGCTTCAAGTTCAGTGATTTATATCTGATACATCTCTTGATGTATCATACTCTATGATTTTCTTCACTCTACAGCTTTTCAGACATGTATATTTTGAATCTATCTATAATAGTCATCTTGCCCGTCCCACTTAGATCAAGTTACCTAAAATTGCGAGTCTTGATCATGGGCATGCCCAAGTAGCAAATACTTTATTAAATGGTAAAGGATTAACCATTAGCTGTAGGCCTTTTTAAATAAGGAACTTTTTTGAAGACTATCAAGTGTTGTAAGTTATAACTGGTTCGTCAGTCAAAACGGAGTCAAATTAGCGTCTCGGGTGCCCTGTTAAGACGTAATTCGCTCAATGTGCTTAATTGCAAATTGTCACTGCTGAAAATCGGATGTGAATTGAAGGGGCCAGGGTGTCTCAGCGATGAGTAATATCAATTTTGTTATGTTGAGGAATAGACCATTGCAGATGCAGATATATAAATCAATCTGTAAAAACATCTATTTTTTTAGTGGAAGGCAGGTTTCATTAAAGAAATTAAACTTTCGTTTTATTTCTTATTGTTTGCAGAAAAATAACTATAAAATTAAGCATATTACATCAAAAATGTCTGAGAAGGAGACCACGCAGCAACCAATTATATTTGCACCAGAAACTTATCAATATGATAAGTACTCGCTGAATGAGGGTCAACTGAAAGATGACCCAATTGATCAATTTGTTGAATGGTTTGATGACGCTAAGAATGACCCCAGAGAGACACTACCAGAGGCAATCACATTTTCTTCTGCCGAACTTCCCAGTGGAAGAGTCTCATCTCGTGTGTTATTGTTCAAAGAATTGGACCACAGAGGTTTTACCATCTATTCTAACTGGAAAACAAGTGGTAAAGCACATGACATTGCCACAAATCCAAACGTTGCTATTAATTTCTTTTGGAGAGATTTGCAAAGGCAAATCCGTATTGAAGGTTTCTCAGAGCATGTTAATCGCGAGACATCAGAAAGGTATTTTCAAACTAGGCCTCGTGGTTCGAAGATAGGTGCTTGGTCTAGTCCTCAATCCACTGTATTGAAAGATAGAAATGAGTTGGAACATATTGTCCAAGAAAATGAGAATAGATTTAAAGGTGTCGAAGATGTGCCATGTCCTGACTACTGGGGTGGTTTGAGAGTAGTCCCTTTGCGTATTGAGTTTTGGCAAGGAAGGCCAAGCCGTCTACATGATAGGTTCGTATATGAAAGGAAAACAGAGCATGACCCATGGGAACTACATAGAATCGCTCCATGAAATGTAATCATGAATCTACACATAAAAGGTATCACATCACAAGTTTTTGTTTTAACTTGCTCTTTTATTCCATGTAATATATAATGGCATTTTCTTTCTATGTATTTGAATAAAATATGGTTACATCACGAACAACTAGTATCAAAATCGGTAAAGTTAATATCCTCTTACAGTTTAGTGATAATGAATGGGTTTCACTGCGTTTGTACTTTCTGATTTGCATTGCTCAACGCTTTCTTGTTCTCAAAATCTTTAAATTCATCACTCCTCCCCCTACCCCCTCCTTCACAGAACTCCCGAAGCTCACAATGGAAAATTTTTTCTTTCAGATTGTCAAAGCTCATCGCATTCCTAGGTAGTATATTAATGAGACATTTCAGCAAAGAATAGTCAAGAGAAATATGGTTACTCTTTCCAATCTTTTCAATTTATATCTTAAGTTGCTTATCTGTACTTTTGACCACAAATCGAGTCTTTGTTCATAAAAGATCAAGAAATAATTCAGACAAACTATGAGTAAGACTACAGTCGCTGAGTCTGCAACAGACAAGCAGAACTTGAACCAATATGAGCAGCATTATTTCACTTCCTATGATCACTACGGTATTCATGAAGAAATGTTGCAAGATACCGTTCGTACTTTATCCTATCGTAACGCTATAATTCAAAACAAGGACATGTTTAAGGATAAGGTTGTCCTAGATGTCGGTTGTGGTACTGGTATTCTATCCATGTTCGCCGCTAAAAACGGTGCTAAACATGTTATTGGTGTTGATATGTCTAGTATTATTGAAATGGCTAGAAATTTGGTTGAACTGAACGGGTTCTCCGACAAGATTACTTTACTACGTGGTAAGTTGGAAGATGTTGAATTACCTTTCCCAAAGGTTGATATAATCATCTCCGAGTGGATGGGTTATTTCCTTCTATATGAGTCTATGTTAGACACAGTTCTATATGCAAGAGACCGTTACCTTGTTGAAGGCGGTTTAATCTTCCCGGACAAATGTTCTATCCATGTTGCCGGTTTGGAAGATGCTCAGTATAAGGACGAAAAGATTAACTACTGGCATGATGTATATGGATTTGATTACTCTCCATTCATTCCTTTAATTATGAAGGAGCCAATTGTTGACACTGTTGAAAGAAATGCTGTCAACACTACGAGAAGTCAATTAATTGAATTCGATCTAAACACAGTAACAATCGCCGATCTTGCATTCAAATCGAAGTTTAAAGTTCAAGCCAAGAGGCAGGATGTCATTAGTGGTCTAATCTCATGGTTTGACATTGAATTTCCTGCACCAAAGGGTCAAAAGCCGGTAACTTTTTCCACTGGTGCTCATGCTCCATACACTCACTGGAAACAAACTGTCTTCTACTTTCCAGATGACCTAGAGTGTGAAACTAACGATGTTCTTGAAGGTGAGTTAGTTTGTGCACCAAACAAGCAAAATAACAGAGATTTGGACGTCAAAATCAGTTACAACTTCAAGCCGGTTGGTATTGACGCCAGTTCAAGAACTAAGAAGAATGAGGCTACCTTCATCATGCATTAGGATACTCCAAGCATGCAAATTTTCTTTTTTCTTTATATTAAATGTCAATCGTAAAATTAGAGTATTTCCTGCTTGCATTGAAGTCATTCGCGACATAGGAAAACCAATTAGCATAATTCTTCACCAACATATTCTTTCTATTTTTTTCCCTGATTTGTACAATAGCTTAAAACAATAACATTAAACTATCAAACGATCCAAAATGATATCCTCGGGCAATAGTCGGCAGACATGATCATTGTCGGGAGGATACAATATTTATAAGTCTGATTCACAAAATACTATGATGTTCAAGTGCTCTTCTGAACAGTGTTGTAATAATAGTGTATAATAGTAATAAATCATATATGCGTGTACATGATAATTTCATTTTATCTCATTATAGCCGAAGCTCATCGCAATTTTTGATTAATTCTGATTTTTCCATATAGAAGACGTGAATTTTTAAAGGAAATCAATGCCGTGTGTACGGTACTTTCTCAGATCATCGCCCAAACTATGAATTGATTTCAAGAAAAAAAAACATTGAAAATTTCCAAATCCACTTCACTTCACATGGAAATTTTGCAAAAAGTTGCAAAAAAACAAAGAAGTACCATAATGATGTAGTTAGACATCATGCATATTTAATTTAGGTATATACATATTAAAAATCATTAGAGATTGAACTTGAAGACTAGGTTATTCATATATCTTCTTTGTAAGGTGAACTTCCTAAATCTCTGACTATTCCATTTGCATTCAAAGAGGGAAGTGTTCTAAGATGGCAAAGAAGAGTAACGCTAAAAGGCTGGCTACCAAGAAAGCCAATGCAGCTACTGTTGCAAGTAATGCTGCCACAGACGCCACTGAAAAGAAACCAGAAAGTAGAAAGTATAACTTTCTAATAAGAACGATATGGACATTCATTATGATCGGAGGATTTTTTGCCGTTTTGGCATCAGGCCACATCTGGTGTGTAATGCTGATTTTGTTATGTCAAATTGCTATATTTATGGAATGTATAGCTGTGACAAGTGGATCAAGCCGTGAAAGAGATTTACCATTAACAAAGACTCTAAACTGGTACTTCTTAATTACTACCATTTATTACTTGGAAGGCTCTTCCCTTTTCAGATTCTTGGAACCAGCATTCTACAAATACACTTTATTAAGAATGGTTGTTGAACATCACAAGTTTATTTGTTACTGTTTCTACGTGTTTGGTGTGGTATTATTCGTTTGCAGTTTAAGAAAGGGTCACTTGAAATTTCAATTTGCCTCCCTTTGTATCACGCACATGGTTATGCTATTTGTTGTTGCTCAAGCTTACTTAGTTACTAAAAATGTATTAAATGGTTTATTTTGGTTCCTATTGCCATGCGGATTGGTTATTGTAAATGATATATTTGCATACCTTTGTGGGATTACTTTGGGACGTACTAAATTAATTGCCATATCTCCAAAAAAGACCTTAGAAGGTTTCCTAGGTGCTTGGTTTTTCACTGCGCTTGCAAGTATCATCTTAACAAGATTGTTGTCACCATACATGTACCTGACATGTCCAGTGCAAGATTTGCACACCAACTTCTTCTCCAACCTGACTTGTGATTTGAATCCAGTATTTTTGAAGCAAGACTATAAGACACCTCCATTTATCGCTGAGAAGTACGGTATCAACGTCATTACCGTTAAGCCAATTTATTTCCACGCCTTGAATTTGGCTACTTTTGCTTCTCTGGTCGCTCCATTTGGTGGTTTCTTTGCTTCAGGTTTGAAGAGAGCTTTCAAGGTCAAGGACTTTGGTCATTCCATTCCAGGACATGGTGGTATTACCGACAGAGTTGATTGTCAAATTTTGATGGGATCTTTCACGTACCTTTACTACACTACATTTATCAATGAGCGCGGCATCACAATTGAAAGCATCATATCCACTATATTAATAAACTTCAACGAAAAGCAAATCATCGAAATCGTACTCAGACTCAATAAAAAACTACTTGAAAGTGGTCTGTTAGAAAAGAAGGAATTTAAATCTATTGGACAGATATATTCCAAATGTGCTGACAGGTTATAAATGAAAAACCGTAGAATATATATGAACTCGTGATTATATAGCGCTTGACTTTTGCTATTTGAGCGATTCTTTTTTTTTTCCCCTGTTAGGTGAAAAGATATGACACTAAGTAAATATTTATAAAACTACACTGTATAATAATGAAAATGCTAATAAATAGGCAAAAAGCTATCCAGGTAGAATTATGCATTTTGATAATGAAAGAGTATTTTTTTAATTGATATCATAACAATCGCGAATGAGAAATATATAGTAAAAAAAGTATATTTATAATAACAATGGTTCATAACGGAATAAAAAAAGTGAATAAAAAAGGTTATTGCCCATTTACTTTCTCGGCACAGATCACGGAGGATAACATGTAATAGAAATGTGATGCAAATTTAGATATAAAAGGAATGAACGTGAATCTGAAATTTCAAAAGATAATAAATGTTTTTGGAATCAATGAACAACCTGGTCATAGATAGAAATATATGGCCATTGAGGTTGAGCAGTCCAGCAAGGCATCATAACATGAGTATTGTTTTAGAATTGAAAGCAAATAAAATGGAGGTGTTTTGTCAACATCACATATTAATCTTTTAGAATGTTGTCCTGTTAGATAATATGGGAATCTGGGTAGGGTTTCAAGTTATATCAGTAAAAATAGTTAAACAAAAGTTTGTTTATCCCATAAATTTAATGCTGCATTTTTTTCTCATTAAATGTAAAGCTCAGGATTAAACAGCAAATGGTCAAAATAATGTATCCGATCACTTCCCATCTTATGATGGTTGTTTGAGTTGGTTCACTAATCCAGTCGCTAATACCCATAAAGATAATTGCACCCAAGTTGCATGTGGTCAAGTACTCAGGAGAGGCATTTCTATTCAACAATAATAGGGATAATAAGCATGGGATTACACCAAATACAATACCAACCATAGCTGATAGCCAGAATGTTCTATCGCTGTAAAGAAAAGATACAGTTTCGCTTGACGTTGGAATGGCAGGCAGGAATGGAAATAAGACAATCATACCGACCAAACCAATGAAAGATAGATGAGTACATTGTTTGACAAAACTGTTGACAGCATTTCTGGCCTTGATGTGTTCCAACAGCGAATGTGAAACAGAAGATTGTGGCAAAGTTTTTGTGAGCACACTCGAGCTGCGAGAGCGGCCACCAAACCAACGGTTCCAAAGCACTGCGAATGGACCAATAGTCAAAGCACCCAGACCACATAGCAAGGAACTCTTTAATCTGTCAAATAAGAAAGGATCAGATAGTTCGCCTGTATCTTTGTTAATAGATAATTTACCAGATAGCATATCGCAGGTGGCTTTGGTGTATGATATGATCAGAATACCAATCAGAGCAGTAAGCATGATAATGAAGTTTCTGAAGACGTTTTGTCTCCTTGCCAAACCGCAGACACCATACAACAAAGTAACTATTTCAAAGATCGAAGTGTTTTGGATCAGAGCCACGTCAAAAGCTGGTGACATGGACAGGGCCAAGTTATAAGTGACCAGAGCTATGATCAGTAAAGCGGTCAATACTATCAGCTTCAAAAAATAGGTGAAGTTTCTCCACGACACTATTTGGTTGTTCTTGTTAGCCTGGCGTTGGTAGTATTGCAACAGCATTCTATTCGTGTTTCTGTGTTCAGGATCCTCGTCCCCTTCGACAATGGGCACCAGGTCTGCCTGATCAGGCTCGGTACTCTGTTTGAACTCTTTCCACATTTTAGCTATAGGCATCAAGAAAGTCCATGATGCGAAATATATGAATGTCAGGTACAGCGTGAGTATATACGTACCGCTTGAAGTGTTACCTGTATCCACGCCTGCTGCATCCTGTTCCGACGCGCTCGTAGCAACAACTTGCCTCGACTGTATAGTCGATATACATTTAGTCTGTATCACGTAACCGATCACACCGGTAAACCATAGTAAAGAGTTTGACATTATGTGAGCTATCAGATACCACGCTTTCTAGCTCAGCTTCGAAATTCCCTGTAACTTAGCAAATGATTTCAAGGAAATGAAAGAAAAACAATGCCTATCTATATAGTCAAAGAGCCAAATAAAAAAATTTATCTCTCGCCTAGAAAATATCTATCCTTATATCAAAGCAATAAATATACGCTGGAAGACAAAGAAAATGCTAATGCAACTTCCCTCCCCCAACAATGTTATAGCTATCAATCTTCCCTTTCAAGCAATGGGCTTAAAAAACAATCAAATAAAAGAAATGGCGAAATTTGCTGTTAAGAGAAGATCACTATTAAGGACGAAGTGACATTTGAGAAATTGTATCGTGAAGTACGTGGGCTAAGAAATTCGCTCTTTCTTCTGCACTTCCATCTGCCCCCTTCCCCCCGCCTCCCCCGTTCTTTCTCTCCCAACAGTCGAGGCTACTAGACTATCCGTACGTCATATAGCTACGTTATTTCTTTTTGACTATTCTCAGAGTTGCAGGATGTATGGGCGTTTCTTAGTTGCACACGGTTTCCACTAAAAAAACTGTGCACAAGATGCCAGAGATCTCTCCTAGATTATCTTATCTGCAGTAGAGAGTGCAATCCGCCCCCCCCCCCACATACTGAGCCGGGGGGGGAAAGGGAGAGGGAAGCAAGAGATTTCAAGAAATACATTCTCTTGTTTCTTTTTTTACTGTGATGTGCGACATTATTTTGGAGATATTCCCGGGGAGCTAAAACATAGTGGGGTGCGGTATGTTCTGAGTATTTTCTATTATATGTTTATTTCGTGTCATTTCTTTCTTTTTGTTGTCAAAGGGCAGATGGAAGTTTGTGTGGGATAGCGGATAAGGCGGGTAAGGCGGATAAGGCGGATACGCGGATGGCCGTTGGGACTCTTCTCAGCCTTCTATCCCCGTGTAGGCGTTGAATAGATTGATCATGTGACCCCTTTTTGAATTGTGATCTGTTGCTTGGACGTTTTTGACTTGCATATTGTTTATATTATTAATGGAAATGAGTTGCTATAATCTATTTACATGGATTTCGTATATCTCTTTTATTTATTCAAGAACGACAGCCACGAGTTCTTGGCTTTGTTGCGCTCTGACTCAGGCTGGTATGCCCTCACCTGTTGTACTATCTTGTCTACCCCAGTGGTCTCATCGTAGTTTCTACCTAGTGCTTCGACGAAGTTACCTTCTGGGTCCATTAGATAGAAGAATATGGAGTGGTCGACCAGGTAGTCCTGCCCTGGTTTCACATTTGGTGGTGTAGAAAAGTACACTCTGTATTGCTTGCACGCGTGCTTCACTTGGTCGTATGTACCTGTTAATCCGATTATACCGTCATGGAAATCGCTCAGGTACTGCTTCAACACCTCAGGTGAGTCTCTAGCTGGATCACACGTGATAAATATGGGCTGTAAATGTATATCGTGCTTCTTATCCAAAACATCTAGCCATTCACCTAATTTATCTAGTTCGTCGGGACAAATATCGGGGCAATGGCTGAACCCGAAATAGACGATGCTGAACTTGCCACGCAGATTCTTCTCAGTAAACTCTTTACCTTCCGTGTCGACAAGTGTGAAAGGACCCCCTAATGAGGGCTTGCCGTAGCCGCGATTGGCCTCAGCTTCCTTACGAGCTTCCAGCTTTTTCTTCTCATTGGTAAAAACATAGTAAGAAACACCACCCACAACTAGAAATAATGCAATGGCTTTACCAGTTGAAAACTCAATGGAGTTAGACGTCTCAATACCATGCTCCGGTTCAGAACCCTTGGGCCTGCCTGTCAATGGTACCCTACTCAGCTTCTTCTCCCTAACGACAGCGCTATTACAGAAAGTCCTAGTAGCAGCTAAAATTGGTCTCGCAGGCTGTTGCATGACTCGTCTCGTTAGGAGTCTGGTCCTTGCAATATTAGTTACGTTCCTTATCATTTTTATTCTTTATTATTTCGTTATAGCGCTTCTAATATCGTGGTCTATCAATGGCAACTATATGGTAGTTCTGACTCTAACTTTATGAGTTACTCACAATTTATGTTTCACAATAAACAGAGTTATTTAGATAGGAATTGAAAACGATATTAATGCGTAAGACTTACAAGTTACCCAAGATTAATATGGTGCGATATGGTAACCTCAGGTTATATGTGCTCACTAAACCATTTGCTCGATTGGGGGCCTCCCGCAAAAATTATGATCCCCTTTGTGCCAGGATGTCTCTGCTCGAGAAGTCGCACACATATCAACGAGCAAATATCTGTCTCAAAGAACAATTGCCCGTCGTATAGGATATGTATATGCGCATATATATATCACGTGGTCATAAAGGCAGATAGCAAGAGTTTACATTGCCCATATGAGTTTCAAATCTATGTGTTGGAATAAGTTAATAGTAGTATCCCAGGACTGTAAGGATGAAGGCCAAATACTGCCAGCATTAAAGATTTGCCAGGCCTACCGTACTGTTTCATAGTATGGCGAGAAGAATTTCCTCGTGTCTTTTGAAGGTCTTTGATAAGTCCTTTGCAGATAATGGGCATATTGGCTTACTATTAATTCCAAAAACGGTTAATTAAAAATATTAGAATAAATATAGTCTTCACCACTGCTGCTCTCAAACAGTGTGTCTGCTTTACCAAGAAAATCATGTTTTCTTTTCCCTACTGAATAGACAAAATAATAAAATAAGTGACTAACTACGGGATATTCTGTGAGTATGTTTACAGTTTACCCAATTAGGAAGTTTCTTTAATTTTGATAATGCTATACAGATACTTTAAGCTCATCCTTGCTATTCTAGTATTATAATATGGTATTCAGCTGGATTGATGAATAAATGATTTCATATTATTCATAAGAAAGTTGAAAAAATTGGATTTCAGGTTTTATAATTCTTCTTCTTTAAATCAAAAGGGCTTTAGTACGTGGCCAACTGATCTACTATTTAAATATCCTTCAAAGTATAGTTATATTCACAACAAAACCCTGGCAGTCGCTATCAATACCAGGTAAAGCAACTTAAAGTGATATTAGTCAGAGTTAGCTATAACATTGTTAATAAGGTGAGCTGTTGATTCAATTCGCAAGGTAGCTTACACCCATGACTCGGAACCCATTCATGGTAGACTCCTCTCCTCAGAGGTTGACCAGATTCCACACCAACAATAGCACAGATGAATTATATGATTCTCAAAGTTTCCAGGGGCTACCGCAATCACCCTCCAGAGCAGCTTTGAGATACTCTCCTGAAAGACGTAACAGACAGCAGTTTTACCGTGATTCTAATCACAACTCTCCAGCAGTTGATAGATACACTTCAAATTTACAACAATCACCTCATAGGCCGACGGAAACAGTCATTCCAATGAGGCCATATGAGAATACTTATATGTCGCCAACAAGATTCCCTTCTCAAAGTTCAAAATATACCGCTTCTACTGCTACAGCTTTATCGTTTCATGACGAGTTCAAGGACAAAGATGATGTATCAAGCTATGCTTACGACGATCAATCCACGATTTATACTTCGAACACCTTTAATGAAACCAAGTTTGAATTAAACCATCCTACTCGCCAGCCATATGTTCGTCGTGCTAACTCAGAAATGAAAAAACGTAACCATGAAGTTCCTCTAGCAAAGTCAAAAGCAATTTTGAAATTGGATAATCCAATTCCTAAGGATTTACTTGATACTTTGCCAAGAAGGGATTCCCCAGAATTCACTGAAATGAGATACACCGCTTGTACTGTAGAGCCGGATGATTTCTTAGCCGAAGGTTATGGATTGAGATTTGCTGAAATGAATCGTGAATGTCAGATAGCAATCTGTATTACAATGTACAATGAAGACAAATTCGCTCTTGCTAGAACCATTCATTCAATCATGAAAAATGTTGCACATCTATGTAGCAGAGAGAGATCGTCAGTTTGGGGACCTAATGGTTGGAAGAAAGTTTCGGTCATATTGATCAGTGACGGTCGTGCTAAAGTAAACCAAGGTTCGTTGGATTATTTGGCAGCTATTGGTTTATACCAGGAGGACATGGCAAAGGCCTCTGTCAACGGAGATCCTGTCAAAGCACATATCTTCGAATTGACTACACAGGTTTCCATAAACGCTGATCTCGATTATGAATCACAGGGGATTGTTCCTGTTCAAATGGTTTTCTGTTTAAAGGAAGAAAACAAAAAGAAAATTAATTCGCATAGATGGTTGTTCAATGCATTCTGCCCGGTATTGCAACCTAACGTAGTCACATTAGTGGATGTTGGTACCCGATTGAACACAACTGCAGTTTACCATTTGTGGAAGGTCTTCGACATGGACTCTAACGTTGCTGGTGCGGCAGGCCAAATTAAGACAATGAAGGGTAAATGGGGTTTGAAACTTCTAAACCCATTGGTTGCTTCTCAAAATTTTGAGTACAAAATTTCGAATATCATGGATAAACCTTTAGAAAGTGTATTTGGCTATATTACTGTGTTACCTGGTGCACTTTCAGCATACAGATATAGAGCACTGGAAAATCATAGTGATGGTACTGGTCCATTGAATTCCTACTTTTTAGGGGAATCACAAGAAGGTTCAAGTTATGATGTATTCACTGCTAATATGTACTTGGCAGAGGATAGAATTTTATGCTGGGAATTGATAGCTAAAAGAGATGCCAATTGGGTATTAAAGTATGTTAAAGAAGCAACCGGTGAAACAGATGTTCCTGAAGATATACCCGAGTTTATTTCTCAGAGAAGGCGTTGGTTAAACGGTGCTATGTTTGCAGCCCTTTATGCTCATTTGCATTTCTTTCAAATATGGAAAACAAAACACTCATTTTTAAGAAAATTCTTCCTGCATATTGAGTTTTTCTATCAATTTGTGCAAATGACGTTCTCATGGTTCTCCATTGCTAATTTTGTTCTGACATTTTACTATTTAGCTGGTTCTATGAATAGAGTTATCAAGCATGGAGAGGCATTGTTCATATTCTTTAAATACCTGATTTTCTGTGATCTGGCAAGTTTATTCATTATTTCCATGGGTAATAGACCTCAGGGTGCTAAGGTGCTGTTTATATTGTCCATGATACTTCTTACAATATGTGCAGCCTATTCGTTAATATGTGGTTTTGTTTTTGCAATCATTGCATTGAAATCGCAATCAGAACCACATCATATCTTCGTGAATGTAGTCATTTCATTACTTTCGACTTATGGTGCATACGCATTTTGTTCATTCATGTACTTGGATCCATGGCATGTGTTCAGTTCATCGATACAATACTTCCTAACTCTACCAGCTTTTACTTGCACATTGCAAATCTTTGCATTCTGTAACACACACGATGTTTCATGGGGTACAAAGGGTTCTACACAAGAATCAAAGCAGCTTTCTAAAGCTATTGTTGTTCAAGGACCTGATGGCACTCAAATTGTGGAAACTGATTGGCCTCAGGAAGTTGACAAGAAATTCTTGGAGATAAAGAGCAGATTGAAAGAAGTCGAGTATGAGGATGTTCATGTTGATGAATCGCAGAAGAGAAATGATTATTATAGGGATATCAGAACGCGTATCGTGATGATATGGATGCTTTCCAATTTAATTCTGATAATGTCTATTATTCAGGCCTATCCACCTGAAAGAATTAACAATGGATACCTAATATTCATTTTATGGTCTGTTGCAGCATTGGCCGGTTTCAGGGCTGTTGGATCTATTTCATTCCTATTCATGAAATATTTGCGTATGGGTGTTAAATATATGCATAAGAGACAGCGTGGTACCGCTAAAGGTGTCCATATGAAAGCACCAAAAATCAATATTTTCAACAAGGAAGGTAGCACCTGATGATAGCTTGAACATGCATTACCTATTAACAAATTATATATACAACACCTTCATCAATATTTTACTCAATATTTTACTCAATATTTTACTCAATATAATACAATAATACCTAATATCAATACTACGATTAACATTTTGGACAAATTTCTTGTCTTAGTACCTTATCGCTTAAAGCGCTGACACTAAAAACAATTTCAGAAAAAAAATCGTCACTATTTAACTGTTTTGAATGGTTATAATTAATTAAAAAAAAATTGATGAATTTGTTACTTTTCATAGAATTGTGAATAATCGCATATGTAGCACAGGTCACTTTGATGCTATGGTTATGACAGCAATTGCTGGTGACAAGTTCCTTTACCCAAAACTCAATAAAATCGTCCCGTTTACTTTATTCTCCCATCACTCACCAGATCTTGAAAATCCACTATTGGAAAGTGAATTAAATACAACTGAAAATACAAAGGAATCAATAAGCGTAATAAACCCAGGTAGCAAGAAGAGACATAAAGCTCGATGTAGGAGAAATGGGAGAAATGAATTATTCCAGTCTAAAGTTAGAGGTTGGCATTTTTATTGTAGAGTTGTTACAATTTTCATACCATCAAAAGTGCTAAAATTCTGTGGAATTAGAACAGTTGAGCAACAAAGAGCCTGGAGAGAAAAAGTTGGGCTAATTTCAATTATACTCGCAATTGGTGCAATTGTAATTTACATTTCTTTTATTTTTACAAATACGGCTTGTGGGTATAAGCAACCTAAAATACTGCATCGTAATGTCTCTGACAGTTTTATAAGGATTAATGGTAGAGCTTATCCATTCAATTGGGCAAATATTCCCGAATCCACGCCTATTTTAATTTCATATTATGGGCTCTTTGCGCCAAAATCATACGGAGGAAAAGACGCATCCTTGCTTTTCCAAAATGTTAATGGAAACTGTCATGGTATCATCAAGCCTAGAGAGAACTGCACCATCCCCCATGATAACAATGGTAACCTTGCTTGGTATTTTCCTTGTGTTGTTTTGAGCAAGGATGATTATATGTCATGGGATCCAGAAATCGAAATAGAAAATAAACCCAGTAATTGCCATATATCAGAATTTGAGAGGGATTCTTACTATTACTTGGAATACCCAGTCAATATATATTATACTTGGGATGATATCAAAAACTCTAATAGGTCACTAGTGGTTTATAATAACTATGTTCTTGATCTGAAGATATTGCAAATGCTTTACAAGTATGATCTTGACGTACCTCCAAAACTTCTTGAGCTGGGAAGTCTTCCAATTAATGGGTACGACATATCAGTTACTCTCACTACTAATTATGATAAAAAACTGGCAAGATGTCTTATTGATATTGCAACAGTGGGACTCATAGACGCAGAGCCGCTTGGATGCATAGTGGCAAATATCATTCTTTATTTATTTCTAATTTTTATCATGTCAATTGTAATTTTAAAGTTTGTTATTGCCTGTTATTTTAGATGGGTGGTTGCCAAGGCTCAGGGTTCATTCAAAGTTAATAACAAAACTATGATTCGAATAATGCGAGACATAGAGGATTGGGCTGAAGATATAAATAAAAAGGCGCCAATAATGAATGTTAATTTCTTACCTGAAAATACATCCTTGATAACAAGAAAAAGAGATATAGTAGAAGGTATTTCACTTCATCCAAAAAGGATGTCAAATCCTACTTCCATTCTATCGGGTCCCAATAGTAGTAATGTAAAATCAACAACTTACTTGAAGCCCAATCTAAAGATAGGCAATTCAATAAGCCAAAATTTTGATTCATTTATCAGAAAAGGAGAAAATTATTGTCTTTGTTCTTTTCCAGAGACGAGTAATTATAGAGATAGTCTGTTAAAAAGCTTAAATGATGGCAATCTTGATCCTTCCATCATACACAAAAATGTTGTCAAACCAAATAATATTATTCATGGAAGCTCAGATGGTTTTTTGAATACAATATGTTTTGTGACATGTTACTCAGAAGGTGTTCGAGAACTAAGATCAACTTTGGATGCCCTCTGTACAACAACTTATCCAAACACCCACAAATTGATTATTTTAGTTTGTGATGGTCAGGTAACTGGAGCTCATAACAAGAAGTTAACATCAGAAATAGCATTAAATATGATTACCGACTTTATTGAAGATCCAAATGAGGTTATTCCATATTCTTATCTTTCTATCGCCTCAGGAGCAAAACGTTTTAATATGGCAAAAGTTTATGGCGGCTACTACAAGTATGATTCTGATACAGTTGAGGAAAGTCAACAACAGCAAGTTCCAATTGTATTAGTATCCAAATGTGGTTCTTTCTATGAGATACATTCTTCTCCTAAACCAGGAAATAGAGGAAAGCGTGACTCACAGATCATACTAATGTCTTTACTACAAAGGGCTATATGTAATGAGCGCATGAGTGAACTGGAGTTTCAACTACTAAAAGTTATTTGGCAAGTTGGAGGTAAAATGATAATGGAATATGAGACTGTTTTAATGGTTGACGCCGATACTCGAGTTTTTCCTGATTCTATAAGACATATGTGTGCAGAAATGGCTAAGGATACAAATATAATGGGATTATGTGGTGAAACAAAAATAGCAAACAAGAAAGAATCATGGGTAACAGCTATTCAGGTATTTGAATATTATATTTCTCATCATCACTCAAAAGCCTTTGAGTCTATTTTTGGATCAGTTTTATGCCTACCTGGTTGCTTTTCAATGTTCAGAATAAAATCCCCAAAAGATAAAGAACAAACATGTTGGGTTCCAATATTGGCCAATCCTGACATAGTGGAGTGTTACTCGAACAATAGCACAGATACTTTGCATCAAAAAAATTTACTTTTACTTGGTGAAGACAGATATTTATCTTCACTACTGCTGAGAAAGTTCCCAAACAGAAAACAGGTATTTGTACCAAAAGCAGCTTGCAAAACAGTAGTACCAAGTAAATTCTTAGTTCTGTTGTCACAAAGGAGAAGATGGATAAATTCCACAATTCATAATTTAGTTGATCTCCTGAGGCATGACAATCTTTGTGGCACATTCTGTTTCTCCATGCAATTTGTTGTTTTATTGGAGCTATTAGGGACAATACTTTTACCTTTCGCTATACTAAGCACTATTTATGTCATTATTTATTCTGCGTTGTTTGCACCTCTACCGATGCTCACATTAGTGCTACTTTTGGTTATATTGGGTCTACCTGGTGTATTTATTGTTATAACTACGACTAAACTGGTTTATGTTGTTTGGATGCTTGTTTATCTTGTTGCATTACCAATATGGAATCTTATCCTTCCTGTTTATGCGTTTTGGAAATTTGATGACTTCTCATGGGGAGAGACTAGAGCAACGAAAGACGGCAAAAGAAATGACATCAATGAAACAGCAGATACATTTAATCATACAGCAGTCAATATGATGACATGGAAAGAGCACGCTCTAGATGAGAAGGCTAGAGGGTCCCGCTACCCGTTCGCTGTGTAGCGGCTATGAAGTACAGAATGCAAAATATAATGAAAAAGGTTATACATAATAAAACACAGATAAATTTTGTAATTAGGGTTAATTGATAGAATTTATTAAAGTTGTAATTAGTATAAATTTAATATAAGAAGAAATATAGTTCTTCAAATATGTTTAGTGATTAATGCAAAAAAGTCAATAATGCTTTGAGAGTGTTTTCTTTGAGGTGTTGTAAAAATGCAGTACAGTGCATTTAGTTGGACTTCTTCCCCCTCCTCGTTATTCTTGAAAATAATTTGAAAACACGGTCAAATTTAAAAGAAACGCCTCTGACATGGAAAATGTAATAAATAGCAACCATGGCACAAATGTTGAAGCCAATATAAGCCCAATACAGACCAAAGTTCCTCCACAAATAACTGTAGCTAGCACTGATGTGTTTTAAGTAGTCATCACCGACTTCGTAAATACAATATTCACAGGCAGTTGTAGCATTTGGATTGGCAATATAACCACCACGTTTATCCAAAAATGCTTGAGTGAATTCCTGGCAAGTTTGTCCAGCTGGGGGATCAAATATAGAGAGTTCTTTCTTCCTACAAATGACAGGTTTGTTATGTAGCAAAATACCAACCATATTTTGCACAAAATAGGTATAAGGAGAAGTTTTCCACATAAAAGTCCAGAAGCCTGGCATTAAAGAAACGGGCTGAACAACACCACAGAAAGCAATTAGGAAAGACAAACATAAACCTAAAATAACATTCGCAGATTGCAGATTTGGAGCCATGTATAAAACGCACAGACCAAATCCTATGTAGTACAATTGGAACATGATGGAATAGTTTAGATAGTATACGGCAGATGCGGAAGCCTGGAAATGAGTTCTCAGTGGGAAGTAAGAAGAAACGAAGAAGATTGCAGAAAATAGGAAATGATATGGAATTTCACTTAAGTATTGAGTTATCAACAACAAAGACCAGTGGAACATATTCGATTTGGATTCCCTTACCTCAAATAACTCTCTAGCCGCAATGGCACGAGCTTGGATTTGGTTCATTGCAGGAGCTGATAAAATGATAGAAATGAAGGCAGCAAATAAGGTATTTTGCAAACCAGTATAAGAGTCACCTGGATCATAAAATGTAAAACCGATATATAAACCACCGACAGTCATCAACATCATTTTAGACATAATGTAATCTAAATTTCTCCAAAGACTCATAGATGTTCTTATCAATACCCATTTGAATTGGTAAGCATAGGAAGTAGCATACTTGGTTGGTGCATCGCCAAACTCTGACTCGGTTTTTTGATTTGATAATTGGTCAATTAAATGATCGACCTCCTTTTCAGTCGAAATAAATTCATCCGAATTCTTCCAGATTTGATGCCAATCTTCGGTCACAGATGCAGTAGCACCGGCACCAATGGCTTCTAAGATGTATTCAGCGGGATTTTCACTAGGAGAACACTTTCTTGCACCGTTGCGCTCAAAGTAGCTCAAAAGAGTTTTGGAGTTATCACCAATATCACCAAAGTACACTGTTTGACCTCCCTTCTTCAAAAGTAATAATCTGTCAAATTCTTCAAACAAAGTGGCAGAAGGTTGATGGATAGTACACAAAATAGACTGGCCAGCCTTAGCCAATTTCTTCAATAGTTGTACAATAGCCCATGAAGATTGTGAATCCAAACCTGAAGTAGGTTCATCCAAGAAAAGTAGCAGGTCAGGTTTAGCGACCAGTTCGACACCGATAGATAATTTCTTTCTTTGCTCGACATTCAGACCTCTACCAACATCACCAACAAGAGCATCAGCGTATTCTTCCATGTCCAAAACTTTGATGATTCTTTCAACGTGTTCCATCTTTTCCTCTTCAGGAACATTTTGAGCACGACGCATACGAGCAGAAAATTGTAGTGATTCTCTAACAGTTAATTCAGATATGTGAATATCTTGTTGTTGAACGTAACCAGTCCTTCTTTCGAAAGAAATATCGATTGGTTTACCATTGACTAACATATCACCAGTAATGATACCAACATTTCTTTGAGCTAGTGTATTCAAAAGAGTTGTCTTACCAGCACCAGATTCACCCATCAATGCAGTTAATGTACCCGGTTTACAGAAACCAGAAACGTTATCTAATAATTGACGCATACCACCATCGTAAGGAATAGTGTAACAAACATTTCTCCAAATGAAAATACCCTTGGACTCCAATTCCTCAAATATTTCATCTTCAGAGGTTGTTGAACTTCCACTTCTGCTTGAAAACTTCTCCTTGGTATCAATTTCATGGAGTTCTCCGTCTTCTTCATCAAGTTTCATGTGGTATTTTCTTGTACCCTTCTTGAAAATCAAAGCATCACCACCACCTTTTACTGGTCTTTTAATTTCAGTAATAAGAGCCTTTAGAGCAATATAACCGAGTAAGAAGCACCACATGATACCAAAGTTTCTCCATTCGTGTTTGTACTCATATTCGAATTGTAGTCTCAGATAATCATCACCCAAAACCCACGATTGGCCTGGTTTAGATCCGACAAAAGCACAAACTTGGTTTTCGGATGCAATGTTTTCATAGCCAGGTCCACTTGGAACCAGGGTACCACCACAACCCATATGTCTGCCGTGGAATTCAGCTAATAACATGGACTCAAAAGCGTATCTAATAGGTAAAATATAAGAAATCCACTTAAACCATGGGCGCATTGAAGGTAACTGAATCATATATGTAGAGTAAAGCGAAATCGACATCATTACAATACCAGAAATAGAGTTAGCTTGAGAAATATTGTCACAACCTGCGGCGATTAGTTCAAATAAAGCATTGATTGATTCAGAACACATGGTTAGGAAGAGGTATACTCTGAAAAAAGATGATGCAGTTCTGTTCAGACCAGACAGGAAGTAGATAATAATTAGAAAACATGTCATACCGATCATTCTGAATGGAAAGTTGGCGATAGTACTTCCCAATGCTTCAGCTGCTGGATGGTATAAAGAGTAGATTTTGTGTTTCTGTAGAATAGGTCTGTGCTCAAAAGACAGATTGGCTAAACCCATCAAAGAGTAGTACAAAAGACAGAAATATAGGACACCACCTCTGGAAAATGCACCAGAAGTAGATGATGGGGTATTGTAATATAATGAACCAGAGACTAGAGATTGAATGATTGCAGAGCAAATAGTAATAACAGTGTAAGCTTTATCACCATAAATTCTTTGGAAACCACGTTTTGTACAGAGTCTTATTTGTTCCCAGAATGAAACAGTGTAGTAAGACTTCTTTCTAGCATGCTTAGATTTTTCTTGTTGCATTGATTGGTCGTATATTTCCTTGGTCTTTTCAGTATCTATTTCCTTTTTGTATTGGTCAATATCTATCAAAAGCTGTCTGTACTCAGGGGACTCTTGCCAGTATCTTTCAAATTCCTCAGCAGTTCTTGGGACTTTGTTCTCGTATCCAGGCCTAATCTTGTGGTAACCATTGACATCTGTTAAGGCAGTTAAAAACTCAGCTGTAACTTGTCTAGGTGGACATTCATAACCCATTCTGTAAAAGTAATCCTTAGCTTCATCAATTGGGCCAAAGTATATCTGTCTACCAGTGTAAAGAACTGTAACTTTATCGAATGTTTCATATATGTTTTCGGATGCTTGATAAATTGTGACAAACGCTGTGGATCCTAAAAGATTGGTAGTGATACGGATAGCCTTAGCGTATTCTAGTGCTGTAGAGGCATCAAGACCTCTAGTAGCATTATCCCAACAGTAGATGGACCCCTTAGTTACTAAAGCTTCAGCAATGGAGACACGCTTACGTTCACCACCAGAAACACCTCTAACGAAGTCATTACCAACTTTAGTGTGATATGTATGTCTTAGACCAAAAATTGTGGCATGTAGATCTCTTGTGGAGGCTATGTATTCTTCACGAGAGACATCGTTGACTCTCTTTGATGGAGTCTTACACGCAATGGCGAAATCCAAGGTCTGTTGTACAGTCAAGTGAGGGAAATGCACATCCTGTTCACCGTTGTAGATCACATCGGGCTTGTAGCGTTTCATCATCTCCTTCTGTGGAATACCATCATACATGATTTCACCTTCAACACCACCAGCGAATTGATCAATTTCACCAGCAGTGACTTTAAGCATAGAGGAACAACCAGCACCCGGTCTACCTAGCACAAGAACCATCTCACCGGCTCTAGCAAGACCACTGACATCGTTCAGAATGGTACGCATCTTTGAACCGCTTTTGTCTCTGATGGCTTTGTAAATGGTGTAAGGAAGACATAGGACGTTACCAAATGTGGCACCTTCCATGGCGGTAGAGTCGGCACCTCTGGCACTGACATGCTCCAACGTTACACCAGCTTTTCTCAAGTGGATACCTTGTTCGTCAGCGTCTCTGACAAATGAGCCGATAATCCTTTCGGCATCGAATCTATCGCTCTCAGACAGCTGGCTCAAGTCAATGTTACCACCGCTACGGGAAGTGTGTCTCGACAGCACATCGGCTAGAGATTGCACACGGCCAACCATCTCTGGGGATAGCTCAGCGGTAGAGCTACGGCGCGAGCGGGATAGAATACTCCTGTTGTCGCTGTGCGCATCGTCACCATCGGCGTCTTCGTGCGATCTTCCGCTCAGAATCTTGGTCAATTGGTCAGCAGGCGTCTCCTCGTGACGACCATGCTGAGTCAATCTACCTTCGAAGGAAACGTCCGAACCAGCAACCGAGATCTCTGAAGAAGAACTCATTGTTTCACTCGTTATTGCAGTATTTTTACCTGTAACGTAGTAATTATTCTCAGAAACGGTTGTAGCTCTGATCCGATTTAAACAAAATTAATGAAAATTGAATGCCTGCGGATATCCTTAACAGAAAGAAAGCGCTGAACAGAAAATAGAATGGAAAAAGAAACCCTTTCTGTCAATAGTGCGCGGGGAAGTGGTTTTATCTGTTTTTCTTCCGTGGAATGCCAGTCAGATAAGAAAGATTTGGTTCTCACGTAGCACTGCTGTTTGGCACTGTAATAAGAGTTTTCGACTAAAAGAAACAACTTCTATTGCAAAGCAACGTGTAATATGTGTTCCTATAGTATGTTAACCCAGATATGATCTCCTTCTTTCGAGTCAGTACTATTATCAAACTGATATTACCTGACAATTTTCTTGGAAGTTGCAGAGTACAGTGATATTTCTTTGATATGCAGAACTACCTATTTTGTAGAAAATAGCCTGAAAAAAATTACTTATTAGAGATGTATTTATATTATTTGAAGTTATTACCTAGAAGAGAATACTGATGGGTCATCACAATATATATATCATCTCTGCATTACAAAGGCTCGTAATTTTTTGTCCTGTAGTCCTGAGAATACTAAAGAAAAATTACACCGGGGAGGGGGGGGTCATTATGGTGATATTTGTTTGATTACGATTTTTTTCCCATCCAGTTCACATTTCACAGACGATCGTCGTAGAGACAGTAGGATTTTCCACAAACACAAGTCTGGTAAACTTTCAAGTGACAAAAACTCTTCCCGTGGAGAGAGTTAGAATGTAAATATTTTGCTTAAAACTGAAAACAAAAACATTAAGATACTCAATGTGTGCAGCATCGTCGTGGGAAAATATGGTCCTGTGGAGAGATGGGAGGGAGGGCTTGTTACGGTTAGTTTTCAGTTCTGTGCTTGACCTTCCTGTGAAACTGGCGTACAGAATCTCCGTTCAGCTCCGCCGCCTACTCTCCGCGTAAAGGTTGTTCTCCATCCCGATGTTGCTCTCTCCAGTGCCCCACTGATTTTCTTACTGTTTGGGAATGTCGTCGGGCCTAGAAGGTAGTGAAAGCACACATGTGAATGCAGAGTGCTGAGACTGACGTAGAGAATATCACACAGACAAAAAGAAAAAAGAAAAAGAGAGAGAACAGCGACGTTTCTACCCTCCGCCACTGTAAGTGGAACAAACCGCTTTCTGTCACATCAACTATCGTTTTTTAATGATTAGCAGAAAGATAAAGGCTCGGTGAAACTGGCGTGGGTTTCTCTGAGACACAAGACATAGAAGCTACAAAATACATGTGGTTAACCCAAATCTCCCTGAGTAAACAGTTAGAAGAGTTGGAATATGGGTGTGCGGGAGGTCCAGGCATTGTTCAGTGTAATCCCGATTATTTGCTTATTCTGGCTCTTTGCTTTGTGCTACTACGATAACTTGGAAGGGTTTCAGCAATTGAACATTTTTTTAAGATTACGAAATGAAAGGTGCAGGTTATACTTTCTGCAGGTGGTGCTGAAACTTTTTGCAATGAGAGTCAGCAAATAGTAGCAGAGTGCAACAACAATATTTAGAGATAAACAGGAGATGTAAATTATCTTTTTTCAAGATCTTAAAGATTGCAGAGATTTGGTTTTTTGTATTGTCCTTGTCGAGAACGTTCCCTTATTTTCCTTTGTAGTATATCATTTCCTTCTATCTTCGGTTTAGTAATGGAATTGGGATAGTTTTAATGTCATTTTCATTTTGTTGTCGAATTTAAAGGTTTCTTGTAGAAGTCTGAATGAGCCTCAAACAGGTCGATGAATATATCTTTCTGTTTGTTAATTCAAATATTTGAATTTGTTACGTATCTTAATGATACCTTATTATGAACATAAAATAATACACGAACCACTAATGCATACCACTACGAAGCTTTATCCTGTGGTACTACGCCAGTATCTTTACTTGTAACGTCAGTTTTACTTGACGGCTCCATCTCGGCAAGGCTTAGAGGCTTCCATTATAGGCATCAGCGAGCAGCATCAAAGGTGTCAAAGATGCACAATTGCTGGCTCTAGTATGTAACTCTAATGGCACTCTATTTTTTTGTTTTGCTGAAAACTTTCGCAAGATCTAATACTAATGTAAGGAATTATTAATTTCCTTTAGTAATGGTGACAACCTTGCATATCTCAAATAAGGCACTTCTTCATATCTCCGTTTCCGTAATCTCGAGGGCCTTAGTTCTCTCTTAAATCCTATCCTTATCGGCGTGTTATATCCTATTTCCTGTACGGGTGCAAGTGTGTAATCTCCGTTCTCCGATCGGATACTAAATACATTACAACGAGAGCTAGATTTCAGAGGCTCCATTACTTAAAAAAAAAAGAGGACGATGTGCGCAACTTTCTGTGAGTTGTGAGCCCATAAACCTCGTTGCACCTCGCAATGATAACAAGGTTACTCTCAGATAAAGTGAGACAGGTGGGGATACCATACACAAAATTGCCACATTATTGTAAACAGTTTCGAATGCAAAACTTCCCTAGGAAACCAGCTTTTTCTTTGTTTACGCACACATTTGTGTGCAGCCTTTCAGTAAAAGCAAGTACCGTCAAAACCCTACCGATTACGTAGAGGAGTAAGATAACTACAGTTCACCAGCAGATAACTCCCCGTACTACAAAAGTTGGGAAAAAAGAAGAAAAAAAGAAAAGAAAAACAAATCTTACAATCCCGCGGAATCTCACAGGTAAACTTTCTGGGCAAATCAACACCTGAAAAGAGAAGTGGAGGGAAAAGCAGAAACAACTGAATAAGGAAAGAAATGATATCGACGTGTATAATTGACACAAAACTAACAGACGTTCCAATGGATGTATCACATGACTAGTATATTTACCCGTCGAGAGCGCATCTGTTCGATTCTCGGGGGGAGCCAAAAAAAAATATTTTCTAAAAATGAAAATTAAAATGAATTTATATAATACATAACGAACTGTATCGTGATCATATAGTTTCCTAAGTTCCAAGTTGCTCTCTGTAGTGTGTGGCAAAAAAAAAAAAAAAATTGAAATTCTGATTACTTAGTGGCAGTTGTACCAAGTGATTTCATTGTTCTAAAGGAGAGCGTAGGAACCTGGGAGAGGGATGCCAGTGAGCCAGGAAAATTGCCGAACCTTTATTTTCTTGACGAAACCCAAAACCCATTTTATATGCCTTAGAGTGTGGCCAATATCTTGAGAACACTGGATTTCAAAGGAATTCGGGATATAGTGTGTAACTAGTTCATTTGTGTGAAGGACAGGATTGCATTAGATTACAATACTGTATACCGAACTTTCAGATCTATACTTGGTTGAAGAACAAGACTCTTTCCAGTGAAGCTTGGGTTTAATACAATTTGGGTTTTCGAATTTTGATTTAACAGTTCGAAAGGGACAAGAGCATATATATCAATTTTCTGCAATGGGTCAAGGAGTTTCACAAGATAAGAAGAAGAAGAAAGGTGGCAAGCCAAAGTATGAACCACCGGTACAAAGCAAGTTTGGCAGAAAGAAAAGGAAAGGTGGGCCAGCTACCGCTGAGAAATTGCCTAATGTAGTTCCTTCAACGCGATGCAAGTTGAAGCTATTGCGTATGGAACGTATCAAGGACCACCTTTTGCTAGAGGAAGAGTTTGTAACTAATTCAGAGATATTGAAACCATTCGAAAAGAAGCAAGAAGAGGAGAAGAAGCAATTGGAGGAGATTAGAGGTAATCCATTGAGTATAGGTACTTTGGAAGAAATCATTGACGATGATCATGCAATTGTGACGTCTCCAACAATGCCAGACTACTATGTGTCAATCTTATCGTTTGTGGATAAGGAGTTACTAGAGCCAGGCTGTTCTGTCTTATTGCATCACAAGACCATGTCCATCGTGGGTGTTCTACAAGATGACGCCGATCCAATGGTGTCAGTGATGAAAATCGATAAATCACCAACAGAATCATACAGCGACATTGGTGGTTTAGAATCGCAAATCCAGGAGATTAAAGAATCTGTGGAACTACCTCTAACACACCCGGAGTTATACGAAGAGATGGGTATCAAGCCTCCAAAGGGTGTAATTCTTTATGGTGCTCCAGGTACCGGTAAAACATTACTGGCGAAAGCGGTTGCAAATCAAACGTCAGCCACATTTTTAAGGATAGTTGGTTCCGAACTGATTCAGAAATATTTGGGTGATGGTCCAAGGTTGTGTAGACAAATTTTCAAAGTAGCTGCTGAGAATGCTCCAAGTATTGTTTTCATCGATGAAATCGATGCTATTGGTACAAAGAGATACGACTCGAATAGTGGTGGTGAAAGAGAAATTCAGAGAACAATGTTGGAACTACTAAATCAACTTGACGGTTTCGACGATAGAGGTGACGTTAAAGTTATTATGGCAACAAATAAGATTGAATCCTTAGACCCTGCATTGATTAGACCTGGTAGAATCGACCGTAAAATTCTTTTCGAAAATCCGGATTTATCTACTAAGAGAAAGATTTTGGGTATTCACACATCGAAAATGAACTTGAGCTCAGATGTCGATCTTGAGAACCTAGTGACGAGTAAAGATGACTTATCTGGTGCAGATATACAAGCAATGTGTACAGAGGCCGGTCTATTGGCCTTGAGAGAAAGAAGAATGCAAGTCACTGCTGAAGATTTCAAACAAGCGAAGGAACGTGTTATGAAGAATAAGATAGAAGAAAACCTAGAAGGTTTGTATCTATAAATAAGGAAATCAGTAATTATACTCTCACTCAATTCGTTTTTAGATACTGAGTACATTAAAATAAATAATTAACACAATAATAGAACCGGTATCATCTCCCAATAAAAGGGCTTCCCTACTACGAGAAATTTGTTTACCCGGCTATTAAGTCCATTATTTTCATTTTGGTGGCGAAATCGTCTATTACCGGGTAAAATGAAAGGGGTTAGAGAGAGTTTCGCAGTAAAGATCCTTGGACTCTTGAAAATGGCAAATGTTGTAATAAGGCGAGTTTAAGAATTCAGTATAGTGAACAAAGTAGATACTATAGTCGACTATATTAGTTTCTTGGGGTTGGTGAATATAAGGACAATAACTGTTAGGTATTCTTTCAAAACAATAATTGAAGCATCATACGAAATTGTGACATTTTACCCACTAATACTCACTCTACTTTCATTTAACAATAACTAAAGGAAGACTAAATAGTGGATTTTATTTCTGCAGTTTGTTAATTTAAATTCAATTACTGTGCTTCTGGAATCAATTAAAATCAGCAATTCATTTTGAATTAGCAAAAGAAGTGTTTATTTCAAAGACATAATATACAACTATCAATCATGTCTGACCCAAGTTCTATTAACGGTGGTATTGTTGTAGCAATGGCCGGTAAAGACTGTGTTGCAATAGCGTGTGATCTACGTCTGGGGAACCAATCCCTTGGTGTTTCAAATAATTTTGAGAAAGTTTTCAATTATGGCCATGTTTTCTTTGGTATTACAGGATTAGCCACTGACGTTACTACATTGAACGAATTGTTTCGTTATAAGACGAATTTATATAAGTTAAGGGAAGATAGACCCATTGAACCAGAAACGTTTACACAATTAGTATCCAGCACATTATATGAAAGAAGATTCGGTCCATATTTTGTGGGACCGGTCGTAGCAGGTATCAATTCAAAGTCAGGAAAACCCTTCATAGCAGGTTTCGATTTGATTGGTTGTATTGACGAAGCAAAGGATTTTATTGTCAGCGGTACAGCTTCAGATCAATTATTTGGTATGTGTGAATCTCTATATGAGCCAAACCTAGAAGCAGAAGATCTTTTTGAAACTATAAGTCAAGCTTTATTGAATGCTGCTGATCGTGATGCCCTATCCGGTTGGGGTGCAGTTGTGTACATTATCAAGAAGGATAAGGTTGTGAAAAGATATCTAAAGATGAGACAAGACTGATGTATTTTCTTATTATAGCATTACAGTATATATACGTATTTTTAAATTACAAATGATATGTTATTTTTGAATTGAAGTTGATACTTGTTAGCACAACGAACGTAATAATCTGGACATTTTCCGATTGATGAAATTTTATATTTTGGTTATCAATTACAACAAAGTTGCATACCACAATCAAGTAATTACGATTGCCCATTGAAAATTATGATTTAAATACATAAATATAAAACCTCTACTCTTCAACTATTATCCAGACTACAAACATAGTATGTTGAAGATGACTGTACCTGAAATAATAAGTGATGGCAAGTCAACACGCAGAAACCTGCAAAAGTTGCTCTTCTTTGGTGCCACATCAGCTACCTTAGCAATAGCTGCCCTTACTTCGAGATCGATAGCTACAAGGAAATGTATGTAATCCAAATGCAAACATGGTCTCACACTTACACCAATTCAATTATACTAACTTCACAATTGATAGATATACCTACATTTTTCCAACTCAATACAAAAATTCCAACATTTTCAAGTAAAAGTGAAGCCCAGGCTGCATTGGGACTTTCATCAGGACTATCATTAGGAATATTTGCCATTACTACTACTGGATTTTGTTGGGCTCTAGATATTTCGTCCGCTTCCGATTTTAAACAAAGGATGAAGACATTATTCAATACTATAGATGAGAAAGAATATATGAATGATTCAGATCCGGAAACTAACAAAATTATTGAAGAATTAGAAGCCTTAATAAATAAAAAATAGTCTTCTACACAGAAACCTAACCTAGTATAGATATGGCATGTAATGGTGTTGCTTATCTTTACATGCGCAACTATCAAAATCTTGTAAAATTAGCTCTTGTATATAAATCAATAGCCTACTGGCTAAAAAAATATTAGCATTCTAGTCATTATTTCATTCATCCTTTAATTGGAAGATTTTATATGACTATAGAGATCGAATCGATATCATTCAACTGAGAGGGTATTTGGAATAACATATCGCTCCTCAGTCAAAAAACTAAAAAAAAAGTCAGATCAAAATGTAAAATCTGACTATTGAAGACGGTTAGATGTGGTCGATCAATATATACATATATACATATGTTACAAACCTAGTTTGTATAGGTCTATCATAATATTGTTGGGGTATTAGCATATAAAGTTTTCATTGTTCCCTAGCTTTTAAACCGTTAAAATATCTGCTCTAGTCAAAATAACTTACATTACCCTAACTAAACAAAATCGTCATACAAAATCACATACATTTCAATTCATTTTTATTCCGAGTCCTCAATTATTTTCCAGAACCAAACTGACTTATTACTTCTAGCTCAACATTATACTTCAGGTAAATTAGATCCTGGTGGTCAAACATCAATATCTTTAAATCAAACAGAGAATTGAATGAAATACAACGCTTTAAGTTCAAACTGTTACCATGGATCATATTTCTAAGTCTGAAGTTTCTGATCTAGGCTTTCCTTTTGCATCTGCATATAACCGATCTTCTACTGAAGATGAAACTAATACGAAGGGAATTCATAGAAGCAAAAGTACTTCTACAGCAAGTAACCTACAAAACAAAAACAGGAATAAACAAAACCTCGTGCTTTCGACTTCATTTGTATCAACCCGGAGGCTTGATAATACACCCATATCGCCAATTACTGTTTCTCAAAATAAAAGACACAGAAATAGCATCACTAAAACTATTTTAGGACTTAAAAATGAGGTCAGTAACTTACAACATGAATTGACAGAACTTAAAAAAAAGAAAGAGGACACTGAACGACTTAGAAGTTCAACAGCATCTGATATTTACGCAGGCGGTTACTCCACAGATCATTTACAAAAACACTCAATAAGAATCAAAGCTAATGCACAAATCAGAGAACTTGATAAACATATTCTTAAGCTGGAGAAGCAAATGAAAGCTTCCAAAGATCAAATGGAGCACTTGAGAAGACCTGACTCTGATCTTGAAACTTTAAAAACGAACTCAGAAAATCTATCAAGAGAAGATCTACACACTGCAGAAGAAGATCTAGGAACTGGCATATTTAGAATTGGTACTCAAAAGTCTCAATTATCAGAAGAGCAATCCAAAAAGAAGAACGATACAAATGAAGATGAAATGATTGCACATGAATCAATTGACCCTGACCATCTCGACAGTTCTTTTGATGATACCGTTAGCATGTCCGAACAGACAGTAAATCTAGAAAGTGCAACTTGGCTTGTTAGTAATTATTTAGAAAGTTTTCAGGAATCTAATGTTTCAACTGATTTTGTTTTGGAGAAAGCTAATGGCTTGGTTGACCTTCTGAAACAAAATCCGGATATACGCAGTAATTTGGTGTTAGATTCATTTATGCCATCAATTCAGAGGCTTTTGTTAAGAGATGATAACCTAATCACATCAGCGGCATATCGGGTATGCAGACATCTGATAGATGGAAAAAACTTCATTGATTTACTTTTCAAGCTTCATATCGATACTTTTATCATAATCTCACTTTCATATGACAATTCTCATCAATTAGAAAGAGAGCAGGCTTTTAAGTTAATAAGAGCATTTGTTGAGTATAATCATGGAATAAGCAAGGGTATACTACAAGCTGTAATTAGCTGTATAGAGAAGTCTGATGATCCGCTAAAGAACATGGCACTAGAGACTCTTTTAGAATTATGCTATATCTCACCAGAAATGGTAAAAGAGTGTCACGGAACTAGAATACTCGAGGGAATATTACAAGAGTATTATTCCTTTTCCTTAGCGAACATTGTCTTAGACACGATCCTAAACTTAATGTCCAATCATAATACAAGAAAGTATTTCATAAAAGACTTCGACATCTCAGTGCTGGCCACTATTTTTGCAGATGTGAACCCTAAGTCCTCTATAAATATCGAGAAAATTCAAAACTCCACCATCCTTATGGCAAAGGCCCTCAAAAGTTTTAACGGTTGTATGTTATTTTCAATGAATAATTTCCAACCGCTTCGAGAACTACTAGCTTTCTTTCAAGTTCCAAACTGTGCACCATACCTAATTGATCTATTTTTGGATATTTTAAGGATTAAGTCGCTGCCATATAGACCAAGAAATAAAGGTGTTCAACAATTTCGTATGCAACCGTCTGAGTACTATAGAGAGTGTGTGTCCCTGAACCAAAAAATTGCGTTAAAGATAATGATTCTAGAACAAGGAGGCTTTCAGGAAAACATAAACAACTTAATTAGTGTGCTTACGAATAACGATACCAACTCAACTTTAGCTACCAAGGCTCGTTATTTACTATCTGAGTACCTAAACCTAAAACTTAATCTTGTTGATAAGAAATTTCCCATTAACAAGAATCCGCAGATCATTGAAGATAACGCAAAAACATACGAAGAGACATTCGAATTTGCTAAAATGGCTACTAAGATGAGTAGGCATCGCAATACTGTGGGTATGAATTTTATCCAATATGTGGAGAAGAATAAAGCGTTTGTGCAAAACTACAAGGAGAATACCTTGGTAAGAGAAGTCGATGACTTAAGATTTAGGAGAATGGTTTATGATTCTAAAGTCTTACAAACCAAAGACTTTGTCAATTGGAACTGGAATATTATTCAAGAACTGTTTGAAGGCCCTTTAATGAACAGCACACATCTAGATGAGCTAGCTAAATCAACCAAATTTATACGGAGACTGCTAGTGTTTTACCGGCCTTTACGTCTTCGTTTTTCAAATGTTAATAAAACTGCTAAACTTGCTCAAAAGTATATTCATGTAGGGTGTCTTTTCTTCAAAATGTTAACATCCACCAATGAAGGACTGAAATTATTAATGGACGATACTAAAATCATTCCACAATTAGCGTCCTTGTTATTTAGAGCTCTCGAAGGAAATACTAGTGGTAATATCTTTAATGAAAACACCTTGAAAAATAAAATTGTTTCAGGTTATTTTAAATTCATTGGTGTATTAACGGAAACCAAAGGGGGAATAAAAGTTCTTGCAAGATGGAACTTCTTCACAGTGATATACAAAATGTTTCAGTTTCAATCTAAATTTGCATCAAAATGTCTTTTTCTTGTTCTGGCAGATTTACATCTTCAGCATTCAGCACACTGCCGGACAGTTATGGGTAAAGCATTAGTGGTAGAAGATGAAGAGGTGAGAATAAGTGCAACTAAACGCTTGGGTGAGTTACTGATTGAGCTCAATGGTTCAAAAGTTGCGAGCGAAATCGATCTTGAGAATAAATTAAACGTTCAACACTATAAAATGGAGTTACTGACAAGACAACTTTATGATTTAAGTCCTAAGGTTGTTGCTGTTGCTGATAGAGCACTTTATGAGTATATTTTAACTGGGAATGAGTCAGAGGAGAGCAGTGGCAGTACCTTCAAACTATTTTTGAATCAAATGGTGTTTATCAGATCACCTATTCTTTTTGAAATTCTAGGAAGGCCATATGGATTTCAACTGTTTAATGAAATTGATTTTGTCAAAGATGAAAGAGATTCATGGTTAGAGAAGAAAAATATCGAATATGTTGATATAGTAGAAGAGTTTATGGAACAATCACCGAGGAACAAAAGAAATAACCACTACGAGCAAAGGGATAGATTGCCGCTCCATTTTTATGAAAGTTTAGCCAAAACAGAGGACGGAATACTGTTTTTGAGTCAGACAGGGGATTTCTTAACGTTTATGAACATTATCAAAGACTATGTAAGAACAGAAATGGACGATGAAGGCATTGATATTATCAAGAACTTGAAGGCATGTCTCTGGTGCTGTGGGTTTATAGGATCTACTGAATTGGGAATAGGATTACTTGATAACTATTCACTGGTTGATGATATCGTGAATGTTGCTTACAAGGCTAGTGTTACCTCCGTTCGTTATACTGCATTTTATACTTTGGGTTTAATCAGCAAAACGCTAGAAGGTTGTGAAATATTGGATCAACTAGGCTGGAATTGTTGCATTTCTGTAATCGGGAAACCTATTGGCATAGCTCTTCCAAATAGACTTGATAGATTTTTGTCTTTCAACGAGGAACCTTGGAATATCCTAGAGACTTATGAAGAACATTTAATTGATATGAATATACAAACAGGAGAATTGATCACAACAGGTAGTGCCATCAAATTTGATCTTTTCAAACTATTGGCTGAGAAGAATGCTTTAGAGAATCCATTCCATAAAGATGATAACGACATGGACCTTTCGAATGATTCAAGTACAGATAATGTATTAGCAAATTCGAGACCGAGTGATGCAATTAGCTACCTTGATAGTGCTTCGTCTTCTATAACGAGATCTGTGAGTAATGAGAGGGCCAATACTACCTTCTCAGCGGCAGTATTTAGAGATGAAGAATCACAGGGATCTCCAAAACAACATTCGAACCAAATTGCTATTAACAACACGCCACATTCTGTTAGCCAAATTCTTGACATGGAAAACTCTGATGATGAAAGAATTACAAACGTATTAAATGTTGTTAGTCAGCTAGGTAATCACATAATGTCCAACAAAGCCATGAAGGTTATCACTGATATGAATGCCAAGTATGGATCAGATGTATTTGGACACAGTCTATTATTTATGAAAGTCCTTCAAATGATGTCCACATTCAGATTCAAGCCTCCTGTTAGGAAATTTTTGTGTGGCCTAATTATTAACAAAAGAAACCTAGGTATACTGATTGATCGCGAAAGTAAGAATCAGAAACTGTCCAAACTGCAGAACAATTGACATACATATGATAGACAAAAAACGAGATATATCTTATGTATTATTAAAATATTCATGTTTTTTTATGATATTAATGCTTTTTTGTGGTATTAATGCAAAAATCTATTTATGTTAGAAACTGTACAAAAAGATACTACACCGAGAGTTTTAAATTTGATTAGGTCAAACTTGTAAGTAATTAAGACCAGCTTAAAAAGAGTACAAAGTGTTGACGGAAAGTCACTAACCGTCATCAAATTTCTTGTCACAAGTCTCTACTCGGAGAGTGATTTACCATCTTTAGGTAACAAAGCCAATCCTTTAAACAGCTCGTATGATTCTCTCAATTCGGGCGGTACATCGAAATCATCCTTGTCCCCAGATTCTTGCACTAACTTAATTTGCTCATTATACCAACTCAATCCTGGCACTTTTGCTATAGTTTCCTCTGAGATCAATCTCGGTTCGTTATTTTTCAATTCATGCATATCCTGCAAAGTGGGTTCTAAACTTTGTAACAGGGTGATTATACTCGTTTCTTTCCTTGAGAACGTGGCATATTCTTTCTTACTAGTTGCTTCCTGTCTTATAATATCGTCGTTTCTAGCAGTTAGCTTTCTATATTCTTTCTCTAGAGCTTCTCTATCAATGGCAGGCATGGTTATTTTTACGCTTAAAAGCCTTTGTAATTCCACTTTTGTAACTGAAAAAAAAAATATTAGTTGAAACAGAACAAATGAACCGACTATTTAATAAAAAACCAAATCAAGGAATAGATCAATCATTATAGAGCGAAACACCAGCGTTTGCACATTAAGCACATCTTCATCCTTTGAGCACTATTGCTTATAGTTTGATTTTTTTGCGATGAGGTAAAACGCATCAGGTGACCTGTTCGTGAAGAAATGCAAGCTACGGATCACACATGATTACTCGTATAAAGATATACCAAGATTCCTCTCTGATTTTTTTTCCCAGTGTGATTTCACACTCTTACTGTTGAGTTGTAGCCGGGGGTGGGTGGGCATGACGATATTACTACTGTAGCGTTGTATATTAGGGGGGGGGGGATGTTATGGGGGGGGGATGCTCGTACAATGTTTCTGGTGCTTCCAGTGCTAAAAATACAGCATTTACACATTTCCATTTAGCTGGCGCAGCTGTACAGTGACCTGCAGAGAAACGACAGACACAAGCATCCCTTTCTCTCAGTGCAACTAAAGAAGTAGCTCCCCCCCACACATTTGAAGAAAGTAATCTTTAAAGAAGTAATCGCACGTTAGCTAGCCCCCCTCTTCCTTACCCCCTTCCCAATCCATCATCCCTTTATCCACTGCGCAAGAAGTCAATTTGTGAATTGTGTGTGTTCCGTATTATGTGTCACTCTTTAATTTCGCTTTCCCCCCCTTACCCCCCTTGCGAAAGTTAACCGGTACAGGACCATAATCTCACATGTCATTACATTTCCAAGGAAAGAGCATAAGTGTGGGAACATACTACAGAACGAGTTGGATAAAAGGTGAGTCATATGATTCGTATATACTAACACAGTTGTAGATACAAATACACTTTTTGTGCTGTGGGAAATTGGTTACTTCTTACTTCCACTTCTAATCACTAATCTTGTTCATTTCTGTGTGTTAAGAGTCATGTGCATTGCAATACATGTCTTGTCTTTTTTTTTAGTATGTGTGGTAGGCGTAGACTGTGTGACTTGGTGACATAGTGACAATAGACACAGTATACAGCATCAGAACCATCGAGATTATCCCGGAGTCAGCCCCTTCCTCCCTGCGATTAAGTAGTACCACTCCTACACAATACGTCGTATGCGTATAAATATTCCGACACACGCCACCCAGTACTATCCCGCACAACATGACAAAAAACATATGCGCAATTGTAGCATGTGAATGGAAAACTTGAAAATTGAAAATGGAAAATGGAAAACTGCCTTCAAGACGATCAAAAAAAGGTTCAGATGCCCTTTACCGGTCCTCATGTAGCGATCGTTTAGCGAGTCGTCACAGTTGGTATCATTCATGTGTGTATGTGTGTGAGTGTTAGTGTGTGCTAGTGTGTGTGTGTCAGTGTGTGTGTGTCAGTGTGTGTGTGCAACAACATTCCATATCACTGATAATTTTAGCTGTCAGTAACAAATTCAAGAACACACTTATACCACCAGAGAGAGACATTGTAAAGAATACACAGCTTGGGATGGAACATATACACACTATACTGTTTCTACTCTTCTGTCCTCCCCACACAGGAGGGAAGAGGGGGGCCAAGGGGAGAGACTCTTTTGGTGATTCAGAATGATATGATATTATGACTCTCTTTCCTAGCTCTCTGCCTATTCTTTTAGCAATGAAAAAAAATAAACGTAACACTTCAATTGGCTTAATAGTGAAAAAAAAAATTATTTCTCGAGAAGTAATGATTGTGATTGCTATAATGTGATTGTAAAACGAAGTAATTGTAACTAATGGAAAAAAAAAATTAATATAAATATCGGGTGTATTTGTATCAAAAGAATCTAACATATCCCATTCTTTATCTCTTAACATCAAAACTAGAACAGTAAAACATAAAAAACTAAGACAATAGCCAAGAAAGTATTTCTTCTTTTCTAAGATACTTTTTGCACATCTGTTAAGTTTTTATTGAAAATATAAAAAAAGTACTACACTATGGTTAAATCTGCTGTCTTGGGTTTCCCAAGAATTGGTCCAAACAGAGAATTGAAGAAGATCACTGAAGCTTACTGGGCTGGTAAGGTTTCCGTTGATGAACTTTTCAAGGTCGGCAAGGAAATTAGAGAATCTAACTGGAAGCTACAACAAGCTGCCGGTGTTGACATCATCCCATCCAATGACTTCTCTTTCTACGACCAAGTCCTAGACTTGTCTCTATTGTTCAATGCCATCCCAGAACGTTACACAAAGTATGGTTTGGCTCCAATTGATACTCTATTCGCTATGGGTAGAGGTCTACAAAGAAAAGCTACCGAAACTGAAAAGGCTGTTGATGTCACCGCCTTGGAAATGGTTAAATGGTTCGACTCTAACTACCACTACGTTAGACCAACTTTCTCCCACTCTACCCAATTCAAATTGAATGGTCAAAAGCCAGTCGATGAATTCTTGGAAGCCAAGGCTTTGGGTATCCAAACTAGACCTGTATTGCTAGGTCCAGTCTCATACTTGTTTTTGGGTAAGGCTGACAAGGACTCTCTAGATCTACAACCATTGTCTTTGCTAGAAAAGTTGTTGCCAGTTTACATCGAAATCTTATCCAAGTTGAAGGAAGCTGGTGCTACTGAAGTCCAATTGGACGAACCTATCTTGGTTCTTGACTTGCCACAAGAAGCTCAAGACGCTATCAAGACCGCTTACACCAAGTTGGGTGCTGCCGCTAACATTCCAAAGATCACATTGGCCACTTACTTCGGTACCGTTGTTCCAAACTTGAAGGCCATCCAAGGTCTACCAGTCGACGCTTTCCACTTCGATTTCGTCAGAGCTCCACAACAATTCGATGAAGTTATTGCTGCCATTGGCCAAAACCAAAAGCTTTCTGTCGGTATCGTTGACGGTAGAAACATCTGGAAGAACAACTTCGCCAAGTCCTCTGATTTCGTCAAGGCCGCTATCAACAAGTTGGGTGAAGACAGGGTTATTGTTGCCACTTCTTCTTCTCTATTGCACACTCCTGTCGACTTGGAAAACGAATCCAAGTTGAACCCAGAAATCAAGAGTTGGTTCTCTTTTGCTACTCAAAAGTTGGACGAAGTCGTCGTTATTGCTAAGAACGTTTCTGGTCAAGATGTCTCCGCTGCTCTAGATGCCAACGCTAAGCTAATTGCCTCCAGAGCTGCTTCTAACATCACTAACGACCCTGCTGTTCAAAAGAGAGTCGCTTCCATTGACTCTAAGATGTCTACCAGACTTGCTCCATTTGCTGAAAGATTGGCTGAACAAAAGGAAATTTTCAAGTTGCCATTGTTCCCAACCACCACCATTGGTTCTTTCCCACAAACAAAGGACATTAGAATCAACAGAAACAAGTTCACCAAGGGTACCATTACTGCTGAAGAATACGAAAAGTTCATCAACTCTGAAATCGAAAAGGTCATCAGATTCCAAGAAGAAGTTGGCCTAGATGTTCTTGTCCATGGTGAACCAGAGAGAAACGATATGGTTCAATACTTCGGTGAACAAATTAACGGTTACGCCTTCACCACTAACGGTTGGGTCCAATCTTACGGTTCCAGATACGTTAGACCACCTATTATCGTTGGTGACTTGTCCAGACCAAAGGCTATGACTGTCAAGGAATCTGTCTACGCTCAATCCATTACAGACAAGCCAGTTAAGGGTATGTTGACTGGTCCAGTTACCTGTCTAAGATGGTCTTTCCCAAGAGACGACATCGACCAAAAGACCCAAGCTATGCAATTGGCTTTGGCTTTGAGAGATGAAGTCAAGGACTTGGAATCTGCCGGTATCAAGGTCATCCAAGTCGATGAACCAGCTATCAGAGAAGGTCTTCCATTGAGAGAAGGTGCTGAAAGATCCGCTTACTACGTCTGGGCTGCTGAAGCTTTCAGAGTTGCCACTTCTGATGTCTCTAACAAGACTCAAATCCACTCTCATTTCTGTTACTCTGACTTGGATCCAAACCATATTAAGGCTTTGGATGCTGATGTTGTCTCTATCGAATTCTCCAAGAAGGACGATGCTAACTACATTGCTGAATTCAAGAACTATCCAAACCACATTGGTCTAGGTCTATTCGACATTCACTCTCCAAGAGTTCCATCTAAGGAAGAATTCATCTCCAAGATTGAAACTATCTTGAAGACCTACCCAGCTGAAAAATTCTGGGTCAACCCTGACTGTGGTCTAAAGACTAGAGGCTGGGACGAAACTAGACAATCTTTGACTAACATGGTTGAAGCTGCTAAGTACTACCGTGCTAAGTACTCCAACTAATTACCATAGATTAGTCTTGCTTTTAACAAAAAATTTGTTTTCTTTTCACTTCAATTGGGATTTCAACACCTGGTAATGATTTTTATTTTATTATTTTTTACTATTTTATAAACTGCACATGGTGATTTGTTGAAAAACTTCTTTTAACAAATCTCCTCTTGTATCATATATAGGTATCTTTATACCACTCTAACGCATTCAACATTCGTTTTAAAAATTAAAACTTTCATTCTCTAAGATAATAATCTACGCGCTAAGCTTGACATCTTTAATGTGATGTTGCTAAATATTTATATGCTCTATAATTGAATCGATCGTTAAATTGTCAGCGACAAGAACAAATAAAGCATTATTTAAACATGAAAGGCGTCTTAAAGAAGATTCCATTAAAATTACTATTTAAATTACATGAAACGATGCAAAAGGGCTTAGTTAGTCGTTCCAACCTTTTCAGCCCAAATCTTCTCAGCTTGAACAATGGTATTGTGATTAGCCATCATTTTGTTCATGGTTTCTATATATTCATCGTACTTGTCGGAATCAAACACAATACCACCACCTGCTTGCAGGTAAGCCGTTCCATTTTTGTAAACCATTGTTCTAAGAGCAATACAGGTATCCATAGTTTTACCATCATAAGACCAGTTACCAACGGCACCAGCGTAAACACCACGTCTTTCACCTTCTAGTTCTGAGATTAATTCCATGGCTTTAACTTTAGGTGCACCACTAACAGTACCGGCTGGGAAAATAGATCTGAAAGCATCGAATCTAGTCTTGTCCGGTCTTAAAGTACCACTGACTTGAGATACCAAATGTTGCACATGTGAAAATTTTTGAATTGTCAGTAACTTGTCGACGTTCGTTGTCTTTGGATCACAAACACGGTTGATGTCATTACGAGCAAGATCCACCAGCATAACATGTTCGGCTCTATCTTTCAAAGAGTTACGCAGTTGGTTACCTAATTCATCATCTTCCTCAGTTGTAGCACCTCTCTTGATAGTACCAGCAATTGGATGTGTGATTACTTTATTCTTGCTATCGGATTTACATAGAAGTTCTGGGGAAGCACCGATAATTTGGAAATCCAGACAGTCGATGTAAAAGAGATATGGCGATGGGTTAACTGTACGTAGATGCCTGTAAATGTTGAATGGATGTAGGTCTGTTGGCCTTGCAACTCGCTGAGAAGGAACCGCTTGAATGATGTCACCCTTTTTTATGTGTTCTATCAAGTTGCCGACGTGGTTTTCGTAACCTTCTTGACCGATATTAGACTGGAAGGACCTGTCCATTTTGATTGGTGGTTGTTCAGGGTAAGGTATTGGCTTTGAATCATCAGTCATTCTCTTTATAATGTCATTGATGATTTCTACTGCGTGACTGTAACCTTCCTCTAGAGATTGCTTTTTAGTGTTGATGTTATGCATGATTTGGAATCTTTGGAATACGTGATCAAAGGCTATAATAGTGTCACACATCATCAAATAGGCCTCTGGCAATTGTAGCACATCCTTCAAGTCTCTTTTCGTTTTTGGCTCAAAATACCTTATACAGTCGTAGGATATGTAACCGATGGCACCACCACTTAGTTTCGGTAAACCTGGCACGTTTGTGGCCAGCTTGAACTGGGACATCTCTTCTTCCAATACATCTAGAGGATCAGTCTCAATGCCTTCCGTAGGTCCAGTCTTTATAATCTTTCTTGGTGACACACCAATGAAAGAGTAACGGTCCAATTCATCAGTGGTTTTGGCACTTTCCAGCAAGAACGACTCAGTTCTATCCTTGTTGTTCAATTGTGCCAGCTTCAAATAAGCGACGTGTGGAGTAAGATCAAGTGCAGGCAGAAACGCATACACCGGATACATGTTAATCCCTTCATCCAGGGCATTGTTCTGCTCATAGAGACCCTTAAGAGTAGGTAAGTCTGGTTGAATCTGCATCGTTTTGCAATGTCTTTCTTGCCTCTACACTTTTACAAAGTAACAAATATTTCTGTTTTCTAAGAATAGTTACATCCCACAACATTATATATTAGTCGATCAAATTGACTCATCATCTACTTTTCGTATTTTTTTCTTCTGCCATCACTTGTATTTCTTTGTCATTAGCTCATCACAGTGTAGAGATTGAATTTTTTTTTCACTTTTTTCACTTTTTTCACTTTTTTTTTGATAGTACTTGATTGAAAATTGAAGTTTCCTCGCTCTTTTGTCACCCAACGCAGAAGGAGAAGGAGAAGGAGAAACAAGATGGGGGGGGCGATACAATTTTGGCCACATTATACGTATAAGTCATGTGTTAATAAAGTTGTACGAAGAACATATCAAGATACACGTAGAATCACGTTATTTGACGTCTAATATAACATATGCTGTTACTTAACACGAAATGCAAAGTGGTACCGTGTATAACTACAGAAGGTAGAGAAAACTTTGCGTCATTTTGGACAAAATAGCAAGTAGCTTTTCCTAATGCATTTCCAATTCCAAAGCAAATATACTTGAACTCTCTCCCTCCCTTTCTACATAGACCAAATCTCTCTTATCAATAGGAAGTGGTTTAGATTCCGTCCGTTATGTACTGTATGTAAAGTGTACCAAGAAAACAACATTTCGGGTCCAACGATGCCCATTAAATTGAAAGAAAAAAAAATTTTTTTTTTTCTTTTTATCTTTATTGCTCAACAAAGTCTTAGTTTCTTGCAAGTCTACAACACTCCACACCTTTTTATTCTCTCTCTCAAAAAGGATTAATTAGTATCTTTTCTCATATCGCAATTTCGTATGTCTCTACTTTACCCAGGCTAGATTTCACCTTTTTAGCAGCACTTCTTTCTTCAACTTTCAGAGACACTTCCCGTCAAAGAGCTTGTTTTTTTTTTTTCAAATTTTCATTGTCCTATTCCCTCTCTCTCTACAATCATCACTCATTTTAAAATCTATGGGATGGTTCTCTTTGAGGTTACTTGTATATTGATATATATTATTCTTGCTTGCATAATTAGAAGTACTGACAAAAGGGATATTATTACTGAAATTGATAATAGTATTTGATCAGAAAGAAAAAAAACTAAGAACAAGAAAAATACTATAGTATTAAATAAAAATGGGTCAGATATTGTCTAACCCTGTTATTGATAAGGAGCACCACTCAGGTGCTGATCTGCTGACAGCGTTTGGGCTGTGTGCCATGCAAGGGTGGCGTATGTCCATGGAAGACGCACATATAGTCGAGCCAAACGTTCTTCCGGAGACTGACGACGAGCACATTGCATTCTACAGTATATTTGATGGTCACGGTGGTTCCGCGGTGGCGCAATTCTGTGGGTCTAAGATGGTCTCAATCCTGACCAGCCAGGAGTCGTTCAAGGAGAAGAAGTTGAAGCAGGCACTGATCGATACATACTTGAAGACCGACGAGGAGCTGTTGAAGGACCCCGAGATGAGAAACGACCACAGTGGTTGTACGGCGACCTCCATCCTGGTCTCTAAGTTGCAACAGACATTGGTGTGCGGTAATTCAGGTGACAGTAGAACTGTACTCTCCATTAACGGTGTCGCGAAGGCATTATCCTTCGACCACAAGCCAACTCTGACTAGCGAGAGATCGCGTATTGTGGCAGCTGACGGGTTTGTGGAAATGGATAGAGTTAACGGTAACTTGGCCTTGTCCCGTGCCATTGGTGATTTCGAATTCAAATCAAACGATAAACTGGGCCCACACGAACAAATTGTCACCTGTGTTCCAGACATTGTCGAACACAGATTGAACTATGACAACGACGAGTTCGTCATCTTGGCATGCGATGGTATTTGGGATTGTCTGTCCTCTCAGGAATGTGTTGACTTAGTTCACCACGGTATCATGAAAGGTGACATGTCACTAAATGACATTTCATCACGTATAATCGACGTCTGCTGTTCCCCTACCACCGAAGGTACTGGTATCGGATGTGACAACGTCAGCATCGTAGTCGTCGCACTATTGAAGGAAAACGAAACAATCAATGCTTGGTTTGAACGTATGAGAAACAAAGGCTACAAACCTCCTCATTCATTCGAGGAACAAAGAAGATCCATTTTTTCCTATTACCAATTCCCAGAAGATGACGAAAAAGTGTTCGATGTGACAACTAAGAAACCTCAAGATAGATTCAACCAAGACTCAGAGATAAGTACCGGTGATGAAGACGAGAGAAATAAAATGGAAATCGATGAGGACGATAACGACCGCTCAGGCGCTCAAAAGAAAACCGGTGCATCGATTCCAGTAGATCTCCTGTCACTCGAGGCTTTACTAAATGGCGCAGGTAATATACAACTCAACCAAGGCCCAGACAATGTATCATACATCAGTGGATCAAGTTTAACTGACATGATCAACTCATTATCTAGGGCAGCTGCTATGGCAAACAATACCAGAGATTCCGACTCTGAAGAGGAAGATACAAAAATAATTGAAGATGTAAGTGATAAACAAGAGTAATATTTTTACCATAAAAATACTTACTAGCCAAATGATAGATAAAGTGGCTATTATTCAAGCCCTCATTCGCAATTAATTTTTTGAGCATTCACATTGCAGTGCATTTTTTTTTATGATTAGCACCTACACAATAATTGAATTCATTCGTATTGACTTCAATTTCTCCTGTTAATGATATTTACGTAATTTTTCGTCCCCATTATTCATTGTACAAAAGTTCATCAGCTCAAGCTGATTTAACAAAATCGATCTAGCAATATTTATTCCTGCTAAAAAGATAAACTCATTTATTTTACCAACTTCATATTCAACGGTTCTGGTAATCTTGCGTTTGGGAATATGTATTATATGTATATTATATAAGACCAGTTCTTCTTCGAGTATAGAGAACGAATTTTTATGTGCTTTAGAAATTTTGTGGTTTGCTTCTATGACCCACCACATTCTGGTAAACGCCTTACATTTGGAGCAATTTCCACTCTCAAATCTTCCTTAAAAGATAAAGAACAGGAAGTTAAAGTTTTAAGCAGTTCAAGCCTAACGATATAACAATCTCCATTGGTTTTGCATCCGATATAGATGAAAGTTACATTCTCTCATAAGAATGCTAAGGAGCAATGCTCATCTTAGAACGAAATACATAACTTGTATTTTAATCCGCTCGATAGGCAAATATAGCTTTATTTGTTTATTTGTAGAAGCTGGTGGAAAATTTAGGACTTCATCATATAATTACTATTTCAGTTAATAGGCCTATGCAATTCCAATTGTAGAAACAATGACATCACTAACTATTGTCAACCTTAGGCTGAAATATCGTTTGAGAACTAAAAAATCTATAAGCATTAATAGATCCCCTACGACAAAACTATCCAAAGAATGAGATTGCCAATCCTTATTTTCAGAATAATGTTATTTTACTTACTGTTCTGTATGAAGAAACGACTGCTTCATATTCAGCAAGAATTTCCAGATGAAATAAACCGGTCATCGTATTTACCAAGGACATTTGGGCCCTGAGAAAAGCAATATATTAAACCACGTCCTAACAGAACACTACTTTGTGTGTCCGTTTCACTTCACTGGTTTCAAGAAATAAAATTAACAAGGACATGAAGAATTTAGCTCCAAGAATATAAAATATAAAATTTTGTACACATAAAACAGAGGCGACAAAAGCAAATCCTATTAATGACTATCTAACTGGAAAAGAAATACTTCTAGATTCCAATAGAACAGATTTGTGCTATATTCGTCTACTTGAGTTATGATATCAATAATCGCCAGCTATTGAAATGAAGGAACCGACCCACTAAAGATGAAAAACAATTTAAGGAACAGACTAAAAGCATGTGCTTTTACAAAACGACCAGCTTAAAAATATTCTCTTGCCTTCTTAAAGCTTGCTATAACGGGAAATTATCAAGGGTATAGAAGTGGCAAGATAGAATGGGATTATAATAAATAACATAGTAAGTTCATCGTATTAGTTAACATAACTAGATAGGGATTTACCAGTTGATATCCCTGAATTACAAATTGTCAATATTTCCTAATTGAACTGCAAAATGTGTATTTTGTCTTGTTCCAACTATAGGGTACTCCATATTCTAGGCCAGATCCATATTACTACTTAAAGAAGAAAATGTACTGCATCTTTTGTCTTTTCACAGTAACTTTGTAGTCAGAAAAACTCTGTGACATGAAGAATTAATATCATTGCTTAGAAAAATCAATAAGCAATGTGTAGGGTTTTCAACCAAGAAGTTATGATAATAATATTGGACATTTTCCACTAGCTGTTTTGTGATCGTCAACAAATAATTTGAAATATCATATCTTTAGTGTTGATGATCACAGTTTTTTTTTCACATGTGCTGAGATGATTTTCTGTTCCCATTGTTGTGCTACAAATGTCGCGTTTATCATCACTTTCTTTAATTGACTGATATTATTCATGAATTGTAAGAATCTCGTAACATACCAAAGTCTGGAATTTAGTTCCTCCATAAATAGTATGAGACCGAATTAGAGTTCTTTTTCTTCCGCTTCTCTTACGTTATATAATTTGATGAGGGACAAGAATACAGACATTTATCAAGCTTAGTAGTTTAATAGTATGCAATCACTAAGGTAACATATTTTCGACTTTTAAAGAAGCAGTTCACATTGTCTCTATTTAGAGCAGATTTTGGTCGGATTCACAACTATATACCTTCTTTTTTTTATACCAAGCTATGTCCACCCTCTTGTTGAAATATCTTTTTACAGTACTGGATTTAAATCCAGCTTTACAATGCCACTGAGAATAGTTGAAATTAACGATTCAAAGAGCAAATCATCAATCTCACAAAAAAGTTGTAATGTCGATGCTTCCTACGAGCAATATCTAGCTTGATTTTTCTACCGTCTCCCTTCCTTTATTGATCCCTTTACAGAAGCATTTTTGTATCGTCAAAATTTTCTGAGAAAAAACGATGTCTCAGAACCCCTGCATCAATTTATTAGAGGGCACCCCGTAGTTGTCTGTTCCTTACATTCGAATTGGGAATGTCGAGGGACCTTGACCTACCCCATTTCCCCTGAATTACTGTTTATAGTGAAAGTGACGTGGGGGTTTGAGGTACCAGTACACTCCAGAAATGGAAACGATGAGCTATTTAGTGAATCCAAAATTTCAAATGTCAAATGTCCTTTAGTTGATGAAAGTTCAAAATGATCAGCAAAGAATATCTAGATCTCTTAATCCAGTACTAGCATGAAAAAACAATAACACACTAACGCTTTACGTAGTAGAAATTTATATCTTTTGAAGCACATTAATAAGTAATTTGATAAGTATTTGTAATTGGCATTGTACTGTAACAAATACCGATTAGTTATGCTGGAAAGATTATAGAAATTGTTGGTATATACTAACTACTGTAGTATTTACAGATCCTCTATGACACCCGTAACAAGTTCAAGATGGGCATCTCATTTTTTTGCAATTTTAGAAATGGATTGCAATACTCTTAAATGTCCATGATAGCAACTGCCCTTTTTACTAGCCAAGGGCAGATGAGTTAAAGTGGGATATCAATGACCCACAATCTCAACTTTTGCCTTCATGAAGACCACAATCATATTGTAGAGTTTCATTTTGCAGTACCAGAAAAACCAACACCGTCGATGATTTCCAGTCGGCTGTTAATTTTTTTTGGAGAGAAAGTCTTTGTAACCATAAGATGAAAAGAAAAAAAATATAGTTGGTCTGTAATCAATACCTCTTTTAGTTCTGGGTAAAGTCATTGCGGTTTAAGTTCGCGATTTTAATGGTTCTCGCACTCCATACCTAAAAGAACAAGGAAAAAAAAAGAGACTAACCCCGTCTCCAGCTCTTATATGTACTCACATGTCTTCCCCTGCTTTTTCCATTTACGGTACTACTTTCTCTTTTCTTTTGTGCGGTAGCTGTTTTATGACTTGTTATTCCCGCGGGAAGTGCAGATATCGTGAACGTCCTCTGACCAGAGCTCACAAAGAGAGTGGGCAAGTTTCAATCCTAGACTTAAAATGGGCTATAAAAACCACGAGAGGTTTTCAAAGATCCTTGGGCAACTTTCTGTGTGTACAGAGAAACAAATGCTGTGAGTTTGTCCAAAAACTAGCAAAAGAAAAAGAAAAGAGATAACTGGTAAATCAATTTCAAGTTAAGAAAATCACGGAGATAAATCTTGTTTTATTCTCTGCGTTATTTTACAATACTCATCTATTTTGGAACCGAATGGGCGACACCGGCCACCCACTATCTCTGCTGTATTTCTGTAATTCTTAGTAAAGGGGATATTTTCACGTTTGATGCGGTTATCCTAGTGTTCGCTGATAAGAGGACGCCGAAGGATTGCTTTTAAAATGGGGAAAAAAGAAAAGAGGAACCGTATCTCTTTTTACTTAATTCGAAGTAGTCAAACTTCAACACTGATACGGACGTTTAAAGAGATACCGCGTAGACCTCATTATTTTCCCCTACCAGTTGTGAAAATTTTGCTTATTATGCTGAAGGCTTCTGACAAAGGGAGCAGTGCAAGGAAAAACTTATACAAATCAGCGACACGGACCCTCTTCACTGAAATTAAACCAGGCCGGTCACAACTACGTTGTATTGTTAGAGAAGTAACCTAAGGAAAAAAAAAAAGTTTACGGGCTTACCCCTGACACCAGAGTAAAGAAGCACCGTACAGCCCCATCATCACCAATTATGGCTGTAATATTTTAATGTCTCTTTTTGACTAAAAACAGATACAGCATATTTGAGTTCTCAATGGCTCAGTTTTCCATTTACGATGTGCAGTCCTACAACACGTAGACATAGCGTTTCTCCTGACTTTCCTAATTGAGAAACATAGTGTTCATTGGACCAGCTCTTATTTATAAATCAAGACCGCTATGGTCTATTTACAGAAATACCGTTTACGACAGAAAGGCTGGATACCCTTCAGTGTGATTGTCTATTTTTAGGGCTTCCTACATTTGAACTTTTCGTTACCCACTCTAGTTTTTCTATGGTGTGTTGAACAGTTATAGGGCAATAAATGCATTGAATGGACCATTACTAGTCACACCCACTATTCATCGTCTCTGATAACTCTTCCCCCAACCTAAAGATATCCACCGCAAAAGCATAGATGCAGCAGTTTTACCACACTTCACTCCTCTTGTTTCTCTGATTCGAGTATGCTTTTTACTTATTGCCACAGAGACGCAGGGACAATATAACTTCGCCTCTGAGATTATTTCGCAATAGTTTGCCCCCCTCCCCCTGCTCACCCTTTTCCTACTATAGATTCATTGTACGCAGCTGTTCTGTGCATTTGCTTTTTCGCCTTCCAACTCTAAGAATTAGTCTTTTCTTTTTTCCCACTTTTTTTTTTCCTTTTTTCAATATTTTTGACTTACTAATTTTAAATTCTTAATTTGGAATACTGCTGGGCCTTCTTAGCAATTTTCTCAATTTCTGATATCTTTTTTTTTTCCTTTTTCTTTTATTTATTACGAATACTTTCCTACTGCGAGTACTCTTATCTCTAACACTAGTCCAGCAGACAACACCCTGTACCGGTACCTTTTTTTTATTATTTTTTTTTATCTTCTCCTTGCAACCGAAATCATCGTCCTCCCCTCCATTTCCATCTCTGTTTGACTCTGAGGTAGTAGAACTGCTTTTCTCCTCGATGCCTGTAATACTGTCAAGAAAACCCCGGAGAGCAAATTTCTCTTTCACGTACTCTTCTTCGGGGCAAAAGGAAAAACCTGTCTGCCTTTCTCCTGTCCATCATCTCGTAGCGGTCTCTGCGCTCAGCTCTCTGATCTTGTTCAAGTTTACACCTATGGAATACCCCTCCCCTTCACTTTCGTACTCCTTTCCCCCCTCCTCCCCCCTCCATTGTTGTCAGACTGGCCCAACTATATTGATTCAATGGAAACCTCGCAAAGAGACCCACCCACTAGCCTTCAAATATGATCAGCCCTGCAGCAATTGCACTACAAACAATCGAGCTCTTTAAATGACTTTTCTTCTCTTCGATGATTGTCTCTTTTTGCCCTTTTGAAGCATCACAGTTAGCCCAAAATGCTTACATTGTAGTCTAGTGCCGTGGGACTGCAAATTTGAAGTTAGATGCGATAATTTGCTGTACGTGTACGTGTACTGGATAGTACTCTGGCATTGAACAGTACTCTGAAATTGACCATCTTTTGAAGGACAGTCAGACTTCTCATTACCCATCGATTGCTGCTTTCTTGCTTTGTTGCAACTTTTTGTTCTCAATTTATTGAATGGACCCAAAAGAAAAAAATATGTCTTAAAAAGTTTTGTTCTACTGAACAATCAATGCAATGTGGGACAATTAGATGTCTCAAGAAGTAATAAACTCGAGAGGAAGAATAATAACCACCAAAACTGAAATTATTAGAATTATTCCATTTAGAAAACTAATAAAACTATTCCTTTTACTCATCACAGAAGGGGGTGGGTATTGCGAAATACCCAATGTTGGATTTATTTGCGATTCTTAAAATGAACAATGACTGCTGAATTACAAAAAAAAAATTATATATATACTCATGCCGTTGAACCCATCGTTTGACCTCTTGTGTACTTAGTTTCGAAAATGAACCCTTAATACACGTCATTTTTCTTGGATTTTAACTATTCTACCTTATTGAAATAATATAAAAAGAATATACCCACTATTTTTTTTTTTCAACACTTCGCATAGTTATACTGAAGTTCATTATAACTGAAGATTGCATTTTTCATAAGAAGATATTGCATTTTATTTTTTCACAGCTAATTACATTTCCACATTCACACTCTTTTGTTTTCTAATTATTGCAGCATACCTGTAAGCCATCCCTTTTTATTGTATTTGTTATTTCCGATTCTATCATTGTATGCATTCTAAATTGAAGAAGATTGTTTTATTTTAAATTATCCAACCAAATCCTATCTTCAATACTTCATTGAACAACCAATAACCCTTTAATTTTTCTTTCGCTCATACAGGCCCTAATGACTTCCGCGAAAAACCCTACATCCTGGGATACCCACGATGACATGCTACTAAGACATTTGAAAGAGATAAAAAACTTAGGCTGGAAAGAAATATCCCTATACTTTGACAACAGAACACCAAATGCTTGCCAATTCAGATGGAGGAGATTGAAATCCGGAAACTTAAAGTCAAACAAAAGTGCCCTCATCGATGTCACTAATATGCATGTGCCTATGAACTACTACGAGAGAAATGTGAAGATGGGTATTGCAAGTGCCAACTCTTCATCGGATGCGTCGCCATCATCTGGTTCTCCTAAAGGCCCACCAGCAAACGATTACGTGGTACAAAGTATCCCAATTTCTCCTCAACATCAGTTACAAACCACTGCTGCTTTTGCGGTACCACATCCACAGGGTTCCTTCACCCAACCTGCACTGCCTTCAAGTTATCAGAGAGACGTAATTGACCAATCTGGGTACGTGGCCAACACTGAACAAGAAACTAGATTTAGTAGACCTAAATCATTCTCTCATTCTATGACTGGCACTTTCTCCACACCATCATACCCTGTTAATTCACCAAATTCACTGTCTAAGTATCACCAACCACTCTCAAGAATGAACTCTGATGATGAAAATGTTGGCTTCATACCTAAAGTCATCGTCAAATCAAGAAGAGGATCATCAATTTTACCCGGGCCCTTTGATCAATCGAACCCATTCCAGAATCAACAACTACATTACTCCACCAAACAACAAAATATGGGGTCCGGATCTGCACTCCAATCCCCAAATGGTAGTTCCAATGCTAACAGCTACTTTCCAGCAGCTTTAAACACAACACTAAACGGCTCAAAGGCAAGGAAAAACTCCTTCGTAAATTGGTCTAGAAGAAACTCCTTCAATTTCTCATCAACCTCAAATTCTAGAAGATCATCAATAATACAGGCCCCAAACTCAATTGGTGGCCCTCTTCCAAGCAGTTTAAGTCACACTGAAGTGTATTCATCAAATCCAAACTCTAGAAGGCACTCTGTTCAAAAAATTACTGATTCAAGAGGCTCCACGTCTTCCATAACTAGTCCATCCGCCGCTAGTGCCGTTTACTCTGCATCTAACAACTATATGGACACTCCAGTGACCAACGCTAACATGACAACCTTTAATAAAACATCAAGACAAGCCTCCATTCCTATGGCGAACAGAAGACAGTCTGTTGCGTTGAGTACTTTTAATAATAAAACGGCTAGCAATTACAATATTATGCCGTGGACAAGAGAGGAGGAGCTATTGTTGATCGATTGCCACGCTAAGCAGATGTCACCATCAGAAATGTCAGTTGTACTACCCACCAAATCTGATGCCGAGATCAGAGCAAGATTGAGTCTTATCTCCCAATTCCAAGCACCGATTGATGTTCAACAACGCCCAATACTCGAACAGCCAAGACCACAATTTCCTAGACAATTGTCTGGTCCAGCATTACAAAATAATACCGTTCAACAAAAAGGTAATTGTAGTAATGACAGCACAGTTGTCGATGAAGTTGATCCTTTAATCAAGGCTGATGTTAACCAAACTGTCACTCCAACTTCTGAATCTTCAAAAGATGTGTCACCCGCACCAGTGTTCTCTCCAAATCCAAACGACTCGACATCCTCAATATCTGCCTGTAGCAGTTCAATGTCAATGAATGGTAAACACATAGGAGAGAATTGCTCAACTGCCGTTAACTATAGTGTTGGGGTCAATGATGGCCACTTCCCTTCTCCTGCTCTATCTAATGAAAAATTAACGAATCTTAACGAAAGAAAACTGCCAACCATAAGCACATTATTGAACAATGCTGTTTAACCCTGAATGCATTGAAATGTATTTGGACAGAGGCATGCCAATTGTTTTATATTTTTTGTACTAGTATCCTTCTACAATAACAAGCTGTAAAATTAAAGATATACTAAAATATTTTGCAGCTTATAATGACCTTGAAATAATTTACCCACACGTATATATATTTATCATGATACGCCCAGAACAGTTATCTCTGAGTGTCTATGGTACTACAAAATTTAAATTTAAATAAATATATACCTTTGATAGATAAATAACGCGAACAAGCTTATACTAATAACTAGAATAAACACTTGTATTACCAGAAATAAATGAAGCATGTAGTGGTAATTATAGTCATATGCAAGTCTTCATTGATCTTTTTCAAAAACTGCCCATAGTGTTACAGAAAACAATTTACTGGCTTTCTGTGAATGTCAGCAAAAATAAATCATTGACTCATATTCCCTTGAACAGCAGTAAATGTGATCAAACAACATTGGTGATTTTTAATACGTGCAGCACTTTTCGGTTATTGAAACCACTGAGAAAAGTAAGTCTCAAAAAAAAAAAAAAAAAAAAAAAAAAAAATTGTATAGGTAGATATCATATTTACAAAACAATAACAATATTTCATAGAAAAGTATTATTAAATATAATAATAATAAAGCAAAGCAAGAAAGAATATCAGTAAATAAGTAGCACGAAAAAGAATTGTTAAAATATGTCTATTGTCTCATTACTAAAAGGCATGACAAAGCAGATGCTTTTTAAATCACCACTTTTTATTCTTCGTTTTCATCATTTCATTTAGTAGTTCGTGTTCGAGTAAAATAAGCAAGTGTCAAGTGGATTTTGCCATACATGAGATTGCTTTAGGAAGTTAAATTTATTTATACCAAATTTGAAGCAAAAACATCAATCTGTACACGGAAAGATCTCAATAAAATTTGTCTGCTTGCAGATAAGAGCACAAAAACCAAAATTACCCGCCACCATTTCAATAAGATCACCAAATACCCCGGCTTATTGGGGGCTGCTGTTCATATTCGTTAAAAAGCTCGTTACCTTGGATAATCCCATAATTTGTCGTCATATTTGTTGCCGCGGATACTGTAGATCCATTCGTTAAATGTGGGCCTAAGCCTTGACCAGCACCCATTACTCCTATCTTTGTAGATTTTTGACTGTTGTAACCGTTGACACGTAAGTCACTGTTGTTTTGATTGGAGAAAAATGGAACAGGAACTCTTTGTCTTTGTAACATATAATTGGATGACATCCCTTGTCCACTAATGCTAGAGCTTCTCCCATTAAAAAAGCCACTAATATTTAGGCCGGAACTAGTAGTCGAAGTTTGGTTATGAGGATCCATGTATGATGAGGCATGGAGAATCGATGATCCACTTTGTCCCGAAGCGCTGTTTGCATATCTTACATTTGGAGAGTCATTAGTAACAGCTTGTGGGAATAAGGCTGTACTTTTTGAAATACCATGTTGATTCATAGTGGGAATATAATCTGAGGTGTTCGTAGAATTGACCAAGGACAAAGATAGTCGTGTGTTTGAAAGACTAGTATAAGACTGAGAACTTGATAAAGATTCTCCTCCTGTTGATGTTGAATTTAGAGGTTGGTCAATCATACCATGGTCAACCATGGTTCCTGAGCTCTCTCCTAATTGCTTCTGGAAGTCGTAATTATTTGTCTTTCTTCTAATAGTAATAAAATTTGGATCTGAAGACTCAATCAAACCGAGTGCTGAGCAACATAGGTCAAGAATTCTTCTCAAAGAGTTGGCAATACCGCTTGGATATATCAGTTCTGTGTATAAATGCTCTCTGTCCTTAAATAGAAGTAACTGGGAGTAAATTTCTAAAGTATCTGGATCATTCATGTCAAGCGCCAATGGGTTATTCGAACTAGAAGATAAAACTACATTATTAGCCAAAGGCGAAACACCAGTTGGTAGAGGTGCAAAACATTTACCTGCACTATTTGGCATTGAGTGTAAGTGATTTTGAGGCTGGTCAAGTGGTGAGGAGTTAGGATTACTGTTGTTTCCATTAATACTACTTTCTATACTGATAACTGAACCCCTATGGTGGTCAATAGTCCCCACAGAGTTATTATTGTGCATGGGACTGTTAGTCAAGTCACTATTACTACCATCTGAATTCTGTAGTACATTCCTATACCCACCGGCAGAGGTTGAAACATTATTGTTGGTGACCTGTTGCTGTTGCTGTTGTTGTTGGTGCTGGTGCTGGTGCTGTTGTTGTTGTTGCTGTTGTTGCTGTTGTTGCTGCTGTTGTTTCCATTGCGCTTTCTTTTGATTTTGGTGCTTTAACCGTCTTTCACGTTCAATACGCTCTCTTTCTTCCTGTGGGAGTACTTTCTTATATTCAACTCTCAAATTTCTACCACCCACTTCTTTTTCATTCAGTTCATTAACTACTTTAGCTGTGTCCACTTCAGAGTTGTAATTGGCGAAAGCCAGACCTCTAAAAGTGCCGTTATCGAAGTGATAATTAAAAGCGTAAGGCAATGGTAAATCCAAAGAAGTCATGAAGTCCAATAACTGTTCTCTCTTTAGCGCAAACGGAATGTTTTTGATCACAATGGCGGTTGGAATAATATCATCGTCATCATCATTACTAGTGTTGGTATTATTGGAAAGATCATTCCCGGCAGAAGTCACGGTCTTTTCGGCGTCACTCATCATTTCAGTATCGTTATCGTAACTAGCATTCGTTGTATCACCTCTAAAATTAGAAGGAATGAGAAGCCCAACACTCTTGTCAACTTCTTCTTGAACTTTCATATATGTGCTGAGATTAGGCTCTCTTATTTCTTTTAATAACTGTGTGAGCTTTATAGATATAAGTTACTGGTGCTTCTTCAATTTTTGTCTAATATTATTGATGAGACTTGAGTATAACAAAGAAAAACAAATTATTGAAAGAAATAGTTATATGTAATTCAAAAACTCGAGTTCACTGCCTTTGACGCAGTATTATACCAGCCCTACTAAGCCAATGGTGACCTACAAAATAAGAAAGATAACCGAAAATATACCGATGGTATTTATATAAAGGAAACAGAGGAAGAAGTAGACACACAGTTGAAGAAGGAAAAAAAAAAGAATGAGTTAGTGCTCATCATCCATCATTGGGAAAGAAGTTTTACATAAGAGCAAAATTAGATTGGGTCTAAGAAGCACTTGAGCAAGCCTCATCTATAGAGACAAACTGCTGTAGAAGCCCAAACAGTGTTCCATTATAAAAAAACCCAAAAGATCAAGCAGAAAAGATGGTATTTTAGAAAGTAAATAGAGTAGGATAGCGAACAAAGCTGAAAAGGGCAGATCATCGCAGAAGTTCCAACGTAGAACTCTGAAATTCACGATAAAGGAATGTCAACAAAGATATTAGAAGCTAATAGACCAAAGGTCCAGTAGAAGTAGAGGTGTAAGCAATATGTGAGAGAGACCTGGAGCGTGCTGTTAAGAGTTGTTTTGCTTCTATAAATTGTGCGAGAAGACAAGACACCTTGTAAGTGTAGTTTTAACTGTGGATAATGAGAGTTCATTAGTGTAGACACTGTTCCTTAGCAAGAATAGCCAAAAAAAAAACACCACTAAGGAAGCAGAGAACATCAAGATGGATTGTATTCTAGTAGGGATAATAGAGGTTATGGAATTAGAAGGATGATTCTTTGCATTTTATGCCTGGGGGGGGAGGCTACGACAATTTAGAGGGAATAAAAAAGGGTGAAGAGTTGTTAGAAGGGAAACCTAAAAACAAAATGCGTGAAGAGGGCCCAACTTCCTTCATTGATTCTGGGTTTGAGTATCTCTGTGAGATGCATGTAGTGAGACTGTCCAATGAAGTAGCGTAAGTGTCACAGAGCACTCAAGATGGGCTTATCAAGAGCCTTCGAAACTCTCGAACCTCTTTGGTGGATCTTTAGTTTCTGTGCCAAATGCCCGAGAGAACGGTGTGATATGGACGACTTTCATTCCGCACGCGATTCTCTAGGTATTATCCTTCCATTGAAAGTAGAGAAATAAAAAGGATAGTGTGGGTCAAGAAATAAAAAGGAACTCTGAAGAAGACGTGTGGGGGACGAGGGGGGAGGGCTATACCAGGAAATATCTGAGCTCCGATAAAATCGGGAATTCGGTTTTTCGGATACATCCTGCACCTTTTCTCTGTACTCTCTTCTAGAAAACTGCTATAGGTGAATATTGTGGGGGATGGAAGAGAGAAGAATAGGATTTTCTTTGTTCGGTTCTCTGCAGGTGAGGGGAGGGAAAAGAGAAAAGAAGGGATTTGGATAAGATCGATAAATGCGAGAAGCTGCGAATTTCAAAGTAGAGGCGAGGCTTACATGGTGTTCAAGCTGTAATGGACCCAATTGGGAACATTGTGAAAAGAAAAAAAGGTAGTGACGTGTTGCAGAGGTGTTTGTGTGTGTGTGTGTGTGTGGGGGGGGGGGGAAAGAATTCTCAGAGAGTGCTGGAGGGTATGTCTTTCTTCCATTTCGAGCGTGCAGTAGCAAAAATAAAACCGTAAATCCTTGTATTCACATATTTTGGTTAAGTATTGACATCGAAGAGACAAATGAAGTAGCGGATGAAAGAACTGAGTAGGTACTTCTGATGTTAAGTACACACAGGAAACTCTGCAAGAACGGATCAGAACATCTTAATCTGTCTACAAGACAGTACTAGGGTGGAAGGAATCACAAGATGTAAGAAAGAACTCGTACCTTAAGGGTTAAACAAGATGTGAGAACAATTCCTGTGAGCTACCAGTAATATGCCTAGTGGCTAAAGGTTTCATTTCCAGTTTGTATTTGCACCATAGTTTTCACTCATTACCAATAATATAACCTTACATTTACCAGGGTGCTATCGATATACCCAATATAGCCAATGTTTGAAAGTAGTAGCGCCTTCTTGACGTTCCCGCAGGATGCATACCTTTTGAGAATAGAGTTGATGTGAAAAGTAGCAAAACGTGAGTAACGTGATATTTTCGTTAATTATGTATATTTCTTTTTGCTTGTGCGTTACTTCCTTTGTAGTGATAAATCAGCTGATTTTTTTGCGTCTAAAAAATATTCCATTTCAGAATGCACGTATAAAACTATATATACGTGCTATATTTAACTAATCCGTACACTTGAACAACCAGCTTGGCACTCAGTGATTCAGATAGTTGTTCTCCCTTTCAGCGCAGCAAACAACGCAACAAATAGTGCTGAGTGACGTGTCGTCAGTGTTTTTTTTTTTTGGAAGCTGACAAGTGAGTGCACTCGGAAGTGATCGAACCTGTCTAGGTCAAATTCAGAGAGTTGGCTGCTGTCAACTACTAAGTCTTTCCACCTGACGAGGTAAATCCTCTCATAGCTGTTCTTTTGTGCTTGAATTGCCAATGCTGTCTCACTAGAGGAGAGGTAGAGAGGACCACTCCTATAGTGTATACTACTGCATTACAGTCGTTTTAGAGTGACACACTATTCCATGACAGAGTTTCAAGATCATCCTACCTCTTTCCCTCATGCTACTTGATTGCTCTTCTTCTTTTTTTTTCCTGCAAAATTGGTGTGCTGGTGAAGCGACACCTGTGAGAACTCAGGTGCTTCGCTACACAAGCAAGCTGAAAATATTCGAAAAGGAAAACGTTGTCCACTCGTTGAAGCAAATGCTTGGATGTGAATAAGGGATTGACATAATTTTTTTTTTTTCACAATGAGAAACACATATATAAATATAAGTATATTAACAAAGCGGTCTATTAATCTTGCTAAGTTAAATCAGAAATCATAACCCGGAACTTGATACAGTTTTAACACACATATACAAACAAAACCATTACAATGTCTTCTTCTGCTGTGTCTGCTGGCAGTGAAAAGCCAATTCAAAGAAAGGGTAAGACTGCTTCCGAAAAGAACTCAAGAGAAGGTACTCCAGGTACTCCAGCTTTGAAGAACTCCAACTCAATCCTGAAGATATACTCTGATGAAGCTAAGGGATTGAGAGTCGACCCATTGGTTGTTTTGTTCTTGGCTGTTGGTTTCATCTTCTCCGTCGTTGGTCTTCACGTCATCTCTAAGATTACTTCCAAGATTTTCTAAATCGTTTTATCAGCACCGAGATTTAAATCTCACTCAATGATTGATCAATCATACCAAGGAGAGAATTCAATGTTATAACTTATACCAATATAAGGTGACTGAACACAGAAATACAAGTCTAAAGATAATGCTATAGCAAAAGTGTTGAAGCGCCAGATATAACAGTCCCAAAATAACGACCATTAAAAATTAATGCAATTCCTTAATTATTTTTTTTCCTATAGAGCACAAAAGAACTTCATTCATATTATTTTTTTTGCTGCCAACAGTTTTTTTATTCGATATTCAATATATCTTTTTGTAATCATTAATAAATTTTCTAATCGAACATAGCATTCGACCAAAAAAAGGACAGCTAGTTTAGCTTTAACTTCATTGTGAGTAATCTAATTATAGTAGTTGTGTGAGAATTATGTTACACCTTATAATGCTTCCAATTTATATATATATTTACAAGTCTAACAAAAGTTCGTTAACAGTATCAATCACATCGGAATAATGAACTGACTTCTTTTCAATTGGAGTATCGTCACCGTTGTCCCATTTCTTACCGCGAACTTCTATCTCAACATTTGGCCAGCTCTTTGTACCTATGATAACACATATTGGTATACCAATAGCATGCGACAACGCAATACGACCACCGAAACCCGTGCTTCTGTGTAGATCATCCAAATCAAATGTGTCAAGATTCTTCATAAGACTTTTCTTCATGTCATTAATTGCAACCATGCCTTCGTTATTGCTTGTGACCACTGAAACTTGGTATGGTGCTATCACTTGTGGCCACCTTAGACCCATATGATCCCTACCGATTTCTGCTGCAGCACCAATTAGTCTACTAATACCAATTCCATAGCAACCCATAGATACGATAGAATCATCAGAGTTATTTTCATCTTTGAAGTTAACTTCAAATGGCTTGCTATATTTATCACCGAGGTGAAAAATATGCCCAACTTCAATACTATTAGAAGCATGCAAAGTACCATCTTCACATTTGCCACAGATTTCCTTGTCAGTGGCATCAACAATGGATATACCATCAATTTGGCCAAAGTTGTTCTTTAAGTACTTACTCAAAGGAAAGTCTGGGAAGTTCGACCTAGAATTAATACGTACATCCATAACTCTCAGTATTTTAGAAAACATATAATCCTCATTCTCTGATTGGTACATCTCTAATATTTTATCATTACCAACATCTTTTAATGCCATGTCAAGGTCATTCTCCATCACAGATTGAGCTAAATTCCAGTTAAACTGTCTCTCTGCGGGGTAATAAAAGCATACTAAAGTGGTATGATCTTCACTAAGCCCATATACAACACCAACATCACCAGAATACATCCCATCTTCCTCCGGTAAAGAATTACACTTCTCTATTGTAGAACTGGTACCACAAGAATCGCAAGAAAAAACTGTATCTTCTCCAAAAGAATTTAAGAAATGGTATTCTTTACTTAAATCACCACCAATTTCACCGCTATCCGCATAAGCTGCCTTATATGGTATTTTTAGATCAGAAAATATTCTATCATAAACGGAGTCCATTTTGTTAAAAATCTCAATTGCCTGCTCTTCGGATGATGCAAAGGAATATGCGTCCTTCATTATGAATTCCCTGCCTCTTAGAAGCCCTCCTCGAGGTCTCTTTTCATCTCTATATTTCCTAGAAATTTGATAGGCTGTAATAGGAAGGTCTTTGTAACTTTTAATATAGTTCTTCATTAACGATGTAATATCTTCTTCACAGGTTGGGGTCAAACAATATTCAAAAGCATTATTATCTTTAACTTTAAATAATTCATTAGATTTATCCCACCGTCCAGTTTTTTCCCAATTGATTTTGGGGGATAAGGAACTCAAAGATACTTCTATGGCGCTAGCATCCTCGTCCATACGTTTTCGTACTAGAGCTTCCAGCTTATGCAAAGTTCGCAGACCAAGTGGAAGCCAATTAAATAACCCACTTTGTGTTCTTCTTATAAATCCCAAATTCTGCAAGACATCGAGCGTCGGTATGTCCTTTAATGACTGGATATCAACTTTTCGAGGTAACAAGGCTCTGTTAGCCATTCCTCTGCTAAAGACGGCAAATTTTAGCATTGTCTTGAATGTGATTTTATTTTGAATACTATCCAGTATATACCCATACTACTTACTAACTATTGATACCAATTGGTTTATGACTCTTGTATAACACCAATGTGGTTATTTCTTATTTAAAAGTCATCGCTTAGTAATCTTTGCCATGAAGGGCTCATCGTTTCATAGGATAATAGAGTTCTGATATTCGACAATGGGAAATAACTGAAATTCGTTTCATTAGAATACTTAACATATATAGATCTATTAATAATATAAAATGTATAATCCTTCCTTGGATATTTTTGAAAGTTTATGATTATTTGAAATTGGTTAAATAGAAGTTTGAAAGAAAATAAAAGGCAATTGACCTACAATTTTCTCCTGCACATATTGGGGATTACAAAAATACGACTGAATCATAGTTACATGAATATGATCCGTACAAATCCGAAAGTGTTTAATATTTCAGTAGTCTTTGATATACCATATTTTCTGTTTCATCTTGGTACTTATAGCCTAAATCTTCCAAGAATTTTTGGAAAGTTAAATTTTCTCTAGGTGGCACAGAAATACCAGCCAATACTTTACCAATATCAGCACCATGGTTTCTGTAATGGAACAATGTCAAATTCCAAGACTCGCTTAAACCTGCCAAGAATCTGGTTAAGGCCCCAGGTCTTTCTGGGAATTCGAACGAAATAATTCTTTCATTTGGGACCTTTGACGCACCACCAACTAAATATCTACCATGTGATTTTGCTAATTCATTGTCAGAAATATCGACGGCTTCAAAACCGAGGGTGTTCAGTTGCTGCATTACTTGTTTAATCTCCTTTTCGCGGTCTACCACACTGAAAGATGTATAGATATAGGCCTTTGGAACCTCACTAGAAGATTCATGACGATGTTCATTATAACGGTAACAGAACTCAGTAACAGCTCTTGGATGAATAACCTTCTGCATTTTTTTGAAAGAGCCTGGAACGTCAGGAATGGTAACCAGCATAAAAACTTCCTTACCTTCACCTAATACAGCACGCTCAGAAACAAATCTTAATCTATCGAAGTTCATATTAGCACCTGACAAAATTGGGACATATGTTTGCTTAGAGTGATCTATTTCTGGATGAAGTTGAGTAATATACTTCTTCATACCAGCAACCGCAAGAGCACCAGATGGTTCAACAATACTTCTGGTATCCTCAAAGACATCCTTAACCGCAGCACAAATTTCATCAGTATTGACCAATACAATTTCATCGACAACTTCTCTGGCAACTCTAAAGGTTTCTTCACCAATAATACGCACAGAAGTACCATCAGCAAAAGTACCAACGCTAGCTAGATTTGTTCTTTTATTTCTTTGAAGAGATGTGTGTAAAGTTGCTGCATCATGTGTTTCCACACCTATAATCTTGATGTGTGGAGTGACTCTCTTCAAATAGGCACCAACACCGGCAATCAACCCACCACCACCAACTGGAACAAAGACAGCACCGATCTTATTTGAGTTATAGACCTGTCTCAAGATTTCCATCGCAACTGTTCCTTGACCAGCAATGACATATGGATGATCAAATGGAGGGATGTTAGTCAAACCACGCTCTTCTGCCAGTTTAGTACATTCAGCTTTAGCTTCGTCAAAATCATTACCATATAGAACAACTTGTGAACCCAGTCTCGACACATTTTGATATTTTATAGATGGAGTAGACACAGGCATGACAATAGTTGCTGGAATATCCAAATGTCTAGCGGCATATGCTACACCTTGTGCATGATTACCTGCGGAACATGCGATGACACCTTGATTTCTCTGAGTATCGTCTAACTTCGCTATCATGTTGTATGCACCACGCAGCTTGAAAGAGAACACTGGTAGTAAATCTTCTCTTTTCAGTTGGACATTTGTGTTTAGTCTAGACGATAGACCAACACCATGTGAGATTGGCGATTCCTTTATAACATCATAGACCGATGATCTTAGCACCAAACGCACATAGTCTGGTGTGTTATCAGTAAGAAGCTCATCAGGCTTTAACTCGGAATGCAGTTTAACCAATGAAGGTGCGAGATCCTGAGTAAAATATCTGGTAGATAAGCCATAGACAGACCTACTTGTTGTAACAGATGCACTCAACAGTGTGTTACCACACAGCAGCTTGGGTATCATTGTTCTTGATGTATTGTGAAAAACAAATTGATCTAAATCTTAAACAACAAAAGGAACTACTTGTGATATTCAATACAAAAATAAGATAAAATTATAATGGACTAGTTTAATTATAACAATTATAAACTAAAAAATATTACTTGTGTTTGTTCATCGCTGCTGAGTTTTTTTTTTATTTTTTTGCTTTTCACAATGAGAGTCACAGTATTTCACTCGCTGCACTGATGAAATCGGTAGTTGTTGCATATTGCTAAATTTTTCACTTTTCATGAATGGGACTGAAAGAAAAATTGAAAAATTGAATTTGGACCCTTAGTGAATTCGCCCGAAGACATAAAAAAATTGATCAACTGTAATGCACAACATGACTCACATGAAATTAAGATCATAATTGCAATGGTGAGATATTATACCCAGATCTGCTTTACAAAAGAATTACTAAATGAATGTATTTTAATTGTACATTGCTAGCTGTTCATTATAAGGAAATTTCCTCAAAAATATTCCTTCATCAGGGATTGACTGAAATTATTTACCACCATTAACTGCTATTAATATTGAATTAATCAACAATTTTATCTACGTTTTTGTTTTGTTGTATATTCCGGGTGTTTGTAGTGTAAGATCACAGAAAATGAGTTGTAAACTTTTTTGAATATTTTCTTGTGATCAATTGCGTCTTTGTTGATTGAGTATGTAAAAATACACAAAAAATATTACCCATAATACTCATCTACATTATATTTTCTCAGTATCACATATTAGAATAATTCATTTTTGAGTAGTCTAAGCTTGTCTTAGCGGGTATGGATGCTATATCTATATAAATATCTACAGTGTAATGAGAACATTGGATGGTACGCCTCGCTTTGATGATATTATACGCGGATAGTTGAAAAGGAATAATAAACAGAAGCAAGTAAGTATACCATTACATCCCTAACAAACAACTCTAAATTACCTAAATATCTTTTGTTTCTATCCTGGAACCATCTTTTGTAGCAAATTTTAAACTTTAAAGTATGACCTAGAAGTGACCATGAACAAATTATACACGGACTTTGCATATATTTGCAAATGATACAGCACAATGGACAAAGGAGGTACAATTATGACTAATCCTGGTTTCTCTGCCAAAACATTGATCAAAATTGTAGGATATGCAGTAAATTAACACAGTTTCAAATATTCTTCACTAATTTTGAAATAGTAATGATATGGTATTAAACTGGACTATTTAATATACTAAGTTAAAATTCTGAAGATGAAGAGATGAGTTACAAAAGATACGTGAGGACAATAGACATGCAGTAATAAACTCGAGGTGCATTTAGAGAAACAAATTTTTAGACCCAACAAAATTTGGAGTAAAAAATTTACTCACCATTTAGTAATTCAGAGAAGTCTAGTATGAAGCTACTTCATTACTAAATAGAATTCTATTGTTTTCAATTTCGTTCACTAAATAGATATAAATAATAGGAAAATATTAACTAAAAAACATTTTATGCAATGGTTGTTTAAAAAAAATATTTAAGAGCTTTATTAATTTAGTCTCAAACTGCAATTTTTGCAAGTAGGTCTAGCTTGCTATAGATATATTGTCTGTTTGCAAAAGTATATTAGTTTTTTCTTATTTGGAATATATTAATTGATTTTTTATTTATATTTGTACTATTATTGACGTAGATATATTTATGCTGGAATTTAATGATTGTTAAACTTCTATGGTATTATATTTTATTCTTACAAAAATTGTCACAGAATTAATTAAAGGAATTTTTGTCAAATTTGTTTTGTTGGTCAACATGTTCAAATACAGGGTATTTGTCTATGAAATGTTTGGGCCTGCTATAGATATTTTTCATTTTTTTCTCTTGAGAGTGATAGTCTGTTACAGATGTAAATATCATTTGCGGTGCTTTGATTTTTGATGGTTTAAGCATTGTTTGTATGGTTAAATATGTAGAGTTTTCCCAGATATTGTTTCTAATGATCCTAGATGTTCTTTAATTATGTATGGCGTGTAAAGTTTTGTTAAATTTGTGATTTTTCATATAAGCATCACTAATTAATGCAATAACATAAGCTAGATTTATGTTGCTCTTTATCTATAATTAAATTTATTCTTAATGGGTATGAAGATCTTTCATATATATACCAAAAAAACAAATAGTGTTAATTTCTAGTTCTTTTTGCCAGCATATATAAAGATATATAGGAATTTTAATAGTCTGTTTCTTTTTTTGGGAATAGAATCCCACTTCAAAATCTCTCCAATTATTTGATACTGCTCAAGTATCTAAAGTAGGTTCTTAACATTTCATAATTCAACGGAATTTAATTAAATGCATGGATTGTCATAATGAAATCTGTCCGGGTATTAACCATGCATCTAAGATATGGCTCTACGTGGTATTCAATGGACTACTTACAGACATCCCACGGGAGATTAATTACTTCAAGTGTTGTGAGAGACACATTATCAAGTGATACAAGTGATACAAGTGATACTATATCAGATGTATTGTGCGTTGCAGGATACCGAACAGTAGAAATAGATAAGATACAGTTCAGTAAAGAGAATTACATTATATTCTTGATGACCAAAACTATTTGGTACAGCCGATCCACGGAATAATGGACTAAGGAGTTTGTTTGGTCCACTTCTCAATCGAGATACTACATATATTGTAATACATACCGCTTCAAAAAACTATATATGCATTGAAGTGTTCCAAAAAGAAATGAAACTAATACTGAGAAGCATGTACGATAAATTAGTTTAGGGGACAAGAAAACAGAACCGTGCGAGGCAGGCTATTATCAGCACGCAATCAAGAGCGCTATACAATGTTTTATCTCCTTTGCCAATATAAGAGGGAGTGCATAGGCATTTAAATCCTCGGAGATGTGGAAGAGCATATACAGTTCTCTTGTGCACGGAACGGATAATTTGTAAAAAGAAAAAGTAGCTAATATGAAAGAATCCAAAGTGGATATTAGGCACAGACTGCACTGTTGTAAGGCTAATTCCACATATAGTCCAAATAAAGGGCTGGGGTCTATGCTATGGGAGTTCTAGACATCTTGGTTATATGCATGAAGGCATTCTTACCTATTAGGGGGGATTCATTTAATCATGATGACATTTCTTTTTCATAGTGTGTCTCATCCCTCCTCTGAAAATCTAGTAGGAATTATTTTGAGTTTAAATTATCATACAGTACAGTTCCGGTTGATAATATGGGATAGTAGACCGTAGCCTAAACTAATTATATCCTGTTACTCAAATCAACATGTGGATTGTAACCGAATAGAGGAAGATTCTTTCTTTTATTTGCGGCAATTAAACCAATTAAACAGTGACTATTCAAGAGTTTATTATTTTACTCTCCATAAAACTATATATTGCATTTTGCATTATTTTGTAGCAGTTGTCTGGTATTTTACTGGTATAATCGACTCTGCGTGGCACCATACCCTGTTACAGACAAGTGTGGTAACATTGTTTTCTTACACTACCTATATTTTGTATGTTAACTGTATATTATCTGCATACTGGTGATTTCTTTTTAAAATTTCTACGGTCTATCAAAATATGCAGTATTAGCTTATGCAAGCTTTAGGAGAAAGCATCTTATAGAATTTCGAGTTGTCCAAATGTCTTCAAATTGTTATGTAGGAAGTGCGACCCGCCAACATAACTAAATATATGATACTCAGTTATTAAAATATAAAGTAAATCTATTCATCTGAGCATTTTACAAATTAGGTTCACTTGGATCAATTGGGAATATTTTATCTGGATTCATTACTCTGTGCGGATCAATTGCCATTTTTATAGCCCTCATCAAATCAATAGGTTCTTGGCCCAACTCTTGTGAAAGGTAATCTCGCTTACCCAAACCAATGCCATGTTCTCCTGTACATGTACCATCTGCTTTGAGCGCTCTTGTAACCATATTGTCAACTAGTTGGTGGCATTTGTTTTCTTCCTCCCCGCTATTATACACAATGAAGCAATGGAAATTACCATCACCTGCATGACCAACTATACCATAGGTAAGTCCACTTTCTAGAATATCAGATTTGGTATCATTAATAACTGTGGCAAATTGAGATATTGGGACTGCAACATCTGTTGTCCAAACCTTAGCGTTTGGGCCACCGGCGCTTTTAGCGGCATCTATTACGGACCATAAAGCAACTTTACGTGCCTCCCAAAGCTCTAATTTTTCATCAACGCTATTTGCGAACTGAAATGCAGTTGAGTTGGTTTCCTTGGCGACATTTTGGACTTCCTTAATCAAATCATTGACACTATTTTGTGTTCTACCAGCGATTTTAAAGAACATAGTGGGCTCCTCCACCCAGTCATTCCTATCAGTACTTTCAGATTTATTGATAATTCTCATTAAACTATCATCCAATAACTCCATCGCATTCAATTTTATACCTCTTTGAATAAGTTCAGAAGAGCATGCTGCCGCATCTCGAATTGTCTTAAAAGAAACCACAGCTATGCTTTCAAATTTGTCCTTAACATGACACTTTACAGTTGCTTCGGTAATTATACCTAATGTACCTTCACTGCCAGTAAACAAACCATTTAAATTATAACCAGCACTAGATTTTCGTGGTCTGTTTTTAGTTTTTACAACAGTACCATCCGGTAGGACAACAGTTAGACTGACCACATTTTCTTTCATAGTTCCATATTTGAAAGCGTTTGTGCCTGAACATGAGTTTGCTATACAACCACCAATTAAAGCTCCCGGTCCAGGATCACATCCAAACATAAGTCCATGTGGCTCTAAATAATCATTAAGATCCTCCCATGGAACTCCAGCCTGTACGGTCACATCAAGATCATCCTTATGGAGTACAACAACATTGTTCATATATTTTGAGACATCAATAGTCACAACCAAGTGTGGTCCTCTGGTTGGCATAAAGTGACCCTCAAGTGAGGTACCACCACCAAATGGAATCATTGGGACATGATTGTCATTACATATTTTTACCAATTTTGAAACCTCTTCAGTTGTTTCAGGATATAAAATAATTAATGGGACTTGGGACTTTGCATCTACAGCATGATGAGTATTGAAATATGTATCGGTGTGTTGGGCCAGGTTAGATTCCACCACGGAATATTTATCCTCGTTATTATTTAGCTCTTCTTTCAATTTTGTGATAACTTTGTCAATATCTTCACAGTATTTCACTGGTTCCAAGCTTTGAAGTGAGACGGTGGATCCTCTTGATGTTGATTCTGTACTAACAACATCGTGGCAGTTCAGTTGACCAATATAATAACCAATTGATGACCCAACAATTAAACTAGCACCCAATGCCAATGGTTTGATATTTGTAGGGATTGTAGATTTCCCAGTTGCATAAGCACGTCTACCACAGTGTCTGGCTAGATTTGTGGAAACACGGGCATTTATCTTGTAAAGCCTACCTAATTTTGAACCCAACATCTAATATTCAAACACCTGATAGTTAATGATTTCCTGATCAAACTGAATGATTCATATATGGCCTTGCTGTTATAAATGCGTTAGTTGTTTATATATGAAATGGCCGATAAATCAAATGGTGACATGTTAAGTAATTTATCGGATACTTCTAGTATTCTCAGTCAATTGAACCAATTGGATCACAGCTATAACAAAGTATACCTACTTGTTCTGTAATGTAGCCAAGAATACTGGATTACATAGCATTGACACAATACATGGAAATTAAAATAGCGCAAGGAGTGGGATGACTTAAAACTTAAATGACAGTAACAAAGCTTCCGAGTTAATTGTGGATCTCAAGACCGCTACGCATCGACATTCTAACAAATATATATTCGAATGCGGCTCACTACAGAAAATTAAGAAGCACCCAGCACCAAGCAAGCATAGCAAATATCGCATATTATCCTGCACTTGTATTGATGGGCTACAAATACAATAATAAGGGTCCTCCTTCCCTCCCCCACTCTCTTGCATTCATCCCACCCCCACGCGAAGTCATTCCTCCGCCAGTATCGGTAAGGGGAATAAAATTAAGGTGGTACGAAGGTTACATTATGTATTATAGAGAGTTTCCAGAGCTCTTCATTTATTATATAGCAAATGTAATAGTAAAATATCAAGCCTGTCTAATATTAATTGCGTTTTTAGAGAAGGAACAAATAGATTCACATGCAATTTTCGGTTATGTAGGACTACTATGTGATATCAAAACTCCTTCTATACTTATATCAAAGTATGTCACATTCTACCTAAAATGGCTATTGAAAGCCATGTGACTAATACGTCTTCCTGTATACATAAGCAAAGGAGATATAAGATACAATAATAATAGTAACTTTTCTCTTGCCATATCCCCAAGGTTTGCAGAACAATACAGAATAGTTCATTGCTCAATAAAAATATGTGAAGAAAAAGAAAGCCGTTGATGTTCGTCCTATACTTTTTAGTTGGTTTCCTTGTTCGGGTTACAAAGTGAGTTACAAAGTCGCCTAGGGTTCTGTCTTTTACGCTGTGTTATTTTACAAGGATTCTATCTGTTCTCATAATTTTCATCGCCAATTCATAGAGGCAGCATAGTTACCTCCAAATAAAAGAAAAGAGAGAACAATTGGCAACACTTGAGCATTTCGGGGAAAAACTCGCGAGCGAAAGCAAACATCATACTTCTTTACTCGGTCCATTAATAGGACCCTCTCACAAAAACAACTAAAAAGCACTAACTTAAGAAACGTAAAGGCAGTCTAGTCTGATGTTGACCAATGTCTACTAATTAGATAGCTGCAGTCATAGTTTATCATGTGGCAGTAGCTTACATTTATTGTTGAAGACCACATTATAACAAAGAGTTGGCAAAATCTCTTTCACATCTAAGCCCTAAATGGCAATACCTACTCGAAATTGCAGGGACTAGGCATTTGTATTGTAAACTGCGATCCTATGTCAAATTGTTTTTTTCTTTTTGAACTTGTTAGGACTATACTAGAGCAATAAATGCTTAGTTAAAACAGCGTACGAATAAGAAAAAGTAAAAATGGTTTGGCTCCTTATGTGTGCTATATGACCATTCGCCTCCCAGAAAGAAAAGAAAATCGGGCACCATTTGTAATATTCTTATTGACCCAACTTTCAGATGTGCACATCGTTAACAGTGTGACATACAGTGCCATTAATTGTCCTAAATTTATCGACTACCCACAGAGATTAAGTGCCTACATCAATGCGTGGAAAAGTTCGAGTGGGATGAGATGCACAAAGATTGATGCAGGACTTCAGGGCAATTAACGAATTGGAGTTATCATTATCATATCTCCACGTAGATAGTACGCAGTGAACTATTAGTTCTTTTCTGATTATACTTTATTGCTGCTCTTAGATTATTACTGTTCAGTACTTAAAATTCTTTCTAATAACCAACAAAAAAGTGTATGAAGGTGTTTGGTGGTTTCTAATATTTTTTTGGTACCTTTTACTAATTTTGTTCTGTACGCCAGTCATTTACTCTTCAGTCTATCTCTGGTCTCTTTTTTTCTGTCGGATGAGAATTTGGTCAACCTGTACTAAATTCAGTACTTAGGAATATTTGAGTTTGACTTTCATTTTTTTTTGGGATTAACACAATACGAGAGAACAAATATAACAAATCTTTTAGGGAGGAGAAGGCAAACGGAAAGCAAAAAAGGTTAGGAAAAGAACGTTAAGAATACAGAGTGACGGTTTACAGAATTTATCAAAGTTCAACAACTAGATATTTTTGTTTTTGAACTATTATCATAAATATAAATTACAAAGGAAATAGAGTGTGAGTGAAGTGCTCCTCAAAAACTAATCTGAGAACTCAAACTGTCATTACTCTTGATAATCCTAATAAGGGCTCTTTTTATTGACAGTGATCTCGCGATTGGAACAGTCTAATTCAGTGGAATATAATAGTCGTGTGCTTTGGGAGCTAGTGTCCTCCTTTAGAGTTTTTAATAAGTAGACGATACACTGCGCTGAAAATCAAAGAGTTAGAAAGTACGCTGATTTGCCACTGAAACTTTGTGAGAAGCATAACCTTCTACATTATGTTTGGGGCTCAGCATGGAATAGAGAATCAAGAAAGCATTCAGAATAAACGAATGAAAACAATGAACACGATGAAGAGAAAAAGCTCAGATATGCAAGAATCGGAACAAATATCGGCTGATAATCAGCAGGATACGGATAATAATAGCATTCTTGATGCTACTGCAGCTGCAGTAGCTGCTAACAATGCGTTTAATATGAATCTGCTGATGAACATGCATATGAATAACCTACATTCATTGAATAATGTGAACACAAATCCATCATTCATGGCATACCAACAAAGAAAGCAAGAAAGAAGAGAAAAGGAGTCTCAAAAGATACTACAGCAACAACGAGAACAGCAACAAAAACAGCAGCAGCAACAGCAGCAACTTCAACTGCAACAGTCTCAACAGCAGCAGCAGCAGCAACAGCAACAGCAACAACAACGGGAAATACAGCAACAGCAGCAAAACATAGATGATCAGATGCGGGCATCTAATGAACAGCTTGGAAATCGGTCAACTTCTAGTTCTCAGCAACAGTTACATCAACAACTTCATCAACAATACTTTGGCGACATGATTATAAGATCTGGGATATTAGGTAATAATGACGCTGGTATGATGATGTCTCAAATGAACATGGGTAGTTTTGGTGCCGAAAATGGTAATCAAAATGGTATGAACGATACCCTAGGTTCGGGTATAGATAATTCTAATGTTGTAGGTAACAGGAATTCATCTGCTATCGGACAAAACATGCAAAATATGATTGGTGAAAATCAGGGTGGGATAGGTCTTGGACAAAGTAGTGCTAATGGCGATTATCAAAAGGAAATTGGCGTAAACAATGTTTTTATCAAACAGGAAGATAGTAACAGTAATTTGTATCAGTCCAGTATGTCTCAGGCTATAAAAAATAGCGCAATGAATCAGGGGCATATATCTCCAGGCAATAAAGATATTGATGATGATTCAATGAATAATAAATATAAGAATATGAGGGATTCGATTAATAACAATCCTCATTTAATTCATGACAAGAATATTCAGCAAAATTTATCACCTTTTTATTCTCCATTTGGGGTGGATGTATCTCATCTTCCAATGACAAGTCCGCCAATTTTTCAAAATGTGGGCTATGGTGGTGATGTGCATCCTAGAAGAAGAATTTCGATTTCAAATGGACAGATCAGTCAGTTAGGGGAAGATATAGAAACGGTTGAAAATCTATATAACACACAGCCTCCTCCGATGCCTCAAAATAGGTTTCAGCAAGCAGCCAATAATGGTATTGGGGAGAAACCAAAGAAAATACGCACAGACTCAACTATCGATACTGAAAAACAAGCACAGATGAATATGTATTTGGGTAGAAATTCTGGTTTTCCACCGGAAAGCAACAATTTCAATGATTATATGATGTCAACAGATTCTATATCTTCTTCAAACGAACAGATGATGGCTCATTCTCAACCGCCTGAGACTAATTTGTCTGTATCATTTAATGCTGATAATCTTCGCTCTAATACTACCGATGTTGTTGGAGGAGATACACATAAGGCCATTGGCCAAGTTATCAAATCACCGCCATCTTTGTCGGCATCTCCTCTCTCCTCGGTTATGAAAAATGATTCGGGAACACAAAGACATAGTACTGACTCTTTTACTAGAGGTGTCAATCCAGGAACTCAAATGCAAAATGGCAATATTAACCAGAAACAGGGACAATATGAGCAGCAACAGGTCAGACAAAACTATAACCAAAACACATATAGTAATGATGAGCCATTACCAGGTACGACAGCCTGGAAAAAAGCAAGGCTTCTCGAAAGAAATCGTATTGCAGCTTCAAAATGTCGACAAAGGAAAAAAGTTGCGCAGATGCAGTTACAAAAGGAATATGACGAACTTCATAAGGAAAATAGTATAATAAAAAGGAAGCTACAATATTACGAAAAACTGGTAAGCAAATTCAAAAAGTTTTCAGAAGCACATATAAGTAAGTGCGATAAGCATGATAAGGAGTCATTAAGAATGATAGAGGAAATGTTGATGATTGATTCCGATATAAATGAGGTGAATGAGTCGGGGTTAATTGTTAGCATGTCTGAACGCTAGTCAAACATGCAGTTATTTAGACTCCACAACATATGTCTAATTATGGAGTAATAACGTGTCTCGGCTGATGTGCTATTTGTTACCTAAATATTTTTTTGTTTTGCGTATTACTTTTTCTCTGGTGTCATTTATTTCAGACTTATGATCTCGTTATCTATTAAGAGATTTGCGAGATCTTCATGTATTTTATAATTAATTTAGGGCTCAAATATTAATAAATTCGTATTTAGATTCATATAGATTTGATTTTATTCATGTGATAATAACAGAAATAGCTGAAAAGCTTATTATTTCTCTCTTTTAAATAAACTTCACAGTTTAATCATAGTAAAAAAATAGTAATATCTAAATCATGCTAAAGTTTAACGATCATGTTCAGGTTGAATCCCTTTTATTAGAAATTAAAGATCGATGTTTCCTTAGTCGATCTTTAGTTTAAAATATTGAATGGTATCATAATGAAACATTAAGTTATTTATGGTAAGATATGTTTCATGATAGAATTTGCGTCAAATAGATACGTTTACGTGTATATGGTAAATTACATAAATCAGGTATGAATAAATATATTCACTCCTTTGTTTCTGCTCTTCTGATTGGTTCAAACCAAGGATGGCCCATTGCTTCCTTAGCAGTAAGTCTTTCTTGGTGATCGTATCTTAGTAAATTATCAAGTAGGTCAATAACATCTTCGTTGTCACTCAGATGTCTATTTTGATCATTTACAAACCTGTACCATGGTCTTCTTATATACTGATCCATATCATGGAATTCCCTTGGGAGTGTTATCTGATATTTGATTAGGTATTTTTCGAAATCGTCACTACCTAGCACTCTCACAATCTTAACAAGTTGGTCAGTGTTACTAGTTCCGTGGAAAAATGGCTCCTTCTGAAATATCATTGACGCCAGCATAGTACCAAATGACCATAAATCCAAAGAGTAATCGTACATTCTGTAATCAACTAATAATTCTGGTCCCTTAAAAAACCTTGAGGCAACTCTTACATTGTACTCCATATTAACATGGTAAAACTCAGCAAGGCCCCAGTCAATTAGCCTTAGTTTACGCTGTTTGTGGTCTATCATAACATTATGTGGTTTGACATCTCTGTGCATGATACCCATAGAATGACAATAATCCAGTGCCTTCAGCAGTTCAAACATGTAATATCTGATATCTATGTCTGAGAGCTTCGGATAGAGTACTCTAAAGTCCATGTTATTGACATGCTCAAATACCAATGCTGGAGTTCGAGAAATAGGATCTCTTATCACATCAAATAGTTGAATTATGTTTTCATGGCCATGATGGGGTAGCTCATAAATATAAGGCCTTATCTGTTTCAGTATATTTTCATCTCTATTTGAAAAATAGAGGTCTCTATTAAACTCTTGCGCAGTAGGTGGATTTTTCTCGTTGGATAAGTTAGTTAATATTTTAATTTCTCTTCTGATCTTCTTTTTCTTCACAGGTTTTAGCATTTTGATAACTATATGTTTTCTAGAGGCTAATTGAACACCTTGAAACACTTCACTGTATTTACCACGACCTACTTTCATCTCGATCTCATAATCTTTGACATTATTGGACCAGGTTACAGCAGCATCCTCATAATTCCAATAATCCTCGTTCTTTTCATTGTTGACCTTAGAGTACACACGCGCCTCGGACCAAACTCTGCATCTCATTGTTTCGGTTCTTGTTTTAATGCAGTTGTTAGGGTACAAATTGATAGGTTTTAAAGTCTCCTCCAATTAAAAGAAATATTCAGTGTCTAAAGTCTTATAGTATTCTAAGAGGATAGTAATTTCCGTTTTGATCTTTCTTTCAGCAATAAATAGGCAACAAAAACCGTTCTTCTTCAACTGGTTGGTCATAAATTACTGGCTATCCTATTGGTTGACGCTGTAGCCCGAAGATATTCCAAAAAATACCTCTAGATGGCGGCTATTCAATATGAAATTGGGCTCAAAAGGTTCATTCTTGGCCATCCAATGCCAGTTTCAATTTGTTCGTCGATATTTTTTTCCTCTTGACTTTCTCTCCTAAGCACGTATAACATTATCAATATAAGTCAATGTATTGTGGTGTGATGTTATATAAGTAGTACTTGACTGAAAGTTATTTGGATGTCCGGTATATTTAGCCTTGGCAGTATTACGTTCTATATACTATGATGTTACGGGTCTTCTTTATAAAAGAAGTCTTGTGAAGAGTTCAATAGATGTAGAGTTTGAGTTTCATTTTGTTGGTGGGGAGAGGGGGAAGTACAATATTATTGTATGAAGGATGATCTATAGATTTTGAAGACCCTTGATAACTTCCTTTTGCTGTTGTTCCTGACTATCAGTAGTGGACTTCTGTGATCTAGTTTGGTGGAAGATGTCTCTGGTCTTTTCAAAGTATACTATCTCTAGCTGTGTTCTTAATTGGGACTCTATGTCCTCTATCAACGTACCTAGGTTTGTAATGTGTGAAATGTCGGTGTTGCTGGTATCAATTTTGGCTTCCTTCTCGGTTTGTCTCGTTAGATTACCGGCTAATGAGGTATCATTTTGCTTATTGTCCAGTGCTAGGATAATTGTACTGGTCAACCTGTAAGTGAAAGTTTCGTCGTCATTACCCTTAGTGGCTTCAATGACATGGATACTGTCCCATGATTCCTTATTGCTACCTTCTTTCTTGAATAGAACTACACCGGCAAACTCACCTTCCTCATCCAGATCCCACAGATATACACTGCTGATACCACCCTCGTAGTACAAATCCCTGTACACATCAAACGAATCATTGGCCAGCACCTCTAGAGATCTCAGTGACTCAGAAGGAAATGGTGATTCCTGCAGATCCTCTGCACTCAATTCAGGGAAGTATTCGTTAGACCATGGCGATCTATAAGAGTCGACATCACGATTGTAATCACAACACAGGAATGGTCTCCCGCTCTGCTTCGAGTCCTGTTGAACTTTCAAAGGAACATCAATTGAGCTCAGCAAGTCTTCAGCTAGTTCTGGCTCCAAACCAATTATCCTTTGTAGGTTTTCAGTCAAGTTGTTTGGGTTTAATCTGCGAAGCAGATCAAGTGCAGCATCATATTTCTCATCCATTTTTCGGCTTGTTTGCGTAAGGGAAGAAGCTCTGTGATTTCTAAAATTATGTTCAATTCAATGTAAGGGTCTAAATAGCATTATATATTGTATATCCTTCAATTGTATACCACCATGTTTCGAAGATTGCTACAACTATCGTTTCTCCTTTCGAATCCCTTGCGTCTTGTCGAAGAGTCTCTTGAAACGGTTCCCTAAAATTGCGAAAGTAAGAGTTGAACTTCAACATGTTATTGATGGGCTGCGATGTTTTGCGATTACGATTTTATTTTTTCTAATTATATGAAGTTGTATATATTAGTTGTTATCTGTTATGTCTTGACGGTCCTGCTTAGTAGTTGAGAGGGGGCTCATTACACCAGTCCACTGCATAACACAACGATAACAAGAGCTTTCAAAATAATCTGGGCATTCAATTTATGGATTATAGAAAGTAAATCTTGAACTTATTCTTCGATTTTGAGGGTAAGAGCATGCATCAAAAATGTGGTTTATATATAGAAACAAAAAAGGTTTAATTTTTTTTTTCTTACAGCAATTAATCGTGTTTGCGTGTAGGGTCATTTAGTTTCAAGACTTCAACTGCTGGGCCAAGTAATCTCTGGAACCCACTCTTTCCAAGTGTAGCTACTTTTGTCCTCTTCGTAGCAGTAACAGTAGCTTGACGTGGCAAGTCGTTCAGTAGTGCAACTTCGCCAAAATAGTCATGATCCTTCAACTGTGTAACAAGGCCTTCTTTTTCCTTAGTGACATCGCAAGCACCGTATTCAATCAGATAGAAGTTCTCACCACGGTCCCCTTCTCTGATTATCACATCGCCTGCATTATAAATCTTAGTGTCTAGTGCATCAGCCAGCTTAGCACGGTCGTATGTGGACAAGGATTTCAAAACCTCCATGTTCTTCAATAGATCATCGTACATCAACCTCTTTTTGAAAGAGGAACCTAGAAGAATTTTTCTGAAAGTTAATCTATCCAAGGCCCATAGCGTACAGTCAGTTTGAGCTACCACGGTCGCAGCTCTAGGACTGTTATACATCAGAGCAAGTTCACCAAAACTGGAACCTGCACCAGAGGTGTTAACCTTTTCATTGTTCACAAAAAATTCTACGGTACCAGTTTCGACCACATAAAAGTAATCACCTTCGTCACCTTGTTTGATAATTTCAGTCCCTTTTGAAACACGCTTCTCCTCCAAGCAATTTATCACTAGCTTTTTGGAGTCACTGTCTAGCTTGTTGAATAAGAAGTTCTTACCAATCGATTTCTCCAACCTCTTCAATTGCTCTTCACTCTTCTCCTTATAATGTTCTGGTTGCCAATCATCAAAATGGTCTGGTTGTAAAGTTTCGCCACTAACTGAGGTACGTCTCAACGCATTGAAGTTGTTGGGTATTGGTGCATTTCCCAATGCCTCTGGACTGTTTCTGTCAGTTGGACCCTGACCTTGTGAACGCATACCATTACCACTGTCGTTGCTGTTGCTGTTGCTCTTTGGGTCGTCGTTACCACCGAAAGGTCCAGAACCGAAGCTGTTCTTGAACAATCCATTATCAGATTCCTTTGCATGTGGGTCAGAGCTGGCAAATGGTGACTTAAAACCGCTGACAGCACTGCGACGACTTAGTTTTCTTTGCTCTTCCAGTTTCTTATTGAAGTAATTTGCACCGTACTGAAAGAAATCATCCGGGGAATTTTCATTGACTGCAGTTTGGAACGCAGCAAGACCGCTACGACACTCCTCAGAGACCATTATAGCTTATTTGTTTCCTTGTATACGCTTCTATAGTTGGATTGCTTAATGCTTTTTATGCGCCACCTTCCAACTTTTTGTAATAAATCAACTAAACTATCTTGTTCACTTGTCAATGAAATCAAGAGTTCAGTTTTCTTGGTTAACTGGTTTTTTTTTTTCCTTCTCCCTTTGATTGCTCGTTACTTTGCTCAATTGTCCACTTTAAAGCAAAACCCCTTCTTCAAACTGTCTCTCTCCCTTTACCAAGTAGAATATTGTCATTAAAGAAATCACCACAAACCAAAGAGTTAGTGCAAGAGAATTTCGAAGAAAGGGTCCTTTTCCCCCCTTCGACAAACCCCCACAAATCGTCACTATCCCGAGTCTCGCAGTAAGAACTCTCCTCTTACGTTGCTAATATCGCCGCTCTAATGACCCATCACATGGGTGAGATGATTAGCGATTAGCACAGCATTGGAGAACCGGCAACTCGCATTCAAGCCGTGATCAGAACAGCTCTTAAAAGGCAATACCAATTAATCAAAATGGGGAAACAAAAACAATGACCTCGAAAAACCATCTGGACTAGGGCTAGATATTAGGACCCATTGAACAAGCACTAGACCTTGACATAACACCCCTGAAGAGATAACCTTGTGAACTACGGCACAGGTGCAAAGATTGGTTCCATGTTTTACTCATGCTAGTTATAATAAAGAGTGAAACAAATGCCAGTGTGTTATCAAACCGCTGAAATAAAGAGAGATAGAAAGAGTGAGCCGCCCAGTTTCCATATACTAGACCGGGTAAATATCAAATGCTCTTGTACGGCACAACAAAGGCTTTCATTGACTAGGAAGGATCTATAAAGCCAGATGAAGTATTATATATTGCTGCATGAGTACTGCAGAGTACTGCAGAGTACTCCAAGTGCGTGTTAAACAAAGAATTCATCAGAGTAATATGGCTAGTGTTGGGGATACTGTCGGCAGTGGTGAAGCTGTTGTGGGCGGAGCTGAGAAGAGGAAGATGTCGTACGTGGAGGAGGCCGAGAAGTTGCAGGAGAAGACCTACAGGTTTATGGCTAAACAGACGCACCCTGTAATAATACCTTCCTATGCGTCCTGGTTTGATCTATGTTCTGTGCATCAAATTGAGAAGGATGCGGTACCTGATTTCTTCAATGGCTCATCGCCCATCTACAAGACGCCAAAGAGTTATATGGAGGCACGTAACTTCATGGTCAACACGTTCAGGTTGGCGCCGTATGAGTACTTGACTATCACTGCGGTGAGGCGTAACTTGACGCTCGACGTGGCGTCTGTGATGAAAATCCACTCTTTGCTCGAGAATTGGGGTCTGATAAACTATCAAGTAGACCCTAGGGCTAAACAGACACTGCGCGGCAAAAAATACTTTGGGAACTATAAGACTGTGCTTGATGTACCTGAGAGCTTGCAGCCACATCTAACTGATGAGAATATGAAGGATGTCGCAGTGGATATCTCCGTGCAGATGAAACAGTATAATAGTACAAATGACTACAACCTTTTGGTATCCAATCATAACTCTCACAGTCTAACAAAGCCAAAGATATACGTCTGCTTTACATGTGGTAACGACATAGGACAAGTGATGTATCACAACTTGAGGGCGAAAGAGATGAATATTTGTTCGAGGTGCTTTAAAGAGGGCCACTTCAGTTCTAACTTCCAGGCCTCAGACTTTATTAAGCTGAACAACGTCAATAACACGAATGATAAGATATGGACTGATGAGGAATTGCTTTTATTACTTGAAGGTATTGAACTGTACGAGGATAAATGGGATAAGATTGCTGACCATGTTGGGCATTTTAAGACAGTGGAAGAATGTGTACAAAAATTCTTGATACTTCCTATAGAGGATAGATTCATAAGAGATACCATCAGTTCAGAGACAAAAAGAAAAAATGTTGGCGTTTCAGTTTCCCAAGACAACATATCCGCTTTCAAAGATTTGATAGAGAACAATGCATCTGAGCCGGTAAACCCTATTGAGAATGAAACCTATGAGAAACTTGAGAGGTTGACTACTATTCTAGTTGAGAAAATAACAGATAAGTTATCGGTCATAGATGAAGCTGATAGTAAACTAATAGCAACCAAAGGAACATTCTTCAAAGACAGTGAAAAGCTTCTTAACGATAAAATTTCGTTGAATAAACAAACCATTGAGTTGAATAATGAACTAAAATCTAAAAAGATATACAAGACAATTAAGTCTAGCAACAGTAAAGACATACATTTGGTGCTCAAGGACAATTCCGAGATAAGGCACGAACAAGAACTAGACAGTTCGCATTTAAGTAAATTAGTGTCAAGAGACAGCGACGCTGTGTCTATTAGAAACTCAGAAGCATACCGGCCGTTGGTTTTATAATACTAACTGGTGTATCATTTTCTACAGTGTTAGTTGAGTATCTAGCTCGATATATCTCCATGAAAGTTGTATTATTATAAATATAAAAGATATAAAAGTTAATTTTATGTTGAAATGATATGTGATAAATATATTAGAAATGTCTCCAATTTACAGGAGCAATTTGTATAGATAAAATAGCTAGAAGCGGATTAAGAAGCTCTACATGTTAACCATGTGGAACAGTCCATTTTTTTATCAACCGGGAAATATACCCTCCACTTTCGTTACAAACAAATACAGATTGGCCGTGTCCCTGAAATTCAGAATTTATGAACAAAATATGAAATTGTTGCAAATCTATAAAGAGTTCCTCTGTTTTAATTGATTTACCAGTCATAGTACTATAACTTGAAACAAATTGTTAACAATATCAGATGATAGCCATTGGGATATTGGTACTGTCACTGTGTTCTCAGTTCTGTATTGGTCACAGTATTGAGGGAAAACATGATCATGGTTCTGGAAGCGGCCATTCGCATTCACACACACACCCTGGCGACGACAATAGCTACATACAACAATTCACGTTTGATGTTTTAGAAAAATATGTGTTTCAATATAGTCCCAAAGTGAATGCCTTGCTGGCCTCAACTATAATCCAAGCAACACCATGCTTACTAGTGCTACTTGTCCCAGGCTTGAGAAACATCACCAATATGAACGACGAATCTATATTAATAACAGCCTTAGAAGCTTTTGCATTTGGTACTTTGATGGGAGATATCTTTTGCCATTTAATTCCAGAATCCTTTCAACTCTTCCCTGCACATGAGGTCGGGTCTAGTTTATTTTATGGATTCCTGGGGTTTCTAGTATTAGACAAACTGATGAAAATGCTCAACGAAGATGATTCAGAATTGGGACATAGCCATGGTCACTCACATTCTCATAGTCATACTCAGAAATCGGATAATGACGAAAGTACTAATGAAAAGGAATCAAAACCACACTCAGCTAAGAATACTAACGCAACTAAATATATCCATGTCATTTCGGGACTATTACACCACTCTGTTGACGGTCTGGTACTAGCTTCGTCATTTTATGTTTCAACAGCAACAGGAGCCATAACAACAGTTGCCATATTGTTCCATGAAGTGCCTCATGAGCTGGGCGATTTCAGTATCATGCTTTCAAGCGGATTTACCTACTGGGGTGCATTCAAGGCTCAGATGACTATCGGCATGAGTGCAATTGTTGGGACTCTGTTCAGTTGCTACTTGAACGAAACCGGCCAGTCAACATTCAATTTCGAGACTGATCGTTTACTACCCATCACAGCTGGTGGATTCATATTTATGGCCACAACTGGCCTTTTACCAAGAATACTTGCCCATAAACCAACATCAAACTACAGCACATTTTCAATCCAATTGCTGTGCATATTGGTAGGGTTCTACACCATGTCAGCAATGGACTGAAAACCCTCAGGCACCACAGCGATCTATAACGACTACACTTTACAGAAGAACGGACTCTCCATCTGTATTTCACAGAGTAATGCCATCAGCAATTTAACATGGCTTCCCTTTTGGACCTAATTATTTATAGTTTAATGAGCAATAAATAAAAACACCAAATAATACGATCAATTCTTGGATAATCAAGAAAGGTAATGATTGCTCAAACAAATCACTCTCTCAGTTATAAGTCTTGAGTATTCACTGCCGAACTACTGCATTTATATTTGCATCTCTATTTTAACTACTATACACTAATCGTAACTGTTTAGCGGAGCCTAAGTGCTTATCACATAATCACGTGATATAAACGCGTCAAGGAAGCCAAATGTGTTTTGGGTACGCCGAAAATCTTGTTTTTGACGCGCGTCGCGTTGATGATGCATAGCCCAACGAGATCTGCCTGTTATAGTCGATGCCCATGAACTGTGCATGACTGTCCTTCTGATATATGAACACTTCTAGCGCTTATCAGTATTCAGACAATACTTCTATTTTTTTTTCGAACGTCCAATTTCGAGCAAAGAAGGCGTGCGATTTAAACGAGAAGGCGGTTGTTTCATTTGGTATATAGAAAGAATAGAGGTTTAGAAACAGGATGTCGAATATTAGACGGTCTGCGAGACTACAGTCTAGGACTGCAGACGAAGATGGCTATGACAGCGATGAGAACACCGCCAAATACATTGAAAGTGATGAGAGCGTAACCTCCGAGAGTGATAGCGGAGAGGACGAGGATCAGGACGATGATGACTATATGGAAGGCAAGAAGGCGCGCCAGAGTCGTGGTGTTAAAAGATCCGGAAGAGCGCAAAGTAGTACCACTGCAACAAAGAGAACAAGGGTCAAAAGTTCTTCGAAAAGCAGGAATACAAAGAATAATTCAGAGTTACGCGCTGACCAGGAGCGATACCTTGAAATTATGAAGGAGTTCAAGCCAACAGAACTTTATGAAATACTTTCTACCGATCCTGACATAGCTGTAGAGGATGTGCTGAGAGAATACATGGAAACTTATAAAGAAAATAGAGACGAGTTTTTGCAAACATTTATTAATTTGCTATTAAATTGTTGTGGTGCTGTCACACAAGTTGAGAAGCATGATATTCGCAATAATGAATCGTCGGCTGACACTATTACTGAAGTACAGCTGGCTTTTCAAAGGCAAAAAATACACGAATTTCACCTGGTACTGAGTAAAGATTTTAAGAAAAAGGCTAAATACCCTGCATTATATCAGAATATCGAGGAATTCATGTCAAAGTTCCTAGAGATTGCCGATGATATGCAACTTCTTTACACGGAGGTTCCTTTTGGAGATGATGACTCTGGCGAGTTTACACCATTAGTCACTGACTTATTCACTTGGATTTCTGCTTTCTCCGTCAGTAAAATCAGATGTTTCAGATATATCGCAACATTCATATTATATTGCTTTGAGGATTATTTGACAAATTATACAGTTGAGTTGGAAAGAGACTATCTTTCAAGACTGACAAAACAGCTATCGATGGAACAGAAGAAGAAAAGACAAAATAAATCCACAATTACCAAGATTTCTAATTCCATAGAAGAGTTGACAAGCAAGAAAAGGCAGACCGATATATTGATCGATAATATCTCCAAAATCGCTTTCATCCATAGATTCAAAGACGTAGACGACTCTATCAGGAAAATGTCTGTAGAACATTTGACTACTTGGATAATAAACAACCCTGAAAAATTCTTAAAAGTTTCCTACCTGAAATACTATGGATGGCTCATGAGTGATGACTCCTCTGTAGTTAGATCTCAAGTATTGAGGTCGTTGCCTTTAATAATATCTGGTCACAATGGCCATGTCACAGACAATGCAGCCATACGGCAGTTTTATGAGAGGTTTAAAGATATTCTTCTAGAGATAGCGATGAAGGATATAGACATGGAAGTCAGACTTCTTGCCGTTCAAGTATTAGCAGAAGTTTCATCTTTAGGTTATTTGGAAATACAGGAGATAGTGATGATCTCAAGCTTAATATTTGACGATAAAGATGTTAAAATCTCATCTCACAGCAAAAATTCCAGATTCTTGGCAGCTGTCGCAAGATTCTTATCCAATGTCTGTAAAGAAAATGTAAAAAACATGCTACAAAGTTTAGAATCCTCTGACAATGTAGGTGGTATACCAGTGAAATCATTGATCAATATTGGATATTTCATGAGACTACTGAGCACTGCCCTCTCCTACTACTTGAATCAAAAGCATGAAACCAACCCATCTCAAAAAGTTCACATTCTATTTCAAGCTGCAGAGTTTCTTTTCCCATACTTTGGCTCACATATCTCTAATATTTGCAAGCTATTAATAATTGACGAAGGCTCATCTGAACTGGCAGCAATCAAAAATTTGAATGAAACCTTTAATCAAAACTCAATCGATTCATATGATAATGCCAAAAATACCTCTACTCAACTGCTTGTATTACCAGACAATAGGAATAACATCATTTTATATATAACAGTACTGAATGGTCTATGCCATGGTGGATATGAATCCAAAGTCGCTAACAAAGCAGTTGTGTACGAATCAGTGATACCTCATATAGCCTCTCTACTATCCGTTTTACCTGTTCAATCAATCGATATTTTGGGGCCAATTTTGCGTATTATTGAAATATTCCAATATGAAGAATGGATAAATGTAGGGCTTGAGAAAGATCTGATAAAGATTGTTGAGAAAATTGGTAAGCTATTGAATGAACTAACTCTCAGTACAAGTCCTAACGATCTTACATACAACTCATTTGCATGTGCTATCAACAAATTATCAGAGTTTCAAATCAGTGCTATCGACAATGTTTGGAGGAATGCTATTACATCAATTAAATTCGAACTGAAGAAATTTCTCGACCAACACATGCCTCTTTCAAAGAAACTAGACTCAAAAAACTTTACAGAATTAACAAGGTCGTTATATGAGAATTATATAAACAAGTTGACGTTATTAGGAAAAAATTATCCCGTTGAGATAGAGAATGACTTGGTAGAAAAGATCATGAACCAGTTTATTTCGAGAATATCAAATTATTCGGATTTGATCAATAAAGAATTTAATGAGATTGTTAGTTTTAAACTGTTAACGGTGATTGTAACTTGGCACATTCATACTTGGTCAGCTTTGCTAAGAGATGAACAAGGAAATGATCTGAGAACGACTATATCTGAACGAACTGTGAATACTATCGCACATGTCATATCAGCGTTGAACGATGTCATAGTTTCTGTACCAACAGAATATGCAAATAAGAGTGACCTGAGAGATCTTATTTACTTTAAGTGGATAGCATCTAATTCACTTATAGATATCATTCTAGCAATCAATATGTTCGTGTTAAACATACCAGATAGTAAAACAAGTTGGAAGCTAACTTTTAACAAGCACCTACCAAAATATCTTGCTGATAACGCAAACAAGGCATTTTTAGAAGTATTCCTTTTACTAGAAGGGCTATACGCCGACGAGTTTGATCTGCGCTTGGAGAGAATGGATGATGAGGATGTCAACTTCAATGATCTCTCTGATATAGAATTGTTTCAAAACAATGAGAAAGAGTTACTGCTATTTACTATCAAGCTTAAAGCGTTGATGAAACTTGACCTACTGAGTAGTAAAGTCGTTTCCAGAATCAGCTTAAACAAAGACATTATAGGGCCTTTGTTCATGAAAGTTATTGATAATTCAATATTTGAAACTAGTGATGCCCCTGTTATAGTGCCTCAACATGCAAGTAGAAACTTAAATCCGTCCAATGAACAAATTGTTGACACACATAATTCCCTAGAAGAAGATAATAACAACAATACTTTTCCAGAAATGATTAAACAATCCTCAGAGCTATGAGTCCACTTCTACTTCCTAAGTAGCTACTAGCCAATAAGTAATTTTACCTACTTTCAAATGCTATCACTATCTAGAATTCACTATGTAAGGTAAAATTCTATGTTCTTATATTTAATGAAATTGCCTTTTCAAATGTTACTGTGTGTTTTTTTACTATTCTATCGAAAGTCCCATACAGATATCGGAAACACGCATTCATCCGTTTTTCGTCATTCACTTTAAGAATCCGCACGAGACGAAAAAAGTTAGACAAAGCGTAAACTCAAAAGGACTATGGCTACAAATATTTAGTATGTATGACTTGTATTTGCTCATTCTATAAAGTAGTTAGTATCCAATAGCTAAACCATTGAGGAAGTCCAATAGGTATTATACAGAAAGATGGGATTGGTTTCTAAATCATTATATGCTGTATCGCTTTTGCAACTGTTACATGCTGGTTTCTCGAGTTACGAGTTTCATCAAGTAATGAAAAAACACAATAGAGTGGGTGCCCAATTACCACAAGATATCAAATTTGAAGTTTTATGTGCAATTATAATATTTACACTAGGTGTCTTTCTGTCGTTTGAAGTTCTACAATATTACCCACTTCGCGGTGAAGAAAAGCCACTAGGGCCAAAGCAATATCTTTTAGATATCAAATTAAACAAAAGCAGCAATATTGACAATTTAGTAGGTGTTGATCCAAATGGTGAAGTAAGTTACACTCCAAGTTTTGTTGACATCAAAGAGAAAAGAGAGCAAGTCCAAAAATGGCTAAATGAGATCCCAAAGAAATCTAACTAAATTCATAACATCTGCTAATGAACTGCTCCAAAAATAAGTATCAGTTAAATTTTTATTGCGGGGTGTCAGTGGATAAATATCGAATTGACAAAATGGCAATGATGTAGTTAAAGTGTTTGACATACTTTAACTACCACCGCTTTAACCAAAACCATGCCTCTTTCTGCATACATTCAATTTGCAGCTGTAACTCAGAAACAATGTTCCAAGACGGGTGCCTACATTTCTAAACTCAATTTTAAATAATGGAATGCCTGACAATTGTGGTACCTGCCATGATGTCTGAGTTGGCAGTACAGCTTTTGATTTTGTGATTGTTAAGCCTTAGTATATAATTATATGTAGCTAATTCATTGCTTGCATCACTATTCTGCTATTTTCAACTAAACACTGTTTCAGTATGAATGGCAAACAAAATTCCTGATGACACTATAAGAGCTACCGGTTTTTATTTCAAACCAACGCATCAAATAAGCCTTGTTGGCGCAATCGGTAGCGCGTATGACTCTTAATCATAAGGTTAGGGGTTCGAGCCCCCTACAGGGCTTATTTAATTTTTTTTCTAAGTTGATTTTTTAGGAAATAGTTTACCCTATTAAATAGTACCAGCAAATCAAATCAAATCAAAACTTAGAAAGGTTTTATCAAAATAATAAGTTTAATATACATGAACAATATTGGATGAAGTAATTGATAGATAGACAATTAAAAAAAATACCGACCCCGGTGAGGATTGAACTCACGATCTTGCGATTAACAGTCGCACGCCTTAACCAGCTTGGCCACGGAGTCTGATTAATGATATGATTTTTCAAATTTTAATGCCGTTGAAAACAGAACAACGATTTGGTCACCTGACTTTACCGGCTATAACTAATGCACTATGGCAAGTACCCAAAGTTATTTTGCAAGAATCATAAACGCGAATAGTGTTAGGTTAAAGGTGAGAGCCCTACTAATATTTTCCTTACATCTAGAGGTCTTCAAGGATGCGTGGATGACGTGCAGGTGATACAAGAGCGGTAGTTTGTTCTTATAGTATAACACAGAAGAGGAACCAGATAAGTCATTATGACTTTTTATTGAATCGATCTTCAAGGGTAATAACGATTAATTAACTATGGTGATCGGGTTTAGAGTTCTTTTTAGACTTGACCTAAAACCTAAGCTGTACAATAGTTGCTATTATTACCTGTTGTGTTCTTTCTTCTGAAAGCAACTAAAATGATCAATATTCAAAATCTCTCCAATGAGGATTTTGAGTATATTTTATATACTTTTTGGTTTGGTACCAATTGAGCATTCATAATTTATGTTGCCCCTCACTTATTAATATTTATAATTGCACGGATGTATTTTTATAACTTACTATTTCTGGTCCATTTTGTAGATGGCTCGTGCTTAGCGTGTGTCCTTTCCACATCTACATGGTTCCCCAAGATACGGTCTTAAGAGTTATTATCCTTCTGATTGTGCCTTATTTTGACTCAAACCCTCCTTACACTCATTCCTCGATATTACTCGGATTCCTGGCATAAGCACTGAGGTGTCAGGAGCATCTGGCTTGGTTTTTCTAAAATATTGACGGTTACTCTTCTTATCGTATTGATAAGTATTGCATTCACTAGTTTGAGCGTTTATATTTAAATCGTAGACTTTGACTATTCTTATATGCCATGTGGTTTCAGTCTTCGAATCCATAGTTTTACAAAAGTGCTTTGCTTATGCAATGAAAAAAAAAATTGAATAGACACTCCAAGAGCTTTATCCGGTCTTCTTTGAAGATGTTTTAAAATAATTTACTCTCATATGTCTATCCTGTTTTCTAGAACTGCTACTCATGATGCACTTATAGTTGCTTATTTATTGTGCAATTGAAAGTTCTGTTTAAACAACCAACTAGTTATAATCCATCACTGTTTGGAACTGAGAAGGATAGTTTATATCCCTTGCCAATTTTCTTATAATTTCAGCAAAAATTGAACAACAGAAATGGAAAAGTTTCATTTTACCGTAGAGAAACCATCAAATGCAAATATAAATGGATCGTTAGAATCTATAATATTAGAGATTATAAAAAATTAATTAATCGTGAATTAAAATGATGGTATAATATCAAAAGAATATGGTCATAAATAAACTAAATTCGTGTAGGTTAGTTATTTGGAGTAAGATCAATATTCTGGTAACCAGTTACCAGAATTTCCTGTTGTCGTAAGACTTTCGCTTTGAAGCTTGAGTAGTTTTTCTTCTAGCAATTTTTGGTGTGAAGTAAATTCATCAGTGGCAATAGTAAAATCGCCTTTACATAACATTCCCGAGTTTTCATATGAGGAACTAATTGCTGTCGTAGTGCTACATGTACTAGTTCCCGTAACGGTAATTTCCTCAAATGGTGTAGCTGCACCAGATAACATCCTGGTCTGTTCCGAGAAATCTGGATGTAGTTCATCAACCTCATCCTCATCATCTAAATCTTGTGAAATAGTCATAGCAGCGATAGGCTTATGAGGCTCGATTTCAGGAATTTGACTCAAAGGTCCATCTGGAGTGAGTTTCTTGATGCTTCTAATTTTTGCCATTAGGACATCTAGTGCTATTCTCCTACATGGTTCCAAACATAGTATATCTCCCAGTACATCAAGAAGCTCATCCGATATTGGAAGTATTTTCTGTAAAATTTTGTTATTCTCAATGAAGAATTGGAAAGTTGCATCCTCACCTTGGTGAGCCTTCAACCATGGGTTTCTCATGCATACTAAGTTGATCAATATAATACCTAGGGACCAGATATCACTTGTAGCTGTAGGCAGAACAGCAGTTTCAGTTTCTAAAGGAGCGCTAGAGTACAATATTCTCTCTGGTGCCATGTAGTAGAAACTTCCGACGCACACATTAGGTGCCAGGTATTTAGAGTCCGTTGCCAACCCAAAATCGCATAGGTAGACATTATCGGAAGCATCTAATAGAATGTTCTCTGGTTTAATGTCACAATGGTAAACACCCATGCTGTGACAGTACTGTAAAGCCGTGCAGATCTTCAAGAAGACGTCTTTTACTAATAAGCCATCGTTAGCGAAGTATTGTTTATCAACGATAGAAGTGAAAAGGTCGTTCTCATAATAATCCATAACGATGAATGTAGCAATCGAAGACTCAAATACGTTATGTATAGACACAATATTTGGGTGATCATGTACGCTTAAATGTAAAGCTATCTCTTTATAGTGTGGTACTTGGTCTAGTTGTTCTTTTGTTAAAGCCAATATAGAGTCTAAATCAACAGCGGGCAAGTACAATTCATGGTGATTTTTTTGAAAGAAAGCGTACAACAGAAACTCCAAATTTTGTTTCTGTTTAGCATGTGACTCGTTAACATGGTTCTTTAAAGTACGATTAGTATATTCTGCCCGCAGAATGGCCTTAATCGCATATATCTTGTTGTCGATAGTGTTACGGGCCTTGAATACCAACCCATAAGCTCCCGAACCTATTCTATCTATAAGTCTAAAATTGTTTATCCTAAAATCAGCAAACATTATTAAGTGTATTAATATGCTTATTATCGAAGTTAGTTATTCGAGTTCTTACTTAGAATTTGTTATCTGTTAATAATGTATTATCAATGCGTGTGGTATAGTGTGGTAGTGTTTGAATAATAATGTGAGATATTGATTGTTTCCGTAGCGGTTATGTTTTGCAATGCTTTGACATTGGAGTAGTTTTTAACTGAGACATTTGAAAGTCAGAGTGTTTTATATGTTTCTTTGTTCAAGTGGAGAGGTGGTTCTCATTGCCACCATGGATACATGAATTAAAAGTGGAGTTCTAGTCCTCTGTTTGACACTTTGTAGGGATTAGTCTCTCTTGTTCTTTGCCTTTACTAATGAAATTTTTAAACTTTTTCTCAAGCAATAGCGAGACTTCTCAGAGAATCATCCTAAATTAGATAGTAGTGTGGGTGGTTAAGAATTAGACAGCAAAACTACTGTTGTGCTTTCTCAACAAAGAGAATTCCTACTAAGATACTCTAATTCTTCTGGAATCAAGCTAGAAAAATAAGACTACAAATGCCTTGGTTCTGTACAAAGGTTTGTTATCGGAAAATATTGTGCATCACGGAGTCTACGTCATTGTCTGAGTTTCGGAAAAACTCTTCTCGACCTACATGAATGAAATCAAACCTCTATACCAAAAGGAAAGTGCTACGAATGTTTACTGCCAAATATCCTTGTTCTCTCCGGATTTATTATTCCCTGACACCATTCGAGCTCTATTGCAAAAGGGCCTTTGCTTAGTTGTCAACGTAATGCACAAAATGTCTTTCAGGAGGACTACTAGCAACTCAGAGAGAATAAAGTGGGAAAAGCAAAATGATTGATTTGAACGACTACTATCTCTGAGAAGTGGAAGCAGAGCATCCAAGTATAGTCAGTACCAGCTGGAGAGCATTGTTACGGAAAAACTATATCTCCTGAACATTTAGTGATTTGAACGTGAAAAGCATCTAAGTCATCTTCTCCACTCTGTATATTTTCGCGTAGTATTACTCGTGGCGCTTCAACAGTTAAAAAGGAAAAAAGTAGGATTTTCCTTCTAATGGAAGGAGAGGTTCTAGTAGTTTTTCCGGGATGCATCCCGGAAAAATAATGGTGGTTTTGGTTTTTCCAGGAATACTCCTACCTATTCACTGCCCTCTTTGAAGGTAATAAAGGATTAGGGAGACTAGAGAACCAGAGGATATAGCTGATTTCCATCCACGGACGGCACAGGGGTAAAAGAAAAAGGGGAGTTACAAGAGAAAAAGGAATGACCTGGAAAAACTAGGCACTTCTTGCCCCTCCCTCCGTTGAGTACGTACAGGCATTTGTCTACGGAGAAATTATTTATCAACATTAGGTATAAATTGTCAATCACTATGAACTACAGTATTTCCATTTTTCCGTAAACAAAGCTACGTAGATGGGATTTTCCCATCCCATCGAGAACCCCCTGGTGCTTCACTACACCAATATCCGTAAGTCAGAGAGTGGGAAAGACATAATAAGATGGCAGGTCAAGAAAAGGCACGAATATTATTCAACCAAACGAAAGTAATCGGAAAGCCGTTTGAAACAGGGTGTATATACATCTGAAGCAAATGTTTACCTTCAAAGGTGTCGGAAAAACTATTTTCTGGTATTCAATGGTCGAGGGGATCATCACGGAAAAACTATTCTTTACTGCGAACACCTAGAAAGAGGAAAAAAACCGGATATTTTTTATTCTCTTGGCATACCTCCTATTTCCCACTATACTCCTCTTCCCTTCTCCCCCATACAAGATGATTACATGTTGTTTTGTATTCCTCAGTAGAAGAATTCTCTATCCCACATCTCACTCAAACACATTTTGCGTTAATGAAAAACAGTTTTACACTGTTTTGGAAAATGACGTATTTTTTTTTTTTGAAACGGACATATACGGTTCAAACCCATGATTGTTGTTTGACATAGTTAATACATACAAATGTCATGTTTATTGTAAGAAGATAAAATATATTCAGTGCCCAATTTGGATATATTGAAAACACTAAAATAAGGAGAACATGATGAATAAATTAGTAACATCTTACTTGATAAAACAAGTCCATCATTAGAGGGAAACGCCAAAAAAAACATTGTTAGCTAAAAGCATTGTTAGCAATTAGACCAAAATTATTAGTCTAACATTCAAGCTATTCTATTTCTATTTTTCTGTCAAGGTCTCTTGTTCCTATTGATAGCTAGTTTGATAGTAAAGGGAACATAACTTTCTTTACACGAAAATGCATTTGCATAATGAGTGTTGGATTGAATTCGACTCAGCTAACCGTTCAGCAATCATATAGGTATTGGCAACAAACAATAATATGTAGGCAATTCCTAACATCTTTCTACGAGCTGCTCATGTGATATTGTCGTCTACTGAGATTCAGAATATATATCACGTTGTACATAAAGCACCTGACTATCTTTTTTTCAGATATCATAGCACGTATGTAATGATTCCAGGTTTAGCCCGTAGAGAATTTCAAAGAAAACTTTTGTGAAGGAAAAACGGGCCCTCATTAAGGAACAAACAAAAGACATTCAATAGCCGATGAGCAAGTGGTGTTTTCAATTGGATCTGATTTGTTGCATTTTGCATTTATAGCAGTCAAAAAAATAGCCGCTGATCTGAGATCAATTGAATCATTTGCAAGAGCGTCTGAGTTGCGGATTACGTTATAGTCTGAACTTTATTCACTATAAATTAATAGATCAGCAATTTCTCTTTTAGTTTTCGAGGTTCAGATAAATATAAGCTATCTAGAACATGGCGCAGTTGGCTAAGGTTGACCTTGATCTACTACAGATATGTCAAGGTAATGGAGAGTTTGTTCACTTGCTGGAAAATAGCAAAGGATCACCCGAGAGTTTCGCAAGTGCATATTCGCAGTCGATGCGCTTGACCAATGGTGAGTTTCTTTGCTATCACATTTCTACGGATTACAAGTCTATTTCTTTTTACAACTTTAAGAATGCAAGCGATGGAAGAACTATTATCATACACTTACCGGCCAAGTTAATGCACGAGCACCATACATTAGTAGTGGAAGAGCAAGAAGGTGTGATAGTTGTGGATGTAATTTTGGAGAGCTCTGCGTTTCTTACAATGAGGTTACCACTTGAATACATATTTGGAATTGAAAATGTATTGGATGATAATTGGTTGTCAATGCAATCACCTTATGATTTCACGGTGAGAAGACCTCACCTACTACACAAAGTTTCTCAGGATTTCTTCGTGGTATTTCTAGAAGATGGTGGCCTATTAGGTCTAAGACAGCATAATGAGAACTATTTGGAACCTCTTCTATTCAACGATTATTCATACATTCAGACATTGACAAGCATGTTCTCCAGAAAAAAGAAACAACCCGCTGATAGAGCTGTTGCCTGTTTGGTTATACACGATAAGTACTTGGTCGTCTTGACTAGGCTGTGCCATTTGAAAATATGGGACTTGGGAAGTTTTCATCTTGTACAAGAATATAATTTAACTGAGAATTTTAATGGTACACTCGAAACAATAGAATATGAATCAAATGGTAACTACATATCGACATTGAACGATGTTATTGTTATATATTTACCAATCGGAAATGGTGTCTTTAAATTCGGCAGATTGTCTTTCACAAATGACGGTGAAAGAAAGCCAACTTTTAACATGTTCAGTTCGATTGATGCAAACATGAAAAAATCTACTATATGGTCCTTTGTAGACATGAAACTAACAGATCCATTGGAATTGAATTTTACTTCTACTACGTTTAACTTAATTATACTTTGGAAGAGCGGTAGCAATAGTAAGTTGCAAATTCTCAATATAAAGGACTCCTCATTTAGCGATTTTGAATGGATTGAAGCTTCAAATAAGTCTCTACAAAATTTTCAGACGGAGGAAATATCAGCATTGATTCAAAATTATGATTTTGATAAGGCCCTTTACAAATTGAAGTCACATTATTCTGATATGACATTTAAAGAAGCAGATAGCCTATTATTGGCAAATAACATCGTATATTCTGAAAATAATGAAACCCAGCAACAACAGTATTTGGCAAACTTAGACACATTATTGCGTGATATTAATAATAATCATTCAGAAATTGCTTCATTTACAATTTACAAGAATGATATGATACTAGTAAACACTCATAACTTGTATAACCACGGCTTCTACAAAATCAACTCATCTCTTGAAAACATATACTTTAATTTGAGTGAGATTACTGATAATGACGATCAGTTTGCCAAATATTTCAAGTTATTGAATTTATTCTTCTCAACTATTTCTAGAGACGCTATCTTATCCACTTCAGACAAATTTAATGACATTGCTATAAGGAAGCATGAGCACTCAACAAATATATCAACAGCTTTCTCTCAAATATTTAATGAATGTCTGAAGTCCAAGTTTGAAAAGAATAATGTAAAAACTCTATTTGCGGAATTAGCAACATATGACATTATTGAAATTCTAAATGAATTAATAGAAAATCATTTGAAGGACACTTCTTATCACCTTGACAATTTTGTGGAAGCATTTACAGGCAATGTGATGAACTCTAGTATAATTATCGAAAATTTATATCATCAAATCGTTGTTCAAAACAAGCTTCTCCAATTAGTCCTTTTGTCTTTCTTATTTTTAGATTTCGATACAAACATTTTTGGGGACAAGATTGAGACCTTATTAGATATTAACTATAAGCAAACTTTCTTCATGTCTTTTTATGAATTTGATAGTAAGTTGACCCAGAGTAGTATGAGCATGCACACATTACAATACCCTCATGGAGTACAAATATTTTCTTCATCTGAATTAGCGGGCTATCTAGAGTTTGAAATTGCAACTTTGTATTCCACTCCAATTGTTGATAGCAGGCTATATATAGCCTTTATGCAAGAATATGTGCTGAACTGGAGAGAAAAAATGGAACCGCCTCAAAAGGCTATCAATTTCTTCAAATATATTCTAGAGCCTTTGTACAGACGGAACGAGATTGATGAGGAGTTTTTACTGGCGATGTCAATGTTTAATTGTGGACGGTTTGAACAAGCTTATGAATTTTTTACCATGAATGACTATATGTTGCACCTGGCCAACAAATTACCACCTTTCTTAAAAAATGTCCAACAAAACAGTCTGTGGTATGAATTACTAAAAACATTCACCGAGTCTTCAACCAATGCGCACTACTATCTTCAACTATCCTTATTGTTCAAAACATATAATAGATTGGACTTGGCACTAAAATGTGTATCAAAGTCTGTTGAATACTCCATGAAACATCCAAGTGTCGAAGAGGCGCCAGAATTTAGCAAAACGCAACATTTAGCCTACTTGGATCTCTTGGTAGAATTTAAAATGTACGAAGAAGTGATAGATGTGCTAAGAATGAGCCAGACGGTTTTGGATAAGAGTACAAGAAAAGAATGTTTTTACAAATTATTATCCAATTCATGTCATGGTCCAAATTTTTTTACTATTTTGTTGAACTCCTGCAACACTCAAGAGGGTAGTAAGCCCTGTTTAAGTCACAGAGACTTTGTAATCATAGATGAGATCCTAATTAATAGCTTGAAGAGTAACAAATGGGAGGATTGCAAAAAAATCTTCACATTCCGCCTAACGAATAACAGAGATAGAGAGGCCGCAGAGATAGTTTATGAATATTTGCAAGACTTAGTCCCACAACAGTATCAGGAAAAACAAAAGTGTTATTTATTTATTCTGAATGTGCTGAAAACATTTGATAATGTGGAAGATCAATGGATCATCTACGATGGTAAGGTTAAAAAGTTGATTGATTTGAAAACGGAATTCTGCAAATTAAGTAGTGCTATATAATTTAATTCATTTCTAGCATTAATTCTTAAGAATTAATATACGTATGCTGAATAAGTTATTATTCAGAAAAGCAATTAGATGACGGCTTTAATGCAGAATGTGATCAACCCGTACTTCACTTTATAAAAAGGTTCAATCCCGTAAGATATTTGTATGATGTTTGAAAGAATGCTTTACTATTAAATGTTTTTGATAAGTATACTATAAGAAAAATAGAGAATAAAAAAAATATAACGTTAAATAAACAACGAAATAGGCTGAAACCAAAGAAATAGGTAGTTAATGTTACAATCAAACCAGTATTGGAATGCAAAAATAATTGTAGAAAATGTTTCAGTTGTTTTCTATTTGAATACAACTGCCGTAATTTCCAAGGTAATATCGCCTAGTCTTAGAAAATTGGTTGCTAAAGTAGGTAAATTATTCAAGAAATATCACCCATCTTTAATCTTTTTTAATAACAATCGATGCTTTAAAACCCAAAACTCCCGACAATGCACATATAATAGGAAATAAAAGTAAATCAGGTTATAAGTAAAGATTCAATCACTCTTCTTTGAATTACATGCGACGATTCTTAATTTATCCACTGACAATGTCGTCTGTGGTTCATCTGTTGGGTTCAAAGCACTAGCTGGACCTTCAACGGTGACTTGGCATTTCTTAACAATGAAAGTCCACACATCATCACAAAACCCATACGTATCCAAGTTACCTTTTACCGTCAGCTTAGATTGTGCATTATCCTTTAAAGTTTCCGACACCACTTTATCGAACGTTTCCAATACGCGCATAGCGAGAGAAGCCTCTATTCTACCATCACTGATAAGTGTATCTAACGCATCAACTAAACTGTTACCAATCGTACTCCTACGATACAACTCATAATATCCTGGCACAGCCATGATTTATTCCTAAAACTTCAATAAACTTCTTAAGAACTATCCTTGCAACTACACCGAACAGAGTTTAAGCTTCCTGAAACACTATTAAAACCGCTCAAAAACCCAAATGCCACTAGAACTCACTGAAAGGATGAATATTCCACACTTGAATCCCTATCCTTCACTTTTATACTCCCAAAAAGGTTACAAGTTGCCACCCATAACACTTAATTCAATCCCTGCTTTTCTATTTTTTTTGTCAAATTTTTAATTTTTTTCCTTACAAAGGAATTTTTGCCAAAGTTGACTATTTGAAGGTCAAAATCGTCAGTGATAAAATGCTAATGACAGCGATGAGGATGGAGATCCAGCTTTGATTATAGGCTGAGAAGTAAGAGGTCAGAAATTTTCAAATTGCTGCATTGGAGATTGTGGAACACGGGCTGATATACGCTTTATTTGCAGATGAGTAGTACAATTTTTTACCGGTTTCGGTCGCAGAAGGATTCATCTAGAGTGCTTTTCGATGGTACTGGTCTAACTGTGTTTGATTTGAAACGAGAAATCATATTAGACAACAAGCTTGGTGATGGTACTGATTTCCAGTTGCGTGTGTACAATCCTGATACTGATGAGGAATATGAAGATGACGCGCAGGTGATACCTCGTTCGACCACGGTTGTGGTACGGCGGTCTCCAGCAGCTAAGACTTTTTCTATACATAGTAGAAACAAAGGAGGCCTTGCAGCAACTATGGGTAATGCTACAAGATACATCACCGGTAGGCCGAGGGTTTTTCAACAACAAGCTGGTGGCTCAATTCAACCACAGCAACAGCAACGGGCTGGGTCTGAAGCTGCAGCTGTATCGGGTATGACTGAAGAAGAGAGAATTGCCAGTATGTTTGCTACACAAGAGAATCAATGGGAGCAAGCACAACAGGAAATGTCGACTGCAACACCAGTTATGAGTAAACCTATTACTAGTGGCGCCAACGCTGAAAACGATGGGCCACCACCTCCCGGTTATATGTGCTACAGATGTGGCTCAAGAAATCATTGGATAAATAATTGTCCAACTAACACAGATCCGAACTTTGAAGGTAAAAGAATACGTAGAACTACGGGTATCCCAAAGACATTCTTAAAGAGTGTTGAAGTAAATCCAGAAACTATGACACCTCAGGAGATGGCTGAGAAGAAAATTATGGTAACTGATGAAGGTAAATTTGTCGTCCAAGTCGCTGATAAACAATCATGGGAAGATTACCAACGTAAAATCAAGAACAGACTTATTGATAGTGATGCAGCTATATACCAACCGGGACATTTCAGTGATCTTCCAGAAGAATTGAAGTGTAATTTAACTGGAGGTCTCCTCAAACAGCCAGTGCGTACTACTGCATGTTGTGATAAACTGGTTTCCAAGAAAATCATGGAAGATACACTTCTTGATAGTGATTTTGTGTGTCCTCTTTGTGATAAGGAGGATGTTTTATTAGATTCCCTGGTTGAAGATGAGGAAATACAAAAAAAGGTTAATGAATTTTTGAAAGACCATGAGGATCAAAACGAAAACAGTAAAAGAAAAGCTGATGGACAGACAGATAACGGGGAAGCTAAGAAGGCAAAGGTAGATGAAAACGAAATCAACTCAGAAACATTAAATTCTAGTGCGGTTAATTCTCCGGAGAAAAAGAATGAATCACCACAAAAGCCTCTTCCTATGCCAATACCGCCTGTGCCATTTGGCATGCCTGCTTTCCCAATGCCGTTTATGCCATTTATGCCTCCACAACAAAACTCTAATCAAAACAGCAGTAACCAATAAATATGCATTCTATTTTTGTATTATATAAAATATTTATGACGACTTTTAACAAGATAACGATGCATTAGTAAATTCGGGCTTTACCAATGAATGAAACTACAAGATAAGAGTAATGACTTGGCGAGCTTGCAATGTGATATTCATTGGGTTCACAATTCGGTACGAATAGTCAACAATAATAGATAATGTGTCAATATATCAACGTAAAAAAGTAAAATTCTTATTTATAAGTAGAGCAGAACCTATTGCCTAAATATTTTCTAAAAAAAATCCATTTAACAAGTAAAATATAGTCATTATTATTTCATGAAAAGTCCAACTAAAAACAAAAACAATGCAACACCAATATAAAACATAGAAGATGAGCCGTTTGGCTTATCATTATGCTGTTTTTCAAGTTCTTTCAAAGCTTGTTCAGCTCTGATTCTATCTTCTGGGTTAACTATATCTTTGACCTCTATAGCCTTCTCTCGTGCTGCCTTCACCAAGGGATCTTCCTTTTTTTCGAACATCGACATGTCTTTCTCCTCTTGCTTCCTCCTTTGTAATTCTGTTATATTCTTTTCTACAATTTCTGGAAATACCAGCTTGAACCTAGTGCTGTTAAAAGTGTTGTAGTACATGGATTTTTTGGCTAAAATCTTCTTCTCTTGTTGAGTGGTCGTAATAGAGCCGGTGGTACTCTCATCACCGGTCATGAAACTCAGCAGTCCGTTAAGGATTGTAGCCACAGACCAGCCGGGATTCCACGTATCCGGGTGGTAATCACTCATAGATAAACACAACCGCGTATTTTCTTTAAACCTACCATTTGGAGTAATCATTCTGATAGCAGGTGGCTTGTATGGGTAGTCCGATGGGAAGGTCAAAGTCCCGTGGTACTGCCCACCGTCATATGGTGTGTCTGGAGGACCACTGATGACATAGTGCCACTCCAGTATATTCTCCTCATTCGGTCTAGCAATAATAAATGGTGGTGGGTTCTCCACCATCATCTTATACTCCTTAGTTAGCCTCTTTTGAGCTTGTTTCGTAGCCATATTCCAACGATTCTTAATTGTAAGTTCCCTCAATACCAGCGATGCCAAATAAGCAAAATCAAAAATCAGAGCAGATCAGCTGTGAGCAAAAACTTCAAATGCTCCCGTTTACTATAGTGCTATGCAGAAACCACCAAAGCTCAAATAACTAAAGCTATAGTTACAAGTGTTTTGGAAAAGCTTGTAAGATCAACAAGTTTTCCATCGCTTGACGTATGTGTCTCTGTGAACATTCCGGGCTTTGTAATTCCACACTATCAGCCAGCAATGGGCTGTCTGTTGGGATGGGTCTCTCTAGTGTGATGAGATGGTTCCACAATGGAAAGTAATGAAGTCCCCCAAAGAAGCTTGAGCCGGGTAAATTGCAAGAAGTTACCAAATACCCTTATACGTAATATCATATGATATATTCGTTCTCAATAACATTCTTGTAATACCTCTTTACGATATATATCACATGATCTATTCTCATCTCAAATTTTGCAGAAGAAAACTGAAAAAAAATTGAAAAAAAAAAAAAAATTGAATAAGCTGCGATGAGCACTGGTGCGGGAAATGCCCAGCTCATCGCTATTGGCTAGGCGTATGCTTGGATGTCTAGTTGTAAAGAGGAATTGGATTGTATTGTATAGGTATTCTTTGAAGTGAATATTGTCAAAAGTTATCTGCTGTTATTTGGTGGGAGCTTTTGGGATAAGGTGACGATCAAGGTAGAGTTCGAAGAGAGGAAGTATTTAAATATGTCTACAAATAGCATTAAACTGTTGGCAGGTAACTCGCACCCTGAGCTTGCTGAGCTTTTGTCGAGAAGACTGGGCATTCCATTGTCGAAGGTCGGTGTGTATCAGTACTCGAACACCGAGACTTCAGTTACTATTGGTGAAAGTATACGTGATGAGGATGTGTACATTATACAGACGGGTATTGGTGCACAAGAGGTGAACGATTTTCTGATGGAGCTGCTGATTCTTATCCATGCTTGCAAAACCGCATCAGTGAGGAGAATCACAGCGGTTATCCCAAACTTCCCTTACGCTAGACAGGACAAAAAAGATAAATCACGTGCGCCAATTACTGCCAAGCTAATCGCTAAGATGTTGGAGACTGCAGGATGTGACCATGTCATCACCATGGACCTACACGCCTCTCAGATACAAGGTTTCTTCCACATCCCTGTGGATAACCTGTATGCAGAGCCAAGTGTCCTAAATTACATAAGAACTAAGACCGATTTGAAGAACACTATACTGGTGTCCCCAGATGCCGGTGGTGCGAAGAGGGTTGCTTCTCTTGCAGACAAGCTGGACTTGAACTTTGCTTTGATTCACAAGGAGAGGCAAAAGGCCAATGAAGTTTCCAGGATGGTCCTTGTCGGTGATGTTCAAGGTAAATCATGTCTCTTGATTGACGATATGGCGGACACTTGTGGTACATTGGTGAAGGCTTGTGATACTTTACTTGAACACGGTGCCAAGGAAGTTATTGCCATTGTAACACATGGTATATTTTCTGGTTCAGCAAGAGAAAAGTTAGCTAACAGTAAACTGTCCAAGATCGTATGCACAAATACAGTTCCTGTGGATATCGATCTTCCGATTGTAGACCAAGTTGATATAAGTCCAACTTTAGCAGAAGCCATAAAAAGATTACATAACGGTGAATCCGTGTCTTATCTTTTCACTCACGCTCCACCAGCCTGATCTTGTCTATAATAGAGGGACAAAAAAAATGATTAAAGCCATGCATTGTGCACATTATTATTTGTAAAAGAGTCATATACTAATTTAAGAACATTATTTTTGCAAGTACTTTTTAATTAGTTTTCATTGGAACTCGTAATGATATACATGGAATGGTCCTCTTGTTGAAGTACTATTAGTCTCAAAGCATTTAGAGCTACTGCACCCATGTGAAATGGTACATCACTGTACAAGTCTATTCTAACCAAAATACAGGGACATTAAATTTTTACGGCAAATTAAAGTATATTAAAGTAAAATTAAACAAAACTGAATATTAAAATTAGTTGCAATATTAAGTCAGAGTAGACTAATTTGCAAAAAGTGCATTAGATATTAGGTGGAAATGAACGTTAAAAATTTTGGTCTTCTTTTAGAATGTTGGGCTATCTTTGGGGCACATTTTGAATGTTTGCTTAGATTTGTTGTTATGTTTGAGTAGTTTGTTGTGCATTGTTTCTCCACCATGTCTTTATTTCTTAACCAGGTTTCATATGACATCAGCTTATTGATATTATTATTGTAAGCTAATTCATCAGATAGCTGTGTCTTTTTATTCTGGATTTTCTCACTATAAAACAAAACATATGCAGTTATTGGATTGTTAGGCTCTCCAACATGACTAGTGACAGCCTCTTCTGGAATTGACTCAATCGTTTCATCATCATACATTAGCCAACCGTATTTCTCATGCTTACATATAGAAACATAGTGACCATGAGTAGGGCTAGCACCAACGTGAAGTACTACACCAGTTAGTTCATAGGTCTTACACAGAGAATTGTCAAAACATGAACATACAGTCAGTGTTAATGGATATTCAATCTTATTGAAAAGTTTAGAGTTCACAATACCATCACACTTAAATCTTTTCAGATGCAATGCCAATGTCTTAGGTAGTTTTTCAAAGCCAACAGTTTTTTCTGCTTCTTGTAAGCCACAGCACTCATTACAGTAGAATTTGTTTGGACCACATAAAATCTCCCGTTGATAAAAACTTCTAAATGTATCTTGAATATTAATAGCTTCATCGTTTTGAATTTCGATGGGAAAATCTAAGAATGGCTCTTCATTGGCACTGACACAATCACATGTTAAGCATTTTATTCTGTTTAGCAGAACGCCTTCAAATTGGTCTTTCACAAAATCGTGTGATATCTCACATTCTTCTTCATTAGATGATTTCAAATAATTTGATTTATACTTACCAGCAAAATCACTAATGTTGTTCAATAAGAAATTAAGAAATTCATGAGCATCCTGCTGCATAGTTGAGTTGAAAAGAGGATTTTGTCTTTTCAGTAGTTTAACAAATTCAGCGGGGGACACAACACCAGACAGATATCTGTTCTCTGTTATGCATTCCATGATGTCCTTTAGTGCATAATAAAGGAAATGAGGTTGGTCTTTATATAACAAATGATCAATATTGATAACAGGACCGTGAATCAAAGCCAACTTTTTTCTTATTTCAATATTTAGGTCATTTGAAGATTCACTTACGTTAAAGTATGTCTGAGAGTATGTCTTATTGAGTTCAGGATTCCCAACAATTACTTTTCTGCAATCGCCGTGAAGTTTCTCTCCAACGGTATCAAAATAGCCTGCTGGTTTAGATTGCGGTTGGGATGGTTTACTTTGAGAATTAGTTGAGTCGTAGGTTGTATTTGAGTAAGATTCCTTGTCAGTGTCATCATCTTTTGGAGAGCTATCAGCGCTATACTCAGTGTAAATAGATTTATCACCTAAGTAACCACTGTCAGTAGCATTACTACTAGTAGTTCTTATCTTATAGAGATCTTTGAAAAAACTCTTTCTATTCTCTTTCTTCTTGTCATCATCAATTGTCTTATTTGATTGTGACTTGGTACTCAGCTCTGGCTGAGTGTTGGTAGAACGGGTTTGCGTTTGATGAGAGTTAAGACTGGTGACAGATTCATTTATCGATATAGCTTCTTGTTCCTGTTGGCCCACGACTTCGTTTATATAATTTCTTTCATGTAACGAATGGAACTCTTCCACTCGAACCCTGCTTTTCAATGGGTAGCGTTGTGGGAATTGGAGTATGCTTTTCCTGAATTCAGGTAAGTTATAAATACATTGTAAAACAGAGTTACAATAACAGGTATGGCCAAAATTTTCATATCCAAAGACTTTATTTGACCCATCACCAAATGGCATTAATTTCGTAACATTCGTATCCACTATGGTAGGGATTTGGGAGTCGTGTTCATATCGGTGTAGCAATTGTTCCTGTGGTATTGCCACATAGTTCCTAGCCTCATTTGCAAGATCATTATAATTTGTTGTACCATTGGCTAGATCATAGTCTGATTGGCCAATAATTGACTTCCGCTGGCTGGCAGCTGCATTAGGAATAATACGCGGTCTGTAGTTGTCTCCAATTCTCTCACCACTCTTTCTTTTAAAACTATCCTCCTTTTGCACTGGAGAACTCTTCCTGGAATCAGGATGGAAGTCAGGTGTGATATGTAATAGTTTCTTAAACATCACTGCATCGTTATGATCACTGTGTCTATTAAGGAAGTCTTACAAGGACGCTGTGCTAGTTTCAAAACTATGATTGACATTCATAGTCATTATATAGTAAGAGCATCAGAACTGAAATGAAGAAAGTTAGAAGTTTAAAGACAGTTTTGGCAGCTGAGGAAAGAAGATCTTCTGCTCGCATCGCAAAAAGTTGGTATCAGAGCAATCAGATAAGCAATACTGAAAAGACAAGAAACTCCAACACCCAGCCTACGCAAGGAAGATCGCATCGCCTGGGTTTCTCTACACCCACAACATTCTCTCCGTTCTGAACTAATCCGGTAAGGCCTGTTGAATCATTGGTACTATTCCTAGAGGGAGTCTTTGATCGCACAGGAGAAGATAGGACACACCCATCTACCGAAGATTGATGTTGTTGAGTCCTTCTGGTGAGAAACTTCCAAGTTGCGTAATTTTGAAGCTTTGGAATTCCTACGAAAGAGTCTGCAATTGCGTGATAAGATCAAACGGTGGTACTCAGGAAACTGACCAATGCTCGATGAGCATTCAAACGAAGATCATCGAGTTAGTACACGGTGTTGTCTAAAGCATCGAAAAGGGCATCGCATTGATTATCTAAAGCCAGATATCTTTTGACACCAGGAGTGCAGTGAAGACCAAAAAGTGGTAGTCTTGTGGAAGGGGGCCGTCCATTCCAGTGTTGTGGCTGTGTTATTATCTCAAATGTTTTGAAAAGCATTGCCAGAGGAATTTTTGTTGTAAGTGTGATCAAAATGTAATTGCTCTACTCTCCTTGCGGTGTAGAAGGATAATTCTATTCTATGAAACTCTTAGCTGTTAAGCCAATACTTACAATAATTGCAGGCTAATGAATACATATTGACTGGTGTAGTTGGGGAAATTTCTAGAGTATGATGATGGAGGGGTGGAAACAGAAAGTAAATAAAAAAAATGAATAATTAAACCTACTGATAAATACTTGAAAGAACAATTCTCCTTAAAAAGGTAAATATCTATTTTACATTTACTCGTCTTCTTCACGAGGGTCACCTATACCATCTTCGTAAATTGCAAATACACATTCTGCTTCTGGTAAACAGGGAGAGTCAACTACCTTACAGTATCTTTGGCATCCCTTACCCTTCTTAAAGCCCAGTCTTGTCGTTGATGAATGTGCCATGATATTACCCCCAATAGGTTTTTTTGGATCAGGGTTAAAAGACATACCACCATCTACCTGGGCTACCACTTGATTTGTGACTACAACAGCAACACCAAACTGGTCTGCCAATCTTTGTAATGCTCTCATAAATTTTGCCAAATGCATCTGTCTTGCACTTAATTCACCACGACCTGAAAAATCGGTTCTATACAAAGCCATTACTGAGTCCACTACTATTAAAGAAAATCGTGATTCACTCATCATTTGGGCAGCAGCATCAAGAAGCCTCATTTGATGGTCTGCATTGTATGCTCTAGCGTAAGCAACATTGTTTAGTGCATCATCGGGATCAAGACCAAAACGTTGGGCAATTGATACTAATCGTACTGGTCTAAATGTACCTTCTGTGTCTATATATAAACATTTTCCTTCACCACCACCCAGGTCCAGCGGTATTTGACATGTCACAGCAAGGGAATGACATAATTGCGATTTACCTGTTCTAAATTCACCGAACAGCTCTGTGATCGAACCAGTTTCGATACCACCACCTAGTAATGTGTCCAAATTCTTAGATCCTGTGGTCAAACAGATCATTTCTGACCTTCTCATGTGGAAATCAGCCGCTGTGACAAACCCCATGGGCACTAACCTGGCAGCTTCGTTTAACAGTCTGTCTGCTTTTGTCTCAGATATACCTTTGATCTCTAGTAAGTCTTTCTTGGGTGCATATGCTACAGCTTCCACAGTGTGGAGACCACTTTCTCTTAGTTTCTTAATATCAGTAGACGTTATACCGTTGACTTGCAATTTCTCGAGTGGAACAAATGACGCTAAGGCGGCATCTTCCTCCATGCCTTCCTCATATTGCTCCTGGTGAAATAACTGTTCGCCAGAGTTATAGTCCATTGACCTATTCGTAGAGGACTGTGTAGTTTCCGCTGGAGCTGTAGAGATCGGTGATACATTCACCTGTGAGTCAGGAACTCCGTGATCCTCATGTACTTCTGTCATGTTATTATTCGTTAAGGTAGCTGATTCCTGGCAAGTAGTTGGTATGGGTGTTTATATTTGATTATTAAGAATATTCACTAGATTCTATATCGTTTCTTATAGAAAGTGTTTGAAGTGGCAACTCATCGGATTTGATCACACGAAATTTCTAGAAGTGGTGGGGCAGGCGAAACGCGTAAACAAACCGAAAACAATAACAACAGAAAACAATAAGAATAAAAACGACAAATAACAATAATAATAATACCATTAATAATAGTTAGGAGAACTGAGTAATTAATTATAGGATTCTACTATCAATGTTGGTATTTTGTTCAGTTATTTGCAGTAATCTGTGAGCTTGTATGATAAGATACAGTAAAAATTATTGATTTTAAAACTACATTATGTACAAGTAGGTTTCTATACTAGTTATGAAAAAGTAATTAGTCTCTAGCATATGTTGTTATCCTTAAACTTTAAGGAAGACATTAAAAGCTTGGTGCAATGTTCTTCTTTCTATTGTTAGGACAAACAGGCATGAAAAGCCCTTATATATGGTAGTATCCAGGATTTTCTTTTTGTTAAGGCTAAGAAAAAAAATAAAAAATATAGTAAAATGCAATATATCCTCAAGTTACTGAAAGAACATGAAAATAACAGAAACAATTAACGTGAGTGTATTAGCGGTTGTGAAGGTGGTCAGAAATAATTAATGGGTTTAGAGACCTTGGTATAACAGAGAATCAAATAAAAAAAAACATAAACATGTCAAAAGAAAAAGAAAAAAAAAAAAGGAAAGTCAGTTTCCTTGGTGGATTCAGTTTTGGATTTTTTAGTACTTATCAATGACAGTCCATAATTCCATATTGGGTTGATTTATCGACCGAGTGAAACAATAACTTATTAATCTTTCAATTCTTTATATCGTCAAATTTATCTGAGTAATTGAATGTAATTCATTCTAGAACCTTATGCTTAGCGGCACTCCAGGCACCTGCTGTAGTAGCGACGATTGCAGAAGCGTAAGCCATTGGTTTTAGACCTTTGGATGACTTAAACAAAGCACCAGTTAAAGCACCAGCAACAATAGAACCTGGTGTGTCGTGCTTTCCTCTAAATGCATCGATAGATGAGTTAATCAAGTTGTATGACAATGCTAGCACACCTGCGTTGTTACCCAAGAAAGGACCTCTCTTTGTGACATGGTTCAGAATTGTATTCAATTGTAATTTACCTGGAGAGTTTGGAGGAATGTTTTTGACACCTTGAATGAAACCGGAGACACCACCAATACCTAGAGCAATCAAGTACACAGCACCTGTACCATAACAAAGATCGTCTGTCCAACCACGGGAAGGAATCAAACCTTGGGAACCTTCCATGGTCGAAAGTTGCTCTTCTTCCAGGTCTAAATACTCAACACCTCTCTCTAGACCAGCCAAAGGATGTAGACGTGCTGGATCAAGAGCACCAGGAGCAGAGATTAGTGTAGAGATATCCGTAAGTTGCGAAGAATCAAACCCAAGTTTATCATCCTTTTGCTCCTCTTTCTTTTCGACATTGCCGCCAACTTTTCCAAATAACCACGATGACATATTTCGTTAACTAATTTCTTATTTTAAGTTGAAGTGGAACAATGATTGTTATAGAAAAAAGTAATTGTGTTGTATGACTCTCGCTTTATGACACTCGTTATCCTTCTTTGAAATCAGCGGATAAAACAGAAAAACAGACGTCTATTGCTACCTTGTTATACGTCTCCTATTGGGAATTGGTTTAGTGAACAACTGGAAGCGAAAGATAACAAGAAAGTAATTGCTAAGTCCTTTAATCTCTGCCAAAATTTCAGTTTTTTAGCAGTTTTTTTCCTTTCCTTCCATTTCTTCGGTCTCTGGACGACCGAGAAACTGGCTTTCCTTCGCAAAAAGGGACTTTCGAATTGACTTACTCATAGTCTTTGCTGTAGTACAAAGAGATATGCACATGTGATCTATACCCGCTTGCTATAAATATAGTTATTGGCAAGCTGGTAAAAGCTAATTCCATATAGCAAGAGTATCAATATCTAATGATATTTTACTTTTATTTTCTTGGAAGTATAAATAATGGTATCTTCATTGCTGTTTAGCTTTTCCTTTACAAGATCCTTTTGGCTGATTGATGTATGAAAATTAGCTCGGTGAATAGTTGTGTCGTGATGGAGCCAGTTTCTATATTAATGAGTGCTGCTGATAGGGATAAGCTTGATGTTAATGCTCATGTTAAATTTATAGACTTGCCGGAGACTGGGCGGAAAAGACGCAGTTGGTTATCCCAACTGGAAGCGAAGAAAGATGCTGTGAATGCGGTACCTCGATAGATTTAGTTTCTAAATAGGGGTGTTCTATTCTATATATATACAATGATAAGTATTCTTAAACACTTATTTTCTCAGTTAAAGTGGATACTGTTTTTTGTTGTTTAATCGAGCTTAGGTTTTTTATTGGAATCTGACTCTACTTCCAACTCACGTTTTTGCTGCTTGGCCAGCTTCCTTTCCAACGCTTTCCTTTCACCTTCCTGCCTCTTTAGCAGCTTTTCTTCTTCTCTACGCTTAATCAAATATTCTGATGGGTCGCCTTTGGGTTCACCGTTGTCATCTATCAATGAGGAGATGTGATCCAGGTCCTCTACTGTCTTGCATTGTGCATAGTATTGGAAGAATTTGGATTTTCCTGGCACTAGCCTAGAGAGCATGTACTTGGTGTTTCCTATATTATTTTCATACTTCTTTGCGATCTCCAAGAATTCCTTCACTGTTTGGTGCCACGGTAGCACATCCTTTGAAAAGACTGTTGGGTTACTCTCAGCGGCTTCGGCTATCATACCACCGATTTCCGGGTTATACGAGAACAACTGCTCAAACTCCTCCCTGTGCCTTATCGCACCATTGATCAATAGTGACACACCTGCCTTCTTGCAAACACTGAATATACTATCTATATAGTCTCTGATCGGCGTCTCTCTGTTTCTCATTGGAGTAGTCCGGCAATGCACAGTCAAGTTCCTAATCCCTGTGTCACATATCATCTTCACCAACTCAAGTGTGGAGGCTTCATCCTCGAGCAGCCGTATCTTGCAGGAGATAGGTTTACCATGCGGTGTACCGACGTGCTCCACCAGCTCTTTTAGGATCGAGCACAGCTTTTCGGGCTTTTTCAGCAGCGCGGACCCCATCCCAGCGTGTATGGAGAAGTGCTTGGGGCATCCACAGTTCAAGTCTATGCCATCCACGTCCTGGATCACTTTCAAAGCAGCTTCCTTCGCCAGCGCCGGGTCCGCCGACCCGATCTGGAATATCAGTTTCCCGCGCTCTAGAGAAGGCACAGTGCGAAACACCAGCACACCCGAGGGCATCACGTAGTCCACAGAGCTCAGGCTGCTGTTTTCCACACGCTGTGTCTGAATCAGTTTCTTGTCTATTATCTCGGGCGACCACACCAGCCCAGCACCGTACTTCAGGGCCATAAGCCGCGTGGGCAACTCCCCAGCCCGCACCATCGGGGCCAGCACCAGCTTACCTGCATACATGTCCATTCAACTTAGCTCGTAGACATAGGGAAGGTGGGAAAGGCACCATGTTAAAAGCACTATTGGCTCCATTTCATTTGTAGTGCCAAATGTGGTGCGATGCGATGCTATGTGATGCCATGCTATGCGATGCTATGTGATGCTATGCTATGCGATGCGATGCGATGAGCTTAGAATGCATTTTTTCACTCACCACAGACGGGGGGCACAAGGTTGTAAAACATGATATTTTTCATTAAAAGGATATATAGAGTCTAGTATATAGTGAGTCGTAATTGGTATTTATGCAGGAGGGATAGTGTTTCCCATTTCATTTGTAGACGATAGGTTTATCGAATTTGAGGGCCATAGAGGGTCTTCTGTGATGGTGTTTGCGGCACCCGCGCACCGTCGAGCTCATAGAGTTCATAGAGTTCATGTTTGAGTTCATATTTGAGTTCATATTTGAGTTCATGTTCGAGTTAATGTTCGAGTTAGTGCGCGATAGACTCGTCGTGTCTGTGTAACTCTCGCACTGCACCAGCGGGGACACACAGCCACTGCACGAGCAGTCCTTCGCCTCTGTATCGCACATGCTGGAACTCAGCGACGTGATGGACCCCTGACGCGAGGACGCCGGCGTCCTCACGTTCAGCTCAGCTTTGTCGTCGTGATACACAAGGTGTGCCTCCAGTGGAGTATTTAGAGGCGTGTAGTAGTCGTTCATTGCTTCGCTCATATAGCTATTGATGATCTCAAAAAACCAGGATTGCAACAATTGGATGCTTATTATATATAGTCATCGAGATTGAATTGGATGTAATTGGACTTGCGGGGGGGCCATTGTGACGTAGAGAACTGCGCATAGAACGTATTGGATCATACGGAAACATGTCATATAGAGATAATAGAGACAATGGGGCAGTTGGCGGGGGGATTGTTCAAGGGGCACAGACATAACCGTAGGACAGACAGATGAAAATATCAGCACAAATTCTAGACCCCCCCCTTCCCCGGTTTCCAAACCTACGGAGGTACTACTCAACGGCTGCTAAATTGCGGGGGGCAATATGAGTGGCAGGAAACTTCGCTAGCTTGTGCCTCTCGCAGCTATACGAAGCTGCACACACCAATGCAATCCTCTCTGTGTCGGATAATTACCTGCGACACCGAGGGGGGTGTTGCCCTTTAACTCCTGTGCTTTCTGGGCAGTCGAAGAGGGCAGCCGAGAGAGGCACTGCGGAGAAACTCCTCAACGAAGAAAAGTGGAATAGATGTCCCCTCCGCCTGTGCAGAAGAAACCTCCGGGAAGACACTCCCATAGAAAGAACTCTACGTACGTCTCTGGGGTGTGGGGGGGGCTAGTAGGCCACTGGGAAACGTAATTCTCTTACGCTTCGTCGCTGTCGTCATCGTTGCGGGGGGGGGCGGGACGATGAGTTAGTGATGATTCATGTCGTATATAGTGTTATATGTGTACGTATATAGGTATATACATGTGATGCCGTATCGTAATACATGTATGACTAGAACTCTGGAGGGATGAGAGGGGAGGTTTCGCAAGCGAGGAAGGATGCAGTGCTACTACAAAACGGACTTGGGAGGACTGTCTCTAAGGTATATCCAGATGGTATCCAGATGCTAGGAAAGCATTAAGATAGAGATACACAAGGGGCGATGAAGTTCTCGCATTCGCTGCAGTTCAATTCTGTGCCGGAATGGTCGTCGAAGTACATTGCGTACTCGCAGTTGAAGAAGTTGATCTACTCCTTGCAGAAGGAGAAGTTGTACTCGTCGACGCCTGATCTCAGCACCGCGGCGTCTGAGTCGAGTGAGTTGCAGCCGCTGCTGGATGTGCCAGAGGATGAGAATAGCTCTTATGTGAGGAGGTTCGTGCAGGCTCTGGACCACGAGGTGAAGAAGATAGAGAAGTTCTACCTGTCGCAGGAGACCGGTCTCATTGCCAATTACAACGAGTTGAAGGATGACGTGCACGAGTATGAACAGGAGCTCACGTCCGCGAATTTCCTTTACCCGTCCCAGTCTCTAACTGGAGCAGTACCTACTGGCGGGAATGCAAAGAAACTGCGCAGGAGGAGGCTGAGTAGCACGTCCTCTATGGAATCCAACAACTCGGGCCTTCCTTTGTCTGTTGACTCCGCACCGGGTGCCATCGTGCCTCCAGAACATCATAGACCCTCCATAGAAGCACAGAAGTCCAGATCGAGCACGGTAAACAACAACTCTTTGAACCTGTCCAATTTCGAGCCCTTGAACCCACAACTACAACACAAAGTCACTTTGAAAAAAAGGTTAGTGATGGTATACACCCAGTTGTCAGAACTAAAGGACTTCATTGACTTGAACAAGACTGGTTTTACCAAGATCTGTAAGAAATTTGATAAATCATTGGATACAGCAATAAAAAAACCTTACTTGAAGCAACTTGAACTGAAGACACATGTGTTCAACCCGGAAACTTTTGCTAAGATTGAACAGACTATAAGAGAGACAATTATCACTTATGCCAGATTAAGTGAAGACCAATTGCCCATCACCATTGAAAGCATCTCTCAACAAACCGGGAATCCTGATGTAGAACACCAAGCATTGGCTCTGGAGGAAGACGAGTTGGTTGATTATGAGAACGCTGAAAAAGAGCTATCTGAACACTTACGTGATCATGTAGTGTGGGAAAGAAATACAGTATGGAAAGATATGATGAACCTAGAGAGAAAATCTCAGACAGCAAAGACCCAGGATAAAGGACCAGGTTCCTTTGGACAATTCAGGAAGAAGAAACTGCTAATCAAAGAAACTGATGATGGAGTCGCCTTTGAAACCGGTACGGATGCAGCCGGCAAAATTGTGCCTCCAGTGACTATTTCCGATGCCGTGAGGTTACCTCTAGTGAATTATGTGAAACTCTTACTACAGTCTCAAAAAGCAGTTAGTTTCCTATTCATATTTTCAATCTTTTTGATCTTGCTAAAGTCGTCACCCTTTGATGACATTAAGCAGAAAAACTGTTTTGCCATTTTAGTATTTGCATCCCTACTTTGGGCAACTGAAACAATCCCATTATTTGTGACGTCACTACTAATTCCGTTCTTGGTTGTGGTTTTGCCAGTATTGAAAGATCCAAATACTGATGGGCCAATGTCAGCCAAAGATTCTTCCCAGTTCATTCTATCAACTATGTGGTCTAGTGTAATTATGCTTCTTTTAGGTGGTTTTACATTAGCAGCAGCCTTGTCTAAATACAACATTGCTAAAGTACTATCAACTTATATCTTGTACTCTGCTGGTACTAACCCACATTTAATTTTACTAACTAACATGGGTGTTGCATTGTTTGTGTCTATGTGGGTGTCTAATGTGGCAGCTCCGGTTCTTTGTTATTCAATTATTCAGCCAATGCTGAGGACACTCCCAACAAAGAGCACATATGCCAAATCCTTAATATTGGGAATTGCACTTGCTTCTAATATTGGTGGTATGGCATCCCCTATAGCATCTCCTCAAAATATTTTTGCTATTGGTGTAATGGACCCACCACCATCCTGGGGGGAATGGTTTGTGGTATCTATTCCTGTATGTACTGTATCGGTCGTGGCGATCTGGTTGCTGTTAACGTTGACTTTCCCATTGGAGTCCTCCTTGAAGATCTTAAGATTACATCCTACCCATGATCCTTTTACATTAAAGCAATGGTTTGTGTCCATTATTTCTATCACCACAATCGTTTTATGGTGTCTGTCCAATAAATTATCTGGTGTTCTGGGTGAGATGGGTATAATTTCCATTATACCATTAGTAGTGTTTTTCGGAACAGGACTTCTCACTTCAGATGATTTCAATAACTTCATGTGGACAATAGTGATTTTGGCAATGGGTGGCACTACTCTAGGTAAGGCAGTTAGCTCATCTGGTTTACTATCAACTATTGCGTCAATGATAAAGGAATCCGTTGAAAAGCAACACATCTTTGTAATTGTGCTTATCTTCGGTCTCGTAATCTTGACTATGGCTACATTTGTTTCGCATACAGTGGCGGCGATGATCATAGTTCCTTTGATGGGTGAAATAGGATCTGATCTCCCTGGTGGGGACCATTCTCGTCTGCTTATCATGGTTGCAGCATTTTTATGTTCAGGTGCAATGGGTTTACCAACTTCTGGATTCCCCAACGTAACTGCAATTTCAATGATTGATGAAGTAGGAGATCGGTATCTGACCGTTGGCACTTTTATAAAAAGGGGTGTTCCCGCTGGGTTTATCACTTATTTTGTTGTTGTTACGCTAGGATACTCTTTAATGAAACTAATTGGCTTGTAAATGAATAAAAATAGTTATCAAGAAGTTTCAAATTTGCATATTCCAGGAGATATTGTCTTGATGAAAGATAATTTCGTATTGTATTAATTTTATTAGATGATGATATATTATTTAATGCATATTTATTAGTATTGGACTAATAGTTTGATGTTAGCAACCAAAATATTTGTTGTCGACAAATCTTGTTAGGGCCCAACTTGCCTTCTTGTTTTTTATTTCATTTCTCTCGACGACAATACCTGCTGTAATTTTGATCCTATTGCCAAACGCGTTTATAATTCTTCTAATACCTAGTTCTGTGGCCATGTATACTAAAATATGGATGTTTTCTATATCGACTTTGTGGTCTAGAAGAACTTGTACGGCCATAATCATAGCAGCACCACTAATGATCTGAGAATCCATTATTAGTATTTTCCTGTATTTTGAGATGTCCTCGGGGATAAACTCACAGTGCAGTTGTGGCTCACCTGTCAGGGAATCAGATTGAATTAATAGCTTACCAATTGCCATGGCTGGGAAAGCCTTTTTAACAGCTTTCATAAAACAATCGCCTGATCTAATTGTGCTGATAGCTGTAACTTCATCAAAGCAGCACCTACGTTGGCCTGGTACACTGAATCCATCTGGAGTGATAATAGTTTCTGGTTTCTGAACAGGGATATCATTGAGTGTATTGGCTAGTAACAAAGTTGCAATCCTATCAAATTGGAAGGAGAACTCATCCCTATCGACATTTCTGTCCAATAAAATAGTGTGTATGGCCTTAATTTGATTTGTCTGTGGAAGAACCTCCAAATTCTTATAATCTGATAATGGACCAGTTCCAGATTGGCCTAATTTGACAAGTTCTGTCATGTGCTCTTCAGATTTCAGTTCTAGTTTTGATTCTATGTGCTTAATTAGCAGCTTTACAGCAACTGTGTTATCAGACATTGAAGGTATAATAGCATCAGCTTTCGCCATTGTTGGCTTAACGTACTTGACAGCATCGGGTTTGACATATCTTTCCCATTGTAATAAACAGCCTTGCAAATCTCTTCCTCTTGCAACAATATCTCTCGATAATCTTCTAGCCAAACAAATGTCTAAATCAGCGTCAACATACACCTTTAAATCCATCAAATCAAGTAATCTTTGATCATATAATGCATAAATACCTTCTAAGACGATAACACTGGCACCATATATAGGGATCTGCTTGTGTGGATCTCTATTATGGTGGGTAAAACTATAGACGGGAATAGAGGTTTTCTTACCTTCTTTCAAGCTCAAAATACAGTCATATGCCAAATCCAAATCGATTGCATTAGGTTCATCAAAGTCGTACTCGTTATTAAACGCACGCTCCCGTTCTGCTTCATTGAGTGGTTTATAGAAATTATCCAAGGAGATTAGCACAGTCCATGGAACATTAATAGATGAGACAATCTTATTGGCCACACTGGTCTTACCTGACCCAGACGTACCACCAACACCGATGATATAAGGAGTAGTCCATGGCGGAATATATTTGTGTTGGTCATTCAAATGAACACTACTACGTCTAGCCTCAGTAGAGTTCCCGGTCATATCATGCATTCCTGATGATAAGCTAACAAGTTACCCAAATGATAATTGGATAAGGTACGTTTAAGTAGGGCAATATGGAACGAAACGCCTCCGAATCTGAAATATTAGCTCCAAGAAAATCTATGGCACCTAACTCTAGTAACAATTACCGTCTTACTGAAATCAGTACAATTTTAGTCTAGTACCCAATGGTTAGTTTAAATCCCTGTTATAAGACTAGGTTTAACTTTAAATGTTCAAATATCTATTTTTGACCGGCTTGAATTTTGCGATGAGCATCGAGTCGATCAATTTTTCAGAAATTTCTTTTTTTGACAAAATAATAGGGCATTGCATTGTTTAACATTGGTTTGCTAATGGTAATGTTATGGGGAAATTATCATATTAACATACTTATTTGATTCTCTGGTTAATAGAAAGCTCATTGGGAAGAATACTAAAAATGAAATCTGAGCAAGACAGGAACCGATCGAAGAACTGTAAGTCAAGATACGGCCCGCATAGAGATGCTAGCGGTTCAGGGACGCAAAGCAAAGGCAACCATGTAAAAAAGTCAACATCCAGATATAACAAAGGAGATAATTGGGAAGATAGACAACTAAAGCATGCTTTGAAGAATCCTAAAGTTGATGATATTGTTGTTGCAGGCCAAGAGCAGTATGATTTTGTATTTGACAGTGATGCCATGATAGACTTCAGCAAAGAAGATGAAATTGACGGATACGATGATGAGGAATACGAAAAGAAGCTGCTAGAGGCTTTAGACAAGGAAAGTGCCCGTGTACAATCAATGAAAGACTCGAGGAAGAGCCTTCCAGTATACCAATTTCGCCAAGAGTTGTTGGATGTTATTCGCAATAATCAAGTAGTCATCATAGTTGGTGAAACAGGTTCTGGTAAAACTACTCAGCTGCCACAATACTTGGTTGAAGATGGCTTCACGAAAGGTAATAAGTATCAAATTGCGGTAACTCAGCCGAGGCGAGTAGCAGCTACGTCTGTTGCCGCACGCGTAGCTGATGAAATGGATGTCAAGCTTGGACAGGAAGTAGGTTACTCTATAAGATTTGAAGACAAGACAACACCAAATAAAACACTTCTGAAGTATATGACTGATGGTATGCTATTACGTGAGTTTTTAGTAGATCGCACTATTTCTAAATACTCATGCATAATGATCGATGAAGCCCATGAACGGACAATAGCGACAGATTTACTGTTAGGATTAATCAAGACAATATTAAAAGACAGACCAGATTTAAGAATTATAATTTCTTCGGCCACAATGAATGCGGCGAAATTCTCTAAATTTTACGATGATTGTCCCATTTTCAAAGTACCTGGTAGACGGTTTCCAGTGGATATACATTATACTCTACAGCCTGAATCCAACTATCTAAATGCTGCTATTACGACTATCTTCCAGATCCATACTACACAAGAACTGCCTGGTGATATACTAGTGTTTTTGACTGGACAAGAGGAAATCGAAACAATGAAAGATAAGTTAGACGCCATCATGGCAAAGCTTGGTTCAAGAATACCACAAATGTTAATAACACCAATATATGCTAATTTGCCTCAAGAGCAACAATCAAGAATATTTCAGCCAACTCCAGTGAATTGTAGAAAAGTTGTTCTTGCAACAAATATCGCAGAAACTTCGCTTACTATTGATGGTATAAAATATGTTGTTGATCCTGGATTTGTCAAAGAGAACTCCTACCTGCCAAGTGCTGGTATGAGTCAGCTATTAACTGTTCCTTGTTCGAAAGCTTCGGTTGATCAAAGGGCTGGTAGAGCAGGTCGTGTCGGCCCTGGTAAATGTTTCCGATTGTTTACCAAGTGGTCTTATCAAAACGAGTTGGAGATGATGCCGAAGCCGGAGATCCTGCGTACAAATTTATCACAGACAGTATTACTTTTACTATCGCTGGGAGTTAAAGATCTTATAAATTTCCCATTGTTGGATAAACCAACTATCCCCTCCTTGAAGAAATCGCTAGAAAATCTGTATATCCTGGGGGCATTGAACAGTAAGGGTCAGATAACTAAACTTGGTAAAATAATAACAGAGTTTCCTTGTGAGCCTGAGTTTGCAAAAGTTTTATACAGTGCAGCTGTTGATGAGCGCTGTACTGGTGTCTTGGAGGAGTGTCTGACCATAGTCTCAATGCTACATGAAACTTCCTCCATATTTTCTGGGCAGAAAAAGGAAGCAGTTGCTGCTATTATAGGGGAAGTAGAAAGTGACCATATGCTGTATTTAGAAGTATACAATCAGTGGAAAAATGCCAATTACTCGCGTATGTGGTGCCAGGATCACAAAGTCCAACACAAAACGCTAAGCCGTGTACGTAATATCCGGAATCAGTTGGTCAGATGTTGTAAGAAATTGAAATTGGACAGCATCGAGAAGACAACATCTGAGTTAGATGTAACAGAGAGGGTTACAAAATCGTTTATTAGTGGCTTCCCAGCAAACATTGTTCAATTGGGTACAATGGGTTACCAAACAATGGGGAAATCCACTGGAGGTTTGCCAATAAACATACATCCATCGAGCGTCGTATTTCAAAACCAACTAGACTCGAAGAAGCCACCGAAGCACTTGCTATATCAACAACTAATGTTGACATCAAAGGAATATATACGTGACTGTATCCCAATTAAAGAAGTGTCCTGGTTAAAGGAGATGGTTCCGCAACTATTCTCGTAGGGCACATCAGCACATTAACGAGAACATAACCTCCCCCTCCTCATCTTCCCCTCCTCAACTCACAACGTCGTCTGACTGTCGGAAGCATCATTGCATATTACATTACACTAGCATACGCACTTTTTGCGTTCATCCTTCATGGAATACGTTGAATATCATGGACTACACCGCTTTTGTTCATCATACTGTTTTGTGTGTCGTTCCCGTCGGCTAGCCTCTGCGGAATTTCTCAAAGATCTCTGATCTGACGTTATGTTCTCTGTGATCCCCCCCCCTCGCATTTCTGAGAGTTGCAACAGAAAGCCTCGTACATATACGTGATTTCTGGACTGACCTGCCGTCTCTCTGTTATCCCGGTTAGAATGATTCCATGCACCTTTGTACGCTTTCCCACTGCATTTCTTTTGACTCATCCCGCACTACTTCTGAGCTTGTGTGTTTCTTTTCGCACATTGCTTTTCTTAGCCCTTGCCCCTTCAGCTGAGACACATGCGTACAACATCTGCTCTATGTTCTTTTTGTACTTCAGATTTGATATTATTACAAGAAAGGCCCGCAGAGTGGAGTGGGCTGCATTCTCCTGCAAAAGTATGGAACACGAGCACTACTCTTGCGTAATCTCTGCTGAAGGAGCCCTCTCCCACTTCCCCCAGTCAAATGACGTATGGTATTTTTCGCACTTTGCGGTTTGCGGCCTTTTCTGAGTGTGTGGTCTCGAGAAGTTCTTCTTCTAGTCAATGAATAGGGAATATGGAAAAATTATTCAGAAATTTTCCGGTAATTTTCCCTCTGTGTGCAAGGTAATCTGTGGAAGTCACACAGACACACAGAAGGTTTTCTGTCAATACACAGTCACTGCCGTAGAAGCGGAACATTGCTCACAAGGGGTCCTCTTCACTTTGCTATAATTTTCGGAAAAACCTCAGCAAAGGGTCCTAACTTCCATATTTCATAACTGTTACTTGCTATGTATTTCACCAATATTGGCTATTGAAATACCAAGTTGCTAAGAAAATAGTAGAAGCATTACGGCATGGGACCCTGCTCCCTCTCTTATTAGGGTGGTATTTGGCAATCTAAGAGATTTTGGGCAACGATATGTGTGAGAATGGGAGGGATATTGTTCATAGTGGGGCTAATCCTGATACAAAATACCACGTTATTGACTAAAGGGGCCGTACAAACACTTGTTAATACTTTAGATTCTTAATCACTGAAAAAAAAAAAATAGAATGAGAGAGTATTGACAATGCCTCACAAAGGGGAACCTTTTTTGGTCAGTGGCATTAGAGAGCATCATAGATATTTGCTGAACTAATGTATAATTGAGACATCAATCAGTCATTTTAATCGGTTTTTGGTATTGACTTTGTAATCGATTCTGAGTGCTTTGTTCTTTTCTTTATTGATGCCCGAAAGTTGATTATAACTACACTTTGACTTTAAAAGCAGGATATAAAATAAAAAATACTACCCTAAGAATAGGGATTAGCTGACTACATACATATAAGAAAATAGTATTTGATCTGGTGATTTGAAAACTTTGTATGTTTTGTACTTCGGGAATAGGGTACGGCCTTATTATTTTATTTTATTTTTTGTAAGGCTTTTGGAGAAACCTGAATGGAACAGATGGCGGCGAGACCAGCAACAGCGATGGTGAAGAATTCAATGGTGCATGGAGTCACTCGAGTCGATTTGACTGCTTACTCTGCGGAATCATTTGAAAATGCAATCCAGTTTTACTTGGCATTCCTTGTGCTGGACGAGCTAGACCAAAATGAAGACGGAGGTGTGGTCCTTGCCAATTCCCATGTATATATCAAGATCAGTTATAAAGAAGATGGTGAGATGGAGCGTAAAGTGAATGATAGGCTCATGAACCTAATAGAAAAGACGACGTCGGGTGATTGGCGTGCTGTGTCATCTAACGTGCTTGTATATACTGTTGATGACATCGGGTTGGTGAAAGAAACATTGAAGAGGATTGGGTTACCACATCAAGCATATCCAACAGAATTGACACCGGCACAGATCTACACCTTAGATCCCCTTGGAAACGTTGTTGGTTTTACTGGAAACAAGCTAGCGATAGCCACCGAGATACCCTTTGTACTACCAACCGAGGAGGATGATGAATCAGAACTGTCATCGAAGGAATCTTCCTACACTAATCTTACGTCATTGATGCGTACAACAAGTGGCTATCCGTCCCTACCTTTTGGGCACTCAAGAACACATAGAAATATTGCAATACTGACATCGGGCGGTGATGCACCCGGGATGAACTCGGTGATAAGGGCTGTTGTAAGAACAGCATTATTTAAAGGATGCAGAGTATACATAGTTAGAGAAGGTCTGGAAGGTTTAGTAAAGGGATACATAGAGGAGTTTTTTTGGGAAGATGTAGGTGGATGGAACAGTCAAGGTGGTACAAATATCGGTACAGCTAAAAGTAATGCATTTTTACAAAGAAGAGGCAGATTATTGGCTGCCAGAAACTTGATCATTCATGATATAGATTCATTGATTGTCTGTGGTGGTGATGGATCATTAGCTGCTGCTGATATCTTCAAGCATGAATGGCATTCGCTTATTAGTGAATTATTGAGCTCTCATCTTATTAAGATAGAGCAATTGCATTCACATAAACACTTAACAATATGTGGAATTTCAGCATCGATAGACAATGACATACCCGTTACTGATGCAAGCATTGGGGCATATTCTGCTCTTGATAGAATATGTAAAGCATTAGATTACATACAGGTAACAGCTGAGTCTACATCGCGCGCATATGTTGTAGAAATCATGGGTGGAAACTGTGGTTGGCTAACATTACTCGCTGGTATTGCAACAGCTGCAGATTATATATTCCTTCCAGAATGTCCTCAACAAAAGGAGGACTGGCGAACACACCTTCAGAGGATTGTTAAACGAAATAGAAGGAATGGAAGACGTAACACATTGGTTCTATTATGTGAGGGAGCTGTGGCTGCAGACTCTACCCCAATTACCTCAAGAGATGTTCACCAGGTTTTATCTGAGGAGCTTGATATAGATACGCGTATTACTGTCCTAGGTCATGTACAAAGAGGTGGTGCACCAGTTGCATATGACAGAATTTTAGCTACATTACAAGGTGTCGAAGCCGTCAGTGTCATTTTGGAGTCTACACCTGATACACCTTCTTACTTAATTGCTGTAAAGGAGAATAAAATCTTGAGAAAAGATTTGCAGGATGCTGTGCGTCAAACATTTAAGATATCCACTTCCCTCAAGGATAGAGAGTTTGAAAAGGCATTCAGAGCGAAGGAGGCGGAGTTTATCGAACACTATCATAACTTTCTTGCAATAAATGCTGCCGATCAAGATAAGAAGTTAGTCAAATCAGCTTCACTTCTGAACATTGCAATAATTAACATTGGCGCTCCTGCAGGAGGCATGAACTCTGCTGTTTATGCAATGGCATCATATTGTATGTGGAAAGGGCATCGGCCCATTGCCATCTATAATGGGTGGTCTGGTCTTGCAAGACATGAGAGTATTAGAAGTTTGAAATGGTCCGAAATTGTAGGATGGCAGAGCCGGGGCGGTTCTGAAATTGGTACAAATAGGGAAACACCAAATGAGGCAGATGTTGGTATGATAGCATATTATTTCCAGAAGTACAAAATTGATGGTCTGATCATTGTTGGTGGCTTTGAGGGGTTTGAGTCTCTTAGACAACTAGAGAAGGCACGTGAACTGTTCCCAGCATTTAGAATTCCAATGGTACTAATCCCTGCCACATTGTCAAACAATGTTCCAGGAACGGAGTATTCACTTGGATCAGATACAGCACTAAATTCATTGACTGAATTTTGTGATAATATCGGTATTTCATCCGCCGCTACAAAGGATAAGGCTTATGTAGTGGAAGTCCAAGGTGGAAATTCGGGATATTTAGCTACTCTCACCTCTATTGCCATCGGTGCATGTGCGACATATGTACCGGAAGAAGGTATATCACTGGTGCAACTTTCAGAAGATATAGAAACTATTTCTAAGTCATTTGATTGTGTTCAAACAGGTGATCACGCTGGTAAGATTATTTTGAAAAGTCAAAATGCATCTAAGGCAATGAGTGCTGAAAAATTAGCTAATATTATTACAGAGGAAGCTGCTGGCAAATTTGAAGCAAAGTCTGTTATACCGGGCCATTTACAACAAGGTGGTACTCCAAGTCCAATTGATAGAACTAGAGCAACAAAACTTGCTATTAGAGCTGTTGATTTCATACTTGAAAAATCTAAGGTGCTGAAATCTCAGGATGATGTGATATATGAACACACAAAAGAACTGACAGAATCAGCAGTGGTCCTTGGGGTCAAAGGTAGTAATATTTTATTTACATCAGTTAAGCAATTGTACTTATTTGAGACAAATGTTCGTGATAGAATGCCCAAGGTTATACATTGGGATGGGATCCGCACGTTATCAGATCATATGGCAGGAAGGAGGAGAATCTATGAAGATGAAGACAATTAAATATCCCAAATATTCATAATATGTAAATAGCATAGGATAAGTCGCATAGCAAGTTAGTAAAGAAAAGATGTTATTATATGATTTCAATTGTTACTGAAATGAACTTTTTATACACAAGAAATAAGTACATTATATGTTTACTAATAAATGAATGGGAAACAAATAAAGAAGGCAATAAAAGAAGTGTAATAGGGCAACCACAATATCATTAGTTATTTGCATGCGATATTTGGTTGGTTATTCCGAAATATGAATGAAGTTGCATTCGATTTCTGTTTGATTTGTTTTTGATTTATTTTTGCGACGTCATCATTTATTGCAAGTAATCTAGGTTGAATTCTGATAGAATTGATTGGCAAAAGTCAACTTTACATTTCTGGTAGAGCTTGCAATGGGTTACCATCTGCGTCCAAACCTTGTTGCATCATTAGTAGTTCTTGGTTACCAGCCGTTTCGAACTGTAAACCACAGCCAATCTTACTTTCCTGTTTGAATTGATCAATTTCACCACAGAACAAAACAGACAATGTTGGTAAGATCTTTCTCTCCAAGAAACAGCCAATCTTACCGTTAGAGTCGACGGAACCACGGTAAACGGATTGTCTATATTCGTATTTAGCACCAATGGTAGTGGAACCTTCGATGGTTGGTTGAATACCAATTGGAGTACCCATAACTGGGTCTGTGATTGGAATCATACCGGCTTGTAGAGTCGTTTCGATACCGGCTTCAACATTTGGGGCAACCTTTCTCCAGAAAGAGGCGACCAAAGCACCGTTGGCTTGTAATTGACCAGAGAAGATCCAGTCTTGCTTTGGAGAAACGTAACGGGTCAAATATGAGACACCACTGTCTGCTGGAGTCTTGGCATCGGCTCTGGAGTACAAGACCTCTAGACCGACAGCCAACTGTGGGCTGATACTTTGTAGAAGAGAACCGACATAAACACCGGTCAAAGTCCCGTTACTAGAAATGGATGGATTTAGAGACTTGAAGTTCAAAGAGGAATCAGAAGCCTGGTAATCTTGCTCCAGTTGGCACATAGTTGGTTGGCCGTTAGCAATTTGTAAGTTGATCTTAGATATGTTGTTCTTGTTCCAACCATAGTTCATTCTACCGGAAAGGGAGAAGTCATTATCGATGTTACCTTGCATGAACAAGTTATCATTTGCAAATAGAGCAGAGAATGCATAGTTTGGCAGAGAGGTAGAGCCAATAGAGAAAGTGTGAGAAGTTTGGAAAGCTGGGTTCAAAGTGAAAGCCTTGTTTAGATCAGCTCTTAGACCAGTGAAAAAGTATTGCGACAAAAACACATCTCTGGAGACTTCTTTGTTCAAGTTTTCCACAGTACCTGGGTTGACCAAGGATAAAGATTGTCTATGAGCATGTAGTTGTCTGTAAGTATCAATGACAAAACTAGATAGCGGGTTGGCGGACCAGAAACTGGACTTTTCCCTGTCTTCGTTTAACGAAATTGGAGGGATAGCAGTTATTTTGGAAACTTCTGGAGCAGACATTTTTTGATTCTCAAAATATTATATTGGTATGGATTTCTTCTCTTGTACAAGATCAAGCTGGCCGTTTCGCTTACTTTTTTTGTTTTCTGTTTCAACCAAAAGCGTCAGAAAGGTAAGCTGGTAGTTCTCTTTCCTGTTAACAGTCCTATGTTCACCAGAAATATGAGGCAATTGTTATAATATGTACTCTACGACTTATATTCAAGCTATACATGTGCTATTCGCCCACTTTCCGCCTTATTGCCTGTCTGCCTTCCCGCTTCTTTGGATTTCGACGGATTTTTTTCCAGGAAGGATTGGGCTTTTTGTTGTTCTGTACGGTGGTTTGTCATGTGATATAATATCACCTTCTTTTCAGAACTACTATTTCTTTATACAGTAATTGGTTAAAGACGGTCATGTGTAATACGTTGTCAGTTACTTCTATTCCATTACTATATAATTTATATATATATGTATCTATTAATGCATACATATAATTCTGTCTGCTGCTACAGCGTTATTATAGCCTGATACCATTGATAATTATACAGTAGTGTTTTGCATCAATGAAGGGACTGGTTATTCGTTTTGGTTTTGCGCTACAATTGGTTGTGGAGGCAGGTCATTCATATCTATCTTTTTACATATTAATTCGTTATCTTTTCGATACGAGCATCAAGGTCCCTTAGCACCTTAGCCTTCACTCGTAGTTGCTGCTCCTTATCAGCAATTATATTTTCCCATTCTTCTATACTGTTGGCTAGCAGGTTTCGTACTTCTTCGTTCTCCTGTAACAAAGCTTTACATCTCTTTATTCTATGCCTTATAAACCCAGTCGAAGTTTCTAGCTGGCTGGAAACATTGTTAGGATCCTTCCGTATTTTGTGTAATGAGAAGAAAATACTGGGAATAAACTCTGCCGGTGGTGTGGTTATATCACTGCTGCTGTTATCTTTTGTCTTCTCCAGCTTGACTTCCGGTTCTCGGTCGCTTGCAGATACAAGCAGCGTACTTATCTCCTTTAGTCCATCATTGTTGAGTACCATATTCTCACTAATTCGATGTATCTGTATCCTATATTTCGAGATTAGTCTTGGAGCTGTCATTCATTATGCAATGACTATCACTACCTGGCTTCACCGTTTTATCATTTTATAACTGTAGAACTCATTACAGTTAGTCGTCGAAATGTATAAAATCATAAGGTATGTTGTACCAAAGGTCCTGGAATGTAGTGTTACCTTAAGAGTAGTATATTTTATTAAGTTGTATTAAACAATTTTTATGCTATGCATTTTACTTGGAGCCATTAGTGGCGTCATCTTTACGTATACATTCGGTAGGGGAATTACCGGCTCGCCCTGCTGATGAGAGGAACTAAATTTTAAATAATAGTACAAAATAGGATACTCTGAGAAATGCTGATCTTAAATCAGAGATCGGTGCGATATCATCAGTATCCCTTATAGTTGTAATTTGAACATCCAGTATTTGTAGTTTTATTGCGCCATATTGTTTTTTCCTTGTATAAGGCGATGTATGCTCCGGAACAGATTCATTTCTGTGGGATGTTCATTCAGAAGAGGCAATTATAGAACAATGTGGCTCTTTCTAATTTCAGGTTTGGAATATGGATAATAATATCAAAAAATAAAGATAAAGATAAGATAATTGGAATCTGGCAAGCCATTATTAAATCGTTAGTTGCTTTTTGTTTGGCTAATTCAGGTGCCAATTTCTTAAACTTTGCTTGAATATAGGAAAATCAGGGACTTTGCGGCTTTAACACTCATTGGTGTGTCCTGTTTTTGTCCTAGATGGCGTTTGTTGGCGTTGCGAATGGGCGTTGTAAAATCGTTTGTTGTATCATTGCTATCGTGGAACTGTAGAGAAGAATCTCTCTTGGACATTAAAGAGGATGTGCTTGACGACATGGATATGTCAGTTGAGACATCCTGAAGGTTATGAGTGTTTGTAGTGTATAGTTTATGTTCTTTTCTCTTTGCTGGGGTTTTGAAGTTTCCATGAGAAACTACTAACTTCCTCCTCTTTGTATTCTTTTTTGATGCTTTTTTGGGTTTTGAACTATGTAATGCCTTAAGCTCATTAAATTTAACATGTTCTTGTTTAGTTCGATACTTGTAGTAAGCTAACTGTAGTCTGATCTGTAATTTCTTAGATAACTCAGTATAATGTGCTTTATCAACAGTATCTTCTTGAACAAGATGATTCATAGTCTCTTTTTCAGTTTCAGGTTTATTGGCCTTTCCTGGGCTCTTGTTGTCTGTTAGCAAAGCTGAGATTGAAGTATTTAATCTCTTATTAGAGTCAGTGGAAGTCAAAGTCACGCCCAATGGTTTACTATTATTAGCTTTTATTGGGTCTCCGACTGAGAATGATTTCGAGTGCAGTGTTGTTTGAAATGGATTGTAACTGTTCTTTTGATTGATTAGAGAATGGATTGAAGGTAATTTCATGCCCAGACCCATCCCAACTGAGTTTTTGCTCAAAGAGCTGCCTTCAGTAAGCGAAGTCATGATGACAGGTCCTGAAGTTGCCAGATTGTTCATGGCAGACTTGGTGTATTCTTGTAATGGCAACCTTTCTAATGACATAACCATGTAAAATACAACAAAGAACTAAAATGCAAATGCTAAACGGAAGTCCTAAAAGATCATACAAATATTGGAAATAAATACTTTAAATTAAGGCTTAACTTGGCTGGTCAAGTTTCGAATCCACAAAACGAAAAAAAAATGTATCAGTAGCAAACCGCTATTACCTCTTTTGACTCGGCTTGTTAGTTCTATAAAACAGATGTTTTCTGTTATTCTGAGATGACTATTATTCAAAATTCTTCAAAAAAAAAAATAAGCCTTCACAATTATCTTTCAATAAAGTTTATATTTTATTTTATTCTTTGTTCTTTTTCTTTTAATTTGCAAGAGCTGATATTATATTATAATACTTGTAAAAATTTTGACTATTTTGAACTTGTTGTTATTTAGTTTCCCGTTTGTTGATGTTCTACAATTGACTGGAGATCACCTAACACCAAACTTGTGTATTCTACGTATATTGCTCCAATTCACTCTCCACCTGTTTGTTTATTAAAACAATAAACACTTCTCGTTCCCTCTCGATTGCATTTTGGCTTTCACCGTTGTTTTGCCTCTTGCCTATTACTGACACATCCTGCAACGCACCAACAGACCCCCTCTCCCTCTCCGATCTGCATGCAAGATCGGAGGGCTTCGAAGGGATATATATTGCTCCTCTCTTGATTCAAAACCCTGCTTGTAGGTTTCCCTGCCAAGATTGTTACTATGTAATTCTTTGTTTACATTTTCTTCCGCACTGAGGGCATCGCAAGACCGACGCGAAATTTGCTCCCTTTCTTCTGCTATAGAAATGACGTAGGGAATAGTGGTGAATTCCTTACTCGAGAATATAATGTGAATTTGGGGACACGAAAATGGAAATATACAAACAACTAATGCGAGTTTACATAATAGCACGGCAGTATATATATAAAAAAATGAATTACAATGGGTTTGGCTATGTGTGGAGGGGTTGTGAGTTTCGCTTACAGAGCACTGAGTCAGGAAAATAGCCTCGCTTTGCACTTTCTTCCAAGTTGAAAGATGTATAATTTAAGTTTATAGAATGTATGAATGTTTATAATGTTGTATTTTATAGTGGGAAATTGATCTCTTTTACCCACTCTGACATGTTGGATAGGATTCTCTGTTCAATGGAATCACCATTGCCAGTTGCGACTCTTAGTATGTATTCATTTAGCTCGGCACTTCCGAGGATATCAACATGTTCAGCACTATTTGGACCACCTCTGATGTCAAATCTGTCGGGTTGATGCTTGAGTTCTACAATGGTTACATTCATGCCAGCAGGGTTGTAGGCTGATTGGCCTTGAGCCCACTTATGGCACATGGCATGCGTAATAACAGGGACAGTACCGTCACCTTCAGTGAAGTATACCGGTTGGGAACTATCGTAATCGATAGTCAAGTTCAAGGACGACTGGTTGTCTGTTTTCTGTTCTTTGTAGACGTAGGCACGTTCAGTTGGGTTGTTTAAGCCATAAAAGCAATAGATCTTCATATCTGGTGCATTGGGTAAAGGAACTTCCAAAGGATTGGTCCAATACTTGTGATTCTTTTCATTTTCCTTCAGTTCGTCTTCTGTCTTGGAATACCCAAAGGAATATTGCTCATCTATCCTTTCCTTCAACCACTTTGGGGATAAGCGCCTTACTAGCTCTATCGAATCATTCATGGTTAAGTTTTTCTTAAATTCATCATCATTAGATACATTTTCAAACCTAATGAAATTTCCATATGTGTCAGTATTGTTGTGCTGTGAATCTTCAGCTGCAAAATCCATATCACCCCAAATTAAGTTGCCACCTTTAGGTAGCATAGATGGTATACCACCCCAGGTTTGAATCATCTCTAATCTTTCCTTTCTGCTAAAGAACTTCTCTAAACCATACATGGCAATGGCGTTTAATTGTATAGTATCTTTCATTTCACCACTTATTAGCGCTGGAACAGCTTTGGGAGCGCCTAGCAAAGTGCCCGCAACATTAATGAAAGAATCAATGTGTTTTGCAACCCAATCTTTACCACCATTACCATACTCTGGACCTTCGGCTTCGACCCATTTCAGGAAGTAGAAAACCACTTGAGAGCCCATGGAGTGGCCAACCAAGCAGACTTTCTCTCCAGTAGATTGGTAAAATAGCTCGACTTGGCTTTTTAATTTACTGAAATACTTATCTCTCCTTTCTAAGTCGAGGTATGCTAATCTCCAATCATAAGAAGCAGTAGTCATCTTGTTTGGGTCATAACCTACAACACCCAAATTTTGAAGCACTTTGTTCCAAATCCAGTAACCTGCAATAAAGAAATCAGATGATTCAAATCCTTGAGCTGCTCGCAGTGTAAAATTTGGAGGATCTAGACCTGTTTCGGGGTCCAGTTTGACGTGTTTGAGCCAGCAAACTTTGTCTAGAACCATGGTCCTTAGCATATAGAAAGATCCCCAAAGTCTCTTTCTAAAATGTGGTGAGCTATCACATTCCTCATCACCGATAACACCCCAACTTTCTATTCCTGTCGATATCACACCTGGTACCATGACAACGGGGTGCCTGGTAGTCACATTATATTCAGCCAAGTATTGTTTTCCCACTCCGAAGCTCTGTGTCAAGTTCTGAACTGAAGAGGCAGCCAGATAGTTAGTCTGTATATCCGTCAAAAAGTTGGTAAACCCATCAGGCAAAATATCCTTCCAGTCATCGAAGTAATCTCTAAAAACATCGAAATTCATGATACCATCGAGCAACTCCTTGTTGTTCCCATGTACATGAACAGCACCAAAATACACAGAAATCAGTAGCCCCAATAGAGCACCCATGGAGAACACAAACCTTTTGGAGTCTCTCCACCGTTTACGTTGCCGTCTTGGTATAATACGATCCAACAATTGTTCATCCTTCTCATTTTCATCTTGATCATCCCCTTCCTTAGAGTGTCTAGAAGCAGTAGATGCCCGCCTTTGTAATTCATGTCTGTTCAAGTGGATAGGTTGTTCAGTATCAATATCATACTCAACTGTATCGCCTCGAACACCTGTCTCGCTTGTAACATCACTGCTCTCATACACCGACGACCGGCTAACTTCCCGCTTCCTATTCCTGTGCCTAGCCACCATTATCCTACTATACACAGACTTCACCTTTGATAAAGATATTTAAGTGCTCCTAAATGGCTTAATAGCTCCAGCCATTTATAAATCAATTGATCAATTTCTTATCGTAAATGCTCATTGATTAAGATGTGGTTGCTCATCCCAGCTTTCTTCAGACTTCACTTTTTACGTGCGATGCCCTTGTGGCCCATTCTTAGCAAAATGCGATGAGGTAACAACATTGAAGTCATACTAGGGTCTTTAGAGTACCAAATTCTTATTTATTTAAGACAAGATTATACCAAATAAACAACTGGATAGTTTTTGGAGCTTGTTGCCTGTTATTAGTGTTTTTTGGTGCTTTTTTTTGCGATTAGTCAACGATTATTACTCAAAGAAATATGATAAGGTCAGCACTGAGCAACTGGCGGGAGTATTTGACGCCAGTTTCTCATAAATCTACGTTTTTGACTACTGGTCAAATAACACCTGAAGAGTTTGTTCAAGCAGGAGACTACCTGTGCCATATGTTTCCAACCTGGAAGTGGAACGATATGGCAGATGATAATAAATATAGGGACTTTCTTCCCAAAGACAAGCAGTTTCTTGTCATAAGAAAAGTACCTTGTTCAGAGCGTGCGCAAGCTGTGGTTACTATGGATGAAATCGAGAACGGAACCTCGACTGATGCTTTCAGTGCTGCTGACGATGAAGATAATGACGATGACTCAATAGAGATTATCCCTGTGAGTAAGAGTAGTTCAGGAGCTGACAATGATGTCAATGATATAGATGAATTGATGGAAGAGATGGAGCTCGAAGAAGATGATGATATTGTCGCAAATAAGACCAATGAGATGCTTAGATACTACGACTTATTTATAACTTATTCCACGTCTTATAGGGTGCCTAAGATGTACATTGTAGGTTTTAACGGAAATGGTACACCCTTGACCCCAAAGGAAATGTTTGAAGATATAACGCCTGACTATCGAAAAAAGACCGCTACGATAGAGAAGCTACCCTTTTATAAGAGAAATGTTCCCAGTGTATCTATTCACCCCTGTAAACATGCAAACGTAATGAAAGTTCTATTGGACAAGATTAGTGTAGTTAAAGAAAGGCAAAGAGAAGAAGAAATGCAAAAGAATGCTGAAGTTGGTGCACCAAAATCTGCTGGTTCTGATGATGGCGACAACGAAAACTGGGAAGATTTACAGCAAGATATCGATGATTCACTACGAGTAGACTTATATTTGGTTGTTTTTTTGAAGTTCATAACCAGTGTTACTCCCACAATCCAGCATGACTACACTATGGAAGGCTGGTAGAATTTATCATTGTTACAATCATGACCATACAACATTTATGCATTTCTAATAGTATAATAATGACTAGTGGCCATTCACTACTGTACATCAATTACATTTAAGTTGATATATGCATACAAATATGGATCGATCTCTATTATTTTTAAATAGGGTTATTATATAATGTATGCAAAGTAATATATTTATTTCAATAATGTTGTATATGAATAATATTCAGATACCATTACAAAAAATGTCTCTAAGGACCACAGTTAGAGTTCTATTAACAATGCTTCCTCTTGGGAATCCTGAGGTTTATCCTCTACTTGCTCCACATTATTTTCGGGTAATTTCCTAGCAGGCACTGTAGGGAAGTCGAAATTGGTTATATTATCATTTTTTTTAGTGCGAGTAGTTTCATCTTGGTCGTCATTTTCGATAGGGTATGGAATGCTACCAGGTGGAACGGCATTTTCTTCATATTTGCCAGCCCTTTCCGAGTTTAGTTGAATAGATGTTATGTCGTTCAGTTCCTCGTTAGGATATGGGGGTTCTGAAGCAACTCGTTCGTTATTAACATTTGATGGTGGTTGAACAAGATTTTCTAGTTGCCGTTCATATGCTTTGCTTTCTATAGTCTGAGAATCTGTTGGAGCTGTATATTGAGGCTCACTTTCCCTTTGAGATAAAGGTTTATTGTTCACCACATTATTCGTTTGCGAGGTGTTGTTTTGGATTGCAGGTTGATTGTATTGACTATATTGACTGTATGGGTCCGCTTGTGCCTGTGGGACATTAAATCTCTCGCTTAGGTTTATGTTTCGTAATTCTTGTTCCAGTAAATTGTCGTAAGTGTTCATAATGTGGGAAATCTTACCATTCATATCTACTAACGTATTATATTTTTGGATTTTTGAATTCAGTGTGTTTCCTAGACGTGGTTTACTGGCGAATACCTTTTGTGCCAGTTGTTGAAGTTGGGGATCATCCAGTATTTCAGAGGGCGGTCTTGTTTTCATTCTTTCAACTAATGAAGCAAAAAGATAAATATCTTCCTCATCGGCGGGGGTTAATTCATTAGCAGGTGGCCTAAACTGTTGTGGATAGGCATTGGTATTCTGCTGTTGAGCATGTTCTTCCCTTCTACGTTTCTCCTCTTCTGCTTCTCTTAAACTTGCTTCAATTGCAGCTTTTAAGTCAGGATCCTCCTCTTCTACAGCAGGTATTTGAGGTTCACTTTCAACAACTGGAATAACAGGTTCGACACTGCTATTAGATGCCCTTAATGACAGTTCAATTGCTTTCCTTAAATCTTCGTCTTCATCTTCAGTAGCATGGCGGTGACTTTTTCTATGTTTCCTCTTTTTTCCTTGACTACCGCTTCCCTTTTTATAATCATAATCATCATAACAATTATCACATACTCTAACTGAATCATATATACCGAGATCTGGTAATGGAATACTTTTGGAGGAATGGTCCTGGCAGAAGACTCCACCACAAGACCTACAGTGATGTCTCCTATTCAGTAAAGAAAATTTCTTCGAACAAATCATACATGCATCTGAATCAATCCAATCAGCTGGTGTTTTAGAATCAAATAATGCATTCACATTTGAAGAGATTGGAGCACCTTCTGGAAACTTAACACCTCTTTGTCTTAATTTATCGTAAACCCTGCTCACATAGTTTAACTGAGAATCATTCTGAAATGCTAAGTACAACTCGTATAGCATAGTAGTTACAAGTTCTACAACTTCATCACTATCATCATATTTCAGGATTGTATGTTCCATTGTATCCATAAACTCTCTTGAGCAAATCTCCCTTAAAAATGGTATACCACCATTCTTGATACATATCTCCACCAGTTTCCAAGAAGACAATTGTGTATTAGGATTATTAGTCGTGTTTGTAATACGCTTCTTCAAGCATCTCATACCATCTTTTGGTGCAATCCTTCGTGATCGCAGAATATCTGATATCTCCAGCGCCACAGGTAAGTTTAGCTCCCCATTAGGGATGCTTTCGCTCGTAGCTCTCTCAATTACCTCAGAAAATTCCTCTGAGGACGTCGTTGCCATATTATAGCTTGTTTATCTTGAAAAAATGGTATGCTTCTGTTTTAACTCAGTGCAAACTGAAAAACTGAGTCCTTATCAAGTAGTACTTTCTTTCGATAACCCAGTCAAAAGTCACTATCGCAATCAGGAATCGGTCAAAAATGTGAATCTGAACTCTTAAGAATCTTAACCAAAGTCCACCAAATATACACCTGTTACTGTTAAGTTCAATGTTGTTTAACCAATATATGGGTTCAGTTAACCCAGTTTGTCTTCAAATTACTTTCTACCTATTGCCTTTCAAGGCTTGAATCAGCCATTTACAACAAGCCACCCAATGTGAACCACGTTCATCGTGATTAATATAAGATAATTTAGTTAATGAGTTCAATAATGTACTATGTAGCAAAGTTTGTTCTGGTGCCTCACAATGAATACCATATTACATTTGATTTAGTATAATTTCCATGTATCTAGATGACTATATGAATTGCTCTATTAAAATCAATATGCCCTGATTTAATATATAAGTATTTTATAAATGACTCCATTTTTTATATTTTTCATGAATAGTATTACTCGTTAATCGTCCCATAATAAGTTTGATAAGTTAAACTTGCTCTGTCAGTATACCACCTCACATAATTGAATTGACATTCGCAACAGGCAAGGAGATTAAGGATGATCTACTGCTATTAGCGCCAGCATTATGTGAAGAATCACTTGGGGAGTGGTACATCCCTGTGCCCACAAATTTAGCACGCGGTGGGGCGATATGGCTAGCAACCCCATTTGGATGTATATTTTCCTTATTTTCCATATTCATAGAAGTATCACTTATATCTTGGTCGTAGCCCCGCTTTGTTCGGTAGTTTACAAGACTACTGACACTAGGTGAACTGCCACATACACTTCCACCTGGTTTATGTTCAAAACTGTACATTTGTGGTGTAATAGGTGACGATTGTTCCATTACGCTGAATATGCTATTCTCGGAGTTAGCACTTACATTTCTCATTGGTGTATGGCTTTGTGCTGAATATACAGGTGAGGGCATATTAGAAGATGAAATTGACTCGTAATTGCAAGAGACAGGAATTGTTCTTGATAGATCCAAGGAGGCGGCCAGTTCCAGTTTCTTTTGAAGAATGCTCTTGTAATTATTGATACTAGTAATAAAGGCTGAAATACCTGGTTGATTCTTGTAGACTTCGGCTAAAGACTTTGGTGTTTCAGTTATAGCATCAATAAATAAAGTTTCAAGTTTGGATTGCTTCTCCATATTTGTAGCAGGGGTAGCCAAAAACGGGCCTTGATCAGAACTTGCAAATCTGTTGATTATATGGAAGATACCTTGTGCAACTTCGAAGAGCTCAAAAGATAGAAACTCATATTTGAATGAAGCAAGTTCCATTAAGAATCTTTTCAAGTTGATTAGTTGAATCTTACTTTTCAACTCTTCGTCTTCATCATCTTCTTCGATACTGTGACCTTTGATATCAAGATCTATGTCATCAACGGTAGCATCGCTATCTGTGGAGGCTTGAGACTGACGTTTTCTTCTATGTTCAAGTTGCCTTTCATATAGTTCATATTGGATTAAGCAGTTTTCATCAGCATTCAAAACATAGTCATTTAGCATGGGCTCGTAAACATCCCAGTTAAGTGTGTCTAGTATATGTCTTTCCATTTGCAAGAACATTGACTCATCAAAATTGTTGGACCCGCCACAATACAAGACTAGCTCAGAAAGTCTTGGAATTCTTGCTCTTGGATTTGGACCGTAAAACCTTCCACCTGTTGGGACAATTACGTTGTTGATAATATGGTTGCAACCACCCCAAGTCTTAGCTGCGAGCCAGAGACAAGTAGCCACTACCAGCTTCGCTTGATCTTTTAACACCACTCTTTTTGAGCAGTAACGGTCATATAATCTAACCGCCTGCACAAAGATACCATTGGTCACGCGGGTCATCACTGACAACTCAAAGAGGAAAGTGACAATAGCTTCTCTAGTATCTTCTGGTTTCATTTCAGGTTGTTGGTCGATCAACTTTGGGTTTGGTTTAAATTTCATAGATTGCTCAAGGACATTAGCAGAGATATCCTGTTGGTACTCCTGGATCATTTCATAGTGGGCCAAAAGCTCAGCGTTAGAGAGTTCAATTGGGTAATATTTTTGCTTAGCGGTAACAATTAATCCTAATGATTGGCCGTTTGTCATGTTGCTTTATCTAAAGACGAATTTTGTTGATTAGTAAACGAAAGTAAAAAATGTCAATGTAAAAAGGAATGTAAAAATTAAGCCAGTATTGTCAACTTCGGTGTCTTAGTTGATATTAAAAATGAATGTAAAGAAATTTTCCTTGTCACTTAGGATTGTTATCTCTTATTCCTTTAGTTTCGCTATCTGTGTTTGAATTAAATAATATTATTCTTGATTTTAATAGTCCATAAAAAAATAACCTGCAAAAATAATAGTTGGGATAATTCTTGAGTGAGATAAATCGAACGATCAGCTTCTATCAAATGTTTCTCTGATTGATTAACTTTAAAATGATCAAAAGTAGTAAAACCTGAAATGAGTGAATGGTATTAATGTATGATCAATTAGAAAAATAGACCGTTGATGGGGTTATAGCTTAAGATAAAGAATAATATACCAACGTCAAAAAATGCAAATGCTAACAGATCAATGAAAAAATAGATGTTGAAGAAACTGTTATAGTTATATAACGTTGGATCAAAAAAAAAATTAGCTGTGGATCAAATTGAACAATTTCAAGCCTGTTGCAATAAGAAATGAAAAATAGCAGCCAGAATAAGGAGAAGATAGCGGGTTACAACCAAAAATGGCTTCTATCGAGGTGGGTATTCTAAAAAAGTAAGGGGACAAAAGAAGTAAAAGACACCTACGCCAATTTCAAAAAACTGCAATACCATAAAGAATGTCTGGTATTTTATTTTCTTTTTTTTTTTTTGTTTTCTGAGATTTTACAACTACGACAATAAACTTTTCGAGATTTAGGCCCTGGTTCAAACAGATCAAATTGGGCATTGTATTGCAATTCACAATTTACTTCTTTAGCTGGTTAGCGAAAACACTTTTGATTGCGCAGAGTGGACAAAGGAGACCGCCAATTGTCATCATTAGAGCACTGAGTGCTCCTCAGTTTTCCTGCTTTTATTTCCTTATACAACTACTTTCAAAATAAATGAAATTTATACCCAACCACAGTAGTAAATTGCGCTAAATACCTGATCTGTGTGTTGTTTACGGGATCAATTCCATGTCTAAATTGCCTGATCTTGTTATTTTGATCCCATCTATTAACATTTCGCGTTTTCACTCTACTCGTTGCCATTATCCTCGCCCGTTCACTGCCTTTCTTTCCCCCCCCCCCCACCTCCCATCCCCCCCTCCTGCCATCTCCCATAACCTACCTTTAACCCAATTAGGGAAATTTATGAACGCGAAAATGTAATTCTTGGGTGGTACAGTAGTTTTCACGCTTTCGATATGCGTGTTTCTAGTCTCCACGACACCGATCTTCTCTTTCTTCCGTTGCACTGACCCTTGCACTAGTCCTTCTTCGCACGCCTCTACCCTTGCTGTCTGGGGAATCACGAAAAAATGTCTCTCAGATGAAAAAGGAAGAAGGCAATGCTTCGATCATTGACCACACTGTGAAGGATGAAAAGCTTCGATTTCCCCGATTCGGTATATCTTTAGAAGGTTTGTTTGTGGTTTTCTCACAAACTACCTGAGAGGGACAAGGGAATCAAGCACGGCTCGCGCAGATTCTATGGTGTGTATTGCTAAGTTGGAGGCTACACGAAAAGTTCTAGAGTTTTGAAAGTCAGAGACCTACGTAAGGAAGTGCCGAAGGGGTGTGGGTGACTCAAAATTAGGGAACAATAGAAGCTTTATTCATTGTGGAAGAGACGACAACTTATCGGCTTAGTATCGAGTGTAGGGGAAAGCCACCAAACTATTTTGCCTTTTTTTTGTCCTTCTTAAGATTTACGGTTTCGTATTGTTCTATACATCTAAGTTGACAAGTTTACATAATTCTCAGCAACGGCGTGTTCCACACATAGAGACTGTTGGATTGTTGAACACTTTATGGCATATCGATTCAGAGAGGGTGATTCAAATTAGTAACGGGGAGAATATATTGCAAATTATGTCCGGTCACTGGAAATGGTAAATTGTAAATAATTGATAGTGAATAGTTGAAGGGAGACAGCTTATTTTCTAATAATAGATGTTCATCCATAAGCCTTTGCACTATCTAGAACCCATACCCTCTCCCCCCCCCCATCTAACTGCTACAAACAAAAAAGTGACATCGATGTATTTGATCAATTTGGTTGATATAGTATGCGAAAAAAAAATATACAATTCTCGTGATCTAAATATCTTATGTATGTAAAGCTGTACTAGGAATTTTTAAAAAGAAAGAAAATAATAGGGCATAAAGTAATTGTTAAGTACACTATTGGTTCTTCATTTCGTGATAGGAATCCTTTTTTTTTTCGATTGCAATGTACAGTCCATGAATATATGAAGGGGATTGTGATTTATCAAATATCGGTAATCGTATGATTACCAATACTTGATAGCTATGTTTTTTCTCTTCTTTCTAAAAGTCGTAGGTAACAAGAATATATATGTATGAGGCTTGCAAGACGAAGAAAATGCCCGCCATCACATATTAATCATCTCTACCACTTTTGGATATCATCTCTAACGTATAGATAGTCGTCGAATACGAGGATGACTTCGTCGGTCTCTTTGTCGTAACCAGCAACCCTGACGGATCTGTGATCCTTAATGACTATATCACAGCCCTTCTCTCTCAGCGAAGAGGCAGAGAAAGTGGTAGCGATACCGATGATCTTACAACCAGCAGCTTTACCGGCGGCAATACCAGCTGGAGCATCTTCAAAGACGACAACCTTAGACTTCTCAGGGTAATGTGTGTTGATTGGGTAGCCTAGACCTTCTCTACCCTTTAGGTATGGTTCAGGGTTAGGCTTACCCTTCTTCACATCGTTAGCAGTGATGAAGTATGTTGGCTTCTTGATGCCTAGAACAGCGAACCACTTGGAAGCCATCTCTCTTGTACCGGAAGTAGCCACGGCCCACTTTTCCTTTGGCAACTCGTTAAAGCTGTTACATAGCTTCACGGCACCAGCGACCTCGATGGCTTCCTTACCGTACTTATCAGGGATTTCACCTTCCAGCTTTGTGACGGTTTCCTCATCGGCGAAGTCTGGAGCAAACTTAGCAATAGCATCGTAAGTTCTCCAACCATGGGAAACATGGATCACATGCTCAGCATCGAAGTATGGCTTATCCTTACCAAAATCTCTCCAGAATGCAGCTAGAGCTGGCTGGGAAATGATGATGGTACCATCGACATCGAAAAGAGCAGCGTTAACTCTCAAAGTAATTGGTTCTGGCATATTGTTTTTTTTGTTTCGTACAGGTATTTATGTGTTTATGGATATATCATATAGAATCAGAATTACAGTACTAAAGACAAATGAGATGAACTGCTTATATACTTTAGAATTTTTCAACAATTTCGAACTTAGTTCTGTTCAGTTCCATTTTTGCTTTTTTTTTCTCTCTCTCTCTCTCTTACACTCTTTACTACACCGATGCGCAATACAAGGGATGAGAGGGGGGGTTATTTCTTTTTCCTTGTGCTTGACCTTTCACTTACTAAAGAAGCTTTCTTCTCTTCAAATTCAATTGAGACGAGAATAGCGATTCCCCGTGGTACAATGAGAGCATGTTCACAACAATGCAGGATTTCATTATGTGGAAGGGTCCTTTTGAACTGAACCCTTTTCGAAGCGTTCAAGCAGTGGAAGCATCCCCCCCTCCATCCCTTCCATGAAACCCCCCCTACACTTCTAAACCCTCCCCGCCCCCATTTATCCGGGCTTCCTGAGGTCATTTACAAAGCCGAGATAAAGTGGCGAGAACGGTTGACTATCTCAGAGAATGTGCAGTACAGTGCTCAGCACTTATGGACTCAAAGAGCTGCACAGACACTGCGCAGCTCCATAGAGGCAATTGGGAACCGCAAGTCCTGTAGACCCGAACAAAACCCCGCGGATACTGCCGCAGACTGCAGAGCCGGAAAAAAAGGGATGATTGTCCTCTCTTGTGCACAGAGATTCACGCACTCCCTCACACACACGGCATCCCACACAACGTAGCGCACAACCGTAGGGCCCCCTCCATAAAGAAGAAAAGTGAGAAATTGGATCCACCCCCACTATATCAGCAGCTACGAGCCGGAAAAACTTCCATTTATAAACCGGAAAAATTATACGTGTCGCGTTACCTCACCTGACTGATAAAATTCAAATAAAATTCAAATAAAATTATAATATAATATAATATAATAAAATAAAATATAACAGCTCTACTAAATTCTATCGACGCCAATACACAGCATATCATTGTTAATTGAGCTCTCTTTTGTATGTTTGTGACAGTGGAAATACTGTTCTCACAGGTGTAGACATTTGTATGTATCGTGACCCTATGTCACTAGAGTAGTGACTGGCTCTTTCGTCTACCACCTTTCCCCCCCTACTGTGTGTGCGCAAGTCTTCCCACTGGGGGGGATTCCCAAGGCCCCTTCCCATTATTGTCAACTGGTTTCTTCTAGTGTGTAGGGTAGGGAGTTTTGAGTTGAGTTTTACAGGGATCAAACCCAACAGTAAGCCATATATATACCTATATGAAGTTGAAGGGGCAGATTATCTTCGATGGTACAGATATACTATAATGAGAACCAAGCGTTAGAACCGATGCAACACAACCAAGCTAACGGCATATGGAAGGCCTCCTACATGGACGAGGCCAATGCAGACTCTAAGAGGTTCGCATTCACTAACCCATGGGGCAATGAAAAGATAGACGAGGACGAGGCCATGTCCTACAACTACTCGAGCGCTAACAGCACCGCTGATGTGGACATGAACAGCGACATGTACAAGCGTAGGAAATCGAGTCTGGTGGTACCGCCTTCAAGAGCCGCAGCACCGAACCCTTTCCAATACGAGACTATGCAAAACAGCACAGGTACAGCACAGCGAGCTATGTACCCAGAGTCGTCAGCGTACCAACAACAAAGACAGATCATGGTCCCACACCAGCAACAAGGACAACTGGCATCCAGGTTCAACTCTAGATTCGTGCCCTCTTTGTACAACCCGCAGGAGTTCCAAAGAAGACAAAGTCTCGCTACTGCTCAGTTCTCAACACCATCAAGTCTGCATGGTTCAGCGTCCAATCAGGCGTTCAACACGGGTTCCGGCAACAATGGTGTTAATCTGAACTACGCCAGTGCAAATGTAACAACTAACAATTCATCCACATATCTGAGTGCTATGACCCCGAACGTACCGATGGAGATGGGCAACATACCATTAGCATCCCCACACAGAAGGCTCAGTGCTTTTCCTACCAGTGGCACCACAAACTCCTCTTTGCAACCACCATTTAAACAGCTAAGAAGGGACGAGGGTTCCCCAAGGCAGATAGTCATCCCACAGATGCACAGATGCCACTCCAAAAATGATCTACAACCGTGTATTAATCCTAACCCAAAATTTAGGAGAGCCTCTTTGCACTCGAACACCATATCGCCTCTTATCGGCCTCACCAAGAGTCTGCTGACTACTTACGCCCTGTGCTCACCAGACTTCACTTACCAAACATCTAAGAATCCAAAACGTGTGCTAACGAAACCAAGCGAAGGTAAGTACAATAACGGCTACGATAATGTGAACAGTGATTACATCTTGTACGTCAATGACGTTCTTGGTACTGAGCAGAATAGAAAGTACTTAGTGCTGGATATACTGGGTCAAGGTACTTTCGGACAAGTGGTGAAGTGTCAAAATTTGCAAACAAAGGAGATTATTGCAGTCAAGGTGGTGAAGTCGAGATCAGAGTATTTGAACCAAAGTATCAGTGAGGCCAAGATTTTGGAACTGTTAAACGAGAAAATTGATCCAAACAATAAGCATCACTTCTTAAGAATGCATGACTCCTTTGTTCACAAGAATCACTTGTGTCTGGTATTTGAACTGTTAAGTAATAACCTTTATGAGCTTCTCAAACAGAACAAGTTCCATGGTTTGTCTATTCAACTGATAAGGACCTTCACAATTCAAATATTAGATTCCTTATGTGTTCTCAAGGATAGTAAATTAATACATTGTGATCTGAAACCTGAAAATATACTTTTATGCTCACCTGATAAACCAGACTTAAAGGTTATAGATTTTGGTTCATCATGTGAGGAGACAAGAACCGTATACACATACATTCAATCAAGATTTTATAGAGCGCCAGAGATTATACTAGGTATTCCATACTCTACCAGTATCGACATGTGGTCACTGGGTTGTATTGTTGCTGAGTTGTTTTTAGGTATCCCTATCTTCCCAGGATCTTCTGAGTTTAACCAACTGACCAGAATAATAACCACATTAGGATATCCTCCAACGTGGATGATTGATATGGGTAAGAGTTCTCATAAGTTCTTAAAGAAGCTGAACACTTTGAACTTGGATATGACTAATATTAACGACGTGGAAGCTCAAAATAATAATGCTAATTATACTACGGCTAATAGAATGCAGAAGAATCAGCCAACTGCTAAGTATAGATTAAAAACGATAGAAGAGTTTAATAGAGATAATAATGCTTCTGAAAAGGTTGGGAAGCAGTACTTTAAATGGGCACTATTGGAAGATATTATCAGAAATTATAGAATTCATAAGAATATCCAAAAATCACCTGAATTGATAGAGCAAGAGATGAAGAACAGAGAATGCTTGATTCATTTCTTGAAAGGTATTTTAAATTTGAATCCACTTGAAAGGTGGACCCCACAACAAGCAGCCATGCATCCATTTATAACACAACAACCATTTACAGGTAAATGGTTTCCACCAGGGTCTTTCAATACTATGAATACCAGTAACTTCGGGAGTCAACCCAGACAAGAAGGCAATAACTCTAATAACATGAAGCCAAACTCTCAAGAAGGGCCAACAAAGGAGTTCACCAACTTGAAGATTATAGAGGATTGATTTTATCTCCATTTCATTAAATCTTTAACTTGATGAAAACCCTTTTAACGATACAGATGTATAGATTGTATGGCATTTTCCACTGGCCATTCTTCTATATGAAATACTTGGATGATTGCTTTATATTGTTCAGTAATTTAACAAGGAATGCTGGACTTTTCATGGGAAGGTATCATATTTCCATTTCAATTTAATATAGAGACACGATTCCAAACTTTACGATCAAAACTATATATATATTTTTTCTACTTCTATATATTGTATTTTAATAAACAAATACTGATAACGTTAATACCAGGCTTGTTTCGTTTTTGCTTAGTTGCGATTTTGATGAAATTGCTTACAAAAGTATATTTTATCGGTCATGTTTATATGTATAAAACTATTTCCTTTTATAACTCTGTCGAAATAATATGTACAAGGGTCTAATAAAAATAGAAAAACAAAATTGCAAAATTGCAAAATAGCGAGCACAGATAGCATCCAGTGAGTTGTCCCCAATCCATTGACCATGCAACGATAACTATCTAAGTCCGATGAATCTTTTACTTTTGTTTGTGTTTTTTATTTCATTATTATTATTTTTGTTTTGTTTGGTCAATTTGAAAAGTTGTTAAAAGGAAACACTCACATCTATTCTTTCGATTGTACAGTTGTCAATTTCATAATAGTATTAAAAGTGAGCACCGAATGGGGTAGTGATTAAATAACGATTCATTAAGAAATGCTCATGCAACCATTTAAAGAAAAAGATAGTAAGACGCCACTGTCATATTAGAAAGTGATATACTTTCTCGATTGTATTTGGTTGGGTGTCATAAAATTAAATTTCGAAAAAGTAACATAGAGAAGGGGAGACAAAAAATAGAGTTGCTGATTTGAAACAAAAGACTAGTATGATTGGTAAAACGTAATGAAATGAGTTGTTCAAAAAAAAAAAATTATTACAGTGGAACAAATGAACAAATGAAGAAAAAATAAATGAAAGTAATCAGGCCTGTAAAGGTTGAGGTGGAGCGCTACCTGCACCTTCTGGTAGTGGTGGAGCCATTGGCTTTGCTTGCCAAGCAGCGTATCTTTGGAACATTAGACCGACACCTTCAATGACACCCAGCAAACATGCACAAGTAATAGCACTGTTTCTGGTATGTTTCCAACCACCTCTAACGGCTAAAGCACCACCAGTGAAAAAACCAGCGATGATTGCGTTCCATGGATCTTCTCTTTTCCTCACAGCCTTAACCGCACAGTCAAATGTAGAGAATAGACCACCCCATACACCGAAGTTACCACCTAGAACAGGAGCACGAGCCTTGACGGCACTCATGGCACCTAGACCACGCTCACCTAGAGGAGAATTTCTGAAACCTTTGATACCGTGCCAGACCACACCACCGATGGCACCCATGGCAAAGGCACCACCAAAGTCATTAAGTATAACAATAGGGCATGGGTCTCTAGAATGATCAGCAGACATTATCGGGTCAAAGGTGAGTGTTTATTAGTGTGTATATTTAGAGAAGATTGTATTTCTCTTCCGCTTTAAAAGAATAGCAGGAGGAGTGAGGTGAAAGAAATAGCTGAGACAGAATTGTAACTATGATTCCCAGTTTTTGACTATACTGGTTTCAACTTTGTCACACAACGAAGATTTTGGCAGTGCCAGGGAATCCGAAAAGTGAAATTCCAGAATTTTTTTTTGGGCTAGTGAGTAATATCACTGTGTACATATTAAGTCACGCTGTGGTACAGTGCATGGCCCTCTCCCAACATATTCAACTTGATTATATGGAAGGTGCTGTAGTGTATTGGGTATGAATGATGTAGATGTATTGTATTTGGTGAAACTTATAACAGATATGTAGTGTTACATAGTGGATAGAGTACAGGCAATGGATATAGTTGGGGGGGAGATGAATATGCAGAGAATACAGAAAAGACCTTGAAATAAATGCACGATTAGATTATTCTATGTTATTGTTGTTTTATGAAAATGCTAATTTTTTTTTTCAATCTATCGTTTAGATGGGAGAAGAATTGTCCGCTGATCCCGCTGTTCTTCCGTGATTTGAGTTGTCTGTGTAGTTAGAGTAACGAGGCTGCCTTATCTCTATGAAGTAGTATACCACTGGTGATCTAGGCTGATTCGTCACCGCGAAATCACCAAGTCTATCTGCGTCCTCGGTCTGTTCACGGCCAAAATAGATCGGTTCTTCCTTCTTGCTACGCATCACCCGCCTATGGTTTGTATCATTGTTAGAGTAAATCATTTTTGTTTGTGTTTCTATTTGTGTTTGTGTTTATAGTTGTGTTTGTTGTAATAATTGTAATTGTATAGTTTTATAATTTATAGCTGCCAGTCCCTGAATTTTTTTAAATACCATGCTAGGTATTTATATGTTCTCCTATAGAGGCTGAGAGTCATCCGCTTATTACATCGAAGGTTTGTCTATTCCCTCACACTATCAAAGGTGTTAATTTGTAATGAGCGACTCCCCTGTAAGTAACTAACTTCAAAGCATTTCCTTCACACTTTTCTGAGAATTGAATCCACAGTACAGCCCTTTCTCTGTCTTCCTTTCGTCCCTTCTTCTAATTCCAAACTTCCACAGACAGCACCGCATAATGTTTGGACTTTAGCCACAACCGCACAGTGTACCCCTAGGGGGGGGAGGATCCAACGAAGAATAGCCTCTTCACGGGATTCCTCTGCGGAAAAACTATGAAAGAGAAAACTGGCGCGCCTGAGCTTCGATATTTTTCCATCGCATTCCGACCAAAATCCCGAGAAGATAGGACCGCACAACTCTGTGGTTTGTGCGATGTATACTGAGACAATCTCTTTTCCCTTGTCCTCTCCTTCCTTCCCCCTCCAAGAGTACAGAAAAGCTTGCGTACCAATCACTTTTCTTCCATTTCTTTTAAGAATCCCCGGAAGGAAGTAACACTGAGGGAATCCTCACAGTGCCCTCCCTAACAATGAAGCGTAGGCTCCATTATGGGGCCCACCGGATCACACCTGGAAGCCATCGGGAGCACCGCAATTACAGTTTACCCGAGCATTAAAGTGGATGAGGTGCGTCATTTTCTGTGTTACTGTGCAGGAACAGTGGAACTCACTGCCTGCAGCTAAGCGGGAATACTGGAGGAATGTCATGACTTAGTGAAGGGATATACGGTTTTCTTGTGCGGGTGTCTGTGTGTGGCTTGTAGGAAATTATATATTGTGTGTTTATTATTAATGTATATGATATTGACAAAATGACGTAAATTACTTTATTACTTGGCGTTGATGTATTGGGTGTTCGGCGTGTGAGTCCGCAATATCGAAGAATAAACTATTCTACATCTTCGATCTCTTGTCTCTCGAGCAAGTAGGAAGCGTATGCGGTAGGTTTGACCTTTTTGACGTTCTGTTCGAAGATGGTGGATTTGGAAGAGCCCCCAAACTGGTCTCCGGGACATTGTTTCAAGTACTTGCCAAGCTTCTTACCGTCGTTCAGGACCACGAACTTCTTCCTAGTGTTCTCATCCACAAAAGTCTTGATGATGTCGTAAGCCCATGCAAACACGCTTGGCACATTGACGAAGTACTTCGCGTACAACAACTCCGGGTAGTATGTCTGGAAAGTGTTGATAACCTCTTTCACACAGCTCTTCATGTCAGAGTCCATGCGCCACACGGAAACGGTCTTGTAGTCATGCACTTGAGTCATGTAGCAGTTCTCTTCGTCCTGGAAGTTCAGCAGTTGTATACCTTTCTCCATGAGCCCAATACGGTACCTCAAGAACTTCTGCACATCCTTGAACAACTCTTTCTTCTTGACTAGCTTACCGTACAGGTTCCATGTGACAACACGCTTGTTGGGTTCTTCCTCTGGGTACCACGTCAAAATACCAACGTCTTCTAGCTCTTTGTTATGTGTTTCCTTGAATGCGCAGCTCAATGGGTTGAACTTCTTTCTCCATTTGAGAATCTTCACCAAATGTGTCACAATTTCATCGTAATTGAACTGGTACGCCTTGCAGAGCTTGAACAACAGCGATTGGGCAATGTCCTCGTTGTAATACTGCTGGACCTCGTCGGCAGACCCAATCTCTTTACAGATCTTGTGTCCATACAACTCATCATACCCATCACACTTAGTCTCGATGATGTTGCCTAGACTCCGAGATAGCTTATCAAACACCTGTTTCTCGTTATCGTTCTCGAACTTCATCTTATTAAATACCTCACGCGTCTATCTCTTTATATATGGCAATGTGCCGTTATAATACAATTGAATAATCTTATAATGTTGCTTTAGTAATAATCCACTTTTAAAATCAACCTAAACTATATGTATTGTCAAAATATTTTTTCGTTTACATATTTGTTCCTCATCGCCTCGTCATCATTGTTGAGACACCCAAGTTTGTCGTTCAGGAAATAAACATAAATTTTATCACCAGATGATAAAACTGAAATAGAGTTTAATTGTACAATATATTACTTTAAGAGCAATTCCCACGTTTTTACAAAATTTAATAATCAATCTAATAGAAATTTTGGAGTAAAAAAGAACAACAAAAAGAAAATAATCTACAAATAAGATCTTCTTAAATGAATTGCTATATTTGTGTAGAGAAAAAGGACCACCATTTATGACATAGCGACTCCTGACCGATGTTCTCTAGCTCCTTCATGTGCTCCCAGGGCTTTAGCGCCTTGAAATCTATTATGCGCATGGCACCGTTAGTGGGACACGCTTCGTCTTGCATTAGCGTTCGGCAGTAGTTATCTGAGGATATATACCCCCATGTTTCACCAAAAAGCTCCTTCAAAACACCCAAGTCCTTCAATCTGAGGCTTTTGTTTATTTTATCTTCTTTGTCGTCACCATATATCGTGAAGAATTCTTTTATACATAGTGAAACCTCATTGTTGGGTTTGAATATTATAATCTGGGGGTCATTAGAGTTCGGATTTTGACTATCCTGGTTGGTCAATAACACACACATTTCGTTATCTATCTCGTCAAATATCTCCTTGCTATCCAGCAGGTCGTCAATGCTCTGCAATATCATGCAAGAAGGAGAAATGTAACAGATGAGATCATATGTACCAACAAGACTTGTGAAAATCGATAGCTTATTCCAGTTTGAGTGAACTAGATTTAAGTCAACGTCGATACTCCGGTTGCTGTTATCCTGAGTCATCAGTAGAAATGGAGGCATGCACTGATTGAATGCAACAGTAGTACGCACACCATATTCATGAAGATGTTCCGGGTTATATGAACTTGGATGCAAAACAACAAGCTCATACTTTGATCCACATCTTTGTAAACTTCTTTGTAAAACCACTACTGCTGGCACCATCGAATCATTATCAATAACAGTCACCCAGCATTTACTGCTCTCTGATATACTTCCGTTTGAGCTTGTAGATGTGTAACTGGATCTTGTCTCTACAGATCCATTCCTAGGGTTGGCAATTGAGGGTTCATTTCCAGAAGTACCCGAGAAAGAGCTTCTTGGGTTCAAAAGTTGTCTCATCCATTGAATATCTTTCACAGAACTTCTTCTCGCGGTAGATATGCTATTAGAACTTCTCTTTGAATCAATTCCTGAGCCGTTGATATCTGAGCTATCCGTGGAGGAGCCCAAGTTCAAATCGTTTAAGATATTACTCACGGATTCTTTCTTATTCTCAGGGATCGAATAATGGTGCTTGAAAATCTGATAATCTGTGTCCTGTTGTGATGAGTCAGATCCGTGTGAATGCCTGCTTTTACGAGGTTTCCTTCCATGGTGTGAGTTTTGTTCATGAGAGTCCTCCTTTGTGACTCTCATGGTATTTTCCGGAATATTAGTACTATAATTCATATGAGACTGAGGGTCGTTAGTGGTATTTTGTGATAAATCCCTAATTTGAGTCATATGTAAATCGTTATGCAATGCCGACGAGTGCGGACTAGGACTATGCCTCGTTTCATCAAAGGTGTTTCTCATTATCACTGTGCCCATATTCTGATTGAAGACAGGCGCCCCTTCGTTATCCCTCCTCACATCTATGGCAGATGATTCTTGTGGCACAGCAGAGCTAGTGGTAGCAACGTCAGACTCCGTATCCATATCCATCTCATACTGGGACATATTGCTCGGCGTGCCAATAGGTGACGCAATTATACCCGACAGAGCATTCCCAACACGTCCGCCGTTCTTGAAGAACTCCTGCACTTCCTGGTCATCTCCTACAGACACTTCACGCTGGGACTCCGACCAGGACTTCCTCAACGCAGCATCGAGCTCCCCAGAGAACTCCTCACCTGCATGGTAATCCATATTACTCCCAAAACTAAAAGCAAGTCAGCCAACTTAATAACCAAGTTGTTCTTTCCAAAAAAACACCAAGAAATATTATTGCGAATACAAGAATGTTCTAAATCTTTACTTTTCCTATATAATTCATAATTAAAATTTATATAAAAGTATGGGGTTCCGGGGACGTTTACGGGAAACCCTTTAGAATATCCCCCATTCGTCCCTCAAAACATTTCTCGGAGACCAGGTGATACATCGCCCATACCAGAGAGCCCCGCAGAAAGCATTACCCTTCCATATTCCATATTCCATATTCCGTATTCCATATATATTACCGTGCCTCCCTCCAACCTCCAAATAGGTACCAAGTGTCACCGTAGATACTACAATATTATGCAAGAACAGGTTAAAAAGACCACCAAAATACTACACTTGAAAAGAGAAGAGAGACCTTAGCATCATGACAGACATGAGTGCCACAAAAAAAAGCATACCAACAAACTAAATAAACTAAATAAACAAGAAATATATACTAATTCAGTTCAATACCTTCTAAATAGCAAACTATTGACAACTGGCATTATAGTAATTCTAGACTCCTTTTTGTGATGTTTCCTTCGAGCTTTCTTGACCTTAGGCGGAAGCATGTAATTATATACGCCACAACGTCGTGATGTATTATTGTGTACGTATACTGCACATCCATTCGATTCCCTGACGGATCGCTTTATTGTCGTTTCAATTCCGAATAAAAAAAAAAATTCAATTTTTTGCTTTTCGTCTCTGCCACAGAATATAAGGTAGGAGCACAATGGGGGGGGGGGGGTGGAAGCAGCGTGATGTGGATAACCATAGCTTATCTTGAATATAGTATGCTTTCAGTGATCCCCAGCTTTTTTAAAGGACTCGAACAAACCAGGACCTTAGGTAGATAAAGACAGTGACGGTTATGGCTGGCGGAGCGCAACGGAGATTTTTCTCGCAGATAGTGCGGCTCTTGAAGAGCAAGAGCAAGAGTAATCACAAAGTTCTGGTGGACGATGCTCAGTTGAAGGAGACTTTGAAGTATATTATCGAGGATAAGCGGGTGCTGCCTGGCGGTTTACGCAGTTTGCTACCTGGATCTCTCGAAGGGACTGATGAGGACGTGCAGAAGCACTCTGAAAGGTTAGCAAGTCTTTTGAACGCTACGCTACCCACAGTTTCGGATAAGAAGAGGCAAGTAGAGAGTCACTATGACCTTTTATTTGGACAGCTGAAGAATATGGTTGAGGAATCATTACACGATACGGGCAAGAGTAGCCATAATAGAACGCTAAGTGCACACAATCAAATGAACAAATCTGAGACACTCTTCAATCGACTTATACTTTTGCTTCTTACAGGTGGCGACACGGTCAGTACAAAATCTATAGCTGAATTAATTTTGTCACCTGATTTCAAAGAGTATAGTAAAGTATGGGATAACATAAAGCTTTTCCCCGAAAGCAAACGACTAGACATATCAATACTACTTTATTACTCGTCTAAGAACAAGAATATCATGGACGCATACGAAGAAGAATGGATTTCCAGGTATCATGACTTAAACGTTATAACACAAAGGTTATTCTGGAGATTTATGGATCCGTTGGGTAAGGTCTCAGAATGCTGCGAAAGGATTCGTTACTGGCAACCTAGAGATACCATCGTAATGTATCAATCGCTCTATTCAACAGCCCATTTTCTGCCGACAGAATTTCATTATGTGGATAATCTACAGTTAAGCAACAATCAAATATTCTTCATTAAGGCACTTAGATTCTTAGCACAATACAGACAAAGATCATTACTACAGGTACCTCGTGAGCCTGTTAACGCAACAACTAAACAAACTAAAACAGCCAAAAATTGGGCTTCTGATATTGTTAAGCTAAGTATACAAAATAAACTAAGTTTAGATAAGAGATTGAAAGATGATAGCGAAATGGTTCCGGTGTACAGTTATAGATTTTTGCGAGCTTTGGATGTCAACTTGCAAGAGATATGCGGATTGGATTCTTTAAATGACGAAAATCTTGCTCACCTACAAGCGGATCTCAATACGCTATTGACTTCATTGCACGAAGAGGAACAAACACTAAAGTCTCATATGTCCTTATTTTTTGTATGAGACAAATACTTATTTTAAGATTTATTCATTAATTAGTATACAAAGAGTATCTTACATTTTATGTAAAATAATTATATATTCCGGGATTTTTTATTCATTGATCAACCAACAATCTAATGACAATTATAATGCTTCAGAGTGTTTAATCCGGTAGAGAATACAAAAGATTCATTTCTTTGAGATCTATAATCATGCAGTTGTTTTTATTTGTTTCCAATGTATTTAATTCATTTACTCTTGTCCTTTGATTTTTTATCCTTTTTATCTTTTTTATCCTTTTTATCCTTCTTATCTTTCTTCTCCTTCTTTTCCTTCTTGTGCTTCTTATGCTTACTTGGTGATTCTGTCAATTCATGGTTGTGTCTAGAGATATCCTCATCGGCATCAGACTTTGAACGTTTCTTAGGTGCAACAACTTCTTCGATTCCAAAATCCTTTGCATCGTAACCAGTTGCAAAGTGTCTGGTAATTAAACCTTCTACCTTTGGAACATCTTTTCTTGGTACCTTAACCTTTTCTATATCAATGCTTGGGATTCTTGCTGTTTCACTTATGGTGAAAACTCTGTCAAAATATACACTCTTATTATCTTTCGATGTCGCAACCTTCAGAGTTTCCTTCTTCTTCTCACTAGGTATCAGTAGGGACAAGTTTGTGTTATCAGATCCTTCTTGAGTAGATGTATTTTGAAGAACATTGAAATTCTTGCTTCCAAGTTCTACAGTGGAGACTGTAGCATCGGTATCCAATGGAAGACTCTTCAACTGGGAGATGTCAATGTTGGCTGGAACTTTTAGCAACCAAAGCTCTTTGTTGTCACCCTTAAGCTCAGAGACTGGAAAACTCTTAAGATGCTTGCATTGCTTATAATCAGATGGGGGTTGGTATTTGGCGACTACCTCATCATCGGAATCGGAATCCGACACATACTCTTTCGACAGACGGTCAATTTTGGACATATTTATTGCGTTCAAACTCTATGGAGGCGTTGAGTCAACCGACTTAATTCCCTATACAATTACTAAAACAGATAGACCTTCAATTTCTATTCTATTTAATACTCTATGCCCTGCATACAGTAGAAATTAGAGATGCTCATCGCAAAATTTTTTTTCACTTTCTGATCAAGAGATTTATTCATAACGTACTAAATGACTTACAATAATTTACTGTATTACCGATGCTCCCAATCCTTTTAATATGTAAATACATAAATACATATGTATTATGTAGGTGATGTTAATAGGAGAGGAGTATCTTAAGATTTTTAAATAGTGCATATATATCGAAGTCAGACTAACTCAATTTTTGGATGTATGTGAAATATTTCATAGTAAGAATCATGAATACGATTTTAGAAGTTCGATATTAGTGCTCTCTCCATAATTTGAAAGAACGTGAAAGGAAAATAAAAAACATAAAATTCAATGCTGGTATCATTAAAAATTATTATCAATTTGGAAATGCATAATCTATAAGCTGTTTTTTCTTTTGAAATTGAGATAATTTTTGATTAATGGAAAATGTTTACTTTTAATAGTAAATAAGGCTCGATAATTTACTTAAATAACAGTAGCCTTCTTTGCAACATCATTAGGTTCAGATGCGTTCGTATTCTTTTTGAATTGTTTGGACCAGCCAGTCAAATTCGTTTGATATCCTGAATGGTAGAAGATCGGCTGGAAAATGCGCTCGCCATCTTCTTCAACAGTGATGGTGGGTATATCATTCAACATCAAAAATCGTAACTTTGGGAAGCCCCTCAAGAATGTGAAGTACGTAGACTTGAAATGATGTATTAATGCATGATAACATTTGACAATGTCATCTTTGGTCAATGGGCGATGAGGCAGATGGAATGAGTTGAAATCATCTTCGTCATCATATTCTGATTTCTTGACCAACTGTGAACGACTTTGCCTATATAACAGGATATTTGCGTTGATCTTAGACACAAACTCTGTCAAATTCATGGGCTGTGTTCTAACGCTTGGGTAACAATCACATGCCTTAGAATATGGTAGCAACGATAAGTATCTCATCATCTTGAATATATCCTTTGCTGCAATGTCGTGTATGTCATTAAGTTCGTAATCCTCTTCAAAATGGAAAATCTTGTCCTTTAAGATATTCTCAAAGACGTGCATGCAGCTTGAACAGTAGCATTTCTGGGTCAGTTCAAATTTGCTCTCCTGTAGAGTGATTATGGGTAAGTCCACGCCTTCAAAACGTAGATCGATAAACTGCAAATCCTTACAGTTTAGTAAAATGGCTAAGAATATCTGTGGGCTAGTTGGTTCTGGTACGTAATCTTCCAAGAAGTCCATCTTTAATCTTTTTAGCCTTTTCAATTCACTGAACAATGACACCAGTACTTTTATGTCCTGTTTTATTGATATCAGTGACAAGTCTTCTAAGTACACAAACTCCTTGAACTCCTCTATGATCTCGATCTCTCTAGAAATCAGGGACTCATTCCAGGATATGATAGTCAGAATCTTCAAGGACCGTATATCGAACACTTCTGAGAGTTTTGTCAGTGATTTCCTTTGCTCGCCTGGTTTGATCAGCGTGTTCGTCTGCTCGCTAAAGTATTTCTGTGGGAAGAACTCTCTTCTCCAATGCAGTTTCAGGTCTATAATTTGCAGTTTCTCATTCAGTGGGTACAGGTAATTAAACAACTTTATCGGGTCGATGAACAACGTCATGTGCGACAGCTTCGATGAGATACGTTGTCTCAAGTAGTGTGACAGATTGGGGATGTAGTCCTGCGGCACAGAGAGCTCCGGCAACGAGTTTGGCGGCGCCATATCGAAGCTGGTCACATTGGCTGCACTCACTTTGCCCAATGCTATAATATCGTTACAGCTGGGGTCGATGACGTTCTCCAGTCGTTGCAAAGAGTGGCCATTGGCACACAGCATGTTCAGCACCTGCTTCTGCAACACGGGGTCCAGGTCCCAGTTGATCCGGATCCATTGCACCAGATGCAACGTGTTCTCAGGGTTCCGGTGGAACGTCTGTATCAATTTGGCAAGCTTCCCATTAGCTATAGCACGTGATTCATCCTCGTTCAAAAAACTTGGTATACTGAATAGGGACCAGTTGACCGCCAAGTTCATGAAATCCGACCGCACCACGTTTGAGTCGTTCAGGTATATCCTTCTGTACACCAGCTTGGAGACCAGCCTGTGCAACCGCTTGTTCACCAGACACAGGTTGAGTCTATCCTGCTGCGGGCAGTGCGACAGCAGCTCCTGCAACAAGCCATCGGACAACTTCAGCAACGGGAACTCCATTTATTTCCTCGTGGGGGGTACCTTATACCTGATCTCTAAACAAAGAACCTGTCAAAGCTTATTTTATTCTGTAGCTATGACACCCAATCTCCGAACACAGAAGGGAAAGCTCTGTATGTGTGTGTATTGTGTGTATTGTGTGTGTGTGTGTCTGTCTGTGTAAAGTGAAGAGAAGAAATTTGGGTCTGAGTTATCGAAATGATAGCATATAACACGTACATCACATGACACAAGATACACTTGCACTAACCATGTGATTTACGTACAACATGTAATACTAGTAGGTCCAAAAGGATCGTGGCAACTAGAATTTTTCACATGCAGAAACCGGGACGAGGAACGGACAAAACAGACAAAAACATGCTGGCACGTACTATTTGTGTCTTCTGCGCCTCTTGTCTCTCTTAAGAGCCGATGCCCCAGCAGGTGTCCCCTTTTTTTTTGCCATCAAGCTTCAAATCATCGCGAAGATCTTCACATGCGCGAGGGGCCTTTGACTCTCCAGCGCAGGAAACAGGAACGGAATGGAGCGAATTAAGTCCGGGGGGGATGGGAAACACATGCTGATTGACTCTCGATGACTACGCTTTCTGCGTGTGTTTGTGTGGGGATGATCCATGATTCACCCAATCCAGGGCAGGAAACATTAGTTTGTGTGCGGGTGTTTCTGAGTGGTTTTACTTCACAAAGAAACTTGTCTATTCGATGGGCGGTTCCTTCCTCGGGTGGAGAAAACTTTCACATGCACACCTTCATGGTGCATGTGAAAGTTTTTGTTGCAATTGTTGAACTCAACAGAAAACATAACCTCCTCGAAAGGCGTATAAATAGCGGCTATATTGGCTTGGGAAGTTTTGTATCCCATTAGAATAGAGAATACACAACAACAAAAAAACTACTTCTACTACTACTATAAAAAATAAGAATGACTGTGAATAAAGGTATTAGCATTCGCGTAAACAACGTCGGTGACAAGGTCTCCTACAAGGAGAACGAGTTGTTGACCAACTACACTTACCACACGAATGTGGTACACACTAACAGCGACAAGACACAGTTTGAAGTGACTCCCTTGGACAAGAACTACCAATTCAAAGTGGACTTGAACAAGCCGGAGAGACTGGGTGTCATGCTCGTGGGTCTTGGTGGTAACAACGGGTCCACCATGATGGCTGCTGTGCTGGCTAACAAGCACAATGTGTGCTTCCGTACTCGTGACAAAGAGGGTCTAACTGAGCCAAATTACTACGGTTCTTTGACTCAATCATCAACGATCAAGCTGGGTGTCGACTCTAAGGGTAAAGACGTCTACGTGCCTTTCAACTCTTTGGTGCCAATGGTTAACCCAAACGATTTTGTGGTCTCAGGTTGGGATATCAACGGAGCCACCATGGATCAAGCCATGGAGCGTGCTAGTGTCCTTGAAGTTGACTTGAGAAACAAGTTGGCTCCAATGATGAAAGATCACAAACCCTTGAAGTCCGTCTATTATCCAGATTTCATCGCTGCTAACCAGGATGAGCGTGCTGATAACTGTTTGAACGTCGACCCACAAACCGGCAAAGTTACCACCACCGGTAAGTGGGAACACTTGAACCACATCAGAAACGATATCAGAACTTTCAAACAACAGAACGACCTGGACAAAGTAATTATTCTATGGACCGCTAACACCGAAAGGTACGTCGAGATATTGCCTGGTGTCAATGACACCATGGAAAACTTGCTCGAAGCTATCAAAAACGATCACACTGAAATTGCACCATCTACTATCTTTGCTGCTGCTTCCATCCTTGAACATTGTCCTTACATTAACGGTTCCCCACAGAACACTTTTGTTCCGGGTCTGATTGAACTTGCTGAAAAGAACGACTCGTTGATCGCTGGTGATGACTTCAAGTCCGGCCAAACTAAGATGAAATCTGTCTTGGCTCAATTTCTAGTCGATGCCGGTATCAGACCCGTCTCAATTGCTTCTTACAACCACTTGGGTAACAACGATGGTTACAACCTTTCCTCACCACAACAGTTCAGGTCCAAGGAGATCTCAAAGGCTTCGGTGGTAGACGATATCATTGAATCAAACCCAATTCTATACAATGACAAACTAGGTAACAAGATCGACCACTGTATCGTTATCAAGTACATGCACGCCGTAGGTGACTCAAAAGTTGCTATGGATGAATACTACAGTGAACTGATGCTAGGTGGCCACAACAGAATCTCCATCCACAATGTCTGTGAAGACTCTTTGCTAGCTACACCATTGATCATCGATTTGATTGTCATGACCGAGTTCTGCTCCAGAGTCACATACAGAAACGTAGACGGCCAGGATGGTGCAGAGGCTAAGGGTGATTTCGAAAACTTCTACCCAGTGCTGTCGTTCCTAAGTTACTGGCTGAAGGCCCCATTGACAAAGCCAGGCTACCAACCAATCAACGGTTTGAACAAGCAGAGAACAGCGCTAGAAAACTTCCTAAGGTTGTTGATCGGCCTTCCTGCCATTGACGAACTGAGATTCGAAGAAAGATTGAAATAGATACAGACTTCCCAATGAGGGAAAAATAGATAAACAGATGTTGTTGTACATAAAATAAGTATGGAAGATATATACGAATAACCTTGTAACGAGCAAATCCAATAAAGAATACTACTATATTATACAATATATAAATACTCTGCTAAGCGATGACCTCAACCTCTGTACGTCACGTGGAACGTCACTTATCTCTCAATGCTGATCCTGAATTTCTGGGCCTTTCGCAGGCTACCCGATGATAGCCGAAATTTCACCAAAGGGGAGTAGTATAGTGTGTCTTGCTATCGAGGCGAATTGCCAGCAATACGTTAACTTGACTGTCAAGTTTTCACCAATTCGTTGCTATTAGTGAAATATCTGTTTTTTTGAGGTGTACCCATTAAAGGAACTTCTAGTGCTGCAAAGGGGGCATCTCTATAAAGGAAAAAATAATAGGATAAAGGGAATAATACCAAAACCCATACTGTACAAAAGTTTCGCCAACGAACGGTTAGGACTACTCCCATTGCGAATTATAGAATGTCGTACTCTGATTCTGTGGAGACGGCTGCGTCTGTGATATCCCAACAGACTGGTCTTATGAACAGATGTTTGGGACAGAATAAGCTAATGGAGGCGTTGCAACATTGCTCGGTTATGCTTACGGAACTACGTAACCCTAACTTGACTCCAAAACAATACTATGAGCTTTATGTTATGATATTCGATTCCCTGTCGGTGCTATCAACATATTTGGTTGAAAATCACCCCAAGTACCACCACTTGGCAGACCTTTACGAGTTAGTACAATACACCGGAAATGTTGTCCCAAGGCTATATCTGATGATCACAGTTGGAACGAGCTATCTAAGAATACCTGATGCACCAGTCATCGAGATACTAAAGGATATGATTGAGATGTGTAGGGGTGTGCAGAATCCAATACGAGGATTATTTCTCAGATACTACCTATCACAAAGAACCAAGGAACTGCTTCCCGATGATGAACTGGAATTTAATGCAAATTTCATCATGAACAATTTTATAGAGATGAACAAATTGTGGGTAAGATTGCAACATCAAGGTCCATTGAGGAAAAGAGAATTGAGAACTAAAGAGAGGAAAGAACTACAAATTTTAGTGGGATCTCAACTGGTTAGATTATCTCAGATCATTGATGATAACTTTGACATGTATGATAAACAAATTCTACCAACCATTCTTGAACAAGTTGTTCAATGCAGAGATTTTGTCTCTCAAGAATACTTGATGGATGTCATATGCCAAGTTTTCTCGGATGAGTTTCATTTACAAACCGCATCTACTTTACTTAAAACAACATTACAATTGAACCCAGACGTTTCAATGAATAAAATTGTTTTGATCCTAATAGAGAGATTAAATAGCTTTAAGGGTAGGAAAGTAGAAGAGGAAAATGAAAAACAAAAACAAGCCTCTGAAATAAAAGATAAAAATGAACATGGAACTGTCGAAAATGGTTCCAGTGCCAATGGTGAGTCATCCAAAACCAATGAGAAGGAAATACCTGATATTAATTCAAAACCCCTACCTGATGTCGACATATTTGATGTTTTTGCCAACTACCTTGAGCTACTCAACAAAGAACGTCCGGATCTCTCATTACAGCAATTTATCCCATTGATTGAATCTGTTATCAAATTAACTTTGCAATGGTATCCTGACAATCTTAAGAATATCAATCGACTATTCACGTTCACAGCTCAGAAATATAAAGACTACGGGAAGATGATTCCAAAAGATATTGATACGCTAATGATAAAGCTATTGACTTTTGAGAACTCTACATGTGAAGGTAATGAAAGAGATTCGTTTTTCTTTTACAGAATATTAACCGAGTGTGATTCATTTCCTGAGTTATTAGGCTTACAGTCAGTTGAAACCCAAAGGGTCGCTATTAGCGAGATTCTTGATTACTTAACTATAAATATAACTGATGATATCGAAGTGAAGACCAATATTAGCACACCCTTGTCCACGACGGCGGACAGTTCAGACATAACTCCTCAAGGCAAACTGTTTATAATAAACACTAAAAGTGAGCTAGAAAAACTTCTAAGTCTTTCAGACTCTCTAATACACAAAACAGATAAGGTAAACAAAAGAACTTCAACCGAAGGTAATGATCAATTAAGTGCGGGTGCTTTACCTGACGATGATTTTGAGTATGACATTGTTGAAGAAAAATTGGCAAGATTTTGCCACATCATATGCAAATCATTGACCCTTTCACCTACTTTGAATTCTGTCGAGTCCCAAATTGAGTGCTATCTAACAATGAAGAATCATTATTATAAAGCCGGAAAGAAATGTCTATACACTTACCCTGCAATCATTACTAATTTCTGGAAATTGGTAAGGAGATGCAATATAATGCTGAAAGAAGGGCAACAAAAAGAAGAAGAGAGAAAGACCATTGAAAACAACATAAAACAGATATTCAAATTTATCTCAAGGGCAATGAACGACATGTTCAATGTATGTGGACCTATAGCATATGATACTGTGTACAAGATGAATTTAGAATGTGCCGCGCTTGCAGACCAGTTATCATTATCGGAGATATCGTATGATTTCTTTTCACAAGCTTTCACTATATATGAAGAATCAATAAATGATTCAAAGGACCAATTTCAAGCAATTCTTCTGATGACGCAGACATTGCAAAAGACCAGGTCACTTCATAAAGAGGATTACTATGACTCACTCATAGTAAGATGTACATTACATGGCTCAAAGCTTTTGAAGAAGCAAGACCAATGTAGAAGTGTATATTTATGCTCACACATGTGGTGGGCTACGGAATTATCAGCTATCGGAGAGGAAGAAGGCGTAACGACCAATTTCTTCCGTGAGGGCAAACGTGTACTGGAATGTCTCCAAAGGGCATTGCGTGTTTCGGATTCCATAATGGACAATGTTCAAAGCTGTGAATTGATGATTGAGATTCTGAATAGGTGTCTGTACTATTTCATTCATGGCAATGAGAAGGATACACACATTACGGTTAAATATATCAACGGTCTCATAGAACTCATCAAGACTAACATTAAAGCTTTACAAACTGAGGCTGAGTCATACATGTCAGATGACCCATCGCACGAAATATCTCATCTGGAATCGGCAGTCTCCCAACTAAAAATGCAAGACTACGTAATGGGTCTAGACGGCTCATTAGTACAGGTAAGTAATGGGATGAACTCTCCCACAAGTGAAGCCACTGTAAAAGCAACTTTGCAAATACCAATTCAACATTTTGCCAGAACGTGCTCATACATCAGAGAGCAGGGAGCCATTGACGAACGTTTCCAAGTGATAGAACTGTAAAAAAAAGCTCACAACTTATATACCGATATATAAGACCCACATTCGTCAATTTAAATTTTTTATAAAATCATCTAAGTAACTTGCAAACCAAGTTTGATACTTATACTAAGTCGTATTCACATACTATTACACGATCACAATTTATAAAATAGGGGATTTACATTTTCACCCAAAGCTCTACTCTGAACGAGTCAACGGCGAATCACACTTAGTGCTAGAGCCCTGTAACACCCACCATGAATGTTACAGCCAAAGGCCAAGGAGTATAGCGAGCTCATCCTGTTGGGAGCATCCAGCGCTTGGGATCTGCTGTCTTACAGCACTACATTACTGGACTATAACTTGTATAAGAAGGTACCTGGGTAGTATTTTCTGCATTTCTTGGAAGCCCAGTGTAAAACAAGGAGTGAGAAGGGAAGTGAAGATATTTGCAGAATAGTTATATATTCTTCCCCAGTAAATAAAAACCATTACAAACATGCCAGTCACTACAATTTCTAATATGAACGATTCTCGAATCTGTGTGGTGATGGTTGGTCTGCCAGCTCGTGGTAAGTCCTTCATATCCCAGAAGATTCTCCGCTATTTGTCCTGGTTGTCGATCAATGCGAAGTGTTTCAATGTTGGGAACTATAGGTACAAAGCTGGTGTGATCAAACCTGATGCTAAGTTTTTTGACTTTAACAACCCAGAAGGCTACAGAGTTCGTGAGGAGGCCGCACAGCAAGCTGTCAGTGATATGCTTAAGTGGTATGAAGAAGAGAATGGTGTAGTTGCTGTTCTGGATGCTACCAATAGTACTAGGAAACGGAGAGATTGGATCTTAGAAATCTGTGCCCAGAATAATATTATGCCGATGTTCATAGAGAGTTGGTGTGATAATGAAAAGATAGTTGAAACCAACGTAATCGATATTAGCACCACATCTCCAGATTATGAAGGTAGTGACCCTGAGGAATCGAAAAGGGACCTTTACAATAGAATTGCCTGTTACAGAGACGCATATGAAACGTTGAGTCTTGAAAATGATAATAATATGACCTTTGTTAAGTTAGTGAATATTGAAGATGAAATAATAATCAACAAGATTCAGAGCTACTTACAGAGTAGGATCGTCTTCTATGTTATGAATATCCGTCCAAAGCCAAGAACAATCTGGCTATCGAGACACGGTGAATCAATCTACAACGTTGAGAAAAAAATTGGTGGTGACTCACTGCTGTCACCAAGAGGTGTACAATATTCAAAAAAACTAAAGGAATTAGTAGATGAGCATGTTGGAGATGCGCCCTTAACTGTGTGGACTTCTACTTTGGTCAGAACACAACAAACTGCACAACATTTGCCTTACAAGAAGTTACAATGGAAGGCACTGGATGAACTTGATGCAGGTGTTTGTGACGGTATGACCTATGAAGAAATCGAAGAAGTATACCCAGAGGATTTCAAAGCGAGAGATGAAGACAAATACGAATATAGGTACAGAGGTGGTGAATCTTACAGAGATGTTGTTGTTAGATTAGAACCTGTTATCATGGAGTTGGAGAGACAAGAAAACGTCTTGATTATCACGCACCAGGCCGTATTGAGATGTATTTATGCATATTTCATGAATGTTCCGCAGGAGGAATCACCATGGATGTCTATACCCTTGCATACGCTTATTAAATTAGAGCCAAGAGCCTATGGAACCAAAGTTACCAGAATCAAAGCAAACATTCCAGCAGTCAGTACTTACAAAGAGAAAGGTACCAGTCAAGTCGGCGAATCTGCAGCTGATTTATCCAAATTCCAAAAACTGTTAGTTGACGCTCCTGAACTGAAAAATTAGATCTACACACTCATAATATCCCTGCTCAATATATATAACTTATTCAAATTACATATTCAAAATGGAACCCGCACAGGTTACTTTTATTGATGCATTAACCAAGACCTGATGCGAGAAAAATGCATTTTTTATTTCCGCTGCCATTACTATTCTTATGTTTTTATATATAATAGTCAAAGTCTTGAACCGCAGATAAAAATTCATGTATAGGGCTTTAAGTTCTTAGAATGAGAAGTTTGGAAAGTAGTTCAGTTTTTGTTGATGGTATACTGAACAACTATCTATCCTAGTGGTAGTCGAAAAACCATCTCTTTATATGAAATTCCAATATTTTATTAATTTACCGGTATTTGCTACGGCACTTTAATTTAGTGCCGATTATTTACATTTAAAATTTTTAGAAAAAAGATAAAATGCATATATAGTGTAGTATTTCAGGAATAGTATTCTAAATAACCTAAAACGTTTGGAAAGAACACCAAGGTACGTTAGTTATTGTCATGGTTAAAAAACTGTTTGGTTTTAACAAAAAGAACGGTATCAGAGGCCACTCTGAGTCAGATAAGGAAAAGAATGAAGGCGTTGGTTCTAGAAATAACTCTACCGATAATAAGGCAGAATCTTCTATTCATGATGATAGATCCACAAGAATAAGCTCTTCGGTACAATCTTCCTCAATATTTTCAAAAGGGAGGAGAACATATAACTCCGGAGATTCCTCACTAAGGTCGTCTACCGGAAAGAACGGTAACCCGGTAAATGAATACCGGGATCTTGGGACACCTTTGAGAATTATTGATTCCTCAAGGTATGCTTCCCTTGCAACCGTCAATGAAGAAGAACAGTCCACAACTGATCAGAGTCTTGACTGTCCTGTGGTGTACTCAAATCAAAATAGCAACAAGGAAATTCTTACAATGTCCAACGAGAGTCACTATTTAGTGAAAGCTATCAAAAATCTTGAGAACAATTTATTAGATCTAATGGACGATGTTCACCAAAATGTTACAAATATATCAAGAGCGGTTATATGTGCAACTGAATACTTCAAAAACTTTATACAGGAAACATCACTACCAAGTTTAACAAATGGAACAGTAAACTATAGAGTAAAGATGGAATCCTGCCCATCTGTAAGAGGAATAACCAAGATAATATTTCACTTTTATGATAACTTGCTTAATACAGAAGCGTATTCCAATTCAAGATCCATCTTATTTAGGCGTTATCTTTCATTTCTCAAGAAATTAGAGATTCAACAAGATACTACAGAAAGAGACGCCCAAGCGATGGTTTTACCTTCCTTGAAGATTTTTCCAATTGATGACAGCTGTAATTTACCTCATAAGGATAGAATCTATGAGATCATGGAGGATATTATTAAGTCTGATACTAAATTATTATCTGAAGATGAGGGCTCTTTTATTGCGGCCGTTCTAAGAGGTGTAGAGAAAGACGCATCGATATTAAGTATAGTGTTTGGGTTACCAACGATAAGGCAAGAGCATCAAGAAATGATAAAGGCACTATATGGCCTATTTCCCGATGTCCATTTCTATTGTATCCAAGACTACATTAAACCAGCTGCTACTACTGCAATAATGCCCGAATTAAAAGGAACCCAACAACTGAATAATATCAATAAAGAAGAACAAAGTTACAGGTTTTCACCACCTTATAGAACTCTTGAAAATGGCAACACGCCGCCTATTTCACTATCTATATCCACCCAAAATAGTTTAAAAATGTCTGGCACATTAGGTGGATATGTGTATCCTCAAGTCGACAGTGACTCTAAACTGGCCCAGTATGCAGGTGCTACATTTGCGATTACCTGCGCGCATGTGGTTCTAGCAGAATCACAAGACTATCCAGAAGTTGCTGTGCCGTCTCGAGTTCTACAAAAATCATACCACAAGACTTTGTTAGAAGAATCATCTAGATATCCTCAGGGCTCGAAGGAACAAAGAGCATTCGCTGATGAAGCCCTACAAGTAGAGAGGAGTATGAAACTACAGAATCAGGAGAAGTTTGGACAAGTAGTATGGGGGGAAAGATCCATAATAAATCAACGTCTTTCAGATTTTGCCATTATAAAAGTCAACCCTTCCATGGACTGCAAGAATTTCCTAGGGAATAATCTAGCTCAGGTGCCTGATCCTACTTTAAAGTTCGAAAACGTGTATGTGAAAAAGAAGATCATGAAGATACAACCAGGGACAAAAGTGTTCAAGATCGGTGCTTCTACTGGCTACACGACAGGTGTTGTCAACGCTGTCAAGCTAATCTACTGGGCCGACGGTAAACTACAAAGTAGTGAATTCATAGTTTCATCACCGCAACCACTATTCGCCAGCGGTGGTGATTCAGGTGCATGGATACTTACAAAACTAGAAGACAGAGTGGGACTAGGTGTTCTTGGCATGCTCCACTCATATGACGGAGAAAGGAAACAGTTTGGCCTGTTCACCCCAATCGGCGATATATTGGAACGACTTCATACAGTAACGGGAATATATTGGGACATTGACAGAATGGCTTAATTTAAATTTTTTTTTTTCTTTTTTTTTTTATTTTTGTGTTAGCTATTCTTAGCTACAATAAGGTATCTGTGCCTATTGAAGGGAGGCAATAAACTCTACAAACAGGATCAACTATTGTCATGGTTATTAGTGCCTCATTTTAAGTCACTTTCCTTTATCCAGTTCAGCATCATTGCCATTACGTCTACTACTCATTTTCATTATCAAGAAAGTGATTTATTCCAAATCAGGTAATTAACTGCCAAAACAAGAAAAGTCGATTCCAGAGGGTCTCTAATCTTTAGTTATGGGGGTGCGACGATCCCCTTAGAACGGAGAGATATGGATAGTCACATGGCCATTTCACCCCAACTACAAGGGTAACCATAGCCACCCCACATCATTGGCTCCGTTTACCCCAAGAAAGTATCGTACGATTGATTGTCCACTTCTGGCCTTTTTAGGTTTTAGAAGTAGTCATTTAGAGGCACAACGTATCATATGATGAGAGTTTCAGGAAGCTATACGGTTTATTAAGGGCAACAGAGTTGTACGTGTGTGGTCTACAAAAAGGTCAGTGGATATGGTATACTTTGGGATTTTAATTTTTGTATCAGGAATTAAACCGTTGAGGATAGTTTTTTTTTTTTCTTATTTGGATGAGTGAGTTGAGATTTAAGATATGTGCTAAATTCCCCTAGCAATTTTCACAATGGACAAATCGATATCTTATTTACGACATTATTCCAATATTAATTAGCTCTATCGTTGGGACAGTAGAGGTATTGTAGCGAAACAAATTAGTCATGGAATAGTACAAATTTGGCACAGATTTGGTACACACTTGCTACAGTTCTGGGGTAAGGCTTTTGGTTGATTTTAATATCTGGGCAATGTTTCTTGCAACTCTACATTGAGTGCCATCATAAGTCAGATCAAGTTTTCTTTTTATTAATTAATTTCCCAACTGAATCACAGTAATTAATCATAGCCTACCATGATTCAAGTAAAACGATTAGAACTTGAATCATCGCCATTGTTGGGATCTGTTTTGAAACTTATCATTGTCTTTGGTATAAAAAGTACGATACAATAACTAGACTACTTTTTCTTTTTTCCTTGACACTCAATTTTGCGTTCTGGGTTGAACCCTTTCAATTCAGTTTATTTTTAGACATTACTAAGTCAGTTGTGTATCTCTTTTACTTTGCCTAATAGTCTTCTCCACAAATAAAAAAAAAGCTGAGTGGTTAGGATAACATAAAAATAAAAGTAATTCGATTTATCCTAAATTTGATTTTCAGAATAAGAAAAAAACCTATAGAAAGGCTAACTTGATTAAGCGTTGAACACTGGGAAAAGTATAGAATATGTTTCTAAGAACACCAGTAAAAATACAAACTAGCGAGAAAAGTATTCATACGCCCCCCAGGGATGATGATACTTTGCTGCGAGGCCCCGCCAAGAAATTATTTCGGAGCTTTACAGAAAAATCTGACAACCATAGTAAACATCAAAATTCATCGCCTCAAGATGTGTTTTTACCAAATCAAATGTATTTAAGAACACCAGATATGAGCCCCGAAGGTAAATCTACTTCAAAAAAACGAAATATACCAAAACCTTTAGATTTTTCTCAAATAACGACGCCTCCACAATCATTAAAAAAGACTTCAGCAAACTATCATAGAGATAACTGGGGGCAATCGCATATCAAATTATCACCTTTAACAACCAAACCCTCACATAAGAAAATGGTAACATCGACAAGTACTATTATGCGCGAGAATGTTAGCGAAAGCTTCTCTTATGGTAAAAATAACTATAATAGACTGTCTCTTGACACAGTTCCTTCACAAAGGGAGTCTCTATTATCAGGATCTTCTACTTGCAGTTCTTTGAAGAAGTACAACAATCAAAAATGTTCTATTTGCGATGAAGAAATGACAGTGACATTTAAAGGCGAGAAGATCCTAGAGTTGGATTGCGGTCATTTATCTCATTATGATTGCTTTATGGCCATTTTTGAAGAGACTCATTCAATAAACGAGCTCCCGATCTGCCAGATATGTGGTTCTCAATGCCAACCTTGCGATGAAGATATCTTTTCAGATATTACTTCTCAATTATTGACACTTAAAAGAAGTCTTGGTATTTCCAATACAAATTCGAATCACGGAATGAACTCTATTGCAGCGAGAGCTATATTTGAACGGGAACAACAAGTTACACCTGTTGAGAGGATAATAAAACCATCACAGATAACCTCTGCAGGTTTTAAAACCCCAACATTATCGTGCACTCCTGCAATTGAGAAGCCAGTGGAAGAAGAAGATGGTTACGAGACGGATATCTTTGTAAGCTCTTCTTCAACTTCTTCGATGATTATCAATGGACTCACTATCGACCTTGAAGAAAAGTTAAGTAATAGTGATTCAGAAGATGTGGAAGAACTCCTGCCCTTAGTAACCAAACCGTATGATGACACTATACAATTAGAATTTCCAGAGCCGTGTATGGATGTGGATATGAAGTCTGCCTGTCAGTTTTCAAATAGAACCGGGCTTAAAAAATCGATTTGCTCACAAGAAAATCCACAGTTCAATGAATTTGCCTTTCGAAGGAATCTGTCTGATTATATTCACAACCTTTTGAGCATTACTAGTTTTGATAGTACTGGTGATTTACATATGTTTAGTAATTTTGCATTTTCAACTGATGGCGAATTTTGGACACAACCTATTCTAGTGTTTTTATTTGAAAAATGCCTGACCTTGTTTGAGGCTGATAGTCGCAATATCATTGGACAATTACCAGTAAATCAAATAAGTTCTACCTCTGAACTGAGACACAACAATGAAGAGATCATTGTGATAGATTTGAAGAGCTGCTTATTTCCGCAGATATTTTTGAAGAATCACGAAGTAGCTTTTTACAAGCAAGAGAAAATAAAAAAGTGGCTGTACTATCTAACCGACATTGGTAGAGTCAGGCCGCCACTTATTGACTTGACGGACTGTTCTATCAATGTTATACCTATTGAGCTCTCTATATCATACGAGCAGGAAGTTTTAAGGCAAAGAATAAATCAAAAGAGCATGCCACAGCCTTGGGATTCGGACTTACTGAAGAGGAAACTGTGCTTAGTGGTTTGTATCGATTTGCACAAATCAGATCCAAATGAATCTAATGCATCTGACATCTTGGGGAAGATCTTGAACACATTATGTCTAGATGATATGCTTGGCCTTGTGTTAGTTGGAAAAAATGGAAATGGTGAGGTGGGGCCTTACGGAACATTCATTGGGCCTGTCAACAAGAAATGGGAAGGGTGGATAGATGTCATTAGAGATATTGAACTATGGCTAAGTGATGATCATAACTATGAATTTATCAGCACGGAGGAAAAAATCAAAGTCATTCTTCATACATGCCGAAGGATAACTACAATGATGCAATCAGATAGTGATTCGTCTAATGTTCTCAGAAATCTAGTAATAATCCAAGCGGGCGAGGATAAACTGGAAGAGACTTTACTCAATATCAGCGATGGAGCTAAGAAAGATTACGATAGTGTGACACAAACCAACCATTTCAGTATAAGCACTTGTAAAGCAACTGATATCACCTCTCATATCAATACATTAAGGAGTGACGACAAGTTGGATGTAACAATAAGTAATGAAGAGAATGTAATGTGGCTGGGCCACATGCAGGAAGGACGAGTATACCATTACAAAAACAGTTTCAAAGGGAATGTTACCCTTGAATGGCGTGATAAAGACTCTATACATCATAAAACGGAATTTACTTTATAATATCAACCAACGTTGATTTTTATTTAGTAATTTTCGATATACTTTTTGGAAACTAAAAAAAAAAGAATGAATTATAATAGTTTAGCCACATATACGTTATATTTTTATTTGTTATAGCAGTTATTAATATACATTTCAAGCAATATTTAGAGAAAATGCATTGGCATAATAATTAAAAGGCATTTAATGTTGAAAGAGTAAAAATCTAGAAACTCGTCAAAGGCAAAAAAAAATAGTAAGCGGGCAGGTCATACTGTCAACATTAGATGACATCTCTATTATGCATCAATGATTACAACGCACAATCCCCACATAGATAGATTGTGTAATATTAGAAAGCCAGAAACGAATGCGAAAATAACTCTAGCTATGATCTACGGGCACGTCAGAGAAAACACCAAAATACCATGCCCTTTTTCGTCTAACGGGGAATTATTAACGCGTAAACCATTTTACGTGACTACACCAACTGCATGCCCGTGACTGATCTACAAATACGACAACTAGCACTACTTTACTTCCTCCGTCGAATACGCTATCAGTCCATTACAAGCAGTTTAAAAGAATAATTGGTACCAAAGGTATATCTTACAGTGTAGACCTGTAATGGGTACGGCTGATTTCAGCCATCAAAGGATAAGTGCTAAAAAAAAGAGATAGAGTACTGCGACTAAATATATCTTCTATCAGCTTAATGGCTCTCTACCTATCCCACTCTCATGGAGCCATTTATTAAGCAGATAATCTAAGCACCAGGAAAAAAACACTCAATACCATAAACGCCTATACGTTACATCTTCTATTTCCCCCCACTATCCATAGCTATTACGGAAGTGATTACCTGCCAAGCATCGCAAATATACATCAATCGTACTTGCTAAATCTGCGTAGGAACCGCTCTCTCAAGTATTTTTCTTTTGTAAAGATCATTTCCTGAACTTTTCGCGTCGTCCTATGCTTCTATTCTGAGAAAGGTCGTACAGATATAGCCTCTTTTAATTCACAAAACAACTGCAAACCGCGTTTCAATGCTCAGACAAATTAACGCAGAAAGCTCTGCAGATCAACATTTCGCGATCTGCAGAGCTTTTACCGCAGGGTTAGTACGCCTTCGTAGTCTTATCGCGATATAATACCACAGAAATAGCAGTGGCAGCTGGCACACTGCAATTACCCTCCCAACTAGTATTTTGCCAAACCGCGTTGTTTGTTAGAGGGAGATCATTTGAAGGCATGCAAACCAATGTTACTACGTGCGTTTGAATGCCCCACCAATTTAGAGCATACATCTTTCTACTCCAGTACTCTCTGTGTTGCATCCCAAAGATGTTTGGGGGGGAGGGGAGGATGCCTTATTCCAGGCGCAGTCATTTCTTAGTTGGCTAGGCTCTACGTGTAGTTTCTTATACTTCTCATCCCAAAAGGGGATCTTGCATCACAGAAGTGCTAACAGAAAAGGATTTTCATCCTAACAGTCCCTTTCTGTCTACCGCGTTTTGAGAGTAAAAGAGACAGTTAGCACAGAGATTGTAGTAGACAAATAGGCAGGGGAATTCTGGATACGCGAGAAATGAGATTTTTCGATGCATTTTTTCAGATAAACATTGTGCTACGCCTGTGCTACGCCTTTCTCTTTCCCTTCTTAGAAAATATCAACAACGCCAAAATTTCTTCGTGGGCCTCTTTTTTTTTCCCGTTTCCCATTTCAGCTTCGAAGTAACTGTCGCAGGAATATCCGATGAGGAAGAATTGGGCACAATCGATGGATATAAACTGGAGTTGAGGAAAAGTAAACACTATAAACAATAGGATATACGTGGGTTAGTTGTGATTTGGATGGCGGAAGAAGTCTTGGAAAACACGATCAGTTATCGTTCTCCTAAAACAATCCTCCTTTTCGCTTTTTTTATATTGGTTCTGGACCAATTCTATCATCAGTCTATTGCTCACTTGTGTGGAGTACGATAGTAAACAACGGACAGAAATAGCGATACCAAGAAAAAGATAGGCCTAGTAGATGAGCTCTTGTTTTTGGAGTGCATACTCGTATTTTTGCTCTTATTGCTGATGCAGTTTAAGGAGAATATGAGAAGATCAACAAGAGCAATAATAAAAAAAAAGAAAAGGAAAATGAATTGCTCAGTTAATGACAGGAAAACAAAACGGGATTAATTGTTATCCTATATGAGAAGTAAATTTTTTTTCGTATTGCCAAAGAGGATTGTATAAATACAGCAATATTCTTATGTTTTCCCAATTTCACAGTTGTTTTTCCTTTCTCTATAGTATTTTTTTTTTCTTCATTTAATACAAAATCTTCAAGGAACATTAATTATTTTCTTCTAAAAAAACAATATAAAATAGTAAAGAACTACAATCTTTACATTTTCTCATTACAAAGTCATTCGCTTTTAATTTTACTTTCATTTTGGTTCTATCCAATACACATACCCCCCTCAAACTTATAAACTAGAATAAAAAATGCAATTCAAGAACGTCGCCCTAACTGCTGCTGTCGCTTCCGTCGCTGCTGCCGATGGTTACACTCCAGGTAACCCATGGTCCACCTTGACCCCATCCGGTACTGTCGCTTGTGCTAAGCCAGAATACACTGCCAGCTTCGGTATTGCTGTTAAGCCAATCTCCTCTTCTGTTGCCAAGAGAGCCGTTGTTTCCCAAATCGGTGACGGTCAAATCCAAGCTACTTCTGCTGCTCCAAAGCCAACTAACGCTGCTGCTTCTCAAGTCGCTGACGGTCAAGTTCAACAAAAGACTACCTCTACTACCAAGGCTACCACTACTTTGGCTCCAAGCTCTTCTAAGACCTCTTCCACTTCCACTTCCACTTCTTGTGCTGCCACCCCACTAACCATCAAGGAATCCTCCTGTAAGAACGATGGTACTTTGCAATTGACCTTGAAGGGTGGTGTCTTAACCGATGGTAAGGGTAGAGTTGGTTCTATCGTCTCCAACAGACAATTCCAATTCGATGGTCCACCACCACAAGCCGGTGCCATCTACGCCGGTGGCTGGTCCATCACCGAACAAGGTAACTTGGCTCTAGGTAACTCCGATGTCTTCTACCAATGTCTATCCGGTAACTTCTACAACTTGTACGACCAAAAGATTGCTGAACAATGTTCTCCAATTAACTTGGAAGTTGTCTCTTTGGTTGACTGTTAAACAATGGAAATGATGTGATCAATCAAGAACAAAATGGTAACCTGCCATTTTCTTCGGAATATTGAGTTGTACCTTCTAAGTTATAAACAATCAAAATAAATTACAACGCCAAAATTTCTTATCAAATATTTGAATTCTTTAGGTTTACTCATGGTTTTATTTCTCCATCCACTTTCATTTCTATTGTTATGCATGTTTTCTAGGATTTTATTCTTCCAATTTCTATTCTTTTCGGGTACCGTTTTAGAGTTTAACAAAATTTAAGCTTTCATTCATTGAAAGGAATGTATATTATACAAGGTACTCGAGCGTTTTTTTTATTAAGTAATTATATATTGACTAATTACTTTAATCCGATACATTTTATTTTGTAACCTGTTAAGGAAAATGTTTTAAATGCCCATCTAGATCAACACACTCACACTCTCAAATGATTTGTGAGAGCTCTACTTCAATGCGAGAAAAAGTAGATTTGATTAACCGTGGCTAATTAGACTATTTCAGACCCTTTCTCATTAAATGTTAATTAATGATTGTATATAATATAGCAATATCATCATATTATGGTTTTCTTTTGACTTCAGAAATAAATGTTGATTTTAATTGAATATATTTGAAAACATTTTTTTTAACTATCAAATTATTTTATATAATAAAAAGGGATTTTAAAAAACAGATAAACATAAAAAATAAACTGCAGGAAAACTCCGCAATTAAGAACTAATGAATTGCTGATCAAATGCCAGACGATATTTGAAGAAGAAAAAAAACTTAGACAATATTGCTACTGTACGTTAACTCAATGCAAAGGAATGGATGCGATCTTCGTTGAGATCAATGCAAAATGTGAATGTTTAAAACAAACAAGCTGAATGAAAGCCAGCCAGTGGCATCAGCTTATATTCTATAGTGTTGAATTCTTTTAAAATTCAATTTTAACATTTGATCAAGTCAATGGCGGACAAATGCACTGGAGTACATTGAGAACCAATGTGTTGGTCGTACAAGTTGTAGAAGTTACCGGATAGACATTGGTAGAAGACATCGTTGTCACCTAGAGCCAAGTTACCTTGTGGGGTCAAAGACCAACCAGCAGCAAAGATGGCACCAGCTTGTGGTGGTGGACCATCGAATTGGAATTGTCTGTTAGCAACAATGGAACCGATTCTACCCTTACCATCGGTCAAGATACCACCCTTCAAGTTCATTTCTAGAGTACCGTCAACCTTACAGGAGACAGCGCCAACTGGATCATTTGGTGCCTTACCTTGGTTTGAGGCTTGGACTTGACCGTCTTGAATTTGAGAAGCACCGGCAGTAGCAGTCTTGGTAGCTTGGATTTGACCGTCACCAATTTGAGAGACAGCAGTCTTGGTGGTAGCTTGGATTTGACCATCACCAATTTGAGAAACTGGAGCAGCTTGTGTCTTGGTAGTGGCTTGAATTTGACCGTCACCAATTTGAGAAACTGGAGCAGCTTGTGTCTTGGTGGTAGCTTGGATTTGACCGTCACCGATTTGAGAAACTGGAGCAGCTTGTGTCTTGGTAGTAGCTTGGATTTGACCATCACCAATTTGAGAAACTGGAGCAGCTTGTGTCTTGGTAGTAGCTTGGATTTGACCGTCACCGATTTGAGAAACTGGAGCAGCTTGTGTCTTGGTAGTGGCTTGGATTTGACCATCACCGATTTGAGAGATTGGGGCCTTTGGAGCTAGAGTAGATGTGGTCTTGGTGGTAGCTTGAACTTGACCGTCACCGATTTGAGAGACAGCTCTCTTGGCAACAGAAGCTGGGGTAGCGATTGGTTGGACAGCGATACCGAAGGTGGAGGCGTAGTCGGTAATACCACCCTTGAAAGTGGCGGATGGGGTCAAGGTGGACCATGGTTGACCTGGAACGTAAGCGGCCAAGGCGGAAGTAGCCAAAGCGGAAGCGGCTAGAGTCTTTTTGTATTGCATTATAAAGGTTTTTGGAGTGTTTGGTTTTGTTAGTGGAAAACTAGTTGTTATTGATGGTTTTTTATTATTATATTGATTATAATATAAAGAAACTTAGAACCGAAAGAATATCCAAAAATACAGATATTTGTAGTCGTTTATATATCAATTTTTTTTTTGTTTAGTTTTCTTGTTATCCCGAGACTGATCATATTTCAAGCCAATTACATATTGAAAGTTAGAAAGACTAAACCAGCATTCCTATTTCTTTATCGACTATTTCAGCTAGTGTCTAACACTATAATGCCTTCTTCACCCATAATTAGAATACATCCAAATGACGCAAAAAGGAAGAAAAATGGTATTTTTAGCACTTACAAGAACCAGCCCATAGCCAGTCTTTTTGATTTTTTTTTTTTTTTTTTTGATTTGATTGCTCATAGTCTCTGCATCTACATGGTGTAACTGGGGACTAGTTACTAGTATTATTTTGTCCCCTTGATGATGGGATAAGTATTACGATATGGCACATTGAAACGGATTAGTTATCCGAATCAGGTAAAGATATTAGCGATCCGACCTTCAAGCTCTCTTCACCAGCCATTGAAAGCACAAAGCTTAGAATGGCTATCATTAATGGGCTCATTTTGGGAAGCTGGGCTTCCACAACTATCACGCACTTAACAAGTTGAAATGCTGGGGATTCGGGATCAAGAACCCAGCATTTTTCTAAGAACCCAGCGCACAGCCATCCGAATTTTTTTTTTTGTTTTTCTCTTCGAATTTTTGTAGCTCCCATTGAGTTCTTCCTTTTTTTTGACTCTCTACCTCTTTCACTGCCCTCCTGCACTTTCTCTGTGTCTTGTCACACACTGAGGGCAAATGACGTACGAAATTCTCATGGATAGAAAGGATCGGGGAGGGGAGAGTCTAAGAGATGCAGAGAACGAGATGCACAGAAATCAGCTCTCGAGGAGACAGATCCCAGAGATTTCAAATACATCTACGGAGGTTTGTTAGTCCGCGCAGCTACTACACTTAGAAAAGCCCTCACGGATGGCCCATGAACAAGAAAACGACCCAAGCGAGGCGTCCCCATTCAAAGATGCAAGTCAGATCTCAGGTGATTTGTGCGACTGTTTGTTAGACACTTTAACATCCGTTTTTTGTTCTTTTGCTCTTCGTTGCCATTTTCAAGGGACTAACCATCTCTAATCTTCTAAAATTAGAACCACCCCTTCCATTCAAATTCTATTTAGACAAGCAGGAAGGGGTTGTACCCCCCCTATGAAAGCCGGGGTGGAAGGCCCTGCCATCCGAATATTTATCATCGGGGGGAGCCTTCCCATCCGTTGTGAAGCCAGCCCGGTCTCCACCCGTACACAAAGACTCTTGGTAGATGGCTGGGTTGTACACTATATACACTACTCACACTACTCACACTCTTGAAGCTATGGCCATGTGATTTGCACGTATATTATTAGGATTATTTTTTCTTCCGAAGTGCTTAACAAGGTTCAGCCATCCGTGAACTTGCTCTTTCTAGACCACCTGCTGCTACTCCCTTTCCAATGGTAGGGACTGGAAGGATGGCTGGTAGTTGCTTTCCCTTCTCACAACTTAGGACACTTACTATACCATATTCGGAAAAGTAGTTACAAGAAAGTCAAAAAAAATAATTAAAAATGCCCTTTGAGCTATTTTCATTGATCCGATGCTCTCAAAGGATTCCAGCCTTTGTATCTTACCACCCTGGTTTAAGCAGTGTTTACTGGGAAAAGAAACGACGATCGCTTTGGTGCAAGATCTTGATCTCGGGGAAGTGTAGATCATTCCATTTCTAAACAAGTAATGCATTTTATTGCGAAGACGTAATCACAAACATATTGGCATGGCTTGTCTTTTAAGTGTTGAATTTCTGTTAGTAAATTGTACGGGTGGTACTGCGTATTACTGTAATAAACTATAATTGCGTATACTATAACAACCCGCCATGCCCTATTAATAGATCATTTGCTGCAAGGTTACTAATTCTTAGTTGAATACTTGAAAATCAAGCCTATAGCATGAGATAATGTTGAAAAAAAAAAACTATAAAAGGATAGATAATTCTTAATTCAGAATATATTTTCCATCTTCCTTTTCTACTTTATATAATACATAAAAAGACCAGACAATTAGAAAACTAAACATTCTAACTACCATCTACCCAAACACACAAACACTCCAAAAACCTTTATAATGCAATACAAAAAGACTCTAGCCGCTTCCGCTTTGGCTACTTCCGCCTTGGCCGCTTACGTTCCAGGTAAGCCATGGTCCACCTTGACCCCATCCGCCACTTTCAAGGGTGGTATTACCGACTACGCCTCCACCTTCGGTATCGCTGTCCAACCTATCGCTACCCCAGCTTCTGTTGCCAAGAGAGCTGTCTCTCAAATCGGTGACGGTCAAGTTCAAGCTACCACCAAGACCACATCTACTCTAGCTCCAAAGGCCCCAATCTCTCAAATTGGTGATGGTCAAATTCAAGCCACTACCAAGACACAAGCTGCTCCAGTTTCTCAAATCGGTGACGGTCAAATCCAAGCTACCACTAAGACTAAGGCTGCTCCAGTTTCTCAAATCGGTGATGGTCAAATCCAAGCTACTACCAAGACACAAGCTGCTCCAGTTTCTCAAATCGGTGACGGTCAAATTCAAGCTACTACCAAGACACAAGCTGCTCCAGTTTCTCAAATCGGTGACGGTCAAATTCAAGCCACTACCAAGACACAAGCTGCTCCAGTTTCTCAAATTGGTGACGGCCAAATCCAAGCTACTACCAAGACTAAGGCCACTGGTGTCTCTCAAATTGGTGATGGCCAAATCCAAGCTACCAAGACTGGCTCTACCACTCCATCTCAACCACCAATGAACAACTCCACCATTCCAGTTCCAAACAACAACGCTACTCTACCAGTTAACGCTAAGGACCCAGTTAGAGCTGAATCTTGTAAGGTTGACGGTACTCTAGAAATGAACTTGAAGGGTGGTATCTTGACCGATGGTAAGGGTAGAATCGGTTCCATTGTTGCTAACAGACAATTCCAATTCGATGGTCCACCACCACAAGCTGGTGCCATCTTTGCTGCTGGTTGGTCTTTGACTCCAGAAGGTAACTTGGCTATTGGTGACAACGATGTCTTCTACCAATGTCTATCCGGTAACTTCTACAACTTGTACGACCAACACATTGGTTCTCAATGTACTCCAGTGCATTTGTCCGCCATTGACTTGATTAAGTGTTAAATTTAGGATAAAAAAAGTTTCAAACCATTTTTTATTTTTACATTTACATGCATTTCGGTAAGTGAAGTCTGATTATCTTTATAGAGCTTCATTTATCAAAGCTTATTTTAATGACGGCATTGTACAATATTTCCAGTACTGGTTTATAGGATTTACACTTTCAAAATTTCGGATTAACGAGCTAGCATCATCTTCAAAGATGTTTGTGCAGCATTTTGTTCTTAGACACAACTGATGTCTCCATTTATCTTTTTTTTTATTCATTTTTCTCTTTTTCTGTATTTAATTTATTTAATTTTAACTTATCATAAAAAAATATTTTATTAAGGTCTCAAATTAGTATCTCTATCATAGTACTTGTGTCTTATTCATCAACTTGTTCTTATCCTCCCACTACTTTGCTCGGATCAGAATTCTTTAAATTTTCTGCCTCATCGCATGAAAAAAGGACATGAGTAAAATTAAAGAAAATGCGATGAGCTCAAAAAGTAAATTATGTGCAATGCATAAGTGGCGAAAGATATAGACATAAAGCTAGGGCATTTACATTATCAACTAAGGCTATCATTTTGAATAAGACACTACCGTGAAGTGTTTCTTGGGTTAATTATATATACCGATAACGGATATTTCACAACAGTCTCTTAGCAACTGAAGCATCGCCCTCAGTGTGAGATCTGAGTGCTATAGAATTGCAAGTGGTTGCAAACTTACGTTTGGTCAATGTATTAACGAATAACTATCCAATACAAATATATCTGAGGACTATCGAAATCAAAAAGAGGGAGATGTCTATAAACGATGTTACAATTGATACAAGTACATACTATTCCATTTTAGGTGTACCGACAAATGCATCCACCAACGAAATAAGGAAATCATACATGAAGTTGGCTAAAAAATTGCATCCTGATAAAACTAAATCAGAACATACAGCTGAGCTCTTTAAATTAGTAGTGGATGCACATTCCATTCTAAATAACGACCAACTGCGAGCAGAATATGACAAAAAGTTAATATTAGAAGGAAGATTTGAACTACATCAGCATGGGGCGAAACAGAAAAACAAGGATATAAGAAAAGGATATACCTTTAAAAGAAATAGTAAGCCTTATGAGCAACAACCATACGGTTTTGGTGTCCAAGTTCCCAAAGGTCCACATGAGGAATCTAATTATGAGGCCAATAGTAATCCGCATAACGAGAACTCTTCTAATAACGATACAAAGATGAAGTCTACGAATTTACATGATACGCTAAGCAAGGATTCAGAAGATAAGCATGGAACAGACGATGCTTCGGATATACAGCCGCCAACTAAATCAAATGACATCGCAAATGAGGTTGGCTCCAAAAGAAAATCGAATTCAAAGGATATACATCAAGACCATAGCTCAAATATTGGTTTAAATCCTTTGAAGAAGAAGAAACTTGAAAAGAAGGCTGTACACGCAACAACTACAGAATCAAGAAGGTATATGAGAAAGAAAAGCGAGAAAAAGGCCACACCACCCATTCAGCCTCTGGCAGATTTACAAATAAATGACGACTGGGAGAAGCTAAGAGAGGTTTTACAAAGAATTGAAAAAGAGGACAGCCGTGGTGGTAAGGAATTTACTTTAGATATTGATGTTAACGAGCAAATGTACAATCTTTCTATGGAATCATCTGATGACGAGCACACAATCCCTACCAAAAAAAGAGCAAAAGTTGGATCAAATATACAAGGAAATAGTCGTTATTTTGCTCAAACTGCTGCTTATGATATGAATCAGATAAACGCAAACTTGGGTACTAGAAATACAGAAGATGACCGACAAGCATCTTCAAAGATAAGTATCACTGAGATAGATGACATTTTGGATCTCTTGAAGGAAAGAGTGCCAAGCCCGCCTAAATTAGGTCACCTCGGTGTTCAGCGAGATCAACAAAATAGAGCTTTAGAATACATCAAATACACTGATGAATTAAAGAAAAGGATATTATATGTACTATCTAATTCCTCTACTACAGAAGCAATGCAGCATTTCAACAGGCATACCCAATCTGTTCTAGCTCACAAGACCATGGAATTAAGGCTATGTGAAAAACTTACTGAAATTCAAAAGTGTCAGCAAGGTGTTATAGAGTATTTCTCACGTACAGCTTTAGGATAAGTGCATGTGTTTCTGATGTTAACATCAAATACTATGGGAAAAAGACAATTGTGATATTGAAATGGGAGCGAAGTCCCTTGCTTAAGAACATTTCGATTTTGCTTTTTTTCACAATGTTTATCAAACCAGGTTTTAATACCGCTCAGTGGCAAGCTCATCATGGTGTCCCAAAAAATATACTGATGACGTAAGGCTACAGCTAGTAGTTGAGTGGGCAAAATAACAAGATACTCGAGGCGATTAAAATAACTACGGTGTAGGAAAGCAACTACTTCTTGAATAAAAAAAGATTAGGTAATTTGCTAGTACTAAGAAATTAGAGCAATAAGTTCATGTACCGATTACTTTTTTTTTGTATTTTTACCACTTTCAGGAATAAGTTTCATATTCAGTAATATACTATAGACTTCTACTCATAGTAGCTTGGGATTTAGCCCCGTTACGGAAGTGTCTTCTAGTTAAACCCTCGCACTTCCTATTCGTAACATCAGGCAAAGGGTTTTCTGGGTAAAGCTTAAGATATAGGAGGACTAACCCAGTAGCCCAAAAGGGAGAATAACTACAGCCAGTATGCCTGGGGATTTGAGAAAAGCTCGCAGAATACTTTTCAAGCTATCCCACTTAACTGATACTCATTCTTTTCTTTTTATTTAGCAGAGTTTTTTTTTGTTTATTTTACAATGACGAAAAATATCGATACGTGAAGATTTTTTTTTTGTTATCACAGATTTGTTGGCAGGAAAGTGATAGCATTTGAGAGCTATTCGCATAAACAACACTGTCGGAATGCGCATGCTAAGGAATCTCAATGTTTTTTCTTTTTGTATCCTGACGTTATTGATAATTGACGCAGTGTAGCAGTTTTACTTTGAACCTGCCAGTTCTAGTTCTCTCCTCCGGTTTCTTCAATCTTTGAAAATTTTAATAACAGTTGAAAAATTGGCCATTGACAAAGTAAAAATTGTTTATCATCTGTGCACTGGGTTGCTTGTAATGTTTCATTTTATTGAGAATTATATTCAGACCCTGAAAACTCGATGCTGTCAAGGCTTTTGGATTTTAACTAAATCACAGATACTTGCATATATTTCATAAATGGAAAGAAGAAATGGATCATACATTGTAAAACTTATAATAAAAAGTTCTAAATACGTCGACTGCATTTAGCCGTATAGCCCCATACCCTTCTGCTCAGATATAAGCTGTTTGTTTTCATTTTTTGGCATAAGAATTGTCTTTGTGTAAAGCATTGCTGTAAGTTTTCTTTTTATTTGGCCATATAAACACTTCGTTAACGGAAAATTGGTCTGGCGTTATAACATTGCTAACATAGCGTTTGTGTGGGTTTTCAGCAAGCATCTAATTATTGAAATAACTTGAAATTATTGGAGTAAATTGTCGCAATTATTATCACTCAAGATCTGTACCTACCTGTCTCTGCTTGACTTAAATCATCGGTTCAAATGGGAGAATCCAATACTGCAGCACCACCAAGCAGATCAAGATCTCTATCTGCATCTATAAAAGGCTTATTTGGGAAAAACTCTATATCAAGCAATGAAATCAATGGTAAGAAGGAGGCATTTGTACAATCTGGTACAAGAGAGGATCAGCGATATAATGAAGAACATCATTTAAAGAAAATAGACACGAAGGCCTCAGTTCCTAAAAAAGACACTCAATTGTCGCCATTATCAGCACCAGGTAGTTATTTGAAAAAGTCAACATCTATAGCGAGTTCCCTTCATTTGAATAGTGGAAAGCAGTCAGTTACTTCTAGTCGAGCACAATCCATTAGCTCGGATGGTAATGGGTTTTTATCACAAGAAAGCTTCATAAGTGAAGAGCATGAAGATGATATAGATGATACCACATACTATGATAAGTCAACGAGAGGTTTCACAAATCTCAGTAAGGAAGTTGAAAGTTACTCGATATCAAGAAAAAATAGCATTCAGCAATCAAGGAAGGCTAGCGTAGATGATAATGAAGTAGATAAGCGGAATGCTCATTTTCCTGATAGTGATACTACTATTGATAGTGTTTTGGGTGATAAAAATAAGAATCAGAAGGTAATGAATCAAATTAACAGTATTAGTAACATATCAAGGTCTGGCAGTGTCCCAGCAAATCCACCTATACTTTCTTCGAAAAGTAGAAGAGGAAGTAACGCTATGAGTATCAGATCACCTTCAGTGCGGTCTACCGCTTCGATTGTATCAGGAAATTCCAACTCTGAAGTGATTACTCCTAGTAGTAAACCAGCGACTCAAAATATATCGGAAGATGGCAATATCAAGAAGACCGATAATACACTGAAATGTGTTATTAATTCGAAACATTTTAAAGTGTACGAAAATGGCTTCCACGAACACCATTTGCCTGTTATTGATCTAGTTAAGGGTGATTCGACGGATTCTTTGAACTCTAGCACTGTATCCAAAGGAACAGAAGGAATAGAAATAAACAGGCAAAAGTCGTCTTTTTCTTTAACTGGGATATTTAAAAAGAAGAATGGTGACAAAATGAATGAACTACTAGATACAGAACCGTTTGGAAATGCATCTTCATTAATGCCAACAAAAGCTTTTTGTCCGCGTTATAAAACGAAGGATGGAAGTATGATTGAAGAGCCGCTTGAGCAGGAAACTACACATAAGAAAATACCTAAAATTGTCAACCCATACGCGGCAGTTGGTTCAGAAGAACTGAAATTAATTACAACCCTTTCTGATAAGATTAAAAAGGGCTTAAAAAACAAGGATGGGCAATCCAGAAGTGGGTCGCAATCAGGATCGGCCTCTAGTTCACTCCATACTAGCCCTGTGGCATCATCTACATCTTTATCCTCAAAATTTCATCACGCTTTGGTGACATGTTCAGAGAAGTATGGTGATCCCGTTGGAGTGATAGGTCATGGTACATATGGTGTTGTGCGAGTTTGTTCACGGCCTCTGCTAATTAGTGACAGCGCTCCATTTCCATCTTATTGTAATGATAAGAAGCTCTTTTTCGCCATAAAAGTGCTGAAGCCAAAGGATGATGAACAATTAGAAAAGTTCAGTACTAGAGTTACCTCAGAGTTTATAATTGGTCATTCTTTGAGTAGAAGACATAAAGCCCATGCACTGCAGAACAAGGTATGTCCAAGCAAAAGGCTCGCTCATAAAGCTCAAAGAAAGCTAGATTGGGAATGTCCAAATATATTGAGAGTGATCGATCTGATGGAGACAAATAATACATTTATAGAAGTTATGGAACTTTGTCCTGCTGGTGATCTTCATTCTTTGTTGGTTTCTAGATCACAATCTGGCAATGCTATTGGCTCTTTACATCCATTAGAAGCAGATTGTTTTATGAAGCAATTGCTCCGTGGTGTTCAATACATGCATGATCACGGTATTGCACATTGTGATCTGAAGCCTGAGAATTTATTGTTTCATCCGAATGGTCTTCTTAAGATATGTGATTTTGGAACCAGTTCAGTTTTTCAAACCGCTTGGGAAAAGCACGTCCATTTCCAAAATGGTGTCATTGGATCTGAACCGTACGTTGCACCAGAGGTATTTCAACTTGGAAAGGATTATGACCCCAGACTTATCGACTGTTGGAGTTGTGGTATAGTGTATTGTACAATGGTTTTTGGGCAATACCTCTGGAAAATTGCTATTGAGAATAAGGATTCTTTATACGCATCGTTCATATCCCAGATGAAAGATGAAAATCAGTTCTCACTATTTGAAGAGTTGAGGCATGTAAACGCTGATTTGAACAAACTCAGAAAAAATGTTCTTTATAATATGTTCCAGACCAATCCAGAAAAGCGTATAACTGTAGACAAGATACTGCATAGTTCATGGATGAAGCATACTCGCTGTTGTGTTTCGTACAACCATTCGGTGTAATTTTTATTTTATTTTGTCATACTTGTAATGACTACCTATTACTGCATTTTTCATTAGCATTATTACCTAAGATTGAGGGATAGGAGGCATTCGGTTTAGGATTTATAGATATTCAAAGCATTCCACACAAACGTCCCACTTATCTCTAGATTATAATTATTTTTTAATTTATATATATATATATATTCAAAAGCATCTAATTCTTTATTTCCAAAAGTACAACTTCAAGTCAAAATCCACAGATTAATTTCTTCAGTTTATTTTACATGTTTATTTAAGAGTTGGATAGTATTTATAGATAAAAGGGTTATGAAGTCTAGTATTCATTAGTAAAACAACGAATATATATGTTTTGCTTTGTTTTAGAAGTGGCATACCCCTCAAAGGTTTTGAATTAAATGAATATCTTTATTTTGCGTGCAAATGGGGGGAAATTCCTTTGCGATTAGTTCCATCTCCATTTTCAATAAATAGAATATATGATGCGTTCCAGAAAAGTTGATCGGTGAGCCTCAGGAAACTCAGTTGTTAACTCTTTCCAATTCTTCTCTACCAGCCTTGGTGTATAAGTACTCGTTGTAGTCTCTGCTGTTAATCCACCAGTAATAGTAAATACCTGCTGGGATCAAAACGTACAATGCTTGCGACTTTACTCTTCTAAAAGTGTTGAAGACAGCATTATGCATAGAGTGTGCTAGAGGCTTTTGAGCATATGGAGACACAGAGTATGAAGTAATACCCTTTTGCTTTGGGGAGCCAAGGTGACCCCACCATCCCATGTAAGCTTTAGCACCTGGAGGACTCATTGTAGTATATTATTGTTATGTATTAGTCTTTAGTTATTTGCTTTTCAAAATGGCCAAAAATAAAAAAGCTAGCTTTTGTTCCTAATATATACACGTTATAACCAAGGAACACAGAAAAAGGTTATTAGTGGGCGAAGCTTGTTATATACTATCCAGCTCGAGATGAGGGAGGGTGTTTTTCTCCTTCCTCTTGACACTATGAAGCAGATAGCTCTGCACTTCCCACATAGTTAGGAACTGTCCAAGAGCTCTGAAACGTTAAGTCCGATTCATGTTAGAGACTGTACTTCACTCATTGGTTTGGGACATTAACAGTTTACTGCGAGTACGGGAAGAGCACCGACGAAACGGTCCTCTCACTGAGTAAAGAAACAGTACAGTTTCCCACTATACGGTTCAACATACACTGGGATGTGATTGGCTATAAATCACGTGAATCACTAATTGCATATAATTATTATTTGATACGTAAGTTGTCACATGTATAACGTACAGAAGTACTATATCACATGGTATTGTCGTGTCTTGGTATTTGGTTTTGCTTACGGTAATAATCTCATGAGCTTCATAAAAGCTGCGAAGTTTCAATGATAGATTCGAGGAGCTCATAGCTCTAAAGGCAGGTTCGGTTATATGCTTGTGATTCCATAGGCCATCTGTACAGTATTGTTAGTTAAATCGGTAGTTTGCAGTGTGTATTTGCAAATTAATTTTGGCTGTTTTTTACATAGTTGCAGTCCCGGTAACTACTTCAGAAAGTTAAGGGAAATCACTATAATAGAAGATATAACATATTTTCATTGCAGAGTGGAGCCAGGTTAGCACTGACTATTTGATATCGAATTTTTGATGTCTCGTGTTGCTCAGCTTGATTCAGTGGTGCTAGATCAGGAAGTGGACCATCTGATATGGAATATATTCCAGAAGGATTTCAAAGTATCAAAGTATGCTGAGGAGTGCCAATTTCTGCTACGGTGTCTGGTGTTTATATGCGGTTCAAAGAGTGTAGATGGAGTTAACACAACCACGTATGGATCTCGACTCAGTGGTGTTTATTATCTTTGCAGAAAGAGAACTCTGTTTGTCTCTAACATTCTGATACATTACCTCTACAGGAAACTGTCAAACCTATATTTCTCTTCAAACAACATATCAGAACGGACATTGAGACTGTACAGATGGATTTCAACCCTGTATGGAGTCCTAGACCTTACAACTTTTCTAAGGTTCTTGTTGTCTGATGGAAACACAAAATATTTGTCTTTGACAAACAGACTATTGGGGATTGTAACTTCTGTGGATATGCTATCACCATCTAGTTTCTATCAGGACACTGTATATGCAGGACTAGAGTACCAAAATAGGCAATTACTATGGAATGCACTTTTGGAAGTGTTTAACTCTACACTAATGAACTCGAACAAGTACTTATGGGACACGAGAAAGAAAAGAGATAAGCCTGCAAATGAAACTACCTGCCCGGAATGTAATGGATTCCCTGTTAACCCATATCGCTCTTCTTGTTGCAGGGCCAACTATTGCTATATATGTGGAATGAAGGCTCTGGCAAGGGAACACTGTACAAATTGCGGCAATACCAAACCAGCAATGCAACAAGTATACTAAGTTTTTATTATGACCTCACGACTCTTGTAATGGCATCTCTTTTTTTAGATATTTATACGTTTCTATATTCAATCTTAAATAATATTCAGTTAAATCACTAAATACCTAATGAGTACCTCGTAATCAGCACCATCTCTTTGGGCGAACGAGCAAGGCCAAAAGTAGCCTATATTAATTAAAGGTGATAGGCAGACTAATTCTCATATCGGCTTTCAATAACTACTATCTAATCAAATAATCCATTTAACACATTTTATTTCTTCAAGGAATACTAGAAGAATTGGCTATGGAGATGAGCACAGTGAAAAGTACCATATTGTAATTAACTACAAGAAGACATTGAGGTTAGCATAAAGAACTATCCAGACGGGCAAACGTTGAAGACTGTCTAGGATACAGAATTTACACTTTATGATGAATAGGTTTCTTCAGAGCTCCCGACTACGTTTTGCCATATATAACCCATCTAAGGTACGATCCATTACAACATTGAGTTTTAATGACTTGAAAGATCCAAAAGTTTTTAGTAAATCTGAAATCAAGAACATACAAAGTTATTGGGTGGATCAAGGCAATCCCTATGCAGAAAGGAGCAGTTCACTTCTCGTCAACTGCAGCGTTTCAGAGTTGTCGAAGTATTTATCCAGGTTTAGTCATCGTTCATTTTTAGTGAGAGAGCTTTATCGAAGAGAGCTAATATATAACTCACAAGAGAACCCAGAAATTTGTCAAGAACTTATCAGAAATATCACCAAAAACAGCCCTGTCAAATTAGAAACATGTAATGATATTTTAGCATTCATTGTACAAGATTCTATTCGGACAAATGATGTGGTTATGGCAGTTAGGTTATTTTTGTTATTTCATAAATTGAATCCAAGTAAAGCAGTAGATGGTTCAATTATACAGGTACTGTTCTCTGCATTAGCTGTGAAAGAGCCTGGTGACGATTCTAAAAGCATTAGGGTTTGCATGAATATTTTAAACGATTTGAATAACTATGACATTGATTTCAAATTGAAAACCGGCACAGTGGTTAGATTGATAGATAAAGTATTAAATCTTAAAGACAATATTTTAGGAAAGGCATTTGCCGAAAAGTTTATAGAATCGAATTTCTTCCGGTCTTTAAGTAATGATGGTAAACTGGAGGTATTATATTGTATGATCGAAAACGGGTATAATAATAAAAATGATTCACAGGTGGTAATTAATTGGTTCCGCGCAAAGAAATATTGTGACCAGTTTTCCTCGCTAAAAGTGGATATAATACACATGTTGCTGAAGTTAGCGAACAAGGAAAATGGCTATTCATATATCGGTAATGACATAATTGAGAATCTGGAACCACGATATTATTGTAACTCTCGATTGCTGTTACCGGAGATAATAAAGTTTGTAACCCGAACAGCCGATTTAAAGAAAATACAAACATTGCTGAATATAATTGAGCAAAATATATCTGCATCTAATTACAACACCGTTTGGTTATCAAAAGATAATCTTTGTGCGTTATTGAAGATGTACTTGGATTTTGGGGATTCACAAGGTGTAGATAATACATTGAAACACATAAGTGATACATATGGTAGGATTGAGGCAATAAATCATGAGGTTTTAATTTCACACTTATTGGAAGAAGGAGGTCTTTCTAAGGTAAAGAAAGCTATCTCTCTTTTGTTTTCTTTAGAAGGAAATAGTTTCCTGATATGTGCACCAAAACTATTGAGCTATCTGTTACAGAGTGATCAGCTAGCACATGAAGCGGTAGTGCCAAACAGGCATTTGTTGGTTAATGAGATTGTAGAAAAAGCAGAAATATATGATCGGGAATATAGAACTAACTTTTGGGACCATCTGGTAGAGCTTTATTTTTTAAAACTCCTCGAGAGTGGTGATTCTGGAAATGGAGATATTAGAAAATCTTTGCTGCTTGCTAAACTTATCTTCATCAATTCTGTCAATAGTAAGACCAGTCCAACTTACAACCCTTTTTCAGAGACCAGCCCAGATATGCTTGTTGTTCGATTGAAACAAGCAAACATGGTAGAAGTTTTGAAACGCATTGCACAGGTTTCATTCCGTACCGGAAATGAAGATATACTTCAATGGTCATGCGCGCAGCTTTTTGGAGAGGGTTTTACAACATCCGAGGTAATCGTCGGCATTGTTTCCTCTAAAATTGAAAATGGCATATCTAACACTCCAAAAACTTATGAGCAGTTCTGGAACATGATAGACAACGAAATGCAAGCGCCAAGGCTATATGAGATTTTAAAGTAATTGTATTCTTTAATCTCAACTGAGAGTTATGTTAATAAATGCTGATTAGTATATAATATATTCTGGTTCTTTATACATATATATATATATATATTTAATAACGAATACATTTAGATTTTGACTGTTTTAGTATTTACAAGATGAGTTCATGTTTCAACGTGTTAATATTTTATTTAACTTTAGGAGCTGGTGGTAACATCTTGTTTTTGTTATTTGCAAATTTGCTAAAATCTCTCACCACTATCTGGCAGTTCACCTCTTCACAAAGTTTCTTCCTTTGCTTTTCTGGAACATTTTTTAAGAATTCTAAGCCTGTGCTACGCTCGAGAGCATTCACAGGTACTTCGAAGTCAGTTAGCTTCGTTTCATTAGGAATTCTGTCATTAGGTAAAACGAAAGCAGCAACAGCTATGTTATTTGTAGAATTGTTGGTCTTAGGCTTCTCAGCAACTATCAGTTTAAAGAAATGTGTTGGAACGGCAACATTCGGAGGATTTCCAATTACTTCATAAGTTACTTTATGTTTCTTCTCTATCGGGTCCCATTTGGGTAAGTACAAGGGACCTGTAACAACCCTCACACTGTCATACTTTTTAGTTAAGCCCCTGCAAAAGTATTCTAAATGTGCCCAGTAATCTCTATTAAAGCCCTCACCGACTTGTGGACTGATATTTGTTAAATAGAATGTGCTATCCATTGCTTCTTGTGAGAATTTCATGTCAGCCGCAGGTACTTGATGTCCTCTATCATAACCAGATCTGAAATAATCAGCCAACTTGCTTCTAAATATTTCAGGAATGGCTTCATCCTCAACAAAATAGGAATTCTTTCTGTCACCTTCTCTTTGTGACAGGGATTCGGGAGTCATATGCTCTACAACCCAATATGGGTTTCTAGTTTGACGATTGTAACAGCTGACAAATGCGCCTCTATTCTCTAAGTCATGAACTGGACCTGGAAATCCATACTTGAAAAACCCGCTAGCATTGATCTTTGTTTTGGGATCAATCACAATGCCAGATTTTACACCTGTGCTAGGTAGATTTGTTCTCTTGTTTTCTCTATTCAACACCAAATACGTAATACCTGAACCAAGGGCAAGCCCTGAAACACCAAGAGTAATATGCCTTGCAAGCATTTTACAATTGTTTTAAACTTATTAGTTGAGAATTATAGCAGCGTTAACTCACTTCAGTAATCATGACTTTTAATGCACCTCTGTCCAACGCATTTTCGAAAGCTCATCGCCTTTTCAACTATTTTTTGGAATTTTTGATCTAGTTTTTCACTTTTCAGATTTTCGGTAATTGGCTGATTATCAGCACAGTAATCCATGACATGATAATAAACTTGTCCGAGGTATCTATAAATTGTAAAGGTATTTAAAGTAAGTTATTGGATAAATACTCGGAGTTTGTTGTCATTCCGTCGTCCCATTTACCGAGCAAAACTCTTGAGATTAACAGTATGGTCATTGGCAGGTTGTTTGATATCTGTCTTTAATCCAGCCATAGTATCCAACGCTGCTTTTTGATCGTCATTTAAGGATGCAATTATTTCTTTCACTATAGTAGGCTCTAGACTTACAATTCTGTTCAATTCACGAATTGCTATATCCTTGTGGTTGGGGAAACTTTTAGCATGTGCAATGATGAAAAGTATTGCTATTGACACACTTTTGGAAAAGCTAGTCTTTTCATCTTTAGAAATTGTTGTTGCAAAGTATACCACAAGACTTATTATAATATTTGCAGACACAGAGTTAATACTTCCCTTAACCACATCATTATACATCAAAGGTAATAACTTTCTTGTTAGATACGAGCAAGCGGGAAGACTATTGCTTTGTTTGAGAATGCTTCTGATAGCATGAGCAGTTAAATCAATGCTATTTTCATCCTTTAGGCCAGCTATCAAGTGGTCAGCAATTGTATCTAAGGTACTCTCGGCGATGGAATTGTAACCATTTGTTATCATTAATAAATACGTAGCCATTGATGATTCTGATGTAATAGAGTTTACCAACTGTTCTTCAAGAGAAAAATAAAATATGTCTAGCATTTTTTGTTCATTCGACTTAACAAGGTCTGTTATAATTGACTTTAAAAGAGGTAGTATCACTGGCACCAATGCTTCATTTGAATCTGAAAGAAATATACGTCCAATAACGAATAGCAGGCATGCATATAAGTCGAGCTTAAATATTGCATCAAATGAAGGAATGTTCTGTTCTAAAACTTTAAACGTTTTTCTTAGCAGGTTTACTTCCATGCTGTTCAACTCTTTCCCCGAATTAGTAGTTTCTGATACTGTATGTTGAACAAATGGTAGGAGGTCTTTTATAATTAGCATAATAAGCCTTAAAAGCTCATACATTTTATCAATCCCACTTAGAAACAGTTCATGAGTATCATTAATTGAGATGTACTTTTTCATTAGACTATCTAAAATCTCAATTAGAAAAGTTTTCTCTTGAAGACTGCCTGTAGTTACTAACCTACTCAAGATATCTGTAATCTCAGTATTCAGGTCCTCTTCAAAAATAAAATCTAAAGGTAGAGGGCATTTCAATATACAACTCAATACTCTTAAAACATCTAACTTGACTAAGGAGTTGTCGATGTTTCTTACGATCTCTTCAAAGCATTGAATTACCAGGATATATGTGAATCCTTCGAGTTCATTTTCATCCAAAGATTTTAAAACTACCGATAGATCATGCTCCATTACACAGCTAATTCCTTGAATGAAGTTCAACCAAACAGAGTCATATAATTGTTTTTTATTAACAGATCCAGATTGTGACGTTTCTTTTGTAACTTGCTTTTTTTCCTCTTCATATTTAATCATGATATACTCTCTCAATGAAACAATCCAAAGAGGCACAAGAATAGGCCAATATTCCTTTGAGAATGATATTAGTTCCTTATCTTCGTTTACGTAAGCAGTTTGAACAATGTCAGCCCATGCGTTGAGTATACCCAACTCAATTTTTCTTTTGGCTTTTTGAGTTTGCACCTCAATACCCATCACTTTCATATTGGTTGTAGAGTCCGAGAAAAACGACAGTCCAGATACCAACAGTTTAGAAACTCTGGGGAGGTTGCCTAGTGGGATTACATCAGAAGTTATCAAGTCACCAGCAACTTCAATGGCAAGTCTAATAACCTCTGGTGAACTACCCCAATTAAATGATGGCATTATTGCACTTGTAATCTGTGCCTCTTGAATTCCCAATACATAGTCATTTGTATCTGCGTCTTTAATGTATGCATATCTTGTTAATAATAACTTGATGATATTAAGACCTCCTAATCTCATTTCTTCATTGGAAATAGATGATAGTTGATGAGCTAACTTGATCAAAGTTGGTATTTGTTCTCGGATATTTTCCTGTATAGAATCTGAGCTGAAGCCTTCATGACAAACTTGTAATATCATTCTCGTTAGCACTTTCCTAAAACGCCAATGAATATGATCGTTGGTAACTTCTTTTCCACTAGTTTCATTTACCTCATTTGCGAATCCTTCACTGTATTCCTTATTGGATTTATAATTCTCGCTATCCTTATCTAATTTCTGTGCTCTTTTGGCAATGTTAGAATCCTCAAATAGCCTGTCGGCGGAAGTGTTAAATATCTTAACTAGCTTTGCCAGCCAGTTCGGAATCTCCGACATGGTATTCAGCAGATATTCCTCGAAATATGATATGACTATTTCATTCGATGGGAATAAATTGAGGATACGCCAGGTAACAACTTCAAGCTTCTCGGGAAGCAAGCTGCCCTTCTGTAACCTAATCAATTGTGTAACAATTTCCAGAACTTTCAAGCAAGCTGTGGTACTAGCAGAACTAGGGAATACTTCGTTATTAATAGTTAGAGCTGAATTGAATACATTTGATCCAATACCAATGGAAATATTGTTGTCCAATATATCTGTAATTATTTTAATAAACAAATTATCTTTTAGAAGACCAACAACTTTGAATGTCGATATATTTTCGTAAATTTTTAGCGCCATATATTGTGATACAATATCATTCGAAAGCAATAAGGAGACAGATAATTCTTTAAATATTTCACTTTCGATTTCATTTAAGAATGATAAATTTGGTCCAAGTATCTCAGTGATGGTGCAAGTAATTTCACCCACTAAATGATGGCTGTTGTATTCACTAAAGTAATTGGCATTTATTATTGAAGAACCAAAAATCCCATATTTATCTGTTAGGAGAATCTCATCCAGCAACTCTAAAATAGTACCAGTTTCTGACGTGTCTAGCTGATAGTGTTTTTCTAGGAATATATTTAAAGCCTTAAGTGACCAATAATGAACAACTGGATGAGGGTCTTTGATTAAAGTTTTTATAACGTCAAGTATAGTAGAAAAAAAGGATGCTTGTAGAGTGTACTTGTATATATTTGCCAGCGACAATATCTCAAACGTTCTTAAGTAAGGTTCATCTGTTTCCGCTATTTGGTTTATAATCTTAGCCGTTTGATCATTTAATAAGGCTTTCGCATCTTCCTCATTAACACCTCGGCACATCGCCGCAATAATTAGGCCAACACAGTTAGCTTTCTTAGTTGCAATATAGCTATCATTAAAAAACTCTATTTTCCTAATAGACTCCAAAAGTAGCTGGCCAACATCATTGTCTAATGTAAGATTGCTGTTATGAATGTGTGTTAGAGTATCATGTAATGTTGTACATACATTTGCAGATACAGCTACACTTCTCATTGGAACAGTCATTTTTGAAAACATGGAAAGGTTTAATGATTCAATAACAGAGTATTGGATTTTTCTATTCAAATACGGAAAGACTGTTGCAAATAACTCCATTGAAGAGTCGATCAGAGATGTTGTGACCCTTACAACATCGTGGTCCAAAGGAGGTAAGTTCTTGTACAGCATCGAAAGTGAATCAAATAAAATTGTTGGAGATACAGCTCTTTTCACTTCAAACTCGTATGGCTGAAACCAATGTTTGATGTCAGTATATTTTAATTCTGACATTGGATACTCTATTGATTCTTTACCATTTTGATCATCGAATATCTTGCTTGATAGCCCATATGCAAAAGGATCACTCTGTCTTAGTAATGAAGATACACTGTAATCAACTACAGGATCTTTATCATCATCCTTACTATCAGATTTTTTTCCACCAATTTTCTTGACAGAATTTAGTATGGATGTTGTTTTCATGGTGTATAAGTTCACATCTGAGAAGTTTCTTAGGATCAATATTAATAACGAGCTGTTAAAATCAGATTTAATAAACTTTCTTAGACAAAGATAAACTTGAAGTATCCTATGTTCATTTTGAATCAAAGCGTTATCAATATTTTTTGATTTAGTTGAAACTGAATGATTGAAGTTGGAGCATTTTGTTAGGAGATATGAAACTTGATTTGCGAGATCTTCATCAATTTTGCAATTATTCAAAAATGAAATCAGGCAAGCCATTGCATGGTTCCTTATCTCTAGGTTTTTGTATAACTCGTCCTCAGAATTATAGGAAAATGTATGAGTTAGCAAGACTTTCCAGAATAACTGCAACTGAGGTTTTTGCATGTTAATGTATTGTTCATCGGGGTAATTCATTAGACCGGTCATTAGTATCCAGCAAATAAGCCCTTTAAAATAAACATCCCCATTGGTAGTGGTAGTGTGATTTTTTATATACGATGTTGCAAATACTGTAATGCGCATTATTAGTTCGTAAGGAACGAAATCACTATCACATATCTTTATAAGGTTTGCAATCATATAAGCAAGACCATGATTAACTGAAAAATCAAAATTTTCAGTGTTTTCGAAGTTTTTGGTCAATGCTGTCAATCCCTTCTCGATTACATCACTGATGAAACTAGGAAACTGTTTTAAAAAAGTAACAAACGTCTCAGTTGAGAATATTCTCAGGGCAAATATGTTACTTACCACAAGCTCTTCTAAGGCATCTTTCATTTTGAGTGCAAGAGATTTGTCGGTTGCAAAGGTCGAAGAGAGATCTTCTAACAATAACGTCAAAAGATTTAACTGAACCATTGTGGCCCATTGATTTTCGACTGATTGCGATAGAGTCTTAATAACCTCTTCAGTGCCTCCTTCAGAATCATCGGTTTTAATAGCTACAATATTAAGTAGCATTTGGCATTTGCTAGATTCGCCAATTCTGGGTAGAAATATTCTATGCATATATGTGAAATATCTCATATACCTCGATAATGAGTCTAGATGCTTCTTTTTTATATTATAATCAAGGAAAATTGTAGACAAATGTTTAACGATTTTTAGATAGTTTGTCCCCTTCAAATAGCTGTGGTTCACGTTGTTATTCAGACTAATGAAATGAATTAGGGACTCAAAACAACCAGACTTTATATCCCTGGATTTTGATTCACAAAATAATTGCACATAAAAGTCTAGCGCATCCTCTAAAGATATTAATTGTTTTGAAAAATGTAAAGAAAACAAGATATCAGCAATTGTTCTCGCAAATACGATTCTTGTTTTATCATTAGAAAAAGCATAAATTCCCATGATACTTACACATAATTTTGAATGGATATGCTCCAATAAATCATTTTTATGTTCTTTAATGTAAGTATCAGAAGTGTAATGATGGGACCAGATGTCTAATAGAGAAGCTATAAACTCGATTGGATACTCTTGATTATCGGTCGCCATAGAATCAAATATAGATTTCGAGAACTTAGATATTTTTGCGTAAATCTGTTGGTCTACATCTCTTTCATTTGCAAACCGTACTACACGGTTTATTAATTGCATTAGCGTTGTCATATAAGTCGCATGTCTGTATTTCGATTTCTCAATGTTCTTTTTTAAGCATTTTAATGCGGTGGTCATAATTATAGGTGCCAATGTGGATAAATCCTTCGGAAATGTTTCATTCATCTGGATCAAAATTGTTGAGGCAATGTCTTTTGCGATACTGTGAGTTGATGATTTGCTACTCGATAGCTTCTTCTTTTTCTTTTTGTCAGAATCATCTTCAGTACTACAAACTATCTCGTCATTCAATATTTTAGTCAGTAACTCCGCCATATCAAAAATAGCTCCTCCTTCTTCATCTTGCAGTAATTTGAGAAGTAGTGTGCATAGGTATGACAGCTTTAAAATAACCAAGTGAGAGTTTTGATTTTCTTCTGACTCTAAGCTAGTTGAGTATTTGATATATTCGGTAATTTCATTCTTCTTTATTTTAATTGTTTCCATATCCTCTGTAGATATGATCTTCGACTCGTCATCTAAGGTCGCAGCATACTCGATACAATCAATTGTCCACTTCATCAAGGTGGAATTGAGATCATTGCTTGCTCTAATAAGTTCCAATAGACTTTGAGCTGCCATTTTATCTCGATATATTTTAATGTGTAACTAATTTTTAGGCAGCAGTTGGAGAGGTACGTTATATGTATGCCCTTATTTTGAGCGTAGGTTGAAAGCCCTAATATTTAGAACCGGTTTATCTTGACGTTGTTGGAGTTACGGTTAAAACAAATGCAGTAAAAAGTTCTCAACTTATCGTAGAATTCTTATTGTCTGGTACTTTCTAGGCTCTACCTTCTAAAATAAAAGCATTCAATGGATTTTTTAGTTTATGGCTTCATACTGTTACATTGACGATAATTGTGATATATGGTTTGGTTCAGTGGTTTACGTGATCAATGACGGAAATACTATACATCCTCATTTGAAGTTACAATTTATGTTGAACACGTATTTATTCATGAAACTGCCTTAAGAAGACGCTCCAAATCAACTATGAGGATACATCTTCAAATTTCAGAGCTTTAATTTTTGATCGATCTTATATGGAGGTCATATTCGGAAGAAGTTGTTCATATTACAATTCAATGCAAGAGAAAAGCGTGGACCGAAGTCATGATGATAGTAAATAATACTGTCAATTAAAGTCAAGTAGGCATATATAAACTACTGATTAATAAATATGGTTTTTGATTTTTGAATTAATTAAATAGTTGGAAAAAGCAATAAAATAAAAACTAACAAAACTAACAAACAATGATTGCAAATGGCGTGTAATGGAAGGGGGGGAAAAACAAATAAAACAACATGTTTCTATACTTCGTGACAATGCGTTTTGTTTCAGTTAAAATAAAAAATTAATAAACGATGAAATGGAAAAACAAAAAGGTCTAAATTTTAATATTAGAACCTTTTAACAAAAAATTGTAACCGCGAGTGTACAATAGATAAAGTGTGTAAAAAAATGTAATAAATCATAACTTTATAAGTTGTTCGTAACATTGGGTATTTCTCTCAGAAATGCCCTTTGGACACTCGTGATAGTTCATGGCTTTCGTCTTTTCTGAGTAAAGTATTAAGAACTAATAGAGAAAAAATGAATAAATAAAAAAATGAATAAAAATCTGACTGTTTTCATGAATATGCGATATTTTCTTTGAATTTGATAGTGGAGGGAATATAATTTGTTTCTAGGAATATCTTAAAAGTTCTTGCCTTTTGGACGTTTTCTTGATCATTTCTGTCTGCAAAAGAAAAGGCGATCTGGTCAATTATTGAATTCAATTCATTCATATTGAAAGGATAAGTAATGCCTTCGTTTAAATATAAAATTCTTACCTTATCATCCAGATAAAAGGATTCGACAATGTTGTTGAATAGTGCATCAATGGCAAATGGATCAATTGCGCTCCAAATGCTAACCAACTGGTGAATTTGACGATTTGACAAAATCGGCAATTTTAAATAAGCCTTGAACCTCAATAAACTTTGTAGTTTAGTTCTAAAAACTTCTTGAATGCTACCATCTATATTTCCAAAAAAGGAAACTGCATCATCCAAATTATTGAACATTTGAGACAAAAGCTCATTTTTTACACTTGGAAGATTGATTTCGCTGCTTTGTAGCTTACCAGAACTTCTAACCATATCAAACACAGATAGAATTCCAGCAAATGAGTTCTGAGTAGATAAAATATTAGCTAACTGTAAGGTATTCTCAGGTGCGTTATGCATAGCTACATCGCACTCAAAACTCTTTAAGAAATTTGCAAAACTGAAGAGGTCCATTGTCTTATGGGGAGTGCGCAAATTGCTAGAGCGAACCACTTCGATCGCACTATCAATTTGACCATTGTTGATCAAATATTCGACTTGTAGATCAAGGCCATTAGATCCCAAGGTATCTCTGTATTTATCGAAAAGTGCCAAAAATGATCCATAATCGCCAGTCCTTATAAATGACTTTAAGAGAACGTTCAAATCCAAAACAGGACATGATTTATTATACTCAATAATTTCTTGGTAACATTTTTCTTTAAACAATTGACCATATATGTATTTGATAGTTTCTTTACGTTCTGCTTGAACTGCAATGCCTCTGAATTTTTCAGGGAAGTTGATTCTATTAACAACTACTTCAATATTACCACAATTTTTAATGAAGTTCACCATTGATGAGTCTCTCATATTTGGTAGGATATATTTGATGGATTTCTCGTCAGTCAATAATAAGTTGGTTAATTCGGTTGAGGTTGCGTGGAATGCAAGGATGTTGGAGATGTATTTGCATTCATCTACTTCATCAATTGGTAATTGCTTTAAGATCTGTCTGCAAATATGTAGATCAGACATGTTATTTGATAATAAAGTCTTGTAAGTATCATAATCGAAACAATAGCCATCGTCCAATAGCTTTTTGTACTCTTTGATTCCTGTCGATGGAGATACTCTAATCATTGACCCTAAGGATAGTGGGTAGGACTTGTCCCAATCACCAGGATGAGAGAAGTAGTTGATTAGGTTTTCAGGAGCATCAATTAATCTTAGTGCTTCGCATGTCGTTTCGCTGATATGGTTGGGATCAAAATTCAAATTCATGTAGTTTGTACATAAAGTTTGAAACTTTTCGATAACTCTCAACTTAAGTTGGGATAAGTGTTCATTATGCTCTACCAAAGGGAAAGTTTCGAAGTCAAGAAGTCTTGTAACTAAAATGGCGTGCAACTGTATTAGCTTGGCATAGTTAGAGTGAGTTTTTGGACAATTCCAAGAGTTTTCAAATATAGATAAAAAGCCTTGGAAATTAATTTTATTAGAGTCAACCAAGTGAAAGTTGCGGCAGGATTCTGTGAACAGATCCATTTCTGTGATCGCACTCTTCAAGCTTTGAGAAGCAAAATTATCTGCAATCGCATTAAAGAACATGAACACATCTTCAGGTTTCTCCGATTTTAGTAGTAGCTCACCTTGGTTTTGGATTAAACGTAATAGATAATCTTCTGGACATTTGACTTCTTTCAAGTAAGCAAAAATGAATGGGTAAATACCTGTTTCAAAAGTAAATCCCTTAACAATGGCCTCTTCCAGAAGTTTTAATACAATTTGGGTGTCTTTTAATTGCAGAGCAAAATCCATCAATGAGTTTAATACGGATTCTAGGCCCATAGGGTACAATAAGTATTCTGATAAGTTTTCCCTATTTTCCTTGAACACTCTCCTCATTGGGAACATATATTCGTAAACCTTCTTTGTTAGACCCCAGTCCTGAAAGCAATTAGCCAGCAGAGTCAAATAAAACTCATAAGAAAATTCTGGGACCCAGGACAATCTGTTGAATTTTGACCATAAAATGTGGGCTTTGTTGCAGTCGATCTTACTGACTGAAATTATAAAGGTGGACAGCATAGTAGAGATATTTTCAGCTGAACCATTTTCGGCTCTAATCTTAGAAATGAATGTTTCCAAGAACTTGGAAGCCAAGTTCAGTTCACCACATTCGACTAAGCCGGAAACAAACATTGAGTATACTTTGTATTGATCTTCACGGATTGACATGTCAGTTGGGTCGTCAATCAACAACTGCCTGTAGTCTTCGTATAGTTTCTTGATCGAGTCCAAATCGTTATTCAGGCGTGCGTAAGATAAACACGAAATGTAATAAAAGGAGTCCTTCTTGTAGTTTGGTAATATATTGATGTACTGTTGCAAAGCGGATAATTGAATGAAGGATGGGTACAAGTTTGTCGATAGCAAACAGTAGTTTATGACGTCGTTAGATAGGTTCATGTCCTTTGCAGCCATTATTGTCTGTAGCAGTTCACTACCGATCTTGTAGAAGTCGATACCGTTTCCATTTTTGTTCTTGAAGGCCACTATAGAGCTCTTGAATAACGTCTCTAGCACTATGTTGTAAATCTCTAAATTTGGCTTAATTCTATTAGTGATGATGTCCTGGTAGCAACTCAAGAGCTCGAAGACCTTGTTGTCTATATCAAGATCGTCCATTTCTCTGCGTGCCAAAGAGATCAGCACTTTTGTGAGGACTTCGCGGTCCTGGATGGCGATGCCGTTGCGCTTCAGGGACTTATAGAGGGCGTTTATGATGTTGTAATTGCCCTTTACGAAGTGTTTGTTGATCTGGTCTATGTGTGTGCTCAGGTAAGTCTGTGGGTTCAAGTCATCGTCGGTGTCCTTCTCCCAGTTGTATTCCTTCTCCAGCTCCAGCAGGTCTGCGGTTTGCAGTGCCTCCGCTGGTGTGAAGTGGGCCGCTGAGGCGCGGCTCTCGATGTTAGTGGCATTGCTAATGAATCTCTTCTGCACGAACTGAGTCTTGCTGTTGTCGTTCCTCTTGCACAGACCCACCATGCGCTTGTTCTTGCTCTTGTGCTTGCGCCCGCCGAGAGTGAGGTCTGTACCGTCGCCGGTGGCCACATTAGCCGTCACGGCGCTCGCAGCGTTCACAGCGTTGGAGTCGTCGTGGTCGTGGTGCAGCGCCAGCACACACTCGAGGTTGTTGAAGTTGTTGTTCGCGACCACCGCGGGGTGCAGCGCAGTGGACGCACCGACTTCCTCCGGCACCACATGGTGCAGCACCTGCCTGTTCCGCATCTGCTGGTAGTAGTAGTACCCGTTGTCGAAGAAACTCGTCGACGACTGCGCAGCAGTCGCCGTCGAGTGGTGGTAGCCCTTGGCGTACAACTTGTACTTGAACGACTTGAACGCCATTGCTCTGTTATAAAGCTTGTGCTTGTGCTTGTGCTTGTGCTTGTGCTAATGCTAATGCTAATGCTTGTGCTCGTGCTTGTGGGTTTTGGCGGCTACGAGAAGTTGGGAGATCTGTGATTCGCAAGGCCTTATATACCCGGGGTGGCAGTCCCTGTCAAGGAAAAAAATTTTCCCGCCCTAGTACCTGCCGCAGGCGGGCGCAAAACACCACACAAAAGGTACAGCGTTCCCCTACGTCAATCCCGGGGCAAAGAAACCCTCCACTAACAAACCCCCGCACAGAACAAAAGACTGTGTCAAAGAGTACAGTGCCGAGACGAGTTACGACTGCACTTAGAAACCCCCGCGCGCGCAAAAAGCGTTTTGACTTCATCCCGACTACTCGGCAACCCGACTGCCCCCCTGGCGACTAAGAAATCGAGAAAGAAAAGACGCTGAATAAACACTGCGGGGGGGGGGAGCCGGGAGGGCCGGAAGGGCCGGGGGCGCCGGTGGGTTCTCTGATATGATTGGTTCGTTTTAAGTGTTACAACGTGATTATTGTGAGTACGTTGTGAGTGAGGTTTGGATGGGAGGGATAATGGGCTTCGCAAAGCGTAGGGTGATGATATATAGGGTTCTGTAGTTACAATTGGTGACTGGGCTTGGGAGGGATAAGAAGTTACAAATGAATGTAGAGAAGGTAATTACATAAAGATGAGTACTGGTGACTTTCTGAGCAAAGGGATTGATCTGGTGCAGAAGGCGATTGAGTATGATACTGCTACGCAGTACGAGGAGGCGTACACAGCGTACTACAACGGGCTGGACTATCTGATGTTGGCGCTGAAGTATGAGAAGAACCCGAAGTCGAAGGAGCTGATCCGGGCGAAGTTCACGGAGTACTTGCAGCGGGCGGAGCAACTGAAGCAGCACTTGGATGAGGAGCAGGAGGCGAAGAAAAAGGAGTCGACCTCGGTTGGTGCTGGCTCTGGCTCTGGCTCTGGCTCTGGGAAAGACGATGAGGATACAGAGGACGGTAAGAAGCTGCGAGGCGCGCTGTCGGGTGCGATACTGTCGGAGAAGCCCAATGTTAAGTGGGAGGACGTGGCGGGTCTGGAAGGTGCGAAGGAGGCGTTGAAGGAGGCCGTGATCCTGCCGGTGAAGTTCCCACACTTGTTTAAAGGTAACAGGAAACCCACATCTGGTATCCTCCTGTATGGGCCTCCGGGTACTGGTAAGTCCTACTTGGCGAAGGCAGTGGCCACAGAGGCCAACTCCACGTTCTTCAGCGTCAGTTCGAGTGATCTGGTGTCCAAGTGGATGGGTGAGTCCGAGAAGCTCGTGAAACAGCTGTTTACAATGGCCAGGGAGAACAAACCCTCGATCATATTTATCGATGAAGTCGATGCATTGACAGGGCAACGTGGTGAAGGGGAAAGTGAGGCCTCGAGAAGAATTAAAACGGAGTTACTGGTCCAAATGAACGGTGTCGGAAACGATTCGCATGGTGTCCTGGTCCTTGGTGCAACGAATATACCTTGGCAATTGGATAGCGCTATCAGAAGAAGATTTGAAAGAAGAATATACATTCCATTGCCGGACGTAGCCGCAAGAACCAAGATGTTTGAGATCAACGTGGGTGAGACTCCATGTTCTCTAACCAAGGAGGATTACAGAAACCTCGGGCAAATGACAGATGGTTACTCTGGTAGTGATATTGCCGTTGCTGTTAAAGACGCTCTGATGGAACCGATAAGAAAAATCCAGGGAGCTACACATTTTAGGGACATATCAGATGACCCTGACCATAGGAAGTTAACTCCTTGTTCTCCTGGGGATGAAGGTGCAATTGAGATGAGTTGGACTGATATTGAGGCTGACGAACTAGAAGAACCAGTATTAACTATAAAGGACTTCTTGAAGGCTATCAAGAACACTAGGCCAACCGTTAATGAAGAAGATTTGAAGAAACAAGAAGACTTCACCAAGGACTTCGGTCAAGAAGGTAATTGAACTTTGTTTCAAATTTAATTGTTTAATGAGACTCACTTGCATATTTAGATCTTTATTCTGCATACTTAATTAGAAACGTTATGTTTTTAGATGAATGGTAGAGCTACTTTGTAATAGTTAATACTGAACTGTGCTATGTCTGCGTATTACAGCATATCTACATCACATATAACCTAAACATAAATTTCTCGTTGCTAATAACATTTCATTAAAAGTATATACTAATGCTTTCATAACAATATAAAAACCACATCATTTGTAAACAGCGGTGTTATTTTCGCTATCTGTCACCTTAGCACTCTCGATCTTAACCTTGACAATAACAGTGTTATCACCTAGAATGAAAACCTCAGCGTCTGGATTAGTCTTCAGAAGTAATTGCTTGTAGAATTTAGATTCCTCAGTAGCTGGATTAACAATCTTTGCATGGCCTTTGATATTAGCACTCATTTGATTCAATTCAGCCTGATTTAGTTCATGCAATAGGTTAAGCAGTTTGCTTGGATGTGAGTTTGGAATTGCACCGCCCCCCGTACCGGAAGCAGGATTCAGCTGTGTAGAAGCAGGATCAGGTGTTGGGGTCTGTGATAAACTAGCTTTCCTCACAGATAAATTATTTGCTGTAATCCAATCATGAAACAAAAGTGAAACGGGAGGATTAGCAACCATATTATGGTATTTCTCGGAATCCTTGTTGGTAGCAAAAATTATGTAATCATTCTTGTCATTCTCTTGATCAAAGGTTTTATCTCTTGGAATATATGAATAGTTCATCAACGATACAGATGGAACACAATCCTTAGAACATGTACCAACATGTACATACTTGGAAGTTTTGATTAAGTGAATCAAATGTCCTGGAAATTTTTCAGTACAAGGCATTCTTGTTGTGTTGTATGCAACCGATTAGATATTTATAATAGACACTGATTCGATTAACAGAAGATAATAGTTTGAAATGCAAGTACTATAGAATATTGTGAAGAGATACAACATATGCATTGTCTTAAGTCTTTAAGGGTTCATTATATAATTTTTGTTAACTTCCATAGTAAGTTTCGTAGATTAGTGATATCATTTTCGATGATAATGGTGTATTAGTTATTATTGTCATTAAATATGTATTAGCATTAGGTTTTGGAAAATAAAAACATATTAATCATTAGAATAGTATGCGCAAATACTATATTTTGGTAGGCAGCTTTCTTTTTGGACCACGACTGCGTGATTTATTTGGATGACTTAGAGATTGTGTAGTATGCGGTTCTTTTTTACTTAACAAGTCTCCAGTTGTTGCAGCTCTAGGTGGTAAATGACCAATATGCTTGCTCCCAATTTGGCCTGATGTATTAGCTCGTTTGAGAACGGATTCCAACTTATTGTTAATGCTCTCCGGCTCTGAGTCTGAAATCTCAGATTCCTCACCATTGTCCTTTTGTACATTTTCTGTCGTGGAGTTTTTATTCTTCATAGATTCCAGCTTCTTAAGTGCTTCAGGCATAGAGACTTTCCGTTGAGGAACTGGGGGTCCTTTTTTATTCAGTTTAGGAAGCATGTCAATTGACTCCTTGCTTTGGGCAACAGATTTCTTATTCTCAGTGTTCTTGGATAAATTTTGAGCTTTCAATAAGGCTTCCGGAATAGATGGCTTACGCTTAGATACAGGCGGTGGAGTTCTTTTGTTTAGGACTATCTTTTGAAACTCTGGCTCAATTTGTTTACCATCCCCCCCTTTTCCTGTCTTGTCGACCTTTTCTAACTCGATATCCTTCAATTTTATATCCTTCTTTGGCGGAACTACAGGCTTTTTCTTTTCAGCTTTTGTTGTGAGTCCTCCAGACAAATGGTAATTGCCTTCATTACTCGGTTTTTCACTCAAGGAGGATCTGGAGTTCTCTTCTGAGCTCAATACCGAAACTATAAAACCGTCTTTTTTGGGCGAATTCAATTTAAAATGCTTTTCCTCTATAGTTTTCATCTTCGATGGCGATTGAGGCGGTGATTTCAGTTGGACTGATTCCAAGAAATCGACATTCCTTGTTGGTTTTAGTTCAGGTCCTTTGTCTTGATCTTTATAATTACTGGTAGTTAGTTTGTTATCTTCAAGTGATTTCAAAAATGTCTTCTTTTCTGGTAATGGAGGTTTTGATTTATTTTTATCTGATATTGATGACATTTCTTTGATCTTGTTTGAACTATTCACATTATCTGAAACCACATCAAGTTTTTTTGCCGTTATATCGTCCTTATACCTTCTTCTAGGTAGTAACGGAGGAGCAGATGTTGTACTCTTTACAACATTCTCAGAGCTAGCACGATTCCTGGAAGGCAATGGTGGAGCTTCATCTTCACTCTCTTCTCTTACTATTACTGGTTCATTGTGAAATATAGGTTTAGAGTGCCTATCGGGGATGATATGGCGAACCGGCTCAATATGGCGATGATGTCTCTCGGATAGATGCTGTTGTTGCTGTTCCATTTTGATTTTCTGCAATAATTTATAGTCTTCTTCTGAGACAAGAAATTTCCTATCGTCTTCTTTATCCAATCCAATTACTCCAACTGGCTTCTTCGAACCAAAACTCTTCTCATAATTAAACGCCGATTTATAAACTAAATTACCATCAAGTGTATCATCGTTTTCTATTGGGGTGGTACTCAAATGCTGCGGTTTCTTCTTCACAATTGGAGGTTTATTGATCTTCCCGTCAAGATCCTCAACCCGCTTTAAAAACTCTTCAACTTCGGCATCTTTGGTCATCTCTGTACAATTCCAATAGCTTTCAAATCAATTACAGCACTTTCACCTGACAAATACAAAAATCTATTTCAATACTATGCTATATTGTTCATATTTATCATTTCTATTTTAACTATTTTTTAAATGGCAATGGATGCAGATCAAAATAAAGAAGTGTGATCACTCACAGAAAATTGAGTGGGCTATCTCAAAGCAAAAAGATATTATGTATTCGCCTATTATTAATGTACAAGGTATGTGGAATGATTGTTATATTCTATATATGCTTTGTGCAGTTTGCACTCTAACGTAATTTAATTGACCTTCTTCTGGTGCTCAAGTAGGCTTGGAAACCACAGAACACAAAGAACACCAAGTAAACTAACGCAGCAAGATACACCGTCTTTGCAACACTACAATAATAAAAACAACCAAGTAGATAATCCATTTTCAAGATATTGATTTCGGTTATTCATATGGCATGATTAAAAAAACAGTTAGTAAAGCATTCTCCTTGATGTGTCAAATGGCAGAAAAGGAAACTTTGAAGATATTGTAAAAGATAGTTCAACATACGCTGGCCCGTCCTCGGGATCGTTAATAGATCCCACAAAGGATTCATGATTTGTGTTAAACAAATGTGCTATTACCGATAGTATCACCACCCCAAAAGCGGATAATATTGTACAAAACCAAGCTTTACCACTCTATTTATAACTTTCCAAATTGCCTATATTAAAAACATAAGCCTTTCGAATTTCTCAATTGTTAGTATTACAGGATTCCATGAATAGGTAGATCATATTCTTCAAAGTTAACATACAGATACAACTGGATTCATTTCTTCTAACCTGTTTCAGTTTTGCGTTATTAATACAATTGCCTTCAAACCTTTAGCGACAATATTAACCCGGACTATAACTAAGGCAAGCTTTTAACTATATAATAGTGGCAGATCTGCTCTTTTACATTATATACTTCGCTATGTGACGTATTACCTGGTCTTGAAGTTGCTATCGAACACTCCCTCGCTTCATTTGCAGGGGAACACATCGAAAGATTAGGCTGTTAGTTGCTTAAATGCCGGGTAATGCGGTGCTTGAAGATTCTCTAATGTGACCGCGTCTTTCGTCTCGAAATATCAACAAATTACAATGGTCTCTTGGCCCAGTTGGTTAAGGCACCGTGCTAATAACGCGGGGATCAGCGGTTCGATCCCGCTAGAGACCATTTATTTTTGTCTTTTGGTCTTTTGTTGTTGAATTCTGTTAGACAACCAGGTAAGTGGGAAATTGAATGATAGACAACGGTCTGTACCTTTCTCTGTCTTTTTATTTTTTTTTCAATTATGCCATAGCAGTATTATCAATGCCCTGATATTTGCTTCAAGAGATATGAGATTTACTAATATACAATGCTAATCAAAATTTACTAATATTACAAACCATCAAATTTGGTAATACCATGAGATAAGTTATTCTCATTCTTTTTAAACTTCTTATTCTTTTTATCCTTCACTTTTAGTGATCTTTTCTTGGGAGGCTCTTCTTCATCAGAAGTAGGTTGATCAAGTTCTTTCCACAGTTCTTCACGATCGTCGTGATTGTCGTCATCATTGCTGTTATTTTCGCCCTCACTACCTTCTATATCACCAGGAAGATCACTACCAGTACATTCTTCCAGGTCACTGTCAGATTTAGAGCTGGCATCAGATTCAACTTCCGATTCTGAACCAGATCCTAACTCCGAGTCGGAATCGGAATCTTCAGATGAGGACAAACCGGCTTCTGAGTCGTCATTTATATCTGAGTCTGAGTCTGAGTCCGAATTTTCTTCCTTTGGTACTTCCCAAATTTTCAGCTTATCCATACCGCCTGAAACAAGTCTGTATTCGAAATCGAGATCTAGCATACCTACTTCATCAAGTCCACTGTGCTTTCTAATTTCAACAATTTTACCACGCTTAGTGTCAACCTTATACAGTAAACCGTTGGAACAACCACACCAAACACAGTTATCGTCTTGGAGAGTTGATATCACGGTATCGATACTCTCACCCTTTGCAATCTTCACTCTCGTCAGTTGATCTTCCAAGTCGTTCTTCTTAGGTTTCCAAACAGTCAGTGTCCCTTCACCCATACCACATACTAAAGTATCACCCTCAATTGGATCCACAAATGCACCACACAAAATTTCGTCCTCTTGGTCATCGCTACACATGATATTAGAGAGCTCTTCCTCGGTTTGGTTCCCACTGTTCTTCTTCGGTTGCTTCATCTTGGGCTCTCTAGTGTCCCAGTAGGCCAGCGTAGTTTGACCCAAGGAGATATATTTGTAGACCGACCTCTTGCAGAATTGGAATATGTCGTTGATGGCATCTCCCCCGTGGATCTTGGTCAGAGTGTTCTTCGTAGTCAGATCATTACTGTCCAGCACCACGATGGTGCCAACTTCATCACCCATCACCAGGAAATCATGGGTAGCCGACTTCACCAGCTTCGTGACTTTAGAGCCACCATCCAGCGTCACCTTCTTGACCACTTTCCCGCTATGCGTGTCCGCCTTCTTGAGAACGTTGTCCGCACCAATAGTGTAGACATGCTTACCGTCGTGGTCAATGGCCAACGCACGCACACTGCCTTTGTGCCTCTTGGTCCTCCACAACAACGTCACCCCACTGGGCAGAACAGGATGCTTGTCCGCGGCGTCCACATCCACCACAGTCCACAGCGTCTGCTTCTTCTCCTCAACCTTCACAGCCTCCTGCACTTTCCTCGCCTCCCGCAACTTCTCAGTCAGCAGCTCAGCATCATACCGATGGCACAGCACATGGCCCGTAGCCAGCGCACTCACCACCATAGGCTCCTCGGGGTGACACACAAACTGGAACAACGGCTCCGCATACCGAAACTCAATCACAGGCAACTCATCAGACTGCACAACACTCGTCTTCTTCTTCCCCATCTCTTTACCCTGTATACAATCCACAACACAACTCAAAAGTTAGACCCTCCTTGCCTTAACATAGTAGCGATGAGCTCATATAATAATTTTTCACTTTTTTTCACTTTTTCCCGCTGCTTCTTTGGATGTGCAGGAAAATTGAAAAAATATTGGGAATCAGCGATGAGATAACATTATACGTACCGCACCTTGTGATATAAACGTATAACACTACCAAAATACTCCGAATTATCGCAGCATACGAATTGTCCTCTTTGTAGTCCGTATTGAGTGAGGTGTATGGGTTTCACCATTTTTTACGGGCTTTTTCAGGCTTTTGTCCCTCTAGTCTCTTTTTGCCTGATTTCGAGTGCTGCGTGTGTACAAATCGTGAGATCTGGCGATCTTTTTCCTTTATTTTAGGAGTGTTTATAACTCTCAGCGGTTGCTATTCCCCCCCATTGCAGAACCAGGGTGTAGAGGAAGACAAGATTTTCAATTATCTCGAAAAGGTACAGGGCGTAAGGTTTGTCTTTTGTTTTTTTTTGAGAGGAAAATGAAGAATTTGCTCTGGCCCAAGAACAGGAAGTCTAAGAAAGCCAGTGCCGGCGGAGCCGGCACGGGCTCTGACGCAGGCACTGATGCGTCCTCGTCGCTTCGGAGTACTAGCTCGCTGTCCGTGAATAAGCTCACGCACAGCAGCTCGCATGGCGCGTCGCTGGATAACTACATCGCGCAGGCTAAGCGCGGGAGCCGGAGCTCGCGATCCAGCCAGAACTTGCTCGCGTCGAACAAGAGCAAACGGATGAGCTCCGCCAACATGCGCAACATCACTAACCCTGAGAACACAATGTCCAGCGGCAACGAACAGGCGCACGGCTCTGGAAAGCTCGGCTACGGCGCCCTGGGGAAGCTGAAGGGATCGGCCTCGCGGTCCCAGGTGTCGCTCCACTCCATGCGACAGGACAGCGCCGGCTCCACGCATCAGCATAGCAAGGAGGAAGCCGGCTCGATCCTCTCCGATGACGTGACAAGCATAGACTCCAGGAGATCACAACATCTGTCCACCTTGGACTCATCAGGGAAAATACCCGATCACGTGAACGTAAACAGTAGCAGAACCTTCAGCAAGTCAAGAGAGTCCCTGCAATCCATCTCGGGCAAGTCGTCCACTTCGCCGCAGCCTACGCACACACTCCTGCACGGGGCTTCAGATGACAACAGGAACACGCTCGCGTCAATTGACTCGAACATAACCGAAACAACGATTATCAGCGACGGCGGCCCCGATAACGTAAACTTAACGTTTGAAAACTACGACGAAACGGTGCTGAAAGTGGGCTGGCTGAACAAATCACAAGGTCAAGTCACAGTACCGTTGAGTTCTACGCATTCTACCAGCGGAGTCACTACAACAGCTGCCGATTATCAACCCAGAAATAGAGAGAGCAGAATATATGAGACTAACACACTAGATAGCTCTGATGATATGAGCGGGAAGACTGTGACAACTCTGCCTGACTCACAGATAACAATACCTGATTATAGAGTATTTAGAGCTCAATTGAAAGGTTCATTACTGACTTTATACAAGAGCTCTTTGGGGTCCCATGTGAAATGCTTTGATCCCAGCTTAAAGTCTCTTGAGAGCGATTTGACTACAAAAGAAAGTAATAGACAATCTGTGATTCCTTCAAAAAGTAAGCAGAAAAGTAGTACTAAAAATGATGTCATACCGAAATCAGTCACATTAAAACATCTAAGCGTTACGGGACCTCATCCTGATCTCAAAGTTGATAAGCATGGAATTGTTATCGGCGGAACTGTAGAGGCCATATGTCATGATATATTATTCACAACAAAACCCATTCATTTATTGCACAAGAAACACTCAAAGATCTCCAACAATAATTCAGATGATGACGTCGAAGTCCAAAAAAGTCTTGTTAATTTCCTAATTATTTTACCGATGCTGGATCATTTTATCAAATTTATTATAACGTTCAATCAATTTGGTCTAACTTTTACAAAACACAAGTCTAAGATTAGTTCCACATCATCACAATACGTTCGAATCACAGAAGTTGTAGATACTCAAATAAGCAACAGGTTAGTCCTGGTCATAAGAACTATACTAGAATTCACTCCAGCCTATTTACTCGATGACAATATCTTCCAGTCCATTATAACTCTTATCGATACAATTTCGTTACACAACGATGCAATTTGTAATCAAATAAAGATCGATGTGGCCACTCGTTGTAACGAGTTGAATAAACTGACCAAGTTCAGTAAGACTAACATTAACAATAAAGATGGATTTCTTCCTATGGAAAGTTTGGTTGACGTTAATAGATTCATGGAACTAGATCCTTCCAAATTTGCAGAGGAAGTACACTCGATCAACCTGGAATTCAACAAAGTTTGGGCCCCTAGAAAGGATTTTTCTCTGCTCTATGACTCCAAATTCAACAACAAAAATATATTATCATTGAGCCCTCTAATTTTCAATAACAAGGATAATGTACATTTTCTGGGCAGACTCCTAGTTACACACTTATTCTCAACTAACCATAGGAGTAAGGAGCAATGCAGAAAAACTGCAGAAGTTTTGAACAGATGGGTGCTTCTTGGTTGCAAATTCGAGCAATTAGGCGACATGGTATCGTGGTTGGCAATTGCAACTGTGATTTGCTCCATTCCAATTCTGAGACTAGGCGCCATATGGAAATATATGCCCGAATCAACTGTTAAAATCATTTTAAATGATTGGGTACCTACAATTGTTCAGTTAGACAGGAGACAGATATCATCTAAATCCACAGGAAGCGTTTTTATTTTGGCGCCACCCAATTTAGATGATCCCAACATTAAGAATAATATTGTTTCATATTTTGGTGATCTTATCATTCATGCCGATGATCTTCCCAACGATGTTAAGATTAAATATCTAGCTAAGAAAATAAACAGGACAAAAAATGCTTTCCATAAATGGCAATCTCGTGTCGATAAAGATAATAGTACTGGACAAGCCGCCACATTTAAGTCAATTGATCCTAACTCTTCTATGGTTTATGATTTCTGGAATTTCCATATCCATCAACCTCCTATGAATATTAATGATATTATGAAACAGAGTATCAAATGTGAACCGGCCTTGGTAAACCAAAGTGTTTATTCCAGTATTGGGCTTAAAAGAAGCTCTTTAATGACCGGTAGCTATTTGCCAACTCTTTTCAATAACTTCCTCAATTCATACTCAATATTTCCGAAGGAGGTTTTGATCGGTGCAGCTGGTGTTTTAGCGGATACAAACATAAGCAGACAATCAATGCTTGCGGCAAAGGAGCTTAAAATCAGTGAACCTATATCTCAAGTGGTTCCAGGATCCTTAAACTATGAGCACAGGTATAGCCAAATCACAGGTTTGGACAACATTGATGGCCCTGTAAAGAAAGAAATTGCTGGGAAACCTCTCAACAAGCACCATCTTCTGAAATCTATCCGAGATGCTTTCAATGTTGATTTGGATGTCTTTCATGTAGGCGATGATCTTGTTTTCAAATCAATTACAACTAACCAGGGTAAATCAAGACCATCAAGCATCGTTATTGACACGCCAAAGAGGTTCTCACAATATTCTACCTCTAACAGTAGTCCTTCTACACCAAAACTCAATAGGGAATCCACTACCATTGTTAGATTAAGCAAAGGATTCGAGAATTTGGATTTGTTTGATAATGTGGGCAACTTATCGGATAGCCTAAAGGAGCTAAACATTGATGTTGCTTTAAAGTCAGCCAGTATCGAGAGAATATATGACTTATTGGTCCTAACTGTCTCAGCTTTTTCTAGACTTGTTGACTCTGTTGATCTTACAAAATACTATAAGGGCAGGAGATCTTTTGATAACAATACAAATGACTTATCTGACATAGGCCTATTAGACTTTGCCTATATTAAAATCAACATGGATAATGCGGCTTATACGGAAACCTTTTTCAATACCTATAAGAGCTTCACTACAACAGTCAATGTGTTAGAAGGTTTGGCTAGAAGATTCATTGGCGCCAAGAGTTGTGCTCTATCCATCGAGAAAATTATTGGTAATGAAAATCTGGATTCACTTAAGGACGAAACTTTAAAGTCAAAGTTGTCTCAATTAAATGCAAAGAAATTCCCTCTATGGGATTTGAATGTGAATAAAAATGAGACTGTAAACTTAGGATTTCTAGCTAAAGTTCAAATTGGAGCCATGGAGGCTATCTATTATTTAGTTAAACATCATTATAATGATTTTACGGATGATATGAACTGCCACACAACAATGCTAGATATTGTTAAGATTATAGAGGAGGAAATAACAGTTGAGTGGGAACATCGCTTGAAAACATCAAAAGAGAATAACTTATTCGATAATGTTGCACATCAGGAGCTCGAGAATTTAATCAAAAGATTAAGAGAACTATTCAATATTTTGAAATCCACATATAGAAAGCAACTATACAAACCTCTGAACATCTCCAAAACCGAAAGAAACTCGTCAAACTTATCAGAACAGTTCAAAACCCTTCCTTACGAAGATTATATAGCATTTTTGTCGGAGGGCGAAGGCGACAAGCTATATTTGAATTTCAAGAACATGAATTATGATGACTATGATTCTATTCATGCATGGGTAAATGACATAAACAATATCGTAACTTCCAGATTTGCTGCAGTCACTAGAATGGAGTGGTTTCAACTCTACCAACAACTCGATCTGCTATCAAATGCTAGTCTTACTTCTTTCTTCCAATATCCGTTAAGCGCTAAATCCTTTTCAACAATCAACACTGGAAATCCTCTTTTGAATGAAGTTGAAATAACTGATGTTTTTGAATGGATTTCAACATTAAATACCAAAACATCAGATGTGAATGAACTATTTATTGATAAAATTCCATCCTCAATAAAAGTTTTAATCGAAATGCATAACAGTCTCAAGTCATTTTTTGTTTCTGAGCTAGCGAATGTTAGTGCAAGTTTGGAAGAAAGGAAAAAAGTGTATTGTACCATCCTACAACTTCTCAACTATGTTCGTTGGAAAAATTCATCATTGAATTTATTTGAAGGCGAAATTGATAATGAAAACATAATCTCACCGCATATCCCCTCATTCATTGAAACCACATTATGTAGAGCAATTGTTTCCCCTGAGTCTAGATTTAACGAGTTGCTTTGGAAGCATGCCCATTATACCTTATCAACATCTGATGACAAATACTCTTTGAAGTCAATTTCAAATATCTTGGACGACTTAAATGTCTCACATATTCGAGCATTTTTGGAAATCGATAATGTCTATACTGCTAAACCTCAAAATTTATGCCCTTGCCCAGGCTGGTTTATAACAAGATTACTTGAAATTTCACAGTTTGTTCCAAATATGAGCATATCCAATACAAAACTAGTTAACTTTGATAAGAGGAGATTTGTTTGCAACATAATCTATAACATATTGGAAATCCTCCCAAAAGATATTGAGTTAGCTACAACGGCAGAATCACATAGAATGCTGTTTACCAAATTATTAGGCGATAATGCCGAGCTAAGGGAAAAGTTACGTTCAAAGGCACTGGAAGATGCCAAAGAAGAAGGTTACCAAAATACAGGTATATTCAATAATATTCTGGTAGATGAGGTCGATAAAATTCGTAGGGAACATAAGAAGAAGGAATCTTTGACATTACAGGAAGCTGAAAATCAAAGATCTCTGAACTTGCAGAAAAACTACGCAATAAACAAGCATGATTCACTACTACTGACAAGTAGTACCTCTAATGTTTCTGCAAATTCTGCACATTTACTCCGTAATAAAAGAAGCTCCACTGCATCTTTAGCATCAAGAAGTTCTGTGATCTCAGGAACCAGTCATTCGGGAGTAGGCCGAAAAATTGGAGGCTTTTTCAGGAGACCATTTTCGATTAGTGGTTTCAATAGTACTGGGCAAGGAATACCACCAAATGGAGTTCAAGATAAGTTCATTTCACCTGATAATCTACCACATCTTGAATCAAATATATTACAGGATTATAAACCTGCATTGACAATAAAAACTTTTGAGATCAAATCTATTGTTGACATAATCAACCATAATAAAGTATCTTCTTACGCTCATGCTTTTCGTATAGTTATGCAGGACGGTAGCGAGCATATGGTTCAAGCTGTATCATCAGAAGAGGCCTTAGAATGGATTAGATTGATTAAGATTTCTAAGAGATATTCTTTCCATTCGAAAAAATATAGCGGCCAGACCCGTAATAAGATTTTTGGTGTACCATTAGAGGATTTATGTGTTAGAGAAAACACCTTAATCCCATCTATCGTGGTAAAATTGCTCGAGGAAATTGAATTGCGAGGACTGGATGAAGTAGGCCTTTATAGAGTACCAGGTTCGGTTGGAAGTATTAATGCCTTGAAGAATGCTTTTGATGAGGAAGGTGCTACAAATAATACTTTCACGCTTGAAGACGATAGATGGTTTGAAATTAATGCTATAGCAGGCTGTTTCAAGATGTATTTGCGTGAATTACCTGATTCATTATTTACCAATAATATGTTTGGCGATTTCACGAAAGTTGCACTACAGTATAAGACGTCAGCTATCGATTTCGAAGCTTATAAGGCTGAAATTAAAAGATTGCTCAGTCTTCTACCTCCATGCTATTATGCCACATTGGAACGGATTGTAATTCACTTGAACAAAGTTCATAGGCATTTGATGAATAATAGAATGGATGCATCCAACTTATCTATCGTTTTTGCCATGAGTTTTATAGACCAGGATGATTTGAGCAGTAGTATGGGTCCAACATTAGGTGCAGTTCAAAGCATATTACAGAAATTCATCACTAACCCTGAAGATTATTTTTGAGTTTACTAGTTTAACTATAACTTCAAAATTCTACTACCATATCCTTTTTGAAAGTCTATTTCTGTTCACTTTTGCATTTTTTTCTATAATATAATTAACATCCCTTTCCATCATATATTAATATTAAGCAATAACAGTAATCGTAATAATAGTAATAGTAATAATAATAATAATAATAATAATAATAATAATAATAATAATTAATATTGGATTCTTAAGTTAATTATTCTTTCTGCATGAATAAAATCTAATCTACACTAAAATTGTGAAACTATTTACAGTATTATAATCAAGGTTTATATGTTCCAGACAGTCTGTCCACTTAGCGCTTAATGATTTTTATTTAGTTGCTTCCTTGAGACAATTTTTATGCGCTGATTCTCCCTTAGTTTTTTGGAAAGCTCTTGCATTTCCATTTCTTTTTCCTGCATTTTTTGTTTCCGTTCCGCTTGAGCTCTTGCATTAGCCATATTTTCTCTGAAAGTGTCCATTATACCCTTGTTGGCTTGTGCTGGGTCGAGTGGGCGTTGTACAACATCAGCTATATTTAGCTTCCGTCTAACCCATTTGTTTCTTAAAAATAAAGTTTGTAAAACTGAGAATGAACCATTGACTGCGAAGTAAAGCACTACAGCAGAAGACAGGTTCATTGTTGCTGGGATGGAAAGTAATGGCATAATTGTAAAAAACTTCTTCATCGTTGGTGAAAATTGTTGAGCACCAGTTTCACCACCCAATCTAGTGAAGGAGATCAACACTGCTGCAGTGATTACTTGTAAACCTAAGTATGGATCTGCTTGTGTTAAGTCATTGAACCACAGAATACCTTGATCTTGAAACCCTTGTACCGGGAAATTCGCCATATGTCTTATACCATTAAAAAACCCAATTGCCATAGGTATCTGAACCATCGGAGCTGCCAACCATCTGTTCTTGATCCCATTATCGGCTAAAAGCTTCTTTCTCTTCATAGCTACCTTTTGTCCCTCAGTCATATCAGTGGTACCCATTAATTGCTTGTTGATCTTGTCTAATTCCGGTTTGATCCTGGAGTTTCTAGCGATAGTATCGGAAGACTTCACATACAAGGGAACGAGCGCCAAACGCACCAACAATGTCACTGTGATAATTGTACCCCACCATGGTAATCCCGAATATGCATGTACATATTCCAAAGCATGTTGCACCAAGTCACTCGGCCAATACCACGTCTGAGCCAATCCGATGCTCTCCAAATAACCGACATGCGTAGATAGCTCTCCCACGGTCCCAACGGTCTGTGTAACAGCATCAGCAGCAGTGGCTCCAAGTTCATCAACAGCTGGCAGTTGTGTAGTAATTTCTGAAATAGGCTTGCCATTGCTCGACATGTACCTAGGCATCATCACCCTCCATGAAGGCGTCACTGGCGTAAGCCTGCCAGGTGCTCTGGCTGCTACTCTAAGCGTCGAAGTCCTCGCCAAGGACCTTAGTCCCGTAATTCCCAGCATCGTTTCCGCGTTATCAATGCTTGTTCTGGAGGTCCCTACTTCAAGAAACAGCTAGAGTTACCCTTTGACTTAATGCTTTCCTTTTAAATCTGATTTCTTGTCTCGATGCGATGCTGAGCAATCGTGAGACGAGAGTTTCGGTTGAGTCTTCCCAGCTTCACAGTTCTTTAAGCTTTAAATGTCAAAAGTTAATGAAGTTCCCTTCTAATTTCAAGATTTGAATTATTTTTCATCAGTTCTTCATAACTAAGGCAGTCTAGTGTTTTAGATTCCTTGAAGGTAAGCTTCTTATACTGTATATGCTGGGCGTCTATTGCTAGATTCGTCATACACGTGTGCTCAGATTCAGAAGTAGGTTTTGTAACCAAGGTCCTGTTATGATAGTTTTGTAAGTATTTGGCTTATCCTTTTGTCTCAAATATTTGAAAGATTGAGAATTACAATACAATTGAGTATAACTACAAGGAGTGACAGGTGGGAATAGCTATGGATGTAAGGAAGCAGCTGTATCTGCAATGTTTGAATAGGGAATTTGCCCAGGTTCTGGCAAAGGTGAGGGGTATGTCTACTGAATCACTGGATTATAACTTCCTACAAATGTACTTAGGTCGGAGTTGCCAATGGGCTCATGTACCTTCAATTGACTACCTATGGATGCGATTTGTGATGAAGGAGCCCCTGCTTCTTGTTAGGCCCCAGGTGCTTTGCGATATGGCTACCATTGCGCTCAATAACGATAAGGGGTTTTTGCCGTCACAATTGTTGAAGCATTACACTATGAACTATCTCAATAAGAGGCATATCTCCTTTGATGATCCAGTGTTATACCATCTGAATAGAGTTAAAGTAGAGAGCTTCGCAAAAGGTACCAAGGATAGGACAACATTCATGGAAAAATGGAAAGTGTTCTTGCAGGATATAGATGACAAGTTTCCAACTAGCTATAAATTTAGGATACGAGATTACATGAACTTATCACAAGCCTCTAGAACTGCCACTCAAGAAAGACTAGGGTCCATGCTTTTCGACCAAGACCAGATCACTATAAAGAACCCGACTTCAATGTCACTGCTCTTGAACATAATTTTACTCCATAAGGGTATCTCAACGGACTACAAACTAGCAATATTTGAACAGTTCCTAAGATCATCTAATGGAGCAGCATTGATTGATGACTCAATACAAATCCTACTGAGATTAGTTGACGGCAATAGTTCCCAGCTCCGGAATCTGCTGGAAACTCTGAAGAGTGTTGACGTTAAAATCTCAGCCACCACTTGCAATGAAATTGACAGCTGTAAGGCCAAATTGCAATAGTGTGAGCAAGTGCAATATGCCTTTGTAGCTTTTTAACCGTTATGGTATATGACTTCAGACAATATTCACGATTAACGATACTCATTGATGGTATATAGAACTAAAACTAATGTAAATACTTAATATATTCCGTGATAATAACTGAGCTGGCAATAATGTCATTTAAAATGTTACTTAATTTGTGAATCATCTGGCTATTTGTGTAATATTGAACGTTGACTGATAAAGCTCTTGCCAATGTGATGAGCTACATATGGGATTAATATTAGTTGGAGATATCTAACCTTATGAGGATGGCATTAATGAGTCCTTATTTAAAATCCAAACAAACCTCGCTGCGACTGCTACTGTCGAAAGATCGAATTGACTATAAAGATGAGTATGGACCAACCTGCCAGAATCAACTTCTTCAAAGGACACCCCAGTTTCCGGTTGTTGCCTAATGAAGAGATAGTAGAAGCCACCAGACAATTGCTCACCAGCGAAACTAGAGATTATGACGATGACACAAGGAATAGGCACCCATTGACATATGGTCCTGATGAAGGCGCTCTATGGGTGAGGCAACAGATATGTGATTTCAACAACAGGCTGTTTGGTAGTGACTCAAAACCGGAGTTTTTAAACTTGAGCAGTGGTTCCTCATACGGATGCCTGAGTGTCTTATTACATACTACATTACCTCACACAAATTTTACTAGACAGGCGTTCATTATATCACCAACTTATTTTCTGATCAATGATTGTTTTATTGATGCTGGATTTGGTTCAAAGCTAACTGCAATTGATGAGGAAGGAGAAGACTCCATTAACTTTGAACAATTACTAAGCAAATTGAGGCACTTTGAAGAATTATATGGTAATAGCAATGGCGATGTATCGATTATCCAGAACCCAAATAAACCAACAAAAAAGGTGTACAAATATGTAATGTACTGTGTGCCAACCTTTGCAAATCCGAGCGGCAAGAGTTACTCTTTGGAAACGAGAACTAAATTGATAGAGATAGCAAGAAGATATGATATGTTAATAATATGTGATGATGTCTACGATCTATTAGATTACTCGACAGATGTTCATGAGTGGCCAAGACCTCAAAAAAGGCTTGTACATATTGATAGGGCTACGGCACCTGATGATAATGAATTTGGCAACACTATATCTAATGCGACATTTTCCAAGATCATTGCCCCTGGTCTAAGGTTTGGTTACCATGAGACTATAAATGATAAATTAGCTGCTCAGCTCTCTAGAGGTGGTGCCAATGTGTCTGGTGGTACACCTTCACAATTAAATTCAATGATAGTTGGCACCATACTTCAAAATGGGAGTATGGAAAGAATATTAGGTAAACTAAGAGAAACTTATAAAACTAGATCAGTTGCAATGTGGGATTCATTGCAGAAACACATGCCAAAGGACACACATATCTCGTCTCCCAAAGGTGGCTATTTCGTTTGGGTAACCTTACCACCCGGGTATGATGCCAAGAAAATAGGAAAAAAGCTAAAAGATGAGCATGGAGTAATACTGGCAAATGGATCAGACTTTGAAGTTATAGGAGATGAAAGAGGGTGGGGTGACAGATCAGTGCGTCTTTCCATTAGTTTTCTCGAGACTCCTGATATCATTGAAGGTTGCGAGTTATGGGGGAAAGTGTGCAAGGAGATGGCACCCAGTTCATAGAATGCATATGTACGTAGACTAGTAATTAATCATCTAACAGCTATGGAATGGTTCATATCCACAGTTTACTATACTTGTCATTTGACTTTGATCACTAAACACGTTTAGATAGAATGGTAATTTGTCAAAATTCCGGGAAAACTGCCTTTCTCACCGAAGAAATGGCAGGAATCTCTTTACAACTGCTATTATGCTCTCGGCTTGACAAGTATGGGTATCAGTTTCAATACCTAGAAACATACACATCGCATCGTGAGTTTCATAACTATTTATCGTCTTACTCACAGGTTTTCTACCAGACAAAAGCTTTGATCAGGGAACTTAAAACATCTTCTGCGAAGCAAAAACAAGATAAAAGACCGAGCAAGCAACTGCTTTGATCGCTTATAGCACATATTACCTATAAGATTACGTTTACTACTAGATATTAACTACAAAAGAGAAAGCAAACACGAGTCACACACAGTAGATACCATGCACGACCCACAAGAAGAATCATACTCTATGTATCCAAAGACCTCATCTCCACCACCACCACCTCAAGCCAATATGCATTTTCCTGTTTACCAGACTCCTATGATGTACGGTTACTCGCAGAACCCATACATGTATGCTGGTCAGGCTCCAGGTTATCATTTTGGTATGATGAACCAAGGTCAAATGATGTACCAGCCTAATGCTATTCCTCAACAACCTAATGGTGGTGCTGGCGGTTCTAAGAAGAAATGGAACATGAATAATAATATGGGTGCTTCTTCTGGATCTAGTGCCAACTTGTCCAACGGGAAGACTCATAATTACCATAATAGCTCACATGCTGCGAGTTATCACCCTCAATCATCTTCTTCTACTTCTGGAGGAAGTACTGCCAAGAATGCTTACACCCCAGCTGCAGCAGATCCATTGAAGTTCAACATCTCAAAGATTAAAGAAGAGACAACTTCCTTCCCAATGTTTTTTAATACAAACGAAAAGGACTTTGCAGAAGCTAAGGCCAAAAGATACCATCTAAGTTTGAAGGCGTTGGATCATGAAGAACAACCAATTCAAAAGGAACCCCAGGTACAATCAGAGCAAGTGAAACAGGAAGAACAGATTCAAAAGAAACAAGATTCCCAACAACTTAGCATCGAAGAAGAGGATATAAAGGATCTGAAAAGTGGAGATAAAACTGATATCGTACTTCCAGAAACCACTACTAATAAGGAAAATATTCAGCAAGGTACTGAAATCAAAGTAAGCTCGCCAGAAATGGGAAACAAGCAGGCTAGTGGTTCACCAGTGGAGGAAACTGCTACTCCTTATATAACACCGGCACCAACACCAAAACCAGCTGCCAAATCCTGGTCTGCTATTGCATCCAGCGCTATTTCTAAAGGGAAGCCCTCCAATGTATCTTCACCAATCTCAAGGCCAGGATCTACCCATCAGCAACCTCAGAAGAAATCAAAAAAGTACGTTCCTGCGACCCCAAAAGGACTTGAACCATTAGGATCAGTAGCTCTAAGAATGTGCTTCGACCCAGATTATGTCTCATACACGTTAGATACTGCCAAAAACGAAGACAAACTGCCAATTAGAGAGATAATTCCAAGAGGTATTATAAATAATGCTAACATCTGTTTCATGAGTTCCGTTTTGCAAGTGTTATTGTACTGTGCGCCTTTTGTAGATATTTTGAATGTTGTCAGTACTAGAAATATGAACGCAAAGAGTGGCTCTTCCTCGGCGAAACTATTGGACGCCTGTCTAACAATTTATAAGAAATTTGACAAGGCAAACTATGAAAAGGAGAAGGAGAAGGAGTCAGAAAAAGAAAAGCCTGGTTCTAAAAAGTCCTCTCCACCAGCTTACGCGTCCATCACAGAAGCGGTCAATCCAGATGAGTTTTATAGATCTCTATCAACAATTCCAAAATTTAAAGATTTGAGATGGGGTCATCAGGAAGATGCTGAAGAATTTTTAACACATTTATTAGATCAACTTCATGAAGAATTGATTTCTGCCATTGATTCACTATCAGAGAATGAAATACTAAACCTACTACAAAGTATTCATGACGAAGATTTGAAGATATACATCATTCGTAACTTGAGTCGCTATAAGGATGCGGAATTCATCAAAAACATGTCACCACAACTGAAGGACCAAATTAACAAATACGGAACAATTTCTGATGATTCTGAAGAAGGAAATGGCTGGCATGAAGTTAGTGGTTCTAGTAAGAAGGGCAAAAAGACAAAGACAGCTGCTAAGAGAACCGTGGAATTTATCCCATCCCCTATTTCTAACCTGTTTGGCGGCCAGTTTAGATCTGTTCTTGATATTCCACAGAACAAAGAATCTCAATCCATTACATTAGATCCATTCCAAACTATTCAACTAGATATCTCGGACCCAGGAGTTGATAGTCTAGAGGCTGCTTTAAAGAAATTCAGTGAATATGAGCTGTTACCTTTTAAGTCATCATCTGGAAATGATGTAGAAGCAAAGAAACAAACATTCATTGACAAGCTACCTCAAATCCTTTTGATTCAACTGAAAAGATTCTCTTTTATTAGTAATGCTGATAAAGATAATGGCATGACCAACTATAACGCATACAGTGGCCGTATTGAAAAGATTAGAAAGAAGATTTCTTACGGACACACTCTAGAAATCCCTGATGAAACTTTAGCATCCTCTGCATTGAGGAACAACTCTTCGAAGACATATGAGTTATCAGGTGTTATTTACCATCATGGTATGAGCCCTGATGGAGGTCATTACACTGCTGATGTTTTCCATAAGCAAACTAAGACCTGGTATAGAATTGATGACGTGAATATCACCAAGCTAGAGGATGATGATGTCTTGAAAGGTGGAGAGGACAACATGGACTCCAGAACTGCTTACATTTTAATGTACCAAAATGTGCACTGCTAAGGCATAAATGTAATGACATATTGCAAATATTTTCTATTATGTATTACTTTCAATTATCTTAATTCGATAATACTGCTTTTCTGTAAATAAATAGAACTGGCATAGGCATAGATAGATTTATCAAACAATTCTAATATATTTTGATATGAAAAATAAGTTATAAAACAACAGGTCATTGTGTTTAAACAGCCATGTTTAGATTTGGTTGAGATATGTTCTTGGTGATTTTACAACAAAACATAAAAAGTATTATTAAATAGTCGTGATTCAGATGTTATCTAAAAAAAATAACAAAAAAAAATGATTTCGCCCAGGATCGAACTGGGGACGTTCTGCGTGTTAAGCAGATGCCATAACCGACTAGACCACGAAACCATATTAACTTGTTGAAGTGTGGTGTTAATTTGTTGTACTACCGTTTTAGTTTTCCTCCAGATTGTAAGCGTATGCATTCACTCCAAGCCTTTCAGATCTAACCAAACTGAGATGGAATCTCATGAATTTTGGGTTATTTCCCCTGTTGATAATTGATAGAATAGGATAGTAAATTACTACGGACAAGTTAGGGATAGAGTTTTGCAGATAAAAATGGCTTTTCTTCAACAACCCAAATTATCAAATGCACAATTTTAAGAGGGTGTTTTAAGTGAACAAGTTAATTGCAGAAACAAGTTCTCTACCTACCTTTTGAGAGCGCACTCATATGTTCTACACATGAACCGCATTAGTTATAATATTCTCAAAAGTATATTTTCTTTAACGTGCTTAATTGGTAGCTTTTCCATATACGTTTTATCATAGAGTATAAGATTGAGTCGTACGTTTACTAGCTTTACTTAGAGCAACAAGTATCTTTATTTTAATACTCATCAAGTATACTATATAGCACGTAGAAGAATACGAGGTTTCAACAGGACATACAATAATATCGGCTAAATCCTAACCATTTATTTCGAGACTCTAAACCCAAATTTTGAGGTGAAAAAAGATAAATCACAAAAGACCATCATTCAGTTGTTACTATAAATTTAGAACTTACATCAGTATACTTCTTGATTGTGGCAGAAAATATATTGTTCATGGCATTTGGTTATCTATATTTACATATTGGCACTTAATAAATCAAAAAGTAGATTTATGATAATTTATTATATCGCTCTTTTTGTATCAAGAGCTTCTCTATGCAACAAAAATGCCCACTAATAAGTCAACTTAAGCAGCAAGGTGATACCAAACCGAATCTACATGATGTTTTAACTGCAGCAAATAGTTGTTACGCCTGGGACATATCAAAAATTGCGAAGCTTACCAAATCAATACAATACGAAAGGTGGTTACATCAGATAAAAAAATGTCAATATGTTTCATCCTATATGATCTGAATTTTATAATAACTGATTGTAAAATTTAGTAAAAATAAAATGTACAAAATTCCAGTACATTTTATTAAGCCTAAATATAGCGCTAATGAATCTGAAAAAAAAAGTGTCAAACTAGATAGCAGCTGAGACAGATAAAATTTTGCTATGTAAAACAAAGTTTAGCGGGAAATCATTCTTAGTTCTGGATATGATTAATGAAAACTATGATAAACACAATTTAGCCACTAAACTGGAAGGATACTTCGGTGATTATCTTATTACAATGTGCTACCTGTGAAAGTCACTTATCTAATAGTACACCAATTGTTCAGAAATGGGCTTACACCCCAGAAGCTGATAAATTTGTTGTTAGTAGACGTCCAGAACCTGAACAACAGGAATTCCATAAATTACGATGGGAGATCATAAATTACCTTGTTGGAATGCATTTATTTATCTCTTATACCAGAAGAGCCCGGAATCTCATATCTTTCCAGATGAGGGAACTAAGATGGTATCAATATAAGAAAATTGCAAGTATTGCTTTGTCTTAGAATTCTACCAAAATGCAAACAAGTTCATATTACCACATGAAAAATACTAGCAATAGCGCTTTGAACAATAGGAAGCAAAACATAAAACCCAGAAATAATGGACACTAAACAAGACATAGTAATCATATCCGATCGTGAATATAAATAGTTTCAACAATTCTTTCACTGCTATATATTAAACAGCTTTTACTCATGTAATACAGAACATGGCCTCGATAGCGCAAGACAACCTTTGGAAACAGCTACATAACAGTTTTTTTTTCCATATATTTGGAAAAATCCAAATGTTTTTGGTACTTTTAGATACATAATAATATTTTTGATCCTAACTTGTAAGTAGACTAGCATGTTCTCAGAGCTTCAACCAGTTATATTTTCATTTTCTCTTAATCTAATTGTAAAATTTTGGGATTGCTAATATACCAAACTGGGATTCGGGGGACTGATACAAGGCAATACCAAGACTACTGAATTACCTTATTTCAGGATCTTTTATTTACTAAGAATTCCAAACGATTGTGAAGGCTTCAGAGATTCACCTAAATATTTATTCTAGAATAGTCTAATGGGGTATATATATAATAAAATAACTCTGTCGACATAAGACTTTAACTACCTATATTAATATATACAGGTAGTTGAGTATTTAGTTAAAGAAAAAAAGAGAGTTAGCAAAAAACTTCTGTCCAAACGTTTAAAAAGTAGTTAACATCATTGCCAAAGTTAGGAACAATGAAGCCATTTGCAAATGACCTGCACCGTTGGTGGTTTGAACAGTCACTGGAAGAGAAGAAGAAGACTTAGTAGCCTTAGCGTTTTCAGTGTGAGAAGTTCTTAAGCTGCCAGTAGTTTCATGATGAGTAGCAGTGACCTTCTTAGTCTCTGAAGCAGCTTTGCTTTCCACCTTGGATTCAGCAGCAACTGAAGAAGAGACAGGCTTGTGGTCTTCTGGGTGAACAGCATGTGGACCAACAGTTGGACAATCAGTGATACATGTAGTAGTAGTAGTGGTAGAAGTATTGTGGTAAGTGGCAGCAATTTCAGAGGAGTGGTGCTTTTCTTCGGAGTGATGGTGGTGGTCATCTCTCTCAATGTGGGTCATGGTGCATGGGCAGTCAGTAATTGTCAAAGTAGTTGGCTTGGTAACAATGACAGTCTTATTGTTGTAGGAGAAGGTAGTTGCTTCTGGACAGTAGGTGGTAAATTCGGAGACAACTTCAATTCTGGTAGAAGTGAAAGTGTGTAGATGGTGATCATCATGGTGAGAGACCTCAGCGCTTGAAATAGAAGAAGCACTGGTGGCATTTTGGAACTGACCATTAACAGAAGCAGCAGCACCCAACAAAGTTAACAAAACAGACAATTGCATTTTGAGAATCTGATAATAAATTTTTTTCTGATTAGTAGTGGAGTAGCGAATGAAATGATTTTTAACTTTACTGACGCCCTTTGTTGCGTTTCCAATCAAGTTGATAACTATCTGTGTGAAAGACGAATATAGGAACAAAGAAAAAAGGACACCGAGGTTCACAAAACATTACTGATGAGCTTGCTTTTATAACTTCCAAAATAACCAGAGAGTCATAAAAGTCTGTTAATAAGATATATGCTGATAAATAACTATAGAAAGAGTTTGAAATCTAGTAAAATATTACATTTTGCCAGTACCTGAAAAAGCCTCCTCCACCTCCACTAACAGCGATAAAAAATAACAATTTCCTTTTCGAGAATCAATTATTAACTTTTGGCATTTTGGTGAATTTTCCATTTTGCATTGTTCATTTGGTAAATTGGAAGGCTTATGCTGTTACTTTTTAGTCAGCATTATTGCAACTGTCAGCAAAATGGTTGCTATGCAGAATCAAGAAAAAACCCAGAATTCAGAACAAAAGACCCAACGCTTTTGGAAAACAACAACAGTAAACAACACCAAAAATCTGAGTTCACAGAATCATTACTCAAATTAGATCAACAATAAATAAACACTATACCAGAGTTATTTCTCCATAAGTATAAGCTGCATAATATATTTGAGCAAATTATCAAAAGCTTAATCATGTGATATTTTCGTTTGTAAACACACACAAGCAAAAAAAGTGACGCGAAAACGCGTCACGAAAAATTAGAAATTGGCAAAACGGAAAATTGAAAAAGAAATATAAACAATCATTAGGGACGTCAACCCATAAGGAGAGATGATTGGGAAATGCTCATCACCCCAGTAGAAAGTTTTGTTTTCAATTGTTTACAAGAACAAAGAATAAACAAACCAGTTCTATACATCTTTACTTAAGTTAGATTTCAGATCCGGTATTAGCCGCTGATTAGAGGAGGACTACGTTAACCACAGTTGCAAGGAAGCTATACGTTTTTGAAACTAGTGATCCAGCAAAAAGAAAGAAAAAGCAGTGTTCCAAACCTACTGACTGGAAGAAATACATTCTATAAGGATCAGCAAATCATAGCAGTTGATAGTATATCAAGCACAGGAACAATGTATGACATGGATTTATTAAGGAGAGCTAATCCGGTGTTGTTTTCACCGGAGAGATATGATGAATATCCGCTAGGTTATGATGATCTCATGCAGTATTTGTCTACAAAGGATATAACAAGTCAGAGTGATCCACAACACAACAGACCGTACACGTACATTGACTCACTCGACTTCTTGCTTTACAGTCAGGACGAGGATGAAATAGATATTGATTTGGACAAGAAGTTAGCTTGTGAATATGCGCTATACTACGCTCAGAGCAAGAAGAGACAGAACAAACACAAACGGATGAGTCTTTTGGGCTCGAGGAAGTACTTAGACGATCTGCTTTATGGCGGAGCTAATCATTCTCGAGATTGGTATGAAGCAGTGATAACTATGCTAGAGAATTTGTCAATTACCGAGTTAGATCCGGATACTGTGGGCAAGTTAGAGAGGTTAGTGAAGACAAATAAAAGTGGTGTTAACGTTAGCATGTTATCACACAATATGAATGGTTTCCAAAAGCCGGAGTTCCCAAGAAGCAGAAAGCAGAGTGGGTCTGGTCTAGATCTAATGAGAGACAATAACGGCTCTCACTCAGAAGTGTTCAGTGGTCATACATTGAATGAGAGTGACGACACAATGGAAGAGGAAAGCCAAGGGATAATACAGGACTTAATTTCATACTTGATTTCGAATTCAATAAAGAGAGGCATAAATGTAAAACCTACAAACTTGAACAACCCAGTAGAATTTTTAAAAGGAGCCATTGATGAAATACTGGATGCCAAGACCGACAGTCTAGATAACAAACCACAGGATAGATCTTCGAATATCGATACTTTAGAAACAAGTGTTACACCAGTCAATTTCCATGAAGCTGACACTAACGAATTAAAGACTGCATTAAATGATCTGCAACTTGCCCATTCCTTCTTAACGAAACAATTTGAGACTTCACGACTTGAGCAATCACAAACAATCAATAGATTAACAAAGACCAATAGAGAATTACAAGATAAGTTATTGAAGTACCACGCTAAAATATCAAAGTTAGAAGAGAAATTGAAGGTAACCGAAGATGCAAAAACTCAGCTAGAGGATGCTGCGCACAAGATCAATATGAAAGAAAATCTACTATTAAGTTCACCTATCATGGCACCTGAACTATTCTCTCCATCCACACCAACCAGTGGTTTGAACAGCTCCCCATCCAACAATAACTCTCATTCAATAACAGTTATGCGTAATGAATTCAAGAGAATGATACTTGAAACACAAGATAAATACGAAAAAGAACTTGCAGAAGAACGAGAAAAAAGACTGAAACTTGAGAAGGAGTTTGAAGAGTTGAAGGACTAACATATACTACCAATCTTTGATTACAGAAAAATCCTGCATTTTACTTAGAATAATAACAGACTTTAATATTACATTTCACATGAACTTTCTACGCCATTATGACTCAATCGTTATAAATAACCATATTCTTTAATTAAACATATCTAATTGTTCTTTATCGTACTCTTTGTAATCTAATAATTACATTGGACTTTTGCAATGGACTCAAATAAGGGTATTATCTGGAAGTAGGATATTATAGGGCCATTATTATAAGAAATCTAAGGCACTACAACTTCCACCGATGGGGAATTTGTCCTTATTTCAATAGCTAAGAATAATAAAAAAATTAGAACGTTACTAAATATTTAATGTACAGAATTAACAGAACATATTGTGTTCTGATACAATTTTTTATAATAATTTATTATCTTGAAAATAATCCGAAAGTTCTCCTAATGATCAAATACTTGGTAAATGCTGAATAGACTCCATGCTCCTCCACGGAACCTAATCATTTACACATCAGTTCAAAAAGAACAGGAACAACATCATATTTTTGGGAATGCCTACAAATAGAAGTAGAAATACCATTTTCAAGATCTAGCAATTCCATCGGATTTTGTAATCATTCAAACCAACAAAGCAAATTTGGTGAAGGACTAGACCTTGAAGTTCTTCAACTTATAGTTACATTATACCCAAACATCAATCCCATAGACCGTATCACATCTTTCTGAATTCACTCAACACCGGGTATATAGCTTCAAATGCCTGATAAATTTCCTCTCTTTGCTTTGCACCAGTTAAAACAATTTTACCGGAAACGAAAATCAATAACACAATCTTTGGTTTCACCATTCTATAAATCAAACCCGGGAACAATTCTGGTTCGTATGACGAGAAAGTACCGTGACTGAATGCTAAACCTTCCAAACGTATAGGAAACTTAACGTCACAGGAGCCGACTATATTTTGAATCTTGAAATCGGTGAACTTAGCTGCAAAACCAATTTTCTGAATAATTCTTGCGTATTTCCTGCTCGCTAGTTTAGAATCATCTTCACTCTTAGCACCAGTAACAACCATCTTACCAGAGGCAAAAATTAGTGCAGTAGTTTTAGGTTCTCTGATACGCATAATAACAGCGGCAAAACGCTTAGGGTTATACTCGGCATTACGTGCGTGCAGAGCCACAGTTTTCAGATCCAGTCTACACCCCAAATTTACTGTCGCAACAATATTCTGTAACGTTGGCACTATACCTGAGGTGGCCGCATCATCCTCATCCTCATCTTCATCAGCTTCTGGTTTCACAGCATCATCTTCTGTCTTATTTACCTGATTTTCCCACACTTGGCGAGTGTTAGGATCAAACACCGCCTTGTTGGCTTCTTGAAACTCTTTCATACGCTCCTCATCAGCCATCTTTATTATTTATATTTATCGAATTCTTTAGTCCTATGGTTCTCAAATATTAAAAGTTGTTCTACCAAAACTAGTTTCCAAAAAACAAGCCAGACACAACTATTAACTATATTCCTAAAAGACTGGTACTCTTTTCAGGCAATATCCGAGGAGTATGTGGAATGATGAAAAATAAAAACTACTACCGCAGGTATGGGAACTAAAACAAAAAGAAGGGTTACCAATCAGCAGTTACTGCAACGTTCACCAAACAACCAATATACGCCTACTAGCCAAGTCTGCACTATGTTAGGGCACCAACAACCACATAATGTATTGGCCTTTATTCTCTTCTTTTGCTTATTATCCATTTCTTTTTTTGTCATTCTGAGATGGATTTTGTCAAACTGTCGTATTGTACGTAAATATACGTCCATACGTCAAATATCAGATGACATACATGTACGTACAATGATACAAAGAAAATGTGACTTGTATCGTATATAGGCATTATCCAATGTCCATTTTCCTCTCTTCGAAAATTGTCATATCGTGTGGAAAACGCGTTAACAATGCGCAAGAAAACGAAACTCCAGATCTTCTTTTCTATTCTTATCTGTGACTTCGGCGGTTATCTCATATAAATCTTGTGGCAAAACATTAAGTTCTCGTTTTGCCTCGATACGCATTCTCATGGCAATATTGACAAGAGGAGAAATACTCAGCCGTTCTCTCTCTATATTTGTGCTACTAAACTTTTCTGTACTAAATCATTATTGCATTGCTAAATAAATATACAAGAAGCCATAGTGATAATGAGTTATAGTGCGCAGGAGTTGTGGGAGTTACATGAAGAATACGTTACATGTGCCCATAATTGTGTGTCTAAAGTACAAAACCGCGATCAATTACGTCAGTACTATCAGTTGATCGGTGCCGGTGTTACATGTCTGGTGACTATAAAGGAGAAATACTCGCTGTCGATGGAACATGATGCCCAGGTTACTCTGGCGCTGGTAAGCTTACTGGTGGATGAGACAGCTGATTATGACGCGGCTGAGATGTATATCTCAAGTTTACAAGAGAGGTTGAAGAACGACAAGTATTCGGATGATCTGGAGGTGTATAGGTTGGTATGCCATTTCATGAACTTTTACACTATTCCATTAAAGAGGAAGTCGCAGTTTCACATGAATATTGCCCTCAAAAATTGCAACGAACTAGTAACATACATGGAGAACGCATTAGAGTCCGGATCTATGCAACCATACTCCGAGTGGCTAGTCGTATTTAAATTTGTAGTTCTGACCTTGAGTATACTCACCAATAAGCATGGGAGATTACATGAAAGGTATAAAGAATTGATAGAATATGAAAACGTCCCCAAGATTTGGAAATATATTCTGGTATTACATTATGTTGATTATAGACTAAAGCAAAGGAAACCTATAGAGCAAGATATTCTCTCAAGTCTCAGTGAGATCACCGTCGAAACTGCTGGCGCAAAGCTATATGCTTGGAGGTTAATCTCTGAGCTTCTCATGGATATCTATAATGATAGAAATATAACAGAACAACTAAACAGGTTCAAATTATTTTTCAAAGAATGCAAAGACAAATTGGATGGCAGCCTTGAAGTAAACGTTGATAGCAAAGCAAAACTGCAGTTAAAACTTGAACCCATTTTCCACTATAAGGATTTAAAAAACATTTTACTACTATTACAAAGTGTCAGCTATCTGCTTAATGGATATGATAAAAAAGCAAACTTCTCTATTAAATTTTTACCAAAAGTTCAAACGACAACACAATTACTATTAGAGGGTATAAGGAATGATAGTGCTAATTCAATATTGACAGTTGACAATAAAGTATCCTGGTATACCACAATTCTGAAATATGTCTCATTTTATAAATTATGGGATTATGTTCTATTAAAAGGGATCACTCATGAATATAAAAGAAACTGCCTTGAAATACCCCAAAAAGATCATCAATTATTTTTGGAGTTGATTGGAAGGCAATCAAAATTAACAAGCACAGGGGGTTCTGAAGAATTACAGCAGTTGACAGAACAGTATACCGATTTAGCGGGAGACAGTAGTGTTCACTATGAAGTTAAACTGTCAAGCTTGTTGAATTGCTATATCATCTTATCAAGCCTTGTTAGTGAGGATATCGATAAGGCTAAAAACATTTCAAGATGTAATGATGTTTGGATGTCTATTCAAAGTATATTTGACAATTGCGATCTGCGTGATAATAGTTTATGGAATGTCACCATACTTATGGTGTGGATTATAAGCCATTTTGAGCCATTTACTGCAAACCCACTACCAAGTACTGATGAGGAAAAGTCATCTAAATTGGAAGCTTTTAAAGGCTACTACCAGAATAATAAATACAATGTTATTGATAAAAAGGATGCCGGGATGCATAACAATCTTAAAGTTAAACGGGGACTTCTATTACATGTGCTGCTAAACTATATTGGAGCTCGATTATTTGAGCAGGATTTAGAGGAAATGACAAAAATCTCTGAGCGGTGTTTCCGCATGGCTAATATAAGCATAGAAGATGCCTCATATTCGAAAAAGTCTTCCAAGCAGCCCAGAGTTGGGAGTCTCAATACGACAGATATCGAAGAAAGTGAACTTGATCACCCAACCAATATGAATGTGGAAGGTAATCAAGGTATATGGGCTATACGATATATTATGGGTTTATGGTCATTAATGAACTATACTGTAGGCATGCGACAAAAAGAAGTGATATATACTAGAAATAAACTCAGCCGTATTATAGCTTCTTACCACCAGGCACAAGCATAGTAATGTTATTACCACTTAATAGCATCCTTCCATGGTGTTCCATTACCACTTCACTTTTCAAACCGTCATTTGCTGTAATTTCTGTAGTGTATTCGATTGGATCTTCCAAGATCACATTTACAAACTCATCAAATCCCACCAACTTACCGCTAAATTCGCGATTTGACTGTAATATTATGTGTACCTGCTGGTCTATGGTCTTGTCTATAACTTCCAATGGCAAAACGTCTAAACTGCTCATCTCACTATTGGGAAATGTTTTTCAAAACTATTTTATCAAATGCTGCTCTTTGCTAAATATTGGTGAGTCGAAAATTCAATGATGAAACGTAAATGCAGTTAAATTCTGTCACTGGTACGACGGCTTAATAATTATTATAGCTGATGTTATTGGCTTATAGACGAATCAGCAAACGCCAGCTATTGATCTTTGACAGTACTTGATGACTAAGGGTAACATTGCATCAAATACTAGCTCATCCTGGAATGCGTATTGTTACCATTCAACTTTCAATTCTGGAGTTCATTGAGCACACACAATCAAAGGAAAAAATAAAATACCTAATACTTTTGAACGAAAACACGAGATTTTATATAAACTTTGGTACGAATGGTAAGTTCATGTCCGAACTAACAAATTCGTTGTCAGAACACACCGATTTCATTTTAGCATTGTATGTATACCATGAAAAGGCAGCAGGTATCATCAACAAGTACGAATGAATAAGAGGTGCAATTTCGAAGGTAATATACTTTTTGCCTTAATTGGACACTACGAAGCTTTCTTTGTCAATTTGAAGAATATTTGGATACTGTAAATACTAGACTATATGGAATTCATCGCAAGTACTATTGTGAACAATACAAAAATAAGAATGTTGGGTGAAACAGCCTAAAAAAGAAATAAGTCGCACTATGACATGTTGTTAACAAGTTCTATGCGCTGCTGATTTGTCAATATTCACTGGATAAACAATACGGTTGTGCATACTACTCTTATCATTGTAAAGAAAAATCATATTGAAATATAATTGAAGAGATAACCTTAACATAAGATACTTAACGAAATTCAAAAAAAATAGAACAAGAACCAGGATCAATATAAAATTCGTTAGCAGTTTAACGGCTTTTCACTTTCTTTCATCCATAGCCTCTGACTCCGAAAATTTCTTGAATAGAATACCATGTACCACCAATTGTAACGGATAGACAAAGTGCTTAAGTAAATGATTCATTTAGTGAAGTAGTGGTGCTATCCTTTTTTCTTTTTCTTCTACAAGAATTTACTATCCTGATCACACCGTGCGGGATTGTCTTCACTTCTTAGAAGATGCAGTACTCACAGACCCTAAAAAGTCATGTTTGTTCCATAAACGTCAAAACTATGAGTTTTCTTAGAAGTAGACAACAAAGAAACCATGCTGCTCAAGTTGTAGTATTGCACCCACAATATCTTCAACCATCGCTAAATTATGCTGTTAGCGGAGCAAGCTTGATAAAGAGGTGAAGTTTAAATTCTTATCGAATCAATGTTCTTTCTCTGACCAAATCTGTGTGCGTAATGCTTATCGGGTAATAGAGTCAACTAAAATACAACCAAAGGTGTATGTGCGAATTGAGTTATTGTGTGGATTCTGACAACGAAGTCGATACTCAATTGGCCGAAATGGCCTGTCAGAAATAAATTCATTGGTTGAGCTTTTCCCTTTTGACAGTTATACCTTTAATCAAGGAAGGAAATAACTATACAATGGCCAACCATGCGGATTTTTAGTTACAACTCTTGGGTGCATTATCTGATATCTAATTCTGCTTGTGCTGAATAGTCTTTCCAGGAACGACTTATAGAGTAAAATTTGAGAAATGGTAAAGGTCAACCTGGCTATATAAATACCATCAGAAATGAGCAATTTCTTTGCAATTGGAAGCGTTTTAAAATTTGCTCATCGGTTTTATTATCTTATCATTGCTTCTTTGTTCTATTTTGTTCTAAAATCAAGGAATATCGATACCTAACTGTGTTATTCAACTTTGCTCAAGTACTATAATTTCCATAGTCGATAATACATAGCAAGATCTGTTCTACATTATAAAAGGAAAATATGCCTAACAAAGTATTTAACGTGGCAGTCTTCTTTGTCGTGTTCAGAGAATGTTTGGAAGCTGTTGTTATCGTTTCCATTCTATTGTCTTTCCTGAAGCAAGCAATTGGTTCCAAAGATATTAAATTATATCGCAAATTGCGTAAGCATGTTTGGATTGGTGTCGCACTCGGGTTCTTTATCTGTTTAGTGATTGGTGCTGGTTTCATTGGTGCCTACTACTCTTTACAGAAAGATATCTTTGGTTCTACAGAAGATTTATGGGAAGGTATTTTCTGTATGATTGCTACTACTATGATCAGTATGATGGGTATTCCAATGTTGCGTATTAACAAGTTGCAAAGTAAATGGCGTGTGAAGCTTGCTCGTTCACTTGTTGATATTCCAAAGAGAAAGCGTGATTACTTCAGGATTGGTTATTTGACTAGACGTTATGCGATGTTCATCTTACCTTTCATCACTGTTTTAAGAGAAGGTTTGGAAGCTGTCGTTTTTGTCGCTGGTGCCGGTATTACCACGAAGGGTTCTCACGCATCCGCTTATCCTTTACCAGTCGTTGTTGGTCTAATTGCTGGTTTTATAGTTGGATTCCTATTATATTACGGTACTTCAAAGTCTTCCATGCAAATCTTTTTAGTTATTTCTACCTCCATTCTTTACTTAATTGCAGCCGGTTTGTTCTCAAGAGGTGCTTGGTACTTCGAAAACTACAGATTCAACAAGGCAACGGGTGGTGATGCTTCTGAAGGTGGTGACGGTAATGGTTCCTATAATATCGCTAAATCAGTTTACCATGTTAACTGTTGTAATCCTGAACTGGACAACGGTTGGGATATTTTCAACGCTTTGTTGGGATGGCAAAATACTGGTTATCTGTCCAGTATTCTTTGTTACAATATTTACTGGGTTGTTCTAATTATTGTCTTAGGTTTGATGATGCACGAAGAAAGATATGGCCACTTACCATTTATGAGAAACGTTGGTATGAGACACTTAAACCCAGGTTATTGGATAAAGAACAAGAAGAAGGACGAATTGACTGATGAACAAAAGGCTGAGCTGCTAAACCGTATGGACAACATTCAATTCAATGAAGAAGGTGATATTGTCGCTCATGCTAACGAAGAAGAACACGACCAGGAGAGTTCTTTGTTGAGAGGCAACTCTAACAAGATGGGATCCAAGGAAGAATTGAACTTCAAGGTTACCACTACCAGTTCCGACTAATTATAGGGAATAGCTGACAGCTATCTTTTTCTTTTTGTTACTCTTCCTTAAAAATAATAATAATAATATGCCAATCTTATTTCCCCGCCCTAATAATTACTCATTATTTCAAAAAGTATAAGACGTTGGCATGAATGAACAATAATAAGGAAAATATAATAAGCAATAAATTATTAATGAAATTATAAAACAGTTTTTTTCTGAATAGGAGACTAACAAAAAGTATTTATTTTTCTCTATTATAAATAAATGTCTTAGTAGTTTATATATTTGGATTTGTTGATCTTTTTTGTAGATAATAAAAAATATACCCAATTATAATAATTCAATTTGGCAAGATCAGATAGGTGCATTTATAGCTTAATTATTTATTGGTGATCATCACCTAGTGCAACAATTAAAGGGTGTTTATATTCCAATATCACATGGGTTCCCAAAGACGATTTGCCATATTTTTCTGATGACACTCATTCTAAATCGCAAAAGGGACAAGGAACTATAATAGATGCGATGATCTGGTAAGAATATATTCGATTTAGTCAGTAAACGATAACTATAAACAGATTTGAATAGCACAAATTTTCACTTAACCACTAACATTATATTTGACCTATAAACTGTACTTCCGAAGGTTCGTTACTGAATCGAGATCAAGAAAAATTCTAAATTATACGGCTTGAATCTCATCCACAAAAATAAACAATAACATACACCAGACCTTTTCTATTCATTATATTTGATAAGAACTAATTATTCTCTGGATCGTGGATGCTTTGCCCTGACGTTTCTTTGATTGAGATCCTTATTGGTAATACATATCTGAACTTATACCCTTAAACTACAATCACACTTCAAATTATTATCTTTGGTATAATCTCTCAAAGTTTAACTGTAACTTAAGAGATATCTGCATCGGTATACTTTGCTGAACGATAAAGAATTTAAGTTCTCAGGGATATGCCTGGTATTGAACAACCGGTTAGCCGGAAGAACGAAACACTGGTAAAATTATCAAGCTTAGCCGACGAGTTTGTGTTTAATGATGAAGTCCAGTTGAACTTACAGGATGTACTACAAGAATGCGTTGACACGTATCAGAACTACCAGGATGAAGTTAAAAAGATTAAAAATATGGATCACACTGAAAGTGAGAAAGTATCAGAACTCTGCAAGTCAGCATATATCTACTACAAGATAGTCCACAACTTCATAACGAAAGTAATACCCCATCTACCTGAATTCGAGGTGGCAACTGGACCTAAAGCATCGAAGTTGCAAGCTGAACTGATCAAGATATACTATTCATTATTCTCTCGATTGGAGAGTGACAAGAAAATAAGTTATATTAAAAACATAATTATAAAGCATATGGATACTCAAGAAAATAATCATTCAGTTGAATCACATGAACAAGTCAAATTGAGTAACAAAAAACTACCAGTTAATCGTGATGCCATAGAAATCGATAAGGATTCCATACTTCAGGATATCAGGTATATTAATGGTAAGAGATCCGGGTCAGGTATATCATGTTCAGAGCTATTGTCTTTGATGAAGATGAAGGAAGATAGCTTACTATTAATAGATGTGCGACCAAAACTTGAATACGATGCCCACCATATCAAGACTAAAAATATCATATGTATAGAACCGATATCATTCAAAGAAAGCTATTCAGATCAACAGATAGAGAAGACTTCAATGATTCCTTCTCCGAAGCATGAGATCCAATTATTTCAACGGAGAAGCGAATTTCAATATATCATCTTATATACAGACCTGGAAGAGAAGTCTAATTTTTACTTCCAACAGTTAAAATCACTATTGGAGATACTTTTACAGCGGTCTTTTCTGAGACCAATCGACGATAGAAAGACCAAGGTTCTTTTTTTAAGCGATTCCCTACAAAATTGGATAAAGAATGGAGGGGAAATCGATAAATCACAGGAGGTAAGCAAAATTAGAAATAGGTCAATCAGTGGCAGCGGGCCTCTACTAAATTCATTATCAGAAAGAAAAACAATCGGAGCCTTTCCAGATATCAATCGAAATAGTACAAAGCAAATGCCAATATCCCCATTACCATCTTTACCTGGATCAGAAAGGACAGTTGCTACACCACCAAACGGGTCAAGTACCCTTGGCAGAATAAATAGTCCAGTTACCCATTATCCCAAAGCCCCACTAATTAACGATAGTGAATTCCACTTGAACATAAACAACAATCACTCACCTCCCACTCACCTCCCCTCCAAGGACAACAATCCCCTGGCAAGTAGTATGCCTATTGGTTCAGATCATAAACCATTTATGTCTCCACAAAATTCCTTGCCACTAGCACCCAAACCCCCGACATTAGAATCAAAAAACTATAACTTCATATCTGATCGTTCTAACATAATTGACCAAAAACAAAATAGAAGTAGGTCACTTGAACCCCAGCTGCCACCTATACCAAGCACTCTGATAAGAAAAAATTCACCAGAAAAAACTTTGTCATGTAATCAAATGATGGATACATCCTTTACTGTGGGTTTGGAAAACATGGGAAATTCATGTTACATAAATTGCATAATACAATGTATTTTTGCAACTACAGAACTTATCAAAATTTTTCTTAATGGAACCTATGCCAAACATATTAACAAGCAGAGTAAACTCGGCTCTAAGGGGGTTCTAAGTCATAATTTTGCAAAGCTATTAAAAGATATGTATGAAGAGAATAGTAGCAAAAAAATTGGTAAAAAGCATGGTGCAGTTAAAACTCTCCAATTCAAGATGGCCTGTGCATCTGTAAATTCCTTATTTAAAGATGCTAGCCAACAAGACTGTCTGGAATTTTGTCAATTCTTATTAGATGGACTCCACGAGGATTTGAACCAATGTGGGGCTAATCCACCCCTCAAGGAACTTTCACCGGAAGCTGAGAAAATGAGGGAGAATTTATCTTTGCGTGTGGCATCAAGCATTGAATGGGAAAGGTATTTAACAACTGACTTCAGCATAATTGTAGACTTATTTCAAGGCCAGTATGCATCCCAACTAAGGTGTAAAGTTTGCAATCGAACTTCAACGACATATCAAGCCTTTTCCGTGTTATCTGTGCCTGTACCCTCAGGTAAAAGTTGTGGTTTATTGGATTGCTTCATCGAATTTACTAAGACTGAAAACTTGGAAGTAGATGAACAATGGTTCTGTCCAAGCTGTAAAAAAAAGCAACCATCAACCAAAAAATTGACTATCACCCGTCTACCCAGAAATCTGATAATTCATTTGAAAAGGTTTGACAACATGATGAATAAAAATAACATATTTGTTAGATATCCCCAAATTTTAGATCTAACACCATTTTGGGCAAACGACTCTGATGGAAAGTTACCACCTGGTATCACTGATGAAATACCAGCCAGAGGACAAGTACCCCCATTTAACTACAGATTATATGGTGCTGCATGCCATTTCGGGACTTTGTACGGGGGACATTACACATCATATGTTGACAAAGGTCCCGAAAAAGGTTGGATTTATTTTGACGACACAGTATACAGACCTGTAAGATTCCAAAATGAATTTATAAGCCCTAGTGCCTATGTTTTGTTTTATCATCGCATAACGTCTTAGTTATTTTGTGGCGATAAATTGAAATCAATTAAGACTCAGCATTATTTGAAGCAAGCGCCTTGTGTAAGCCCCCATTGCCATTCAATCACCATGAACTTTAATGATACTTAACGATACTCGATGATATATTCGTTATAATTCCTTCATTTCTGTAATTACAATTTACGTACTAAACTTATATTCGAAAATATAGAAACTACTGAAATAGTAATGAAGCGGCAAATTCAGCATTCCCATTTGTGGAAACCAACGCTTGTATCACTTCTTGTCTTGAGAATCCCAAATCCATAAGCTGTTTGATAGTCTTTTCTGGGAATGTTCTCCCTGTATTTCCCATAGGTGAACTATTATTGAGTAAATTGTCTGCCTTAACAGGCTTTACTTTTGGGGTGATAGTAAAGGAAGTTTTCATTTTCTTTTTACTATGATCAGCAGACTCCTTTATCTCCACAGGTGGCTGAGGGTTACCAACAGCATCAAATGAGGTACCTTTAGGTATTTCTGCCTCACCCAAGAATTTAGTTTCCGTACCAGCTATCCTTAGAACGTTCTTCTCAAGATCAATGCATGCTTGATGCCTCTTTAGCATATCGAGACCCAAAAGTAAATCAACATTGGAATCCAACACAACAAAACTACATGGAATGAATTGAGTCTCAATCTTGACTTGTACTTGATGGACTCTACCGAGTATTTTACCCGTACCAACACCTCTAGCTTCACCAATAAATCTGTTGTCAATAAAACGCTTAAGTTCAGTTTTCTCTGCTAATCTGGGAGAAATAATAGTCATTTGCGCACCTGAATCTACGAATGCCTTCACGGGGTGACCGTTGATTTCCATGTTAATATATAACATACTAACCTGCGCAAATACTTCAGGAGTGTATTCAAGTGCATTTCGTAACTGCTCATCAATTAACTGTTTATCTTGTAGTTCCTGCAGGCGTTTCTTATGTTCTGGATCCTCAGGGTTAGTCATCAATTTCTTGTACTCCTCATCAGGAATTCCGTATGGATTAGTGGGCATAGCCGATTGCATTCTTCTTCTTTGTATAATGACTGGGCCCATATGTGTCTTGAATTGCTGGGGATCATTCACTAGACTGTCAATATCAGCAAATGGCATTCTCAAGGAGTTTCTTAAAGCAGAATTACTCAATAGTTGCAATCGAAATTGTTCAACGTATGCGTCATCATCTAGTTCGATGGCTGATGTACTATTTGCGATAGAATTACTAGACACAGGTTGCCCACGTATAACAATCAGATCATCATTACCAATACCAAGTTCCTCAAGGGTCTTTTCAACGTCTGGTTTTAATTCTTTACCATTAAAGTAGAGCTGCTGCTTGCCACTCTCAAATGCACAATCAACTTCCAATAGTGCAACCAAATCCATCAACATCATATCTCCACTAAGCTCCAAGGGGCCGTATACCTCCCCATTAACATCATTTGTAACTGTCAATTGCATCCTTCTATTTAATATTCGATATTCTCAATGCTGCTACTCTGAACACTTTATTTTTCACTATATCTTATCAAAATAGAATCCCTAAGCGCAGTACAATGTCAGCGGTCAACACTAAATCAGGAAGAAAACAGGAGCTGCAGAATCTTCAAATCATAAATGCAGCCATGCTATTATAGTAGCTCCTACCACACACCCAATGTGCACATGCTACCTGTAACGCTACCTTTACTACATGATCTCTACGGGTATTGTCTCAGAAGGCTAGCTCGCGCCACCATGAAAGAAGAAACCCAATCAAGTTACTATGACGTATTACGTTATTAAACACGTGTGTAAGGGTACCAAGCTGATGATTACGTAATTAGGGAACATTTATTGATTTTCAGCTTTCACTTCTCTCCATTGTTAATTTCTCTGTGTTTGGCACAGATATTTGCGCGAGGTTGATTTGCTGACGTAATAAATATTGATCTACACTTTATTTCTTATGGAGATCATATAGCAAATGCTGTTATTGTTCGATTCTGAGCTAAAAAAAGGTACCGAAATCAAATATAGCATTCTATTTCAACCTTATCATAAATGAATATAGCTTGTTTCTTTCATATCTTTTTTTTATATCAATTCTGAGAGATACGCATTAGGTACAGTATTTTAAACAAACATGAATTTTTACTTTTCCTGAAAGCACGCCATCATAGTACTTTAATAAAGAGAATGATTCAACATGCCATTACCATATTACATCCGTTTTAGAATGTCTTGTGAATTTAGGGAAGTCTGGATTTGAATCAAAAAATATGTCAGTGCTCATCACCTATTATTTGTGAAAGATTACCAATCATTATTTTTTAATTGTAACTTATGTATGGATCTTTCTACCAAGTAAGGTACTTACAGTTTGAAAAAACACATGAAATTCAAAGGAAATAAACACTTTACCATCACTACAATAAGGAATTGCACTGACCTCAAACAATCATTCTAAGTGCCACCACACAAAAGCCTATTTTGCTTTGTCATGTCGAAGGACTCATGAAGGACGATTTCCTTTCTAGGGTGTGTAAGTTGTGGGGTGGATCAATTAAACATGTAATTGTAAAATTTGCCATCGAGAATCAAACTGATATGAGCTATCGATACTGGCTGATTAAATGTCTCTTTAAGTTGTAATATCCACTTTTAAACCTTGGAATAGCGTACAAGAATAGCAGTAAAAGCTTAGGCTAAAATCAGATCTCAAATCAGCATAGATGACTCGAAGATTACGCAGTTCCACGAAGTCAGAGCGAGATGCAGCTTTACTGAAATCAGAGGTTGATACCGAAGCTGCTTCTGCAGTCATCGAGGCAATGGTTGAACCGGTGAAAAAAAAAGCAAAGATTAAGAAAGAGAATTCTGATGCTGATGGAGTAGCTGATTCAAAGGCACCAGAGCCTATAGAAATCCCACAAGATTTCCTGGACAAACATGTCGATGAATTTAAAGTGGGGCTAAAAGAAATACTTGAAGTTGACCCAACGCTTTCACAATATGTGCTGATTAAGGAGTTTCCCTTGTTTTTGAAAGATAGACCCAGAGCAGATGATCTACACGACAAGTTTACAAGACTCGCCAGTGCAATCATCTCACAACAGCTGAGCAACTCAGCTGCTAGATCTATAAGAGAGAAATTTATTAACCTTTATGACGGACATTTCCCAGATTACAAAGTACTTAAGGTAGACATAAAGATACCATCTAAACATGAGCAAATTTTTAAATGTGGCCTGAGTAGGAAAAAATGCGAATATCTAGAATCACTGGCCAATTACTTTGCTGATAATGAAGAGTACATCAGAAACTTATTTCAAGACAAAGGAAATGATCAAAAAATTATGGACGAATTGGTATCGAATGTTAAAGGGATTGGCCCGTGGTCCGCAAAGATGTTCTTAATGACTGGCCTTTACCGCATGGATGTATTTGCCCCAGACGATGTTGGAATAGCTAGAGGCTGTGCTAAATATCTATCACAACACCCTGATACATTGAAAAAGCTCATGAAAAATCGAAGGGAAATAAAGAAGAGTAAAATTAAACACAAGAAATTAAATTGGAAGGTATACGATGAAGACATCGTAGACAGTCTTGCCCTTCTTTTCTCACCCAACAGAACTATATTTAGTTTTATAATATGGCGAATGGCAAGTACTGACATTGATGCCATAATCAAGACAGAAACCGATTTTACTAGTTCGAGAGGTGGTGGATCCGGTCTGTAATAATACGTTTAGTGATCATATTAACATTTTAAAAAGGAAATCATATTAATCTAGAACATTAATAAATAAATAAGCATAAATATATTTACATGTACCTTCCAATTCTAAATTAAACCTAAGTCATAATAATAACACGTCAACTTTATAAATTTTATAATTGAATTTGTTTGGCAGATTCAACCTACCAAATAGGTGACCAATATGACACTAGTACAATTTAAACTATATGTCTGGTCGCATTGAAATAATCCATTATTAACAAGAACATAATAAAAAAGTCAATTTTTCATTACTCATATACCGAAGAGTAAGCATAGGTATTCCACTTTATTTGGACACATGCTTGGCCGCTTCTTGGATGACTTTGCTACCAGATTTCAATTGTTGAGCATGTAACTTTGAAATTGTACTTCTAATTGGAGCTCTTGGTGCTTTCAATTGGGCAGTAAATAGCAAAGATAGAGTCAACAAAGCCAAGGCACCACCTTGATGCATTGATGCAATGGAGATTGGAACATAGTACCATAGAGCCAACGCACCTAGAGTAACTTGACAGGTTAAAACACCCATCATAGCTTTCATAGTGATGTCTGCGTTTCTTGGAACAATTTGTTTCCTTCTATTACAGTAGATATGGGCAACAAGAATCGCCGTGAAAGTAATGGTAGCTAAAATTCTGTGATTTAGTTGAACAGTAACTGGGTTTTCCAACATGTTTCTCCACCACATATCAGACTTGTCTTCTTTACGAGCAAATCTATCTTCGAATAATTCTCTCTTTGGAGGAATCCAATGTTCACCCATGTGTGGGAAAGTTGGGTACAGTAGACCAGCATCTAGACCAGCAACCATACCACCGCTCATGGCAGTGACAAAAGTCAAAGCTGTCAAACCAACGGCAACTCTTCTAATAGGAATAATAGCTGGGCTTTCAAGTTTTTTGAATGCTTCTAAAGCTCTAGCAGGGTTTTTCAACCACTTCAATTCCCTTAGAATTTCCCAACCAGCCCACATCATACCCATATACAAGAAGAATGCAGCACCCAAGTGAGTTGTCAGTCTATATTGAGAAACTGTTGGCTTGGATTGTCTAATTTCCAGTTGTTCTTTGTCCAAACCAGATTTAACCATCCACCAACCGACGAAACCTTGTAGACCCAACAAACCAGACAAGAAAAGCAATCTCTTATTGATGTGAGAGGATGTTCTCTTTGTGGCAGCAAAATATAATGCAGGCATAACAAAGATGACACCGATAGCACGGCCCCAAAGTCTGTGGAACCATTCCATGAAGAAAATGAACTTGAACTCGTCTAGGTTAATGTGAGAGTTCAATTCCATGAATTCTGGAGACTCTCTGTACTTGGCAAATTCTTCTTCCCATTCCTTTTGAGACAATGGTGGCAGAGCACCTAGGATAGGCTTCCACTCGGTAATAGATAGACCTGACTCAGTCAATCTTGTTAGACCACCAAGGATAACAATACCAAACACAAGACCTGAAGTACCGATAAGCCAGTATGCGACGTACTTGCTAGTCTTAACATCCTTGGCAGCCAATGGAATACCGCTAGAATCCAGCTTCAAAGCGGCTTCATCAATAATCCTGGCACCTGCTGCAGCATTACGTAATACATTGTTAGCAGTAGAGAACCATCTTCCACGGGCCACGCATTTCAAAATACCACAACTAGAAGCCTTCTGAGATAGATGCTTAGCACCTGTCCAGTTAAGAGTACTATTTAAAGTAGATCTACCAACCACACCATTGCTTGCTAAAATTCCAGCATTTTTTGAGAGAAGTCTCTGACCAGAACGCACCAATTGTCTTGTCAACATCTTTCCAAGCTCTAAAAAGAAAGGGCAAGACAAATATATACCAAACTGAATTAATTTAGGTTAAAGTATGCTTGTTTTTAGCCGCCCAAAAAGAACCAATAGGCTGAATGGAAGAGAACAATGGGGGAAAATATGCCAAAAGTGTTCCTGAAACATCAAGCGGTATTTATACTTCCTGATGTTGTCCTAAGAAGAAGAAATCGCCTGGGGGGTCGAAAGTGCTCTGTTGCATTTCGTAGTTTATGATTAGTATAAACACCGATATAAAAGAGATATAGTTAGAGAATCACTTATTCTTTGTCTTCTTGGGTACATAGCTATATATGATATGCTACCATATCCGTTTTGAGACCATCTTGTATCTGGTTACACCTTCGAGGGATTGATCGGGGGTAGCTGTGTTGGTTAGAATTGGTATTGGCAAGAGACTTGCATCACGGTTTGAGTCAGAGAAGTCTGTGTGTGGCTCAGGCGTTGCTTCACGAGAAGATTGCGGCGATTGCCTAGAGAGCATGAATGAATCTGTGGAGGGGCTCCTTGAATCGGTCTTCTTTTCGTAATTTATCAGTTCCCTCGTTATCTCGTCCATTTTGCTCAGTCCAGTGCTAATAATACCTGGCACATAGCTCTCTGAGTTTACCATTGTGTTGTATTCGCCGTCTGGGAACCGGCGTTGGATACTACGAGACCATTGCACTAAGATCCAATGTAACAAAGTCTTCGATAGTAGAATGATCACTGCACTCCCAAGCAATGTGATAACAATACTTAACATCCCACTGGAATCTTCTGCAGGCTGGAAGAATACTGGCCGTAGCATTGTCAAAAACAAGACTACCGAGGCTGGCAGTGGTATCCCCAGACGGTTTTGGTATTGAGTACCATTTTGTGTGTAATCTCTATAAGCGATAAAATAAAACTTATCGTACATCTCCGGACGTATACGGTTAAATTTTGTAATATATGCATGTTTAATCCAGTCGACAATGATTTCGCTGCCAATGACATTCAAAGTGGGACTGTTTTGGATCCCTGATGAAGTGATGTTGAGACACCAAGTAAAGGGTATCACGCTAGATATGTTCCTTGACTTGGCTACAATATTCCTGAGGCCAATAATTGATAGAAATAAAAGCAACTTGAACCTCTCGGCAACATCAGACATCCCTATTTGAAAGAGACCCTCTTTATCAATCTTTTTGAAAACAGAACCTTTAATTTCCGAAAATTGCATAGACAGTAATAATGTGAGTAACGCATTTGAACATGAATTGGTCGCAATATTCAAGGAGATTGTCTGGTATACCAACACATACCCATGGCATGTTAGATATACAACTCCTAAAAATAAAAGAAAAAATTGCCTGTGCCTTAGTCTCTTGTAACAATTATGAGAAATTACCACTGTAAGTAAGCTTTGACCTACACTAGAGAGTAATTGGTCACTCATTTCAAGCAAACTAAACAGAACATATAATTTGACTGTACTTTGTCTCTTTATTCTGTGATATACTTTTGAAGTATCTAGCGGACTCAAGAGGATAGAGGATGCAATTATTAAAAACATTGTACACTTGTCTTGGAACATCTTAGATTGTTGCTCTTTCAGCTGTTTTTTCAACTGCTTCGGTAGCGATTGCACTTTATTCTGTTTTTTATTTCTTCCCAATATTGACAAGAGGCTATTCTTTATCGACCTGACATGGTATCGACAAACATTGTATGGCAGCTCAGTAAAATAATACAAAAACCAATCGTAGCTGGCTAGTAATGTGAATAACATAAATTTCTCTAAGTATATCGGTATCCTAAACATATTCAACAGTTGCTCCATCTCGAAATCATGCTGATTAAAATCTTCTTCCTCAAACTCTGAGTCCGTCTCATCAAGTGCGTCATTATCTGCACCACCGCTCATAGCCTGTTTCCTGTCAGTTTCCCCGGCAACAACATCCTTGTTCTTAGTCATATGTAATTACAACTCCTATTATATCCCGAGCTCCCCAATATATCTCCCACAAAATGAAAGGGCAGCAATAATAGACTCTTTTTCCCCAGCCAAATGTAAATAGCCACCTAGCACTGAATAGTAAGTTGCTAACTAGCTGATTCAATCAACTTATCTACTTTTAATAGGACTGCCTTCCACCTTTTTTAAGAACAATCAGCTACGTCAATCCCGAAATTTTTCAGTTCGACAAATCCGAAGATGAGCTTATAAGAAAGAAGGGTTTTATGATGAGCAGTAACAGTTGTTAAGCTTGCGAAGAGATAGCTATGGATCAGCAGGATTGGATGGTGCTAGAGAAGTGCTAGTAAAACTTTCAGCAATGATATCGAAGCAGGATGTGTGTGAAATGCTAAGGCCGTTTCAGAAACATAGACAGTTGTCAATAAGGGAAGGCGAGGTTATCTCTCTCGAGATACTGACGTTGCTATGTGATGATTACTGTGGTGACGAGGGAACTTTGAAATACTTAGCGAGGCTAATGACTCCAGAACTTTATGCTGATCTGGTTGACGAGCGCAACTTGAATCAAAGGTGTGGTTACCCATTGTGCTCGGGAGCACCTGAGAGAATACGGGATCCGTTTTCAGTGGACCAAGTTACTAAGCAGTTTCTGTGGGAGAACAATCCCTATGCATATTTATCAAAATACTGTAATAAGTTTCACTTCAGATGTTCACAGTTCTTTCAGGTACAATTGTCTGAAGAGGCCATTTTCGCTAGGACAGGCGTGCACCTGCTAGAAGACACACAAGAAATGAGACAGACTCAAGATGACAAATTTAATGTTACGTTATTTGAAGAGCTTTTGAGAGAAAAAGCTTCAGAAGAGGATATCAAATCACTTGTAGCAGGGCTCAAGAGGCTTGGTTTGGATGCTTCACAGGACGGTGAAGATGGGGATGAACAATTAGAGGTAGATCTCTCAAAATGGCTTGAACAAATAAAAATTGTGGAAAATAAGGACCCGCCTATGCTTGGTGACCTAGTAAAGGACTAATAAGCAAGACTGTTAACGATTTGTTACGATATAAGGACTTCCCATTACTACATACTAGTGCATAAATACGGTTATATGTATTCTAAATCTAATTTACGTTTTCTTATGAAATTGATGGGCTTCTATAGTAAATTTGGTAAAATATACTATGTTGTTAAGTAATTTGGATTATGACCTTTCATGTTCCATTATCCATACCACGATCAGAAATGATTTTTTTTAGTATCTTTTTACCCAGTTGGATAGTTCATGGCCATCACGGATTCTTTTGTAATAAATGTGTCTGCACTTGCACTGACAGGGCACTCTAGCTATCAGAATCATATGGACATATTTTTGTTCACGTGTAGGCGCTTTAGAGCTTGGAACACTAAATGTTAAAAGAGGAAACTGTTTTGATATATTTGTCAAGTAGTTAAATTTTCTACTAGATTCTGTAAGTAATTAGAGAGTAAAATGCCTTAGTATCCTAGTTAATGGATAAGTACACATGACAAATAGCATAATCCCAACAAAATAAAACACTACTCCTACTGTAGATCTAATTATTATCCATTTACAACAAGTTAATATGGTTTCGTGGTCTAGTCGGTTATGGCATCTGCTTAACACGCAGAACGTCCCCAGTTCGATCCTGGGCGAAATCATTTAATTTTTTTGTGGGCTCTTCCATTTACGCTCGACTCAATTTATGCTCTACTCAATAAGTTAGCACACGTAGCTCAGCAACGTACTCTAAACTCGAGTATGCTTGCTCTAGAATTTCTTAATTATACTAACCGGTCTTTCCACATCAAATGATCTAATAAACATGATTAGAGATAATTTACATCAGTGTGAAATGGCTTGTATATATTTATTATTTGTATACATAAAATAACGACACATCCATCCGACCATTACCTTAATCTTGTGATAGATTAGTTATAGCTTGTATTTGTGAATTAACCAATTGAGCGAGTTTGCTAGAATTGTAAGTTCCTATTAGGGTAGTCAATTGAGTCGTTGATATTTTTTTGTCTTTAATGTCCACAGATTCTAATATCTCGAGGAGATCTTTTTTATATCTTGCAATGAGTGTCTTATCACATTTATAAGTACCCAGTTTACGAATTTGTTGTATCAGATTATTCAAAACCTCAAATATCTTCATTTTTATCTTCGAATCTAAACCCATCGAATACATGTTTCCTGTATTAATGATCTCCTGGATATTAACATGATCTGATATTGTATGTGGATAGAGAATACCATCAATTTCAATCTTGCCCGCATTTGGCTCAATTGATGCTTGCTTATCCTCTTTCATAAGTTCCACTAACTCTTTCAGTTTTTGCTCGATTGACTCCTTCGTATGTGCTATTAGTGAATTCTGGAACTTTTCTGATCTTACAAATGTTTTAACTAATTCATTTGTTGACGAGGATACAATATAATCGAGATCCTGCTCTTCCTCAAATATATACCCGTATAGACTCTTTTCAAAAACTTCATGTATTTGCACGTTCCAAGGGAACCCCGAGTACTCCATAATTTTATTCAGTTTAACCCATTGAAATAAAGTGAAATAAAGCTCATTCTTTGTAACAGCATCAACAATATAACGTTGTAGTTGATTACATTTTGTTGCTAAAACTCGTTCATATGTTTTATTCGATATAATATTATCCAGTTGCTTATGAATTTTTGCGAAATGCTCCATTAAATTATCAATCAGATTGTTTACCCCTGGTTCAGAAGTTGTAGTGGGCATCTTTGATATGAAATTGTATACAGCCATTGCCCATTCTGTTAATTCAACCAAGATCATTGAGGAACTAGTTTCATCATCCTCAATGCTTCCCTGTTTAAGAGGAGATTTAGTATGACTTTGAACCACCAAGTCCGGCAGTTTTCTCAATTGATATAGATCATCATTATAACATAGTTCTCCAAACTCTTTATCCACTTCTTTTAAAGTATATGTTAAAGTAGACACTTCATCTGTGACTTCCAAGATATCCCAGTATTTCTGGGCCATTTTATGGTTAAACTTATCATTGATAGTAGATAATTCGTGTGCCAGCTCAACAACATGGTTCTTTATTTCAGGAATTCGCTGCTGGGTAAATAATTGATGCACTTCATGTTGTTCTTGTGCCATTATAATTATATATACTTATCTTCCTTCAGAGGTCTAGCTCCTCTTCTGTCTAACATTAGCTGTACTAATTACTTTCTTGCTTTTTATCTTTTTTCATGAAATTTGCCCAATCTAGCAGAAGCGATGAGCTGTTGTTTCGGATCCTAAGCAACTATCAAAAAGATCAAATATATATTCTTTACCTTATACATCATATATATCAATAATATCATTATCGATTACTCGTTCATAACATTAAAATATCTTAGATACCAAAAAATCAAGCTTTTCATAAACTGATCATAATTGTGAGATATCGTTAGAATGATAAGACCAGCAATAGAACCAACAATAGAGATGAATCTGATGCAAGTAATATAAAGAGCCTTAACTGATTAAAAAAAAAAAAAACGTCAAAGTTCTTCTGAAATATGAAAAAAAAAATAAAAAACATATTCAGTGAAGAATTGATAAGCTTTAGGTGAAACTTGGCTTGGGTAAATTACTCTCATTAGGTACATCTGTAGCAAATGATGCTCCTGCGAAGGTGTTGGATTTCCTGCCACTATTTCTTTTACTCTTATTTGTAGGCTTTGTATTTGTAACAGGGCCATTGGATGTGGGGTTCTTCACAACAGGAGGTGTAGATAATGCTGGATTAATATAGTTCATTGGATTTGGTGGAATAATACGAGGCAATGTTGGTGAAGCTCCAATGCTCTGGTTGATAGGGAACGCACTGTTAGGAACAGGCATAGGTGGCTGATTATAATACATTGGCTGTCCATTAAAGTTTAGCTGTTGTGGCATACCAGGAGGAGGACCGTTCGGACCTGGCGGATAGCCCGGAGGAGGTTGAGGGGGAGCCACAGGTGCAATACCAGGTCTGAAATTATCGAAGTTCATAGGTCCTGGTCCAACTGGTAACCTATTCTGCTGCTGCTGCTGCTGTTGCAATTGTTGAGGGTTATAAGGCAAGTAGTGATTGTTTGCCGGGAAGTTGGGATTTCCGAGTGGGTTCATTGGAAGATTATGAGGCAGTATCATTGGAGTAGATAATGGTGATGAAAAATTCTGACTTAGACCATGACTATTTGTTATGCCTTGAGTAGTATTGGGGGCTTTCTGTGGTGTGGCAGTAGCTGAGTTCGAGTTTGACTTAATGAGTGTCTCTACCACTGTTTTTTCTGTCTTCTCAGGATTAATCAGTAAGTTCTTTAAATTTTTAGTCAAATTATCATAAGAATCCTTTGTTTCTTGTAGTTCCTTATCTTGCTTCTTCTTGTTCTTAGTCTTCGCCCCATTTGTTTGCTTTCCACCACGAGGACCATGCCCAAAATCAGGTCTCTGTCCATTTGGCAACTGTTGAGGCGACAATAGCTGTTCGATATCCTTCTCTGTTTTCTTGCTTGGCTTCTTATTGTTCAGAGCAGGTATCCGCGTGGAACTATTATTCTTTGCTGCCACTATAGGTGAATTATTCCTGCTATGCGTCGGCAGTCGGCGTGAACTGTTGAAATACATTGTATCATTAGACATAGTTTTCCAGGTTTTCTGATAGTGGTTTCTGTAGTTTACAATACTGGCGAAAATGCAACTTTAACCATGAATCAATAAGGATAAGGCCACAAAATAGTAGTCAATATATTAGTCAAACCGTCTGGCCGAGCTCTCTGGGAGAGTGTTGATTGCAAGTCTCGCCATTTGCTTTCAGAATTTACAGTGGGCCCCTCCGTCCCCAGTGTCGTCAAAGCTTTCCCACCGCACCATTGTTCTCTGACTTACCACTGTTTATCATTACACCAGTGATAGAGCCGTAAGTTCAACTCACAAGAATATATAACATAAATACGGGGTTATAAAGTTGTTTGGAAGGACCTTCCTCTTGGTCATGTATTCAAACAGGAAACACGAGTGAATGATAGTGAAACCATTTAGTAGTGTTCCTTTCCCAGGCGGAATATGTATAGGCTTCCAGTTTCGTTCTAGGAACGGGTAGTATCACAAAAAGGCAAGTATGGATGTTCTCTTAATGAAAAAAGATACCATAACCATTCTGCTTCTATTGTCCACCCTCAACACCTACAGACATAATATACACACGTTAATGTGATATACAAATGTGAAAGGTGTTAAAAGATGGAAACTTAATCATTCCAGTCAGTCAAAAAATATTAAACTAGATGACATTATAGTATGCATCCCAAAATAATGCCAAAGAAAGATACCCTCCTGGACATATATACGATCTTTGCCACTATTATGGAATGTGGATCTATGGGGTTTTGACTCTTGAAGACACTGTCACAAATGGACTTTTAAAGACATTGTTCATTTGCTCTTTATATATTAAATTTCTTCAAAAGTAAGCTCATCGCTGGAAAAGTTTTCTTTCTATGTCGTATTAAAACATATAGATACAAAGCTATATAAAAAGGGCATAATGGCTCTTAATCTCTGATGCAATAAGTATGCATTGATGTGAGGCAATTCTTCGTAATCGTGAAATATATACACGCTTAATAGGGGTGATTTCGATCGTAACACTAGATAATACCGTTGAAGTAGCACCTATGCTCTCAAACAATATTTAAAGGATCTCTGTCTGTTTCACTAACTTGGACATCCTGCAACAAGCCAGCTGTGTCGTGTCTTTTCAGCAGTTGAAGCATCGAGGTCTTCACGTAGCCACGTTCTGTATTTGAGTGGTTACAAAGGATGACCGCTTTACCCATTTCTTTGTACTTCAATACTTCGTGGTGTGATAACTCTCCGGTGACGTAAAGATCGGGGGTCTCTTTCAAGTTACGGAATACTCCCGAGCCACTACCAGCACAAACAGCAACAGTTTGTACTTCATGATGCAGGTTACCAGAAATTTCATATGGTAGAGAAGCTATTTGTACATGGGATAGACCTGTGTTCTTTTTCAGGACATCCACAACTTCTTGTAAAGTAACTGCTTTGTCCAACTTGAAATAACGACCATAACCAGTGATAGGGTCATGTGGAGCTGTGTTTGCAGTAGACTCAATACATTCCTTCGTTGTAATGTTGACAGTTTTTGGAACTAAACTCTCAACTAGCCAATCATTAACACCACCATCAACTGCATCCACAGCAGTGTGTGGTGAGTAGACAGAAATGTTGTTCTGGATTAGTTTAATAGCACTTGCGTGTTGAACATTGGTTTGTGGGTTCAATCTATTCCAGCTTGGGAAGATGAAAGGGTGGTATGCCAGTATTAAGTTACAACCTTGTTTGACAGCTTCATCTGCGACCCTCGATGTCAAATCAACGGTCAACAACATCTTCACAGCATTATTGGCATGAGATTCCTCATTGCTACTACAGTCAATTAGTAGCCCAGTGTTGTCAAAACTTTTGTCAGCGTACTTTTCCGGGAAAGCAGCACGGATAACTTCCAAGGCCTTATTCAATTGTCTTCTATGTAGTGCACCCATTCTCATATGTACTGAACTGTAGTCGGATGTTCTAATGGAATAACTCAATTCATTTCTATAATTAATGCGTATTATTATAAGTCCCCCATTAATTGCATTTTAACGGAAATCATCGCTTTCACTTTAATTTTATCACTTAGAACAGAAGAATCGAGATAATTGCAATGATGGCAAGAAATGCATATAGAGCTTACAAATCATTGCATAAGTCTTGATCAACTTATATTGTGGAATACTGACAACAGTTTAGGGATCTTATTCAGAATTATAAGTCACTCTAGAATAACCAGAAGAAAGTATACCACAAAAGCTCAAGATAAATACAAATGATTACTGAAGAACATCTGCGAGAGAAGTTGAAGACATCGATTCCTGATGTCTACCACGTTATAGTTACAGATCTATCATATGGATGTGGCCAAAGTTTTGATGTCGTGGTAGTGAGTAACACGTTTGTGGGTAAGAACAAGATCCAAAGATCAAGGCTTGTTAATGGTGCTTTAAAGGAAGAACTCGCTGATATCCATGCTTTCAGTTGTAAATGCTATTCTGAGGAAGAGTGGTCAAAGATAGTAATTTAACTTAATTAATTTGGAGACACATATACTACATCACTTATTTATTCAAATCTCGTTTTTCAACACAGTTCATTGAAACTTTAATAACATTTAATCTAATACAATAACCTTATTTTGAAAGTTTGAAACGATTTCTGCATAGAAAGGGTATATGTTTACATTAAATTATATATAATCTGAAAGTGTCATGAATATTATTAGTTTTATTTGTTCATTATAGTCAATTATTATGAACATAAAAATACGACTCATATATTGGTAATTAGCAATAACGCTTAAAAATACCTCAATAATATGGTGGTGGTGGCGGTGTAGCAATATGATTTAGTCCCAATAGGTAACCCATTTTTGTATGAGCCACGGAGTCAATACTCTGTGCTCTTAACCTTGTTTCTTCGTCTAATAGGTTTCCATTTTTTTGTAATAATGTATTCAAAATACGGGAATTAGTGTACGTCTTATCCATAGTAGACCTGATAAGCTTAGGAGAAGATAGTACCGATTCTCTTTCTTCTTTAACAGCCTCAGTTTCATCATTATGCTCAATAATAATCTGTGGTTCTTCAAACGGCATTGAAACTGTAATTGTACTTTGAACAGGTTCTTGTTGTTCTATTTCCTCTTTGTATGCCGGCTTATCTTTCTTATTCTTACCTATCTTTATCTTTCTTCTTCTTGGTTTAGTATGGTTTACTTGTTCATCGTGATCAGTACTTCTCATGTATAGTTTGTTTTGGATGTCGGTTATAACATCTAAGTCATATGCATTCTCTTCAAGAACCTCCATTGGCAGTAGATTGGACTCTTTATCGAAGTAAGCTTGACTACTCATTAAACTATTTCCAGACGATGATGACCTCCTCAATAGGTAATCTACAGATGGTCTCTTATTCATTAGCAATGAAGGGGTGCCAGCTCTTTCCTTCTTATGATCAACATAGGAAGAGTAGTAATTACTTAAGGAAGGCATCCTGGAGATAAATCTATACAGATTTTGTCTTTCCAAACAGCCGGGTATCAGCGAAAGTGTACTGGAGACAGTCGAGTGTAGTGATAAAGTTTGTCTTGAAGATACCAAGGTGGACAGCCGTAGCATGTTTGCCGGTGATAATTCTTGCAGGTCAGCATCTTCAAATATTATCTTAGGAGCACTTGGCTGATTATTCTCATCACATGTGTCCTTCTTATGCTTCGCAGAACTTCTTGAGCCATCTGAGTTCGTGAACCAACTCTGTGACATATTAAACAAGGCTGTGGGTAATGTATCCTTAAACAAGAGTTCCATCGCTCTTTTGAGTCTCTTTTCTATGGTTGTTTGTAAAATTTTGATGGAACAATCAAACTTAAAGTCAAGCACAACATCATCGAAGGAGATACCTATACCTGAATTGCGTGCTACAAAGAATACCTTAGATATGGCTTCCATCTTAATATTACTGAAAGTCATAGTTATCGGCAGGCTGAATGAATCATTTGTAATCAAAGTTGGCGTCACAAACTCAGGCGAGTCAGCCATGCTCAACATCAACAGATTTGACTCAATCACAGTCCGTACTTGCAACATCGCTCCTTCAATAGAGATTTTACATATACCTTTCATCATTGAAGAACCCCCACCACCGCTACTTATAGAGGAAACACCTAGTCCTACATCCAGATCCAGAATCTCCAAGTTGGGTATCCTTGAGAAATCAACTTTTTCCACTATAATGTCATTCTTCAAAATATCTAGCGACCCGCCGCTCTTCCTTTGATGACCACTGCTATCATCCTCATTGCCAGCCTCATCTGCACGCTCCACATGTCTGCGACTCTTAGGATTCAGAGCACCGGTGAGCCGCTCTCTGAGCCGCTCATTAAAATCGGCACTCTCAAAAACGCTCCGATCAAACCGAAACGACATATATTACTCCCACACCAAATACAAAAAAAACCTCAAAAAAACAACACCCTATAGATCGCACACGACACGCTACTCAAAGATATTATAAACAGTTGATAAACAGCTTAACCGACGCACTTTGAAAGATGATAAACAACCGCCCAATAGAAACGGAAATGAGCCAAATCCGGGCAATGACCTTGCTCCTTATATACTAGCAATACATCATTTTATACGTATAATGTTGATCTGTTTTTGTTTTCGTAATTTAAGCGCAGCTTGCCAAAACTCTAACATAACTGCCATATATTTACTTGTGGGGGGCATAGGCATTACATATATTCTTGCGATATATATAATCAAGATACAATATATAATGGCTATGGAGGTACCTGAGACGCGGCAGTCTTCAATATATGTATGTGTGCGGGTTCGGCCTTTTTCCGAGTCCGAGTCGCTGCGGTTGGCGCCCGAGGTTGGCGATGAGTTTGATTCTATGCTGGATGATTCGATGATGGGTGGAGAAGTGTCTATGGTAGTTGGGCGCGGGGATTTTGTTGGCGAGGTTTCTTTTACTGAGGACAATGGGAGAAAACACAACAGGCGTCAATCGTTGGCTCCGCGTCGAATTCACAAGATTGTTGATTGTGTGGATGACAAGATGATAATATTTGATCCCAACCACCGGAATCCACTGTACAAAGTCAAGGAGAGTGTACTCAACTCCATGTATGGAGGAGCGAATATGCGTGGGTCCATTGATGGCGATATGCTTATGGGATCAGATGCTACAGCTTCGAGAAGGTTCAAGAGAGCAAACGGAAACTCTGCAGGTTCAGAGATTAAGTTTGTGTTTGACAAGCTTTTTGACACTGATGCTACTCAACGCGAAGTGTATCAGAGCACCACTAGCTCACTATTGGACTCAGTATTAGATGGCTTCAATGGAACAGTTTTTGCATACGGCGCTACAGGATGTGGTAAAACTTATACAGTGAGCGGTACTCCAGAGAACCCCGGGATTGTGTTTCAAGCAATGGAGGAACTATTTCAAAAAATGGAAGACTTGAAGGATACAAAGTCTTTCCAGATATCGCTATCCTTTCTGGAAATTTACAATGAAAGAATCAGAGACTTGCTAAAACCTGAGACGCCATCGCAGAAACTTATCATAAGGGAAGATACTGATAATAAAATCACTGTTGCTAATTTGTCTCAACATTTTCCAACCACAGTACAAGAAGTGATGGATTTGGTTATTAGAGGAAACTTCAATAGAACTACATCGCCGACCGAGGCCAATGAAGTCTCGTCAAGATCGCATGCGGTGCTACAAATACACATAGTGCAGAAAAACAGGACACCGGATATCAAGGAAGAACACACATTTGGCACTCTCTCGATAATCGATTTAGCAGGGAGCGAAAGAGCTGCGGCAACTAAAAATAGAGGTGCCAGATTACATGAGGGTGCTAATATTAACCGGTCGCTATTAGCGCTGGGAAACTGTATCAATGCTCTGTGCATAAACGGAAACGACGAGCGGCCTCGCTGCCACGTCCCATATCGTGACTCAAAGCTTACTAGGCTTCTCAAGTTCTCATTGGGTGGGAACTGTAAAACCGTTATGATAGTCTGTATTTCACCAAGTAGTTCTCACTATGATGAAACTTTGAATACACTAAAGTATGCTAACCGAGCTAAAGAAATAAAGACAAAAATCATAAGGAATCAACAATCATTGAATAGACATGTCGGGTCCTATCTGAAGATGATCACAGAACAGAAGAAAGAGATAGAAGAACTACGCAGTAGAGAAAACAAAATGATCCAGTTTCAGTTGGACAAATACAAGTTATCCCGACAACAAATTGCCGTTGCAATTACGGATTGTGTGAACAATGTCCGCTTTCAGTATACCCAAGTACCAAAATTTCAAAGGATCAAATTAATCAAATCCTTAATCCTTTGTAAGAGACGGTTTTTACAACTGGTGCTGCTTGAGATGAAGAAGTCTCCAATACAACGGGAGGACAGTTCCGGAGCAATGGCATCTCTTGAGGAACAAATTAAAAGAAAGATCAAACAACTAGAGAACAAATTCGACTCGCCGGATGAGTTAGACACTGTGATCACAAACGCAAGGACCGTTGACCTCTTAAAATTGCGGGAGATGGAAAACTGGGATGACAAAATCGACACTCTGACGCTTGAGTTAGAGCTGGATTACGTCTCTGAACAGTTGCGTAACGATATTTTAATCACCGCTTCCCAAATGACGGAAAAGTTATTCGATGAAGACAGCCCGTTGCATAAGGTAGAGCTAGATGTAGAAGGCCTCATCAGCATAGACCGTGAGTTCGATGAGTTCGGCAAACAATTCCAAACAGAGCAAGGTAAAAAACGGATAGCTAGCAATGACGACCCCAGAGAAATGGATGTAGATAGAAAATCCTTACTAAAACATAGGCTAAGAGAAAGTGATTTAGATATTAAGTAGTATGTGGTGTGAGGAGGGTTCGCTCAGTTTCCCTTACCTCCTTTAACCACCCACTTTTTTTATTTTCTCCCGCAAATTTGTTGCCTCTTTTTTTTTTTTTTTTTTTTTTTTTTATTTTTTATTTTATTTTGTTCTTTGTTTAGTGTATGGAACAGCTACGTTGTTTCTTTTTACCTTTGCTTTAAACCTCCCCATACTAAAATGTTCTCGACTCCTTACTATCCCTCTTAACCATGCCTCCATCTTTCTTTTTGAGTATTGCAAGTGCAGTAACTCTCGCAATATCTGCTGTTTCTTGAACAACTAGGTAGAAAAAGAAACAAAGACCCAGCCTTTTACAATTTTCATACGATATCAGTGTTGTCCTTATCCATCATCGTTCCCACCCACCCCCTCTCTATCAGCAAAGCATCCACGGAAATTCCTGATATCAAAAGCTGAAATGACTTGTCTTTGTTTGTGTTTTTTCATTTACTGCCTTGTATGTTGTCTTGATAGTACAAACACAGACATTACCACAGACCGGGAAGTGGAAGGATTGTCAAGAAGAGAACCTCCCTCACTTCATTAGTGATTCGCATAGTCTGGTGTACCTAAAAATCCACTAAAAATGCCCAATGTCTCTCTCCCTCCCTCTTCATTTGAATGAGTAACAATATTACTGAGGGGGATGGGGGACTCAAAGCAAATATTGGTCCTTTGTAATGCTAAATTTCGGGCAAAAAAAAGTCACGTGTGCACAGAAAACAGTGTAGGAAAGAAAAATTTTTTCTCTTTCATTCATCCAAATCTTTGAGCCAACGACGACTTTTTGCTTTCAGGCAAGAAAGTGAAAGAACAGAATGGCAATAGTAATAGCCACTGTGAAATCTATTTTGGCAAAGTAGGATATATAAGAAAGAGAGTTTATGGAGAATATTGGTTGTTCAGATATTGGGAAAGATGGCCAAGACACTCTCTGTTTTCTTTCTGGTTTTTAACATTAAAAACACCAAACTGAAAAAAAAATAGATCATATTAACTGTATATTCTTTTTTCTTGTAAGAAGATTACATCTTTCGAAAGAAAAAAAATATACCAAGTTAATTAACTCTAACTAACCTTAAGACCTATAGAGGAAGGAGAAAAGAACAAAATTGACTACTCAAGGCTCCACTTGTTTTAGCAATTTACTTTCCCTTGTCAGAAGATTCTTATAGTATCCACAACTTTGCCGACTACGAAAAGGGAAGTTGTATTACTATACAGAACTGGTCTAAAAGAATAAAAAAAATATCATCATTACTGTGCAAATAGACACAAGTTTTGCTATTTTTTTTTATTGGGCATTTACATTTTGATAGCAAAGAAAAAAGAAATAGATAGGAATAGACATACTAATTTCTACATCTCTTTTTTTTTGAAATTATTAAGAAAGATCTTCATTACTCCATATAAGAAGTTTTTTCTCTTTTGCCTTCATTAATTTGACAGTTATTAAGTTAATCAGTCAAAAAATAACAATTAAACCACACTATTAACATTTCTCTAAACAGAGATCTTGTTAAAAGGAAGGTTAATAGGAAAAGGATTAAAAAAAAAACTTAAACCTAGGCTGCTTTATATATTCCATTCGGTTCCAAACTTTTTTTAAAACACTCTTTCAATCTTCTCAAACAATAAGAAAACATAAAGCTATGGCATACAACTATCTGCAAGATCCAGTGCTTTTCAACCAAGGGCCACAAGTGGTGAGTCACCATACACATTCACAATCCATGAACTTACTACCTTCTCTAAGCCATCCTGCTCACCACCGTCACAATACTTATTCCCAGCAGCAAATGATGTCTATGATGCCAATACAACAGAACGCTATATATCAACCGGTTATGCCACTCGATCAAACACAGATGCACATACCCAAGATGATAGTACAGGATCAATTTCTACCACCACAACCACAACCACAACCACCTCAAGAACAAGTGAACGGTGGTGTGAGTCACGTCCTAGATTATGACGTTGAGATCATGACACAGTTTGTGATGAAGAACGCGTTCTTTGCTTTCCGCACTCCGGTCAACGACAACATCAACAATACAACCTTGTTCACTAAAGGTATAATATCGGTCCTTAATGCTACCAGACTACCTTCAGTGACAATTTATCTAGCTATAGACTACTTGTTCAAGTACATCAACAAGCTAGCAGATGGCCCAAACACGATAGGCGGTAACTCAATAAATGTCATCTATCAGAATACAATGATTGCTTTCATACTCGCAAACAAGTTCAATGATGATAAGACATTTACAAACAAATCATGGTCGCAAGCTACAGGGATGTCTATCAAAATTATCAATGACTATGAAAGAGACTGGCTGAAGACGTTTGAGTGGAAACTATTCGATGACAAGTTCATTCTGTACCCAGAGTTTGTGGCTGCTTACAAATTATTTGAAGAGGAGACTCGTAGAGACCAATACGAATTACAACAACAACAACAGCAACAGTCACCTATGCTGCAACCAAAGCCTTCCTCAACAAACAACTACTTACCTCCATCGATTGGCACGAGTACATACGAATTCGGTTACCAGACACCATTAACCATGTACTCCTCACCAACTAACTTCTTTTACCAAAGCATGCCTTCCAAGAATGATTACGGTAATGAGGTAGATCCATACCAACAAAATTATATTCCACCAGCAATGCCATTGGTCTCGCCATTGTCAGATGTAGGACGCGTATCTGCTAGAGATGAGTTTGCTGACAATTCATTTGATTACGATTTCTACAACTTTGGAACGAACCAGACTAATAATACCATGAATTATAAAGTTAATTCTAAAGGCAATTTACAACCATCTCAAGCCTTTTTCAGTAATGCAGATGGGTACCATATGAATCAACCTTACTATCAACAAAACTCTGACATTACCACATTAAACATGATGCTTCAACATCAACAATACAATAAGCCATTGTACAGTAGCAACCTAAATCAAAACTGTTTCCCATACTCAGCTGTATATTAGAAAATTAAGGATGACTGATACTTGTGGATTTTATAAGAAGTCAATCATAATGGGGATATAAAAGTTAAAGTAATTCCACAGTTATTTCCCAGCAGCCGTTTATTTTTTTTTTATTTTTTTTGTTGTTTTTTGTTACAATTTTTTTTTCATTTATGTCAACTTTTTAGTTTGAAGGTTCTTTGAATCTCCAAATAAATTCTATTGTCTAGCCTTTCTTGGTTATCAATAGTTAATAATAGAAAAATTTTGAAAAAAATAATAAAATCATATAAAAACCTAAATTTAAAGTTCTATTAGAAACAAAAGACCTCTTTACTGAGTAATCTTTGTTAGTACCAATAATTTTTTTCTTTTTTTTTTTTGGCATTTTTTAATATTGAATAATATTTATATACTGTAAAATATAATTCCTGTTATTCTTTTTTATGTGAATATGTTACTTGATACATAGCGGTCTATGATTTAGTTTGAATGTTCAACTTCCACCAGCTTCTCTATACCATCTCACACTTCTGTCAAGACAGACACAGCATAAACCCTCGTTGACATCACTACCCATACCAGCTCGTACACCTTTCTTTATAAATTTGACATCGAATATTGGCGGATGCTTTAAAGAATTGCCTTCTTCGTCTTCCTGTAAGATATCTTCTTCAACCTCAATATCACCGGCCGTTATATGTAGTGTACTGACTCTTTCTCTTAATTTAACATCCCAAACTCTTACTTTACTGTCGTAACCACAACTGGCTAAAAACTCTCCAGTTTCATTAAAGGCTAGTCCGAAAACCCAGCCGTCATGGGCGAAAGAGCCGATACTTGTTTGAGTACTATGTGTTGCCATAGTGAAATTACCTATTCTTTCACCAAATTCCGTTTCATACAATGTAATATTACCGTAAGAGCCTGAGTCATTGGCCACAGCAAGCAGCCTACCAGTTGGTGAGAATTTGACGTTACGAACAGTGTTACTATTTTGATCGATTCCGTGTAAACCATAGCCTTCAAACTGGTAAAGGGGTTTTAAGGATGTCAACTGGGACACAAATACAGTGCCATTTTCTAAACCGGTAGCTATTAGTCCATTTGAGGAAATGTCTAATGCAGTGGCTACACATGGCTCTTTTACTGGTATTTCACCTTGAAACTTTAAATGAGGATTGTACTGTGGCTCATCAGAATCAGCGGTTCCTTCCTGAAATACGGAGAGATCCCAAACGTATGTGCTACCTTTAACATCTGTAGCGGCAAATTTGTGACAGACAGTAAGGTCAGAGGATTGTAGCCATTTCACCGCCCAGTAGGATTTTTTTAGTTCCTTCTCAGTTAATAGCTTGATCGGTTTCAATTGATTCTCCTGGGTCAGTTCAAAGAACACAATTTCACCAGAAAATGTAACACAACTGATTATACAAACATTAACTCCACCTTTCTCCACTGTGTCTATCAGGTCGATGTGGTGTACACCTGATTTATGAACAAACTGTTTCTGAACGTGGTCCTTAGGCTGCTCGTTATCCAGCAATTTGTTCTTCCATAACTTGATGTAACCATCTCCAGAACAGGTTACGGTAAATGTGTTGCAAATAGCAACCCCAAATATATCGGCGTCGTGTGCTTTACCACAATTGGCAGTAGGAATAAATATCTTCGACATGTTGGCAACTTATCTTCACAACCAATAAAGCTTTGGAAATGGGGAAACGGTAAAAAATAACGTATTTCGATTATTCAGCTGTACACCAACTGTATAAACTCAATTTGTTGATTGCTCTTCTCTAAGATAAGACTAATCTTTACTGATTTCTCTATCCTTCATGTAGTCCATAATTGATATTTTCTTGAAAAATTTCAGAAATCAGACCTTATAAAGGCCTCCCGATGGGATTGCGATGCAGTTGAAGACCTGACTCAAATAAGAAGGCGTGCATGGCTAGTAAAGGTTACGCCAGAATGCGAGTGCGGTATCGAGTCCATGTGGATGAAGTTCAAGTACGTGGTGGAGTTGCAAAATATGGGCTTGTAGTGTCTGTTTGGGATCAAGATGGGCAAGAAGAGCTGAGGGAAACCACTGTTTGGAGGCGATATAGTGAGTTTCTGGCTCTAAAGAAAGAGCTAGAGAGCAGTTGTGGATGTGATATACCTTATGAGTTTCCACCTCGGACACTGTGGTTTGGTGGTGGTTCCAAGACCGGTGGTACGGATAAGAAAGTTATAGAAGAGAGGAAAGTGAAGCTGGCTGATTTTATGAGTGAATTGCTCAATGACTCCTTTGATGTGAAATGGAAACGGCACAAGTCCGTGAGTAACTTTCTCGGAATGGATATAGCTCAGATGGAGAACGTCAAGTCAACCAAATCCAAACCTCCCCAGAATGGGTGGATGGACATGTTCCATGAGTACAAGATGGAGTTTGAGGACTGCAAGAAGCAGGAGGGCGTTCAGAGGTCAAGGAATGCGATGTATATAAGGCTGAAGCTGAATGAACTAGAACAGATATTAAACACTGAGGAATTACCCGAGGAGGAGAGGGATAGAAGGAGCAAATTGTTAACAACATTGAAGCAGGACCTGAATGAGTTAACTATTTCAAGAGAAGATCCTATAGTGCCAAGAGAGCAAGTAGTAAAGCCTTTACCGGGAAGGCGAATGCTTGGTGAAACCATCGAAACTGCGAAGTATAATAATAGAGACTTGTTGCAAGTGCAAAAACAGATGAATAAAGAGCAGGATCAAGAATTGGAACAATTACATAAAATCATACAAAGACAAAAGCAACTCTCGATGGAAATGAACGAGGAACTATCTCAACAGAATGAACTCCTAGACTCCTTCCAAAACGATGTGGACAGGACTGCGATGAAGTTAAAACAAGCCAACAGAAGGGCTCGCGACTTCAACGATAAATAGAAGCACTCACTACCATTAAGAAACCACGCTTTCAACTACAAATTTCAATAGACAATAAGTATGCCTGTACAATTCTCATCCTTCAATATAGTAACCCACATATAACTCATATATTCTCTTTCTGCTTATGTAGACGTTCAAGCTCATCGCGATGAGCTCATCCGAAGCGCATTTTTTTGGCAAATGATCATCACATCAAGATTTTGTACAGAATGCATAACTTGATGTGTGAGTCAATGGAATCGCATATAAGAAGGCGAATAGATCGACTGAGTAAGTTTCGATTGTCAGCAGCTGGCTAATACTGTTATCATATAGTCCCCTGGATTACCTGTGTATTTGGTCAAGAATTATACGCAAAATGGCAGAGACCTGTATAGAGAACCCAGACTATCTGGTGGTCAATGGCATACCATCCTCTAAATACAAGCATGAAATTGAACTCGAGAATTGTTTTGAACCTCAGCATGAGAATTCTGCTCTACTGATACTAAACCAGGAGATTAAGATGCCAAAGCTTTTCATGAAACTTTGGAACAGGTATATGATTAAAGTGTGTGCTGATGGCGCTGCTAATAAACTGTACCAATTTTGCGTCAACAACAATGTCAATCACAATGATTACCTACCCGATTATATTGTTGGGGACTTAGATTCTATTGATGAAAACATAGCACAGTTTTACAAAGAGAAAGGTGTATATGTGATCAAGCAGACCACGCAATACTCTACGGATTTCAAGAAAAGCATTAATCTAATAACGTGTCATTTCTATGCCACAAACTTCAAGGACCACCTTCAAAGCTCTAATGAAGACAGTAATTATGGTATATCTCTAGAGAAAGGAATACACGATATATATGCCACTATAAAGAATGTCGCGGAGCTTCCGAAACTCAATGTCCTGGCCCTAGGCGGTATAGATGGTCGCTTTGACCAAACTATACATTCAATCACGCAGTTATACACATTGACAAACACAGATCCATATATAAGGATGTTTTTCCTCACTGAAAATGATCTGATATTCATCATACCTCCGGATGGTGTGCTACTGCGCTATGATGCGGAGTTTAGGAAAGCTTGTATTGGCAACTGTGGCCTGTTGCCTGTTGGTCTTCCAACAGAGATCATAGAGACCATTGGCTTGAAATGGGACGTGGCCAATTGGCCCACTAGCATCGAATCTGGACGAGTGAGCAGCAGCAACAGGTTCTCTGGCCACGATAAGTGCTACATCAATGTCAAAGATGGTATGATTATCAATGTTGAAATCAAAAAAGATGTTGTTGCTAACTATGTATAGATGTATAGAGAGATCAATGGTGGGGAGAGTAACTTCATTTACCATTTATTTCCAGTTTTAGCAGTGCTTACAAACTATGAATAGACGAATATTTTATGTTATATTAAGAATATTTGAAAGTCTGGACTTTTTCATCTATGGAAAAACCAGCCAAGTATATATAGGATCAGAGAATATATATACAATGATAATCTTCTGTGGTTTGAAATTTGTTCAGTATGAGAGTGTGCAAAAAAAAACTGGCAAGCAATGATACAATTCAGGTGCATCATTTCCTTAGCCCATTACTCCTGTTGTTTTGAAGCTAGAGACTATGATATTTCCATTTGCTGCTTACAACTTAGAGAACTGTTCTAGCAAGGTTTGACCCAAGTAACCTGGGGATTCGACGACTTGGACACCCACGTTTCTTAGGGCTTCTTTCTTGGACTCTGCGTCAGTTCCGCTACCTTCTACGATAGCACCACTGTGGCCCATACGAACACCCTTCATTTGTCCTGCTACTTTACCAGCAATGAAGGAAGCGACTGGTTTAGGGTTAGCTTTGCTGAAGTTGTACTCCTGCAAGAACTCTGCGGCCTCAATTTCCGGCTTACCACCGATCTCACCGAGCATGATGATACCTTCTGTCTGTGGGTCCTCTAGGAACAGCTTTAGAACGTCTATAAAGTCGGTACCTGGGAACGCGTCACCGCCGATACCCACGACGAGGGACTGTCCGAGACCGCTGAGAGTAGTCTGCTGCACGGCCTCATAAGTCAGAGTACCTGAACGCGACACGATACCAATCTTACCTGGCTTGAAGATACGTGTGGGCTGGATACCGACCCTGACGTGGTTCGCAGGGTTGATCACACCTGGGCAATTGGGCCCCACCAGCCTGGTCTTGTTCTGCGACTTCAGCATCTCAGATATGTACAGCAAATCGTGCTGTGGAATACCCTCCGTGATACACACTGCCAATGGGATCTCCGCCTCGATGGCCTCCTGGATGGCCGCACCCGCAATTGGAGGCGGAACAAATATACCGGACACAGTGGCCCCTGTCTCCTTCACACAGTCCTTGACTGACGCAAACACAGGCTGGCCCAGATGCGTCTGCCCAGCCTTCTTCGGATTAGTACCACCAACAACATTAGTCCCGTACTCCTGCGAGATCTTCGCATGAAACGTACCTTGCTTACCTGTAAACCCTTGGAACATCACCTTCGTGTCCTTGGGCAACAGTAGATTCTTGATCGTCTGGTCATAAACACCCGCTTTCCGAGAAAACCCCCTAGTAAATCTCAACATAGTGTTTGTGTATGTGTTTGTGTTTATGTTTCTGTGTCTGTGTCTGTGTGTCTGTGTGTATTAGTATGATCTCTCGGCGGTTCAAGCAGACTGAAAAATACACGGCCCTATTTATACTCCCATTCCCAGCTGACCCCCCTCCCCTTCAACTTGCCCAGCTTCCCCCCTCCCCACAATCCCGATCGAGCCGAGATCCACGCATTCAGATAGCGCAGAACAGAAGTTCTACCCCCCCTCCCCCCGCCTTAGAAATACCCGTAGCAATCCTCTCCTCTATATATTGGGGTAAAGAGAATAAGACTGCTACGGCCTGTTCTGCGAGATACGTGTTACTTGTGCACCTGTTTCTTAGAGAGAGAGAATCGCCCTCACCTCCTCCGCCGCTAACAAATCAGCAGAAAGGAGAGTCCCGCCAGACCAAGGTGACAGGGATGTAGTGGTGTACATGGGGGTCACGTTTATTATACATATATACGTATGTCACGTTTACTATACACATATACGTTTGTCACGTTTATAGTACACATATACGTGTATCACGTTTATTATACACACAAACGGGTATCACGGGATATACGTTCATTGTTATACCTCATAGCTCTTTAACCCCATAGAGACTCTTCTGCCTCTTGTAACCGCAAGCTTCCTTCGGGGCCGGCGGAGGGGAGGGGCCGCTTTACCCGCTCAGGTTCAATTATATAGCCGCCGTTCTGATCTCGGCTAACTTCCAACCTTTATATCTGGACAACTGCACAGCAAACAGTGCGCATACACACGTACACACATACACACCCGAGGTAGAAATATATACAATGTCTAGGGAGAGCAGCGTGAACAGCTCGATGGTGGAGGATGAGGACTCGGCGTCTGACATGGACGCAGATCTGGACGAGGAGAACGCCAGGAAGCACGGGAGGTCTGACGACGGCGAGGACACTGGCGATGACAATGCCGATGACAATGCCGATGACAATGCCGATGACAATGGTGACGCTGATACAAGTGTAGATGGGGCAAGCACCAGACGGGGCAAGAAAAAGTACCAGAAGTACCCGGACCTGGACCCATTGAAGGCGCCACCGGGCAAGAAAGTGCCGTTGCATCTGCTGGAGAAGCGGAGACTGGGCAGGCTTAAAGCCGCAGAGGAGTTCGCCAGGAAGTTGAAAGTCGTAGGGATAGAACGTGTGGAAAACTTGAACCTGCCGCAATCGGGGCTGTTCAGCCCTGTACCACTGATCAACCAGAAGAATTACTCCAGCGACTACTTGCGGAAAGACGAAAACGCATTCGCGGTCAGAGAGAGGAAGCAGATGAGGAACTCAAACGCAAATAACTCAGCACATGCGAAGACGTCGGAACTGGGATCCGGCGCACAATCAGCATCAATGGCAAGCTCAGCATCCCTAGATGCTTTGGTAGACACTGATACAAAACTACAAAGCGTCGAGGATATCGATTTCAACGACCCGAGACTAACTATCGTTATACATCCTGGATCAGACTCAATCAAGATCGGCCTCGCCACTGATGAAGAGCCCGTGTCAATACCAAACTTGGTCGCCGTACCGAGATCACAGGTTGTCAATCCAGTTGATGAAACCCCAGTTAACGTCTTAAATATTGAGTTGGACGACCAGTTCCACGAACTAACTAATCAATTGAAGTATAATTTCAAGGAAAGAATGAAATACTACAAACGTAAGATGCAATCAAATGCACATGAACAAGTTACTTCCTTTAATTCAAACTCAAAACCTGAAGAAGTGTCAGATAAGAATGACCAAGGAAAGATCGATTGGATATATAATGCTGACAAAAAATACTACGGTGAAGATGCACAGCGATGCATAGGTGACGAATTTATTTTGAGAAGGCCTTTTTGTAAGAGCGGTATATTCAACCTTGAATCAAACAATTACTCGTCGATACAAGACCTACTTGGTGATGTATCAGAACTAGTAGATAGTGCTCTCTCTTCTGATAAGTTCAACATTACCAAAAGCGAGTACAAGCATTATAAGGCCGTGATTGTAATTCCTGATCTATTCAAGAAAAGCCATCTGGAGACATTTATTCGACTTCTGCTAAATGAAATGGATTTCCGTTCTGTTGCGCTAATGCAGGAATCTTTAGCTACATGTTACGGAGCAGGAATCAGTACGCCCACTTGTGTAGTAAATATTGGTGCGGAACAGATTAGAATTGCTTGTGTTGATGATGGAACTATAATACAGGACAGTGCCGTAACACTAGATTATGGTGGTAATGATGTAACGAACCTATTAGCAATCTTGCTACAACAGAGTAAATTTCCTTACAAAAACTGGAATTTAAGCACATTATATGGTTGGAAAACAGCAGAGGATTTCAAAAAAAAATTTGTTACCTTTCAAGATGCTGATATTGCAGTACAATTATTCAATTTTATAAAACGAGTACCAGGGATACCATCAGAAAAATATGATTTTAAAGTGTTTGATGAAGTCATTCTAGCTCCCTTGGGACTATTCTACCCAGAAATCTTTAAATATATCCAAGAGAGGCAAAGGCCCACTGCCAAGGAATACGAGACAACATTATTGAAACAAATAGAACCATCGAGAGACATTTACACAAATTCCCTGAATGACTGGCGATCAATAACCCAGCGAGATTGCGAAGAAAACATGATATATTGCGATGCTAAGGATGACTTAGAAATCATACAGCATGCACTCGATCTTAATACTCATATTGAAGATCTTCAATCAAAACATATAGAAGAAAATACTGACAAAAAATGCTTTGTACCTTTGGATAAGGCGATTGTACAAAGCATCACCAACGCTGCCATCAATGTTGACATATCCAAAATATCCCAATTCTATTCAAATATAATTATTGTCGGAGGAGGAGCTAATATCCCCGCTCTTGATTTTATTCTTTCTGATCGTATTAATATTTGGAGACCTGCTGTATTAGGTATTAGTTCTTTTCCCAATTTTTATAAGTCCCTGACTAAACAACTGAAAGATATACAAACCTCAAATAAAAGTAATACAGGAGATAAAAGCCAAGAACAAGAGGTTGCAGAGAGGTCAATAGCATTAGTTAAAGTTGAATTGGATAAACTAGTTGCTTCATTAGAAATACCAAACAGTGGTGATCACTTTTTTACTGTTGGAGTCCTGCCCGCACCGCGTAACCTAGATCCTTCGCTATTAGATTGGAAAGGTGCAAGTGTTTTGGCTCAAATAAAACTGATAGAAGAGTTATATATATCTAGAAATGATTGGGACGTTCATGGAAATAGAGTCCTGCAATATAAGTGTATATTCGCCTACTAAAATTGATAATTACATAAGTTTTCCACACATACCTATCTATGTAATCATTTTATCCATACATTAAGTTCTAGGTAAGCAATGATATAGTATTGTAACTAATACATGATCTAGACTTTTCAAAATCGATCTAGCTAAAGCTGTCACATTATACTCTTAATAATTTCTAATTTGAGAGGATTAAAAATATAATATAATAATTAAATTTAAATACTTTTAAAAAGAAAAAAAAGAAAAAAAAAACAATATATAAGTACATTTATTTCTTTTCGTCATCAAATCTTGCTATAATAGAGTTTAATAGCTTTTGAACTTAGTAGAGCAAGATATCTATGGGAAGTGTTATGTGTAATTATTCTTTAATGTAATGCACAACATTTTGATAAGCGTATAACATACTCCACTAGTTCCGTAAGCAAAAATTATTGTAGCCATTGAAAGGATAATATAATACAATTACGAGCAAATAAAATAGTGTTGTTTTGAAAATTAGAGACAAGATCATGAAAAATGGTAGTGTAGAAAAAAAGAGTTGAGTTTTGTAACCGTGAGTGAAAAAAAAAAATAATGACCAAAAAAAAGTTTATAAATTTTTAATATCATTGATAATTGTAGTGTCAATCAAAGTTTGATTTTTTTATCAACATGAGAATCTGTATCTATAAATGTTTCGTTAGCCTTCTCTTCTTTGATTGTTCCGTTTAAGAGAGAGTAAACCCCACTACTGTTACGTTTTGTTCTTGATGTTTTCTCTGTTACTGTAGAGCCAATCAGCTTGTTGGACGATTCCTTGTTTTCTTTCTCAGAAGAACTACCTCTCAAAATTGGATTAGCAGTAGAACTCCTTTTTATTACAACTGCGTTATCAATCTTATTATCTGACGATGTCAAGCTAACAACTTCGGTAGAAGGTCTCTGTGCCAGCATATCCACATTTCCATTCATTGGTGGAGAAATATTCCTTCCACCGGCATAAAAGCTGTGTGGACTTACAAATTTGTTGTAAGGGGATCTTACTGGAACAGGGCTATCTATTTGGCATTGATTTGATGGTAATTGTGGTATATCAGTATTTCTTCCATTGTCCTTAGTAATTTTATATTCCCATCGTTGTTCTTCCTCAATTGGCATTCCTGAAGAGTACTTCAATGGACTCTCAGTTCTCCTTGAGGGGTAAGAGGCTCTATTTTTCATTGAGTTAACAATAGTTTGTTTGGTATTCATAAGATTTGAATCGGATGCCCTAGTAAAATTGGAATGATGACCAGTTATAGGTGTTATAGTAGGCTCACTTCTTGAATTGAAGGCCTGGTTCAAATCATGAGGAAATATGATAGCGTGTTGTTGATTATATAATGAAGGACCGGATAAGCTTGACTGAGTGGTAGTTGGAACTGACATCATTGATGCTGGTGTTAAAGGATCGACCAATACACTCATATGCCTTCTTGCTGTCACATTAATTATACCATTTTTTTCAGTCTGGAATTTTTCAAATGGATTTGCAGTTTGTACATGGACTGAACTAAAGTAGTCATTGGCAGCTTGAGGATGTTGAACAACTTGGTTTTTTGAATAGTTCTGAGCACCAGCAGGAGTCGTAGTACCATTATCGGGGCTTGTTCGCTGTCCTTGTTTTAAATAATAAGGCACAGATTTTGGAATTGCTTGATCAGCAGAAGAATATACCATATTTTGTGCTATTGGGTGACTTAAATGAATATTAGTTTGTGACGCTGAGCGTAGATCATTAGAATCCATTCCAAATTTGTGGATGTTTGTATTATTTATTCTATCGAGGATATTGTTTTTTAATGAAGTTAGTTGAGCGTCAAAGAAGCGATAGTGGTTTGCCATCAACTCAGGAATCTTCTCTGAATTATTGATATTTAGAACTTCTTTATTCATTTCTGCTAATTTTGACATTAGTTCAAGAATGGCTAGCATGTCCATGTTGGTGTTTCTCATCTGTGCTATTTGATGATTGAGTTGGATGGATTGTTCATATAGCGTTTCGTTATAATGATGTAAAGTATTATCTGTGGGTATTTCGGTGGTATTAACCTGAATATTAATAGGTTGGTTTTCATTGGGTTGAATATTATCTATAGATTGTCCGTCTACGCTATTGCTTTTAGACTTTTTGCCTTTATTCTTTAAATTGCTATTCTTCTTTGGCTTCTTTGTGAGTTTCTCAGGGTTTTTAGAATCTTGGTTAGATATAGTGCCCACACTTTTGTAAACTCTAGTCGCTCTTTTATTTGATGACTGTTCCGATTCGTTGGTAATAGCAGCAGATGTAGTCTCCGTATTAGATATGTCAACGGTGGGTTCGTTTTTCAATTTTGTAGATTTCTTACTTGATTTCTTTCCTTCTTTTTTCACTTTATCCTTCTTCTTTAGATGTTCAGTTGCGTTATGTACAGCACTCGCTATTACCTTGACATTATCGATTTCAGCTCCATCATTCGTTTCTAGAGTAGATGTATTAGTATTTGAACTTGCCAAGCTTAAGCTGGGTATGGTTCTCGATGATGACCTTCTTTTGATAAGTTTCAGATTTTCCAAATCTCCTTTCTTGAATAGCCCGCCACTATGTTTGAATTCCCAAACTTTGATGTTTTCATCTCCGCTATTATTGTTGCTAACGCCTGTATTATTATCCGTTGACGATTTTTGTTTTTTTTCCCTTTTCAAATTGTGGAAATGGTCATTGGATATCTTGTGGAATCCATAAATATTTAGCTGTCTTACAAAACTTGTGATATTTGTGTGTTTAAAGTAATGTGCCAAGTTCTGTGAAAAGGACTCGCTAGGCCTTATTAGAAATGATTCGCCATTAGCGGCCCACCATATCAAATCATCCAGGTCTTTGTTTTCAAGCAGGTCATATAGCTTGTTAATGAAGACGGTATTCCCGCCATCCTTCTCACTCATCTTATTATATCACTCTACTATTTGAGAAAGTGTATTGGTTGTAATACAATACTTTATTGTATGCAATTTAAAGCGATCACTGAGCTAAAAATTTGCTCCTATTCTTTTGATTCTGGTTGTTACTCTTTCTAGGATTAACGTTAACGTTTTAAAATTATTTTGGTGTCAAAAAATGAAATGGCCCCAGAAGATGTAATATTGGACCTATTTGACTAATATCCGCTAAATGTATAGAGATGTAATTCTATTAGTCTGTTTTAAAGGCTTTTGGTACTCCTTTTCTTCGGTATAAATCTTCTTGAAGAACTTATTGGTTGGATGTTCTTTTAGTTTGAGTGTTTTGTTGTTAAAATTTGCAACGTCCTAAAGGGAATTAAACTTAAATAGCAAGGAAATTCCTTCCTTTCTTTAATCTAAAATATGTATTTTAATGGAAGGTTTAAAAAAACACTAGTTGTTTAATTCCGTCGTGGTGGGGTGAAAAGAAACCGAAATGAGAGCGGAGGAGAAAGCTGTTCTCTGCAGTATATCAATGAAGTAGTCTTTACAGTTCCGTTAAACTTGCCTCTGAACTCTTCTACTGCGATGTATTGTGTGATTGCGTGAGATTGTGTGTGTCTATGTGTGTGTGTCTTAAGAGGCCGTTCCTAATTTACAATGGGAACAAAAGTAAAAATTGCGATTCTTCGCAATAATTAGCACGGTAAAGAAAGAGATCAATCAAACCGATGGAGATTCACACTGATGTTTGTATTTTTTGCACAACACAGAGGGGCAGAACGCAAAAATTGCCACTGGGGTTTCTCAATAGCTTCGCACTTGTTTCTCACTTTTGTCAAAATACAAAGAAAATGAGTTAGCTGTCGCTGTTATTTCTCTCTGAGTTAATTAGTAGTGATAATTTTTGATAGTAATTTAGTATTTATTGAAAACCGAATACCAATGAATCCTTGAGGACTGTCCGTAACAATAAAAAGTCCTTCTAAAACGATGGAAAAAAGCAATTTACTTACCAGATAGTTTAGACAGGTATGTTGAGGATCTGACGTAGTTTCAAACAAAAGAAAATTTTTTTTCTCTTTCTTGTGCAGAAGTCGATGCTCATCCAGATGATATCTGGTTTGGTAGCAATGATGAAAGAGGCTCCTATATTTTGCTGCTTCTCGAAAGCAACAAAGAAAGTACCTGGGATCTATTCGTTGTCTAACACCTCTCAACAAAAAAAAAACTGTTACAGCAGACGTTTGAGCAGAGAAATAGAGAGAGACAGCATCGAGCTATTATTAAATTATTAATAATAAAAGAGACATATCTCCTATGCTAAAGCAGTTGACCAGTATAAAAAAAAAAAAGCAATACTCTACGGTATAAGTACGCTTTATTGTGAGCTTTTCCAATACAGACGGGTTTTTTTATGTACTTATGTACTTTGTTTGAACTTTCTGAAACACTTTGCCCCACTCCCAGGTACCAGTAAAGTTGTTTGTAAAGCTGAAATACCGTGTGATTGATACAACACTAAACATTACTTGTAGTACCCACGGGAGTATAATTATCATTACTGTAACTTTAAAACTAATTGTTCGCCAGGATTAGTTTTGACTATTTGTAATTCCCTCTCATGTGATAGTATAAGCTTTGAAATGTGGCAGACTAGCTCCAACGTTAAAATAAACAAAGTTACCTGCCATTAGGGTTCACTTTAATTTGTATCTTCTCGACATAATTAGGGTTGGTTCAAGTATTGGTGAATATGGAAAAACCCTAGGGCTTGATATACATATGTACGTATGATCACAACTTCTATACGTGCAACACTATTTCTGTTTCCCTAACTTTCTGTACAATAATGCTGGAGAGACTTCTCATATAATAGTCCTTATGAGTGTTCACCTGTTGAGGTCATTATTGACACCTTGTAGGAGCCAATACTAGATAAATCACAATTGGTGAAACTATAGCGTCATACTTGTTTGCTATTGTTTCAATTTTACAGGCTGCCAGTTGAATAACAGGTAGGATAAGGTTTTGATTGATCATGGATTTTGAAGGAAATGTGCAATCCCTTCTGGAGATGGGTATTGCCCGGGATGTAGCAGAGCAAGCGTTGCGGGAGTGTAATGGCGATGTGGAAGCTGCGCTGAATTATATATTCAATACACCGAATGAGATCGACAATGACGCCATGGCAGGGCAGCAAATGGGTTCTGTGCCCGTTGGGACACAGGGTATTTTTGATGATTCAGCGTTTAAGATTCAGGAGAATAACCCACCACAATCACAGTCATACAGCGAACAACAATTGGTGCAAGAAAACCTGCCTGATAACACATTTCGGTCGGACTCTGATACAAACTCGGACTCCGACTCGAGTTCGTCCTTGGAGCAGTCTCAATACACGTCAATTGATGATCTCATACCACAACAGTTTAAAAACACAATGGACTACCCTACAGTGGTGATACCAGCGCCTGCAGTGCCAAACCATATCTACTACTGTGCACTCTTCGCATTATTCATATCTATTCACTTACCACACTATTTCGTGAAAGCTGACCATGATGATATGCCGCTGTTATTTAGTCCAGATTGGTTTAATGACATTGATAGGGAACCAGAGGATGAGCCACTACTAGTTCTAAGAGACCAATTACACAAATTGATTGCTGTTCAAAACTCCAATGACCACTCTGCCAGGGCGTTCGTTACTTCAAAGATGTTTGATGTTGATTTGCAAAGTGTAATTCAGTCCAACGAGCCCATGTTGACAAACCCTAATTATTTTCACTTGTATCAGATATTACCATCTTTCATCAAAACAATAGCTAATTTGTCATACACGGAGAAGAATTTGTTCATATCAAGTGCAATTCAAGGCGGTGAAGAGGCAAGTAGTTCAAAGGAATCCCTATTGTCGCTATTTCACTTTCTACCTGAAGAATATGAATCTAATTTATATAAGATGTTCAATGTGCTGTTATATCCTGACGATGACCATGATATAGGTGAAGATGAAGATGAAGTTTCGGAGAACTCTTTGAAAGAATTGGCGCCAGTGATGACAATTATATTTAACGAAGCTGAGAACATAGACGAAAACGCACCAGTAACAAATGGTGTCGAAGTGCCGTTGAAGTTCTACCCTCAGTTATATACCAAGAAATGTAAGGATCAACTGATTAGCCATGTGCTTTCAAAAAGAAAAGACGGCCGTAAAGAACTGAAGCAAATATTGAAGGACATTGGCAATTTAAAATCATACCAAGGTAAAGATATCCTTTCGTTTATCAACAGTTCATTAGATTATTTGACGAAGGACAAGGACGATTCCGGGATTGCTGAAGAGTTGCATAAATTAAAGGATGAACTGACAGCGAAGAAGACCGAAAAGATGAACTCTTATAAACAAATATCTGAAAAGATGCACACTGAATGGAATATCCAAAATCCAGAGTTGAAAATAGTGGAAACAGCCACAAAATTGGGATTAATAGATGAGCCTTATTTCCTAAACCTGGCAGTTGTGTCACCTTTCTTCTATTTCGTAAGGAATAGGAAGGACGAATGGTATGAAGTTAGGTTCAATCCCTTTAATACGGCAGAGGATAAAATCAGCGTCGGCAAATGTGATGGGCCTGGCGAGGTTATACAGCATGTCAAGAACTCTACAACAGTACCCAACAGCACGCCATTAATGTTTGTATATAGTAAGGATTCATACATGGCAGACGATACCGAAATGCAAGAACTCTTGAGCCAGAACAAGACGTTATTGGACTTTTTCAAGCAAGATCAGATATATTTACAAAATTTTGAAAATGCTAGGGGAGAAGGTGATATAAGAATATGAAAAATGTATCAAAAGAGCTATCTTCTATCAATAGAATTGGATACATAGCTAATGTCTCTTGTCAAAAGGATGTTGTTTACTAATATATATTTAATATGATAGTTAATGAAGAGTGTCTATTAGTAACTGGCTAGTTATGATATATGGATTTGGGTAACGCCAGGTCATTTAATCGCGTTGATAGTGTAGTTAATTGGTTTCCTCAATGAGTAATTTATAAACGTTTTACTTCAGCTAAGGGACGTATGATATTAATTAAAATCGCATTTTAGGAAAAGTTATTTGCATTGCTAATTTATGTATGAGAAAATCTACTGTGCTTTTCTAATATTGTTGTGAGATGGCTGTAGTGATAATATTTACAACTTCTTGATGATAGCGTCTGTGAAGGAAGTGGTAGAAGCAGAACCACCCAAGTCACCGGTTCTGTATTCAGAGCCACCGGCGATCGTACCTAGGACGGCCTTTTCGATCCTGTCTGCGTGTTCAGTCATGCCCATGTGGTTCAACATCATGACGGAGGATAGAAGAAGAGCTGTTGGGTTAGCCTTGTTTTGACCTGCAATATCTGGAGCTGAACCGTGAACAGCTTCGAAAATGGAGACCTTGTGACCGATGTTAGCGGATGGGGTCAAACCCAAGGAACCGGCACTTAGACCGGAGTTCAAGTCTGACAAGATGTCACCGTACAAGTTTGGACATACGGAGACTGCGTCAGTGTAGGAAGATGGGTTGGAGACAACGTTTAGACATGTGTTGTCGATTAGTTCTGTCTCTAGTTGGATGTCTGGGTACTCTGCTGCTAGTTCTTTGGCCACGTTGACGAATAGACCGTCTGCTAGTCTTTGGATAGTGGACTTGTGGACTACTATCAATCTTGGTCTGCCAATGGCTCTGGCGTACTCGTATGCATATCTAATGACTCTCTCGGAGGCGTCTCTAGTAATCAGCTTGATGGACTGAACCACACCTGGAGAGACCAAGTGCTCGATACCGGAGTATTCACCTTCGGTGTTCTCTCTGATAAGTACCAGATCGACATTTTCGTATGTAGTCTTGAAACCTTCGATGGACTTGGCTGGACGCACATTGGCGAACAGGTTGAAAGTCTTTCTCAAGGTCAAGTTCAAGGATCTGTGACCTTTACCGATAGGAGTGGCCAGAGGACCCTTCAATGCCACTAGGTTCTTGTTTATAGATTGCACAGCTGGGTCTGGAATTGTGGTCAATCCATTCACGAAGATAGGAGTCACATCACAGGTCTCCCACTCAACTGGAACATCCGCAGCTTGGAAAATACGCTTCACAGAACTGGAAATCTCAGGACCAATACCATCACCCTCAATAAAGGAAACTGTAAACTTACCAGTAGATGGATTGGGCTTCCCGGTGAAACGCCCTATACTTGGCTGAGCTGTTGCCAAAAATCTTCTGGCATTCAATCTAAATGATCTGATTCCTAGCATTTTCCTTTCCTCTATACTAACGATACCCTTGTAAAAAATTTAACACTCCCTTGCTTCTTAGTCCAGGCCTAGTATCCTCTACACGCCAATCCTAAGAAAAAAAACCTCGAATTCCTCGATGCCCTTTTATACTTTTTTTTTTTCCATCCCTACTGGCTCCGGCAAGTCCTTCTCCCCCCTCCTCCCATCCTCCTACGGTTTGTCACACCGCCCACCGCCCAGGGGGATCCACTCAGTTATACAGCTAGCCCTTCCCCCCATCCCAATCTCCACAGACAAATACGCACAAACACCGACATCTCGGCTAGAACCACGAATCTCTCTCTTCCCACAATCCCCACAGACAAATAGCCGCACACCAAATGTCGCACGTTCATTGGCTCTTCTGCATCAGAATCTACACTTGACTCAGATCTTGTGCGGTTCCTTCTGAGCTCATCACCTAGAAAAGCTGATTTTCCCGAAATTGACACTTTTTTCTTCTCTCCTTGGATCCTGCTGCGGTCTTTCAGTGCAGACCGGTTTGCCCGTGTGAGTCTCGTTGTACGTCCGAGTTCTCGGTTTTTTACGAAACAAATCCCCTTCGGCTGCGCGGTTGCCTCGCGGTCCTCTCTGTGCCCTTTCTGGCTCTGCTTCCCAGACCCGCGACAGTGTGATACGCCGAATCCGCGAACTCGGCGTTTGCCTTCTCCGTTTCCTCAGTTGCTATGCACTTTGAACGTGATGGTCATGTGATTCGTTTTTAGTGTTCTGGAGAGAAAGTAGACAAGAAGCACATCATGTGATAGGGTCGTCTGTATTGTACTGTTATAACTTAGCATATCGCTAACGCTAGTAATTTCCGCTCACGGTGCTGCATTTTTAGGTTTGTGATATCTTAAATACTAATATAACAAAATATATCCTATATCCCAGTTACAAACTTAGAGCTGTTTGTGTCTTAGCTTGTACAGCCACGGCAATGAGGACCGTCTGCCCGTGCGATCGGCCGTGTCCAGCACGTCGCCGATCGCACCGCGCGGTACTTCCCGTGCTGGCGTCATGTCGCTAGTCGCACAAGTGCCCGCACTCCCTGTAGTGTGTCTAGGTGGGGTCATTGAGCCCCGGTAGTAGTATGTGTGGTGCATGTTGTGCATCCGTAGTGGAGACTGCGACAGCGGAGAGATGGGGTCCACGGCACGCGACACTTCGTTGTCCAGGTGTAACAGCTCTAGTAGCTTGTCGCTGTACTGTATCATAAACTCCACAACCAGTCTGTCCGCTTTAGTGCTGTCTACTATCCGCTCCTGGCCCAGTATGGCAGGTTGGAATATCGCCGCAAGGTTGCACGGCGTCATTAAATTGACGCCTGAGTGCGCTGCGAACATGCCCAGCAGATCAAGCAGGTACATGAACATGTACTTGCGGTCCTGCTCCAGTCGCGTCACTACTATATCTTTATACTGTATGGCTATGCTGTTGATACTGTCTATTGGTTCGTTAATCCTGTTTACACTGCCAGCCGTGTTAGGGGTGTCAGCGGTGTCAGCGGTGTCAGCGGTGTCAGCGGTGGCACTGACCACAGCGCTCTCAGTGCTGCTGTTATTACTCTGCAGGTCCACTACACTCGAGTAACTTCCTTTGAGGTACTGTACCACGTCCGGGTGCTGCAAAAGTACTCTCTCGAACACATCAGTGGTGTCACTCGGTATCAGCGCCTCGTTGTTCTTCATGTTGGTCAGGTACCGCTTGAGCAAAGAAGCTACGTCGTGCACACTGTACTGGTCCCACTCGTTGAAGCTCCTGCCATAATCAGGACCCTCCGAGAATACATTCTGCAGCTCTCGTATCCGCTTGCTGTTCCCAGCCACCCGAAATATCCCAGGCGTCTCCAGCGCGTTGTTTTTCAAGTAGTGCCCGCACTTGGCAACTATCACGGGTATCCTCCCTGTCTTCTCCGAGTCGTCCACGAACTTCACCTGCGAGTTCGCAGTGTTCAGCGACTCGTCCAGACTCACGCCAAACACACTGCCTTTGAACTGGTAGTGGTCCAGCACCGGCGTCTTCTTGTTCCAAAACATTTTCCTATAGCTTATTCCTTGAGTTGCTTCTGTCTAGTCCCCCAGAGCATCCTTTTCTTTCTCACAGAACCACTTTACTTAAATAATGCGATTACAAACGTCCCAAATAGGGTGGCTTGTGCACTCTTTTGGGAAAAAAGCCCTCATTTGGGTTTTATTGCTATGTGCCTCCATTGTCGAGTGATTTGCGTAATCAAGCATTCACAGCATATTGGAGGGGGCTTTCTGCGAGTTCTCTGAGGGAACATATTATGAATCCTTTTTAAGGGTAGATGCTTCTATGCTTCTATGCTTCTATGCTTCTATGCTTCTATGCTTCTATGCTTCTATGCTCTTTATATTCCCCAGTTCATTGCTTAGATGTCCTGCGTGGTTATACTGCAGATGGGGTAGGCCACACCCCTTCCAAATGGAAGGGGTGAATCAGCATATTTTCTGGATCTTCTTACTCTCCCATCACCCCCCCCATCTGCACAGTGGGCTCCGCAGAGCCAGCACAGTTCTTCAAATTAAGGAATAAACTGGAATTCTGTGAAAGGGAGGCTCGGGACGAAAACGGGACGAAACGGGTTGTGCGTGTATTTGTCTGGATGCGCTAATTTTCTCGCTGGGGAACCCTTGCAATAATCTACGCCCTTGGAAACAGGCAGTCTACGCCCATCTCTGTGCATCCCAGCGCAGATAATTAAACTTAAAACCTAAATGTTCCCTAATTGGGGAGATGATGTCCCGAAAGGGGTAAAGAGATGAACACGTAAGGGTTTCCTGGGGCTTCTGAGACAGAGCAACAATTGCAGGGGGGGGGGCGGTAAATACAAGCTCAGTTACCCTTTTGGGAATAGTGAATAACCGGAACTGTCTGGGGCAGACTCCTCCGCCAATATTATGGGCGGGCAGCGGAAAGAGCTAATCCCGCGGAACACACTAGCCAGCAAACCCCAGGCTGTCCGGGTTCGAGGGTGGATCAACTTCCGGGGAGGGGGGCCTGCTGCGCGATTTACGTATCGAACGGACGGGAAGCTTGTAGGGAAAAGGATCGTATGCTTCTTGAATGCGCCCCTAAAAAAAAAAATGGTTCTTAAAAAAAAATTGCTACGTGCTTTCCACTGCATGAGCTGCTAAACAGAAGTATACACGATGTGTGGAATACGAGAGTAGCGCGGAATCCCCCTGCAGAAACCGTAAATCCTGCGTAGATATTACTAGATAGCGCTATCTGTATATACAATATATCAAATAAACCCTGTAATAACCTTTCCTATGTAAATGAGTTCTAGAACGTTGTGACACCTAGGAGTGATGCAGCGTTGCGGGCGTCGAGGGTGGTTTCCCCGTTGGTTTTCTGTTCAGCGCGCTCGAGGGTTTCATCAAACTCTGTGTTTAGTAATTTCTTCAAGTCGTTGTCGTTACGTATCCTTCTTTCGCCAGCCCAGCTGTCACCTTCTAGACTTTGTGACACCTCCGTCCTGTCGCTTACGTTTTCTCTTCCGAGCCTGGAAAGACCACCGCGAGGATCAGCCTTTCTGACATCTATCCTTACTCTCTCCAACAGTGCTAATTTCTTCCGCTCATATTCAATTCTTTTCAGCACATAACTCCTAATGCAACTCTTGAGCCATTTGTCATACCAACTGAGCCACTCATTCCTCTCAATAAGCATGTTCTGGGTCACTCTGTTAAGTTTCTGGCTGACATCTGCCTCATACTGATGTGCCAATTTCATGTTTCGGGTGGTCTCTTCAACTTTTATTGGGTTGCTGTCTCTTTTCGTCCGGGTCTTGCGAACTTGCTCTTGTCTGTTCTTGGTATTAGCTTGAGCATTTAATAACTCCCGCATTAAGAAGTGTCTGTTTGTTAGAGCCTCCTTGACTACATACGTATCTCTCACAATCCATGTGAGACCATCATAGAATGTCGCCATGTCCATACTAGCGATAATACTATCAATGTCCCCTACAGCTGTCATCACCCGGCCGTACTTCTTGTACAACACATTTTTGTCATCGATCTGTTCAAAGCACTTACCAAAGAGATTCTCATCCTGGACCATGAGTTTGCGAGCACGACTGGCCTTGAGGAGCCTCTCTTGAATTGAGTCACATATACTGTAAATGGACTTCACAAGCGGCCTGAACTCAGCTAATTCAGTGTACTCGTCATAAGGTGGTGCAAATTGTTTCATTGTCTTCCTCTTAAGACCAGATACTGGTGATTTATACTGGTTCACTGGATAATAAGTGTCAAAGTCACTTTCAATAAAGAAAGCGAGCTCTTCATTGCGTATTATTAGTGGGTTTGCACATAGTCTGAAAAACCATACTTGGAAGTTATTCACGGTCTTCTTATAGTCCTCCTTTGTATTAATCCCATAATTTGTAAAAGGCGCAGGTAAGGAAGGGATGAATGATTCAGAGAGTGTTGCATTCAGGTACTTGAACAAATTCCTAAACTCGTCAAGGCTTTTCCTCACATTTTTATGATTTTTTTTTCTAAATGTTGGTAAATTTGTATTGACTTCAAATATTATTGTGGGATTTTCCTTTTTGTTGCTGAGAGAACCAACTCTCTCGAGACCAATCACTTTAATAACCACATTATACTTATCCTTTTGTTCAAATCTTTCAGGTATCAGCTTCTTCAATATTTCTTGCTGTTTCTCAGCGTTCTTCTTCTTGGTTTCTTCAGATTCCATTTGCTTGGGTTGAGTCGCTTCATCATCATTAATAGCATTATCTGGTTTTGTTGTTTCAATAGTAGTGTGTGAATCATTGGTGTATATATCATCCACATGATTATTGGTATTAGAAGGCTCTTCGAAGGGATTGTTATGTAAGATGTCATCCACCTCATCTTCAGGATCATAAGGGACAGCAGATGCCATTTCTTTATTTTTATTGGTACTCTAGTGTAAAATCTTCGTCGATCTATCAACGTCTAATAAAAAAAAATAACTTGGTATATGATTTTGCGATGTTTTCCCTCGGTGTCCAGTTCAATATGCTACTCTGGGATAAGCGGAACTTGTTCTTTGTTTCAATGGAAAATAGTTATGTTGCTGTCCCAATTATTGATAGTCTTATGCTGTAATATATACAACCGCCAAAGTTTGCTATTACTCTAAAGGGTTTCCCAGGTTTCTAGTAAATTTTGCATAACAAGAACTACCTGATCAACGACCCTATTTGCCCTTGTTGGCTCGGCTGGTTGGGATTGAATGCTGTCGGAACTGATACCCTGATTTTTCAGACATTTCGGCCCGGATTTTATTAGCATCGTTATTGATGCTATCAGAGATTTCTCATAATAATGGGTTTATATAACGGTGGGCAATGTTCATTGCTTTATTTATTTAGCTCTGAGAATACTGTTTGAGTAATTAGCATTAGTTATGGCATTAAATTCTATAAAGTTGGTACAAATATATATGCATGTAGTATTGTACAAATTCGTGGAAAAAACACATTTTAAGGGACTGCCATTTCTCGGATAAATGGGAGTCATACGACTGTTATTTAAATATTTTTAACCGTCAAATTGCTAAGTGGTCTTCGAATCAAAGTATGGTAATGAGCACTGTTATTCCCAAGATGAATTTGACGAAGGTTGCAGTTTTTGTCAATCTTGATCCTGCACTATTTGCAGTCTGTAAATAAACGGACTGCGACATTGACACAATAGAAGAGGTTTCTTTTGTGATGTTTATTTGTTGAAGGATTTGCTTAGTGGTTTGCGTCGATGAACTGGCCACGGAATCGATTCTATTTGGTGTCTTTGTTATCAATGTGCTCTCAATATGACTAATTGTTGGTGGTGTTACAAATGATGATGCAATTTTCGTTGCTGAGCTCGTTTTACTATCACTATCATTATAAACATCGGATGGAGTCAATTTTAGAACAGTATGGCTTGATAAGGATGTCTTAGAAGTTGTTACATCAAGTTGCGCATTGTTCGATTTATTGTCCATAGTTAGCGATTTGGTTGATATAGATATTTTCGTGCTATCAGATTTTGAGGACCTAGCTTCATTATCTATGCTCTGACTTGGTCTTGAAACAACTACTGTTTTAGATTTTGTTGAAGTTATTGATGATTTTTGGACTTGTGGCAATATTGAAATATCTTCCAAAACATTCGATGGTTTCAATGCAGATGGAGAGCTCCATTGTTTGGTAGAAGTTTTTGTAATGATTTCTTCCTTTTTCTTACTGGTTATCGATGAAGTTGTATCTGCCAAGCTTTGTTTCTCTATATGAGAGGAAGAGTAAATCTTGGATTGCATACTCGATCCTGTATTAGAGAGTGGGCACGTAGTAGTCGTACTGGCAATCAAGCTATAATCAGTTTCTGTTACAGTTTTTCTAGAGTATATTTGAGTATCTTCACCTGTCGATAATTTTCGTTCTGATGATTGTATATTTGAGGAGCTTGAGTTTTGATATCTAGTGAAGATTTTGCTGGAGCTTTTATCGACATGACTCTCCGGATTATAATTGCTTGAGAATAGAGTAGTTTCTTTCTCGGGTATCGTGGTACCGGTACTTTCGCTAATAATGTTAGGATCGGAAGGAACATCAATCGAAGAAGTTAAGGTACCTGAGGTGAGACTAACCGATGAGTTTAAAAATATTGGTAAGCTATCAACTCTTTCTCTAAAATACACGGTATTGATTCCTTGCTGTAGTGTACCGTTGGAATTTGTTACAATGTAGTATGATACAATCTGTGTGACTGACCAATCATCAGATTGATAAGTCGAGGTAGATGCGGACTCAATGAAATTCTCAATAATAGAGCTTGATGTTATTGAATCTATTACACTGCTGGTTGGCACTTGAGTGGAAGATAAGGATGTAACAGACTCTGATTTAGAGCTATTGTATGAGGCATAGACAGGTTGAGAATCTACCATGTAGCCACTCATTTCGGTATGTATTCCCTGTACCTTATTGCCATTTTCATCAGTTGAAATAAAATATTCAATTTTTTCCTCTATTGTCATTGACATGGAGTAGAATGTTGAATAAATAGTCGTTTCACGGAGAGTGTCGTCATATTTATCAGAATTAGTGGAATTCAAACTCATAGCGGAACTTACAATACTAGCTTGTACAGTAGAAGAAGAGTCGATAGAGTGCGATGGACTTCTATGAATGTCTGAACTAGACACAAAAATAGGTGTCTGGACGTAGTAGATGGCCTCGATCGTCTCGCTGCCGTCGCTGCCAGTGAAGGTAGAGAAATCAGTGGAACGGGTGTTCGTGACGCTGCCAGTCCAGGCCTCTAGCACTGTCGTGGCTGTGTTGTGGATCGGCGTCTGGACGTAGTAGATGGCCTCGATCGTCTCGCTGCCGTCGCTGCCAGTGAAGGTAGAGAAATCAGTGGAACGGGTGTTCGTGACGCTGCCAGTCCAGGCCTCTAGCACAGTCGTGGCTGTGTTGTGGATCGGCGTCTGGACGTAGTAGATGGCCTCGATCGTCTCGCTGCCGTCGCTGCCAGTGAAGGTAGAGAAATCAGTGGAACGGGTGTTCGTGACGCTGCCAGTCCAGGCCTCTAGCACTGTCGTGGCTGTGTTGTGGATCGGCGTCTGGACGTAGTAGATGGCCTCGATCGTCTCGCTGCCGTCGCTGCCAGTGAAGGTAGAGAAATCAGTGGAACGGGTGTTCGTGACGCTGCCAGTCCAGGCCTCTAGCACTGTCGTGGCTGTGTTGTGGATCGGCGTCTGGACGTAGTAGATGGCCTCGATCGTCTCGCTGCCGTCGCTGCCAGTGAAGGTAGAGAAATCAGTGGAACGGGTGTTCGTGACGCTGCCAGTCCAGGCCTCTAGCACTGTCGTGGCTGTGTTGTGGATCGGCGTCTGGACGTAGTAGATGGCCTCGATCGTCTCGCTGCCGTCGCTGCCAGTGAAGGTAGAGAAATCAGTGGAACGGGTGTTCGTGACGCTGCCAGTCCAGGCCTCTAGCACTGTCGTGGCTGTGTTGTGGATCGGCGTCTGGACGTAGTAGATGGCCTCGATCGTCTCGCTGCCGTCGCTGCCAGTGAAGGTAGAGAAATCAGTGGAACGGGTGTTCGTGACGCTGCCAGTCCAGGCCTCTAGCACAGTCGTGGCTGTGTTGTGGATCGGCGTCTGGACGTAGTAGATGGCCTCGATCGTCTCGCTGCCGTCGCTGCCAGTGAAGGTAGAGAAATCAGTGGAACGGGTGTTCGTGACGCTGCCAGTCCAGGCCTCTAGCACAGTCGTGGCTGTGTTGTGGATCGGCGTCTGGACGTAGTAGATGGCCTCGATCGTCTCGCTGCCGTCGCTGCCAGTGAAGGTAGAGAAATCAGTGGAACGGGTGTTCGTGACGCTGCCAGTCCAGGCCTCTAGCACTGTCGTGGCTGTGTTGTGGATCGGCGTCTGGACGTAGTAGATGGCCTCGATCGTCTCGCTGCCGTCGCTGCCAGTGAAGGTAGAGAAATCAGTGGAACGGGTGTTCGTGACGCTGCCAGTCCAGGCCTCTAGCACTGTCGTGGCTGTGTTGTGGATCGGCGTCTGGACGTAGTAGATGGCCTCGATCGTCTCGCTGCCGTCGCTGCCAGTGAAGGTAGAGAAATCAGTGGAACGGGTGTTCGTGACGCTGCCAGTCCAGGCCTCTAGCACTGTCGTGGCTGTGTTGTGGATCGGCGTCTGGACGTAGTAGATGGCCTCGATCGTCTCGCTGCCGTCGCTGCCAGTGAAGGTAGAGAAATCAGTGGAACGGGTGTTCGTGACGCTGCCAGTCCAGGCCTCTAGCACTGTCGTGGCTGTGTTGTGGATCGGCGTCTGGACGTAGTAGATGGCCTCGATCGTCTCGCTGCCGTCGCTGCCAGTGAAGGTAGAGAAATCAGTGGAACGGGTGTTCGTGACGCTGCCAGTCCAGGCCTCTAGCACTGTCGTGGCTGTGTTGTGGATCGGCGTCTGGACGTAGTAGATGGCCTCGATCGTCTCGCTGCCGTCGCTGCCAGTGAAGGTAGAGAAATCAGTGGAACGGGTGTTCGTGACGCTGCCAGTCCAGGCCTCTAGCACAGTCGTGGCTGTGTTGTGGATCGGCGTCTGGACGTAGTAGATGGCCTCGATCGTCTCGCTGCCGTCGCTGCCAGTGAAGGTAGAGAAATCAGTGGAACGGGTGTTCGTGACGCTGCCAGTCCAGGCCTCTAGCACTGTCGTGGCTGTGTTGTGGATCGGCGTCTGGACGTAGTAGATGGCCTCGATCGTCTCGCTGCCGTCGCTGCCAGTGAAGGTAGAGAAATCAGTGGAACGGGTGTTCGTGACGCTGCCAGTCCAGGCCTCTAGCACAGTCGTGGCTGTGTTGTGGATCGGCGTCTGGACGTAGTAGATGGCCTCGATCGTCTCGCTGCCGTCGCTGCCAGTGAAGGTAGAGAAATCAGTGGAACGGGTGTTCGTGACGCTGCCAGTCCAGGCCTCTAGCACTGTCGTGGCTGTGTTGTGGATCGGCGTCTGGACGTAGTAGATGGCCTCGATCGTCTCGCTGCCGTCGCTGCCAGTGAAGGTAGAGAAATCAGTGGAACGGGTGTTCGTGACACTGCCAGTCCAACCTTCGAATTTCGTTGTCGTTCTTTTCTCTATTGGTGTTTGTATAATGATTGTTTCTTTGATAGTATCAAAACCGTCTGGTCCTTTTGTTGTTTCTAAAATTGTTGTTCGAGTGTTAGTTGTTGTGCCAGTCCATGCCTCATATGACGTTGCTAATTCTGTCCTGATTGGAGTTACTACATCGTAAATTATAGATTCTTTAAGCTGATTTCCATCGGTATAAAAATTGTAATGGACATCTTTAGTTGATAAGAACGTGCCAGTCCAAGCGGCATTATTAGTCTCCTCGTTAATCACTGGAATCCATGGCGGATTATTAGGACAGATGGCACAAACATCTGGTTTACTTGTGTCAGGTACGGGACCATCATAGTACACAGCGTTGTTCACCAACGTAGGAGTGACATTATTTGTAATCTGTTTTTGTTTGAACTTTGATTTATCATAGCCTTTGCCAATATGGAAGGCATGCGAAATAGAAGGCCATAATTTCACAGTCAGAACACCACTGTTCCCATCATAAGACCATTTTCCACGAAATGGGTCAACAGAAGTCCTGAAAGTAAGTATATTACCATTACCAAAACCGCGAACAATAATATTGTCCGTCTTCGCGTCACTCTCCGCAAAAATAATAGATGAAGAGGATGTCATATAAAGAGTTTGTGAACCCATAGTTCCAGAACTTGTTGACTGTAAAACCATCATGGCGTTTTCTCCAATAGTAATACAACCATTACCTACAATTGATTTCTTCAGCAAACTTTTAGTATTTGTTAAACATATTGTACCATCGTTATTCACATTACTACCTTGAAAGTTAGCGTAGCTATCTGTATTTTTCGAATCTTGATGGAAAACCATAGTACCTTTATTTTCAAAGTTTCCAGATGGGTTAAAATCATAGGAATTCTGTGGGGATCCTGCGCCCCAAAAATACATAGTTCCAGTATTGGTAAAAGACGAACCAGACCAGGATAAACTAGCACCATTGGTTTCGTTTCTATTATCTAAAACAAATGTTCCTTGGTTACTGACTGAACCAGATGACAATGTAGTCTTGAGTCCTGATTGACCAGAGTTCACGTTACCCATGAATAAATAACCATTATTATTAATACCGCCGTTGAATGTATATGTGTTGGCATGTATAAGTGCTAGGAAAGCATTGGAATTCACAGTAATATCTTCAGAGGGAAGATTGTCAAGATATGTATTTTTGTCAATGGTCGCTGAACTCGCAAGCTGTATGAGCGCTATTATTGCAGCTGTGGTTTGCGTAAGCAACCAAATCATTATGATCTATTTTGAAAAACTTCAGTGGGAATTTTTTTGTTATCAAGTTTATGGATACTGATATCAATTCCAAAAATATCTAGCAATCTCTAAGTTTAGATGCAGTCCCCAGGATATATTAATAAATTTTCTTCTAATATGATAACACAATGTTAACTCTTGTGGTGATCTGATGCAATTTCATTTTGATCTAGCAAGCATAGATGATTTTACCGAGAATATTGTTGTTATATAGTACAAAAGATAATCAAAGCTTGCGTCAAATTTAAAAGGCATCGGTTAGAATAAATTATTCTAGTCTTTCTTTTTTTTCCCTTAGTTTATCGTATAGTCATGAGAAAGGTTAGTAACTTTTGGCAAAAATAAAATTGCATGATATCAAGTTGCCTGATTAGAATTTCCTGTCTCAATTTGTAATTCGAGGTTGGCCTTTGTTTAAAGGAGAATCGGAAAATGAATATTACCTGGCAATAATCGCATTAGATCCGTTTTATTATACTGAAACCTGCAGGATTCTGTGTGTTCTATTGTACATGAGCCCTAATGTAGCCTGGATTTCAAGATCTAAATTGTAGCTATACCTCAGTTTGAAAGGGACCCGGTGAACGATGTATTATAAGCGGTGTGTCACGCTGCGGGACACTCTTTTGTTCCTAGGCAGATGACTTGAGGTGTTTTCGATTCAAATGGATATGCTTTGTAATACAGTATCCCGGAAAAAAGAAAGAATAAATTTGGCGTTTATGAACTCCGCTTTCTTACATTACAGCAACTTTAACAAAGAATCGTTTATCATGCACAAATGCAGAATGGTTCATAGCAAAGAAACTAATTGAAGACACCAAACGAAAATGCTGGGAATGTTTTTTGTGTAATTCACGTAAAGTGTAGATATACGGTGACGAAGATGAAGGCTGTCTTAATTTCTGGTCGCCATTGTTTACAGAAATGGGACCCCACAATTGATAAAATACTTCTAGTCGTTAAAGTTACATAAGCGAAAGCTATCGTTAGTCAACCAAACGAACGTGCGAAATCCCTAGTATCTTGACATCCATTATTCAGAGCAGAATTAGTTACTTAACTTACATCGATATTTGTGGGGGCGTAGAGAGATCTAGTAGCACCTTAAGCTTGTAACCAGATCTGTTCAGATCTTGCATCGCATTTCGTTCCGTAATCTCGTAAGTAGCATGAACAGAAAAAGAAAGAAAAAGACAAACGAAGCTATACGGTGAGATGGCTATTGCTTACTTCACTCTTCGATAACAAGCATCGTTACTAAAGAGTTTCAGGACTGCAAAATAAGTATTCGGTTGCTAACGTATAATCCATGAGCTAATTTCACAGGTTCTCAAAGATAGCGTGGCCTTGAAAGCGGTATAGAGCTTGGACTGCCAGATTCAATATTCCGGGTAACTATTTTAGATTTTGGCAATTAGAAAAAAATGACGTGCGCTGTGACCCGAATTGCTCGAGAAATCCCAGAATTTCGAGATTGAAGACATTACAGCAATTCGCACCAAAACATAAAAATACGGTCTTCGTAGTTGGGTGTGTGAAATAAAGCAATATCTGACTCATCCGTTATTTGAATGATATATATATATGTCAAAGGTGGGGCGGTTTCCTTTTTTTCTTTACAGTATGAGAAGTAGAACAAGAGTCCACCGAACTAGGATTCTTTACAATAATGGTGACAACTAAATTGAGAACGTTTTCGAAACTGCCGAAGGTGGCAGCTGTCATATTTGACATGGATGGTACACTATGTCTTCCACAGCCGTGGATGTTTCCAGCTATGAGAGAGGCCATTGGTCTAAAAGATGCATCCCAGGATATCTTGGACTTCATTTCGATGATGGATGATCCCGTACAGCAAAAGATAGCAGAGGAAGGTTTGGCCAAAGTGGAGGAGAAGGCTATGCTTGAGATGATTCCCCAACCGGGTCTTGTTGAGACTATGAAATATCTAACACAGCAAGGTATTGCAAAAAATATATGTACCAGAAATGTTGGTACACCAGTACATTATTTTATAGATAAATTCATCCCAAAGGACTATGCCAAGTTTGACCATATCATAATGAGGGATTTTAGGCCCACTAAACCGTACCCTGATCCATTGCTACACATCGCCAAACAGATAGACTCCAACCCACAACACATAATAATGGTTGGCGATTCTTATGACGATATGAAAAGTGGTAGACTAGCTGGATGCCTTACCGTGCTACTGAAAAACAAGATAAATGCAAAGCTAGTGGAAGAGCAATCAAGTTTGATAGATGTTACAATAAGTGAATTAAACGAATTAATTGAAATCATAGAAGAGATAAATAACTAGATATTATTAATAGTAATAGAAAAAAAATGGCTAGTGTTTGTCATTTATTCAGTCTTGAAATCAAAGTAGAATAAATGTACTAGCAGCTATTGAAATTTTACAGTGACAAAAAGAAAAAATAAATCTCCGCGACGGGGAATTGAACCCCGATCTGGCACGCGACAAGCGCCCATTCTGACCATTAAACTATCGCGGATTAATGATTTGTTGAAAAGAGAAGTTAAAACAGAGGACTTGTCAGTTCATATCGTACATAGTTATATGGCATATATTATATAAATTGGCCATTACTATGATAGATAGAGATAAAAGATAGGAGATATAGCAAGGTTATTTCGCAGTAATGGACACAGTTTCCAAAAAATAATTACAGTTGAAATATACATGTTATAATTGTGGATAAAACTTATCCAATTGTTTGTAGTATACTAACGTGCAGGTGCCTCTTGTGTCCTTAGGTAGAATATTCAATCTATCAGAGTATATTTAGAATTGCCCAACAACTTCTATCATGATGACTGTCCTAGGTAAGTATCCATTCAGTTGGTAATTGCACAAAACTCTCCACAAGCCGATTTATATGTGGGTTCTATTCTATTTTGGCACCATGTTATTGGAAATAGTAACGATATTTCTCTAATCTTTTTATGCTATGTCCGTCTTAAGAATTTCTCAATAGGATTTCTCAATTACAGGCAAAATAGTAATTATTATATTCCTTAGGTATTTCCTTTTAAGTTCCATATGAGTTCTTGAGGTATTTCTTTATCATCACCATGTTTTTCCTGGATGCGCATTCGAAGTTCTTGATTTTTCTCATAGAGCCATCGAAGGTAATTAGCTGTCTTTATATAAATTGCCAGCTCAGACCTATTTTCCTTTTGAGATAAATCAGGCACAATTTGAACTAGATCATCATACATCATTCTTATTATCTCCCTTCTTTTCTGTTCCGATACAACGTGATTTTTTCTGACTTCATGTTCGGAAAGTTTATTAGATTTTACTTTCTTGCTCACCCTCTTAGTACTCTTCTTCAGTTTGCCGCTAGTATCACTTTGTGTATTAGAGGCGTCAGTTTCTGTCCCGCTGATATTTTCCTCCTTCATTCTCTAAATGCCTTATCCGACTTTTGAAATGGGGTTAAATGGTAAAGCTTGATTATAATAGTGAAGTTGTGCCTTCCTTTTTGAAGTAACTTTAAAGTGACAACAAGAACAGTAATATAGTTTTTGTGGTTTGAGTTAAAGATCAGCCTTTAATAAGGTACACTGTTTTGACTTGATCGCGGATTTTAATCTTCACATGTACTCATCACTTTCGGGATATGAAATTTGAGAATTTCAGTTTCAGTTAGGTAATGGAAGGGGATAGACAAGTTGGCCGGGAATGCCCATGAAAATGACCGTACTCAGTTAAACCTGCTACCAAAGCATTCACGATGCGTAGCTAAAAACTACTTACTCTTGACAGTTAATTTCCAGTAGCAAATTAGAAACCTTCTGGAAAGCAGCAAAACAGCAAAATATGAAGAGTGTGGGCATCACGTGATTTATTTATTTTTTGAGTCTCTAGGATGACAGTTTTAATGTTTAGTTGACTGTAGTTCACAGGTGTAAAGGCTGCATAGAACTCCCGATTAATTCCACCCTTAAAGATCGTAAGTGACAAAAAAAAAGAAAACCTTGTAATTAACAATGGCCCAACATGCTAAATCAAACATACTTAACAGCAACTTTCTATCGATTCGGGGCTTTTAAACATTCAACATAATTACACAAGAAGCTCACTTTTATGGTGAAGAAGAACCGGAATAATATCTGGCATTTCAATACATTATAACCCTTGAGTGCTTATTTATAATTGCTAGCTTTGTGTTGTAACTAAGGCGTAAAGAGGAGTAATATAAAAAAAAACTAAAGATTGGTCGGCGTATTTAAGCCTGAAACGATAACGAACTTTCCAGAGGGAATAATTAACACTTTCAATACTTTGTTATATTGGTGTGAAAAAGACAATAGGCTTTTAAAATGAAACACAGCAATAAATTTTTCGAAGTTGATATTCCAGAATCAAGTCTGAGTCCACGGAGTTTGCCAAAGGCTACAAAAATAATCACATCATTATATTTGCTTTTAACGCTACTTTTATTTGTTCTTCGAAGAATCTATTATGTGAGACATGAAGACCAGGAATTTGATTCTGTAATTGTACCGTTTTTGGAGCTTGTGCCAGATAAAGTAGTACAATACCCAACTGCCATAATACTGTCTAATCTAATTGATATAAAGTGGTGGAAAATAATCACTAACTTGCTGAACCTGGTATTGGGTGGTTCTTTCATTGAAAAGAACTGGGGGTCTTCTAAAGAGATTGTTATATTTATTTTAGTATTAGGCTCAATCACGAACTTAGTGGTACTTTCAGCCACGTACGTGCTAGCCCAGGTTTTCACATCAATAAGGCTCGATTTACCTATTGATGGTAACTATACTGTACTGGTAGGATTTCCTATTATCTACAGGCAACTGTTACCAGAGACAACAATTATTAACATCAAATATCCAAGTTTCATAAGTAAGAATTTCAGATTCAAGCTTTTGCCCATATTTGTGATTTGCTTTATGACAATGGTCCAACTTGTATGGTTCCATCATTTTGCCGAGTTAATTTCAATATGGCTAACATTTTTTACTACCTGGATATACCTGAGATTTTACCAAAGATTGCCAACACTTGGGAATTCGAATACTACAAATGAGATTATAGTCGGAGACGCTTCTGATACATTCCAATTAATTTATTTTTTTCCAGATATTATCAAGCCTGCTTTAAGGCCAATTTTCAACTTTTCGTACTACTTATTCTGTGAGAAATTGAGACTAATAAAGCCTTTTGAGACGGATGAAATTGATAAAGGTAACCAAGTTGCTGAGAATAGAGGTGCTAAGAGAATTGATCAAGCCATTGACGATATTGAAGCTGGTGATAGAAGAAGAGAACTTGCTCTCAAGATGTTAAACCAAAGAATGGAAGAACCTAATAGATGAATAATTAAGTGACTCCTGTATTGGAACTAAATATAACGATAAAATAATGCATTTTAGCTAGAAAGACACTCGCATATTCACATTATCTAGTGGTATAAGCACTTCGATTAGGCTTATTAAATGTCTAACAAAAATATGGCCCTACGAAAAGGCTTAGCCTACTATATATAGCCCACTATGTATTTGTATAATTGTTACCTGAATGATCACTTGGCAACGGAAGGATACTATATCTTCGGATATACTTTTTAGCTTAGAGTGCTGTCACGTGATGAAAGTATTATCGTTTAAGGTGGCAAATATAATTTTTGTCCTTCAACAATTATTAAGCTTCTATGGCCAAGTTGGTAAGGCGCCACACTAGTAATGTGGAGATCATCAGTTCAAATCTGGTTGGAAGCATTTATTTTTTTGTTTACATTTCATATAAACGTATAATGGTTGATGTTGGCATCTGTTTTCTTTTTCTTTTTTTTCTTCTTTGATCTTAACAAATTACTATATGACACACTTTTAACTGAACGGCCCACTCGTTTCCCTCATCAAACATTCGACTAGACTCATATTACAGAACACCAGTAATTTACGAACAAGGTCATCGATGGGCAGCTCGTCAATACAGGCTCCGAAACTGGAGTGCAATTTCATTTCATTTAGCTCAATTGTGGCTGCCAATTCACAATTAATGAACAAAACAATACCATTAGACAAGTCGAACCAAATACCGTAATTCAAATAAGGGTTATAGTTCTCTATTTTTTTTTTACCAAAAGTGCGTTTTCTTGTGCTGTTGTAGATCCTCAACATCCTATTTTTCAAAACTGTAGTGAACTGATCAATGCTGTACTGGTTCGATTCACCCAGTATAAGATAGTTGGCAATCAATTTGTCGTACAGGTATGTGCTCGTATCCTTGTCCAGTTTTGAAGATCCATTACTCTGGCACCACTTTGACCAGTTGTGCCACACCAGCGAGCTGCTAAAGTAGCAATAGCTCTCCAGCAGCTTGAGCCAGTTCCCATACACCGCGCTGTACATTGCTTTGTACTTGGCGGCAACCGCTGTGAAAAACTGGACGAACTTCTCTATTTTTTCATCAACTCCTTTCACACCGCAGAGCACAAGCGGCACGACGTTGAAATCATACCCACCCGCCAGATCAGTTGCGCCTACCAGCGTCACATCCTCGTCGTCGTCCCTAAGGAAGTACGACACATACCCGCTAGTCTCACCCGCCCAGCAGTCCCTGTACAGACCCCACCCCATGGTACTACCGACATCGATGCGCAGCACTGCATAGTTGAGAACGTGGCGCACAACAGCTACGTTATCCAATTTAGCTAGCTGACTCATTTGACGCTTCTCACACCAGAGCACTTGCAAGACGTTCCTGCCATGCCCAGAGAGTATGCCCCCCCCGAATTATACGTGCAAGTATGAGAGATAGCCGCCGACAGATAGCCGCCGATAGAAATGGAGAGAGTTAATACATCATAGGAAACGTCATCCACACATGATACATACATGTTAACGAACCGGATATAATATTAACTCCCTGCCATTTTGAGTACACTCGCGACACACGAAGATACCAAGCACAAGATAACAGTACACCGGAAGCCAGCTGATAAACGCCGAAAGAAACACAATGAGTAAGCCGCAGGGGGTGAAAATTGTTGAGTTTTCCCCCTTTGTCAACAAGAGGTTTGTCGCAGAGAGCAGAGAAGCGGGATGGACATGTGAAAATTTGAAGTGCGGGAACAAGAGAAGCAGTTCTTGCGGGGGGGGGGGGGGGAAGAGCAGTGGCAGTAGCAGTAGCTGTAGCAGTAGCAGTAGCAGGAGCAGGAGGGCTTGACATTTTGCATGTGAAAATTCAATATCGCTGCACACAACAAGGAGAGAGACAACGGAGGTGCTGCTGTTTCTGAGCCGAGCCAGAGGCAGGACGGGGGGGGAGCTTCAATTGTATCGAATAGTCGCTGATAACGATAGCGTGACTTTCATGTTTGACATCGCGTTATCCCGCGTTGTTCAATGAGTGGTAGTTGTAGTTGTAACTGCAACTGTAACTGCAACTAGAACTGTGACTTACTGTGATTGTGATTTGTGCTTTGTTTGGCGAATGCGATGGATTTGGTATAATATTTTGCACATGTGAAGATTATCCAAATATATAAGAACTGATTGAATTTCAAGTGAAATCAATTCTCGAAGCGAAACCAAAAAGACAAAGAAAAAAAGTTGAAAAAATTACAAAAAATTTTCTATATAAAAAACGAGCTTCTGCTTTTACTATCTACTGACTACACCATAGCAAAGAGGACAACTTATAACAGATGGCTGGTGAGAAGGTGGAGTTGAGCTCCATGGATAGTGCTATAGAGATAAGGCATGTGAACCAGCATGCCAAGGAAATATCGTCTGAGAACAAGTCTGAGAGCTATGACGACAATAAGGAGTTTGAAGGGTCCAATCGCGTGGTGATAAAGCCTGTTAACGACGAGGACGATGTGTCTGTTATGATAAATTTTAACCAGGGTGTGTCACACTTCATTATTATGCTGACTTTTGTCGCTTCCTTGTCCGGTTTCTTGTTCGGTTACGACACCGGTTACATATCCTCGGCGTTGATTTCCATAGGGACTGACCTGGACAACAAAGAGCTGACGTACGGTGAGAAGGAAATCACCACCGCTGCCACCTCCTTGGGTGCTTTGATCTTTGCTTTAGTGGCAGGGTTCTCCGTAGACATATTCGGCAGAAAACCATGTCTTATGTTCTCGAACATTATGTTTTTGATCGGTGCTATTCTTCAAGTCACCGCACACAAGTTCTGGCAGATGACTGCGGGCAGATTCATTATGGGTTTCGGTGTCGGTATCGGTTCCTTGATCGCACCATTGTACATTAGTGAGATTGCACCAAAAATGATCAGAGGTAGACTGACTGTGATCAACTCACTGTGGCTGACAGGTGGCCAGTTGATCGCATACGGTTGTGGTGCTGGTTTGAATCACGTCCACAACGGTTGGAGAATTCTGGTCGGTCTCTCCTTGATTCCAACCGTGCTACAGTTCGTGTTCTTTATCTTCCTACCAGACACGCCTAGATACTACGTTATGAAAGGTGACTATGAGAAGGCCAAGAGCGTGCTGAAGAGAAGTTACAACGGTGTCTCTGACGAACTAATAGACAGAAAGATTGAAGAACTATTAGCTTTGAACCAATCTATTCCAGGTAAGAATCATGTAGAAAGAACTTGGAACGCTGTGAAAGAGTTGCATACCAAACCAGCTAACTTTAGAGCTCTGATCATCGCATGTGGTTTACAAGGTATCCAACAATTCACTGGTTGGAACTCCTTGGTCTATTTCTCCGGTACTATTTTTGAATCCGTTGGTTTCAAGAATTCCTCTGCAGTTTCCATTATCGTTTCTGGTACAAATTTCATCTTTACACTGGTGGCTTTCTTCTGCATAGATAAAATCGGTAGAAGAAACATTCTGATTATAGGTATCCCAGGTATGACCGTGGCTCATGTTATGTCCGCTATTGCGTTCCACTTCATTGGAATCAAGTTTGTCGGTAACACCGCCATCGTTGAACACTCAGGTTTCTCCTCATGGGGTATTGTAATCATTGTGTTCATTATCATGTTTGCTGCATTCTACGCTCTAGGTATTGGTACCGTGCCATGGCAACAATCTGAACTGTTCCCACAAAACGTTAGAGGTGTCGGTACTGCTTTTGCTACTGCTACTAACTGGGCCGGTTCCTTAGTTATTGCTTCAACTTTCTTGACTATGTTACAAAACATCACTCCTACAGGTACATTCGGTTTCTTTGCAGGCTTATGTGTGGTTTCTTTCTTCTTCTGTTATTTCTGCTACCCAGAACTTTCAGGTTTGGAATTGGAAGAAGTTCAAACTATTTTGCAAGATGGTTTCAATGTGCAAGCATCTAAGGAACTGGCAAAGAAGCGTAAGAGGCAAATTGCTGTTCTAAAGAAAGCAAAACATCAACCAACAGAAGAAATCATTGAAGAGTGAAAATTCTCCAATTAATAACTTAATTTTTTTCTCTATGTACAACATCACTCTTCTTTTTCTCCTTGCATCATACACTTTTACAATTATCGGATTTCATACATTAATTAATTCATGTTAAACAACACTTTTTATAAATATTCCTAGGAAATTCAGCAACACTTACCATGTAGTGACACATTTGATTTACCCATTCTCGTTGAAATAAGTTTGCTTAATTTATAGTTTGAGCTTTGCATCATTTTGCATGGCCACATCATTGACTGTACTTGGCCAACACTAATAATTGATATTCTAATACTACTATTGCTTTTTTTAATTAAACAAATTATTTAATAGACATAACATGAACTTGAATAGTGATATCATATATCACAAAAGTGTAAGGTTATTCTCATTAGTTAAAGTATTCATGTTTGATACCATTTTCATCAAGCAGATTTATCAACTCTCTTTCATCTTTGCTTTCATCTGATCCAGATGCAGCTCTAATTTTTACCAGTAAAAATAAGGATTTATTAATGTCATCGGGAGTTAATATAACAGAATTCATTGACCTATACAGCTTTAAATGCTCAAGGATTTTAGGTTCACTTAGAATATAGATATGCACTCTACTAGATTTTCGCATCCCACTTATAACCTCTTTGTCCTTTTCGGTTATGCCAATAGACAAATGTATATGATTTCTATTCATTCGCTTGATAGACCCCGACTTCAATATCTGAATCGCATTACGCACAGATGTACCATGTATTATATTTTTAGGTAACTTCTCAGCAGTATCAATAACTTCTAATACTTCTTCATCCGGCTTAATGCGATCAATAGAGTGTCCTTGTACTGCACAGATAAGCTCTGTTTGACCGTCATCACTTAGCTTGATGTTAAACCTCTTCTTATCGTTCGTATCCACTACCCTATGTAAGTCCTCTAGAGTACATTTGTGCGACTTTAGCCTCTGATGATTGAGTACTCTCTCAACTTCAATGTACCCATTGACATCAAATGGAAGATTTTCCTTCACTGCACCATGTCTAAGCAAGTATGACAAAGCCTTTGATATCTGTATATCTCTTTTGGAACTCATTCTTAGCGATTTGATAGAGGCTGTGTGTCCAATTTTAGATAGTTGACCACTGAATCTCTAATAACATACTTGCTGTGCCAACACTTTTACCAATTTTCTTGACAGAAATCGCAATAAACTCATCTCTTGTGATGAGTTACAAAATTGAGCTGCTTAAATAATCCAACTATTGTAACACAATAAGAATAACTAAGTAAATAATGTCTATTATCGTGTCTAATATATAATCCGTAATCGTTAACATTTATAAAAGAGATTCCTTGCTTTCTCATGTTCTTATGTAAAGCAAAGGATGGCGTGAAGTGAAATAAAAACAAATAAGTACAAACCGGTAAGAGAAGCAACAGTCAACCCAAATAACCTCTTTACTTGAAAGATATCATTGGTGGTACATGGATACTAGCATGGACCACTTCATAGGCGAATATAATTGTGTTGAAGTGTACTATAATTGCGAATATTGTTACCAGTTGTGACACTTGATCTGAATTACCCAAGTAATCTACTATCCAAAAGGAATCACCCAAAGTAGAAAGCGTCAACTCTGGAAGTCTTGTTAGTTGGAGCATAGCCGATAGAGAGTACAAAACAATTTCCCAAGTCAACACCTGGAAAGGTATTCTCTGTTTTTTATAGCTATCGAATAGTCCGAACTTTATGATGGAGACTGCAATAGGCAGAGAGATACTCAAGACACCAAATATAACAACACAGCTTAATTTCTGCACTCTCTTGTATTGATCATTGATAATCACAATTGAAGTAATGGACATCAATAAGCATGTCCAAATAACAAACAACTTGAACAAAAACACATGGTCAAAAAACGCATAATATAGTAGAGTTACTATGGAACATGTCAAAAGCAGCACCAACGCCAGCTGTTTTGCTTGATTCCATAACTTCCCTTGGTACTCAGAGTGCCCTTTAAGCAACTGACCCAACGTCATGGTAGCAAAATATGTAGTAGTAGCCATCAGAAACAGGTTTATGATTATATAATCTGTCATAGTAGTGGATGGGTGCGAAGGTATGAGTCTCACATCTGTATAGAACAAAAGCATAACACCTGATATCAGTCCGCATACTAGATTCATATATATCGAGATGCTATCATTGTTGAACTTAACAAGTTTCTGCAGACAGCCCAAGTAAGTTGCGTTAGTATAGTAAAAGTAGCCGGTCTTTATTCTACTGTTACCGTACCTTCTGTACCACACAGGTAACTTCTCCAACGTAACTATTTTACTCTGTACTGTCTTCTTCTCCATTACTAGAAAGACCTCTATGCTAACTCTCCCACCTACAGATGACAACTATCGGGAGGGAGCACTCATATTTGCAAGAATTATGACGAGCATGGCCTTCTATTATATACATTTTAAAGATTATCACACTCCATAAAACTCCGCATTATTGAACCTATTTTGGCCTTTTTGTTGAATTCCAAACAGTTGTATACAAAATTGAACCATCCTACAGAAACTAATTACAATGAACCTAAACTTGATATTCGGCTGGTCTAAGAGCTAACAATGTGTCAGCCCAAAATAACAAAAGAAATCAACCCAACAAGGCTCTCTCAACTGTTTGTCAGTGCCCGGTAAAACTGTACTAGTAAACTGGGCAGCGAACCTGCAAGCCCTTGTTGATCAATTTCACAAGTTGAGTTCATCCAACGATTTTATCATCGAAGGTGAAATTCAACCTTTCGAGAGTCCCAGTCCCCTAGGCATCACTAGGACAAAAAGAAACGATCAACATCTGGGTGATAAATCGGTATCGTGTTCATACCTTTGTTGAGTTTTCTACTATTGGAAGTCCTTCCCCCACCACTCCCCATTTGTGAACAACAGTAACTTCCATTTCCACATGCCTCCCTCATCCTAATACCGTTTTGTTGTTTAATCGGGTTTATATATAAGTGTCTACTTCCTCAAGAACCTGAGCCGTCTCTTAATCCTGGCACAGTACTCTCTCGGCGTGCACAGCCATCTATTGGCGGCATACTGCTCTTGAAACAGGTATTCCCTCACATCGGTGGATAAAGTGGGCTTGTCTTCACCAGTGGACTTCTCTTTAAAGAACCGAACTATCCTCGCCTGGCCTTGTGCTACATGTCTTTCCACCTCGCGGGACTCTATATCCTCCAGAATCATACGGTTCACTCGTCCTGTAAACCTCGACATATGGTGCGTCTATTCCAAACACCTTAAACTAGTGTCAGACCAGCGATAGACGTACTGGTGCTTTACGCATTCTGTATAGAAACATAATTTTTTTTATTTGCTCTGCGCACTGCTGACACAAGACACATCTACAGATTTCTCACAAAAACAAATATCAAGCATAGTTGTAGCTTTTAGCCCCAGTGTTTGATCTAATTTACTTGCATAGTCACACACCAACAGATTTATAGATACATGGTTAGATATGTGCCATAGTAGCTTATAGACTTTCAAACATAAGATAGCTATGCACGAGCACTGCGGCCCTTCTCCATAATAAATTTGGGGGGATCGGGGGTGGGAACGTATTTGCTGGATCGACTGTCAAACTGGCGTATTTATAGATTCGGACGGGTGTTGAAGTTTAACCAGATATCCTACAAGGGCAGATCCAGACGCTGACAATTGGACCCAAGGAACAATAGCACTTGTTCCCTATACAGGCATAAGAAGCTTCCCACCCCAACAGGAAAAAGAAAGCGTAGCGTAACGTTCAGTTACTGAGCTGCACGTCCAGATCCCACGAGATTAAGGCAATTGCATTACACATATATTGTGTAGTTAATCCACATAGGTAAACTATTAAGCATTGGAGATCTATTTTCGATTGTTTGAGTTTAAGCATTCGATAACACCCGCAAAAATGACATATTCTGACGAGCATGCCAGCAATTCGAGGCCGTTGTTGCCCACTGACGAGTTTGCCTTGAATAGGCAGTTGGCAAAAAAACGTACAGAGCATGAGCATGGCCCGGGCGAGATCGAAGACTATGAGTTCAACAATTCACTAAGGAGCTCGTCGAATAAAAACGTTGCTGATTTGCTGTATGAGAGGAAAAACTTTCACCCGCAGGTACAAAAAGCTCTTACAGATACAGATAACTTCATTGCAATGTACAGTCACCACGATGATAACAATGGTGAAGAACAAGACGACCAACTTTCTCTGGGAAGCGAGGACAATACCGAACCTCAGGTAATTGAAGAAGAGGATGAAGAACTGGCGGATGACTCTAGCAGTACAGATAACTTATCTTATGCAACAGCAGGTTTAGAGTTAGATCCTGTACTGAAGAAAAGACAAGAAGAGTGGGCAAGGCGCGGAGCTGCACAGATTGTGAAGGAATCTGTAAATCCTAAAACTGGTGAGCGTGAGAAAAAGATTATAAGAAAAGGTATCAAAGATTTCAAATTTGGCGAAATGGTTGGTGATGGTGCTTATTCAACAGTAATGCTTGCAACTGCCAAGGATTCTGGCAAAAAATACGCTGTAAAAGTTTTAAACAAAGAGTATTTGATCAAGCAGAAAAAAGTCAAGTATGTCAATATAGAGAAGAATGCATTGCAAAGACTTAATAACTCCCGGGGTATTGTGAAATTATTTTTCACCTTCCAAGATGAGTCAAGTTTATACTTCCTACTTGAATATGCTCCTAACGGTGATTTTCTTTCTGTTATGAAGAAATATGGGTCACTTAGTGAGGACTGTACAAGGTACTACAGTGCTCAAATTATTGATGGTATCAAATACCTGCATTCGAAAGGTATCATACATAGAGATATTAAACCAGAAAACATCCTGTTAGATAAGGATATGAAGGTCAAAATCACAGATTTTGGTACTGCTAAAATTCTAGAACCCAAGAATGAGGATGAAGACAATCCTGAATTTAATCTTTTGACACGTTCTAAGTCATTTGTTGGTACAGCAGAGTATGTGTCTCCGGAGCTGTTGAATGATAGTTATGTTGACGCAAGATGTGATATTTGGGCATTTGGATGTATGGTATTTCAAATGATTGCCGGTAAACCCCCTTTCAAAGCAACCAATGAGTACCTGACATTTCAGAAAGTTATGAAGGTCCAATATGCATTTACAGCGGGCTTTCCAGTTGTGGTAAGAGATTTAGTTAAACGAATCCTGCTAAAAGTACCAGAGCAAAGATTAACTATACCCCAAATAGAGAAACATCATTTCTATAAAGATATTAGCTTTGAAGATGGATCTGTTTGGACTGCTCCAGCCCCAGAAATCCAGCCTTACAAAATAAATGCTAAATCAATGCAACCAGTTCCTGAGCTGAAAGATGCACCTAATAAACGAACTATAATTAATATTCCGAAAAGACAATTACAGAAAGCACACACAAATTCTTCATCGACTCCTAATTTACCCACAATAGAACGTCCTGAAACCCCTCAAAGGTTGGAAAGTGATGTAGATGTCCCAAAAAGAACAACTGATGAAAGGACAGCTCAAATATTAGAGAATGCAAGAAAAACTGTTAATAATAGAAAACTACAGCTTTCAAAGAGACAAGCAAGTGGTGCTGCTTCTGCTGCATCTATAGCCCTTTCCAGGAAGACCAGCCAGGCAAGTTCTATATCGACTACCAGAAAGCGTAGCACACCAACTACACCTGTAAATGATTCAACTAGTAGGTTTGCGGATTCTCAAGCTGGCTCGAGATCTCACTCTACCATATCTACTAAAGAAGCCTCTCCAGCATCGTTTTCTAATTCCCCATCGGCTCCAATTATGCATCAGCAACCAGAAGCATCCAACTACTCACCGATTAGTACTATTATTGAGTCTCCTAGGTTGGATCATGGAACGCACTCTGAAAATGTATCATCAGACCCTAATTCCAAAGATTACTGGCAACAATATTTGGATAGTAATGAACACATAATCAAGAAAGAGGAGATTGGATTAACTATTGTCAACACCGATGTGTTAGAAAAACGTGTCCATAAGACCAATAGTGTTCTTGCTGACCCGCAGAGTTCTGTACCCATTAGATCTACCCTATTATCTCAAGTGGCAAGAAGTGGTGGTAGCACTACAGGCTTTAGATTTGAAGGAGGATATCTACCAGAGCAGAAATACTATAAAAAACTAAACATTGAAGTTCCAAACATTGATGAGGATCACAAATCTCCAGCTGGAATTATAACACCCTTGATGTCAGAAAATGTTGAGGCTGTTGCAAACAACGAGGCAGCAGATGATGGGAATAATACTGAAGATAACAAAATTTCTGGGAAATTTAAGAAACTATTTCATAATAACAAACTTGCGAACTTAGGTGAATTCAGAAACCTAGAGCGCTATAAGTACTTTAAACGAGAAGTCATTATTACTAACAGTGGAAGAATGATAATACTAGTAAAAATGAGGAACAAATTTGATCAGCATTATTATAGCCAACTGTACTCCATTAACTTAGCACAACACGGCTGTAAAATCAAAGAGCTTCACTTTCCAATTACGACTGACAGTCAAATCGATAATGTTAGCTATATTGTAATTGAGACACCATACAACTCCTTTGTTCTGATATGCTCCAAAGGCGATACAAAAACATGGTTATCTGCCTTAATCAAAGCATCAACAGTGGAAAGCCATTCTCAAGTAAAAAAGAGTAATCGTGTCAAATCCGAATCAATATCGAGAACTTCGCTTCCTCAACCACGGTTCCATAAAACCTCATCATCATCATCTGTTTTATCCCCCAAGCAAAATATGCCAGTATCACCAAGATCTGTCTCAACTAATGAAATAGAAACTTCAGATCCTTCCCACTCAATGCATAAATCCGGTAGACTTTTTGATACGTTTGTCAACTCAAGGGAAAGGAAACAAAAATCTCACTCCTCACAAGTACCAATAAACAGCAAATTAATAAATGGATTACCCACCAGTATTGGTAATGCTTCAGCAGCAGTTTTTGGATTAGGAATTAATTCGGGGAGTAACTCAACTCAGCATAACCTGCCTCAACCCCCAGAACCAAAAGCTCACAAAAAGACAATCACAGCTAACAACTCCAGGCTGCTGAGTAGAAGTGAGAAAATTTTGAGAAACAAATAGTCTGAACAGATAAATAAATTATGCATTATATAGCTCTGATGTTTATAAATTCAAATCATTACAATAGCATCTACAACTTTGAATATACTTGAATTATTTCATACTGACATCACTGTCATCTGATTCATAATCACTGTCATCCACATCCTCTTCTAACTCTTCCACATTAACATTAAAACCTTCATTCTCAAAATACTCTTGTGTGGACTCAAGCTTTGAAGGATGGCAACTTAAAAAGATTGTACTATGTTGTGGCTGGAAGATATTTACCAGATATTTGCTCATCATCTCCTCTAGCTGAGCAGCTGAAACCTGTCCCAATCTTTCTAAGAAAATATCTTTGAAATGCGGACCTCTATTATATAGCTCGTTGTCCACATAATCCATCAAACCAGCATTAAAGTAATTATCTTCCATACTTGCTAGACTATTAATAATGCTACTCAAGGCACCACTAATCAACCTATTCTCGAACTTTGTCTTACCATTAGCATAGGACGTAACAATTTCTTTTCCTGCCTTATAACAACCAATAATATCTGCACCTCTATAGATGCTAAATCCCCAGGAGTTAATTTCCGGTAGCTTTAACATATAGGCACCATAAGCCAAACCAGCACCTCTGATGCCCTTCCAGAAAGGACCCTCTACACATTGCAAATACTCGGATGCTAGGCATACCTTGGGATAATCGGGGTGATGATAATCAAGGTCAAATGGAACTTTCGTTACCACATTCATAAAAGATGATTCAGATGCCGGTGTTGTAATAATAAAAACCTGACCGCTTGGCTTAGAACAAATATCTGAAACAAAGTGTAATGGCCTTGGTGCTGGAGGAATTTTATGGTCACCAAATTCAGCATTATCCTTCTCCATATTTTTTAATAAACCATTCCATGGTTCGTATAAGCCACCGCTACTTACTATTTTGGAGACATCTCCTAAAACCAGAATTCTGAACTTTGTGAAATGAGTCCGTAATTGAGATCTCATTGTTTCTAGTCTAGGCAGAATATTACTTTCAAAGTTTCCTTTTTCAATATCTTCTAAGACATCTTCAAGAATACTTTCAGCATATAAAGGATCAATCGACTTCTTCAAAGATCTTTCAGAATATAGATTTCTATTCGTAATCGACTCAAGCATCATGGGTCCATCCCTCTTTAGTTCAACAATAGAATCCAAATAATTCTCCAGCAGGACTTTGATCCTTGATTCATCAAAAATCATATCAAATAAGACATGATTGAACCACTCAACGGCTTTAGCATAGTCTTTGGCTCTACATTTAATCATTATATCAATTAAGTCAGGGCAAGCTCCAGAAAGCCCCAATGTAACTTTAGTTTCTAATGTCTCGTCTTTTAGCTGTGAAATTACTTGCTCATACGACAAGATGGAGCCATCACTGGACTTCATAGGTAGAGAAAACAATTCATGAAAAACCTGGTAGTATGGTAATAGTTCAGTGTCTTTAACATACATGGAATTCAATAAGCAGTGCATTTCAACGAAATCAGTTGGAAAACTCTCAACATGGAATGGTAATGGAAATTCTCTAGTAGTTTCATGCTTCTTTCCCTCTGTCTTGATAAAGTCAACACTAGCAGCAGGATTTTCGATTGCAAACATATCCAGAATAGTGTTTGGTATGTCGACGTCGTTTGTTTTCTTTGCATTGTCAATCTTTTGTTTCAATTCTTTTCTACCAGTTTCGCCAAATTGTTGTTCTCTGCTGTGTAGTAAATTCTCCTTCTCTTTTTCTAGAACTTCATTCATTTTAGCACTTGGCTTCCCAATAACAACAACTGGCTTGTTTTCAACAAATATCTCATCCCTGAGTTTTTCCCAGTCCTGAACTGTCCAATTATTAATTATTCTATCGTAATCATTTAAATTTTTCAGCGTTTCAACCAATGATGATCCATCAGTTTTACCATACAAAAAGTCGGAAATTACAGCTTGAGACAAGGTATCACTTGGTGTCTTTTCACACCTCAATACGTAGTCCCATTTGGAATTTTCAATGACCTGTTTCATTCTTTCAAGATCAAATTTGTGTGTAGTCATTAACTCTATTGCTTTCTTTACAGTAATGTCGAGTTTTTCCGTTGGAACACCATGCAAATTCAAGTTGATGATTGTTCTTAGGTAGTCATCAGTATAGTAGTCTACTGAATTAGCATATGGATCCTCAATCTCAATCATTTCTTTATTGAAGGGTGAGATACTAGACTCGGTGTAGTATTCCAATAGCATAGAAACAGCCAAATCTCTCTCGTAAGAATCATATTTCTCACCAATCCAGGAGAGTAGTATTTCACCTTGAGATTCATCAGCTTCCGGAAATTCAATTACAGACCTTGCGATCTGAGTTCTTTTCTCTGGGATTTGAGAGTCTGGTGTGTCCACGAAAGGTCTGCTTATGGATGCATCACTATAAGTAGGCAATGTTTCATCCCATCTACTTGCTATCTCCAGCAGTTCATCTTCAGGTACATTACCAGATACAATTAAACACAGATTTTGTGGAGAATACATCTTTTTATGAAATTCTTTGATCTCATCATTTGTAAGTGTTCTCAAGTTCTTAGTTAAACCACCAGTTTCTGACCTGTAACCGCTACCTTCCGGGAACATCAATCTTTGCTTTTCCAATGAAGTCAAAAACCAACTTTGGGATTCTATACCTTCCATTTCACTATATACCACACCTTTATCAGAGAAGTCCTGTGGGTCAATGTGGTACACTTCAGTAACACATGCCTCATCAGTTAAAGTTGGGTTCAATAAGTGATCCAAGTATACCGGCAATAGCTTCTTAAACCCTTGCCACCCAGCACTCGTTAGTGTATATACCGTTTGGTCGGTGGCAGTCCAGGCGTTGGTGGACGACATGCACAGGTTACCCAAGGTGTCAAGCAAACCTTTATAAGGATATTTCTTGGAGCCCATGAAAATCAAGTGTTCAAGCGTATGTGGTACACCAGAATCGTTTGGACATTCTGTAGCAACAGCGAAATAACCCTCTACAAGTGGGGATGCCTTATGGTTGATGTGAACCAATTGCAATTTGGTTCTGGGCGAGATATACTTCGCCACATTGAACTGAGGAGCATAGTCCAGCTGGAAATTCACCAGTTTTTGAAATGTCATTGTGCGCCTGAGTATATTGGCAAACAATTTGGATGGCAGTTTTGTTTTATCGATCTATACTTTACTACTGTTTTGATAATGCAACTTAACTAGTGTTTTTTCCTCTTAGTTTTTATCGTTTCAACAAGCTCAAAAAATGCATCTTGGATACAAGTCAAGAATGTCGCTATCAGAATATGTGTCTATTTACCTGATTTTTAGTTTATATTTGTCAGTTATAATATATGTTTACAGTGAATCAAAAGGATTTACAATTAAGATATTAGAGAAACGGTCAGTAGAATCGGTGGACGTCTTCACTTAAAAATCAGAAGTCTAACGTCTAAAAAATACCGAATATCATCATACTAATTCTCCAATTTTACAGAAATATATGAAGCCCTCTTAATCCTTTAAGATTGGCACATATCAGTCCCAAAAGCCAAACTGGGGCTCAGAATGAAGAACATAAAATGTCGTTTCCAAAAAAAAAAAAGGAAATGCATATCATAGCGTACCATACAAATACAATTGGCAGCATTAACCTCGCACACCCATGTAAGTATAATATACACTTGGGATCACACTTCTTGTGTATTAAAGATAGTGAACCTTCAATCTATTGCTATGCGATAAGAAGCTAAAACTCAGTGCGATGCCAAGCGATGCGATGCGATGCGATGAGCTTCTGCTTATATAATTTTTTTTTTTTCAAAAAGAATTTCAGGATATCAGCATACACGTATATATCATGTGATTGATGCGTATTCAGATACCTAACATGTGATACTTACGTTTCAGATAACAAAAAATGGTGCCCGAATGAAATTTCACTGAAAAACTTTCTCTGCCAAAAAGTATTTCAAAGCGATGAGCTCGGTAATATTACCATACTTGCAGGTTTGGCAACAACTTGGAACTCACTGTCAAAGGGCAATTATCCACGCAGATAAATCTAAACTCTATTGTTTCAATTGGGCATGAAATTTGAGTCTATAAGGCTTTAGGTAGCCAAAAAAAAAGGTTGCCAACTATTTATCAGGATAATTGAATTGATTTATATTTCGACCTTTGTAGTTCTTTTGTATATCTCTATTTGAGACGGGCTAATCAATTTCCTGGTGGTCCAGTAACTTCAATTATATCCGGTTTATCTCCTATAATATATCCGGTCTCACGTTTAAAAACTCGTTGGGTGTGTACTTCCCCTGCTGTGAAATAACGTAATGTTTAGTCAAACCAACGTCGAAGAAATTGGACTAGTTTGTCTTTGAAAATATAAAAAGGTGGTACATTGGCCCATTGTCTCTTGGTATTACAGTAACTATCATAGTCCAAAATAGCTACACACATATAGCACAATTACAACTACTACAATATGGTTCAATTTATGGAAATCAAGGATGCTATTGAGCATTTCAAGCAGAACAAGTTCGTCATTGTCATGGATGATGAAGACAGAGAGAATGAAGGTGACCTGATCTGTGCCGCTGCTAATGTCACACCGGAACACATTGCTTTCCTAGTGAGACACTCTTCTGGTTACGTTTGTACGCCAATGAGCAATAAAATTGCCGACAGACTGGATTTGCCACTAATGAGAGACAACCTGAAGTGTGAGAGTGCTGACGACGACAGACACGGAACTGCTTACACCATCACTGTAGATGTCAGCGAAGGTACCACCACTGGTATTTCCGCCCATGACAGAGCGCTAACCTGTGCGAAGCTAGCTGACCCTTCTGCTAAGCCAAAGGACTTCTTGAAGCCAGGTCACATCTGCCCATTGAGAGCTAAGGACGGTGGTGTTATCACAAGACAAGGTCATACCGAAGCTGCTGTTGACCTGTGTAGATTATCTGGTCTGCCTGAAGTTGGTGTCATCTGTGAATTAGTTAACGATAGAGATGGGTCCATGATGAGATTAAATGATTGTGCAGAATTCGGTAAGAAGTTCGACATTCCAATCATTACCATCCAAAGTTTGATAAAATACATCAAGGAAAACAACTTGTGAGGGTGTTGTTTCTCCGTAACACGTATATGTATTCCTAATTTCTACACTATCATTTTGAAAATTGTATTTCAATACCGCTTGTTTTTAACCAACCTAACTTTAAATCATGTTTACTTCTTATTGTTTAGCCTATTAAGATAATGCATAATAATACATCCCTGTCCTATCAGGGATTAATGAATTACCTAATGATTATCGTGTTTTTAAAATTAATATTACTTTCTCTTCATTATATCTCGTTTATGCACATATATGTCGGAGTTTTAAGTGCCATTATTGGTTGATAACTACTTCAAATCAAAGCTTACCGTACATTGTAAAGAGGTGTATGAGTCAATAAAACGTGTATCTGATGTCTAGCATATATTCAACTATAATAGATAAAAGCATTCTATCATTTGTTTTCTATAGTAGTTCATTACAAAAGAGATACTCAAATGTTGCATATATAATACATTAATTACGGTTTATTTTGACTGAGGTATCTTCAAACCTGTATTTAATTATTTCTTCTCTTTGGGCTTTGGAGCCACTAGTCTTTCTTTTTGACCCCAGACAAGCTTGTGAGGCTTCATGAATTTATCCAAGACTTCGTCGCTGACATTAGCCCTACGGTCTTGGAACTCCTTGACAACCTTCTGTAGTCTTTCAATACAGTACTTCTTCATCTCACCAGATAGCAACTCACCACTTCTATATTTTTCGGCGGTCTCCTTCAAAAATTCTTCATTGTCCTCAAAGAATGACATGTATTGGTAAGCGACATCAACATCTGGGTCACCTCCCTTCTCTCTATGCAGTTCAATGGAAACTTGGCCACCACTAAAGGCATATTTGTTGATCTTCTTTTGAATTTGCTTTGGAGTATCAGTCATGAAAATGGCAGATGTGTCATCGGAAGCACTCATCTTTGTAGTGGAACCTTGCAAAGCAGGGAAAAATCTGGAATGGATCAAAGCTGGCTTGGAATACTTTAATTTATCAGCAACATCTCTACATACTCTGAAGTATGGGTCTTGGTCAATAGCACATGGGATCAAACATGGAGTCTTTGGTGGAAGACCAAGAACGTCAGGGAAGGAGCTTGGGAAAGCTGTAGCAATTTGAATAGAAGCAAAATGGAACTTACCTATACAGTCAGAATCTGTGAAACCAAAAACAGCCTTTGCGGTAGAACCAGTAATCTGTCTTGAAACACGCACAACATTTTCATAAAAAGCGCCACCCATATATTCCAAATCAGAAAAGATGAATGTGTTCTCTGGATTGAAACCAACAGCAATAATATCACGGGCATTCTCACGGGCAAATCCCTTAACATCATCAATTGTTAGCTTTGGCTTAAATAGGAATTTCTCGTCATCAGTCAACTCAATGACCAAAGCACAATCGAAGACATCTTGCAGCCACTTAGTAAACATGAATGGAACAAGATGGCCCATGTGCATAGAGCCACTGGATGGACCCCTACCTGTGTACAAGAAAAATGGCTTTCCTTGTTCATATAGATCTAGAATCTTGTTAAAGTCACGCTCACTGAAAAAAAGACCCTTACGCAAAAAGTGGTGTGGCTTTTGACCAGTAACCTTCTCAAATCTATCCAAAGTCTCTTGTGTAATAGCTTTGGTACCAAATTGCTTGATCAACTTATCATAATCAATGGCTTGTGCAACACCACTTTCATCAACGGCACCTTCAACATCCCATGGCGTGACAACTTGATCTTTGTCGGCAGTCTTAAGGTTTTCAACCTCCTTGGTAACTTTATCAACTTCAGACATAGTAAAAAATACTAGTTAGTTTAGTATGATTTATATTAGTGGAATTGCTGAAAGGCTGACTATAGCTATATCAAAACATGTTTCCTTTTTGTATGCCATCAAGCATTTCGATATTTTTTTTTCAGAAATTTTCAGTGCGATGCCCAAAAGAGCGTTCGCCATGATTATTCTAGTTGTGGAACTCTGGGTAATACCACATAATGAACTTATGAAGCTGTAACGAATGCTGACTTTCTTTTATATTTACAAGATATGAATGTTTTGTTGTTTAATTTCCAGTTGTATTGGAGACCTTTTTTTCATGTACCTAAGCATTATGTGTTAGGAACAAATTGATGATTACAAAACAAAAAACAAAAACAAGGCTATCTTAATGATATTATAGTTTCCTTATTGCCATAAAGTAGTTTCCAATATCTTGACAATCGTGTTCCACCCAACCTTTTAGTGGTAGATACATGGTACCCTTACAATCCAGAATTTCGTGTCTATGTGCATGATTTTTCTTAAACCAGTTCTTCACTTCTCTGGAGTTAATATACTTGTTTAAGTGGTGTGTACCCTTTGGAACAATCTTTAGTACGTCTTCTCCCATAAATATAGTAGTGAACCAAGAAATAGGATCTCTGTTAATAGTGCTTAGATATAATATGCCTCCTTGATGTAGTCTATTCCATGCATGTTTTAATATTTCGGATGGATAATCTACATGTTCTAGCATTTCAAAGCAGGTAACAATATCAAATTTCTCCTGGACCTTTTCTAAAGGCATTAGCTTGTAATCCAGTTTATCCAAAATAGCAGGATCCTGTAAAGAGTGCTGTTTAGCCACTTCGATCACTTCAGGAGTCAAATCAATACCTGTGACCCTTTTCACAAATGGGAGACGTGCCATTGATTCTCCCAATATGCCTCCACCACATCCAATATCCAGAACTGAATATTGCTTATGGACCAATTGGTCATTAATCTCCTCTGTCAATTCTCTTTCTATGTTGTTAGAAACATATCTGGGCAAAAAGCTGGTGTGGTCGAATCCCGGAATGAAGATATCAGGATTATCAACCTTAACACAGCTGCGCAGTGTACGTTGAATGAAATCCAGTCTAGCATTATTCATAAGATGTAATATACGTTGAGGTCCATGGGGATCCCACCAAGTAGGTGCCAATTCTTGGAAATGATGAATTTCATCTTGCGAAGCTTCTGTACTCTTTAACCTCTTAGCAACACGGCCCAGCTGTAATCTACTAATTCTGGAGGTGAAACGGTTCATCATTCTAGATATAATATTTCAACTTTCTCGATTTGTAGATGCAATTTGGGGTGTCCTAGGTAATGATTACCTTAATTACTTTTGAGTTAATATTCGATTTTAAAACAATCCCTCAAACCGTTTTCATCACTCTATTAGAGCGATGCGAGCTCGAATTTTGTGAGTTCAGCAAATAATTAATAAAATTAATAAATATGTAATTAAATATTGATGGTTGGGAAAAAGCTAAATGAATGAATATATAAAGCTGTAGAGCTGTACATCTACGGTGGGTGTTATCAAAACAGAAATTTAGCAGCTCTAAGAAACGTTTTTGGAGCTGAATGTAACATCCTTTTGGAGGGTAATAAATTATATTTCTTGCTTAGTTCAGTGTAATAACTTTTAGTTGTAATAATATTGGTACGTTTTAAGTCTCTGTTGTAGTATTTCCAAAAGTTCCGTTGTTCTAAAATGGAATGTGAAAATCTATCAATATTCTTTATCTCCTTGTGATTTACGTTGATCAGGTAAAGAAGATTACGAGCTCTAGTCATTGCCACATATAATGCATTGGTATCAATCGGATATTGATTTTGAGATAAATTCGAAATGAGTACAATTGGGAATTCCAATCCCTTGGCAGCATGTATTGTAGAAAGTTTTATTGTCCCAATATCGTCTTTGTTTCCTGCTAACAATTTCTCATGATGGGCAGATGTCACTTGTTCGATGTAATGTGTTAAAAACCACTCCAATAAGGAACAATCGGATGGTTTTGAGTCCTTAGCCTCATTTAAGGCCAACAGAAGATCTTGTAAGTGCTTCATTACAATGTCAAGATCCTTCTTACTTATGTTAATGAGTGGTTGATATTCTATATCACTGATTATATTAACCAGCATTTCTAGCAATTCAATTGGTTCGTTACAACTACTGACAAAAGATGATCTATGGAGTTCTCGTAGCAGCCCAACATATCTTTGTATTTGTTGTTTTATGTGCCCGGCTATTGGGATATCGCCAGCATCTAAGCTCTTTAAGTACTCCCATAAAGGTTGTTCATTACTAAGCGCTGATTGATAGAGTTGTTGAATAGTGGCGTATCCAATACCTTTAACTCCACTTAGAGTAACAATCGTATTAAAATCACTTTTCCAATTGGGAGTACAATTTCTCTCATTCGGTCTATAATTATTATTATTACTATTATTATCATCCGAAGTAAGTAGTATGGTTCTCATAAAGTCTATGATATATTGAATTCGGACATCTGACATCCATTCTGGCTGTGATGTAAGCTTCTCAAACGGAATAGCTGAATTCTTAAAATAGTCAATAATAGTATCAATCTCTGCATTGGATCTAGTTAAAATGGCAATATCTGAGAGTTTTGCCGAAGAGCATACTAGCTTTGATATTTCAGTTTCGATATATCTCAATTGGGCATCAACATTATCAATACTTTCTATAATGGGATCAACTTTGCTGGGCTCCTTCACTATTATATCTGAGATAGTCTCAAGCTCGACCGCTACATGCTCTTTATTAATAACTTTCCTCGCAGCTTTCATAATTTCTGGTGAACATCTGAAGTTATCATTCAAATGTACAGTTATTGTGTTTGAGTGTAAGTGATCCAGAGCCTCTACAACAGTGGAATTAGCACCGAGAAACTCGTATATGCTCTGATGAACGTCTCCAAAAATTATTAATTGTTTATTTTTAGAGATGGTCTGTAACAAAGGTAATAGTTGTGGATATAAATCCTGAAACTCGTCAATCAATATGACTTTATATCTTTGATTCAAATCCCTAATAAAACTAAATTCTGCACTATCGAATGTAGGTTCAGTTAATATCTTTGAGGCTCTGATTATTAAATCTTCATTTGTTAATACTTTGCAGGAATCCATAATCTGTATTAATTTGTCTATGGTATCATCTGAGGATTTATTTTGCTTCTTGTACTCGCTTAATAGTTTCTCCAGACGTTTTGTCTTCTTTCCAGGTGATCGAGTCTTATTCCAGTAATCCTTCGAGACTAACTGACTCAATCCCCTCCAGCCGTTCTCTTCAATAATACTCACTGTTCCCTCTCTCTCCGTTACTATCTTATTCGCCAGTCCATGTATTGTATAACATCCAATTTTATCTGCCACCTGTTCAATATGCTGCGCATCATCACTGTCAGTCAGCTCATAAAAAACACTAGTCAGTTTCCCAAATATGTTATCAACAGCTTTATTGGTTAATGATAATATTAATATCTCATCCGGGTGGATATTCTGCGAATCTATCAAATGGTGAACTTTATGCAGTAATGTAGTAGTCTTGCCTGATCCTGGTCCGGCCACTACTTTCAAAGTGGAATTAGGTTCATATTTAGCTTCCAGAACAGATTTTTGTGATGAGGTTAGCTTCCCTTTCCTCATAACCTCGCTCTATTCTTGTTAATTTGCTCATATGCTCATTCTCTTTTGTAGCTATTTTTTGCCATTTTATAATGATCAGGCCAACTCGCAGAAGTAGACATAGTTCATCGCAAAAATTCACATCGAATACAATAGAGGAGGATCATTATTTACTTGTGACTACGTTACTTTTTAATTAGGATTAGTTAAAAACTCTCATTTATTTATACTTATTAAGTAAACGTCGGATTTATGCCTTCAGCTTGTGAATTTTAGCAAGCATAGAGGCCAATTGGAGGTAAGTGCTTACACCTTCTAGAATTCTCATATGTGTTGTACCTATTTCTTTAATCATCTCCAAACGTACAGATTCTTTTAATTGGAAAAGATTTTTGGTGACCCTAAAACAGGTTGTGACTATATCTACTGCCGAGTAGCCTTTTGCCCACAGCTCTTGTCTCAGACAATCAATTGATTCATCCAAAGTTTCTGCCAGTAGCATCTTTTTTACTATAAGTGGATGAGGTGAATCTACAATTTTAAAGACATTTTCACCGTTGACCAGCCCGTGACCAGCCACAGTACTTTGTAGGTTGTTGATAGCTTGTCTCATATCACCTTCCGCGGTAAATATAATGGCCTCCAAACCGTCATTTGTGTACTGAACATCCTCAGCTTTTATTATCTCCAGTAGTCTCTTCAATACCTGTTCATCTGATAGCTTCGAGTAGCGCAGAATAGCACATCTACTCTGTAGTGGCTCTATGATCTTGTTTGACTGATTACATGCGAAAGCAAATCTGGTGGAATTAGAGTACAATTCCATAGTACGTCTTAAAGCCTGTTGTGCGCCCGCAGTCATAGAATCAGCTTCATCAAGAATAATTATCTTGTGTTTACCCGGTGGTAAATGGCACTTCTTCTGAGCAAAGTGCTTTATCTGATTTCTGACAACATCGATACCTCTATCATCAGATGCGTTTAATTCTAGCACAGCTTGTGAATATGATTCGCCCAGCATCTCATGTGCCAGGCAGTGAATCGACGTGGTTTTACCAATACCTGGTAGACCAGAAATGATCATGTGCGGCATGTTACCATCTGCTGCTATCTGTTGTAACCGCTCCACAGTCTCCTCATTTCCCACTATATCCTTTAGCAGGTGAGGGCGGTACTTCTCTACCCATGGGAGCTCTAAAGTAAGTGTAGCTTTAGACATTGGTTTCACCTAAATGACGCGTTTTCTTATACCCAGCTTGAATTCAACTTTAAACCCCCACTAGCTCTTCTAAGATAAGCAAGAGCTGAATGTTCTTAGCGCAATTGTCTGATTGGTATGAGTGCAGTTGAATGCCTGGTGTGGAATTCAATGTAACATGCATTCAGGAAGTATTTCAGGTTATACAATTGTGAGTTTGGCAAGCTAAGGATCCAAGCAGTCGCAGCGAAAATTTTGAAAAAAAAAAAATCGATGCGATGAGCTCTTTGCAATGCATAAGACTGTGTGCTATTGGAAGTCATTTACGTGGAGCATAAGAGGTCTTGGTCGCAGACCAGTGTTGTAGAGAATGAGTGACACTAGTGATCTGGTGGATGGGAAGTGGCAGCGCTTACCGCCCGTGCCTGAGGGCATGTCCAAGAGCCAATGGAAGAAGCAATGGAGGAGGCAGATGTATGAGGCTAAGAAAGAAGAGTATGCGGAGGTACGCAAGGAGAAGCGGAAGCGTGCCAAGGAGAACAGGCGGAAGAAGATACAAGAGTACATTGATCGCGGTGAGGAGGTGCCTGCCGAGTTGAAACGTGAGCCTCGTGTGAACAGGGATCAAGTTGCATCAGGTATCAACATCATTCTGGATTGTGCGTTCGATGATCTCATGAATGACAAAGAGATAGTGAGTACGTCTAATCAGATTACTAGGGCCTACTCCGCGAACAGAAGGGCCAGCCAATATGCGAACATTACGGTGACCAGCTTCAACAAGCGGTTGAAGGAAAGGTTTGACAAGGCATTGGACGATTGCAATTACCCGCAATGGCAGAACTTCAAGTTTGTCAGTGACGAGAAGCTAATCACAGAGGGCGATAAGTCGAAGATGGTGTATTTAACAGCTGATACGGAGGAGCAGCTGGACACACTGGAACCAGGTATGACATATATTGTTGGTGGTATAGTGGATAAGAACAGGCACAAGTTGTTGTGCTACAATAAGGCCAAAGAGCTCGGTATCCCCACGAGAAGGTTACCTATCGGGGAGTACATCAAGATAGAAGGCCGCAAAGTGCTAACCACCACACACGTGATACAACTGATGTTAAAGTACTGTGAGTCCCGCGACTGGAAGGAATCGTTCGAATCCGTGATCCCTTCGAGAAAGCTAGACCCAGTGAAAGAGAAGGAGCAGCAGCAGCAGCAGCAGCAGCAACAGCAGTAATGTATAGTATATCAATGTATAAGTAGACAGAGTGCTATAGAGACGACTCAATTACAATTCCACACGTAAAACACATGATATTCTTATTGAGGGGGGGGGACTTCGGCCATTATCCCATCGGAATTTCAGGATCTTCCTTTGCAGTTTCTGAAGGAAAATGGGATAAAAGGAATTTATACGTATCATCTGCATAGAATATCTAGTACAAAAGGGCTGGATTTGAGAAAGAAAATTGCAAAATATCGTTGGGATAAAGGCTTCTCATACTAAAGAAGTTGCGAGACACATGACGGTCAAGTAGTCAAGAAGTCAAGTAGTCAAAAAGACTGAGAGTGGATTTGCACATCTGTTGCAAGAGTACCTTTCATGTTTCAGACTTTTCAAGTCCTTGGGGCAGCAACTGAAGAAAAAAAAAAAATAAAAAATTCAAAAAAAAAAGCTTGAAGCTCATCGCACTGATTATAGCTTAGTGCGTTCTTGAGATTAGTCATATTCATTGCAATTGAATCAAATATATAAGAAGTATATTATACTTTAGGGCTTTCATAACCTCAAGTTGAGAAAATCCTTGGAAGCAAAGTAAAAAGAATAAAAAAAAAATAAGAACTACGATAAATGGTTTCTTTTGTGCCTGTGGTATGGGATTCGCAGGCTGTTAGTGGTATTGCTGGTTCTGTTTCTATTGCGTGCTGGGTTGTTGTGTTTGTGCCGCAGATATATGAGAATTTTTATAGAAAGTCCGCTGATGGGTTGTCTCTGCTGTTTGTGGTGCTGTGGCTTGCGGGTGACGTCTTCAACCTTGTCGGTGCGATGATGCAGCACTTGTTGCTGACTATGGTGATTCTGGCTGCCTATTATACTGCCGCTGATGTGATTTTGCTGATACAGTGTTTGTGGTATGACAATGAGGAGAAACTGGACCCTATTCACTTCTCGCCCGCAAACCCGATAAATGAAAATGTGCTGCAGGATGTGTTTAATGAGCACCAGCCTCTGTTGACCAGTGGCGAGCCTACAAGGGGTTCAGAAGCAGAGAATAACTCTCGTTCCCAGGCCATCGAAGCCCTGTTAGAGGCCGATGAGCAGAAGACCAAGAGATCGAACCTGTTTAACGACTTCACTATTGTGGCCCTTGTCATCCTAGGTGGTATTGTCTCCTGGTATGTCTCTTACTGTGCCAATCCACCTGAACCTATCGTAGGTGAGCCTGACGTGGAAATGAATATGCTAGCTCAGTCATTTGGCTACTTGAGTGCTGTGTTATACCTGGGTTCTAGAGTGCCTCAGATTCTACTGAACTTCAAACGTAAATCCTGCGAAGGTATCTCGTTTTTGTTCTTCCTTTTTGCATGCCTGGGTAATACCACTTTTATAATTTCAGTGCTTGCAATCTCTACCGATTATAGATATCTCCTGGTGAACGCTTCCTGGCTGATAGGAAGTTCAGGTACACTGGTAATGGATTTCATAATATTTATCCAATTTTTTGCATACGGAACAAGTAAGCCCATAGAGCTTCCAAGAGATGAAGAAAGGTTGGCCTAAGCCCGATGTCAACTTCAGTAACTAGCTACTTATGGAAACTTGGCTCTTATTTATTGACACGGAATATATTCTCTATAATGAAATGGGTAAATTGGTGATTCCAGCAAAAGAGAAGCATACATCTCCAGGCGGTAACCACCTATGGTGAATTAGAAGAGGTATTATATAATTTAACATTTGCTTTACGATCTAGATATCAATAATATATTTGCATTGCATTATTATCTCAAGTTTTTGTTTTTCCTACTCGTCTCATTTTGGGCAATGCACCATCTCATGTTGTTAGTTGATTCAGTATCAGCAGTGACAGTATTGCTGCTTGAAAGTATAGTACAACAATGCATCCCAGATTACTAGTTCAGGAGATTTCTGGCAGCTAAGTTCATGAGAATTGTATAATGTAGTAGGGCCTGAACTTTCAGTCTTTTTGCTTTTGTGTCAAATTTAGAAATCGATAACTTATAGTCGGTTGCTCATGGATTCAGCACCAGGTGAATTTGATGAAAAGGAAGAAGATCTACAATCTATGGGATAGTAAATTTATAAGATGGTTGTGGAAGCTGTGCATTTTTCAACTGCATATTGACTGAGAGTTATAGAGGTTGTAATAAGGTTATGGAATCCATTATAGAAAACGATACCATTGAGCAGGACTCGTTAGATAGTATCGAGTTGCGTGTGCCACAACTTGAAGATTATTCTATCCACACATATGAGAACTCATCAGATGGGACAACTTCCTACTCTGACGGAAGCGAACTTAGCTCATCCTCGAGCAAAGTGAGCTTCCGCGATAAAGTTAGGCAGATATTTAAGAAAACGCCTAAGACGGACGCAAATGAGGAACATGATGAACAGAGCAATAGCTCATTCTCGTTTTTTAGAGTGCACAGAAAGAAGAAATGTCCTGAAGAAAATGAACTTGAATCAAGTAACGATTCAGAGAAATTGGACAATCTTCAACCAAATGACACCATTGATGGATACTCAAATCGAGAAAATATCATGATGCAAAATGGTTCAAAATCACCTAACAATGATCATAGTGTGGAGGCTAACGATTCCACCGGTCTCTTATTAGCAAAAAGCATAGACAACATCGAAGATTATAGTGATTATGAAAATGACGCTGATATATTTGATTCTAATGATCAAGGAAAGCCGGAAATCTCTCCGTTAACTCCAGCTGAGTTTAATAACGATTTGGGAAAATATAAAGGTGTTTACGATTTTTCTGAATTCTTCTATGAGGTCTGGCAGCTTATAACTAATGATGGGATTACTTTAGAAAGTATTGGAAATCAAAAACCTAAAGACTATCTCCTAGAATCCATACGGCAACTAATGACAGAAAACAATAAACTAAAGGTGGGAATGGAAGAGTTTGAAGAGGAGTTGCTACAAAAGAATACAGAGTTACAGAAAGCTAAGAAAACCTACAAGGATAAACTGAAGAAATCTGAAGACAAATACAAAACTATTATTAAGAAATACATTGCTGAACTAAAAATTATGACAGACGATAAGAACAATACCGCTTGTAAAGAACTTATAGATTTTGATTCTATGAATCAAGCTTTAAAACAACGAATCGCTATTTTGGAGTCTGAGTCAAATGATTTGGACACAAGAAATAAGGCATTGACTGAAAAGCTTGAGAAAATGACTGAAAAGGTTGGTGAAGTCTCTAGGCAGTTAATTACGATGCAAGAGGCCAATGAAAGGTTTAAAGAATCTCTAGATGATTCAACAACCAAGATTGAGAGAGCCAGCTTTGAGATCGATAGGTCCTGTACGGCAATTAATCATTTAAAGCAGAAATACGAATATCAAAAAAAGAAGACATTGACCTTACTGAAACGAGACAAAACTCAAAGGAAGATGGCTGAATTTTTTGAGACGTACATGAGAGAATCGTTGTCCTTTGTGGGCTACTTATTAGAAGCATTTAAGGGCAAATTTAACGAGACTGACTATAATGAGTTACAAAATTATTATCTAGATATAAGCAAGATAACGGAGCTCAAAGGTGATTTACGAGATGCTGAAAACGTTGATTCTAGAATTCATAGTCTGGAAGAGATGATATTTAACTTTTATTCTGTTGCAGCTAAGGCTCAATTTGTAGAGCCTATATTGGTGAGGCAGGATACTGCTGAGAGATCAGTTACTTTCCTAACTGGCCAGCTTGAAAGTCTCAAGAAAGAACTGCAAGAAACCAAGAAAATAATTAAGCAAATGAAGAAGGCCAGTTCAAACTCAAGCCATTATGTCAACAAATCACAAAGGAGATTAACAAACAAAACACATACTGAAATTCTTGCAGATTTACCAATATAATTATTCTATTTTTTATACTCATATATATGCACTTTACGTAACGGATACGCTTGAAACTATAATGGGCACCATAATGATAAAAGTGTCTGGTTATCAGCTCCAAATCATCGCGATGAGTTCATTGACACATTCTTTAATTCGATGAGCCGATCACTTTACGCGTTTGTTTACATTTCTTTTTTGTCATTTGCATCCATTTTCCGATTTTACGTGTCGCAGCTGAGGACTTCCCTATAATAGCCAAATCCAGACTTATAACAAATTTGAGTGTTATTTTCGATCAGGAGGTTATATAACATCAGATAAACTGTCTAAAGGTGCATTCTAGCATTGATATAGGTAAACTGCTAAGTATAAATTACTCCAACAAACGTTTGTGCTATTTATTGTTGGAATCAAGAAGACAGAGAAAATGGCATCTAATAGACCTGAATTAAAGTTTTCAGATATATCTGAAGAACGTGGATTTTATAAAAGATACGTTAAGTTACCTGAGAAGCCTTCTGGTACGGTAAGGATTGTTGATAAAGGTGATTACTATACTGCTGTTGGTGATGATGCGGTGTTCATTGCAGAAAATGTGTATCACACAATGTCAGTTCTAAAGGATTGTCACGTGGATCCAGCAGTTGCTAAACAATTTAATGAACCAACCAAATATGTGACAATGTCGCTGCAGATCGTGGCTAGTTTGTTGAAACTTTGCCTTCTAGACGTTGGTAATAAAGTTGAAATCTATGACAGAAGCTGGAAATTAATCAAAAGCGCTTCCCCAGGTAATATAGAACAGGTCTCCGATCTTTTAAATTTGAATATTGATGCGTCCATTGTTATTGCAAGTTTGAAGATACAACAAAATCCAAAAGATGCCCATGTTATATTGGGGTTGACATTCATTGATACAAGTAACTACAAAATTGGCATGATGGATATTATAGACAATGAGGCTTACTCGAACTTGGAGAGCTTTTTAATACAGTTAGGAATAAGAGAATGTCTAGTACCTGATTTATCTCAAAATGGTTCCACCAATCCAGAGTTAAAAAAAATCACAAACGTCATTGATAGGTGTGGTTCGGTGGTTACCATAGTCCCTAATTCTGAATTTTCTAATAAAGATGTCGAGGTAGACTTGGCAAAACTATTAGGCAACGATTTAACTTTAACACTTCCTCAGAATGTATCACAACTGGCCTTGGGTGCTTGTAATGCGCTATTAAACTATCTGCAGCTATTAAGTGAACAAGAGATGCTAGGTAAATATGAGCTTATCCAACATTCTTTAGAATCCATAATGAAACTAGACTCCTCAGCGATCAAAGCATTGAATCTTTTTCCACAGAATAATGCCACTTTCTTTACGCCAATGCAATCAGGTACAGTTGGATCAAATGGTGGCACAAAGGTTGCCTCTTTGTTCCAGTTACTCAATAACTGCAAGACAAATTCTGGTGTTAGATTATTAAATGAATGGTTAAAGCAACCTTTGACAGATTTTAGTGGTATTCAAGTTCGTCACAATCTCGTTGAATTTTTGATTGATCAATTAGAGTTAAGGCAAATATTGCAAACCGAATATTTACCTGGGGTTCCTGATATTCGTAGGTTGGTTAAAAAACTTAATAAAAATGGTACTTTAGAAGATGTTCTCAAAGTGTATCAGTTTAGTTTGAAGGTCCCAGATATCATTAATATTATTGAGTCATTCCTGGAAGATGATATCACAACAACAGATATCAAAGAATTGGTACGTAAAACTTGGTGTGATCCATTAAAAGAATTTATGGAACCTTTAAAAAAATTTGATGAGATGGTTCAAACAACCGTCGATTTGGATGCTTATGAAGAGAATAATGAATTTATGATCCGTGTGGAGTTTAATGAAGAACTGGCTAAAGTACGTGAACAACTAACAGCCATGAGAGATGAGATAAATGCAATCCATCTAGAAGCTGCAGAAGATTTAGGATTTGATCCAAACAAAAAGTTAAAACTAGAAAATCATCACATTCACGGTTGGTGTATGAGATTGACCAGGAATGATGCAAAAGCACTACGAAACCATAAGCAGTATATTGAGCTCTCAACGGTTAAGGCAGGTATATTTTTCAGCACAAGAAAAATGAAAGAAATTGCTCAAGAGACTGTTGTACTACAAAAGGATTATGAGAGATTGCAATCATCTTTGGTCAAAGAGATTGTTTCAATTACATTAACATATACCCCTATATTTGAAAAGCTTTCGCTAGTTATTGCGCACTTGGATGTATTATGTTCATTTGCTCATGCCTCATCATATGCGCCAATCCCCTACGTTAGGCCTACGATGCATCCATTAAGTTCAGACCGCAGAACAAAACTAATGAATTCCAGGCATCCAGTACTAGAAGTTCAGGATGATGTTACATTTATTGCAAATGATGTAGATATGGCTAAAGATGTTAGTGAATTTCAAATCATCACCGGTCCAAATATGGGAGGTAAATCAACATATATCAGGCAGGTGGGTGTCATCACTCTAATGGCACAAATTGGATGTTTTGTGCCATGTGACAATGCTGAAATATCAATTGTGGATGCTATATTATGTAGAGTCGGAGCGGGCGATTCTCAGCTAAAGGGTGTTTCTACATTTATGGTTGAAATGTTAGAGACTGCCTCAATTTTAAAGAATGCGACATCCAACTCTCTCATTATTGTTGATGAGCTTGGAAGAGGTACTAGTACTTACGATGGTTTTGGACTTGCATGGGCGATAGCTGAACATATTGCAAAAGAAATTAGATGTTTTGCATTGTTTGCAACACATTTTCATGAATTGACAAATTTATCTGAACAACTTCCAAATGTTAAAAACATGCATGTAATAGCGCATATCGATGAGTCAGAGAAAGCATTGAATAGTAACGACATTACTTTGTTATATAAAGTGGAGCCAGGTATTTCTGATCGCTCTTTTGGTATTCATGTTGCTGAGGTTGTCCAATTCCCTAAAAAAATTGTAAGTATGGCAAAGAGAAAAGCCAATGAACTGGAGGAACTTAAAAATACTAGTAATGATCTGAAAAGAGCAAAACTGAACCCACAAGAAATTGCAGAAGGCAATCTAAAACTGAAGTGCATGCTTAAAGAATGGAAGCAATCAGTTGAGAATAAGGGATTGTTAGATGTTGAAAAATTGTCGGAAGAGGAAACTCAATTAGCAATTGAATCGTTGTTGAAAAAACTATGTGATGCAGACCATTCTGACGATAGATACTTTTCTTACCTAAAGGAATTATTATAATACAACGCAGTTTTTAAACTGTTGATAACGGGAATGTTATGTAAAGCTTAAATAATTTTTTCCGGAAGAAGAAGTCCAGATGTTTAAATACGTAACGAAAATTATAGGCTTTGATCCTTGTTACTGACTGAGTGCCTCGATAAGTAACTTTGAAATGGCTTGATAAATTTGAAATCCCTATCATATAGAAAATCCTCCAATGGGAGAAGATTTCTGAAATTTTCTACATCTGCATCCGTGATGGAAGAACTAATGTTCTTTTCGTTATTATCTTTCTTATCATTGTCATCATGCACAGATTCATTCAAATTCTTATTCGAGTCTTTGTAAATTGGATAGATAATTTGGAATCCAGCACTATCTGCTGGGAATATAGAAGCGTCCTGAGATGTTGCGACTGAGGAGATACGTTCTTTACTGTTTTTCAGTAAAGAGTCTGATTCAAGAATTTTGACAGTATGAGAATTTAAATCGTTGAAAAGCTCTATAATGTGATCTTTTTCATTATTTTCTTCTTCAGTCTTTTCTGCTTCATCAACTTCCTGGAAAACACCATTTCGTTTCAGATTCTTCTTCAATCTTTCAACAGTGGTTTTTTTCACACTGATTGTATTAGCTTCGAGTTTCTCCAGGATTTCATCATAATGTTCGTAACTAAACTTATGTTCAACTGCTAGAGGGTGATTTTCATTAAAATATTTTATGATATACTTCAACAAGTAAGTGTATATGTATAGGGATACATTCCATTTCATGTTGTAACAGCCCAAATTCTTGAAATTCTCACCCATAATGCTGCTATGCCCCTTTATTAGCAACTCGATTAATGACGGAACTTCTAAATTCTTGGGTTTGTCGAGTTCATCGACAACGTGCATTAAAACAACATAAATACCCGTTAAAAATGGATATATTAGGTCGTTGTATGTATGAATAACAAAATTGACACCCTGGAATATTTCTACGAGCTTGACACTTGAAAGAATATACTGTTCCGAAAACTTTTTATAGATTTTAGGAATTTCATGGTGGGAAACTGGGAATAATTCCTGATTGTCGCGCAGTAATGAGACAATAAACATGCTTAAAATGACTACCAGATATAGATATCTCAAGTGGCAGGCCAGTACGTGTGTGCATGCCAACTCAAAAGCCAGGGCTGGGTTTTCATCAGAACTTTGAGAATATAATAATGAGATGTATTGTCTATAACTCTCTAACCGCATGCTTGGATGTAAGTTATCTTTCCATGTCTTCAGAGATTCAAAAATCTCGAGAGCTTTACTCAATAGTCCATCGAAAGTATTGTCCAAGGTATTCCGTACTGAGAAGCAGGTTGAATATAAGCTTGACTCTATTCTTAATAGTTTTGTGACATAGTATGATGTGAAAAAAGGAATATATTCGCAATAATTAATAATAATGGAAAGTGCTTCATGAATATCTGAAACCTGTTCACATTCTTCTTTCGTTTTGAAAATTTTTGGTAGAATATTAGTTTTAATGACTTCTAGGTAATTTTGGTCCGTTAACATATCCATGTCTTCTTCCAAAAGCATTGGCGGTCTTGATAGAGTGAACGAAAAGAGTTTATCAGTAGCAAAAAAATGCCACCACATACTTCTTTTTCGTATTTGCTCTGCCAAAGATAAATTTTTATAAGTTATTTTCTTATTCATTGACATATCAATCGTGAAGCGAACAGCAGTTGATAGAATTGTATTTGCTAGCTCAGTATTGTAGTTTGCCTGCAAGTATTTGGTCAAAAGCAGTAGTGGCAATAATGTCTTCGGCCCTGAGCAAACTGTGGATATCTTATGGTAGTAAAACATACAGTTCAGGAAGCAGTTGTTCTCTATTTCTTTCAATTCCGCAATTGAAGGATTATGTCTGTCTTTACGCAAAAATTGAGAATCCGCTGAGGTAAGCATTCTAGTTGCAAGTGCTCCCGAGCAAATAGATACATTTAGCAACAAATGTTCTGTAAAGGTCATATTTTCACCTTTATTTTCATAGTACTTATTGGTTACTTTATAGCACTCACTAGAATCAAAGACACCAGTGACAGATGTCAGATAAGCGTTAAAGTTTTCCATAATCCTTCGCGTATGTAGTTCAGAGGGTAAGTCATAAACCTTGAATTCTACACCGTAAACACAAGGTGAGGAGAAGTCGGTGTATTGCTTGATCTGGGCAACATACCATTTGAGGCCATTCGACAATATACTATTTAATGGCTCGGCAAATTGTTCATCTGTCATATTTTTGCAAATTTTTCGTTTCATCCAAAGTAGTTTTTGGTGAGTTAACAACGATGTGGTATATATTCTCCGTCTTGGCTTGGCCTGGTTTGTCGTATCGTCTACTTTCTCGTTTTGTTTTTGGACCATCTTATCTAATAGCCACTCAAAACGAGCAATGTTATCTATAACTGTAGACATTTTTCTATCCAGTATCTCCATTCTCTTTGCTATGTTCTCTACCGTATTCTGGTGCACAGGTTCATTATCACCATCGCTCTGTTTTTTAACTTTATGCTTAGTGCTATTAGTTTTAGCAGCAGGCTTAGGGCTCTTGTTCACCTTAGTTCCTTCACTAGAGCTTTTCCGTTTCTTCTTTGTGGGTTCGGTGATAAAGATACAATCAACACCCGCCTTGGAACAATTGCTACATTTGTTGGTGTAGGGGCTGACCTCGTCACATTTAGTCTTCCGTTTCCTACAATATTCACAGGCTTTTGCAGCACGTCTCTTTTCCTTATGAAGCTGGCCGGGCATCTGGGAAATGTTGTTCATGTAATTGGCAGACACTGGTTGTGGTGGAAGTGGAGTACCGTTTGCATTGGCACTTGTATTGGCGTATGCAACAGAAGAACCACTCATGGGCTCCATCATAGACCTATCCATTACCTGATAACCTCCCATTTGGACAGGAATCATATTGCTCATGGGAATAGCAGCATCCAAATGTCCATTAGTGTGAGCCATCCCTTGTATTTGCTGTGCACCATAAGAAGCAGGCGTACTTGCAGCAGTGTTGCCATTATTGTTCTTTGATCCATTCACATTGGGCTGAACACTAGCGTCTATGGATGGGTACCGCGTCCCACTAACTTGAATATATTGTTCTGGCAAATTGCGCTGCCAGAACGGATCGAGCATCGGAGGAGACATCTGTTGCTGTCCAGTCTGCGATTGCGGCATGGGAGTTTGTCCCGGGACATGCTGAATAGCCATTGGTGTGCCCTGATTAGGTTCTGACATCAAGTATCGGTCGTTATCGTGATTGCTTATTATGCAATACTGTGCTCAGATGGGCTTAAATAAAAGAAAAATTTTTTTCGATTTTATTGTTTTAGATTATTTTATTCAGCAAAAAAACTAGTTTTACTTGTTATTTAAGCTTCACTTAAAAGAACACATTTAGTAATCGTCTCTCCGAAATGTTGCAAACGTCAACGGCTTCCTTACCAAGAATCTTATAAAACAATTAGGACCCCGATAATGGATGTGTCTTATTTGATGGCCCTCTGTCTTGCTCTTCCTCTCAGTAAAGTATTGCACTCTGTAAGAAGTCAGAGCATCGCAAAGGAATGGGATTCAACTCGGTTGACCTGCCCACTGGCAACCTGGGGAGAGATAATAGTGAAACACAGAATGGAGTTGCGGGAATTGATTCGTCGGTGCGACGTCTAAGGATACAGTTGCGAACAATGAAGGAACTGAAAGCCCTTTGACGAGTCTCTACCCTCTCGAACCTGAAACTCAATTCCGAGCAAGGTTCTACAGGTGGTGACAAGTGAGAAACATGGACAATAACTTGCGACCTTCGTTTCTTTTTGACTACGATTGACGGATATAACAATTAGTGTTATTATATTGCCTTATGTAAACTTATCTACTTGAGAAGGGCAGGGAAATGTGTCAAACCATTTCACAACCGAAGCATCCTATATGTGTGGGCTTTCCAGAGCACAACAAAAAGAATGCAAAGACTATAGTTCATCTACTATCTCATTAGTGGTCTCGAGCAGATTGATGAGTTCTAATTGGCCCTTGACTATGTCTAGTTGCCCGTCATCGTTCGTTTTAAGTATTCTCTCTAGCCTTGCTCGTTCATGGACCAGATTGTTGTGCTCGAGCTCGTTGTAGTACTCTTTAATGGCGTTCAGTACTTTGTCCTGGGCTTCAATTGGACGACCCTCTATAATATCCATTAGCTGGCGTTTCATGACGTCCTTGTTAACTACCATTGTTATAAAACCTTGCAAGGGGTTTACCGATCTGCTGCCTTCGAACCGAACGATCCTGTCATCGCTTATAGTCCATGTATTCTCACCAAATATAGCTCTCTTTACTCTCTCAAACAAAGTTGGAGTGTCTGTCACAGTAGTGTTGGCATCTAGCGTAGGTGGTTTCACCACCTCCACTATGGGATAGCCCGGTAGTCTCTTACATATGGTAGAGCCATATGTGTCACAATCAACTTCGACAAACTGTATTGGGGCATTCAGGTTGGATTCACTACTGAGCTGCTCGTCAAGTTCCTTGTACACCGACTTCAGTTTCTTGCAATGTGAACACCATTCCGTGTAGTACTTGACCACTGTATAGGTCCCATCTTTATTGGCCAAATCATAGAACTGGTCTATGGACTCGATCGGTATAATTTCCGCAAAGGCCACCGCAAGCACTGCTAAGATAAGACTGAATCGCATGCTATGGGGGAGTTAATTGCACGTTGTCTGATTGCTCTTCGTGATGGGTTCCTGTAACTGCCGTTTTATGCCTCTGATGAGCTTGAGTTCTTAAACTTAAATTTTTCACTCACTGAGAGGAAAGTAATTTAGACTTTCATTCAAAACTAGTGTTTACTTCAGAAATTGTAAACTCTCTTTGATTTCTATATATTACAAAACAAGATACTTGCATAAATAGTCATTTATGAAAATGGGAAGAGCTTAAGTTTTAAATGTACATATTTTCCTTTTCCGTGAATGTAAGTTCGAAGGCTTACATACAGATTCTATAACTGGCGTAACGGCCTGCAGTTTCACTCTTTCTGATGATCTTAACAACCTCACCTCTCTTTAGACCTAGGTACAGAGCAACAGGGTCAGCTCTTTGGATTCTTGGAAGCTGGGATTCCTTCAATCTGTATCTCTTCAGCAATTCCGCTTTCTCTTCTTCATTTAATCTTATATGCTTTGGAACAAGGTCATGGTGGGTGATGTTGACGACTAGAGCAGCCTCGTGGAAGGTTTCTATGGTTGCTGGAGGGATCGAGGGCACAAGCTTCATCGCACTTGGTGTGATGTTGTTTTGGTAGATGAAGATACCAGTTTGGAATTGTTTTTCTTGAATATGTATGACAAAAGTTTTCATAGTCTTGACACCGACAGATGGCTCATCACAGAACTCAACCCAAAGTGTACCCATATCTGGGAACTTAGTCATGGATTCCTCTGTAGGGTTGGCTTGGAAAGACATCATCTTACGTTGTGCTCTGCCCATGGAATCACAGTATTTTACCTTGAAGTCCTCAAGTGTTAGGTCAAGCTCCTCCTGGGCAATGAAATAACCTCTGTCTCTAACCATCTCCTTCACGGTTCTAAACGTTCTCCATAATCTGGAAATACTTCTGTCGTTTTCTTGATCCATTTTGTATATATATGTGTATGTTCTGTTTTAGTAGAATGCCTCCAAATATGCTAATCCAGTGCTTTTAAAAGGTAAAGTCCTTGTATTTTTGAATTTTCGATAAAATAAAGCTTCCAAATATAATTTGCTATAGATTCCTCGCTTTCTCAGAAGACAATGGCACAGCTCAACTCTATTATGACAACTCCTCTTACTAATCAACCTTACACAAAAGCTCCAATGATGCTAGAACTGGCTGATTTAATTGCTCGACAACTATTACCATCCATGCTTTAACTATTGCTATGCTCATCACATCTCGAATTGATATTTTTTTTTTCAAAAAAAAAATTTTACAGTTTACCCGGACCATCTTTAGCGGACTGTATAGCGATAATGAATGCCGATGATTCTTCCAAAGTATTGATTGCAGACATGAAATGTTGTCTGGCTCAAGTGGGGGGATGCTTGTCAGTGAATATAAATATATTTATATCTTGTATCAGGTATATATTTGTATACAGTTAATAATTCATGAATTATGCTTGAATGTTTTTGATATTTAAGGGTAGTTAAAGTTCGTAAAGTTGGTTAGACCGGTGTGAGTAGAATATATTATATGGGTTATAAGTCATAGTTTTCGGCGATATTGCAGAACGATATCACCTTGAGATTTCCAGAACAAGCTTCTTACAGTGCTTAGTGTCATGTCATTATCTAGCACTTGGCCCTTGCAGAGCAATTCCAGCCAATCGTTTGGATTTTGTTTGGCCTTCATCTCGGGAGTCTTTGATTCAAACCTATCCACCACGTATAGTTTAATCTTTTTCACTTTGATCATTCCGGGTGCCATTAATTTCATGTTTAATTCTGATATTTTAGGCAGATCCGTAGCGGTTAAGGCATGGTCGTTGGATTTTGACTTACCAAACTTCAACATGTTATGCATTGAGTGTGACTGGGTGCTGCTCTCAGTCTGACTCTGCGTATTTCCATCGTCATCGGTCTCAAGGGTTTCATTGTTGGAATTTAGTTGACCCGGGGTCCATGGAATGATTGTAAAACTTAACTTCGGTTGACCTTCGGTCTTCTTTGACTCTGTTAGCAAGATTTTGGCTAACCAGTATGGTAGGTTGGTCTCCAAAAGTTCAAATAATTCTCTCCTGCTCAAGACATTACCATCATCGTTGTCAACATAATCATACTTTTTCAATTTATCCTCGTCAATTGCAGCATTATCATCTTCCTCCTCTGTTTGAATTTTCTTTAGACCTTCTTCTTGCTCTTCTTCAGATCTAGGAATTGGTATGTATGTGGAAAATACTACACGTCCACCACATGCACCTTCTTTCCAATTATGTACAAGTAGTAGACAACCCCGCTCTATCTTAACGATAGGACAAGATAAGTCTCTGCGAATTTTGGAATCAGGAGGTTTTCTGGCCAGGAGCTTTATAGATGAAGTATTGGCGTTGTGTGTTTTTTGGTAGGACTCATGAATTTCGTCCATTAGATCAGACATGAACTCCTCCCTAGAAGACAATGATAGCGGAGTTCCAATGAAAGAGTCAGCCGCTGCGACAGAATTGGACCTTGAGCTTTCAGTGGCTTGTAGTCTTGCCGCAATGTTGCTATGTGAAGGTGCATTTTGTTTTGAACTATCCCCTTTAAAAGGATGGTTCCAGTTTATAAGGTCAGGGGTTCCATCTTTTGTGGTTGTTCCCGATACGTTATGGCTTGGGACCAGCGATTGATCTCTTTCTCCATTTTCAATAGGAGTCTCTGCACAAGATTCGCTTAGATTATTTGTGTTACTATTGTTTTTTGTAGAGCCAGATCTGAAAGATTTAAATTTCCTACCTAAAAGTGATCCTGAGCTCAATGTGCGACCTCCAAAATTCTTATGCGCAGTAGGTTGTATCACTTCATCAAGCGTCTTATCATTCAATCCTTGGGATGGAGATAAAGGGGGAGTGTCATAGGCCTCGCTCTCTGAATTCTCATTTTCGGTGACCAAATCTAGCGGTTCACCATTATTGCTGTTACTATTACTTGATGAACCTAAGAATTTATTAAAAGCGGATTTTTTCCATTTGTCTCTGGATTTTTCAACAGGAGGTACCTGGCTTTCTGAATTGCTGCCTGCTTCCTTAACGCTAGGGTGTTCCTTTTTTCGAGAGACAAGCTTTTTCCGCCATATCTTGTCCTTATCCAGTTCATATGAAATAAATTCAAAGAATAGAGAATTTACAACAATTTTACCTAGGTTATATCTTTCGTCCTGGTTGAGTGAGATTTTGTTCATTAGTTCGTAATTTTCCAGAGCTGAGCCATAAATCTCTGTATTAGTAAATCTGTCGTTTATCTTAACAAAAAGCATACCTACTTTAACGGAGACTGTACACCAGTGAGATAGGATTTCTTTAGAGGTATATTTCATAACTACCTCATCAAAAGTCCCTTCCTCGGGTGTGAATGTATCCAGTAAAGTACAATTCAATATATCCCATCTCTGTATTTCATTTTTGGTATTTTCTGTTATTACGTGTCTTCTATTTGTCAATAAGGAGCTCCTTGTCAATGCAAAACCACCTTTCTTGACTTTCAACTCTTCAGTGATCATATTGTATATATTCATATTAGAGTCAGTGCAAAACGAGAAAAACAAGCATTTACTAGGTAGGCAGATCAAGTCCAAAATACCCTTTTGTCTTTTACTTGACTGTACCTTGATATCATTCTCTGAAAGTTCGGCTTTGTGATGTTCCTTGTCAAATATCACATCCATGGTTATGTCCTTGGAACTGTCGTTATAATTAGTCAAATCCAGTTTCACAATCTTTCCCTTTGAGTCACCAAAATAGAGCTCGTCGTGTGAAGTCCCAGTAATACACCAGATTGTGGCATTCCATTTCCAGCAGCCAATATTCACTGGGACGTTATCTTCTGACTTAGCGGTGGCGTCCAGATCCCACAGTTGTATAACACCATCGGAGCAAGTACTGATTAGCTTACTGGAGTTATCTATGACTTTCAGCACTTTGATGTTGGACATGTGTGCGTTCTTTAACCTGGTGTATTCCTGGTAATGCTCGCTAGAGTAGAAGATCAGGTTACCGTTACAATCACCGACAACTAGGTCAAAGGGCATGTCCAGGTCCATCGAATGATCGGAGTTTGAGTCAGTGTCGGAGACCTCGTTCTCTGTGAATCCAGTACCGTCCAGCACTTTCTCCTTGAGCTGATCGCCGTCAAATAAGTGCGATATATCGTTTCTGTTCAAGGCGGCCATCGCGTATATAGACCCCATATCGTCATCCTGGGAGTTATCGAACGTGTGCAGCAATGTTGCCGTGTTCGACAGATTGTCCAATTGCCATATCTTAATCGTTTTGTCCAGGGACCCCGTTGCGAAATGGAAGAAGCTAGCTACGCTGTCTTGCTCGCCAGCACCACTCTTGTCGCGCCCTTGTTCTTGTTCCTGGGCCTGTTCCTGTTCTAGCTTTTGCTTCTGCTCCTGATCCTGTTCCTGGGTCTGGTCCTGGTTCTGCTTTAAAAGAGCCTCGTCCTGGTCCTCGTCATCGGACATGCTCAGCTGCCTGGTCGCCTGCATGTCCAAGTTCAGCATCAGCAAATGCGCCTTCTCTTGCTCGTGGTGCAAGGGCACCACACACTTGATATAGTCGTCGTGGTCGCCCACGATCTGCATCTGCCAGGAGTCCAAGTCATCGTTCAGCACCAGCAGCACGATCGAGAAGTCGTGGCTCACCGTCACGAACCGGTTCTTGCCGACCTCAATGATATCGCTCACCCAGTCGCTGTGCACCTGCATCCGCATCCCCTCGTGCTGCTCATACCGCGGGCCCCGGTGCAGCACCACAGACCCGTCCCGCCCACACGTCAGGAAGTATGGCTTGTCGTTGAACACAGGGTGCATCACCTTCGTTATCGGCAGGATGTGCGAGTTGACACCACACCCTTCATTCGGCGGTATCAGCCCGTAGCTCACAGTCAGCTTCATCCTTAGCGCTGTTCCACCTGTCTGCCAGTCACAAAAATCCCACCAGCAAGTTCCCAAATCCTTTCATCTACTACCCCAGGGCCATCCCCCCTCCCCCTTCCCCAAGCCCAAGCCCAAGCCCAATGGCGTATTATCCTGAACTTCCCAGCCGAGCCCCTAGGCCCCCCCCCCACCCGACAGGAATAAGTCACGTGATACCCAAGGTCTGTGGCCCAGGTGACCTGGCGAGAGGCCCAAACGGGAATATAAACTGTATATAAAGGTGATGGCAGGCGGGTACAAGCTACAAAGCTACAAAGCTACAAAGCTACAAAGCTACAAAGGCACAAGTGAGGCGATGGACGAGTCGCAGTTGAAAGGGAAGTTGTGGTACTGTGTGGACCGGCTGCTTGCGCGGGAGGAGCGGCGGTTCAGCCAGAAGTTCGTGAGCGCGCTGGTGGAGCTCGTGTATGTGCAACTCGTTGAGGTCGGCGAGACGTTGGAGAGCTACGCGCAGCACGGTGGCCGGGACGTGGTGAGCATGGCTGATCTGCGGCTGTTGCTGCGGCGGTCGCCCGAGCTGCTGGCTATGTGTGACCCTGAGGGTAGCCAGTGAGGTACCCATTAGGGTTTTCTTTTCCCTTGCCTTAGGTGCCGTTAGTGGTATTTTACTTAGAGGTAGAGGTATATAAACCAGTGCCATGTTCAATTTTTCCAACTTACTTCAAATTGTGTATTATATATTTTGCTAATGAGAGAAAAAAAAAATGAGATGAGATGAAGATAAAAAGTTTATTCGTATTTATGTCATAAGATAAATTACACAAAGAGATGAAAAAACTCAATTGTGTTTTTCCGTTACGTTCTAAAGATAATTAATTTAAAAAAAAGATAAAGAAAAAAAAAGAGACGTTTCTGTTCTTCCTGCTTCCTGCTCTTTAAATGAATTTTTCCATGCTAGCTACAACAAAAATTAAATTCCCCACACAAACCGGTTTATCATTACAGTTTATCATAAAAAATATTAGAAAAAAAGTCATTTGAAATGTGGAAGAGAATTTAGAAAATGAGCAGCACTGGTTTAAAATTAAAAAATGGAAAAAGAATAAGCTCATTTAGAGTTGTGGAAGGGGAAGATGGAAGATGCTTTCAAAGATTCTAATAAAATCAGAAAAAACAAATCACTTTCTTTTTTTGGATTTAGAATTTCAAATTAAGCATCTTATTTGGAAGTGTCAACAACGTATCTACCGACGATTTGACCCTTTTCCATCTTTTCGTAGATTTCTGGCAATTCAGATAGACCAGCGATCTTGATTGGAGACTTGACCAAACCTCTGGAGAAGAAGTCCAAAGCTTCTCTGGTGTCAGCTCTGTTACCGACGTAAGAACCGACGATGGAGATGGACTTGACGACGTGGTTGAAGACGTCAGAGGAACACTTAGCGTTAGCTGGCAAACCGACCAAGACGACGGTACCGTTGGATCTAACGTATCTGGTGGAGGATTCGATAGCAGCTTCAGAGACGGAGACGTTGATAACACCGTGAGCACCACCGTTGGTAGCAACCAAGATGTCTTGTTCGACGTTCTTGGACTTGGTGAAGTCGACGAAGATTTCACCACCCAATTCGTGGAACAAAGCCTTCTTTTCGTCACCACCGTCGATACCCAAGATTCTGTAACCCATAGCCTTGGCGTATTGGACAGCTAGAGAACCTAGACCACCAGCAGCACCGGAGATGGCAACCCATTCACCGGCGTTCAAGTTAGCGGACTTCAAAGCCTTGTAGACGGTGATACCGGCACACAAGATTGGAGCGACTTGAGCCAAGTCGGTACCTTGTGGGATTCTAGCAGCTTGGACGTAGTCAGCAGTAGCGTATTGTTGGAAAGAACCGTCGTGGGTGTAACCAGACAAGTCAGCTTCTGGACAGTTGGATTCGTTGGACTTTTCACAGTATTCACAGGCCATACAGGAACCGTTCAACCACTTGATACCAGCGTAGTCACCGATCTTCCAGCCCTTGACGTTTTCACCCATGCCGACAACGACACCGGCACCTTCGTGACCACCGACCAATGGCAACTTGGTAGCCAATGGCCAGTCACCGTGCCAAGCGTGCAAGTCAGTGTGACAGACACCAGAGTACTTGACGTTGATCAAGATCTCGTTAGCCTTTGGCTTTGGGACTGGGATGTCCTTGTATTCCAACTTACCGTTGTTTTCGTAGAAGATAACACCCTTTTGGGTTTCTGGGACAGCGTGTAGAGTAGCCATTGTTTATGTGTTTTTTGCAGAATTTAAAAATGTTCTTGTTTCTCTCTCTGTAAGTAGTGTAAGAAGTAAAAGAGAGAAATGTGAAGGGACCCTGTTTCATGTTTCTTAAATACGTTTTTCTGTTCCAGAAAGAAAAAAATTTTTCTTTCCATTTTTTTACTTTGTTTCTTTGTTTTCCCATGAGTTGCTGCATGGGGACAATGGAGTAAAGGATATCTCCTGACTGCATTTTGCCAATCCAAGGGCATCGTCTAGTTTGTCGATTGTTTGAAGTGGCTGTATTGTCTTGTGTCTTGCTGTGTTGTGTCTTGCTGTGTCTTGCTGTGTCTTGTCTTGCTGTCTTGGAACAGGAATCCCTTCTCTCTCTCTCTCGATAGTTGGGGCCTTCCCTTTCATCACACCTTTGCACCCTTTGTAGGGCACTTTCCAGCAGCACCTTCTAAAGCAGTTGCTTTGCAATGCTGGTGACAGGGGGGTCCTGCATTCCACTTTTGTGAGTTCGTAATCAGTACAGGGCTGGTGGGGGGGTACCTGATCTTCCTCTTTCTGCTGTCTCGTTCCTTTTTCTGGCATCCGGGTGTACGGGTGTAAGACTGTTCTCTCGGTTTCGGGATTCCTCTCTTTCTTTCCTCATTGCCTCTCATATCCGTGTCGTGTCGTGTCGTGTCGTTGAATAACTCCCCAATCACCGCCCCACCAATAGCTTTTCCCTCTTCGTCTCTCGGATTTGTGCTGATCCCCACCCCGTTAATCCAACTGTTGCCGCACCTCGTCTTTGCCACCAGTCCCCCCCCCCGCACTCATTTCCCTCCACTTCCAAAACCAAATTCCGGTTTTTCCCTCTCCGGTTTCTTCACTTGTCACATGCTATATCGTGATTGTGTTTGTGTTTGTGAAGTTGTACGTATGTATCACATGCTTGTGCGTGTAACAGTATGAACACTAGGACCGTTCCTAATCTTCGGGAATGCCGTAAGTGCCGAAGGGGCCGGGGGCCGTGGAGGGGAGGGCCGTGGAGGAACCACCTCATCCCATCTCATCTCATCCCCTACACTTGTTGCACTTGCCCTTGCACTGCGTTGTTCATTGACATCATTGCCCAGTATGTAGTACTCGGAGTTAAATTCTTAATTAAAGACCCTTAATTCTATCTAAATTAATTAAACTAATAAATTAAACTTATACCAAATTCATACCATTTACATCTATGGCAATTCAACCTATATATAACACACACACACATAACATAGTACTTTTTTACAATACTCTAATACTTGGTATATGGATCATATGAAAGAAAATATATAACACTTTAATAATACAATGGCTGCAGATACTAGTTCATCTACATCCGCTTTCGTAACTACATTGATATTCAACGGTGTCGTTGCCGTGATATTTCTACTGCTGTTCTGGTACTTGAAACCCAAAAACAAAAGGGTCTATGAACCAAGAACCCTCACTGATATACAGACCATCTCCGAAGAAGAGAGAATAGATACCCTCGAGTACGATGACGAGAACTCCTGGCTCGGGTTCTTGCTCTCAAGACCACACTCTTTCCTAATACAGCACTGCAGCATCGACGGGTACCTGTTCCTCAGATACATCGGCATATTCGCGGGACTGTCCTTCATCTCGTGCTTCATACTGTTCCCCATACTGCTCCCTGTCAACATCACTAACGGCAACCACCTCGAGGGCTTCGAAGTGATGTCCTTCGCAAACGTCAGGAACAAGAATAGGTTCTACGCTCACGTGTTCCTCAGCTGGATCATATTCGGCCTCTTCACCTACGTGATCTACAGGGAACTGTACTTCTACATATCGCTCAGACACTCCTTGCAGACCACCCCGCTCTACGACGGCTTGCTCTCCTCCAGAACGGTGGTCGTAACCGAGCTCTCAGACACGTACAACCAGGAAGGCGAGTTCGACAGGCTCTTCCCAAACGCCGCACACATCATCTTCGCAAGAAACCTCAAGGAGCTCCAGGACATGGTCAAGGAGCGCGACGAGACCGCCCAGAACTACGAAAAGACCCTGAACAAGCTCATCAACAAGTGCGTCAAGAAACAGAACTCCGAGAAGAAGCGCGAGAAACTGTACAAGGACGGCAAACCCAAGGACGACCTCTCCACGTACGTGCCCCACAACAAGCGCCCAAAAAAGTGGATCAAGCACTGGCCCTTGCCAACGTTCCTCGGCGGTGAAAAGGTAGACCTCCTCACATACTCCACAAAACAGATCGGCGACCTCAACGACAAGATCAAGGATAAACAGCAGGACTGGCAGAAGAGCGACCACCTCAACTCCGTGTTCTTGATATTCGACACACAGCTGGAGGCACAGAGGTGCTTCCAGTCGGTACCAGACATCCTAGGGTTCACAAACTATGGCAAATGCCTCATCGGCTGCACCCCAGACGACCTCAACTGGGATAACTTGAACTTGACAAAGAAGGCCCGCTACATGAAAAGACTAACCGCTAACTCCATATTAACTGCAATGATCATATTCTGGGCCATCCCTGTCGCAGTGGTGGGTTGTATCTCAAACGTCAACTTCTTAGTCGAGAAAATACACTTCCTACACTTCTTGAACAACGTCCCAAACGTCATAATGGGCATCATCACAGGGTTAGTCCCATCGCTAGCTTTGTCCATTTTGATGTCCTTGGTGGCTCCTTTCATCAAGAAAATTGGTGAAATGAGTGGAGACATCACAAGACAGGAGACAGACCAATATTGCCAGAAATGGTACTTCGCTTTCCAGGTGTTGAACACCTTCATCGTGACCACTTTGGCTTCTTCAGCTTCTTCAACTGTAACAGCTATCATCGATGAGCCAGGCTCGGCAATGACCCTGCTAGCAAATAATCTACCAAAGGCTTCAAACTTCTTCATCACTTACTTCCTATTGCAAGGTCTAACTATGCCAACTGGTCAACTTTTGCAAGTAGCAAACCTAATCCTGTCAAAGTTCATGGGTAGAATCCTCGACACTACACCAAGACAGAAATGGAACAGGTACAATACCTTATCTAAGCCATCCATGGGTGTCGTGTACCCAACAGTTGAAATCTTGGTTTGCATTATGATTTCATATATTATCATTGCACCAATTTTACTTGTCTTCAGCACAATGACTTTCCTATTCCTCTACTTCGCATACTTGTACAACTTGAACTTTGTTATGGGCTTCTCTTTTGATTTAAAGGGAAGAAATTATCCGAGGGCTTTATTCCAAGTGTTTGTCGGTATTTATTTAAGCCAAGTCTGCTTGCTCGGTTTATTCATTATGGCTAAGGCATGGGGTCCATTGGTGTTGGAATGTTTCTGGATTGTGGTTACAGCCTTGGCCCACATTTATATGAAATGGAGGTTCTTACCATTGATTGATGCCATTCCATTAAGCGCCATCTTGAACGCTAGAGGTAGTAAGAAGCACAGATACCCTCAAAAGGATCAAGGTTTGAAGGAAGTCAAGGGTATCGGTGAAGACATGAAGAAGCTGTTCGAAGATGATAATCATAATGGTGTGCTAAGACCAGCCACAAAGGGTGACTTGAGAAGAGCTGATTTGCTACCAGAAGATGAACTTGAATCAGACTCTGAAGGCTGCGGTGATGACATCTCAACACTAGGTGACATGGAAGAAAGTTTGCCAAAGAATGACAGAAAGCAAAGTAATGTGACTGACGGGTCTAAATATGCAAGCACATTTGTTGGAAGCGATGAGGACTTCAAGAAGTTGCACTATGCTGATGTTAAGGACATGAAGAAACAACAACAGAGTGGACCAGAGGTTAATCCTGAAGGAGCTGTCGTGGGTAATGCAGATGTTGGTAAGATCTTTAGTGATCCTATGGCTATGACTGATGATCCTAATGCTTTCCCAGATAACATTTTGCCAAGTCAAGGTAAATTTAAAAGACTGGCTAATTTCTTCGAACCTAGTAAGAGTTATCCATTCTGTAAGGTCAGAAATAGATTACCACACAGTTTAAACACCACTATTCAGTATAACCTGGATTATGCAGAAACCGCTTACACTGATCCATCAGTAAACTCTACTAGTCCTATCGTATGGATTTGTAGAGACCCTATGGGTGTATCTCAAAGACAAATCGATGAAGCACACATGGACAATGTACCAATTACAGATGAGTTCACAGAATATGATGAGAAGGGTAGAGCACAGTTCACCTTTAACCCACCAGACTTTATTCGCAAGGCAAAGAAGTGAATCATTGAGAAATAATGAAACACTTCTAGACACTCTATTCTTAAATATCCAATGATTCTTTATTTTATTCGGCCCTTTTTTGTTTTCACATTCAATATTATTCCCACTCACTAATCATAATCATTCCAGCGAACATTTACAAATTTTATAAGATTGCACCTATACTAATGTTTAATTACTATTTTGTTTATGTCAGTAACTAGTTAATATATTCCTAATGATAATAATAATATCAAAAAAACCTTACGTGCAAAATGTCGCATATCATTTATAATTTCATGTACACTTATCAAATTGGACTGCCTGATTAACGGGCAGCATTGATTCTGATATCGTCCAGTATAGTCAACATAGACTCACCAAAACATAAATACTAATTAATTAAAATCCGGATTTCAAAAACAAAGAAGTCTCAAACTACACCATTAATATCAGTGAATCATAGTTTAGTTAATTAGAAAACACAGCTCTTGTAACCAATATTTTTAACACAGTGGTCATAATCAATTCACTACTATTGTAGGATGACTGCTAAGATTCTCATTTATGAATCATGTGATTTAATCGTCATTGATAATACTTTAGGAAAAGGGTATTAACCAGACACCCCTACAGTCATCTTACCATCCATTACAACATTAGCATATAAATAATCATAGTCGTGAGTGTGGTACATGAGCTAAGTATAACTACAATAACTAGTAATCAAACTGTATAAACCATGGGCATTACTATAAAAACAGTAAATGGAGATCAGGTCAATGAGATCAAATTTGATGACTGCAGCTACGCATTAAAGGTCTTCCCGTTACTAACGGTGCTAAAGTATAAGATAAAGGATCTGTACAAAGAGGCGGATGTTGTATGTTACTATGATGGGCAGTCCAAACTAATACAAAATGAAAGAGAACTGTCATTTCCTGACGGATCAACTCTAATTATAACGTTTAAGAGACAAGTAGCAACGAATTATGTTTCCACTGATGACCTAGACGCTCAGGAATATGAGATAGTCAGTGAGAAAGAAGACAATGCTCAAAAGTCTGTCAATGTTCCCGTTGTGGTCCTGGATGCTATTCGCAAGCAAGTCGATAAGATGGATACGTTCTTGAAGAAAGTAGCAAGTGAGCAACATGTTAATGAGGAGAAGTATTGCAAAATGGAACTCCCAAAATTAATTGATGCTGAAGAAGCTAACGATGTATGTGATCCGAAAGAGAAAGCGCTCGAGATATCTCATTGTTTTGAGGTTTACAAGCGATACAAGACACTTTATTACGAGACGAAGGGACAACAGATAAACTTTTCATTCGAGGACTATTTAGACTACATACTTAAGAATACAGATCATCAACCGATCAAAGTATGCTCTCAAGCATTCGTGCACTTATCTCAAGATTATGATACGGTGACTATCGATCTTGTTACCACACCAGGAGAGTTTCCAACAAATCACCAATTGTCCGTTTCTACATCGAACTCAAATTTATTTACTATCAATTTGAGTGGATTCTTCCCAAACACTGGAGGAACAAAAAAATTCAGATACTTCCCTGTTACCGAGGATATCAAATCGAAGCCCTTGAGTGTAGCTATTAGCGACAAGACAACAGGCCGTATCACCATGAAAGGTAAATCTGAAGGTAATTCCCTACCAAAATTGATAAGGCTATCTACGGTGGTAGATAAAATCGAAAGTTCAATAGACCTCGACAGCATACAAGAACAGACGTCAAAATTATACGACGAAATACTGAAATATGAAACTGCAAACAAAGAGACAAGCATCATTAGTGAAGACGAATCAGCAATAAAGACAGAATCAGCGAACTGGGAAGAGTATGACTTTCTAAGCGACTCTAGTGTATGACTTCCACGAATTGAATGCTCAGCTTCATTATCACCCACATATAAATTAACTATACGCCAAATATATAAATACCAACATAGGAAAAGTAAATCATATATTCAGAACATCTGCAAAAGTTGTAATCTCAATTGCATGCATTATACGTTGTTCAATATCCTTATATTGTTGCCGTAACTACATTGCTCGACATCATAATGCCCCAGGAGTTCACCTGCACGGACATATTCACGGAGTGGGCACAATGACGAAACAAAGGCATCCTTCACAGCACAAAAAAAAGAAAAGTAAAGGAACGAAAAAGACAATTGAAAGTAGGAAGATAATAAATGCAGATGTAAAAGAAACTGTCAAGTACTCTTTCGAATCTAGTCTGTCCATTGGGCGGTTATTTCCTAACAGCATTGTACTCAACCTGACTTTTGATATTGTTTTTAATTCTTAATTAGACCTCGACGCTGAAAAAGAGGTGTCATTAAAAGGAGGAACTCCTAGGATCGAAAAGAAAAAAGAATCAATACAGCCCGTGCTGGTCAAGGGAAGTTAATACCATAGCAGTATCAGAAGTTAATTATCATTGAAATAAGGTACATCGTTACTAGAATAGCTAAAGCAGAAATTATAGAAGAGAACCTAAAGAAAGAAAAAAAGATGAGTTCCGATTCGCAACCTAGACCTTATATGGTTGGGTCGATGGTGAACTACCTATTCTTCAGCAGATTATTGCCATTGCTACCAATCGAGTCCACTGCTACATCTCATGTGGAGGTTGAGGCAGAGCCATTTTTCATTTCAATTAGGGGTGTCCTGATGAAGATTGCTATCTTTAAAGATTTGAACATTGTGATAGAGAATGCACTTAATTTATTAGAGTCTATACTTGACGATGAAGATATTATATCTGGAAAGATAAAACCAGATGCAATTCAATCGAGCTTAGTGGTTGTACGATTGCTAAGTGACATTGTGGAATTCTACTGGCAATATAATGAACAAAAAAGCAACGATAAGGACGATATGAACACCAACATAGATATTTTCGAGATCAAAAGTTTTGCTACACCAGACTTTGATCCTATGGCTAGAAAGAAATCCAATTTTGATTGGCAAAAGAAGCAACAAAATATGTCGAGTTTCTTTGTCGGATACTCAACGTCTAAGACGTGCTATCATCAAAAGCCTCCCAAAAAACTTGATGGAGATGTCATATCGAGACTTATATATACATGTGCAAGGTTGACGTTCAATACACAAACACTTGAAGTGCTGAAGAACATAGAAAAACATTCACCCGAAGATGTTCACCAACCTAACACGTTAGACCACTATGATGCGTATTTGAAAACAAACAATTACCCAGAATACTGTAGTAACATGGATAATACGATAAATCACATATTAAAGTTTATTGCCGCAGCAAATCCAAAAGAATATGTGAAGTTTGTGGAAACTAACGTGCAAAATCTTTTGCAAGAGAATGCTCTGGAGGCCGAAAAATACATTATAGAATATTTGGACTTATTTAGTTATGCTTTCATTACAAAGGACTTCCTACCGACTTACCTGAAGAAGGTGAGCAGTGTGTTACATTCTTTGAAAAATCCAGCATACAGGTGCTTACTCCTTTTCTTTGCATCAGAATCACTACTATATTGGATTATGCTGCGACCTAGGGATTTTATGGGAATATATTCGGTGGTGGAAGGTCACCATCCTGGTTCAACACATCTAGAGGTGAATAAAACCACCAGTGTTATAGCTAATGAATTATTTGAAGAAATCTACACCATGTTTAACGTCAGTTCGATTTTATCTAGTACCCAAAGCATTAATATTTTGAATCCAATCAGATATATGGAAAGATCTGTCAGTCCGATACCTACGGAATCCAATGAATATCGAACGAAATCGCATAGAAATAGTTTCCTGGAGCGAGAAAATAGAGGACTGAAATCTTCATCTCCTGATCCATTAGAAGTACACACACCGGCCCCTCAGTTTGGTGACGTGTTCCAAGATGTACCGACTCCCATGTCTCGAACTTCTCCAGAGATTACTCTGAATGCCTCTGACTTGATAAAAAATTATCCTGCTACCGCCAGAAATATGACGTCTTCAACAGCTTCTAATTCTTCTAGTAACTCTAAAAATTTCAACCCATTTGTCGACTTCGATACCATCAAAATACAACCTGAGAATACTAAGCCAGAAATACCTCACTTGGACAATGTTTTAGATTTGTACACGATTCATGACCAAAGCATTGCGCTACCTCATACTTCGGTGCTGCGGTTCTTAACCACTTTAGTCATGATTGATTTGGATGCCTTCACGGAATTGAATTCGACACCTTCTAAATATTTAACAGATATCGATAAACTAACCAAAGGAACAGCTACTTCTAGAACATCGTATAGTAAATTTGATTCATCAAAACAGAAAGAGAAGAATGGCAGTATGAAACAGCTATCAAATAGTTGGAAAAAATTAACAAATTTGCAGCTGTCAAAAAAGAAAACTGTGAAATTTTTAAAAGCTCTAATTAAAAATCTAAATGGTCTTCAATATGTCTGTGACAATGCCCTCCTCGATACAATAGGATCATTATTGTGCTTGATGAATATGAATTCAGCTCTTTCGCTTGTGGAGCCAAATCTGCCATCTGTCCTTTTTTCGCGTAGATTCTTAGTGGTTTTAGGAAAAAACTTAGATGTTGGTGAAAACTGGGATGGTAAGCTTAATACCAGTATGATTGAATGCTTGCAAAAATATCCAAAGGTACATGGGCGTTTCTTGCTGAGCTATTTTTCATCAGCAATACGATTTGATTATATGTCATTCTTAAACCATTTAAATTTGGAGGATGCTCTCAATTCATTTGATTTACGTAAATTGAATTTCTACACTGAAGGTTTTAGAATTTTCTTTCACTTACCCAATACAGAGTCGTTATTAAAAGCTGTAACTGAGCAGACATCAGATTTTATAAAGATATTGTTCTCCAATATTGCTGACATATTGTTAGCAGCCAACGCATATTTTGGAGATAAAGTTTCTGATATCGTTAACTCTATCTTGGATGGTACTATATTAGACGAATATGGAACGAGGAAGCATTTCACTGGCAGTACGTCCTCCGATGTATCATCCGTCAGGTCCTTCTCTCCCCTACAGAGAGGTTTTACGCCTGGGATTAGCCCATCATTTTCTGAAATTGAAAACTCCGGACATTTGTATGCTTCCGCCGAGTCAGCTTCTCCAAGGATTTCCGATTCAGACTCAAGCCAAACTTCTCTAGAGAATAGCTCTCAAACCGAATCTCAACTATCTCATTTAGTTGCACCTCGTCCCCATCACATTCCACCTACTTCTTCAAACTTAAGGACTTCTGTATTATCTTCTGCTGCTGTGAGAGAGAAGTCATATGCATCTTCAGGAAGAAACGCATCAAACGAACCTACAGCAAACATTGCTGCGGCTTTAATGACGGTAACAACCTCAACTCCATCAATAACCAGCAATGCAATGAAATCAGCATATCAAAAGTCAAAGAGAAGATATTCAGATGAAGCAGCAAGACGATTTTTTAGGTTGAACATGTCAAATGTCTCCGAAAATGCATTAATGGACTCCAACAGTGAACCAAATCCTGAGGCAAAATATATCATGATATCAATATTCAGCATATTCAAAACACTAACTAAATACTTCATTGTTCCCCATGATCAAAATTCGAAGTCTAGTTGGGTTTCTAAAGATTTCCGTAATATTATCAAACCAATCTTTGTCGCATTTATTAGTGAGGACGATAATTTACAGTCAAAGGCGAAATATTTTATGGATGTTTTAATCGAATTCGTAACCAAGTTCAGTGACTCTACCGAACCTTTAACCATGCAAGGTTATCATCTGATTTGTAGCTATACGATTATATTATTTGCTGTTGGTCTATTTGACATGAAACTGGACACTAAGAAACGGGAAAGTTTACTTGACATTGTAGTCCAGTTTATGCGTGTAAGATCGCATTTGGGAATAACTGCCGAAAAGACTAATCAGATCAACATCATTAAGGATATTGAATGTGCAACATTTCCAATGATTCTGGGCATCGTTGGTAGAGGACTCTTTGTTTCCCTATATTGCAGTAAGCCAAGTGTCCAGAAAATCTTGAAGGCAGCTTTCAGCGAGTTCCTAGAGCTATTGCAATTTCATGACAAATATGCAGAACAGCACGAAAAAAATTGGATTGACAATGTCAAGTTTATACAAGCAGTTTCTGGGGATACTCACTCCACGTCTGGCTCTGTTGCATTTCAAAGACGTGTTCGAAGAAGCATCCTTAATCACATAAAGTATCCTGATTCAATTCTCCTTGATTCATTTAAAATGATATATAGGAAATGGTACTCTCTTTCCTTGTATACAGATTACTCACATGAAGATTTGAATGATTTTAGAAGTTTTGCAGGCATCATAGCAACTTTGTCAGGTGTTCTATTTGTTGGTAATAATAGTGACAGAGAGAACTATTCTTATCTTGAGAGTATGAAGGCTGAATTAATTAAGGATCTTGACTATTTCATTGCAATGCAATGTAAGTGGCTTAACGATACAGATTTACTAACTAGAGAGAACTCTAAAGATATTTTGAGTTTAGAGCTACATCCTTTATCTTTCAGATTTTTATTCAAAAATTTAAGATCTAGATTACAAGAGATTTATGACCTTGATCTTTCAGAGTGCGAACAAGAGCTAAATTTTGTTTTGTTGGAGCAAATTATTATTATATTGCGAACAATACTAAACAGAGAGGATGAAGAGAAATCAATGCTTCTATTTTCTTCCGAGATCGTAGATTTTATTGATGAACTATGCTGCCAAGTGGAAAAAATTCCTCATACCAGTCCAAAGTATTTTAAGGGTATTATTCAGATGTCTAAAATGTTCCGAGCCATGAAAAGTGCAGAGGGAACGTTAGCATTGATGAATCACTATCAATTGAAAAATAAGTGGCTGAAAATTGTAACTGATTGGTTTAAGTTAACAATATCAAAGAACTATGACTTCGAGAATTTATCAAAGCCACATAGAGAAATGGATTTGAAGACTCGTGATTTGGATATTCTACACATCGATACAGCTATAGAATCATCTAGTGCAATTGCTTATCTAACTGAGAATCTTCCTCTAGAGACACCAGCATCCACGTCATCGGAAGAACTCAAGAAGTCTCAGGCATTAGTTTTTGGCCATAACTTTAATATTCTCTTCAAAGGTCTAGAAAAGACAAAGGATCCAGAACGTTTTCCTGCATCATTGAAACATAAAATGAATGTCTTCACTGAGAATTTGATACTTTCTTTAACCAACTTATCCAATAGGAATGTCGAGGCCAGCTTACAGTTTACATTGCCAATGGGGTTTTCTAAGAATAAAAATATCCGCCTGGCGTTCTTGAAGGTTTTTATTAATATCGTCAAAAACTCAGAATCTTCTCAAACTCAATCACAAAAAGTTAGGCTTGAGGCCATGGATAAATTATTGAAATTCGCAATTAGCCACCCTAAATTATCTCTTGTAGCTGCTGCTATCTGTCCTGCAAATGATCTAGATGCCTATGCAGCAGACTTGGTTGATGGTTTCAATACCAGAAATGCTGCGCATTTAGCGGTATCTCAACTTATCGATGCAGAAATTGAGCAATCTACTAGATCTACAGATATCCTAAGAAGAAATAGTGTGGCTACTAGGGCATTATCAATGTTAGCTCGTCTCAAGGGTAACAAATATCTAATTAAGACGTTACAACCAACTCTTTTAGATCTAATAAGAAATCAAGAAGTATTTGAAGTGGAAAAATCGAAACCTCCTGGTGAAAACTATGAAAGAGACGTTGCCCTTTTCAAGAAGTATATGAATAAGATTTTGGACTCAATAACAGATTCTCTTTCATATATGCCTCCAGAGTTATTCTACATTTGCCAAGGCATCTACCAGAATGTCAAAGAAAAATTTCCAGATTATGCTTTGGTCGCTGTTGGGTCGTGTATGTTTTTGAGGTTTATTTGTCCCGCTCTGGTTAGTCCAGAATCAGAGAACCTAGTCAATACCATATCTATTAAGGAGAAAAAGTCTTTTATATCCTTGGCAAAGGTAATTCAAAATATTGCAAATGGTTCAGAAAACTATGTAAAATGGGAATCCTTGAAAGATGAATGCCAATTCTTTGATGAATGTAAAAAGAAAATATTTGATTTTCTTGCCGAGGTTTGCAGAACTGATAGGGAGCTAAAAATAAAAATTAGGACTGATCCAACGCCACTACAGTTTGACTTTGGATTTCTACACAACTTTTTATACCAAAATGGTTTGGCTATTAGAAAGTTCTTACTAAGTAAGGATAATAATACTGAAAACTTTGAGTTCTTGAAAAATACTATACTGCTTGTGGATTCCTTACTAGGGGAATTGGGTCCTCCACGCTTACAATACTCTAGTGGGCTTCCTGATTTCGTGAGAGAAAATGCTACTACTTATCCTCAATTATACGAATTTATGAGTAGGTACGCTTTTAAGAATGCTCATACGCTCCAAAGCGCCACTAATTTTGTTCAAGAATCAATGTCTGCACAAGGTATCCCAACGTTGACAGTTTTGTTCGGAAATTTCAGCTCCAGTGATTTAGAAGCGGAGATTTTAGCTTATAAATTTTTGAAAATTTACTCAAGAATATGGTCTGCAAAACACTATCTTATTCTCGATTGCACTAATTTTCATAAACCAAGAGCAGATTCAAAAAAGTTCACGACAATGCTGTGTACTTTAGTTCCTGATATATTTGTCAGGAATTGTATTGGGTTTTACTATTTTAACGTAAATGAAGAATTTATTGATATGTTTTCAATTTATTTCCGCGAAGAAAATCCATATTTAATACCTGAAATTCCACATTATTTTATTAATAGTAGCACGGACGATAAGCTTGTAAAAACTTTAGGTATCGGCAATGAGGGTCTGGACATTATTGAGGATGTTCGTATATCTCTACATGATATCTCCCTTTATAACGAAGAAAAGAAGCGATTCACGCCTGTGCTACTAAAAATGGGTAACAGATACTTTCAAGTTCTTCATGAAACCCCAAGACACTATAAAATCGATGAGATCAACTCACTAGTAAGCATCAAGTTTAATGATGTCTACGATATTAGTCAAATCTCTGCTGTTCATGTGTCATCCAGTACAGGTATCATGAAAGAGTTTACAGTTATCTTCATTGATGGTAAAAAGCTGGTATTCAGCAGCACTAAATATTTGGAAATTGTTAAAATGTTTTCTCATGCTCAGTCAAGATTAGAAAATGAATACAATATTGCTTCTGCTACTAATAATAATATCAGGCATGGAGGAGAAATTCTATCTTTAGAGAAAGAAGCCGAGAGCTTGAGTGAAAATAAGAAGATTGTATGTCATATATTACTTGTCTCCTTGGTAGGCTTGTTTGATGACGACAACTTAGTTAAAAACTTTTCATATAATTTACTGGCCGCAGCAGAACAATCATTTCACCTGGATCTGGGTACTCATTTTCACATGTCGCCAGAAATATATGTTCCTGACGATACAACTACATTTTTATGTGTGATATCAGAGTCATTATCTCAAAACTCTCCCGAACTAACCAGATATTTATGGGATTATATTTTAGATGGTTTAGAAACATGTCTATTACCACATAACATGATTCCGCAGACAATATGTGCTCTTTCATACTGGACACACAACCTCTATGAGTTTGTTTTCTTAGGTCATCCAGAAGAAGGTCCTGAGGCCATTTCGAGAATATTCAGAAGCCTTATTAGACTAACGATAGCCGAACCTGATTTTATTACCATATACGTTCAACAAATATGGTGTCTATTAATAATTGATGGTCGATTATCAGATATACTAGTTGAGGAGGTTATAAACCACGCTTTAGAGCGTGATTCAGAAAATAGGGATTGGTCTAAAACCATTCATCTATTGACAGCCTTACCAACTGTGGAGATTTCTAGTTGTATAATCGACAGATTATTGTTCAAAATACGTGGATTTTTGCCATCTTTGAGAATTGAAGCGTTAACTCAGAGTTGGTCAGAATTGACAATATTGGTCAAAGTCAGTGTTCATCTGTTTTTTGAAACTCCTCTTCTTGCTCAAATGTTTTTGCCTGAAGTTTTGTTCATTATATCTTTATTAATTGATGTTGGTCCGGTTGAACTGCGTAATTCACTGCATGGCCTACTAATGAATGTTTGCTACTCGTTATCCATGAATCTAGCTCTTGGTGAAAATGAAAGATGCCATCTAGATGAGATTACCAGAATATTTTCAACTGAGAAATCGAAATTCATGTTTGGATTCAGTCAGGAAAAGGGAAGCTTACTACAAAGTTTCACCACTACATCAGTTTCAAGCAAGTTCAATATTTTAGAATGTTTCATAACAAACATGATGGCTTTAATGGATTATGGTGCCACAATTGAATCAGGTCAATGGAAAAGTAGGTATAAAAAGTATTTGATGTCTTTCGTCTTCAACGGGGATTCCTTCTTATCAGCCAGGGCAATTATGATTGTTGGGATTGTTGGGAGAAATAATGCATCATTAACATTATGCCGGAATTTGCTAGGTGAAACAATAAAAGTTTCTAGTATCCCGGTTGTCAATGAGGAAACTACTTTCCTCCTCATTGCGCACATATTTTGTTTTTCCAAAATTGTTGATGGTCTTCACCCAAGCTCCCCCATAATCAAAAAAATGTTTTGGTTTGCAACGATTTTCCTTGAATCAAAGCATCCTATTTTATTTGAATCAGGCTTGCTACTGATGTCCATGTGTTTGAGAAAATTATACGTGTACAGGTTTGATGACTCCCTAGAAATGGGACCTGTAATCCCTCAGCTGATGGAGGACAGGAAATTTGCAGACAGATTCTTATGTGAGATTGATGAAACATATGGTGTCTCCTGGAATATTACAAACTTTACATCTATTATTATTTCGTTCGTTATTCGTGGTTTCTCAATACCATTTATCAGATCTAATGCTCTTTCATTTTTATCGATGCAGTTCAAGCATAACTATTACGAACATTTGATAGATAACACATCCGAGCAATTCTATCCTTACATGTTTTTAATGTATCTACTCTTTGGTACAGAACAATTTATTGAAATACTTGAAGATTCTGATTATGAGGAGAAAATTGTATATTTGGATCAGCATATCCGAATCCCAATGAGTCTTTTGGAATGGCTAGGTAAAGACAACGAAGCATCGCAGGCCACATTATTCCAATGTGCAGCCCTCTTCAGCAGCACAGTAACTGATGAGCCCTTTAAGCTGCGTTTTTCGTTGATATTAGAATGGCTTTTGAATGAAAATCCGTTATGTGTTTTCAAATTCTATGCTCTAATTCGTCAAGAATTGAAGAGAATATCATCTTTCGAAAGAGTTTCTGATTGCGGGCCAGTCATTTTTGAAATTGTGAGACTGTTGGTATTGCATCCCGAATTTGACAGGCTGGATGAATTCTATGATAGTTCTGTGAAAACCTTGAAAGAGAGGGGATTAGCAGCACTAACGTCTAATGAAAATATTGAACAAGATACAAAAACTCTGATTACATCCCTGTTTGAAAGTCCAGAAACGATATTTAAACGTAAAAAGTTAACGACACAAATTGTAGCTGTAATGATAAGCTCTACATATTAATAAGATAAAATTCTATAAATGAGATAATATTGAATAGTTAACGTGCTTTAAAAACTAACTTTAAATGAATAATTTCTACTATATATAAATGTTTTGTTCAATGCAAATTTAAAGGCTGTTACAAAATGTGATGGCGTTCTATTAGACACAAATATGCAGTGTTATATGTCTTTTATGCAAAGTAATTTGAATGTTCGGTCTGACATTTTATCTAGAATGAAGCTAATTTGGATCTAAATAGTCATGATTAATGAAATTTTTTTCTGTGTTCCTTATCGAAATCTTGTTTAGCAGATTTATATATGAGCATAGTCGCTCTTGCATCTTCGACTGAAGAGTGCTGCCCTGACTGGATATCCATGTTTAAAATCTCCTTCGCGAGCTTTTTCAAACTTGGAGATTTTCCTTTTGCATATTTTTGCCTAAATGGAAGATGTCTAGCAGTATCGATAACTTTGGATTTTGGATGAGAAAGCATCAGGGCCTCCAGATCGTGCTTAACTGCATGACCAACCAATATCTTATCCTTCAGTATATCTGATAGTTGTTGTTGTGCCTGCTTAAAACTAACGGCATTCTTCATATGATCTGGAGTTATACCACTTACCCATGTTCTCCAATCCGTAACAGTTTCTCTAGGCTTCACAAATATATCTAGTACCACATTACCATGAAAATTTACTAATGATACTCTGGCCAATGCGGAATCTTTACCTTCCGGTCCAACACCAACAAATTCACAATCCATGGCTATATATTTACCAATTTTGTTAGCATCTTTTTTAGTCTCTGTAGTAGTTTCAACTGTATCAATCTCAGTAATTGTCTCAGTGAACTCGAACTTTTTACCTACTTTCTTGTTTTCCTTTTGTTGATCAATCTCTTTATTCATTTGGTAGATCATACCCATTATCTTACTCTTGGGTTTCTTATCTTGTCCCACCTTCTTGATAATGTGTGGCTTCTTATCAATCCTTTTCTTTCCCGCCTTCTTGGTAACGCCATCTTGTAACTTGCTCCAATTAGATGATAACCTCATTTTTATAGTCCAATTTTCTTATGCAGTTACCAGTATTACAAGATTCAAGTCCATGAATCAATTACTTATATAAACTTATATGCAGAAATCCCACAAAACTGCTCATCGCATTATACCAAATGCTCATCGCAAATTTTAGTTGTGTCCCTCTGCACGCTGCGATTTTTTCAGTTCAATTTGAATCATAGCCATTTCTCAAAATAATAATAGATTAGCCATTAAATGTGCATTATCAAACTCCAAGGTAACTGTAGCGTTGTGTTGTGATATCTATGAGATTACTGTGGATCCAAAGTTTTGATCTTCCAGTTTCAAGTTTATTCATCAAACCGCAATAACTAAACCACGAGAACAGGAGAAAATAGGGTATACTATAGATTGATTGTACCTTAAGACACAGAATGGATACCGTCGCGTCTATTAATAATCTGAGGGCGCAATTCTTTCGAATATGCCCCGAAAAGGACCAGATGTCTCGAATAATCAAACCCTATATACCACAGACTGAAAAGGACGCGATTGTAAAATATAGCACGCAGGATTATGACAAAGTTGATCCTAAGATATCAGACGTGTATACTAATCCTGATGGTACTTCCTTACTTACAGAGATGGAGTCCCCGCCGATATCGAAGAATTTTATGGATAGCTATGCGACCATTGCCAAGGCAAGGCTGAAAAAGCATAACGAGGAAGCATACTTTAGAGGAAATCGAACATTTAACCAGGGAGATTTGAACAATAGGGTGATTGAAACTAAGGATGATGGTTACAATACGGATGAGCTAAAAAATGAAAATTTGACACAGGTCGATGGTACATTAATCGAAAAGAGTCATAACGATTTTATTGCTAATAATACACTAAAAAATAATTCTATTTCGACAAGCATATTGAATGATGACCTCAGTGATAACGTAGTATTCGAAAACACATCAGCGAAGAAGAAAGATGCTAGAAAATCGGGATTGCCCTTTGTAAGAATTTTTAAAAACAAAAAAGATAGTAATGCAATTCCTTCTAAGCAGAATAACACCAGCTCTAACTCAAAAAATAGAAAGAAGAGTTCATCCAATTCAAATGCTGGTAAAACGGATAGCGGCTATTCGTCTGTTTCAAATAAATCATCAAGGTCAGATTTAAGGTCAAAGAAATCTAGTCAAAATATTGGTAATCATAGACAAACACATACAAGACGGAAAAGTAAGTTCTCCATGAACTTTGATTTCGATGAAAATTTAGAAGAAGAAGAGGAGGATGAAGATGAGGACGAAGAAGGTGCTGATCTTCATTCAAAATTTTTTCGATTAGATAGTAACTCTTCAAGTCAACAGAGCTTGTCACAAAATAATGAGTATACAGGTAGCAGAGCAGGTTCTGTGCTAAACAATAATGGTAGCAAACTAATCCATGGAATCCAAAATAGTAATAATAATAACAATAATAATAATCACAATGTGACGGTAAATGGTGGCAAATATATTAATGATAAGTTTAGCAATCAAAACAACAAATCAAAGCTTCATGCTGGTCATAGCTTTGTTCAAAAAACCACGGCTCTTGATTCCGGTAAAAGTGTCAGTTCTATGCATGGGTCATTAGTCAATGGCGCCGTGCAAGGACTTGATGGTGCTGCGGTTAACTCTGTTTCGGCTAATGAGTTGAAGTCAGTACATTCAGCAGATGATGCCATTTCAGATCTTGATTCTTTTATTGAAGCTCAGAATTTAGAAGAAATGGATTTTGATGCAGCTGGTAGCGACATCAACAAGATTGTCTCCAACGATTCTCAACGGGAAACACATATTTCTGATGAAAATGGGACGAGCAGACTGTCATTAGCTGATGATATGAACAGTATAAGTGATGCATCATCTTATGGTAAGTCATTGTTGGGATCTGATTACAGTGCAGATGAATTGATTAAACAGGACGCTTCTACTCTTGATTCTGCGTCATTGATGGCAGCAACTGATATGCAGACTCATACTATACCATCTAATTCTATACCCATGTCTATTGATAAGTTTGGATTGTATGAGGGTGTAGATGACTCTACAATAAACAACGTCTTCGGTAAAGCTGTTCAAAATTTAAAGACAGAGTCGTCCACCGAGAAAAAAAACGTTGTTCCTCAAATGTTTTTCAGTTCACCAAGCACCGCTAATAAGGCAGAGTTTGGAACAAGCGCTAATTCTACGGGTAAGATTAATACGACACCCAAAAGCACTCAATATAGATCTAGATCCAACTCATATGATCAGGCTCGTTATAATCGATATGATAGTAGGAAAATTAGGAAAGGTAGCCAGAGTTCTGTTGACAGAAATAAATCTAATTCTTCACAATCGAATGGCCAAAGTCATAAAATTGAGTTGAATGATAGCTTGGTTATCGAGCGCCGTACAGATTTATCGTCTGCAATACCTGCAGTATCTCAGTTATCGACATTGTTCAAGATGCAGAAGCAAAATGCAGGTAATCCTTTGAGTGCGTTGCAATATTTCTCATTTGTTTCTGGGAGTAAGGTTGCCAAAACTGATGTCATGCAATTGGAAGTCTACATTCAAAACTCTAAAAAATATAAAAGGGACCCCTTTACTGTCCAAATCCGTAAAAATTCAACTGTTTTTGAGGTGATTGGGTTTATCTTGTATTCATACGCCAATGACTTCAAACCACCCAATTTTGAATCAGATGGACTTACAGTAGATAAAATTGGTAATCCAAACAATTTTTCTCTATCAATTGTCGATGAAGATGGCGAGCCGTTTGAGGATAATTTTGGTAAATTGGATCGAAAGAGTGAAATACAGACAGTCTCTGACAATGAAGTTGTTCTTTGTGAGGTAGACGGCAATGAAAAAGAACTGAATGAATCTATGACACCTGTTCCTTATGACACATGTGGTGATATCGTCGATGGAAGTAAATCTGCAGCAGTAAGTAGGTCGTCTAGTGTAGGGAAATCTGAAAAGATCAACCAAAGAAGCTTCTACAAGCCAATTGTACAAGATCAGGATGATTTAGAGAACACCCAAGGATCTAAGATTGTTCCAATAACAGTATATTTGTATCCAAATTTGAATCCGAAATTCAATTACACTACAATTAATGTGAATGTTACATCGAAGATTAACGATATCTTGGTTAGATATTGCAAGATGAAAAATCTCGACCCCAATGAATACTTGCTAAAGGTGGTTGATAAGATGAGCACTTATGATTTAAATGATACTGTTTTGAAGCTAGATGGTAATTATTCTGTTGAATTGATATCTAAGAAAGAAGCACGCGAGAAAAGACTTGAAAAATTAAAAGCTGACACTTCGATGCCGGTCTTACCAACCATTCAAAGTAGTGATATGACACCATTAACTATAGATCGTGGCGGAAAGTCGTTCTTAAAAGGTAAAAATGAGGATAAAACTTCTGAAGTAAAGGCGACAAAAAGTAAGAAGTCGTCATCCAAATATAAGCTATCTTTAGCGAAGCAAACATCATCATCTAGCAACCAAAGTGCCAATGGTCTTGGTATTGGTAATGGTAATATGCATACTATCGGTGGTTCTAATGCATTAACTAGCGGTGCAAACTCTTTATTCAAGTCAAAGAACTCTTCAAGGTCCTCTTTACATGGCCCTCTACAGTTCTATAATATAAATAGGTCTCAGACCAACATTGATGTCAAGGCAGGGCCAAGTAAGCCTTTAAGTGTAGATGACAGTACAACCAATAATAGCGCAAACAACTTTCAAGATCTATTTTCCGGTGCTTATCACAGATATAAAGTGTGGAGGCGCCAACAAATGTCATTCATTAATAAGCATGAAAGAACATTAGCACTTGATGGTGACTATATTTACATTGTACCTCCCGAAGGTCGCATGCATTGGCATGAAAACGTTAAGACTAAGTCATTACATATTAGTCAAGTGATCTTGGTTAAAAAATCAAAGAGTGCACCGGAGAACTTTAAAATATACGTCAAGAAAAGTCATGACGATATCAAACGGTACTACTTTGAAGCCGCCTCTGCTCAAGAATGCACGGAAATTGTAACCAGATTACAAAATTTAATGAATGCATACAAAATGAACTTGAAATAGATGAAAATAGTATAACAAAATGAACCTAGCATTTAGTTTTAATTCTTATACCGCAAATATACATTAGCGACTTCTATACTATGATGTTATTGGTCGATTTAACATCGTTGTGTACGTATTCATCTACGTTTCAACAGGTCTCGAGGTACTCTTAGTCTGAATCGAGGACTATAGGCTTTATGTAAAAGTAGTGAACATTGGCTATATTACAAAAGTATTACGATAAGTATAATAGTATTATGATCTAAGCTTTTAAATTACTAGTTTGCTAAATAATTTTAGGTCTTCAGATTTCAAAACACATCGGAAACTAATCATACGGCTAAATAATGGGTTCAGCATATCAAATTCTAGGAAGATCCTTTCAACCACACCAACTTGCTATTGGTACTTTATCTCTAGTTGCACTAGTGGCTATGCCAAACCCTTTTGCTGCTAAGAAGGCCAAGGAAGTGGAAATTCAAGCTTCTTCAAAGGAAGAAGAGAAATTCATCAAGGAATACTTGGAAAAACACAAGTAACTGTGCTCATCAAATTAGAATTATTTATATGGCAACTTGGTTATATTCAATGGTCAGGTACTTTTTTATTTTTGATTCTATGCCAATACCGTGCATTTATTCTAAACAAAATAAGGGTTGGTTTAAGTGGTAATAAGACCTTCATGTACATATAAAGGGAGGAATCTTTACTTCAGGTTGATGAATTAGTTGAAATGCTACAATTAATTTCAACAGTACATCAAATGAATATTGGAATCCTATATCTGAAACTAATCCGCACACACTGTACTTCATATTCAAAGACTTTCATTTTTAGAACATTCTCTATAATAAGTATGTATAAATATAACATCACAAACAAATATGGACTTCCTAGTACATAGTTTAATCATATCTTTATGTATGATAATAATGCGTGAATTGATAATCTATTCTAGTATACAAATATGTTGTTATTATTATTTCATTTTGTCAGGCGGAGACATTATCATTATCTAGTCTTTAAAAAGAACTTCGTTAGATAATGGGTCTGCGGCAAGAACTGCTTCTCTCTTCTTGATCTTTCTTTCAACAGCAGCATCAGCTCTACTCTTAGCCTCGTTGGCAGCCTGTTGCTTCATTTGTGCTCTGACAGCATTTGGTGAAACATATTGCTTGTTCTCGTAGATCTTTGGACCACCAAATGCACCTTCAAGTACAAGGATGACAGTCATGACAAATCTTGGGCCGATTTCCACAAGGGAGATATCATTATCTTCTTCACCTTCTTCATACTCGCTCTTGTTTCTGGCGCTATGGGATATTTCATAGGTTCTAACCCAGATCTTGTCATCAACAATACTGAAGGACATGACATGATCAATAAATGGTTTCCTCTTTCTGGAGGTTGGAGGAACACCAAAGTTATGTATCATCATCTCTTTAATTAGTTGGTAATGAGGAGTTGTGTCGAATCTGTTGTCAAAAGATAGAATGGGTCTGGACCCTTTCAGACAATTACCGGTAAAGTTCAACTCATCCATTGTGTGCAGGTTTTGAACATAGAACTTGATAGTTGGTCCATTAGGTGGCTTGGACATCCACAAATAAAGATCCTGATGCTTTCTGGCCTCAAAGAACATGATATTGTTACAGTTGTAAAGTTCAGCAATCTCATTCAGTTGTTGCAGATCCTTCTTTGTATCTAGCTTTGGTTCTTTTCTGGTATGTGGTAACAAAGAGTGTAAATCCTGAATTAAGTGGCGGTGTCTATAGTTAACACCTCTACTAGAAATCAACAGTGTACGCTGCTTGTTCATATACAGCTTACCATTACCACCATCGGTCTTAGAGGCTTCCTTCTTGGATTTGCCTGACAATGCCTTGAATATAGATGACATTCTTATTGTTGTTGTTCCTGCTGTGATAATATCAATTGGAGAAATACACTAATCGAAGCAATACCACATTTTATTTATAATATGAAGAAAGTATTTTGCAGCTCATCTATCCATGCTCATCGCAAATTTTCACTTTTTTCAGTTTTTGGAATTTTTTTTTCACTATTTTGTGCTACATCCATTTCTAGGAAGAACTTAAGTTCAGGTCGATTGTGACAAAAAAACAAGTTGACCGCATGAAATGGAGGTAAATAGCGATGAGCTAACTATATATTTTCCAGTAACAGCAGTGAGAGTAGCGTTACTGAGATACTATTGATTCCTGCTTCAACTGCTTTGTAAATTAAGGATTGTTGTTGGGTTATTGAAGGAAGCAATGTCAGACAAAATAGAAGAAGAAGTGCTAGAATTGATTAGAAGGTCAAATTTCAAACAATGCTATGATTATGTTGGTAAGTTGAGGAAACAGTATCCAAATTCTGCTTTCCTATTAGCGTTAGAATTATATGTTAAGTATAGGCATACTCCTCAAAAATTTGATCGAACTTTGCTAGACACAATTCAAACCTCTGAAACACATGCGCTATCATTTCTATACAAATTTTATGTTGAATTGCTATGTTATGATAAAGCCCTTGGTGTTTATGAGATTGCAGCAACAAAATACCCTAGCTATGAGACTTCTTATATGTGGTTTAGTAAAGCAGTGGAAGTTAACGATTACAAGGCAATGGCTAGAGCTAGTCTGCAAATGGCAAAATACAACTCTAACTCTAATGACACCAAATTGGAGTGCAGAGACTATCTGATTTGGCACGCCATCTCCGTTGTGGCATTATTCAGATGGAAAAGAAGCTCAGTATCAGAGACAGAGTCGAAAGTCCTGCCTCAATTATGCTATAAAAATATGCTTAGTCTGAAACCTTTCAAAAGTGTACAGGAATTAATTATATTCTGTGAAGTATGTGAGACCTTATTTGATAATAAGTCTAAAGAAATTGTTGACCAAATTTTGCCAAAACTAGATTATACTGCAGATCTGTACTTGAAGAATTTTTTTGTAAGAAACATTGACAGCCTTGAGCCTCAGGAACGTTATAATTCCTGTATCAAGATCTTGGCCAATTACGATGATTTTTCAGTGATAGAATGTTTGTTAAGAGCTGGTATGGACTTAAATATTGACAAAAATACTGTTCTGGATAAACTCAAGAGTATGATAGGGGATTCTCGCAACTTTAGAGTAGCAAATTTAAAGGCTGATGTCATTTTTAATGGCAGAGTACAGGAGCACGCATTAAAATTTTACATTGATAAATTCTACAATAAGCCATGCTGCCATATAGACCTTAATAATTACTCAGATTTTATTGATTTTAAACAACTGAGGCAATTCTTTATGGATATAGACAGTGAAGACTTGTTTTACGAATACAATAAACTCATGTTATTCAAAGATTGTTCTGTAGAGCAATCCATTTCTATATTCAAAAAACATCAGAATGAAATAATTGTTAAATCTAAGACTAACATATCTAAAAATTCTGAGTTTATAATGAATATTATTAGGGCCAATGTTATAGAGAAGAAAGAGATGGAGATTTCTGATGTGCTGTTTGGAATAACAATTCTTGAAAACTATCAATCCCAAGATCTCTACAACTTTGAGACTAGATTATGGCTGGTAGTTTTTTATCTTTACTTAGGTATTGTACCGTTAGCATATTCCCATTTCAAGGAACTCAATGTTAAAAACGTTCAAGTAGATTCAGTAGAGTATGTGATGTATTCCAGGTTTTCAACAATGTTCCCAAATAAACAGCATGATTATCTCAAGAATATCTTCGACTGCCCAACGAATATCTACGAGAATTCACTTAAAAGACTCCCAGCACTTCTAAGAGTTAGCTTCGAAAGAAAAGCATATAGTAAAATTCTTGGGATGATTGAGTTTTACAGAAAATTAGAGGTATCAACCAATAGATGGATGCGTAGTATTGAAAAGAGTAAGTTGACTAGGTTGAATAATGAAAAGCGTAATTCAGGAATGACAGAATTACTTGTTCTCTGGGAAAGCCTGCAACATATTAATGAGCCTGGTTTGTCCGATAATAGAGATAAGAGTCTATTCCATCCATACCTTGATCTTAGATCATGTCCAGCAGTTCTGCGACAACTACATATTGACGAAACTTGGCTATATGCAAATATTTCACAGGAATTTATGATCGAAGCAGTTTCATCTAGGGCAATTGAGCCAATAGTGAAGGAGATGTTGTCGAATTACGATATTATAGAAAAGGTCAGCGCTAGTGAAACCATGACTGTCACCGAAAGGCAATCCTTCGAATTGATACACGATGTATATGCTAATGATGGCTCCAATGTGCTATCTATATTGGACAAGATTGATTTAGCTGAAACTAAAAGTATTGGATGGCTTCAAATTCATTCATATTTGCAACAACTAACAGTGCTAAAAACTTTAGATAATATGAAAAAACTAAAAGACAAGGTTGTGAAACAACAGATCAAATCTAAGCTCTCATATGTCAGAGGAAACTGTGATGAGATATTCGATGTAATGATTAGGGACATAAAGAAAGGAGCTGGGCAATTGAAATCTGGTGGTTATAAAGACATTGTAGATAGCTTAGGATTTAACGATTTGGATGAAAAGATTCTAGTTGATTCCATTAACACTGTTAGAAAAGTGACTAGGAATTTGTAGTTATTTGTACTTCCGATACACAGATCTTATAAGTTTACATAAATTAATCCATTAGTGATTACTTATTTAGACAGTTATGTATCATCTCTATTTACCATTTCAGCCATTCAAGTTTTGCTTTCAGCATCAAATAAGCTAGGAGTCTGTAGCAGAATGTGACGCATATTACAACACCCAAGAAATTCTTTGTGTTTCTATGAAGTCCATAAGCATCTAACACATCCCTACCAGTTTTTAACACGCAGGAACCATCAGCATTTTGTGGACCATCCTTACAAGTGAAATTTAAATTGTCTGGGAAAGCAAAATTAATGACAATAATAGAAGTGTACCATACAGGATTGATGTAATTAATACCTTTCAAAACTCGAGACATGTGTAGTGACATCAATCCTGACAATTGAGTTCCTATGGATAGAATAACTGAAATACAGTTGACAACGAAACCTGGCCTTTTAAATAATGTATTGGTCATTATTCCTAGAGCTTCACCACATGAAACAATCATTAGTGCACAATAGACATTGGCAAAAAAGTTTCCAGCAGTTCTAGGCATGCCACATCCAAACACCGTCAAGGCAGAATACACTATTGCAGCGATTGTTGTTAAAGGTAACTCGAGTGTCATGTAAGCCAAGTAAAAAGGTGCGACTCCATACACTCCATCTTTGAATTCCTCATAAAAATAATCTCTTTCAGGTGGATAAACAGCCAAGTTAGCAAGCATACCAACAAAGTATAAGGAGGTAGATTCTTGGGCTAACCCAAGTCGGTTGGATATACTCGTGTAATTGTGTTTTAATGGCGCAAAATATAATGCAAAAATACCACCTAAACCTGGAACTTGAGCAATACGTGCCATTAATGAATCAAAATTCCGGATTGTCGTTGTATATTGTCTTCTTAGGTTTACCATATAAGCCAATTTTAGGCCAGCGGGTTTGGAGAAGTATTGTCCATATTCATCTTCAAAAGTTTCCAGAGTATGTTCCTCTTCAGTTACGATTGACTTTTCAGCAGACAATCGTAATCTTTCTGCTCTCCAAGTTGACAAGATATTTTCTACTCTGGTCTTAGAGTGTATTTCATTTTGTTCATTTTGAGTGTTGACAGAGATCAGATCTAAAAAGAAATCTGCGATATTAGTAAATGATGGGCATTTATATCCCATTAAATCAAAATGTTTTATCATTTCCTCTGGTGATCCATTAAAGGCAGTCCGGCCTGATTTTGCGAGCAGTAATATATTCCCAAATTTCATAAATAACTCAGATCTTGGCTGATGTATGGTTAGTATAACCGTCTTATTATGCTCGGAGCATAAATTTTCTAGAATTTCTAAAATTGTCGATGAGGTAAAACTATCTAAACCGGAGGTTGGTTCATCAAGAAGAAGAATAGGACGGTCGCTTAATAATTGAATGCCCATGCTAACTCTACGCTTTTCCCCACCACTAATACCTTTTATAAACTCATTGCCAATGATTGTGTTTTCACAATGTTTTAATCCTAAAATCGCAATTAGTGAGTCAGTTCTACTTCTCTTATCATCCTTGCTCAAATGTTTCAATCGTAAAGCAGCAGCAAAATCGAACGTCTCTCTGACAGTTAGCATTGCCAATAAATGGTCATCATCTTGTGAAACATAGGAACACAGATGTTTGAACATATCTTGGGATATAGGCGTGTCATTTAATTTTATTGTTCCGGCAGTGTTGAACTTTACAAGCAAAGAGGATTCGAGTCTACCTGAAATTAGGTTTAAAAAGGAAGATTTACCTGAACCTGAGGGACCCATTATCGCATTGATCATTCCTGGCTTAAATACAGCGCTTACATTTTGTAAAATTTTCTTGTTTTCGTATTCAAAAATTTTGTGATTCTTCCGATTGTAAAGCTTTGTATATTTTACTTCTAAATCAACATCTTGTGCTACAACAGTTATATGAGCCAGTTTATTTGTCATATCATCTCTTTGATTTGTTGAGATTGAGTCATCGGTATCTTTGATGTCGCTTTCTTCAGTTAAGTTAGAGGCATCATCCTTAATATCTGACTTTTTATGCTTCTTTTTATTTACTTCATTTTGCAAAGTAATGTCAACTTTGTTCCATGTCAAAATAATTATACTGAGCATAAAGAATCCAACAAACCAACAAAATAGAATCCACATTGGTAATGTCCTCCAATGAAGTGGAAAACCATATTGTCTTACGACTTGATTACCTTGGCACTCAAAACCTTCTCCACCATTACAATATGAGTCAGAAAATGTATTTGACAATAATGAACCAAAACCATACCATGTAAAGGCAATGTATTTCGTCCATCTAACATACACCGGCATCAATTTTGCATTGACAAAGAATCCACAACTCATAGAAAATAGAGTAAAACTCAAATTTCCAACAAGTGAAGCCTTAGCAAAATCTCTAGATACAGCAACAGAAACCATAGCAAGAGCAGAACAGATTAGTTGTGCTAAGAGATTCACGGCGTATTGAAAAAAGAATTTGCTAGCATTCTTCTCAAGTCCAAACATGAAATAGGTAATACTTGTATACAAAATGGTCATTAAGATGTCATCAGTTATGAACAAAGCTAACTTTCTGGCCACAATGAATGCAATACCAGATACAGCACCTTCTGCACGTTCTCTATCAAATAAGGCAATATCTTGTTCACACAACCGGTAAGTATCAAAAAGAAGATAAAGGTAAGATTGTAATATGACAGAAGCATAAAGACAAGATATTAAAGTACGCAAACCTCCAATATTAGAAGTATCAGGTTTGAAGTATATCCATCCAACTATTGCACCCATCACCACGGGTTCTGCAAAAGTAGCAATTAGAGTATTAGTATCATTAAAATTTAGTTTATAGTTTCTTCTGGTTAGCACGCTAACTTGCTTCCAAAACGGTAATCGTCCAGTCATACTTTTCAACTGAATCTCGTATTTATGGTTGATAGGCTTATATGATAAAGTTTTCTCTTCATATTTCCTCCAATGCGATACTAACATTTCAAGTCTCTCCGATGTAATTGCTAAGCTATCTTCAGTTCTTCCATCAACTGAAGATAAATCTATAAAATAATCGGCAGGGTTTACAAGATCAGGAACATCGTAACTAATTGACTTGAAATACGGTATCAATTCATTCATTTGATTACAAAAAACAACGTTACCTTTTGAAAGGATACAGACATAATCAAATAGAAATAAAATATCTGATCTAGGTTGATGGATAGATAGAATAAAAGTGCGGCCATCTTCCTTTGCTAGCTTCTTGAGTGTCTTTACAACCAAATATGCTGAATATGCATCTAACCCGGTGGTTGGCTCATCCAGAAACATTACTGAAGGATTAGAGACCATCTGGGTACCCATACTTAGTCGTCTTTTCTCACCTCCTGAAAGTCCTCTATGCGAATTGTCACCAACTAACGTATCAGCACAGTCTTTTAATCCTAATTCATCTATAAGTTGGTTCACAATCAGAGTCTTCTCAACTTTGGATGCGTCTAGTTTCAAGTCTGCTGCATACATAAGTGTTTCACGGCATGTTAACCTAGAACATAGAACATCTTGTTGAGGAACATATGCCAGAGTAACATTTTCTTTGTAAGTAGCATTTAAATCAAAACTAGCCTCACTACTAGAATCATCGACGTTATTTTTATCCGCTTCCAAAATGTAGGATATCTCACCTGAATGTGTCAAACCAGAACTAATCTTAGATGCCAACACATTTAATAATGTAGTTTTACCTGACCCAGATCCACCCATTATAGCCATCACAGACCCGCTCGGTAGGTCCAGTGAAAGGGGGTGTACCAATACAGAATCAGTCTTTGAAGCTGTAATGCTCAAATCACGTACATGTAGTCCTACCCGTGGTATTTTGGAGAAAGATAGTTTATTTTCTACCAGATCCTGTTGTTCCATTTATTACACTATTATATTTTTATGTTCTGTCGAAATGGTCATCAATTTCTTTCAATCGAATTTTTTAATTTCTTCCTATATTTGCCTTTAACACGTTCCAAATGTAGTATACTGTACTACCTTGATAGATTATTATGGTAATTATTACTTCTTATCAGGGTTTGATTCAGCTATCTTTTTTGATTGCTATATCAGCTAATATATCTTAAAGTGATAGCCTAACAAAAAGCAAAAACCCTTAATTTCCATTATTGGCTCATATGGTATATTATAAATCTTGGTATAGACCTTATTAACCTACTTTGATGCATTGGTAAGCCACACTCGTTGCTGGCAAAGTTTTCACTTTTTGCGAAATGGAAGTCATATCATAGACATTTTGCTATTTAAACGACTTCGTTCAAATGATTTACGAAACTCAAAGTTATTCACATTTATATACAGTATATCAAAAGCCTATGAGTATTATTTAATTGATTGCGATCATGTCGTCAAATTAGGAATGAAATCATTGCAAATCTCTATTAGTATTAGCGCACCAGCATACACATAAAACTCACTCTAACCTCTTAACCTTTTCGTCATATTCGAGCTTGACCTCCTCCTTCTCTTCCTATTGCCTCCAAGATCAGCCAATTTACCTGATCTTGTTAGCCCATTAACTTCGTTGGCATTCACCAGTATGCTATCAAGGTCTAGAGAATCTGGGAGTATAACTTGCCTGATAAAGCATTCTTTAACATTGATGTTCTTTAGATGAGATGTCGATATAGGTTGAGGAGTAACTTCTGAATAAACAGAATCACTGTTATAGTACCTATCTAATGTTGCATCTCGTAAATTGACATTACTATGCGGTGACACAGAGATTACCATCCCATACACTGTAGACCCGTTCTGTAGCTCTAAAGTAACGTATTGATTCTGTAACTTTCGCAGAAAATTCGTAAGTTTCAAGGGCATTGTGTAAATATTATGACTTAAATTCAATTATCTGTAATTATATGAGAAATAAACAGTATTTGCTTGTCTTGCACATGATGTTATCTCCTCTCCCATTCTTGTATACTGCTCTTTTCATTGACAAGACATGAAGTGATTTTTTATTTGCAAAAAAATGTGAAACTGTATTGGGTCAATGGCTAAAGAACAATAGAAAGAAAGATTCACAGATACATTGCAAGTAACTATTAAGACATAAGGAAATTGAGTTAAATATCTAAGTCTATTGGTAATCTGGATACAGTTTTCGAGAACTTAAGTGAAAAGCGGCCATAAACCTAGTTGATCGGCAATGGTGAATGGTTACAGTCTCCTTGATTTAGTTCGAGATATTGGAAATGGTCATTTGGGCGTGTTGTCTATTAACATAGAGAAAAATGGTGTTAGAATTGCTGCATTACAGAATGATTTACAGGGGCAGGATGATAAAATGATTGATAGACTAGTAGATGGCAGTAAGATAATTATGCCGGGCCAGGATCCAACTAGGCGATGGACAAGGCTTAATATCATGGTTGTTTCATTTTTAAAATTTTGTCGAGATGTAGACCCATGGTCTTTATGGACCAGCAGTGATTTGATATTCGAACATTACTCTAATCTTAACAACGCCCTATTGGATGATTCTTATCCGGTAGATGCCTTAACAGAGTTATTTTTATCTGAGACAGAATACGTTACTAAGCTAGCAATAAAATTGGATGCAAATAATTTAGACCTTGGTACTAAACAAAGTCTATTTCTCTCGTATATTTCATCCATTATATCCAAGTTATTCAATAGTATAAAGCCACCTAGAGATGGTGCGAACTCTACTATTCCAAATAAACAGTTGATATTGCTCAACATCATTAATAAACTGAACAATATTTATTTCAGAATTAATTCCCCTCAATTGTGTTCCAATATATTCAAGAATTTCAAGCCTAAGAGTATGTTTGAAAGTTTCAAACGTTATCCAATTCATGAGCAAATTGAGTTTCGGTATCTTTTAGGTAGGTATTATGTGATAAACTTCAGAATGACAAATGCTTTTGTTCAATTGGATACAGCTTTTAGAATGTTGTGTCAATACATGGAACAGTGCCCTCATACCGCTACTAGAGAAATATTGCAAAGAAACCTAAAACGAATACTAAAATATCTTATCCCAGTTGGGATTACTATAGGTAAAAAACCCCATTTTCAAGCAGTTCGGGGTATTGACCTCGATTTGGCAAAAAGTTATATCGAATTATCGAGAAATGTAAATTCCGGGAATTTCAAACAAGTGAATATTTGGCTAGCAAGTAATGAGGATGAGTTGAAATCACAGAATCTTTTACTACCACTGTTACAGAAACTTCCTATATTGGTATTTAGGAATCTATTCAGAAAGGTCGTTATTGAATATGTTCTATCAGCACAAAACAATAAAATATCCTACGACTTACTGATGCGTGCATTGCAAGTTTCTATAGGTTCAGATCAATTGGCTTTACCGCCAATGTTTAAAGTGATTCATAGACCGGAGGATGTGGAAAATATACTTGTTACATTAATTAATCTGGGATTTCTGAGAGGTAACTGCTTTCCAGCATTGCGATTGTGTGTGGTCAAAAAGACGACAGATATTAACGATATATTTCCGGAAATGACAGAGAGAATTGTAAAAATGTTTCCACTAAATAATGAAGATAACTGGTTTGATATCTAATCTAATATTTAAGTGCTAATCTCATCCTTAGTAATAAATCAATTGCATTCCATCAAATAATAGCATATAGTTGACAAAAGTAATTTATAGAAGCTACGATTATTGTACATTTTTGATACTACATATAACTAATGCCTTTCTTATATATTCAACAAGACAGTTGAATGATACAAACCGAGTGATTTTGTAATCTAAGAAAGTACTCTATGAATATTTATTTAACTAATTATGGGTGACTCCGAGATTTTAGCCATTTTCAGGCGAAGGCTTTTGGTTCTCCCGTTGGTAGCGAATGAAAAAATATATATTTTGAGAATAAGAGCATAATAAATCACAAAATGGCATTTGAATATTAAGTGAGCAGTTAATATTTCAGCAAGCATCCATCAAATAAAACATGTTGCGAATCACTTATAAGTTACCTATTGCTTTGAGACAGCAAGCATTTGTTGCACGGAAACTTGTACCTACAATCAAAGCAAATTATTCGACAAACTCAGATGACGATGTTGTATCGAGAATCAAAGTTCATCCCATTAAAAGGATTAATGAATCGATAGACAAGAAAAGAGCACGTTTGATATATCAATCAAGGAAGAGAGGTATTCTTGAAACTGATTTATTGCTGTCAGGTTTCGCCGCAAAGCACTTGAGATCAATGACAAATGAGGAGCTTGATGAATATGACGCTTTACTAAACGAATTGGACTGGGATATTTATTATTGGGTAACTAAGAACTATAAAACAAGTCCTGTTCCAGAAAGATGGAAGAACTCTGAGATACTAAAAAAATTGCAAGACTTCAGCGAGAACAAAGAGAAGAAAATCCTTAGAATGCCAGACCTTGAAAACTATTAAGAGATATTATTGCAACTTTACTATTTTGATGTTTCTTACATCTAACTAGTTTTGGGTCATTTTACTCCTTATTTTACATATTTATCATCTTAACTGATAACTTTAAATAGGCATTGTTATTCGTCGCACTTTTTGTTTGAATAATTTTTATCTGTAAATAGTACTAGATTTTCTTACCATTTATAATTAAAACAACGATTCTAAATTTTTTCTATTTTACAAAACTTTATCTCAGTAAAAACCTTCAAGTGCCCTTGTAGCTTTGTCCAACCGTTTTAAACCCTCTTCATATCTTTCAGGATCCAGAACCATATCGGCCGTCAATCTAGATAGAGAGTCAACTAAACGTTCAAGTGCCTTCTTCTCTTCAGTCCTCATGCCTAGGTTGGAGAATTCTGAACCAATTAATGTGCCCTTTGTTACATTCACTAGCTGGTTTAAAGTTTCGATGTCAAAGGATTGAATATCCTCCCTTGTATTCTTCTTTTTGTTTTTCTTTTTCGATTTTAGTTTGTTTGGTTGGTTAACCTTTTGAATAGGTGTATTCTTTTGACTATTTTCCTGATGAACCGGCGCGTATTGAAACTCTTCCGCTTCGTCCTCATCTAAAATATCTTCGTATTCATTACTATTGTCAACAAAGGAGTTTTTAGATGGAAGCTCAGGCCTTCCACTGAATGCTTTAATAGTGTCATCACGGTAAATTTCGCGATTGTTGTGAGGAGTAATGGGTAGCGGACGGCTCAAATAAGAATCATCCATAGGTAACTCATCGCTTCCTGCATTTTGAGATTTTTCATGTAAATCCTCCTGGGAATTATAGCTAATGGCAGAATAATAACTTTCGGATTTAGCAGCGTCACTACGAGAATAGTTATGGTTAATTGGCCTTTGTGGTGGTGAAATTGCCTCTGATTGATTCTCTTCAGTTCCAAATATCCTAGATCTGGGCCTGTCCTTGCTCCTTGGTGGAATTGTTGGATTAAATGCAGTAGTTTCTGTCCTCAAATGCGGTACCTCAATGTCTTCTTGGCTTTTTGTGTATTTATTAGTTGCTAATGATGGCATGTTTGCACTAGAAGTTATTGAACTTTCATCATCTACATCAGGTATCTGTAATTGCTGATCCAAGTTTTTCAAGGTCTGATCATATGAGTAAGAAGATGTGCCACTTTCACTCGCTAGATTACCAGAGCCAATAGATGAGTGTAGCGGCTTTTTTGAAGTTGTAGCCAAATGGATTGATTCAGCTTTTTTGCTATTCGAATCCTTATCTGATGGTATGATTTTAGAGCTCACGGATCGATTAAAGGATCCAAAACGTCCGACAGGCTTCGCATTCTGGACCGATTGGATCACAACCTCACCATCAGTAGTTGATTCTGGTACTTTGGTCTGTAACTCGCTATTGTTACCGTTTTCTTCCGTATCTTCTTTACCAGTCTCATCTCTATTTTTAATACTTTTAGAAGGGCTGTTTCTTACCACATATGACACTTCAATTGCATGATCAACAACTCCAGAATAATTTGATAACACACTAGCTCTATTATTGAGATTATCAGTCGCCGGAGAACGAGGCATTTGAAAAGTCGACTTCTTAAGAGATGAAGTAAAAGTATCTTCTGATTGCGGCGCTGGTGATGATGTGGTGTGATGTGATAGATGAGAAGATGTGGTATTATTTTCTGCCGGTAGTGGTTCTTCAGCATTCGGACTACCCAAAGAATCAATCATAGCGGATAGTCGTTGAGTATTTACTGACAGTTTTGATGGTGAGCTGTATTCTTCCATATCTTTAATAGTTTCAGGCTCTTGCTGTAAGTTCTGTTCGTGATTTCCTGTTTCCCAAATATTCATAGCGAAGATGCACCCACCAACCTTTATCTCTTAATATTTTTGTATTGTTTGGATTTAGATCAAAATCAATTATTTCAAACGAACGTACACATTTATATGGATAAAACTAGTCTCCATACTAAAATCATTTCCAGCTGCAAGACGTAATTACTAGAAAACATATGAATAGCGTTACCAGATATGATAAATGCAATAACAAATTACTATGTATATTCTTACTAAATTCATTTATTGTTTATTTCAACAGAGTTACACTATTCCCTATATCACTATAGCACCAATTCACATTCATAAAAGCAAAAACGTTTTTCAAACACATTATACTGTTTCGGATTTCCTACCCATAAACATTTGTATCGTGAATTGTAATATTTATACTATAAAATTTAATATTAATATAATAACTATTCTATAATAGTAGTCATGTGATTCTTTACATTTAAATTGGTATTATATTTTTGAGTATTTGATAGAAATTCAAAGAGGATTACGAATTGCAGAAACGCAAATACATCTGTTAACAAGCATAACTTGTTGCAGGCTATATATTCATTAATACATTATTTATTTTCGATAAGCCAACCAAAAAATTAATGTCAATGTCATCTTGTTCTTTTGATCATCTCTTAAGGGCAGCTTTCTAAAGTCATATGTATCTAATAGCCAAACTTCAATGACGTTTGAAAAAGATTACTTAACAACGTAGTAGAACAGAAGTTTTGCTGTGTATAGGGTAGAGTACTTACCATTGTTGACAGCATTGATTTGTCTAACTCTGTTAACCTACTTTGTGTAAACTAAAAGAGGAGATCATTTATCAGATAGATATATGGTCATATGGAGTGAATCCCATTAACAGTGGATAGCAGGAAAAGTGTCTGCTCTTAATGCTGGTAACACTTATGAGGTTGCTCTAGCGTAACCAACTATTTGTCTTTGGTGCCAATTATCGCTAATTAATTTTGTTTGTTTTACGTTCTTGTCCACTGAATAATTTTATCATCGATGTTCTAAATCATCTAAGAATTTCGTAATACAAAAGGAAGAAGCAGACCACCACGAACATTTGATAGGGGAAAATCAAATTTTGCTACTATGTAAATCCCCTAAAAGGGATTCACTCACTAAATTGCCTTGGAGGCAGTCTCAACTTCAGTTATATTTGATAAAATTTGGAAATATCATGTAATGGCAGCAACTATGATTTAGTAATAATTGGGTAATTTGACAGTCTGGAAATCTTTCGGTATGCAGCATAAGAAACAAACAGACTATGTAGTATAAAAGACGAATCGATATTGTAAAAAACTTGCCATTGTATACTTAGGAATTTTTTAGATAATAGACATATAAGAAGACAGGCACGAATATCGATTTAGCACAATATATTAGTTATACACAGCCTAGGAATTGGTATTTTTTACAAAGAAGTTTAGTCGTCTTAGTTTCCTCACAGTTAAGGAATTACTCTGTATACTCAGGAATAATATTTAATAAAAAGGTACCATAATGACTAAGATAGAAGGTCAATCGCAGGAAAAGAAAGTAAAAAGATCGTCTGGGTCTGCTTTCAAGCTCACCATTGTCAGTTTATTTATTGCACTAGCATGTATATATTACAAATTTTCTGCTGTAACAGAGGTGCATGATATAAAATTGGGTGCTCGTAATGATCAAGACTCGATGGCAAGTCAAAACAGAGACTATGATCAGCTAAAAGATAACAATGATGGCATAAATGATGATAGAATTTATCGTTCAATTTTAACACATTTTATAGCTGGTGAGCAAGAGGAGGGAGTTGGTGCTAGAGTTAGACGTTCTGTTGGTACTTATCAAATGAGGAGGTTCACACCATTTTTGATGTTGGATGACTTCACTGTAGCTCCTCCAAATGGGTTCCCCGATCATCCACATCATGGTCAAGAAACAATTACATATGTTACTGACGGTATGATTGCTCATGAGGATATAACTGGTTCAAAAGGTGTTTTATTGAAGGGTGATCTTCAATTCATGACTGCTGGTAAAGGTATAGTTCATTCCGAAATTCCAGTTACCACAAAGGATGGTAAACCTTGTCGTGGTCTGCAATTATGGGTTGATTTACCTTCAGATATGAAGAATATTGATCCTCGCTATAGAAACTTGAGAGGCAATGAAACACCTGTTGCTTATCCCAATGAGAATTTAGAAGTTCGTGTCATTAGTGGTAAGTCTTACGGTGTTGAATCATTGAGAGATTTGGCATACACTCCTGTTCATCTATATCATTTCCTAGCAAATAAGACTGGAACTGAGTTTGTCCAAGATATTCCAGAAGATTTCAATGTATTTATTTATGTTATGAAGGGTTCTATTCAGGTTAATGATGTTGAGTTGACGACTTTTAGTTCTGCATTTTTCGATGTTGATGGTAATGCAATCAGGGGCAAAGCTCTGAGTGAGGATGCCCAGTTTGCAATCATTGCTGGACGTATTCTTGATCAAGAAGTCATTCAGCATGGGCCATTTGTTGAGACAAATAGAGAGAAATTAATGGAAGTATTCAGAAACTATCAGGAAGAAAAGAATGGTTTTGAGAATGCTCACAGTTGGAGATCTTCAATTCATGATGGTATTTCTGAAGAAGAAGCCTTAAAGTTATATAGAGAATAATTAAATGAAGTATAGGTCAAGACAATTGTAAGGAATTCTTACAACTCTTTAACATGACATGTAACAGCCATATTAATTGACATAATTTATTATTTTGGTCATGTATTTTTGTTATTGTAGCAATCCTATGAAACATTAAAAATTCAAAAGAAACTACAAAAATCTAAAAACCTCTTATCGTATGTATGTTATAGACTAAAAAATCATAAATTCTTCGTCATGTTCAAAATGTTGATTATGGAAAGTATGTAATTGATATTCACTGCGCTTTTTAGTTTATACATTTAGCAAGAACTCATATGACTTACGTAAAGAATTATCCTGGCAGCTATTAAGGAACAAGATTATTTTAGCATTTCATAAGATATTACTGGCAACTTGGCCGAGTGGTTAAGGCGAAAGATTAGAAATCTTTTGGGCTCTGCCCGCGCAGGTTCGAATCCTGCAGTTGTCGTTATTTTTTTGTTTCAGACTGCTGTACATAGTATTTTACCAACAGCTACTCTAACAAGTTATGGAAATTGTAACCTCTTAATGAGTTACTAGTATCATACATAATTTTTTACTTATTGTTTGAATTTTCCATTTTTCTGGGGATGAATCGTCTCCTTGATGGAAATGACCTATGAGAAAGATACAAGCCTGCAGTCATTTTGTTTTTTTTTGCAATACTATATTGGCCTTTGTATAAAGTACTTCTCTGTATAAGAATCTTGCTTTAAGAAATAGTATATTTGCAGGTTGTAAATTAATCGGAAGAAAATAGAAATAAATTTGTAATAAATCAAAACTATGCTTGCTTGGATGCTTACTTTGTAGTATCGCTTTTTTTTTGTGTAAAACAATACTACTTTAACGATACTAAAAATGGCTTTTTTAAAAGTACAAAGATCTCAAGGAAGATGAATGAATCAATGTCACAACGATTATATTGTATGTGAATACAATTCTAACTTTTCCTACTAAGGTATACCCTCATAGAGTTGCAAAAACGCTTACCATTTCAACTTCGACATTGTCAGAAGAAGAAAAAAAAGAAAGAAGCATGTAAGCAAAAAAAGAAAGAAATGCATTGCATAATAGCAAGATGATGGATTCCTGCGTGCATTGACAATATATGTTTCATTTCATGTCAATGCATAACTACGATTTATGTTATCTCTCGTGAGGCATTTCGCAGAAGTAGTAGTGTATTATAATCAACATTTAAAGACAATATACAATTGTCAGTACAAAACGGTTTCAATTTAGAGAAAGGATCTTTGCAGCCATCAAAAAAAAATATTGACATACACTTTCAACTTGCCCACTTGATAATATTATTTTGGCCGTTGAAATCCTCGCACACCTTCTGTGAAATGATTTCGCATCAATAGGATGCGTAAGCTGCCTTCTTAGTAAGGATGTGAAGTGGAGTTTGGTATGCTGGAACGGTTTTTAACCCACGTTATCCGATTACATTGCTACATAAATTTCAACTAAGCTAGGCACTTCTTCATCTCGCACCTTGAAAAAGAAGCACTAGCAATACTGTTTCCTATATAGCACAATGATGATGTTACTATAATTATAGTACGCTCAATTTTGACGGCTGGTTTCATGCTAGCTGTCAAGCATCAATGTACTTCTGCGGGAAAAGTGTTATCAGTCAAAGAAAGAGAGAAGAAATTCTTATGCTCAATTCAATATTCAAGAAAAGTTACTATTGTTCAATGTCTGGGTTTCTTTACTTTTATAGAGGGACACTTTTACAAATAATAATGACATTTTCTGAGTGAACAGCTCAGTTCTCAGCTCCACTGCCTATTACTCTTCGTGAATTTCTTCTGCCCTGAATCCACGAATAACCTCGTTATAATAGTCCTTGTCTAAAAAAGGTTAAAAGCTTGTAATCCTTATGGGTCTGTTTTAGTGAACGGAATTTGAATTCCATTTTTTTTCTTTTCTTGTTTCTCCTCCCTAAATTTGACGTCAAATGTACCGTCTACTGCTTGCCCACCTTATTCAATCCATAATCATTATAGTTGTCCCAGGTACTATAGCTACCTACAGTTATTTTCCTGTAAACATTAAAGGAGCACATCTAATGTGGATGAAGTGTAGGGAGAAAGAGCTATCTTTCCCTCTGAGTATTCTCCAAAGGTTTTTCTTGAACTGGATAAACAAATCAGAAAATAATGCGCATTACAATAATCTTGTACAAAGCATTGTATGTAGCACCCATTGTCTTGCTCTATTTTACTATTCTCCCTTCCATTTTTCTTTTGTACAAAAAATAGAATGAAACTAGAAATTGATATTGATACCTCCTTACTGAGTGGTAAACCATCGGAGGCATTTCAATCAGTTAATTATATAAATCAAATATTTTTCTAATGCCATCACAAAAGTGCCCTTGTCATATTATGCGTAACTCAAATATATATATCTGCAGCCAGTATACATAATTTTTTCCATCTTGGTTAAATTCCTAATACTATATTTTTTGTTGCAAGAGTGTTATAATTTTTCATTATTGAGGAAAGTACTCAAATTCCAACTATAGCAATACGAGGTCATAATTGCTGAGTACAAAGGACAATCTACAAGAGTACAGTTTTAATCATTTCGATACAGATTACGTTACATAGGATTCTACCTTTATTTGGGAGTACATAAAAAGCATTAAAAATCATAAAGTGCTCGCATATTAGACGTTCATCACTCCAAGAAACTTAACTTTAACATTCATACTTCAGTTTGCTTCCAACATAAACAAACACATTGTTTATAATACTCTCGAAATATTCAGATTATTGTAACTTGGTATTAGTCGCAAACGTTAGCTAACAAGTCTCTGCACATTTTCATCCAACTCAGTACTTTTTTTTCAGTCGCACCTTAACTAAATCGGGCGAAAGTTGAACGAAAACCAGGAACCAAAAGAAATTTGCAAGAGTACGGTAGATTTCACAAAGGATACAGTGATAGAACTAAAGCAAGTTTTTGCTGATTGACATAATACACAGTAAAGCCTACAAGCAATTGAGTCGTTGTATTTCTTTTGAAATTATCAGTCTGACTTTTTTTTCAACTACACTGCACCAAACGTTATAGAATGGGTATTTGCGGGTCTAAACCTGACAAAGCAGGTGATACAAAGCCAGGTACCTCGAAAGCCAGAGTAAGGTCAGACAACAGGAATTCTGGTGGTGCAAGTAATGGTAAATCCACAACGGCTGGTCAGAAGGATGGCCAAGATATGGAGGGCGGACAATCTGGCAACAGTATGTCTAACGAAGGTGACAAGAAAACTACATTAGAAGAAGAGTTACAAAATACTAGAGGACTTCCGGTTGATGAACAGAGTTCTTCACAATCTGGTAGTAACAACCAGAAAGCCATAAAAGTCTTATTATTAGGTGCTGGGGAGAGTGGTAAATCCACAATTCTACAACAACTCAAAATTCTACACCAAAACGGTTTTACCAAGCAAGAATTGATTGATTACACACCTTTAATCTACGATAATATAATAGAGATAGGAAAAGATATCATCAGTGCAAGACGAAAGTTTAATGTAGATATTGATGACCCTACTCTAACAGAAGAAGATCTAGACAAGATTTCTAATTACACTAGCACAAGAAAGAACACGGACGAGGATTCCAGTGAGGGTGAAAACTCTATTACTGTTAAACCAAGTGAACAAGCCAATACCACCAGTATTGTGAGTAAAGATGAATTCCCTAAGGAGTTTTATCCGATATTATCTAAGCTTTGGAACATGAAATCGACGCAAGAATTAATAATGAGTGAAAAGTCATCACAATTTTACATGATGGATTCAACAAAATATTTCTTAGATAATCTGGATAGGATATGCAATACTCCAAACTATATTCCTACTGAACAGGATGTTCTAAGATCAAGACAGAAAACTTCCGGTATCTTTGATACTGTTGTCAATATGGACAATAACTTTCAAATGCACATCTATGATGTGGGTGGACAGAGATCAGAGCGTAAGAAATGGATTCATTGCTTTGACAATGTTACCTTAGTAATATTCTGTGTGTCTTTATCCGAATATGATCAATTTCTGATGGAGGACAAGTCTCAAAACAGGTTCCAAGAATCCCTAGTCCTGTTTGATAACATAGTTAATAGTAGGTGGTTTGCTAGGACGTCAGTTGTATTGTTTTTAAACAAAATTGATTTATTTGCAGAAAAGATACAAAGAGTGCCTCTGGAACACTATTTCCCAGACTATATGGGTGGGAAGGACATCAACAAAGCAGCTAAGTATATATTGTGGAGGTTTGTTCAACTCAACAGGGCAAACCTAAACATCTACCCCCATGTTACTCAGGCTACTGATACTTCGAATATAAAACTTGTCTTTGCAGCTATAAAAGAAACTATATTAGAGAACTTACTAAAAGACTCTGGTGTCTTACAATAGTCTGATCTCTACCTTTCCTAGGAAATGCCAGTTTTAAAGAAACTGGTAGGACTGAGTCAAAGTACAATTGTTAAAACCAACATTCTATTATAACTATTACAAACATTCATTTTGGCACTTCAGATTTTTATTCCCTAGATTCAAGATTACGGATAAAATGATGTTGCCACTTGTATTATTACGAAAGTGAACATTCATTTACTATACACGCTTAGATAAAATTTTCTTTTATAGAAACTAACATATATTTGATTTTACTACTGTAGCTGAAGCGTATGCATTGTGTTCCCAAAATCAAACGACGAAATGGTGGCATTTTCCAATTCGATAAGGCCTCCACGTTATAATTGGCATAGTCTCTCTTGCCATATTTGATTGCTTAGTTTCTTTTATTTCCATTTTCTAAATGACGTTTTTTTCACGACGGTCGCTCTGTTTCAGGCCTCGAACAACGAATTTGCCATTGAATTTTTACTAAATTTCATTTTCTGAACTAAATACCAGACGAAAAATTCGAGATTCAATAATACGGTCTGTGCTTTTTTAATTTCCCTAATAACATTAACTTTAATGACTATATATCATAAGTTTTTTACGTGTATAAGTTCAATTGCAGAGCATCAAGAAAGATAAAGAAAAGATAGCAAAAGTTTCAAAACTATGACGGTATTTGAACTCTTTGCCTCTTTGGTGGATAGCCCAAGCATCCCATGGAAATCTATAATTACTGGTTTTTGCATCAGTCAATTTGCATTTGAGACATATCTAACCTATAGACAATACAAAGTTCTTCAAAAGAATCAACTACCACCTGTTCTAGTTAATGAAATTGATAAGGAAACCTTTGAAAAGTCCCAAGAATACTCCAAGGCTAAGGCCAAATTCTCAGTATTCACTGATCTGTTTTCGCTAGTCCAAAATTTGGCGTTTATTAAATATGACTTTCTACCAAGATTATGGCATATCGGTGTGAAAGTCAGTGCTCGTATACTACCTGCCAAATATGCTGCTGTGTCAACAATTGCTCAAAGTTTATGGTTCTTGGCTGTTTTGTCTAATCTGTCAACGATTATTGGCTTGCCAATCTCATACTATAAGCATTTTGTGCTTGAAGAGAAATTTGGTTTCAACAAATTGACTGTAAAGCTGTGGATAACTGATATGATAAAGAGCACTGTCTTAAGCGCTGCATTTGGTATTCCTATCTTATTTGTCTTTTTGAAAATTTTTGAGAAATTCCAAACTAATTTCTTGTGGTACATTTGTCTATTTGTTTTTGTTGTTCAGATTTTGGCTATCACTATAATTCCAGTTTTCATTATGCCATTGTTTAACAAATTCACTCCACTAGAAGACGGTGAATTGAAGACATCAATAGAAAATTTGGCTGCTAAGGTTGGCTTTCCACTAGACAAGATCTTCGTAATAGACGGTTCAAAGAGATCATCTCACTCAAATGCTTACTTCACCGGTTTACCTTTTACTAATAAGAGAATTGTCTTATTTGATACCCTAATCAATGAAAGTTCTGTGGAAGAAATCACAGCTGTTTTGGCACATGAAATAGGTCACTGGCAAAAGAACCATATTGTCAACATGCTGTTCATTAGTCAAGTGCACATTTTTGCCATCTTTTCATTGTTTACCAGTGTTTACCGTAACGTTTCTTTCTACAAGACCTTTGGTTTCAACGTTGGATTCAACGAGATTTTAAATGCTGCAGGAAGTTCTACCACTGTGTATACCCCTGATTTCCCAATTATTATTGGTTTCATGCTATTTAATGATCTTTTGACACCAATGGAATGTGGTATGAACTTTGTCATGAGCTTGATCTCCAGACTTCACGAATATCAGGCAGATGCTTATGCCAAAGCACTAGGATATACTCAAAACTTGGGTAGAGCCTTGATTAATTTGCAAATCAAGAATCTATCCACAATGGATGTTGACCCATTATACTCAAGCTATCATTATTCTCATCCAACATTAGCTGAAAGATTAACTGCTATCGACTTTGTTAATGAGAAGAAGAAAGAATGAGCTCCATTAAGGATCATGATATTGCATGTATGCTATTTAAGTTTATAATTTAACAACTTTTAATATTTCCTTAAATCTTTTTACATATCGATAGTTCCTGTCATGTCTACATACTCGTAAAAACAAGCGGAATGTGAAGACAGGTAGTATGAGAATACCATTAAAACTATCTTGACAAAGTATATACAATAAATTAATATCATCATTGTGAACGTTGGACAGGACTCTGGGAATTAAGTTCAACGAAGCGAGACTTCCCTTTGAGACAAAGATGGCCTCCTGAACAAAAAGCACAGCAATAAGCTCAATTTGCCACCTTTATTTGGCAATCCATTAAGCATTGCTCAGCAACCCGTGTAAAGATCAACGCCAATTAACTAATCTAGACTATTCGATTTAATTATTATAGTTTTTTTTAAGCGTTTTTCCTGTCTTAATCTATTAGTTACAAAAGGTTGCATCTTTTCATTGCTATTGTAACATCCCAAAGATTAGTACTTGAAACTATCAGCAGTTACAATGACAACAGACTTAATGGATGTGGATACTCCCTTGGAGAATGAAATGAATGGAAGCAAGAATGAAGATGTCAGATACGCTGAGGAGAAGACAATGTCAGAGATAATTGATACATTAAAAGTTATCGCTAAGACCACAGCATCCCTAGACCATCGTTATATTTGGAGAGCACTAAAGGAATTGAGTAAAATTAGGAAAAACTACCTGAATCAAGAAACATTGGCTATACTAGTCTCTGTATTATATCCAGACCACTCAGAGTATAAGGTTGATTTGTTGAAGTACATAAATGAGAAGCACAAATCTGAAGTACCACACGCAGATGAAATCAGGGCAAAATACCCAGCAGCTTTCTATGAGATAACTTCTGATGGAAAATCTTTGGCAGTTTCAGCGGAAATCAATGCATTTATTCATTTATTGACCCAACTCTACTTGTTAGACAATCAGAAAATCATAGAGCTTATTTCCTTTAACAACAAAGTTGTGTTACCAAAGATTTTAAAATATTACAACCAAAGATCGTTAGATTTAATCAATTCAAAACTATGGTTTTATATAGTAATGGCGCATGAACAACAAGACATTAACGGAGGTTATGTTGATCTTCGCAATGAAATGATGAAGGCTCTAAAGACGGCATCTTTGAAGCATGATAACGAAACTCGGGCGATGCTGATCACTTTGATTTTGAGATTCTTCTTAGCCTCAGGTGAAATAGATGCTGCGTCGGATTTTATCAATAAAGTTGATCCTTTGACTTCTGATGTCTCTAGTCCTTTGGAGGCCAGATTTTTCTTCTACCAATCTAAAATCAACACCATACAATTAGACTACTCAACTGCTAATGAATATATTGTTGCCGCCATAAGAAAAGCACCTCATACAAAAAACAGTTTAGGTTTCTTACAACAAGCAAACAAATTATCATGTGTTATTCAACTCTTAATGGGTGATATTCCTGAGTTATCCTTCTTTCACCAAAATGGGATGGAGACATCTTTGAAACCTTATTACCATATCGCAGAGGCTGTCAAATTAGGTGATTTAAAGAAGTTTACTTCGACTATCACAAAATACAAACAACAACTAATAAAGGATGACAATTATCAAATTTGTGTTAGATTAAGGTCCAATGTTATAAAGACAGGTATCAGAATTATTTCTTTGACCTACAAGAAGATTTCATTGAAGGATATATGTCTGAAGTTACATCTAGAGTCAGAACAAACTGCCGAATATATGGTATCGAGAGCTATTAGAGATGGTGTTATTGAAGCTAAGATTAACCATGAAAAGGGCTACATAGAGACCTCAGAGGTGAACAACACCTATATTACTGAAGATCCACAAACGGTATTTGATGAAAGAATTAGGTTTGTCAATCAACTTCATGACGAATGTGTTGTGGCAATGAGATACCCGCAGGATAAGAAGAAAGGGTTGAACAATCAAAACCATGACGATGAATATCTTGAAGGCGATCTGCTAGATGATTTGTCTGATTTTTCTGACATTGATGATATGGGTTTCTTGTAATTTCGATTATATATCTACTAATTACTTGCATATATAAATGTCCATACAGAGAGGATAATAATTCATTATTGTTGAAGCGAAGTCGTTTATGACTTTCCATGCCATGTTGTTTACCAAATATTGTTCTTATTGTAGTCCCTTCGCCTTTTAGGAATTTTTTACGTAGTTGCGCAGTGGCAGTACGAGAGCTTTTGAAAATAAAGATGATATACAGGTTATTTCTATAATATTGAACCAGCATTGTTTACTTTGATAGTAGATAAGCATTATAATATAGCAAGTGAGCAAGAGTTGAAATAGTTGATAGCTAATAAGCTTTGCTCTCAATTTAGTTACCTGGGGCTTGTGAGGTTCCTTAGAAGACACTAAGTAAAGTTGAGTATGACGCAGCTAACCGAAAATACAGATGAATTGCATAGCATTAGGTTGGCTATAGATCCCAATTTGATCACATTACCAATAGGATCAAAGTCAACCTCGCCACACTCAAATTCGACTTCTGATGGTAATCCAGAATCACATAATACTGAGAACGAAGAAGTTGATAATAAAGCTGGTAGCCTGCCACCAGAACAATTTAGTAACAATAGTGCTAAGTTAATTGTAAATCCTTATGAAAAATATGGTAGGATGAGTCTAGGACAATTGATACCATTGATATCTCAACAAAGAGGACCAAATTTCAAATTTGCTGATATTAATGAAGACATATTAAAACAGGAATTAGCAATCGAAAACGATAATGGGAAACAAGAATCAAAAGATGATACAAAAGCTGAAGATGGCATAGATACAATGGATATCGACCAAAATGATAATTCAGAGGCCAATACAAATGATATAGGCTATAATGAATGGTCTAATGAGCCAAAGGAAGATACTGGCATATTAGACAATACACAAGATACTAATATCAATGGCGAGATGGAATCTCAATTAACTCAAGAAGAATTCAATAAAATTAGAAAAGTAATGCTGGAACATATCAATATGGCAATGAATGAGTCTTCATTAGCAATGGAGTTTGTCAGTCTATTACTTTCGCCGGTAAGGGAATCAACAGCGGTATCATCTATGTCACCATTTTTGAAGAAAACTGTGAATCCAGGCTCATTAAATAGTGAGAAGGTTAAAATGCCTGCTGTGTCGCGTCGAGATAAACTGTCGTTATCAATTTTAAGTCGTGGATGGAAGCTTCGCGCACTCAATGAGGCACGAGCTATATTGAAGAAAAATTTCACAGAAATATCGAGCTCTTTAAAACAGGAACATCACTATTGGAGTAGCATAGCGTACAATATCAGTAACAAGGATGTTTTGTTTAAAATTAGGGACAAGCAAACAACGAAGAGATCACTAGGCCTCAAATATGGATATGAGGATTCAGGATCGACTTTCAGAAATGATAGAGGAACTGCAATTCTTCGTGGGACTGATGAAGCAAATGGCCTGGAACTTATTCCCTTAACATTAGGAAGAACAAGTACAGTTGGCAGTGTATATAAAGGCGGTAAATTTTTGAGAGTACGAATATTTACGAAGATTGAATCTGAGGGTGATTATATTTTGAGCGGTGAGAGTAGCCTTGACAAGTTATTCAAGAATCACAGTGAGAACAGCGATTCTAAGAATGATGATGTCAGATTGCAAATCTCAAAATTAAAGTTCTTCATCTTTGAACAAGAACTTATGCATCAATTGAAGAAAGAATGCGCTTATCTCATATCATATGGTGTAACAGTAGAGAATGAACATAAAATTGTTATTGAGTTACCAAACGAGAAGTTTGAAATAGAATATTTGAGTTTAGATGATGATTCAGTAGTGAACCATGAACAAGATGCCCCCAAAGCCAATGATAGAAGAGCCAATCTAATGTTGGTGACTTTACGCATGCTTTTGATTGTCATCTACAAGAAAAACTTAAGACAGAAGATGGTATCAAACACCAGGAAACATATAGCAAGCACGGAAAAAGACATTTTGTTAATAAGACCATTGCTAGGTAAAATGAGACACTCTAATCATAAGAAACTGATACGCAAGATATTAAAGGAATGCGTTCTCGAAGTAGTTCCAGACACGGAGTTGCAGGAGCGTTCCATTCAAAGCTTAGATAAAGAAGACTTTGAAACGTTTGACTTACAAGATGCTCATATTGTGAAATTGACTAAGGACATCAATGCTTTCCGAAATGTTCTGGACGTTGGGAAAACTGAGTTTACTATAGATATGAAGCAAAGTGGCAAGCTATCATTGATTCTGGAATCTCCAAACTATTGTAATGCCCAGGTATCGATAAAGTATGATAACCAAACGAGTAATACCCATTTTAATACTGTGTCAACGGAATTTAAAGAGGTTGAAGAGTTTCTTCACTTCTTGATTTCAACCTACGTAAATCCTGAGTAAATATGAGGGAGTTGGTCATAGGACTTAATAATGAGAACTAAGGAGATGGATTTTATAAATAAATAGACCATATATTGTAGAAATGTTAGATCTTAATTCTGTGAGACTTATAAAAAGCATGTAGACATCAATACTGGAATAATACTTACTTTAGATTCTTGCCGATATATGAAGTCGTGTATAATGTGATGTTCAAGAACTTCCCCACGTCATTTCGATGCAAGGCGTTATTGCCCATCGAGGGAGCAACGGCCAATTATAAAATGCAGATAACGAAACATCAAACTTTTAGATTAAGTGGACTTTTGAAGTATTGGAAAATAATTGCGTTGATATAAGTAAAGTCTAACTTTAAGCCAATTGATAGACGAAACAACTAGTCAGTTACTTTACTAAAACAAAACAATGACATACACTTTAACCATTCTAGGATGCGGTGTGATGGGCCAAGCCGTTCTTTCTGCCATTTACAAGGCACCAAAGGCAACCTCTGTCATCAAGGCTTTATATCCATCTAAGATTATTACCTGTAACCATGATGAACCAAGTGCTCAACAAGTTACCGACCTTATCTCAACTTTTGAGACTTCCCCTAATGGAATCGAAGTCGTCTCTACCTATGGCAAGAATGTCGAAGCAGTGAAGCAATCTGATGTTATCATTTTGGGTACCAAGCCATTTCTGGCAGAGCAAGTATTGAACGGTGTTAAAGACGTTACTAGTGGCAAGTTGATCATCTCATTGGCTGCTGGCTGGACAATTGGTCAATTACAGGCGTACACACCATCTGTCTCCAGAGTCATGACTAATACACCAGCTAAGTACGGTTATGGTTGTGCTGTAGTTTCTCATTCTCCTCAGGTTACAGAAGACCAGAAGTCATTGGTCAGCGAACTAATTAGCCATGTTGGGAAGTACGTTGAACTACCAGAGAAGAATATGGATGCTGCCACAGCACTTGTAGGCTCAGGTCCAGCGTTTGTCCTATTGGTGTTGGAGTCTCTAATGGAGAGTGGTATTAAGATGGGTATCCCATTGAAGGAGAGCACCGAGTGTGCGTTGAAAGTGCTAGAAGGTACTGCAAAGATGGTTGAAGAATCTGGTGTTCACCCAAGTGTTCTAAAGCACCAAGTCTGCACACCTGGAGGCACCACAATTGCAGGATTGTGTGTCATGGAAGACAAAGGTGTCAAGAGTGGTATCATCAGAGGTGTCGAAGAAGCTGCGAGAGTTGCTGCCGAACTGGGTAAGAAATGAGGGATCATTGTGATTATATCAGTAAATAAAAAGTAATAATTTTTAAACAGAGAAATCATCTGAAATTCTAGTAAAACAACTCGCACGCATATATATTGTAATGGTAGTACTAGTAGTAGTACTAGTAGTAGTACTACTACTAGTACTACTACTATGTAAAAGCTACCTCGACGAAGCTCAACGTTTAAAGTTATATAAATAGGTAAATAATGTAATCACGTGATCATCGGACCAATGGAGTTCAAAAGGAATAGCGGAATACATCGCATCCTTACCTACCAATAGGTTACATGCACATAGCAGGCGCCAATGACAGTGTTCACCGAGAAGAACGTAGCTTGTTCTTAACCATTCCCACCCATCGCAACATGACAACGAGGAAAGCCAAAAGCCTAAGAACTGCTCACAGCGACAAAAAGCTACCTCCATCGGTCCGCGCTTGCACTTCCTGATAGGGCTTAGCACTGATCACCCAAGCTACAGAATTGACAAGTATCGCCCATATGTCTCTCCTTGAGCCAACACAGGTCTTGGTACGCCTTTGTCTGTGTGAACATCCTTGTAATTTATCAAAAGATGGCGAGTGTGCAAGATAGCAAGCGTTGTTTGTGCGGTGTGTCTTATGTGTTGTGTGTGTGTGTGTGTGACCCATCCCAAGAAGTAGTAGTACGGTTGTTTCACTGCTTACTCACATCTTCTCTCATACTCCGAAAAAAATGAAGGAAGCAGAAAAACGGCATCTCCAACAGAAAATCTCGTGGTGAGAATGTGTACACTGGCACAGAAACACCCGTACTCCTTCCTTTAAACCTGCTTCCCAGTTCGACTTCGATGACTTTCCCTCCAACCCCCATGAAGAATAGCTGACCGTTCGAAGGTTTCTCTTTACTGCGGAGGGTATTTCTGATCTCGGGAGAGAGATGCACGCAGGAGGACCAAGGGCGTGTGACTAGCTCCTCTCCCTCACCGCTTTCTACTGGTAGTGTATGTCTGTGTAATGACTCTGCAATGACTCTGCAATGACTCTGTGCCCAAGTGTCTGTGCTTATTTGTCTGTGCTTATGTGTCTGTGCTGTCCATGTAAATGTGTGACCCTTAGTTCCACATGAGATCTTCTCTCCTTCCCCTGGGCGGGTATATAAAGGGGACGAGAAACCACCGTCTAGGGAAGGGGAAGATCTTCCTTGGCTTCCTTGGCGGCTATGTAGTTTATCAAGAAAAAATTGCTTTCTCTTTTAAATACTGGGAAGGAAATTTAAACAAGGAAAACGGAACTTTCAGAAACTATGTCTGAAGAAGGTACGTTCGCACATGAGGAAAGTCTACCCAGGCTTCCCTTGCCGGATCTAGAGTCCTCCTTTGAGCAGTTGAAAGCCAGTTTGGAACCACTTTACTATGCTGACGGGTACTACCAGCACCCACTGGACCCCGAGCAGATCGAGTCTCTGTCCTCGAGTCTGACCAGATTCGCCACGTCGGATGCTGCCAGGAAGTTGCAAGCCAAGTTGAAAGAGTTTGAAGAGAAGAACAGTTGCTACCTAGACAAATTACATCTCGATATTAATAACCAGACGAGTGCGAAAGAGATCGCAGATGATGTGCTGCCAAGGAACCCATTCTTGATTCTCGCTGATGACGCAGTGCCGGACATATCACAAGCTGAGAGATCCGCTGTGCTAGTACACTCCGCACTGCGGTTTATTTCCGCTCTAAAGAACAACAAGCTGCCTCCTGATGTCAACACGAAGAACGGAAAGTACTTGTCTATGGAACCTTACTTGAATCTGTTCGGTACTACAAGATGCCCCATCTTTGAAGAAGGTGAAGTGGAAAATTTCGATCTGGACAAACCTTACACTGCGTCTGACCTCGATGGCTCTGACGAAAGCTCAGATGAGTTCGACGATGACTATGAATTCGAAGCTGGTGAAGGAACAAATGATTTTGGTGATAACAATAGAAGAAGAAACTCTTTCATTGGTGCCGGGGATGATGATGACGGGCTAGAGCCTAAGAAATTGATCGAGGAAGCTAACAAAGAAGTTGAAGAAGAAGAACAAAAAGCCGAACATCAACGCCGCCCCACAACTGCATCCACTACAACAACTATTAACAGTACACAATCTGCCGGTGACAAAGAAGAAGAAGACGAAAGACTGGGCCAAGAAGTGTTCAAACGCCATGGTATCACAGTTAAACGCCACCATGATTCAAAACATATTCTGGTAATATCTAAGGGCCAGTATTATACTGTCGATGTCCTCGACGAAGAAAATAAAATTCTATACAATGCAACTGCATTGACATCCATTTTTCACCACATACTAGATGATGCTGAGAAATCATACTCATTTAGGAAATCTACGGCATTGGGTAGTTTGACTTCGCACTCTTTCAAAAATTGGAAATACGCCAGAAAGAGACTACAGAAGAGATATCCAAACGAATTACATTTGATTGATTCAGCATTATTTGTTCTGGTATTGGATGAATCAGCTGGTAACACTGCAGATGTTGCCGCAGATGAAGCAGAGCTGAAACCAGGCTCCATCCAAGCCACTTCCAACACTTGTAAAAGGTTGTTCTACGGAACTAGTATTATTGATAATGGTGGTCATCAAATCGGTTCCTGTGTCTCTAGATGGTATGACAAATTGCAATTAGTGGTCACCGCTGATGTCAAAGCTGCAGTCATTTGGGACTCTTTCACATGTGATGGTTCTGTGGTGCTTAGGTTTACTTCTGAAGCATACACTGAATCTATTTTAAGATTAGCTAGAGCTGTTAACGCTGGTGATCCTAGGTTCTCATTGTGGCCATCTGTAGTAGATTCTGTATGCGACAAAGAAATTGCAAAGACAGCTGGTGATATTAAGTCTGGTGAAATAAGTCCTGACTTGCTTGTTAACAAAATTGATTGGTCCTTCAGTAATATTCTAAACACACATGTGCATTTGTCTGAGACGAAGCTAGCTGATTTGATTTCAAAACACAATATTGTAAGATCTTCTGTTCCCTTAGGAAGGAGATCTGCTCAAAAATTGGGTATTAACCCTGACTCCATGATCCAAGTGGCTTTACAAGTGGCCTTCTATTCACTATACGGTAAAATGGTATATGGATTCGAGCCTATTTCCACAAGATGTTTCAAGAACTCTAGGTCCTCGTTCATTAATATCCAGAACAAAGAACTACTTGAGCTTTGCCAATTGTTCATATCTACTTCAATGGACGGTCTAGGTAAATTGGATAAATTCATACAAAGTTGTCAGAAACATACAGAAACTGTCAGATTGACCAAACAAGGCAAAGGGTTTGAGAAACATTTTAATGCATTGAAGTACTTGTACAAATTCCATGATCTTTATGGCATCGAGTTAAGTGAAGAAGATAAACAGATGGCTGCATCTGTTTTTGAAAGCGAAGCCATAGCACCATTCTCTGCTCCAGAATTAATCATTGCTAACTGTGGTAACTCTGCTACGACAACCTTCGGTATCACTCCTGCGGTACCACACGGGTTTGGTATCGGTTACATTATCAAGGATGATCAGTGCGATTTGACAGTAACTTCCCAATTTAGACAAGGTAGCAGATTACTGTTCATGCTAAACTGGGTTCTGAATGAGATAAGAAGTTTCTGGAGAATGGCTCGTGCCACTTCTCAAACAAAGAGTGGTGTTAAAATTAGTCCTATGGTGGATAGGCTGTATGAGATGGACAATGCTTTGAATTCAAAGAATCGTACGTCTTCCAACCTGAACATGAACACTGCATACGGCTTATTTGACTTGGATGCTCATGTTGACAGCAGAAGCGTTTCAAAATCTCCATCGCTAAAGAACTTACCTGCGAAGTTTGCTGAGATGACACCTTTCAACCCATTGGTGACAGCGCATTCCAGTCTAGCGCTTTCAGTTCCTACTGAGAAGGAAAAGCACGATACAGGTCACCAGATTTTGCAGTTTCAACCAAAGATCATTGGTGATGAAGGCGACGATGACGACATAGCTCTTCCAAGTGTGGAAGACATGAACTTATCAGCAGCAGATGCTGCCAAGAGACGTAATGTTATCGACTCCAAATTTGAAATTGATTTTGACAGGTCCCGTGTTGGACGTAAGATTGTTACATTTGACTAGTCATGCCACTAGCCTATTAATAAAACTACTATGAAAAATTATGCGATTGTATGCTATAGTCTTTCATACCCAGAGCACAAGCTGACCGTGTTAATATTCCAATGTAAAATTAGTTACTCTTATTCTTTGTTATATTTATTTTTCATACTTACTAGCATAACCACCCCCATAAGCACAATTTATATTTTAACAGGATTTTCTGTCGTTAAGAGAGGTATGTAACCTATTTGAAAAGGAGCAATGTGCTAGCCGGAGATATGCGATGTTACTGTCCTGACATGTGTTCTAATTTCCTTGTCCTACAATGGCAGCGGTATAAGTCACATGTTTATAGCATCTCCAACGTAAATTTACGCAGCGAGGAGAAAAAAAAATTTTTCCTTTCAGACGGTGGCCCATACGCATCGCACTGAATGTCAGAAATGTGCACAGAAGCTACTGCACAAACTTGGTATTTTTTGATGGCGATTTTTTTTTCATGCAATTTTGACAAAAAATGAAAATTTCGAGCAATTTTTCACTTCAATTAGCAATAATGGGTGGAGGAACTGGGAGAAGTAGTATTGAGCTTTTGGCGGTTGTAGTCTCCAGGAACATAGTATAACTAGGATTGGACTCACGTTTACTTAAGAAGTGTTAGTTACAGTTTTTTTAGTTGTAGGTCTCAGACATATCATACAAAATACAAAGCTAAGGAAGCCATGTCTGATTTGCAAGATCAAGAGCCAACTATTATTATCAATGGTGATCTTCCACCAGTAGAAGAAGAGGAAGTCTATGAGCAGGAAGAGCAAGAGGAAGTTGTTGAGGAGAAGCCAAAGAAGAAAGTTGCCTTTACCGGTCTAGAGGATGGTGAATCTGAGGAAGAGAAGAGAAAGAGAGAGTTTGAAGAAGGTGGTGGATTGCCAGAGCAGCCAGAAAACCCAGACTTTACTAAGTTGAACCCACTTTCTGCTGAGATTATTAACAGACAAGCTACTATCAACATCGGTACTATTGGTCATGTCGCTCACGGTAAGTCTACTGTTGTCAGAGCCATCTCTGGTGTCCAAACCGTTCGTTTCAAGGATGAGTTGGAACGTAACATTACTATCAAGCTGGGTTATGCCAATGCTAAGATATATAAGTGTCAAGAGCCTACATGTCCAGAACCAGACTGTTACAGATCTTTCAAGTCTGACAAAGAAATTAATCCAAAGTGTCAAAGACCAGGTTGCCCAGGCCGTTACAAACTTGTTCGTCACGTCTCTTTCGTCGATTGTCCAGGTCACGATATTCTAATGAGTACTATGTTGTCCGGTGCCGCTGTCATGGACGCAGCCTTGTTATTGATCGCCGGTAATGAATCTTGTCCACAACCTCAAACTTCTGAACATTTGGCTGCCATTGAAATCATGAAGTTAAAGCACGTTATTATTCTACAGAACAAGGTCGATTTAATGCGTGAAGAAAGCGCACTAGAACATGAAAAGTCTATCCTGAAATTTATCAGAGGTACTATTGCTGACGGTGCTCCAATTGTCCCAATTTCCGCTCAATTGAAATACAACATCGATGCAGTCAATGAATTTATCGTGAAGACTATCCCTGTTCCACCAAGAGATTTCATGCTTTCTCCACGTTTGATTGTCATTCGTTCTTTCGATGTTAACAAGCCAGGTGCTGAAATCGATGATTTGAAGGGTGGTGTTGCAGGTGGTTCCATCTTGAACGGTGTGTTCAAGTTGGGTGATGAGATTGAAATTAGACCAGGTATTGTCACTAAGGATGATAAGGGTAAGATCCAATGTAAGCCAATTTTCTCCAACATTGTCTCTCTATTTGCTGAACAAAATGACTTGAAGTTTGCAGTCCCAGGTGGTCTGATTGGTGTTGGTACAAAGGTCGATCCTACCTTATGTAGAGCTGATCGTCTTGTCGGTCAAGTTGTCGGTGCCAAGGGTCACCTACCAAGCATTTACACAGATATTGAAATCAACTACTTCCTACTGCGTCGTCTATTAGGTGTTAAGACTGAGAAACAAGCCAAGGTCAGAAAGCTGGTTGCCAACGAAGTTCTTATGGTTAACATTGGTTCTACTGCCACTGGTGCCCGTGTCGTTGCTGTCAAGGCTGATATGGCTAGATTGCAACTAACATCCCCAGCATGTACAGAAATCAATGAAAAGATTGCTCTCTCTAGACGTATTGACAAGCACTGGCGTTTAATTGGTTGGGCTACAATCAAGAAAGGTACCACTTTGGAACCAGTTGTCTAATTGCGACCTCAACAACAACTATTATTCACTTCTCAAAGTAAATTCTTTCACGATTTGCTTTAGCAATATCCTATGTATACTTCAAATTAATGTAATTAAATATTTCCCGCATTTTAGTTATCTTTTCAAGGAACTTCATTCATCAAATACAGGTTTGGATAAATTTCTTTATGTGAGCTATTAATATTAAGTAGTCGCCATAAAATGGTGTACTAAATATAGTAAAGCTTATTATATAGTTGGGTATGCATTAAGGATTTCGTTCGGCTATATATGCTAAATATCATCGGTTTGATTTTATCTGTTACTGATCTGATATTAATACAGATCAGCAATATCTTTTTGTTCGCTATGTATCTTCTTTTCTTCATTATTTTGCTGTTTCTGAGTCTCTGAATGCTTTGGGTAGTCATTCTTCTTTGTATCCTGGCTTCCCAATTTACTAGCATTGTATTCGTTTGGATTAGGGATTTCGGTTCGCCTGTATGGTATGTTAGTTTGAGTGCTATTGTATTTTGATGTAGGCTTACCTGGTAAACTACTATGGCCTTGCAATCGAGTTTGGGACTGATTGTTATCATGGTACCCTTTGTGACGGTATCGATTTAATGTAGTTGTAGTTATGCTCTGATCCTCCGTTTCATTAAAAGCTGCTCTGTTATTATATCTAGAATTAACTGAGGAGCTGTAACCTCTATTATACCCATTCTTCCTATCCTCATTTGAAGAGTAACGGCCCTCGCTCTGGTATGGTTTACTTCCCATATTCTCAGCTCTAGGATTGCTATGAGTTCCCATATTCGACGGTGTTATTCGGTTTCTTAGGCTACCAGAATGGTTATTACCTTCGTATCTCCCATATTTCGGCCCTGATGGTAGGGATGATCCGCCATATCTATTTGCCTTTGGTTGGGGATGTGGGACAGAAGGGTTTTGATTAAATTTCTGTCTCTTTATAGGATACTGATCATTCTTTTGATTACTTTGGTATGGCTGTTCTCTCTTAATCCCTGATTTTTTTTCGAACTTTGCAGGTGATGGAGTAGCTTCCTTAATATGCCCAGGAGGTGCACTTGGGCCCTTCTGTGACATTGCTTCATGCAATTCTTCCTTATAACGTTTTATATCTGCCTCATGACTTTCTTCACATGGCAGAGTTAATCTGTCGGCGGCCAAAGGCTCTTCCTGAAAGAAAGGATGTTTCATTGCAGACATAGCTGTTAACCGCTTATAAGGATCTAAAGCCAATAAGCCTTTTAAAAAGGAAAGCCCAGTTGGTGTGAGATGCTTCCCAAATCTTTCATCAATCGTTGACTTATATTCAGTTTTTGTCAGCTCCGCTCCAGGTAGATATTTAGCTAGTTCCCATGTTCTTTCATCAGGAGTCCCCATTAGTTTGAATATTACATGCCCTTGATCAATATCTGTCTTACCTTGAAGAATTGGCTTCTTCTCAAAGAATTCAGCAAAAACACAGCCAACACCCCAAATATCTACAGCTGTCGTATAGTATTTGTCACCTAAAACCAGCTCTGGTGCTCTATACCACCTAGTAACAACCACAGAAGTGTACTTTGCCCCAGAACCAGCACTACCTGGAAATTTAATATTTGGTGGAGATCCATAATACTGCCTTGCTAAGCCAAAATCTGCTAATTTCAGTACTCCATTATGATCTATCAACAGATTTGCTGTTTTTATATCTCTATGCATAAATTTTGAGCAATGAATAAAATTAACACCTTCTAATATCTGCTTCATCATATTCTTTATATCTGCCATTTTTAATTCTATCCGAGGATTATGAAGGATACCTGAAAGATCAGCCACCATATAAGGCAGTATCATGTAGAAAAATTTCTTTGGTACTGCAGGAGGATTTGCAGAGTTATTCTGATTAAATTGTGCATAATCCTTATTGTTAGACTCTGGTGGAAAATCGTAAACCATTTCTAACAGCTTTATAATGTTCTTGTGGTTAAGTCGTTTCAGGATTGTAATTTCTCTCTGAGCGGTAATTGGGAACAAGTCGTTCTCTTGGTTAACAATTATTCTTTTCATCGCCACTTTGCGTTGGGTCTGCAGGTGTAATCCTTTGTACACTTCTCCAAATGTACCTTGGCCCAATTTTTCCTCTTCTTTATAATTTCCCTGAAAAGTGGTACATCCATATATCTTTCCCTCTGATCTAGGTGCTAGTTCAATATAACTATCACCTGTCTTTTCATCAATTTGTACTGTCGGTAGAGATTTAACTCTACCTATTTTATATTTGGATTCTGTCCTCTTCAGTGCAGGAACATTGCTATTTTCTTGTGACATTTTTTCATACAGCTTTCTATCAGTTTTATCAAATAAACACAGTTAATAATCTCCAGAATATTTTAAGAAACTGTGATCCAATACTAAACCGAATAGTCTCAGAAATATGAAATGGCTTTGTTGAATTTGTATCAATGCCTTCTATGAACAGGTCCTCGTTGATTCCTGAAACAATAACTAATTCACTGAAACAAATGAAGATGCCAAAATGGTGACCTTGTATACCTTCCAAATACAAGAATACTCTAAGCGTACCATTATAAAACGGTAATTGGTAATTTTGATGTATCTGTTTAACTATTGAATATTTTGTCAAATTTAGCACTCTGTGAAGCTTCACTCTCTAGGATCTAAGAAATCTTCCGTCGTTAATAATGATACCAATTCTCTATGTTATGTCAAGAAAGTAGTCATGCTATTAAAATCGGCACTCAATGCCATATTATTGCCTAATCTTGTTCCAGATGAAACACATTTCTTTTTAGGATTTCAGTTAGTATACTAGGGAATTAAAAGAACTCAATCTCTATTGATTTTTAGAAAATAAAAAAACAACAACAACAACAAATATACTATAAATTACAATTGTGTCCATTGGTAATACATAGATGACCTTGGAATGGTTCTTCTGAGTTCATGCAGAGTAATTTGCATTTGATATACACGTAAGTCGTAAGGTAGAGCATTACCTTGTAACTGGTAGTTACTAGCGTAGAAAACAGCCATAGCAGATTCTCTCAAACCAACATCTGATTTTTCTGCAAGAAATCCCAATGACAGCAATGACTCCCAAACGTTCTTAATATCACGTTTTGGCCACTGCTTGATTGCAGAATCAAATACGATGGTGTTCTTTCTTTCTTCTGTATCCTTTGGTACCATTGTCGGTATCTTCGCATTTAGTACCTTTACAATAGACTCATATTCAGCGTATGTAAGATTGAAATTTACAGATTCATCTTTTGTCTTCACTGCAACTCTGCAAGCCGATATCAAAATTGCAAGTTCCAGATCTGATAAAGATAATGTTCTATCACGTAGATTATTTTTTAAGAGACTTTGGGTGTATCGAAGAGAAGCCTCACCAGAGTTTAAATTATGCATCAATTGATCTAAATTTGATGAGGTTCCAATCATTGGTAGCAAGGAGTTTCTTAACATTGGTATTGATCTATAGTTTTCATCATTTACTTTAACCAGTTCGTATAGTCCTGTACTTTCATTTTCCAGTGCTGCCTCCACAGCTTCATTCCATTGCTCCTTATACTTGAGATCCGTTCCGGAATGTATCTGTAACAAATATTTAATGTTTTGAAGTAATTGTTCTCTAGACCCTATCTGGGGCATGTACACTATCCTCTGAGAAAATCTACTCCTCACTCTTTTCTCCAAAAACTCTAAAATGTTCAGTTTTGTTGTGCACCCAAATATACAAACTGGTACTCGAGCATGCTCCACCATATCAAATAAGTTATACAGCAAAGTTTGCCTTACTGGTCCCGCAAACGCATCAATTTCATCGAACAAAAACAGCACAGTCACCTTAGACTGGTCTGATTTAGCACTATCATCAATTTGTCTGCTCATGGATGCAACATCTAGCAAATGCAGTATTTTTTCAAAAACTTCAGTTAAAGAGCCCTGACTAATGTCAACAATAGATGTCATTTTCTGCTTTGCTCCATCGACATTTTCAATATTGCTTAGCTGCTCTTCCAATTGAGTAGCTATGCTATTGATAGCAGTCAGTTCTGTATGGATTAAACCATTCAGCTTGATAGTAATGAACTGCTTACTGAAGTCTTTAGATATCTTTGACACTATGTGCTCAAGCAAGAAAGTTTTGAAACCTTCTCTTTGTCCTACTATGATGGCTGAATGACTCTCCTTCTGTATAATAGCCTGTTTGGCCATTCTATCTATTTCTTGTTCTGCTTCCTCCAGAAATGGTAATACAACATTGTCATCCACAGGTAAGTTAAAGTTTAACTGTTTAAGAAGATGCTTCTTCAGTTTCTTAAACTCATGATCCGACTCTTCTTTGGATATGCTTTCATGCTTCCGGCTTTTCTTTAGGATGCTTGTCAAGTCATCAGTTTCGACAGCTTCATAATTGTCTATACCTCTCTTTATTGGGATTAACTTAACAGTCTTAACTGCAGCACTCAAGCCATCTTCTATTGTCATGTCATCATTCATATTAAGTTATCTCTTATGATGCACAAACGTATATCCACCTGATAATAAAATTATCAATAACTCTCTATGAGACAATGATTGATCCAGCATAAAACTGATATTGCTTATTTAATTCAAATCACTCAGCCATTACAGCTATTTAAAATGTGTTATTGTTTAATGTTTGCCTGACTTTTCGCATGTTAGTGATAAAATCCGGAAGTTGCAATGAGTTTCAAAATTACGGCAACTGCAACTTGAAGCTACAATACAGATGGTAGTACGACACATAAACATATAAAAAGGAAATCTATTTTACATTGGAATTAAATGATATATAATTGTTATCATTACAGTTGTATTGAGTACTTGTTACTTTTTGGTAATCGGAAGTGAATTAAAAATACAATCGATTGCGCTCGGAATTTGTTTTTTTTGCGTTGAGTGGATATAGGCTTATTGTGATTGTTCATTGATATGTAATGCAAAATCTTATCTTTAGATATCATTAATTCTTCATATAATCTTGACTTAAGATTCAATGAATTAAAAATCTTATCATAATGGAAAAACGAGGTTAACAAAAAAAAAATTAGAATTCTATCATTGGTGGGTAAATTAAGAACATGAAAAAGAGCAAAAAAGAAACATAATTGGAGCTTGTTATTTCGGTGTTAGGGATTTAATGTATGGATTTTGCTTTATCTTTTCTCATGAGTAATAGGAGTCTTTTAGTTTTTAGATATTTTTTAGCTGAAAGCGCAAAAGGGTAGCCTTTTGCAAGATTCAATAATAGGAGCTAGTTGAAAGAGGAAATAAAATTGTGGTCTACGCTAGGAATGTTGTCTATTATTTCTTACCAACGACTTCCCAGTCACCATCATCTTCAGTGACATTCAATTGTTTGGTTTCTTCAGTCAATTTCTCAACATCACCAGAGTTTTGTTGAGCAGTAGTGGATTCTGTTTCATCATCTTCATCATCTTCATCACGTAGAACATCGAATGCAGACTTTTGGATCTTTGGAGTCTCCTCTGGAGCCTTAGCTGGAGCAGCATTCTTCTTGGTACCTTGTTGAGTAGCTTTGTTAAATTGGGCTCCTCTAGCAGCACCCCAGTCCAAACTTGGTTCTTCCTTCTTTGGTCTGTCTTCTCTCTGTCTGGACGCTTGGAAACCGGAGCCCCTAGCGGCACCCCAGTCCAAGTTTGGTTCTTCTCTCTTTGGCCTGTCTTCTCTCTGTCTGGAGGCTTGGAAACCGGAACCCCTAGCGGCACTCCAATCCAAATTTGGCTCTTCTCTCTTTGGTCTGTCTTCCCTGTCTCTGCTGCCTTGGAAACCGGAGCCTCTAGCGGAGCCCCAGTCTAGATCAGGTTCTTCTCTTCTTGGTCTACTCTCTCTGCTAGCTTGGAAACCGGAGCCTCTAGCGGAACCCCAGTCAAGATCTGGGTCCTCTCTTCTTGGCCTGCTTTCTCTAGATGGCTGGAAACCGGAGCCTCTGGCGGCACCCCAATCCAAGTTTGGTTCTTCTCTGGAGGCTTGGAAACCGGAACCTCTAGCAGAACCCCAGTCAAAGTCATCACCTCCGGATCTGAAACCTTCTCTTCTTGGAGCTGCAACGGAGACATAGACAGTACGTTCATTCAACTTTGTGGAGTTGAAAGTCAAGGCCTTAACCAAGTCTTCACGTTCCTTTAGAGTAATAAAAGCAATACCTTTCAAACGGGTAGGGTCCTTAATACTCTTTGGCAAACTAACCTCTTCTACTGCACCTTCTTTACCTAAACCGTCCTCAACCCAGGCTTGAACACCCTCCGGAGAGATATCCCATGGAATGTTGTTGATGATGGCTCTGTATGGAGGAGCGTTGGGCACTGGGTACTCCTCCCTCTCGAAACTCTTCGCACCACCGCCAAGAGCAGGGTCCAGACGCGATCTACCTCCACCCATGCCCATGCCACCCATGGCACCGGCCTTCTTAGCCGCAGCAATATCCTCCAGCGGAATAGTGTTGGCACTAGTGTTCTCAATTGGAATATTAATCTTGTTCAAATCAACCTCATCCTCAGCCCACGAACTACCGAACGTATCGTCGTTCAAGAACGAGTTCAAATCCATCTTAACAGTCTTCTTAGGAGGAACCATCTTGCCGTAGTACTCTTTTTGTTTAAGTCGCAATTACCAAATCCGTGAAATACCCTAGTCTTATCTAGAATACCCTCTTTGGCCTCCTCCAGAAACCCAGCAACCCACATAAAACAACCGACTTGGCCCACTTTTTATGCTTATTACTCCTGCAAGAACTGGTTGGCAACTGTCGCCGAAGGGCATCGCGGGCTTTTGCAGGCGAAAACACAGAAAATTTTTCAATGCGGGTAACACTCATCACGTGGTGCTAAAAAAGTGCCTGTCTGAGTCTGGTGGGGGACCCCACCCTTTTCGGGCTGAGCGCTCTCACTCTTCCCAGTCCTGCGTTGGGCGGTTAAATTGCTCGGCGGCTGTCTTTATTATACCAGATCGGCGGGGGGTTCTTTGGTGTATTGCTAAGCAGACAGCGGGCAAACAGTAGGTTATAGCGTTTACAGAGAGTATCTCGATGGCTGAGCGTTTCGCTGGGTTGTTGCGGGGTGTAGATCTGTTGCGGGGGACAGATGACCGGTCCCGGTGCGTGTTTGGCACGCGGTTCGAGGTTTATAAGAACCGTATACACGGGTACAAGCACACAGACTCGCGGAACTCCAAGCGGGTGCCTTGCACGCTGGAGAGTGCGCGGCGTGGGTTTGTGCCTAGGCGGTTACTGACGATGCGGGTTGGGGTGAACAACGATGAGGTGTTCCGGTGGCTGGACGACCAAGGAGGCGTGCCGCGCGTGGCGCCTCTGGAGTACCAGACGCTGCTTGTAGGTGGCAGTGCGTTTAAGCTGCTGGGTCAGACGAAACCGCTGGAGTTCGAAGGACAGGTGTATGATGTGGGGACTGTACGGACGTCCCTGTACGGAGACTTATTGCTGGTGAGTGCTAAGAATACAGGTGTGGTGTGTCTATGCTACATATCTGAGAAGTTGAACGATATATTCCTAGTCGATAGGTTCGAAGGCAATTGTAGCGTGTCTTGGAGTTTTGCGTGCTCTAAAACAACAAACTCCTTTGCAATCTATGATAAGGCCAGCGGAGAGTGCCACGTATTCACCGTTGATGATTCTCTGGAGTTACAGCTCACCGGTGAGCTGAGTCTCGGCGAACCCGGTGAAGTTACCATTCTGAAGGCCACCTTCCTTGATAATAATTCTGTGTCTAGACCACAATTGCTACTTGTGATATCGCGTTTATCCTTGGTTTCATACGTGCTCATCGACTATGATGCCAATAATATGCTCGAGGATTGCAATTATCACGAGCTGCCGTATCTTAGCGGAGATGTCATTCAGGATATAATCCCGCTGAGCAGAAGCAAATGCCTAATGTACACGATAAACTCTTTCTTTCTCATTAACGCGGACCAGATTATGTCTGGCGACCTAAATTTCCCTCGGATATCCAAACGACTCCTAAAAGGCACAATAGACTGGTTCAACGCTCCACAGTTACTGGAGTACTTAATTGCTCATGATCAGGAGTATTATGGAGAATTCTCTGATGCGATCATAATTGGGACGGCAATAGGGAACATTATCGCCTTACTTGTTAGTGATAATGGCAACATCGAATATCATACATTGACAAGATTTAAAGGTATCAAAGCGCTCTGCTCAGCAGACCAGTCCTTGATTTCTGACCATAAATTCAAATTGCTTGTGCTTTCATTTGGTAAATCTATTTCATTGACTTTGAGTTTAAAAGACATATTCAACTTTGAGCACTATGAAAACTTACCTTCAAACTTAACTTCAAATCTATGTGATAAAAAGACAGTGACTTCCGATTCAGAAAATAACTTTGATATGGTACTTATTGACCCAATCCATTCCATAAAAGAATCATGCCCCGAAATATGGCTAACTTCACCACATAGCGTATCAAAACTATCAATCGAAAACCCTACAAGGAAATTCAGATTCCTTGGATATTTGGAGGAAAACCATCAGTTCTCAACTTTATTTCCTATTGAAATCCATAATACCTATGACAAACATTCATCCAATGGCATCTACCACACTGACATTCTTGCATTATCATCTTACGAGGGTTATACAAGAGTTGTGTCCATTAATTCGAATGGCAACACCAACCTTGAGGATGATACTATTTTTATTCCCAATGAAAAAATCGAAACGCTCGAGCTTCACAAAGTGAATGAATCAGTTATACAAGTAGGCAGAAAAGGAATTTATTGCCGAGCGATAACTTCTCATCCGTCATCTACAGTGAGCTACGAACCTTTCGGTAATGATTCTATAGATCAAGTATGTTTCATTGGTAACCAACTATTCGTCGCATTGAGAGATAGTAAGGAAATTTGGTGGTCATCCGCAACTGATGATTTATTATTGGTAAACAATATGACTAAAATTAATCTTGTCACCAGCGATAATGAGATTATGAACTTTGAACACATTACCAAAATTTGTGCAATTCTTGACACTTCTTCGAATGATGATATAGCCTTATTGGTACTAAGTCTAGAGAGTCTCAAAATTTTTAAAACCAGTACAAATACTGCCATCTGTGTAGACACAAAACTACTAAATGAGTTTCCCAGCGATATGGTAACTTTAGGCTCCACAGTAGTCCTTTTTTATGAAACGCGAATATATGCTTACAAACTCGATAATTATAAACTACGAGATTGCAAGTATACCAGTATCGACAATCTAATAGGCGGTTTTAAATTCAAGAAAGTTGATAATAATAGACTACTGCTGTATGGGTCAAAGAAATTATATCTACTTGATATACAAAATGATCTTACCATCGAAGAAATTGAAGTATTTGAAAACCTGAAAAACGATATAATTCTCGATTGCTATTTCGATATTAAAACCAAGAAAATGTATTCACTATTATACAATGGAATACAAGTCTCGGTTGAAGGGATTTCAACGTATTATCCGAAAAACTATACCATTCGCCATACTAGAAATCCGAATAAGCAGTTCCTTTTTCTTTCCAAACTGAATAGAATGTTGATTGTTAATTTTGATATCGGTGAATGGGAGCTTCTAAAACTGAGAAATAATAAAACTCTCACATTGGATAAATGCTATTTAACTGATAAACATAACAATTTAGTACAAAGCGTCTATGAGCTGCCAGGATCGAATCCGAACACTAGAATTCTCTTAAATTATGGTTCTAGTGTCTCCATCATTGAGCTAAGGCCTAAAAAGGGTAAAATAGATATTGGAATAATATCGTCTACTGATATTCCTGACATCCACAAACATGCTCAGATAATGAGCAGTGACGTCGTAATGCTCTATCGACCAGGGTCATACTCTAATTCTGAAAGGCATAAGCATATGTTTATTCTTTTATCAGGATGTTCACACGGTCATCTGTCTATAGATGAATGGTTTGCCTTTGACACTCTCCACTCAATAGATGAATTCATTGTAAAAGATGATGAATTATATTTTAAAACTGATAATGGAGAACATATATTTAAAGTTGTCAATAATGCGGCCTTAAAAGAAGCGATTGTGATGAAACTAAATATTCCATTCGAATGTAAAGTAGAACAACTTCTGAATTTCAGCGATAGAATTGGAGTTGTGTGTTCCAGTGATTTGCGAGGAATAGCCAAGTCACAAATTCTCTTTTTTGAAAGTAATAGGACTGATTTTATTGGTAAATCTAGGAAGATAATGTCCCGTACACGGAATGTATCATCTCATGATTTTTTGGAGACTAATGTCGGTAGCGATGACGATGAGTGTATCATTGGATATGAAGCTTGGGATGTAAACTATTTGGATCCAGACAATGGCTCAGACTCCATGGATGCTGACGGTAGAATAAACTCATCAGGTTCGAGTAGTGACGATATGTCAATTGATTCCGATGATGATATTTCCATTAATATAGATATGACTGTTAATGACCAAGTTTTGCGGTTCGGTCCTTCAGTAGGTATTCAGCAAGATCTTGATGAAGATGGAATAGGTTCTACCATTCTATCATCTGCAGATGCCACTCATAATAATCACCCTGTTGGTAATAATGAGCTATCAAATTTACTAGATGTTCACCATATTACTAGAGGTAGACAGTTTTTTGAGAGTGTCGTTTCTCGTTCACATGATACTCCACTGTCAATATTGCAAAACTATAGACTGCTCAATCCACAGGTAATATCAGAATCTGATACAAAAGACAAAGACCAACATAAGGAAGAAACAAGCGAACCAATTTATACCATCAATTTTGATCAGTCGGTCATTCGAGCGAAATCTCATAATGACAAGCTATACGTGATATTGTTCGATCAATCGGTACTTGTGTTCACTTCGGAGTTGGACGCTAACAAATCTGATGAATATCTAACAACTGAAACATATACATCTACCAATTGTATGGGAGCATAATTCGATGGCAAAACATAAACTAGTATTATATTTCAAACTATAGATTGTGTAAGTATCCTATGTACATACAATACAAAAACGGACACATCTCATAACAAAAAAAATGTGCGATGAGCTTCAAACTGTAAAAAAGATGATAAGCACAAATGCACTTTTGAAGTAAAGAACTAAAGTATTTAATTTGCTTGAAACACATGAGAGATTAACTAGGTCATATTGGGCATATGCCTCTTTTTCATAGTTATTTGGATATCTATAACAGCAGTCTTATCGAAGTATTCATTCAATCGGTAAGTTGATGTCGGAGAAATAACATTACGATAATTATTAGGGCTTGCATTGGATAATGACTAATAGCACCTCAGAAGATGATTTGAATCGACTCAATTCCTTATTAACTCATCGATGGATAGATTTCAACCCCAAATCAACACAGATAAATGGCTATTACGAAGATTCATGTCATGCCGGTCTACACAAAGTTGATAAACCTCCATTACGACCTTTATATGACCAAGTTGGAGTTATCCCCAAATTAGATCAGGTACTTGATTGCAAGAAATTTCTTATAAATAAGAATGATAATGATTTAGATGATTTCTTGAGTGACCTTGAGCTTCTTGAAAAGGCACCATTAATCAAGAATAAAATTAATGTAAGTACGCTGATACCTACACCAACAGTATCAACAAGAGATCCTGAGTCTCTAGATGATCCAGACTTTGAAAGCTTGTTGGAAGACAGTGAGCAGGATCCAAGGGCTGATGCTCCTGAGAACACTGATGCTACGGAAGATATCAATACCAAGTTGGAAAATGCCAAAATGGAACTGGAACTCGGATTTGCTATGAGAACAGAGGGCCACTTATTTCTAGGTAATAAAAGTTTCCAAAACATATTGACTCTCGAAATAGATGATTATGCTTTTATTGATACCTCGAGGTCTAACTTTCCTTCACTTCTATTAGTTATCGAAAAGGGAACTAACATACTGTACACAATTGCTCTTTTTAAGGATATCAAGAAATCGTTTGTTTTACAGTATTGTTATTTAACGTCAGTAAATCCTAGACATTTGCGTGGCAAGCCCCTAAAGTTATTCACAGATTTAAATAATCATACTTTTGCTGTAGTTGGGCCTCATTCCTTTTGCAAAATATTCCGGTTTAAAAACTATTTACAGTTCGAGTATCTTACAACTATAAAGTTTTGTGATGTTGTCGACATTTTCTTCAAGCAGATTGGCACTGACGCTACTAATTGCATCACTGAAATTATTTTAATAAATAAAAAGGGCAAAATTCTTTTGATCCAATATGACTATAAATTGGACAAGATCATAAAGAGGCAAACAAGTTATATTGGTATTCAAGACAAAAATGATATTATTAGATCTGTTTTTAGTCTATCAAAAGAAGTGTTATTTTTATTAGGCAAAGAAAATCAATATGTTGCGCATAAGAGCAATATCCTTAATACAGAGCCCGCGGAAATAAAACAATTTAAGCCATTTCATAATAAGGAAATCAAACTATTTGAACTTCCCTGCCTAATTTCGGAAATCAAGGAAATTTGTCCAACTATCCGTTATACTCACTCTGTCCTATATTATACTTCATCTTCAAATGATATGGGCATTATGTTTTCAGATTCTAGTGATATTCTAGAAGCAATTTTTATAAAATTGTCGTTGAGTGTGGAAGCAGAAAATGCTCCCTTTATTCCTATGTGTTGCTTTCCCTCAGAATTACAAGATGAAGTTATACTAAGAGCATTTCTTTATAAAGGATTTATTGACATACCAATCAGGCTATCAGATGAAATGATAAAAACACTAGAAGAACCAAGCATATCATTTTCAATTGTATCACTACCATGGGAAATACATGAGTATTGGGAGCCACAAATTTGCCTTGGTACATCAGTTGTTTCCAGTTGGCCGATTAACCACTCTAGCATATTTGTCGAGTATCGAGATAGATTTAGGACTTTGAATCTATTTGGGTCCAATTTAATGGCCAGAAGAAGCTTGAATATTGACTATCTTGCAAAGTTTGATACAATTTTACTTTACTACTGGGATGATATGGGAGATTCTGTATCCTCTCTAATCTTTTCAGAAAATGAAAGAAAGGATGACTCCTGTATGCTTGTTGCTTCGAACAAAAAGGAAACGCTCTGTCAACTTTTAACTGCTAATGATCATGATATAGATGTTACCTTCCTTGATGATATCATACCTTGTGCATCTACCACATGCCGAGCAATTCTGTTCTTTCATGACTTGGTATTGCAGATATCCGCTTTTAGTGTTTATGTAAATAATCTCTCTTCTGAAGGTGGAACTACTACCAGGAAGGTATTCACTAGTGACCATCAGATTGTTAAATTTACTATGTTGGATGGTACCTGTCTATCCTATTGTTCAAACGACACTCTATATGTATCTGAAAGCATCGTTGATGTACTGGATGAAAAAGATGAATTTTATGAAACTGCATTACTAAAGGCTTTAATCTGTCTTGATACTGATGCGCCAAAAATTGATAGCGAAAGGGGTTCTTCGTCGCATAATTCTAGCCAAACTAATGATAACCATAGCAATTGTATCGTTACAATTTCAAACAGGACAAACTTGTACTCTGTGAAGAATCGGGATTATTTCAAAGACAATACTTATCTGATAGATATCGACCTTGTTTCTCTTAATGATTTCAATGATAATACGATGATATTACTCATTTGTACCACGGTTAGTAGAATGTTGGTATTTGATTGGAGGAAGGTTGTAGACTTTCTTCGAGTAAAAGAATGTAAATCAGAAAAGCTACATGGCATATATGAGGAGGCAGTTTTATATAATTGGAAAGTAACTGGCATAAGCAGCTCATCAATAGGTGATGGTAAAGTTACTGTTGTTGCTAACAGCGGTATCTATTTGTTAGATCTTCTAAGCATAGTTCATGATGTAAATAAGGCGAACACTGCCAAGAAGCTTGCACTCAAATTTGGGAAGGATGTAATCAATCAACGAAATTCCTGGAAATTAACTCTGAAACAAACAATTGGTGATAAGCAGCTATTCTTCTATGATAAGAGCATCTATATGTGCAATATGAAAGATTATGAGAAGCCAGAAGGTATTGAAATACCCGCGAAGAAATTTCAGTTTGATCTTTATCAAAGCAAACAAGTCTATGATGCTATTTTCGATAAGGTCTCTAATTCAATTTTAGCTATTGTAGATGGTGGGTTATTGGTGCTAAAGGACATATATGAAACCAAAGTAGTGCATGAGATAGGGACTGATGTCCATGCCGCACCCTCAAGTAACTTCAATAGATTACAGTTCCTGTTTGGTGACGGTCGAAACTACATTCGTGAGGATGGGTATGGAAGTCTGCGATTTGCTGGAGGCAATGACGTTGGTACCAGTGATTTTGATGCTTCGGATGTAGCGTACGCGTTACGCTCAGAAAGGTTTGATGCATATCAGATCTTTGACACAAATCCGAGTAGCCCTCTTGGACTGCTATGTGTTTGGAATGGTATAATATGTCTTACTAGGTTGGTTCCTGGTAAACCAGATTACATATTATCCGTGTTAGACACATATGACTTGTATAGCGAGGAAGTGTGGTTTCATTTTAGTTCACTGAAGAACAAATTTGTGGCTACCTATTCCAATCAATGCGATAGCCCCGCTGTACCATTTGAAATAGTTGGTGACCGGCTAGTGCGCAAGCATCTCAGCGATGTATCCAAGTCCAATGTGTTTTGTGACACTGGAATTCTAGGTGAGTATGGTATTCAAGAGGTAGACGGCGCGCTGTATGTGCTGGGAGGCGGGTCACCGGCAAATTGGGCACCCTTCCTATGCAGTAAAGAATGTCGCCCTATAGTGCTGAACAACGACACAGTGGTAGTCAAATGGGATGCACGTACCTTGAGGTTCCTTGAGATAACTAGAGAGCAAGCTACCGCGCCGACGGACCGCATGAGCGAGGCCCGGGAGAGAATGCAAGAGTATTTACGTGAGGCAAGCAATGAAGACGAGTGGTTTGACCTTGAAGAGATGCTGAACGTCGGAGACCCACACAATGACATAAGCCTGTCTGCCAGCCTGCTACCACACCGCATTGAAATAGATGAGGATATAGTAAGTCTGCAGTACGATCAGTTCACCGACAGAATCCTCGTGTACACGACCTACAAGATATGGGTCATTACACGCGACCCGCGCATGGACCTCCCAAGACCACACAGCATCTCCATACGCAACTACCTCCCAAGCGACAACGCCCAAACCAAGTTCATAGCACGCAGAATAGAGCAATAGCACACGAAGCAGGTCTATAAATAGCACTCAGGCATTGATCAGACGGGCTATTATCGCCAAAAAAATATATATCATATAGAACGACATAGTTAAGAAGCTACTGGAAAAGCTGTTCTCCCTGCTGCACTTTCTGCACACAAATTTTTGGTGTCACAAGAATTTTTTTTCTTAAAACTTCAAGCCTCCCTCAATATGGACACACCGAATCAGAAAAAAAAAAATAATAAAAAATCATAAATAATACCAATTGTTTACAGGGAATAGTCTATTTTGTAGCGGTTTTTGCAGTTGATTCTTGGGGTTACATGGACCAGGCACTCTTTAATATTTACAAAGGACTTTTATAATTTTTGCGATTCGTTAATTTGCGTGAAAGAACGAAGAGAATCGAAGAATCGAAAGGAAAAAATAGCCAAAGGATCAAAAAAAAAATAACCACGATTAGAGGATATTTTTAAATCACGAAGCCATAAACTATAGTAATAAGATTGTCAACTACATAAGATAAGCCAAATAAAAAAAGATGTCGCAACAAGTCGGTGCTAGTATTAGAAGAAAGCTAGTTATTGTCGGTGATGGTGCCTGTGGTAAGACCTGTCTTTTGATTGTGTTTTCCAAGGGTCAATTCCCAGAAGTTTACGTTCCAACTGTTTTTGAGAACTACGTTGCTGATGTTGAGGTGGATGGCAGACGTGTTGAGTTGGCTCTGTGGGATACCGCTGGCCAAGAAGATTACGATAGACTAAGACCATTGTCGTACCCAGACTCCAATGTTGTCTTGATCTGTTTCTCTATCGATCTGCCAGATTCCCTAGAGAACGTCCAGGAGAAGTGGATTGCCGAGGTGCTACATTTCTGTCAAGGGGTTCCAATCATCCTTGTAGGTTGTAAAGTTGATCTAAGAAACGACCCACAAACTTTGGAACAATTGAGAGCTGAAGGCCTACAACCAGTCGCTACTGCCGATGGTCAAAACGTTGCCGACCAAATTGGTGCCACTGGCTACTACGAATGTTCCGCCAAGACCGGCTACGGTGTGCGTGAAGTCTTTGAAGCCGCCACTAGAGCCTCTTTGATGGGTAAGCAAAAGAACACCGGTAAGAAGAACAAGAAGAACTCTGGTGAAAAGAAGAAGAGAAAGTGTGTTCTATTGTAAGCAAGCCCTCCATGGGGTTGTTGATTTTTCTACAACTGATACTTGAAAGAAGATTAACTCTTTAACTAATCTAAAAAGCACTATCATAATATTTCAAGGAAAGAAGACTGGAATTCACTCTTTTTTATTTTCTCTTACTTTCTCTTTCTATTTCACCTTAATATTAATTTTACTTTTTTTTTCTTCAAACTACTATTATTCGCTGTTGATATTGCTGAAAGGGATTTTTGTAATCAGCAAAAAATGGATAAGACAAGAAGAAATACATTAGGGAAAATTTATTCACTTTGTCTCTGTAAATGTGGCCCATATTCAACATTCAAAATAAAATAAATCTAAGATAACCATATTGTCAAACTTAAACAGAAAAATTTTTAAGAACTGGGATATTTGATCACTTCTTTGTTGAGAAACTGTACTGGTACAAATGCTTCATTGATCATATGTTAGTGCTGGATGGCCATATATGTTTTAATGCTAACAAAGTTGCTATGTCTTCAAAGCATTTCCAATTTTTTTTATATTTAATAATTTTCTATACTTATTTTTTTACTATAAATGATTATTTTTCTTGTCTTAATCAATTGCCATGAATTGCTAATAGAAAAGACTATGATTGATGCGAATATTCGTATTTGTTACTAAAATATATGGGTTTTTATTTTGGTAGTATATACATGATAATATGTAGGGGAGAATAGCGGTTCGGACAGCGAATATCAAAATGAGATTATATACATGCGGTGAATCACCAAACACCTTTCTTGACACCCGGTAACTCACCTTTCAATGCTCTCTCTCTGAACTGGTATCTACACAACCTGAAGTCGCTGAGCACAGCTCTAGCGTGACCACTCTCAATGCAACGGTTCTTCACTTGTGTTAGTCTGGTGTAGTTCGGCATGGAACTCAACTGTAACTGAGCCTCAAGTCTTGCCCTAGGTGGCAATGTAGTGTTTCTAGCAATATATTTGAGAGCCTTAGCTGTTATCTCATGTTCAGCAAACTGCTGTCTCTTGAAGTTGTCTCTGATCACCCTGGCGTTCAAAAACCCAGGGGGAAGCTTGGTCTTGACTGGAAACCTGAAAGTCATCACTTTAGTTATCTGGGTATATGAGCTGTAAGTTGTAATACTCTAGCGTCGATACTTAAACATGAGCTCTTCATAGCTTAAGCTTCTTTATGGTTTCCGTTGGCAAAGTCCCCGGCTTCTTCGCCCTGCGCGATGCGGAAATCGTCAAAAATCAGCGAATAATAGAAAGTTGGCATAAAGCTCTAGTCATTCACTGCAAGTTATACATTAGTTCTTATATGGTTTGGAGCAAATCACTATAAATATATGTCTTATCTATAAATATCATGTTGCGGCTCGCATTTCAGGTATCCTGTTTCAGGAACTTGGCGAACCTGCTCGTCTCGTGGATCCCGCACTCCGTCTTGGCTTTGCCCTTCCATCTGCCACTTCTCTCGTCTTCACCTTCCTTGACAGGTACAGTTGAATGGTAGTCACCGATGGACTTGTAGCCTAGGTCGAGTAGCTCATTGTATGGGACTGCGTTGTCGTCGATGTACTGCTTGACCTGGTCAAATGTCCAATTGGCCAACGGGTTGATCTTTATGATTCCCGTGAGTTCCTCGATCTCAACGAACTGCAGCTCCGATCTGGCTGACCCTTGCGACTTTCTCCTGCCAGTGAACACAGCGGTTACTTGCAAGTCCTTGTAGGCCCTGGCTGCCGGTTCCACTTTAACCAGGTAGTCGTACTTGTCGTCGTCGGTCTCCCACAGGAACTCACCGTACTTGTCCGCAAACTGCTGCTCGGTGTCGCAACCGATGGGCTTGTAGACGTGGATCGTCTTGCCATGAGGCCTGTAGTACTTATCTTCGACGTTCTCCCTCAGTGTCACAGTCTGTGGGAATAAGTGCAATGTGTCAATGGTAATCAACGGCACTAGCGCATCGGCACCGAGCTTGGAAAGCATGTCTATCGTAGCCAGACCAGTGAGCCCAAACGCAGTGGTCTGGAATAAGTGTGGGAATGTGGCCAGTGACCACTTCAGTATTTCTTGTGGCTCCAGCTGCGACAGCGCCTGGTTCCAGTGCGCAAGCTGCTCCTCAGTGACCGATATCCCGTTATTCAAGTTATATACTTTCATCGCTTTGCTCTCCTACAAGCCCAACTACTACGATAAATAAGAATCGTAGCTACATGGCGTTCAGCATAGGCATATTGTTAAGCATCGCCCACACACGCTTATATATGCCGGTTTCGAATAGTTAGGCACACACAACACATTTATCAAGCAGAAGTGCCACAATAGAAGTACGCTCTACCGCATCGGGATCTAGAAAGCAGGCAACTCGAGATAACTTGCCTCTAGGTCAATCCATTTCACGTGAAGTTGCAGTCAGGATCACTGCTTCTGTGACATTCTAAACAGAAACATCAATGCCATATGCCCTCCAGCGGACGAAACACTACAATTAGACCCTCCAGAATACCAGTTATTCAATCCTCCAGACCCATATATTACTCGAGCTTTGAGCTGCCGTCCTTACTATTACAAGTGCAGATGGCAGCTCTATGACTATTCCCATCTGTGGTTGTATATAGGTCACGTGATCTATTACGACAAGTGTCAAAAGCTGTGACTTTGGCAAAAGTTATGGTGCCCTAAAGCCCAAGCGTGGTAGACCCATAAAGCGATGAGGTATATGTTAGGTGGTCAGGAATGCTTTTGGTGGCCGACATAGCAGTGTAGTGTGAGCGGAGAATCTGGCAGTCGAGATGGGCAGTGTGAAGAGTAGCAACCCTGCATTGGAGGGGCTTCACGAGGAGCTTGGAGTGATGGAGGAGCAGATACGGTCGATAATCGAGTCATTTATTGAGCTTGGTGTGTCGGTGTATGACTTCCCTGGGACGCCTGAGGCTAGCCAGGGTATGGTGACTAACCTGAAGAGGAATGTGGATAGGATATTCAAGCTGAACCAAACCAGTAACGACCCGCAGAGTGCTTTGAAGGATGTGAATGTGCCCTTGGAAGTGGTTCAGTACATTGAAGATGGTAGGAACCCCGATATCTACACAAGAGAGTTTGTGGAGGCTATACGAAGATCTAACCAGTACCAGCGGGCAAAGATGCACGGTATGGGCATGTTGAGGGACTCCCTCGCTGAGAAGATCAAAGAGCAGTTCCCGGAGTTGAAGGACGACGTGGAGAATATCGTGCAGAGGACAAACATGAAACCCACTGGCCAAGCTCGGGTAAATAGTGGAACTACTAATATGACTACTACTGCGGAGCAATCTAATGTGGTCAATGCAACCGCAGGTGACGTGGGGACAAATGCCAACACTACAGAGAGTGTGGAACAAAATGGTATATAGCGCATTCTAGTGACGGAAATGTCTCAGGCTTCGGGAAAGCTTTATAGTTGGACAAATACATATGGCATACTTTATATTGCTATGCAAAATAAATAGTTTATTGATGTTAACTTACGGTGAATAAATAATCGATATGATATAATATACAGATGAGTGAAACCTAACTAGAACTTTGTTCTCATTGAAATTTACCAGGGGCAATGTAGCATATTACAAGGACATCTTTGCAAGCTTGTAGACTGAGTCTTGTGTCTTGGCACCACCGATGAAACCAGCGGCGTGAATGAAAACACAGTCTGGGACACCACTCTTGTCGCTCAACTCTTGGTCTCTTAGACCTCTTAGGTGTTCTGGTAAACCCTTTCTGAATTGGAAAGAGGTGGAGCTTACTGGAACAGTTGATACCCTCCAAGTGTTGGAGCTGTCTTTAAATAGCACAAATTCAATTTGGCCTTCAATACCCTTAGCTTTTTCAACTTCATATAAGTGTTCTTTCCATGGACAGAATTGATTTAGTACAATAATCTTGCCAGAGTCATCGACCTCGGATCTTCTGTTAACGGCCTCGATGACTAAAGATTTAGCTGGAATCCATGATAGAGCGTAGCCTTCGACCAGGTCGACAAAAATCTCACCAATGAACTTACTGGCTCTTTGAAAGTTGGTATCGTATGCCTCAGCAGAAGTGTCAGCATTCCAAGATGGGTTCATACCGGAAATGACACCTGGGATGCTAATAGCGTTATCCTTGAACTTTGGAGTCAATTCCTTAGAGTTCTCGTACTTGTCGATACCGTTATCGTTAGCGTCCAAAGCCTCGATGAATTGCTTGTAAACCTTGTCGTAAAGGATATCCAAGTCGCCAGAGGAGATGGAGGCACCTTTATTCTCAACGATGGCAGTGATTATCTCACGGCCGAAGTGCTTGTAGACCAAACCAGCACTGGAAAGCTTTGTGGCATACTCACCATTGAAAGTCTCAAAGAATTCCCTTTGGTGGTGGTCAAAGAACTTGACACCATCGTACTTGGCACCAACATCAACAACAATGTCGCTGGCCTCCCAGTCTTCAGGGTTTCTCGATCTCACAACCTTGGCATCCTTAAACTTTGGCAACAGTCTTAGCATGTACACGGCAAGAGACTCGTCCGCGTGGAAAGGACCGGAATGGGTACAGATTTGCAACATTTCTAACTTCTGGCGCTTGGTATCCATCAACAAGTGAATTGGTATACTTCTATAATTGCTCAAGAATACTCAAATTTGTACCACGCAATCGAAGACTATATTCAGCTGTTATAGGCAGCTCATCGCAAGAATTTTAAATTTTTTTGCAAAATTTGATATTTTTTCAAAGGATTGGCACTGATCCATAGAAAGTGCCGCACAAACTCGTTTTCTTCCTCACATAACCGAGGTTCCAAGTCACCTGAACGTGAAATTGTCACAATGCCTGTTGGATTGGCAGTCAACTCTTTGAGACCAGCATAGTTCAAGCAATTGGGCGTCTAATTGTGTGTACCAGCGGTCTGAATTTAGTGAATTCACTTGCAGTAGCACTGAAATATCTATTTGTTTGTGACAGTCGGGTATACGCTTCTTTGTACAGGTGTAAGCCCCACTAAATTAGCAAAGAATAACAAAATAAAGGATGGTCCGGCCTAGGAGACCTTCGTTGGTGGAGGACATAGCGTCTCAGCCTGGGTTTGAGAGCAGCAGTAGCCAGGAGAATAGTAAATTTGGTGCATTGTTTGCGGATAGCTATCTGCTCCAGAAATTGGAAGCATTGAGTGTTGAGCTGCAGAAAAACAAGGACAATGTTGAAATGCCAAAGTATGACTTGTCCTCGCAGCCGACCAGCAAGTCGTCTGTGGATGATAACGACCCCTATATCACATACAGAAAGTATATACAGCAATTGGATCATAGTATTGAAGGGTTCCAGAAGGTTGTCCAGAAGACGGAGGAAGTCAATGGTAAATTGGGCGATGGACTGGACCAATTCGTTAATATCTCAAAGAGAGCCGATGGTTTTGTTGATGAGACTAGAGAAATTCATGAGAAGAGAGACAAATTGGAAGCTCAGAATAGATTAGTTCCCGAGCAATTAAAATACTTTGAGGCCCTAGACCCAATTATCCGTCGTTTGAATCATGCAACGTCCCCTTCGATTGTAAGAAAGGAGTCATTCAAGAATATGATGGTCAAGATTGATAACTCATTGGAATATTTGCACGAACACTCTGATTTCAAAGAAGCAGAGACTTATAGAATTAAGTTTAAACAATGTTTGATTAGATGTTGTGATCTTATTGTTCATCATTTAAATTCTATTGTTAATAGGATATGCACTGAAATCACAGATGGCTTACAAAATAATAAGGAGATATCAGAAACTACTAGAGAGGTTCTGTTATACAACAAATTTGCCTCAATTTCCGAAGAATACACGAGTGAGATCAAGTGCATTATAGAGAGACGTCATATGAGCACCTATACTAGATATCGCGATGAATTGGATTCATTGTTAAATGAGTGCTATAATCATTATTTCCAAGCGAGAAAGTCGTTATTAGATTCCATTATCAAAAATAAACTGAATGAAATTTATAAGTCAGAAGAACACATACAAACAAGAAAATTCATAAGTGCCGAGAAAGACTTCTTTCAACAGTTGGCAGAGAATGAGTATCATTTGTTTGTGAAATTTTTCCCTGGTCCAGAGTCTAAGGAGCGTGGTAATAAATGGCTGATTCAACTCTGTGATCCATTTTATGATTCTGTGAAGGCTAAACTTCTTAGAGAAAATGATATTTTAACTATTCGTGATTGCATTTTACTATTCACTCAATATTACGAATTTGAAGAAGATTACGAAGAGTATGAAAATATATTTAAGGATGTATACTATGACAAATTATTTGAGCCTGTGCTGCAAAAATTACAATCGAGATTAATCTTTAGAGCCCAGAAGTATATTGATGAGGCCATTGTAAAGTATAAACCACCTAAGGGTGCGCCAATGATTACCAATAGAAAAACATCTGCAAAATTGGAGTCTGAAGAAGAGATGGTTGGAATATATATTGACGACTTGAAAAATAGTGAAGTCATCTCTCTACCAGAAACTGACTCGGAAGAGGATGCGACAGATATTATCTTGTCGACCTACTATATACCAATTATCAGAGCACTAGCTCTACTATCAACGATTTATGAGATGATCAACACTGTGGTATTTGATGATTTGGCACATCATGTTGTTAGAGACTGTCTGGTATCTATTGGAGAAGCATTTAACCTACTAACAAGTGGAGATGATGTCAATCTGGTTGAGTACTCACTGTCATACCTAAGAAATTTATTGTTTCTGCGTGACCAGCTTCAAACTTTCAATATACAATATACTGTGAATGAAACCTTTCTTGATTTCTCAGCAGTTGGGTCGTTGTTCAGAAGATCAAGTTCAAATCTTGTCAGAGAAGAACTTCCAAAACCTGATATGGGAAGAAGGAACTCACAGCGTATATTAAGTGCTGCAAGAAATCTGATTCCAAAACTTGTTGTTAATACTGTCGACTCGGGATCAGAACTTGTTGAAGCTTTAAGATTTGCAATCAGATCTTTTACTGATAGAGCTTCAAAAATACTAACACAAGATTATATGAAGATCTCGGACATTGAAATAGAAGATATTCTGGGTGATAACGTGAAATTAAGAACCTCTATAGACACAAATCTCCCTCGGGTTGTGCAATTGATCCATGACTATATCTCGGACGATGAAATCGTCGAGAATTTATTGGATGCCTTAAAAGAAGCTATTCAAATACAATACCAAAATTATTACGACGAGCTTAATAATTTGGTTGAAAATGGGAAAGTGGAAAATGGTAAAGTATTAGAGGTCATGTATCCTGATACATTCTCCGAGTATTTGGCAACCTCAATTAAGAAAGAGGTAGAAATTCTTGAAAACAAGTAAACATTAGAAGTCTATAGAATAATAAAAACCCGGTATATAAAAACGTATAAAAACAATAGCATAGTAAACATTTTAAAGTTTACTTTTTCCTTTTAAAATTGAAGTAAAAAAAAAAATAGTCAATGTCATAATTCTTGGTGTCATTTAATTTTCGTGAAAGTCTTTCTGATTTGGTGATCAATTTATCAATACGATAATTCAACAGTATATATGAGTATACTTGGCACTTTTTTCATGAACCACCATTTCGTTCTTTTTAAACTCGTTTATTTCCTGTTTAATTTCAGGTTTTTGAGTCGTTGTGTTAGCACTACTATCATTACCAGATGAAGTAGATCCACCAACCTCAATGAAGTTGTCTAAGAAGGAGTCGTTACTTCTTTCGTAGACTTCGGGAGCCCATGTATCGGTTAGCAGTACCTCGTTAGAGAATCTCAATTTCTTATTCATAGTCGACATCATATCTTTCCTCACAGCACTAGCAAAGCTTGTAGAGTTTCCATTGGAGGATAACGAGGTCGATGACAAATTAGGTAAGTAAAAATTGATTAAAGAGGACCTATCCGAAGATGATATAGACCGGATAGTCTCTAATTCATCAGGAGGTATAAAAGTGACCTTTTCCCACTGTACTACCAACCTATCATATATTTCATCGATGGGGTTCTTCTTGGGCGCAGGTTCACTCACTTTTATCTCCGGTGGCTGGGTTGCCGGTTTTTGTTCAACTTTTGGTTCTGCAATAAACAATTTCTTTGGAGGCTGTTCAGCATCGGAGAGAGATTTTGACTTCCATATACTTTTGAAAAAGGAGCCGAATTTCTTTTTCTCCTTGACCACCGGTTCTTTTGCCTTTGGTTTTGCTTTAATGGGGCTCACAGCAGGTCTTTTCTGAAAGTTGATGCTGCCCACACTCAGGTCGAATTCGTCCTCGTCATCGCTTAGATCGCTGTGGATGCTAGATGCTGAGGATTTGTCTTTGTAAGCGTATGGGTTTATTTTCTCCTGTGGGTTCTTAGCAGCCTGTAGCTCCCTTCTGGGCGTGAACACTTCACCGTTCTCAAACTTGAAGCTGTGCTTCATCTTTTGCTTCTGCAACTGGTACGCTGACACTGTGGGAGTCTCAACAGCACGTCTATCCTCCACCTGTGGAGCTCTGTAGACATGGCTGTGTCTCCTCGATAATTCATGTTGGCGGTCGCGCTCACGCTCGTGCTCTCGCTCGTGCTCACGCCCGTGCTCACGCCCGCGATCCGAGTACGTTTTCCCTATGTTAGAAGCTGTCACCGATTTCGACCGCTGTATAGCCGGATACGCCTGTCTCATCTGCTGTTGTTGTTGTTGGTAGTGTGGCTGCATGTAGTAATTCTGTGGCACTTTCTTATGCGCAGGCGCATTCAGCATATTCTGCTTCTGCGAGTTCTGCAACGCTTTCTTCCGCACTGAGTCGCTTCCCACATTTATAGTCTTACTCCGCGTAATCCGCGGCTCCCGCCGCACATTCTGACTCGGAACCTTTTCCCGATCACGCTCGTACCGCTGCCTGGGCTCATGCCGCTCAAACCTCTCAGACCTCTCGGGGCGCTCAGGCCGCTCAGGCCGCTCAGGACTACGCCGCTCGGGACTCCGCCGCTCGGGCACCACCACCGCTATATCCCCCACCATTATGCTCTGCCGTAAATCCATCTGGTCCTGCGTCAGCAACCGCCTATAGGAATTGCTCCGCGTAAGGGAAACGCCTTGCACACTCATTGCCGTTACAGTCCTTGTGGTCTTTGGAATTACCGCCGAGCAGGCGGCATCCCGCTATTTATAGTCGAAAGTTTTTCGAGAGAGAGAAAGGCAGCCACCTCACAAAGCCTCTTCTCCCTCCAAGTCTCACAGCGTGGCTATACGCACAGAAACCAAAGCAGAGAAGCTCTTACTTTTCCCGATCCGGGATCTCGAGTCTTGCTGGTTGTACGCATGTCTCTACGTGAGGCCCATTGTCCTGCCAGGTCCCACCAGTCCTGCCAGGTCCTGCCAGTCTCCGCTATGCCGTTTTCGTGTCCTCTTTGCCCCATTCCCTGCGGCTGTCTCTACGTCTTTTCCATTTCCGAGGAGTTCTAGACTCCCTCTCCATTCGTCCTTGGCCCCCCCACATTCTGTGCGCCCGCGTCTGTGCTCCGGGCAGGGGAATCGCGTTTTGACAGCATTAGAACCAACGGAACTTTAAGCTTCTCCGCCTTCCCCGCGCCTGTCTCTGTGGATCCCCCCACCCAGCCGAACGGAACGCTCTGACGGACCGGGATACCCAATTTTGCTTCTCCTGCGCGTTTCACAGCAGAAATCACTGATGCAGGGATTGAGCCACGACGTGCGGAGTTTTCTTCGGGGGTGGGGGTTTGGAGGGGTATGGGGGGCTGATGTGTCGTACTTAAGAACTCCGACGTATATCACTTACTGTAATCATGTGACTGCTTGTTGGGGGTAGCTAAGCGATTATTAGTATTATTATAGTTTGTAGAGACTGGGGGGGTTATATGTATGAATATCATAGAAAGTATTAAATTAAAAGAACAAAAGAAATAACTGTGACGTGTATAATGAAGTGAATAAAATTGTAGGTGGAGGCTTACGAGTCGTGCTCGTTGGTGTTGTTCTCCGATAGCTCATGGACGCGGATGCTCTCCATGCTCTTCTTGTTGTCCTCCTCGTCTGATCTCAGCGAGATGTCGGAAGGCAGCTCCTCGGTGGCGGAGCGGTCGATCAGCCTGCTGTCCCAGTAGTTTACGAAGTGGTACAGCCTGGTGATGCCGGTGACCTGGCCCAGCTTGTTGCAGGTGCGGTGGAATCTGCCCTCTGGGTTCTTCTTGTACAGCTTCATCAGCGATAGTCTGATGGCTAGGATAATCACGGAGCACACTAGACCGGCACCTGGGGCCACCACGAAGGCGCCGAAGGCGCCCCAGTCGTCGGCGTACAGGCCGTTGGAGATCAGCAGCAGTCTGCCACCTTCCTTAGCGGAGTGGTAGTACACGGTACCGAAAATCCACACGCCGAGGATACCAGCGCAGCCACCTCCGATGACTTCCCAGGCGCTCCAGATTTCGTCCAGCTTGCCCCACAGGCCCACCACTAGCACTGGCACGACACTGGACGACAGCAGGTCGACAATCAGGTAGATACTTAGCACGTCCTGTGCGATTAAACCGACCACAACGACGGGGACCATGATGGCGACCACGATACCACGCACAAGCATGATGTGCAGCTTGTTTCTGAAGACATCGTTGGAGATGGTGGAGACCAGGGCGCTCTGCAAGGAGTCCAAGGTACATGTGGACAGCACGGCGACGAAGACCAGTGTGAAGCCGATGATCCAGGAAGGCAGTTGAGCTAGCAGCAGGTAGAACGCGGCACCGGAGTTCTCCTGGTCTCTGGCTGGCAGTAGGCCCGCCCACACGGCGATGAAACCGGTGACACCGACCACGGTGACGAAAGTGACTAGAATGAAACAAGCCAAGGAACAGCCGATGAGCAGGTCCTTGTTCGATCTTGAAGCGAAGGTTCTTAGCCAGAACCCACTCATGAAGAAATCGTTAGTGAAGATGGCCACTGTTAGGATGTAGACCAATTGCCAACCTAGCTTGTTACCCTTCAGTAGTCCCGATGGGCCGATCAAGTCTCTGTCGATGTGGATACGGCTACCCATTGCCGCGGCGACGATGACCAGCAGGATGAACACAATGCTGACCTGCAGGGAGTCTGTCATGAAAGAGATGTGGAAACCACCGATGGATGTGTAGATGGTAGTCACGACACACTCAATGATGATGACAGGCAGAGAGTTGATGTTGGTCAGGGTGTCGATGGCGTACTTCAAGGAGGCCACTTCGCTGACCAGGAACAAGTACACAGTCAGGATGGTGCATGCACTCAGGTACCAGCCACACAGCAAGCCGAATCTGTGGAAGACCCACTCGGTCAAAACGAACCCGCTGGGAGTCTTCTTTCTGATAAGTGGTCCTAGGAACGCAAACACAAACATTGGCAGACCACCGGCCAGAGCGTAGACCAGCAGACCGTGCAGACCGTCCAGGTTAGCAATCTGTGGGTACGTTGACAGGACACCACAACCCAGCCCAGAGGCGACGAAGTTGAAAGCCAGCGGGATAGCCTTCTGGGTACCGTTCGCGGACAAGAAAGTCTTGGAGTCCCTCTTCCAGTACGCTACCATCGAGGCAGTGATCAGTAAGACACCGTATGTAGGCCATATGATGGCGTGAGCAGCAGGAATGGACAAGTGACCCATTATTTTTTTTTTTGTGGTTATCTATGCTTGTCCTGTTCTGCTGTGAAGTAATTCTGAGTGCCAATTACCAACAGATCAGACGAAGCTTATATACAATTGTATAAGTTGATTAGCAGCATTTATTTTATTATTATTTTTTTTTTTTCACAATTTTTCACTTTTTCACTCTTGCAAAGCTCATCGCTATCATAGTTGAATCACTACTGCAGAAAGCCCGCAGGCAAGGTTTTGGACCTGGGCTACTTCAAAGACTGAAGAGCTTATCTCTGGAAAAAAGAAAGGAAATGAAAGAGGGTGTTGGGAACGGGAAAGCCAAAGCAACAGCAACAAGAGCTTGTGCGGGTGTTGCTGTGGAATATTTGTAGGTTAGGGTAATCTTGGCAGAGCTGAAAGCTCTTCTCAGTGTGCGAGGGATCCATTGAAAGAAAAACTAGCAAATCACTTACTTCTGGGTAGAGGATAGCCGCAGGAGGATACAGATCTCATTATATAACCGTTTTCTATGCATTATATAGTGGCCCTGTGCGGTATTGTCTGGGAGTAGGGTCAAAATTGGAGTGCTCCTACAGAAATTGCGGCACTTCCCTCTCTCCCACACGCAGAGAGACAACAGGATGTTTAAGGACTTAGGCTGTAAGGGACCTTCCTCAGACCTATGGGGGGGGCTGTACTCGGCCGAGGCAAAGTATTCAATTAGAAGTCACCCCCAGAAAATGCATTTAGCAGTCATCCATGAGACATGCACTTACTGGGAAAAACCTTTTTTCTAAAAAAAGACTTGACAGCTATCTCCTGATACCTTACACGGCACAGAAAGAGAACCGAAACGTGATGTCCGCTCTTGCGAAAATCCCAAGTTTTCAAAACAACAAATTGAAGGCTCGTGATCGTTCGTGCATTATATCTTTACATGTGAAGGAATCATTAGTATAAAGTACATATATATCCTATTCTTTCTCTTCGTCTTCTTTGTAGCCCTTGTACCCGGCGCATATGCTCTCTCGCAGGAAGTCGAAGCGCTCGTCCTCGAGTATTGTGTCTCTCAGCACATCTGCGGTGATCCTCTTCATGCCTCTCTGTCTGGCCATGTCCCCGCTCTTCTTGACCAGCAACGCCATGAAGAACTCCAGCGAGCGGCCAGTTATCACGGGTGTCGCCTGCGATACTTTACCTATGTCCTCGTCCGACTGCATTATCTTCTTCACCTTCGCAGGTGGGAAGTGCGTCTTTATCTTCTCAAACACCTCCGTAGTCTCATCCTTAGCCTCTGCACTTACCTCTGCACTCGCACCAACACTGGCTCCCACCTCCGTGCCAACAGTACCATACACTTCACTGTCACCCGTCGTTATCTCTTTGATATCCATGCTTTGCTTCAGTCTGTACGCAATGAATTAATAACAAAAAAAAATCACGTGTGTATCAAAGTATCTTTCCTTGTTCGCCTGTCTTAAAACCACTTACAAAAACCTATAACGTATAAAGGAATAAGTATAAACAAAGTAAGCTAGCGTGGGCTTTTGGGTAAGAGGAGAATGCGCTTCGCACTTCCAAGTTATTGGGATTTGTTCCACAACCCGATTATCCAAATTGTTTAAATAAGACAAAAAATCTATCGAGCTTTTCTGTTTTGCGTAGAAATTTTTTTCCCCTTCCCATCCCATCTACTTGTACAAGGTGATACAGCGTGTTGCAGCCAGAACATACGGTGTGACGGGGAAGTTTGCTGGCCATCTGCCCTCCACTCCTCGCCCTCCTCGAAAAAGGGCTTTTGCTAGTTAAGTCTTACCCGGACTAACTCTTCTTCGATACTACTAGAAGCAGGATGCCCAGTTTGTGCTACATAGAACTGTTTATACTCTTGAAAGGTACAGCTGTCCCCCATGTGTGTGTGTGCTGGGCCAATTACCAAGAAAAAAAAATTGGATTGTTGGTGTTAGCAACCCAAAAAAATATTCTTCCCCGCCAGGACTCGAACCTGGAATCTTCTGGTTCGTAGCCAGACGCCGTGACCATTGGGCCACGAGGAACAAGAATTCGTTAGAGTTCCATCGTCGGTGGGCAGACTATAATCTGTGAAATCATTACATGTCCGTACAAACTGATATAAAGCTTTCCTTCGACGCTCGCTTTGAAATTGCGCCTGTGCGGTGGAGTGGGGAGGGGGGTCTACGCAATACAGTGTATTCAATTTGGGTACGTTTGCAATTGTTATTATTTGTCAATTGAATTCAAGATTATATTGTCTCTCTATAGATCACTCTCTTCATTAATAGTTGGTAGTTTGAAGATAATGCGAACTTTGTTGAGCTCGGTGTATTTTTTCAATGCTTTAAACGATGGACGTTGAAGCGTTAAAGTGCGGTCGTTCGGGTGCTTTGTTTTTTTTTTCAATAACAAGACGCCTATGAGTCAATGGCCCGTGCGTCTTATATCATCTACTTGCATTTAGTGTAGTGTACGAAGTCATCGCATTGTTGAGAGCATCGTATATTCGGAGTTTCATGGCTAATTGTTGCATCAGAAAGCGTGGGAAAAAAAGCATTGAAGACACAGAGTACGTAGAAAACACAACACAACGCGCACGCGCAAAAGCACTCGTAGTTGTATTTGTATTTTACCCAGAATAGAACTGGTAGCGTGGGATGGTCAGTGATTTAGACGAAAAAGCACCCCAAGCACACGATGGCTGAGACTGTCTCTCTCCCTCCCTATATATCTGCATCTCTATGGGTGTGGGCATCGGAAATACGTTTCGAGCGGTGTTTCATCTTCACTGAGTGGGGTGGGCTTGCATATGGTGGTTTGCCGTCTTACACACTGCATCTAGGGAAAAGATTCATGGAGCACAAGAGTGGGGGGGTTGCCAGCACTACCATCTTTGTTTTGCAACGGGATGGAAGAAAGGTCGTCTTTATATAGTCGGTGTTATAGCCAATGTCCCCGGTGGGACGTGTTATTTCCCTTCCACTGCACTGGGCTCGTTACAAGTGCATGCCCTTGTGAAAGCTCGTATAAGAGTTCCATACGTATCTCTCAACCCAGAAATTGTGAGTAAACGTAGAGTGCACAGTGCACAAACGCAGATGTCATCGATAACGTTGGACTCCCTAGCTATTACCATACCATTACTGCCAGTCTGGGCCTGTGCTATCTGCGACAAATGTAAATCCAGTACAAAGACAAGCCTCGGGGCAAAGCTGCAGGGCTGGATAAGCAAAGATAACTGTCACAGAATTTTAGTAAATCCCAAGGATCGGCGTGGAAGTTGGAGATAAGAACGGCGTTTGTAGTGTTGTACCCACCCTATACGTATAAAGCACTAGCATACACAGACGGTACTGGAGATGGGCAAGTCTGTTCTCTTATTCAATAGGAAATATAGCATTCTGTTGATTGTGAACACACGTCATGGGAGGGAAGGGTAGCGAGTTATTCCGGGTGCGCTACTTTCATAGCAAGAGACTAGCTCTGACTTCTTCGCTAGTCTCTTGCCGCGGGCTGCGCAATTATCTACTTCATTTCATATGAGTAGTGCCACTCGCGAGTTATATTGCGTTAAACAAATTGTAAGAAAACCCCGTGCAAATATACTGAGAGGGGAGAGCAGCCACACCATTCCCTTTTGGTCCCACTACCTCCTTTTGATAGGTGCACCCTCTCCTTTTCCCTCCCCCTCCACAGAATGCAACGAAGGGGATGAAGACAAATGATAAATATTAGACAAGTAATTAACACGTTGGTGCTTCATCTAGTTTTTCCGTTGAGAGGAAGGAAAAGCACTCTACAGCAGAAGCGGAACATCCCCCCTCTCCACCGGAAATTGAAGCTCAGCTCACAAAAAACATACGTACAGAGTGCAACCTGCAGCCCGGTCGCAGTCGGGTCGAGAGAGACGCACAAAACCGGCGTAGGGAAGGGCTGCCTTTAGTGCGCACAGTCATTCGCCAGTCTCAGTTTATCCAGAACAGTAGTCCTCCGGGCAGTTCTTCGTTGTGACACTTTCTGTTGAGACCGGAGGAAGTTCCCTATTTTGACACTCGCCGCAGCAATTCTCGTACCACTTTTCCCACCCGCAAGTAAAACAGTACCAATACAATTAAGCCGGGATGGTACGAAAGTTCCCACAAAGGACAAAACAGCTATCAAACAAGCCTTGAGAAATTATCAGTCAAGAAAAAATTGGATATGTGTCCACATCCGGGATGGAATATATAAAGGACCCATTCTAATCAAATTACTTGATCTTTCTCTTGTTTCTTGCTCTTGCCCGAAGAGGACCATCGAACAAGAGTTGTCTTATGACTCCCACTTTCGGTCACTTTTTAGTGGAAAACTCGGTTGAAGAGGAAACATGAGTACCATTTATGAAGCTGGTAGTTTTCTCTTTCCGGGTTTCCCGCAAAAAAAATTAGTACTGAAGAACTCAAGTTTCGGAAGAAAAATCATCTGTTTATAATAAACTTCAATGGACTCTACTTTATGCGACTCGAATACCAATAAGCAGTGGAAATTATTTCTTACCAATGGAGTGTCTAAGAAAAATTATACTTTACTTTTATGTGCGGGTATTTTTTTGACGTACACAGTCAAGAAAAAATACCCTTTTGAAAACGTTGGATTTTTGAAATTTTACTATGGCATGGGGCTGTTTTTTAATCCTTCTAACTTGATATTAACCTTTTTTTCTTTCAGAGCAGTCTTCATTTGGTCGTGGCCTTTTTTTTTTTATTGGATGACTCCGCCCTTTGATAGTTTTTTCTCTTCCCTGTCGATGTTTCTATCTACTTTGTTTTCTTTGCGGTCTACTATTCTTACTGGGCAATAGAGCGTATCGTTCCGTTTACTTGGTCGTGACTTTCCTTTATACCCTTGGAGGAAAGGTTTGGGACGAATGGTGATATACTCGGATGGAATGGAAGTACAAAGAAAGCTTAAACCTGGAAATGATCTCTCTATGGGGATTTTGAAAAGCGTGGAAATTTGAAGGGTGGGTCTTTTGATATGGAAAAAGGGTTGACTGTTAGAAAGGAATTAAAAAGTATATGTCACTGTCCGAGGGAAGGCTCCAGTATCATAAAAATTTTCAATATCTATCCTTTTGTTCTAATTGTGGTTTTTCTTTCGTCCAGTAGCAAAGCAAAATACAGTTAGCATGATTGGCATAGGTGTTTATCCTATCGTTTTTACACATGAAGGTAAAGTCTTCAACGAGTTTTTTTTAGCCTATTCGTTGGTATGAATTGATTTATTAGTTGGGAAAGGGAAACATGACTGGCAAGAGTACTCAAGTTTGTCAATGAACATGGGGTCAAAAGACCCTCAGGAGGTTTGATTTTCCTTTTGCTCTCTTGAAAGTCTCAGTACAAATTTTGTTATAGAAATTATTTTATAGACGTTTACGAACTTCCCTTTTTTTTTCTATATTCATGTTGTGTAATAATATTCCATAATAAATTGCATTTTTTCTTTTTACCACTTTTAATTTTATGTTCCAACTCCTTGTATATTATTTTGGCAGTCCGTTCTAGTAAAGATTTGCAAAACAATTGAGCACGGCAAAATTTTCAGTGTGTTGGGATGGTAAAGACATTATGACTTGAAAGACCGTCCTGTACACAACTGACAAGACGACTCTTATGGTAAATCACACCATTTTGGTATTATTCTCTTTCTCTCTTTCTCTCTCTCTCTTTCTCTCTCTCTCTTTCTCTCTTTCTCTCTTTCTCTCTCTCGTATTGTCCAATAGTAAAGCATACTTTTGTACCTAGCCAACGATATGTCATTGCATTTGTCTGACAACCCAAGGATGGTCCCACACTGCTGGACGTCGTTTTGCAAATATCACACCACCTGTCAAGTAACAGCGTAAGATAGTAAGTTCGTGTATTGTTACTCAGGTGAAATTTTTTGACATTAAATATAACTAGCCGGTTTTCAGCTAACCCTCTCATCTAATGTTCTGGCAACTTGGCCGAGTGGTTAAGGCGAAAGATTAGAAATCTTTTGGGCTCTGCCCGCGCAGGTTCGAATCCTGCAGTTGTCGTTACTTTTTTTTTTTAAATTATTTCTTTTTGCACTACGTACATCCCCATTAACGACGTGGTCCGTTCTGACTGTCTCTCTTTCTCTCTCTCAGTGTTGTGGGCCCCCATCAATTATAGCGAGAAGCACCTATGCCAAATACATTTTGGTTAGGACTTATTAACTGCAATTGGTATGAGTGGTACTTCGATATCTGTGGACCGTTGACATAATAGTATTTGAATACTTGCAAACTAAGTCTTTTCCTTCTTTTACTTGAATTAAACAAATCGATCAATAGCTTCTGAAAGTGTAACAATGAGTTACTTCCAAGGAAATGATATGAATACCTCTTCAGGTTTCTACCAGCCATCCAGTCAATTCAATTTCCCTCAGGGTTCTATGTCTTTCCAATCTGGTGGCAATAACAGCGGTGATTCCAATGCTATGGGTGTAGCACCTGACCCGCTTCCTGCTGGGTTGTTTAATGCACTTTCCACAAAGGGTTATCCACACGAGCCTCCACTATTGGAAGAGATAGGTATTAACTTTGATCACATCTTCAAGAAGACAATGTACGTCTTGAGACCTACCATGTCTAGCGCCATGCTGTCACATGAGATTCTAAATGATTCAGACTTGGCAGGCCCAGTTATATTCTTCATGCTATTTGGTCTATTTTTACTGATGGCTGGTAAGGTCCACTTCGGTTACATCTACGGGGTAGCTTTGTTCGGTACAATCTCTTTACACACACTATCAAAACAAATGGCCACATCCAGCTCACAACAACAACAGCCTTCCTCACTACATTTCTTCAACACAGCTTCCATCCTGGGCTACTGTTTCTTACCACTGTGTTTCCTATCTTTCATCGGTGTATTCCACTCCCTGGATAACAGAATAGGGCATCTAACCGGTGCTTTGTTCGTGATATGGAGTACCTGGTCCTCTTCTGGTTTCCTAAATAACCTGCTACAACTACAAAACGCAAGAACTTTGATAGCATACCCACTACTGATTTTCTACAGCGTCTTCGCATTAATGGCTATCTTCGTTTGATCTGGGTCTGGTGCCCTTTTATGATAAACCCTCTACTATTTACGTCTCGAAAGCGTTAGCAAAGCATTTACATATAGAGAATCAGGTATATAGATAATAAAAAAATAACGATTACTCACTAGAATTCTTTTAACTATATCGTACATACTTGATTCATATCATTCACAATATTTTTGTTTATGTTGAGTTTCTCAATGTCATATCATGTTACTGTAGCCTACACTCAACCAAAACGTAGGTGATTGACACATTCCAAAAACATAAAATTCTCGAAGTCCCTTAATAAAAAAAAGTCAATGGCATAGAAACATAAATAATAATAACACACGCACACAACCAACACAATATAACCCAATTCTAGTATCCAATGAATGGATCAATACTTAGGACCAGCCGGTCTCTCAGGCCTTGGTTACTCCCCATCAACACGAGGCTAGCACATACAACTGCAGTACAGAGCCATGTCACCACGCCCATATTCTACCCTAACGCTAAACCACACCTGGGCCACCTGTACTCGAGCTTACTTTGTGATATCTACCACAGATGGCAGGTGCTTAATGGCGACTCTGCTGCCTTGTTCACAACCGGCACAGATGAGCATGGCCTAAAGATTCAGTTGGCTGCAGAGAAGAACAATTGCGAAAGTCCCAAAGCGTTCGTTGACAAATTGTACCCTGAATTTGTCGAACTAGATAAGACCTATGATATCTCTTACACCAGGTTCATAAGGACAACTGATCCAGATCACATCGAAAATGTTAAACTACTGTGGAATTTATGCCTAGAGAACGGATATATCTACAAAGGCAAACATGAAGGCTGGTATTCAATATCAGATGAGACGTTTTACCCATCATCTAAAGTTATAAAGGATCCCAACAACCCAAATAAATACATTAATACAGAGTCACTTAACGAAGTCATCCATCAAAGCGAAGAGAACTACTACTTTAAGTTGTCAAGTTTCAAGGAAAAGCTTATTAACCACATAACTGAGTTTCCAGATTTTGTGCACCCACCTTCTAAGAGAGACCAAATTCTAAGAGACTTAAAGAATGACCCAAACATTACTAAAGATATTTCAATATCAAGACCTGCGACAAGGTTACAGTGGGGGATTGAGGTACCCAACGACCCATCACAGAAGGTTTACGTGTGGTTTGACGCCTTATGTAATTATATCTCTTCGATTGGAGGTATTGAGGCAGTGAAACAAAATAAAAGAGCTCTCAGTAACCACATATTGGGAAATTCAGATATAACAGTTTACCAACCTACTAATGTTTGGAAAGATACTGTACATGTTATTGGTAAAGATATCGAGAAATTTCACATAATCTTCTGGCCGAGTTTTCTCTTAGCTGCAAACTTACCCTTACCAAAACAAATAGTCGTTCATTCTCATTGGCTGTGTAATGGTTTCAAGATGTCCAAGAGTCTTGGTAACGTTGTTGAACCAATGAAAATATCTTCTCATTATGGAACTGATATGGTGAGATGGTTTTTGATGGAAAACTCAAAAGTAGAAGAAGATGGTGATTTTCAAGAAGAGAAATTGTTTGCAACAACCGAGCTATTTGTTTCAAAATGGGGCAACTTAATCAATAGATGTTGTGGAGCAAAATTTAATATTGAAAGATCAGTGCATAAATATGCAAGGAACTCCGAAGAAGTTTTGGCTGATTTTGAAAAAATATACATAGATAATGACATGATAATACAAGCCAGATCGTTGATTCAAGATGTCGACCAACTAATACTAAATGCTGGAAAATACTACGAAAAATTTCAATACAATCTTCTAATAAAAGACATATGGAAAATCATCAACAGTACCAATTCATTATTTCAGTATGCCGAGCCATGGAAAAAACTTGGAGAACAACAGGATATTATAATATTTTTGTGTGCTGATATATCAAGAGTATTGGCAATTTTAACCCAGCCAATAATTCCGCAGCTGTCTCACAAATTACTGGATCACTTAAAAGTTGACCAAGAAAGGCGAACAATTGACTATGCTAATATTGGTCATGACCAATCTTATGCTGTAGAGGCCAATATAAAAAATCGCCCAGTTCCCATTGCTAGAGTTCTAGGCTTAATAGGTATCGAGTAAATGCCACCCCTGCATTATATCGCCGTAAAATCTTGTAAATAAAATTGCATCGCCTTTGACAAGACCCTGTTTGACATACGTATGATATCTATTGATAAAGGTATGACCAATCGAATATAATCATTATTTTTATATATATATGCATATTAATTATTAAATATCTATCAAGTGTCGGTTCCCCATAAATTACCTTCTCTGATATCTTTCTCGAGAAGCTGCATCTGCCAGGGAATATTGCCAGCATTTTCAGCTTTATGTTCGGCTACTGATATACTTCTCTTAATTTTTTCTATTTGCTTTTCATCCGTGGGTTTCACTTTTCTTCTTTTTATTTCTTTAATATTAGGAGTATGTCCAATGCTCATCCCAACTTTAACCAAAGTTTCTATGCCCTCTAAAGAGTTGCTAACTAGATCAGAATCAAATATTAACTTCTTCGATTGCATAACCAATATTACTGTCGAGCCTCCAAACTTGAAATAGCCCATTTCGTCACCTCGTCTCTTAAAATCACCTTCTTGACACGTTAAAATTATTGACCCGACCATCATAGCACCGACTGCAATATATAATAAAGGACCAAACTCCTTAGTTTCTATTGGTACAATAACTCTTACATTTTCACCAAAGACGTCTAATTCACTTCTGACAGCCATTGGATTAACTGTGTAATATTCTCCTTTAATAAATATAGGCTTTCCAACCACACCATCTACAGGACAATGTATCCTATGATAGTCTTGCGGTGCCAATCTAAAAATTGCTATGCTGCATGAAGAATCGTTAAAGATTTCTGGACGATAACCACCTGTTAATCTATTCAAGCTGAACTTACTTCCTTTGATCCAGATTTCTTTAGATTTTTGAATAGTAGAATAAACAGTACATCTAGAATCTGCTGCCGAAACCATCACCTCAGAAGTATCACCTTCAGGTGGCCTACTCCCTGGTTTTAGCTTCCGGTAAAAAAATTCATTAAAGGTACGATATTCTGTAGGTTCACACTGACTCATATCCAAGTCATGAAATTTAATGAAGGAGTCAATTTGTTTAGCGGATAAGGGATTATCAAATTTTTTGCCTTGTCTCACGGATAGCGTTTTCAATAGCGTTTTAAACTTTTTTGATTCTTTACCTTTCCCATTATATATTATTCTCATACCCACCTTTACATGTGCACTTATCTTTTCTTCCAAAACAATACCAGTATCTCTGTCCTGTACTAAAATATTGGCATTATTTGACCCAACTGCATACTTACCATAAGTTAGCTTAATCAATAACTTACTGAACCACCTTTTGGAAGCAAATTGAGATGAAACATATGATGGCTTTAGAACTTTTCCACATTTTTTGAAACTACAAAGAGCAAAATGGGTTATCAAATCATTTTCCAGTATTAATTTTGAATTCATATCATTATTAGAAGGGCGAAATGATCTAAAACAGGATGGACACTTCCAGATATTTTTAAAATCTCCTGATTTTGTCCATTGTTGAAGCCCATTCACTAGTTCATCCTGTGTTAATGTTTCTCCACTCCAGGGCAATTTTTTGTAATAAGAAAAAAACTCCAAGACATCAAACTCGGAAAAAGAGCCTAATCTTTGCAAAAATAACAGGGTTTGAACGAGGTCAAAAGTCTCTCTATCTGTAGAAAGAGATACAGCCCTTTTCCAGAAATAACTCTTCAAATGCGAATAGGGTACATATCTAATTCCTAATCTTAAAACTGGAGAATCAAAATTTTCAGAATCTCGTAATGTCAATTTTAGAGGAATTTCAATAACCTTCCAATCATGATCTGGAGTTTGTTTCTGCATTACTTCTTGCAGTGTTAATTCATACTTAGCTATCATATCATTATATGAAAAAGAATCTTTGTCCATAACACTTAGATGTATATCGTAATGCTTTTCGTTTGGATAAATTTCGAAAGCAGCGCGTTCATCAAACACAGGGTTTAACGTGTGCTTTCTCCACGAAGTTTTAAACACTCTCCGACCAAATGTCATAATAATAAATGGATCCATTGCGTAGTATGTTTTAGATATCTTATTCTTTAATTCTGGCAAACCTTCTATGGACTCAAAATGCACAAACATTACACCAAGTGCATGTTCTCTCTTTGAGAGCTGAAATTTTCTACTTAGCAGTGTCTCATAATAGTTAGAGAACGAAGAGTAGTTAGCTCTTGTTCTCTTCCTTTTCAGCATTGGAAATAATTTCTTTCTGTTCATTTTCAAAATTGTACTGTTCAGATCTGAACTATTTTCAGATTCTTCATTTCTATCATCCTTAAAAGAACCAGTAGATCTGATATGTGGACTTCCGCTCTTAATCCTGGATAAACCATCTGTAGGCGTGTCCGGTGAGCTGTTTCTAGATGCTATGACATCATCCAAGGTCATAACTTCATCACTACTGGGCAGGACAACTTCGTATTCATCTAGAGCTGTCACCATTGTCGGTATAGTCAAGATACTTGAATTTTCCAAATTTTCAGATATTAATGGCTCATCTGGAAAATAGTCGATATCTTTTAGTTCATCTGAAAATGATTCAACGTCATCTTCATAACCGTTTTCTAATTCATCAAATGCATCGTTACTTGGATCACTATCATTTTTGCCAGATGCATCGGGGCTTGTTGAATCATCAGAGTTATTAGAACTTAGATGCAAAAGACCAAGTGGTTCAATCAATTCATTGGGTATAGCCAATACATCATCTTCAAGTTCATCATCATCATCTTCATCCATGACCACTTGCTCTTCATCAAGGTTAATGTTTTCTTCGATAAACTCGTCACACAAGTCTCTAGCATCGGGGTCCTTCATTGATAAAAGATCTTCGTTTTCATCATCCAGATAAGCTGATGAACTGTAAACATTTCTTAAATCAAGGTTACTTTTCTTATTCTCATGCAGGTATTTGTTCCATTCGTTAAATTCCTGTACAATTGAATGGCTTCTGTTATTACACTTCAACCGAAATCCCACTTGGATCTCTCCAATGATTTGTTCTTTACCAAAATCATCTGATTTTTGTCTTTTCTTATCATAAAGCGGGAACCATTGCGGAGGTTGAAAGAAATTGTATCCAGTAGCTGTATCTTTTACTTTGAATATGTCAGTCAGAGAAACTCTAGTTTCACCAACGTAGAGATAGGAAGACTTATTCCTTGTGCCCAAGCTACCTTGATTATTACTATCAGACGTGAAATTTCGCTTTTGCCCTGATGGACTATAACCACTGGGAGAAGAACTCACACTTGGACTTGGGATACTAAGTCTCTGTAGACTCAAATTTCCGAAAGATCTAGAATGTCTATGTGCTGTTGTAGAGCTTTTGTTATTGTCAATTGTCAAGTATGGCAAGTTTTTGGACGTTACGTTCGACCTGGTTCCTTCCGCTGTTGAGTTTCCATATATCGATGCATCAGAAATGCTTTCACCGCTAACACTGAGGTTTGTTCTTGAGTATGGCGTCAGCGCAGAACTCGAAGAGTAACCTCTCTTTCTCTTATTTTCCACCTCGGAACCACTATTCAAATCACTTTCATCATTCACTCCGTGAGAATGTTTAGAAGAAATGCAATCGTAAACAACCAAGTCTACATACGGCGACACTGGCCTGGCCGGCAGCTTCAACTTTACTATCTGGTTCCACCTGGTATTGGAATTCTTCAGCCGCGATGACCTTTTCACAAAAAATGTATTAGTGGTCACAAAACAGGTGGGACAACACTGGAATCGCTGGAAAAGCTCTATCTTCTTAGTGCCAACAAGGTGGACCTCCAAGAACAACCCATTACGCATCCGGTCCTCCTTCTCACCTCTCCTCTTCCTCTTCCCAATACCCATCAGCCTCATTATTGGTTCTCTATACTTACAAGCTTATACATTGACTGCTCTAGCCTCCTTTTTAACACCTCTTTTTCAACACGTTTCACACTACACTTTCTCACAAATGTCTCAAATACCCCATTACCCAAAAGTTCAGAACTTATATATAGCGCTGCTTTGTGATCCAACCCGTCCCTCAGCCTAGTTTCCGGCCTGATGTGCTTTACGCTAGACAATGTTCAATATTCTGCTGGGTGATTTACGCTTTCGTTTTTTTCCAGCTGGAAAACTTGTAACCAGACCACTTGTTGTTCCTCCAGCCCCTTCACCTGTACGCCAGTTTCTAAGCATTTTGAGATCTCGGCCAAGCTTCGAATTTCTTGTAAAGCTTCGAAAGTTATGATCTCTCAAAAAGGGTCCGGCATCTTCTTGGCTCCTCTTTTCCCCCCCTTTCTACAGCGATGCCGTGTGCCGTTCCATGCATCGCCGTGCCTTCTGCGGGTGTTTCTCTCTCTAGCCTGTCCCTCCCCCATTCTCCTAGACCTGGATCTCACAGTTTTTCTCACCGTTTCCTCCTTGCTACGTTAGTGGCTAATTTACAGTGGCACGGATGTTCCCCAAAACGGTAATACGGGGAGAGGGACCCCCCCCAAGCGATGGCTTCTGTACTGTTGTCGGCTAATTTACTTTTTTCTTCCCATTAATTAAATAGTATATTAACAGCTCCCCGATTAGGAAAGTAATTAGATCTCTGGGCGTTAAGTAATATTATCGGAAAAACTCCCTTGCGGAATGTGTAGATCAGTCTAGTCCATATGGCGGAACAGGTCCACTAGTACTCAGCATAGCGCATACTCCTCTTTTTTTTTCCAGAAGAATTATATTTGTGTAATTGACATCTATAGTTAAAGTTTCTGTCTGACGTAGAAACGATTTTCGATAGGGTCAGAAAGGTGTTTTCAATTGGGAATTCAACACTTCGCAGTTGCAAGCTGATTTGGCACTCCCAACTCTTACGATACGAACTTTTTCGAACTCACCCCCCCCTTCTAAACTGGATTGGTTCTCTTGTACAGCAAGAGAAAAAAATCTAATAAGAGATGAGATGAGCATTCATAACTGCCATTGACTGTACAAACATACCACAACTGACAACGAGAACACACAATGGGTAAGAGATTTTCAGAATCTGCTGCGAAGAAAGCCGCTGGACAAGCGAGGAAAAGAGAGCAAGCGTACCATAAGCACCAAGCTGAACTGGCGGCCCAAGAAGCTGAAGAGGCAGCTAAATGGGAGCAAGGTTCCCGCAAGGAAAACCCAAAGAAATTGCTAGAAGAGCAGAAAAAACAAGAAAAGCTTAGAGCAAAGAAAGAAAGAGAGGCACTACTGGCTGAGGAAGAAGCCAGCCTCGGAAAAGGTGGAAAGGGTAAGAAGAAATAAAACGCTGAACCAGTTTTGAGACCACATTTCTGTATCACTTTGAGATAAGAAGCCCTTCAAATAAACACAAACACCCACACACACACACACTAATATTTATGGATGAAATCCATCATAGAATGATGGACTTTATCACCATTACGACTTCAATTCCAGCATTTTTATAACATTTTCCCACCTACACATTTTACCAAAAATGAAGAGTAAATATGTAGAGGAGAAGCAGAGCAGATTGTTTAATACCTAATTGAGAGTTTATACAACTATGCCTCCAACTCCAACTCCAACTCATTTACTCTGAATTAAACAAAAAAGCATATCACATATACCTAGCAATAATATTTTTGCTAACAAGAAGTATCAAAACTCATATTTTAAATCGTCATAAATACCATAAGCTAGGTACATACTATTTAATCACTAATGTATTTTATTTTATATTTACAAAAACTTGCTAATTTTGCCATTACTCTCACAGCAGTACTAACATATTTTTTTCCCATCTTGAATAAATGATGAAATTTTGCATACAGACTAAAACTTCAAAAGCTGAAACCAATAGGACTTTTCAATCGAACATGAAATGAGCAATATTCAATACTATTACCAGAGCGGTCTCAGGAAGATATATCCTTACTATCACACAAGGACGGCATTTGTGAAAGGTAGGTGGCACAATAGAACGGTCCTGGATGTACTGGTGAAAGAGTTTCGGGCACATTCTGCAGAATACTATGGCCATCAGATAGTGAACGGTAAATACAAGCTAATCAGAGACGGCCAATATCTCGACAACCTATCAGTATTAGATACGCCAATAAAAAACAATGATAAATTGGAATCGACAGTGCACAAGCACGAGCCTCCAGTTTTACAATGGTGCAGTAACGAGGCAAATATACCTGGTAAGAAGATAGCAGGAATTGATATTGTATATGAAGACGAAAACTTATTGGTAATAAACAAACCTTGCGGTATACCAATTCACCCCACAGGGCTCTATTATGGAAATACACTAACTGAGATCTTGAAGGTGAATGGAGTCCATGCTCTTCCAGCTTACAGACTAGATAAAGTGACATCTGGTCTACTAATACTATCAAAGGATACTGGCACTGCTTCTATGGTTCAAAAGAAGATACGATCTCATGAAATGCAAAAATGGTACTTGGCGAGAGTTGAAGGTGCATTCCCACATGTCAATGAAGTACCACATATAGAGACTCTAGAAATACAAAGGCTAGACTTACCAATTGAGGAACAGATAATACAGGATAACTCAATTCTTACTATCGAAGACTCTGATGTATACACAGTTGAACCAAAGAAACAGTACCCATCAGGGTTAAGCGTACCGAGATCAGCTAAGACAATATTTTATCCCATTAAATACTTCCCACATAAGAATGAAAGTATTGTGGCCTGTAGACCAATAACTGGCCGTACACATCAAATAAGAATACACTTAGCTCGGCTAAATCACCCAATTGTTAATGACACAATATATTCTCAGAAGATTACTAGATACCCGGAAAGACTCAACTTTATCCGTTCGATAGCCAATTGGTCAGAAGCAAAACTCACAGATGAAGAGTTGAGTGAAACGTTTCAAATATTCATACAAGAGTCCGAACATTTTAAAAAAAAAGCTCTTGCGGAAAATAAGAACTGTCCTGTGTGCTCTGAATGTGGTGCACTTACGCTATCAGATCCTGATCCAGAAGATTTGAGTATTGATCTCCATGCGTGGAGGTATTCGGATGCAGAGAAAACTCTCAATTTTAAGACCGAACTGCCACAATGGGTGGTTAACGAGTAAATATACTTAGATATAAGTTTATATTGTTATTCACTTATGCTCTCTTTATGTGTCGATTACAGCAATTCCTGTGATGAGCTTGCTAATGAATGATACACATCGGCATCGCGAAAGTCAACTTTTTTGACATGAAAATAAAGGCAAACTAGTTAAGAGATGACCGAATTGTTCACGTTTAAATGCGGAAAGCTCCTCGCAACAATTACCAACGTATTTGCATCATCTATAGGGTCAGTGAGGATTAAATTAATATAAACAGTGTGAATACAATCGACCATTGGTTGGCACATTATCATGAGCAAAGGTAACTTATCCTTTATCATTCGAGTATTACTCGAAAGACAGGCTGGTACTGTCAATGGGTTGAAATTAGTAAGGAGGCGTGTGGTTGTAATGGTTTGCAGTAGTTTATTACTGCTAATTCGGCGGATTAAGAACTCTGGCGGTATGAGTAAAATTGATATACGAAATTGGTGTTTGAATACTATTGCAGTTCTATTTGCGACCAATGCTTCTCCATATATAAAACCTATTTTGGATAATAAGAAATACGATAAGCTGATCGATAGAATAACTCTAATATTTTCAATCATGATTTCTAGGACAGTACCTGAAAAGCTGGTTTCATTTTCAGTTGCTAACGTTATAATAAATGGAATCCGTAATTTCATAAGTGCCAAAAAACCTGATGCTACTGCATCATCTCTACTGAACCATGCTGCAACTTCGATGTTAATTACGCTTATATACCTTTTGGATGACAAAAAAAGCCGGTTGTACAAGTCGATTATATTCAATGACAAGAATCTCTTCTATGATTTCGCCATAATTTTTTCTACCATTTCCATTCATTCATTTTATATGGACGTGATGAATAAGCTTGGTTCTAAGAAAATAGATAAGGACTTCTTACTTGAACTTTATGAGCGTCGAAAAACTTACAGGAAATACAAAGCAAACTACTCAGAAATATCAAACAATTCAAAGGTCATAGTAGATAAATTCAGAGAAAAATATGAAATAACATTCAAAAGGCAGAGAACAAAGCTTGAGAAAATACTGAATTCGAGGCTATTCCAAAACTTCATTAGTACGAGTCAGTGGTGTATATTTAAAGTTTTACTAATGCATATTTTTAGGAAAGAGAGTGGTAGGTTCAGATTTAATGGAACGACCAAAAAATTCGTTGCTACATTTATAAGTCTATTAACCTTAGACTTCGGGAAGGTGATGAGTGTCAATACCTGGATATTGAAATTATTAACGTATTACATCTCAATTAAATATTATCATTGGTGGCAAGTAACTGAAGAGATTAACAAGGTTGTCCTGTCTATTGCGTCTGCCCTAATAGTATAAAAGATATTGCTGGCAATTATCTTATGGCGGTATACAACATTGGCTCTAAATATCCAGGAAAAGAATTCTCATAATCGTCTAGATTTATAGTACATGATAATTGTATCTAAAACATTATAGAATAAAGATATAGTTACCCTCAGCACATATATTTTGAGGTAATAAGAAAAAGATACTCTGAAATACTTTAAAACACTCTCTAAATATGCACTTTCAAGCACCTGGGACACCAGTTTTCCCCTTTAGCTTCAACAGAATTTCCTTAAACTTGGATCTGTCTCTACCACCGATAACATCTGCGTCATCAACATTGATCAATTGCAACACACGATCCCAAGTAGTGTTGTCCTGTGAGAAGAACTGATCTCTTTCTTTCAAAAATTCTTCAGCTTCTTTCTTGGTTGTGCTTATGTGTTGCTCTTTCTTCTTGTTGTAGTTGTCATAAAAGTCATCTATGTATTTGATAGCCTCGTCCTGGAGTTTCTTCTTGGCCTCTAATTCAGCCTCGTCCTTCTCCCTTATTTCGTTGTCACGCTTAGTTTTCCATTCTTGTACAACATGGGAACGATCTTCAGCCGTAGTGGTAGATTGCTGCATGTCACCGAAGTCATCATATGATTCAGATGTATTTAGATTCTCCTGCACAGCAGCATCCTCATTATCCTTGGCAGCATTGTCGTTGTTGAAGTCGGATAAGCTGCCATCATCAAGCAATTCAGCGTCTTGCTCAGTCTTGAATTCATCTCCTAAAACCTCTGCTTCCCTCTTCAGGAAATCTGTGCTATTATCAAGGTTAGCTACAAGGTCGCTATCATTGTTCTCCAATGGGGGGAATTTCTCAGACATTTTTCAAATGCTATGTTTAATTTTATAACTATCTAGACGGATTCTTGCTCCTGCTCAATCGAATATACGTGCAATCGTTATCTAGAGTTCACAATTGGCCTGTAATCCTCTGAACTATACCTGGACTGCTGATCAATAGTGAACTTTTGACTAACAAAATCCCTTTTGGATCCACTTCTAAGCTGAAAAGTTCGATTTCGCAGTTTCGTCCCTCGAGGAATCGTACGTCGGTATGAATATAGCGAGTGATTGACTACACTGAAGGATGATACCTTCTTATGAGTATATTCCTATATAAAAATGCAAAGAGAGATGTATATATAGTGCCTATTCTTGTACCAGTATTGATGCTCCAGTACCTATATCTATCAGTTCATTTGTCTTTAGGTCTAGTAATTTGAGGCCGGCCAGTGATTGGTAGTAACCCGGCATTATTGCAATGAAACTCAAGTCCACAAAATAAGTCTCATGCGGATCAATGATTGGTATCTTGTAGTCATTAGAGAGTAGAATTATCCCCTCTGTTATCTTCTTGTATTTCTTGTACAGTTGTATCTGCCTGTCCAAAGTTATGTTGCTAGAATTTTGTATCACTGGAGATTGGTTGTTGTAGTAGACAACTAAGTCCAACGGCACTGGGGAGGTGTTAATAATCTGCAACCTTAGAACAAACTTCTTGCCCATGTCCACTTTCAAATTGTTATTCAGGATGCTGAATTTGACATTTTTCAACTTATTGTATAACAGAGATGGTGTGGACACAGCGGTGGCACTTAATCTTGGCGATACACCAAATGGCTTTGCTGATTGATTTACAGCAAGAGTAGAGGATGATGCATTTGGTATCAAGTTAGGATTCACTGGACGCTTGAGAGCAATATCGGTTTCCCATATAGTATTCACCGGGAATCTCTTATCTCCTATAACCAATTCATATTTCAAGTTTATCCTGACATGGTGGGGATATATTTGACTGTTTTGCAGCAAGGGAAGCTTGTAGTTTATACTATAGCTATCACGGAGGTATACTTCAAATGGCATAGTAAATTTAGAAACAGGTTCTATCTCTGTTTGTGCTTTCCTATTCACTAGGTTATATGACACTCTATCAAAATGCATGGAGAAACTCTCTGAGGTGTAATGCTTCGAGATCAAGCTCTCAGCAGCTTTTGACGTTTGGAATTCAAGACATGATATTATAGAGGATATTTGTTCCAGTGCCGTATTTCGAAGCCTCATATTTATCAATGAGTATATTGGGTATTCTAGTTCAAATATTTCGTCCTTCTGATTTTGATCTTCTGACCCGATACCTTCATAATCCGCCTTCGTTACCGTAGTCGACGAAACTTTCTCTAACTCACTATCATCAGATGGTAACAAAGAATAAACAGGCTCAAAACTGGTCAGCATTTCATCGTCAGAACTGTCTCTTTCCTCTTCTTCTTCCTGCAAACTGATACCATTCAAGCGTTTTATGACAGATTTTTCACCATACCTGACCACTAGCCTCACTTTATTGTTATACCCATTGGTCATTACCACACTGGATCTAAATATTTTCCTTGCGTACGTGCTCTCTTCCAATCTAAGAAGCACACCCTCATGACATTCAATTTGAGTGAATATGTTTTGCTCCGATGATTCCAAGACTATCGCTTCATTGATCCATATGCTAATGCTATTAATACTAAGATTCTTTCCCTTGAGATAAAAGTATATCTCTAAGCACTCATCAAAGATCACAAATAACCTATCCTGCTTTGAGCTTCGCAGCTTGTCCAGTGTAACCTCGTCTACCACCCCGCCGGTTACTATCCCACGCTCAGTCGGTATAAAACACTCCATATTTCTAGACCTCACTCAATTCCGAAGGCGTAACCCAGTTTTACTCAGTGGTAGTGTTACAGGAAGTGATACAGCTGTACAACAACAATTCCTATAGCCATAGAGAGTTCAAAAGACTATAGGTACTTGCAAGTCGCCAGGCATCTTTTTTTTGCAAAAACGCCTTAAAGAGCAGGAAATTCGATGATTTGACTTGAAATAGTCAGAAATGGGTAAAGAACAGAACATCCTAATTGGAAACTATATACATTTTAGTTAAGTAGTAGATATATACATGAAATGGAAGACTAATTAGGAATATCGTTTGCTTTCTTGTGAATATTTCATTTGACAGCCCATTTTTAAAGGACATGGATATAAGGAACAGATATTGCAATTTGTGTGACAAACATGTGCTTTTCATATGTAAACCATTTGACCAAGTTCATTAAATCCAATCTTTCTGTCCTTCTTGTTGTCGCGAAGCACACGACCGTAACGGTGTCCCACTTCACCTACTTTGGCGTGTGTAAACTTTAGCACGGATCTTTCGCCCTCCTTCAATTCACCGTAAACTACCTTCTTCTTGTGTTCTTTCTTCTCTATGTGGCCCTCACTGTGTTCACCAATGGTAGACAACTTTTCCAATGTTTTTACAGCAGGCTCTAACTCTAACACTTTGGCAGCATCTACTGGACCAAATGGTTGTGACTCAGCGATGGTTAAGAATCTAGAAGATAGGGCCTTCTGTGGGACCGGAATTTCTGATAGGTTTTCTCTGTTAGCTGGAACTTCTGGGACAAACAATGGAAACATCTTATACAGTGTCTCAGACATAACCTTTAAATCTGGGGATATTCTGTTGAGTTTCTCCCACTTCTTTTCAACTTTCATCAACTTCACAATTGCCTCTACGCGGGGAATCTTCAAACCGTAGTTATGAGAAACCTGTTGGGTAGAAAGACCATTAGTCTCTATGTCGTTGTATATCTGAGCCTTAAGTTCCTCACTCACCATGTAGTTGGTCTTGCAGTGTGGATTTGAAGGGAACGGTTGTAGCTGTCTTCTCTCAGAAACATCTTCGAGTCTCTTGTTATGTGGAGCGTCAACCAAAGCACCATCATAACGTTCAGTTAGTCTTTTACCTGTGTTTGGATCCCTCAGAGCCTGCCCTCTTTCGATGTCCGGTTTGATATAGTTAGGCACATGGTTGTTAGGTACTGCAAAATAAGTGTTCATGACATACTCACCCTTGTAGTTCTTTGGGCCAAGAAATTGTCTCATGGCATACTTCAGATTGGTGTCATGTTTCTTTGGATGCTGCCTCCCCAATCTCTTGAAAGGATAGAACGGATACGCTAGTCTCCTTCTCGAAAGGTTCCTGACCTGCTGATAGCAGCATATGTTTCCTTGCAGGAGCGAACTGCTCTTACCACTGGCGGCCGGGCGAAACATTGCTGTACTGATAGTATATTTGGCTATATGTGGTGTGGAACTCTGTTCAAAAGTTTATACTTTCTTTTTGACTATCTTGGTCTCAATTGTCCAACTATTCACTTATTCGTGATCCTCGTTGTTTGAAGTGAAAAAGTCAAGTATAAGGCCCATCGATAAAAAGTGACAAGAAGTAAGAGCTAAAGAAATGCTTAAGATATGTAAAGAAACTATGTATATGAATTACAAAAACTATCAACAGTTCAGATGCTTGTCTTCCGTTTACCAAGTGACATCTTTTTGCTCATGATCTTGATCAATTCTGGCTGTAGATCGTAGATTATACTCCTTAGTTGCTGGCTATTACCCATCACAGATAAATAGTCTTCCATTCTACTCACAACAGTCTCTATTTTCATGCTGAATGATCCTGTGCTAGAGGGGTTTAAAAGAATATCAAATAGTGGATTCCAAATATCATGATTCCAGTATCTTTTTATCGTGCCTCTAATTCTGTAAGTACCCGAATTAGTATTATCTATCTCTATGGTTTTACCGAATAACATACAATACACTATACTAGCAAGACCATAATAGTCTGCTTCAAAACTCCATGGATCTCCTTTCCTCATAGCTGGACAATCTTGCATGTCTGTAGTCCAATCTGCAATAAATTTGGTATTCTTATCAAAGAGCTTCATATCAAACGATCGGCCAAAATCAATCAAGTATATACCTTTCTTGTGCCAGCCATTACCACCATGCTTATCATAGTTCCCTAGAAGACCATCACTAAATCTAATCATACAATTATCTGGTTTGAGATCCCCGTGTATTATACCGACATCATGTAATCTTAACACAATTTTGATCAACTCCAATGACAAAAAGATACACAAACATTCATCAACTGAGTTGCTAGACTTTTCACCATAATAATTCACAAGATCAAGAATAGTACCCTGGTCTGCAAAATTTAAAACCAAATAACTTTCATCTAGAAAAAAGTGCAAAGAATATGCACTTATCACAGAGTCAAGTATTTTATCACCTTGTAAACGGTTTTCAATCTGTTTTAGGATATAGTATTCCCAAGAACTCGATGGTGTCTCTACTTTCAGTGCTCTTATATCACCTCTATCGGACTCTGCAAGGTAAACAGTAGCATAACCACCTTGACCCAATTCACCTACTATACAATATAGTTCGTCGGCCTTTTTAAATTCTAGTATCTGTCTTTTGTTCTCTATCTTAGAGGCTTTATGCATTTTCTTTAGATGTGAGCTCATTTTCAAATTTTGGTTGTATGAATAAAAAGTGGAATATGTAGATAATGGTGGCTGTATGTTAGTAAGCAAGGACAGTCGAAATTTCTTTGAGGTTGGATGGTTAATTATTTGCTTGTATTCCGGTATTTCCTTTCCCTGTGAGTTTGATTCTTTCGGAATTGGTTGTGAAATAAATGGTGAACTTTGAGATGGTATTACAGAGGATGGCTTGTCTTCATATATCTTAATTTTATTCCTTGGCAGCAATGTACGTGCAGTCTCTTTTATGGGTGTCATAAACTCCGGTAGTTTACTTTTATTGGGTATCGCTCTAATAGGCGAACGGACATTGCTATTAGAAATTTCTCCTACATCAGTCCGAATGATGTTAGGTTTTGCTTCTGTTAAATCATCGAGATTCTTAGCAGTAAATCCCTCTGTGAAATTTTCATATTGGCTAAATTTACTTGTAGTATCTTCTTTTTCTCCTAAACCATTAAAATCTTCGTAATTTTGATTGAACATGGAATAAACTTCATTCATAGCATTCTTTGAGAACATTGTTACAGTCGGCGACGATGGCGCGCCATACTGTTTACTAGTCATACCTGGCATGGGCGCCTCTTTCAAAGGTAATATTGATGTTGAAACATCTATTTTAGTTTTAACTGGCGAATCCACTTCGTATTTTGTATCTACATCCTTGTTTTCAGTGTTTAGACCAGGTATTGGAGGTTGGGTAGAAGGTAAGCCAGTAATTTTATCAGAAAGTATATTTCTGCGCTTGATATCAGCTTTAGAATTAGTCACAGATAAATCAAGGTTTCTTTTTACACGATCCTGTTTCTTTCTTAATATATCCCTAGAAATAGAACTCTTTGCAAGGATTTCTTCTATGCAATATTCTTGTGAATCATCCGGAAACAATAGCTTGAAATTACAAACTATCTTTTGAGGCTTTTTACCTTTCATTTCAACAACTTTGAGAACTTGGCTCTTATTTGATTTACTGTTTTTTTCTGGTGATTCACTATCATGAAAGATAGGTATCTTGGGTTTAGATTGAGGTATCAGATCATCATTATCATTCTGTTCTTCATTTAAAGTTTTACTTGTATTATCGTTTTTATTGTCCAAGTTTGTAACATCTTCTTTTCTTATCTGTCGGAGAGGAATGGGACTCAAGTTCGAGGAGTCATAGTTAATAATAAACGTGGGTATTCGGTACGTGTTCATAAATTGAATATACATGTTATTATTATCATTTGTAGTCCCATATTTCAAGGCATACTGTTCATAACTTGCAATAATTCTTTGTGTAGGAAAAGCGTTATTGTCCTTACCTAACCGTAGAATGGCTACCGATTCTTCACCTTTATTTATTGACGCTAAACATTCCGCTAATTGTTCATAAAATAGAGCCAATCGCACAGCGATTTTTTTATGATAAAGATAGCATAATATATTTATTTTCTCATCAATGAACTCCTTGTATACCATGTTCATGTAACTAATCCATACTCTCAACAATCTGGGATCATTCTTGAAGATTTCCAGATCCAAGAAGTACAAAAGGCATCTCTCCATAACATCCTGTAATACTTGACTACAGGAAATACCTTGACCTTCATTCTGGCAATGTTTCAAATGCTTAATGTATTCTAGATAGAGCTGCAGCGGATCATCCAGATTCTCTAGATCCTCATAGAGTAAATTTTCATAGTGCTTCCGCACATCTTCGAGATTGGGCGTGGCTTGAGGCTTCGCCACCGCCCAGCTGTCAAAGACCATTGTACATTTATCCGTATTCTTAACTTTCTATTAATTCCCAAGGACTACAACTGATCTACGCATGTCAGTAATACCATCTTTTGTAGTTTTTTATTATGATGCTCATCGCAACGAAAGGTTGTGTGTCCTACATATCGTGCGAACGCGTAACAAGGCTACAATTTCAGGTACAGAGTATGTAATAAAATAGAAGGATAAGCAATTTAAACCAGACAATTGGTATCCAAATGAATTGATTTATATAGCTAGAACTGTACAATGCTAATCAACTTAGTTATGGACACTTATTTTAGCAATAAAAGACCTATATTAAGCATGACAAAATTGTACTCCATCATAGAGCTTCTATTCGAATTGTCATTTTATCAATAACAAGAACTTCTTATGGTTCTATAGTGTAGTGGTTATCACTTTCGGTTTTGATCCGAACAACCCCGGTTCGAATCCGGGTAGGACCTATTATTTTTTGACGTGTTTTTGACACAAAAAAATTGGCTTCATAATGAGCTTTCTGTAATCTTTATCGATACAGGCGGCTGCAAACTAGTACATTCATAACAATTTGTAACCTTCACTTGCTAGCCCAATGTTCTACCGCCGTAGATGCACTGGTTTATCGATTTTTTTGTGACATTGCAACTTTATGTTAATTACTGAAATATTTATTTCTATTAACTTTGTAACTGGAAGTATCTATAAGCAGTTGCTTCCGATTGTGTTTCTTTACCTTGAAGCTTTTATTCTAACTAGTTCATCAAGTGATAGCAAGCTCATTAATTTGTGTTAAACTAAAGTTACCCATATTGAGGATAAGTGAAGTTCAAAATCGAGAGAATAATAATTATATAACAATTTATCGAATCAACTAATAAATCAAAGGCATAAATACAGAAAATAGTAAAGTACCTAGAGATAACTAAAGAAACATTAACAAACTCTAAAATTTGCGTAAGAGACAGAAAAAATGTCTACTTTAATGCTTGCAGATATATTGAAGCAAGTATCGTTGAACAACAGGAAGTTACCAGAGAATAATTTACCTGGCATCGAGAAGAAACCTAGAAGAATTGTTTCCGATGCGTCTTCTAGATCAGAAACTTTAGAGATAGTTGATATTAGGACCGAAAACTTGGGTACAAATGTACAAAACAACATTGCTCTATTTGTTGGAAATTTGGCAGAAGAGATTACAAGTGAAAGGCTTACTGAAATGTTTAAAGTATACAAATCATTTATTTCGGCTAAGGTTTGTACAAACGCCGATGATAATAGATCACTAGGACACGGATACATCAATTTTGGAAACAAAGAAGACGCAGAAAGAGCCACAGAAGATTTTAATTATAATAAAATAATGGGAAAAGAAATTCGAATAATGCCCAGCATTAGAGACTCGGTATACAGGAAGAATTTTGGCACCAACATATTCTTCTCTAATTTACCATTACAAAAAGAGAAATTAACACATCGTATGTTCTATGATATATTTCGTAAATACGGTAATGTGTTATCAGTTAAATTGGACTCAAGCAAAAATATCGGATTTGTTTATTTCGAAGACGATACCATCGCTAGAGATGTTATTAAAGAATTTAACAACAAAGAGTTCCTCGGCAACATCATATCCTGTGGCCTACATTTTGATAAAGAATTGAGGAAGAAACCAAATTTTGATAAACAGATATCCAAGTTAGACGACGATATTATAATTGAAAAGGAAAAGGAAATCTTCGACAGTAATAAAGTGGAAATAAAGATTGATAAAGATAAAGTAGCTATAATACAACCTAATGGTATATTCATAAAAAATCTTCCATTAGATACCAATAATAATGAAATTTTAGCCATTTTCAGTGAAGTTGGCCCTATCAAATCTGTTTTCTTATCACCATTAAATGAGAGTCGCGAATACCTCTGGGCATTTGTAACCTATAAGGATAAAGCATCAGTAGAGAAAGCAATTAGTTTATTTAATGGGAAGGCCATCGGGAACAGAAATGTTTTTGTTACCCATGCTTACTCTAAATATAATATCCCAACTCCCAAACCGATACTGTTTTTAAGCAATTTGAGCCCTATTTGTGACCGTAAGTTCTTGAAGCAGATCATGAATCAATTAAGCGTCAAACCTGAAGATATTAAGGTTCACCAATCTGAAAATCCCGAACATGTTACTTCAACAGGTACCATACAATTTAAGACTCAAGATGATTTAGATAAAGCCAAAAAATTCCTAAATAATAAGCTGGTTAGTGGATCCATAATATACGCCACCACTCGTAAAAGTAAAAAGAACCAAGAACAAACTAATTACCGGGAATTTTGTCAAATTTTACCCAATTCGCCATTTACTTATAAAAATTATGGTGATTATTGCTCAACTAATATACATGACCCATCTACTCACGATAAGATGCATTTTATGCATGCAAAGAAATTAAAAAATTATGAAGTACAGACCAACAAATTACCATACAATGGTTGTCAAGACAAGAAAGCAACTCAACTGTTTAAGAACGGCAGAGGTGCAATCCCTGCTAAAGAATTACTTTTGCAACAGATAAAAGATAAAATTGACAATTTGAAATATCCATTTGCAACAAGGCCCGAAAATCTAAAATCCTTAGCCGATTACATATTTATTGTTTTCTGGAACCGTAATGGACAGAGCTTATCTCAATTCTTGCTTCTACAGAATAGCTCTAAGGAGTATGCAGAAATGCTGAAACATCAAATTGAAACAGCCGCAAGCACGCTGGGTTTTGGTAGATAAATATTAAAGCATTCTGGGTCAAAATGGAAAGTACTTGATACAATTCAAGGTTCGATTTGCAATTTTTGTATATTCACACTTTGTATAAATTTTCTATTATCCTGGCTATTAGAATAAAAGTTTTAATGAACGCGAATACAATTACATACAGTATAACCAGTATGCCTGATAACAATGTTATGTATATGTCAAATTATTACGATAATTATTGATTAGAAATGAAGTTTATTAAGGTTAACATAAAGAAAAATACAATTCACGATAAAAGTGCTACAACTTGTCATTTATAAATTCAACATGATGTAACTTGCTCAAAAACCTTAAAATATTGATACAGTTTGCTATTTTAGCATGCTATTACCGTGAGGGTTGAATTCGGTGAAGAATAGATACCCTGCCGTTTTGAGTATATAACCCAATTGTACAGAACATATACTATTCCAGAATCAGAGATAAAACTTAAGAGACTATACCAGTTCGACATAGTTAGCTGGGAAAATACCTTCTCTGCCATTGACCTTACCAGTCCACCAATCATTCTGTGAGTCAGACTTCTTGATGATAGTAATAACGTCACCCTTTCTGAATGACAAATCGCCAGCTTCTTCTCCAGCAAAGCTGTACAATGCTACAGCTTTTGGAGCACCAGAAGAGGCATCTCTTCTTGGTGGTTCATCAGCTGGTCTGCTATTCGATCTACCATTGTTTGTGGCACCGGGGGATATCCTTGATTTTGAGAACCTGTTAGACAAATCATCAACATCGCGCCTGCTGTCACCATGTCTACGACTGTCGCCTCTATAATCATCATCATAATCGTCATCATAGTATGAACTTCTCTGGTTTCTGGCACTCGAAGCACCACCTCTACGATGATTAGCATAGTAATCCTTGGCTCCTGAAGGGTCATCAAAATCATCATCAAAATCATCATCATCTCTATACTTGTCTCTCCTTGATCCGCGACTGCCTATACGATCATAGCGATCATCATCGTTTCTTCTGTCACGTCTTGCTGCACCAGATCTACTGTATCTAGAAGTATCATCCGAAGTGAATGAACTAGGGATATCATCATAGTAGTCATCGTCATAGTCACTGTCTTCGTAATCATCCCCTGATGACCTATAGTTAAAGGCTCTAGACTCTAACACTCTGAAAAGCGGGTCTACTGATGGTGGTGGTCTAATTCTGCCAGACAATATCATCTTAGTGGTACAGTTGTTACCATAAAATTTACGGTTAGCCTCTCTTCTCTCCAGGATGACAGAACCTTCCAAGGACACACCTGCAAACAGACCTTTACTCTTGGAGTATGCAAACACTGCTGACACACCTCCTGCTGAGGCAGAGGCCGCTGCCTCCGCATTTCTACCCAATGGACCAGCTGAGACAGAGATATTACCACCAAGAGTGATAGTACCAAACTCTGAGAACGACCTCACTGCGTCCGGTGTATTCAAGATAAAAACAAAATCAGTAAGCTCTACACCCACCAAACCACCAGCACCAGCACCAGCCATACCAATGGCACTTGGTGCAGACCAGGACCCGTCCCTCAGACGGGCCACAATGACACCTGACCCAGCTCTACCTGAGAACAGGAACCCAGCTTTCAACACTGTAATAATAGCCAAACCCTTGGCATTCTTAAGCACATGTGGTGGAATAACTTGGTCAGCACCAAACACTTGGTTGGGTTTCACAAAACTTGCCAAAATCTTGGCAGCTTTCTTAGTCTCACTGTGCAGACTTCTAGGAATTGGATTATTGATACCCATGATCTTTTATACTGTTGGCACCTTGTATCAGTAAGCCTATGTTGGCAATGCTAGTTACTAAAATCAAATTAATACCACTTCAAAATATAAAGGACTACTCTATATAATCGTTAAATGATTGAAAAAGGGAACTTGACGTCAAATGGACTTGCCACTTTTCTGTTAATCGAGGAATCGGAAGGCTGGGTACTTTTGCTTCAATCAAACGATTATCAGGAGTGGGATTCCAAATTGACAGGAACGGATCCTTAATGGACTTGAGGAATTTGAGTGAAAACAAGAAAGCCTCGACGAGGATGACTTCTCACATGATGTCACTGGGGGCCCATGCATGATTAAACAGAGCAAATGAGCAATTTTAGACCAATCCTATTGATTTTAGTTATTTACCATATATAGTTTATGATAGGTATTTAGTATTCAATATGCATTTGTGTTTTCCTTTATAACTTCAAGCTCTTTAATTGAGCGAGCACAGCGGACTTTGCAGTACCACCAATGGCATCTCTTCTCTCCACGCTCATCTCGAAGTTGAAAGTCTCGTAAAGGTCTTGCTCGAAACGAGGATCGATGTTCTTGAATTGCTCTAAGGATAGTTTGTCTATACCGGACAAGTTCTCCTTTTCGGCCAGGGCGACACATTGTCCGGATATGCTGTGTGTCTCTCTGAATGGAACACCCTTTCTGACCAAGTAATCTGCCAGGTCGGTGGCCAGCATGTCCATGGTCAACGCGTTCTCCATCTTCTCCTTGTTGACAGTTAGAGTAGAGATAACACCGTCTGCTATCAGGATGGAGTGTTCTACGGTGGTTAGACAGTCAAACAATGGCTCTTTGTCCTCTTGCATATCCTTGTCGTATGTAGATGGGATACCTTTCAAACTCATTAGGAACCCACTCAATTCACCAAACACTCTACCAGATTTACCTCTCAATAGTTCCAAGGAGTCGGCGTTCTTCTTCTGTGGCATCAACGAGGAGCCTGTGGAGTATGCGTCACTCAGCTTGATGAAGCCAAACTCAGCAGTAGAGTATATGATCAAATCTTCAGAGAAACGAGAGACGTGGTTCATGAACAATGTGGCCCAGAACATCAATTCTACCACAAAGTCTCTATCAGAAACAGCTACCAGAGAGTTACCAATCACACCGTTAAATCCAAGTCCTTCGGCCAAGAATTGTCTGTCAATACCATATGGATGACCCGCAAGAGCTCCCGAACCCAATGGTGACTTGTTCAATCTCTCTGCAATTTGTTCCAGTCTCTTAAGGTCTTCTGTGAAATATGTAGCATAGGAGCTTAACCAATGTGCCCATCTGATCGGTTGAGCTCTCTGTAGATGTGTGTAACCAGGCATCAGGATATCTATCTCCTTCTCAGCTCTGTTAACTAAAACATTAATCAAGGATTTCATCGCAGGGAAGATCTTTTCATTTAAAATCTCACGACAGTATATTCTCATATCCGTGACAACTTGGTCATTTCTTGATCTACCGGTGTGAACTTTACCAGCTATGTCACGGCCGATTAGTTCGCCCAATCTTCTCTCATTAGCAGTGTGGATGTCCTCATCACTCTCATGACGGACAAACTTGCCCTCATCCCATTCATTTTCGATGTCCTTAAGACCAGAGTGAATCTTTGCCAATTCGCTCTCTGTGATTAGACCCAATTTAGTTAGACCAGCGGTGTAAACTTTTGTGCCTTCCAAATCGGCCTTGTACATTCTATAATCGTATGGTAAAGAGGCATTGTAAAGTTGCATTAGTGGGTCAGTCTGCCCTGTAAATCTACCACCCCAAAGTTTTGTTTTAGCTTGACCTGACATTGTATTAGTTGTATAGTATATGGCGTATGTTGTTATGCAATATTTAGCAAGTTGCTAGTAGTGAATGCTTAACCTTTTTAATTGTTATCGTTAAGTATACTGATAAGTTAAAAGGACAAACTATTGACATCGATTATACCTCGAGAAACTTGCTGGTTTATATACTTTTCGCTAGCACAATATGACACCTATAGCTCATCTCGCCTTATTCTACCACAATCACTGATAAGTTCGCCTTATCCTGCCGTTAAGTTAAACTTTCGCTACCGGATGCCTGATATGGCCAAAGGATGATTTAGACATTCGCCTGTTACTTCCACAAATGCTGACCTCAATCCCTCCCGACAAGCATTTATCAGTCATCAAGATCCTCTGCACGGCACTTTCTAAGAACCAAAATTTTTTGTACCGGCTCCACCTTCCGTTTCCGTACACTCTGCAGCTGGCTCTCCATTTTCGGTATGATTTGGCGAGATAAGTATTTATCGTATCACATTATACATTATGAATGTTGTACTTAAGTGTATACATAAGCATTGGTATAGTCATGTTTTCGAGTCATAGTCAAATAATTTATGGGCATGAATATTACGAAACGTGCGTTTTGTAGTCTTCAATTTTTATATTGGGGGCTATAAATAGGTAGTTGTGCAGATTTAAAACTGTTTCCAGAAGCTATTTTCAGAAACAGATGCCATATCTTCTTTTACCAGTTTCACGGAACCATCGGAAGTTTCTTCTAAGTGGTACAGGGCCTCAATCTTAATCGTATTGGTAATGTAGTCTAGCGCCTGTTTGTAGCAAGTACCAACGTGTGATACGGCATGGGCGTCATCACTTAATACAAACCGTGAACCACAGTATTGTTTCGCCAACTCACATATCTCAGGGCCAGGGTAAGGTTCACAGAGGCCTTTTCTGAATCCTGCAGTGTTTATCTCGATGGCACCACCATATGAGTCGATAGCTTTTAAGTTTCTGATAATCTTCTCCCTGAGAATTGGAAAGGTTTTCACTAGTGAAATGGATGTTATTGGAACAAAATCCACCTGCGGGTCATCGCTGCAGTCACCTGTGGCGGGATGAACAAACATCTCATCCGGCAGCAGTAATTTATACAAATCAAAGTGCCCGATAATGATCGGTTGCAGCTCCGTTATCATCGCATGCTGCATATCAAAATAAGATGACAGAAATTTAACAATGTTCTTATCGCAGGAATCGAAGGCTTCGTTCCATGAGTGTGGGTCAAAATCGATCGGTATACCCCTAATATGGTGAATCGATCCCACGGTAAATTTCAAATCGTCTCCATATGTCCTCAGCAAATACTTACTGTACTCAATGTGCTCAACGTCACAACACTCAAGCTCACACCCAACAAGAAACTTAGTCTTGCAATCACCACCACTATACTTGGCACGTATGCTCCGGCTGTGCTCCAAATAGCTGAGAAATTTCTCCTTAAGCACTTTCAATCCAAGCTCGCCAATATTAGGGTCGGGACTCATGTCCTCTTGCCGCTCCTCAGGGTACAGATACTTGCTATTCACCCGGGGCATGTGCTCAGTTAGGCAATATGTGTGGAACCGCATCGCTACAGCCTGAGCGACAATATCATCAAGAGGATCCACTCCATGCGCCACATAGTCTCCCGAATGTGAATGATGTGAATGCATTATCCTAGTCCACCTGCTTATACTGTTCCTGTTCGGGTCCCCAGCAATCAATAGATCATATGTCTTAACGTTTCGCAGCAATACCATATTAAACTCAACTTTATATGAGCTGATTTTTAAGGAACGGCTGACTCTGAACCAAAAACTGAGCTTCGCACTTTGCTTTCTGTGACTCAACTTGGCAGTAGCACTAAATACACCGTAGAAACCATGAAAAAAAGAAAAAAATATAAAACGCAAAAAAATATTACTGGACGAGTTGGGAATCGAACCCAAGACCTCTCCCATGCTAAGGGAGCGCGCTACCAACTACGCCACACGCCCATAATAATTTAATGACTTTTTGAAATGGTAGCATAAACTATACTGGTATGTATTTTATCACATGACCATATGGAAATGTACAGTGGCATGCCACTGTGGTTCTTCCACCCATTACATTCGATATACTTTATGATGGATACACTCCATTAGCTATACCAAAATACCGTCAAAAATTCTGACAGAAATTACCACACATGTGGTGTATAATATATACTATGTATTTTCCTTAAACTAGGAAAATATTAGAAAGAAACGCCTTCCTATTTACAGTAGACACCGACTAAAAGATACTAAAATGTAAAACAAAACACTTTATTGAGTGTTTTAGACTGTTGTACACAAGAAAAGTTCTTACTACATTTCGAGACTCTTTTTTGTGCATTAAGCACATCCTAGAATCTGGCTATGCTTCGCGTTGCCTGATACACCTATCAGAATTTCATTGCGATTCCTAATGTAACGAATAACAGTATAGAAAAGAATCAAAACTCTTGATGTTTCTAAAATCAAATCAAATAACAGATAAATGTTCAATTTGCTCTGGAACTACGTTTGCTACTTTTGCATTGAAATTAAAACCACAAATTGGCACTCACCTGAAACTTTTTTAGTATGGGAATTTAGAACAAAACGTAAACTTAGAAATAAAAGTATTCGGAAGGTCAATGCTTCAATATCCATCTTATAAATCGTTAGAGAACGGTTAGCTGAAACTTATATTAGGTTTTGCTACTATTGGATTCAAGGTTGCACTAGATTACTAGCTTCTCATGGCTGTCAATCATGTTAGAAGCAAATCAAGTAATGGCAAAAGGCTAGTACAATCGAAGCTGAATATCAATAACGAGACCATTCTGAAATGCCCCAAATGCGAGATGAAATACTCACCGAATTCGATAGACGATGTAGCAACACATAAGAAATACCATGACTTGCATATCAATGGCAGAAATTGGTCACAAACTTGGGGCATTCCAATTCATGATACCACTTCCAGCACTATAATAGCAACTCCATCTTCCTCACCTTTCAAAACGGGTAAAAGTGTGAATAATAAGAACAATGAAAGAATTGTAATGATACAAGAGAATAAACCTGCCGAGGTGAAGGCAATGCTTGAGATTATGGACATTGTAAATCAAGAGCTGAATGCCCCGCAGGATGAGAATAACTTCTGGCGTAAACCAAATGCTGAGCATCAGGGCAAAGCCATTGTCTACATCAAGGATAAAAAGGTTGTGGGAGCAATTACTGTGGAGGTGCTTAAACAGCACAAGTGTAGGTGGATGATCTACGAGACAAGGACTTTAGTTGAACATGTTAGACCTCAATTCACACTGGGGATATCTCGTATTTGGGTCTGTAGAGCGCAAAGAGGTAAAGGAATAGCTGAAAAGCTTCTAGATGCGGCCAGAATATCAGCAATCCCTGGACAGAATGTCGATAAAATGAAACTGGCCTGGAGCCAACCATCTGACAGTGGCGGGAAATTAGCTAAGAAATATAACGGCGTAAAACATAAGTCAGGCCATATCCTGATACCCTGTTATCTATGAGGTCTTGATTATTATCACCTCTATCGAAATATATACTCATTAACGTAAAATGGGTATTATTTGATTATTTGATTATATAACGAATGCATATTTAATTAGAAGTTATTTGAAAACGCGATTTGATGCCAGTAAGAACGATTTTATACTTAAGTAGACATCTTTGATGCTAATATCGTTAGCCTCACCTTTTAACTGTACCACTGGCCTTTCTTACACCACCAGCAGCACTGACATTCCTTCTTCCTGATGCGACTCTTCTATTCTTTGGTAACAATTGCTTCAATAGACCTTCTTCATCACTTTCTGTTGTTTGCCTTGTAATTCTGTTTTGAGAAGAGGAGTTTTGATAATTGCTAGTCATGGAATCATCATCCGAATTGTTGTCCACTACCATATTGTTGTGCTGTGTTTTGCTATTAGACTTGCCATTTTTACTAATTTGTTCTATGGTATTCGTTCCATTCTGACCTTTTCTTGGTTGACCTGGTGAGTGCTGTGGGACAGCAGTCTTGTAAGCTGTTTCGGTCGGCTTCATGTCATTTTGTCTTTCATATTTAGATCCTCTAGCAGGCGTCATTTCAATATCCCGTACCTCATCATTGCTATTGACTCTGTTATTACTTGTGATATCGGAAGAGCGCTTGCCTTCCTTTAATCTTTTCTTTTGTAGTCTATACTCTTCCACACTCACTAAAGGATATAAGCCGCCTATTATCTCGCTTGGCTTGGTGGAGAGTCTCATGGTATACTTCCATTCTCTAAAATCGTTTTGATGTAGATACAACCAATGTTGCTGAGGCCCCACAACCATACCAGGTCTAATAAATCTCAAAAACCCGATACATTCATTAGCTGTGAATCCATAAGTATATATTAAATGTGCACCAATTAAGCAACCTGTCCTCCCAAGACCAGCTTTACAATGCACAGCTATTTTACCACCTCTTCTTATTATAGTTTCTGCAGCACCTACAAAATTCTTAACAATTGACATATCTGGGCATGTACCATCCTCAAAAATAAGATCGAGGTGCTGAATTCCGACGTCCTCAAAATGCTTCTTATTATATAGATGAGAATTCAATCTTACGACTAAGTGGACATTATTGTTTGCAAAGAAGTTTAATACACTTCTGAAAGGCTGATTTAGGTGTGACTTAGGAGTCAGGGTACCAGAGGATAGAACCTTAGGATCCTCCTGAGGGGATGCAAATGCAATGAAATCTGGTGTTAGAACATTGAAGTCACCATTTTCAACATGCTCGTAACGTTCATAAGTCTCTAGATTAAATGAATGTAGATCGATCAATCCCTTTTCCTTAGCTCTCCACACACCATACACAACGTCTTGAATAGTAATTTCAAAGTCGGCGTTAGAGTAACCTGCATCTCTGAAAGGCATAAATGGTGGATCAACTTGGGCCAATGGTTGCAAAACTTGATGTGGTGTCCAACCTTGCACTAAGATCATGTAACAACACAACAGACATGCAGAGTTAGCTCTCTGCCTGGTCGAGGCAGAGGAGTAGAACACAACTGCTTTCTGTGCATTTTCTGGATCATTCAAAATTTCATGAAATATAACTGCGAAACGGTACAAGTGACCGATATTCATGGGACCAAAGTCCAAGTGAAAGCTATTATAAAAGATCGAGTCCTCGATGGTGAAAAAGACAATCTCATCAGTGGCTTCCGGGGTATAATCATATGCACCGAGGTAAACCCGACCTCGCAGGAATTCAATCGTATTGTCTAAATATATACTTCTGCGCATGTCTAATTTGTGCCTTTTGCTTCTACTTACTAATATCCTACCTTAGTTAGCCCTGCTGAACTGTATAAAATGCAATTGCAACTTCAGACCTGAGACAAACTCCTTCAATAATTGATCTTTTAAACCGCCGGAATTCAAAAAATCAAATCAATTCCTTGGATTCAAGTAATGGATGCTCGATTCAGTGATGTTGGTGCTTGATCAAACGCCGAGTTCAGAGAGTTTACCATCAATTTGAAACAATACCTACTACACCTTGGATCGTTATATTGAAAAATTTCGAAATTTTAGGATTTTTTTCATGAATTTCGACTATCGTGCGGACTCTTCTGAGAAAAAGCGGATCATATTTACCAGTTTCCATATTAAGAAAACATATTATTATCATAATATAGTCGATGATATGAAGCAATGAATATCTATGATTTGAATATTAAATGTATAAAAGCTAGCTACAGCACATGCTATTTTAATGTAGTTCGTATCTCGGGCAACAGTAATGCCCTTAAAATTGAAATATTGAATTTCTGAGTCGTGCCACTGTAAAAGTAAATAATACTAAAAGTTAGTTTTAGTTTTTGTGTAGTATTCAAACTATCATCTTGTGAACAATTCTCTTGACATATGCCCTGGGGGTCCTCTTTAGCAATTCCTTATAACGATCTCTTAGTTCAATTAATCGTTTTTCCTCATTACTATAAGAAAGATTGATGGAAGTGTTTGATTTTTCATCCGAACTCTGTCTATCGTTGGCATACTCTTTCAACTTCGTCTCAACCTCAATCAGTTTTTGATTATACTTAAGCCATACTGCAGAAGACCTTACACAGCATGCTAATAGTAACGCAAAGCTAAAGCAACACCCAGCAAATATTTGTGTATGCAGGTATGGATTGCTCTTATGTTCTGGCTGTGTCAGCGCTTGGGCTATTACCTCAGGTAGCAGTAACAAAGGTGCTCCCAAATAATTCACACAGGCCCACGCTGGTAAAAAATCTACTGGTCCGGCCATATCAGCAATTAACACAGTACTCATAACGTTAGCGACACCAACACAGGAACCTGTCATAATAGAAAAAAATAGTAGTTGAACAAAAGTGTGCGAGGGTATCCAAAATGCAAACAAGTATATGGCAAGTAGAGTTGTTAGCGAGATTGTGACGTTCGTTCTTCCAAACCTGTCACCGGCTAGACCCATCAAAGGACGACCAATGGCCTGGGAACCATTCAATACAGCGGTAAGAGTTGATGCATCATGTGCAGATAGTCCTTTTGCTATTGAGTAGGGTGAAAGTGTGAATATCATTAAATTATAGCCGAATAGTGCAAAGGCAAACCACACAGCAATCAATAACACAATGGGTCTCTTTAGAATTTTTACACTAAACATGGTATGAAATTCTTTCCTTATAGCCTTGAAGTTCTTTAGACCAATAGGCTTTATGGGCTTACGCTCACGAATCAGCATCGTAGCCACAACAACAGTAGTGGAACAACTAATTCCCAATATACGAAGTGCCCACCGAGTATTGCCGGTATTTTGTATCATTTTATTCGCTGCTAAGCCATAAGTAACCCCGCCGGCACCCGTTCCAAGCAGGGATATACCCAAAGCCACGGCTCTTCTTTTCAAGAACCAACCTGGCAACACCACTGTGCTTGGAACAAATATGAATGAAATTCCGAAACCAATGAGGACACCCTGTGTTAGGTATAATTGCCATATTTTCTTGGTAAAGGATGCAAGGATAAACCCAGCTAGCAACAGTGCATCTCCAAAGAGCATTGTTGGCTTCATACCTATAATCCTCATAATGACCATTACGAAGGGAGACATACCTTGCCCCAACGCTACAGTAAAACCGGCAATCAAGGCGTAGTCATACTTGGTTGCGTGTGGGTACGTATCGTTATTGAGATAGAAACCAAGAAATACACCAAATCCAGAGTTACAGCCCCAGGTAGAGAACATCACCAAGAACACACAGAAGCAACATATCCAACCGTAACCCCCATCCGGAGGGAGGTCTATTTGGCCAGTGGACTTATTCGTGAAGACTTTCTTTATAGTAGGTACGCGCTCAAGCTGTTCACCTTCTGTGGTCTGTGCCATCGACATTATGGACTCTACATTAGAAGATGTGTCCGAGGCAAGCTGGGATACTTGTTCTGATTTGTGCTGTTGTTCGTCCACATCTTCCATGGTTTCTTGCATGTTAAATGCGTCTGCAACATCAAAGCGTGACTCGAGAATGCGGTTCCGCTGGTCGTCAAGCAATTGCTCATCGTCTAGTTGATTTACATCCTCTCTGGGGTCTTCAAGGTCAGGTGTGGTGCTACTTTTCTTCACGCCGACACCCACGCTCTTGTCCCCGGTAAGTACCCGCCACAGACCATCAGTTACTGCTTTCCTCAGTTGTGTATCCTTTTCCACCTCGGGACCCATGCTCTTGAGACTCCTGAGACTCCTGAGACTCCTGAGGCTGTCGGGACAGGAAGACAAGGACTCTACAGAGGAAACCATTTTTGTCGCTTGTTCACAGTGCTGCACATTCAAATAACAAACAACTACAAGATGAACTATTGCGAAATATATATGTGTATTGTGTATTGTGAATTATCTGTTGTGGATCAGAGTCGAGATGAGCATAGCAATGTGTCAACGAAAGTGCCAAGTTCATCCGTTGCTTCTTATATTAGTCGATAAAAGTGGGCAGAAAAGCAAACGGATGAAGCACTCAGAACCTGCCGTACCACATTTTTTTAAACACCTTAGCCGAAAGCCAATTTATCGACAATCGACAAGGGAAGGGTCCAGAGACAAGAACGCAGAATGGATCGTAAAATGGAGGGGTACGCACTCTTGTTCACTCTTGATTAGAATATGTGCCAGTAACCCCTCAGAAAGTACTGCAGGGCACCCAACAATGAGCAAAACAATTTCAACATTTTAAAGCATAAAGACTATGATCGTACGGATAGATCTCTGCGGAAAAAACAAGAGAGAAAACCAGGTGGGAGACTTGGGGGGGGGGGAGGAGACCAAGGAAACAACGTAGAGAAGCCTACTGCATTACTCCTAGAACAGCTAGTAGCAATGGAGACAAATTGAGTAAAAAGCTTCGATTCATCTTACGTTGGGGTGGTCTCAGATGTGTACGCTACATTGTCAGTCAATTTCAGTTAAGTGGAAATTCAATCGATTCTTATGTAATCTTATTCATTACTTCTCCAATGTACGAGGAACCCACTGCTCTTCAGAGACTCGAAGTGCAACCATCGTAGTCAAGACCCTTTTTCAAATGACATACGTCATTTGTTGTTCATTAAGCCATACCAGAATGCCCCAGAACCGCCAGTGCAAACGGAGTAGTAACGTGGAGAAGTAACGTTTTGTGTCAAAGCAACACAGGAAGAGGAGACAATGCAGCTGTGAAGTCGAAGTCGGCGGGTCGTACACCCTGCGGGGCTTTCACTCCAAGGCCTGCAGCAAAAATTAGCTTTTCTTCTGCAGAGAACACGGAATCGAGAGAAGACACTGTTGCACTTTTGGGCTAAGAAGACTGTGCAAGGCATCCCCTTCCAGCGCGATGATAAGGAACGAGACATACCAGCCGGTCGCAATTCTGTGGAGTGCCCTACCCCTCACTTCCATTCGTTTAGTCCATGGAAAGCAATGAAAAGTGTAGATCGTTATTTGTCTAAATAGAAATGATGAATAGGTATGGATGGGGTGCTATAATGCTATTCAAGTTATCTACTCTATATGATTAGTTTCTTGGTCATTCTCTTGAAGTAAGCTGATGTGGTTTTGCTGAGGAGGGCGTCGTACTCCTCTTTCTGGTGTAAGGCGTCCAGCGCACCGTCCTCTTTGATCTCACGCAGAAGCTCCCTTCTCTTGCCCTCGTATTTGAGCCTAACGGAGTACTCCCTCAGCATCAATGCTAGCAAAAGCGCTGCTGTGAAGCAGCACCCCGCGAATATTTGCGTGTGCAAGTATGGGTTGCTCTTGTGCTCTGGGACAGTCAATGCCTGCGCAATCACTTCCGCAACGAGACACAACGGGGAGCCTATGTAGCATACGAAGGCCCAGGCTGGAAGAAACTCCTCGGGGCCCACCATGTCAGCAATTAGCACTGTGTTCATGACATTTGCGACACCGACACAGGATCCCACGCATATTGAAAAGAATATCATCTGTAGGAATGTGTGGGCTGGGATCCAGAACCCGAAGACGAACACCATCAAGAGTGTGGTCATAGTGATGGTGACATTAGTCCGACCAAATCGATCTCCTGCAAGCCCCATCGTCGGACGCCCGACCGACTGGGCGGCGTTCAGGATCGCCGTTAGCGCAGAGGCATTGTGAGCTGTCATGCCCCTTGCAATGGCATAGGGAGACATCGTAAACACCATGATAATATAACCTAGCAGTGCTAAACTAAACCACGTAGCAATTAACAGCACAAATGGCTTCTTGACCAAGTCAATTGTAAACATGACCTTAAATTGCTGAACAATGGCTTTCCAAGATCTGATACCCACGGGTTTCTTAGGCACACGCTCCTTGATCAATACAGTCGCGACAATATTACTAACTGTACATGTTATTGCCAATACTCGTAACGCCAGATGCGTATTACCACGGCTTTGGATCATTTTATTAGCAGCAAGACCATACACCATACCACCAAGACCAGTTCCCAGTAAGGATAACCCAACAGCAACTGCTCTACGTTTCAGAAACCAACCAGGTAGAACAACAGTTGCTGGAACACACACTATTGCAATAGACGCTCCAGACATTACACCCTGAGTCAAGTACAACTGCCATATCTTGGTACTAAACGAAGCTAGAAGGAAACCGGCAAGCAAAAGTGCATTGCCAAAAAGCATAGTGGGCTTCATACCAATAACTCTCATCATGACCATGACAAAAGGGGAGGCACCTTGACCGAGAGCAACCGTAAGCCCAGCGATCAGCGCATAATCGTATTTTGTAGCACCGGGATAGGTATCGTTGTTCAAGTAAAAACCCAAGAACACACCAAACCCAGAGTTACATCCCCATGTAGAAAACATTGCTAAGAAAACACAAAACACACAAACCCAGCCATAGCCTCCATCCGGTGGAAGATCCAATTGGCCTGTGGATTTGTTAGTGAAAACTTTCTTTATTGTTGGAACCCGCTCAATGGGGATGCTGTCTTCAGACTGGTAGGCTGATTTTATACTCTCATCATCACCGGAGTACCGCCTGTTCCTTATCTGGACATTTTCTTTATCTTGCATAGACTGCCTTGTGTCCACAAGCCGCAGTGCATCAGCCAGGTCAAACCTCGATTCCAGTAGTCTGTCATCTTCTTCATCATAGTCCACAGCTTTCTCATCTGCTTGCTTCAGGTCTTTTTCTTCACTCTCATGTGGGGATTGATCTCTTACATGCAGCACATCAACTATACTGGTACCATCATTAGTCAAAGCACGCCATACACCTTCCTTAGAGTCGCTTAGAGTTCTCGTTCTTGTGTTACCGTTATGCAGCTTGTACTGGTCAGCGTCACGCCCATCACGAGTATAACTTCTAACCTCCAGCGAGGAACGCTCATAAGAACTGTCCACAGAGACACTAGATGCACAAGAACCTTCCTCTACCATTACTGTAGTACAGACGTATATGAATTGCCTAATATCTAAACAAGTGTTGGTTGGACAAGTAGAGAGATTATTGTAGCTTGGCTTGTTTTTTTTAGAGTTAAAATAGGCTACAAGAAATATACTCTTGAGATAATATATAGCCTACTATATATACGCCTGCAAGCAGCGTCCACATTGCATATTGGGCATCGGAAATCCGATTATAAGTCTTTTTTTTTTGAGCAATGGCACATAGTAGTCCCCATTGAGTGGCCTGAACTTACAGTAGCAATGGGGGAATAATGCTCTCTAGTGACTAATTTCAGGATGTATAATAAGAAACAATCCACCACAGAGATCGGAGAGCCTTCAATTGGGCTCCTCCAATTTCCTTTCTTTTTATCAATGAACTTTAGAAGCTTTTAGAAGTTAGCAGTACATTAGTGAAGAGTGAAGAGTCATAAAGAGAGCTGAAGGATAAAAAGAAAGGTAAACAGCAAAAACAAAAGATTTTCATTACAATTTGACCTCCATGGAGAGAACTGCACTGCCTAAAGTCTCGGAGAGACCAGTTTCGACCAAGGAATGTGTCAATATGGGTGACCGTTTCTCGAGAAGTCAAGAGTAGCACATAACGATAGGTTTAGGGCCCTAGTCCCGGCACCGGTACAATGTGGTGGGAGTGTAAGGGTCTATACATTATACCAAGTTGATAGGATAGAACCAATAATGCTAGTATTATATTTAGAACAGGCTCTTGAACTGGCCGTTTTACGGCTTCATGACGATGGAGTCAAGCTTTTACTCCTTCACTTGATGTATCTGGTGAAGCCATAGAACAACAAAACACATTGTATAGAAAATGGACTGCATTGATATGACTGTCTTACAAACCACATTCCCCATGTATACTGCTTCTTTACTCATGTATTTCTTATGCTTCAGTTTGAATATACAACTTACCTAGTCAGAGCCACTTGCACACTTGGAATTCTTACTATTATTAGTGTCACGTGACTTTACTGACTATTATCAGCAAATAATGGATAACTCCCTCTTCCAAGAACCATCTGGCATCATCTCAATGGTATGTCTTGTAGATGACCTAGTACAGAAATCAATTGACATCATTCTATGTACCTACCTATCTATCTTGCCGACTATCATCAAGTCGGTTTGTAACTTGAGATAGTTATCGGAGAGAGGGTCACCTATAATAGTGGCATTTGCGTAACAAGAACACGGCGACTATCATTTCCTTTGCCAGTTTATTCTGACAGACATCCAAGAAGTTTTGCAGTTTACTTGTGTTGCATTCACATTAGCTGATAAGAGCTGAATGTTCAACACGGCCATTAGAAGAGCACCACAACAGCTTTAAGCCATTTTTTTATGGATGGAACAAATAAGGTCATTACAGGATAGGATTTTGTATCTACCGGATAATAGAGATGAAGATACTGGTGAGGTAACATACGGCATTGTATCAGATGCGGTGACATTGTCGTGTGCTTGTGTGGTTTCTGCCAAATTGTGCAACCAGAACTTGAAAGCATGTCCCGTTTGTGAAAAAGTCGACATCTATGTTATTGGTCCATGCAAACCGCTAAGACTACTTTATCAAGAACTGCAAAGGATCAAGAGAGATAGTTCAAAACATATTCTCACTGAATTTAAGGATATAGACCAAGCCGCTACAGTTTTACATGACAATGACAATACTACGAATGATAATAACAATGATGATGACATAAGTCATACTAACAGCAACATGAATACGAATGAAATTGATAGTCTTTTACCTCCTATAACTAAGAACCTTGAATTTTTTTCCATGATGGAGGATCAACCAATAGCTGACACAAGCAATAACAATATATCATTTCCGGTCATAAGTTCTAATACTGGAGACCAATCACTCTCTGATATACCAACTGCTTCACTTCTCTCTGATACCAAAAATAGTAGTAGTGATGACAATAATACTCAATCTTTGATGCATTTGTTTCACACAGTTGCGATTCGTGTTAACAACAAATACCAGGATAATGATAAGACTCTGTCTGGAGCAATTGGCCCTACGAAAGATAAATTACGTTATGATGTACCGTTTAGTTCCTTGAAAGAGGAAGAGGATGATTTCCGAGCCTTAGATAATGCTTCAAATACTAGAACTGTCCCAATATCACTTGAGAACAATTCGTCTAATTTCAGTTCTACAAATCTTGCCAACGAGGGAAATAATCAATATTTACAGTTTTCATCGCTGTCTGCAAGTAAGGCCAACGATTCACAAACAAATTTGGACCACATATTATCAGGAAATTCAGCAATATCGGTTGACGAGAAGAGGGAATTATACTATGCTAAGTGCTTCCCAATGTATAGGAAAAGATTTCAATTTAACACTCACTCAAAGTTTAATTTTATCAAATCCAATACTTCATCCTTCATTAATACAGCTATATCACCAGATTGCACTAAGTTTGCATTGATTACGGATTCTAAATGGGAGGTATATTCCATGCCAACTAGGGAGGATAGGCATTCAAATACACCACAGCTGTTATTTTGTGGCAAATCGAATGGCCAATATGGTTCAAATTACAAGGAGCTGAAAAGAAGTGCAAACAAGAAGCTGGATCATTCAAACTCCCATCAGTCATTTTGTAGATTATCAAACGACCTGCTAGTGATATCTGGATCTAATAATCAGTTTAGAGTTTACAATTTAAATGGCAATGGTGAATATATTCACTCATACAAGTCTTCATTTCCAATTCGATGTATTGATATAGACCCAGCTTCACAGATCATTGCTTATGGGATAACAGGGAAAGATAGAAACACAGGTGCAGAACAGGCATTGATAGCATTTCACCAAATAAGTAAAAATAAAGTTACAACTGAAACTGAATTTTCAGAACCTGTTACAGTAACTCTACCTTATCGTGATCCAATAAACTCCATCCAACTATCGAATGACGGCAAATTCATCTCATGTTCAACAGCACTGGAGTCCCGTTTCCTTATAATATCAGTTGAAAGACCAAAGGAACCGAGACTGTTAATGAAGAGTCTGAGAACGATTGATTCATCTATGGAATCAGAAGGTATTACAGATACGAAGCTTTTCCCAGGCAATCCTAACATTATGTGTGTAACGTCATGTGCTTTCAATTCACCTCCAATTGTGATCAACACAAGGATCAACAATAAGAAGAATGGTATAAGAACTGTTGCACAACCTAGTATGATAATGAGAATCAGTGAGTTGGGATCACAAATACACAAATGTGAAATATCCCCACGTAATGATTCCATTGCATTTTTAGATAAAAATGGTTCTGTATACGTGATGTCAACTCCTGCAATGATGGACAATGAGAAAAGAAGAGTTGCTTTAGTTGATATAGTAGCTAACTCTCACCGAGTTTACGAGTCTGCATCATTTCGGTTCAGTCCCGATGGCCATCAACTGTTTATCATCGATAGGAAAGGAATCTTATACATCGAAGACTTCGCTGCCGGCCAGCCTCAAGATCTAGACGTTACCAAATGTAAACAAATCGACTAATACGCTTTCATTAAACGAAATGCATTCTCTACAGTATTAAACCCAAACTAATTGTAATACTAGTATTATATAGGTATGTAATAATGACTATGAATTCGCAAGACCATATGTATAGTTTACTCCGGGTAACAAATATCAGAAAATTTCAGCTGAAAAAAAGTGCGATGAGCTGACAATATAAGCTCATCAATATTGGTCAGTCTAGAAGTATATACGATCCGATACCCACAAATAAGTATATTTACTAACTGCAACTTTACTAGATAAAATATATCCATTACTTGTAAGCATATTATTATTGGAACGCCTATTATATTCGAAGATTTAAGAGCCTTAAAACGAATAAACTTCAAATGGATAAAGCCCAGGATTTCATCAACAACAACCTTTTAACCAAGTGTTTCAATGACCCAAAAAATGAAATAGACGAAGGCAGACTGCTCGATACACTTATGTTGCTGCCGACAGATGGTGGATCTACATCGCGCATTAAAAAGATCATAGAGAAACGGACCAGACTACATGACACGAAGGTGAAGAATAAAGTACCGAATTCAGAACCTATAGATTATGACAAATACAAGCAAGCTAATTACAAAAAGATTAATAAAAGGTCTAAACAGTCACTTAAGGATTTCATAATCAAATCCAAATTAAGTGTTAATAAAGCCAAACAGATAGCCCATGAGAAGAATATTACAAAAAAAGCTGACTTGTTTAAATACCTAGAGACCAATGATCCCGAGCTTTATAAAGATCTGCCTAAATATGAGAAATTCAGGCCTCTATTTTCTGAACTTTGGATTAGCTATATACAAGAATTGCTAAACATATCATACCCATGCCAGAGTACAGAATTCAAAGCAAATGGCATGCAAATTTTGACAAAGTTGTCAATGGCAGATTATAATGGTGCCGCCCTAAGAGTCACAAAGAGCAAAAATCATAATACGGTAGGAATAGAAGGTATTGTTGTTTGGGACGCACAAAAGAATTTTATAATGATTACTAGTGGCTCTCTTGTGGATGAGATCAAGATAATACCAAAGAAAGGGACCCTCTTCGACTTTGAAATTCCATTAAATGATGAACAGGCCTTACAATATAGCATCCTTGGTGATAGATTCAAATATAGAAGTGTCGATAGAGCTGGCAGAAAATTCAAGACCAGAAGATGCGATGATTTGCTCTTTTATGTATTTGATAGCTGATATAGCCATATTTTTAGTTTAGCTCCATTCGAAATATAATCCGCATATGCATTTTTTTTTGAAACTCTCAAGTGGCAATCTCTCCATTATTGTCGGCCATCTCCTGAGTTTTCTCTGAATTGTTCCCATTAGCGTCAACATTTAATTTATCAGTGCCTTCTTCTTTTTTTTCATCAGCGGTCATATCAACCAAACCTCTTTTAATCTCATCTCTAATGGCCGGATCACTCAGAGCCTCACCTACAAACTTTTCAACATCCACACCAAATTCAGAGTCCTTTATTTTGGCGTAGTTGTTCTTTATTAGTTGACCTTCGAGCATTGCACTTGTCGAGCCCCTGTTCTTGAAAACAATCTCTTCATCTTCATTTACTAGCTGTCGCACAACATCAGAAACCGACAACTTGAGTGCCTCTTGTATAGTCTTTGAGTCACCACCGCACTCTATTGTCTTCGCCAATATCTCTTGCTTTAGCTTATCGAAATGTCCTTCTTTCTTAAATCTTTCCGTCAGATCGCGAGCTGGATCCTGCTTTACTGTCCTCCTATCCATTACACACCAATCGATTCTCTTACAGGTTATATTATTGCTCCTTCAACCTAACGGAACTTCCAACTCTATTGTAAAATTGCAACTTTGGCTCTCATTCTGTATTTTTTCAAGTTATTGTTGCGATGAGCTTGCTCATCGCAAATACTAGTAGATGAAAAATTATTAAGAGCAAATCCATATATTATGCAAATGAGTAGAAAGAATTGTAATCCAACAACAATAATTCATCTTCTTATCTATTTTTTAATCTGGTAAGCATTATTGAAGCTCAGAAATGGGTGGTAAAGGCTATTTACTATCATGAAGATTAAGCAAGATAATGCTATACTAGAATCATCGCAACTGTTGGAATTAAAGACATCGATCGCTCGACTCAGTGAATCTTTGATTAATGGAACATGTATTGTTATTACTCAGGATGATATACAGGCAGCCCGAACTATAGATAACATAATTGAAGACTCTATAATACAAGGTGATGAGTACTTATGCAGAATCGCTAGAAAACAGTTGAAGAAGCTTGTTGAGAAATGGATAAAGGCAAATTTTACCAAGTCAAAGTTGAGAAAGAATTCAATAAATGTGTTTGATCGTTACAATGGTGTTTGTGATCTTCTGTACTCAACCATCAGGAAGCTCAAACCATGGAAACATTTGAATATGTTTTTACTCCCATACTATTTAATGTACAGCCTGGCTGCAGTTCCAATGGCTCACTTAATCATATGCAAATCAATATTTAAGAACTGCTTTGAGACTGAAACATTAACTGTGAAGGGTGTGTTTGTCATAAAAAACATACTACAATATTGCGATGTTACCGATTCTGATCGGAATACTATCATTGAACTTGGTATATTACGTCTCGAGGATATATTAGAATCAGAAGGTGAAGATCAGGACTATTTTACCGAGTATGAGTCGACTATGCAACTAGGCCGTTTAATGAGTGAAAATGTCTATAAATACTATTTCAAGAAGGGTAATGCTCTTATGGTGGAAAACTTTCAAAAGATTCTTGACAAGTCTAAGTTTGAGCATATCAAATTGCAAGTGTTAGAAACTTTGTACAATGATTCTTCTAAGAAAGACTTCATTTTGGATACATTAGCAAAGTATATATGCTCTGATCCATTAGCAGAAAACATATCAGTCGTGCTAAAAAGATACATTACGATGTCCGCTAATTATTACCGTATTGATTCCCACAACCTAATGAGTGCACTGAAAGATAAAATAAAAAAAGAAATACTCAAAACCTATAAAAATAGAGACTATGAATTCTATGATGCTGTTCAAAAATTCTGTGAGAAGATGATCAAAATGAAGAATGAAAGCAATATCAATTTAGCGCCATCATCAAGAGCCCAACGTAACTTCTTTGCTAGTGAAAATGATATGCTTTACTGGAAGAATTTGTTTCACAGAATTGCCGAACTTCTATCTGATCCCAAGATATTCACAGAACGTATATTAATGCCAAAGCTAGTACGACAGATTGCCTTTGACACATTAGTTGACAGAATGCCGTTTTCTAAGAAATATCCGGCAGAAAACCTATTTCTAGAAGTCATATGTGAAATAGAACCACATTGCAGACATTTCACAAATCTAATATCAAGAGCAGTAGATAATGCTAATATCTTTAACCATTGCACGGAAACGATGCTATTTCTACCATTGGTATTTCCAGAATCTTCAAGAGAATCCCTCAGCATATCAAATATGAGGAATGATGTACCGTGTTGGCCAAGTATGGAATTGGCAAACTTCTGGCAAGAAAAAGTAGTGCAAAAACAGAATGAAGGAAAGACACTAAAACCTTGTTTTTCTATGCATACATTTTTGATTGAAACTCCCATCAGTATGCATGACGGTAGAAAATTAAATCTAGTATGCAATATGTATGTGGCAAGTATTATCTGTTTGTTCAATGATACTAGTGAATTATCCGTTAACGAAATTGTTGATACACTGAAGACCTGGAATTATGATCTCGATATTAACCGATTGACTTTGACATTAAAGAGAATGGTTCAGCAACAGATTTTGATTGTGCTACCCAATAAGAAATTCTCAATCAACTATAAACCGTTATTATCTAAAAGACAACAAAAACTTGGCTACATTAAAATCAATTGACAATGATACTAATCAAAAGTTTATTAGGATTTATATTACATAATATTTAAAACCTTGTCAGATGAGATGATTATCTAAAAAGCATTACTAAACCGATACGAAAAACATAGTTAGTCGGCGGTTACAATCATTCCTCGGCTTCAAATGCCTGATCAGTCACGTCTAGTAAGACTTCCATTGCTTTTATTTGATAGTTGACATCATTCCTATCTTCATCATTAGGAGCTATAATGGTTGGGCCCCATATTATACATAGTGATTTCGTATTCATCCTGTTCGTAGGTTCATGTTCCAAGACCCGTTTTAAATGAAACAATAATGCCCTCAACGTCCAGTATTGGGCATCCGGTAATTTATACAGTAACCCGTGCATGTAGTTTTTCCTTGTAGTTGGATCCTCAATTGCTACACATGTCTTAACTTCAGCTGTTATATCTCTAGGAAGCAGAGCATCAGGTAAAGATGCAAAAAAAGTTTTTAGTAATGAACCAACCAGATATATATCAGAATCTGAATGATTTCTTGGAGGTAAAATCATTGATACATTAGCTGGATCTTTATCTATTTCATCCTTTAGTTTGCTCACATCTAATACGTTGGCAGATTTTCTATATATTCCCTCCAAATCTAACCCGTATGTATCAATGACATAAATACTTTGGCGTACAATAGCTGGAACCATATCATTTTCGAATTCAATCAAATCTTCAAGTGGTACACCAAAGGATTTGAAATTCTTGGAAACACCTGGTGGCATCGAACTACCAGTTTGAATATGAGAGATAGGTCTATCAGTCTCACTGCCACTCATGGAAATTGTAGTCGATAAACTTGGTACTATTTTTGCCCTAGGACCTGGATCCAAGGTTGAGAATTGTGAGTTCATGGAATTTGATGGGATACGCTCTTTTTCCATGACATTCGAAGGCAATGATGGCAGTGACTGGTCTCTACTAGTATTCTGGTATTTTATGTTCCCAGAACTAGACGAAGTAGGCGCTGTTGATACTGAGCTTACACCGAGCTCTGTAAATGTACCTGATTTTGTCATAGATGGTGTGCTTGGGGATGAATCGAAAGGTGTGTCATTGTGCGTTGACAGAATACGTTTTGGTATCGAATTCCTGGATGGATCAACAGCAAATTTTGGTGGTTTTTTAGGGCCACTAAAATTTCTTTGGGAGCTTTGACTCTTCTTCATTGATGGATGTTTTGAATACTCAACTGGGATCAAATTCCTATTTACTAACATTGAATTCTTACCAGATTGATTATATTTCTTCAAGAACTGATACAAATCTCTCTCGTTGCTAACTGAGGCTGCAAGAGACTTCATCGATTTCGAAGAGTCCAATGGACTAACAGTTATACCTGTGTTCAATATTAAGTTCTCAGTCCATATAGTGTACTTTTGTAATTGAATGGCCAATGCAGTATCCATTTCGAGGATCATATCTTTCAATTCTCTTACAATTTTTGGTCTTTCCTTGGTAATGAAAGTATTTCTCAAAGAAGTAGAATGATCGACTTTTTGTTTGTATTCTAAGTCCTGCGCATCGATTTTCCGTAGCAATTCTTCTTCTTGCTCTTTATTAGTCTTAGAACCTCTAAGAGTCAGTTTGGTCTTAGAAGGATCAGTCATTCTCAACTTGTCCCAATCCTGACACAACGAGTTATAACGAGCCTGTGCCTTTTCTGCACTATGGATTGCATCAGTGACTTCCTTCTCAAGTCTTCTGCTATTCTCTTTACAGCTTTTCCTTAACTTAGTCATAGTGAATAGAAGTGCTGTCAGCTCATCGTACATTTTCTGTAGTGCTTTCACGTAGCTTGATTTGACTTGGCTCATCTTACCATCATAGGAAAGCACTTCATGCATGATACGGTTTAGAGACGAGTTGCTGCTGGGCGTCGTGTTAAAGAAATGCTTATATTGCTTTGCCAATTCATTGGTGTGCTCCTCTTCAAATATATACTTCTTGCGCACAAACTTGGTAAATTCCTCGCAGATCAGCAAAGACTGCTTCAACCTCGTCAACAAAGCATTGATGGCAACATCAGAGTTCATAACATGCTTTATATCCTCACTTTCAAACAGGTAATCCAGGTTCTCCTCCCTTTTCACTTGCGCTGATCCGGGCTGACTTATAGTAGAATCAGTGTTCCGCGAACCATTCATCGACCCATAGGAGCCCTCAGCGGGCCGCGCCACAGTAGAGTCGGAGTCCATAGCAGAGTGTCTAGAGAATTCGTCAGACACTGGGCTAACCACATCCCCTGAGTACATATCAGACGTCGGCATCTCTTATACTCCTTTTAAATCCTGCCAAATTTCCTGGTATTCGCAATATCTCCCCTGTTTCTCGCGGGGCAAAGCCAATAAAATACCTCCTGATAATACTAACAAACCTCGGTCAGCGTGGTTTGGCTTCTTGTTGGCTGTGAGACCCAGGATCAAGTTCCATCCAGTACTGTTTGATTGATGGCAATTCTTTTGAAATTTAGCTGTTCTGCGAAAATAACGCGTCCAGGAAATCGAAAATGCGATGAGCTTTGGGTTACATAGGAGACTTGCCCAAATATATTGCTTTACAGAGTTATGTAATATGTATTTATGCCACTGGCTTCAATGCGTACATCCGCACAGGGTACAGCTCCTTTGGCAGGCCCTTCTGTCTGTCTGTAGCGATGAGTTTCAGGCCGCTTTGCTCGAATATCTGTTTGAACTTTGTGTCTGACCTGGTGACGGAGGAGTCTGTGTCGTCGAAGTCGTCTGTGTCCGTTGGTGTATTGTTCTCCTTGACTATGATGGTCCCGTTCGGTTGCAGGCCCTCTACACACCTCCTGAAGAACTTGACCAGCTCCTCGTCGGGCAAGTGGCCCACACACCACTGGCACCATATCAGCCAGTACTTGCCCTTCTCGGGCACAAAGTCCTGCATGCCCAGCGCATATATCTCACCTATCTTGCCCTCCTGTCTCAGAGGCTCCAGCTCCTGGTGCATCTGCGCCACAAAGGGCTCGACGGGCTCGACAAGGTCAACCACATCGCAATGCTTGTGCAGCATGGTCTTGGTAACCCTGCCGATACCAGCACCCACATCACACCCAACTCTCTTGTACCCGGGCTCGACAACCATCCTCGACTTCAGCTTCCTCAGGAAGTGGTTCGACCCCAGCACATCCATCACAGGCACCACTGTGCCCTCGCCGTAACCACCCAGCACACCGTCCACCGTGGGCGGGATGCTCGTCCAGTAGTCAATAGCATCGCCATAGTCTATCAGCTCGTCAGGTTTCTCCATCTTTTCAGTGTCCTGTGTAGGCCATCTCTAATGTCTACTTGATCCAAACTGAAAAATTTTTCAATGCTCATACATTTTATAGCTTGCTATAGAAAATGTACATCGGAATATTTAAGAGTTAGACTAATCTCCAGGGCCACAAACCACATCGCTAGAACGTGTGGGCTATATACTTTGTTCTTGTGCGCTTGTGCCGGCCCCCCTCAAGCGGTGGGCTTCCAATTGCTCTTGAGCTATGTCCTATTTGGCAACAATCACCTAGAGTAGACCCAGTCCACCAGCGCCCGTACTTCCTTGTTCCACAGGTCCTTCATGGTCTCTGAGTTGTACCGCAGCACCAGCTGCTTGTGGTCCACTGGCACACGCTCCACCCGCTCACCGCTCACCTTGTAGTCGTAGTCGAACTGGTCGCCGTACTTCTCCTTGCTGAACACCAGGCTAGGCTTGCGGTCTATGACCCGCTGCACCTCGTCGCCTACCTGCTTCCACACAGACCGCTTGTAATGGTACCCGTCCCGGTCGATGAAGTAGTAGTAGCACGACGTCGCTACCACTCCGCTCACCAGCGTGAACGATCCCAGCTTCGCTATCTTGCTCATTGTTTCCAACTCTTATGCTGAACTTAGCCCCCTACAAAAAACGCTTATCAATGTCTTATCAGTCGCCAAAATCAGTCGCCAGATCAGTTGACAGATCAGTTGACAGTGCTGCCTATATGCCAGATAACCCAGCCCTCAGCACTATCGCTTTCCTTTAAAGAAGTCAGTCCCGTCTTGACTTCTCTGCATTCTTTCGTTGTTGATTGGCTTGGGAAAGCGATGACTCTTGTGAGAGCGATGAGCTATATAAAGAGCCAGGTAGTGCCGGTGTGGGAGTAGTTGGGCCATCAGGAAGGATAAAGAAACAATGATGTTGCTACGTGCCGCTAGAGTGCCCGTGTTGGGCAGACGCTTTCTTTCCCAGCAACAATTGATCTCGAAGCATGTGCAAGAGGTGGACCCCGAGATGTTCCGCATCCTCAGCGATGAGAGGAGCAGACAGAAGCACTCTGTCACGCTGATCCCTTCTGAGAACTTCACGTCGAAGGCCGTCATGGACCTGCTGGGCTCTGAGATGCAGAACAAGTACTCCGAGGGCTACCCCGGCGAGAGGTACTACGGTGGTAACCAGTTCATCGATAAAGCTGAGTCGCTGTGCCAGGCCCGTGCCCTGGACCTGTATGGCCTTGACCCTGAGAAGTGGGGGGTCAATGTGCAGGCCCTGAGCGGTGCCCCTGCCAACCTGTACGCTTACTCCGCGGTCATGGAGGTCGGCGACCGTCTGATGGGTCTCGACTTGCCCCACGGTGGGCACTTGTCTCACGGATACCAATTGCCTTCCGGAACTAAGATCTCCTACATCTCAAAGTACTTCAACACCATGCCATACCACGTCAACACCGAGACCGGTATCATTGACTATGACACTTTGGCCATGACCTCTAAGCTGTTCAGACCAAAGGTCATCGTCGCAGGTACGTCCGCATACTCGAGGAAGCTGGACTACGCTAGGTTCAGAAAGATCGCCGACGGCTGCGGTGCCTACTTGCTGAGCGACATGGCCCACATCTCCGGTCTGGTGGCCGCCAATGTCATAGACTCCCCATTCGAGCACTCCGACATAGTCACCACCACCACCCACAAATCCCTAAGAGGCCCCCGTGGTGCTATGATATTCTACAGAAAGGGTATCAAGAAAGTCAACAAGAAGACTGGCAAGGAGACCCCATTCACTTTCGACAAGACCATCAACTTCTCAGTGTTCCCAGGCCACCAAGGTGGCCCACACAACCACACCATTTCTGCATTGGCTGTGGCATTAAAGCAAGCAAAGACCCCCGAGTTCGTCGAGTACCAGAAGCAAGTGGTCTCCAACGCAAAGGCCTTCGGTGACGAGCTATTGAAGCGTGGCTTCGAGCTAGTGTCCGGCGGTACCGATAATCACTTGCTTTTGCTAAACCTGTCCAACATGGGCATCGACGGTGCTCGTTTGGAGGCTATCCTGGAGAAGATTAACATCGCCGCAAACAAGAACACCATCCCAGGTGACAAGTCCGCGCTGTTCCCATCAGGTTTGAGAGTAGGTACCCCAGCCATGACTACCAGAGGCTTCCAAGAACAAGACTTCAAGAAGGTCGCTGAGTACATCGACAACGCCGTTAAACTATCCATTGCTCTGAAGTCCCAGGAGTCCGCAGACGCTAAGGACGTCAGATCAAAGCTAAACAGCTTCAAGCAGTTGTGTGACCAGTCTGAACCAGTGCAAAAATTAGCCGAAGAAGTGTCCTCATGGGTAGGCACATTCCCAGTTCCTGGCGAATTGTAGGATTCAAATATTATATGATGTAAAATTAAATAATACTGTAAATCTAAAGAAAAAAACAACACTAATATTATTATTCTTAACGTTACTCAAGAGGAAGAATAATTGTCCTGCTATACTATTACAATTTGCATAAAACCTTGCAGTCTAAGCTTAGCAATTACATGTTGATTGCAATACCGATTTATTATTCAGGTTTACGACATTGTCTGGCTGTTCAACTGCAGCACTCTTCAGCGTGAATTGGTCTGACGGTATACCCTTGACGATATGATCAAATAGCTCCTCTATGCCTTCCCCTGACTTTGCGCTCACGGCCTGAAACTGCTCTTCAACTCTTTGTGGCAAGGTACTACGCTCCTCGTCACTGCACAGGTCCATCTTATTGCCCACAAGTACGATATTTATCCTCTCCCGTCCTTTGTTCTCCACATATGTGTTCAGCTCGTCTATCCATTTGTGTGCCATCGATAGACTCCGCAGGTTACTCACATCAAATACCACAATGGCAACGTCTGTGTTCCTGTAGTACATCGGAGTCAGGGACCTGTACCGCTCCTGCCCAGCGGTATCCCATATCTCCAGCCGCACTTGGTATACGTCTCCGTCTCGTATATACTCCAGGTCTTTGGTCACATACGCCGCCCCAATGGTGGCATTGTTCCGCAGGTACTTCCCAGTGCTGAACCTCGTCACTATCGCAGACTTCCCAACAGCGGACTCCCCCAGCAGCACCACTTTCAAGCTCTTCTGATACACTAATGTTTCACTCATCGCTGGGCCTCTGTACTGCTGTCATCAAAGTTAATACTGAACCTTCGAGCCCTTTCTGCTCCTTATTAACTTGCGATGAGCTTAATGTGTCAGCAAACGAGCTCCCCCACACTATATAACAATTTACATACATTTTGACCAGCAAGAGGAACTACACACTTCCTCAACGCATCCAACAACTACTATACTACATTGGTTTGGCAGTTTCAAGTCAGTGATTGCCTGCCACTTGGTGCCCACCAGCTACCACAGTTGTTGTTACACAACCACACACCGCTGTCATGCAACGCCTTCTTGTAGTCATGCGGTGCCGATAGTAGATACTAAATACTTGCCATGTACTTGTATGAACGCTGCCAAGGTGGCCATTGACAAGGTCCCGCTGTATAGAATCCCTGGTGCTTTGTACTTTGCCTTATAACTTGCATTCTCCATTGTTCAACGCAACGCGAATTTGATGACAATTTATAAGAAGCAGCAGCCATTTTGATAACAACAACAAAGTCTGCTTTGGATAAGAACCAAGATGTTTTGTTTGGAGGACCAGGTAGTGTTGATTGCGGGTGGGTCCCAGGGTCTTGGTAAGCAGTTTGGCCAGAAGTACTGGGACGAGTCGAGGCACTCAAAGATTATACTGGTGAGCAGGAGCGATGTGAAGTTGCGGAATGCTATCACTGATATTACCGGTGGGAGACAGGAGCCCGTGGAGCTGGTGATGCCTGAGGTTGCCGCTAGTGAGCCTTCTGCGTCTGGCTCCTCCGCTATCAATTTGAGCAAGAGCTCGAACCACGCTGGCTTTGAGAGCGAGCTGCGCAGCAACAGCAACAGGAGTTCCAGCAGTTTGAAGGAGTCCACGAATGTGGTCACACACCTGACCACAAACGCTGCAGACTCACGGATTGTGTACATTGCATGCGATCTGTCGGATCCTGATGCTGTTGAGCGTATGTTTGTGACGCTACAGCACAACAACCTTCTCCCCACGCAGGTGCTTGCCTGCGCCGGTGGCTCTATTCCTAAGCTGTTCACTGATTTGACCGCTAAGGAGCTGGAGATGGGTGTGAAGATGAACTACATGACTACGCTATTCGTGATCCACAAGGCGGCACAGATGGTACCACAGGCACACTTGATACTGTTCTCGAGTTCCACTGCTTTCTTCCCATTTATCGGCTACTCACAGTATGCCCCAGCCAAGGTGTCTCTGAAGGCACTCACCTCTATCTTACGCCATGAGCTACCAAACACTAGAATATCGTGTGTATACCCTGGTAACTTCTACAGTGAAGGCTACGTACTCGAAGAGATGAGCAAACCAGACATCACAAAGAGCATAGAGGGCTCATCTTACCCGATCTCCTGTGAGGAGTGCTGCGACAAGATCGTCTGGTGGCTAAACCGTGGTTACGACGACGTTACTACGGACAGCATTGGCTGGTTCTTGATGAGCTTGGACATGGGCCTGAATAAGCACAACAACAATTCCGCGTACTGGTTCGTACAGTGGCTGATCGGGGTCATTGCTAACTTGTTAGTGGTCCCATTCTACATGGTCTTGTGCTCATACCAGATCAACAAGTGGCACAAGCAGAATAAAAACAAGAACACCTTGCTGTGATCCTTGTCCAAAATCGTAACTGATCTTAACGTATACTGATCTTTATTTCGGAATTATAACAATTTATACAAGTTAATAATTATACATGAACAGAACTGATAATACATAAGTATGGCTAGTAATTTTGCTAAATTGTATCCCACATACAGCATTTAGTAACCCAAGATCGGTATAATCATCACATATAACGGCATCAAATTTTTCAGAAATCACAAAACTTGCGATGCTCATCGCATAAAGCTAGTATTTCAGCAGTAGTTTCTACAACTTGGTCTTTTGAACAGTGTCAATAATACTCATATAGACACCCAAATCAACTAGCGCTATGTCTATGTATACGTGTAACAGCTGTGAGCTGGTGTTTGAGACCAGTGCGTTCCAGAGACAGCACATGAAGACGGACTGGCACCGTTACAACTTGAAGCGTAAAGTCGCTTCATTGCCACCTGTCTCTGAGGACAACTTCAACTCGAAAGTCCAAGTATCGCAAGAACAAGCTGCTGAGGAGGCCTTGAAGAAGGGTAAGAACGAGCAACTGACCAAAAAGGAGATCAGAAGAAGAGAGAAGGAGGCTCTCTTGGAGAAGAAGAAGAAGCTATTGGAAATCGCCAGACAGAACATGTTGGCGAAGATGCAAGAACAAGGTCTGAGCCAACCAGAACCAACAAAGCAGGAACCTGTCGAGGACGTGAAGCCAGAGCCAATAGTGGAAGAAGCCAAGAGCGAAGTAGTTAAAGAAGAGGAAGTCAAGGAAGAAGACCTTACTGAAGAAGAGCTGGCTGAGAGGTTGATGAAGCAGAAGCTAGAGAATAGAGTCGAGATACCACTGAATCAGTGTTTGTTCTGTACAAAGAAGAGAGAATTTGAAGATTTCGAGGCTAACTTGGATCACATGTTTAGAACTCACGGTTTCTACATTCCTGAACAGAAGTATCTGGTAGATAAAGAAGGTTTGGTAAAGTATATGTCTGAAAAGATCGGTCTTGGTAATGTGTGCATTGTATGTAACTACCAAGGTAGATCTCTAGACGCTGTGCGTGCACACATGCTAGACAAGAGGCATTGCAGGATACCTTATGAATCTGAAGATGAAAGACTAGAAATATCTGAATTCTACGATTTCTCCAAAACATATGAAAGAATTGACAGAGCTAACATTGTTAGTGCTGACAGTGCAAGTGCGAATGATGACGAGTGGGAGGATGTAGATGAGAATGAGGATGCCGAAGAGGAAGAAGGCGAACCACCCAAGGAGTATTTGTACCATGACGGTGTGGAACTTCATTTGCCATCTGGTGTAAAGGTTGGACACAGATCGCTACAGCGTTACTTCAAGCAAGACCTAAGGCCTGAAAAGGAACTTTCTGAAGGCCAAGGAACATTGGTTGCTGCTGAAACTAGATCATTCCTACCTCAATTTGACAGAGGTACAGTTAGAGTACAACAGCGTGCTTGGAAGACAGAGGTTAGAGACAAGAAGCGTGACGACAAAAGAGCTGCAAAGTTTGTCAACAACCAACCTCATTACAGAGACCAACTGTTACAATAATCTTAAAGCATTTATATTTGGCATTTGGATAAAGAAATTGTTAAAGGACCACACTACTATTTTTTGTTATTTCTACTACTGTTTTTTTTTTTTTTATTATTTATCTCTCACGTCTTTTTATAAAAAATCGGTAATATTCATTGATCTTAATAAAAACTAAAGCATTTGATATACAAGATACATACAATACTGCTAATCGACACTCTACGTTCCAATCACAATAGTCAGCACTATTTTGCAAATTTAATACAGGCAATCTTATAGAAGTCACCTTCTACTGTGAGCATGCCGAGTGAAAAATACGCATAAAATCGATAATCTCGACAATCATAATCATTAAAGAGCACATAAGTACTACCTTGACCGACAATTGTATTTACATACCTGAACAACCTCAAGGGCAGACACTGGAGTTCTAGACTATAAATACTATGCTTAGGTTATTATTTACAAAGAGGCTCCTTTCTAGTTCTGTCGTTCTCAGAAATGAGGCCAAACAAATCAAATCATCCTGCTTAGCAGGGACGCCATTGAGTCTTAATGTTAAGAAGACAGGCAAGGACCCGGTTGCCTTGGAAGATTCAGAGTACCCGGAATGGCTATGGACAGTTCTTGACCAAACGAATACCGCCGCTGCAGCAAAGGCTCCTGTATCAGAGGAAAGTTTAAAGGCCAGAAAGAAGCAAATCAGGCAGTCCAATAGAGAAAAGATAAAACAGAGGAATTTCTTAAACCAGTTGTGAACAACTCTAACTTTATTGCAACACATGGGAGTGATTTCCCAGAATAAATAATAACTCCTTGTATATAACCATAATATAATTGAAATGCATATGAATGAAAATGTGAATTTGCTTTTGAATATTATTAACTATTGACAGATACACATATTTGTATATAGAAATACACTAATATTAGTAAGCTACTTGTGTTTGGAAATCTTTACTGGTGTTCTTAAAAGTCAGTCACTCTACCGTTGAAGGAATAATCACCATGTTTCAGAGGGTCTTGCTTTGGACCACCGATTTCACCAGTCTTTGGGTTAACATCACCCTCGAATTCAGGAATGGTCTTTGAGAACTCTGGCGAGAATGAACCAATATCGTTCTTGGTCAACATCTCGTTGTTCAAACTCTCCTTAGTGTGGTCACCTTTAATCTTCCTATTATACTCATCGATGGCTTCCTGAGAGTGTGCAATTCTCTGAAGTCTCTCAAACTCTTCTTGCTCTTCCCTTGGAAGTTTTGGTGGACTAGGTATTCTCTCTGTATTTATACATCTAATAGCAACAGGTCTGCTAATTAACACAGAGGACCTTGCCACAGCGGAAAATAAATGTCTATTGTGTCTAAGCATATTCGATTCTCTGTACCCTGCCGTGGTATAGCTCTCGATAAACAATGTTTGCAAGATCAAAACTATTTAAAGTTGTTTTAAACTCAACTCATCGAAAAGTCAAATATGATTTCTAATCATCGCAAATGTTCAGGAACAAGAATCAAAGGTGTAATTACAGAAATCGGGACTATCCGTTGATCAAAAGTGATGTCTGACAACTTCTCAATAGACCGTTAACCATAACAATATTGACAACTAGATCGGTAGATTGACTATACTTTTGCATGGTTAATGTCTTTGAATAAGAAGTGGTTATTATGCAAAGTTGAGATTTATGACCTTATAAAAATTGCTTAAATAGAAAAACTGCTACACAGACATAACATATTATATAATGCTCATATACTCATTCTTACACCCTCTAGCAGCTCATCAATAATGATCTGGCTTCTATCATTGCCTTGAATCGTCTCTAGAATACCAAAACATTGCAAAAGGGTAAGTTTGTCTCGTTCTGTAACTCCACTTTCTTCTTCTTCATTGAATATATACTGCTGGAAACTCTTTCTGGCGCCGTCATTGCTATGGATAAAATTTTGGTAATAAGGTAAAATAACAGAGTCCCGAAAACATTTTAACAACATGTAATCGATAGTCAAATAGGAATGCTTTCTTTCATCCTGATTAGTGGAGGAATACCTTGAGAATTTCTTAGTGATTCTTTCAATTGGAAGAAGAACTGAAATGACATCAAAGTACACCTGCTGGTAAAAAACTTGCCATATGACACCGACTCTCTTCAATGCAGTATTCATCGTCTCCTCATTACTGTAATTGAATACAATCTGGTTTTCAAAGATGTACAGTGATGTTGTTAAAAATTCCTCAATCTCTGTAAGAAATTTCTTATGTGAGACTGCTGCCTTGGATTCTGTCTTTATGGTAATGTAGAAATCTAATATACGATTAATATCTTCAATTTTTGCGGGCAGTTGCCAAACTCTTTGCATCTTGAATAACTCAATTATCACACCACAGTATATACCCCATACATTTCCTGCTAATATGTGCAGTTCTTGTGTTGTGAAATTCTTATAATTTGCCTCCAGAGATGGCAAGTTTTTCAGTAGGTCATGAAGCATGGCCACGTTTGCAGAATCCACCATATCGTTACTTATATTGATGGACATAGGTGCGTCATTGGGTAAGTTTGCTACAGAAGGGCTGAACGAGTGAACTGACCTGGAAGAATCCATAAGACCGCCAGCGGCACTATGAATAAATTGTGAAGAAGCTCTATGCTTCCCATAGGAGGAGTGAAGAAACTTGCTAAAAGAATTCTGCGCTGCTTCAAGATCGTCATTACCGATGGCTCTATGGTTCTTAGTTGATAATAGTTTATTAGCAATTTTTCTAAAAGGATTAGACTTGGTCTTTGTGCTGTCGGGACTTTTCAGTAGCTGAGTATTCAAACTGGAAGAACTCTTGTTCGACTTTGTTTTAAACAAACCTGACTTCCTTTCAGCTTTCAATAGTGCGTTGTTATTATCTCTGTTGTTGCTGAATAGTGATATCCTACGCTTCTCTTTACTTTTCCCAGAATGACCACTAAACAGACTATCCTGGTATGGTTCTTCCTCTGTGATCTTAGAGTCATCATTTCTATAATCAAAGGTATCCACTGATGCTGCATTTCTTAGCTTTTGAAATTTAATCTCTTCACTAAAGGAGTCATTTGAGTCTCTCCGCTTGATAGAATTGCTATTTCCTTGAAATATCGATTGAAAGCCAACTTGAGACCACCTGGGTGCAGATCCTATCTCTGTATTGCCTGATAGTTTGCCTTTAGCATTTGATTCCTCGTCGGGATGTGTCAAGGCCTGCGGTACTATATCCGATGACACATTATACACCCTTGACACATTGCTATGCGGCTCTGAAAGTTGCGAATCTCGGCTCACTGAACTAGTTGCCCTATTTCTCACACTCTGGAATGAAGCTGTAGAAGACAATCCACCTATTCCATACCGACTGAACCTCCCAGAACCTAAATGCTTGGTCTCATTAGACTTCTGATCGCTTTGCGTATCCTGCATATTAAAAATTCTTGAGCTTTCTATGGTACCATCCGAGTTTCTATAGCGGTCCCAATAATACCCTTAAGTTGCCAATTAAGATCAGTAATCCTATTACAAGTTTCAGCTGTTGAACTGCTACCTTAACTGTTATTGACTAACCTAGCTGTTATTCTTGGTGGATCAGAATTGAAAAAATGGCTGTTTGCGGTGAAAAAAAATTATAGCGATGAGCTAAGAGATGACCTATAGTTGCACTACTAAGATTTCCTGTTTCTTTATATATTCTGTAATAAATAGTACATATAAATTACTGAATGTGTGCCAGATGTTTGATCCCTTAGACCTATACACCGCGGAACCACCCACTGTGGATGACTCTCTAGTAATAACCGACCATTCTGTCGCAGGCACTGATTGTGACAAGCAATTTGCAAATGATGTCGAGGAGGATGAGGATTACATTGTTGATATATTAGATCTTCCTCCCTGCTCACTTGCACCACCCCAAGTTATTTTAATTGTGCTCATATTGCTAAGACCCAGAGAGCAACTGAATTTTGCGAACAACGATGACAATAAGGAAGATATACCACTGGAGCTAGATAATAATGACGAACCAATGCTCAACGACCTAGTTCAATGGTACACAATTAATTGGCCTCATGAGAAACTGAATACAAAAGACAAATTGCTACGAAATATACCGCGAACCACATCCATAGTTTCTCATGAATCACTATTGAAATTCTACACATCGGTATTGCAGTATTATAGTAAGGCAGAAGCAACAAAAGATAGTAATGAATATGTGAAAAGAATTCTCAAGGAGGTCAGCTTAAGAATAGCCGAGAATTGTGGCAGAACTGCACAACCAGCAATTCAAAGGAAGTTCAGAATCAAAAACCTTGATAAGACAATAATGCTACATGAACCATCGCTTACAGCAGACAATTTAGGCTGGAAAACATGGGGATCATCATTGATATTGGGAGAAATAGTTGTCAGTTATCTCGAAAATTTATCATCCACATTTGAGTCTAACAGAAAGGTACGAACACTAGAATTAGGCGCTGGTACTGGACTAGTCGGTATAGCATGGGCAGCTAAATGGCGGGATAAGTTTTGTAATAGCAAAACAGAAATATATCTTACTGATTTACCTGAAATTGTTGATAATTTGAAAGACAATGTCAAAATAAATAATCTTCAAGATATTGCAACTGCTGATGTTCTGGACTGGACAAATCCTGATACCTTCACAGAGAAGTATGGAAACGAACGATTTGATTACATTGTTATTGCTGATCCTATTTACTCTCCACAACATCCAGAATGGGTAGTTAACATGATAGTAAAATTTTTGGAAGTCAATGGTATCTGTCACCTTGAGATACCGCTTAGAGAAAGATATAGTAAAGAACGCGATTATCTGTGGAGATTGCTTGAAGAACATAACCTTGACGTGGTTCATGAAATTTATAGTTCTGGTAAAGATGATTGGGGGAAAGTTGACTATGTCTATAAGATGCTTAAATTTAAAGCCTAATATTACGTATGAAAATTAATTCCGCACAAAGTTAATATAGATCAATAATAATAACGATTAATTGTAGCAATATTTTTCTTATACCTAAGAAAAGGATGACTCGATCTTCGTTCCCACATCCTTGGAAGCAAAAGTTCCCATACACTGTGCCTTAGCTTCTGTCAAAGGCTCGTACCATATATGCAGCTGTTCCACATCCCATTCAATCAAATTATTGATAACTTGTAGCCTGAAGTCAAATGTTTCTCTATCCAGTAGTTCTTTAACATCCTTGGATATTAGACTTCCCATTACCTTTGGTAAATGTTGCGCTAAAAATTTAACTGAGTAGTCGTATTGACTCATCTTTTCCAATAGTATCATTTGCTCTAAATATGGCATTGCTAAAATATCTTCCGCTGTTATGTTTTTTTTTATTATGTCAAAACAATCCGAACTCATACACAAGTTCCTAATAATTGATATTTCACTTGGTCTAACATGTCCTTTTGATTTAATTATGTTCAAATGTTTCTTATAAAGATACTGGGGAGAGATGAAGGACAAAAAGTCAGTGAGATATTCATTGCCATCTTCAATATGTATATACCCATTATCAAGTTTTTCGAACACTATCAAATCATCAAAGTAGGATAGTATCTTGAACATTTTGAACAAATATGACAATGCAAACTGCTCAATATCAGGGAACTCACTTCGATTTTGAAATAAATCTCCAAATAGCATGATTGTATTTTCACAATTTCTAACGCATATGATTTTGCTCGGATTCTGAGATTTCTGGTCTTGAACAATGCTAAATATTGAGGTGAAATATTCGCAGATACTTATAAATACCAAAATATTGTCTTTAACTGCGTCCATGATCATTTTTTTTGATATTAGAAACAAAGAATTCCTGAATTCTGTGGATTTCAGGTAGGTGAAGCAGATCTTTAGCAGTTCTAACAGTCTAGTAAAAACCAATGAATTTGGTTCATTATTCTTAACTTCAGATAAAAAATTGTAGTTGTTTTCTAATATCCTTCTTCTGATAAGTTCATCTTGTGCTGTTTTTTTCCATACTTTCTCTATAGAGTTCACTAGGTTAACACTCGAATCTTCATCCAAATATTTCTGCAACAATATATCTATCAAAGTAGTCGAGGCAAACAAGCCACTGGGTTCAGAATACTCAACTACAACACATGTCATAATATTTAACCGTTCTATCGGCGAATTGAGAGCAAGAGCAAGTTCTTCCACAGTGAATAGCTCCAAAATCCTATCAAAAGGATACTTAATAACCATCTGAGACATTAGATCCATCAATTGGTCATAATCAATGTTATAGCTCTCATTTGAAGCCAATATGCTTTTCATTAACTTGATTGTGTCATCCATAACTGCGGTAGGCGTTCCTGTAAAGCTTATAAGAGCTAAATTACATCTCTCGATCAGCTTACTTGATTCAGCGAAAGTGGCGTCAGAACCACCTGTTGTTAGAAGACCTGGTAACTTCTCATTGATCTCCAAAAACACTTGCTCCATTTTACCTAATATCAGCTTCTTTTGCAACGTACGATTGTTTATGGTCAATTTGATTAAAAACCTTAAGTACTTGACACATTTATTGAACTTGCGATGAGCTGCCCTTTAATCTTTTTCTTCGGTGGCTGCTATCTCTGATAGTGGCAATAATAGACTCCACAGGAGGCCGATTGAAAGTATTCCAAAACAGTGCTTTCTAGACAATTATTATTGACAATAAGCCATGCGTTACCTGAATATTATGTAAACTATTTATAGGGTAGGGTTTTCAAATAAATAAACACTCATTCCGACATATCGATGGCATGATAATGGTCAAACAGTATCTGAAACTAATCCGATTGATCTCTGTTCTTTTCCAGCTTGACATTATTACCATTGTAAGTATCCTTCTCTTGCTGGTCATCTTCGTTATCATCGTTATTAACAAACTTGAATATGTTTGGAGAAACTGATCTTGAAGTTAAATTCATCTCAGATGGTTCCTTTTTAAGTCTGCTTACACTAGGAGCTATAATCGGAGATGCTAATTTAGAATTTGTATCGGCTTCTGCATGTGTGTTCTCTCGAACCATACTAGCATTTATTTGACTAGTAGAAGCATCATTGAATGAGTTTTCTGGAATTCTTGAATGTTCCAAAGGTGTCGTGGAGTCGCTATTGCCCCACCATGATGATAAGCCAGTAAACATCTTACTGATTAATCCGGGACCTTGCTCTTCGGAAACATTTAGGTGTGTTGTAGTGGAGCTTAACGCTTTCAACACGAGAACGGAACGCGGAGCCAGATCAAGCTCATCTAAAGTCTTCAATTCATCAGAGTCTTGAAATGTAACTCTAGGTATGTTTCTATGGAAGGAGTAAGGAACACTACCGTCAGTTCTGTTACTGTCGACCCATTTCCTCACATCATTTAAAGTATTTTTGGAGTCAAAGGTATGTGTTATAGTCTTACTATCTGTTAACCGGAACATTAGTACACATGTATCAGTATGAAACTTTTGTCTGTCTTTAATATTATCCTTAACTTCTAACGGCAGCTCTTTCTCCTCGGTTGCATTACCATGTTGTGATCTAGCCAACCGCTCGGCCTTATCAGCTCTAACTAGTTTCAATATACGTAGCCTTTCCTCTTCAGCTGCTCTCAGTTGTTTTTCATACTCTTTTCTCTGGATTTGGTTAGACTTTTCTAGTATCTTATCCTTTTCAGTCTTACCGTCAATGTTTTGAGGATCTTTCTTCTTCAATCCACGATCCTCGTTCGAGTGCTGTTCAAGTGGTAATCCGAGCCCAATGAGTAATTTCTTCCAATGACTCAAAGATGGATTATCATCCTGCTTTTGTATGATAAGCACAATCTTACCATCCCTGATCAAATACAAACTAGGTACAATCACATTAGGAAATATCTGCTCAAACTGCTGGAATTGATCGCTACCACTTGTCAGTTTCAACCACACACCTTTCTCCATTAAACGAGGATACTCATCCGAATGCTCTGCAAGCCAACTGACCCAGTCTTCGTTGCCATCCTGTGGCTTATTGTACACCACCAGCGTCTTCCGTTCCCGCAGAGACCTGGCTACTGCATCCTCTACATTCAGCCCAAACAACGCATCCATCTTCGTTACAGTATTATACACAAGACAACTATGCCGACATTCAAGAAGTATCGGGAAAGTAGAGACCAAACCCCAGGTAAACCTGGCCTTTTATATACTTTCACATGCTGGAAGTGTCAAAGGGGACCAGTTTGCCAGTTCTCGTATTGTGTTATATGTATAAGCAAGCGATGAGCCAAACTATAACGGCAAACAACAAGTATAAAGTTCATTAACTGACCGAGAATACACATCTATTCACTAGGATATATGTGCATGACAAGGTAAGAAGTGCATAAGTTGCATGTGTAGGGGAATTGGTTTTGTGGTCTCCATATTTTGGTTATAGTGATGGTGTTTACGCAGGAATCACTACCGGTGATCAAGGATGTAGAGTTGGGTGGAACCATCGGCGAGGGATCCTTCGGTTGTGTGCGTAGTGCAAGGTTGAAGTTTGATTCCAGTGTGGTTGTTGCTGTGAAGTTTGTGCATTTACCTACTTGTGCAGAGTCCGGTTTGTCGCAGAAGGACGTCTCTCGAGAAGTTGTCTTGCATTCTAAATGCTCTAAGCATGCAAATGTACTGAGGGTTATTGACTGCAATGTTGGCGGTGAATATTTATGGATAATGCTAGAGATGGCTGATGGGGGTGATTTGTTTGATAAGATTGAGCCCGATGTCGGTGTAGATCCCGATGTAGCCCAATTCTACTTCCAACAATTGATAAGGGCTCTGAACTATCTACACGATGTTGGTGTTGCACATAGAGATATTAAGCCAGAGAATATTTTGCTAGACAAAAAGGGTAACTTAAAATTAGCTGATTTCGGATTAGCTTCTCAGTTCAGGAGGAAAGATGGAACTTTAAGGGTGTCAACAGATCAGCGAGGTTCACCTCCGTATATGGCACCCGAAATCCTTAGCAGCCAAGGCTACTATGCTAACATTACAGATATCTGGTCTGCTGGGGTTCTACTGTTTGTGTTACTTACAGGTGAGATTCCATGGAGTATTCCCGCGAAGGAGGACGATAATTATGAATGGTTTGTTAACAATGAGGGTAAAGTCAGTCTTGGCCCTTGGGAGCGAGTAGAGCTACGACAGATGAATCTGCTGAGGAAAATTCTACAGCCTGATCCCAGAAAGCGAGTGTCTTTGGAAAAGCTTCGACACCACCCTTGGTTAACTTCCAGATCAAAGCTAGCGAACTCTGAAGGATTATGTAACAACCCAGATGTCTTAGCTAAGAAACTACTAGGCAAATTGAGAGTGTCACTGAGTAATGAAACGTATAATAAATTTACACAAGATAATACTTTGTTTGAAACAGGCCCGATGAAATTTAGAGCAACACAACCAGTGGAAGGAGATATTGCTCATTTAGAGCATGACTCGATGAGAACATTAGATGATAAACTAACAGAAAAGGCATTCACTCAGGTAATCACAGATAAAACAAGCGAAACTACAAGCAACTGGGATAATAGGATAAATAGATGGACGCAATATATGAACAAAGAGCAAGCTGTATACCAATTCATTGATGATGATCACCCCTCACAGCACATTAACCAGACTTTAAGATTCTCTCCTAACAAACTAACGAAGTTCTTTACAGTACAAGATATGGATATTGTGCTACCGACTTTAGAAGATGCACTGATATACTCTGGTATTAGAATAAGAGATCACCTTATCGATGTATATGAAAGACTTTGCAAGAGCATGAGTGATCCCAAAGTTTTCCCGTTGATAATTAATATCAAGAGCACAGATAGAAGAGGTGGTATTCTAACAGGTTCAGTTACGATAGATGAGATTGAAGATAAATTTAGATGTATCAATTTTGAGAAACGTACTGGTGACCCATTAGAATGGAGACGGTTGTTCAAACGCATAGCAGTCCTATGCAGAGACATAATTTTGATCCCCAATTAAAGAATTTATAAACGTAGATAGATTTTATTCAGCACATATAGGTAGTAGTTCAATCGATTATTAATATATTCCATCTGGCATTTCGATATATTGTCATTACAGTCACTCTATAAGCTATTTAAATGTCAAAGTTTCTTGAAAACCCGATTAAAGAAATACCACTATGTGTGAATGATGAATAGCCAAGCTGCTGGTGGTAGCAGGTCTAGTGCTGTTAAGCAATGTCTGATGTTGTGAAGACAGTTATAGGACAGCGACTCGATCTGTACAAGCTTCTCGAGTTGAATTATAAGGACTACAAGGGAAACGATGACGCTGCAACTACGCACTCGCTGAAGAAACAATACAGAAAGTTGTCCTTACGTTACCATCCTGACAAAAATCCTGGCCCTGAGTACATAGATAGGTTCCACTTGTTGAATTTAGCCATAACAGTGCTGGCGGATCCAGCAAAGAAGGCAGAATATGACCAATGGGTAGCGCAGTACCTGTATCCAGACAATGGACTGTCAGAAGCTGAGCAGACAAGAAGAGAAGCGTTAGTTCAAAAACTAAATGCTTCTGAAAGAAAAGTGAGAGAAGATAATCAAGGTGGTAATGTTGCTGATATTGGCAAAATACAAAACTATGGCGAGAAACTGCGAAGGATGGCGCACTTCGGTTTAGGTTTTGGGGATTGGCGCAATTTGGATGAGCATATCTCCAGAGCCACTACAAATACAATAGAAGATTCTACTACTGATAAAGAAGTATGTACTTTAAGAGCTGTATTCGATTTTCAATCAATAGAAAACATCAGTGATCCAAATAACTTGCGGCGGTATATGAATGAAGTCTTTCCAGAATACATGTATGACATAGACGAGATAAGGTACTCATCGAATAATGTTTATGATGGAGAAGAAGACATTGTTGTTTATATAGTTCTGAAGGATCCCATAAAGACTGGCAGACTATACCACCAGATCAAGAGGAACCCACCGGATGCTTTTGTGGAAATCGAACCATACATTTCGCCAAAGCTGTTTGAATCCTTCTCTAAAGAAATCCCACTAAATGACCATGTGAAGAACCTCTTGAGAGGTGTACCAGAAGTGATTGATCTTGACTAACCATGCATTGCTTACTGCAAATGCTAACAATTAACTGGAACACAAGTGTCAATGTACCATTTATTACTATATATCATGTATATCATTATAGACGTCATACTTAATGCTGAAAACTCCCAATAAGCTCTCTCGAAGAGCAAAGCGATTCAAGTCTGGAAGGACTAGTACTCAGTTTAGATCATTATAGAAGTAGTATCAATTGTTCGGGCGTTGGTCAACCCTGTACTGAAAGTATTTCAATAAGTTAATCTGCTTTTGTATATCTAGTGCCAGCAAACCGCACATAGACAGAAGATATGTTGAGAACGTCGACAAGGAAGTTCAGTATGGGTGCTGCAGTGCGAGCAGCGGCACCTGCGCGTGGTAAATCTCAAGGTTTTGCTAAGAAAACTGGTACATCTTCAGGTTTTACTAGGAAGAAAATTTCTCCAGGCAGCTTGTACAAGAATTGGACTGACACTGTGCACACTGCCCGTCTAAATAGCAACGCAGTGAATTTGAATTTGCCAATCATGAAGTCGCAAGATATCTCTGAAAACTTAAATAAGGTCACTTATTTTGCTGATACTACTTATAAGACTCTGCATCATTTAGGTTCATTCAGGAAAGATCAGCGCAACGAGTTATTTCCAAAGCCAATATCTCTAGTTCGTGAATCAACCACTAAGAAGCTAATTGACGAGCTAAAGAATGGCACATCTAAGAAACTAATAATAACCGGTGAACCTGGTGTTGGTAAATCTGTTTTATTGAGTCAAGTTCATGCCTATGGTCTGGAATCAAATATGCTCCTAATTAATATCTCCTACCCAGAAAGTTTCCTAAACGGCAGAAACGACTTTATGTTTGACGAGTCTTTGAAGCTTTATACTCAGCCAATGTACACAAAGGAACTGATAAGAAAAATCTTGAAAGCAAACAAACCCGAAGTCCTGGAAAAGATACCTTTAACCAAGAACTATAAGTTTACCGGAGCTAATAGCAAAGATAGTGGTCATACTGCAACTATACAATTGAAAGAAGGCCAACACACATTATCCAATTTACTTTCAGTTAAAGCCAACCCACAAAATGTAGGTATTCAATTCCAAGCTGTTATGGAAGAATTGCTTGCTCAAGAAAAGGTCCCTGTGCTTTTTACCATCGACAACTTTTCCAGATTCCTAACTAAGGCATACACTGATTACAGAAATGTCAAAAATCAACAAATATATTCTTTACAATTCCAACTGGGTAAGACCATTATGGATATTATCTCAGGTGATAGTCGATTCAAGAATAAGAGAAGTGCTTTTGTTGCTGCAATCTCAGGAGTAGACAGAACTAATAAGACGTTACCTGTTGGACTAGGTAAACTTGAGGAAGACCCATATGTCACCAGATACCATTATGAGAAAAAGTTTGCGGATCTACTGAAGCGTGGCAGAGTCGAAGAGTTTGAAGTTCCAAAATGGTCAAAGGAAGAGATTAGAACACTGATCAACTTTTATCGGGACTCTGGAATCATCTCAGGTAAAGAACTAGATTCTAAAACACCTGAACAATATACTGATGAAAAGTATTTCGTTAGTGGTAACGGTAATCCTAGAGAACTCTTGAAAAGCATAGCTCTATCTTACCGTTAGGAAATAATATAATTTGAGGTAGATACGAGATGTTTCCAAATCTGTTATATAATTAATACAAAATACTTGTAAATACTTAATAATACAGTATTCATGATGAATAAAAAAGGCAGCCCTATTACAATATGCACATATTAGTTATCTGACCATTAGTCAGACCAATCATCGTCATCGACATATTTTGGTTCTGTTTGCTTTTTCTCCGCAACTGGTTCGGCTTTAGGTTGCTGCCTACTCTCTGAAAAGGAACTACTATGATGTTGGTACGCGCCATTCTTTCTTTCATCCCATGCTGATTTTATTTCCGGTACGGACTCAGCAAGGTCATCAATTGTCACTGAGTCACTGATACTTTCCAGAACTTTTTGAACCACAGAGGTGTGATTACCATTTAGCTTGTCATCTCTGAATCGAAGCATAGTCCAGCTTCCAGTCTCTGGGTCCTTAGTACACTCCACGATTCTTCCGTTTAATGGTTCTTCCAAGTTCTTCAGCTCCTGCCATTGCTCGTCAGAAATCGATAATTCTGCGAACCTCTTGTATGTCTTCTCCAGCACTTGCATTTCTCTCTTGTCGAATGGTTGTTCGAAGTTTTGTAGCTTTGTGTTGACATCGGAGCCACCTTGCCACACATACAGTGCAAACGTTGGTTTGGCATCGTAGTTATAATACCATCTCCTAGGGTCCTTCTTTGCGACCGAATTGTCCTCTGTCATCGGTATTTCCAATATTAGCTTAAAGTCCACTGAGTTCTCTTGTTCTGGCTTCCATTTCAGAAGCAGGGAGTCCTTACCACCCACTGCGTATGGCGTTCTCACGGGTGTAAAGATGAGACCGTCTGACAAGTGGGGCAGCTTGTCGAGACTGTTGGCCACCTTCACCAGGGAGTAACTGAAGTCCATGTGCTTCATGGAGAGCTTGAAAGGGAAAGTCGCACATTTGTCGGGGTATATCGATCTCAGGTCGTAGTATGGCTTGTAGAACTCCTTCCCAAGGTGCGCCAATCTGGAACTGGTTGGGGATTGTACTAGGGACCTGCCGTTAATCGCCAAGCAGTCGAACATCAGGTACCGCAACTCCTGCAGCTTCGTCATGGGGTTCTTCTGAATGACCAGCTCACCGTCTATCAGCGTACCATTCTGGGACGTCTCCAGCAGCTCCTCTTTCTTCTTCTGCGGCAACCTTGGGAAGTGGAACCCGTTGACCAAGTAGTAGTTGTTCTCACGGTCTATCATGAAGCACCCTTGCTCACCGGTGATCGGGTTCACAACCACCAGCATCAGCACACGCAGCCCGTCGGTCTTCTCACACACATAGTAGTCCTGGGCGACCAGTTTGTCCCGGATATCCGAGTGTTGGAAGGACACAGGTTGCGAACCAGGGAACGTCTTCGAGGGCTTAGGGGAGTTCAGAAGCTTGCAGACGAGCATCTTCAAGTCCTGGGTAACATTCCCGGGCTGTATGATCCCCGGAATCTCTGGCGATATTCTAGCATCCATCGTCTGTGTCTCTCTCGCACCTGGGGTTTCTCAACTTCTTCCACTATTCAATGTTATTTCACTTTAGTTCATTTTATTTTTTCACTTTTTTCACTTTTCCACCCGAACGCGATGAGCATGCAGTGTTGTATGCAAAGTTGAATGTAAAGATGAATGCAAGTATGTAAGTTTGTGTCTAAAGCTCTATGTAAAGCTCCCTATCTACAGATGTGTATCTATAAATTGGATATCTACGGGTATCTAGCTGTGTATGCGTTGATACTGTTCAGCTACGTCGATGGTCGATGATCCGTTATGACACAATGACACAATGACACAATGGCACAACGGTACAAGAACACACTGCTGTATAATATAGTTGCAGTGTTATATTGCATTGTATATTGCCATGTATTGCATTGTGTATTGCCAGGTATTGCCAGGTATGATGCTGTATTGTATCGAGCTGACATCAATGCAGTCGCCATTGCCTTCCTTTAACTTCTTCTTCCTACCCGCAACTGTATACGGAAGGTGTGCTGTTAGGGAAGGAAGGTGCAGGCGACCCTGCCAGTCCCCTACGTAATCGGCTGCTCCTCTGCGTGTCTCGCTTGCTCTTAACCCGCACGGAACAGTCCACATTTTCACACACACACACATATATCTCATTACAGCAGGTGCAAGCGAGGGCTGGGCACCGACCTTCCGCTTTTCAACGTGGAGAAGCCCGTGAAGGCAGGTAAAACCCGGAGAATGCAATGGCTCGTTGCAGAGAGATGTGCGTACAGAAGAGCTAAAAAAAAAGAAAGAAAGAAATCGTTGAAGGACTCAATAGTCATTTTGATCGTGCTGGAGAGTTAACGGCAGGTGCAAGCGAAGGATAATAAAGGCCCAAAAATTTTTCAGCTCATCGAGGGTATATAAGAGAGAAGCAGAGTGTATTTGTCCATGAGTCTCGTATTTCCAAGGACAGTAACGCTAACCAATACAAACACAAATGTCTCAAGCTACTTTCGAAATCAAGAACGGTCCAAGTTTCTCAGGTTATTCCTTTGGTGCCGATAAGTCTATCAGTGGTGAAGCCGTGTTCACCACTTCTCTCGTTGGGTACCCGGAGTCGATGACTGATCCCTCGTACCGTGGTCAGATCCTGGTGTTCACACAGCCGCTGATTGGTAACTACGGTGTGCCCTCGATGGAGGCGCGCGACGAGTACAACTTGCTCAAGCACTTCGAGTCGTCCCACATACAGGTCGCCGGTATAGTCGTTGCTGACTACGCTGCGCAGTACTCTCACTGGACCGCTGTGGAGTCCCTGGGCGACTGGTGCAAGCGTGAAGGTGTTGCTGCGATCACTGGTGTGGACACCCGTGAAATCGTGCAGTACTTGAGGGAGCAGGGCTCCTCCCAGAGCCGTATACTCGTGGAAGGCTCGGACACGCCCAAGTTCTACGACTCGATGGCCACGCACCTGGTGGCGGAGGTGTCCACCAAGGAGACCCTGTACGTGCCCGCCAAGAACCCCGTGGCCAACATCGCGGTGATCGACTGCGGTGTCAAAGTGAATATCATCAGAAGTCTCGTGGCTAGGGGCGCCAACGTAACGATATTCCCACACAACGCTAGGATACAGGACGTCGCTGGTCAATTCGACGGTGTATTCCTATCGAATGGGCCTGGCAACCCGGAGACCTGCCACGAGACCATCGAGAACTTGAAGGAGCTGCTGGCCAACGAGGACTTGCAACAGCTGCCCATCTTCGGTATCTGTCTGGGCCACCAGCTGCTGGCCTTGGCCTCCGGCGGCAAGACACACAAGCTGCAGTACGGTAACAGAGCACACAACATCCCAGCAATGGACCTGACCACGGGCCAATGCCACATCACATCCCAGAACCACGGCTACGCAGTCGACCCACAAACACTCCCACAAGAAGAGTGGAAACCATACTTCATAAACTTGAACGACCAATCCAACGAAGGAATGATCCACACCACAAGACCTATCTTCTCAACGCAGTTCCACCCAGAGGCAAAGGGTGGCCCTCTGGACACAATGCCTCTGTTCGACAAGTTCTTCAACAACATCGAGTGCTACAAGACCCACCTCAGCCAGTCCAGCTACAGAATGGTCTCCCAGATCCCAGCAATCGACAAAAAGGAGATCATGGCCTAGACCAACCATCTTGCATCCGTATTACATACTACATATAAAACTAAAAAGATAATATACTAATTCCTCTCGCATTTTTAGCCCCATCGCACTACTATTGCTTATTATCGGCCAATTGCCAAATTTTTTTTCAGTGAAAGACGCACACATTGGCTGGTGCCAAAAGAAAAAAGTATATAAGCAGACAAAGGATTCTTGAAAAATTGTTTCTCGCAGCGTTCAGGGAAACAGTTTTGAGGACAACAGGCCCTGCAAAGACCATTTGATTATCTTTGGAAAGGAGGGTGAATAGAGCAATATCTGCCGTGGACGTGCTTGGAAAAACTGGATCATTGATTGTTGATTGTTGATTGCTGAAAGTTAAAAGTTAAGAAGTTAGTACGCGTTTGATTCATCCGAGGTCGAAAAGTAAGATGACTTCTGAGGTGTATACGGTTGCGGACCGTCCCAAGGAGTATTGGGATAAGCGGAAGGCCAAGTTTATTCTGGCGGATGATCCGAAAGTCGCGAAACAGAAGGACAGCGGTGACACTTACAACAGGTTCAAGTACTTGCTTGGACTCACCGATCTGTTCAGGCATTTCATGAGTCTGAAAGCTAAGAATGATAAGAACATACAGAAGCTGTTAAAGACGCTGGACGCAGAGAGTTCTGCAAAGAGTGGTAAAGCTGATCCGGGGTCGCGTCATCATCGTAAGAGTGAGAAAGAAGAAGATGCAGAATTGATGGCTGAAGAAGAAGCTGAGGTTGATGAAGAAGACGACCTGAACTTTGTCACTGAATCTCCATCCTATATCCAGTCAGGTAAATTGAGAGACTATCAGATACAGGGTCTAAACTGGATGATCTCCTTACATGAAAATAAGATCTCTGGTATCCTAGCAGATGAAATGGGTCTAGGTAAAACTTTACAGACCATTTCATTCCTTGGTTATTTGAGATATGTCAAGAAAATAGAAGGTCCGTTTCTGGTCATCGTTCCAAAATCTACTCTGGACAATTGGAGAAGAGAGTTTTTCAAGTGGACTCCAAATGTTAGCACCACGGTTTTACAAGGTACTAAAGAACAAAGACAAGATATTTTACAGAATATTGTATTAGAGGCAAGATTTGATGTCCTTATCACGTCCTATGAAATGGTTATCAGGGAGAAAGGTTACCTAAAGCGTCTGGCCTGGGAATACATCGTAATTGATGAAGCACATCGTATCAAGAATGAGCAAAGTGCGTTGTCACAGATAATTAGACTGTTCTATTCGAAAAATAGATTGCTTATTACCGGTACGCCATTGCAAAATAACTTACATGAACTTTGGGCTTTACTGAACTTCTTGCTGCCGGACGTCTTTGGGGATTCTGAAGTCTTTGATGATTGGTTCCAGCAAAATAATAGTGATCAAGACCAAGAAGTAGTGGTTCAGCAATTGCATGCAGTGTTAAACCCATTCTTATTAAGAAGAATAAAAGCTGATGTCGAAAAATCATTGCTGCCGAAGATTGAGACAAATGTTTACGTGGGGATGACGGATATGCAAGTTCAATGGTATAAATCTCTTTTGGAAAAGGATATTGATGCCGTTAATGGTGCTGTTGGAAAAAGAGAAGGTAAAACCAGACTTTTGAATATTGTTATGCAGTTGAGAAAATGTTGTAATCATCCATATCTGTTTGAGGGTGCAGAACCTGGACCCCCATATACTACAGACGAACATTTGATCTTTAACGCAGGTAAAATGATTGTCTTGGATAAATTGCTAAAAAGGTTGAAAGAGAAGGGCTCGAGAGTTTTAATTTTCAGTCAAATGTCTCGTTTGTTGGATATTTTAGAGGATTACTGTTATTTCAGAAACTATAATTATTGTAGAATTGATGGTTCCACAAGTCACGAAGAGAGAATTGATGCCATTGATGAATATAATAAGCCTAACTCTGAAAAATTTGTTTTCTTATTGACTACAAGAGCTGGTGGTTTGGGTATTAATCTGGTCACTGCTGATACAGTTGTGCTATTTGACTCAGACTGGAATCCTCAAGCAGATTTGCAAGCGATGGACAGAGCACATAGAATTGGCCAAAAGAAACAAGTGCACGTTTATAGATTTGTTACTGAGAATGCAATTGAGGAAAAGGTTTTGGAGAGAGCAGCTCAGAAATTGAGACTTGACCAGTTGGTTATTCAACAAGGTTCTGGTAAGAAAACCGCAAATCTGGGTAATTCTAAGGATGATTTGATTGAAATGATTCAGTATGGTGCTAAGAATGTTTTTGAAAAGAATGGAACCACAATAAGTGTGGATGCAGATATTGATGAAATCTTGAAGAAGGGTGAGGCTAAAACTCATGAGTTGAATGCAAGATATGAAGCGCTTGGTCTTGATGATTTACAAAGATTTAACGGTATGGAAAATCAATCAGCTTATGAATGGAACGGTAAGACGTTCGAAAAGAAGGCCAAGGATACAGTGACAGAGTGGATCAATCCTTCAAGAAGAGAAAGGAGACGTGAGCAGACAACGTATTCGGTTGATGACTATTATAAGGATATAATTGGTGGAGGAAGTAAATCTAACAAAGGAACTCCTCAACCGAAGTTACCAAAAGCTCCTAAAGTAACACACGGTCAAGATTATCAATTTTTTCCTAAAGAGTTTTATGAATTACAGGAAAAAGAACAACTCTCATATAAGAAGAAGATTAACTTTAAGGTAACATCGTCTGATGTGTCAATCGAAACTGAAGAGGATGATGAAGAGGGTGAGAAGCAATTGACCTCGAAGGAGAAGAAGGCTCTTACTGATGCTAAAATCAAGGAAGAGCAAGAAAAGATTGACAATGCACCAGATTTTACAGATGAGGATGAACTCGAGAAACAAAGGATGTTGGATACAGCGTTTACAAACTGGAATAGAAGAGATCTGCTCTCCTTCATTAGTGCATGTGCAAAGTTTGGCAGATCAAATATGAACAAAATTAAATATGCGATTGATTCCAAAACACCAGAAGAAGTTGAAGAATATGCCAAGGTATTTTGGGAACGTTACACCGAAATTAATGGTTACGAGAAATATATCAACTCAATCGAAAATGGTGAAAGGAAACTTGCCAAGCTTGAATTCCAGGAACAGTTATTGAACGAAAAGCTTGATCAGTATAACTACCCATTTTACGAGTTGAGTATACAATACCCTCCGAACAATGCTAGGAGGACCTATAATACAATGGAGGACAAATTCATATTAATGACGGTAAGAAAATACGGTCTGCGGGCGGAAAGGTTATATGAAAAAATAAAACAGGATATTATGGAGAGTGATTTGTTCAAATTTGATTGGTTTATCAGAACACGTTCCATACATGAGCTTTCAAAGAGAGTTACCACATTATTAACACTCATTACAAGAGAGTTTGATAATCCTGATGCTAGGAAGAAACGTTCTCGTCCAGGAACTAAGGAGGATATGGACGGTCTCGATGAAGGAACCGAAAATCCAGATCATATGGAGAAAAAACCTAAGCTTCCCTCTTCCGCATAAACTGCTAGGTTTATGACTCATATCTAGCATTGTTTCGCTAAAGCACGTAGCTAAGTTGTAATACTATTTAACTCAAATAGACTGTTCATAAATATTTCTAACTAAATAAGTTGGATTAAGGACCTCTTTAATACATTATATATAATAGGACTTTTCCTTTTTATCATCGCTCGTTTTCCTAGAACTGAAATACTGGTGAGCAAACCCATCTGGATTCCTATCGTTGGACAAATTTGAACTTTCTCTAATTATATCCGGTCTAAATTTGCCTATAGCTTCATCTTTAATTTCATTTTGTTTTCTCTCTGTCGTTTCGCTTTGAGATCCATTTGACTGTCCACTCCCAAACCGCTCAAGTAGCTTATCAAGTAACCACTTCTTTTCTAATATATTTCCAGCAGCTATTTGCTCAGCTATTTTATAATTTCTGCCTTTACCTATTCCAGTCACTTGTCCGTTAGCTACTCTACATTCTATGACGGTGAATGGGGACTTTTTACTACTCCTACGATTTGTAATTACATATTGTGCTTCAAGTCCAACAGGTGCCAATAACTTTTCTAATTGAGTTTTAGCATTCATATTGATGTTATTATCGGTGCCTGGTAAAGCATTTTTGTCAGAGATTGTTTTGATGGCTTCTTCCGCCAATGTAGATAGCCAGTCTCTAATTTTTGGCATATTTCCTGTAGGATCATCTTCAACCAGACCGCCAACGTAGGCTTCAAACAAATCGGCGTATATCTTATAAACTTTGCTACCAGAATTTAACATCTCGTTAAGAATACTTTTTCGAATTAAAAGATGTTTTTGTAGACCATATAGGTATGCCCACTTTTCAAGTCTTCTATTAGAGACTAGCAATACCCTTAATCGCGTCATTTGGCCTGCATCATAATTTGGAAAGGATTTGTAGATAATAGTAGTCATGATTGAGTTAATTACAGAATCTCCAAGGAATTCCAGTCTCTCGTAACTATTCTTAATTTTTTCTTCTTCTGTTAAATAACTTTGGCCTGATAAAGCCGATTGGTGAATGAACACACGGGCCTTGATGGCTTCGTTTTTTATTTCCGGAATTGGTGGAGGCCATTTATCAATAATGGATGAAAATATTATATCTTGTGAAGAGATAATACCATTCGTGACTTGAGGTTTGGTATTTTGTTCATTTTCCGGGTGAGCAATAAGTGACATTTCAGTACTATTACTTTGGATAGCCGCCGGATTATTGATTCTTAGTCCAGAAATAGGATTTCCGTTCTCAGCTAGTACAATAATATCATCGTCTCCTTCCTTTTCCTCCACTTCATTTGAGCTTTGTTGAGGTGATTTGTGATTGTCGTTTGTGTCTAATCTTGACTGGTAGTCCGTGGTAGTAGGTAAATGTTCTTTAGAGCTCGATGCTTGTATGTGGTCATCTTCTTCTTCACTTGAAATGTCGATGACACTATATTCGTTGGAATCTGAATCTGTATTAGAAGATGTTGAGTCATTGGATTCATAACCAGGTAAATCATCCCCGTGAATATTGTTAGAATAATTTTTATCCTTCTGATCAATTCTATTCACTGTTTTGTTCTTGTTCAATATAGGGCTAGTACATTCCTGATTAGACTTACTTTCTGTAATTTCTATATTTGTATTTTCTTCATTTCCCTCGTTATCTGAGAAAGAGTCCTCAACTTCCTCGTCTTCTTCCATAATTAGCTCTTCAAAAATTGGTTCTATTGAGTCAGGCTTATACAATTGTTTGTACTGCAGTATAGTACTCAAAAATGGGTACGCTTTACTTTCTTGTAGAGTCTTAACTTCGGATGCAAGTTTCAACTGATATCGAGAAAAGGCCGGCATAATGCCTATAGGCAAATCGCTTTTATTTTCCAGTACTTTCCAATATGTTTCGATGTCTGGAGCCATTTTTATTATCTTCTCATATGCGTTAACCATCTCTGTCACGGCTTGTTCTAGCTCTATTACTGTAGAGTAGCTGTAGAATTCATTATACTTTGCAATTGAAGGGTTATTCGATTCTGCAAGAGTAGTCATACCACTTATCTGTAAGTCATCATCACTATTGTCTGATATATCGCTATAATCAGCAACATGAACCTTATTTCTTGTGTTACGAGGCAATTTCCTTCTCCGATTATCCTTCAGTTGACTAGAACTATTACTATCTCGCCTTCTGGATCTGGTCGACTGCCCAGTTGTTCTACTTCGCCTGTCTCTGGCTCTGCTGGACCTGTCCCTTCTACCATCTTTTGACCTGCCTTGAGGTGTCTGATTTGGAGCTCTTGTTGTGCGCCTGCGATGGCTTTTAGAATTTCTAGTTACCATTGCAAAGGCCTATTATTTCCTTTTGATTGTTGTATCAACTATCCAAGCCTAAAGAGACTCATTAATGACTTTAAAATATAAAGATAATTCTAGTAGTTAATGGTTTCTGTAAAACTCGTTAGAAGATAGCACATCGCAAATCATAAATAGCATCAACAATGGAGCTTGCATTGAGATAAATTGTCCAATTTATTATTCTTTTTAAAATGGATTACTGGTTACAAACAAGTATATTATGTTTAATGTATGGTATATATACAAAATACGGCATCTCACTGCAGAAATTGGCTAAAATATGGTACAGAACTCGAATTGATAGGAACGTAAATCAACATTTCGAGACAGGATAGAATTGATCATGATTTAAACAGTAATAATAGTACGTAACTTACTGGATTATCTTTGTAGCGTGCGTAGTTTATCCTCGATAGCTGTTATACTCTTTTGAAACTGTGCATCATTATCTGTCATTTGTTTTTGAACGTTTTTTAGTAGACCTTCTATTTCACTTACTATATCAAACATTGTAATAACATTATTGGTGGCAGCATTCGATTCCGTTGTCTTGTTTGTAGTTGTATTAGTTGGGATGTTTTGTAAAGGTTCCTCAGTTTGTATTTGGTTGATTTGATCACTGGAAGCTGCGTTGCTCATTCTGTTTGGATTTGATAGTGTCCTATGTGCTGATGTCGTAACAGATACTAGGGTCAGAGTTGTAGTACACTCGAAATTCTTTCAGAATTGCAATTTGAATCAACAGTTGAAGCTTCATTTTTGACTAATTCAACTGACTCGGATCCATTTTGGCAAAAAAAGGCGATGAGCTGAAAATTCACGATAATAAGCCTGGTTCGAGCAGAAGCACTGGTTACAGTGCTGATCTCCAGATGATACGGCATAGTTGCAGAGCACTAAGGTTTGTTAGAAGTTTCCATGATTATAACTCGGATATCTTGAAATTTGTGGCTTCCAACACCTTGATAAGCGATTCCGCTGTTTATAAGGGCAAATTATATGAATTGACGGTTCAGCGAGAACTGTATAACAAGCTGCGAATAGGTCAATTGGATGTAGTTGGTGGAGCTCATGATGGTGGTGTTGACATCAAGGCCCTATGGAATTTATTTCCCATATTTCAATGTGCTCTGGATGCCGGTGTGATAAAGGAGCCATCGCTACCTTTAAAGGGGACAAGAATAAATGACACACTGGTAAAGCCGTTGGTGAATCAGTATGATATAAAAAACAAGATAGCACCATCAATTGAAGTTTTGGTGCAGTGCAAAGCTTATGTTAGCAAGATTTCTCCAAAGGAGATAAGGGAACTGGCAGGTACATATTTAAGCTTAACCGCTAAAAATAAGGCATCCCTGAGCACCATCCCAATAATGTGCTCCCCACAACTACCCACTTCAAGTAGTCTGAAGTTGTTGGAGAAACTCAATATACCATTCCTGTATTTACGAATCAACACCCTACGACATGGATCGTTAAATGACTTTGAATTGACAAACACTGGCCAACTGATGGGGTATCTAATGAATCCCATACTGAAGGGCTATTTAGAAGGTAGTGGGTTTGAAGAATGGATGAAGTTTGAGCTGTATAATAATGCCATGAATCATAGTCAAGATAAGGATTTCATTTGACTTAATTTACAATGCCTATATCTTCTTTCTAAGAATACAGGGTGTTTGTTGAAATTATGTAAATATGGAGTTCATATCTTTTTTTAAAAGATAACTATTTATGATTTCCGGAAGCAAGCTCAGTGTCGATGCTTGGCTTACTGTTACTGTGAAGAACAATGCAAAAATAAAATGATATATATGATAAAAAGGGATACTAATAAAAATTAATTCAACTTTGCAAAGAATGTGAAATAGCAATTCCCTAAAAATGGCATAAAAACATCAGTAATAATAATAAAAATAGTGTAGGCTGGTTCAGAACTTGACAAACCTGAAACCAACACAGAAATGACGAGAGATAATAAAACATAGTGCGGATAAAATACTTGCTACACCACAGAAAATAACAAAGTTACGGTAGCCAGTTAAAGACTCATTTCCAATAATTGCACCAGTGACGGGGATAAAAATCAGATTACCGAAAGCGACTCCCAGGTACATTGTAGAATAGCGCTTACCAAATTCTTCCGTCTTTGAAATTTGACCACAACAGACAGGTAGCAAAGATAAAATACTACCAGAGAAAAAACCATACAAAGCACTGATTACATACATGTTAGCCAAGGTGTTACCAAATGGCAGCCATCCTACTAGGATAACAATACTCAGTGAGAAAATAGTAATAATGGCGATATTGAATCTTCCGATCCAATCGCTGAAATAGCCAGGTAACCACCTTCCCGGGATGCCCAAAGCATTAATGACCATGATAAACATATATGCATCAGACTCGGAAAGCCCATGTGCTGTACTGTACGAAGCAAAATACGTGATAGTTGAGCATAAGCATATTTCACCCAGAACAGTCCCGGAAACACAGAATAGGTATTTCATGTCCAAAAAGCCTTTTAAGTCACAGCTTTGTCTAATATAGACTCTCATAATACGTTGGAATTTTGATTCATTTTGGTACTTTTCAGGTTCGACTACGTGTGGTAATCTCTCCTTGGCTAAAAGTAAGGACAGGGATAGCAAGAACAGATCTATTAAAGCCCAAGTTCTCATTCCCCAAGCATAACCGAAATTGGGGTCAGTGTCAGATTTAAGAGCGTAGAATTTTCTAACGATGATGGGGAATATAACACCACCGATAGAACCTCCAATGGTAGCACAAGCCACAGCGGTACCGCGTCTTCTGCAGAAGTAGTGAGCGGGAACGGCTACAAGTGGTGCGATTAGTATACCGTTGCCAAATCCACATACAATGGAGAATGCTAGGATGAAATGCCACACTTTGGTGCAATTAGCAGTAGCGATCAAACCAGCAACGTGTAGCACGGTACCCAAGATGACGGGGTCTCTGTAACCATTACGGTCAAAATAAGTGCCTGAGAAGATGCAGCAACTGTAGTTGATAAACAGGAACAAGGAGAAGATCCAACCAATGGTAGATGTCTTGACATCACTCAATTGGTACTTCTGTATGTGGTCTTCGATAACACCCGTAGCGTTCAGAGTACCGAAGCAAGCGGTCAGCCCCAGGAAACAGCCGAGAACGTTTGTCCAGGCCTTGAACCCGCCCTCTGGGAAATCGTCGATATCGTCAAACTGGTATAGCAGCTTCTCATCGTCCATCTTGTTGTGGCTATCTGGCACATCAGTGTCTTCAGACTCAGAATCAGACTCCTCCTCCATTTTCGCGGTCAATTGACGGGAAAGATAGTCGTCGATCTCCGAGCTCTCACCTTTCTTGTACTGGTAACCGTCCCGGTGGTTGTACACAACACCGTTAGTAGCACCAACATCGCTAGAACTGGCACCTTGCAGAACTGAAGGAAGCGAATCCATCTCCAGCGACTCCATGTCATGAGCGGGACACATTGTGGAAAAGTTCTTTAGTACTGCAAGTTTTTTTTTTCTAGCTTTACCCTCGACTCAATTCACACTAGCAAATAAAGTATAACTAGCCTGTCTAGTTTGGAGTGGAAGAGGGAAGCTACGAGGGAAGGCTTTCGATGCCCTTTATATACTCCCATAAAGCTCGGTATTGAGTCTTGGAAACTCGATGAGGTACAAATGCGGACATTTCACCTTGCTTGCTGCGATAGTTTCTAACACGCATTTGCTATATTTTGTAACTGCAATGTAGCCTGTGGGTCAAAAATTGGTTTAGTTGGGGTGATCACCACGCACTCCATCTGCGGTACTTTCTGAGCATGTTCTAGCATAATCCACAGAATCCACAGAATCCGCCGAAGGGGGAGATGGTTCTCATATCTAAATGTAAAAATTATAGGACATTTTGCTTTGTGTGCTTGTGTTCTGGAAATCCCGCGCTATTTTAGCACAGAACCTTTATGCGGGAAAGCTTTCTATCCTGTAGGTGCGTATCTGCGGAACACTCTTCGCTGAACACCAAAAAAAGCGTAAATCATTGCTGCTTAGTTCTATTTTTTTTTGTCTACCAATTTCACAGATTTGTCCCCTTCTTGGCTCGGCGTGCGAGGGTTTCTAGGCACTGAAAGTGTAATTGACTTGGCTCTCTCCATGAAAAATGACTCCTAAGAAGGGACAAATTCTAGAAAGCCAAATAGAATAAGCAAAAATTCGGTTAGTTGTGCGAGCGTTTCTGTGTAAATGACCGCAAAATGATGTGAAAAATGGGGGAAAATGGGAAAATTCTAGAATCGTTGCTTGGGCGTTACCGCCCTGAAACTCTGATGCAGGCAAGAGGGCGGGATCGGCGTAAATCGCAAGTGTAGCGATAATAAGCAAAAATAAAATTAATACAAAATAATTAGATGATTAATGATATTAGTATATTATTTTTATTTAGCTGGATAGTGTACAGAGTTTGAAGACAAAAGAAAAAAAACAAAATAAAACTAAAATTGAAAAAGCATACAAAAAAAAAAAGTGAAAAAAAATTTGGAGACTCATAAAAAGCGAGTATAGTAATGGGGGAAAGAAAAATTGTAAATTGTAATAAAAGAATAGCGAAGTAAAGAAAAAAAAATTGAAATTACTGAGAAATGAAATGAAAGGTTAGAATTTCACCAGTTTGAAGCCGACACAGTAGTATCTTGAGATGACAAAGCTGACGGCGCAAAGCAAAGTGGTAACACCGCAGAAGATGACGTAGTGTTGGTAGCTTTGTAGGGATTCGTTACCGATAATGGCACCTGTGACTGGGACAGCGATCAATGTTCCGAATGCGACGACGAAGTACATGGTGGAGTAACGTCTACCGAACTCTTCGGTCTTTGAGATTTGACCACAGCATACTGGTAGCAATGAGAAGATACTTCCCGAGAAAAATCCGTAAAGGGCACTGATAACGTACATGTTTTTCAAGTTGGTTCCAAATGGGAGCCATCCGACCAGCATGACGATACCAAGACCACAGATAGTGATGATTGCCACGTTGAATCTTCCAATAACATCACTCAAGTAACCTGGGATGTATCTACCAAGGATACCAACAAGGTTGACAACCATGATCAGCATATAAGCATCTGATTCGGAGATACCGTGTGCTGTACTGTATGAGGCGAAGTATGTGATGGTAGCACATAGAGAGAATTCACCAATCACAGTTCCGATAACACAGAATAAGTACTTCATGTCTAGGAAAGCCTTGGCATCGAAACTTTCCATAAAGTAAATCTTTAGCACACGTTTCCATGTTGGTACACTTTTTTCCTCCTCCGTGAGCACAACGTTTGGAAGTCTTTCCTTTGCCATGAGCACCGCAATGACCAATAGGAAGAGGTCAATTAGACCCCAGGCCCTTAGACCCCAAACGAATCCGTAGTTTGGGTCTGAAGTAGATTTCATGGTGAAGAATTTTCTTAGAATGACAGGGAAGATTACACCACCCACAGAGCCACCTACGGTAGCGCAGGCCAAAGCAGTACCACGTCTCTTGTTGAAATAGTGAGCGGGAACTGAGACTAAAGGTGCGATTAGGATACCATTACCGAAACCACAAACGATAGAGAACGCTAGGATGAAATGCCACACTTTTGTACAATTGGCTGTAGCAATCAAACCAGCAACGTGCAGGATACCACCTAGGATGACGGGGTTTCTGAAGCCGTTTCTGTCGAAGTAAGTACCTGAAAAGATACATGAACTGAAGTTGATAAACAAGAACACAGAGAAGATCCAGCCGATAGTGGATGGGTTCTCGTTAGCCAATTGGTATTGTTGGACGTGGTCTTCGACAACACCGGAAGCGTTTAGAAGACCGAAACAAGCGACTAGGCCACAGAAACAGCCAATGACAGTGGTCCAAGCTCTCAGGCCACCTTCTGGGAAATCATCAACGTCGGAGTAATTCAAAGGTTTCTCCTCGTAGTTACTCTCGACATCACTCGAGTCATTAGAGCGAACCACGGTAGCGATGTCTTCAGAGTCAGATTCAGAATCAGTCTCGTTGTCCTTCTGATGAGTACGCTCACGGGTCAAGTAGTTGCCCTCGCTGGAGGACCCTTTCGCCTTCTTGTCAACGGAGATGACATCAGAGTCAAAGGCCATCGGACCCGCGGAGTCTCCAGTCACAGAAGACGAAATAGACACAGCATCAGCATGTGTATTTTCATTAGCATCAGTGTTATATGTGCGGTATGCATAGTCAGCTTGTGTCACGCCATTTTCATGTACCATAACTGTGTTATGAGTGTTTGTGTGTATTTGTGTGTGTGTGGGTTAAGTGCTTTAAGTGTTGATTTGATTTTAATATCTTCAACTAGTTATCCGTTATTCTTAAATTGGAAATCTTTCTTTTTTTAATTTTGATATTTTAGTTCACCACAGTTATAAGGTGTATTTTGTATTGTTCAGCGATGCTCTTTTATGAGTCTCAAAATAACTTCAGCATCGAGTATTGCCTACTTTATATAGTTTTTTTTTTTCAATTTTTGGTTTTGTCGGGCAGGTTTTTACCCACTAGAATTGGCCGCCACTGTGATTCCTCCCATCACAAAATGAGTCCTTTTCTTTCCTCCATTCCAAAAGTGACACAATATGAAAAAAATTTTCTTCTCTGCCGCTTCTCTGCCGCTTCTCAATGGCGTTTGCACTGCCACACTTGAGATTTTTGGTTTTTGATCACCGCCTTTTTAGAATTTCTTTTTGCCTAGCAATAAGCTTTCTGCACAGATTTCTAACACATTTTATGCCCTGGATTTCCATTTCCTAGGTTTCCCACATTTCTTTCTTTTTCTCTCTCTTGCCATCGCTCCTTGTTACATAACCTGTCCGTGATGTTCTAAGGGTTGAGTCATCAAGCATTTGGTCTTTCTTTTTCTGTCCGGTGCGTGTGCGTTGGTTTCTGAGGAGGGGGGAGCCCATTCCGCTTTTGTCCTCTTGCCCTAGTTTTCCTTCTACTATTTTTGGGAGGGTTGAAAGGGTTGGGAGGGTTGGGAGGTTTTCTTCCTTTTTTTTGCTCACACGGAGAAAGATGCGTACATCCCCGAGAAAGCAGTTACTTTTCCCGGTGGTATTCCAATCCCCTAGCACTCAAAATATGTCGCAGCATTTTCTGTTCTAGGTCCTTTGTCTAGTTTGTCGAGAGTAAATGTGCGCTCGGGGAGTATCTTGCCGGAGGGGGGAGGGAGATCTAGATCCGAGAAAAAGGGCGGAGTCGGCCTGCGTTGCGTTCAACACTGCATTTCCACTCCCCCATTGTTCTCTTCTACGTGCAGGTCACAGAGAAGTGACTTCTTCTATGGTGGGCGGTACCGCCCACCATAACAGAAAAAGATAGTTGGGGGCGAAACGGGGGGGGAGAAGGAAAGGGGCTAGAAAGAAGTACGTCCTTGCGATACACACCCCTATTCACGAAATGTGCGTACAAATGAATGGGACAAATACTATTATTTTGTGTGTTCTATGTTCTATGTTCTATGTTCTATGTACTGTGTTCTACTTATGTGGCTGTATACTTGTTCTGTGGCGGGTGGCGAAGCCCTGGGGTCTCTGATCTGGCCCGGTCGTAGCCGTAGAGGCCAGCCATGGTTACCGCTACGCCGAGCAGGCCCGCGGGGGAGTGCTTGCTCTCCCACAGCAGTGCCACGCAGATGACCACTATGCGCTTGGCGATGTTGGCCACTGAGTAGTTGACTGGTGAGAGCAGGCCGATGAGCTGGAACGCCAGCATGGCCTGCAGGAAGTGGGCCACGTTGTGCAACAGCAGCAGCGCTACCAGCTTGAAGAACGGGTGGTACGTAGTGGTGACCGCGGAGGAGAACAGCATCGAGCTCAGCAGCACCGGAAGCGTTAGCACGAACCCGATGCACGAGCAGTACAGCAGGATGGTTATCTTGTCCAGCTGCCCCTTGTCCGGCTTGGAATTGGCACCTCTGGCACCCCTGACGCTCTTGGCGCTCTTGGAGCTCTTATGAGTCAGCACACCCTTTGCGAAGATGTTCTGCGCAACAAAGATGGCCATCGACAGCAACGCGAAGAGCAGGCCCTGGTAGTAGTGGGGCTCGCGGTTGCTCTTGCTCTTGCCGCTGAAACACGTACAGATCACCCCCGCGACGATGGCGCACAGGCTGGTGTACGTGGCCCGCGTGTACTGTTTCTGCTCCACGAGTCTGTAGTAGCCCACAGTGACGATCGGCGACAGCGCCTTCATGGAGTGCACTAGGGACACGGGGATCATTGAGGTCGCCTTGTGTGTGCTGATGTGGCCCACGAACTGGAATATGCCGAGCGGCAAGCAGCACTGCATCGCCAGAGCGCTCGGTTTCAGGAACTTGTTAACTATGCTGTTGTGGAAGTCGCCGTCTAGGTACTCCGGGAACGTCCCCTCGGGGAACATCCTCACCCAGTGCGAGAGCCCGGAGTGGTGTCTCCTGGGCCTCTCATAGTAATTGATCAGACTGATGAAACTCGTGCACAGGATCGCAGTGAACAGAAACTGTATCTCGGTGAGAGCCACTGGGTGCGGGAACCCCTTCAGGATCGTCCGGCACAGATTGCTCGATATACTAGAGACTACATACCATACTAGACATAGCAACGGTATTTGCAGCTTGCTTCTAGAGGATAGTGTTTGTTGTATATATGCTAGCCCACTGGTGAAACTCTCATGTAGGTATTCCCATTGTTCCTCGCCTATTAGCGACGACAGAAACTGTTCCCGGGGGTTGATTGTGTACAGAAGTCCATTGCGTGCAGAACTGCCTCGGTACTCCCGCTTGCCGGCGTAGTTGTAACTTTTCGGGCTCGGTATGTTGACCACTTCTGGGTCAAATAGATTCTTGTGTAACGACCCTCGTCTCTTGGTGGTGGTGATATGTTGTGTTTGTATCATTGATGTATGTGCCTTGCTTCGCAGCTATACTTTACAGATAGGTTTCATCGACACACTTACAAATACCTTTTTCTATATACAGATATATATACATATATATATATATATATATATATATATTAACCCGCAAAGTTCCAAGATAGGTAACTCAATGACTTTGGATCCAATGTAAAAATAAAAAAAATTTGTTTACAATACAAGTAAATTGCCTAGATCTCATCTGCAACAATACTTTCTGACACTTTCATTAGCTCCTTAAACCATATCCCCCCCCCCACTGCAAGTGCTGGTTATTACTGTGCTCGAGAAGCTGGTATCAATAAATTTATTTTCAAAATTTTTCAAAATTTTCCTTGTTTTTTTGAAGCTGTGCGCAGTTTTCTTAGATGAATTTTTATTTCTTTCTTTTTTGGATTCCCATATTATTTATTTTTGTCAACACTAGAAGCAGAACACGAAATACTTTGCTCTAATATATTTGGCGACTTGTGCAACGGATTTCTCCTTGCAAGGAGTGGTTAATTACATATATTCTTTTGCAGCATGGAACAGAAACGGATATTAGGTATTCTTAGCATACATGCAAATGTGTAAGGAACCTATATTAATTCTTTCCCCCTTCCATTTATTTATTGAGACTATTGGTTGCAAAAAATGCAAAAATACACTTTATAATTTCATATGTAAACCTTATACATGAAAGTCAGTGTAGTCAGTAGAAGTGTCATTGTTCCTAGCCCTAATCTTAGCCTTGGCCTTTGCTGCTTTTTGTTTATTACTCTTGGTACCATGGAACTTTTGAGAAAGTTGCTTATATGCCTCTTTCGTGGTGAGCAAGTTGCCTTCATCGTCTCTATATTCTAGTCTTGTGGAATCCTTTCTCTTGGTGCCTGTTGATTTACTATTGCGTTCCTTTGGTAGCACATTATGAGACTTTAAAAAGGATAGAGTCGATGCCAGGCCATTGTAGAAATCAGGTTTGTCTTCTTCCTGTACGGGCTCTGCTGTGTGCACTTCACTTGTGGCAATTTCTTCACTTGGAGATGTTCCGTTTTCTTGAACTATATGTTCCTCTTCTTTGTCTTGACTTGTCTCATCAGTGTGTGACGGTAGTTCAGATGTTTCTGGTTCTGTTAATATATTGTCTTTCAGAGTGTCAAAAAAGTCGGCGGTTTCACTAATTGTTAAAGTCCTTTCATTTTGGCCTTGCAGCCGACGGATCTCTTCTTCTCTTCTTTCTCGCTCTATTTTAGCCCTTCTTATCTCCTCCGCTATCTCGTCGGCTGATTTCATCACAGCAGGCTTAACAATAGGTGTTATTGTGATATCTTCATCCAGCTCTTCCATATTAATATTGGTATCAAGCGTGAAATCAATGCTACTAAGTTCAACTTCATGATCTCTGTTCATTCGCTTTCTAGATAGTGTGGTGTCTTGCTTCCTCTTCCGCTTTTTAATCCTAGGTCTTTTGAAGTCGCTACTCTCCGTCTGATCATCATCACTATCGAATGTGACTTTAACTTTGTTACTTGTATCTATTGAAATACTTTCTTTATTGATATCATTTTCCGTGTCATTATCAATCCTATTGAGTGCACCTACAGATATTAACTTCCCAGGCTTGTCTATATCTGTACCTTGCTCTTCTAGAGCAGTGATTGAACGCAAAGGTTTTTTTTTGTCATGTCTCTGTTTCAGGTTTGTAGCATTTTGTTCTTCATCATGTTTATGGTCCACTTGTAAGGTATCTATGTCATCTTCCTCGGTTATTGAGCTCTCCTTTAAGGTTAATGTAATGCTCTGCCCCGATTTGAGCTCCTCTAAATTATTTGCTACTTGTACAATCGGGAGGTCATCTTGTACTTCATCCACATCGTAATTAATTTGAACTTTCGGCAGCTTGACTTCGCTCTTGGTATTGCCTTTGTTTATGTTGGTGAGCCAATCATCATTGGTACTTGTCGAAGATTTTGGGTTGTGAGATACACTTGCAATTCTATTGCGAAGTTTATTGAGTAGTCTTTCGTCCACAAATCGGTATTTCTTTGACCCAGAATTGTTATTTTTAACTTGAGACTGCGTTTCTGGGCTCTTATGTACGTATTCAGACGGTTGGATCGACTGTTTATTATCCTCTGTCTTAGGTATAGGTTTTAGGCCTAACTTAATTCTTAACGCATTTGTTTCTTCTAAAGATAAACTTATCTCTTCAGCCATTAGTCGTTAGTTCTAACGCTTTAGATTGATAGATTGATAAAAAGCTATTCCAAAATGAGCCTCACAAAATATGGTTGTTAAGCACAGTTAGATGCCTTATGCGCTATCTATGTAGTTACATAGATTTTAAACTTTGCGATGCCCTCGATCATAGTGAACGAGTAAACGATGGGAATTTCTTCGCATTCATACCGGCAGAGTTTTTACGTATAAGCTGTACTAATGATGTTTCAATTTCAAAATAATAATATTAAAACAAATATATATACTTTGATAAATATATATTGCTAAATGAGTCTCTAATTTACAGTTGATTTTTCAATCAAAATAAAGAAATAAATCATGATCCAAAAATGTTAGAACAGCTTTCTGTGTAGAAAAGCCAATATCTATAATTGTTCATATGCTTATTTTTTGCTCTTTTTCTCCTTCTTCTCCTTCTTCTCCTTCTTTTCCTTCTTATCCTTCTTTTCCTTCTTCTCTTTCTTTTCCTTCTTATCCTTCTTCTCCTTCTTTTCCTTCTTCTCCTTCTTAGACTTTTTGGATTCGGTTTCTTCTTCTTCTTCTTCTTCTTCAGTATCTCTCTTTCTCTTCTTGTCGGCCTTTTCTTCAGTTTCTTCGTCTTCATCGTCAGAGTCGGCAGCTGCGGCAGTGTCAGCATCAGCGTTGTAAGCTCTGGCTTCGGTCATCTCAACCTTCTTGGCTTCACGTACAACCTTTGGAGTGGTTCTTAGATCTCTACCTTCAATTTGAGACAATCTGTTCTCAACCTTAGCTCTAACCTCTAGACCAATGTCACCTGAGTCATCTCTATCTTCCGCAAGAGCATCGTATCTCAAAGCAACAGCAGCCTTAGCAGCCAGCACTCTAGCAATCTTACCCTTATTTCTACCACTGGCTTGACCAACCAAGGAAGCATGGTATAAAAGACCGTACTTTGGTGTGTCGTGCTTGGTTTTTAGAGCTCTGAATAAAGCCTTTTCGGCACCCAAGATTTGGATGGTAGAAGCTGGGGACTTAGCCAAAGAGATTAGAGAACCGGCGTGGGCAATTAGTCTAGCACCAACTAGTTCACCAACCAATTGAGTCAAATTTGGAGCAATAGCCTTCATTCTGGAAGACAAGTAGTTGGATAGTTGTTCTCTGTAGGCAGCAAATTCAACAATTTGGTCAGCCAATGCTCTGATATTAATCAAATCAACATCGGTGATTTCAGTACCCATAGAAACTTCAGCAGCAGCCTTGACACGTTCTTCAATTTCTTCTGGCAAGATTTCGCTCATGTCAGTTTCAGCAGCCTTAGATCTAACACCCATGGTCAAGATTAATCTGGCGTAAGCAACAGAGTCTGTAACAATCTTGGCCAATTCAGGGAAATGCCAGCCGTACCATTCCTTACATCTCATGGAGTATGTGTTAACTTCCTTGTCAAGATCGTCCAATAGCGCAATGGCTTGAATGATCATAACGTCGACCTTGTCGGCAGAGAACTTCAACTTATGACGACCGATAGAGTGAGCCAAACCTAGAGACATTTTGCTCAAGTCAGAGTCAGACATACCTGGCAAAAGGTCTGGCAAATATTCCTTAACAGCTCTGTAGATATCCAAAGTAACAGCGTCGGAGACAACATTGAAGTTCAAGCCTAGCTTGTTAATGGCGTTGGCCAGCTTGGTTTCACTGACAATAAGAGTGGCCTTCTTCTCCTTCTTGATCTCGTCCAATAGCTTCTCCAGTTGTGGGGAAACCTTACCTTCAATAATAGCACTGGCTTCTTCTAGAGCATTGGCAGCGGAGTTAAACTTGGAGAATGCAGCAATCTTGAACTCTTTCAAAACTTTCTCAGAACTGTCCAAGTCCATGATTAGACTGGAAGATTTGTAAATCTTCTTGTCAGAGGCTTTCAACAAAGCATAACCAGCAGAAGTTTCAGTCAGAACGTAAGACATCTCTTCAAATTTATTATTATAGTTGTGTGGTTTTGGTTGTAGTGTTAAATTGGAAATTCTATGTCAAGCTATGTTTGGTAACTTTTTATTATTATTTCAACTGATATTCCCAGTATTTCGGTTTAGTTGTTCTCCTAACTTGTTCAATATCTCAAATAATAAAACCTGAAGAAGTTTCACTTGTAGCACTAACAGTATTCTATATTGTTTGCTTAACCAATTCAAACAAGAAAGTGTAAAAGACGCAGTTAACCACTATAACTTCAACAGCTCATCGATCCATTTACTAGCTAAAAAATTTTTTTTTCAAAATTTGCGATGAGGATGAAGAGAAGCTCATCTCGAAATTTTTTTTTTTTTCAAAAATTTTCAGTGTGTCATCGTTATGTACGTTTGACACATTATTACACCGTATGTAGCTACTAATATATGCTTCTTCTGACTTTGAGATTTGCTGATTAGTATTTATGAATTATCTATGTGGTTCTAGGTTGTATATAAAAGTTATGTTATGCTTGTGATTATCATTCCTGGACAGTGCCATAGTCATTGTTTGCTCTTTTATGTTTTTAAATAGGGTATATGGAGTTGTTTTGCTCTTTTATGTTTTTAAATAGGGTATATGGAGTTGTGTTGCTCAGATTCTGAAGAATTTGATGACGGCGTTCATGAAAATGGAGGACAAAACTGGGATAGTGAAATTGTCGTCCCAGTTAAATATCTCAACACCTTCACTTAGTGAAGCTACAAAGCCACCTAGGAACGATATTTGGTATAGTCCCAATCTGCTTGTTTCTGGGGTCCACATGATCTCGCCTGACTTGTTGGCCCAGTTGTAGTGTGGTACAAAGAATCCGTAAAATGATAGGCAGGTCAGGAATCCAACCACAAAAGCCGCAAGAGAACCGGCTAATGACTTGTTCTTGGTAATCTTAGGGGTCAGGTAACCGTATCTCCTGCCAATGGTCGAGGCGGCTGTATCAGACCAACTTAGCAAGAACAAAGAGATCAGTATGACATCCTTTGAGAAGAAAGTGAAAGAGTAGATCAGTCCCAATAGGTACCATAAAACACCATTGTATGTATGAATTTCTTTCTTCCTCATTAATGCGCCCACAACACGACAGTATAGAAAGTTGAAGAACGGCCAATTCAGTCTTATGCAGTCTAAAACGAACACAGTAACAAAACCAACAATTAGAAATGGGTTGACAAGTCTGTAATCAACACCTTTGGTGTAGTAGTATAGCGTAATGAAACCAATCGAGGAATGAAACAGCTTTCTTGGAATCTCATGCTTTGTGATGAAATCACCAAACCATTCGTGGGACTTCAAATGTATTTCTGTTACAGGCAAATGTATGTCCTCCGCATGTTTGTATTTTGGATTCTTAGCATCATACATGGGATCCACTCGACTTCCTGTTCTTTTCCTGTTCTTTATATTTGAATCTGAGTTCGAATTGCTCTGAGAATGCGACATATTATCTCTCGATTTTAATCGTTTCCTTGTCCTTGATGGGTAATAGTGATCCAGGATTGAATACAAGTGTCAAATTCTCCTATATGGTATTCAATAAATAATATAATGGAGTATGGTTAATATACAAAGACTATGAGACAATCAAAAATAGTGACTATTTAATAATATGTATCCCAACTAGCTTTATAATTCACATGTACAAAGTTTGTTCTGTTTGGTGATGGTAGGAATATTTTAGTCGTCTTCTACGGATAAGTTATTTGATCTCGTAGTGGCTATAGATAAATATGCATCGCACAGTGTTATTATTATTAAGTATAAAATATTATTATATTTATTAAAAGAGGGGTTTTTATATAAGTTATTTATATAATGAAAAATTATTTGTATTTGATAAAATTGGCTTGGACAACTAATACTTGTAATTTTCCTACCTGCAGGGTTTTTTGTTACAATATTTCCAAAAACACAATAAAACCATCCAATTCTTAAACATTCATTGTAGGACTTTGTGTTGTTGATGTATATCCCAATCCGCCGGAATTCTGATAGATACAAGAGAAAAAAATAAGATCTATACTTGTTAGCTGCTCAAAGGTGCAAAGTCTTATTCAATTGGTCTTAATGGTTGTTGTGGGATGTTACCTTCGATATCTTCATTGTTCCCATTTCCTCCATCAACAGGTGGGATAGTTATGACTGGGTGAATGGCTTCGGGTTCATCCAATGGTTTGTTCAAAATGTTCATTATACATTTCTTCAAAGGATATAGCTTACCTTCAATAACACTTGTAATATCTGTCATCCTGCCAATGACAGCTGCATATATCAAGGATTGACTGTCAATGAAAGTCATTAGAATTTCATTAGTACTATTAATTAAGAAATATATCACTTCAAAACAACGTAGAGATTCATCCTCGGCAATAACGACATTACCGCCATCAAAATTACTGATTCTGACCAGGTTTTGGTTGTTGTCAACACCAGGAATAACTGTTGAGTTTGTAATCATTGAGATAATTTTATCGGTTTGTTCAGTACGACCTAGTTGTCTGATTTTAATCTTGTCCTTTTTGGCGTTGGCATTTGTTCTGATTAGTATACACGCTTTCCTACCACCAAGTTTTCTTACATTTTTTGGTGCCACGATAGATTGACCTTCTGGAACTACACTAGCAACAATAAAATTATGACCGTTTCGATTACGCTCAGTGTCTTCATCAAGAGGTGGTCGTGGGAACTCTACTTCTTCATCTGGTCTTAGGCATGGAATGAGGGACTCAGTGATGGTCATCAATTTATCGATAAGTCTATCAATCTTCGTTGTAATTGGTGCCAGATTGATCATCACTCTTGAATTTAAAAACCTTTCAGCACATTCCTCAAATCTACCAGCCAAGCGACCTTCGTCAAATCTGTTTATGAAGGGAATAGCGGTAATGTGTTGGACAGTTTTGTACTTCAGAGTGACATTGTTGATGGCGTTTACTGGGTCTGGCAGAACAGCAGCGGCATCAACCTCATTTTGAGTAGCGTTGTTATCGTTACTAGGGTTTATGTTGCCGGGCAAGACAATATTTTGCTGTACAGCATGGCTCTTGGACCTCAAGGAAAACCGCCTTTTTCTTCTTTCGGCGTTGCCATTATTACCATTAGCATCGATATTGATATTGTCATCAGGAGGAGCGGGGCAAAGTGAGCAAATCATAGCGACTTAGAGCTGAAATATGATATTGATATTTGTTTGAATTTTTATTTCTAGGATATGAGAATTATTGCTTGGATAATATTTTTTTGTTTTTTGGAAATATTTCAGGAAAGCAATACTGAGATATTAGACGCGATAGCAAAGATATAATTGAACGTTTGACAAATAATTTTTAAAAAAAAAGCTAATATAGATTTTTATGGAGTTTTGTTATATGATATGTCGAAAGCTTTTTCTTTTTGTTATTTGATCTTGTTGTATTGCGAAATAAGGAAAACTGTAATACAAAAGCTGCTGTTCATATAAGTACAAATTATTAAGGAAGTTCATGAAATATTGTGCCTTATATAGAACATGGATTAAGCCCAATAGTTCCAAGTGGTAATTGGAAATCAACTTTTTATTTTTGTGGGCGTTAAGCCAGACACAATAACAGAAAGAGGAATACAGAGAACAAATAATTAGTCATGTGACTTTTTGTGTTTTCTTGTATCCAAACGATACTTTTAACTCCATAGGATGTAGCCAATCCCATATGGTAGCTGCTAAAGTTAAATGAACGCTCTGTATATGAATGTATGAAAACAATAGGCATATTTGTGAAGACTTTTTTACACTACTTAGAAATTTTTTATGTTTTGTCCCTGAAAACAAACTTAAAAAATATATAATAACACATAAAAATCAAGGAACATAGTCGTCCTGTTTAGAATTATGTTTTTGTCTATTTTACATGCTGTCAGGTATGTTTAAAGAAATAGAATGTTGTGTCCTCGCACACTACCCTCTTTTATTCTTTCTTTGGCTCATTGGTATGTGGCGGTTATATCATTAGGTATGAATTTCACATATGAACTACATACTTGAAACTTGTTTCCGTCATCCGCAACGTGCTGTTTTGATCTACAACAAGAGTCTTATTATGAGACCTCACATAATCTTCCCATTTGTAATTAAGTTTGATTACATAGGAAAGGGTTTTTTTTCATGATTGATAGTCACTAGAGCAAACTTCGCTATGACATGAAGCTAAACATACACAATGTTGTGAGGTATACCATTCATAACCTAGGTAATATAGAGCAATTCACAGCATCCTTGCCTCGAGAGTAATGTCTTTAAGTGCCGCAGTAAACACTTGAACGACTTCAATACAACTATCAACTCTCTTATAAACACGCATTCCTAATCGGGAAACTTATAAACATCTTATGTAATCTGGAGTTACCGTTCATCTCTATTTCATACGTTTCCGAAAGAAATCCCCGCACAAACAGAACGAAAAACGGAAAAAGAAAAGCGGGAATTATATACGCACCGGGAAAAACACCGATTCCTAATCAGGAATTTGATAAACATCGATGAACTTGTTTCATATGCTCGTGGAGGGGTGGGGGGGGGACAAGTTGCAGTGAGTAAACAAACTTTATAGTGAGATTACATACTAAAAGGACAGTCCATTTGTAGACTATTGCTTGGCGAGTTGCGATTATTAGCACAAGCCGTGCAGTCATACGCCCTATTGATAGGACTACTGAGCCACTCAGCCTCAACTCAGGTTTCATGTTTCTACCCCATCGTGTTTACCTGTGTTATACTCTCGAATAGGAAATAGTTGCTTGGCACTCCCAGGGTCTTCCCATATCCATTCGTACTTTCATGTTCCAGTCAGATGGTGTACGTACAGCAGTTTCTTTCCTGATGACCCACCCCACCTCCTGCGTTATAACACCTGTGTAACATGTAAACAAATAGAAAAATGAAAAATAACAAAACTAGAGCACCTTTAAGGCAAGCAATGCCATGCGATGAGATCTGACATCAAAAGCGGAATTTAAACCCATCTGATATTTGCTTCAGCTATGAGCAATAACAAGTATTTTCTAAGATACGCACCCACAACCACACTGCTGCAGTTAAAAGAGAACTTTAACTTCCTCCGTGATTTTTCATGTATGTTATACTGTGGAGGAGTGAAAGGAAATCTCCTGTTTGCCAAAGACAAGGTTAACAAGAGATGAGCTGTTTTTCGATTACTGCATTTCTTGCCATGATTTATTTATTTATTTTTATTCAACACTTTTTCTCCTTCTATGCGCTCCTGCTGATAACTTGCTGACCATTTTGATTACTCGTTCCTTTGTTTTGTTTTTTTGTCCATGACATTCAACATTCTGGTTGCGAGAGCAGTTATTTATAGAGCGAGACAACTATAAAAGACAATCTAAAAATACATTTCTCAACTGGCTTTTTCCCTTAGTCTCTTTGATAATCATTGTGATTAAGTAACCTTTGACTATATTTTTAGATATATATACCGATTTATTTTTCCCTTTAATTTTAAAATAGACATCCGTTGCCATACAACTTTATTACCGTTAATGTCACAGCAGAAATAAGAGGCTCATAATCCACTATAGTTTTTGATCTACAATTTTGATAAACACTTTGATAAACACTTTGATAAACACTCCGATACATTTACTCTTTGCTTCTACGCACACAGTTCGCTATAATCACCTTCATAGAAGACCGCTCGCTAATTATTCACCCCTCACAATTAACATAACAGATAATGGAAGATATATGCCTTACGCCCAACGGGAAGCTGGTGCGGGCCAGCGTATGCCCCGAGACGCCCAACAAGAAGCGTAAGCGGCTGCCGGACCCGTGCCCGGGCGCTCACGACCACATCACCCCTTCCAAGAGCCAGCGCCAGCGCGGCAGGCTCACGTTCCAGCCGCTGTCCCCCGAGTACGAGGACGAGGACGAGGAGGAGCGCCACTTGCAAGAGGAACAGTTCCAACTTCGCATGCGCAGGCTGCGGTGCAACGGCAGCATCAGCCCTCTCAGCGAGCCTGAGCTCGATCAGGAGCTGGAGCTGGAGCTGGATCTTGGACTGCAAGGTCAAGGTTCAGTACCGCTGCATAAAGCACACACACAGGAGATAAACGCAAAGGTCCAGCAGGGCCTCACCCTACCGATGCACAAGAAGGCAACAGTACCACAAAAGCAAGTGCAAGTAAAAGTGCAGCAACAAATACAGATACACGGGAAGAAACACACGCCACGCCACAAGGTCATGAAACCCACGCGGTCTATCCTCAGGATAGCGCACGGGAGTCTGAACTACGTGGTGAGCTCAAGCCGGGGCTCTGTCGCGGACGCTACCATATACGCGACAGAGATCAACGCGACGACAACCACAGAGAAGATGCCCATGGTCACGCAGCCCTGGGAAAAGCTTACCATCCCCGTGAACACCGCCATCAAGGACAAGTACAGACGCATGAAGGCAGAGTACTTCCACGAGGAGACGCTGGACGCCCAGCTTCTCGAAGTCCCAGACGCCGCCATCATCCGCGGCCTGGCCTTCTCCCCGAGCACGAGCTCAGACTGAGTAACGACATGTAACATTAATCTATGAACCATTCCAAAAGTGGACCCCAAAAAGAGAGGACCCCAATTACTGTTTTATTATATACATTCCCAACAACCAGCCATATATATTATATACATACACTTACACGAATACACGCATGATACATAATGATAAACGGACATGGCGGGAATTTTTTCTTCTTTTCTCTTCTCCGTTTCGAATCCCACTACATTCGCGCAGGGAGGACGTGGAAGCACAGAAAGTACACCAGGAAAGTACACAGAAAACTCCGCACAGAGCAGTTGATGAGATCTAGCGTTTTGCTTTTTGGCATTTCTTTTCCAAAAACACCGTGCTGCGGGTGTTTCTGTGCTGCATGTGCTTTTTTTCTCTTCAGTTGTGTGTGTTTTTGTGTGTTTTTGTTGTGGTCGTGCGGGACTTTCTGTGGAGATTGACACAACGAAGCTGCAGAAAGAGGAAAATTGGGGTTTCGCTGCTCTTTAGGGTTTTTGGCCGCGTCATCCGGGGGAGTATAAATAGCGGGTACTTTTTTCTTCCCTGTTCATTGTTACCCGTGGCAGCGGCAAACACTCCATTGCGAAAGATCTGTTTAGGTTTAGGGACAAGTAAATATGGCTGTTACTGTAACTGTAGGAGAAGCGCGCCCTGGGGAGACTGCTCCGCGTCGGGCTGCCAAGGTTGCTGAGAAGGCGCTGGACAGGCCGCCTAACATGAAGTGTTCTACTGTGTATGAGTTTATTCTTGAGTGTTGTGAGAAGCACGGCGGGAAGAATGCTATTGGGTGGAGAGATATTATTGACGTGCACGAGGAGACCAAGACTATTGAGAAGTTCAACAAGAAGAGCGGGCAGATGGAGAAAGTGGACAAGAACTGGCTGTACTACGAGCTTTCCGGGTACCACTACAACACCTTTACTGAGGTTATTGAGGTGATGCACTCGGTCGGGCGTGGTCTGGTTAAGCTGGGCATGGAGCCCAAGTCCGAGGACAAGCTGCACATATTTGCCGCCACCTCTCACAAGTGGATGAAGATGTTCTTGGGTGCGCAATCCCAGGGCATCCCTATTGTCACTGCTTATGACACCTTGGGTGAGAAAGGTCTGATCCACTCCTTGAAGCAGACCAGCTCTGCGGCGATATTCACAGACAACCAGCTTCTGGGTAAACTGATTAACCCATTGAAGGTCGCCGAGAAGATTAGATACGTGATATACTACGATAACATCTCCGCAGAGGACAAGAGACAAGGCGGGAAACTATATCGCGAGGCCCAGGAGGCTGTCGATAAGATCAAGGAGGTGAGACCAGATATCAAGCTGGTGAGCTTCGATGAATTACTGGAGTTGGGCCAAAAAGCAAAGGGCGAGATTGAACCACACCCTCCTACCAGAGACGACATCTCCTGTATTATGTACACATCTGGTTCCACAGGTGATCCTAAGGGTGTTGTCTTGAAACACAGCAACGTGGTAGCTGGTGTAGGTGGTGCAACCATAAATGTCTGCGACTACGTCGGTGACACTGACAAACTGATCTGCTTCTTGCCCCTGGCTCACATCTTTGAAATGGCTTTTGAGCTGTTGTCCTTCCATTGGGGTTCCTGTATCGGTTATGCCAATGTCAAGACATTGACTAGCGCATCTGTAAGAAACTGTAAGAGTGACTTAGAGGAATTCCAACCAACTATTATGGTCGGTGTTGCTGCCGTATGGGAAACTGTTAAGAAAGGTATTTTGAACCAGATCAACGAATTGCCTCGTGTCACCAAGGGTATCTTCTGGGCTGCTTACCATTCCAAATTGAAGATGCAAAAGATGGGTATTCCAGGTGGTGATACTATCGGTAATATCATATTCAAAAAGGTAAGAAAGGCCACTGGTGGCCATTTAAGATACCTTTTGAATGGTGGTTCTCCAATCAGTGTCAATGCTCAGGAATTTATCTCAAACTTAATCTGCCCAATGCTAATTGGTTACGGTTTGACTGAAACATGTGCTAGTTTGTGTATTTTGAACCCTGGCCATTTCGAGTATGGTGTTGTTGGTGATTTAACTGGTTGTGTCACTGTTAAGCTGGTCGACGTTGAAGAACTGGGTTACTTTGCCAAGGACAACAAAGGTGAAATATGGGTGAAAGGTGAAAACGTGCTCCCTGAATATTACAAGAATGAGGAAGAAACTAAGGAATCTTTAACTGAGGATGGTTGGTTCAAGACCGGTGACATTGGTATGTGGACTGACACCGGTAGTCTAAAAATCATCGACAGAAAGAAAAACCTAGTCAAAACTATGAACGGTGAATACATTGCATTGGAGAAATTGGAATCAGTTTATAGATCTAACTCCTACGTTCAAAACATCTGTGTTTATGCTGACCAAAACAAGGTTAAGCCTGTGGGTATCATCGTTCCTAACCACACACCATTGGTCAAATTGGCCAAGGAACTTGGAATAATGAAAAAGCAGGAAACAGACATCGAACCATACTTGCACAATAAAAAACTTCAAAATGCAGTATTTGAAGACATGATCAAAACGGCTAAGAAGCAAGGCTTAGTTGGCATCGAATTGTTACAAGGTGCTGTGTTCTTCGATGACGAATGGACACCTCAAAATGGGTTTGTCACCTCTGCTCAAAAACTTCAAAGAAAAAAGATTCTAAAGGCAGTTGAAAAGGACGTCGAAAGTGTGTACGCCGATTAATAGTTACCATCCAGCAATTGATTGCTCTGTTTTTTTCACTTCAAAACTTGTTGTTAATAACCCATGAATGTTCTAGTTCGAATTATTCCAGGATTTAAGGCATGCACCGCTCGCATTATGTTTTCTTAATTTTTTTCTCTCATTGGTAATTCATTATTTTTTTTTTTTTTTGGATCCTGCTAGTAGCAGCGGCTTTTTGTGAAAGACTATTAGTCCTGCATTTCACATAATCTCCAGTGTTTGAGCTTAGAAAACTGTCTGTATTTAATTGATGAGACTTTAAGTTTTTAAAAGTAAATGCTCTCGTATTTGTATTTCTCATTTAAGTTAGCTTAATTGCCACTATCCATTCCATGTACTAGTTGTATAACTAATAAGACTTCACACTCATTTCTTTTCAAATTGTGTTCAATACAACTGCCAGACATCAATGATACACACACACATTTTTATATAAATATATATATATATTTATATATATATACAAGTTTAATTACTTATCTATGGCCATATTCAAAAGAGCATATACGAAACTGGACACTTGAGTTCGACTGTAAAATCAAGGCATCTCCACTATTTTTTAACTTTCTCAGTAAGTATATTCAACAAAAAAATTGCTTATACAGATCAAATAATTACACTAACAATGGCAATAGAAGCAGTTCAAAAAAAATGAACTTTCTGCATGATTATCTCAAAAATTTTGTTGAGTTTTTTAAATCACAATTCTTAAAACATATCAATCGGAAGTTCACTTGTTTATTTACATTGAGAGTTCAATGCATTTTCTTAGGAGTTACAAAAGAAATAGATCATCGAAGAAAGTGAAAAACTTTGAAAAAATCAAAAATTAGAACTCAATCCGATGACTTGGTAGTGCAAGAGTTCTACTGTCTCTCAATTGTTACTTAAACGATTATAAGTGACACTGAGAGGCTTCTTATTGTAGACAGTGGTCAATCATTAGTCTTTTTTTAGCCCACCGAGATTCCTGATTTCGAACTTTTCCAGTAGAATTATCAAACATAAATATAATCCCTGCTGTGTGGAGAGGTACCTTAATTGTACTTAAATTAGCACAGGGGAAACTATTGTGACTATATTATAATTATCAATAGTATCACGCTAACATGAGTGATCCGGAAGCCACAATATATGTCGGTAATATAGATACAAAGGTTACAAAAGAGCTTTTGTATGAGTTGTTTACGCAAGTTGGACAAGTGAAAAAAGTTAAATATCCTAAGGATAAAATATCACAGGAGTACCAAGGGTTTGCCTTCATAGAGTTCTTTTCTACAGCAGATGCTGATTATGTGTTAAATGTCATGAACAATAATGTGAAGTTATATCAAAAGGTCTTAAAAATACGACGTTCCAACCAGGCAGTACAGAAAGATGATGCCAACAAGAAACATGAGCTTGATGCTTCTCTACTACCAGTAGCAAAAGTCTTTGTGAAAGATATCGCCGATACAGTGGAAGTACGACATTTGACACAGCTATTTAGCAAATTTGGTCCCCTGGCCAAGACTCCGGAAGTCTTCACTGTTTCTAATGGTGAAGTACGATGTGCATTTATCTATTTCAAATTTTATGATAACGCTGATCTTGCGATCCAAACGTTGAATGGCCAGTTCATTATGAATAAGAAAGCTAGTCTAGAGTATGCGTTTAAAGAGAATGGAAGGAAGAATCTGCGCTACGGTACTGAGGCGGATAGAATATTAAACAAAGAAGCCAGAAAAAATGGCATTCTGAAATAGTCTTCATTACAAATACTATATTGTTTCATCCGGGAAGCAATTATTATTGCCTTGTATAGAAAAGAAACTGACCATTTTCAAGTATTGGAAGACTACAAATAAAATTTCATTACCTTAGCTATGTACATAAATAGATACTCGTTCAATTATAGAAAGATTTCATGCGGCTTGAATCTCACTGGCTTTTGGGGAATCGTCCTTCGAACAGACCATTCTTTGTGTAAAGTATGACTCATAAATAGAATTCCATACATCACAATTCTTTTGATCCGCTGCGACATCCTTGGATGAAGCGGGGTCAACTCTACATTTCAGTTGATCAAAAGAGCTATACGCCCATGGTTTACCCAAAGGAAAATCAGAAAAGTGAATATACTTGTTGTTTAGAACCACTTCCTCAATGGACTTCTGTATCTCATTTCCCTCATCATCGATATTCTTGTAGCCCAGTATATCATTACGCATAATCATGTGTTCTTGTGGTTTTCTTATGGATCCAGTCAATATACCGTACGTGCCAAATGGTAATACAAGAATACTTGGCTTGAAGGCGGACCTCAGCTTTCTAAATAAAGTAACCTGTCTGGATACCACATGTCTCAAATTATACAGCTCCTCATTTATTAGATCCATATCGTATTTCTCTTTTTTGTTAACAATTCTTGGAAGACAATCATTAATAATATAATCGTAAGTTTCTTGTGATGGCTTAATGACCATCAGATTGGAGGCGAACTTCACTTTTCCAACTTTCTTCAATGAGTCTGCATCGAATAATGGAGATGCTGAAGATGTAGAGTCCAGAATTTCCTTGGCCACTCTATCCGAGTTCAAATACAAAGATTGAGGAAGAGCTGGTAAATGGTTATAAATTTCCTTCCCGTTTCTTATTCTATTGGATAATTGTTTTGTGTATTTGTTCAAATTAATACTCATTTTATCGTGTTGAACTTCCTTATAAGTCTTCTCCAAGTCTTTCTCTGACATGAACCAATATGTTAATGGCGCCGCAAATGTGATGTCATTTGGCAAAAAGAACAGTTCATCCATTTTATCCTGTAGGATCGCGTCGTTATCCAAATATATAATTCTTTCATATTCTGTTAAACCAAACACTAATAGTTTGGTTAGACTCTCATTCCACGGAGATTGATCAGTAGGCTTCACAATATTCTGAACTTCTTTAATAACAATCTGTTCAGAGTCTAGTTCGCGTATCTTCTTCAAGATCCTTTGAACTTGCTCATTTCTGGACTGAATCTCTGACTTGAACAACTCATTGGAGATCAATAACTCCAACTTAGCCTTTGTTCCAAACTTCTTGATCAACGCGTGAAACATAATTAAAGTGTTACAGAGGTAGTTTGGCTCAGTCACATAATTCACGTATGCATACTTGGACCAATCAATAGGTTTTGACGCACTCACTGTCTCCATTTTCGCCCGGTATAAATCATCGATGGTTTGTTTTGGTATCTGCTTAATATCAATAGGGTTGTACACGCCATGCAACCCATCTTTCTTCAACCTGAAGAACTTCTTGTAGAAACTAACTTCTCTTTCCAACTGAAATTCCATCAATATTCTGACAAAAATGGTTATACCAATCAAGGCAAATGCAACCAGGGCAAGCCCTTTCAAACGTCTTCTCGACACAAGTCTCATTTTTCAACGTTACTTAAAAGATATGCCTTATTGAAATCGCTAGCAATCCATATATAGCTTTAAACAGAGACCAGACTCGCAAAAGCTTCCCACCAGTTTATTCCTACAGCTCAAAGAGAATGAAAAGATAGTCCACCGGCATCTGGTTTTTATATTAACGGTACAAAAGTATGGACTCTAAGGTAAATAGGAAAATCCTTCAGGAACCAGTGACCCTGAATGAGTATGCTCATTGTCCACACTAATTCCCAAACTTACTAGAAAGTTGTTTTGGCAACTATGAAGAGATGGATTGGAATCCGGTGAAAGGTACGAATTCTTCTGAGCGAAAAAGGATGATTTACAAAAAATCATTAACTTCACTGCTTTGTAATTGTTCCCTGCTGATTTTTTCCAATTCTTCTGCTGGGCAAAAATTGGCTGAGAAAACCACGCAGAGCTCATAGTGTGATATAATCACTTCGTGCGTTTCAATTGAAATGCCAAAAAAAAATTTACTGGACGAGTTGGGAATCGAACCCAAGACCTCTCCCATGCTAAGGGAGCGCGCTACCAACTACGCCACACGCCCATCGATTTTATACAAATATCTGGTGGATCCTGCGTTTATGTGGCATAAGTTCATTTATCACGTGATGCATTTCCTCTATTATTTTGTTCAAGTACTCTTACTTATAGTGTACCAAATTGTATATCCTGATGCTGAGGTTAAGTATTTCCAAAAGTTGATCGGTATGAAATGGGTATTCTTTACAGTATTTTTTCACTGGATCTATTGCATTATATATTTACATTTGCTTAAACTATTTACTTTTCGTCTTCCTCTTTAAATAAAATATAGCGAACTAGTTTCTTATTCTCAGTACGAAGTAAATCTATTCTCTCCAACTTAACGTCCACATGATATTTGCCTTTGTATATAACTGTTGTGTTTTCATCCAGTTTCATTTCTCCGAGGAAACAAATGTGTAATGAATGGTTGTCGCCTTGAATAGGATACTCATATTTGAATGACCCGTAAACTTTCTCCGGGGATATAACCTCAAACAAATCAGAAGTGGATACATTGATCCAGTTTAATACATCGTCAATAAAACTTGAGATGCTTATCGGTCTGTGAGTGATACGCCATTTAAATACATAGGGAATTCGGTACCACGAATGTGAGCTCTGTCTATTGCTGTCGGGCTCAAATACTAAGCCAGTGACACAAGGATCTTGGTCTTCACACCACACAGAAAAATCACTCACGTGTGGTGCTTTGCCATTACTGTCTCTCAGTGGGACACCATACTCCTCCTGAATCATTTTATGCTGGGATAATCTCTCTAATACCCGCACTTCTGAAATGTCCTCAATCTTTTTAACACTGACTCGTCTTAAATCTCTTGTACTCAATTTCCTCACCCTTGAGCAGGGATATAACGGTATAAAACTTTGCTCTTTCAGGTACCAAACTTTATAACCAATAGTATAACCAAGTACTGCTGTAACAAATGCGGAAAATATGGTAATAATGCTTCTCTTCAGTCTTTTTCTTTTCTGTTCAGCAATAGCATTGGCGATTGATGACATTTCAGACTCACTGAGCCGACTATTGTTATGCAATGTACTGTTTTCGGTCCCATCGTTGACTGATGGAGTAAAGAAATGCTTCCCATCACGACCCTCTTTGGATTGGTTTGGATCATTTGTGGGGGGTTTAGAAAAAACATACCGTGGATCCTGCAGTCTTCCACCTCCATAATGTATTCGTCTTACTGCCACAGGTAATATAGTACTGCTTATCCTTGTACCAAGATATCGCTGCCACAACATTGTCCTTGATATATAGGTCATCCCAAATACCTTTTCTGTCGTGTTTCAATGTTCTGATTGGGGAGTATCAAATCGAATTTCTAAGCGATTGTTTGACTTTCTGAAGAGTTTCCTCGCTATCTTAAATACCACAGATAAGAGCAGTTCTGAGCTCTTTAGTAAACAAATGGTGTGATATTTCACAAGCTAAAACACTTTAACTTCTGCATTCCTGCCAAAAATCGATGCTTTGTTCCTTATAATCAAACTTCCCTTTTTTTTTCCTGTGTTAGCACCGCTCCCGTTCCTTGAAATATAAGAAAGCATAATATAAAAAATGATAATAGAAAACATGGATACAATTCGGACAAATGATCTAAGAATTTAGCTGCTAGTATATATATATACTTGAAAACTAACAAGGGAAAGTAATTCTTAAGAAAGAAAAAGAATGCAAAAATTAAAATTAAACAACCTAAAATAAGGCTTGAATGTAATAACTATTAATATAAAGGCATATTTTTTACATTATAATCTGACACATTTAAGGCAGCTATTCTTCATCGTCACTCTCATCTAGTACTATTCGAAACCTTTTTTGTCTCTTTGGGCTTGTTCCATGCTCTTCAGCACTACTTTCATCGTCTAAACTATCTCCACTAACAAAAGAATCAGGTTGCTTCTCATAAAAGTCTGAGTCATGATTATCGTCTTCAGCACTTGACCGTATTTCCTGAACCTCTTCAGGTTCTTCTTCTAGTACTTCATCATCATCAGCAATGAAAGAGTCCAAATCAGAATCTCTCTCTTCGTTATCATAATCTCCAGCTTCTTCCTGTTCCGCTATAGAATGGCCGCTATCATTATCATCATCATCTTCTTCTTCTGCTTCATCATCATGAAGGGATAACCTAGATCTCATATTTGCACTAGAAAATCTACTTGCTGCATGTTGTCTTCGACTTCCAGATATTGGTGTGTCTTCATCTTCATCGTCATATGAAAAATCATCTTCCTCATACCCTTCTGGCAAATGGGCTGGTTCAATTCTTCCATTACTTATAACTACTCCAGTATTTCTGAGTTCATCTTCAATCTCCTCGTACTCACCTTCACTATATTCATCTCTATTATACAAGTCTTCTCTTGTGCTTTCTGATGTACCATTCCCTCTCGGTATGCCATTCCTTATGCGTGCGGAACAATTTGGACATTCATTGGTATCTTCATCAACATCCAGTTCCCATAGGCAGTTACTACAACGTATAATACCATCATCTGATTCATCTGCGATTGCTTGGGCAGAGCTCTTGAATATATTTCCAAAAAGATCATCTGCTTTCTTATCATCCTGGTATGTTCTCACTTCTGCGGACTGTGCAGACATCAATTTCTTATACCTATCATCGTCATTCTTCTTAACACCCAAGATGTCTAATGTGTTGTTCAACCAGCTTTGCAATGCAGTATTAACTATAGGTATTCTGTTTACAATAGCGCGACATTCCGGACAACTTAATCCACCACGGTTGGTATCGCTGCTGAACCATGTTTTAAGACAAGTATAACAATAAGAGTGCCCACATTCAGTGGTCATGGGAACAAACATGTAGTCATGACATATGGAGCATATCGTAGTATCCAGTAGCTTCGATAGTATCTTATTCTTGGTCTTTTCGCTTCTGTGAAGTACCAATGTATGCAGTGGATCACTCATTATCTTCTTATACACTATTGATTGTGTTGTCAGGATCTAGAGTGTCTATTTGCTGCCCACCATCAAATTTAATTCTTAACTACTTGGGGTTATATAATACCAAATCAAATCGAATGATAAGGTTCGCACTATGCACGAGATAGGGTTCCACTAACTCATTACTATAGTAACAGTTATTTGAATTAAGTTTCTAAATATTCATCAATAGATGCTGAAAATCGTTTATTAACTAGTATATAAATCGTAACTAAGAGGTATTTGTAATAAATCATTAATATACACAGAATATTATATGGATGCATTTTAAAGAGAATATATTGCTAGCAGAGTGACGTTAAAATCTGCCATGCAAGCTTTTTACAAATCCTCAATGATAGCATATCCGCTTGGAGAGTGTTCAAATGACTTTCTATACCTGTCTATCTCTTCATCCTCCACATTTTCGAGTATTGGGGAGTATACTTTTGTGACAGACTCACCATAGTATGCACTGCTGTCGCTGTCAGATACGGCGTCAGACACAACATCAGAAGAATCGGACGTGTTACCGTCTGTGTTAGTATTGAGCTCATCATCGGTAGAGATATATGCTTCATCTTCTTCATTTTCTTCCTCGGAGCTCTGGTGAGATAGATCTGATCTTGGATCTGGAAATACTTCATTGGCATGATTTACTGGTTGAGCGAAGACCGAATTATTTATATTATGTCCTTCAGATGCTATTAATTCAACACAAAGCACAGCCTCGGTGTTCTTGTTGTTAATAGTACAGTATTTCATTCTGATGTCTTCGAGATTCTCACCAAAATTAAATTCCTTCTCAATTTTATCTGATTTACTGAACATAATAACTTCATCACCTCTGTGATTCAGTTCAAACTCGTAGTCATTGAACTGCTGGCGAGCAATCTTTCTCTTGATATCACCGATATCAATTTGAGACATAACTTTTTGTCTTAATTCCTCTTCGTCAGTTTCCTCTTCAACGTAGTACTGTCTACCGAAGATGTCCCTGACCACACTATAGCTAGGGACGTAGTATTTCTCAGCGAGAACAGAAACTTGGTCATTGATGGCCTTAGCGACAACATTGTGTCCAATTTTCTTGGAGAGTTGCAACTCGTAGTTACCGTTACCTAGCTTCTCAATCTTGTAGTTCATTGAGTGCTGCTTCTTGTGGCTTCTAGCTCTTGAAGCATGTTTCTGAGTGTGCTCATTACCGCCAGTCTTATTGTAGTTCTTGTAGCAGCGTCTCTTACCGTGAGGAGCGTCGACCATCATGTCAGAGAAAATAGGCATGGCACTAAATATGTCATGTGGGAAAGCGGCATCGTTATTGTAAATGGAAGGCAATGTAGCCATACATGGACCGTTAAAAATATCTAGCATTTTTTGAGTAGTATTAATATATGTTTCCTAAGGGTTTGTATATCTTAGTAAAAAAACTTGGGTAAGTTTTAAGTGGTTGTCTTGTCTTGTATTAGTTGTATTCTACAATATTAATTTAATAAAATTAGGATGTCCTTAGAAATATACAAATTCAGGGTGTTTATATACTTTTTCTACTTTATGATTCGAGAACCATACAGTCAATAGCTATTAACAGTGGCAATGTAGTGGATCCTTCGAGAAGCCCACTATATTCCATTACATTCGATAATTAGCGTAAATCATCTCTATTAGTAACGCCATAATTAAATTAGAGATCTATATTTTGCTAACAAACGCTGTGGAAACATGCCAAGTAAAAATGATAAAATAGAAGCACTATGAATCTCATAGAAGGGATGGGAACTTCTATTTCTTCCAGATGATTCTCGCAGATTCGATTACACTAGGAGTGTGCCTCCCAGGTATTTGAGATAATGTCCACTACGGTAGTTTCTTCGTGGAAAAGTGTACCAGATATAAAGGGCAGGAAATGTTCTAGAAGGCTCCAGGGTTTTCTGGGGGAGTTGCACAGAGGCGGACCAAAAAAAATTCGACCTCGGTGAGGATTGAACTCACGATCTTGCGATTAACAGTCGCACGCCTTAACCAGCTTGGCCACGAAGTCTTCTTGTTATATACTTTGAGAAGTGTAAATTTAAGTCTATACACCATTAACCAGGATTTTTGCTGTGCATTGTAGTCTCAGCCTCCGAACCCACACACGGACATTTGCTGACAGCTAATATCACCGCCTGAAGATAGCCTAGTGCTAGGCCTGAACAATCCCTGTCTCTTGTAACATAAAGTATGTATTATATATGATATTGTGATAAATATAATTTTTTAATACATTATATAACAGATTTTATATAAATATAACCTCAACATTATAACATATGAGCAGTACCTTAAGTAGGAACCGAACAAGGGAAAAAATATAGGAATAGAAAAACAAAGCTCATAGTTATAAAAGAGAAGGAAAAATGTTAACTAAATTTTTTTATAAAGTCCCAAAAATGTGAAATACTTTACTGAGTAAAGAAGTTACTCGCTTATAAAACAAAAGGAATTAAGGAAACAAATAAAAGAAAAAAAATAACCGAACTGGAAATAAAAAATGAAAAGAACTCAAATATTAACAGCTGTGGTAATATAACGTTTCCCTCCAGCATCAATTGGCTGGGAAGTCGGACATAAAACCAAGCCGTGTACATGAAAGAAAGACGAAAAATAAGGTGATTCTATCGTAAACATAAAAGCAGTACTAAATTACTAGAGGATGTTAATTCAAAATATGGAGCACGAGAAAAGATCAATGCTTGAAATTGGAACTCTTACAGTTCCCAGTCAATTGATTTTTCGGGAATGTGTAGCCAGCCATCTTCCAGCTTGTCAAATTTGCATTATAATACGCATTTTTGTGGGATTCAATGTAGTCATACGTTGGATAGTCTTCTGGGTCACAAGTCAATGACACGGCATTTTCTGGTTGATATAGTCTCACATAGTCTATTGACATAACCACGGGGAAATAAATCATCTGCCAGTCAATATACGCCCAATTTGGTGAAATACCCAAGTTCATAATAATAGACATTGGCTCTTGACTAATATACCTCCAATCAATATTACCATTAGGATGAAGAGCTGTCGAATACATGGTGAACGTTGGATTATCTCCTACAAACCATCTGATGTAACCTTTGTTCTTATCGTTTAGATATTCGATTGCAAATTTCTGGAATTTACCAGAGCCTTCTCCAAATTCATACCATGAGGCATTTAAAGTTGTCACAGCAGAGATCGCTTGTTGAAATGGCCCACCACAGTAAGTATTCATAGTGGTAGTGCTGAAGTTGTAGATTTCAACAAAATTATAATCAGGGATGTACCAAATGTCGAATGGCGCAATTTGTAACGATTGAGATGCCACACCTACACGAAGCTCAGTGCTTGCTTCTGCCTCCAGAATATCAAGTTCAGGAGCACCTCTACCAACACCTGGGTTAGGATGATCTTCTCCATCACACGTACAAGCACTTAGCTTTTGGCCTGGCAAGTATGATAGTCCGTCTGGTGAACTCTGGTTGGGTGTGATGCCTGCATCACAGGAAGAATAAGAGTATGGCCAGACACCTTCAGTGGATGCTAGGTAACCTGGTCTGCCAAGGTTACCCATTGTCCATAAACCTGGCCACAAGCCACTGATTTTACCATAATTGGGCAAGTTGGCAGAAATCTCCAAAGCTCCTTGAGTAAAGCATAATTTGTTCCAGCTCTGTACCATACCAGATCTGTAGTATAGATTGTGGTTTTTGAAAGCGTCCATTCTCAATTGCAAGGTACCGTTTCTTGTTGTGGTCGCATCTGGGGAGTACCATTCCAAGTCCTTTGTTGCATCGTAATGGATATCTGGGGCGGTCCAAAATTGATCATCTCCGTCGTAGAAAGTCCTTCCGGCAGCGTTAAATTCATCTGAGAAGACCAGCCTCCAATCACTGCCGTCCTTGGCTTTTCTAGTCAAGGCGCTCTGAGGGGTGTCGGGGTCCACCAGCGATGTTCTGATGGCCGACAGTTGAGGGTATTGGTACAGGGACAGCGGTACCGCGTTGTGGTTTGTGAAGTTTGTGGAGTTCGCAGGGTGTATGTTATTGTCGTGGTGGTCTACTGCGCCCGAGTATGTTAGCACTGGCAAGATGATGAACAAGGCGATGGCACCGAGGAACAAGAACAGCACGCCCAGTATACCACCGAAGGATTTCTTGTTCATGTGCTTCAAGTCCTCTGAGAACCTGTGTTTGTCCAGCCTAGCTTCTTCTTCTGGGTCCGGGTTGTGCAGGAAGTCGTCGTCCTCTTTCTCATCCATGGACAGAGGGAACGCCGATGCTGGGTAGCCACCGAACGGGGAGAAGTCCTGGTCATCCAGAAACATGACTGAGGAAGGCACTATCAATGAGCTCTCGCCGTCTGCGAGTTTCTCGTTTTTGAAAGGTGGCGGAGGTGAGTCGTTCTTTATGAAGTTCTGTCTGTAGTTGCTGAGATGCAACCGCGAGCCCACTAGCGGGTACCTGTCGAAAGCAGGTGGCGCACGTATATCGTTGCTCGACAGGTCAGAGTAGTTGCCTATGTTCAGGGGCGGAGTTATAGAGCTGGAGTTCTTCCTAGAGTTTGCAGAGTAGAATCTGCTGGGGGACCCCTTGTTGTGCTTTGAGTAATAGCCCTTGTAGTCGGCTGCCATCTTCTCATTCAAGGAGGCAGGGTTGCTATTACTGCCAGAACTGCTAGTGAAGTGGTGTTCGGGAGCGATTAGATCGGGGGTATGAGCCAGCTCATAGTTGTTATCGTGTGGTAGCAAGTTTTGGGAAGAAGAAGTAGAGTGCACATCCTCTTCACTAGTGGTAACGAAGGGGTTACGTAAGTTTTTATCATTTGCCATTTGCTTATGTTCATTAGCGATTGAAGACGAGGAGCTGGATAGTGCTGAGCTGCCAGCATCCCTATTAGCGTCGTCTGGGTGGTTCCCAGTAAGGTCTCTATATGACATTAGGAATTTTTTTTATCCTAGAAGTTGTAGAAGATATGGAATAAAACCGTTTCTTATTGTAAGTCTATGATATATTGTAGCGGTATTCTATTAGAAAATAGAGAGAGTTGTTATTTTTAAGCTTTTCAATTCAATTATAGTAGTTATTTTATTTTATTTTAATTTTTTTTTTTCAGTGTGAAGAAAAGGAGATAACTTCTAATTTTAAGGATTGACGTTTTAAGAATAGGAAAGCCAAAAAGGATGAGTATCCCACTGAGAGAAATGAAAAGGTTGTTGTATTCGTTAGCACAATAAAGTCTTTGACAATGAATTTAATCCGTATCCAATCCCTACATTACGAAGTTGTGAAAGGTATGATGAACTTGTTAGTGAACTTGTTGGTGAGCTTGTTGATGAGCTTAATGAACTTGTTAAGGAAATTTAGAAGGTTCGAAATGACAGAGCTACTACTGGCTTATCTGTGGAAAATGGGTAAAAAATACAAGAATCATTAGCAGTAAGATGGGATTCCATGGCATTTGGGCAAAATGAAGGACGTTCGAATTACCCGATTGGGACATGTTATTGAGTATTGCACAGAGAGAATCTGTAATTCTGTGAATATCAAGATTCCTGCTGCATTTCTCTCTCCCTCTATGAGCGAATATAAAGTGCGTGGGGGGGGGGATAAGAAGGGAGGAGGGAGGGAGGGAGGTCAAATAGTATGAATGGGGTGATTCATTGCCTAATGCGGTAATCATCAAAACAAGTTTATCCGACATGGTCTTGAGAAAGAGAGGAGCACTTGTTGTACGGCGATACTTGTAACCACCCACGGACGTACTGACAGAGTATTCCCCTCCCCCGTACCAAATGGTTAATACTTAGCATAAAAAGAAGAAAGAATAAAAAATTACTGGACGAGTTGGGAATCGAACCCAAGACCTCTCCCATGCTAAGGGAGCGCGCTACCAACTACGCCACACGCCCAATTAATCAGTTATTCTTCCAAAGTGCTAACATGCATTATATATTATAGAAAAAGCAGTTGTCACTTTTCTTTTTATTTGTGTATGTGAACATTGAAAAGATACAAATAGTGCATCTAATACAATCTCTCTAAATAGATTTGACGAACTGCATTGATGGTTTTTTTCTCTGTTCCTTTCTAGTTTATTTCCTTGTTCCTGCGTTTTCAGCATTGAATGAGAAATTTCATATTGATCAGCCTTCACAAATTGAATATTGAAAACGACACACCAAGAATAAGTCATGATAAGAGGCAGTAATGGCACTGACACACAAAATAACAGTAACATGAAATAAGAATAAGGCAATAATAATAAAAAAAGAACATATTAATTTTTTTACTTAATTTTGTTAAATGTAGACGAACTATAGCTTATTATATAATCCCTATAGGATTATTTTACTTTCATGGGTAGAGAAGAATATTTAGTTAAAACAAAGTGAACAACAATATGGTCAAAACTGTAGTGACACCGATCTTAGTTTGCTTCATGGATGATGCAGCATTCTTGTTTATTTGTTGTATTGTTGGGGCAGCGGAAGCACCAGGATTTCTGCCACTAGCACTGGATTGTTGCTGAACAGCAGCCGAGTTACTTGCGGAAGCCTTTGGTGCAACAGCTGATCCAGCGTTGGCTGCTGGGGAAGCACCGTTGGAGCCAGCATTGGCTGCTGGGGAAGCACCGTTGGAGCCAGCATTGGCTGCTGGGGAAGCACCGTTGGAGCCAGCATTGGCTGCTGGGGAGGCACCGTTGGAGCCAGCATTGGCTGCTGGGGAGGCACCGTTGGAGCCAGCATTGGCTGCTGGGGAGGCACCGTTGGAGCCAGCATTGGCTGCTGGGGAGGCACCGTTGGAGCCAGCATTGGCTGCTGGGGAGGCACCGTTGGAGCCAGCATTAGCTGTTGGTTTGGTTTGTGGCTTGTTAGTTCCTGAAGGATTGTTTCCCGCAGCACCCTTTGTTCCAGCAACAGTTCCGACGTTACTGTTAGAGTGGGAGTCAGCCTTTGGAGTGTAAGTTATTGAGGTAATTACTGGTTGGCCGAATTGATTAGTTGTAGTAACGCCAACCACTGTCTTGGTGTCAACACTGCCATCCTTGTTAGTTAAGGTTGTTGTATGAGCGTTGTTCAACTTGGTGGTAGTTGTTGTGATAGTAGTTGGCTTACCATTAGAGTCTGTAGTAGTAATATGAGATATCACATTGGTTTCAATAACACCGTTACTGTGGGTGACAGTAGTTGTTCTGTCTTTGCCTGCACTAACATCACATGGAACAGTAGTTGTAATAGTAGTTGGCTTACCATTAACGGTTGTAGTGATATGTGATACTACATTGGTTTCAATAACACCGTTACTGTGGGTGACAGTAGTTGTTCTGTCTTTGCCTGTACTAACATCACATGGAACAGTAGTTGTAATAGTAGTTGGCTTACCATTAACGGTTGTAGTGATGTGTGATACAATATCAGTTTCAATTTTGCCATCTGAACCTGTGGTAGTAATTGTGTAATCTTGGCCGGATGGTGTAGAAATGGCGGAAGAGATTGAACTGGAAATAATGCTAGAAGATGATGAGGACATGCTGGATGAAGAAGATGAGGACATGCTAGATGAAGAAGATGAGGACATGCTAGATGAAGAAGGTACGATTGGTACGGCATTTCCATTGTTATCTATGGTATACGTGGTTGTAATAGTAGTTGTGTGACCTTCAGCATCAGTGGTTGTGATAGTTTGAGTAGTTTCGCTCACATATTGAGGTTCAGCATCAATTAATGTCTTGAACATTTCAGTATAAGTACTTGTAATGGTATGGCCATCGCTGTCGGTATAAGTAGTAATATGCACAACTTCAATTATTTCTTCTCCATCAACGGTAATGGTCTTACTAGTACCATCTTGTGCAGCTGTTGGAGACTGGTATTGAGTCAAAATGACAGTTGGCTTACCATCTTTGTCGGTAGTAGTGATGTGGGAAATGATATCGGTGTGCACATGGCCATCCTTGTCAGTGACAACTGTAGTCTTATCCTTACCATCGTCAACTGGGTTGGAACCACCAGAGCCACCCTCACCAGAACCACCTTCAGAACCAGAACCACCTTCACCAGTACCTGGGTTAGAGCCAGAACCACCTTCACCAGTACCTGGGTTGGAGCCAGAGCCACCCTCACCAGTACCTGGGTTGGAGCCAGAGCCACCTTCACCAGTACCTGGGTTGGAACCAGAACCACCTTCACCAGTACCTGGGTTGGAACCAGAACCACCCTCAGAGCCAGATCCACCTTCACCAGGAGATGGGGTTGGAGACTGGTATTGAGTCAAAATGACAGTTGGCTTACCATCTTTGTCGGTAGTAGTGATGTGGGAAATGATATCGGTGTGCACATGGCCATCCTTGTCAGTGACAACTGTAGTCTTATCCTTACCATCGTCAACTGGGTTGGAACCACCAGAGCCACCCTCACCAGAACCACCTTCAGAACCAGAACCACCTTCACCAGTACCTGGGTTAGAGCCAGAACCACCTTCACCAGTACCTGGGTTGGAGCCAGAGCCACCCTCACCAGAACCACCTTCAGAACCAGAACCACCTTCACCAGTACCTGGGTTGGAACCAGAACCACCTTCACCAGTACCTGGGTTGGAACCAGAACCACCTTCACCAGTACCTGGGTTAGAGCCAGAGCCACCCTCACCAGTACCTGGGTTAGAGCCAGAACCACCTTCACCAGTACCTGGGTTAGAGCCAGAACCACCTTCACCAGTACCTGGGTTGGAACCAGAACCACCCTCAGAGCCAGATCCACCTTCACCAGGAGATGGGGTTGGAGACTGGTATTGAGTCAAAATGACAGTTGGCTTACCATCTTTGTCGGTAGTAGTGATGTGGGAAATGATATCGGTGTGCACATGGCCATCCTTGTCAGTGACAACTGTAGTCTTATCCTTACCATCGTCAACTGGGTTGGAACCACCAGAGCCACCCTCACCAGAACCACCTTCAGAACCAGAACCACCTTCACCAGTACCTGGGTTAGAGCCAGAACCACCTTCACCAGTACCTGGGTTGGAACCAGAACCACCTTCACCAGTACCTGGGTTGGAACCAGAACCACCTTCACCAGTACCTGGGTTAGAGCCAGAACCACCTTCACCAGTACCTGGGTTGGAACCAGAACCACCTTCACCAGTACCTGGGTTGGAACCAGAACCACCTTCACCAGTACCTGGGTTAGAGCCAGAGCCACCCTCACCAGTACCTGGGTTAGAGCCAGAACCACCTTCACCAGTACCTGGGTTAGAGCCAGAACCACCTTCACCAGTACCTGGGTTGGAACCAGAACCACCTTCACCAGTACCTGGGTTGGAACCAGAACCACCCTCAGAGCCAGATCCACCTTCACCAGGAGATGGGGTTGGAGACTGGTATTGAGTCAAAATGACAGTTGGCTTACCATCTTTGTCGGTAGTAGTGATGTGGGAAATGATATCGGTGTGCACATGGCCATCCTTGTCAGTGACAACTGTAGTCTTATCCTTACCATCGTCAACTGGGTTGGAACCACCAGAGCCACCCTCACCAGAACCACCTTCAGAACCAGAACCACCTTCACCAGTACCTGGGTTAGAGCCAGAACCACCTTCACCAGTACCTGGGTTGGAGCCAGAGCCACCTTCACCAGTACCTGGGTTGGAACCAGAACCACCTTCACCAGTACCTGGGTTGGAACCAGAACCACCCTCAGAGCCAGATCCACCTTCACCAGGAGATGGGGTTGGAGACTGGTATTGAGTCAAAATGACAGTTGGCTTACCATCTTTGTCGGTAGTAGTGATGTGGGAAATGATATCGGTGTGCACATGGCCATCCTTGTCAGTGACAACTGTAGTCTTATCCTTACCATCGTCAACTGGGTTGGAACCACCAGAGCCACCCTCACCAGAACCACCTTCAGAACCAGAACCACCTTCACCAGTACCTGGGTTAGAGCCAGAACCACCTTCACCAGTACCTGGGTTGGAGCCAGAGCCACCCTCACCAGTACCTGGGTTGGAGCCAGAACCACCTTCACCAGTACCTGGGTTAGAGCCAGAGCCACCTTCACCAGTACCTGGGTTGGAACCAGAACCACCTTCACCAGTACCTGGGTTGGAACCAGAGCCACCTTCACCTGGACCAGGGGCAGGGGCAGGGGCAGGATATCTTGTTAGTATAACTACTGGCATACCATTTTCGTCTAACTTGGTTATGTGGGAAATGATATCAGTGTGAATACTTCCATCCTTATCTTTATAAGTAGTTGTTTTATCCCTACCATCATCTATAGTGATGGTCGTGGAACCTGTGATTGGTTTACCAATAGAGTTGGTTGTTGAGAAGAATGAAATAACATCTTGTTCTACTAATTGTTGGCCATCTACATTTTTTGTGGTTGTGATAGTAGTTGGCGAAGGAACGACAATGTATTCAGTGACTGTTGGGACAATGACTTTGACCAACGTATGTGGGGTAGGTTCACCGTCAACACCAGTATAAATGGAAAATATGGTAGAGGTTGTCTTTTCTAGCACATAAGCTGAACTCGTAGTTGTTGTCTCCATTGGAGGTGGCGAATATTTACAGTTGTCACAGCTTGGTAGAGTCCAGATATATCCATTCCAATCAGAATGTGTTAACCCATCTGGGTCAACAAAGGAAGCAGTAAGACTACCACCCTTCTCTCTGTTGTAGTATGCAATTCTTAATGGGTATGCAACACCTGCGACCATATAAACCGTTAAAGTTTTCTTTTTTGGATCATAGTCTGAAACTGAGACCTGATCATTAGTAGGGTTAGACCAAGAAGTAATATTACCACAAGGAAATGCAGCATCATTACCTAAAAACATGGCACTACCGTCATCGGTCAAATATAAAGCAAAGGTGTAAGTACCACTCTTTGGTGGGATGAAGTAACCACGGAATTCGATTAAAATATTTTGTGTTGGAATACTAACACCAAAAAGAGTGGTATCAGAGGCTGGTAGTTTGAAATTAGTTTGGGTAGTAATAGCTCTACCGATGGTCTTATGCCATTCCTTTGGGAATTGAAGAATAGGCCACAAACTAAAATTGATTAAAATACTTGGGTCAGCATTGTAGATTTCGGTATCAAAACCTGCGACTGCACCGTCCAAATTTGGGTACTGACATAAATTGGGAAAGTCTACCGGATTCTTGGCAGTACCAACTGTCAGGAACAGTGTCAGCCAAAAACAAAAGTTAATGACGTTTGAAAACATTTTTTCAAATATATTTGTGATGAACAAACGCTTGACTTCTAGTAAGTACTAATTTTGTTTAGTCCTTAGATTTAATGGTTGATAAACGCCCTTGTTTTGTTGATGTACTTTTAGTTTTGAAAAATATGAAAGGGAGGGAAATTATTTCAAATGGTGAAACAAGAAGCCTTTATATATTTGAAGAAAATGAACAAAACTTTTAGTAATCGGTTAGACCCCTTTCATAGTTTACAGGTCAGAGTAAGAGTCACTTTTTTGAGAGTGCGATGCGACTAATCATTGATGATTTCTTAGGGAGTACCAAATTTGCCTTAGCTCGAAAGGCGAATTCTATTCTTTGCATTTCCATCAATTCAAACCAAATTGTTCTACTTGATCCAGTATTTCTTAGATAATTCCTTACTTTTTGGGCTTTGAGAGAGAATCTTTTCCGAGATCATATTCGAAATGTGTATGCAATTCGTCCTGGTAAGGCAAAATCTTTAATGTATGGAAGTCGAGTTAAGTTGAGGAATACAGTAATAATCTAAATAGGGATGGGGGAGTTTTTGAAAGGCACAGATATTGGGTAGCATCGAAGCGTATTATTTAACATCTTCATTTGTTATGGATATCAAAAATAAAAGAAATAATTTAATATGTTAATAGCTCCTAATAACCTTCAGTTCTATAATTAGAAAAGCAACTGGGTAATTATCCGTTTTATTCTATCTACTTGGAATTAGTAGATCAAATCATGATTTATGTAAATTAATAAACCCTGCGAAGTATCAGCATGAGAACATGTGAGGGCACACCCGTGTTTTTCGAAAAGTCGACATTTACGTAATTATCGTATTTCCCGCTATATGTCTCATTCGCATGTCTATCTTCTAATTCAGGAATTTCGGGAAGTAAAGCTACCCAGCGCTGGTTATTAATTTGGGAGTAGTTTCAAAATTTCACATGGACCGCGGGAAAAAGGGAGCTTTGTAATTTACCGAGGGTTAAGTAAAAGTGTGCTAATGGTTGTTTGTAGATTACTTGCTTATTAAGAAACAGAAACTGTGAAAATATCCCGTAGAGCATAGAAAAAGAATGAGGATTGAAAAAGGAAGAGACAGAATCGAAATATCAAAACTTGGCAGTGCAGAAAGAGTGGACGGTAGTTATTGTGTGGTGAATCAGTATGCAATAAACAGAATGATTATGTGTTGATGGGGTCCATCAAACTGTGTACTCTCATATGAGTGTATGAATTACTGAAGGGATATAACGGAACATTTTTGGTAGTCATAGACCAATAATTTTTGTGAAAAAAAATTATTAGGAAAGATCAAATACGGGTTTCTGTTTTGATAATCCTTCCAAGAATTCATCTCAATAAAAAATATCATAAACCAGAATCATAAGAAAAGATACCCTTAACGGATGGAGGGGCAAAATAAACAAGTAAAACAAGAAAAGCAATAGGACGCTATACTAGTTAGAGAGAAAACACTTAGAATTTAGCGCAATTGTCTTCTTAACGGCTGTTTGTATGTTTTGTATGTTTTTTTCTTTTGATTATTTATTTCTTTGATCTAAATGTCAATATTGGATATAATAAATTTGTAATTTTCGGTTTTAATCCGAAACCTGATCATTAGCCTTCTAAAATTGAGTTACACTCTCAATTTTTGTTTAACACTTTTCTAATAATTAATTTTTCAAGTACAGCTTTACTTCGCGAGTTTCTTTACCACCAAAGTGGTAGTACCAGCTTATTTGATTTTCAAAGGATAAACAGATATACGATGATTCCTTTTTAAATGTAGATTAAAGTGACTAAATAGCACAAACGTTTCTAGGTTAACCTCTTATCATTGGGGTATTTTCAAATAACTTTTTTGTCGTATTTTACCGCATTCGGATTGTTAGCAACGGAAGATCCAACCTAACTCGAATATCGACAGAAAGGATTCGGTTCTATCATTGCTTGTTTGTGATGGATATTTGGTTTTCTTTTTTTTTTCAGTTTTGTTTCATTTTTGCATTTGACTTAGCTAAGATCGTGATCACACTCTTGTAAAGGGTAGAGAAGAGTTATCACTTGGTGTCTCTCTTGCTGTAATCATTGTAGAAAGATTGTAGAGACGTGGGAAGGAGCGAAGTTAGAAAGGGCATATCTGAACCATTAGTCCATGGCTCGAGGAAGGCATGCGAGAAATACAGCTGCCAAATTAACGTGTGGCTACTATGCTGGAGAAAGAATCGGAGGGAAAGGCTTATTGTTTTTTTGTCACAAAACTTAATCAACGTTAAAGGGCTAGAAATTGCAGTACATTGCCGGGCAACAGTTGTGTAGCAAAGCTAAGACAATCCCATTGTAATGCAATCAGTAGGAATATGTCTTTTGTTAGTAATAATTCTTTAAAAGAAAAAATAGAAGTTTTTCAATTTTTATTGACAATTGCAATTTCCAAATAGTAGGAAGACAGAATTCGAAGGTAAAATATGAGAAACATCAAAATGATAGATCTCTTTGAATTATCTTCAATTTCAACGACTTGACTGTGGCAAAAGAAGCAAATTTTTGTAGTAGAAAATGAACTTCCATTATAGTAACGGATCATCTAAGTTCAAACCTGGATTACAAATTCTTGTGTGGGTAATCAATGGGGGGGGTAAAGGGGAAGGTATTAAAGAAATCGTAATAACTTGAGTAAAAGTGAACAACTTCTTTCGATCCATTTACATTCAATAATCACAGACAAGGGCTGTATTCATTGTGGCTCTTGTGTAGGAACCGTCTTTCACTAATTCCGGTATAGGGGGGGGAAAGAAAAACATGACAGATATTTGGCATTCCGAGATATTTTCTAATTTTCTGTGATCCAATTCCTTTCTACTGTGATTAAGATAAGAGTCTGTTCTGAAATTTGGTCTCCCTCTCTCTCTTTCTCTCTCTCTCTCTGAGGTCAGTGTAAACTTTAGAAGGTCGGTGTTATAAAAAATCGAATGGCTCCTTTTCTCAGGATCACCTTATGGTGCGTCAGTCTCCTTCTGCGATTAGTCTACACACGCGTTTCTCAGCCAACCGGCAAAAAAGTAGATCTTGTATATTTCATAATATTCAATTCTCTGTGTTGATCTTTACTGGCAAAGAAAAAAAGAAATAATGACCACAGATACATAGCTAGAGTCCTTACTTTCATCCCCTCCCCTCCGTGAAATCGGTAAGGGCGGTGTTATAACAGAAAAAAAGAAACTAAAGCTTCTCTATGAAAGCACGAAGGTGGAGAAGGGAGGGGGGGCAAAATTCCAAAAAACTTTAACCATGACGAAATAGTTACGTCACCACCCAAGAGATTCAAGACATTTCACAATAGTTTTCCCGTGCAGTTCTTATAAACCGGGGAAGGAACCGGAAGAAGAAAAAGAAAGCTGACTGGGGAGACGGCAAAAAAATATGGGTTTGTCTACACAGTTTTACTGGGTCTCTCTCCACTGGTCTTTCATTTGAGATCTAAGAGTCAGCTTGATAGGTAGTCTAAGAAGGAGCGAGGGGTTAGCAAAAGGTCTCTCATATAAATTTTGTCTTGCCTCCATGTCTACGCCAATACTAATAACATTTTAGCACTGCTATATTTAGGACTAATATTTTTCATTTAATTACCATTTAAATTAAGAAAAAAGTAAGAAACAATTGTTTAGATAAGCTTCCAATAATCTCTACTAAAATTGTGCGCGGCGCAACGGGATATATATACAAAGGCTTACCCCCCCCCCTTCCAATGAAAAAAGAAAGAAACAATAGAATTAAATTTTGACTTATACTAATTGGAATGGGGTAGAAGAAGGAAACTCATTCTTTAGTAACTAGGATGTTAGAAGACAAGATCTCTCTCATATTTTCACCTTATTCCTCAATGGTACCATAGCTGGGGGGGAGGTGTTGCATAGTCCTTTCCCCTTCCCCCTTCCCTCCAACACAGTTTGAGATGGATGAGAAATATCATCCTGTTCAACTAGACATTTTTTCTAACTCTACGTCCCATAGAAATGGTGAGAAAACTTTCTTTTTCTATTACACAATGTAGTTATAATACGCTATATGACAGAGATGGTGCTTTTCTTTTCCAATAGTTTTATAGCCCAAAGTAGTAAAAACAATTGTAACTTCAGTATAATTCTTCCGGAATAGCCCAGTCGTAGTAAAAAAAACCCTGCCAACTACACTGTAAAAGCAACTAGAATCGCTTAACTTAGACTGTATTCAATACGAACAGATTACCCACATACAATATGCTATTACCATACCACCCGCGAGCACTGGTGGTAAGCACACACACACACACACACACACAGCCTGATTTTGGAAAGGCTTTTGTACGATAGTTCCTGTTAATTCTGACAGACATGTACGAATAAACGGAAGGAGCAATACTACCAATGGTTTAATGGCCCCGTGGAACTGCCAAAAATAGTTTTTCACACTGCCCCCCCCCCTCCCCGCGGACCGCTTTCTTAATTTCCTGCCAAAAATGGAATTGGAAGTGATACGCGAACGGAACAAACCAACTAGCCTTGGTCTATCCCTTGCGGTGCTCGTATTCACTGAGGAGCTTTTCCCTCCGTGCGCAATTGCTGTGACTTTGCCTTTGCTTTTTCGAGTTGTATTGTCCTTGTTTTCGTCCAGTGCTTTCATCCACTCTGGTGGATGTCAGTTGCTTGACAAATACTTACCCGCATTGGTTCGTTGGTTCTGGGTTTAGGAGTGTTTAGTAGACTGCTAAAGCCGATGGACACCCCTCCACACACACACACTACTCTTTACTACACACAACCTACTTTAATCAGATCGAGTTATTAGAGTCACTTCAAAGCAACGGCGACTATTTAATTGATATGGCGCTATGCACTACACCCAACTTGTGTATGGATGTTTGTCGGGGTTGTGGTGCATGTGCGTTGGTACACTATACACCGAGAACCTACTTTCACTAACACATCATATTGAAAACATCATGTATTCATCCGGTATAGCTTTACTCTACCTCGCTTATCTGTAATATACACTCTACGTTTTGTTCCCTCCCCTAATCATCGGAAGCACAACTACAGCATTATTTCATATTAGGAGCTGCTAGAATATGGTTTGGGATGCTTGTTTCAATTCTCCGACAAGGCATCATTGAAAATATTTCTTAATATGAATTCTTGACAGTAACGAGAAGATTACTTGCTCAGGAGAGTAATTAAGAAATTTAATTAAGAGTTTTTAATTAATAAAAGAATTCGATTCTATTTATAAATAATAGCAATTAATGCCCTTCCTTGGCAGTTTTCTTATTCAAATAGTGATGTTCATAGTTGATATCTTGTTTGCAATATTCATATTTTTGATACCATCCGAGGCTTCAGTTTCCCTTTATTGCTGGAGAGATCCTACGGTGAAAATGATTCGTAAGGCACTAAACAATACCAAAACATAAAGAACAATTAAAAAAAACTGATTGTGTGATCTTTTGGAAATGCCTACCTACTTGGTAAAATAAGAATCTCAAAGTCCAATTTAGTTTGTTTTTTGCCATTTTCAGTAGCCTTATTGCCAATAAAAAAGCAAAGATGAACTTATATGGTATATGGCCAATGTACTGTTTATATTTCAGCTTCGGATGATAAATAATACATACTGCGTCATCTGGTCCTATTAAAGAGTCTAAATCAAATTCCATTTAGTTATTGTATCTTTATTTGTGAAATTAGGCAATAGAAGTACCATATCTGAATTTCCCCAAGTAAATCAGAAAGATTCACAATATTGTGGACCACAGAGTGCACTTATTCTCTCTTTAATATATATATGAGTGCTATAGTGACCTTTTTTTTATTTTGTATTAGTGCAAGCAACAGACCGATTCACTACATAACTGGAAGGACATTAGATTCCTACATTGAGATTGATTAAATTAATAACGGATTGAGAAAGCAGACAAAGAAAGCCAATTATCTTTTTTTGAAGTGAATTGTAAGATGTTTTGTCATAACTAAGATTTTTACTAAGGTAATGCTTGCTGATAAATCCAATAAATTATAAAACATTTGAAAGCAAATACCAGAACAAAAATAATTTGGACGTTGGATTAGGTACTGTTTGCTATAAGAATAGGTAACACCTATTCGGCTCCTTAATCGAAAGTCCATACTTTTGAATAGAAGTATTCCAAATATAACCAAAAGGATAAATTACGTAGTCTTGACTTCAGAAACAATACTACTAGGTGTAATGCTGAAATCCATTTTACTTGGTTTCCTTCTCTATTCTAATGCTTTATGTAAAATACTCCTTTATTGAACAAGTAGATCTCATAATCCAAGCAACAATGTTTGAGAGTTTTCTTGCTGTCATTTGTACAGCTCACTCATGAATACGCTTATCAGCAAATATTGCACTTATTTACACTACAACTCATGAAATTATTAGGCGGATGTTGTATTTGTTCGAGAAGTACATATACTGAATCGCATTAGCATATTAATCAAATTCCAACTGTTAGAAGCCTAACATACTAACCGAAAACAAACTTTAATCTACTAAAACAAAAACAATATTTTATTATCTATTTTACATTATTTTATACTCAATGTTTCTGGTCTATAGCACTATGATGTGTTCTGCATCTTTAAATTATCTAAGCAATAGAAACAACTACTATAATCAAAAGAATAATACACTTTTTGATTCCCAAAAATGTAATCGATGATGCAGATCCAGTTAAATCATGTGAATCTGATAGCTCTGAAATTAAATTTGATGCTGACGTCGAATTAGACCCACCAGATGCTCTTGTGTCCGTTGACGACAATGTTACTCTCGTTCTGCTTCTAGATTGGATTGTATTGGTTGGGACACTGGAATAGTTTGGTTTATTATTTGACGATACGTCTGCAGCACTACCTTCTCTATGAGTATTGGTGTTGCTAGAGACTGGAACTGAGCCTCCATTTACTGTCGAAGGACTTATTCCTTCATTGTCTTTTGAATTTTTAATGGCAGAACCACTAGCATGACCATGGACTTCACTATGACTTGAGCCTGTATCGATGGAGCTAATAACAGGCCTTGAAGAAGACAATGGTAAAGATTCAGCAATTTTTGAGGGAACTAACAGGGTACGGCTATTACTAATCTGGTATTCACTGTTGTGGCTGCCAGTATTTCTCGAAGTAGACTGGGTAGTTTCTTCAGATATCGTACCACTACCAACCTCATTACCAACCTCATTAGATTTTACGCTAGTAGGTAAGCTGTGTTCCCTTGACTGTGATATATCTGTCCAAACAGCCTCGGGCTTTTCAGATATTCCTTCTTTGGTTTGTGATGCTAGATCAGATGATTTTCCTTTGCTACTGGATTGATGACCTTGATTCAATCTTGTTTCACCAGTACTTATTTTGCCATCTGAATCAGTAGTAATGAAATAAGAGATATACTCTGTGCCATGAGAACCATCTGTCTCAATTGCAATAGTAGAAACTGTAGGTGGACTGTGAGTAGTTGTTGTACTTGTAGTTATAACACCACCATATTCATTTGTGGTAGTGTAGTATGACACAACAACATATTCAGTTACTCCTTCAGTAACCTCAATTGTACTAGTCACTGGCAAAGGAGGTGTGCCAAATGTAGGGTGCTGTGCTTCCGCATCAATGTAGTCACGCGTAGCATTGAACAGAGTGCTGCTGGTAACAATCTCTCCCTTCTCATCAACAGTGATGAAGAACGAGATCCAGTCGCTCTCAACATAGTCCTCACCAGTAGTAGCCGTCACCGTCAAAGGTGGAGCACTGTACGTCCTGGTGCTGCTCGTGGTGATCAAACCACCAAACTCGTTTGTAGTGGTCCAGAATGACACAACTTCATAATTAGTTCTGTCGTCTTCGGCGTTTACTTTATTGGTTACAGGAGAAGGAGCTGGTTTAGCTGAGGTATGTGGGGCAGCTTGTTCATTAGAATATAGTGCTGTACGTGTCTTCCAAATGGAGCTACCAGTGCTGATGTTACCATCAGAATCAGTTGTGATATAATATGATATGTAATCAATTTCATGATAACCAATTGTCTCAATTTCAATAGTGGAAATTGCAGGTGGACTGTGAGTAGTAGTTGTACTTGTAGTTATAACACCACCATATTCATTTGTGGTAGTGTAGTATGACACAACAACATATTCAGTTACTCCTTCAGTAACCTCAATTGTACTAGTCACTGGCAAAGGAGGTGTGCCAAATGTAGGGTGCTGTGCTTCCGCATCAATGTAGTCACGCGTAGCATTGAACAGAGTGCTGCTGGTAACAATCTCTCCCTTCTCATCAACAGTGATGAAGAACGAGATCCAGTCGCTCTCAACATAGTCCTCACCAGTAGTAGCCGTCACCGTCAAAGGTGGAGCACTGTACGTCCTGGTGCTGCTCGTGGTGATCACACCGCCAAACTCGTTCGTAGTGGTCCAGAATGACAAAACCTCATAGTTCGTCATATTGTTCTCAAGAACAACTGTGTGAGTCTCCACTGGAGGTGCAGGGCCAAATGAAGTGTGCTGTGCTTCCGCATCAATGTAGTCACGCGTAGCATTGAACAGAGTGCTGCTGGTAACAATCTCTCCCTTCTCATCAACAGTGATGAAGAACGAGATCCAGTCGCTCTCAACATAGTCCTCACCAGTAGTAGCCGTCACCGTCAAAGGTGGAGCACTGTACGTCCTGGTGCTGCTCGTGGTGATCACACCGCCAAACTCGTTCGTAGTGGTCCAGAATGACACAACCTCATAGTTCGTCATATTGTTCTCAAGAACAACTGTGTGCGTCTCCACTGGAGGTGCAGGGCCAAATGAAGTGTGTGGTGCATTCGCATCAATGTAGTCACGCGTAGCATTGAACAGAGTGCTGCTGGTAACAATCTCTCCCTTCTCATCAACAGTGATGAAGAACGAGATCCAGTCGCTCTCAACATAGTCCTCACCAGTAGTAGCCGTCACCGTCAAAGGTGGAGCACTGTACGTCCTGGTGCTGCTCGTGGTGATCACACCGCCAAACTCGTTCGTAGTGGTCCAGAATGACACAACCTCATAGTTCGTCATATTGTTCTCAAGAACAACTGTGTGCGTCTCCACTGGAGGTGCAGGGCCAAATGAAGTGTGTGGTGCATTCGCATCAATGTAGTCACGCGTAGCATTGAACAGAGTGCTGCTGGTAACAATCTCTCCCTTCTCATCAACAGTGATGAAGAACGAGATCCAGTCGCTCTCAACATAGTCCTCACCAGTAGTAGCCGTCACCGTCAAAGGTGGAGCACTGTACGTCCTGGTGCTGCTCGTGGTGATCACACCGCCAAACTCGTTCGTAGTGGTCCAGAATGACACAACCTCATAGTTCGTCATATTGTTCTCAAGAACAACTGTGTGCGTCTCCACTGGAGGTGCAGGGCCAAATGAAGTGTGTGGTGCATTCGCATCAATGTAGTCACGCGTAGCATTGAACAGAGTGCTGCTGGTAACAATCTCTCCCTTCTCATCAACAGTGATGAAGAACGAGATCCAGTCGCTCTCAACATAGTCCTCACCAGTAGTAGCCGTCACCGTCAAAGGTGGAGCACTGTACGTCCTGGTGCTGCTCGTGGTGATCACACCGCCAAACTCGTTCGTAGTGGTCCAGAATGACACAACCTCATAGTTCGTCATATTGTTCTCAAGAACAACTGTGTGCGTCTCCACTGGAGGTGCAGGGCCAAATGAAGTGTGTGGTGCTTCCGCATCAATGTAGTCACGCGTAGCATTGAACAGAGTGCTGCTGGTAACAATCTCTCCCTTCTCATCAACAGTGATGAAGAACGAGATCCAGTCGCTCTCAACATAGTCCTCACCAGTAGTAGCCGTCACCGTCAAAGGTGGAGCACTGTACGTCCTGGTGCTGCTCGTGGTGATCACACCGCCAAACTCGTTCGTAGTGGTCCAGAATGACACAACCTCATAGTTCGTCATATTGTTCTCAAGAACAACTGTGTGCGTCTCCACTGGAGGTGCAGGGCCAAATGAAGTGTGTGGTGCATTCGCATCAATGTAGTCACGCGTAGCATTGAACAGAGTGCTGCTGGTAACAATCTCTCCCTTCTCATCAACAGTGATGAAGAACGAGATCCAGTCGCTCTCAACATAGTCCTCACCAGTAGTAGCCGTCACCGTCAAAGGTGGAGCACTGTACGTCCTGGTGCTGCTCGTGGTGATCACACCGCCAAACTCGTTCGTAGTGGTCCAGAATGACACAACCTCATAGTTCGTCATATTGTTCTCAAGAACAACTGTGTGCGTCTCCACTGGAGGTGCAGGGCCAAATGAAGTGTGTGGTGCATTCGCATCAATGTAGTCACGCGTAGCATTGAACAGAGTGCTGCTGGTAACAATCTCTCCCTTCTCATCAACAGTGATGAAGAACGAGATCCAGTCGCTCTCAACATAGTCCTCACCAGTAGTAGCCGTCACCGTCAAAGGTGGAGCACTGTACGTCCTGGTGCTGCTCGTGGTGATCACACCGCCAAACTCGTTCGTAGTGGTCCAGAATGACACAACCTCATAGTTCGTCATATTGTTCTCAAGAACAACTGTGTGCGTCTCCACTGGAGGTGCAGGGCCAAACGACGTGTGTGGTGCATTCGCATCAATGTAGTCACGCGTAGCATTGAACAGAGTGCTGCTGGTAACAATCTCTCCCTTCTCATCAACAGTGATGAAGAACGAGATCCAGTCGCTCTCAACATAGTCCTCACCAGTAGTAGCCGTCACCGTCAAAGGTGGAGCACTGTACGTCCTGGTGCTGCTCGTGGTGATCACACCGCCAAACTCGTTCGTAGTGGTCCAGAATGACACAACCTCATAGTTCGTCATATTGTTCTCAAGAACAACTGTGTGCGTCTCCACTGGAGGTGCAGGGCCAAATGAAGTGTGCTGTGCTTCCGCATCAATGTAGTCACGCGTAGCATTGAACAGAGTGCTGCTGGTAACAATCTCTCCCTTCTCATCAACAGTGATGAAGAACGAGATCCAGTCGCTCTCAACATAGTCCTCACCAGTAGTAGCCGTCACCGTCAAAGGTGGAGCACTGTACGTCCTGGTGCTGCTCGTGGTGATCACACCGCCAAACTCGTTCGTAGTGGTCCAGAATGACACAACCTCATAGTTCGTCATATTGTTCTCAAGAACAACTGTGTGCGTCTCCACTGGAGGTGCAGGGCCAAACGACGTGTGTGGAGCCTCAGGCAACTTGTAGTCACGCGTAGCATTGAACAGAGTGCTGCTGGTAACAATCTCTCCCTTCTCATCAACAGTGATGAAGAACGAGATCCAGTCGCTCTCAACATAGTCCTCACCAGTAGTAGCCGTCACCGTCAAAGGTGGAGCACTGTACGTCCTGGTGCTGCTCGTGGTGATCACACCGCCAAACTCGTTCGTAGTGGTCCAGAATGACACAACCTCATAGTTCGTCATATTGTTCTCAAGAACAACTGTGTGCGTCTCCACTGGAGGTGCAGGGCCAAACGACGTGTGTGGTGCATTCGCATCAATGTAGTCACGCGTAGCATTGAACAGAGTGCTGCTGGTAACAATCTCTCCCTTCTCATCAACAGTGATGAAGAACGAGATCCAGTCGCTCTCAACATAGTCCTCACCAGTAGTAGCCGTCACCGTCAAAGGTGGAGCACTGTACGTCCTGGTGCTGCTCGTGGTGATCACACCGCCAAACTCGTTCGTAGTGGTCCAGAATGACACAACCTCATAGTTCGTCATATTGTTCTCAAGAACAACTGTGTGCGTCTCCACTGGAGGTGCAGGGCCAAATGAAGTGTGTGGTGCATTCGCATCAATGTAGTCACGCGTAGCATTGAACAGAGTGCTGCTGGTAACAATCTCTCCCTTCTCATCAACAGTGATGAAGAACGAGATCCAGTCGCTCTCAACATAGTCCTCACCAGTAGTAGCCGTCACCGTCAAAGGTGGAGCACTGTACGTCCTGGTGCTGCTCGTGGTGATCACACCGCCAAACTCGTTCGTAGTGGTCCAGAATGACACAACCTCATAGTTCGTCATATTGTTCTCAAGAACAACTGTGTGCGTCTCCACTGGAGGTGCAGGGCCAAACGACGTGTGTGGTGCATTCGCATCAATGTAGTCACGCGTAGCATTGAACAGAGTGCTGCTGGTAACAATCTCTCCCTTCTCATCAACAGTGATGAAGAACGAGATCCAGTCGCTCTCAACATAGTCCTCACCAGTAGTAGCCGTCACCGTCAAAGGTGGAGCACTGTACGTCCTGGTGCTGCTCGTGGTGATCACACCGCCAAACTCGTTCGTAGTGGTCCAGAATGACACAACCTCATAGTTCGTCATATTGTTCTCAAGAACAACTGTGTGCGTCTCCACTGGAGGTGCAGGGCCAAACGACGTGTGTGGAGCCTCAGGCAACTTGTAGTCACGCGTAGCATTGAACAGAGTGCTGCTGGTAACAATCTCTCCCTTCTCATCAACAGTGATGAAGAACGAGATCCAGTCGCTCTCAACATAGTCCTCACCAGTAGTAGCCGTCACCGTCAAAGGTGGAGCACTGTACGTCCTGGTGCTGCTCGTGGTGATCACACCGCCAAACTCGTTCGTAGTGGTCCAGAATGACACAACCTCATAGTTCGTCATATTGTTCTCAAGAACAACTGTGTGCGTCTCCACTGGAGGTGCAGGGCCAAATGAAGTGTGCTGTGCTTCCGCATCAATGTAGTCACGCGTAGCATTGAACAGAGTGCTGCTGGTAACAATCTCTCCCTTCTCATCAACAGTGATGAAGAACGAGATCCAGTCGCTCTCAACATAGTCCTCACCAGTAGTAGCCGTCACCGTCAAAGGTGGAGCACTGTACGTCCTGGTGCTGCTCGTGGTGATCACACCGCCAAACTCGTTCGTAGTGGTCCAGAATGACACAACCTCATAGTTCGTCATATTGTTCTCAAGAACAACTGTGTGCGTCTCCACTGGAGGTGCAGGGCCAAATGAAGTGTGCTGTGCTTCCGCATCAATGTAGTCACGCGTAGCATTGAACAGAGTGCTGCTGGTAACAATCTCTCCCTTCTCATCAACAGTGATGAAGAACGAGATCCAGTCGCTCTCAACATAGTCCTCACCAGTAGTAGCCGTCACCGTCAAAGGTGGAGCACTGTACGTCCTGGTGCTGCTCGTGGTGATCACACCGCCAAACTCGTTCGTAGTGGTCCAGAATGACACAACCTCATAGTTCGTCATATTGTTCTCAAGAACAACTGTGTGCGTCTCCACTGGAGGTGCAGGGCCAAACGACGTGTGTGGAGCCTCAGGCAACTTGTAGTCACGCGTAGCATTGAACAGAGTGCTGCTGGTAACAATCTCTCCCTTCTCATCAACAGTGATGAAGAACGAGATCCAGTCGCTCTCAACATAGTCCTCACCAGTAGTAGCCGTCACCGTCAAAGGTGGAGCACTGTACGTCCTGGTGCTGCTCGTGGTGATCACACCGCCAAACTCGTTCGTAGTGGTCCAGAATGACACAACCTCATAGTTCGTCATATTGTTCTCAAGAACAACTGTGTGCGTCTCCACTGGAGGTGCAGGGCCAAACGACGTGTGTGGAGCCTCAGGCAACTTGTAGTCACGCGTAGCATTGAACAGAGTGCTGCTGGTAACAATCTCTCCCTTCTCATCAACAGTGATGAAGAACGAGATCCAGTCGCTCTCAACATAGTCCTCACCAGTAGTAGCCGTCACCGTCAAAGGTGGAGCACTGTACGTCCTGGTGCTGCTCGTGGTGATCACACCGCCAAACTCGTTCGTAGTGGTCCAGAATGACACAACCTCATAGTTCGTCATATTGTTCTCAAGAACAACTGTGTGCGTCTCCACTGGAGGTGCAGGGCCAAACGACGTGTGTGGGGCCTCAGGCAACTTGTAGTCACGCGTAGCATTGAACAGAGTGCTGCTGGTAACAATCTCTCCCTTCTCATCAACAGTGATGAAGAACGAGATCCAGTCGCTCTCAACATAGTCCTCACCAGTAGTAGCCGTCACCGTCAAAGGTGGAGCACTGTACGTCCTGGTGCTGCTCGTGGTGATCACACCGCCAAACTCGTTCGTAGTGGTCCAGAATGACACAACCTCATAGTTCGTCATATTGTTCTCAAGAACAACTGTGTGCGTCTCCACTGGAGGTGCAGGGCCAAACGACGTGTGTGGAGCCTCAGGCAACTTGTAGTCACGCGTAGCATTGAACAGAGTGCTGCTGGTAACAATCTCTCCCTTCTCATCAACAGTGATGAAGAACGAGATCCAGTCGCTCTCAACATAGTCCTCACCAGTAGTAGCCGTCACCGTCAAAGGTGGAGCACTGTACGTCCTGGTGCTGCTCGTGGTGATCACACCGCCAAACTCGTTCGTAGTGGTCCAGAATGACACAACCTCATAGTTCGTCATATTGTTCTCAAGAACAACTGTGTGCGTCTCCACTGGAGGTGCAGGGCCAAATGAAGTGTGTGGTGCTTCCGCATCAATGTAGTCACGCGTAGCATTGAACAGAGTGATGCTGGTAACAATCTCTCCCTTCTCATCAACAGTGATGAAGAACGAGATCCAGTCGCTCTCAACATAGTCCTCACCAGTAGTAGCCGTCACCGTCAAAGGTGGAGCACTGTACGTCCTGGTGCTGCTCGTGGTGATCACACCGCCAAACTCGTTCGTAGTGGTCCAGAATGACACAACCTCATAGTTCGTCATATTGTTCTCAAGAACAACTGTGTGCGTCTCCACTGGAGGTGCAGGGCCAAATGAAGTGTGTGGTGCATTCGCATCAATGTAGTCACGCGTAGCATTGAACAGAGTGCTGCTGGTAACAATCTCTCCCTTCTCATCAACAGTGATGAAGAACGAGATCCAGTCGCTCTCAACATAGTCCTCACCAGTAGTAGCCGTCACCGTCAAAGGTGGAGCACTGTACGTCCTGGTGCTGCTCGTGGTGATCACACCGCCAAACTCGTTCGTAGTGGTCCAGAATGACACAACCTCATAGTTCGTCATATTGTTCTCAAGAACAACTGTGTGCGTCTCCACTGGAGGTGCAGGGCCAAATGAAGTGTGTGGTGCTTCCGCATCAATGTAGTCACGCGTAGCATTGAACAGAGTGCTGCTGGTAACAATCTCTCCCTTCTCATCAACAGTGATGAAGAACGAGATCCAGTCGCTCTCAACATAGTCCTCACCAGTAGTAGCCGTCACCGTCAAAGGTGGAGCACTGTACGTCCTGGTGCTGCTCGTGGTGATCACACCGCCAAACTCGTTCGTAGTGGTCCAGAATGACACAACCTCATAGTTCGTCATATTGTTCTCAAGAACAACTGTGTGCGTCTCCACTGGAGGTGCAGGGCCAAATGAAGTGTGCTGTGCTTCCGCATCAATGTAGTCACGCGTAGCATTGAACAGAGTGCTGCTGGTAACAATCTCTCCCTTCTCATCAACAGTGATGAAGAACGAGATCCAGTCGCTCTCAACATAGTCCTCACCAGTAGTAGCCGTCACCGTCAAAGGTGGAGCACTGTACGTCCTGGTGCTGCTCGTGGTGATCACACCGCCAAACTCGTTCGTAGTGGTCCAGAATGACACAACCTCATAGTTCGTCATATTGTTCTCAAGAACAACTGTGTGCGTCTCCACTGGAGGTGCAGGGCCAAATGAAGTGTGCTGTGCTTCCGCATCAATGTAGTCACGCGTAGCATTGAACAGAGTGCTGCTGGTAACAATCTCTCCCTTCTCATCAACAGTGATGAAGAACGAGATCCAGTCGCTCTCAACATAGTCCTCACCAGTAGTAGCCGTCACCGTCAAAGGTGGAGCACTGTACGTCCTGGTGCTGCTCGTGGTGATCACACCGCCAAACTCGTTCGTAGTGGTCCAGAATGACACAACCTCATAGTTCGTCATATTGTTCTCAAGAACAACTGTGTGCGTCTCCACTGGAGGTGCAGGGCCAAATGAAGTGTGTGGTGCATTCGCATCAATGTAGTCACGCGTAGCATTGAACAGAGTGCTGCTGGTAACAATCTCTCCCTTCTCATCAACAGTGATGAAGAACGAGATCCAGTCGCTCTCAACATAGTCCTCACCAGTAGTAGCCGTCACCGTCAAAGGTGGAGCACTGTACGTCCTGGTGCTGCTCGTGGTGATCACACCGCCAAACTCGTTCGTAGTGGTCCAGAATGACACAACCTCATAGTTCGTCATATTGTTCTCAAGAACAACTGTGTGCGTCTCCACTGGAGGTGCAGGGCCAAATGAAGTGTGTGGTGCTTCCGCATCAATGTAGTCACGCGTAGCATTGAACAGAGTGCTGCTGGTAACAATCTCTCCCTTCTCATCAACAGTGATGAAGAACGAGATCCAGTCGCTCTCAACATAGTCCTCACCAGTAGTAGCCGTCACCGTCAAAGGTGGAGCACTGTACGTCCTGGTGCTGCTCGTGGTGATCACACCGCCAAACTCGTTCGTAGTGGTCCAGAATGACACAACCTCATAGTTCGTCATATTGTTCTCAAGAACAACTGTGTGCGTCTCCACTGGAGGTGCAGGGCCAAATGAAGTGTGTGGTGCATTCGCATCAATGTAGTCACGCGTAGCATTGAACAGAGTGATGCTGGTAACAATCTCTCCCTTCTCATCAACAGTGATGAAGAACGAGATCCAGTCGCTCTCAACATAGTCCTCACCAGTAGTAGCCGTCACCGTCAAAGGTGGAGCACTGTACGTCCTGGTGCTGCTCGTGGTGATCACACCGCCAAACTCGTTCGTAGTGGTCCAGAATGACACAACCTCATAGTTCGTCATATTGTTCTCAAGAACAACTGTGTGCGTCTCCACTGGAGGTGCAGGGCCAAATGAAGTGTGTGGTGCATTCGCATCAATGTAGTCACGCGTAGCATTGAACAGAGTGCTGCTGGTAACAATCTCTCCCTTCTCATCAACAGTGATGAAGAACGAGATCCAGTCGCTCTCAACATAGTCCTCACCAGTAGTAGCCGTCACCGTCAAAGGTGGAGCACTGTACGTCCTGGTGCTGCTCGTGGTGATCACACCGCCAAACTCGTTCGTAGTGGTCCAGAATGACACAACCTCATAGTTCGTCATATTGTTCTCAAGAACAACTGTGTGCGTCTCCACTGGAGGTGCAGGGCCAAATGAAGTGTGTGGTGCTTCCGCATCAATGTAGTCACGCGTAGCATTGAACAGAGTGATGCTGGTAACAATCTCTCCCTTCTCATCAACAGTGATGAAGAACGAGATCCAGTCGCTCTCAACATAGTCCTCACCAGTAGTAGCCGTCACCGTCAAAGGTGGAGCACTGTACGTCCTGGTGCTGCTCGTGGTGATCACACCGCCAAACTCGTTCGTAGTGGTCCAGAATGACACAACCTCATAGTTCGTCATATTGTTCTCAAGAACAACTGTGTGCGTCTCCACTGGAGGTGCAGGGCCAAACGACGTGTGTGGAGCCTCAGGCAACTTGTAGTCACGCGTAGCATTGAACAGAGTGCTGCTGGTAACAATCTCTCCCTTCTCATCAACAGTGATGAAGAACGAGATCCAGTCGCTCTCAACATAGTCCTCACCAGTAGTAGCCGTCACCGTCAAAGGTGGAGCACTGTACGTCCTGGTGCTGCTCGTGGTGATCACACCGCCAAACTCGTTCGTAGTGGTCCAGAATGACACAACCTCATAGTTCGTCATATTGTTCTCAAGAACAACTGTGTGCGTCTCCACTGGAGGTGCAGGGCCAAACGACGTGTGTGGAGCCTCAGGCAACTTGTAGTCACGCGTAGCATTGAACAGAGTGCTGCTGGTAACAATCTCTCCCTTCTCATCAACAGTGATGAAGAACGAGATCCAGTCGCTCTCAACATAGTCCTCACCAGTAGTAGCCGTCACAGTTAAAGGTGGTGGACTATATTTGGTGGTAGTACTTGTTGTAATAATTTTACCGTTTGCATCTAGTGTTGTGTAGTATGATATCACATCATATTCAGTGACCTCATTGCCAAGATCAATTATTTTGGTTTCAGGGCTTGGTGCGGGATCATAACTGGTAGATGCAGAAATTATGACGCTATCAGTAATTATTTGACCTTCTCCATTGACAGTAATAAAGTATGAATAAACGTCAACTACATGTTCATGGTTCTCATATATCGTGATAGTAGTGACTGGAGGAGGACTGTATTTGTCTACATGACTTGTAGTAATCAATTTACCATTTGCATCTAGAGTGGTATAATAAGATATCACGTCATACTCGGTCACCTGATTTCCCAAATCAATGATTTGTGTAGTTGGAGGAGGAGCCGGAAAATGCGAAATTGAGAGAGTCTTTGTCGTTGTCGCATACGTTGGCTTTCCGTCGGCAGCCACTGTTGGGACATATGAGATCTCCTCGATGATCTGCTCATAGTCGGAAGTGAATGTCGTCGTAAAAGCGGGGGGTAAACTTACACTCACAGATATTGTTCTTGTCTTTGTACCTGTAACTGGATGACCGTTTGCATCTACTGTGCTGAAAAATGATAATTCGTCTTCTTCCACCCATCCTTGTTGAGTTATTGTCACAGTTTTCGGTGGAGGTATTATCAAGACCGTTCTAGTCGATATTGAGGATCCAGTCACTGGGCTACCATTTGTTGTCGTAGTACTAAAGAAGCTCACTATGTCTTCTTCAATATAATCTGAGTGACTGATTGTTACAGTTGTTATAGGAGGGATAGAAAGGGATGGTGTTATGGTCGGCACTTCGACTTGGTAGATAGTGTAATTGCTCTCGATACCGTCAATACCGGTGTACAGACTGTAACTTGTACCAGTTGTTGTTGGATTTAGTACCCACCCAGAAGAGTAAGTAGTTGTTTGTGTTGGTGGTTTGGTGTACGTACATGTTGAACAGGTATTACTGTACTGCCATACGTATCCTTTCCAATCGGTGTGAGTAGTCCCACTGGGGTCTTTGAATGACACATTAAGTTTTCCGTCCCCACTACCGTTGTAGTAGGCTATTCTTATAGGGTACGCAACACCTTTAACCAGGTACAGTGTCCTCGATGGCACTAGTGTATCGGTTACAGTGATATCAGCCTCACGAGGTTGAGGCCAATCGTTTTGACTGCCGCATGCAAATGTTGAAGGATTTGCAAAGAACAGAATGGCGGCGTCATCTGAGCCCTGCAGAGTGAACGTGTAATTACCCGATTCTGGGGGCACAAAGTAGCCTTGTAACTCAACCAGTAAGTTTATTGGCCACACTGTTAAGCCGTACAGTCCTGTGAAAAACGGGAACCCACTTATTGAAAAATTAGGTTGTGTAACGGTCGCTTTTTGTGTAGCGAAATTGAAAAGACCCGGATAATTTAAAAGTTCCTTGTAAGTGTTCGAGGCGATAGTCAAACCTAGTCTGACAGTAGTCGCCTGAAATCCCGCAGTCCTTGCCCAGTTATCTGGGAATTGGCAGACATTCGTTATACTGATCGGGTTGGCTGCTAGTACTATGGCGGCTGCGAACCTTACCATGTATAGCAATAATAAACATAATCTTATAATACAGTACATTCTTTTGCTATATTCGTTTGGATTTCAAGTCGTTTTTGCCAACAAAAACCAAAAAAAAGTTGTCGGTTTTGTTTCTTGAAGTTGTATGAGCTTGTTTAATCTTCGTTACGATTCAGTTATAAATAAAAGACTTATTTGTAATGTCAAGTTGTTTTGCTCTCCCTGAAAATATATTGTTGTTGCAATGGTATGTATATTTGATTGTATTCGATCAAACAATCAATAACCGCAAAATATTAGGAAAAATAATAAATTGGGGAACTTGGGGGTCTTGATGATTATTACCCTGTTTTTATTTTATACGCTCTCTTGTACTTAACTTAAACTTCTTCAGATTAACGTATTAGGGATGGAAAAACTATTGCTCTAAGAATTCTAGTAAAGTTGACTTAAATGTAAACAGTTCTTTTCCCGGCTGTTATATTAAAAGCTTCAATGTGTATTGCTGTTATTCCTTTAGTTTCAAAAATTTTGTGTGTGTGTAAATTAGTTGTCACTGGTTCTCAAATCAAATCTTCTCTTTTATACCAATGTTATATACAAAATGAATATTAGTATTTCAAAAAAAAATTTTAAAAGTTTGGGATTATATGGATTCTTTTGTGTATGGGGAAGGAAATTAAATCGAACCCTGAAAGGAAAAACAAACAAGATTTTTTAAAGAAGATAGCTGTTGTATATATACTGTGAGATACTTTGTGCATTTTCCCAGCATTTTTTATTGTTATATAATGGAGATTACAAGAAAAATTTTCCGGTATCCATCCATGGATAGTTACCACATCAAAAATGACCCTCCTTGAACCAAAAACTAGTCGATGCATACGCTATTACTTCTCTGCAACATATTTTAAGAGATTTTCTTCACAAGAAAGCCAGTTAAGAAAATGTAATTCATTTAATTGATTCTAATTAAGAGTAGGGAGTGTGGAAATTTAAGGCTCTTCATGTAGCTGTACTTTCAGGGAAAAAAAAAAACAGAAGATGCGCATCTCAGGATAGAGATAATAGCAGAGGATCATCGAAAAGGATCGGAAGGAAACCACATTGCGAGTGTGCGCACATCTGTAATAATGACGTTTTCCATAATGTGTACGATGGCAAATGAATTACTAATTTACTTTTTTTGTGTGTGTGTGTGTTGTGGTGTAATACAGAAGGAAGGGATTGGGATCGGGATAACGGGTCCAGGCCCACCAACAATCTTCTCTATCCTTAATTAGAAAAGGGCCGGGCAATGGAGATTCCTCTTTGCCAAAACTCATTTAACAGTTTTCTGAACAATATTGTAAATTGCAGCATGTACGTTCGATTCTCTACATTTAGTCAAAATGCTTTTCCGATCCCTCAAAAACGTTGTAGGTGCATTTTGTAATAGGACAGTGCTACGATGCCCCTAGTAGTTATACAGAAGAGGGGTGGTTGGAAAAGAGTGCTACTAGATTTCTTATGCTCTGCCTGGGAGTCTAGTCTAATTGAAATTTACTCGAGACTTACACATGCACACTCACAGAGGCAACTGACTATGCAGCTTCCTAAGAAATATTCGTGGCACAGGGAATTTAGAATCCAGATGAAATGCTGAGGAACGGCTATTAGGCATAGTACCTGGACTTAACTGTCGACCAGCATTAAAGAGGGAAAAACTTTATTTCTGTGAAGGACCCCTACAATTGCAAGTCTGTAAACACTTGATGCTTTGTTGCGTTGTTACTTTTTTCTTATCTTGATTCTGGGACCTTCTATGCTCCTCGTAGAGGTATTTTCAAGATTCGGAGATAACTGACTAAATAACGAGTAATAAGTGGTCCCAGTGTTGTAGTGCGCTGTGTTCAGTGGAAACAGACACAAAGGGGCTTTTTCCGTTTCTCACGCGCGTTCTGATGATTTGCCTTGTTGATGGGTTCCCTTTTTTTTCTCTTTCTCCCTTTTTGGAGCAAGATGCGGATTTTCTTCTGTGCACCTTGGCGTAGAAGCCTGTGCAGAAGCCTGTGCAGAAGGGAGAGAGGCAGAGAGGGAAGCCGGGCCGGCAAGAATTGGGGGGGGTTGCCCACTCCATGAAGAAACACTCGGACGAAAGTCTCGGCTCTACTGGATGTGAGAGAGTGGTACAGAAAAAATCTACAAATCAGCTAAGAGGCTAAGAGGCTAAGAGGCTAAGAAGTTTAGCGTTGCACTGCCCGGGACGGCATGGTTCTGTTTGTGTTTGTTTTTTAGAAGTTGTCCGGCGATTTAGGACTAAGAAAACAAGTAAATCGCAGCTCCGTATCTATGAGTCCTCCAACACTTACTACTTCGGGAAACTATTCTGAGATGGCTGATCGGAAAGCAAGTCTCTCTAAGAAGGAAGCAGGGGAAGAGACCTATTCTACGAGAGTAAAATGCTAGTGGGAGTTTACCTTAACAAGAAAAGAGGGGCGAAAATGGGATGTAGTGGGCTTGTTTTCCATTTGGGTTTTAAGTCTTTTGCTCTTCTGTGTTACGTACTCTACATAACTGTTCCACAGCCCCATGGAAAACATGATTTTTTTTGGGATTTGCCGATATACCCCGAGGAGATGAAAATCCCATTTTCTAAACTGGTAAACAGGCATGAATTTTTGCTTAAGAGAGGAAAACGAAAGAAAAGAAAAAAAGAGAAAGAAATACATTGCTTGAACTAAACCTTGCAAGACTATTCACAAGAAATATGCCATGCGATCTGTATCCCCAAGACAAAAAGAAATAAACAAATAAAACTACTGCTTGTATTGGGGTTATGTTGATATTATCATCTCTTCAATGGTACTTCTTATTTTTTTTATTCTGGATTTGCTATTGATTTTAGTAAGTGGTATCTATTGTGGAGAGACTATCTGAACTATTTTTATGGGAACAAAAAGGAAAATGTATTTCTTATAGGTAGCATTCATACTATGTAATCATTCCATAATCCATTTACACCCTTACACGTCATAGATACATCCACATAGTTTCTCAAATATGTTCCTCATGTGAAACAACAGTATTTTGGACGATATATCGATACTTAGTACCATTGATAAAAATATAGGAGTTAGTCTCTTAAAATAGATTCACTATATAGACTAAAAGTGCCTCTAATGATCTACATTGAACCAATAAAAACAAGGATGATGTATAGTATATGTAGGTCTTCGAGCTCATTAATGCCTTGACCCATTTATTTAATTTCTAATTAACTAGCATATACACTATTATCATCACATTCTTTATTTTTAGAAGCATGTTGAAAAATAATTTGTGGAATCTTCTTCTAGAGAGTAATCTCTCTGGACTTTTCTTGACCCAATATGTATTTGACCTTAACCTACATGGGTGTATCAGTTCATTTCTGTGCCACAATAAAGCATTCTAACACAGCATTCACGGTTTGAGGACCGATGATGTAATAAACCACACTTGATACATTTATCTCGAGAAGAGATGAGCTTTGCCCTACCAAACCAATGCAGTCTTAATTACAACACCAGGTCAGGAAATCCAGTTTCTAAGCCCCAACAACACAGTGGTATTTTTATATATTAATACTTATCTGTTCTGGAATGGTAAGTTAGGTGAATGATTTTCCATGTGCCTATTGTTGTATTATTTATTTACTGGGATAAATAGTAAAAGAGCTAATCACGTATGAGTGTGAATCTTTTCTTTAGAGAGAGAGAATGACGCTCTTCGTTTCATTTTAAACTGAAGTTGATAGTGTTGTAACGTTATTTCTAATTCACAAAGTTTTGAAATTTAATGTGGGTATCCAAATAAATTTGAGACGATTGGTATCTGATCTTGGAATTCTTAAATCTTTGTCTAAATATTAGCTACTTCAATTAGTATAATTTTTATACTATGCTGCTCACTTCTAGGAAGGGCAATATTCGGGTAGTGAAAATACATATCAGTTGCTAATCCATCATGGACGGTTGTTATATGACTTTCTCTTAAAAAGGTGGTATTTCACATAGAAGGTGTGCCCTTGGTCAAGCAAACATAGCCATGCTATTCTCTTGTGCAAATCAAAAATAACCATTAGGTTTTAGTGATATCAATTATGATACTTACAAGGGGCAAAAATTATATCTATTTGGAGAGCAGATAAGTCTTGGAATGTAATGGCTTCATCTCCTGTCTATCTCATATTTCTTATGAGTAATCTACATTTGAGGTAACGATCTAGATAGCAAAATGAGAAAACTCGTTAAGTACAATCATCCTAACAATATTCAAGACAATATTCACTTATCATTTTCAACAATTTGTTGAATTATCATCCTCAGAATATGTGAAGTTTAATGTTTTGTTCTTTCAATCTGACTTTCACATCCCAAACTTGAATTATAAACACTGCAACATCCTACTGATATAAAGTGTGCCGTACAATTGGTCATATTCACGTGATCCCAACAGCATATGCGTTAGCATTTTGCTATGTTACCCGCAAAGTAGTGAGACCAATGTGATACAGTTCGGGATAGCGATTCTATTATAAGTGATATGTGAAATGGTAAAATTTAACATTGTCAATTATTCAATCTACGATTGTGCTTTGAAAAAGATATGTTTCAATTCGTTAACAAACCTTTCTTTGTTCGTAAAAGATAGAAGGTACTTTGCGTCGATAGACCATTTTATTGTAGAACTCACGCATCAAATGAGAGCGCAACATTTGTTTTAAAATTGAAAACAATTGAACATTTTTGAACATTTGAAAAGTAAGAACTGTAATATTATACCCAATTTTGAACATCCTTTTGCAATTTTTTCCCTACACTTGATATTTGCCCTGCAATGCAAGACTCAATTTCAGCATAGTCTGGCATTTTACTCGTCATGGATGTAACAAGTTATGACTTCAATATAGAAATTGCGACATCCATAGAATAATAATAAAACATTACATATGATAAAAATTTGAAAATTTGGTTTCATAGGTCCACTCAATTTTCAGAAAGCAGGTAGCTGTGCAGATAGTGATTGACTATTTCAAATGACGTTAACTCTCTTATGTGATCTGAATAGTATTGACCAAATGTATGAGCACATATTATAAAGACTTTAGTCAAATTTAAAAAGCATCAATAACATTAGCTATACCCTTTGCCAATGCATGAAATAAAGGAGTTATTGAGCAGGGTAAGCTTCTGATCCTTCTATACAATGATTTAGCTAAAAATTACAAAGCTGAAAAACTAGTTTTTTATAGTTATTTTAATGAAACATCTACGCGATATCTACAAATAGCGCTAAATACAGAAAACTATTGCGAGGCATTTCCAACTACATATTAATTAAAAAATTTCCAGTGCCCAAAAAACAAATCTCAAAGTATTTTTGATTAGTCTCTCCGTATGTTTTAAACAATCGAATATCTATTAACCAATACGTAGCAACCCATTTATGCACTCTTCAGAGTGGTTAAGAATAACCGTCCCATTAGTTTATGTGCAGTACAGGCTTTTATGTAAGTAACATGCAAAACAAAAGTGCTATTAAGGTCTTTTTTGTAATTACTAAGGATCATTAACAAATATAGTAAAGCATTAATTAATGGTACGTTAGTCATGTAATGATACCAAAAGAAATGCTTACACAATTCTCAAGTACATTTTGTATGAGCAAGAACAATCAGAAGAGAGCGACTCTCATTCGCTAAAAATAGAAACTGCAGATGATATTGTACAGTCAGATTCCCAATGAAAACTACAATGGCACAGCAGTGAAGTAAGTACTTTTTCGCTAGGTTGCTCGGAGTTAATCTTCTGTCCGAACACTAATTCTCAGTTTCGTTCTTTAGTTTAGCAGTGGCTTTTCCCAGCTACATATATTTCATACCTATTAGATACAACTTAGGTATATTCTCCGTGGCAGTAGGGAAGCAACATTACGACAGTAAGGGGGGTTTAGATCCAAGACTATAATTTTTTAAGCAACATCAAAAAGTTATTGAGCTGAGCTATTTTTATTCTTAGATTATACAACACTTGGAGCACTGACTTGCAATAAAGTCAGGCAGTACTTTAACTGTACGTCATCTCACCTTACAATTTATAGAATCTTTAGTGATCCTGTTTTACTTACTACCTCAACGTAAAACCTTATCAAAGCTCTGCTCACATAACTATTCCGGCAAAATGGAAACAAAAGCCAACCCACAATATTAGAGTCGAAAGAGTAAATTACTCCTCCTCCTCTGCCTCATCCCCGTTCTACAATCAAATCATAATGAATACCAACTAATTCAAACACGGGTGAAGACCAAAAAAAATACCGCATTATCTTGGAAGCATTCCTTAGCCCCCTTTTAACCACAAGCATTGCCAATATGTGCTTACAAAATTACTTTTTGAGGTTCACCCTTGTAATGCTCCTACTTCCACCCTTCCTCCGTCTACTGATAGTGAATGTGAGAATAGTGGCACATATTGCTCTTGGCAACAAACACTGTAAAAATGGACATACGACCCGTCCTTTACTGGTGCTGAAGGAGTATAGTGAGGGCAAAACCGAGAAACACTGATCTCAAAAGGATTCTCCCTTTTGGTGAGTAGTTCGCAAGTCATCTTAGAACTCAAAGTTTGTACATTTGATGAATATTCTATGAAAATCACGTAAGTCTTTTTGCATCTGTACAGACCTTTCTATGTTTTATTTGCAACACTTCCGTTCTCCCCCCACCCAATCCGCTCCCGAGGTAGATTCAGTTTAAGCTAGATTCCTCTGACTAACTGATTAGCTCAGGTTTTCCCTTCACCAACGCCAGCTTTTCTGTGCGCTATTCTTAGTCTCTTCCGTTTCAAGTTCCCGTTGAATATGAACTACGGCTTTTCGGGAATTTTGCAATTTTTTTTTTGTTTTGCCCTCCGGGGTTAGGGAGGGCATTATACCTATAAGAACTGCCGTGCGGAATTTGTTTATCCACTAATCCATTCTACACAATAACAAGTATTACCAAACTTTCCATGCTCGGGACTGGTGCGCATGTTTTGAGTACTATCTCTCCCCCTCTCATCTTTCACTTTTTAATTGAAATCTTCTTGAAAGGTCATCAGTTGTGCAACAGTTTGTCAGATTAATATGAAGCTCCGGGGATACTAACTTCCTAAACGTTTGCCAATCCTTTATGTTTAATCTCTCCTTACTCAAGAGTTAGCCATCGGGATGAAAATAAAAAATAATGAAAACAAGAAACTGATCCCCCCAGGAGTTTACACCAACTAAAATTTTGTTACTAAATGCGGAACTAACTCCCCCTAATAGAGGATCGGATTATCAAAAGGCCCAATAGTATTGAATGTATCGGTAGTACGTTTTATTATGTTAAGAAATCTATTTTTATTGTCTGAACCTGCCTCCCCCCTCCATCCCGGTAATGAAAATTAAAAAAAATCCTTGATAGAGCTGCCCCTTGAATCTGTCTGTGACGAATAATCTAATATGCTGTTCCAAGAAGACCTCTCTGCCGTCTCCGTTTCTACCAATGATGATACTAAGTGCTTACAAGTTAGTGTACACCACTACTGATTAAAAACCTAACAGTGATTTGAGATTCTTCTTCAACTCTGTTATGCAATATACTAAGAAAAGCTAGCCTCCTTGATTTGTCTTTGTGGTCCACTATCCTCCAAAAGTTCTTATTTACCAAAATGACCTGCTATTACATCAGAATCTCTACAAACTATTTGTGTGCGAGGATTTACTTCCACAAAGCAAAAGGAATGAACTGCCTTCTATCAACTCTACTGTATTTCAGGTATGTATGGAGCAAATCATAATCAAATAATGCCCACAGTGCCATCTGATGACATAGTCTAGAATTCATTATACCGTTTTTTTTCTAGATACTTGAAGAAAATTAAAGTAATGTGGAAAGAAGTAAACAACAATTATTCAACACCACAATGCACATACAAAAGTATATTGAGGAATTTTTTTTTTGTTTTAAAAAAATATTTATTATGAGCAACTAGGAAACCGTTTTTTGCCCCTTACGATCACCCTCTCTTTCATGATTCCCGGATATCAATATATTCTGCGCCAAGTAAATCCTTCACATCTACATATGCTTGTACACTTCCAAATTATAGGCGTTTGATTATAAAAAATAGAAGAGGGTTTCACTACAATTACTGCCATCGACAAGAGGACTTACGGTGCATACGCTACCAGATTTCGGAAATTATAGAAACAGAAAATTTTGAGGAAATCACTGTACAGCTTATCCAAGTTTTGAAAGTACAGGAGTTATAGGTATTTTTTATTCATAACTGTTTCTCAAAGTAACCGTTCTTTTGCCCACTTACAGTATAAGATAATTTATCATCAGCATCTTCACGTCGGATCTGAAATTGTTTCAATAGTTTCCAAAGTACTGCACATCTTCGGGAGTTATTTTTATCCTTGATAGAATTTCGAGTATATATAAAGTGGGTGTTCAGTTTTCTTTTCTAGAAATTACAAGTTATTTTTTTTCACTTTCAGAGGTTTGGATTAATATTATTATTATTGTTTTTTTTTTTGACATTTACTATTGCTTTTCAGTCGGTTGTACTTTATTGGTTTGAACTCTACATATTATCACTAACAAGATAACAAGCCAAAATCTAATTTCATTCAAGATTTTTTCATTATTTTCTGCTACACATTATAGTATTATATCTCATTTTGAAAGTATCCTCCAAATATGAGACAGACAACAATGCTTTGGTCATTGTTGGTATTTGTACTATCAATGATCAACTTGGGTTTGGCCAAGAATCCAGTTGATTTTACTACAGTCTGCCAGTTCCCTGACAATTTCAGCAAAAAACCTGGGTTTTTGGCAACAACTGCTCGGCTGGGTTTGTGGATTACTGGAAATAGCTACAAAGAGTTATTAAATTATCCAGGTACATTTACATTAACAACACAACAAGCAAGTACTACAACACCGAATATTCAGTTAAGAGGTACTGATCTATTCACAACCATTTACGGCTTAACAGTTTATCCATTATACCTGCTGGTAGAGCTTCAAGGATACTTTGTTCCAACCCAATCCGGTATGTATACCTTCAGTTTGACAGGTTCCGATGATGCTGCTATTATTTTTATTGGAAACCCATCAACTTTTCCATGCGACGCATTCAAGACGTGGCCACAAGCCACTGCCAATGATATCACGGTAACTGATTCAATCAACCCATCAAGAACACTTTACATGGTAAAGGGCGTCGCCTACCCACTTAGAATAGCATACTATAACGGCTTAGGTAACGGTGTTCTTAATGCTGCTTTCACAGATCCTAGCGGGACCAAACGTACCGACTGGAACGGTTACATTTGGCAGTATGATCAATGTTCTACCTGCACTTATAAGCCTCCACCAACTGTTACCACATCCATTACGTCAGGTTGGGTGTTGAGCACCACAACGACAGGTACTAGTTACAGTCCATTTACTGGTATTGATGGTGTAGAAAGTACATCTACCATTTACCAAGTGGTAGTACCCACTATAACACCATCTCTATCAATTCCGCCAATAACCACAGTTACAATACATAACCCTGAATACGTTGAAGAGGATGTCATTAGCTTCTTCAGTACTACAGATAGTGATGGTAAGCCAATTACGGGTAGCACCACGATAAATGCTACACGAGAAGATATTCTACCAGATCCACCACATACATCATTTGGACCTGCACCACCCCCAGTGACACATACAGTTGATCTTGGTAACGGAGTCACTGATTATGAAGTAGTTACGTATTGGACGACTACGAACGAGTTTGGTGGCATAATCACCACGAGTAGTACTGTTACATACAGTCCACCACCTGTGACGGTCACGGCTACTACTGCGCCAGACTATGTTGAGAGTGACTGGATCTCGTTCTTCATCACAGTTGATGAGAAGGGAGATATTGTGACTGGCAGCACGACCATCAATGCCACACGTGAATACATTGACGGTGAAGCTCCACACACATCATTTGGACCTGCACCACCTGTGGAGACTAAGACTGTTGACCTTGGCAATGAAGTGACTGAATATCTGGTGATAAGCTACTGGACGACTACGAACGAGTTTGGTGGTCTAATCACCACCAGCAAGGTTGACACCTACAGTCCGCCCCCTGTGACGGTCACGGCTACTACTGCGCCAGACTATGTTGAGAGTGACTGGATCTCGTTCTTCATCACAGTTGATGAGAAGGGAGATATTGTGACTGGCAGCACGACCATCAATGCCACACGTGAATACATTGACGGTGAAGCTCCACACACATCATTTGGACCTGCACCACCTGTGGAGACTAAGACTGTTGACCTTGGCAATGAAGTGACTGAATATCTGGTGATAAGCTACTGGACGACTACGAACGAGTTTGGTGGTCTAATCACCACCAGCAAGGTTGACACCTACAGTCCGCCCCCTGTGACAGTCACGGCTACTACTGCGCCAGACTATGTTGAGAGTGACTGGATCTCGTTCTTCATCACAGTTGATGAGAAGGGAGATATTGTGACTGGCAGCACGACCATCAATGCCACACGTGAATACATTGACGGTGAAGCTCCACACACATCATTTGGACCTGCACCACCTGTGGAGACTAAGACTGTTGACCTTGGCAATGAAGTGACTGAATATCTGGTGATAAGCTACTGGACGACTACGAACGAGTTTGGTGGTCTAATCACCACCAGCAAGGTTGACACCTACAGTCCGCCCCCTGTGACGGTCACGGCTACTACTGCGCCAGACTATGTTGAGAGTGACTGGATCTCGTTCTTCATCACAGTTGATGAGAAGGGAGATATTGTGACTGGCAGCACGACCATCAATGCCACACGTGAATACATTGACGGTGAAGCTCCACACACATCATTTGGACCTGCACCACCTGTGGAGACTAAGACTGTTGACCTTGGCAATGAAGTGACTGAATATCTGGTGATAAGCTACTGGACGACTACGAACGAGTTTGGTGGTCTAATCACCACCAGCAAGGTTGACACCTACAGTCCGCCCCCTGTGACGGTCACGGCTACTACTGCGCCAGACTATGTTGAGAGTGACTGGATCTCGTTCTTCATCACAGTTGATGAGAAGGGAGATATTGTGACTGGCAGCACGACCATCAATGCCACACGTGAATACATTGACGGTGAAGCTCCACACACATCATTTGGACCTGCACCACCCCCAGTGACACATACAGTTGATCTTGGTAACGGAGTCACTGATTATGAAGTAGTTACGTATTGGACGACTACGAACGAGTTTGGTGGCATAATCACCACGAGTAGTACTGTTACATACAGTCCACCACCTGTGACGGTCACGGCTACTACTGCGCCAGACTATGTTGAGAGTGACTGGATCTCGTTCTTCATCACAGTTGATGAGAAGGGAGATATTGTGACTGGCAGCACGACCATCAATGCCACACGTGAATACATTGACGGTGAAGCTCCACACACATCATTTGGACCTGCACCACCTGTGGAGACTAAGACTGTTGACCTTGGCAATGAAGTGACTGAATATCTGGTGATAAGCTACTGGACGACTACGAACGAGTTTGGTGGTCTAATCACCACCAGCAAGGTTGACACCTACAGTCCGCCCCCTGTGACAGTCACGGCTACTACTGCGCCAGACTATGTTGAGAGTGACTGGATCTCGTTCTTCATCACAGTTGATGAGAAGGGAGATATTGTGACTGGCAGCACGACCATCAATGCCACACGTGAATACATTGACGGTGAAGCTCCACACACATCATTTGGACCTGCACCACCTGTGGAGACTAAGACTGTTGACCTTGGCAATGAAGTGACTGAATATCTGGTGATAAGCTACTGGACGACTACGAACGAGTTTGGTGGTCTAATCACCACCAGCAAGGTTGACACCTACAGTCCGCCCCCTGTGACGGTCACGGCTACTACTGCGCCAGACTATGTTGAGAGTGACTGGATCTCGTTCTTCATCACAGTTGATGAGAAGGGAGATATTGTGACTGGCAGCACGACCATCAATGCCACACGTGAATACATTGACGGTGAAGCTCCACACACATCATTTGGACCTGCACCACCTGTGGAGACTAAGACTGTTGACCTTGGCAATGAAGTGACTGAATATCTGGTGATAAGCTACTGGACGACTACGAACGAGTTTGGTGGTCTAATAACCACCAGCAAGGTTGACACCTACAGTCCGCCCCCTGTGACGGTCACGGCTACTACTGCGCCAGACTATGTTGAGAGTGACTGGATCTCGTTCTTCATCACAGTTGATGAGAAGGGAGATATTGTGACTGGCAGCACGACCATCAATGCCACACGTGAATACATTGACGGTGAAGCTCCACACACATCATTTGGACCTGCACCACCCCCAGTGACACATACAGTTGATCTTGGTAACGGAGTCACTGATTATGAAGTAGTTACGTATTGGACGACTACGAACGAGTTTGGTGGCATAATCACCACGAGTAGTACTGTTACATACAGTCCACCACCTGTGACGGTCACGGCTACTACTGCGCCAGACTATGTTGAGAGTGACTGGATCTCGTTCTTCATCACAGTTGATGAGAAGGGAGATATTGTGACTGGCAGCACGACCATCAATGCCACACGTGAATACATTGACGGTGAAGCTCCACACACATCATTTGGACCTGCACCACCTGTGGAGACTAAGACTGTTGACCTTGGCAATGAAGTGACTGAATATCTGGTGATAAGCTACTGGCACGACTACGAACGAGTTTGGTGGTCTAATCACCACCAGCAAGGTTGACACCTACAGTCCGCCCCCTGTGACAGTCACGGCTACTACTGCGCCAGACTATGTTGAGAGTGACTGGATCTCGTTCTTCATCACAGTTGATGAGAAGGGAGATATTGTGACTGGCAGCACGACCATCAATGCCACACGTGAATACATTGACGGTGAAGCTCCACACACATCATTTGGACCTGCACCACCTGTGGAGACTAAGACTGTTGACCTTGGCAATGAAGTGACTGAATATCTGGTGATAAGCTACTGGACGACTACGAACGAGTTTGGTGGTCTAATCACCACCAGCAAGGTTGACACCTACAGTCCGCCCCCTGTGACAGTCACGGCTACTACTGCGCCAGACTATGTTGAGAGTGACTGGATCTCGTTCTTCATCACAGTTGATGAGAAGGGAGATATTGTGACTGGCAGCACGACCATCAATGCCACACGTGAATACATTGACGGTGAAGCTCCACACACATCATTTGGACCTGCACCACCTGTGGAGACTAAGACTGTTGACCTTGGCAATGAAGTGACTGAATATCTGGTGATAAGCTACTGGACGACTACGAACGAGTTTGGTGGCATAATCACCACGAGTAGTACTGTTACATACAGTCCACCACCTGTGACGGTCACGGCTACTACTGCGCCAGACTATGTTGAGAGTGACTGGATCTCGTTCTTCATCACAGTTGATGAGAAGGGAGATATTGTGACTGGCAGCACGACCGTCAATGCCACACGTGAATACATTGATGCAGAAGCACAACACACATCATTTGGCTCTGCACCTCCAGTGGAGACGCACACAGTTGTTCTTGAGAACGATATGACGAACTATGAGGTTGTGTCATTCTGGACCACTACGAACGAGTTTGGCGGTGTGATCACCACGAGCAGCACCAGGACGTACAGTGCTCCACCTTTGACGGTGACGGCTACTACTGGTGAGGACTATGTTGAGAGCGACTGGATCTCGTTCTTCATCACTGTTGATGAGAAGGGAGAGATTATTACCAGCAGCACTCTGTTCAATGCTACTCGCGTTTATGTGGATAATAATCCTCCATTTATGACTCCTTCATTAAATGTGACAAGTTCAGTTGTATCTGCTTATAGTAACAGTTCAACACAACTATCCTTTAGTAACGGGTTACAGTCTAGTGGTGTGGTTAGTGTCACTTCTCAGACTAACGCATTCACATCGACAAAGACTGTAAGCGATATTTCGTATACAAAGGAAGCACCTACTCTGAACTCGAAGTCCGACGTTATAAAATCCTCATCATCAGGAGATATTTTGAATGTTTCAACTTTGGTTTCATCCAGTCATTCTTCAAAATTGCAATCAGCCTATACAGCTAAGGAATCACAAGTTACTGGATCTCATCAAAATAGTGTAATTTCTACATTAACTGGACCCTCTGGCACACCTATAAGTAGCCAATCTCATAGTATGGTTCTTAACACAATGTCAGATACACTAAGTTTGGCAGTTTCTACAGGTAGTTCTAACAGTGGTACGGTTCAAGTGGGCAAGAGTAATAATCCTTCTCTTGTAATGTCTACTACAGAGACAAAGATATCTGGATCGGTCGCTTCTCCTAACAGCATTTTACTTAACATATCAGATAAATCACAATCCCCCACCTCATCTAGTAAAAACGAGACAAATACATCAAAAGACAGTGCCAGAACATCTATATTAGGTGGGGCACCTAAAAAGTCGGGTTTGCCCCCCTCTTCAATAGAAGTGGGTGTTTCTTCAGTATTCCATGGAGGAAGCACCAATTTATGGAACCATGTTCCCATGGTATCGATAATAATCTCATTGTTATTGCATTTTATCTAAAATAGTGTTTCAACTACTTGGGAGGGCTTTTTTTATAAATTTGCTTATTTCCGTTTTTTTTTGGAAATCAACGGAAATAATAAAGACAATGATCATTTTCAGCTGTTTGTATCTTTTCTATAATCTATAAATCCACCAACACAATGACTTCTTATCATTTAAAGCATGGCTTAGGTAATCTTAATTATATTCTTCTATATCATGCCATATAGGATAGGAATTATTTAAAGTCTATATGCCATATACAGGGTGTCATGCAAAGTAACTTCACAAATGAATCATTCCGACTACATTAGAGTACTTTCTCAGAATCCAAAAAACAGCAAATACACAGCCACAAAGGCATCAATTTGGACAAACTAATTGCTTCTACTGAATGATTGCCCAGTCGAAAAATATTTCAGATATATGAATATACATAAATTTTGAGAAGCTTGAAATAAAGAGCTCAATATGGAGTTTAATATGATAATGAGAAGAAAATCATCACCCAAAATTATTTCTTATCTTTAACACGATTTTTGCAGGAAACCATTTATTTACACACACTAAACCTGCTGTATTGAAATTAAATATACTATTTATGCCAAAACTTATAAATTTGGTCCCTCAGGGTGGAAATATCTCAATAATTGAGAAATTCAAGAACAGAACTTCTAATATTATTTCCTGACATTCCCTAAACAAGCTCAATAACTCTACAGAGCAAATTGTTCATTGAGTGTCGTTCTTTTACTTTTTTTCATTACGTAATTTGCTAGTTTAGCAGGAAGATATTAATGTACTGCCAGTTTATTCAAAGTACAGCTTTAAATATATGGGCAACAGCACTTACGGCAAAACTTCAAAATGTCATCTTTTCATCCTGACGATAATAGCATATGTAGTGAGTTTGATATCAATGCTACATTATTAACCAGTAAAAAGGTGTAGAGTAATGGCGGAGGAGCTAGTAATCCCTCAATTATTGCAGGTTAGTATACAATCTGCAGTTTGTAAACTTAAAAAATGATGTATATAAAGTCAGTTATTAAATATTATTTTACATATTTTTGATATATAGTTGTAGCATTGTGATATATACAGTCATCTGCCTTCCTGCACAGCATGTAAAATGTTATCCACAACCGACCTCCAACAAGATCCAACAAGGAAGAACATAAACAAAAATACAACCCGAATATAAATAATAATTTCCAATTGTATGTTGAAAAGCGTTTCAATAGGAAACCATGATTTCTCCAGTAGAAATACCCTAAAATATTGTTCTATGAGTTCTTGTATTGCGATCACATACAGATCCCTATTGATTTCTTTTGCGTCAGTGGAATACCTTGCATATCGATTAATTAGATGTTCTGGATTTCAATAGGCTGTTAACATGTATACTAGCTAGAGCAGAGATTATTCTTTTGGTCAATGAAGAAATCTTGCAAATTTTCTTGCTGACTCAGTATGCATTTACAGACTTGACTATCTAAAGAGAGAATACTTATGCGACCATGTACATAATTTCAAAGTTTATGCAACTAAGTGATAAGTATTAAAATTGGTTACTAAAGTCTAAACGTCATTATAGTAAGTGAAAATGTCCAGCATAATAATTTTGCAATATGACCAGCCAACAATTTCAATACATGCACAGAAATTGAGTCATTGCATAGGACTAAATAATGTCAAGCTTTCCGTATTTACTCCTTTGTATTTTGAGCTGCTACAAGCAGTTTGGTTGAAGGATACATCAACTGATAAAAAACTTATGCTATTTTCGGTCGTTATTTGTTTCAGTCAAATGCTAATGTTCATTCAAATTTTACACATTGAAATTGAATCCCTCAACAATGTTCTTCCGATAAGAGGTCTCTCTTTCGTTGCTGGTTAGATGCAATAATATATCTAAAACTTGGACAAAACAACCAAAAGAATAGATGAGGGGGAAACCCTGAACAGCAAATCAAACATGTAAGGTAGTCTTCTAGACTGCTATATAATGACGGAGCAAGAGTACGATACGACGATCGAGACCTACATGTAGTAATTTCACTACATCAATATCAGTTCCAATCATCATTTCATCATGATGCAATAACAAAGAACAACGATAGAACCACACTATAAACGTGGTCTTTGAGTATATATATCTTCTATTGGGAGCGACTTGGAAGACATTCTAGTGTATCTATGCTCCATTTTCCCCAGGGCATAGCAGACGTTTCTAAAGTGGATATTTTAGATTTGACCGACCACTGGACTGAAGCTCAGCAAGTCAAAGTAAAAACCATGCCAATCTCCATGAAGTATATTGCACATCATTTTTCTGTTCTTCTACACACACTTGCTCGAGATATTAGATGGTGTTCAATTTATCTTTTATTTTTATTTTTATCTTTTATTTTTCTTTTTTGGACACTGCCAATTTAAAACAACAACCTTTATTAAATACTGATATTGATAAGCAGCAAAAAGAGACATTGTTTATAAAGATACATAACGAAATGTGCCAAGTACTTTTGTCTTTCTGCTGCTAAATCATCTTGTGCTCTTTTGAGAAAGGAACCTTCGAAAATTTAAACATTCCAATTTACATTTCAAGTTCAAATAGAGCTGCTCTTATCGTTAGTCTTTTTTTTTTTAAATTTTTTTAAAAAAATGACACTTTTCTTCTGCGTTCAATGACGAAATAAAGAATAGAAACCCTCTTGAAACAGCGAATATGTTAACCATATTACAAGTATATGGAGCTAGAAGACACAATTAAATCCGTCACTTATACAAGTAATGTTTCTAAACCCACTGAGTTTTACGGGCCATTTCTTTCATAGACAAAAAACCATCCTTAATACCATACCTTAGGAACCTGGGTGTATTGTCAATGATAAAATTATAAACGGGTGCTTTTCTTTTGTATGAAACTTATCATACCTGGTTCTCTAAAAAGCTTGAGCTCAGAAAATACCGATATACATGTCTTAATAACATCTTACTCTAAGAGACATGTCCTACTGGGATACCTTACAATCTATTCTTCGACAGGTAACTGAGAGTAGAAATTGTTTAGGTAATCACTTTATTTCCTTCAAACAGCATTTACAGCCCATCGACTCGAACATGATAAACTTACGGCCTGGCACTGCAAAGGCACAACAATTTCTCCAGATAATGTACACTAGTTTTTCTATCACAAAGTTTGATACTGCTAGCTAAATAAAACAAATGAAAAAAAAGAACATAGTGTACAATGAAAAGAAAAGTAGGCAAATGTGACATTAACTTTTCAAGAAACTTCCTTTGCTTGCTACCTCTCAACACTTTAAACCATAATAATATAGCAATAGCTGGCTGTATTACTCCGATTTGTGTGTGAGATATGCACAGATACGTCACAGGGACTCAAAATTTTTACAAAAAGATTAAAAATGATGGCCACTCTATTAGAAACATGCAAACAAGCAATGCGAATTCGATGAACAGAGTTACAATCCGAAAACAAACGCATTAGATATTTATTTTGTTTCTACTTGTCTTGAAAAAAATTTTCTTTTGTTTATTTCCCATATTCATTTCCATTTAAAACAAAGCTCCTACGACTCTAAAACAACTATAATTTAAAACTGACCAGCTATCTAAATTCCGGCCAGATGCCAAAATGTTTGAGTAATATATATAAGCGAGGCGTAGAATGAAACAGGCCATCAAACACATTCCAGACTCAATACCGCATTCACTAATATCTGCATATACACACACTAAGATCTGGATGTGTCCTTCAATATAATCACATCCACCGTCATTGCATTTTTGAGTTAAGAAGTTTGGTTAACAAATTACATTATAATTTATAGACGAATACCAAAAATTGGTTGCCAAGTTGAAGTATTAAAGATACTGAAAATTACATATTGCATCTCTAACTCAAATTCAAAACTTAATAAATTCATCGAATATATATAAACCTTTGGCATTTTCAAAATATATGTGGAATTACATCGGATTAATTTGCAATTTAACATAAAAAACTCACTATATTTTCTAGGCGTTGATTAATTTTGACTACTCCAGTCATATTTACTTGCAAATAATAATCGAATCGTATCACTCAATTATAAACAAAAGGCTATTTATGCTGTTGTATCTCTTCTGTGAATTATTCGTAACTTAATTTGTGAGAAGTAAAAAAAAAAGGAACAGAATATTTCCGATATTATAAGGCACAGCAGTTCGCGAAATGCTAATTGACTGTATACTGAAATTATTTCTATTAATTGGTATTGCATTATCAAAGAACCCAGTTGAATTAAACAATGTCTGTACTTTTCCAAATGATTACGGTAGGATACCTGGTTTCACAGTTCTTGTTGGGCGGCTAGGGTTACTAATTAGTGCCAGTGACTACAAGGAACTTCTTAGATACCCAGGTGCATTTTTAATTGCAACTCAGGATACGATGACCACAAGCCCAAATTTCGAATTAACAGGGTTTCCGTTTTTCACTGGACTTTACGGTTTAACTGTATTTCCATTAGATTTATTAGTTGAACTAAGAGGCTACTTTGTACCACCCAATTCTGGTCAATATACTTTTACTCTTTCAGACTCAGATGATGCTGCAATCATCTTTCTTGGAAATCCGTCGGCATTCCCATGTGGTGATTTACAAAATTGGCCTAAGCCTAGTGAAGAAGATATTACTGTTACAGACCATTTATTTCCTTCAAGAACCCTGTACCTGATTGAAGGAGTTGCCTACCCCATGCGAATTGCATACTACAATGGGATTGGAGCAGGTAGGCTTAATGCTGCATTTATCGATCCCAGTGGAACAAGGCATACAAACTGGGAAGGATACATTTGGCAGTACGACCCCTGTTCGACCTGTACTTATTCGGAACCCCCAACAGCTACGACTACTTATTCATCCGGATGGGTCGTTAATGAAACTACTACAGGAACAAGCTACAGCATATATACTGGCATAGATGGTGTAGAGAGCACATACACAATATTTCTAGTAGAAGTTCCAACCATAACCCCGTCACTTTCAATCCCTCCAATTACCACAGTTACTATATCTAGACCAGACTACATTGAGGTGGAAGTAATTAGTTTTGTTAGTACCACAAACAAAGAAGGCGTACCCATAACAGGCAGCACGACCATCAACGGCACCCGTGACTACCTTGATGCCGATGCTCCCCACAACTCGCTGGCTCCAGCACCTTCCCCAGTGACACACACCATCGACCTGGGCAACGGGGTCACCAACTATGAGGTGGTGTCCTACAGAACCACCACGAACGAGTATGGAGGTTACATCACAGTCACAGAGACCGTCACTTTCAAGGCGCCTCCGGTGACTGTGGTGGAGCTGAAGGGCGACGACTATGTTGAGTCCGACTGGGTCTCATTCTTCATCACTACAGATGAGAAGGGCGACATCATAACAGGCAGCACGACCATCAACGGCACCCGTGACTACCTTGATGCCGATGCTCCCCACAACTCGCTGGCTCCAGCACCTTCCCCAGTGACACACACCATCGACCTGGGCAACGGGGTCACCAACTATGAGGTGGTGTCCTACAGAACCACCACGAACGAGTATGGAGGTTACATCACAGTCACAGAGACCGTCACTTTCAAGGCGCCTCCGGTGACTGTGGTGGAGCTGAAGGGCGACGACTATGTTGAGTCCGACTGGGTCTCATTCTTCATCACTACAGATGAGAAGGGCGACATCATAACAGGCAGCACGACCATCAACGGCACCCGTGACTACCTTGATGCCGATGCTCCCCACAACTCGCTGGCTCCAGCACCTTCCCCAGTGACACACACCATCGACCTGGGCAACGGGGTCACCAACTATGAGGTGGTGTCCTACAGAACCACCACGAACGAGTATGGAGGTTACATCACAGTCACAGAGACCGTCACTTTCAAGGCGCCTCCGGTGACTGTGGTGGAGCTGAAGGGCGACGACTATGTTGAGTCCGACTGGGTCTCATTCTTCATCACTACAGATGAGAAGGGCGACATCATAACAGGCAGCACGACCATCAACGGCACCCGTGACTACCTTGATGCCGATGCTCCCCACAACTCGCTGGCTCCAGCACCTTCCCCAGTGACACACACCATCGACCTGGGCAACGGGGTCACCAACTATGAGGTGGTGTCCTACAGAACCACCACGAACGAGTATGGAGGTTACATCACAGTCACAGAGACCGTCACTTTCAAGGCGCCTCCGGTGACTGTGGTGGAGCTGAAGGGCGACGACTATGTTGAGTCCGACTGGGTCTCATTCTTCATCACTACAGATGAGAAGGGCGACATCATAACAGGCAGCACGACCATCAACGGCACCCGTGACTACCTTGATGCCGATGCTCCCCACAACTCGCTGGCTCCAGCACCTTCCCCAGTGACACACACCATCGACCTGGGCAACGGGGTCACCAACTATGAGGTGGTGTCCTACAGAACCACCACGAACGAGTATGGAGGTTACATCACAGTCACAGAGACCGTCACTTTCAAGGCGCCTCCGGTGACTGTGGTGGAGCTGAAGGGCGACGACTATGTTGAGTCCGACTGGGTCTCATTCTTCATCACTACAGATGAGAAGGGCGACATCATAACAGGCAGCACGACCATCAACGGCACCCGTGACTACCTTGATGCCGATGCTCCCCACAACTCGCTGGCTCCACCGCCATCTCCGGTTACAAACTTAATTATTGATGTGTATGAGAATGTTACTGAATATGAAGTGGTTTCGTATTATATTAAAGCTAACGCATATGGTCAATATTTAACACTAACTGAAACTATAACTTTCAAAGCCCCTCCGACTACTGTTGTTGAGGTGAAGGGGAGGGATTATGATATTAGGATTTATGTCTCTTATTTTATTACTGTTGCAAATAATGGAGTTTTAATAACGGAATCAACAACTTTAAGCGAAGTGAAAGAGTGCCTTGGTGCGGAGGGTATTTCTAAGCTTAAATCATATTCGTACAATTGGGCTCCAAAACAGCTGCATTTCCCGAATAGTACTATCAGTTCAAGTTCTATTGATAGCTGTACTAATGAGTGTGATAAAATGGACGAAAATTCTTCCAAGGTTAAAAATCCTAATGCAAAACTAGGACATATGTCTGATGCACTTTCAATCACTCAGGAGGTGTATGGTGAAATGCTACCCAATTCTTCCCATATTTCTATTGAAACTTTTCCAACCTCCCTAATAAGTTCTAGACCCAATACGATAGGTGAGTCTGGAGCGAGCTCGTCTAACTTAATTATGTCTGATAAACTGATAGATTCAGTCACAGTAAATGAAATTTTCAGACATTCAACTATTAGTAGTACGAACTTTAACAGTACCACAACAACTCGTGATAGCTTAGCAAATGTAGCAATAGAGCTTATTTCAAAATTATCTCCGCATAAAAGCGATGCTTTCCCTGCGACAACACCCGGAAATGAAATAAACTCTAATTCACTACAGCCTTCGCGTGACGACTCATCAAGCATTGGTAATAGTTTAATGCATTCTAGGGACACGATACAATTATACAATAGCAACCAGTCGTCAAAGCCTGAATTATATGCCTCTGAAACATTAACCACTCATTCCGAGCCTGCAACATCAGGTTTGATCTCAGCAGAGCCTCCAAGGAGCTCCATTATTTTTTCACCATCTACAATTAATTTATATTCACGTTTTAACTCTACACTAGGAACGGTTATTTCAAAATACTCGACAATGAGTGTGAGTCCACCGATGAATGCCAGCTATAGCAAGCAATTCAATAAAACTATTTGCTCAGTATATTATCCTGATTCACAAATAATAAATGGATGTGCATCTGGAATCATAAATTATTGGCAATGTAATTTTATTTTTCCAATACTAGTATTACAACTGTTTTTTATACTCTGATTTCTAAATCCCAACTATGAGCCACCAACGCCTTTCATCTTATTCGCCACAAAAAGGTTGCAATAAGTATACATCAGTATTCCCATTCATTGGCATTAAATTTTTGTTGCCATTATGTATATAATATTTTTAAGTATGCTACAAAATTGAACTTTCTATGATTTATTACTCTTTAAGCATCATGAGATACGAATATAAGCTTTAGTACACAATGGTTAATTAGCCGGTAAAACTTTCCATTAAAAAGCACAAGCCACCCCTCCACGTAATAAGGCGCAATATAGAACGAAAAATGGAAGGTCTAACCTTATATAGTAATATTCCACAATTATCGCCTAAGTAGTCATTCCGTTCGGCATCCAAGCCAACACCATTTTTTATCATCTTGCGTACAGGACAAACTCCCATAAAGTTCCACCATTTTGATCTTTGACAGAGGCCTTTTCTCATTAGATTTTTCCTTAGTGGACCCCTTGGGCCACCTATGTATTTCCATTGGACCAAACACCACTTTTGCCTGGGATCACGGAAAGGGATTTGCTTATCTCCCCAATGCCCTTGGAAATAGAGCCATGAAGTTCCCAAATCTTCCGAAGTCTGATTAGTAGCAGGAGCTAATTTACCATTAGTTGTTATTGTATATCCGTAATAGTTGAGCGATGGGTCCCATAGTGGACCTCTATCTGTAAAGTCACTTAATGGCATAAAGAAAAATGGAACATCATGAGAATGTTGACCTACCGATGGATAATTAGCATGAGTGCCTCTTGCACTGAAAAGTAGCGGTTTTTCTATCAACTCATTAGTGATTCTACCCTCAATACGCCTTAAACGCTTCTTTTTCTCAATTGCCTCGTAAGTGTAGGCACTCCCTCCTCCATGCGCACTCATCCATATATACTTAGGAACACCATTATAAAAGCGAACCAGGGTATGTTCCCAATCTCCAAGGTGATTCCCCCAAGGTCCATATCCCATAATAAAGGGACCCCAGTTAAAGGGATAGAAATAAAACCAAAACGCATCTACCCATCCATTACCTTTGTCTACTACAAACACTAACGCTGGAGCTTGAGCTGCATATCCTGTTCCATATTTTGGTTTGAAACCTTTCATCCAACCGGGATCCTTATCAAAATCATCTATCGATGTCATAAATATATCTTCCGAGTCAACTTCATAAGATGCTCCGTCTTCGTCATATCGCACGTAGCTCTGCTTTAATTCTTTGATTGAGTTTAGTTGGTCTAATATGGCTTCTCCTTCATCATCCAACAATTTGAAATGTGACACATATTCTGAAAAATTGGACGGCCAGTATTTCTCATCACTATATAAGTGAATCAAAGGGCAGTTATCTATAACATAATCTGGGATAGTTCCGTTTTTAAACGAGTTTGAGCCACCATCAGATTTCTTTATGCTTGGAAGTTTATCGTACATATTTCGAGATATGTCCCTTTTCCATAAGTCTGATTTACCAATAGGATCCATATCAAATTCTTTCCTATCAGCTTTAATGTACACATTAATCAGCGTCACATACACTGAAGAGATCATTAAAGTCGTCCCCAAAACGGCTAGCAATTTCTTAAAGTTCTGCATTCTTGGTTTGTATAATTTCATAATAGTTAGTTAGTGCTTCTTTCTTTCCTGTATTAGTTCACTTAATATGAACACTTGAGCGAGAGATGTGTCCTGAGAACGATAGACACTATTAAGCTCTACTGGAGAAGTTAAAGATGAAAAAAATGTAGCAAACGCCCTGTTGCGACACCCTTTACCAACTGTGTAGAGTACCAATAGCTTTTGATTTTCACAACAGTCAAACTTGATCACTTGTCAATGATATGGTATATGTTGTTATCACACCAATACAGTAATTCGCTAGTATGTGAATAATTACCGAGGCTACAGAAATCAGCTGTAACAATAATTGGAATATGCTTTCGAGCCCATTTGCAGGCAGCTACAACCAGAACTCAAATTAGGGGCAAGCACTTCTAGTGTGAATGTTTCTGTTTTCTTTTGTATCTAATGTGTTGCTAGACCCTATGATACTTATTGCTTAATATGGCGATCCAAGTTGTCATTAGATAACTATCTTGACTATTCCTTTCATGAGATGCCTCTAAATATTCATAAATTCCCCATAGGAGAGCGAGTACCAATAAGAACACTTTACTGCCACCAGAATGACCAAGTCAAACATCCGTAGACATTTTAGAGAAAATCTTATAATAAGATGGAACCACGTGACTGTTCTCTCAGTGAGAATTCTTCAAATGTATAAATAAATGTAGGCTATACTGTATACTTATTCGAGAATGAAGGGAAATATCGTGAGTTCTAGATAGGGCACTAATATTGCAGCAAAATCCATAATATTATGGATTGAAAAGGAATACTGGAATGTTCGCAACAAATCTAATGTGTAGATTTTTGAAACCACATTTTAACAGTGACTGAACTTTGAACTATAAACTATGAACTTGATTAGGTGTGCTGTATCTGATTCAATAGACCTACAAATGTAGAGTTATTCTTTTCTTTCCACGATTTTAGGTATGCTGATAATTCGCTTACTGTAAAATTATTCTGAGATTTAAGTTCCCAGCATATAGACAGAGCCTTGGATCTGGATAATTTTTCCATGTTCACTAAATAGATAAAGAAATCAACTATTGGCTTCCTTTCCCTGTATATTTTCTCGAAACCTGTTCTCCACTTGGATTTGTATTTTTTGTTCATAGAATGGACACACATGTTACCTTGTTTTGGATCTGGCGTATACCATTCTTGTATAATCTCATCAATACTATCGAGGGTGTCTGCCATTCGGAAAACAAAATGTTCTTCTTCGGCACCTGTGCTAGAGGTATTAACTTTGTCATTGAATTTTTCTTTGATACCATCATCAATACTCTTTCTGATCTTCTTGGTATTGTCTATTTCAAAGTCACCTTCGTAACTACGTTTTTTACTCTCTTGAGCTATATAGTGGTTGAATTTTTCTGAGACGGTATTTTTAACTAAGCTTTCTAACTTCATTTCCATCTGTTCAAATTTCACATCAAAAAGGGTAGATAATTTTTTGGTAACAAGTTCATCTATCATAGAGCTAATTTGTTCTTGCATCGCATTTTCTTCCTCATGCAAATCATCTGTCGAACTATCACTTTCAGTACTAGAGTCATTAACTGAATCTTCATTAGCATCGTCAGTTCCAGATGATGAATCATCAACAGACAGTAGTTTGAATCTCCTTTTCTGTTTTTGCTTTTTGCGTTTCAAATTGTCAACTACATCCCTACCAGATATTTGTTTATCTACACTATTCGACTCTTTATTGATGTACCGTAAACCATTTTTCTTTTCAAGTATATCGTCAAAATAACTAGTGATTTCTTCAGATGTAACGGAATTAAGTCTTGCGTTGACATATTTTGTCAGTGTTTCAAACTTATTGATTATGAATTCTCTGGTAGATCTTTTCATGTCTAACTTTTCAAAAACTTTTTTGAAAGTGTCAATCATTGGATTGAAATTTGATAAAGTCTGAAATTGGACTAATTTGAAAGCTTCCTTTTTCCAACCACTATTATTAGTAATAGGTGGTGCCAGAGCAACAGAACTGCTTTGGCCTTCATTTCCTGTCACGGGGATATTATAAATACTATCGTGTACTGATGGTATTGAGTCAGATTTAACACCAGCTTTGAAATTTGGCTCCACTAAATATTGCAACATAATATTATTTTCTATCAGGCCTGTATGATAACCTGGAATGTTTCTTAGCGGTGGTGGTATCGAGTTGATATCGATAGTAGAATCATTATTAGAAATTAGTGCGATACGTTCATTAAAGTATGATACAAAATCGGAATTCTGGAATATGCTTGTTTGGTCACTAAAGATTTCGTGATCAGGAAAATATCTGTAAATCCATGGCAAATTTATAACTAAGACATTCCTAAGAACTTCAAGCACTTTTAAGAACTCTTTCGATTTAGTTGTTAATATGTTATAACTCTCCCTTTTGTACTTTTCTATCTCAGGAAATACCTGTACTAAGAGATCATTGGGGGGTAATTCCGTGATTTCAGGTATCGTTAACCCATCTTGTACTCCATCATAGTTAGAATAGTTAAAAATTCTTTCGTAGTCAAGAGGTATATGTGCAGGGAACAGTCGATCAAATTTCATTTCCTCATTATTGGGGTAGTCTGTTAGAAATTCTTTATATGCCGGGTTGGAGGTATCAGGATACCTTATATTCTTGACCCCATTTTTTTCATCACTGCTTCCATGAAGGTAGACCCTTCGTTTGTATTCCAAAGAGCAATACTTAAAGGCACTTGAGTAATAATTCCCTAACGTCTCTTCACGAGGATAGTCCTTTAAAGACTTTCCTCGAATGAGCGGTAGGTCAAAATCCTTAGTCAGTTCAGGAAATCCGTCTCCTCTATAGATGGGTTTCACACCATAAAATCGAAGGTACAAATAAGCCGCTAATGTTGTTATGGGGCATATTAATGGACAATCGTGTGGTATCACAGTTCCCTGAACAGCACCGTCATCATTTATGATAATTAATCTATACGCATTTAAAGAGTTTTCATCGTTTTCAACATTATGCACTTTTAGATGTGATAGTTTTAATTTGGACCGTTCCTTGTATGGCCAATTGAGAAGTGTATAGAAGTGATAGTCTGTAAGAAATCGAAGCTTCTCCATACTAGTTTTGAAATATTTATCTGAGAGTTCTTGTGTATTTGAATTCCACATGTTTATAGATAAGGTTGCCATCTTATTTAGTTGAGATGATTGTGATTCGTCCTTTAATAAAGAGTCCCATCTTCTATGCAATTCTAACACATCTGTAATGTAATCATCAAATTCAGAGTTTGGATCCACTTCAGAGTGAATATCACACAGTTTCTTGAGAAATCGAAATGACTCGATATATATCTGTAATTCATTGACATCTGATGCCACAATAGGCCATTTGATCACACATTCTAGCAGAAATAAGTGTACCAGTTGTGGAAGCAACGGTACGTTCTCATATGGTATACTTGAATTGCTCTCAAAACTTAATAGCTCTTTTTGTTCACACCATTCTATGTATTTCATGTAGTATGACTTGTATTGATGCACCTTGATTGGAGCAACTGACTCCATGAGTTTCCGAATCTCATTGTCCTTGGAGATCATGATTGTGTGACCTAGAGGAATTTCATCTGCCTTGCTAGTAATCACCAAAGGATGGATTTGTATACCAAGTGCTATTACTCACTCACGCGTAGTGATGTTTTAGAAAATAGTGCTCAATGCGCGAAGACCCATCCTTGTTTATTGTTTTTCGTTTTGTTTTTTTTTCACTCCCACGACAAACCCGAACGGCTCTGCTTTCACCATTCAATTTCCAGGGCATCGGAACAAGAGAGAGTTATGTGAAGCCCGAAGACTGGCCCTATATAGAGTTTTTTGTGCAACATATAGAACGAGGTGTTGGTACTTTTCTTGGCAGTGTCCATGACAAATGCTCATAGCAACAGTTTTGTCACTCCACAAACAGCTTGTGTGTCCTTGTGTTTGCTTGTTATCGGCCTATTCATTTTGTAACAAGCTGTTGTGCAGAAGATAACGGATTCCTTGGCTATATGCGCTGTTTTATCATTGCTGTTGCTCTTATTCTAATGAATTATAGATAGCTATAACTATGCGAGCAGCTCCACTTCACACATATCACACTGAAAGCTATAGCACCATTCAAAGCATTCGCGTTTCTATACACCGCAAGAAGACCACAGCGCATGCAAGTTGCACGCAAGCCAGGCCAGATTTACTATTCACAAGTAATGAAGTATCTTTGCCATGAGTCTATGGGATGTCTATAGCATTAGTGCCTATGCTTTCGTCTCCGTGTTGCACTTTATCCTTTGTCATTGCCTATGAATAAATCGCTCTGTGCCCATTGTTCCTAAACCCCGAGCGGTGCCCACACTATTAAGAATGCCGGAAAGCAGCACTGATCTGCAAGGGACTTTATTGTGCACCAGAAGCGTCGGGTCTGCGCATTCCCCTTCTTGAAGATCCCCGCACTGTACATACGCGGTGTCGCCTTACTCTGAAAACTTTGTTTTTTTTAAGGGTCCGGAGATGAACAAAATATGTGTTCGCCAAGCATGAGTCACTCAGATAACTCCGCGCAAATCGCAATTAAATTTTAGGTTTATTACTGAACCAGCATATGCAATAGCTGTCACTCACCCAATCTTGCAGCTCTACTCTAACCCACACTTGTGCCTTCCCTTCCCCTCCCAAATACAGCTCTATTCTCAGTTCTGGCTCCCTCTCATGCGATCTTATACATCACCCGGTTGGACTGTTGGGGAAATACCAGACAGCAGAACCGTCTCCATAATTGACAGGAGTGGGGGTGAGGGAATGGAACGAGTCATCTTAACCCGCCCATTTGCATGATTTACTGTAAAGCATCGGATGACGGGTTGCACAACTGATTGTACAAGGGTATAATACGATAGAGTCCGGTCTCAATGCGCACAGGTGATTCCTTGCCTGTGATGTCACCCCCCCCCCTTGCTATTTACCTTTCTCTTAATAGGGTCTGGATGAGGGTGTGATAGTAACAACTAGGTGGGCGATTTATGGTAAGCATGCCTTGGTAATAATCCCAATGGTCTCTGAATGTGCATTGTGAAGTACCGATAGTTCAATTATTTTCGCTCATACATAAAGGGACGTTAATTCATGTTCTTTTGGAGTTCGCCGAGGGCTTGAAGTTTGTATGTTACAAGCGCAGAAATAAATATATTTTGCTCGGAAAATACGACAAACCCTTTACTAATATTTAATTTACTTGACAGTGTGGTTCATGAATCCTATATTTCATATCTATTATACATAATCAGTCTTTTGCCGGATGCCCCTCATAGGAAAATATTTTCATTTTCTTATATTGTGTCTGTTGAGCCTGATTGGGCTAGTATTAGCCGCAAATCCAGTACCTTTGACCAATGTTTGCTACTTTCCCGAAGAATATCCAAGACAGGCTGGCTTTCGTGCAATAACAGCAGGACTTGCCTCTACAATCTTACAAGGGTCCGTCGATGAGTTGCTAAACTACTCTGGTCTTTCTTCATTGACCACACAACAAACGACAACTACAACCCCGAACTTTCAGTTGCCAACACTGCCTCTACCAACGAACGTGTATGGGCTTACGGTGGTACCGTTATACCTTCTAGTCCAATTGCAAGGTTATTTTGTACCGCCTGTTTCCGGACAATACACATTTTCATTAGAAAATACAAACGATGCCGCTATCATCTTCTTCGGCAACCCATCTGCATTTCCATGCGGCGATCTATCCGCATGGCCTCAGGCCAGTGCTGATGATATTACAGTCACAGATGGTACTTTTCCGTCAAGAACGTTGTTTCTGAAAGCCGGAGTAGCGTACCCAATGCGAATTTCTTACTATAACTCTTTGGGCTCAGGAAATTTGGCAGTTTCGTTCACAGATCCCGGCGGAACCAAACGCACGAACTGGAACGGATACATCTGGAGATACAACTCATGTTCCACATGCACATACACTCCGCCACCAGCTGGCACCACAATTTACTCCTCTGGATGGCTTCTTGACAGCACAACTGTGACAACTAGTTATAGTTTATATACAGGTATTGATGGCGTGGAAAGTACTTATACGCTTTATAAGGTGGGTGTGCCAACTATTACACCTTCCCTTGAAGTACCACCATTGACTACAGTCACGCTAAGTTACAATGAATACAATGAGGAAAATGTAGTTAGCTATTATAGCACGACTACGGATGATGGCAGTCCCATAATTGCAAGCACAACATTGACAATTCGAACTATCTATTCAGAAGCTCCAGAACCAATAACAATTACGATAGAAATACAACCAGGACTAACAAACTATGAAATAATATCCTACTGGACTACAACCAACGCAGATGGACAATTTATAACAACCAGCACCTCGACGACGTACAGTCCACCGCCTGTTGGGACGGTGAGTGTGTATGAGAACCACGAGCTGGTTGAGGATGTGTACTCTTACTTCATCACACTGGATGGGTCTGGGAACATCATCACGGACAGCGTTCTGATCTCTGCTACGACGATCTACGATGCAGCGCCCGAGCCTTCGACGAATGTGATTGACCTGGGGGAGGAGGTGACTGGGTATGAGGTTATTTCCTTCTACACGACAGTCGACGGGGATGGTAAGGTGGTCACCACCAGCACCTCGACGACGTACAGTCCACCGCCTGTTGGGACGGTGAGTGTGTATGAGAACCACGAGCTGGTTGAGGATGTGTACTCTTACTTCATCACACTGGATGGGTCTGGGAACATCATCACGGACAGCGTTCTGATCTCTGCTACGACGATCTACGATGCAGCGCCCGAGCCTTCGACGAATGTGATTGACCTGGGCGAGGAGGTGACTGGGTATGAGGTTGTAACGTATTGGACTATGACGAACGAAGCGGGCGATCTGATCACTACTAGCAGCACGGTGACATACAGTCCCCCCGCAATCACTGTTGTCGGAACCACTGGCAGTAACTATGTAGAGTCTGATTGGATCTCTTTCTTTATCACGAGGGATGTGGAAGGCCAGTTGGTTACGGGAAGTACAACTTTGAACGGCACGCGTGAGTACATTGAAGCTGAGGTAGTGGAGACTTCATTGTTATCAGTACCCACTGCAGAGACAAGGACCATAGATTCAGGAAATGGAGTGACTGAGTATGAGGTTGTAACGCATTGGACTACGACGAACGAAGCGGGCGATCTGATCACTACTAGCAGCACGGTGACATACAGTCCCCCCGCAATCACTGTTGTCGGAACCACTGGCAGTAACTATGTAGAGTCTGATTGGATCTCTTTCTTTATCACGAGGGATGTGGAAGGCCAGTTGGTTACGGGAAGTACAACTTTGAACGGCACGCGTGAGTACATTGAAGCTGAGGTAGTGGAGACTTCATTGTTATCAGTACCCACTGCAGAGACAAGGACCATAGATTCAGGAAATGGAGTGACTGAGTATGAGGTTGTAACGCATTGGACTACGACGAACGAAGCGGGCGATCTGATCACTACTAGCAGCACGGTGACATACAGTCCCCCCGCAATCACTGTTGTCGGAACCACTGGCAGTAACTATGTAGAGTCTGATTGGATCTCTTTCTTTATCACGAGGGATGTGGAAGGCCAGTTGATTACAGGAAGTAGCATTGTTGATTATTCCTTTTTTTCTGCGTTGAACAGAACAATTTCTAATGCTGGAAGTAATAGCTTATCTGAGGAAGCGTCTTCTCAGACTTCCATTTCTGATCTTAAACCTGATATAGCAACAATCACTAATCTCAGAGCAACATCTAGTATTACCATGTCTTCCTATGTCAGCTCCGCAAAAAGATGGAGCAATAGTTCGAAAGAAATTAAAATCAGTACTAGTTCATCTGCAACCTCAAATAAAGAACTCACAAAAGCTAGTTCTTATTATCTAAAGGGGACCATTGTTAACACTATTGCTAATGTACCTGGAGCGCTCTCTAGTAAGAATGCTATTTCAAATAGTGTAGGGGTTCACCCCCCAATTAAAACTGATGAGGCAACGTCAGCGACCAGTTCATATGGAAACTCAAGAATGGACACACATTCATGGGTTCCTAGCAGTAAGAGCTCCCCAACTCCAAGTTCGGTTGAATCAAGTAACATTTCATCAGTAATTAATCAGTTTGAAAATAATACAACGTTAGAAACTAGAAGGAAGACTAATATCGAAAGTAAAATGTCTCAGAGCTCAAGTCATGATAATGAGCTATATGGATCCTTTTACGGAGGAAGTCCGCACACTAGAGAGGGGAACCTATCTGTGGCTTTAGTGATTATTCTAGTTCAATTTCTGCTGTAACCAGCTTGCTAAATCCTTGTAAGTTTCATTTATTCCATAACATGGGAATTAAAACATATGATTATTTTGATATTTCTGGAAATTTTGTGATTATAATTTATACCATAAAGACTTCAATGCCAATAATTATACATTTTGTAGTATTCAGATGTGGGAAATTGAAAACTGCAATATTATCTCATCGAATTTGGTGTCCAATTTAGAACTATGATGTAGTAAATTTGCCTTAAGTATTGGGTGCTGATTGGTTGTTGGCAAAATGTACTGTCCGGTAATTGAACAGAACTATGCGAGTTTTATATCTCATTTTAGAGGCAAAATAAAGCAATTGGGAGTTTTTACTATTGCATGATGGTATCATTTTTGATGTAATAACCTCTTAACAGCGTAGCATACGCATTAGCTACTCAATAATCTTCAAGGTTTGTAATTCAGGTTCACCAACTATTAAAAAAAACATATATATGAAAAATTCCTTTTTTAATTAATGTATAACTAAGGGGACTCTATTGCAGTTGAATGGTAGCAAAGCTGTGATAGTTCAAGTAATTGCATCCTGATCAATAGTTATCTTTAAATCGGTTGATGGAGATCAATAGTATCAAACATGTCATAAATTTTTCTTTTTTTAGCAGAAAATAGATAACCATAAATTCGAATTTGACTGTGTCTAGGAGAGATTGTTTTACCTGACGTCAACGTATTAACTCAAATTTGCAAAAACAAAATTTCTGGCGATAATACCGGTTTTTGTCACCCTAACTATAGAATTACTAGCAAGAACCTGGCCAAAGAGCTTGAATTTCTTGATATATCGGAGTTTTGAGAGTTTAGTTTATATGCAAAAGATCTTAAATTGTATGAGTTATCCTCAGTTCATACAGCTGGGGATTGTATATACATCTGAAAAAATTTTCCCATTAATAAGTTCATAAATACTTAGGAATCGCTTTAAAAAAATGAAGGCAAGATTAGATAATACACTCCATGCTCACTTTCTTCTCGCTTCGCAAAAATATAAAAAAACCTACTCTTCGTGGCACATCCAACTAACACTTTTGAAACGACTATTTACAATATGTAGGATAGTCTGAGTCATTTGTTCAATTTCGATGTTCAGGACCAAAATATTAAATGTAATATACTTGAAAGTAAATACCACGTAAAACATGATTAATTATCTGATTAAAAGAGTAAACGAATACATTCTGTGAGAGAAACAAAACGGTTATTACAGTAGGTAGCACCAGAGAGAGAATAAGGTAACCTCTCACTGCCGTGCGAGCTTTCTCTTATCGGAGACAATTGTGAATTGAGGTTTTTATATTGGGGATTACATCGTAATGTTCTCCTCCAACGTCTGTTACTTTGAAAGCACACGTAAAGTTGGCTTAAATGGGTTGATTGTGCCTGAGTAAAGTTCTACTGCAAGGCAAACTAAAAAAACAGTGACGTGATGAAACTTGGAAGTAGTTGAAACAGGAGCTCTTAGGTACTGCTCTGCTTCGCAAATATTAACTGGGTTGTTACATGGAGATAGAATGTTTACAAATCCAAGTAACAGGGTCTATCAAATCATTCCTTTTTTCTCTTACACACGAGGATAAAAGTAGGATTGTGGTCCACGACAGAATGATACGCGATGGATAAGAGTACACAAGCTATTATGTTGGCTAATTATTTGGATTTTTTGCAAAAAACTGCGGTATTCTCCAGTACCGTTAATGCAGCAAATCTTCACATCAGGTCATCTCCATTCTTAATCTTAGTCTAGAATTTGTTGAACACTTTCAAATGACAAGAATAAAAGTTATCTGAGATGCATTTTGGAATATTTGCAGTGCATTGGTGTACGGTCCAAAAGAAATATGTATTCTAATCGAAGTCACCCATTCTTCTCTTCTTAATTCCTTACTATTGACCAGGGAATGGAAAGATATTACGAAATTTCGACTACCGAGTGCTTATTATCAATTAAGTCATATGGATTATTCCCACTATTTTTTTGGAGTGATATACTTTCCTTTTTTTGTTAACTCTATTCAAGCTTACACCTACAAGTGCCTTCTCTTCTAAAATCGTTTAGTGAACTTCCATAGAGACCTGATGACCATGCAATATGGGAAAAAAAAAGAAAGTGAAAATAGATAAAGAAATGTGATTAACTTCTTTGTTACTCTCCAAAGTGCAGCACAATATAGAAAAATTAACGTTTCTGTCTGGGAACCGCAAAAGGCACGGTTTTTTTTGACATTATTTACTCCGTGCACAGTACTCTATGTGGGCAAAAAAAAATTATTTGTTCTGTATTTTAAAACATTTCTTTTCTTTATTTTACAGAATATTCTATTTAGAACTAACAATTCTTTCGAACTCTAACCCCACCTTATTGAAAGCTTCTCAATGGAATAGGTAACCTAACATTTTCCGACCTATTCATCTAGTTTTATATTTTGAGGCAACACACGTTTTGTTTGTTGGAATTCAGCAGGTAAATGATATTAGAATGTCTTTTTTGTAGTATAAATGATCAACAACTCCAACATATGTGCCAAACACCATGATTTAACCCTATACTTTGTGCCACCGTAAATTAGTTATATGAGGACATTCGAGTGATTGCTACCTAAGCTTGATAACTGTGCTATAATTCAAATCGAAAAATGAAAGAGTATGTTGTAAATTAACCTCTTTGAATGTCCTGAACAGAACAACTACTAAATCATGTAGTATAGAGCAGCCCAATAATATACTTCTCGCTATGATCTACCTGTGCTCTGTTCTTTGACAATACACTTATTCGCCTAAAATGTCCGTAGTCTCTGTTTTTTCTTCCACCCACAAAAATCACTTTGCTTTTTCTTTCTAGAGAACATTTAACCAGACTTTTCCCGTGCATATGAACGGTAGTAAAAGTCTGTACTCTTCTATTAACCCAAACCGGGGATTCCACTTTTGGTACTCAGTAGGATAATAGACTATGGCAAAACACTCACCTTCTCTCGTCTCAAACAATGGTCAATGTGAATAAATATGCACTCTATTAAGCCATGCAATTTTATTAATTTTGATGTTTTGCTTCCATTTTTTCTGCCAAAGAAGAAACAATTTTGGAAAACTTCTTTTAAGGAATTTAACAACGAAGTCATAGAATATCACCAAGAATAGAGAACATTGAGTTCCTCATTCTAAATACTCAAGTATATTTCCCAGAAATTGCATTTTATTCTTATAATGGTCTGTCAAAAGAAAGGCTGCTAATTTGAAATGCTACGAGAAATAATTTTTCTCATATACGGTTGTTGTCTATAGAAAATTGTGAAGGGCATCAGTTATAAGATATTTCTTACTTCTATTTTATGAAGAAATATTATACTGAACAATTTTATGCATCAGTCACCCTCCTGGAGGCTAGTTGAAGCACAAATTCTAGGTGGGCATTTTTGTTTGTTCACTGAGGGGTACCAATTCTAATCATGGAAAAAATACACATATTATTACATGTGCCTATTTTCTGTCTATTAGTATCGGTAAATACCTTGAAATAGCTATAGCTATTCATCACCTAATTTGCAATGTTGAACTTAATGACCTCTTTTCATTACACATAATAGAGAAAGGATCAAACTTTAGAAAAACTAAATGCCAAATACTTTTACACAGCTGATAGAAAAAACTAAAAATAAACAGACACATATAAATAAGGATGAAAGTAATTTTTTCCTTTTCAAGACACTTTAGATACATTTTATGAAAAGTGTTATATTATGCCATTTATTTCTCACATGAAACCAAGATCTCCTGCAATTAAGATTATCAGATCTGTAATTATTCGAGTCTTTAAGTTTATCAAAATTTTGCCTAACATATAAATCACATTTATCAAGAGCAGTTCTTTGATAATTCTAACAGTCAGCTCTATTTGCCGGAGAACTAAATACAGATTGTTAATTTGAATTATTATTCCCGCGAACATAATTCTATATTTTTTTGAAAAATTTCGCTGTCTAGTTTGTGTCCACCATTTTATCAAAAATGTGGATAATGAAATTTTTGACAGTATTGTTGGTATTTATACTCAATTTAGACATTACTAATGGTCAATTAAAAGACGAATCTGATAATAATAAGGCATTCCTGGGTGTTCCTTACGCTGTTGGCAATCCAATAACAGTCTCCAATGTTTGTTCTTTTCCCAAAAATTGGCACAGAACAGCAGGATTCAGAGCCCTTACAGCAAGGCTGGGTATTGGTATTCAATCAGATTCATACAAAGAGTTGTTGAATTATCCCGGTACTTTCCAATTAACCACTCAACAGTCAAGCACAACAAAACCTAACTTTCAAATCAGTGGTTTGGTAGGGAATATTTATGGATTAACCATTGTACCAAGCTATCTGTTAGTGGAATTGACTGGATATTTTGTTCCACCTGTCTCGGGTGAGTATACATTTTCACTTGAAGGATCTGATGATGCGGCCATTATCTTCATTGCCAACCCTTCTACGTTTAAATGTGGGCACGTTGAAGATTGGCCAACCGCATATGATAACGATGTGACCGTCACAGAGTCTATACACGCAACTAGAACCATCTACATGATTGAGGGTGTTGCTTATCCTATCCGTATTGCTTATTACAATGGACTATCATTAGGAAAATTGCAGGCGTCATTTACTGATCCCGAAGGTGTAAAGAGAGTCGATTGGAACGGATATATCTGGAGATATGATTCGTGTGATACATGTTCTTATGTACCACCACCAACTGTAGTTACAACAGAAACTTCTAGCTGGGTTCTGAATCCTACGACTACAGGAACTAGTTATAGCACAGCTTTGGGAATTGATGGTTTGCCAACTACATATACCATCTACCAAGTGGTTGTTCCAACTATAACTAAGTCTCTTGAAATTCCTCCTCCTATTACGCAAACAGATACCCATCCTGACTATTTGGAAGAGGAAGTTGTTAGTTACTATAGTACTACCAATGCTGAAGGTAGTCCGATTACTGGCACCACCACTTCCACCATTCGGACGATTTTGATTATACCACCCCCCATTACCATCACAGTTACTAAGGAAGGGTGGGAAGAAGAACAAGAAATCTCGTACTTTAGTACAACCGATGCTAATGGCCATGGAATCACTGGAACTATAACTAAGACCGTAAGATTACGTGTAGATGTACCAACCCCATTTACGACAACATACACCAGCAATCATGAACAGGTTGAGGCTGAAGTATCGTATATACCCACTGTTGATGCGGATGGAAAGCCTACTTATGTTACAACTACCAAGGTTATAGCAATTTCGCACTTGCCGCCTCCTCCAGGTTATACAGTTACAGTTGATGTGGGAAATGAAGTGACCCACTATGAAGTTGTTAGCTACTTCACGACAGAAGACGAAAATGGGCAATTTTACACTGGCACATCCACTGTTACATTTACTCCACCAAGTCCAACCACGATTACAATTACCAAAGAAGGTGTTGAGGAAACTGACTACGTTTCATATTTCATAACTACAGATGCCGAACACAATATTATAACGAGCAGTTCAGTCAGTAAAATACTCGACGATGGATTAGACAAGACGACTGTTGTGACTGATGAGGATGGGACAGTGCACACCGACATCATCTCGCACATCACCACTACGGATGCGGAGGGCAACCCCACGATAATCTTGACCACGTACCCATCGCCTACTGACGACGGGTTGGACAAGACGACTGTTGTGACTGATGAGGATGGGACAGTGCACACCGACATCATCTCGCACATCACCACTACGGATGCGGAGGGCAACCCCACGATAATCTTGACCACGTACCCATCGCCTACTGACGACGGGTTGGACAAGACGACTGTTGTGACTGATGAGGATGGGACAGTGCACACCGACATCATCTCGCACATCACCACTACGGATGCGGAGGGCAACCCCACGATAATCTTGACCACGTACCCATCGCCTACTGATTCTATTGGAAATCCAATTGCGTTATCTAATGTTTGTTCATTTCCAGAGAGTAGATCTAGAACTGCGGGGTTCAGAGTACTCACTGCAGGGCTGGGTATATGGATTACGTCAGATTCCTACAAAGAGTTGTTGAATTATTCTGGTAGTTCCCAGTTGATCACTCAACAGTCCAGTACCACCCAACCGAACTTTGAAATTGGTGGTTTGGTAGGGAATATTTATGGATTAACCATTGTACCAAGCTATCTGTTAGTGGAATTGACTGGATATTTTGTTCCACCTGTCTCGGGTGAGTATACATTTTCACTTGAAGGATCTGATGATGCGGCCATTATCTTCATTGCCAACCCTTCTACGTTTAAATGTGGTAATATTGAAGACTGGCCAACACCGAATGAAGCTGATATATCTGTCACTGATACTATACATACATCTAGAACTCTCTACATGGTCGAGGGTGTTGCTTATCCTATCCGTATTGCTTATTACAATGGACTATCAATAGGAAAATTGCAGGCGTCCTTCACAGATCCTAGGGGTGTAAGGAGAGTCGATTGGAACGGATATATCTGGAGATATGATTCGTGTGATACATGTTCTTATGTACCACCACCAACTGTAGTTACAACAGAAACTTCTAGCTGGGTTCTGAATCCTACGACTACAGGAACTAGTTATAGCACAGCTTTGGGAATTGATGGTTTGCCAACTACATATACCATCTACCAAGTGGTTGTTCCAACTATAACTAAGTCTCTTGAAATTCCTCCTCCTATTACGCAAACAGATACCCATCCTGACTATTTGGAAGAGGAAGTTGTTAGTTACTATAGTACTACCAATGCTGAAGGTAGTCCGATTACTGGCACCACCACTTCCACCATTCGGACGATTTTGATTATCCCACCCCCCATTACCATCACAGTTACTAAGGAAGGGTGGGAAGAAGAACAAGAAATCTCGTACTTTAGTACAACCGATGCTAATGGACATGGAATCACTGGAAGCACTACTAGAACAATAACTTTCCATGTAGACCTACCGACACCATTTACGACAACATACACCAGCAATCATGAACAGGTTGAGGCTGAAGTATCGTATATACCCACTGTTGATGAGGATGGAAAGCCTACTTATGTTACAACTACCAAGGTTATAGCAATTTCGCACTTGCCGCCTCCTCCAGGTTATACAGTTACAGTTGATGTGGGAAATGAAGTGACCCACTATGAAGTTGTTAGCTACTTCACGACAGAAGACGAAAATGGGCAATTTTACACTGGCACGTCCACTGTTACATTTACTCCACCAAGTCCAACCACGATTACAATTACCAAAGAAGGTGTTGAGGAAACTGACTACGTTTCATATTTCATAACTACAGATGCCGAACACAATATTATAACGAGCAGTTCAGTCAGTAAAATACTCGACGATGGATTAGACAAGACGACTGTTGTGACTGATGAGGATGGGACAGTGCACACCGACATCATCTCGCACATCACCACTACGGATGCGGAGGGCAACCCCACGATAATTTTGACCACGTACCCATCGCCTACTGACGACGGGTTGGACAAGACGACTGTTGTGACTGATGAGGATGGGACAGTGCACACCGACATCATCTCGCACATCACCACTACGGATGCGGAGGGCAACCCCACGATAATCTTGACCACGTACCCATCGCCTACTGACGACGGGTTGGACAAGACGACTGTTGTGACTGATGAGGATGGGACAGTGCACACCGACATCATCTCGCACATCACCACTACGGATGCGGAGGGCAACCCCACGATAATCTTGACCACGTACCCATCGCCTACTGACGACGGGTTGGACAAGACGACTGTTGTGACTGATGAGGATGGGACAGTGCACACCGACATCATCTCGCACATCACCACTACGGATGCGGAGGGCAACCCCACGATAATCTTGACCACGTACCCATCGCCTACTGATAATGTAGATATCAGTACTTCTCTTCCTCAACCAAGTACTACATCATATACTGAAGATGGTGTGGTTATAGTTGAGGTAGTGTATGTCACCATCTACACTGCAAGCAATGGCGATGTGATGCTTACCACGATTACTGAACTGTCTAAGGAAATGATTGATGCTGGACCAATATGGGTGAGCCCTACTACAAGTACAGTAACAACAGTAGATAGTAATGGTAATACATTAACAATCACCACATCCTATCTAATTGACAATAATGGTAATACAGGACCAATTCCAAACTCTGTGATATCGTCATCAGTGCAGCCTAGCGATGATGGGCTGGATAAGACGACTGTTGTGACTGATGAGGATGGGACAGTGCACACCGACATCATCTCGCACATCACCACTACGGATGCGGAGGGCAACCCCACGATAATCTTGACCACGTACCCATCACCTACTGATAATGTAGATATCAGTACTTCTCTTCCTCAACCAAGTACTACATCATATACTGAAGATGGTGTGGTTATAGTTGAGGTAGTGTATGTCACCATCTACACTGCAAGCAATGGCGATGTGATGCTTACCACGATTACTGAACTGTCTAAGGAAATGATTGATGCTGGACCAATATGGGTGAGCCCTACTACAAGTACAGTAACAACAGTAGATAGTAATGGTAATACATTAACAATCACCACATCCTATCTAATTGACAATAATGGTAATACAGGACCAATTCCAAACTCTGTGATATCGTCATCAGTGCAGCCTAGCGATGATGGGCTGGATAAGACGACTGTTGTGACTGATGAGGATGGGACAGTGCACACCGACATCATCTCGCACATCACCACTACGGATGCGGAGGGCAACCCCACGATAATCTTGACCACATACCCGTCCACTGCCGAAGACGGTAAAGATAGGCCAACGGTTATTAGTAGCTCGGATAGTACTATGCCTCCACATAAACTGTCCTCTTCCAGTAGAGCCGATTCTGATATCAAGCCTTCTCCTACATCTAACTCAATATATATCCCAGAAATTTCTCGTTCAGTAGGGAATAATTTGCAACCCAGTTCTAGTGCCACATTATCAATAGGCATTCCTGAAGATAATTTCAGTTCTTCTGTTATAGTGGGGTCCGACTCATTTGGAAGTAGTGATCAATCGGTATTAGAAGGTCAATCTATTGGAACCGATGACTTTGCTTCCATCAAGACCATTGATATATCGGTTCTTGAAACTTCTTTACCGACAAATGAGACAACGAGCCGTCACACTTCTATAATTGAGGGCTCCGTTAAGGGTGCTGCACCTTCTGTGAAAAACAACTTCACGATTACCGTACTACCTTTGATAGTTGTACTAGCGTTGTGTGTTGTGTAACACACATGTCTAATTTAAACAATGAATCGTAAACAAGATTAAGAGAAACTTATTATACGGAAATGTTCCGTGTTGTACTATGCTAATGACATATATAGTCCTTATGGCCTATGGCCGCTTGCTTTGATTTTATGAAGGATGAGAGATGGTATTGTTGTTTGTATCAAAAAAAAAAATGAAACACATCCTACTATGAAGTTGTAATATTAGTTAATATATATACGACACTGTATAAAATTAGTGTTTATCAGTTTAAATTTTGAATATAAATTTGGTTTTCTTTTTTTATCGTAATCAGATTAGATAGCCGTTACCGCAAATAAAGTCTCATAGAAGTATATCATTCTTATTTGGTATTTTATCATCTACATCATGTTTTCCTTTGAGTCATCTACATCGGTCACGTATAACTCCTTTGACATCTCAAGCTACTGCCAATTGAAACGAGAAAGCAAGTGGAGAGGGAACGAGTGTAAGTCCGAGAGAAAGGCACATCTGCAGCGTCTTTGATTATTCCTTATTCCGCGCTGTTTATGGCTCATCCTTATCCTAGAAAAGCAGCTCTCTTGACTTGCCGGGTTCGTATACTGCCCCTCCCACCGAACCGAACAATAATTGGACACTTGTTCCAAGACCTATTGGCCATTTCACGAAAGGTTTGCAGTTGTTCGTAACAAAATTTGTGCTTTCTCCGAGGGATTTTATTTTCCTTTTGCCAGGTGCTCCCTTTGTTGTTGAGATGCCATTCCCGTACGGCCAATGAGAGCACCACAGTTCCCCCCCGCAGATATACAGTATTCTCTGTGCTGGGAGTCATCTTGTTAGGGGAAGCATTCGTCTTCCATATAGACCTTTTTTAAACTCCTGTACGCATGTTTGTCAGTGGAAGAGCATGGCCCTCTGAAATGCTTCGCTCTGAGTGGCTTCTCTCTGAGTGTTTCTCTCTGAGTGGCTTCTCTCTAACCCAGCTCCAGAAGAAATGGCCGCACTACCCTATCAAAAAGGCAATCGCACTGTCTTCTCCTGCACCCTTGTTGCACCTCTGTGCTGCTTGATCTAAGGGAATAGCTTTATTAAGACTTGAACAAAATTTGAGTGGATTCCGAGGGGTTTTTCTGCTTTTTCCCAATTTAGTAGTCGTTATTCGCTAACATCCCTTAAAAATATCTCGGTCCCTCCACAGACAATTCCGTAGCCTCCACGTAAGCACGCGATATCGGTTGTTTGGGGGGGGGGGGGAGCCAAGGGGTTTCACAGAGAGAGAGGCACTACACGTACGGGTATTCCTCTGCAGAGCATGCCATTCCCATTTCCCACACACAGTAACGATGCAAGAGATCCAATTTCACTATTTTCCCCCCAGTTCTTCAGATGTTTATGCATAGAACCCGGAACAACTCCCCCAGAACACCACGCACAACTGGGTTTAAAAAAAACCATCCCTGTGCTTCTCTCTTCTCTACAGGCATCTTTTGTCTCTTTGAAGAAGTGATTGGTAGAAACTCGGCGAGCCCGGAAGTAGAGCATTCACTCGCACTGTAAACACCGTATAGATCAACGATAAATTTCCAAACAATGAATAGATTATACAGAAGCTTCGATTTTCCATCAATTATATGATTTCGTGCGGTACTTTCTTAGTAGGAAGTGAAAAAAAACACTACACAAAATCAAATCAGAATTTGAACCTTCGGTGATATAATCCTGGTCAAAAAAAATTGACTTGAAAATTTAATTGAAAAAAAAATCTTGTAGGGCATCATACAATAAGGATAACAATAGTGGGATGAACAGCAATAGCAAGCAACTTTTGAGTTGTTTTTTAGTGCAACGCCAATAGTACCAGAGTTTAAACGTATATCTTATAGCTAAGTCGCACAAAAAGAAATACTAGTCTTGAAAATAGAAGAAAAAATAAAAAAAGCCACCGTTCTATTCCGCGATCTTTTATTTTAAAAAACACATATATATAAGTACTAGACTTGACTTGCTTTTGACTCACTGCAGATTTGTTACACAGAAAGCAAATCATACAAGAGTATCTGCTCCCACAAAAGTATCTGTTCACACAAAGGCATCTGTTTTTATACAAAACAGCACTACACTTTTTGCACTTTTCATTAATATAATAATATAACACAGATAAAAAGGAAAAAGACCCCCAACAGATAATCTTAACAAAAAATTACAAATGGTGGATCAAGAATCATTGGTTTCGTTTTCTTCAGAGACTTCGCAGTCCATCAACAGTGATATCGACATCGAGTCGCAGCAACAGCCAAGACAATATATTCCTAGCAATGAAAAAGATGGTAACAAAGAAAGACTACATCTAACACGTACCGAAACGGTAAAATCATTGCAAGAAATGGGTATGACTCAGGATGCTCCAATCCCTGATGTTAACGCCCCTCAAACTACCACCAAAAACGCTATCTTCCCAGAAGAGTACACAATGGAGACACCAACAGGTTTGGTTCCCGTGGCTACTTTGCAATCGCTGGGTAGAACATCTACAGCTATCTCTAAATCTAGGACAAGACAGATCGAGAGGTCTGTCTCTCGTCGTAGTCAGAATATCGCAGCTTCAAGCAACTCGTCAAACAAGGAAGAACTTGAAGATGAGGAAGAAGTCTCTAGCGATATGTCAAATCAACAACCTGAACTTGACCCAGAGATTGAGTTTGTTACATTTGTGACCGGTGATCCAACAAACCCTCATAACTGGCCACTGTGGATCCGTTGGGCTTACACAGTCATCTTATCCTGCCTGGTCATCTGTGTTGCTTACGGTTCTGCTTGTATCACAGGTGGTCTATTTACTGTTCAAGAGCAATACCACGTTGGTTTAGAAGCTGCTATTCTATCTTGTTCCTTAATGGTTATCGGTTTCTCCTTGGGTCCATTGATCTGGTCGCCAGTCAGTGATCTTTACGGTAGACGTTTGGCTTACTTCATCTCTATGGGTCTATACACTATCTTTAACATTCCATGCGCTTTATCGCCTAATTTGGGTGGTCTATTGGTTTGTAGATTTTTATGTGGTGTGTTCTCTTCCTCAGGTTTGTGTCTAGTTGGTGGTTCCATTGCCGATATGTTCCCAAGTGAAACGAGAGGTAGAGCTATTGCTTTCTTCGCTTTCGCTCCATACACAGGCCCTATCATCGGTCCACTTGTTAACGGATTTGTTTCAGTTTGTACCAGAAGAATGGATTTGATTTTTTGGATCAACATGGCCTTCGCTGGTGTTATGTGGATCATTGTCGCATTCATTCCTGAAACATACGCTCCTGTTATCTTGAAATGGCGTGCAGCTAAATTAAGAAAGGAAACTGGTAATCCAAAGATTATGACAGAACAAGAAGCACAAGGTGTTTCCGTCAATGAAATGATGAAAGCTTGTTTGATCAGACCACTATATTTTGCAGTCACTGAGCCTGTTCTAGACTTAACTTGTTTCTACGTCTGTCTAATTTACTCTCTACTGTATGCTTTCTTCTTTGCATTCCCAGTGGTCTTCGGTGAACTTTATGGTTACAAAGATAATTTAATCGGTTTAATGTTTATCCCAATTCTAATCGGTGCTACCATGGCATTAGCAACTACATTCTATTGTGAAAACGAGTACCTGAAATTGGTGAAAAAGAGAAAGCCTACGCCAGAAGATCGTTTGTTCGGTGCCATGATTGGTGCACCTTTCGCTGCTGCTGCATTGTGGATCCTTGGTGCTACTTCTTATAAGCATATTATATGGGTTGGTCCTGCTTCTTCTGGTCTAGCTTTTGGTTATGGTATGGTGTTGATTTACTATTCCTTGAACAACTACATTATTGATTGTTATGTTCAATATGCCTCAAGTGCTTTGGCTACTAAGGTTTTCTTAAGATCCGCCGGTGGTGCTGCTTTCCCATTATTTACTAATCAGATGTACCATAAATTGGGTCTTCAATGGGCAAGTTGGTTGTTGGCTTTTATTTCAACTGCTATGATTTTGCTACCATTCGGTTTCTATTATTACGGTAAGACGTTGAGACACAAACTTTCAAAGAAAGACTACTCTATCGATACCATTGAAGGATACTAATCAACAAATAAAAAAAGGGTTTTTTAACAAAGCAGCATTTGAAAATTTGATTGGTAGTGAGTTCAGTGCGATACATTTCAGGTTTAAAATGCATTTTTCGTATTTTATTTAATACTTCAATTTGGGCTAATATTTGCATTTCAATACAAGGTACCATTATCTCCAGTCTAATGGACTTGTGAGTATAGTATCTTCTTTAATATCCATTCTTTTTGATTTTCCTGTTTATTCTTATAGATTAATTTATACTACTGTGTTATTTTAACTTTACTCAATTAATATTTATGACTTAATTATGATAGATGAAAATGTTATTATTCAGGTATTCTTGCGCGGGGTCTTACAAATACTATGGCCAGTTTAAGCGATTGAATTTTTAAATTTTCTTAGCCACCGGCTCATCCATCAGTCTATAAAATTTCCAATGATATTTATAGTTAGTATTTCATTCAGATCTATAAAGCTATAGATTATTGCTTTAAAAAATTGTTCAGATATTATTTATACTATGACATTTCTACATCTTCGTCTTCATCACTCTTTTTGGAAATACCAGTTTTTATTAGTAATTGTTTTATTTCAGCTGGTTTAAATATCTTCTGCTCAAATTCCTCTGTTTCACCCTTCTTCTTTAAAGTTGCAAACTCTAATCTGTCATATGTAAGTGAGCTGCTGTCTGTTGTTTTTGATAGGGTCTTCAATGCTAGTTCTACAGCGTCATCCAAAGTCATTTCATCCTTGTAGTCCATCTGTAGCAATGTTTGTGCAGCTGATGTGTTGGCACCTACACTGATAGCCTTCCAGCCAGTGTAGTTACCAGATGGATTTGATGTGTACAATTGGTAACCATATCTATCATCATAGCCAGCGTAAATGAAAGAGACACCATATGGACGCAAACCACCGTATTGAGTGTAACCTTGTTTAATATCACTTAACTTTCTCACAAGCATCTCTACTGGGATTTCCTCATTGTACGTCTTTAAGTAGTTTTGTGCATGTATTCTGGCAGTATTTATCAGTATTTCAGCATCTGCCGTCAAACCAGCTACAGCAACAGTGGTTCTGTCATTAAGCTTATATAGTTTTTCCGTGGAAGTATCCTGTTCCAGCAAAGTACTCGTAACTTTCCGCTCAGCAGCTAAAACTATACCTTCCGAAGTCATAATACCAATTGCTGTACCTGCATGCGAAATAGACTCCAAAGCATACTCAACTTGGTACAATCTACCTTCTGGAGAAAAAATCGTAGTTCTCGAATCGTATCTTCTTGAACCCATTGTGTTACTATTACCAGTCCTCTTGGTTTATCAATTGCCCTGTTTCCACTAAACCTTATGACCACAGAAAAAATAGTCAATGCCCAATACTATAGCCTCTGAACAAGTTCCACTTGATTTCAAACTTGTCCAACTAAGATGTTGCTAATCGTGAACTACCGTTTCCTGTCTTCATTTCAACTATAACGTCCTATTTTCGTTGTTTCTGCAGAAACCCCTGCCTTCCGATGGGCCTTTGCCATTTCCGCAAAATGTTGCCACCAATTAGCAAGTCGTTTTCGGTGATCTTAGTATGTGCCAGTATACCAAGTTACATGAGTAAAGGAAAATGCAATGTTTGTTGTGTGGAAGTTTATATAGTATGTAAAATGCTAAAATTAAATAGTTGAAATGGGTCAATTGTTGTTTATATTAGATGCTCTGCCCTTTCAAAGAGGAGATGGAAAGGTATTGGTCTTTCCTGTTCGGGTAATGGAAGTATCTTGGTACCCTTGTATATGACTTTGCGACCGATTTGTGGTGGTTGAACGCTAGTCTCTTCGACAGTCTCCAAAAATGTACTCAGGGCGTCAGTCGCGTTTGAATTTTTTGTTGAGCTAGTTAGGGAAGTATTTATAGTATCATCAAGCGGTATCGAGTCGGTTGCTGCTGGTTCATTTATGTTGCCAGAAGTTTGCAGTTCACTCTCGTTTATAGGTTCCAAGCTATCTTGTATATCAAATTCATGTGCCTCTTGTTTTAGAAAAAAAAACAGCTCTTTTGCTTCAGGTATCAGAGATATCCAATTTACTAATAGAGTTTGGAGCTCAACTGTGTATTCACTTTTGGAGACATCCATTTGGCCAGCTCTCACAAGCGTCTTAACCATGTTGCATATCAATGTAACAATGCCAACAGCATATGAAGATATATATTCATTGTCCTCATCAGCATTGTCATCGTAATTATCAATTTCAGTGCCGTTGGATTCAAATGATTTTGCCGATAACGACACTGTTGCATTTAGGAAGAATTCTTGCAATAACATTTGCTTTTCAATAGAGGATAAAGCTACCGTACCTAGTCTTGAAAATCCGCATTTCCCTGTACTAGATTTCTTATTGTTGTCGCCATTAGCATCTCCATCTGAGAATCCCACTCTATAGCCCATTACCAATTCAAAAATGTAATGTATCAGGGGAAATGTGATGTTTATGTGCGTTAAAAACCATATCAAGACTCTTCTGTATCCCACTATCATTAGAAGCTCATCCATCAAACCACATGCCAATTCAGTATCCTGATATAGCATTTTAGCAAAATTGTTTGATGAACTAATTTGATCATAAATTTCATCTACTGTTAATTTTGATTTATTGACATCCCCATTGGCTAATGGTAGTTGTGACATTCCATGATAGATAACCATGCGATCCTGTTCTTCCCTAATGCAAGAGGCTACTAACTGAATAAGACGATTAGACTCTGATATATCCAACACGGAATTAACAGCTTTAGAAAAATACGAAGCAAACTCAGAAGATGAACATTCCTGAACGAAAACAAACTCACCGTTGTAGTATAAGTTTTCCCCTCGCGGTATATCTCTCCAGTCTTTACCACCATAGTTAAAGTCAAAAAAGCTACGCATCCTGACCGTAAACGGCTCTGGCTGTGATATAATTTTAATTTTATCATTTTCATCTTTAGTTGATATTGCATTATTTTCTAATTCCATATCTGTTATTAGGGATTGGTGGTCTATTGTGCTTTCATCCATTATTTTATCATCTTCGAAGACACAATTACACCTTCTAAAGATTGGAGCTGGCCTTACTCCATCACTTTCATTATCGGCTTTCTCGTCCATATCCTCAGAATCAGATACCAAATTGTAATCCTCGTATTCATAGTCAAACATATACTCGACATCTTCATCAAAACGATCACCAGGCTGTAAATCTGTCAGTAAATTTGTTATGTCATCGAGCTCTACTCCGTTCTCTACGAATATTTTGGTGGATACACGCATATCCGCATAAAGGGAGCCACTACATAATTTTCTTCCATGAGGTGACATGAAGGTGTTAATTGGCTCATGTTTGAAATCATGTTCATTATTTTCTATTTGTCTGTTTAATATTGTTGTTAATGCAGCCCGAAAAGCTGATGCACCCCTAACAGTTGCCCTTATCATTAAAGGCGTTTCTTCGGAGTCATTTTGTTCTTCAATTCTATCCACTTGCAGCCCCAAAAAGATAATTTTTGTAATATATTTCCAAACAGAAAATAATTCGAACAGAAAGGGGTTATTTTGTATTGGCTGGTCTTCGTATAATTTATAAATTGCGTAAACCGACAAAATATCAATCATATAAAGCAATTCTAGATCTTGGGTATTCAAATTTTTTGGTATCCAATATTCAAGAGTCTGCCTCCAATCATTACCTTCTTCGAAATTTCCGATATTATTAAGTGTATCATAGCTGCTGCAATGTAACTTTTTTAAACTTTTCCATACGATCTTAATTAAGTTGAAGCCACATAAATATTTCCAATCATAATTCCGTGCTTTACCAGATTTAATCAATGCAGGATGAACTAGGCCTGTATACAAACCATGAAGGAGATCAATTGATATGATATGAGTGTCGTTTGGGGTAGGTTGTGTCAAAGGATCTACCAATCCCGCTAAAGTTTTGAATTGCATCTCCAAGTATGGTGCTAAAGTATTTCTTTGGCTAAGTCCCAGAAATTCAAAGAGAATGCTGTGCCGTAACATACTGTCCTTCATTATATTTGGAACTTCTTGAAGCCCATTTTCATTGATATCAAATGAAAGTATAACTTCTTCCTCATTATCAGCCTTATGGTTGTTTGGGGTTAAGCTCCTCAAAGTACCTTGCTCCCATTTATAATCTCCTCTCTCTATGGCAGAACTGATATCCTTGACTTTGTTTATTCTGCCAGACTGGAGTAATATTGCTTCGATATCATCAGTAGTAACATAGCGTTCAAATTCGAGCAAAACATCTAGCAACGACTCATCAAACTGGCATAATGCATTTTCATCGTCTGTAATTTCGTACCTTAAATACGATTGATTATACTCAGTTACTCTATCGTACAGATGTAATGTCATAGTGAAAAAGTTCATGTGTTTACCGATGGTGGATTGGATAGCTATTGCTATTTTTGATTTTATGTTACTCTGTGCAGCATAAAGATACTCTTCTAATATATTGAACTCTTCTGACAGCAAGAACCTATGCTTAATGTTGTTATTGGGACAAGTTAGTAAGAAGGTTAACGGCCGCTTGTAACTTGTCTTGCAATAGTTCCCTAAATCAATATCCACATTTCTGTTCTTAAGTATAAACTGCAATAAATTGTGTAAGTATTCATCTTCCCATTTCCACAACATTTTCAGATGTTCATAGGCGGGGGAATGAAAAAGAGTGTCATCACTATCATTGTGTTCAATTGCAGAGTCCAGTCCTGTATTTTTAAAAAAATGCAGTATCTTATTGCCAGGTTTTGTTGTGAAGAGAGCTATGGTGAGGAGCTCATAGAAAAAATTATCTTCAAAGCGGGGCCTTGAATAGCTCGTTGTGCTCAAGTCTTCATCACGATATATTTTTTCCAAGTATTCAAAAGGAATGACATCAAACTTGTGAGCTCGATAACTTTGTTTTTCAAGTATGTAAGATGGATCCATTTCTGAAAAGTAGGTATAAAATAATCTTCGAAGCACATCGGGAACCTTCGGCAGCCTTTCGCCCTGGCTTCTATTCACCAATTCTCTCAAAAGCAGGCCTAAATCATTAGTGGGTGGGTTCTTTTCCGCTTCAACTATTTCAGCATCGTTATCCTCCGTTTTAGGTACTTGAGAGTTCTTAGATTTCTTCTTTTTCCCCATTACCCTTTAATGTGCTTTCTTAAAGATGAAATATATATCGGAAAATTTAATGAAAATAGCAAACTCCGGCTTTTTTGTGAGTATTCCACAATTACTGGTTCCGTATTACCACTTGTTTGTTAAAGTCCAGCTGATCGGAAGACGCTAGTGTTAATACTCAGTAATCTGAATTGCCCTAACGATAATAGGTTTTGCCACTATCAAACGGAATACAGGTGTATTAGATGTAAATGTTCACTGTACTATCAGATCACAACAGAAATCAGTGTAAATATATGTACCAACTGTTAAGACAGATAGAACAGTCCTTCACTATACCATTTAACCATTCAAACCATGCGATGGCCCTCTCTAGGAATAAATACAGTTTCTCGACTAGACTTGCTGCGGACGAATAAAAGCCGGAAGTGAAGAAAACACCGACTTTTTACCCGGACGTACCTGTAACGACACTGTGAGACAGCTATATCGCATAATAATACTCGAATAATGAGTGTAGTTGCAGGCTAAGTGTTTGGCAGACCATCCTTGTGAATCATGGTGAGTCGATTTCAGTGAGGAAGTACCTGATAATGCCATTGTATGCGCTCATGTCGTTGTTTTTGAGGATGTTTGCCATGTCGACGTCCAGTGGTGAGTCTGGCACCGGTTCTTGGAGTAGTATATGTATTGCTTGGACTACATGCAGGATATCCCAGATCGGCGACCACCCTTCTGGTTTCAGTATATCCAAACAGATCTCGCCCGTTCTCCTATCCACATTGCAATGCGGAGGGACTCGGATACCTGCCTTCGCATCAGATACAAATTTGATAGTAGGTGGTACCATAGGGTAACTGGCGGGTACTTCTATTGCCAATTTGAACTCATACGGGTAATAAGGTGTCTCTGCTGGGCCTTTGATCACAGCGAACCACCGAGACAGATCAGAGTCATCTACTGGTGCAAGGTCCACTAGAAATTCAGAGTCCCCGTGCTCCAGTGCCTTCCTTATCTTCAGCAGTTCTTTACTAATTCTTGCCATCAAGTGTTCTTTAAAATGATTGTGTAGTCTTGGAGCAACAGTCTCTCTAACCAATGGAGTTCAACACACTTTTAATGACTATATACTAGTCATACTGCTCAAGCTATTGCATCTTTAGAAGCTCATCTCTCATTTGACGGGTTTCTGCCTGTGGAGCTTCCCTTTTTTAACAGGCAGCGAAGAATTGCAATAACGGAGGCAAAACGTAGCCATAGAGAAGTATTGTCTGTATATATCCACTTGTGGAGGGAAAGGTTGCTTATACAATTTAGTCTACATTGAGCAAAGACACTGAGAATAGTGGGACAAGCTCTGTATCTAATATCTGTACTGGAGAGAAAAAGATATGTCGCAACAAGCTAATAATTTTGTGAGATTGATCACTAAGGTGGCCATCCCTGTGGGTATTGCAGTGTCTGGGTTGCAGTACTCTATGTATGATGTGCAAGGTGGTTCTCGTGGTGTTATCTTTGACAGGCTACAAGGTGTAAAGTCTGACGTCGTTGGCGAAGGCACTCACTTCCTGGTTCCGTGGCTGCAGAAGGCGATCATATATGATGTGAGGACGAAGCCCAAGAGCATTGCCACCAACACTGGTACCAAGGACTTGCAGATGGTGTCCCTGACCCTGAGGGTGTTGCACAGGCCGGATGTGATGCAATTGCCGCTTATATACCAGAACCTAGGTCTGGACTACGACGAGAGGGTTCTGCCCTCCATCGGTAACGAGGTTCTGAAGTCGATCGTGGCCCAGTTTGATGCAGCTGAGCTGATCACCCAGAGAGAGATTGTGTCGCAGAAGATCAGGCAGGAGCTGTCCAACAGAGCCAACGAGTTCGGCATCCGTCTGGAGGACGTCTCCATAACGCACATGACGTTTGGTCCCGAGTTCACGAAGGCCGTTGAGCAGAAGCAGATTGCGCAGCAGGACGCTGAGCGTGCCAGGTTCCTGGTGGAGAAGGCCGAGCAAGAGAGGCAGGCGAGTGTTATCCGTGCTGAGGGTGAAGCTGAGAGTGCCGAGTACATCTCCAAGGCCTTGAGCAAAGTTGGTGACGGTCTGTTGCTGATCAGACGGTTGGAAGCGTCCAAGGAGATTGCGCAGACGTTGGCCAACTCTAACAACATTACCTACTTGCCTAGCAACCATGCAGGCGGTGACAAGGACGACAAGGGGAGTCCCAACACGTTGCTGTTGAACCTCGGCAGGTCGTGAAGGGGATGTTACTTTTTTTATCTACACTATGTAAATACCACAACTAAAATATAAAATATGTATTACTTGAGAGTTAAAATCAATATTCAGACCTAAAAACTAATTGAGCTAGATTCCAAAGCAAAACCTTGTACTGCCCCCAGGAAAAACAATAAAAGCAAAAACAAAAAATAATAGAAATTTAAATTTGATTAAAAATTAATACCTTTAGATAAGAGAATATAACATATAGATTGTTTAAAAAGGGATAAAAAAAAATTGAACTTTAAAAAGATATGCCTATGTCCCTCTGTTCCCCCCGCGAGTTCAGATTAGCTTAGCGATGGGATGAGGTCATAGCACTACCTTGAGAGAAAAATTTTGCTGGAGCTGAGGAATGTACCAGAGAGGCAAGGAAATTAGAAGTTTGATAAATTGAAATAAAAAGACCACATCCTTGAATGTGATAAGGGTATTTGTGAATAGTTCAATACAACTTTGGGCTCCTTGAGGGGACACTCCCCTTTTCAACAGCAAAAAAAAAAAACAGGCGATAGAAGTAGAAAAACAAAAACAAAAGAAACAATGAGGGGGAGTAGTGGATTTGATTATATGTGTATATGCACCAGTGTATCCCGCCTCTTGTTCATGTGTTTTTCAGTACAGTCCGGGGCATCGAGGTGTTTTAGACCTGGGAGATGGATGGGACGCCGACCTCGGTGTGGTGCTTTCTTCTTAGCTTAGCACCGAAGGCACCGTTGGAGACGACAGATACGATGGACATGATCATCTTAGCCAAGAAGATGGCCATGGAGAAGTAGAAGAAGGCGACTAGGGCCTGGGCCTGTCTGCATCTGGTGCCGGAGCCCTGGACGATCTTGGTCTCTCTTTCCAGGTACCTCTTGTTGTTACAGGAGTGGGCTCTGATACCGACTGCAAGGACTGTACCAGCGGTGAAGGTGAACACGAAGTTCAAGAAGTCCAGGACGAACAGGACCAGAGGCCAAGCCAATGGCTCGAAGAAGTTAGCGAAGATACCGTAGAGGGAGTCGGTAGCGATACCGTACGCAGCGGCAAACAGACAGAAGTTGACACGGGAGGAGTGTCTCTTCCTGGTGTTGATCAGCGACGAGGCCAGACCAATACAGATAATCAGGAAAACAGCATTAACTATACGCAAAAGGTTGTCAGCAACAGAAAGCATTGTAACTTTTTTTATTTTTAATTTGTGGTTTGGTTGTTATCCTGCTTTTCCACATATCCTTTTTGCAATAGCAATCCTCATCCCCGTTATATATAAAAAATTTTTTTTCTTCTCCAGGGGGTAGTTGTTATTGTTTTCCCTATTTCTATTGCACAATAGGATCCACACGGACAGTTGCAAAGAAAATTACGTTATATAGTGGTGTACGGGTTACCCACTCCGAGTGCCGAGGCATCTCCTATTGCAGAGTGCAGTGTAGCGTTGTAGTGTTGTAGCACAGTCTGTATTGCAGTGTAGCACAGTATATTACACAGCGATGTCCATCCGTATTTGAATTTGAATTGTATTTGAATTGTATTGTGTGTGTACTGCTACTGCTACTGCTGCTGCTACTGCTGTACCCCCCGACCCCCTATCCCGCAGCACCCCTTACTTCCCCTTTCGGGCATACACTCGCGTTTGTCCCCCTCTTCTCTGTTCTCTCTTCTCTCTTGTCTCTTCTGTCTTTGTCTCTTCTCTCTTGTCTTCTACGTCTCCCCGGACCGAGTATCCCGGGCAGGGTAAGCGGTGCGGGTGAGGCTACAGCCATCCGCAGTGCCAGTTGGTGCCAGTGCTACACAGAGTACACAGAGTGCCTTGTACCACACTTGTACCACCGTTATACTACCCTTGTACCACCCTTGTACCACCCTTGTACCACCAGTAGGTGCTACTCTGCCTGCTGATCGTCGCCCAGTATCCCCCCCCCTTCGACTCCCAGATTCATATAAAAGTATTACACTCTTCAAATCACTTGCCAATGCCCAAAAGTTGAAAGAACCAAAACAATGTCTTTCAAAAGTGACGACCCTATCGGCAGGTTGCTGCAGGAAGGCTCCCAGGAGAAGAAGAAGTCCATCCTCACCAGATCAGTAGAAGATACAGGCTTCGTGTCCCCCTTCAGAAGAGGCCTCACTTCTGCCTCTGCCGCTGCCTCTGTATCAGCTTCCGCTTCCGCTTCCAGACACAGAAGGTTCTCAAACGACTCCAGCGACTCGGACTCAGACTCCAGAGATGCTCACAATGCCGCCAGCGGTGGCAGGAGCGACTCCTCCCGCAGCGACTCCTCCAGCGACTCAGACAACGAGCAGAAGATCGCTGTGAACCCCTTCACAAACAAGCCAGCCTACAACAAGAACGCAAAGCAGATGAAGTTCCCCACCGTCAGCGCTACCTCTGCGCTCGCCAACCAGGACCCCAAGGAGCTCGGCTTCAAGACCCTCGACAAGTCCACCAAGCGCGCCAAGGACATAAAGTTCCCCGTCTACCTGACCGAGAACGAGTTCAGACAGCAGACCATCCTGAAGGAGCTGGAGCTCAAGGAGGGAAAGCTGCAGTACTTGAAGGACAGCCAGAAGATCATAGACCTCACCATAAGACAGCCTGACTCCGACGAAGAACAGCAGGACGAGCAGGACGAACAGGACGACACAGAGGTCGAGGACAACGTCGATGCCGAAAACCAGCAAGCCCACACTAAGGACAACGACACCATCACCGACAAGGAGGACATGGCCTCCCAGGACGCCCCAGAAAAGGAAATGTCCCCAAGAGAGGACTCCTTGCCTCACCCAGACGCCGCAGAAACAAAGATCATGCAACACAAGGACATCGACGCACCAAAATTGCAAGAGAGAAAGCCAACCCCAGATGTCGATGTCGCCGCCGAACAAGCGGAAGAAGTCGCTGAAACTGACGGCGACGTCGATGCAAAAGAAGTCGATGCGGAAGCCGGTGCGGAAGCCGATGCCGAAGCCAAGGCTGCTGACGCTGTTATGGACTCAGAAGCTGAACCAGAATCTCAGGAAAAAATGGCTCCATCAGTTAAGGACACCTCTTCTGCTCTTGCTAGCGAGGACTTGGAAAGTTACATGACTGTTGAAACCCCTCAACCATACGATAAGGTCCCAAGAATTCCTTACACTGAACAACCAGAATCCGGTAAAAAGTTCAGCTCTTTCTTCAAGAGAAATGACAATGCAGGCCACCCAGTTATCACTGACGTCCCTGTGATTCCAGATCAGAGCCAACTCGATTTCCCAATTGCTACTCCTGAAAACCCTGAATTGATCGCAAAGACCGAGGAATACGGTTATATGTCTAAGCCTATCTACGATAAGGTGGTCTATGATGAGACCAACCATAGACGTTGGTTAAAGGGTTTCAAGAAATCCGAAAAGGCCAAGTACGATGACAAGATGGAAGAGTACAACAATGAGTTGGAAGAACTTCAGAAGGAAATAGACATGATCAATGAGTCTATGGAGAACCTAAAGAAGGAAACTGCTGACAAGATTGAAGTTAGTGAAAATAACTTGGTAAAGAAGATATTCGAGAGGAATACTTTGCACAATGAGCAGAAAAATAAAATCTTCAAAGAAACCGAGAACATCAAGAACCAGAAGATTCAACAAAAGAAAGAAATTCTTGACAAGCACGCTGTTGTTCAAGATGAGATCACTCAATTGAATGACAGAAAGAAGGAAGTCAGAGAAGAGTTTGACAAGTGGACTACAAACATGACTACCCTCGGCCAACAATTGGATGCCAAGATCATGAAGGTGACTCAAATAACCATGAAGCAAGATGAAACACAAAAGGAAATCGAAAAGCTAGAGACCCAAAAGAAAGAATACCAGGCTCAAATAGATGCAGCCAAGAAAGAACATGAAGAGGGCCAAAAGGTTGTGGAGAGTTATGAAAACAAGGAATACTTGCCAAAAATCCACACAATCGATAACCAAATTTCAGAATTGTTGAATGAACTCGCAATTATCAAGCAAGAAAATGCCAATGAGCAAACAGAGTTAAGCAAGATAACTAAGGAGTTAGAAGAAGAGCGTCGCGCTCATGAAGAGAAATTGAAACTAGAGGCAGAAGAGCGTGAACGCCAAGAGAAGAACTTGCTAGAAAAGCAAAGATTAGAATTGGAAGAAAAGGCCGAACAGCAAAAGAGAGAGCATGAAGAACAAGTGCGTAAAATGAAAGAACAGTATGAAAATGAGTTGAACAATGTCAAGAAACAGAAAGAATCTTTGGAAACGGAAAAATTAGTGGAGGAACACAACCGTAATGAGAATATCAAAAAGGAAGTTCTTGATAAGCAACGTAAACAAGCAGAGGCTCAACATGCTGCTCAAACTAAGTCTATTGCTACCAATGCAGCAAACGATATGCAAGATAACTCCTTGTATGAATTCAAGACAGAAGAAGAAATCATGTATGTTTAGACTCAGAATTCGATCAGTAGTCCAATTTTATTTCTTATATTCTATGCCATTATTTTATCCCTTTGACTTTTCCTTTTTTTTCAACTTTTTTGTTAACTAAATTTTAAATTACTATTTTGTGTTTTTCTACTATCCACATCGCCAGTACTAGAACAAAATACTAGTGAGCTGGCCAACTCACTATTCTATATTTTTATTCTTATTATTTGTTTACCACAAATGGTTAATACTAAAGTAATTTATAATTAAATATGTAATCTAATATTTTAATCTCTTACTCAATTTATTCTACTCTCGATAACAAAACTTTTCACGGATGTTATGGCTATGGAGTAAGTGCGGAGGTAAGCAAGTTCACCATCAAAACATTAAAATTTAAGGGGAGTACTAAAATTAATTCAACAAAAAGATCAGTAATTAAAGATAGTAAATATGCGTAAGTTATGTAAAAAAATATCTATTTTTATGCTCGTTTAATTCTAGCGAATCTATTAATTATAAGGGAGCAAACCTGTATATTTTACTTGAAGTTGTCTTTTGGGAAGATTACAGCAAAACTAGTGGAAAGATGAATGTACTCCTTAGGTATAAATTTACCTCAGGATAATAATTTCGATGTACTAGGGATACCATAATACCACATAAGGGGTATGGTGAGATAATGATCATTCATTATTGTATGTAGTAGCAAAGAATAATCAATATAAATGTCTAAGAAACCATTAATCGAAGTCTCCAATTTTAGCTTGCTGTTAAGATATACTGGTAACTGAAAGCAAAATATTGTGGCTCTTATTTCTGGAATCAGAATCTGCTGTGCCCAGTCCACAATATCACACGTAATATTGGATAAATGTAGCATTCTGTTTCCTCATTCAATTCAAATTTACTAAATAGTATTGCTCTTTCACTGAGAAATTCCGGATTATATTTCTCATTTAATAGTACAGGCATGGCTTTATTTTTCAGCTTCATGGTCATCATCTAATGATTTATTAAATTGCAAATTTTTAGCGTTGATGGAACCAGATAAGCTGGTGTGTTCTTTATCATTGGCAATTTTCCTATTCGAATCATACCTTTGTTTTGCTGTTTCTTTCAGGTTTTGGGACAGTCGTTGAACTAGTTCCTTGTTATCCTTGATATTTACTTTCCCACTGTCCTTGTTAATTCGAAACTGTGTTTCCTTTGCTTTCATCTTGAACTCAGGTCTTGGTAAATTTTGCAATTCTTTGTCATAAGTGTTCTTTGCCAAATGTTGCAATCGCATTCCACTCTTCGATTCAAGTTTGCTTTTCTTCTTCCTCTGTTGCCTCTTCTCCCAGTCAATGAAGTCCTGGACTGTATACTGGAATAAATTCGTGCGCATATCACTTTGCTCATCAGAGGATCGCTTCTCGTCGCTGTCATCTTCATCATCATGCATGCTATATACTCTCGGTTTTAGGCCTTTCTCTTTCTCTTCCGCTTCTTGCTTTAATAGATTCCTATTGCGTATTTTGATGTCTTGTACAGATTTCTTCAGGAGTTTTAACTTCTCGTTATAGTCCTCCAAGTTCATCATATATATCTCTCCATGTAAAATATAGTAAGTTTTTGCCTATGCTTTTTAGATTATTCTATCTTTTAAGGAAAATGGTAATCGCAGATAAGCCAAATACCCTTCTCACTAACCGTTAACCTCTCCTGTTTCACTAGCTATTGACTTTTCAAACGAGTAAACTATCATCCAACAATCGCAAAACCGGCTACTCTCCAGTCGCCTTCACACATCAAACCTACTTTTACTCCAGATTCTCGACTTTGATGCAAGCATTGATGATGTTCACTTAGTTTCGCATTAAATCACCGACTTCGAGAATGTAAACTGTCCGACCAAATGTCGTACTACGAACTGCATTTTGGAAAATTTTTTTGAAATTTCAGTTTTTCCATTCAAAGTTTCAGTTTTTCCAGCTTTTCGTCAGTTGAAATTTTTTTTTGCGATGAGCTATAGCTCATCTCACATACTAACTTGGAGGAATAGTTATCTGTTCTTGTTTTTGGTTGAAGGTTTTCAGCTATTGTATTCTTTCCTGTATTGTTTTCCCAGTTGTTTTTGCACATTGTTTATGTTACTTAGTGCTATATTGTCTTTACGCATATATCCAAAGCACTAATTATCTCTAACTTATCCCTCCAATCGCTTGCCCACTGGTAAAATAGCAGTTACCGATCGAATGCCTTCACTCTCCCAGCCTTTCAGATTGGCGGTTTTGCCAAAGATTGCCTCGTTGCATAACTTCTCACAGAAGAAAACGTACATTAAAGTTGCGGACTCGTTCACACCGGACTCGAACAGCGTGCTATTGGGTATATCCGGGTCATCCATCTCGAAATACGTGATCACACCAACCCCAAGATTGATATTCAATGTCCCGATCCCATCCACTCACTTGGTATCTGCTTGCAATATGGGTACTTACTCTGAGACTTCTACAGTCTCTTCTGACCCTCAGGCTACTGCAGACGAGACCACCGATACTGCGCCCACCTCCACTAACACTGTTGAAGAGACCAAGCATTACGAAATATGGTGCTATGCGCTATCGGCAAATAATAAGACACATACTTTAAACTGTCTAATCCGTGAAGTAGACAATAACAACACATCCATCACAGAAAATAACCCACAGTTCAACGCCAAATTCAAGGAGCAGATCATCAACATAGAAGTTGATACTAAGCATAAAGTCATCGTAATCCTGTTTGAAACTGGTTTGGTCCAGTTCTATGATTTACAGTTAAAATTGCTAAACTCAATAAATACTCCATACAGGGATATCAAAATTGTGAAGACTTTTGAAGAAAACGGTTTAGAGTACATGCTATTAATTTCCGATCTGAAGGACCAAAAGGTAGCTTTACAACTATACGAAGTCTCCACGGAGGAAAAGAAAGTTAAGGAACTCACATCTTCCATTATAGAAAACTTCAACCTGCAAGACTCTTTATTATGCTACCAATTTGGTCGAATCTACAGACTCTTCAAAGACGAAATAGAAGTATATTCCATTCCATCTTTGCAACTAAATTCCAAGGTCAAAATTCCATTTCTTTCTGAAATAGAGGATAAAAACTGTTTGATATCTTTGAAACCTATTGCAACTAACAGAGTGCTATTGACAGTTAAGAATAAGATATACCTGTTGGATCTCCTGCACAAGTCAATATTATCAGAGAGAGAAGTTAGCCATATGAAAACATTCCAGATCTTAAAGACTGCTATGAATAGGGATGGATCGGAGAGTAAACTAACGCTTGCTCTTGGAATTTCCACTAAAAATGGTCAAAACCCTACATCCGCATTGGAAATCATTAACATTGATGTTGGCTCTAACAGCTTGAAAGACTCTCTAGGTAAAAGTTTTCTGAGAAGAAATAACCAAATTCAAGGTCAATTAAAGAACTTATTCCCAGAACCAAAGTATGAGCTACCAAGTATCAATTTCCCTGAAATACTGGGTAAATTAAAAAATGCTAATTCAGCAGAAAAGTTTGATGAAACATTTTTCAACCTTTTGAATATAAAAGAAGAGATGTTCACCGAGAATAGTAGATTCTTAAACGATCAAAGATTTTTGGCTTCTGTCCTTGACCTCATATTCACAAAGATAGATTATAATAAAAGTTGTCCAAGATCATTAATGTTCCTTCTCACTCATCCTTTGTTCCCGAAAGAAAAGGCTATTGGTCTATTAACTAAAGTGAAATCCAACTCCAGACTATTCAAACAAGCTATTGTTACCTGTCCGAATTTACCACTACAAGAACTACTCCAAGAGCTTTTTACAATTAAAAATTCTGAGTTAGTAGTCGATATATCTATGAGGATATTACAAGATTACACCAAAGATGCCATAAAAGAGGAAATAAAAAAGCTAGATCAGGTTTCTGTTGAGAACTTCATGAATTTCATTATCAAAATGAACAACCGTGAAGCTGCAGTAAGCGATTTTACGATGTTTACACCTCAAATATTTAAGCTACTCTCATTAATCCTGGATTCTATTGGTCTTTTCGGACTAGAGGAAAGCATCTTGATTCAACTGTCAAGTATTATCGAAAAAGAAGTTAAGATTGCTGAAAGAAATGTTGAACTGTGGAATATAATGGACGCTAAGATGCTAAGTGTAAAGAAGAGCAGCTCAACTGCGGCATCCAAACTTGCTGAAAATTCCCAAACTCCATATATAGTCGAATACATAGATATATAGGTGGTAAATATTAATAGAATGTCTGCATTAAAGAAACTTTCTGTCTTATAGTATTAAAAAATGTAATTTAACCGATTGAATCATACTCTAGATGCATGATTTCGAACTCCTTTACTAATTTAGGTTACCTTATTCAATATCATATTCGTAACGCAGTTCTTCTTTTGGATTACTAGTTGAATATAATGAGATGTCCTGATCTGAGGAATAAATTATTCTTTCAATAAATGTAGCTTTCGTTTTGCTCTTATCTACAAGCAACACAATCTGTGACCGTGTTCCATAATACTGACCAGCAGTTAAAGGAGACCCGATTTCCTCATGTGGCGGTGTTAATAAAGGTTGAACATAAATAGTTTCTTTCGTTACCCCTAGACTTTTAACTAAGTCAAATTCTTCAGTTATCTTATCGAGAATGAGATTTGTAGATGCCAATTTGAAACAATTCTCAATAACATCTTCCTTCCCAAGATTTGTATTTGTCTTCACGAATTCTTCCATGATCTGCTTACCTTTTTTTATTTTCCCCCATTCTTCAGGGCCTGAATTGATGTCTTGAGACTGCAAATGAAGTTTATCGTGAATATTATTAGATATTACCAAGTAACCTTTTCCAGGTTTGCTGAATAAAGGGTGTGTATTTCCTAATGAGTCAATTAAGGCGTAACGACCTTCTTTAAAGTCGCCGTAAAATAAGTTGAAATCCCCTGTTCTCTTGATATCTGGGTAACACTTACAAAACTTTGCGTATGTATCCCAGTCTTCAAAATTGCCCTGCCTATCATTTAAAAAGACAAAAGGTAAAGCACCACGAGACCTCTCTCCAATCATGCGCTTCATATCAAGTTCATCACATATTCTCAAGTTTAATACAGTCGCAACTCTTCCCTTTCTATTAACACCGGTCCACGTCCCAAAAGTATCATTGGATTGTCCAGCACCAATACGTGCTAGATCATATGGTGAGAGAATAAAATCATCATTATGCCAACAAGTTGAGTGCGTCTTTCTCTCTAAAAATTCATCTCTATTAGAGATCATTATAAGTTCATAGTCAGGATGCTCTCTAGTAGCAAAGAGTATACACATACTTCCTCTGAAACCAAAAATGCCAAAATTATAACTACCAAATTTAAATCTAGATTGCCTTAATCAGATGAAAATGAAATGAGCAATACTACCGTACACGCGGAAATAATGCAAGTCCGAAACCACTTCCTGTATAGCCTCTTTTTCTTCTCAGTGACAGTATACCAGAACTCGAACCTTTGAATTATGACGATTAAATAGCTCTATCGAATCTAATCCTCCTCAAACTACTGCATTAACTATCCCCTCCATCACCAAATTATTATGCTCATCGCTTTCATTTCATTTTTCTTAGTTTGAAAATTAAGGCATCCCTTTGTCGGCTTTTATTTTCAAAAACTCCCCGTGAAATAATATAGCTGCACCGAAATATTCTAGTAGACCTCATTTGATCAGGTTGACAATTGGGGCATCTCATCGTACTGGAATAATATATGGTATTCCGGTGAAATTCTATTAAAAATATTTACATGATTATTCTGACCATTTACTTGCCAAGAGTCCTGTCTGCAGATACAATTACACGCCCTAATCAAACATTCTATGAAAAAAACCCTTGATGCCTTTTTCAGATTTGTGTTTTTGGTACTTAGCAATTTCTTTCTTGTTTCTTTCAACTGCCATGTTGATCTTCTGTGCGATATCACTAACTTCTGATTTGTTACTTTGTGATTTCGATATACTCTTGTCCTTTGAGCTTAAATCGCTATTTCTAGATACTTGTGTACTTTTCCGCTTTAACGTCTCTAATGTTTTCATTTTAACTAGACCTGTATCTGTCTCTAGTCTGTACTCTTCCGGAAACTGATTAGTTCCCGTAGTGGTCAATGGGGCATTATAATCCGGAATAGCCTTACGTTGCATATCCAGCCCTTTCGCTTTAAGAGATTCAATTGTTTCTGAGTTACCGGCAACAGCGTTTTGTGTAACAACTTTCTCGATAGCCAAAGAGTCCAATTTCTTCAATGTTGCACCACTATGCTTCGAAGTTGCATCGTCCATATATGTGCCTTGCGATGCATTTGTAGCTTTTCTACTGAGATTCTCATTCTTGGTATGCTCTAGTCCAGTAAATGGCTCTGGTTTATATGAATCTACTGATGAGAAAGAGGAGATGTCCTCCACTTCATAATCTGTATCACTAGTGGTGCCGTTATAGGACATTCGTATGTTTTTCAGTTAGTGCTGGACTTACAATGAAAAGTATAGTTCAGTAATAGAAATTTGTGAATGAAAAAACTAATACTCAAAACTTGCTAGATGTAGTATTTAAAGGAAAGATATTTAGTGGCCCATTGAATTAACTTTCAACCAGTCCTCAAGGAAGAAAGAAACCATCACTATAACAATGAAATTGAACCTAACAATGCAGGATATATAATCATTTGACATTCAAACAATGGCAGAATTCACAAAAATATTCTTCTGGCCAGTGAAATCAGGAAGACTTAACCGTTTGACGTATTTTTCCCAAATTCAGTTGTTGTCGGACCTTTTCTGAGTCTTTCATTATTTGTTCTGACACTCACCGATCAAAAGTGACTGCTAAGAAAAAGAAAACACCACTAAAATAAGATAAGGAGCATCCACAATTTGAAATGGGACTTTGAAAAATAATATTATGTCATACTACTAGGTAATAGCCGTTGATTGGAAGTACTGTACATCTTACATTTGACATAATTGACATAATTAACATAATATCATACTGGTAAGTTAAAAACGTTTCAGTACTATAGATAAGTAAGGTAAATGCAGTAAGTATATAAACATGCCTTTATAATTTTCATACTTCCAAACAAGAAGTAATGAAATGCCTTTTTTTTGCTATCAGGCACTCACTAGAGTGTACCCTAGTAATTCTTTGAATCGAGTGTCTCTTATTGCCAGAATTAAAAGAACCAATTCTGTATATAGAACAATGTTATCCATTTTCATTATTTCCATGCTTTTCTCATCTATTATCCACAAGATAGTGTCAGTCTCAACTTGAACTCTCAAGTTCTGATTAATGTTCTCATTATCGCGTTTGCTTAAGATTTTCCCATAACAGGTACCATTGGATAGTGTTTCATATACAGAACCTGCAGGTAGGTTGTATATAACCTTAAGTATACCTGCATCCACAAGGAAGAAGAAGTTGTTATTATGAAGAAATGTAGTATTAGCAGTAAAAACTTTCCTCGTGAAATAAGGGCACAATTGTTTCCAAAACTCAACTTCATCTGTTCTCTTCTCTGTATCCATTGAAACAATGTTAGGTCTATAAAGTTTTAGCGCAAATAATAGGACTTTTAATAATGGATCAGGTATTTTAAGTTTGGTGTCAATCTCAGTGGAGATTTGTTGCTCATTACTAAATGCCTGTTGTGCCGCTGAAACAAGTTGGTAATTTCTAGGTGTATTATTAGATAAAGACATCAAATTTTGCATCAGCGAGCTCGTGGGTCCTTGATTTTTATTAGTTTGATCATACCTTCTCAATTGATTTCCTATGGCAGCATTAATGTTTTTAGAACGTCTTTGCAGCTTATTTCTAGCCTTCTCTCTTAATTCTTTGTATTGATATAAAAATTCATTCTCACACCATTCAAGAGCGCTGTTTAAGTCATTAAATAACTCAATATCTTGTAGTAAACCAACTTGATTGAAAACATGATAAATTCTATCACTTTCTCTAATCGTAGAAATAATCAACTTAATTCGCTTGGCTTCAGTGTACCTTTTGATTCTATTAAAGCCTTCTGCTGCCGAATAATCTATATTATCCGCATTGATGTTTTTGAAATCCAATATCAAAAACTTAATTCTGTGTTTTGAAACATCATTATCACTGATCTCCAGCAACCTTTCTATTTTTTCTTCTATTGATATTATTGTGCCAAAAAATAAAATATTTTGCAGTTTCAAAACATAAATCTGCTCTCCAATTTGACTTAGAAATCTCGTTTGAGTGAAGTCTCTATATACTGTACTTTTAGCAACAGTTCCATCGAATTCACCATTGACAGTTTGCAATTTTGTACTATCGACCAAAAAGGAGAAACAGGCAATTAATATACCAACGACTATACCCAGAACAAAATCAAAGATACCCATAGTCAAGACAATTATTCCAATAGTGGCATACTCAAATGTAGTGACCTTGCCAAATGGGTCTATCATGGCTTCGACAAGCAATTCGTAACCCAGTAAAAATATCAACGATCCAACAATACATATAGGAATAAATGAAATTATCACTGGGCCAATAACCATTACCATAATAGTCAACACAATCAACACATAACCGGCAATCGCGGAATCTGCGCCAGCTCTGATAAACAGAACACTATTAGTATAGACAAGGTAGTTTTGCACAGAACCAAACAAACCACTAAAAAAGTTAGAGTAGCCGTGTGCAATCAGCTCTTTGTCCACATCATATTTATCCATCTGTAACGACATTGCCAATGCAGGGACATTAATTGGAACATGAAGGATACCAAAAAAAGTAAGAGCTAACATAGTTGGAATTTGTTTAACAACTAATGACCAATGTGCTTTACCAATATCAAAATACCTATAATGATCATACCACTTACTAGAAACCTCAGGAGCGGGAAAGATCCAACCAGTTTTTCTAAGTTGATGTAACGAAAGATTTGGTGCGATTGCAACAACAAAATGGAAAAGGATTAGGGTTATGATATAAAAGCTAGGTAATACCAATGAATTCTTAAAGCACTTTTGAGTAACGATAAGAATTATTGTCAAAATTGTAGGCAACAACCATTTGAATAGCATCGAACTATCCAAAAATAATTTAGTTAAAAATGGAATGGAATACTCAAATTTAGCAATTCTAGTTGTGACTTCAAGACCAGTGATGATCAAGAAATAACCGACGCCTCCAATACAACCGATTAAAATATGCCTTGGAAAGAATCCCACAATCTTACCTAATCTCAATTTCCCTAAGAGATAAAATGTCAACCCTGTGATCACAGAGCTTATAACATAGCAAAAAATCGTTGTCGTTATAATTTCATCATCTCTTCCAGGAAGCGCTTGACTAATGGCCAGAGCCATTGTATGATAAAAGGGAGTGATTTCTATCATTTCACTTCCAATACCTGAAGGAAAACTGGACCAACCACTCGAGTAGATGAATTGTGAAATAATGGTAGAGATATAAAACATCGAGATACCTGTAGGCCCCAACTGGGCGAATATAGGTTCGGTAATTGGGAATATAATCATACCATAAGATAAAGCATCCAAGATATTCAACAGAAGGCCTAAAATTGCAGCTGGCATGTAATTAGTGACCCTTTTTAGTGTCATCCACGCTTTTGCTGTAGTACTAGTTGGCATTTGTCTAAAGCCTGCTGATGGCACGACAGTAATAGATTGATAGGTCGATTCTTGTTCATAATTACTGGTGGCACTCAGAAAATTCTCCTCAGGCGAGACTGAACCATAGTTATCATTATTCGAGGATGAAGGTGTTAACAGGGCAACTGTCTGCTGTTCAAGTTCTGGATCAGTCGCTCGCTTCAAATTTATACTAACAGGAGTCTTATTGTCAGTAATTAGATCGTTATCTAAATCCCTTCTATTCCTTAAATCTAACTCTTCTTCCTGAGCTTCATCAAGTAAATTCAAATATTCTTTTAAACTAGAAGGTGACTCACCTATCGTTCCGTCATCAAACTCTTCAGCAATGGCAGCAGTTTGTCTATGCAATTTGTTTTGCTCATGGATCGCTCTTGACCCAAATTTATTACTAACCGGTAAAGTATTTCGCTCGCCTCCCTGAGGTAACGAAGAGCCTAAAATTCCGCTGACATATGATCTCCCTAGGAAAGTATTTGTATCATTATTTGGTATCCCAACATTTTTGGTATTCGGCCTTGCGTTAACGTTCAAGCTGTTGCTTTCATTTAATCTATCAATGCTGCCATCACGATTTCCCTCAGGATATTGCAACCCCAGAGAAACCGATATAGACTCTGAGATTGATAAAATGCTATTTTTCCTTCTTTGTTGTGGACTCTTCATTGTTCCGCTTAATACCTCTTCGATTAATTATTGTATATGCTAATGCAAAAGTATGAAATTATTCCAGTAGTTAAAAATGCAATATTGACATCAGACACAACGGTATTTTGATATCTTTGTTACTTATCTGCCGTCAAAACTCCACACCCAATGTTCTTCAAATAGAAGGAGTGCAGTCTAGTAGAAATTAAATGAGTTTTTATATAATATTGTCGCTGCTTATTGTTTTATTATCGACAAACACTAATCGCTCTCTGGCATAAGGAAGTATATGTTAAACTTGAATAGCCAGGATAGAATTGTCATAGTAATTGAACAAATCAAAAAGTCAAAAAAAAGATAAGTTACTGATAAGAATTGAAGCTTTGGACATCACTTCTTTTGACAATTCCAACTTCTTTTTTCTAGCGTTGCTTGGCTCCCTGCCCCCATTTATCTAAGGCGATGCCTTGTCTCTATTAATTAGTCATCTGGAAAATTTCAGACAGCAAGCTAATCAGTGTGTTGCAAAGTCAATTTGAAAAAACAAACTGTGTCCTATCTTGAGATAAATAGTGATAAATTATGTGTTCTATGCATCATTTGTACGTATTATAATCTACTGCATATGCGATGTTCCATAGGCATACAGTTAACGGAAGTGCCAGTCACTTAAAAGCAGGAAGATGAAGATCTGCCAGTATGACAGCATCAACATCAGCCCTACTATATAATTACCAATTCCTGATCTCACCATATACAACTCATGTATAACAGTCATCAAGTTGAATATTTGTTGTCAGAACATTGTTTTGCACTATTTGAAGATAGTGTGCCATATGTGAAAAGGAAGAATAACAAAATTAATATCTCCTTTAGCTCGAGTTATTATGTATCCGATTAATCCTACAAATCTCTATTAAGTGAACTAAAAAAAGAACCACTTTAGGCCCAACTATTAAACTTTAGCTATATTTTCCAAGATACACCTTTTTAGTTTTTCTTTTTACAGAGTAATGCTTAAGCAGTAACGTGTTGTTCGTGGATCTTGGCGTATCTACCAGAAGGATCTTCAGCACAGCCCCAGTCGGCCTTTGGAATCCATCTCATGACAGTAGAAGCAGCAGTCTTTTGTGGGAAAAGAGCATCAAACTTCAATCTGTACCAGTAAGCTTCCTTAGTAGTTGGGATATCTTCACCCCATTCAATCTTAGGGTTAGAGAACATAGTGTCAGAGATGACTCTTTCAGCAGTGTCCTTCAAACCGTCGATCCAGGAGTAACCAACACCATCAGAGAATTGTTCCTTTTGTCTCCATAGAATTTCTTCTGGCAAGTATGGTTTTACGTCTGGCTCATCAGATGTGTCGAAAGCCTTTCTCAGGATGTACTTCTCGATACGGCCGGCTGATTGGTCGATCATCTTGTCCTTAGGGTCAATGTTCATACATAATTGCAAGAACTCCTTATCCAAGAATGGAACACGAGCTTCTAGACCCCAAGCCATGGTAGACTTGTTGGCTCTTAGACAGTCTGCCAAGTGTAGGTTCTTTACACGCTTAACAGACTCAATATGGAATTCAGTAGCAGATGGAGCTTGAGCGAAATATAGATAACCACCGAAGATTTCATCAGAACCTTCACCAGACAAAACCATCTTCACACCTTGAGCTTTGATCTTTCTAGATAGCAAGAACATTGGAGTGGAAGCTCTGATGGTGGTGACATCGTAAGTTTCCAAGTGGTAGATGACATCATCCAAGGCATCTAGACCTTCTTGTAGAGTGAATGTGTGTTCGTGGTGAATAGAGCCAATGAATTTAGCAACCTTTCTGGCAGCTTGTAGATCTGGCGCATTTGGAAGACCAATTGCGAAAGAATGCAGACGAGACCAACCAGCAGTATGTAGGTGACCTTGGTTATCAATACCGGCCAGTTGCTTGGAAGCGGAGGCGTCGTTGTCAGCAGCGTCGTTTTCCTCGTTAGCTTTTTCGGTTTCACGAGCAGCGATAGATGCAATTAGGGAAGAGTCCAAACCACCGGACAAAAGAACACCGTATGGGACTTCAGCCATCAGTCTCTTTCTGACAGCCTTTTCTAGAGATTCTCTGATATCCTTGAAGTTAACTGGAGTAGTTGGAATACGGGACTCATCGATCCAGTCTGGAGTGAAGTATCTGGTGATTTGATCGGTCTTAGAGTCATAGACGTGACCTGGTGGGAAGGCAGTGATCTCGTCACAGTCATCTGTCAGACACTTCAATTCAGAAGCGAAGAAAACAGTCTTTGGAGAAGAAGAACAACGACCCATGTACAAGGTAGTGATACCGACTGGATCTCTTGCAGCTACAATTCTGTCTTGCTTAGCATCGTACAGACACCAAGCGAACATACCGTCCAAGTATTTTGGAGCATCGATGTCGTGTTCCAAGTAAGCTGGGATGATAGGTTCACAGTCACTTAGAGTCTTGAACTTGTAATCTGGGAATTGTTCTCTTAGCTGAATGTGGTTGTAAATTTCACCGTTGACACACAAGGTGTAGTCACCATCTTCACTGGTGATTGGTTGAGCACCGGAATCCAAACCAACAATGGCCAATCTTTCATGGACCATGATAGTGGAGTTCTTGACAACGTTACCCGACCAATCTGGACCACGGTGTCTAATTCTCTTAGATAGTTGAAGAGCCTTTGGCTTGAAAGCATGCACATCTTGGTGCTTGTAAGCTGCAAAAATACCACACATATTAGTATGCTATTGTAGTACAAGTATTTTTTTGTAATGTGATTAGTTTTACTAAATCTAAAAAAAAGTATTTCTTAAGCAAAATGGCAATATTTTAAAATGAGAGTATACACAAGGAAATGTTCTTGATAATCAACCGATCATCACCCAGTATTATATACTTTCCATTCGATTGCTTGATTTGCTTCGAGACTTTCTCATGGCACTAACAAATTTTTTTTTTCACCTTTAATCAGTCACTTGAACGGACACCGAGGCTCTCTTCATGTAGAGTCACTTTCCTGCGCAGCTTTGATTGCTAAATGGGCAATGAATTTTTTCTAAAAAACTGAAAAAAAAAATCCAAAAATCGATGAGTAATTTGCGGATTTTGAAGAGTTTTTATGAAATATTGTCAACAGTGAGACACGAATACGTAGAAACACACCCAGACGGACGCTGCTCTGCTCTTCGATTAGCAGAATTTCTTTTCGAGATGGGACAGTTACTTGTAGAAAGCTGGTGGCAAATTGAAAAAGAAAACAAAGAATAGTAGTAAAGATCGGAATTACATAGCCTGAAAAAAACAGGAGCAGTATAGATTTGCTAGCTGTTTTATCCGATCTTATCCCACATCTAACACCAGATGTGTTCTATGCTAGCGAAATGTGCTTGTGCTTATTACATGCCGTGCTACTCTTCGGTACTTGTAATATTTGCGGGATGCAATACCATATAGGGTTCCTCTGAAGGATTGAGGTACAGCTTCTTGGTACCTGTCTTAGTTTACCCTTCCTTTTTATCTTGGGAAACACCATGTTTCCCAAGTATTTCATTACTTTATACCTTGAGTAAAATTTCACTTTGGGTATGTAGCACTAAATAGCTTTGGCTACTTGAATAATCTTATTAGAACTAAATTACAAATTAGTGCCTTGCGGGACATATAAAATTTGACACTATCAAATAAATTTGACAGTACCCATTGTAGTTGAGATTGTCGATTTCTTGGAACTATCATGCAATCACAAATGAAGAAAATGGGATGTTACTTATTACTCTACTCTACCTTCCATCGCTAAGATGCGACATAACTGAGCTTCGACACCGCATTATGCCAATGTACAATTTTTGCCTCCTCATAGCAATTGTAATAACCGCTTTGACAAAAGACTACTTATTTACATAACAGACCAGGATATATATTAAGTCGTTGATAAACATCGACATACTAAAATCAAGATGTAGAGACCTTCTCAAGCATTGTTATTTTTCTATTCCATTTCAATTTCTAGCATCATTTCGTAGATTAACTGAAATAGAAAAAAAAAAGAATCAGAATTTTCTAGTAGCGTCCAGAAAACTAGCTCCTCGAAAGAAACTAGGGATGTAACAAGAAATAAGGTCTGCGTTGGTACCGCTTTCTCCATTAAAACCTCACGATAGGATCGCAAGAAGAATTGTTCGAATAGGATTCACGCAAATAATTTCATCGTCTTCTTAATAAACTTGGAAGGTCATTGGTTATATTAAGAAAGAAGGTAAAAAAAACACTTTGTAAAAAAAAGTAAAAGTGAATTCAGGACAAAAGTTAAAAAACATTGAACCAAATCATTCTTCCTTTTATATCCTGCTTGGAAGTTCTCACTTCGACGGCCTTGCACTGTGAAGTAAAAAAAAGTTCCAAAAAATTTTTCAAAAATTGCGATGAGCTTTCGTATGAAAAAATTTATATTGCGATGAGATGAGTTACAGTTTGAGAATTTTAATGATATATTATCAATTAGGTCTTTAAATCTTGATATCAGACCACATATTATTAACAATATTTAATTGTGATTGGAGGTAGGGACTAAAAGATTAGAGTCAAATTTATCATAGACAAAGGGATACAAATGCTGACAATAGAGGAAACCAAGAAAATCACAAAGAAGATCACCGCTAGTGATGATAGGAAGGACTATAATTCTATAGTGAAACTAGTCCAGTCTTTAAAGTTTGAAGAATCTGTTGATCTAGAAGATGAAAAAACAGAAGCAAGTTTGAGATTTTTAGTTGTGGCATTGTTTCAAATATTCAAGAAACTGTTTAGCAAGAATGAGCTCTCGTTGCATGTTAAAAAACCTGAGATACTTGAATTCAATAAGTGGTGTAGGAAAATATATGAATCATTCAAAAACAATTTACTAAAAATTATATCAAAAGTTGAATTTGAGTGCTCATTAACTTTGGATTGTTTAGATGTCTACATGCAGCTGCTTGAACAAGAGTCAATACACTTTGCATCATCCAAAGATGCCACATATTTCCCAAACAAATCATTCAGAAAACTAATTAAAGCCCTATTTGACTCAAATCTAAAAGAGTTTGAGTTAGACCCCAAGACTGGAGAATCACAAAGCCCCTTAATCACAGAATTCACCGAGAAATATTTTAAAGAGTTTGTTGACGTTCAATTCTACTTTTTATCTGAATTTCTTGACTTACAAGAGAGCAAGGAGCTACATGCAAGCTCACACATCGCAGCCAAATGGCTAGCTATTGTCAACCATGATAGATACTTAACTAATGGTGATGTTGAACTAGAGATATTTGTATCCAATCCTCCTCAAGCAATTGAGTCTGAGTCTAAATTCAAATCTAACCTTGAAAAAAATTGGTTACTATTACTGAATAGCGAACTTTCCATTAGCCAATATAAAACCATTCTTCTAATACTTCATAGAAGAGTGGTGCCTTATTTACAAAATCCGACGAAATTGATGGATTTCTTAACCGATTCATATAATCTCCAAAGCTCCAAAACAATTAATGCTGATGCTGTTCCAATACTGGCCTTAAATGGTTTATTTGAGTTGATCAAGTCTTCAGGTTTAGAATACCCTAATTTTTATGGAAAACTTTATCAGCTGCTCACTCCAGACCTGATGCATGTGAAGTATAGATCAAGGTTTTTCAGACTAATGGATATTTTCTTATCATCTACACATTTATCAGCTCATTTGGTTGCCTCCTTCATAAAAAAATTAGCAAGGCTCTCTATATCCGCCCCACCTGGAGCAATCGTCACAGTATTGCCATTTATCTACAATCTACTAAAAAGACACCCAAGTTGTATGATAATGATACATGACCCAGCATTTGTTTCCAACCCCTTCCATACACCGGATCAGCGTAAAGCCTTAGCTGAACTTCAAACAAACTTTAAAGATCCATTTGATGCTGCTGCAGTAGATCCAGAGCAAACGCATGCAATGGAATCTTCATTATGGGAGTTAAAAACCCTAATGGACCACTACCATCCAAATGTAGCAACTCTGGCAAAAATCTTCTCGCAACAATTTAAGAAGATGCATTATAATATGGAGGATTTCCTTGACTGGAGTTATGATACGTTACTGGAGGCTGAAGCTTCAAGAAGATTAAAAGTTTTACCAACTTTAGAATTTGAAGAATTTCCCTCACTACTTCAAAATCCTGGAACAAATAATACGGATGAAGACAACTTAGAGAACGATGCTTTTCTACCCGGTAGTGGGTATTTAAGCGGTATTGCATGGTAGTCTATAGCACATAGAATAATATATACATTTTTAAAACATCTATTAATACTGGCATATTCACAAACTTAATGACAAAAATATCTATATATTTTACAAGCACATGTTGCGAGAGGCAAAAAGACAAAAAAGTAATGGTCTCTAGCGGGATCGAACCGCTGATCCCCGCGTTATTAGCACGGTGCCTTAACCAACTGGGCCAAGAGACCATTTTATTGTTGTATACCATCTGGAAAGTTAGAAGTACATGTATTAAGATTATATATTTTGGCAGAAAATGTTTGCGATCATCACCGCATGGAAGATTGCGGATTTTGCAACATAAAATACAACGAAATATGAATAATTAACATGATACCAAAGTTAGGAACAGGATGTTGTTGCAACATAATTGTCATTATATGCATATTATTCGAGAAATTGAGATATAATCACATCATGATTTCCAATATTTTATAACCTATTATTTAAAAGTTAACGAGTAGTCAATTAACCGCTTCAAAACACCTTGAATGTAGAAATAATGTTATGATGGCAAAAGATTTATTATGCTTCATGCAATTGCGCTAAAAATATTCATCATGTCCAATAGATAGAGCTGTGTCCTCAATAAGTTCATTTTGATCAGATATTTTCCACGATATACTTTTCAAATTCATAATAATGGCCTTCGGTAAATCTCTGATCAACATATCTTCATCCTCAATTGGCTCTTGAAATGAGTATAATTGATTAGTTTTCTCATACCTGTAACTCAGAAGCAGGAAAAGGGGCAAAATTAGGTCGTTAAGAACATTCAATAGAAGTGGTCTTAAAGGGTCATTGGAATTATCCTTGTTGAACGTTACTTTTAATGATTTTAAGGTGGAATTAAAATCCACAGTTTTTTCCTTTTTGAACACATTTTTCAATTTACCCAAGCTAGCAGCTTTCAGGTTTTTCTTATGCCCATCAAACACCATAATAGAATCCAAAGAGCTTTGTAGATCTGTTGTTTTCATAATACTTCTCGTTAAATATTTTCTTGATAACTTCAAAAAGCCCATCGCGTGTCCTACATTATTTGCTTCATATTGCTCCAATGACACCAATAAGTATATTAAAACTTTTATAAAATCGACATTGTAAGAGTTAATAATAGTAATGGGCAATGTATTGGATGAGTGTTTGCCAAGAATGGCAACCATTGTTTCTAATGCACTGATACACATTCTTGAGTACAGAGTTATGTTATTTGAACTCAAAATATTCTGCGTTAAGTCATTAGAGTGATCCAAGTCGAGGATGGAATCTTTGTACAAATTGGATCGCAGTTTTGTTATAGCTACTAAAACTACACTAAGCTGTTGTAGTACGCCCATTTCGTTAGTATATCTTAGTAGATATTGATACAGTTCTTCATCTCCATGTAGCCAATCAGTTGACTTGAGGAATAGTAGTATTCCAATTGCGCGTTTCAAGTAGTCACTGGCAGTTGTCCATAGGTCCGTCCTTCCAGCTGTATATGCCACAGTCATAGATTCTAGAACCATTTTCTCATATGCAATAGCGATATTTAACGTAGTGATTGTTAATTCATGGTCGATGCCTTTTGTTGCTTTAAATCTCAGTAGTAACTGAATATAACTGAATAGTTTTGCCAGCACATTATCAGGGGCGCTGGCACTCGTTATCAATTCTATAACATCTTGTCTAGCAACATTAAGTTCAATGTTGGGTGTGCTGAAACCTGTGTTGTAACAAATATACTGGTTTGATGTAGCTGTAGTTTTACTCATTATGCAGAAAGATCAAAGCCAAAAACCCAGGATAAAATAATGAAAGATAGCAGATAATAATCAATTAAGGGATATAAAAATGCTAACGATCGAACACCAACAATTCTAACTTGACTATCATATAAGTAGGCTATAGTTTTCTTTACTGAATGGAGCTTCAACTTCTATACAGCTTTAACCAGAAAAAAAACAGGGAAAGCAAACAAATGCCTAGCTCTTTGGACAAACGTAGTTGCAATTGATTTTTTTTTTGATCAGTATGATGGTAATGGTAAGAACAGCAAACGTATTTGCAAGACGCACTTTTTGTTGCTCCGAGAATCGATAAATCAATGAGATAAGATTTAATCAATTGAGATTAAACAAAAATCATGTGGATTTTGAAAGTCAGATGAGATGTAGACAGATCATCAACGGACTCTGATAGCTATTTTCTACGCTTTTAGCAATCGCGAGATTAAAACCTCTGTGAAGTCGCATGCCAAACCAAGGTGATAAATATCCAGAGGGATCAAACAAGGCAATACAACTCCAATTCCATACAGGTGTATCACATGATCAGAAAAATAGAAATTAAAAAAACTACAACATTGTACGAAAATGACATGTGATAATACGTATGAAAGAGCAATCTAGAGTCAACTTCTAGTTTCCTTTTGGTTCTTCTGGGTGGAGTCTCTCTCTACACCAATCATCTAGCTGTCTCTGCTAGTGTATGTGTTAGTGTATATGTTAGTGTATGTGTGGGTGTGCATGTTATTAGGGCAACAAAATAGTACGTGCGAAGGGTTGTGAGGTATTTTAAGCACAGGAGACTGTTTGCGTTGTTGCTTCAAACATGGGTAAAGTGATGAGAACACTATTATCCTTATCAAGCATATTAGTTCCCGATTTGTCAATAAACAAGGGATAGATAAGATAAGATAGGAGATACTACTCCGCCCACTTGTTATGTTTTGACTCTGAGAATTTTTATTGTTTGATTACCCAAAACGGTAAGATAACACTCTAGACGCATCTAAGCCAATAGATAAGCCTATAGATATGTGAAACCTTGGATAGAAAGAAGTCAGAAAGGATTACCATTTCTAGTGGTTCCCCGGCGGATGAGGAAGGAAGACGAAATAACGCCATCAAAAGGCATCGGCCAATAAGATGCCCACGATAATTGGAAATAGCAAGACAATAGAAACTGACGAAAAACCTGGAGCACATCAATGCGGGTCACAATATACCCCGTACAGACTAAATTATTCCCCCGAACCTCTAGCACATACTCTCCTCATCAGCCGAACATGAACATACGCCAGTACAACGCCTTTGGAAACAATAAAAAAAAGAAATAAAGATAAGATAAGTAAAACTGATAAGATCGAATATCTATTCTCCAGCTAATATACGGGGACTACTCTGTAGGCTGACTTGTATCAATGGCATTGAATCGTCAGACGCAAAGAAACTGCACAGCACGGAGCATCCTTAGTAGGAACTGCCAGTAGAAAGACCTGGAGACGAGACAAAGAAGAAATATGCTATTCTAGAAGGAGGAGAAGAAGGGGGGGAATCGCTTGAAGATCTTGCCATCCTAAGAAACACACGCGAGAAGGAAAAAGAAGGATCCCATGAGAAGAAAGTCAAAAAAAAAAAAATAGGTCAGAGAAAAGTCCGTGAACAGATAGTAACACATACACATAAACATACAAAAGAAGAAAAAAAACCGCAAACAAAACACGCAGGGAATGGAGACTGTACAAAATCCAAACGTGTTTTTACGGAAGAAATATCAAAGGGGAGAAAAAGGTCGCACAAGAGATTAGTCCAAAAAAACCTCGCTAGTAAGGGTCCATCCATCATCATGCTTAGATAGATGTACCTATTTTTGCTAGAAATCGCTGCAGTTCAGTATAGAAGCTTTACAGAGCACTACAAGGCCCGTATCAGGAAAGCTTGGACTCTCCCTGCAGTTGTGCTGTGGACAATGTTCATGAAATCATTGGAAGATCGACTTTTCTTTGCTACACACATCTTTACATCAAAAGCACGTAGAGAGCAAACAGACGTAGCAAGAAAAACTGATCTTCCCAGCCATCTCCCTGAAGCACACGGGCAGTGAAAAGAATGCCCGGGCAGTACACTGCACAGTACACTGGACAGCAAGTGAGACTGAGAACTCTAAAGGAACTTAGGAGAACGACAGCTCTTAATCGCAACTAGCACCTTTTGCCCACTTTACACTCAGATAATCGCTGAGGGGATTCAGACTATACTTTCTGCACAGATTTCGAAAAATGGGAAATCCTCCCCCTCATATGGACTTGATGAGCTGTGTTGAGTCTCTCTACCTTTGTTAGTCAACTACTTGTGTTGCAGCTGATAGTGGAAAAAAAAATAAATGAAATGGAATAATATGGCTAAACTACTTTCGATTTTGAACCAGGCAAACTTGTATTGCTCCCATAAAGACAAAATAAACTGGAGATTGAAGAAGAACTAAAGGTATCAATATCTAACAATTTTAGGAAGAAACTTCATGTGCAGAATATAGTTCTAGTGCGATAATTAGCCAGCTATTGCGGTGGGAATCAAGATAATATTCTTGATGGGAAGAAAATAAGACCCAAAAAAAAAGAAACTCCAGTAATTTGGAAAATCTTTATTCAAAGCCTATATATACTTATTATATATATGCAGATGATCATAGCTGGACATATAATTAGTGTTATACACAACACAGCACTCCCAATTTAATAAATTATAGAATTCTTTAAACAGTTCTTTTTAGGACTGATACTTTTAACCTAACCTAAGATTATATCAGAATAGCCACAATTATACAATTAGCTACTATCCTACAAACGTTCCAAGAACATAAACGACTATATCAAAACCAATTATAAAATAATAGGAAACTGTTATACAAAAGTGATTCAACTAATTCGATTTTATCTAATAGATTAATTATTTTTTGTCTGCGATGGCTAGAGGAGATGGATATGTATGGACAGAGACATATGATCCTGCGACAGTTGCTTTTATCATACTAGGTGCCGCGCTGGTATTCTTTATGGTTCCAGGTTTAGGATTTTTATACTCAGGACTGGCGAGAAGAAAGTCTGCCTTAGCACTGATATGGGCTGTACTGATGGCAACACTGGTTGGCATGCTCCAATGGTATTTTTGGGGTTATTCTCTTGCATTTTCAAAGACAGCTCCAAACAACAAATTCATTGGAAATTTGGATTCTTTTGGTTTCAGAAACGTCTATGGGAAGACATCAGAAGATTCAACGTACCCGGAAATTGCATTTGCATCTTTCCAGATGATGTTCTTATGTGTCACAGTAAGCATTATTGCTGGTGCTACCGCTGAAAGAGGTAAACTTCTTCCACATATGGTGTTTCTCTTTATTTTTGCAACACTAGTTTATTGTCCTATCACGTACTGGATATGGGCTCCAGGTGGATGGTGTTATAAATGGGGTGTTTTGGATTGGGCTGGGGGTGGCCCAGTCGAAATTGTTAGTGCTGTTGCTGGGTTTGTTTATTCATACTTCCTTGGAAGACGTAGAGAGAATTTACTTATCAACTTCAGACCACATAATGTTTCCATGGTCACTTTAGGTACTTCAATTCTATGGTTTGGCTGGCTGCTTTTCAATGCAGCAACATCTTTGACACCTAATTTACGCTCTGCATACGCATTTATGAATACAAACATCAGTGCTGTTACAGGTGGTATGACATGGTGTCTACTGGATTATAGGTCGGAGAAAAAGTGGTCGACTGTGGGTTTATGTTCCGGGATCATCTGTGGTCTAGTTGCTGCAACCCCCAGTTCAGGTTGTATCACATTATATGGATCATTAATACAAGGCATTATTTCAGGCGTAGTTTGTAACTTCGCTACTAAGATCAAGTACTACTTAAAGGTCGATGATGCTATGGATCTGTTGGCGGAGCACGGTGTTGCTGGTATAGTAGGCTTGATATTTAACGCTTTATTCGCAGCAGACTGGGTTATTGGAATGGATGGAGCTACAAAGCATAGAGGTGGCTGGATCACACACAACTACAGACAAATGTACAAACAAATCGCATATATTGGTGCTGTTGCTGGATATACAGCTGTAGTGACTGCTTTGATATGCATAGTCATAGACAATATACCAGGATTAAGACTTAGAGCATCTGAAGAAGCTGAGGCTCTTGGTATGGATGAAGATCAAATTGGTGAATTTGCATACGATTATGTCGAAGTTAGAAGAGATTATTACTTATGGGGTGTTGATAACGACAACAATAGTGCAGATAACACCGATGGAAATGCTGATGATCAATCAGTTACAGGTTCATCAACAGCAGCCACCAATGAAGGTCACGATATAGAAAAGGTTCCAGCTGGACCACAATAGTAAAATTGCATCGTAGGAATACAATTAATTTACCTTGCATCTCGAAGTCAGGGTATTAAATAGTCATTCATTTTAGTCACTTGCCAATATTCATTAATTTATGTTTTATTTCAGTTCAATTATTTTCCTTTTATTTAATATGAGGAGTTAACTCTCTAATTTTTCCCGATGCTTGCACATTAATGTAGCAAGTAATCCTTCCACAATCTACATGGGTGCTTATATTTATACATTTCCTTTATTAACATCTCTGCAAATAAGTTACACATAATTCATTTCTTTTTGATATTAATACATATATTACATCAGAAATATCTGTTTTGTGATCTACTATTACTTTTTATTTGCACTAAATCCAACTTTTCTGTCTAAATATGTTATGTTAGCAGTACATTTTATGATATCTGTAACATTTTATCCTATTCTTTAACGTGATTCATAACTATGTATTTTTGGTATTCAATATTTGAGCCTGTCATTTTATTATAAATATCTGAAACGATGCTACGTTATTTTGTTTCGGATCAAACCAATAATAACTTAACGGTACCTCAATTACTATCCATATCACAATAAAAAAAATAAATTTCTTCTCGAAATTAGATGTGTATATATAGCTAACCTACTGCATAAACTTCATTCATTGTAATAAAACCCTCAAGAAGTGCATCTATTAATTCAACCAGAATCTATGACACTTTGGAGGAAATAGGGTGTTAGCTAGTGTCTTGAAAGTATTGCTGATATGTCGGATCCTGATGATCTTGTCCTTTCATATATTGTTGGCCCATATCACCCATTGCAATGTTAGGGTAAGGGTTATGATTCTGCGGGAGTGCCTGATGATCCAGAGTTTGATTTGAATGCTGAGGCTGTTGCAATAAATTCTGGTTTTGCAACTGTTGCTGGTTGTCTAACATTTGATTGTGTACAGCGTTTTGTCTTAAGTGATGTGGAAGATCAGTTTGTGAGTTACTTCCCAGATCTGGATTACCATTTTGAGTATCACCATGATCTTCATCTTGCTCTTCTTCGTCATCTTCTTCACCATCTTCGTCAGGAGCATTTAGACACGCTTGGATCAGATTTCTTCCCTCCTGTTGGGTTACTATAGGCTCAAACTTTGGGGTACTGAATGTATACACTAGACCGGTTTCTGATACAATCAATAATAACACTTGTGTGCCTGTCAATACTGACAACTCAAAAGCCTTTTTCATAATACCATGTTTTCTCTTTGAAAACGTCACATGCCTTCTAGTTTTGTTTTCAATGAACTTGATTTCAATTTTTCTTCTATCCTTTGGAGTACTAGTATTTTCAAAACTTGTACCATTGTTACTTTTAGGTTCAGCTGACATCTCATTTAAAACAGAATTAGACCCAGAAACGGATCCCGTCATGGAACCATCGTCATCTATATCATCGACTTTGTCTTCCATATTATTCCCATTTATATCTTCCTTGTCAGACATTCTCAACTATTTCAGTCTTTAAATTCTTTTAGCAATATTACGGGTGGCTTGATCTACCTGCTCGATTCCTTGTACTTCGTAAGCTATTTTTCGTTGCTGCACAGAGGTGTTGGAATATACGCAAAAAAAAATCTGTGAATAACAACCGTGTTTAACAAAATTCTTGATAACAAATCAGTCGCAGTGTACCAGTTAGAAGTATTTCCTTTTCCTTACAGAATGCGATCCTCTAGCTCTTTGTTGGCTATTTACTTTTTCCCTAACCAAACAATTCACGTATTGCCATATAATGCTATTCAGAATGCAGGTTTACAGTAATAAAGACCCTGAAGCAATAAAATACAGCTCTTAAGTTATGAAATATAAGCACTAATATGCGTAAGAACTACCAATTTCCTAATCTGTTATGGAGACTCAACCTAATAAACCCAATTAAGAAATTACATTAATGAAAAATAATGGCATCAAATTCCTAAAATGGTTAAATCTCAAAATCTCAACGAAAAAAAAAAAAATTGACAAAAATCATCTCTGCAAAGGTTCAGAATGGCCACGGTGATGACAAAAAATCAAGAAACGCAAAGATGGTTGCTACGATCTGTTTTCTAGGAAAAGTACCTTGCATAAACACTAATAATGTGATGTCATCACTTTAGCACACACAAATGGATGAAACCAACAAGTGTACGTTGATCACTATATCATAGCATCCCAAATACATACTCTGTGTGAACAGGTCTTTGAGCTTAAGCCACTGTTGAACCTATGCCGTTGGTTTCTCGGTGGTTCACAGCATAAAATATCTGATAATTATAATTATGACCAAAATGTATTATTAACTCAAAAAATATAGAGATTTATAAAGGAAAAAATTTGAAATGAAATGCAATGCAGAACTTGTAGAAATTATGATACAAAGCCCAGTGGGAGCGAAATTATTGTCTTTTCTTTAAGAAATTTATTTGCAAGCGTTAAAATCGCCCTTATGTACCACGAACACATCAATAGCAGCCATGGCAGCATATAGTCTGTTTTCAGCTTCATCAAAAACTATTGAGTGGTCACCATAAAATATGTCATCAGTGACTTCTTCGTGATGTCTTGGCAGACAATGCATGAACTTAAAGTTAGGTGCGGCAACGGAGGCATGTTCTTGGCTAACCTGGAACCCTTGGAATTGCTTTAGTTTGGCCTCCTTAGCAAATTCTTCACCCATAGACACGAAAGTGTCTGTCACAAGAACATGTGCACCAACCGATGCATGTTTTGAATCGTGAGTAACTTCAATCTGTGTACCGTTCTTAGCACAAATCTTTTTTGCTGCGTTCATGATCTCCGGATCCATTTCAATACCTGGCGGAGTAGCTATGGAAACATCCATACCAAGCTTTAAACAAGCAATGGCCATATCATTGATAACGTTATTAGAGTCACCGATCCAAGTGATTTTAAGCTTGTTCTTGGTGTAGTCAAGATGCTCTTTAATAGTTAGCATATCACAAATTGCTTGCAAAGGATGATATGTGTCACACAGAGAGTTGATAATAGGAACAGAAGAGTGCTGACATAGCAATTGGATATCTTCATGCTTGTTCACACGTGCGAAAATGCACGAAACCATAGAAGACACAACCTTAGCGGTATCATAAAATGATTCGTTGACACCCAGTTGGATATCTTCTTTACCTAAAAACATAGGTTGAGCACCAAAAAATGTAGAGGCTCCTTCTGTTGAAATTCTAGTTCTAGTGGATCTCTTGGTGAAGATCATTGCAATAGTTCTGCCCAGCAGCTTTAAATGTTGTTCTTGAAATTCTTCAGTGTTACCAGACTTGAATATTTTCTTGAAATGCTCTGCCCTGTTTACAAGGATTTCAAATTCTTCATCCGATAGATCTTTAATAGACACCAAGTGACGGATTTTGCTATTGGAGTTCATAGAATAGGATTCAGTAGGTTGAGTCATTGTAATATTTTATCTAATGGTTGATTTTAATGCAAAGAAAATTGAACAAAAGTTATCTAATAACTTCTCGAGTGATGAATTGATGTTATGTGTATCTATAACAGAAAATAGAATGGTAAATAGAAATAACTTTTAACAGCAGAATGATTCAATCTAAAACTACAAATGTACACTGATCCTTATATATCTCAAACTACTCGTCAATACCTTCCGTTAATTACCACTAACTGTGTATGCTCGGTGATGGCCAATATCGACAATGAGCCATACTCGTCTCGGGCGTCACATTTTATGGCAATCGGTAGCGAATAGGCCTTAATGCTACTACAAATAAAAGGGAAACATCTGGCGAGGTTGATCCTTTCCTCCAAAGGAATGCCGTTGTGTAACGTCAAAGGCAAAAACACGTAAAGACAATACAGTTATGGCTTCCTCTCAACGTGGGGGGCCGTGAAATTGAACAGAAATGAATGACTCTCTCTCTCTCTCTCTCTCTCTCTCTCTCTCTGACAGGTGTAGCGAGGGAAAAAAAAAGGAACTTACAAGAAATGGCTATAATCTCTACTTTATCTCTATTTGGAAAGATTTAGCGAAATATCAGTTCTGCCTTCCATAAAATGTCATACTGAGATAGTAATGTTAAAGGAAATAGTTAGCGAATGCATGCTATCATGTCATATATTCACCTTGCCTCTTACATAGTTGACGACCATACAAGACTTCCCTCGCTTCCACTTGCTTTCATTTCATTATTTGTACTTAATAAGGTACTCAGATAGAGTTCTTATCAGTAGTTGGGAACCTTAAAGAACACTCTAGGCCTTTGGTTTCTCATACTAATGAATGGCCTCATACTAGCCCTAGATGTTCGTTCAAATTTTTGACACAAAATAGTCTTGGCTATCACTATCACCATCACTATCACTATCTTGGCGGTAACAGTCCCAGAATAGCGATATATTCGATCATTCAATTGCTTTTTACTTTTTGGTCCAGCTTGGCTTAACAGTACTGTTTGACAGTACAATACTTCATTCACAAGGACCTGTGATTTTGAGAAATTTGTGTATCCGTGAACTTTAATTCTACTAATTATTCTCACACAAAAAGAAACAAACAGACTTATATTGAGCTGCTAGTCTTTCAAGAAATAGAAAGTTTTACATCGCACACTAGCAGATCAACATGAAGCTGTAGTCGAGTCACGTAACTTTTAATATCAATACCATTCTAATGAAGGTTTGATTTTCTCATATATGTAACTATCTATGAATTTCCTTCATAGCAACTGAATATAAAATTTAAAACAAACGTAAAGTGTAAATTGAAATATATTCTATATACATTATAACATCCTGATATCTTGATGACTAATTATAAAATGACGATGATGCTATAAATGTTGAAGATATTAATTGAAAACTATGCAAGGTGTGAGAAACACATGGACAATAATCAAATACAAAAATAAAATAGAAACTTAACATCTTCTTCTCTTTAGAGATGACTGCATTTCTTCAATGATTTCACCACCGTGTTTATGAGACGGTCTACTATCACATGCCAAAAAGTTATGTGTGAGACCGTTCGAAGGAGGAATTCCTTTATTAAATCCAAAGTAGAAAGAATCATCCATTGGTTTAGTTGTAGAACAGTTCGAAGAATTTTGACTTTGTATGGCATTTAATTTATGCCGGTAACTCCTTACAAGATCATAATCTCCTTCTTGTAATAATCCACAAAGTTCTGGAAACACTCTAACAAAATCCTTGCAAACTATCCTATTCCAGGAATAGCACAATCTTGAATTTATTTGTGTATTGTTATTCATCAAAGTATCAGTAGTTCTAAAAAACATTCCCCATATGTGATCAATAAGTTTTACAAAGCCATGCTCTAAGAGTAGTAAGTTTTGAAGATGAGTTAATGATACATTCCTGTTTATAGGCAATTTGTTATTTGGGGTAAGACATTTCATGACAATGATGCTGTTATCATTCTCTGGTTGATGCAGATAAAGTAATATGTACAGTTCATGACCGGTTTGTTTGAAATCCCGAAGTACCACATGCCAAACAAACATATTTGAATCATGGGGCTTCATATAAAAAAGTGCCTCATCTTGCCTCACCGTTCTATTATAATGCTTCCACTCTCTTAAAAGTCGCCTTGTTGCTATCCTCATCCTATTATTCTACGACTCTGTTAGTACTTCCAGTACAATTATTCAAAGAAATAGTGTCTATGTGTTAGTCTCTTCTTGAAAATGAGATGAATTTAACAAATGATTTGGTAGTATAGTGGTCTCTTTTCCAGACCGACTCTGTATGTTCGTTAAACTTAAAGATGAACTCTTATACTATTCCAGATAGTCTTGTTTCTATTTCAAATTCCCTAAATCTTTTGAATAAGCAGGGAGGGAGTCAGATGCTTTATTATATTCAATACTAATTTATTCTGAATAAGTAGAAAGTCCAACCAGCTAGATAATACTAGTTATTATACTTTTATCTTGTTTGTTATTATTTAAATTTTTGATCACTAAGTAACTTAATTTTTTAAATTTTCTTAGAAAGCTAATGAAGAAGCTAGAAATTTTATCGTTTTTCCATTTGGAGAGCCAGCAATATAACTACAAGAGTTTAAAAAGTGCAAGGATAGATTCATATAGGAAGAACACAACGCGTAGCATTTGAGCTTTTGTAGCCACACAAGACTGTGCTGCAAAAATATCTGGTTAATAACAGATGGAAAGTTACAAAATATTGAAACTCAGATGTTAATATACTATAGTACTTTTTGTCACTTATTCTCAGCAATAGTAAGGCCGTTAATCTGATTGATAAAGATTTTGATCAGGATTTCTTTCTACAGGATCGAAAAAGGAGATCGATATGAACTCTCTATCTTTGCAAGCTATAATTGCGGCAAACCTTGTTACAATCCTATCTTTTGTAGTCGATCTTAATTTGTCCAATATTATATGATATGCACTCGTTGACGTATCGTCGCTGGTAACTGAAAAATTCTTGGGATCAACAATAGGAAGATGTGCAAGCAAAGGAAAATCTGAAAGCTGAAAGAAGTAGAAGACAAAGTTGAATTAAATAATGTTTTTAGTAAAAGGGATGTATATTTCTTGGCGTCCCTAACATTCGCTCTCGATATTCTGTTAGTTGCTCGGTTGTGGATTTATACTGAATTTTGAAATAAGTATCTTCTACTGTACAAAGGATCAAATCAGCACATAGCAAAACTTATTCATAAAAAGACTAACACAAAATGGGAAATTTCTTCAGTTCAATGTTTGATAGGCTGTGGGGGATCAACAAAGAATTACGTATCCTGATCCTGGGACTTGATGGTGCTGGTAAGACTACCATATTATATAGATTACAGATTGGAGAAGTCGTCACAACAAAGCCAACGATCGGTTTTAATGTGGAGACACTGACATACAAGAATTTAAAGCTAAATGTATGGGATCTGGGTGGCCAAACTAGTATTAGGCCATATTGGAGATGTTATTATGCAGATACAGCGGCAGTTATATTTGTCGTGGATTCTACCGATAAAGATCGTATGTCTACCGCGTCGAAAGAATTGCATCTAATGCTACAGGAAGAAGAATTGCAAGACGCCGCATTGTTAGTATTTGCTAACAAGCAGGATCAACCAGGTGCACTGACTGCTAGTGAGGTGTCTAAAGAATTAAACTTAGTAGAGTTGAAAGATAGAAGTTGGTCTATAGTTGCTTCTAGTGCTATAAAAGGTGAAGGTATCACTGAAGGTCTTGATTGGCTAATTGATGTTATCAAGGATGAGCAATTATGAATCAACCGCTAGAAATGAGCTTGGTTTTATATCCAATGCAAAATAATGCATAGTGAATTATTCCGAGACAAAATCTATAATTTTGCATCAAATTACTAAGAATCACGATATCAACCGACGTTAATGATTCAATACATGGACATAAATTCAGTCTGTTTGGCCAACGTAAGTTCCCTTTATTTTATATTTTTAAGATCCAAAGCCTTCCAAACTCACTTTATCGATTAAGTGCGAGTCAAGATCTTGAATCGACACTAATCAGCACATCAATGCTTGTCTTTAATTTAATGCGATAGGTCATAAGTAATTTATTAGCCTATCAATATTATGTTATGAGCTAATTTAATTTATCGGGTTAATGTCATAGATTGAAAAGTTTAACAATCAACATTAAATATAAATCTTTCAGGCCATAACTTCTATGAACGTGAATTTGATGATTATATACCTATGATTATTGTCTCGCTACTTTTATTCTTAAGCGTGATTTATAATATTAATGCATGTTAGTGCATAGAGCATAACATTCCTATATAACGTGTGCATAGTAAAACTATAAAACTGAAACATAGAATACAATACAAGATCATCCTCCATAATTAAAGGCTTATCAAAGTTTTCCCAAAACTAAATACCAAATTCTTAACAAATAATTTAATTTTAGATGTAATTTATAATTAGGTACTGAATTTGTACAAATGTTATGCCATCTATCCCATTGAAAAAGGGAAAACTCAAGCCCCACATTTCAATAATAACATTTGAACAGTTCAGGTATAATATATAATAAATAGTGTCCACGTGATGCCTTGAACTTTTAATACAGCCCTCACAAGAATAAAACCAACATAGCTATTTGATATAGCGCCGTGGCGCAGTGGAAGCGCGCAGGGCTCATAACCCTGATGTCCCTAGATCGAAACTAGGCGGCGCTACTTTTTTTTTTTTGACAGTAGTAAAAAATAAAAAATAAAAAATATATATGCTGCTGCCATCTGTATTGCAAGAAACAAATACAAACTTTTGAGTAAAGGCGAAGGGCATTATGATGACAAAGATAGACAGACTTTGCTATTGCTGCTTTCGGATGGATAAAACTTATTGCCGATAGCTGTGCTACGTTGACATACTGATGGTTGGTTAATTCCACAAATTTACAATAGAACAGTAGCCTTCTCTCCAATAGTGTACGGGTATATTGGCTTCTTACGATGGTATTTTCATGATTCGAATAAGTTGCTCGCACTTATTTCCTTGTTGTTGATATAATACTATCTCAAACCAAAATATAGATAAAATCCACTTGCTAAGGTGTACATGAAGTCCTACCTAGCATCTTAATCAAAGTTAGTCATTTGTAATAACGTGCCTACGGAATTAAGTTCTTACACTTAGCATTGCTGAAAAATCTTAATCATTTCTCATGAGAAAACACAGGAAAAAATAAGAGTCAAAGGACCATTGCCAATAATCCGAAGTTTTTTCTTCCTCTAGATATCATCTCTTTTTGGTGTAGTGAGGCTAGGACTACGAAATTATTACAGTAATTAGTTCATTATATATAAATTTGAGAACCTGTATATATTCATCATTGGAGTTGTGAAGACTGCCATAATATTCTCCGCAACCTTATAAATACTAGTTCTCACTTTGCTAACTGATCTTGTTGTGAAAGAGAACAATATAAAGCAATACAGTTTGCCATCCAAGGTACAATCTCAGTTGTTATTTTTTCTTCCTATCAGACACCAATTGAACTTCACATTTTGAAAAAACAGATTTCAAATAGAAAACTAATATACCATCGGTTTTTGATCATATTAAAATACCCTTCTTGGATGGGTATTATAGTACTGAGATTACCTATTTCTTTTTGCCTTTTAGTAAGATAAGATACCAGAAACTGTTATATAATGTCATTCACCGAAGAGTGGGTGGACGAAAGACCAATTAGCCATAAGAAGCTAGTGGATGAGTTTTACGACTTCGAGTATAAATCCGAGGACAAGCAACAAAGTATTGCACCTATCGTGCGTGCATTAGATATCATCAAAGTGATTATTGAATCTCTGGCAGGTAAAGATAAATCTGCCAAAGTACTAAAATATACATTGGATGTGATCAACTTATTTGTACAACGGACCAGGGAAAATATTGTTAGATGGGATCCACAGGTGCTTACTTATTATAAGAAGGTATTAAAGGACCTAAAATGGTGGATGATGTTGAGACATCCAATTACTATAGCCAAAATATGGGTAGTTGCTATGTCCCGTAATTTTGAGATAAAGGCCTCTTACTTAAGCCAGCAGTTAAGCACATATAGGTATATTCTTAGATTTGGTAGCAGTCCGTTCCAAGTTCTTAATATATGGAAAAAACTGGCTCAAACTTATAAAGAAGGGTTAACGGCATCATGTATACATAAACTATGGTTCAATGAAGACTCAATACGAGAAGTAATTAATTTACACAACACCGTTTGTGATGAACTAGTTCTACTTTACAAATTAAAGGTATGGGACCACAAGGATTTCTATAACTGGCTTGAAAAACAGGAAGCTATAAGTTGGGAGGCTGATATTCTTTTTAGTTTGAAAAACAAATTGATTGAGTTGCAAGAGATGAAACAAAAAAGATATGAAATGCTCATTGACCTGAGAGCCCGCAGGCAAGCACTTGAACTGTCAAAGTCGCTACATCGTTCCAGAGAAAATATGTCCCCCATTCATAATCAGCTTTTGCATGAATTTGATAATTCTGACGATTGGAGGCGTACAGAGTTGGAAATATCATCTCAGCTTGAGGAGTACAGACATGGAATATCAATGATTTATCTTGATATAATGCGTCTATCGTGTGATTTGATTGCAAATACAACCGATGTACTTAACATGAGGGTGCCTCGTGGTACATATGCAGTTTTCTCCCTGGGTTCCGGTCTCAGCGGTCTAATGAAGCTATGGCATACTACCAGAATGGATCTAGAAATGAAAAACAAATAAATGATCAGAATAAAATAGTCACTTAGTAGAACATGATTGAATAGACAATGGTTTTTATAAAGTATAATAAAAATGGCGTATAAATCACCAAATGATAGTATTTTAGTAATTGAAGCATTCAGTGGCTGTCTATACTTCGATGAGTTTAAATCATTCAGAACGTATACTACTTTCGGATTTGACGCGTTTACTGTTTATATTTACATTTCATAACGCGTTGCCATTTATAGTTGTTTCAATTATGTTGAATCCTAATCAAAATCGCTATTAAAAAGTCATTGGATTATTAAGTATCAATAGGTATTACGTATAGCCCGCAAGCAATTTAAACTACGTGTAAACAAGAAGACTTTCCCATACGTTCTCTAGAACTAGGTAGCAATAACTCAAGATCTAAATACTGTTGGTTGGAAAGATGGAAGGTTCTGAGATTAAAACACCTGTAAAAACCATTGAAGCCGATCCAACATTGCCACATGTATCTGCAGATTGCAATGCAGAAGAAATCTCAGCCCCAAATAGCCATCTGAAAGTGCATCCTCATGGGTTGTCGAGTAAGAAAAAGATTGCTACTTTTCAGTTGAGGACGCCAACAGATGACAACTCCAGCGATCCAAAGGACGGAAATAAACTTCAGTTTGAAAACAATTCTAATGATAACGAAGTCGAGAATATCCAAAACAATCGAAATGATGAGAGTATATTGGAAAATATGGATGTTAACACCATTATGAAAAGAAAAAGAAGTCACAATAACGAAGACAAAACTGTTACTCTAACCAATAAATATTCTGATGAGAATATAAACATTTCAGATGACATGAAAGAAAATCACCCACTAACATTATCGAACAAAGAATCGCTGCCAACTGAGAGGAATGCGAACCAAGAGCAATCTAATAAAAGACCAAGAGTCGATGGTTTACAAGCAGCCCCAGAACTGGATACAGTAAGGTCAAACCAACTAAATGATGACGATCAAAATGTACAAATTGAAATGTTGGAAAACAATTCGAGCCCGTTAAAGAATGAGGGTGATATATCCAATATAAACAAGAATGATACAGCAGATATCCTAAATTCAATAAAAAATGAAATTGACAATTTCGATTCTACATATTCTTCACCAAGTACTCCTGCTAAGAAAGACGATGATGGCAAAAATATAGCTATGGATACAATATTTAATACAACTGAGAGTATTCATAAGTTGTCACCCATTTTTCCTAAATCTCAGAGGAGCCACGATACAGTTAATTCTGAATACAATACAGATATAGATAAGGCCCACTCAGTATCATTAGAAATATTGAGAAGAAACGAGGAGTTAGCAAATGAAGTGCATAAAACGAATACAGATCTAAATGATTGTCTAATGAAATTAGAAAACTTAAGTTATGAGTTTCAGAAGCATAAAGAACAATCATTAGTAGATCAAGAGAGGCTTACAGAAAAAACCGAGGAACTCGAAGACTCATTAGAGAAGTTGACTGTGCTCAGGGAAGAACTCTCAACCAATGTAGCAAACTTAGAGAAACAGTTGCATGAGAAGCAAGATGAAATTAAAATGTTAAACCAAAATCAAAGTATTCTACAGCATAATTTTGACAAAAAGCTAGAAGATGAACAAAAAGCAAGAGAAGAATATATCATAATTCAAAATGAGAAGGATAAGGCAATTGAAGATCTCAGAAATTGCAAAGGTAAGGTTGAAGAGCTAGAATCAGAAATAATCACATTGAAAACACAAATAAATGAAAATGAAGATTGGAATTCAAAACTCCTTCAAGAAAAAACCAACTTAGAGGCACAGGTTAAGAATATAGAAGAAAAGGATTTATTGAAATCGGAACAAATTACAGAACTTGAAAAAAAGCTTCAAGACGCCATATCCTCTCAGAAAAATACGAATACAGAACTCTCACTAAAAGTTGAAGAACTACTTAAAACAAATTCAAGTCTCGAAAAGGATGCTATTACCTGGAAGTACAAATTGGAAAGTAGAGAAATCGAGCTTAAAACTACCCTAGAAGGAAAAGAAAAAGAATTAGCCAATGCAACCTCTACCCTAAGCAAATACGAGTCACAAATAAGGGAATTAAGATCAGAACTTACAGACGTTGAAATGAAATACAGCACTTTAAAGAAATCCTTTGAAGATGTCGATGATGACGCAAAGATTAGGAGCGCTGAAGTAACTGAACTTAATTATAAAATCGATGATTTGCGAGAAAAAGTTGAAAATTTAGAGTCTTCATTGCAAGAAAAGGACGACTACATTAACAAATTGAAAGAAGAACTACAGTCGAAGAAAGATGAGCACAGTAAAACACTACTTGAACTTGAGAGTGTGCATCTGAAAAACAATAATATCGAAAAAGAACACCTGGCAGAGCTTGAAGGACTTCATGAGAGTTTAAGCCATTTGGAAGAAGAATTAAAATCCAAGACTATATGTGTTAATGATATGAAAGATGAGATCTCAAAATTAGAGGATGAAAAGAAGGAATATTTATCTTCAGTTTCAAAACAAAATACAACATCTATAAATACTGAAGGTATTATGAATCTACAAAACCTTCAAAGAGAAATAGACCAGCTAAGAGATAAACTGAATAACTCAGAGCAAGAAAAGAACAAACAACTGCAGCAACTATCAGACGACCTATATGTCCAATATTCTTCAAAGCACGAGCAGAAAGTGAAAATGTTGAAGAAAAACTATGAGGCAACCTATAAAAAGAACTTAGAGGAACTGAAAATGCAGAACAAAAGCTATATACAAGAAATCAAACAATTAACATCCCAACTTGATTACGAAAGAAAAGAAAAACAAGAATTACTGAAACTGCTTGAGCAAAAATAAGCCGGAATATTATAGTATATACCACCATACCACTAATTCAAGTGTTTGCTTAAATAAATAAAAAATTAATTACAGGATTTTTTCACAAACAATACATCTCATTAATATAGTTTCAATCACTTATTATTTCGCAATAGTTCGTTGCAAGAAGGTAATCCCTGATATATCCAACAATCCATTGAACGATTAGATTCGCTTATTGTCTTGCTTTCTTTTGTTAAGAACATTCTCAATAAATGCTTCACCTGCCTTATATGATGATCTAACCAAAGGACCAGAAGCACAATACAAGAATCCCATTTCTTTAGCTTTGTCTTTCCAATAATCAAACTTTTCAGGCCTTACATATTCTACTACTTTCATATGCCTCTTAGTTGGTCTCATATATTGTCCAAATGTTATCACATCACAGTTAATGGCCCTTAAATCTTGCATAGTCTGAATGATCTGGTCATCAGTTTCACCTAAACCAAGCATAACTGAAGTTTTAGTTATCAAAGAAGGGACAGTCTCCTTAGCCCTCTTCAATACATTTAATGACTGCCTGTACCCGGCACGACGATCCCTGACATGTGGGGTTAAAGCTTCCACAGTCTCCAAGTTATGTGCATATACATCTAGTCCACTTTTAGCCATTACGTCTACCATTTCAAGATTTCCCAAGAAATCACCCGTCAAAGCTTCAACAAGCGTCTTTGGAGCCTTCTGCTTAATTTTAATCACAGTTTCGGCCAAATGATGGGCACCACCATCTGGCAAATCATCTCTATCCACTGTCGTTAAAACCACATAACCGAGACCCCACCGAGATATAGCTTCAGCAGTATTCTCAGGTTCTGTTGGGTCCGGTTTTGCAGGATTTCTATTTGTCTTGACAGAGCAGAATCTACAACCTCTAGTACAAGTGTCTCCCAGTAGCATTATTGTAGCTGTAGCCTTAGATTTATCCTTACCTCCCCAACATTCGCCAATATTCGGACATCTTGCTTCCTCACAAACAGTACTTAACTTAAGCTCCTTTACGTCCTTTTTTAGCTTGTGGTAGTTGACACCTTTAGGAATGGGAACTTTCAGCCATTTGGGCAATTTCTTATATTCCTCACGGTCCTGCCGCATTTGTTCTAAAGGATCAACTACAGTAAAACCAGCGGCTCGCCCACTTACGAAATCTTCAAATGATGGTCCCAAATTGAGAGCATCCTTGAACTCAGTTATACGTCTTCTTCTTCTGGTCTGTCCATTTGGCGCGCCAGCGCTTGCTGAACCAGTGTTAGCTGTGCTCGATATGCTGGCCCCAGAAACTTTAGCCTTGGTCGACACCAGAAACCTCCGCTGCACGGTGGTTAACCTCATATGCATCATCAAGCTTGAAATCTTCTTATAGAACTGCTACGCTTGCCCGAAAACTGATACGCTGGCTGAACCACTAAATCAAGGCCTCACTGTTCATGATTTCAAATGATAACAGACACAGTATTTATAGCTTAGAGATCGAACTGGGCTCTTTCCTTTAAGTCTTTGTAGCTTCTGACTTCTTCCGGGCTCGTTAGTCCTGAGCCAAAAACCAAATGCTCGCTCTCTACCTGCAAAACTTACTCAAAAACAACCCACTTTGGCTTAACGAGAAAATTGACGAAGAGACACTGAATTTTCATAAAAGAAGAGCCTCATTAAGTGGTCCCTTATCTCTGCAATCTAAGGTCATCGGTGGGATATCAGATATCAACAAGGTATTTGAATAGAGTTACTGATCGCACTGGCCGCTCGTTTGTTGAGCATTATTGGCAAACAGAAGTATTCGACAAAGTTCTCGCGTGTATTGCCTATTACTTACGTTCTGTGATTTCTTTTTTTTAGCTATAGTATTGCTAAGGGTTCTCTTTGCTTAGTGTAAGTTATTAACAGAGACCAAGATGTATCCAGGAAGCGGCAATTACAGTTACAATAACAGACCTTCAATGCCGCCACCCGGCTTCAATGGTGATGGACAGGGATATAGACAAGAGTATGGTAATCAATATGGTGGGGGTTACCAGCAGCAACAATATCAAGACCAATACCAAGGAGAAAACCGCGGCCAATACCAAGGCCAGTATCAAGACCAACCAGAATATGGCCGGCCTCCAAGTGGGATGGTTCGACCACCATCTTCGATCCAGCAAGGAAATGGCCAACAATTCCAGTATTCACAGATGACCGGTAGAAGGAAGGCTTTGTTAATAGGTATCAATTACATCGGTTCAAAAAACGCCCTTCGCGGCTGCATCAATGATGCACATAATATTTTTAATTATCTGACCACATATTGCGGTTATAGGCCGGAAGATATTGTAATGTTAACTGATGACCAAAGGGAAATGGTGAAAATACCACTAAAAGAAAACATTATTAGGGCAATGCAATGGCTGGTGAAAGATGCTCAACCAAATGATGCTTTATTTTTTCATTACTCTGGTCATGGTGGACAGACAAAGGATCTGGATGGCGATGAAGAAGATGGAATGGATGACGTTATCTACCCTGTAGATTTTGAATCAGTAGGTCCCTTAATCGATGACACGATGCATGATATAATGGTAAAGAGCCTACCTCAAGGTGCAAGATTAACCGCCCTGTTCGACTCCTGCCATTCAGGTACTGTCCTTGATTTACCTTACACATATTCTACAAAAGGTGTTATTAAGGAACCCAATATGTGGAAGGATGTTGGAAGTGATGGTATTCAAGCTGCAATGGCTTATGCAACTGGTAATCGATCGGCGCTTTTCAGTTCGATAGGAAATATGGTCAGCTCGGTTACGAAAAAGCAAAACGTTGATAGAGAGAGAGTAAGACAAATCAAGTTTTCTCCGGCCGACGTTATTATGTTGTCCGGATCAAAGGATAACCAAACATCAGCAGACACGTTCGCAGATGGGCAAAATATTGGTGCCATGTCACATGCATTCATTAGTGTTATGACAAGACAACCTCAACAGAGCTACCTTTCTCTTTTACAGAATCTCAGAAATGAATTAGCAGGGAAGTATAGCCAAAAACCACAATTATCGGCATCTCACCCTATAGATGTCAACCTACAATTCATTATGTAGAAGTGCATTAGACGAAAAGAAAGACTAACGTGACTCTGAATAAAAAGAGAAGTGCTATAGATTTTCTTAATTTGATTAATAAACTCTACAAAGAAATGCTGAACATATAAGATCATACCAATGGATTTTTTAAATGTATTGTGTATGTACATTATTTTATTAGTTACGTAAAAATATATCGTCTTAGATGAAAACTAAGTAATAGTTATGAAACAACATCCAAGCAGCATTAATGTTTTTATGAGATACACATTGAAGCTGAAATTGTCATTATAATCAATAAAAACTTGCCTTGGAACGTATATTTACAATTCTCTGAGATCCACTTAGTCATTGTCCTCGTTTTCCTTTTTGGACTCTTCTTCTTCCTTCTCCTTTTGTCTCTTCTCCTCCAACTCCCTCTTCACTTCATTTTCCTTCTCTTCATAAGCAAGTTCTAACTTTTTCATTTGTTCTTCAACAGCTTTAATGTTCTTTTCAGTTTGTTCGTCTTGGTTGCTCTTGAATTCTTCAAGCTTCTTCTTCAATTGCTCCACGGAAGTAGCAACATCATCCTGAGTAATAGGAACGGTAACGTCAAGCTCAGCTAAAGTGGCAATCAATGTTGGCTCTAAAGTAATCTTACCATCAACCTTGGTGAATAAGTTTTGGGAAGAAGGCTCCTTGGCACTTTGAGACTTCTTCTTATGCTTCTTGGACTTAGATGGGGCAACTCTGTTATAAGAGTCATCCTTCTTCTCTACCAACACTAAACCATCATTGTTGACTGGAGCGTTGGACATGACTGGTTCGGCTGCACCATTCTCCAACTCTTGCAAAACATTCTTCTTTGGCTTTTCAAAAGTAGGATCTAAAATAACTAGAGTATTCTCAATGGCTTCAATTTCATAAGTGAAAGCTGGGATTCTAGCATGGGTCAACTTCTCTTGCAATTTGCCCAATTTAGCATCTTTCTCCTCCAAAACCTTCGAAAGTTTTTCCTCTTCTTCACGCTTTAAACGTTGCTTTTCTAACTTATTCTTGAAGGCCTTAAACTCATTGTCAAAATCAGCTCTGATCTTTCTGATTTGAGAGTACACCTCGTCACGTTTCTTGTACAATGCAGTACGCTTGTTGTAAAGAGTTTGTCTCTTGTCAAAAACAGTTTGAGTGCTGGATTGCAACTCGTTCAATCTCTTTTGATTTTCATCAAATTGAGCAGACAACTCTCTGGAGTTCATACCAGACAATTCCTCCTTTAGTTTAACAATCTTGTCTTTGTCAGTGTCGATCGCTTTCTTGATTGGATCGATGGCAACCAAATCCTTGATCAACTTGTTCAATGAATTTAATTCCTTGACAAGCATCTTTTCTTCAACCAAGGACATATCACCAGTTGAGATCTGGTCTTCAATTTGATTGATTCTTTGTTTGGCTTCAGCAGTAGTGGTGTACTTTGACTTTTTACCAATTCTGTCTTGAATCTCACCAGTTCTCCTCTTGATTTGAGAATCCAATTGCTTGATACTGTCATGAATGGCGTTTCTGCGAGCCTTCAAGTCAGCTTGGGTCTTGATAATCTCCTTGGTTTTTTCTTGCAACTTCTTACGCTCATTTTGGGTCTTGTCGTTGACTTGATTTTGATCGATTTGCTTGCGCAATTGATTCAATTCTTCATCAATCTTTTTCAATTGGACATTCAAAGTTTCCAATTTCTTGTCTCTAACGGACACATCAGGACGCTTGATTCTTTGTTGTTGTTGTTGGGAGGACATTTTGCTGGGAGTTTCAAGTAAAAATAAACAGAATAATGGCGAGTCTAGAAAACAATCAAACGATTATAATTCACACAGATTAAACCTTGGTAGAGGGTGGATAGTAGCACTTTATAGAAAGCTTGAAAGAAAATCTTATTCAGTATTTCTGCTTTTAATCTTCAAAATTTCTGTCTTTTTTTTTTCTGTCAAGAAGTCAAATAAAAGAGAGAATTGTCTGTTACCGTCTTTAGTCAAACAAAAAATGTAAAACACTTATAGTTCAAGTAAGAAACTGTACATTATATAGTTTACCATAATGCATGAGCAAAAAAAAAACCTGGCATGTCGATCATTGTCAAAAATTAGTGTGCATGTAGTTCTTTCTCGAAACCAGAGGAAAAATGAGATTGGCAACAGGGTGGCCAAACGGTCTTGTCATTGACTTGCCGTGAACGTCGACAATTGGTGCTGTACTGTTTCCAAGTTTCAAGGAAAGGGAGTAAATGATTGTCCTACGTTAGTTGCCTTCTGCTGTTACACTGTGTTGCGTGGCGTTTTTTCCATCCCGTGTAATAATAATCTGTCAGATGGCAAGCAGGCAGATGTGACAGGGCTGGTTATATTGCCTAAACATGAACCAAACTGGAAAATATACCGTTCCTACGAGAGTCAATAACTCCCAGTACAAGATGTCATTAAGGAGAAGTTCTTCCCAATCCATTACTCAGATGCTGTGTGGTGAGAATACATCAGTACAGTGTTTGGAGAATGAGTGAGACTGTTGGTTATGGTGATATAATTGACCGAAATATGATAAAAGAACGTAGAGCACAATTACCCTTGAATGATTATAAATTCCGTTCAAGACATCGCATAAATACACCAGTAGCAAAATATTGATAAATGATTATTGGAGTTGATTTGAAATCCAAGCTGTAACTTTCAGTTGAAAAGTTACCTTAACCTTATCGAATAGGTCAGGCTCTTTCATGCATCAAATTACCCTAACACTAGTAGCTAATATGTATTCTATTCTATCTTATAAATGAAATGTGATTCCACAGAATTTTGGGATTAACAATCTTTATGCTATTTTAGATGCTATTTCTATACAATTTATATACAAGTAGAATGCATTATAATACTGTTTTGTTATACCACTCGAAACCATGCCATAAAGGAACACTGTAACTCTTGTTTAAACAATATAAGAATAGCGAAGTTTCTCATCAATTAGGACCAAAAATCTACCAGAAAGAATGCCCCATTAACTAAACCAGCTTTGACAGTAGTATACCAGTAGCAACACTTACATTTAAAGAGTCCACAGTTGAATTGTTAGTCATTTGGGGTATTGCGACGAGAAAATCACTTCTTTGCTTCAAATTAGTTCGTATTCCCGAGTATTCATTGCCCATTACTAACAGAATCGGCATGCTATGACTCATATTATGCAAATCGCCAAGATCTAAAGTTTTTGCAACATCCTTTTTTGAATGGCCGTGTGAACTCGAAACTACTGTCCAACCCTCAGCCTGTGATAGCTCGAAAAATTTTAGAGGTTTGTCTACGTAAAACATAGGCAAGTAATCCACTGCGCCACTACTAGTTTTCGCCACAACTGGTCCAATAGCTGCACAATTTTTACGACTCAAAGCTACAAAATCAGCACCAAGGAAAAATGCACTTCTAATAATGGCACCCATATTATGGGGATCTGTCACCTCATCTAAATATATACCAACTGGGTACTTCTTCCTTTCGTTATTGTGAAATTTCTCTGATTTTGACCATTGTGTGATTCCGTCAGTCTGCAATACATTGAAAGAGGCAGTATCTATGTTAACATTTTGCAGTGAATTGATTTCTGGTATCGAAAGTGGTTTGCACTCGAGTACCATATTATTGTGTACTGCTGATTTGGTAATTAAATTTAATTGATGCTTATCAGCAGTATCAATTTTTATGCCTTTTTCTTTGCATAGTCTGAGAATGGTCAACTTATTACTATCTTTATCATTAGTATCGTGATGTAGCAACCTTGTGAAATATCCTCTTCTATCACTTTCAAGGGCAGCTAATATCGGATTCACACCATAGAGGTACTCCGAAAGAGGATTGATGGCAAATTTAGTGACATTTGTGTACAAGTTTTTAAATTTCTGTCGATGGGCGTTCTTATTATCTCTATAGCTGTGACATATACCATCCAAACGTTGTTCGTGAGCTTCACGCTTTCCTAAGCTCCCTGCTTTTTGACGTTTCTTTTGATCTGCGTGTACATGTGCGTATTTCTTTCTGAACCATGTATCCTTATCAAGGCCATCACGTTCCCAAGCCTTAGATGTCTTATAAACGGGAATATTCCGATCGACACTTCTACGTTTTAAAGGCGACCCGTCTTTCACAGCAGGCCTAATGCTCATCCATCTCTTGGCTATGTTCATAACTTATTAATATGGCTATATCCTTTTATATAACTCTTCCATAGAACACGCCGTCAAGACCTTATTTCTTATTAATAACATCTCTTCAATTAGATAATTAAATTTAAGTAAGATTAAGAGTTTGTATCACATAATTTAGGTAGGTGCTTCGCTTCGGATGATTTTTATTGTGACATTTTTCTACCAGAAGCCATCAATCAATGCCTAACACGTGAACCAAGGTTAATCACATGTTACGTAATTTGATCTCCCCTGGCCTACTCGTCCCAGTCGGGAAAATGATCCTGTTTTCGTTATCCAGATCAAAAGATGATGCTTCTTTGAGAACTGTGTCCCTCCATTACCCCAAGGCAGTGAGAATGAGTTTACTGCTAAAAACAAAGATCAGATACTATAGCTTTGTCTTTTGATGAAAGATATTGTCTAAGAATTTGTTACCTTAATTCTTAACACGCTTGGCAATTTCAACTGCAATTACTCTTGTTTATTTTGAATCCTCTATATCACTAACTATTTCCGCTTTAAAATTTTTTAGTTCTATTTAAAGCCAGTTTTTTTTTAATAGACGCTTGGCATTAAAGAGTTTGTCCCTATCACAAACTATTTTGTTTATATATTTCCATCAAGTATGAGTATAATTGACTAAAAGTTCATATAAATCAATTAAAAAAGATAATAAAATTACATTGATATTGTAATATATAATATTAAATTATTATTAAATAATTATAAATTAGAACCACTTAATAATAAACGTATTGTGAGTTCAGTATGTCATTGAAGAAATAACATTCATTGTATTTTGTTTATAGAATCCGATTAACACAATCTTATTCAGTTCTATAAGTACAAAGGACTTTCCCACACGAGTAAAATGCACCTATTTTTATATAATTGTTGGACAGATTGATCTTTGAATTTGTCCCTCGATTCAGTATTATAGCCATTATGCTAAAAAAAGAATCTTCGATCATTGTAGAGCTTGACTAAGACTGTCAAATAGTTTCATTGAATATTTTATCTTAAGAACTGAGTTATACTGTTTGTTTCAGTCCAAAAAAAGATATAACTATCTCACAAGTACTAAAAAATGAGAAATATTTCCTTTAAAACAATACTGTGATGCAATACTCACCTTTAAGGGTTGAGTACTGATTTTTTCCCAGAATCTAGTTGGTTGCTCATTTAAAGCGCAATTCGGCCTATCCAACACTAGCAAAGACCAACCTCTGTAAGAATGACAATATCTTAGTAGGAATTTTAACAAATTGATACTTTTCCGGTGATATAATATTCAAAGAATAAAATTATAGTATGAAAATATCCTTCTTAAGCTCGATAAACTCTACACACCATTTTGCAACTTTTCATGGAGTTTCTATTCCTATATTGTATACTAGATATTTAACTTCATTAAATACTACTATATTATAATAGACAGAGAGAATAATATTTTCTACTATTGTTCTTCTAGAGACTGCAAGCCTAGATGATATTTAATATGTAGTAATAGTATGAAAGTGAAGGCAAACTTCAAGAAGAGGCTTATTTTTAAGCGTAATAACAGTTTAACCATGCAGTATACCAAACTAACCAGTTCATTAACTCAATTAATCAGCACTAGTAAAGGCAGCGTAATGAACAACACTGAGTAATTGACTATACTGCCTATTCACAAGACACAAATAGTAGCAGTTTACTGGCTATAATAAAATTTTTCTCTATCTGTAACTCTCTTAAAAGCAGCAACAACCTGGAGTCCAAGTCTTTGACATATAACATTCAATATCGATGTTCTAAATTTGTCGCTTTGTTATCACAAATTGTTGATTCCATTACATGCTTAATATTGAAAGGTATTGAACAATACCACTCTATCTTCTTATCTGAAAGCAGTCGGCCAACTATAAGATAGTTACGAACATCCTCTCAAATTAAAAATTTCTAATTGATTCAGCTGTTAATAAGGTGAGTATTACATACTGATGCACTGGATTATGCAAAAATATATAGAATGCTTAATTTCAGCTGCACATATATTACTAAAATCTCAGTCTAATTTTGACCTCATGGACTACAAATCAATATTAGATTTGAACTATGAAAATCATTTTCAATAGGAGAGTTTTTTATCATTCTTGAGTTACGAGCAATGAATGTTAATGGCAACATGTTTTACCTATTAACAGAGATACATCTTCTTAGAATCATAATAATATAACATTGATCAATAACATTTAAAGAATGAATTTTTGTTTGAAATGATCAACAAATAAACCAGGTTTATAACCCAGATAGTTATTTTTATATTACCATACTTTTATAAATTTTGAATGTAAGCGATAAGCAATATGTATAGTTTCAATAAGTTAAACAGAAGTATGAAAACTGTAACAAAACTGTTCGGATTTAACTATTAATATCATGACTATCAGACACAGAAAGCATTCTCTATCATCTATAACATAAAAGTAATATACTGTTTATCTTCCTAAGGTTATTACTGAAGCCATCGACTCATTTTAACAGGCAACTCCAACAAGTCTATTAAAAATATTCATCCAATATGAGATTGCAACATGGCAATATTCATCAATATATCCCGTGATATTCATTTTACAATTCCATATCGGCAAGAAAAACACTCTTTCAAATATTGTGAGAATTCCGATCCATCAAACTTTTGCTAGTTGCTAATACACATTGTGTTTAACGTAGAGGGGAAGCTTTATTTTAGACTTAACATGATCATGAAAGACATAGCCTTCCGATATAACCTTGGAACATGGATTCTCAAAAAGTCCTTTTGCTATGTACTGAAAGGTTTCCCTGGTTAGCAAAGGCATGAAATAATTAAAAATTTTTTTAATTGCTCACTTCTTTTGAAAGGCAATCAAAGACACAGCAAATCACACTATTATTATTGTAAAAGCTAGGAAGAAATTAATGGCAGATTTTTATATAGAAGTCATAATGTGTCTATATTAGGACCCAACTAAGCAAACTGGTATCTGAACTTGCATAATGCACTTAAGCCAATAAAAAACAAATATTGAGATAAACTAAATGATCAAGTCTCATTTAATTTAGTAAGCGAAAATCATCGATATTAGGAACATCCTATTCCTCAAGTAAACTGATATCCATCTTAAGCATTTTCTACCAATATAAGTGAGCGAACCTAATTTTATTAGAACAGATTTCAGATTATGGATTGGGTTCCTTACGAACTGGGCTATATGGTTATATTTTATATGAAACTAGTTTACAATATATACGCTAGAATTATGCTTTTTTGTAGTTGTTGCCAATCAATGCATTTATCCATTGCTAGTAATCGATGCTATAGCAGTACAAAGTGGAATGATGAAAACTAATGCAATGAATAGGATCTTGTGGCAGCATAAAATGGTAAGGAAAAGAAAGTGTGAGGGCAAAATATTCTGTTTCGCCAAATATCATGTATAACGAGATATTATTATTTTCATTAGACGTTAACCACTTCACCAATTCCTCTAGTAGACAATTTGTATTGCCAGAGCAAACAGTATGTAAGCTGTCTATACCAAAATATAAAATATAATAGAAATTTAAGGATTATGTGAAAAAAAGTTAGCAATTTCATAGTGTGTACTAAATTTGTTATCTTATCTAAAATATTTAAATAAATATATATATATCGTTCCATGTTACTGCGCTTAAAAAGTAAAACAAATCCACCGGGTGGTATAAGAACGTCGAATAATGTAATCACGATTATATACGTATTTTTTTGGTATATTGGCTAAGTGTTAATTACAATAGATGTGTTCGAAATAGTAGTAACACAATTTTTCACCGAAATATAAAGAAGTAAATTTCTATGCCAAATCCTAAATTTAGTGTTCTGGAATACAGATTTTAATGACTATTGGCTAATAACAATTATACTAGTCATGATGTCTTTTCTAGGACCTGTTCTTCTATGCTACCATGGGAAAACAGTATTTTTTCATGTTGTAAGTCCTAAGTAGCAAGAATTATTTATGATTGATTGTAGGATAAACAACCCCATAAAAATATTCCAAAAAAATACTATTCAATCTCTTTGAAAACCAATTCAAAATACGGATTATATACAAACAATAGATAATCTTTATCGATTATTAATTAGTATGTCTTTTGATAGATGGAACTGTAAATCCAGTTCGGTATTACTAGTTCTTGACTAATTTTCAATCCGTTGGGTAGTATTCAAACAAGTCCCTTATTCGAGGTATTCTCAATTCAAACGTAAGTTACCGGTATAACCTCTAATGCTTAATACTTGAGGTAATTATTTTTATGAGTTATTTTGAATCGATTCTATCTTGAACTCTAATTTTACATTACGATCAGAATGTATTTAGTGTTTATATTTTACGCACAACTTAAAATATCATCGAGTTACTCAATAATTTTTCATTATATGTTGCAAATCTACTTATGAGATAACTGCGGTAGCTTTACTGGCATATGATAATTAAAGCTCGCAAAAAATCTGATAATTTCCAAAAGTAGGGAAAAATATCGAAGAATAGGCGAAGAACTTTCTATAAAATGGAATTATTTTACAAAACATCTTAATGCTCTTTGTAACCACGTTCTATGGTTGGTAACTTAATACTTACAATTTTAAAGCAAGGACTTTGAAAATGGAACGTGATCTAACACAATACAAATCCAAGTATACTGAGATACCTATAGTCCTAAAATTTCTATGCCATAGATATTTATGGTTGAAAATACTTCTAAACTTCCTAGATCAGTATTTGTTGTTGATTTCATATTCATATAGAAGGCCGGATTAAAAGGGAAAATAACAGATAGAATATACTTGAGCGGATCGATTGAATATATTGGACATATTAAAAAACTGAAACAGCAATTTCCGTTGCTTACATTAAATTGACTTTTGAAAATTTGTGGTAATCTTCTATATTGCTACAATAACAAGGGTC